ATTTCCTGTTGTTCTAAATATAAAAGGAAAGAAAAAAAAAGATAAATAATTTCACTAGAAGCGTCTCTATTCATATTATTTCGCGAACACTTACATTATTTAACTGAATAGAGGCTTTTATATTCCTTTTTATATTTTCAGAGCGTTCTCTTAAAATTTTATTCCTTTTTATAAAATCGTTAGATTTTAGTTTATTAAAGGTTCTTTCGCAAGAAGGGTTGCTTTTATCTTTCATTTTATCATTATTTTCCTCATTCCATTTGTCTTGTAATCGTTGAAATTCTTGTTCTAATGTTTTTAAATCCTCGTTAACAATCTGATGAAAATTTTGTATAATTCTCTTTTCATCTGTTAATTTATTAATTAATGCCTCTTTTAATTCATCTTCCAAAATTTCCGTCTGTACAGCTGAATCAATTAATAAACTTCGATTTTCGTCATTAACAGCATACTTATAATTATAATCAGTTAAATGAAATTCTTTAAATATCCCTAAGTTTTCATTGATAACAGATTGATATTTGTTACGTAAAGATGCTTGTTCTTTATCAATGAATATACTATTTCCGGATATATTTAGAAACGAAAAATCTCGATTAACATTTTTATTTTTTGCAAGTTTCTTAGTAATTTTCAATTTAAACAAACTTTTTATTTTCTTACGTAATTTATCACTTTTATAAACATTTTGAATGAGTTTCAAATTATTGCCTGTAATAGCAGATGTACTTTTAACCTTCTTAAGAAAGTTAAATTGAGTCGACCTTGAGAAAGGATATAAATCAGAGAGCATTTTTTACTTATTATTTTTCACCGTAAAAAAATAATATATTATGTTTATAAAATGTTTAAAAGTTGTTAAAACGATTTTATTTTCGACCTTGACACTCTTTTCTTTTTATAGAATTGAATAGCGGGATTTGCAGCGCTAATAAATGCAACTTAGCCAACACCAAAGAATGCTTACAGAGTACGAACAGCTCATACCATTGTGCATGTAACAAGGGTTATGGCGGAAACTTTTGTCAATACCGTAAAATAATTTATATGAAAGTATTATAATTTCTAATTTTTCAAATAATTCCATAGAAATTGTGATAGGCCAACTGTGCGATAATAAGATATGTTCGATAACAAATACCGAGAAATGTCAGGAATTTCCTAACGGTTACTATTGCGACTGTAAAGCAGGTTTTTACGGTCTATTCTGTGATACCGACAGACCCCCAGGTAACTGACCGAGCTGTTAATTTATTTGAAACGTTCAATCTTTTCCCCACTTGTTTAGATCCTTGCTTGAAGCAGTCTTGTGTAAATGGTGGCGAATGCGTTAGGCTAGACGATACAAGATTCTACTGCAAATGCCCAGAAAATTATAACGGAGCTTCTTGCGAAATTTCCGCGCAATCTCAAACAGACGACGAAGGAAAATTCTCCGGCTATAGATTATATACATTAATAATACTTATAATCGTTGTATCAATAGTAACGATTGCAATTATTATTATGTCAATTGCAATATCTCAGAAAAAAGCTAAAAATAAAAGGCAGCATGCCTTCGACCTGTCCGCTTTCAACCAATCAACAATATTTAGTGAAGGGAAAAATAGTGGAAAATTCTAAGATTTATAGATTTATTTGTTTATGTTTTTCTACAACTACTTTTTGAAGCTTTTTTTTGTATGTTATAAATCTTTACATGACATTATTAAATAAACAGATCTTTATATTAATTATATAGTTCTTTATCTATTACGTCACTTGTATTTTTTAAACATTTCTCCTCGAGTTTACTAACATTAAATCTTATGGATTCCATTTTGATCGATAAGAAATTTAAATCAAAGACTGATAAAAGCGGTCTTGGCTTTGTTATCTTGTCAGTTATTCTCTTTTTATATGGTTTATATGGACTGGGTCATGGACGTTATTTTTTTTCTAGACAATACTTATTTATTACGATAGTCGATCCGAATAGTTATAATATCCCTCTTTTATATTCTGCTTCTACATTTATTACAACACTTTGTAGTATGGTAACCTTCTCTTTAGGCCTTCAAATTTTAGCATCTTCAAAGGAACGCTTGATGAGCATCACCATCAATTTCAATTATTATTTCCTTCTAGTTTCATTAATAATAAACGTCATATCAATTCTTTTACATTCCTATTATTTAGTTTATTTACCATCTCCCAATCAATTTTCTGCAAGTTTATTTAAAGCTATCAATAATTACTATTCTCTACCGGAAACTAAACAACTTATTGATGATATGCAATCCTATATGCAATGCTGTGGCGTGACCAACTACGAGGATTGGATAAAAAATACACAATTGACAAACTTTGATTTCCTACCATTCAGTTGTTGTAATACCCATACGTCCTATTGCGTTAAAGGTCGATTAAGTAAAGCTGCCTTTTTCCAGATTGGTTGCTCAACCGAATTAAGGAATTCGGTTATCTATAATTACTTAATCTCCATAATTATTATAGGCTGCCTGATTTCTGGGAATTCAGCGATTCTCATTGCGATTAGATGTATATCGTCAAGAGAAAAACTAACTTTAAATAAGTCTGATAGTTTAGAAACGCTTTTGGTTGAAGAGAATAGTAATTTATCGAATTCGATCATCGCAACTTCAAATTTGCAAAGCTTAAAAATTATTAATGCCAACGAGCCTTCTACAAATAGTATCAACGATTCTTTGGAGAGACTGAAGCATAAAGATAAGATCAATCGAAAAAATTCATTAGGAAAGATAAATTTCTGCAAGATTACGCCAGTTAACCTTAACGGCAATTGTAAAAATAGATGTACTGAAGAGAAGCTGATAAATCAAGATAACCAATACAAAAATCCATTTGCCTATATAGCTCCCAAAATTTTAGAAGACAGTCGCCTGTTCTTAAAAAAAAAGTATGAACACTCTTTCAATGCAACAGAGACGCAAGTCAATGAGAACCAGAATGCCTCCATTACAAGAAAACCTACTACTAAACATTATTCGAAGAAGTTAGATAATCGTTTCCTTATGTGTCAGTATGGCCATTATCATCCTTTTCGAGAGTTTAACAATCTTCGAGATATCGATAAAAGTATTAACTACTTGGCACAGATTAAATATGAATATACAAAGCAATGGCTAGAAAGTATATAGGGTAGAAAAATATTACAAACAAATTATCAATTAATTAGAATAATCAATGGGGACTTGAAAATGGAAAATAAGAACTTTTCTTATAATATTCTACCATCTTAAATATCACATTGGTCATTTTTATCGATAGAATATTGACGAGAAAAGATTTTAAAGTGAATCGAATGACTCTATTAGGATCTAAATAAGGAAGACAACAATATTTATAAAATTTGTTATATTCTTCCATTAAATATCACAGAATCAAAACATCTGCTGTCCTTCAGGCTTCTAGAATTATTGTTCGTATACAGCCATCCATCTGTCCAATACAAACAGAGCTTTGAAGTTTTATTAAAAACTCAAGAACAGATTTGAGAGCAGGATAGGTGATTGGAAAAGACGGTTGTGTTACACTGAATACGTCACCTCTGATTTCACGTTTGGTACATTAGAATGGAATGGTGAAAACCATATAAAGGAAAAGTTCGATCCAAAAGTGTTTTTAAGGCTTGACCAACGAGATTTCTTCTCCCATGTAGCCCTCTCGTTTTTTAATGATTCTATACCGGTTTCATCGGAGCAAATAGCAGCTAATTGTGTCCCACACATGATAGCGGTGAATATACCGAATAACAATGCTTCGAAGAGAAGAAAAATGAGAAACACTGTTGTTGCAGCTGGCGAATAATAGGTACAATCTGTATGAAAAATATGTATGTATAAATCATTGATATTCTATTATGTCGAAAATATGTTAGTATATTTTTACCATGCCAATCATTTGAAATGCATACTACGAAATGATGGATAGCCATATACATAGCGTGGCAGGAAATCATGCATATGTAGAAGGTAAAAAGCACAAAGAATTCTAAAAATAAAGTGGAATTAGAGTTGAATATTATAATAGTTATAATAATAATTTACTTTGATTGCTCTCTCCAACGCAGTTGTTTACCCTAAAAAGTTTGGAAAAAGTTAAATGAAATGATAAATGAAGAAAAACATTAATTGATATACCAGGGACAATGATGATCCATCTTCCTAATACATCTTTTGCAAACGCTGCAGTGATGTGCCCGTTCTGGTTTTATACTGATACATTTGGTACATTTATATATAATTTGGTCTCCTTTTAATGCTAACTGATCAATATTTTCTTGTGTTGCATTTCCTCTTGGAACAGCACCAGGATCAGTTAGCATTGCTTTCAAATGACTAAAAATTGCCATCGTTGCAAAAAATTGAAAGATGATACCATTCGTTAAAGAATGAATTTGATTAGGTGCTGGAATTAGCATAACGAAGAAAATAACATATTCGGCATAGAGAATTAATAACCAAGTGAAAACTGCACAAACAATTCCACACGAATCCTTCACCAGCCATAGTTTCGTTTCACCTTTGACACCAAATAATTTAGCATATTTTGAACAATCTATTAATTTAATATTGTCCTCGTAAGGAACGTTTGCTTTCGATTTTTTCGACATAATTTGAATGTAGCAAAACTATATATATACTATAATAATCACAGTAGTTTTTCAGAGGACTAAAGATTAAGAATTTAATATTCCAAATTTGACTTTAGCATTCATAAATAACTAAAAATTTGAGATGGTTAGAATTTTATAAAGAACAATTAGTGGCTTGATCCATTTAGAAAGAAAACCAGTTGGATACTTATTTAACACGACAAAAGTAGAACCGGAAACGCATTTAGTCTACCATCTTAGACGCGTACTGAATGCAGGAAGTTGATATGGCGGGAAGTTTTGAAAAGTAAGACTTTATATTTTTCTTTTAAAATTAGGCCTACAGTTAAACATTTCTACAGTTTATTGTATATTTGATGCCCTAATTGACACTTGGAATAGTCTGTTCAAAAAAAGAACTATCAGTTTTGAAATTTCCATGAGAAAATTGTTTGTAAAGATGATGTCCCGGATACATTTGACGCTTTACTTCTGCAGTACGTAATTCAAGGGGTTTCCTTACTTTTGAAACAGATTTTGTAGTCGTCGTCGTTTTCCTCTCCCTGTCTTCTATATCTTCCGCGGTACCTGGAAGAGCAGGGGCCATAGCAAGCGTAAGTGTCTTTAGGGATCTCGTACTGCTAGAGTGTAAGCTACTGGTGGAAGATGAGTTTGCTGAGTGAATCCTTGGTGAAGTCCTATGGTGTTTACTCCTTGGAGAAACTGATTGAAAGGGAGAAATTCCATTCGTGCTTGGCATTTTTATCCTCGGAACACTCAAATGTCTTGTTTCGACAACTTCGCTTTCGTCATCAAATCGACCTTTCTTCAGACGCTTAGCAAACCAATGAATTGATTTTTTGTTTAAGAATTCCTCATTATCACCTCCTAGGAATTCGGGTCTGGTTGGTCGGTTGTCTATCCTTCCATTCCTTTTTGCTTGAGAAACTATCTTACTACCAAGAGAGAAAATTGAAGCTGAAGATTCGCGAGAGGAATTTTCCGTCACACTGCTCGAGCTTATGATTGTTGGACTATGATGTAACGGTTCTCTTAGAACGATAACTTTTTCACCATTCCTTAATACTCCAACACTATGATCCGTTATATTATCTCCAGCCTCGTCGTAGTCTTCAGAATCAGCAAAACGAACTTTTTTTCTACTACCTCCGCATATATTGCCCATGTTTTCTGTCGTTAAGTATAAATAACTTGTTCGCGTGTTGACTAGCTCGGGAATCACGTACGACTATTTATTTTTTTTAATATTTATAAAAAGAAAAACATAGGCCTAGCCTTTATGAGATATATAGAACATCAAATGAATGTATTCGAAATATACAGCATATATATATATATACTAATATATACAAAAATTAGCGGACGGAAACAAGTAATACATTCTGAAGTAAAGGCTCGGAACATGTATGGACAAGATTATAGCTGTTACAAAAAATAAACAAATAAAAGTAAGTTAATTAAGAAGGTAAACAATAACATTATCACAATAAAAAGATTTTTATAAATTTTCCCTTTCTTTTACGTTTTTATTTTCTTTTTTTCTCTTAAATTTTCTTGACTGACTGTTAAGCATCTTTTTTTTTAATTTTTGTTATTATTTTTATGGCCAATGTTGTAACTCACTTTTTAAATTGGACGGATAAGAAAAAAAGGAGAATAGGAAAAGTTTCAGAGTGTTATATACTGTAGTGTTGATATAACAGAATTTTTCATTTTTTTTTTCAAGTATAGGCCTACTTCCTTCTAGATTTTGATTGGTATTTTGCTGATTTGTTAGTATTGTTGGTAGAAGTTGTGTTGAGTTGGTTATTACTATTGGGTCGAACTCTCGTTCTTGAAGTTTCACTTGTAATCTGTTATAAAAATCGTCTATTAAATATGAATGTTTTAGGCAAACAGATTAGAAAAATCGAATAAGAAAACAGCAATAATCATAGTAAATCACAAAAAAATAATCATTCTTCTTTATACATATTTATCTAATATAATCAATTTGGCATTTCTTAGAAAATTCACCCTAACCGAATCCCAGCTTTTCGAGCTTAACGACGAGCTAGATGATGAACGATTCATGTTTTTAACAGCTGCAGATGATATTGATTCATCCGATCGTCTTCTAGGTCTTTGAAGTGGTACAGTGAGTAAATTCGGAGTACTTTGGACTAATTTCTTAGCTTTTCTCTCTGATTCTGAATTCTAAAGAGTGCACAACAAACAAAACAAAAAAAAAGCGAATACATGCATACAAAAAAGTTCTATGAATTTTTTTAAAAATTTGTTACCTTATCCTGTTTATCTTGTCCGTTCCGGAAGGAAGTATTTCCGGCTGATGCTGAGCCGCTACTGTTAGGCCTATGTGAATCATTAGATGCTGAACTTGGTTTTTCCTTTTTTCTTTGAGTGGGAGCCGACGCACAGCTCGATCCATGGTTATTTGCTGAACCATTGTCTTCATTAACTGTTTCAACTCCTTTGGTACTTTCAGCTAAATATTCTCTCATTAACTCCAAAACGTTTTTTTGTTGATTCTTACCCGTTAACCATTTATGATTAAGAGCTTCCTGAGCGGTAACACGATGAGCTGGATTTCTATCTAACATTTTTAATAGTAAATCCTTAGCTTCTTCACTTATACCAGCCCAAACTGTATCTTTTTCAAATTGCAATAAAATTGCGGCTTCCTTAATGAGTTCATGCAATTTACTCTCTGACGAGGCTTGAAAAGGTAGTGTACCAGATATTAGGTAAAACATCATTACCCCCAACGCCCAAACATCGCATTTTTCACTATAACATTTTGAATCAATAATTTCAGGGGCCATATAATTCGGTGTACCGCATTTATCCATTTTCATATTTTCTTGGCCGACTCCTTCCTTTTTAACGGATAATCCGAAATCTGTTACTTTTACGTATAATTGATCTTGTGGATCGTCTGGATTTGCAGCAGTTAAAACATTTTCCAATTTTAAATCTCTGTGCATAATATCGATTTTATGCAGGTAAGAAATAGCATCGCATAATCTCGACATGACGGTTTTAACATCTTGCTCTTCGAAACGTCTTCTCTCTTTAAGAACTTTTGATAATTCGCCGGCGCATAGTTCCATAACTAGCATCATTTTCTTAGGAGTTTCAAAGATTTCATGTAACTTGATTATATGATCGTGTTTAACTAGCTTTAAGATGTCCATTTCTCGCTCTAATAATGTCAAGTGAGCATGTCCGGCTATGGCCCTCATGACAATTTTACACGCTGCCTTTTTGTTCTTGATTTTATGAACGACTTCATAGACAACTCCAAATGTTCCTTTACCGATTTTTGATTTAATTTCATAGTGATCTTCGAACATTTGATCATCATCCAGTCTTGTATGTAGGATAGGCGAGGTCTGTCCCCGCGATCCGGAGGTGGACGCCATTTAGTCTATTATTAATTACTCATTCGCTCTGAAAAAAAGAACACGTGAACAGATCGAGTGAACCAATCCCTTTTAATATAGCCAGAGTCAATAAGGGCACCAAAAGGAGTACTTAAACGTGTCTTTAATCACGTATAATTTCATTTTGGCGCCTAGTCAGCAATCATCTTCAAACATAAATCATTGGAAACAAACGACGTCGCTTGAGCATTTTTTGACACAACCATAAGCATTTATTGATTGGGCAATGTATTGACAAAAAATAATATAAATATAAATATATATATATACGCCTTATATGCTGTCTATAGTCTAATACAACTCGCGAGTCTTTTAAATAAGAAAGAGGTACGACATATAATACTTTAGTCGTTTATCTGAATAGTTTCTACTTTATGAAACGAAAAAAAATACAATTAATTACGCCGACCTAATTGTCGATCGATTCGACTTAAAAGAAAAAAATTGACGTTTTCCCCTATAAACTATTCACGACTAGATTCCTACAAAAATATTTCTTATCTAGAACAACTCATTGAGAATTTTATGTATTGTTACTTTCTAAAAACTTCTAAATATTGGTTGTTTGATAAGGTCGTTGAGAAAGTATTTTAAAACAAAAATAGTCTAAAATAACCTAAGTACAAGATCATAAAAATTCGTTTGCGTAATAATATTAGACTAGCTCAACTAAAAAAATGTAACAAAGTTCGTAAATAGCAATGAGTGGCGATAAGATTAAAATTCCAATGGCGGCGGTTAAAACAACATTAACAAATTAATTCAACGGGCCGACTGAAAAATCTAACAGTAGTATTAAATGAACAAATAGAGCCGAATCATTACTGAACGCTCCATTGATCATGTCCTTACTGCAAGAGATTATTACATAGCTAGCCGTGGATAGAGATTGCTATATATTCCGATACGATATTCTCAATCAAAACTTGAATAAATATTTTGATTCATACTTACAAGTAGTTTTATGAGAAATCCCTTTCTTTAGAAATATTTTGCTTATTCTTTAGTAGGAGAGGATGAACAGCACCTTTAAATAACTTGTAAAAAAGGATTGATTTATCCAGTTAATTGAGAACGTTTAACGGAATGAGACACACGATGGATTTAGCTAATTTAATAGGTGATCATCAAAAGTTTCCGTTGTATCAGCTCGTAATCAATCGAACTTTTAATAAACAGTTCAAGTTTGTAAAGTAAACATTGCGCATACTTTCTGCGCATGTTCGTGTGTGCTATGACGTGACCCGTTGTAGCGACACCTAGTTTTGAAGTCACATATTCTAATTATTAAGATTATTTAGTCTCATTAACAATATGTAAGCTATTTAAATCGGATAAATACGTTTTAAAATTTGTTGTAATGGGACAGTCCATACAATTTTATTTGTAAATAAATCGAACAACTATTTTCAACTATGTATAGCCGAATAAAATATTATCCACGTAACTAAGAATGAAGCAAACGCAGTCATAAAACCTTCTTTTAGAACTTCACTGATTCCGCCTAGATCATCTACATCTACACTTTGATAAGATGTTGTATATACTTGAATAACAATTGCTTCTAAGGCGGCGAAAATTATCATAGCTAGGAATCCTGTCATAGGTATGCTTCCACATATCACACCTATTATTATGCCAATAATTTGTCTCATCCAGTAAACTACGTCCAGGAATTCTTCCTGTTATGTATAATACATCAATTACAGTGAACATATATAATCAAATATGCACGAAAATTATTCCATACTTTGTCTGGCCACGGGGAATTAACTGCCATTGCCTTCTGGAAAGTCATCCAAACAGTTGGATCCTTCGGTACTTTGTCCGAAGGCTTTTTTAAGTTACCCATATTATTACCAAGTTCTTTTTTTGTAATTATATTTTAAAAAATTCTTTTGTTAAATATCCACGCTATCAATAAGGCGAAGTGTTCTGTAAATTTAAGCGACTATACCAGTTTTCGTGTGAAAAAAAAGAGATGATTGACCGACTCCGCTTCTTTGTTAAACTCGATTTAATTCCGAGGTTAATTGTTAACTCTCATTGTTTTGGTATTCATTAAAAATTTTTCTTATGAATATTATAAATGAGCAAATTAAATAACTTTGAATATAAAACAGCTAGTTGTTTTCTCTAATACATTAGACTACTTTAAAGTTAATCGGAATCGTCGAATTCAATATCTGACTCTTGTGATGATAACGATGAATCATTCGCTGTAGGAGATTTATTATCACCATCTTCTTCAACTATTGCATCAAGGTTACTGGAAGAGGTTTTAAAAAAATTAATTACCATTAACTTGTCAACTATAATTAAAAATTACTTTACTCACTCTAATATATTTGGATCAACTCCTTTCATCATCATTTTTTGCTTTATGGCAAATACAGGAACGCCCTAAATCACATATATTATACCATATATTTATCTGAAGGAGTGAATTAGAAATGGATGGGTAACATACCACTTTTAGCATTCTTACATAATCTGCATATCTCGGGTCTTCTGCAACAGTTCTCCTTTTCGATTCCGTTACCGCTTCTTTCTCCTGTTCAGCTTCCCTTTTCGATATATTTCCATTGTCAGTAGGATTCTCCGTACTTTCTGACTTTCGCTCAACAGTTGTTGCTTCTACTTGTTGAACCGTTACATTTTCTAAACCAGGAACAGAGCCGATCTGTAAAGTGATAACTCTTAAGCTTCTTCTTCTTTAACTTCAAAATCGATTACTACCTTATTTTCAAGTAAGACTAAACTGTTTTCCAATCTTTCTAATCGTGAGGCAACTTCTCCAAGCTTTTCCTCACAAACACACGAAAATCTATTCAGAAATTGAACAGTATGTGACACGAAATGGTTGAGGAAAGCCAGCATACGCTTCTGATGAATCGGTTGCACCTATATCAATAAATTAAGCATGCTAAAATCTTTAGTGTAAACATTAGGACACGAATATACTGACAGCATTGTAATCTATTCCCGGACCAACCAACGGAAGACCGTCAGAATCCATCTGCGGAAATAAGAGTCTGTACGAAATGGAGCAAAATATGAAAATTTCATTATTATAAAGGAATTTAAGTTTATTTCAAGATCACTTACACTTCAACTTCCAGGAATAACAAAGTAATCTAAAATTTAAGGACTGTTTCCGTATAATAAATAAGAAATGTCGTATATATAGATAATATCAACTCCCACAACGAAAGTAGGACCGGTTAAGATGGTTAGATGAATCACATGTCACATACTCACCGGTTTCATATTTTTAAGTTGCCTAGAAAGGCTTCTTATAAGTTATGACCATACAAAACACAAAGAGTTCAATTCAATAGCACAATTTCATAAATAAAAGAATAAAAGAATTGATTGTATCCCTGGAAATCTTAGTAGGAGGGTCAAATAAAAGCCTAAAAATATTAATAGATTGATTATACTATATGTAATTAAGGTAGATTATTTGTAAGGAAGGCTTAACCGCCTACTAGCAATTATTTTCGGAACTAAACTTATATTTTAATATTAAATTACAAAGAAATAGCTCAGCAGGCGGTAAATAATTGAGACTTTTCGTTAGTTAATTAGATATTCTAACGAGCTAACTGTTGTCTACTAATTCCTTCTTTCAAGCCACTTTTATGTTACATTATACAAATCTATAGAAATGCCGTATTCTATATATACATAGTATATATCAATATATCTTTATATAGTTTATAATAAATTGAACATATCTGTTTCAACTGAATTTCAAAAGCTAATGTAAAAAAACTGAAATTTGATCAATGATTTTATTTCAGCAGATGCATGATAAATGCATTTCTCAAATTACTTCATTAGTTCGAACGCCCTAAAAGTCAAATGTAATAGTTATGAAGCCAAAACGAATCTTCTTCTGTGATAAATTCTACATGAAGTCATTAAAATCGCCATATTCATCGTCATAGTAATCCGTATTATTATCTTGTTTTAACTTTGGACCAGTTTTTTTCTTTTTTCCTTTAGCCGGTTTTTCTTGCTTTGATTTTTCAGTTGCTAACACGGTCAAACAAGTACCCAACTTTTTTATACTATCACTTTCAACTATGATAATAAAGTAATAAGTATTTTTGTTTTAATATAAATTCTTTTATACATACTATTTACAGTAAGATTTCTAAACAAAGATTCTAAAAATGTTGCATAGAACGGATTCGTCTGCAAAATATTAATTACATGATTAAAATTAATTTAATAAAGAAGGAATTAATTATTACTTCGAATTGGCATATCTTTTTACTTAAGGCATTGGCGAATTCTTCGAAGTCACTTTTAGATTTAGGCTGCATACTTTCAATTCCATCTCCAACTGGTTTCGCATCGTTAACTCCTGCAAAAAATTAAAACATAAAACTAAACTCTTTTAAATGTATTCCTTCTAAATTCTCAACCTAGCATATTCTTCGCCAATTCAAAATCAGATTCTTCTACTCGCTTTTGTCTTTCCTCAGCTGTCAACTCCTTCTCCATCTGTTCCTTGGCCTTTATTCTCTCTTCCCTCTCTTTCTTTAACTTTTCCTCCTTTTCGGCTATTTTATCTTTTAAGGACTTTTTTTTTTTGACCGTTTCTGTACATATAGTCAAAGGGGTCATTATCCGTTAGAGTCAATGTCATGAACTAACCTAATTTCTTCTTTTCTTCTGCGGCTTTTTGCTCATCTTCATCTAAATCTTCCCAATTGTCAGCCTTAAAGAAAAAATATTTTGTTAATTTGAGGACATTTCACTGTCTATCGTAACATACTGCATCATCCTCATCTTCTCCTTCCCATTTGTCAGTGACACGACTGCTGTAATTCACACCAGGATCAAAATCCTCGTCATCTGTTGACAAAAAACAGAAATTACAGTAATGAGGTGTATATCTCAGTTAAAAATCTGTGGGAATATGACAAACCCCAAGATTTTTCCGCCATGTCGAGCACGTTTCCGGAAAAGTGTTCTGTTTCCGATATAATGGGTGTTTCTAAACAGCGTGCAAAAACGTAAACTTAATTTGGGCACCGCTAATAACAGGAACAATTCCAAAATAATTCACAATTTAAAGATTGTGAAGAAGTAGATAGTTCTCGCTGTAACCTAAATTATTCGAATAGAAGTACGCTGGTGTTAAAATTTATTTATAGCATCCGTTACATTACTTGTGAAATACTTGGCATTCTATTTAGCATTTTGAATCGATTTCTAACGTCCCCTGCAAAACATAAACAGAATTACAGCGATTATTACTTAAAAAAATTATAAAATAGAATATATTTTTCATTTATTGGCGAACTATGAAATGAAATTTAAAATGAGTGAGACTTACTGCAAACAGTAAAGATTGTTTCTATTTCAATTACTTTATTTTTGCAGAGTTAGTTATATATGTACTTATTATCGCTCAAGTTCATATGTCTATGGAAAGCATAGAAGAATTCTCGGATGATGAAGTAGATAAAGATAATTTTGTAGATATCCACGATATGGGACCAGAAAATCATGAGGATCTGTTTCAGGATCAAACAGTAAATATAATTGACTGCTTCTTCAAAATACAGTTGTTGATGTATAAGTAATTGGTTTACGCTACCAAAGAAACTATATATCACTTAATAATAAGTTAGAATAATAGGCGATTGTTTGTAACAGTTTTTTAAACCTATAACGTTTATAAAAAAAAATATAAATATATAGATAAATGAAGTGTAAATTTGTACAAAGCCAGATTCAAAATCAACTACTGGCATAGATTCTAAGACCTCAACAAAAGTGCAGATTCTCGAAAATCTTATTGAGCCGGAGAATGAAAACAAAGAAGCTTCTGTTAGCAATATTAACACAGAAGTTACCCTCGATGCCGAAAATTATGATAAGGGTCTTATTTTCTTTCAACAATTCTTGAAAAGAATCGTCCATTTAATTGATAAAGATACACCCAAAGATCTAGAAGATAATCGAAATATATACTACAAGACAGTTCTAGAATTAAAACCAACAGAAATTTCCTTTATTAGAGATTTTGCAAAGGCCAATACAAAAGAGGCTAAACATTATTTAAACGAAGCTCATCACATCATTTCTAAATCTTTCTCTTATCTAATACTACAAACGGAAATTCCACTTGAACTAAAGTGGAAATTTGAAGATACTTTTGGGCTTTCAGCAAACGAATTACTCATGGTTTGTTTGATAAAAGATGAATAAAGAGAAAAATTATTTTAAATATTCGATATAGGTCTCTCTGTCTTTTCTTGCGTTTTGTTTGACTACATATCTTTACTGGAAAATGAGGATGAGCTTAGCACTTTTCATCAGAAGATTATTTATAATATCTTTTATTTGGAGTATTCCATGGAATTGGATGTATTTATTCAAAGTACGTAATGATTTACGGATGCAATTGGCTGTTGTTTATTGCACATGGCTAATGCAAGTTTTTTTCTTAGAAAGAAGTTGCTGCCAGAGCTTCCAAGGCGTCAAATTGCAGATCAATAGAAGTAAATGGTGTAGGATATGGCGAAATGCTTTATAGTTTGTTTCTTCCGGTGAATAATAAACTACAGGACTGCTATCAAGACATTTTAGTAGATCCATGGACAACCATTCCGCCCACAAAAGTCAGCATACACTTATCTTTATAATTACCCATTTCAAATGTTTGTATTTTTAGGTCATTGCATTCACCTTGGCTACTTTTGTATTTGAACCTCTCGAACATATTGGATTGGGTTTTAAAAAATTTTTGATGAGCTTTTTCACAGACTTACATCCAACTTTATGGTTATTTGCTTGTGTGTTAATAATAATAGGAATCGTTCTACCTATGTGTCTTTATATGAATTACGAGGTAAGACTTCCCGCTTTCCTAGGAGCTATTGGTCCCTCTCAAACTGCAGCTACTCTCTGTATCGAGGTAAATGGTACTTTATTTCTACCATTCATTTTGAAGTAAAAGTGATGCAATAACAAAACCCACATAAATATATTTGTATTGCATCTAGTGCAGAAATTCGGCCACCGTATTACGAAACAACAACCAATCGCAGCTAGCGTATAATGTAAGTTCTAAACTATATTGCATCTTATACTCATACCAAATAGATGTATTGCTTTTCCATAGAGAAACGTTGAATCTCGTTCAATAGGCCAGTCAGCCATAGAAAGAAGGCCTGAGAATAACTTGAAAGATGCTTCCACCCAAAGTGATGCTTCGAAAATTTGTCTCATTTGTAAAAGCACTCAAACTGTAATACTAACGAAGGAAGTAGCAATATCAACTATTGCAATAGAAAAGACTGATAAACACTGCCAAATTGATGATTGCGGTAAAGTTAAAGAGAAGATTCAATATGACATTAAAAATGAGACTTAATATAAATTAAAGCATTTAACTGAAGAAAATAGGGGTTCAATATTATCTTCACACTGCCCTTTAAAGAGATATATGTCAGATATATTTGAAATAATATCAGCCTATATCTTTTTATGGAAAATATTCTAAATAATCTTGAAATAACACTTTGAAACGTTTTTTTTATCTAGATAATTTAGGCTAATAGTGTTAAACAGAAGCCTACTTAAATAGATATCAAATACAAAAAATTGAAATGCTGCTGCTAATTTCGTTCTTTTTATCTTTATGAGATTTTTAAGTTTTTAAATAAATCTTTAAGTGACTGCAGAATGAGATATTTTATTCATTAGAACTAAGGTGGCGCAACGAAATTTTATATCTATCCAAATAGGATTGTGTATGTACTATCTACTTAAATATTCTCGTAAAATCTCGAAATTAGAATCTAGAAACTGGAGTACAAGATTTATATTTCAAGCAATATATTTTTTATCTAGGTCATTTGGTTCGGTGTCACTTTTACAATTGAGATATTTCCATTTTAATATTAACTTTCATTTAATTATTGTAAAACCTTGTAATTACTTTACATCCTAGACAACTTGTGTTTTTCCTTCTCAATAAAATATTCGTTTTTATTAACATTATCCATATGTCTATCAATTAATAGTCTGTGGATAAACTCATATCTATACTAATTATACAATAGATATTTTTGGATCTGAAGTTGTTATGACAAGTGTCCAAAATTTAGTAAGTTTTTTGTAATAATCAATCTCTAATGTTGTTTTCAATGCTTGAGAGAAAACTTGGTACATATTTATGTATCTGATGAGGCCTGAGAATACTATAGCTTTAAACTATTTCTATTCCTTTGTTTATACAAAATTTCGTTATTTATAGAACCTAAACCAGTTCACCAATTAAATTAATTAAATTAATAACATTATAAAAGCCACTTAAAATAATATTATTCATCAGCCGTTTTCCCGCCATTTACCTACCAGTTTTATATACTTTTAGAAGTTTCATTATTTTTTGTACCCGACCTAAAGATGGATAATGATGAATCGGACATAACTTTAGAATTTTCCTCAAATTTTTTAAGCGAAAGAGTATTGTCATGTTCCGAACTTGGTATTTATAGTCTAGGAACGGAAAGTAGTCTATATGTTCTAGTAAGTCTTTTAAATTGTTTGAGCGATAAAAACGGCATGTAGCCATTTCAGGTGCCTCTTCTCGCCGAATCATTAAGCACAGACAAAAAAGTACGCTTTAGAATTGACTCTTTCAAGCATAATGATGGAATTATTAAAACAATCTGGTGTAAAACATACGTAATTATTTTAACAACCAAATATACGATTGAATATTTGCGTTATGGTGATGGAGCGAAAAAATTTGAAGATTTCGAAATTAAGAATAAAAGTGATGTTGAATTGAATAATATAGTCGGTTAGTATGTGCAACCCTTTAAAATTTGATATTGCTAAAAGTATCAAATCAAGAGAAACGATGAAGAATAAAATCACCGCAAACAATAAATCAAAGGCACAATACAAAAAAAAAGCGTTATTCAATCTTGTAAAAACTTGTAAGATATAACAGTTTAAGGAGTAACGCTTTTCGTGAGAAAGATATTTACATACAACGACGCTTCAAAACTAATATATATATACAAGCAAAAATGGTTTTCACTTTAGATATATGCTGCATCGACGCCGTACAACATTTTGGTATTTTGCACGAAAATGGCATCGTAAGTGAATGGCGACTGAAAGGAAAAGAATTTTGCTTCGAAAAGTCTAATCGAGTTCCATACACAGGCTCCCTCTTATGTTGCGATTCGGACTTTTTTGTAGCATCGTCGGATGGTAGAGTTTGTCAAGTTGGAGGATGTGAAATTTACGACAAGCAAGATTCCATTCCTGTACAGCAAATAATTTCGGATAACTCGAACGGTTATTGGATTAGTAAGCAGCTTATAGTCGCCAGATGCCACGAACAGACAATCGTTGAACAGGCGCTAATTCCAACCGCCTTTCCTCCTCTATCTCTCTTCTTAAACGGCTCAAAACTGGGTTGCGTAACCCGCAATGCCCGTGTCCTCTTTTACGAAAACGGTGATTGGAGTGAACGAGTATTGAAAGGAAATGCAGTTTCTGGTGAATGGCAGTGTCGCGGCGTTCATGTGTCATCTTTAAAAGCCGTTCTAGCCTTGGCATTAACTCCGGCTCGAACGTACTGTCATTTATCCAATCGGACGCCTTTTGTCGTAAGGATATTAGCTCTTGAAAAGCCTACTTCTCTAAGTTTCGGCCCTGATATCCTCCTCTACATGAAAATGACGGCAAACAAGTTGGACCATAATGAAGATGCTAGGATTAAGAGATTCTACGATATATTTACGAGTCTGCAGAAAGGTCAACACGTCGGCGATTGGCAACATTTCGACAAAAACTTACAAGTAGACCGCATTATGGAAAAAGCTACCAACGGTTCAGTGGTCCGCGCTCACAGGCGATTTTTGCGAAAATTTTTCCCGAAGGCATTGCCGAATACGGTTGACCTCGAAGAAGAAGAATGCTTGGTCTGTTCGAATCGTATCCTTTTTCTACTTTTTTTTCCCAATTTTTATTTCCGTTACAAGTGCACACTCCATAAAAGTGGTCGTAATTCGATCCTTAATTCTTGACAGCCGTGCCGTTCGACGACCTCCGGTGGGCAGAATGTTCGAACGGACACCGACTTTACAGATGCCAAAATTCGTTACTTTCTATCCCGACTCCCCTTTTCTGGTGCTGTCTATGCCAGGCGATGTACGACGGGAATACTTCTGAATGCGTCTACTGCAACGTCGAACTTTTAAGAAAGTTTTAGCAACGTTCCGACCTCGTTTTATTTAAAATTTTCTCACACGGCACAACATTTACACCGCAAGTGACTAGCCATTTGAGATTCTCTGAACAGTTGACATGATAATCTTGATTGTTCGAAACATTTCTCGAAACGACCTTGATGGTCAAGTTTCCCCAATTTATTTTAGAAGAGAAGATGTCTCGAGGAATCTTACCATCATAAGTTCGATTCATCTTTTTCTTTCTTGATTTGAGTTTGATTTTTAAGTATTTCAAAACTTCGATTCCCGTAAACATTTTATTATTTAACGATTGCCCTCTACGAAGTTGCAATTCAATACTTATCAAGCGCTCGAACCAGTTAAAGATTGGCACTGTTGAATTTCTAACTTTGGTCAAATCGACGTAAACAAATTTTAGTGTCTTCCTTATAAAAAAGAAGGGGTTAATTTCGATTATTCTAATTGGATTATTAAATAACTTTAACATTTCGAGTTTAGACAATCCGGCAAAGTTTAGGCGTTGCAACTCCTTCAAGCGGTTTTGATTCAAATTTAGCATTTCTAATTTGTGCAGCGATTGAAATTGATTATGTAGAAGACTTTTGAACCGATTCCCTCTAAAACTAAGAAATCGTAAGTTAGGGACATGCTGGAAGACTTCCTTTCTTATTGAGGAGAGTTTATTCCACTCCAAAAGTAGTTCTGTTAAATTATTTAATCCTTGGAATGTTCTTCGATGAATTCGTCGTATACTATTACCAGAGAGATTGAGACTACTTAGGTGCTGAAGCTTATAGAACGATTTTTTCGGCAAGAGTCGAAGTTCAGAGTTCCTCGTAATCTCTAAAACTCGGACAGACCTCAAACTATTAATAGCTTGGCGCGGAAATTTTACTATTTTCGTATTTTTAATGGCTAATATTTCGGTCGAATTAGCAAAAGATATAAACGAACGTGGCGGTATAGTTTTTAGTTTCCGCTTATCCTTAATTGTCACCTTTCTCGCCCGCAAATTAAGTGAAGATATTCTTTTCCAACCTTTTTTTCCGCTTCGTATTTCGAGCTTTGTAACGAAATAGAAGTCATTCGGCAGCAGGCAATCGGTAATCGTTTCATTCTTATTGGCAATGCAGATGACTTTGATAGAGGTGATTCTGGATGAGGAGTTGGGAGAATTGTCGGGTTTGCAGTGGCAGTATTCACAATTTTTGCAGATAGAATCGTGGGCGAAGATGTGAGATGGAAGGACGGCGAATAGGAGGAGAATTGCAACTAGCACCGAGCGGCCATTAAGCATGTCTTCATGGCTAGTAGAATAGCATCAGTCGCGCGTCGTCTTCTTTCTTTCTAGTTTACTTCAACAACGGTTACAGTATAAATTTTAACTTTGGCTGTTACTGCTGCTGCTGCTTTGGTTTATCTGATGGTGTGCTCTCGGACGTAACCTTGTTATAAACGGATATATCTCTTCACGAACGCGCCGTTTAGTTCGTTCTGCTACGATTTCGAATCTTGGCAAACCTATTAGGCTGTGTAGAGCGGGGAGCTGGTTTGGCGCCGGAACGGTTTGTAATGTTTTTTCAATGTTTGCGGCTGCGCCAACTTATAGCATCTGTCTGCCTGAGAATAGTTGTATTAATCCTGGCTGGAAATGTTCGACAGCAAAAATAACGAGTGCGTTCTATATATAAATATGTATAGATAAAAATATACACAATGTACATGTACATATCTACACTAATATCTATCTATATATATGAAAATTTATGAATATGTATAAATTTATATCTACATATATTATGCTCATTTATGACAATTAGTAAAGATATCCATTATACCGGAAAAAAATTATATGTCTATATGCGTCAGTGTTGTAGTTTAATTAATTAAGATAGGACGAAGTAAACTCTTGCTCACTCTTTATTGCTATACTGCGTAGGCGGTTTCCAGCTTGTGACAATATTTGGTTGGAGATAAATACCCGGCTACGTTAGATTGAAAGGCAATTAATCACGAAATAATCTAAGCGTGGTCGGAAAAGGTTAAAAGCCACTTTTTTTTTTAGGACGGCGCCGCTGCTAGTGTATAGTAAACACATCATAATACGTTTTAGATGGTTTTGTTTGAAAGCTGTATAAGATTTAACGGCCAACACATGGTGTTTTGTTTATGTACGGCGCGCGCGCAACTCGCGCCTTTCTTCTCTTCTTCTCCTGTTTTCCCCCGATACTTTTTTTTTATGTATATTCATTATTCTGAGATGTAACAGCGATAACCGTCTGCCACTCGTTTAAATTTTACGAGTCATCAACGCGATAAAGGAAAACTGTCGGTGTGTTTGCTAAGCGTTTTATTGGAGACGTTATAAAAGTTTATACGGTAGTTGAAACGAGATGAGGGAAAGCAAGGTCTTTTTCAAGCTGCTGCGCTAGTTTTCTAATCTATTCGCGATAACACGCTGCGGCGATTTATCATTTTGGAAGGCTTTAGTTTCTCAACGCGTGCTCCTTTTGCTACGGCGCCATCTGCTGGTCGCCCGCTGCCCCTTACGTAACTCGAACTCAACTTATCGGAACGGCAAGTCAAAACAGCTGCCTTATTTTCTTGTAATCTAACGAGACTGTTCCAGGCCACGTTTATTTTATGGATTCGATTTAGTCTACTAATTCGTTTATTCGTTATCTGGTCGGCGCCGTTTCGACTAGACACGAATCTTCCAGGTGTCGCTATTCGAACAAGAATCTGAAATTTTTTATTGCTTCATTTAATTGCCGGAATTCTTGGCACTTTTTTTTTTCTTAACAATCCGCAAGGCCTGCGAAATTCTTAATAAAATCCGTTATCACTTTAAGTTCTCCGATGAAAGGTGGAATTTCAACGTAATTCCTTTCATTACATTTTTTTCACTTCACCGCTTTCTGAATATGTAAAAACTCTGTTTATGTACATTAGTTATTTATATAAAAAATGTATTAAGTTTGTTTAAATATTTGTGCCAGCCAGCAATACTTTATCACACGTATTACTGTAGATTATTCATAATCTGTTTTTCCGACGTTCGAAGATTTAAATTTCCCGCCCTCCCATTTATACAGGAAGTTGGAACATCTGGTTTTTTATCTTGATCATGCGCAGTCGTAGAAAGCAGAAGTTTAACTTCCGTTAGTAAAGAAAATAGCCGTACAATGAATACCTCGACATCTGAAGATCAAACAAGGAAGAGAGTAGCCGATAAGCCTCCTGATGGCCCACCTACAAAACGGCAAACTGTTAAAACAACAGCTGAACTAAAACAACAACTAAATCGAAGCTCGGCTGCAGTAGATTTGCCGAAATCTTCCACATCTTCAGCAGAAGGCGAATCAGAGAAAAAGGAAAAAGAGAAAAAAGAAAAGGAGAAGAGAGATAAAGAAAAAGAGCATAAAGAGAAAGAGGAAAAACGCAAAGAAGAACGGACAAAGATGCAAATTTTAGTATCCAACTTTTCAGAAAGTCAACTAAATCGCTATGAAATGTTTCGTCGAGCTAGTTTTCCAAAAGCAGCCATTCGAAGATTAATGCAAAGTTTGACAGGAACATCGATCTCACAAAACGTTTGCGTTGCAATGGCTGGAATAGCGAAATACTACGTCGGGGAAATAGTAGAATGTGCTTTAGACATTCGAGATCAATGTGAAGATTCTGGACCTTTGACTCCTTCTCATATTAGAGAAGCTGCTAGGAGGGTCCATGCCAAATCGCCTTTACGACTTAAAGGTTACCAAGGTCGATAATTCTATTTTGATCTTTATTTTATAAATCAGTACTTGTATGTAATAAGATAATAAGCGACAAATGCAGAAGGTTTCTATACAAATATTTATACATTAAATACAGCATAATTTATCATAAGAGAAGCTAATTTTTAAGCGGCGAAACGACTAACAAATTCGGTGCTGTTCACAAAGGAGAGTAGGACTTCAATTGCGTAAATACTGACGTAAAGAATGCCGGGTCACTGTTGATTCTGAGCATATCGGCGCTGAGTTTGTTGACAATTTGAATGCACCTCTTCCAGAATTTGTCGCGATCGTCGTCGATTAGGAATGGCTTCAGTGGGTAAGAAATCTCATTGCCCATGTAAGAATAAGACATATATAAGCAAGTGAGAACGATGGCCTGTAGTTCTCGTTCTGTGATGACTCTCTCGTCAATCATGTCGCGAACGAGCAGGAAGACAAAGACGACATTCGCTGGATTAACGAAAGCTACATCTTGCCAGCCTTGTAGAAGTAAGGCTCGATCAACGCCTCGTAACCAGACGATAGCATCTCCCCCGTCTAAGTGTCTCAGGTGTTTGCAGGTACGGCAGAGGAATTCTCCTAAACATCGTAAAAGTTCCGAAGTGGATGCTTGTATTACAGTCTTCTTCGGAGATGTAGGAGAGGCTAATTCGGAGGGTGGCGGTGATGTGACGACCTTACCGAGATTCTTGTTTATGTTTTTCTCACTTGCAACCTTTTTGACGTGAACATGCTCTGTTAAGGAGGAATTTGTTGAGGATTGTTTGAGATTGTAGCACGAGATGCTTTTAGGAGCGTTTCCAGCATTGTTGTTTTGTTCGTCTTTAATTCGGTTGTCGTTCTTGACGAACTTAGACCTCTTCCTCCAACTCAAAGCATTTGCTATCGTCTTCTTGACGCTGCTGGCTCGTGATCCGTTGTTGTTAGTATGGATATTGTTGTTCTTTACGTTGTTCAAAAGCTCATAATTAAAGTTATTCAAATTTAACTCATTAAGCGGCTTTCCGGATCTTGGAGAGAGCGAGAGAATAGCACCCATCTCCTTGAATCCAACCGATTAGTAGGCCATTGCAGGAGAAAACATGGCAGGCCTGAATTTATGCTAATAATATGCACTGTCATATCGTCATGGAAACGCCTGAGAGACGTCCAATAGACATCAAGTAACCGCGCCAATCAATAGTGAAAATGGTAAATGGCCTGCGTTTCGCAGCGTTCATTGATGTCTATCTTCTGGTCTCTAGGCCTGCAGTTCCTAATGATTAAGTTTGCATATGTAATTTATCATCAGTAAAGGCGTCGAACTCACACTTTATGATTGCTCCTTCTTAGGCTTATATTATGATGTTACACCCGTAAAGACGCTTTATAAACATTCATTTTAACCGCAAATGAAAACGAGTGACTCAGTAACTTTATATGAAAACGTAATGAACCGGAATTCATAGTTTCTATTACGACGCCTATTCAATGAACCAAATTTATAAAATCATCGCCACTTTCAAAATAAAACCATTTTGATGAATCCGCAGATTTAACGCTTTTTATTATAAAAGACGCTTGTTACAAAAACGTGTTCTTAAAAAAATGCAGAGACCGGTTTACATAAAAGTATCCAAATTACATTTCTATACGCCGCTCCCTCTCAATTTATCAAAAGATTTCATCCAATCTTGATCCGTTTGAGCAAAATAGATACTTCTGAAATTGTGTTGAAAAAAGAAAGAATTTGCATTAGACACGATATCTTACGCCTGGGCATTAATCTATATATAATTTACTTGGTTAATTGTAGGTTCCTGTGAGCCTTTTCAAATAAATCAGCCTTTTCTCGGGCTCGTTTGATGACCTAGAGCAAGAGTTGATAGATGAATATACGACTGTCAAATGGTTATTAGTTTATGTTATTACAACCTCAGCAGGAAGATCAGCTAATTTTGCGGCATTAAAGCCATGGCTCTTTGGGCATGCACCCTCAGTAAATTGATACAGAAATGTCACGGATTCCTCCTCCACTTCACCATCTGGAGAATCGTTTTCAACCATGCAAGCCTACAACAAAGCAAATTAGTTTATATAATAAAAAAAAGTTTTAGATTTAGTATAGTATACCATATGCCCAAACCCAATATTATTATCAGCTGCATGGTGTTCAGCTAATGAATGATAATGAGTAGAAAATAAAGTTCTGCAGCGCGTAAATCGTGATAGTTCATTCGCTACAGCGCTAGCTATAGCAGTTCCATCATATGTAGCCGTTCCTCTTCCGAGTTCGTCAATAAGCACTAGAGAATGTTGAGTAGCATGATGCATTATCGCTGACGTTTCGCTCATTTCAACAAAGAATGTACTCTCGCCTAAACAATTTAAAAATAATAAAACAGTTTATTAACCGAGAATGATAATATTATTTTATGCTCTAACCGGCCATAATTTTATCCGAGGCACCTAGCCTAGTAAACAAACGGTCTACAGGAGTAAGAACACATCGTTCAGCTGGTACGTAAGATCCCTTTTTAAAGTGAAATGTTTTATTATTATTCGAAGAAATGTAACCAAAAATTCCTAATTACAAACCAGCTGTGCCAGAACGGTAATTAGCCCAACTTGACGCATTAAAGTACTCTTTCCACCCATATTTGGACCAGTTACCATAATAAGACTAGCGTCCTTAATTCCAGTCTTTTGCTCATAATCAGACAGCGAATCTGGAAGTTTTCCAATAACAGTGTCATTTGGAATGAAATCAGAACCACTGTAAGTCTTAGAAATGCATGGATGTCTTCCTTGTGAAATATATAAAAACGGCTGCAAAAATATGTCCGTTAGTAGGTTTATTTTCAAGTGTTTTTCATGTTAAAATATATCTACTTCGATTCCTTTGTCAGGTAGCTTAAATTCAGGACGACAGACATTATTTTCGAAGGATAAGCTGAATTTAGCTAAACTCATCAAAATATCTAATACTGCTACGCACTGTGTCGATTTGTCCCATAAGTGGAAGCTATAAAAAAGACACTTTTATAAATTTCTGTTTAGATAACAGAAAACAGACTTCGCTGAGAATTGATGGAAAACTTTTCTTGTCGAGTCCTTCAATCTCGTATCTCTATATTCTTCAGCTTTCGTCAGTTTGGCAATAAGATCTTCAAGTTCTTCCGTTCTGATAGAATTAATCTTAAATAAATCGATTGTCACAAAATAAATAAATATTTGTCACCTGTATCTCTTAAATCCTTTTCTGGAAGATATTAAAGAGTAGCTGCTTGGAACTTTAATCTTTTCGGGTATTTCAACTTGATATCGGTTTTTTCCAGATCCAAAGTAGCATATTGCCTAAAAAAAATTGAAAATATCATTCGATTTGGCAGACACAATTAAAAAATATTAGGCTTACTGAGGAGCCAAATTTCTTCTTTTGGGCACTCAGAAAATCTTCTAACTGTTGTTCGAGGTCATCAATATTTTCAATAGCCTCGTCATACTCGATATCTGTGCCTTTGTTCGGTTTAATTGTTCCTGTTCTTTTAGCCTCTGCTTGGTTGAAGGCGCACTATCATATTTGACATAATTATTAAATATAGATAACGAAAACTGTAAAATAATACTTGAAAGAAGTCTAATTGATCGCTATAGTCAGGAAAATTCCCACCGTCCTCGGTAAATGAAACACATTTTCTAAGCAGCTGAGATTTAAATTGTCCCCCACTTCTAGATACTGAGCTTATAATATTTAAGCAGCTTGTAAATCCTTTTAATATCAATAAAAAATCTTCAATTTGGCGTTTGCTATAAACGTTAGAATCAAACAGTATAGCTCTACTATCGGGATGGTTTTGACTTCTTAAATTTGATCCTAGTGAGTGAACCCTATAAGTTTGAAGGAGATATGCATAATTAATCGACTTTAATTAAAACCAAGAAGAAATATATCTAGAACAGCAACCTACTTTTTAAGAAGTCTCGGTAAATCAGGTAATAACTTTATTTCTTTGCCAATTTTCTCAAAAATGTCTGCATGATTTCGTATATCATCAATCGCGTCTAATCTCTCGTTTATTGCACTTGGATTTATGAGAGGTGAGCAAATCCATTGACATAACAATCTCCTTCCTGAAAAAATCAGTATTGTAAAATTATTTAAATAAGTTATTCCGATTGGTAATACCAAAGGCTGTGTTACAAAAGTTTATCTTTTCCAGCAAAGTGCCCTGATTAGTTCCTGCATTATTACATAAGATTTCCAAATTGTTTAGCGAAACCCCATCAATAATCATTTTACGCTGATTACTAGTTAAGTCACAGGTGTTATCTTGTTGATTTTTTACTTCAGGGGGTGTGTATATTGTAACATTTCCTAATGAAAGTATTTCAGCATCTATTAAGCAACGCTTAAAATACCAAACAATTGCACCGAGAGACTTTATAGCAAGCTGGTATTCACGTTTGGCTGTTAATCCCAAGACATCTCCTTCGGCCAGCATTTCTTTTAATCCTTCAGGCCACCTGAGAATAAAGTTATGAAAATTAGATGAAATGCATTGGTTTTATAAGAATTGTCTATTACTTATCTAATGAATCTGACTCCCCGTCAGAAAAATACTTTTCTTCTTTGAGAACTTTTAAACATTTGTCGCTTTCAAGAAATTCACTTTTGGGCTTAAGGTTTTCTTGTAGAATATGAGATAATTGTGACGAAACTATTTGTTGCGTTTTTTCGCTTGTGTGTCCTTTCTCAATAAGTATCTAACAAACAAAATAAGAATGTAAAGTTTATTTTTTGGGTATTTCTAATAGTTTATAAAGTTAGTACTTGTGTAGGAGGAAAATGAGCAATTAAGGTTTGGAATTTCGAACGATGTCTGTCATCATTGAATTCACCGATCTAAATATACAAAATGTAAATGTAAAAAAATTATTTGACGATATTGAGGTTTCTGTTATTACGTGTATCTCCCCAATCGTAGTATCAACAAAACAAACACCGTATCTTGTTTCTGAACCAGTAGAATTTTCCTGAAACGCAATAAATTGTAAACTAAAACGGAAATGCGTATCTGCAATAACTAACAATTTCGCAAAAGGCTAACAAGTACGAATTGCTTTCAGCTGTGGAATCACCATCTATAAATGAACAAATACGCGTCCCTTTTGAAGTTATTCTGCAAAGTTCCCTTCTAACAACCTGTAGTGAGATAATGTGCACAAATTGATGATACAGATTTTATACGGTCACCTTGTCGCATTTAGACATTTTGCTTAATCGCTTCTGCATCATTTCAGGGGTTTCTGTTTGTTCAATTCTGGCTACTTTATACCCTTTTTCAATAAGGGCATCTGCATGTCTGGAAAAAGCACTTTCCGGGAAACCAGCATGAGCGTAATCTCCCTACCATAAAAACAAAACACTAGTAGTTAGGTTAAAATGATTGTGATGTTTCTACCTTCATCATTATAAGATTCATTTCTTTTATAGCTAGAACAGCATCCATATGAAACATTTCATAAAATTTTCCCATCTGTGCATATACCACGTCAGTAAATAATTAATAATGAAATAAATTGGTTTTTATTTACCTTAAATAAGAGAATAACATCGAGATGATTTGATTTAAATTGCCACCACTGTCGCATAGCCTGTATTGAGTTAATATGCATAAAAAACACAAGAATAATTATTATATAATTTCCCACCGGAGTTTGCTTGTCAAGAAACGCTTTCGGGACATGTAGTGTTTTCGGATCATAATCAGGATGAGATTTAGGTCGTCCTTCAATATCCCTTTATGAATAATGACATTAACATTCCTTTACAGAATTTATAAATGACCAAATTACTTACTTAATTTTATCTTCATGCAGGAATTCAAAGGTTAAATGTTTGTATGAACCAGGAGCAGATGACGCCTCTGTCGATTTTGCCTTTACAGTGAATGCCTCCAGTTTCTTCTCCGTTTTGTTGGATATCGTTAAACTTGTATCTAATGACAGTCTTTTTCTTGCTGGCTGGAAAGATTGCGTTGTGCTTTTTCTCTTCTATAGAAAAAAACAAACTTCAGCCCTTGCAAGCAAAAAAGATATTTTAAGAGAGTACCTTTCCCTTTTTTGGCGGACTTTCAACAATATCCATAATTTCCTCTTCTATACTAGCGTCTTTTTCTTCTAAAATTTCTTCTTCTACCTCTTCTTCTGGAATATCCTCATCAGATGAGGATTCATCAGGTTCAAACTCGTCTTCCGAGACATCAATATCTTCTGCTTCTGAATCCGATTCAATATAATTCTTTTTTCGTTTTTTTCTACGTCCACTTTTAGGAATATCCTCATCATTCACGTCCATTTCGTTATCGTCATTTTTTTTCTAAAAAATATAAATAAAATCGTCGTTGATTATTGTAATATGCAAAAAAAGACTATACTCAACCAAATCTCCTTTCTCGTTTTTGTTTGTATCTAACTTTATAGCTAGGATAAAATCGAATCAGAGCAATTTAAAATTATCGGTTAAATATTACATCTTACCATCATCCTCATCATCAGTAGACATAAAATCAACAACTAAGCTTAATCTATCTTCAACGGTGAGCTGAAATAAATAACAGATTGTAATTGAGGTTAAGAGCATTATTTTCAACGGTTAAGATATTTACTTTCTCCGCGTCATAAAACTGTTCCATACTTTTTTTCCATTTTGGGTCGGAAGAATAATACTTTCCTCCAATGTTCGTATCTTCTACACTAATATCGGATTTTCTAACTATGTATCTGCGAAAATATTATTATTATAGTCTTAGTTGCTCTACGATGAAGAGAAATTTCAAGTACTTAGCCGGTATCCAAGAACGAAGAATTGGTTCGTCGAAGAACTGTACGTGGAATTTCGCTGACTTATTCCCGCCCTTCTTGATTTTTCCAGAGGGCCCTTGGCAAACTAAGCTGGGCCACCATGGATACGTAGCTAACTTTGTTAAAACCAAATCGCCAGCTTCTAAATTTATGTCTATTTCGCAATGACAAGAATGAAAGATTTCAACTTGGGTGATATTGAGAGAACTTACCGTAATCTTTTCCATTTTTGCCATTCTGTTTTTTTGCTGATCGAGTTTTACTCGCAGACTTATTTAATGCCGTAGGAGACTCTTTGCAGGCTGGTTCAGACTTTGCCTTAGGTGAAAAGAACGCTAAAAGCGTACCCTGCTTCGCCATTCCCGCGAAAAATTTTCCCAATGTAAGGGTAGCACTAAAATTCAACCGGATGTAAAAATATTCAACATTAGAACAGAGAAATAATGTCGATTTCAATAATTATAATTATTAAATATAAAGTATATGATTCTCTTAAATAAATTAAACTGTTTTCCACTCGCTCCCCAAAAATTTTTTTTTCAAATAGCTGAGTTTTGGCTGAAATCGAGTCATTGGGAAACTTCCTGTCTCCATAATTTATTTCAATATAAGATTTGAATGGTATTATTATAGTAGATAGTTAATGTATTTTATTTTTCCGTAAAAATATATAACATTATTAGTATTCGAAAATACGTATAAACGAATGAATCACAATCATCATACCCGATCGGATTATAGTCTTCCCAATATGAATTTAATGTTTTTTTTTCAACGCGTTGAATATTCAATATTAAACAATAAGCATTTAAAAATCAAAACTTAAAAGTCATTGATTATTTCAGATCAAATCAAATGGAGGAGGTTTTTTTTGTTAGCTCAATATACAATTCTTTTTTATAACCTTATGCCAAGCCTTCATTTAGAATATCCTATATTTCCTTTAACATCAATCACTAATTGAGCTATTTCTGTTTCTAGCGATCGAGTGAAAAAGTGTCTCTAATTTCATATTTGCTTTTATTTTATCAAAATTAATTAACCTGAATTGTATAAAGAACCTTAAAAAGAAAGAAATAGCGATCATATTCTTGTCTTAGGGTACCCAAAATAGATTCTTCACGTCTCCTTCATTAGGGATCTATAGGTGCATCAACTTTCAGTAAATATACTGTTATAGTGTGCAGTTGATTGATTTATTTAACTATCATATTTAATCTTCGGTTCACACTTTGGAGCCATAATTCTCTTGTAAATATACAAAATGTGTTTACCTACATTTTGAATAAGTCTTTATGCCATTGATTTGTGTGTTATTCCTTTTATAAATCCCTCATATTTCACTTATTATTGATTTTTTATTTTATATTCACTGTTTTATACATATTTACAAAGATATTTTAAGTATATAATTTCATATATGTTTCTTCTTTTAATCTTTAACAGAATATGTGCTCTCTCTCTCTCTCTCTCTCTCTCTCTTTCTATTTCTATTCTGTCTCTTTCGCTCGCGCTCTCAATTTTTTCTGACTGTTGCAAATAAACAGGCGAGAATTTTTTTATATTAACTAAAGTAATATTTGTCGCTATATATGAAATTATATAAGAGAATTTGTAATTTTATGTTGATTTACAAGTCGAATAATTAAAGGTGTGTCTTAATTGGGCTCTAAATGGAAACATTAAGAAATTTTTTGATATTCTCTTTCCCATAAATCATTTTCTTCCTTTTTTTATCTTTTGTTGGATTTCTTCCAAATTTTGCGTGTTGAAAACTTACATAAAATTCTTGATCAAACATAGGAACACTAGTTTCCGGTCGTTTTTTATCTCCAGACGAGCTCTTTGGTTTTTGACCTGTATTTAGTTTATCAAAAGATGACATGCCTTGATTATTTACTGGTAAATCTATAATCTCCATCTCTGGAGTACTTTTCTTCGAAATCAACGGTAACTCCGTTTTGAGTTTCTCTTCCGTGCTATTTGAGTGTGATTTTCTTGTTTCAGAGGTGTTATTCCTATTTATGGCTGTTGATATTTTGTGAAACGTTCTAGAACGTTCTGTTATTGGGATAGAGTGGATATTATTACTAAAAAGCGAAGAAAGAGGTGATTTTGCCGTTGGGGTTGAAACAGTATGAGTTGCATGTGTAGATCGACTAGTCTTAAAGCCTCGGAAATCACTTTTTTCAGCTTTGAGAACAGAAGCTTCCTGGGGTAAAGTGAAAGTTTGATGACTAACTTCCACTACACTTTTGGATCTTAATGACTTATCTCTATCTTCTTGAGCCCTTTTAGGAAGGTAGTTTGATACAGATTTAAATTTGGCCTCAGTTTGTTGATCATTCGTTTGGCTTAGATTTACAATTTGCCAAACGGGTTTTCCGCTTTTGCGCATCTCTTCTTCTTTCTTTCTTTGATCCAAGTAGAATTTAGATCTCTTTGCTTTGTAAAGACAAAGAACAGATACTTCTTTTTGTTTAATTGGTTCTGGAATAGTAGGCTTTTCAATATCGATTGAAGAGAAATGAGATTTATTTTCGTCGTCAGAATTGAGAGAAGCCACTTGATCTTCTGTTATCTGAACAGCTTCACATCTTGAAAGGGTTCGACAGCGCTCCCCTTGCGATTTCTTGCCTCTTCTTGCTTTTAGTAAACCATTAACTGGCCTCTTAGGTAGATACATAGCCCAATATTTCATCATTTTAGCAGAATCTGTCATATCCGAAGTAACCCTATTTAGGCCATCACAAAAAGTAGTAACATTTAGATTAGGATGTCTCTTATCGGAAGAATTAAATTGTTTCCAAGGTTTGAAGAGTTCTTTAGGCTGAGCAATCATATTCTTTAAGCCGCCAGAATTCAGATGATAATAGAATTCACCGTCATTTGATTGAATATAAATTGGATCATATGTTTGTGCAGTCATGCTTTCAGGTTCGTTCGTGATTTTTTTAAAGAGTATTCTGTGAAAGTCAATTTGTTCGCTTGTTTTTTCTGCGTAAACAAAAAGCCAACAGTAATTTACAAGTTAGATAACGACAATATCAAATAAATTATAGGCTTGTATCGATAATTAATAGGAAAATATTTCATATAATAAGGCTTCATAATAGAAAAATTAATTTGCAAACACGCAATTACTAACCGCAATAAGTGACAAATACAAAAGATAGATACAAAGTTTCCCTATATTTTTCACATATAAAATCAATTTCGTAACCAATTCATAGGAAAACCTATACAAACCTCTACAAATTACAACAAGTTAATCTCTTATATATTAAAGAAATACAGGGGAAGATCAAAGTTCTCTTTGGGGAATTTATTTTCGCAAATTCACTCAAATTGAAAAACTTAATTAAAAATGATTAAACTTATCGTATTAACCTATTCGAACGAGAAATTATATAAGAACTATTAAAATTCTACTGTCCTTTTGTACAGGATTGTAAATATATTTATATAAAGTGTTAAAAATATTGGAAAATATCTTAAGAACATTAAAATGGAATAGAAGAAAATTCGTCAATTCAACATATAATTCAGATGATAAACAAATTTCTATCACGTTTTTTTTTATGATTGAATATTCAATTCTTTAAATTTCTTTTAAAAATACCTGATTGCCCCAAATTACCACTTCCGATCTAATCCTTTCCTGTAATTGCTTAACTAACAATAAAATATCTTGAGAGAGAGTTACAACGTAAGAAACTTAAAAAAAAAGAAAGACTAGGCTTAACTGATATTAATAAAAAAAGAGGAAGGAGTATTATTAACTTACCACGAACTAATAAAATCAGTATATCTTTTCTATAAAGCACGTTTATCACACATTATAAAATATTCTATCTATAGATATTTCTTTTTGAGCTCTTTTCTCGTTGTTTTAGTTATTATATAACAATAAAAAAAAGGGAAATTAAGGTCCGGTCTTGTTCGAGCCGGGAGTGAGATTTCTCAAAATTGATTCAATCCAACTTTTTTATTGGTCGAGATAAAAGGTGAGAAGAAATCAATGCCTATTCTCTATACGTCCAACTCTCCCGCTCTCTTCTCAAAAGTTCTGTAGAGAGCCTATTCACTTATTATTCAATAAACGAATCGAGCAAAACAGTTGCGGGAAAGGTCTACTTTTTTTCTAATATGAAATTCAACTCTTCATTTACTAATTCAAATGGTGATTAGTTATAGAAAGTGCGAAATATGTATTTAGTTGCTATAATTTCTAGGTCAATCCCAGTACAGATAAGCCACTTATATTCAAATATTCCCGTGCCCCTTAAAGCTTTTGTTAAGAAAAATAATCACTTAAATTGTAGACTTTATAAAGTCGATATTTATATTAATCGTTTGTAAATTATACTAGATATTTAAATAATTAACAACGAACGTCAACACTATTACGATTTAGCGTTTTCCTATAATAAATTAGGAGTAACTCCTTTCAAATAGAACTTTGATTGCTACTTTTTGTTGAAGGAAGAGAGTGCCGGATAGAAAAAATTACTTAATTCAACTACGACACTAGAAACTTTTAGATCATTCTTTTAAAGTTTTATTCACTTTAAAGTATTTCCTTTCAAACATACATCAAAATTGGAAGGGTCAATATTACTTTCCATAAAATCTTCTAACCAAAAGCCAAAGTTTTATTGATTAAACTATTCAGTGGTTCTTTCCCGATCGATTTCGTCTTAACCCGGAGGCCATTCCATTTGCCTGCCTCCTAGGACGTGAATATGCAGGTGATACACCGACTGAGCTCCATCTTTACCATTATTGATTACAATTCTGTAACCATTGGCCAAATTTTCTTTTTCAGCACACTTTCTCGCCGTATTCAAAAGATGCCCCAATAACTATATAATTTAATTAATTATTCCTTAATCGATATTTTTAAGTAGCGGTCATAAAAAAGGAAAGAAAGAGAATCATTTACCTCACTATCATCATCTGTGACCTTAGATATTTGACTAATATTCTTTTTAGGAATGACTAAGAAATGATTTGGAGCCTGAGGCGATACGTCGTGAAAAGCCAGGCACTATTGAAGTAAAATCAGCATTAAACATTAATACTTCTTTCATCTTTAACTGTTTTAGAATAATTTAAAAGTAATAGACAAAAAAAAACTGTTACTTTATCATCCTCGTACAATATATCTGCTGGAATTTCTTTACGAATAATTTTACCAAATATTGTGTCACCACCGAATTGAGCTGTTTGGGCTTTTGTCACTTCGTCCGATAGCTAAATAAGAAGAATAATTTTTTTATTTGCGTAAAAATATCCAAAAATATTTTTCTTGACATAATAAGAGGATTGAAAATATTAACCTTGGCCGAATTCGGCTTGGTTAACAATATGTTTTTGCAATTTTTTGAAAGAGCTGCCCCATTTTTCAAATGATTAGATATGGTAAATATTCGTTGCATTCTGAAAGTTAGTTAGAAATTAGTTAAAATATTCCGCCGTAGTAAAAAACGTTTAATGATGTAAATACTTTTCTAAGTTAAGATGCTATGCAATTATGGTACCTAAGAACATTACGATTAAATGTGTTTTAATTATAAAAATATTTATATTAACAAATAGCTAAGAATTAATAACTTTATATTGCTGTAATTCTCCTTTAAAATCACTTTGTTAATATTCCTCGAAAATGCGAACTCAACGGATTCTAATGATGCAGTAGTGACATCTGCAACTTTTTTTTCTTTTGTATTGAAATCTCCATTTATATATTTATGATATTAAACAGTCACGACGTAATAGGCCTCGAGTTGAAATAGGAATCATTGTCAACAACCGAAAAGAAGATATTCTACCAGAGAAGAGGATAATGTACACCAGGATATAACTGAATCGTCCAAAATATGATAAAGTGCCATAGAAACCCTTGTACTAAGACAATATTCTTCGTCAATCTTCTACTTTTAGTGTTCATAGGAGCCTCATTTTTCAGTTTTAATGCCTTAAAAGGTGATTTAGATAGTCTAAGTCAGAATAATTCAACAAGAAGCGAAAGAGATAAAGGAAGAACCGCTATAGGAGTACTCGCTCTCGCATCTGTTTTAACGATAGTTTTTCTCATTTGGATGGTTTGTTTAGTATTGGCTGGGTGTGTTCCTACTGGAACTCTATCCAGATCACGAGCCAGCTCTATAAGTAATGTCTCAAACGCTACAACTCACACAAAGGGAACACCGCGAGGTAGTAAAAGACGTTTCTCAAAGAGAAGAGGTAGTAATCAGTCGGAAAGACGATACTACACACTACCGAAGAGTTTTGTGTCAAAATATAGGGAAGAAGAAGAGAATGTAGAAGAAATTAGTGAAACATCAATTGGAAGGACTAAACGAATGGATTTTAGAATCATGTAATAAAAATTTTCCATACAGGAAGAATATTAAATCTGTTCATTTGCTATTTATACAAAAGGGTATTTTATTGAATACTGGACAGATTAAACAGAATATAATATTCTTCTATTTTTTTATTAATGAACAAGATCACAATATAATTTATCAAATAAACTCTTTTTTAGACAACAAGAGGATACTGACCTAATAAATATGGCAGGGACAGCAGCAAAAGAAAATAGAAAATCAAAATCTTCAGTAAAAAATGAAAAATTTTCAACAATTAGTGAAACTCGGAAAAAGTCGCTCAAAAAACATGTTCAAAAAAGTGTCTCATCGCCCAATCAACCAATATTTACACCTCTGTATAAAAAAAATCATAGCTTGACAGAAACAACATATAATCCTTATGGAAAATATATACAGAGAGATTGCTCATAACCATTTCTCAGCCAGATATATACATATACATTATGCATTTATAGTGTCAACAACAAACTAAAGATCTTCTTAAACAATAAATAATTGTTACTTTTTTTATGCAGACGGGAACACCAAAATACTCAATAAAAACAGGTAAAAAAGAATTTTCGTATTAAAATTACCATTTTAATTGTTGAAAATAAATTGGTAGTCTTTTTTTTTTACTTTGTTGATTTCTTTATTAATATTTTGCCAAAATTAAATACAATACTTGATTTGTTGCCGAATAAAGTATGAGGAGTTTGGAGAAAGATTCTTATTTGGATGACATTCTTCTCCTTTATTTTATAAACAACTATTTCAAAGTTAAAATGTATTATATGCTTTGTATGTGTAAATATCTAGAAGTAATTCAATTTAAGTATAAAAAGATCAAAGACATATAGAATTTTAAGTGACGTATCTTATTTATACCTTAAATAAAGTCTTAGTTTAAAGCTATTTTAAGCAATTCTAGATTTTTTTAGATGATGACGTTGCTCTATTGTCAATTTTTACCTCACTGTAAACTGCACTGTAATTTTATGACGCATGCGCACTCGGTCTTATCGTCTGCTAAAGTCTTCACGACCGACAGGAATTTTTACTTGTTTTTTCATTTAATAGACAGAAAATCATCCAGAACAAAAACTTTATAAATTAAAGTTCTCCTCATATTATGCTGTCGCTGAGTGTCGCCGTAAGTACCTGTCAAATCTTTAAATATTAAAATATATATTCTATTTTCCGTTGAGTGGCGAACACGATGGCCGCTGCCTCGTTTTCGTTCGAATTCTTAGAATTTCACCTGCTTTCGCAGACATCTCAATTCTAACTAGAAGCCATGTTATTCTCGGAATTCGAATAGTTCTTAATCAAAACGAGAATAGAAACAATCTGTATAGTTGGCTTTTTACGCGTCCAGCAGATCGGATCTCGGATTGTTAGGAGATCGTTAATGAACGGACAGCAGACTTTGAGAAAGATGGTGAGTTGGCCCCTTATTTCGATTTGTAATTTTGCAAATCGAAACCATCCTCGCTTTATTTTGGAATTTGTCAATAATTGCACATACCAACAAACAAAAGGAAGATGTATAAATAGATTCAATTAGCATGTCTCTTAAGTAAACAGCATATAATCATTGCTTATTAAATGAGAAGTATTAAACTAAGGCTATAAACGAGGCTGAGGTGCTTTTAAAATCTAATGATGACACTTTTTCACGTAACGCTTGTAAACAAAACATTCTGTTAACTGACCCGGACGTTACTAAAAATAGCAATCATCAACAATAAAGTATTGTCCGAAAACGAGGGCATGCAATAAGGATTGTATTAACATTAAAGTTCTTTATATTATTTTTTTTTCAGCCATCGATTAACAGCCCGGAATCAGACACTGTTGAGGAAGGAGAATCGATGACGGTGTCAGGGCTAGCGAATGCATCAGTTAAGCCTACGGATAGTTCACCTCCTGTGAAGTGTGCACGCCTGTCGCAAAATGGTTCCACTTCAACCGAAGAATCCAAAGAATCAATGTGGCAAAAAACCGGTTTTGTCAATGGAAAATATCTGAATCCACCGACGACATTGGCTAGACGAAATTTTGCAACAGTAGAACGTAATTGTTTACCTTCTGAAAAATATTTGGAGGCTAAAAAGAAACTAGATGCTATTATTTCATCTTCTGACTCTAGCAGCGTAACTACCGAGACTAAGGCTCGGTCGCTATGTGAAATTTATAGCAATTTAGAACTAGAAGAGAAGGCATTATTTCTAAATACACTATCCACCGAATATGGTCTTAATCAAGATCAAGTTATCCATGCCGCCCAAGCGGTCTTAGCTTTAAGAGAAAAAGGTAGTGGTACACTATTAAGAGCTGAAGAAAAATTAAGGTTAACTTTACAACCGCGATATCAGCATATTTTCGCCGTGGTTGGACGTCTGGAAAAAGGTGTTAAATTCCTGGTGGATATCAGAGCAGATCTCATGGATTTGATCCAGGCTCGTTCAGCTAGTTCAACTGACAGCGAAGATCAAACACACCTAAGAGTAATGAGTAATAACATACGTGAGTTACTCTCCTTATGGTTCTCAGTCGGTTTTCTTGATTTGGAGAGAATCACTTGGCAATCACCATGTGACATGTTGCAAAAAATATCCGAATATGAAGCCGTCCACCCAATACGCAATTGGACAGACTTAAAAAGACGAGTTGGAAACTACAGACGCTGTTTTGTCTTTACACATGCTAGTATGCCTCGTGAGCCCGTCGTTGTCTTACACACTGCACTTACGTCTGAAATATCCTCCTCAATCCAATCAATTGTTCAGAGAAATGCTCGATTGAGTGGTGAACCAGAGCCGGTAGAGCTTAGCGAAAATACCCATTCCATTTCAACAGCTATTTTTTATTCTATCACCTCAACCCAAAAGGGGTTACAAGGTGTTGAACTTGGAAATTATTTGATAAAAAAAGTAGTCAGGGAATTGCAAGCCGAATTTCCAAATATGAAAAATTTTTCAAGTTTATCTCCTATACCAGGTTTCAGGGATTGGTTGTTATCAGAAATTGATTCCTTTTCTAAAACTAAACAAAAGCCTGTGCTTCTTAAAAGGGAAGAGAATAAACTAAGTTCCCTTGATTCTAAAACAGAGCCAATTGTCACACTAAAGCATTCAATTCTTCAAATGTCAGACTCTGCAACTTGGTTCCAGAATTCACCAAATGTTGATGTAATAAGTGGTATTTTAATGAGATTGTGTGCACGTTACTTGTATATTGAAAAGCGAAGAGGCCTTGCCCTGAACCCAGTTGGTCAGTAGTTTTATTACCTAGAGATTAAGTACTACAGAAATATTTAACATGTCATCTTTAAAATATCCTCTTTTTTATTCTAAACAGCAAACTTTCATCTGAGGAATGGAGCAGTTATGTGGCGAATTAATTGGGGAGCAGACCTTTCTGTTCGTGGAATAAAATCTTCTTGTTCACTGATGGTGAATTATCGTTACTTTTTAGAAGATACCGAAACGAATAGTAATAAATACATGGAAAGACATGAAATCGTTGCCTCTCCTATGGTCAAAGAATTGTTGCAATTAAACGAACTGAAGCAAGAACCAATTAGTTGACAATGATCATGCGTTTACCCTTCCCTACCTATCCATATCATCGATTAAAGCATAATTTTCTACTAATTTTTGTCGAATAAAGTACTTCGATATAGAGAGCTTGTACAATAAAGGCGTTTAGTTGTTTATATTAAAGCAAACTATTTCTTTGTTCGATTTCTTTACCGAAAAGAAATTGAACTTGTTCAGTAATCCGCCCGATTCAAGCTATTCAAAAGTATTGATTCGTTTACGACATATAAATCTGCGAAATTAATGGGTTCGTCCGCTAGTAAAAACGTCAAACGGAAGAGAAAGGCACCCATTGTGTCTTTCAGAGTCAATATGAACGGGGGAAATCGATCTTACAGAATAAGTCGGATGTCGTATGTATAAAAAAGCCTTTAACTTAAGGTATTTTTAGGAAAAGATTGTCGACAGGTTAGGAACGCAAACCATTTTGGCGGCTAGGGAGAAGACATCGTATTTTTCATCAACAGCCGAAGAGTCTAAACCTCTTGAACTATATATTTTAAAAAGTGACTCAAACTCTAGGATAGTCTGGCTTTATGTGGTAGCAAATAAAATTCCTTTTGAGCTGTATAATTTCGATAGAAAGATATCTGATTTACGATGTATGGAAAGCTTTAACCCCACACTTACACTCCCCTGTATTGTTGATGGATCAAAGATTATATTCGGAACGGAAGCTATACTTAATTATCTTGCTGAGAAGTACGCTTCCTTTCGTTTACTTGGAGATGGGGACCCCGATATTAAAGCTGAGTGCAATGGATTTATCAGTTTAGCAGTGTCTGTAATATATAGGTTGGTTATTTATTTTACTTATATATACTGTATGTACATATATATTGTGTTTTCGTTAATTATCTATGAAGAATTGTCCAAAAGGAATATGTTGAACCTCAGTTAGACGACAAGTGCGACATATATCTTCGTAAGCATCTTACAAACAGAGCCAAAATAGAGGTGGAACATAGGCTCAATCAATTAGAAAAGCTTCTTCGAGCTAATAATTTCCTAATGGGTAATAAAGGTTTGTAGAAAAAAATTCTTCTTTTCTTAACAAAATAAATGAAGAGACGTTGTATACTTTTTTTGTTGTAGCTACATACGCTGATTCAGCGGTTGTAATGTCATTAACACCATTAGATTTGGTTAGCTGGGATTGGAGAAAATGGCGTAAAATTAGAAAGTGGATGAAAAAAGTTATCAGATTAAAAAGAGAATGCTGGGAAGAAGTTTGCGAATTACATAACATGCGTGTATTACAAACTGGTAGCAGACGTATATCTGTGTATTAAGAACGTAGCGCATTTATCATATCTAATAAAATTTGTTTAGCCTCAGAGTCACGGACATTACCTAAATTATCCTCTGCTAAATCGCAGTACCTTTTAGAAAGTTCTTGTACCTCGAAATGTATCTTTTCATCACGTACTATACTTAGTAACGAATATTCTAAATGATCACTTTCACTATTTTCTTTACATCTTATCCTATTTAGCTCATAGGCTAAACCAAAATTCCTTCCGAATTCGTATAAGTTTCTATTAACGATTCCTTCAACATTGTTCCAAGCACAGGTCGCTCTACAGCTATTGGCGAATAATGATGCAGTTTTCATGAAAACCATTTCTTCCCATTTTGCGAGCGAAAAACTACTATCAGAGATTGTTGATTCTTTCAGAAACGTATAATTAGACATATGCGACAAAGCCGTAGCTATTAAATCAACAACTTCCGGTTTACATAGTTCAGCCAACTCCAGACACGCGGATGCCAAAAGAAAATCTCCAATTAGGATGCTCATCTTGTTATCTTTGAAAATACTATTATTTTTTACGCTATTATGAAGTCTGATAGCCGAGTGTATGATCTCAGTAATTTCTGCCAATCTCAGGTGTTTCTCTCTAACGATTTGAATATCATCAGTGACGAACTCTTCCATTATTTTAGATATTAAAGCGACTGTAGTTCCTAAAAGTCGAATATCAGAATCACTTTTAACAAGATGATCCTGAATAATATTGAATATTGATTCTTTCGGTTCTACCAAGCATATGAAATCTTTTGCCAGTTTCTTGTGAAGTGTTAATGGGAGATCTCCGACAAGATCTGTCGCTCTCAATAAGTATGGTGTGAGTTTGTGATCCTCATCTGATTGGAGCCTTGCTATTGAAGAACTAAAAGTTCTGACCACTGCATTAAAGCGATATGTACTTTTTTGAAACCACGTAGCTTTAGAAGTTAGAACACGAAACATTGCAAAATTGACCCAGCCTTGACATTCATGCCCGACGAAATAGGAACGCACTGAAGTTAAGATGTACACTTGTATATGAAATTTTATAGTGTAGAAATCTGTTTTGCTTTTTTTTCAAGATTTCAGACCTTTATAGCAGATCTATAGGTAATGAAATTATTTAAGATATTACATTGTCAGTATAATGTTGCCATCTGTAGGATTGGGAAAAATACAATGGAACCAGCTTTAATCGTGTTCATTCTTATCTTTGCGTTTTCATGTTTATCGAAGTGTTTGAACACCTTATCTTCTTTCGTGAGTTATTTAGATGCTGCTCAATATTCAAATTTACATTCTCTCTCAAAGAGAAAATGTTCTTACCATTAATAAATATTTGCAGATAAACGGCATGCTCATTAGGAGTTCGCCGGAAGAGCTTGAACTGAGGCAGGACGTTAAATGTATGATAGAAAAGTTAGGAACAATAAGGGCTCGAGATAACTTCGCAGAATACGCTAAATTAGAGAGGAAAATAATTAAATGCAAAGAAAAAATAAAAACATTCGGTATAATCAATATTGGAACAAAAATTCGTGACTAACACGCTTTATTTACAGCTAATTCGAAAGCAAGCAAACTAACTAGAAATGGTTTGACAATTCGAGTTTTATTTTATATTACTAAGGTTAATTTTAAAGTTCTAATTAAAAATTATTTAATAATGATTTATCTACAGGCAATCACGCATGCTATACTTTTCTTTTATTACTGGAATACTCCAATTATAAAACTTAACCCGCAATGGCTATATCCATTTAATAAGATAATATCTTTTCCAACTGGCGTTGAAGGTATAAAATATTTTAATAGTATTACAAAAAGATTTGTATTAACTTCTTAACCAATTTTCACATCTTAACACAAAATTTAGGAGCAATTGGAATAAAAATTTGGATGATAAGCAGCTACATGATAACTGAAGAACTTTTTTCATTAAAAAATGCAGTTCTGTAATTATATGAACACATAGAAAAAAAAGAAAATAAACAAATTTCATATAAAAAGCCTTCTCACTAGGAATAAATGTTTCTTCTTCAAAATTTTGAACATCGTTGCAGAAATAGATTATAATGCATTTTCTCAAACTAGGTTATGGAACACAAAAGGAATTTTAAGGGGAGTTAACAACGAACGCAATAAATGCAGACTGGAACACTAACCGACTGATGGCAAGCTCTCCGATAGCACTAAATACAATTTTAACAAAAAAAAAATTAGAACTAATAATGAAAGTCTTTCAAAGCATGTAATTTTTAGCGACCATCTTTATAGGTCTTCTGCAGATTGGACACGGTTTTCCATTGTTACGCAATCTTTTGCCACATGGATAACAAGTTACTTGATGCGCACTTTTTCCATGAATAAGAACGGCATCTTTTGACTGTTCTTGGCAGATTGAGCAGAATTCCACTTCCAAGGATGAACCTATTCCCGAATCTTTTCTTAAATTGAACGGCTTTTGTGTTTTTGGTGAATTTGTGTTAGGGGTTTCTTCCTCTTCAGTTAATATAATCGTACTAGCATTCGAACTTTGATGTTTGAGAGGTGAAGCAATAAATTTGTTATCATTGCTTTCAATGTCATCTTCATCGCTATCAAATCGAGTAGAAATTGCCGAATTGAACTTGACAGGCTGTAAGCGAGATTTCTTTCTTCTTTTTCGCAGCACTTTCTTTTTCCTTCTAAGATCCCCGGCAGTACTACCATGATCAGTTTCTGAACGGCTAATATCTGGTCCGCAATATATGGAACCAAATTGTCGATGAAATGTCTCTCCACCAGATGATGAATCCTCTCTGTCACTATTGATTGATTCCTCGTCAGCAAAGAATTCATTGTCCGTTGTCAGTACTCCAACGACGTCTTCGACAGGTGATTGTGAGCCAATCGATAGCTTTGTGTTAGACTCATCCATTGATTCTGGTTCGTACTCTTCAAAATGTTCGTCTTCCGAAAGAAACCATAAATCATCGGAAGATGATGCAACTATTGCTGTTGTCTTGCTATGTATACTATTATCAGATTCTTCATCTTCTTCCATTGTTTCCTGTCGAAACTCCGATGTATCCTCAATATCAGAAAATTTTCGTTTTCGATTACAATTCATAGGCGGAGTTGCGAGAATTTTTGGCGTCGTTTTGGAAACGTGCTTTTGTAGTAATGTTCTATGAGAAAGAATTAGATCAATTATTTATTGTGGTTAAAAACCGTAAAGGGCAAACGCAAATATTATAATGGAACTTACGGAAACTCATCAATGTACAATGCAGGGCGATTAGTTAACGTCATTAAATCGTTGTCGCAGTATACTAAGGATGGTTGATGTCTATCAAACAATTTCTTTTCCTTAATATAATCTCCCAGGTAGTTGATTATCTAATGGGAATAACAGACTTTGTTTATGCCATAAACAAGAGCAAATGTTTACATCGCTAAGACAACTCCATCAATTATTCAAATAATGATTGCGAACCAAAGGAGTAAGACTCAGAAAAGAACATTTTGTAAACAATGTTAAAATTCTTTTACCTGGGAAAGTGTGAAGTAATCTTCACAAGCTCCAATCTTTCGTAAGATGGAAAGAAGACGATAGCTTGGTTCAAACTTTTCCATATTTTTCTTCTTCTAATTAGGACAATAAACGTTATAAATTGAGGAAAGAATATAGGAAAACATTACGCTCACCTCCTCCATATTTATTGTTCGACGTACACAGTCGAATTTCAAAGAAGCTTGCATATTTTTTTTATCAAAAAAGAGTACGGATATGCATAATCGGCGGGAAACGATGATCAAATAATTGAATTTGCACACTGGCGGAAGTCGCTTCTTAACTGACGCAGACTTGTCTGGGCTCGTTCACAATCGGTTGAACAGTCTAAAATTAACAGATCATCTTGTTTCATTCCACCAATACGTTTTTAAGCAAGCCTAAAGAAAGTTTCGATTATAATTTTTTTCATTTGTCCTTTAGAAACATGTTTTATAATGGAAAAATTCACAAAATAAAACATGTACTTACTTGATCCGTTCATGACGCGTTTCCGCTTCCAGATAATGCAGATGGCGCCAACCCCTTCTTTTCCCGCCAAAATTATCGTATGTCAACACACCAAATATCCAGGGATGAATGGGTTGCATATTTCAATATGTTTACTTATCTTTGAATGAATTTCTTAAAGAATAGATAAACCCACTCGACAAAATTTTAAGGAATTTCAATATCAGCTTGATGTCAACATTGAACAAATGTTACTTTGTTACTCCTATTGAAGTGAATTATGTAACTGTTTACTTGTCTCCTTTGACACAAATATACAAAAAAAATTATGTAAAGGTACAAAGGTTATATTTAATTGCTACCATGACTATCCATGGTAACTGAAAAACTTGTATTAAAATTATCTCATTGTCTCAATCTTTTCCCCTTTTAGACATTAAATAACAAATATTTGATATAAATGCATTAAAACCGCCTAGATATTACTAAAATCACCGCAATTTACAACATGAGCTTGAAGTTTATCCAAATTTTCTTGATTTGACTGACAAACAGGACAACAGAATTTCTGTTCCTGTGCTATTGAATCCGAAGGAAGGTAGTCCATGCAATTATCTGCGTGAAGTTCTAGCGCTCTCATAGTTTCAAATGCTAGACTACATATTGGGCACTTATAAATCTGCTAATTATTGTAAAAAAAGAATTGAATGAAATATATAAATGACCATTTTGTATTCTACCATATTAAAACTTACTTCAGTTGATCGTGGCCTTGGTGGCAATATCGGTGCTTCTTGCATTGGAACTCTTATACTGCTTCCATGATGTCTCACGACAGAGTTTATATCACCTGATGAGTCAGTTTGCTGAATATGATACACATATATGAATTTATTAACTAAAAGAAGTATATAAACTTACCTGTTTTATTCTGTCCAATAGTTTATCAAGCTTTGCCTTCGTGTCAACATAGTGTTTTTCGAATCTATCTTTTTCTTCTCTTAGTTCCGAAGAGAGCCGCTTTTGTTGTTCATAGTCATTCTTATATAAATCTAATTGAATTTTATGAGCTTCTATCTCGCTAGTAGAATAACGAAGAGAGTTAAGCTCTTTCGTCAACTGCTCGTTTGTTTTCTTGCATTCTCTGGCCATTTCTTTCATTGCTATATATTTGCTGGTTTGAGAATCCTTTTCTTCCTTTAGTTGTTTAATTTCAATCATGCGCTCATCGATGTCATCTTTAAGTTCTAAATACTTCTTATTCAGAATAAAGTTTTCATGTTCTACACGTCTTTCATTGACTTCAAGAGCTTTAATTCTATACAAAAGCAAATAGCTGATCAGTAATAGTTAAACGAAATTGCATAACCCATATTACTTTTCCTCGTATTCAATAGAAGGAATAGGTACATATTCTTGCTTTCGTAATTGTTGAACTGTTCTTACTTCTTCATTTGCCGCTCTTTCTTTTTGTTTTGATTCGTTTAGTTCTTTTTGAAGATTTTCAATTCTAAAATAACATCAGATATTAGTTAATCATAAAGAAAAGTATACTTTTATATTTAAAATACACACTCATTGGTTTGTTTTTCCACTTGGTTCTTTAATTTTTCTATGTCGATAATAAGATCAGAATTATCTTGCTTTATCTCTTGCAAACAACTGGAGGCACTTGTCAATTTTTCAACCTCTCTCTCCATAGATTGTAATCTCTCAAAAAGGGTACCACTTTTAAGCCTTTCTGCTAGCAGTGCATTTTTTAACATGTCGGTATCAGAGGCTTCAACCTTCTCTGTGTTATGAAATTGATGTGAATTGCGATATTTTTCTTTCTGCTCTTTCAAATGGTCTTGAATATTCTTTCTTTCTTCTTCGAAACGCTTAACTACGATACGCAAATTGCGATATTCTTGATTAACAGTGTTTACATCGAATAAGAGTTGTTCATTTTCTTTCAATTTTAAATCAAGCTCTTTCCGTAATCTTTCAACTTGTTGTTTTAAATTATCATTCTTTTCTATTATTTCTTGATTATAGTTTTCAAGCTTTGCCTTAGCGTATCTTTCTTCTTCTAGCTGCCTCTCGATTGCGTTATTTGTATGCTTTACGGTTAGTAGTTCTTTATTTAAAGAGTGAGTTGCAATATCTTCACTACAAGCCTTGAATAATAATGAGATTATTAACTGAAATTAACAGGAAAAGAAATATAAAAACAAATTACTTCTTCTAAGCGAGTTTCTTTCAATTGATCCATAAGTAAAGTAGTTTGCTCTTCTAACGTGATCGCTCGCTGCTCACTTGTTTTATTTTTTATCTATTGATAATATGTTAATAGAATCAGATATATCATCAATTAAAGATACTATAATACATATATATATATATGTATATATACAAACTTTTAATTCCCTAATTGTGTCTTTTAACTTTTCTATTTCGCAATCCTTTTTTTGCAATGTTACTTTCGTTTCTTGACAATATTCCATTTCTCTTTCTTCACAGGATTCTTTTGCAGACTTCAAGGATTTTATACATTTAAATGCTTCATCTAGCTGCTTGTTAAGTGTTTTTAGGGAAGCTGAAAAAAAATTTTATCAAATGTTTCTATAAATATTTAAACATCAAAACAAAAATACAAACTCTGATATCTTTGATTCATATTTAGGATTCTTTTATGAGCCTTCAAGAGGTCTGGGATACTTAATGACTTTTAAAACGGAAATTTTCTAATTAATATGCTTAATTAAAATAGAATTTTACCAACTTTAGTCATTTCATTGAATGAACTATTCATATTATGTCGCTGAATTTGATCTGCTTTTTCTAAAACCTCGAAAGATGATGTAGGAGGCGTCTCCACATTATCGGGCATTGTTGCCATTGCGATTAATAAATTGATAGATTTCTTTATGTGTTTTTGTAGCTGTATTCCTCAAGAATCTGCGAAAAGTCGTCAAAAACCACGATGATTCTTTATTTTTGTATTACTAATATTCATGTGGGAAATCCATTATATAGGCCAACAACTTTTGGGTAGTACTAATATTTTAATCAAAGCCGTATCCATATTTAAATAATCTATATCAATAAAAATTTTTAACGAATATAAAACATGTTATTTTGTATCTATAAAATAAATACAAACGCTATTTCGCGTGATTTAGAGAGACCGGAAGCTGATGGAAGTCAATATCAAGGACGATTGTAATTCGACTTGAAAGTTTGTGCCCTTTGAAAATGTTAAGTACAATATTTTTTCGAAATTCTTCGAAATATTTTGTAAAAGGGAATTTTGCAAGACATTTACAACATTTTCCCAGATTACATCAAGTTAGTGCTACTATTAGGACTTTAATAAGAGTTAATAAAGTTTTCTTGATAGAGCGCGAGACCGAATTTTTCGGCATCCATCTCAAAAGCAGTTAATAGCCTAAAATCCAGTAGATTTTCATTGCATAATAGCTCCAAATATGGTTTTATATTAAAGAGATTTGCTTCAAATGGCCAAAAGGTACCCTTCGGCAGTTTCACAGATATTCCAGATAAAGGTCGAAAAATTGTTGGTTGGTGGCTGATGGGATTCTCTGGAATGGTTGTTGGGGCGGTTGTCTTGGGAGGAATCACTAGGTGCGTAGACAAGAAACTAAATCATACAAGAGTATATCCTATTTCTCATAACAACTTCAGATTAACCGAGTCAGGTCTGTCGATGACATCTTGGAAGTTGCTCGGACAAAAATATCCCTCAAATGAAGAAGAATGGATAGCAGAATTCGAAAGATATAAATCTTATCCTGAATATAAATAGTAATGCTGAATATTTTTACTTAAAAGGCTCTAATTCACATATTTTCCAGCTTAAAGAAAGAACAAGGTATAACCTTGAGTGAGTTCAAGTTTATATACTTTATGGAGTATTCTCATAGAATGTGGGGTCGCTTGATTGGAGTAGCATTCGCTCTACCAGCTGCGTATTTTCTAAAGAAGGGCTGGATAACTAAACCTATGAAGCCAAGATTGGCAATTTATGGATCTCTAATTCTCTTCCAAGTCTGTTCAAATTCAATTTTCAAGTTAAGTAATAATATATGTCACTAAATTTCATAAAGGGTCTTCTAGGGTGGTACATGGTTAAAAGCGGTTTGGAGGAGAATAAAAGGAATGAAGATATACCCAGAGTTAGTCAATATCGACTTGCATCACATTTAGGATCTGCTTTAGCCCTCTTCAGCCTCACACTATGGGGCGGTCTAACTCATTTGCAACTTCCTCAAAAAGTATACAATACTTTTCATTAGATTTGTAGACGACTAACAGTTATATTTATAGTTTGCTCAAACAAAACAAATTGCAAGATTAAAGGGAGCTTCTCACCTTGTGATGACCTTGGTTTTTGTAACGGCTTTGTCTGGTAATCTTTTTTTCTGATTTTTTTAAGTGGCTTTTAAGTCATGTCATCCTAAATACTTTAAGTAAACGATTGAACTTATTAATAGGTGCGTTTGTTGCCGGTTTGGATGCCGGTTTGACCTACAATAGTTGGCCTAAAATGGCAGATAGTTGGATTCCAGATGACATTCTTGCATATTCACCAAAAATCTCGAATATATTTGAAAATCCAACCACTGTTCAGTTCAATCATCGTCATTTGGTTGGTATTTAAATTTTGTATCTTTAAGTATCTAAAACTTTTAAATTGTATTATCAGGGAGAATTAACCGGCGCCTCTACACTGATCTTATGGCTTTTTACAAGACGTTGTAACCTGCCAAGTAGGGCAAGATTGGCTGCTAATTGTTTAGCGGCAATGGCAGTTGTTCAAGTAAATAAGGCTAACAACTTTAAGGATTGTAACAATCATAGGTTTTTTTTAATTTAAAACAGGTGTCACTTGGAATTACGACACTTCTTACTTATGTTCCAACTTCTACTGCAGCTCTACACCAAAGTGGATCGTTAGCACTTTTATCCTTTGCCATTTGGTTTAATCACGCTTTACGGAAGGTACCAAAATAGAACGTCTCATTAAAATATCTTATAAAAGGATAAATATTTGTAAATAAACATCTTTTGTTCTGGATACGTTAAAAAAATTAGTATGAATAATATAGAGCGAAAATAAAAGGAATAATGATCTTAAAAGTTTGTCAGTTTTGTTTATTTTAAGTTTTCCCACACCTTAATGATCTATTAATTCTGCTCTTTAATGAATAGAAATATTTATAACGAGATAACTTTAAAGAATAAATCGAATATAACCAACAATAATGAAAAATAGCAACATTATATATATATATATCTATATATTATGAAAATAGTATAAAATCTATGCAAACTAGAAAGATTGCCAAAGTTTTCATTCTGTAGAAAAATTATTAGCCAATTAGAATTGAATGAGACGAGATTTGTAGAAATTTTAAAGGTTCAAGATAACTTACAATATTGTTTGAACTAAATACATAAAAAAAATACCTTGAATTTAAGATTGATCGCCAATAGTTTCTCCTTTACTCCTTTCTCTTTCGTAGCTTTTAATCATCTCTTGAAGAATTTTATTCTCTTCCGATAAATCATCGTTACTCTTTCGACTGATGTCTAATTCGTGAGATAATCCATTATTACGCTCTTTAAATACAGTTATTTCACGTCTGAGTTTGGATAGTTTTTTTTCTAAGCCTATATTAATCCCAGTTAGTTCGTATATATATAAATCTTTTTTCTCTCTAATTGATCTTTCTCTTTCTAATTCTCTTTCCATTTCGTTAGTTTTTTTTTTCAGCGTCAAATATTCCTCTGTTAAATCAATAGAGTTTTTATTTGATTCATTAACTTTTTTTAGTAAACATGGCTGTAAAAAGAAAAACAAAACAATAAATTAAATATAGAGAAAGTGAAATTAGTAGTAAAATAAACCTCTTCTATATGATGTTCTTTCATTTCTCTCTTTATTTCCTCAGCTTCCTTGGCTAATTCTCTCACTTTACTTTCGGATAGAATATTTTGAACCTATTGAACAGATTAGTAAATTTATGTAATTTTCTTATACAGTTAAGAAATCTAATAAGATTTTACTTTTAAATTTTTATATTCGTTCTTCTGTCTACGAATTTGTTCATTTAAGAAAGATATTTCGTTAATTGATGTGATTGATGTTGAAATTTGTCTGCTATGTTTACTTTCGTTTTGTTGTAATTTATCTATACGATCTTTAAGTTTCTCAAAATAAGATCTTAGTTGATCTTGATCAGTAAAAGCTGCAATATACAAAGTTACTAGTAGTTATTGATGTAAGAGAAAAACTATGATTGGTACTTACTCTCCGTCTTCTGATTAGGAATCGCAGAAGTTTTCTTATTATTTATGTTACTTAGATCCGTAAACTTGTATTAATTAAAATTTTAACAAAATATAAAGTAATTGAAAGTAAGATATTAAAATTTAGACTTACATTCATTTTTCTCTCGCAGATCGGTTTATTTTCTTTTTCGTCATTAATAGATTTTAATTCACAAATTTCAAAAGGCGATCCTGATGAGCAAGTACCGTCATATTCTTGATTAAATGTTGCCATTACTATTAATAAATTAATATTTAAGAAAGTTTTATCAAGAGTCCGGCGATCTTAAACTTTTAAATATCTTTCGTAAATTTCAGTCAAGGAGCAACTAGTTTTATATAGCTATAGTGATCAGTTGGTTTATATAGTAAGCCAGAGTCGTCGTCCGCTAACTAGGTACAGCTAGGCTTTAATTGATCTAAATACAATTTGAACTTTATTAAACCCTATAGTCGTGCGTGTTTTCTAGTAAAAAAAAGTTACAAAAGTATTGGAAATTCTAGAATAAATGTTCACAATGAACTATTATCTTTTATAAAAGTCTGAAAATTATGTTTTTCTCTTCAAAACATTCTACTTTTAAGTAAAATGAAAAACTTTTAAAGTAAATACTCGAGGCGAAAAGAAAAGTATAAATTAATAAAAAAAACTTCATTAAAAGTTCCATTTTAGTTAAATTTAACTATAAATAACGTAAGAAATTGTAATCAGTTTATATCAAAAGTATTTTATATGAAATATAGTGAATTTTTTTCTATATTTCTTATATAAAGTAACTTTTTCGGAAAGATATAACTGTGTGGTATTTTCGGATAATTAATATCAAACTGAAAGCTATATAGTCAAACTTTACGGTTTAATTCAAGTTTCTCACTGATTTTTAGTAGGATTAAATTGTATACCAGTTTACAATATTGCGAAGGACAAACGGAAACTCAAAATCTACAATCATAGGTTTTTCCTCTTAATTTAAAGTTTAACAGAGACAAATAAATATAACTTTAGTGATAAATTTTGATTTTATATCTATTTTTAACTTTTGTTTTAATATTTGTTAAAAACCCATAGTATGATCATTTGAATAAGGCAGAAAACTCAATTTTCGCTCACAGATCCATGCCATTTTATCGAAGTCAAACGATTCGAAAATTACTTGATTCTACTCCTGGTCGAAATACTTTTGGTGTCTATCGATTTCTTCCTTTCTTCTTTATCTTAGGAGCTGCGTTGGAGTTTTCTATGATAAATTGGAGAGTGGGAGACGTAAATTTTTGTAAGTCATTAACCTTTGAGAACGTTCTCTTACATTATATTATTGTTACTTATGAAAATCATAACGTTTCTTCAGATAGCGTATATAAGAAGAGAAAAGTTCACGAACTAGCTTTAAAGCAACTAAAAGAAGAAGGGAAAATTGAGTAAAATGCCGGCTGGAGTCCGAATGAGTGTTTATGTAAAATTTCTTTGCGCCTCCTTATTAAGTATGTTTGCTGGATCTCAGGCTGTTCATGTTCTATACAAACCATTAGATAATATAAATCAATTGGTTGAAGATGAGAAACTAAATATACTAAAAGGTATAGACGAAAAATAGAAAATATAAATTGAGAAAACTTCGAATTTGAATTCATTAGAATGTATTTGATAATTAAATATTTTGAATTGTTTCTACTGATTAAATAGAATATCTCGGAATTATTTAAATAATATACTAAAAATAGTCCATAACCCACCGTAAATAATCAACTTGTATAGTTGCAATTTAATTATAAGTTCTTAATAGTTAGTGTTTTTCTTGACAATATCAACGAAATTGTGATGTACTTATTCTTAAGCCAATAGTGTCTTTGCCTATTTCAGTTGCCTGAAAGAAAAAGTACTGTTTGAAAAATATGCTTTTTTTCCTAGACTAAATGTACCTTCGTTATTCTACAAACTTGACCCTTAAACTCTGGTAGATAACATGCACCACTGAGTGGACATTTAACAACTGGTTTTCCCTTATAGATGGGAGTAAAGCTAGCTCCACAAATATCAAAAGGATTATGTTCGTCGTACTTCAAATCCAAATTATCCGATGGATTCTTTTCACATACCATCATAATTTTCCTTGCTTGAACAGCAACTTCTTGTTTTGGCCCAAGTTCAAGTAATCTATTCGATTTAAAAGCTCCTTAAATTTATGAAAGAAATTCGAATTGTTACAAACCTCCTTGCAAAACTTGCTGCTGTCTTCAGGTTTTTCAATTTAAATGACAAATTTAATGCCGTTCTAAGAGTTAGAATTAAATGAATAGGTTGCAATTTACAATGAGTAAAATACGCAGCCATTTCACAATTTCTCTTCTGATCTTCAACACTTGTCTTCGGTAAATCTTTCCTTGCTTGCTCCATAGTTAAACCAATTATATATTCCCTACAAATTTCGATTAATTGTTGGGCTTCAGCGATTTCCTGTTTGTTTTCCACTACTAGTAGAGGAACACTGAGGAGAATGGACCTAAATTTCTCAATTGCATCAGCGAACTTGCCACTTGTTGTCAATTGATAAGCTGCTTGAAGCCTGTGAATAAGCTCTGCAAGTCTTAACCCAGTTGCTGGTAGACCTTGCTTTAAACCTGCTTCTTTCCAGTTCCTATGGGGAAATCCGAAGAGTGGTTCCAGAGAAGGTGTTGCCTGGAAACACGTCCTAGACCTTGCATAAGTGTAAAGGAATAATTTTTTGTACTCAGTGAAGTCGACAACACCTATTTGGTCATGTAGTAATCTAGCGGCTGTTTCAAAAGAACCGGCCAAAATGTGATCCACAGGTAATTGGGAATTATTGCACCAAATCTGGTTCTGGCTGACACCTTTAGTTGGAGGGACAAAGTAAGCGTTCTGCCCAGAACCAGCAAGTGCATCAGCTTCAGATATTTCCAAGTCTGCAGGCAGTTCAATATCATCGTCGCCCGCGTCCCAACCATCACCTTCTTCAGGAGCTTGTGCGTCAACGAACTCGTCATCTCCTTCATCACCCTCAAGGACAAGCTCAGCTTCATTTCCCCAACCAGGCTCCCCGCCATCGTCAACAATGCCCAAACCAATTGGTGCTCCTCCGTCGTATCCAGCTTGTTTGGCGGCCATTGCTCCTTCAAAGAACCCTCTAGAAATAGTTAAGAGAGGCCAATTCGTTTCATGTTGAGCTATTGGAGGTGCAGGCTGCAAAAGCTGAGCGTTTTCAACGAGGTCAGGTAATTTGGTTTCTGTCTTTTCGAAATATGACTTCAACTGCTCCTCTTGATCTTTTAGTCCATGGGTAGCTGCAGTTACGTAAGCTAACGCATGACGATCACACTCCATCAAAACCTTGAATCGTTCTTGAACATCTCCCAAGAGCAGAGCATTTTGAAATTGAGCACTTCGATCTTTACGGATTTCAGCTATTTTAGTCATTTTCCTCAGTTTTTCCAAGTTTCCAGTTATGAGATAAAGGAAACTCAACTTATCAAAAGATTTTGTTCGTTGGTAAGCCATTTCCACGATATGATGATTTCCCTGTAACAAAGCGGCCTCACCTAACTTCCTCCAGCAATCAGGATCATCAAGTGCTCTAGCACTATTCATTGCAGTTTCTAGCTGCCCGCATTCTAGAGCTAGACTGAATTTCGTTTTTTCATCTTTAACAAAATGAAGAGCTACTTCAGGATATCCTTTTTGCTGCAAGTAGGCTATAATAGACTGTCCCACCAATTTTGCATTTCTAACCATATGCAGAACTTCGTCGTACTTTCTATTAATTAGAGCTAACTTGAATTTGTATTCAGTGCAGTCAACGTTTAAAACTCTCGGTTTGCATTCTCTATCTAAGCAATAAACATTGTTTCCCTTTACTCTTGTAATGTATATGGGAAGATCAAGGGTCCTTATAATTCCACTATCACCATTAAAAAGAATGTATTTTATGTGATTTGATGTTGTATAAACAAGAACCCCATCTTCATCCCACGCAGCTGATTTTATTCTAACATTCTCTGTAATGGAACATAACAGATCAAGCCTCTTGGAACAAAGCGTCACTGTATATTTTCCAAGAAGAGCTACATGCGACATGTCAGCAGACCAAACCACATATCTCAATTTAGGTGATTTCACTTGACCTAACTGACGCTTCTGTTGAACATCAAACAAAATAGCATTTTCGCCACTTTTCAAAAGCAGGCATCCAGTTCCAGCAAAGAATATGTTATCACATTCGACTTGAACTTTTTTAGTAACTTCATTGTTCAAATTTTTCACTACAATCGCTTGAGACCTATCTATAGTAGCAAATCTGTTTCTTGCAACCCAAACGGCAGAATTGCCAGAACTACGCTTGCAGTCAGGTGCATCAGGATTTTGTGTGTTGCAGTCTTTCGGAATGCTATAGAGGTCATAAACGCTTTTATCACTGGATGAACCTTTCGTTGTGAGGAGTACAGCATTTTCAGCAGGATTATAAGACATACTAGATATAGGAGATTTTAAGCCCCCTCTTAGTTCCATAAGTGGTAAATCTTTACTCGTTGTAAAATCTAGCTTTCGTAAATATTTATCTTTGACATAGAATAGAATGTTTTGATGAACGGAAAATGCCGGTCTTTCCCTTTCTAACTTAAATAAAACCATTCCTGCGTCATGACCAGCTGCAAATAAGTTTAGGGTAGGGTGAGCAGCTAGAACCCAAAATCGATCGTTTTCTCTCCTGAAAGATTGAATAGCAGTTCTTTTGGACATATCCCACACTCTAATAGTTTTATCTTCAGCATTCGACAAAATTAAATCCATCCTAGGATGAAAAAGCACACAAGATACATTGTTGAAATGTCCTCGACAAGTATCTACTTCCCAAGCTCTTGAATCATTCATTCTCCATAGTTTAATAGATCTATCATCAGCCCCTGAGACAATTAGTGGCAAAGTTGGATGAAAAGCCACCCAGTTAACTCCTCTGTCATGACCTTCTAGTACATGCTTTACAACTGCATCAGTTACTCCAAACAAATTGGCTTGATCTTGTCTCCTACCGTAATCACTCATGATTCCCGGAGAAACGTTCTTCTTTCTAATAGCAGAAGTATCCCATACTCGAATCGTCTGATCGAGAGAGCAAGAAACAATGAGATCCTCAGTTGGATGAAATGCAGCACACATTACGTAATGACTATGACCTGTTATTACTGTAACACATGATCTATTTTGCCAATTCCAAATACGAATTGTTTGATCATCAGAACAACTTAGAATCCACGGATACTCGTGGTGAAAAGTCGTCGTGCGAATGTAGTCGAGATGACCAGTTAAGGTGAAGAGACATCTTTTTAGTTTGTAATTCCATATTTTTATCTTGTAATCGTCTCCTCCCGAAACGAAAAGAGGCTGCTGATTATGAAAGCAAAGCCCTCTAACCGGACCTGCAGAGTATTTTAGGGATTAAAACTGCATCAACTTCTAATGACAAAATTTTACCATCATGCTCATCATATTTATCAATAAGTGTTGCCATTCGATAATCCCAAAGTTGAATGACTCCATTGTGCAGAGAAGCCAAAATCCAAGGTCTTTTCGGGTGAAAACATAAACCTAAGGAAATAAATAATCAATGGAGTATTGGTTTATTGGCGAAAATATAGAAACGATAAGTATGTTACATATTAGTTGAGTAGCTAATATTTTGTTAATTATCTGTACAATTATGAATATTTATATTCATATAAATGATTTTGTGGATTAAACAGTTCAGAAACATATGAAATGATGTGCAATATATACACGTCAACTGCTGGAAAAAAGTACTTACGTATATCAATCGACAAAAAAAACACATTTAGTTTTAACTAACTAGTTTACATCAATTATTGACATATTTAGTATTTCGTGCTTGTGTTTAGGTAATCAAATTATACACAATAGGGTCAAACGCCTAGAAAAGTTATTTTCACTATATAGCCAAAAATGATTCTATCATTATCTTCAAAACTGTCACAAAATGTTGTTTGCTAACACCTTAAACGAACGTGTCAGTTTAGGATTCAAAACCCATATTGGCTGGCTTTTAGTATTTATCCTATTGTTATGAATACCAAGCAAATTTGAGAGATAGAGAGTACTATTATATATATATATATATGTAATTTTATGACATTATATAAAATTTCGAATTACATGTATATCAAGAAGTATGTAACAAACCTTTTACTCGAGCGCTTTTCGATTCAAATTTTGTCAACATTTTCTGGTGATCATAAATTCTCCAAAGCGGCAAGAATTACCACGATGTTCCGGAAATTTGAAAGCGGAAATGATTTAGCAGAATGTAAAAGATTATTTTTCGATTGGATATTTCATTTCTATTAAAGATGACGTGAAGAGGATTTTTAACGCCATCTGGTTGCCAATAATTTTTAACGAATTACTACTAGGTGTAAAAAGCAAAAATAGATGCCGTATAATCCACTAAATACTTTTGTAGATTTTGCGATAAATGTGGTGTAAAATCAATGCTTTTACTTGATATTTAAACGACAACAAAGATAATTGATATTCAGACATTTATTTACATAGTTATATAGTGCAGACTATATCAACTTGTGCTAGAAACCTTAGGGAGTCAGAACCTTCATCTGAACAATCAATACAGTCTTTAGATACGATAACAACAAAAAGCGAAAACTGGTATGAAAGTAAAATTAGCAGATGGATTTTATTGTTTATGAAAAACTCTTATTTGAGTAAAAGCCAATAGAAATAAGACAACGTATTGATTATTGAAAAAGGGTAGTTTTTTCAGATTTAGAGCAAAAAATATGTTTTGTTCCCTATATTTTCGGAAATTTTCCAAGCGGAGGTTATCTTTGATACTCATGACTGTTATAGTGTGTTGTATTCTACTAAATATTTTCGTTATTTTTCAACGAAATACCAATATAATATCTATAAAAGAACGACTTTTTAAGAAACTACAACTTGAAAGAGCATTTGTGAAGCCTACAAATAGTTTACAGTTATCTTCCATTCATTATATGGATAATTCGTTTCATAATGGAACCTTTGATAAAGAAACATTATCTCTCCTTGAAGATTGGGGTGTCACAAGCTACAAAGTATGCGACAAGTTCACAATATATGGAAGTAAATTTGCAATACTCAAAGATATCTTTATCAGTCTACAATATGGTGAAGGAAGGAATGGAGGTAAGTGTTGATTTATTCTAATTATGTTATAAACTTAGATGCGAAAATATTAAATAAAGGAGAGACAATTGAGGAGACGCTTAATCAGAGTGAGGAAAGTGAGTATTGGATCTTGGAACCTGGGTTTTTCTCGTTCACTGATAATCATTGTAAAGCTAGATTAGATAATGTAGCTTTTGAGCCCGAAGAAAGTCACCTAAATGTATGGCTCAGAGGCTTTCCAGGCCCAAGCTATGAACCTCAGAAAGAAAATATCGAAACATTCTCTAGAACAACACTTGTGGTTCAACGCTTCGAATACGCAAATCTTTATCATACAATGACAGATTGGTACAATTGTTTTTTGGCCCTGGAATTCTTCAATATTAGTCAGAAAGATGTAGACATTTTACTTTTAGACGGTCATCCAATTGGTAATTTGGATGTAACTTGGAATATACTTTTTCCAAACGTGAAGAGAATTAGTGAGTTACCCAAAGTTAGTCAGTTCAAGAAGTTGATATGGGTTGCTGAAGGTTACCAAAGTCCTATGAATCAACATGATAATGACAAAATCCCCTTATTTCAGGCAAGTATCAGAACCTGTTATAATTTTAAATTTCATAACATAAGTCTTTTTTTTAACTATATCTAAAGTTAACCGCAGTGTTTTTTTTACTAAATCAGTGATTTGCTATTGGGAAGGGATTTATAAAGTGGGAGCGATGTTTTTTTTCTTAATGTACATTATTTTATAGATCAATAAAATAAATATTGTTTTTTTAGGAGTTTACAAAATTTTTCAAATCAAGCTTTAAACTGCAAGATAGGAAAAGAAATTGCAAGAAATTTAAAATCACTTTTATTTGGAGAAGAGATTATCGAGCTCATCCAAGGAATCCATCAGGACATATCCAAAGAAAAATACGTAATGAAAAGGAACTTATTAGGGTATTAACGAAAAGAAAAAGTAAATTTCATATTGCTGGCTTTCAACTAGATAAATTTGATATGAAAACTCAAATGAAAATTATTAGCGGAACCGATCTACTAATGGGAATGCATGGAGCTGGTTTAACACATGCAGTATCTCTGCCAAGATTAGGAGGTCTTATTGAATTTGTACCCAGTTACTTTGGCTCAACGGCTACACATTTTGCAGCCATTGCCAGATGGAACAATTTATATTACGACACATGGGCAAACAACAACGAGGCATTGGAATATCCCGGATTTTATACTTATATACCTGTTGGTGTGGCTTCATCTATGATAAATAAAGCCTATAGGAAAATTTGTCCAAATTCTGAGAATTCTCAATGATAAAAAACAGTTTTTTCTATTGCTTTATACAAATTTTTTTAATACCGCTTTGATTGTTGATCTTTTGCGAATCTGTTTCATAAAATTGCTGAGTTAACGCATAAACGCATCGAAAATATAAATCTAATCGATGAAAATATAAATATTATGTATACTATTTATGTATAATAACTATTTGACTTGCATAGTATTTATTTACTGGTCATTAGAGAATATTGGCAATGCATTAGAATTCCAGTTGGATTGCCATTTAGGGTAATTTTTTAGGTTTTCTCTAAATTTGTTCAGTTTATTACATTTGCTAGGAAACCCTTCTAAGATCATCTGTTTATGAAAAAATTTAATTAGAATGATCGAAGGAATTGCAGAGTATTCAAAGAATGAACCTTAATTTGTTTAGCAAGCTCTTGATCAGTATCGAAAAGTAATCCGTTCGTATTCTCATGCACAAGTTCACCGATACAGTCGTATTTGACAGCTAAAACTGGAACTTCGCACCCAAACATATCTAGAACTTTCATGGGTAAATCAAGATTGCTTGATGACATGTGTAAGCATATTCCTAGATCAGCTGAACCTATTAAAATTGGATAATCCTCCGGTTCTAACCAAGGAAATGACCATTGAACATTTTTAAATGGAAATTCTTTAATCAACTTTTTATATTTCTCTTTTTCAGGACCTTTACCAGTAACAACGCAAAACGCTTTAGGAAGGTTGCAATCTTTGTCGTATTCTAAAAGCAGATAGCATTACATGTTTTTAATGATAATTTATAGTCGACTCTTTGAATATTACCTTTCATAGCGTCAAATAATAATGAAAAATCTTCATCTGGAGTCCAACTGGTACTGCTAACAATTAATACAGGCCTATCAGATTTCAATTCCACAATTCCTTCCTCATTAATCTTTGTAAATTTACTTTCATCCTTTCCTTCACTTAGATCAGTATACTTTAAGAAGACTTTATGCCAATCTTCAAGATTTGCTTTTCCAAAATTATCGAATGGCTTATCATAAAGAACTGTTGATCTTTTAAGTAGAAAAAAATATAAAATGTAATAGAATTGAATATATAGAAAAATAAAAAAAAATCAACTTTATTCCCCATTTGTCGTTTAGAAATGTTTGCATTGCTTTTGTAACACAAATATTTCCATCCGAATATCTTCCTAAGATTTCTTCGTATTTCTTAGAGAATCTTACGAGAGGATGACGTTTGGACATATTTAATGCCATTATACTATAACCAAAATTATGCCAATCGATTATTAGCTTTGTATTTTGTAGTTTGCATACTATTAAGCAAATTACTAAAGATGGTATGCATGGCGGATTTTGCATAAGCAAATGGGATGCTTTTTGTGAATGTAAGAGTGTGATGAAAAGTGTAATTGATTGCCAAACGACTTTCATAATGTAAGTAACTAGCCTTGGGAATTCTGTAAATATCTTGTTAGAAACTGATTAATTGTAAAATATTAATAATGATAGACATACTATTAAAGAATTTTGGAACTGATAATAGCTTCTTAACTTGAATATTTGAATTATCACGTATCAAAGGGTGAACATTCGAGCCTAGTTTGTCAATAGAATTAATATCCACAAATGAATATTATATTGAAGAATAATTTCCTCGAACCTTTGTAGCCAATTAAATCAACAGAAAATTCATTTCGTGAAAGAGATATAGCATGATATTGAGTTCTTGGACTTCTTCCAATATCCCCTAGTACAACAACTCCAATTCTTTTATTCCCGGGATTGAACCGTTTGCCAAATATCCAACCAATTTCAATGAAGATAAGAAAAAAAACAAGCCACGCAACTGTTTCAAACCAAACTGTTTCATTTGACATATTTAATCAAACAATTCAGAGATGTCCTTCAAGTATAAGCAGTCGCAAAAAATTTAAAAGAACGTTATTCAATCATTACCAAAAACCAGATGCGGTTGAGCGATAATATGCAAATTAAACAGCAGATTGCTTACACGAACTCAGTATACTCAGTAAACTTTTGGAGTTTTTAAACATGTTTGTTTATTTTTTTAGCTGTTGCATATTCATCAGTACATGAATAAATTTAATAAGAGCAAAATATTCATATTATACAAATAATAAATAAATGCATATATTTCATTAAATATTAATGCTGTTGGTAGATAATGAAAAAACATAAGCAATTAGATATAATAATTTGGCATAAAATAATAATTTAGTACAGAAACAACTTATAGTTATTTTTCAAAGTTTTTACACCGCACATAAAAAAAAGACATGTTAAATATCAAGTAAAACATTTATATTTATCTCCAGTAGTATTCTTTATAACATCTCACAAAATTTTAAGAAAGTCATAAACATTAAATTGACTAGTTTACAATATAGAACAAAAGGTGAAAACGAATAAAGCAAGCACCAGTAGTATTATTTTTCTTTCTTTTGTTGACAATTTTCATTTACAAACAAGTTTTACATTGAATATATAAAACCCTTTGAACTGATTTTATAAGCACGATTTAAGAAATAATTATATGAATCATAAAGTGGGTAGAATTTTTCTCAAGGTTTGTAACTGCTCGAATTCACTTATTTTTATTCTCTGCATTTCATTTATATCTTCTAAATCGTTAGCCTTTTTTCTTAATTCGCTACTTTTACGTTTCAAGTTCTCTAGGCGAGTACCCTCTCGAGCTATATTTTTGCATAATTGTGACTTTTCTTCCTCTAAATTCTTTACCCTTGAGTTTAAAGCATAATAAAACGTTGAGGATTTTGGTCGAGGCATACTAAATAGAGGGTTAGCTGTACTGCGCCGTGATCTTCTTGTTTTCATTTCAACAGCTTCAGCTGTGGGAACTAAATTCAAGGCTCTGAGCCAGTCAATCTTTGTACTCTCTTCTAGGGAGTTGAAATCATCTTTGGACATATAGATGCTATTTTGATCTCCATTGTGATTCCTACGACTCTTTCTTATCTTCTTTGCTGATGATAGGTCAACGCTTGTACATTTTTCATCCAACATTATTTTTGTAAAATTAGTTGATGACGAGTCGTTTGGGTGTGTTGAGGTGAATATCCAGACAGGAGGAGAATGAGAACGAGGTACCAATGGAGATTTCCTAGGCTAATAAATTCAATTGTTAGACTTATCGTTGAATAATTTAATCGATAAAACATAACGAATTATTGACAAAAGAAAGAGCATCGATCTATAACTATGTTTAAAAGTAAACTATAATCACAATTAGTGAACAATTATACCTAGTAATAGAATGTTCATTTTATATCGAATTCTAAGGTGAGAAGTTCAACGAAAAAAATTGTTGGAAATTTAAAAAATTAAAACCTAACTTTAATCTAAACGAAAGAAAAAATATAAATATTGCCTAACATTGTTTAAGGAGCTCCGTAATTTCATACTTTATGAGAAGATGCCTAGAGGGGAAACAACTACATTATCGCTCATACTTCGCCCAATAACCAGAATAAGATTTTTATCATAAGAAATATATGCATGAAAGTTTTAAAAAGAATATTAAATGGACTTTACATATAAATTAAAGTATATAGATTAATGATTTAGGGTGTTTAAGCAAAAATTTACTTACCATTCTATAAAGCTAAGAGAGATTCAGGAAATGATAGCTTTACTTAATTATTTTATAAATTTGAGAGATATTTACATGGCTGCTCCAACAATTTTATTAAAGCTTATAAAATCATATTAATCCTCTTAGATCGACAATCGAATTGATTAATTTAAGTTTTCCGATAAAAAATTATGTGTTTACAATACATTAATAAAAAAAAGGTAAAATAAAAACTTAAACATTTTAATTTTGCTCTTCACTTTTTCAAGATTTTATTTACTTAATAAATCAAAATCTACATAGATTTTGTTATTTATAGTATTTAATTAGAAAAACAATATATTTTTTATTCCCCAAAATAGCTAATATTTGATAAAAGGTGGACAACTAAAAACTCATAATATTAATAATATTGTACATAACTTGAAAAGGTTTATTAATTTATCATAAACTTTGATATTTTCTATATTATATATAACGATAAACTTTTAAACCTACATTTGTTATGTTAAATCTTAAGTTAAATAGATTTGTCGATAATAAAATCTTCATATAGAAACATTGTTTATGAAGATAGATTATACTTTTTTTTAAATAAACTATACTAACTCTTACTTTTAGGTATTTAAATTTCGAGTAAGTAGAACAAGCACTTGTAACTACTTTTTTAGTTACCTCTTATTATTCTTTTTAGTCTATTATCGAAGGTAATAGAATATATTATATGTAGTGAGTTCTTAACTTAGTCGTAACAGCGTATTATAGTACGCCTAAATTTGAGCTCTATCTTTTAACAACAGCGTATTTTAGTAGTACCCAGCATCGGTACGAGACAATATGGCGACCAGGCAAGACGAGGGAGAATTTTATTTACGTTATTATACTGGACATAAGGGTAAATTTGGTCATGAGTTTCTGGAATTTGAATTTAGACCAGATGGTGAGTGTAAATTTTCTAGATAAATTTCGTAAAAAGCTAGTATTAGTAGTGTTTGAAATATAACAATGGAACGTAGTAGTAACGATAACCGGCTTTACAGGCAAGCTTCGATACGCGAATAATTCCAACTATAAGAATGATACAATGATCAGAAAGGAGGTAAGATCCGTTTACTTGAATAAAAATACTTCTACTATATGGTCTCTTTTTATTTTAATTTTAAAGGCTTACGTTGGAAAAGCCGTTATGAATGAGTTGCGTAGGATAGTTGAAGATTCTGACATCATGCAAGATGATGACAATCTGTGGCCTACCCCCGATCGAGTTGGTCGACAGGTAAATTATACAACTTACAGCTTATATTTATCATAATGGAGTGTTTTTTAAAAAGGAATTAGAAATAGTTAATGGAAATGATCATATATCCTTCACAACCTCAAAGATTGGATCCCTCTTGGATGTTACACAAAGTAAAGATGCTGAAGGTCTTCGTAATTTTTACTATCTTGTTCAGGATATTAAATGCTTAGTGTTTTCGCTCATAGGTTTACATTTTAAGATTAAGCCTATTTAAATTCTATTCATGCATTTAGTTGAGGTTTTTTTCTAACTTTCCGTACACAAAGTTTTCGAACATTTAATGTGGGTTATGTTCTATTTTTTTTAGTTCATTTGATGTAATACTTAGAAAATAAAAGTCATCTTACAAACTCCTATAAACACAGTGTAGGTTAAAATCTATGATTTCGTAGTAAAATTGAGCCTCTATTACTAACTTGTACAATTCGCTATACTGTTTCTTAAGAAGTACTGTTGGATCTTCCTCTTCTAACCAACGCACATGTACAGGAGCGATAACTATTATAATAAACTTTCGAAATAGTTTTGGAAAATTCTTTTAAATTGTGTCTGCACTAAACAAAGGATACCCAATTCCCTGTAACACGTGAGACGAAACAATGTCTCAGAGTGTTCTGAATTCTCTTTGTACAACCTGAAAGATCTAGTTTTGCCATAAAACCTCCGGGTAGTTCCAATAGAACCACTTCGCTCTGATATTTCGTCATTGGAAAATCTTCATCAATTCATGAAGAGTCATAACTAATTCATTTTTGAGAACATGGAAACGACATATCTATTCATTTTTAATCAAGAAAAGAAATCATAATGATGTTAATTTAAAAGAAAATCGTTTCTTAATTTCGTTATTTGTAAGCCATGTTTTACCGACCATGAACCAGTCTAAAAAGTCAACAGGCAATGGAAACAGCGATTGTGGTAAAAACATAAAGCACTAAGAAGAAAGACTTAAAAACATGGCTGAGAGAAAAGTTCTAAATGTAAGTAGCATCTACTTGATAAAATTTGAAACGATTTACTTACATTCACAACTAATTGTAAATTTTCTTAGAAAAACTATCCTCCTGAGTTCGATCCTTCGAAATTGCCCAGAGTAAGAAGAGAGCGAAATGCAGTCTTCGAAATCCGTATTATGGCACCCTTTAATATGAGGTTGATTATAATTTAAATAATAACAATACCACTAATATTTCATGAGTTGAACAGGTGTAATAATTGCGGAGAATATATTTACAAGGGAAAGAAATTCAATTCCCGTAAAGAAGATGTACCTAATGAACGCTATTTGGATTTATATATTTATCGGTTTTACATAAAATGTCCAAGATGTGTATCGGAAATTGCATTTAAGGTTAGTCTTCATACCATATCGACAGAAAGATAGCAAACGATTATTGTTCACAGACAGATCCCGAAAATGCTGATTATAAGTTGGAAGCAGGAGCCACTAGAAATTTTGAAGCTCCTGAAACGGCTAAAAAGGAAGATGATGATAGGAACGCAGTGCAAGTCGTTGAAAACAGGACAAAAACTTCCCAAAAGGAAATAGAAGACTTAAACATCCTACTTTCAAATATGGTAAAAAATAATAATCAAGTTAACTAATATACATTTAATGTTTTATAATTTTCTCAGGGAAATGAGGAATCCAAAAAGACAAATCTGCTTAGGAATGAAAAAAATGCTTCTAACCTTATGAAGGGAGAAGATCTTAAAGTTCAAAAAACACACGATCAAACCGACACTGAAGAAGAAGGAAGATAGTGAACATAAAACAAATATAGATATATAGAAGTAAAGATTGAATCAGAAGGTCCTTATTTCTATCTTTAAACTCTTCAATTTCAGAGAAATATTTTATAATAGAAGGGTTATGAAAGTGTCAGATAGAAAGCCAGCATTGCTTTTGTGCTTAATGCGAAACGTGCTTCAAGGGCAAAGTCGAAACTCAGTCTCACAATCCAGGTGTTCAATGTTAAGAACGCTTAAAATAAACTCCAAGAACAGGTATATGGAAATTATCTTGAAGACCCTATAAGGTACAAAGCGACTCCCAATCAGCATTCGTTACGTTTAATTGTCCAGTGTAATCATGACAAATTCACTACATGCAAAATTTATTATGCTTTACTAGATTTGAAACTACAAAAAATTAAAATTAAATCTATGATGAAGTAGCCAAGCCAGCTTCGACTGCTAACTTGTAAAATTCACCTTCTGGTCTCTTAAGAAGTTCCGTCGGGGATGCCTCTTCTAAAAGACGTCCTTGTCCAAGTACGATAACTCTATCATAATCCATTATAGTTGCGATTCTGTGCGCTATTGTTAATACGGTAGAATTTTCAAATGCTTGTCTTATTGTTTGTTGGATTAAAGAATCTGTAGTTGTGTCTACAGACGCCGTAGCTTCATCCATTACTAGAATTTTTGATTTTCGAAGCAAGGCCCTTGCTAAACATACTAATTGTCTTTGTCCAACGCTTAAAGACTTTCCTCCCTCACCACATTCATAATTTAAGCCTTTTTCTAACTGTCCTTCAACATGATCTTTGAGATGAGATATTTCTAGACATCTCCATATTTCATCATCGCTAAATGTTTCAAACGGATCCAAATTTTCTCTTAAAGTGCCTTCAAATAACACTGGATCTTGAGGAATTATAGTTATTTTTTCTCTTAAAGCATGTAAACCAATTTTTGATATATCTACTCCATCAATGATAATCTTACCGCTTGACAATTCAATAATTCTGAACAAGACAGCTGAAAAGAAATAAGTTTTAATAGTTGAAATAACTTATATCACTTACAAGTTTGCTAACATGCTAATGAAGATTTTCCAGCTCCAGTTCTACCAACAATTCCGATTTTCTCTCCTGCATTAATCTTTAAACTAATTTCGTTTAGAACTAGAGGTAAGTTTGGTCTATAGCGCACACAAATAGATTGAAGTTCAATGCTTCCTTGTAAAGGCCAATCAATAGGATCTCTGCTCGGAACTCTCCAATCAGCTTCCTGTTCTTTCTTAGAGTACTCTTGAACTCTTTCTACAGAAACAATATTTGTTTCTAAATCTGTTGATCCTCTAACCATCATACTTAATGAATAAGAAGTTTCGATGGCGAAATTCAAACTCATTCCTGCTAATCCAGGTGTTAAATATCCAGAATCTCTAAAATAAACTGCAAGAATAGCTGCACAGATAATAGCTATGGCTCCAATAAAATCCAACACAACTCCTAGCCAGCGTTGTCCGATTAGAATTGGATACCAGGCAGTCATGGAATTATTTACCAAAGAGTCGTTCTTATGAATGAACTTTGGAGAAACTTTAAATGCTCGAATAAGACTTACTCCAGCCAGAGCTTCATCAAAACAAGCATATATAGGAGATTTTCTCACAGAATCAATTCTTTTCAGTTGTCTAACAGATTTTATATACATTCGTTGAATTAACCAGTATGATATTGCAAGTGGTACTGCTGCGACTAGAAATTGAGGAGTCGCTAGAGAAACGCCCACAAGAGTTGATATTAAGGTTGTCACGCAACCTATCCAAAAAGTGGACATGTCAGGTATGGCACAATCTATTCTCTCCATATCTGAAGAAAATCTATTAAGGATTCTTCCCAAAGGAGTTGTATCAAAGAATGTCATTGGTGCTTTTAGAATTCTCCATAAGAGTTTCTTGTGTAAAATATTCGACGCTAGAACAGCGCCAAGGAGCACACAACCCTGAGACATAGCAACTGATATTATTTGACCAATTCCAAGTGATCCATAAATTCCAAGCATTTTAAAAGTGGTGCTTCTTGTTGTATTCTGTGGCATGTCACTCCAATAACTGAGCCACCAATTTGAAAACACTACAATTACAATATATACAAGTGCTGTTGCGATTAAACCGAAAAGAAGCTTAAAACTGCCTGCTTTAACGTATGACACTATAACCTCACGTTTCACAGACCCGATATCTTCTGTTTCCTCTTCTATTAATCTTCCATCGTTGATAATATCTGATTTTTCTGCAAGAGATACAGAAGTTTTTAACTTTCTATCGGGCTCGATTGACGAGACAGATTTCAGCCTTGATGATTGTCTTCTCAGCCTTGGTACTTGATCTGCTTGTTCTTGAACCTCGATTTCATTATCCTCATCATCTTCCTCCTCACTGTCATCTTCCAACTTTTCTTGTTTTACTAGATTAACGAATGACGGACAGGTTTGTAATAGTTCTGAAAACTTTCCTTCTCCTATTATTCTTCCTTCTTCTAACATAATAACCTTATCGCATTCTGATAAGATGTTGACGGCATGAGTGACCAAAATTCTTGTTTTTCCTTTTAGTAAACCATTAGGACCAAGTACGTCTTGGAATAGCTTTTGCCCGACATGAGCATCAACTGCACTTAAAGGGTCATCAAAAATAAAAACGTCCGCTTTGCTATAAACTGCTCGTGCTAACGCAACACGTTGCTTTTGTCCTCCTGATAGATTTATACCTTTTTCTCCTATTTCTGACATATCTCCATTTGGTAGTTGCTCAAGATCTGGTTTCAGAGCACATGCTTCAATGGTACGATCGTATCTATCCTGGTTAAAGGAATTAACAAATAATACATTTTGCTTCAAAGAAGCATTTTGAATCCACGCCTGTTGAGATAGATAAGCTGTGCTTCCCGATACATTGACTTCACCATTTAGGACTCTCATTTCACCCAGTAAAGAAGACGCTAAAGAACTCTTTCCACTCCCTACTCTACCAACAACAGCTAATAGACTACCGCTTTTCACATTCAAGTTGATGTCATTCAAGACTGGTTTAGCATCAGTGTCGCCCCAAGCAAATGTTCCATTTTGTATGGTTATTTGGTGAACAAAGGTGTTTGTGTTATTGCCGACTGCATTCGGATCTAATTCTTCTCGGGTGAGGAGTGTAGAAATTCTTCCTAAAGATACATACGCTTGGGCAGAGAAACCAAGTAGCATCGGCAGAAACGATAAACAAAAGTTTAGCAGACTCACGAAACTTAACGTTACAAATGTTTTTTCGGCATCAAGGCGATGGTCTTTGGATGAGAGAAGATAGGTGGCAAAGATTACAAAATTGACCTATGGAAATGAAATTTTTCATCATATCTTATCGTCTTCAATTCACAAGTAAATGCTTACACAAAACGGGGCTGCATACCATACCAATCCTAAACCTACATTAAGCATGGCTTGTTTTCTTAAAGTTTTTAGTTCATCTTGTCTTATTTTTTCAATTTTTTTAGCAAATGATATTTCCCATGCATAATATTTTAACATTTTAATACCCGATAGTATTTCATTCATATGTTTCAGACGGAGATCTTTCAAAGCCATTTGTTTAACTTCCATCTTGGCATATTTAGCCGCCAGAAAGCCACCTGTAAAAGGGGCCATAATAGCTAGAAAGCCAAGCCCAGCTAAACAGGATGGTCCAATTACTTGCCACATAAAATATATTACAGCAAATACTGTTACAGGTGATGCCCAAATTTCGTGCAAGTTTAGCATCATGTCATGAATCTTTTGAGCGTCAACACTCATAAGGTTGTTTATTTCACCAGAAGTTGATTGAGATCTTGCAGCTGCGGAAAGACGTAAAGATTTCCTAAATACTGCAGATGTCATAATGCTCTTCATTCTCTGTCCACATATGTAATTACATTTGTACTGTAGGTGATGGAAAAGTGCGAGGGCTATCATATTCAAAAATATAGTAACGGCTATTAAGTAGCCATGCCAACCCTTGCGATCAGTAGAGTTTTGAAGAAATTGAAGTAAAACTCTGGAAAATTATAAAAATCATATAATTAAAATTATATGACATATAGATATTAAACCTCAAAAGTAATGATGCTGAAATATCCGGAACAATAACTATTAATCTGCAAAGTCCTCCAAGTAAAAATGGTCCTTTACATGCTCTAACAAGCATAAAAAAAAATCGTACAGGGTATGCTATACCCTCTATTTGTTCTTTAGCTGATCTTTTTTTATCACTAAATTGATTAAAAAGTATTTTATCTATTTGTTTAAATTTTTCACAATATTTTGATGTCTTACACTCGATTATATCTTTCTTCAAGTAAACCCAAAAATTCTGGAACAATGGCACCACATTTTTCTTTTTCAGGTAGATCAAATAAATCTTCAAAATTTAAATATTTCTTGTATCCCTTTATTAGAAAGGGCAATATCCAAAAGTGACTAATGGTTGCAAAAAAAGAAGCTGAAGTTTCGGGACATGGTGGTTTCTGACATTTAGTAACTGAAGAATTAATTAATAGGCCTAGACAAAATTTTTAAACTAACCTTTGTACTCCTTGTTGCACAATCGTTTGAAACTGATGCTTCACCCAGCAATGGCGTTCGTTCGTTTACCAGTAAGTTAGATGATCTATCTTGCCTTAACCAAGGAATTGCCTTTTTGTCTCCAAAAAGGAAATTGAACAGTAATAAGGCGGAAGAGGCTAACTCAAAAGTAGTTAGAACAATGATAGTATTTTCATTGTTTTGAAGAATAGTTGTTCGTAGGACGATTACGTTTAGGCAAGTGTAAAAAAGTAAAAAAATAGATAAAACTCCAGAAGTATGATAGCCCTTTCTAAATTCCAGATCTATGATGACAACGAGAAGAATAGATATTATGACTCGTATGAAGGGTTCAATTTTAGAGTCTAATGTTATATCTGTTTTATGAGTAAATACTACAATAACTTTCCCAAATGATGCCGAAAAATGTATCAGAGTTTTTAGCTGAAAAATAGCAATGTTAGTTTTTCTTTATTCAAAAGTAAACGTATTAAACAAACTATTTTCAGCCAGTATAATATTCCTCTGTGTGAAAAATTATTCACGGTCGTTTTTGAGACAAGATACGGTATATAAGGCAAACTTGCCAGCACAAAAGTACCAAATACACTCCATAAGAGAAGGGTATTTTCAAAGCAAGTTGTAAAATCCGGTATATCGGAATAAATAGTTAAATTGCTATCCTAGAAACGTATCGGGGTATGAAGGAAAGAACTGCATTTAATGTCATACAAACCCAGAATATACCGGAATTGTTTAAGTGACCGCATAAGGCTGATTTTATAATCATAACTGAAGAGTTACCATAATCCACATCGATTACAACTCACACTGAAGTGTTGCGCAAGAAAGAGACATCTCTGAGTGATATCTATATCTAGGCGACCATTTCCTGTTCCTTCCATTAGAGACGCCATCTATCGTGCTATTTACACGATAGACCCCATATTAAAATTGATGAAGCATCAAATTGTGTTGTTCATTGGTGTTATCTTAACTTGAATTATCTCTTTTATTGATAACTTACAAAAATTATAACAAGAAGAACAATAAACAAATAACAATATATCATAATCAATCATAATCTTTATGTATTAAATATTTATCATAAAAGTTTTATTTCCTGTCGAAAAAAAAAGCTGATGTAATCTTTCGCGAATCAGAACCTCCTCAGAGTCGATTAGAGATTGTAAAGATTTTAATAATTTACTACTATTTACGTTTTCTTTTAGATTACCCAGTGTCCAAGCAACGCTTACATGAAATTTTGGTTCTTCATAATATAATGGCAGTTGATACTCGGCTAATGTTTTATCAACTATATTCGTTGATAATTGTAAAAATTCTTTATCATATTCCATCTCAAAAACAATAAAAGATCTTGTCTTCTCATCATTTACTAATATATCCAATTGTGAAGAAAAGCATTCTACTGTTTCTATATCACGAAAGTTTTGTTCTAAATCATCACGAAATGATTCAATCAAATGATGTTGTAAAATAAAAGTTTTCGATAAGCTTAAATGAAAATCCTTAAATAATTTTAGATCAATATTTAATATTTGAGCCTCTGAAATGAACTTTTGAAAGAAGCCTTCTAAATGATCTAAATCAAATTTATAATAAACAAAAGATGCCCAATTCCCGGCAACGTGTGAAAAAGAACGAACACGTCCCTCATATTTGTTTGAGTGCTCCGTTGAATCATCTCTATCTAGGTTTGCAGCAAAAACATCAGGTAGTTCCAATTTAGACACTTGTTTTGACTGTTTTACCGGTGGAATATCTTCATCACTCGATGAAGAATCATAATTAGTTCTTTTTTGAGCGTATAGAGATGACATATCTATTTATTTACATATTTTTAGTAAGAAGGCAATTACCATGAAGTTATCTCAAAAGAAAAACGCACTCCTAATCGTTTCCTAATTTTGTGATCTGTAAACCATGCTTTATTGACCATGAACCAGTCTAAAAAGTCAACTGGTTATAGTAGCAGCGAAATCGTGGTACAAACGTAAAGCTGTGAGAAGAAAGGCTTAAAAACATGACTGAGAGAAAAGTTCTAAATGTAAGTAGCATCTACTTGATAAAATTTGAAACGATTTACTTAAATTCATAACTAATTGTAAATTTTAATAGAAATACTATCCTCCTGACTTCGATCCTTCGAAATTGCCCAGAGTAAGAAGAGAGCGAAATGCAGTCTTCGAAATCCGTATTATGGCACCCTTTAATATGAGGTTGATTATAATTTAAATAATAACAATACCACTAATATTTCATGAGTTGAACAGGTGTAATAATTGCGGAGAATATATTTACAAGGGAAAGAAATTCAATTCCCGTAAAGAAGATGTACCTAATGAACGCTATTTGGATTTATATATTTATCGGTTTTACATAAAATGTCCAAGATGTGTATCGGAAATTGCATTTAAGGTTAGTCTTCATACCATATCGACAGAAAGATAGCAAACGATTATTGTTCACAGACAGATCCCGAAAATGCTGATTATAAGTTGGAAGCAGGAGCTACTAGAAATTTTGAAGCTCTCAGAACAGCTGAAATTCTAGCCAAAAAGGAAGAAGAAAAAATGAAAGAAGAGGAAGATAATAATCCAATGAAAGTTCTTGAAAATAGAACAAAAGCTTCACAAAAAGAAATGGAAAATTTAGAGGTTCTGGAAGAAATTAAGCAACAAAATTCAAGACATGCGAAAATGGATCACGAAGATATTATTAATCTTCATCAAGCATACGGAGAGCAGCTCAAAAAGCTACAAGACGAAGAAGATGAAAAATTAATTCAGTAAGTTATTCCAAATTGTTCTTTAAATATTAAACTAACTTAATTTCCTCTAGATCACTATTCAAGAAAAAAGAGCCAATTATTAAACGCTTAAGTGATAATGACGACCAAGAAGAGATATCTATTTCAAAGAAATTAAAACTAGGAAACAGCCCCAGTGATGTTCTACTTTCAAATACAGTAAATAATAATAATTAAGTCCAATTAAGACACATTTGATGATTTAAAATTTTCTCAGGAAATAAAGAAACCGGAAAAGGCAACTCTGCTAAGCAACCGAAAAAATATTTCCAGCTTTATCAAGAGAAAGGATCCCAAAGCGGAGAAAAAACCAGTGAAACTAACTGTGAAGAAGGAAGACGGTGAAGATAGTAAAAAAATAGATACTATAGAACTAAAGAATGAATCAAAAGCCCCTGTTCCTGGGTGCTTATCGCTGTTAAGCGGATATTGTAACACATCGTCTGATTCAGAATAACTGAATGTATAAAATGTATAAAAATATTGTTTTAATATCATTTCATATTAGAAGATTGCTTTTATTATCAAAGAAATATATTATTCCTGATGTCAATACTTGAATATTTCTCAAGTAATTCCCCAATCTTCCTATTTTAAAGAAAGGGAACACTCTTCAAGAAAGCAGCTCATGTCACAAAAATACAAAGAGTGAAATATTAATTATTCGTTCATTTAGGAAAAAATACAAGTGATATTGACATACATGATATTACTAATATATATTGTTCAAAGGTACGCATGCGCAGTTGCGAATATCTACAACTAATTTAGAGAGCAAGCATTGCTAAAGCTATTTAATTCTCAGAAATGGCTACAAAAACAGAAGACAAAGTTAGGTGGAATTTTCTAGAACATAATGGAGTCGTTTTTGCTCCAGACTATGAGCGAATTCCAGATGATGTTAGATTTTCTTATAACGGAGAGATTATGAAGCTGTCTGAAGCTGCTGAGGAGATGGCAACTTTCTATGCCAAGATGTTGGGTCACGATTACGCCTCTAAGAAGATTTTCAATGACAACTTCTTTAGAGATTGGAGAAAAACAATGACAACAGAGGAACGTTTAAAAATAACTGATTTATCGAAATGCGATTTTAGAGAGATGCATGAATACTTTCTGAAAAAGACTGAAGAGCGAAAAGCAATGACCAAGGAAGAGAAGCAAGAAATTAAAAAGAAAAATGAAGAAATTATGAAAGAATATGGTTTTTATACTATTGATGGACGTACTGAAAAAATTGGCAACTTTAAAATTGAACCGCCAGGATTATTCAGAGGTAGAGGTGACCATCCTAAACAGGGATGCCTAAAGAAACGTGTACAACCAGAAGATGTCATTATCAACTGTTCAAAAGACTCAAAAATTCCGGAAGCTCCCCCTGGACATAAATGGAAAGAGGTTCGACACGACAACACAGTTACCTGGTTAGCGTGTTGGACCGACAACATTCAAGGACATATTAAATACATGATGCAAAGTACCATCGATAATCAAAGCACTTTTAACATTGAAAAACTGGAAATCAGTTCAGAAGACAAAAAATAATGCAGAAAGGGGGAGAAGAAGGAGAATCTATGTTCAATTATTTTATTGCTGTTTATTCATTCCAGAAATATGAAAGCTATTTTATATATAACAAGTAATTTAATACTACATTTCTATACGATGTAAATAGGCTGTTCAATGATTTATAGAATAGGTGTTGAATCGTTCCATTCGACTCTTGCATCTTTCCATTTGGTTCTAATACATAACTCCAAAGGTGGCACTAACTCTTCACCCTCTTTTTCTGGTGGAACATAATTTTTCTCGGTGGTGATAATAGTAAGCCGAATTTCGTTTAGTTGATTACTAAGACCATCATAATAGAACAAATCAAAGAATCTTTCAGCTTTCCAATCATTCACTAGAGCTTTATTAGTGCTAAATAAAACGCTATAATGACTCTCGGAGCAGATCAACCATATAGGAGATTTCGGAGTTTTTAGATAACTTCCTACTTCAACACTACGATAATGGTCAAAGAGTGAAAGCATTCCTATTATCTGTCTTTGATCAATTCCTTTCAAAATTAAATCATCTAAGCTTTTGTTATCGTTAAATGTATTTGAACAAGCTCTACCAGTGAGTAAAAGATTCACTAATTCTTGAGAGCAGTAATTATGAGATGCTATTAAACACTTATCTACTTCATCCATATCTCTTTTTACCGTTCTTATTGATCTGGAAAGTATTACGCTGTAAATAATTAATAAAACTCCACCCTCTGCTATAAATGAGTCTATGTGCTGTTCTATGTAGCTTTCCAATTCGTTTATATTTTTGCAGGTGTGAATATTCAATTTTTCTGTAATACTATCGTGAGGAAGATTGACCGTCGATGGAATGTGAGGAGTTCTACCTTTTATGCATACACTGCCCGTTCTTCCTTCACCAGCCGACCAGATCATATGCAAAATAGCTTTAATCAATGATTTCTTTATCAAAACAGGATTCCTTAGACGCTCTGAACGCATACTATCACCGCTCATTTCAGAGAAAAGTAAATAGTACAGTAACCAAGCTTGAATGGCAGCTAACGCACCACAAGGCCCACCCTTTCTTTGCACAATTCCATAAAGTAGTTTAGGCTCTTCATTAAAAGCTATATCTTGTTCAACCCACTCTGCCGACCAACAAACAGAACTACTCTTTAACAATAGCCGACGAAGATCCCGAGCAGTTTGTACTTCAATAGGCTTTCCAACTATTTTTTGTATTGTTGGGCAAGGTTTAGTACACTGAACAAGGGGAGGAGCTAATGGCTCGATTTCGTCATTATCAAAATCTTCTAATTCAGTCTGAACAATAGGATTTGCTTGGAGATCATTTAAAGGTGTTTCTTTAGGTATAGAATCTGTCAGAAAAGTAGGAGAAACTGCAGAAGTAGGTGGGGACTGAGAATTCTCTTGCTTGATACACTTCCCTTTGGCAATACGTCGTTTATTGGGAAAAACAGTGGGAGCTGTGTCTGCGGGGGGTTTTGGTTTCCCTAATATACCACCATATTCGTTTCCATATTCCAAAGAGCCCTCTTCCGATGCATCGTCTAAAACCAAATCGGTCGACTGGCTTTTCCTAAGTTGATCACGAATTTGACGAACATTGGATGCTAATTTAAAACAAAACAACGTACGTATTAGGTAGCATGATTAGATAGAAGCGAAACTTAACTTGTTTTTCCCTTGAACATGATTGAACTTAAATGAAGAGGAAAGGGGGAGTGAGGGAGGGATAGGAATACATTGAGTTAACATATCTTCCTTATTTAAGATAATATTACCAATTAAGATTGTTTTTTTTAGTATTATGTAATTTAGTACAATTTATGTTAGTAATTTTACAACCATTTAAGTCTAGTACGAAAAATCAAGTAACCTAAAATATTGCAACATTATTTAAAAAAATGGAAAAGACGTATTGAAACGTTTAAATATAAAAATCGAAGATTGGATTATATTGAGTATTGAAGATAGTATGTCAAATTTTAATCCATTTTAAATATTACTATGTTCTCAATCATGATAATTATGTATACTTATCGAATGCGTTTGAGCTTTGTAAATTAATTTATCTACCTGCAAAAACCATTTGCTTTCCGCTATCCATTGCTTTATAGACTTCATTGAAGGTCAGGGACGTTGTTAAGATAAACAACTTTAATCTGATTTTCGGCTTGTACAAGCATGGCGAAAATTTTTTTACTATATTAAAAATTGCTAAGTAGGCAATGTTTTTTAAAGTAATAAAGTGTAATATATTATAAGTCATTTTCTTTGTGAATTACAAAATATTACTTAATAAGACGTAACAAAGAAACAGGACAATGCTTAAACTTAGTATGAAATGTCGCTTTTTTTGTAGATATTGAAATGAAAGGTTGTATTGAAAAAATAATAAAATAGACTGCGCTGCTCTCGATAAATGGCATATACAAACACTTGTGTCAAAAAAAATAAATTCAAGTTCCCGCCTTCAAAACTCTTGTGTCGCCATCTATGATTTCAATATAAAAGGGAACGCATGCGCAGTTGGCCATATCTGGAACTTTGCCATCACAGCCGACGCCATAACGAAAATCATAAAGATCAGCACATTTCGAAATTAAGTTACCTAGATCATGGAGACCAGCGACTTTTCTAACGGTGACGTAAGTATACGATTTAGAGCTTTGCTTGAAAATTAATGCTATACCCTTAAATGGAATTAAAATGCCTTAATAACTAGTTAGTCGGCGGTTTTAGAGACCGCGTTGTCTAGAGCAAAATGGCTGAAAATTTCAGAGTCCCACGCCGCTCAAGCAAACTATGTTATTTTGGAATTTTAGTCATTTAATTTTATTTCTACTTCATTTTGGACATATAATAAAACATATTTTGCATGTTTCAGATGTTGTTCGACACCAGACGAGGTGGTTTGTGTTTACTTATTAAATTGACACAAAATATTAATTACTTATATGATTCCCTAATAAATGTGTGCATATAGATGATTATACAAGAACTAACGGGGAAAAACACGAAAAACATAAAAAAAAGGAGCATAAAAAGCACAAAAGCCATAAGCACGACCGGGAAAAGGACAAAGACCGCAAAAGTTCGTCTGATAGACACAAGCACCGTCATTCCGATAAGGTAAAGCGTGAACATGAGGACGGACACGAAATGAAGATAAAAGTTGAGACTGTAAGTCCTATGAAAACTCGAGAAGATGAGGATGATTATGACGATGTACCTTTGGTAAAACAATTTTATATAACAAAGTAACGATAATGACGTAATATTGTTTTTTTAGACTAAACGAATTAAGGTAAAAAAAGAGCACGGTGAAGAGAGTAAAATGTATGTAGTAATCATCATTATATAAGTGAATAATTCAATAAACCGAATGAATATATTTGTACAGAAAAGAAAAGAAGGCGAAAAAGAGGAAAAATGAAGGAAATTCATTAGAGTCTCCAGTAAGCTTTATTATTACATTATGGTTTTTTTTTTAATTTTCTTCTTATTCTGGCAAAGGAGAGAAAAATCAAAAAAGAAGTCAAGACCAAAGATGGATCTCCAAAGAAAGGTAGAAAGAAAAAGGACGAAGAGGTAGAAAAATGGAAATGGTGGGAAGAGGATAGAAGAGAGGACGGTGTTAAATGGAATTTTCTCGAACATAAAGGCGTCGTTTTTGCTCCAGACTATGAGCGAATTCCAGATGATGTTAGATTTTCTTATAACGGAAAGATTATGAAGCTGTCTGAAACTGCCGAGGAGGTGGCAACTTTCTATGCCAAGATGTTGGATCACGACTATACCTCTAAGAAGATTTTCAATGACAACTTCTTTAGAGATTGGAGAAAAACAATGACAACAGAGGAACGTTTAAAAATAACTGATTTATCGAAATGCGATTTTAGAGAGATGCATGAATACTTTCTGAAAAAGACTGAAGAGCGAAAAGCAATGACCAAGGAAGAGAAGCAAGAAATTAAAAAGAAAAATGAAGAAATTATGAAAGAATATGGTTTTTGTAAAATTGATGGACATACCGAAAAAATTGGCAACTTTAAAATTGAACCTCCCGCTTTGTTTAGAGGTAGAGGTGACCATCCTAAACAGGGCTGCCTAAAGAAACGTGTACAACCAGAAGATGTCATTATCAACTGTTCAAAAGACTCAAAAATTCCGGAAGCTCCCCCTGGACATAAATGGAAAGAGGTTCGACACGACAACACAGTTACCTGGTTAGCGAGTTGGACCGAAAATGTTCAGGGACAAACAAAATATGTAATGCTCAATGCCAGTTCGAAATTAAAAGGAGAAAAAGACTGGATGAAATACGAAACTGCTCGTCGACTTCATCAAAGGATAGAAAAAATTAGACAAGAATATCGAGACGATCTCAAGAACAAAGAAATGAGAATTCGTCAAAGAGCTGTTGCTATGTATTTTATAGATAAATTGGCATTGAGAGCTGGTAATGAGAAGGATGAAGAACAAGCTGACACAGTCGGTTGCTGCTCTTTGCGTGTTGAGCACATAACGCTTCACCCTAATAAGGACGGAAAGGAATTTGTGGTTGAGTTCGATTTCCTTGGAAAAGATTGTATTCGTTATTATAATTGTGTTCCGGTTGAGAAGAAAGTTTTCAAGAATTTACAAATATTTATGGAAAATAAGCAAAAAGGCGATGATCTGTTCGATCGATTGAATACAGCGATTTTGAACAAACACTTGAACAGTCTTATGGATGGCCTCACTGCCAAAGTTTTTAGAACATACAATGCCTCAGTTACCTTGCAATCGCAACTGGATCAATTAACCGTTTCAGATGACAATATAACAAAAAAACTTCTATCTTTCAATCGGGCTAACAGGGCTGTCGCTATTCTTTGTAACCATCAAAGATCCGTACCAAAAACATTCGAAAAATCAATGGAAAGACTTCAAGAGAAGATTGAGGCCAAAAAGGAGGCTATACGCGCTTGTAAGAAAGAAGTTAAAGATGCTAAAGCAGAATATAAACAAACTGGGTACATAATTTATTTGTAATTTTAAATACCCCTCGTAATTTTACCTTTAAATTTCATCAGATCTGATAAGGCTGGCACCGCTTATGAGAAGAAGAAGAAGCAGTTACAACGCCTTGAAGAGCAACTGGCAAAGCTTGAAATGACTGCCACTGACAAAGATGAGGGTAAAGAAATTGCACTTGGAACTTCCAAGTTGAATTATTTGGATCCAAGAATATCAGTTGCTTGGTTGGTATTTTATTGTAAAATAGAATTATCTTTATGCTAAATTTCATTTAAATTTTAAAATCTTCAGGTGCAAGAAATGGGAAGTACCAATTGAAAAGGTTTACAATAAAACACAAAGGGATAAATTTGCTTGGGCTATTGAAATGGCTGGAGAAGACTTCTCCTTTTAGAGATTTTATTATCTTGTTTGTTTATGTACTATCGTTACATATGGAATATAACTAACGTATACGTTAGACTTAGGAGATTATTCTTTTTCAAATATTTATAATCAATGAGCATGTGTGCGAGCACTCTTACCTATATATAAATATATATACGTATACAAATATGTATATATGTATGTATATATTGAACACCTACGAAATTTCACTTATTGTTATCATGTGAAGTTAATCAGTAATATCGATGTTGTTCATCTCTATAGTATGTGCTTTTACTTCTAATATTACGTTTGTGATGCAGAGGATTCTTTATTTAATATATGGTTATGGATACGTGTTTTTACAACTCTGAGTTATTCAGATTTCAAATCTTATCTATGCCGCCAAAATATCGAATACAAACCTAAATCATCTATGGCGTAACAGTGTCCACATTAACGATGATTGTACAATGTATTCCTTAGCTTTGCCTTCCAAACACGGCTATTCAATACAATTTTCACCCTATCTTCCCGACAGGATAGCATGTGCTGGATGCCAAAATTATGGGATTCTAGGTACAATGTGTTATTAACCACTAGAGAAACTCTGAATTTAACTAGGTCTTTTTAAACAGGTTCGGCAAATGTGTTTATTATAGATATTGCAGCGTCTAATTTAGTCATCAATAAAGTTTTTAACTGGAATAATGCTATATTTGATATCTGTTGGTCAGAATGTAACGAAAACCTTCTTATCGGTGCTGGTGGGGATGGATCATTATTAGTTTACGATGTAAAACAGAACACTGAAAATCCAGTAAGAGTTTTCAGAGAGCATGAAAAGGAAGTCTATTCGGTACATTGGAACCAAACACGTCAACATCAAATGATTTTAACCGCATCATGGGATTTTAGTGTAAAAATGGTATTCACATATGTCATATCTTTTGACACTTAATGTAAAATAATAATTGTTTATTTAGTGGGATGTTCTTAGTTCATCCGAATCTTCTATAGCCACTTTTCGACACTCTCAAGCAGTAATATATGACGCCCAGTGGTCCCCGTTTAACGCTCAACAATTCCTCTCTGTCACTGGTGCTGGTTCTGGTTTCATTTGGGATACGAGAAGCAATCAGGCACCAGCTGTTGCTTTAGCGAAACAAGAAACTGAAATTTTAAGCTGTGATTGGTGTAAATATGACGTAAATGTTGTAGTTACAGCTTCTACGGATGGAGTAATACGTGTATGGGATGTACGTTCCCCTAACCGATGTACTTGTGAACTCGTTGGTCATGAAATGGCTATTCGGCGAGTTAAATTTTCGCCCTTTTCACCTAACAAGATAATTTCTGCATCTTATGATTTTACAGTAAAAACGTGGAACTTTCAACAGCAACCGTCTCCCTTAGAAACGTTTAAACATCATACCGAATTTGTTTATGGTCTAACTTGCAATTTACATAAACCAGGAATAGTCGCGGACTGTTCCTGGGACAGAACAATTAAAGTTTATCAATGTAATAGCATAATACAAAAATAAATTTTATTAATCCATTTTAAGAGGTTTTCGATTTTCTTTCAACTTTTGGTTATGCAAATTTTTTTCGTATACTTCTGACAATATTCTCTCGCTCTCCTCTTCATGAATAGAGTTTCTATACGTTTTCATTATATCATATTTCTCCCATGGTTCAGCTGTTTTTTCAGCTAACTTCTTTTCAACTTCTCTCAAATGTTCATCTAAGCCTTCTACTCCCTTCAAATTTTGCCTGTGCCATTTTTGGTTCCATGGTCGTGGACCAATTTTTAACTGTTTAATGGAAATTAACATTTTATCAAAAATAATGTTAGACTTTTTTTAAAAATAAAAACTGACCACTATATCATTGACAGGGATAGGAGCTCCTGGTGGATGTTGAACAGGTTCCATATTAAAATTAAATGTCGAATATTTTGGATCGCAGTCTCGTAGGTAATATAATTCTTCGTCTAATCGTTTTTCTAGTTTTAAAACTTCAACTTTTTGAATGGTAGGATTATATAATTCGTATAAAATTTCCACTCCTATATTATCAACAACGTTCCTAAGAGTGAAACTTGTCCGAAGCCCATTACCATTTTTAGCAATGCAGATACCAACAAATCTATTGTACTTTCCTGGAGCATAAGGATCAGACACTGTAATAGCCAATATGCTTCCTAATATGAAAAAAAAACAGTTTAATCTTGGTACTAAGTGGATTGTTTTAATGTTCAGAAAATACCTGGATAGAATTCTGGAATATTAAGGACAGCTCTCCTCCTTAACATATCTTTTCTCTCTAATTTTTCTGTAATTCGGTCTCGCTTTTTCCAATCAGCATTCGGCAGAAAATCTGGATATTTTTTCCTATAGAAAAATTTGAGTTTTTGTTATAGATGGCATGAATTGTTAAAAAGAAAAACTTACTTGTAGTCCTTAGGTGCCTCAAAAGGGGGAAAGCTTTCCGTTTTCTCTCTGTCATGACTGAGCTCAGAGCGTCTATGTTTCTCTAAGGTTCCGTCGAAAAGAGTGTTTGAAAACCTCTTTTGTACCCCGCAATAACCTACGTGCAATACAAGTTTTCAATATCGCTCACAATAAAAAGCATCTCAAGTAGCGACAGTGAACATTACATATTAAGATATTCTTGTTATTAGTAAACAAACTAGTATTATACTTGCACAATAATATAAATTTTTTTAATGATACGTACATTCTAGATTTCGAATGTTGGAAGCGATCAATGCTCTTCTAAATACCGACATAGTACATATCTGATAAAAGATACAGAATATTTCTCATTACCAGTTTGTACGAGAAAAAATTATAAGAGCATGCTCCTTTTTTAATCTCGAAAAATATCGTGAGACTTGGTTGTCAACGTAATCTGTTATTTTGAACCTCAAACAAATCCTGTACGAACCTTTTATAACATTTCCTAACGTATTTTATAAACAAGAATGGATGATTTTCAAACCGGAGAAGAGGTATTAAAATCGAACTGTAAATATTAAATGCAAGATTATTAACATTTTTCAAAAATAGACCGCATTCGTTGTGGAAGAGGTTTCTACAATTATAAAAGAGGTACCTTTTTTAAAATTTGATTTATTTGAGCAATTAATTTTATAATCAATAAACAGTCAGTTGAAGGAGCAATCGGAGGAAATGCCTACCAACATAACAAAGTTAATCAGTGGACCTCAAACGTTGTTGAACAATGCCTAAATCAATTAACAAAGTTAAATAAACCTTTTAAATACATAGGTATGTTACAGACTCGTATATATGGTTTGAACTAATACTATTGTAAGCAAAATGTCATGTTCTCTCTACAGTGACGTGCGTTATCATGCAAAAGAATGGTGCTGGTTTACACACAGCCAGTTCTTGCTTTTGGGATAATTCTACTGACGGTAAATAATACAAAATTATCTAAAATATAATATTAACAAATTATTATTCTATTTTCGTATTATTCCTAATTTTTGTTTTTTTCCCCTAATAGGATCATGTACGGTTAGGTGGGAAAATAAGACAATGTACTGTATCGTAAGCGTATTCGGTTTGGCCATTTAGGGGGGATTGGAAGCAAATCAATTTGGATATAACCTAATATGAACATTTAATAGATGAAGAATTATGTTTTTGTCGTATTTTAATTTCTTCCATTTTTTTCTTTAAAAAAAAAGAACATTGAATAAATTCATCATTATACTCACTTTTTTCATATATCATTGTAATGTCTTTTTTTATTGATGTAAGCCTATTAACACGTTAGTAGAATGTGACTTCGAAGCTATCTCTTTATTAGTTGCGCCCTCTATAGACGCATAGCAACCGTCTTTATTGGAGCTTCGCTGTTTATAGTGATAGTCATTCGCAGTTTGTGACAATGTTAAAGGCTATATGGAAGTGCTAGAAGCCCCTAGGAATCGTTCAAATCCAACGAGATTGCCTCCTCTTAAATGCCATAGAGGGAGCAGGACCGCCATCAAAAGTGGCGGTTCAGTAACTTCTCAGTTACTAGATAAGTTGGAAGACTCTACAAAAGCGCGCGAAAAGCAGGTTTGTCATATATAACAATAATATTAATAATAACAATATGATTTCTCCTTTTCCTTTTCTTTCTATTCTTCTTTATTCAATTTTATTAAATATTACAATAAGATACATTCTTCTTTCAATAAAAAATATCATAAAAAGGCCTAATCATTACTAGAATACATAAAGGAGTGTTAAACTAATAAACTGTCATAATAGAATCTATTGAATAATCCAAAGGGTGCGATCCCTAGATATTTTCCTGACCCAAAAGAAAATAATTCGAATAAACGAGAATAGGAGAAAGAGAAGAGAAATATAATAGAAAAAGGAAGATAAGTTTGTCTGTTGTATACGAGAGAGTATATTACATGTGTTTTTATTGTTTAATAAAACGTATGATAACGTTTAGATGAGCTAAAAAAAACTGCTGATAAGAACGTCATTTTTTATAAAATTTTAGCTTATATTGAGAATATTTTTGAGATGCAATTATTTAATCTATTTTTGCTATTATTCATGCTTTTATGATAGTAAGTTCAGTCACCTATTTATGAGATTTTTTTTATTACTTTTTCCTCCATTCATTCTCTTCCTCTCTCTCTCTCTTTCTTTCTCTTACCTCCTCTCCTCCCCTCTTCCACGTGAATAATAACAACCAGTATCCCCTGCCTCCTCTAACCCCTTCTTTTTCTTTCTCTCCCTTCCTCTTTCTATTTGTCTTTGTTACTCTCTCAATAACTTTATTAAAAAATAAAAGTGACGTTGTAAAAAATCGATAGTACTTTTTTCATTGGTTGTTTGTAAAGTTTGAACTATTATTGTTTGCCATATTTGATATATGGGAGCAGCCAGTTTTTGTTCAAGAACTTTACGTTGTTTTCTTATTCTTCTTTAATTTATAAGTAATAAAACGCTTAAGAGTCTTTCTATAAATATGCATATATATATTAAACAAACAATCAAAGTCAGTCGAAACGTCACGTTCTCGTATCGAACGACATTACTTCGATCGGTCCCTTATCTACGTAGTAAATAAACTTGAATATAAGGAAAATAAAGACATTATAAGATTGTTCAATTTTTGTTAGAGAAATTAAGAAGGAATAACAAATGAATAACAATAAATATCAACAGAATAAAAGTGCCGAATATAGAAGAGATGATGAAGAAGTAGAAGCCTCGTTCAATCCTAATCCATTACCGTTCAAAACTGAATCGTTCAAGTAAGCAATCATTTATTTTCAGACCTATATTGATTTAGGAGGAAAAAAGTCTAAAAAAAGCTCATTTACAATCGATTAGATCTTCAACGGTTGTTAAACGGGTACCACTGATGAACCGAAATGAATACGCTCACTTCCTGTTTGCTCAGCCAGATCAAACTTATATGCCAAAAACTAGAGGCCTTTTCTTACGTACAGAGAGATATGAAGTAAGAAATATCGACTCTCCTTTAATCAACATCTTATTTATCGAAAAATCTTTAATGAATTGAATATTTCAGACTGAAGAAAAATGTAGCTTTCGCGAAACGAGTCCAACAAATCAAAGGGAGAGAATTCAAGCAGAAAGAGTCTACGGTGATCGAATGAAGGATTGGAGGAGAAGAAGAGAATTTATGACTCATCGAATACCTCATCATCTCCTATTAGGAGGGACAAAAGTTGCTATGAACGAGCGTATGGATATAACTGGAGAGATACGGCGCTTAAAACAAGTCACCTTACCAGATAGAGCAAAGGATTTATATGTCGGTCGAGGAATTAAATTACCACCGTAATATCTCACCGCTATATCGTATTCGTTTTATCAATACGTTTGTCTATAAATAACAGAACCCATGGAATAAATAAACCAAAAGTACTTCCCACACCCCCAAGCATGCTAAAGAAGGAAAAACGCGTTCACACACTTGTTCAACCTCCTCCAACTGCCTCTAACAAAACTGTATTTTCCGAAGTATTCCAGGTTAATCAAATTCATTAAATTAGCATAAAATTCTCCAATATCTTATATAAATATATTTAATTATAGACGTATGCCGACCGTTTCGATCCAGAAAAAGTAGACATACTTTATTCTTCAATAAAAAATGAAAGTGAAATAATTCAATTTCAACATTTCGAGCAATCGATCAAGTCAAATTTGACGAAATGTCAAATTGAATATCTCCAAAAATTCTTCCAAGAACTTATATTTGCCAAAGAAGATAAAAATTCCGTTTTCTTTTTTTCCGCTCTTGCTGACTGCATTGCTGATTGGGCGGACGAAGATATAACTCAATCTTTTGATAAATATCAATATGAAGACTTTGAACAAAATTTATATTCTCATGCAGTAAGAACAAGCCTATACTTATTTATCGATATATATATATATATGTGTGTGTTTTCCTGCAGCATTCATTCGTATCAATCGATCTCGAGAAAAAAGGGGTTGCCAACCTTGAGGCATTGATTAAGAATCTAAATTTAAAAGACTCTGATTGCAGACCTCTTCTTAATGTAAATACTTTCTTATTTTCTTTATAATTTTAAGATAACAGAGCTTGAAAATATTTAATAAACGATTTATTTTCAGAGATCAGAAAATGGCTCAGTTACATTAATAGAATGGTTTTCTTGCTTCCCGTTTTTAGATTTATTACAAAAAAAATAGGAATCATGTTAAAAATACACACTGTATAATTATAACGTACGTGTATTTTATACGAACTGTACAAAAAATCACAAACAGGTGTTGTTTTCAAATATTCATTCGGTTCGATAAAATAAATTTCAAAAGTAAGATACATGCACAGTATGTCGTAGTTTATGATTAAAGAAACAAAATATTTAATACCTAATAGGAAAAAGCGACAAAAAGGTTCTGAATCTTTATCTTCGTTTGTATATATATATATATATATATATAAATAGGAGTGACAATGAAGCTTATTAACTTCTTAAGCAGATGCTATAATCTGATGCGAGTCAGAATTATTCTCCTGTTGATGCGGTGGAGTAGCAGAAGTAGGTAAATTATGGGCCGGCTTTTGCTGACTACATGATTTTGCCACCGATTCAAATAATCTGAAAGAAGACACATTAGAATTAGAAAACTTAGTTTCACGAATAAATTCCAAATATTTATAATTACTTTTCAATTTCCGGAGCGCAATGAACAAATGAATGCTGCCAGAATTTAAAGCTGGGGTTCTTTATAAGTTCGATAAACGTTATTAACAATCCCCAAGGATGAGGCCTATTGACTATCAATCGTTCAAGGAGCACACGAGTAATCTGCTCTTGTATAGCTTCGGTATTTGCTTCAGCAAATAGATACAATAGAGCGCTCGAGAAGTAATGAGTATGCGAATTTGGGTAACGCAAATGATTGGCCATAGCATTGAGGAAAATGTATCGACCTTCCGTATCCAGAGCAACAGCTAAATTCTGAAAGATATCCATGTGAGCCGAGTGAGCAATAGCTGACATATTAGGGCTCAGATTTCGACTGTATATATGATTGATGGCTTGTGATCCAACATACAGCACTAGTGCGTTCATCAAGCTGATATTGTAGCGTGTTCCAAGCTCAGGACAAGGTTGTTGCAAAGTGCTTCTCATTTCTGACAGGAAAGAAACTGGAGCTCGATTCAGCAGATAAGAGTCTAAATCTTTCTTAAAGGAGCTTGGTTGAATAGCTCCTGCATAATTAATTTGGCACTTGGGCGCATGGTTAATTTCTTGGAGCATCTCAATTTTCAAATTTGGTGTAAAGGGATCCGGTAAACGCATATTTCGGGGAAATGCGGATAAAATAAGGTTTCTCATCTGAATGCAGTTTGGTGGAACAACATCACAAAATGCGTAATGGTAGTCACATAACAGTTCAGGAAAGTCGTGTAGCATGATCAGTAATACTCTAAGTGCACCTCTATACAACAGCAAGGTTGATTTTTTGAGGTCAGCATTTCTTAGGAATGGAGCCATGTATCGAAACAGGTCAATGAGCAATTGAGCATACATTGGCCATCCTTGTTGATTTGGCGTTATTGCCAGCATTCTACCTATAAAGACACGGTGAGAAATCAGTTCTAACCAGGCAAATGCAAATCCAGGAGCTCGAGAAGGTCTCATTACGTGAAATACGTTAAAAAAAGCACAGAGAACTTGATAATTGATATTTTCTAAAATTCTTTCGGGGGAATTTAGTTCCATAAATAGCATTATGAAGATTCTATGATATGGTAATTGTTGAAAAGAAACATCACGTAATTCATGATCTTGCATCATAACGCCAGCGACAATACCAAGAACCTTGTTAAGTAAATTAACTTTAGTAACCATATTTGCTTCATCCCCAGAATGTTTAACAAGTAAGGCTATGAGACGTACAAAGGCATCCAACCTTTGGAAACATTTAGTTTTCACACTGATTGGTAAGGGTTGATGTTGAGATCCGTGTTCAGACATCAATTTATATGTCATGTCAACACTCATTTCAGTGCACAGACGGAAAAAACGAGTTATAAGATCATCCGTTTTAAGGATACCTTGCTGATGCATGTGCTGAACAAAGTTAGAAAATGCTTTGGTTGAATCTCTTCCAGCTGCTGGTTGGTGGTACATGTGAACCCATTCTCTTAACAAAGCATCAGCTTTTTCTCTCAGGCCTGGGGGATCATCAATTTCTCTTGCTTGCATAATACCCGAATGCATCATACTGTTTGGAGCTGTGCTTGAATTTCGTTCTATCATACTGCCTTCGTTTTGATATAGACGTATTTTTTCTACTAAAGCTCCTAAACCATCAGTAAAAATGGGTGGCGTTGCTCCAACTTGTATAAGACGTTCTAAAGCCATATAAGTGTTAAATAGTTCAGATTCTGTCAAGAACGGGGTTGTTAATCCATGTTTCTCTTTTGGAAGGAGTAGATTTTCACAAAGAGTCATTGCTAATGGAAGCATATGCAAATGACCTTGATCATTAATCAAAAGACCTAGAGCTGTATCATACTGTTGCATGTGAACGAGCTTTGCTTTTATTAATCTCTCCACAACCTCCACGCATCTTACGGTGTCATCACGCTTTTCTATGAGGCAACGAGTCACTTGTTTAACCGTCCACTGTTGACTATGTGGATTTAAATCATATAGGGCTTGTAAAACCATCATGTGAATCTTTCTGAATTCCTCCAGTCTTGATAAATCAACATTTTGAGCTTGTGTGCTATAACTCTCCAACAGCCCATCAACTGCCTGAGCAACGACACTACACGTAGCTGTATGACCATCACGATCTGCCATTGACGCAGACACAAGTTTTTCTAACAATAGGTTTAAATGACTCTGTATATTAGGCTGCAAAATTACATTCATCAGTTGGTGAATTCCGGATTCCATCTTGGCAAGAAGACGCTTGAAGCCCGAGCATAATTCGTCTGTATTAATTCCCGAAAAGTTGGTTATCCTTAGCGGTGTGCTCTGCTGCATTTCAGATGAAACTGAAGGTGCTGATGGCATTCCAGTGGTGGAAAACCCTGGAATATATCTTCCGAATTCTTCGTATACGACGTTAAATTGAGAAGATCCTGTTTTGATTCTTATCTGTTCCGGCATCCTTTCGTGAAAATAGGCCAGCACATTCGTATCTTTGTGTAGACGACCCTCAGCTCTAGCTTGCTTTCGGATCTCATATTCTGAAGCTAATCGTTTGTCAATTTCAACTAAAGCATCCTCAACTGCTGTTTTCTGGATGAAAGCTACACAAGCTTCAATAGCATCTTGACTTATCGTGTTGACTGCATATTCAATCATATCTTTCATTTGAGTTGTACTTATATATTGTGCACTAACAACAGGAAGCTTTTGAAGGACCGTGTTGATGGTTGTTTTCAGCTTATCCACTAAAGAGACTAAGAGGGGCTCTCTACAAGTTATTAGTGCCATTCCAGCTGTCATATTTCTGGTCATTTGCTGGGCAGCACTTCTCATTCTTGTTTCATCTCCCTCAAGAGCGAAGTCTTTTTTGATTATATGTTCTACTGTCATCAATGTAATTTTAATACTCCTTTCTACTCCAGGTTTGAGAAGTTCGTTAACTGCTGTTTGAATAAATGGTTTTATGACGTTTTTCACTTGTGGAAACTGAATTAGTAATGGTAAATTCTCATTAACGGTGATTAAGGGCATGACACCTGTATTCAGGTTAATGTCCATATATGAGAATTGTGGCGTACACGGCTGAGTAGTTTGAGTAACAACAGGTTGTTGAACTGGAGTGTGTACTTGTTGCATTGCCATCCCTGCACTCACTGGGGTTTCTGGAGTAAGTGGTGGATGTTGAATCTGAGCGACAATTGCTGAGGCCATGTCCTTTGGAGGTGGTTGCAATTGGTGGACTTGAGGAGAAAGCTGGAATTCTAATTTAGCGTATCGCTCAGGATTTCTCAAGTAGCGTTTGGGTTTCAAATCACCTATGTCCACTCTAAGATTTTTACACAATACTTCGATCTCGAACTTCAAGTTAAGTTTCAAGTCCGGTTCGTGATGAAGTTCGGCGAGGGCATTAATCAACCCCATCGTCCACGGACAAGGAGGGGCAAATATTGAACTTTTTGCACAGGATTCTAATACTTTAGCGACGAAGGGAACAACATACAGCAATTCTTGGCTTCTTCGATGGTATGCCTCATAGAGTAAAGACTTCAAGTCAATATCCGAAGTTAAAATTGGTTTATTTTTACCAACTGATAGTAGACCTAGCCAGTGTCCAAGGTTCTTGAGAAGAGATCTATCTGAGAAGTTAGCTGCTCCTTTATCACTAGTTAAGAGTACTTTAATGTTCCTAAATGTTTCCTTTACAACCAAATCAAAGAAATTAGGCGCATTGTACTCTGATATTACTTTGTCATATAAGCTATGAAAATTCGGTTCTATAGAAGCCCTTTTCATCACAAGGTATTGTGCAACCCATGGCACATACTCTTCTGAAACGCACTCTCGTAATTCCTTCGATTTTTCTGACATATTTGCTTTTGACAGATTGTTAAATATAAAGCCAATTTTGTCTTGAACACTTTCAGGAGGAACTGTAAATTTATCTTGATTAGCAAGTAAAGTATCAATGTTGGTCGTGTTTGCTATTGACGGCTTTCCAACAACTTGTCCAGGAACAGGACGCTGAATTGTGACATGCTGTAAGCCAGGGGATGGTTGGACTGCTTGTGAAGTTGTTTGTGTCGGTGCTGCGGCAGCAGGTAAGGCTGGATGAGAGGCAACTGTTGACATTCGAGCGCTTGGTAAGATCGTTGATAGCGATGTTTCTAATGGCGCAGGGTTATGTGGTAACACAGAGCTAATAGCACCTGGTGTTGGTGGTGATTGCGATCTCATTCCACAGTCGATAAATACCTTCAAGTTATCAGGAAGCGAAGAAAAATGCGGTAGTGCGGCTAAGTGATGACAGTATTGCGGATAGTCCTTTAGCCGAGTTTTGAATTTTTCTAGGGCTGTTATACCGAAATAATACATTTTTGCATTGTTTGGTTTTTTAAGAGCTTCGAGCACATAGCGTAAGGCCAATCCTAGGTTCATGTAAGTTACCAGTCCCTCCTTAATAATACCCCCAAATAATTGCGATGTTGTCTCAAGTTCTTTATCAGGATATTGATGAAAAAATCGATATTCGTCAAATAGGCTTCGAAGCATACATGAATAAACTGCTTTATCACGATGGTCACTCGAAACTTTAAATATCTTGAATTTATCTAATAAAGCTTGGACGCTTAAGACATCTTGGGGGGATTGGCTATACAACCTTTGAAAATAGGAATTGGCCTCTTCTTCCACGTCGTCTGAGTAAGGAGGATTAACGGGTAATTGTTGAGATGGTGTCGTTGTATTAGTGGTATTATGTTGAGGACCAGAAGTGGTGCCTTTAAGACCAACGACTGAAGTTACGGCAGAATCAAATGGCACGTGTTTCAAAACGTGAGAGCTAGGTTGCTGGAGAGATGGACTTATTAAATTGTTTTGAACAGGCGGCATCGCATGGGGCAACTTAGGCGAGGAGTGACCAGGTACTCCAGGAGAATACATTTTACTGAAGACTCTATTAGCGTTTTGATAAATGGTTTCTACATTTTGCTTCGTTTCATTACTAATAGCATGCCTTTGTAAGCAAAATTCCTGCAGTATTTTGGTCATATTCAAAACTTGCTCTACAGTCAATATTAGATTCTTCATTTTTGGTTCTTCATGAGGATTATGTAGCATTGGATATTTTTGTTTCAGAAAATTAACACACATGTCTACCAATTGTCCCTCATGTTCAACTAATTTATCACTTAACCATTTCCCCATGTTGAGATACTCTCGGCGACTAGCTAAGCACGCTAAATCAATGACAAACATGGTTGGTTTAAGATTTAGCAGTACAGATAATGCTTTCAAATCTTGGGCTACATCTAATAGCCTTCCTAAAGTCTGATCTTGTTGTTCACCTCTGATATAGTACTCCTGCATACTCATTATCAGCATTTCCTGAGCCTTTCCATTCACATTCCATGCATACTGTAAGATAGGTGTTGAGTTAGCATGATTGTTCAAAAAGTGTGGAAAGAGTTGTTTGATCAGATCGTGCTTCAATTTATTCCAGAATGGAACTTGCAACAGAGCCAAGATAAGAACTTCTGGACAATTTTGAGCCGGAAACTTAAAAAGCTCTTTGCTTTCTGGATAAAACTGTTCTGATATCCTTAGTAGAACTTCATGTATATCTAAGCATTTCCACACAGATACAATCTCCTCGTCTGGTTGAGTTTTCAATACATCCAATGCAACGCTTTTAACTGGATTGTCAAAGATTTTCAAGACCTTTGGGTATTTCACACATAAAGCAATTATTGATAGCTGGCCTTCAGTATTTTCCCAAGGTCGAAAGAGCAGGTCAACAGGGAATGGAATACTCAAAGTAATCGCTTGAACAATTAGTTTGAGACCATCTACAGTAGAGACGTTGAAATAGGGATAATCTAGTTTGGCCACAACGTCTCGAAAGTTGATATGAGGAGATACTTCCTGGACAGTTCTTGCAAAGACAATTCCTTTCCAAGTATGAACTTCCGGTCCATCTGTGTAAGGACTTCCCCCAAGAGCATTCAAAGAAATACTATCGTCTGCTTTTAAGTTGCCCAGACTGTTGGCCATCATTCCCAACACTCGAGCAACACTCTCAGCCGTTATGCTACGGCTATCAAATTGAGTTAAAGTTCTCTTGCATTCATCCACCGAAGATGTAAATACATAGCCAATCTCTCGTATGGCTTTTGCCAGAGTAGACTCTGTAAATGGTTCTGACATTTCTGTATGAGGCAAAGGTGCGTCAAGAGATATTTCTGAAGAATGAATTGAATCAAGTAGAAAACTTGTGCGATTGTCTCCTATATTCTTTATGATAAACTCTTTCAGTACGTTAGAATCGTCCAGCAGTAAGACTTCTTGCAAGATACTGATATCAGCGTTTTTAATATCTTCTTCGGCTGTTTAACAATTTCATTATCTACGCAATTTTCACAATCCTTAGTTTACTCACCAGACACGCACTGGATAAGGTTTGATAACTTTGCTTTTGCAAATGAAGAAGCGTTCTTCTTTGTTTCTGAATTAGACGAATGCAAAAGCGATAAGCTGAACGCGATCTCTTCAATACTATTCAGTTGTAGTTGCTTGGAGAGAGTCGTAAGCAGCTGCTGGGTGATAATTAATTCCTAAAAGAACAAATTTCCTAATAAATTGTATACCTTTTTAAAGTGATATACTCAACCTTATTACTAATTGGATTATCTAAAGCCGAGCAGAGAACAGAAGGCAAATTTGGTTTAACGAGTAGCGCGTGGATTTCTTGAACTAACAGCTGAATCTGTCAGGAATAACTGATTACGAAATTGTACAGTTGTATTTCGAAACTCATTACCTGGTGGTTATCCTTACCACCATTCTTCGCGTCAAAAGACAAGTCAATATAAGCAAAGAGGCACCGAAACAAGTGAGTATAGGCTTCGTTACCGTGACTCGCTATTAGCTGGAAGGAAAAATCAGAATGATAAATTTTAGATTTTAGGTTTTAGCTAGAGCTTGTACTCACATTATTAATCTCACTGACGCTATGCTTATAATTTTTTTTATTCAAATTCGCAACAGCGTAAGTGATTTGCGAAAGAGCGAACGACAGCGGGTCAAGATTCATAATAATTCGTCCGCAACGTCGAAAGCTCCTATTGCTTCTGAAGCTTCCGTCAAACAGTTCATAATACGACACGAATTTTGTAGTTGTACTTTCAGTAAATCATAATGAGGCGAAAACATGGAGAGTTGACTCGCTAAATCTATGGCGTCGAGAAAGTAGCAGCCATTTTGATTTCCGGTTAAAAGAGTGTATGTATGGTTTCAGTTCAAAAGCCAAAAGTCTCCCTATATATATTTAATTTTTTGTAAGGATTAGGATACCATATTAAATTTTTCGTCAGATTTAAGTATTTTCTTTTGCAATTTTAAAACTTTAGTTTCTAAAATTATCACCATAGCTCAATTGTAATATTTTAAACAAAACAGAAAGATATAATATCTTTTGAAGCTTTTAAAAATATATATTTGCAACAGCGACCTCTATTTCCCGCAATCCTTAAAAAGTTCTCTGTCTGAATTCCACCTGTATCTTTGTTGCATGAACGCCATCTATCGATAATCACTAATTTCAGGTGTGTTGTTTAAATTCAGTTTTTGAGTATTATTTTTCATCGATCTAATGTAAATATAATTACATATAACAGCAAATGTGATTTACCAAAGGTGTAATAAGCCGAAATTGACCAAGTTCAGACTTTTTGACGCAGAACATTTCGATCAGGTAAAACCTAAAACTCTTCTTTATTTGGATCATACCTAATATATCATAAACAAAACTTTCAGCAATTTGTAATCGGCTCATTTCGCAAAGATGTCGAATGCTTATATGGATACTGCTAAACAGAGAAAATTTTATCTTGCTTCTCTTAGACGAAATGAACCTCCATCCTTTCGACCACACATGATAATTTTGGTAGTTCTGGCAGGTGCAACGGTCTTTGTTGGCTTAGTGATAACTGTTATATCGTATTTTCCGGGATATAGTTCACCTTCTAAGGGTGGTGAGGCTTTAAAAATAGCCGGTCCAACAGTTTTGGGAGTGGGAGGTCTATTCTTAATTTTGTTGATTATAGAGAGTTGCTACAATATGTCAAAAGAAACGGAAAAAAATCAACAATATTTGAATGATCAAACAGTGGATAGACTGTAAGTTAAGATGAATATTTATCATTTGGTCTAACACGTGTTTTATTTCTCATTTTTCTTATCTGTCTTTCTCTCTAACTCTATTCCTATTAACAATCTTTATTTAGTGACCCTCTAACCCAAATGAGTCAACTAGAGACGGAGGAAGATCTTAAACAAATGTATTGTAACACTTACTTTTCCTTTTCTATTATCTTTTCTTTTACGAAAGCATTATTTCAACTCTAATATTGATATAATTTCCAGGAGCATTGTTACTGGGCAAACAGTTGGCTCAGAACCAAAAGGAATACTGAAAAACAAAACGGGATCTCTTTCAAATTTTGAACAACCTGAAATGGCTTCTTTCCCCGCTCCTCCTCAGAATAATGACTTCGATGAAAGTCAGACGTCCTATAAGATCTACTCCGTAGAAACCCTACCAGAAGTTCCGGCAACCAAGGTACCAGAGCCCCAATATTCTAAACCCAAACGAAAAAAGGAAAAACTTCAAGCTGCTCCAGCTCAATATCATGAACCACAACAGAGTTTAGCTGGTATGGGAGCGGGAACTTTCGCTGGTGGAGTTATCGGAATGTCAGCTAATTCTCCAATGACAAGTGATATGTCATACCACGAAACTTCCCAAGATAGGTATATGCCGCAATCAATCGAGGCTCAGAATGTTTATATCGATCAACGTGGTCAACCGATGTCAGCGTCTCGTCCCAGCATTGAAACGGAAATATGAATAAAAACAGTCGGTTATTAAAGCAATGGACATTTTTTTTTAAGATTTCATTTTATAAATTCTGTATCATATATCTTTTAGCTATCTATCAGTTGATTTTTTGTATAAAGATTCTTACGAAACAATACTGAATAAACATGAAATTAGTTTATATCTGAAGCATTATTTTGTTACTTTTTTTTCAAAACATCCAGAATAACGTCCGCCTTTTCTCTAAGCTTCTCCTTCATTTCTTCCTCTTTTTCAATGAAAGTAATAGTTTCTTCTTTTATTTCTCTAACAGCAGATAAAATTTGACTTTCGGTTTTATCTACTTGTCTAAAAAAAAGAAACAATTAAAAAGTTTTTAAATATGAGTATATTGCAAACTTGAAGTATTGAAAGCATTCTGATTGATGAATTTTCTCAAAGGCCGAACTTAAAATATCTAAACAGAAATATGTCAAAAAAGTTAGCTTTATTTTAAATATAGTTAAGCCAACCGTTGAAATTCTTAAACGTATCTTGCTCAAGCGTTAGCACACTTCTAGGCTCAGACTCTATGATGAAAAAACAGCCTTTGTTTGTCAATTTAAGCAAAAGATTTTATTTAAATACTCAGATCATTGATATTGAATTTAGTCACAATACTCGAAGTCTGATCTGTTCTTTTTCCCGCGTCAAAGTTTTGCTGATGATCTACAACAGAAATGAGATTTTTGCCCCATCAGAAAAGTTAATACCCACTATTTGGTCTTTTTCGAGGTGTCGGGGAAAATTCAGAAAAATCTACAAAGTTACTTGAACGCTTGTTCGAGTCCTGTTTTTCGGAAGTCATGGAAAGCCAATCTTCACCAAAATTTGAAGATGATGAAAACTCAAACTTAAAAAAAAATAATAATAATATTTTATAGTGAAGCTGGCTAATTGAATGGTTACATTAAATCCTAAATTATTGGATTTAGATGATTCTGAAGTAGGTTGAGTGAGGCCAAACTGAAATAAATGTTTATATAAATCTATAAAAAAAATTGTTAATGATGAGATTACGCCTAGTCCTGAACTTCTTGACTTTGATTGTTCAGTTTCATCTTCTTTATCATTTCTCTCTCTAGTTGCAGAAGGAATATTTGATCCAACGCTAAAGTTCATATTGGAGTATAAATTCTTCTTTGAAGTCTTTTGCTACTAGATTTCCAAGTTAAGAATTTTCTTTCTCAACAGAATAGAATAGAACAGAGCTTTCCGCCAGTCGCTTTTCGAACATCAATCAGCGCCCTCTATTAAATATGGCGGTGTCCACAATCATAGGACGTGCCTGCCGGAGAAATGCTAATATTTTAGGTTCTATTAAACGTTGGTATTCAATAGAGCCTCCTGAATCAATATCGGGTCCAAAGTTAGGACAACTGGGCGTACCTGATAATTTAGTGAAAAATCCTTTGAGCTTTACCGAAAAAATAGCAAGTATGGGCGATATTAGAGTAAAATAACAACATTTCAAGTTTTTAAACTTACAGATAGACAAATTGTCGATGAAGAAATTATTAAGGTTCATAACATTGGGTTTCCTTTTACCTCAAAAACGGCATCATATAAAAATCGTTTAAAGACATATAAAAAATATAGCTCAAAAACGGAGTTGAGTGAAGGTCAGTTCAATAGATTCAAATAGTGACATAACTTGAAATAAAAGTAAATATTTAGATGACCGTATTGGAAGGACAAGCAAAGCTTGGCTTGAAGAGGAAGGACCTTTACATAAGTTAAGGATAGCAGAACATTTTGGAATATTCGAACACTTGTTCGAAGGAGCTTACTTTTATCCGATTGAAAAATTAGTTGTTGCTTATGACTACGATCATGATTTCGTTAGTCCTGTTTATTATGGAAATAGAATATATCCGGCAGATGTATGTTTTCAGGTGTACAATACATTTGATGATATCATTTTTTTTATCTTTTTAGGCTCAGAAAGCCCCACTTGTACGATACGCTAGTGATAATAATACTAAATGGTCTTTAATCTTAACTAATCCAGATGGGAATTTAATTGACAATCAATCTGAATGTTTACATTGGTTCATGTAAGTTTAAATGAAATTCCTACAGCAAAATAAACAGTATTTCTTATTCGTGTAGAGGAAATATACCTGGAAACAATATTGAAAAAGGCGACTTTTTATGCAACTATTTGCCTCCATTTCCACCGCGGGGAACGGGATTGCATAGAATGGTATTTTTATTGTTTAAGCAATCAGGAGAAATAAATTTCGAAGAAGAGAGACGAACAAACAGGTTGAACTTATTGAATATAGCCTAAACCCTATTGACTAAGTTGGATTTGCAGTGTAAACTTACAACAAAGAACATTCAAGGTAGCTGATTTGTTCAAGAAGCACTCTGCAGATCTAACACCAGCAGGACTCTCTTTTTTTCAAACCGAGTATGATGATAGCGTTCGCGAAACTTTTCATAAAACACTAGGTACATTATAAACAATCGTTTACTTAAATACCATAAAGGTATTGACATTTACATGCAAATTTTGCCAACAGATATGAAAGAACCGTCGTATGAGTATGATTTTGATCCATTTTATATTTCACCTATCAAGGAGTACCCTCATAAAGAACCTTTTGACAAGTAAATAACACTTAAAAACAATTTAATTCTTTAGAGGATATCCTAAAAAAAATGATCGTTTTCCTTTACCTATTTAAACAGATATTACGATCGTTATCGTGACAAGAAAGACATTGGTGAAGAAGTATTAAAGTTAAAAATGAAAATGATGAGCCCTTTCAAACCTTATGAACCAGAATTCAAATATCCAGGTGCTCATGAGCATTATAAAACTCAATGGGGTAAGCATTATAAGCCAACTTGGTTAATGAGGAGAGAAATGATGATGAATAGACGATTGGCGCAGTACAAAAGTTTGCCGTAAATGTTAATAGAAAAACTTTGTTTTCACTACTTTTCGGATTTAAATACATAGTTTATCTAGCACTTGTTGCGCTATTGTCTCGGCTCTTGATCTTTCCGGTAAATTAAAAACTGAATCTGTTGAAGAAGCTAGTCTGTTAACTATATCTCTGTTTACATATTGTCCAATTCCAACAGTGATTATTTCGATCCCTCTAGACTTTGCCTCTGCACCTGCCTGCAAAGTTCTTCCAGTTTCGCGATTCGCTTCACCATCAGATAACAATATCACAGTGTTTGGAACACCATCTCGATCTCCCCTATCCCGAACGAAGACATTTCTTACAACAGTGTCCAAAGCTTTTGCAATATTTGTTCCATCTTGAACTTCAAAAATATCGATAGCATTTAAGAGGTCTCTTCGATCGTTAGACGTATACTTATCCAAGGGAAAGCGTATGTTTGTGTTTGATCCGTATGTCACATAACCTACCCTAGTTCGACCAAATTGAAAGTCTAGGCCATGAATTACTTCTTTCATGAAAGACAATTGAGAATCGTATCCTACATCTTCCAAAGAACCTGAAATATCAACAACGAAAACGATGTCACGTTGTCTTTGACACTGCCTTTCACAATTGCGTCCAGTATAGGGTTCATTGCAGTCACATCTATAACGGCCAATTTCATCTATACACTGTCCATTATTGTTACAAGGCGAGTTTAAGCAGTCGTTTACTTTATTACAAAGAGCATCCCCAACAGAGGGTATCATCGTGCTTAATTCCTGATATTTTTGAACGTTAAATACATTGTTGGGATAAGGTTCACTAGCTAATGCGTGTAGAGTAAGGTAATTTCTGTTATAAAAGGAATTGTAACATTAGAACGCCACAAAGAGATATCATTTAGACTAATTACCTCCCTTTTGTCAAGCCAACGCCAACTGTTACAAGAATAATGTGAGTTCCCTCAATTCGGGCAGAGACTGCCTCAGGAATAGTATTAATCGTTTCGAGGTTAGGAACAGAATCAGTAACTAATATACAGTGATTTGGAACCTTTAGTCTGTCTCCATTTCTCTCTTGAAATAATTCTGATCGCATTAATCTTATAGCAGCAGCAATATTGGTTTTACCACCAATAAAAGGTAGTTTATTAGCTTGAAACATTATATCCTCTAATTGGGTTGCATCAGTTAAACCGAGTTGCATAACTGCTGTGTCACTAAAATAAATCAGACCAATCTTGATGTTATCACTTCTGTCTGTTTGTCTAACTATTTGTTTGACAAATTTGGTTAAATTTCCAAAACGTTCATGGGTTATAGAGCCACTTGAATCAATTAAAAATGCTATATCGGCCTTATTCGGGCATTTTCTTTCGCATCTTTCTCCAGTGAAACCTGGTTGACAGACGCATTGAAAACTGCTTAGAAGATCTTTACAAGTTCCCCCATTCAAGCATGGACTTGAATCGCATTCATTTTTTTCTGAAATTCGAAAAATGTAATAAACTATTCTTAACGATAAATAATTTACTCACTATTACAAGCTGATAATAAGATATTCGAAACTTGACCAGATAAAGAAGCATAGTCTGTTAAAACTTTAACGTTTTCATCAGTAGGATGACTCGCTATACCATACAATTCATCTTCTTCAACACTACCACCAATACCTATAGTTATTATGTGGATCCCTGCTTTTCGAGTTGCTGTTGCCTCTTCCCAAGTGTCATCTCGATTATTGGATTTTCCATCGGTCAATAAAATGATAACATTCAATGCGTTATCCCTATCACCGTTCAAACGAGTGAACATTGTTTGTCTAGCGACTCGGAGGGCTTCAGCCGTATTTGTCGTTCCTCCTGTGAATCTCAATGATAGGGCTTCTAACATTCGCTTTGTATCTGAATAGTCTTTTAGATTGAAATGAATATCTGTACCAGTTGAAAATGTCAAAACGCCAACTCTTGATCTTCCCCCATTTATGTCTAACCCTTGAATCATATCTCTAACAAAATCTTCAATTGTTGGGAAATTTTCTTTTTGAATACTTCCTGATGCATCGATCAGAAAAGCGATATCCACAGAATGTAAGCATTGATCTTCACATGTTCTTCCTGTAAAACCAGATGCGCATTTACAGTAAAATGTCTGTAGACTATCAATACAAGTTCCTCCATTCTTACAGGGGTCTGGATCACACTCATTGACAACATCACATATTATAGCAATTATACCATTGGAATAGGCAAATAATTCTGTATATGCTGGAACAAGCAAATGATTACGGGACCTCGGATAAGAGGCCATCATTTGTATTTCACTTTTTCTTATCCATTTACCGATGCCTAACGCTATAATGTCAATGCTCTGAGCTCTAGTTTTGCGAGCTTCATCTATTGTTAACTGGGGTTCTCTAGATGCACCATCGGTAATTAAAAGAACAATATTTGCCGCGCTTTGCCTATTACCATTCTGTGAAGAGAACATTGTTTCTCTAACATATCTAAGGGCTAAATGGGTGTTTGTTCCCCCATAATCGTACTGAATATTAACAATTTCTCTTGTTATTTCCTGAATGTTGTCATATTTGTTTAGATGAAATACAACGTGAGGAGAGTCACTAAAGGTTAGTACGCCAATTCTTGCTTGTCCTGAATCAACGTCCAGCCTGGAGGCCAACTCCCTGACAAAATTCAATACCCGTTTAAAATCACGTAGCTCGATTGAACCGGAGGTATCAATCATAAATATGACGTCTAATTGTTTATTTTTGCAGTCCGGGGGTGCTTCTTTACAGGTAACCTCTACAAGATTCTTTTCAATTGATTTTAATGTATCAAATTCTTTCAATTGAAAGTAGTGCGTGGAATCAGGATTGGAAGCAAGATTTCTCAATTCATCCTGATTGACCTCGGGACCGATACCTATAGCAAAAGTACGTAATCCCCTCTCATGAATCCTTTTAGCCTCAATTTCAGTGGCCGCTCTATCGCTCGATTCACCGTCAGTGACAACAATAACCAAATCACGGACATTTAGGCGATTTCCTTTGTTGGTATCGTATATAGCGTCCCGATTACCAACGTATAATGCTCTCAGGGCACCAGCCGTATTCGTTAATTGTTCTAAATATTCTATTTGATCAATAGCAGTAGTCAGGGACGTCTTTGTATAGTATTGGTTCAAATAGAATTCTTTTTTGACTTTAGTGCTGAATGATATAGCAGCAACTCTTACACCATTCTGGGAAATATACATCTCCGAAACAACTCTCTTTGTAAAGTCCAAGAGTTTATCCCAATCCCAAATTGGTACAGAACCCGAAGAATCAAGAACAAATGTGATATCGGCCTCACCGGCGCATGCAGGTATCTCTTGACAAAATCTCGTCATTAGCGATTTATATATACTATCCATGCCGTTCCATTGAACGTTAAACCAACTATTTTTCTCATAAGGATCACTGGCCAATCTCATAATAGCATCTTGGTTAAAGTTTGACCCTACTACTAAAGCCATAATAGTAATTTGTTTCCCTCTTGCATCAAGAGCATTGGCAGCAATATCGTCGCCGCCAATATTCATAGAAGTTGTTGTAATTAGAAAAATGACATCAGGAATCCCCTGACGAGCCCCATTGTCTGAATTTATCAAGGCGTTTTTGGCCAGAGTGAATATATTATTAAATGATGCGCCCTGATTATTTCTGTAAGGTATGGAATTAATGGCGTTAACAGCAGCATTAACGTTGGTCCAGTCATCTAATTCAAAATCCCATTCACCGTTGTTGCTTGCACTTATTACGCCTACACGGGTTTTTGTGGTAGATATTTCCATTTCGCGTACAATACGTACCAGTTGGGCCTTGACACTAGAAAAGGCCGATGCAGATACGGAATTGGCATTTTCTATAATGAAAATTACATCCGCTTCACCTTCACATCCTATAAAAGTAACAGTTGTAATAATTTTATTGTTAATACAGAGGTGTTAAACTTTTTATTACCATCATAAACTTGTGAAGAGTTCTTTAACAGCAGGAAAGAAACTAATAACCGTAAAAATACTTCAATACAGCGAACCTTCATTGTCTCAATCTGAAAATGGTTTAATTTTGTGTTTACTTAAAATCTGGATAGAAAACCAGAGCACATTTTCCAATAGATCATTTATCAATATTGAAAATTGCAAAAGAGCCATTGGAGCATAAAAGATTACGAATAAAAACTTTAGACCCGCAGATTAAATTACTAAAGAAAAATTTTATAAATCTATTGTTATATAGAATTTATTAAAATAGGGAGCACGTACCTTTCTAAATCGATATCAAAATCTATCTGAAGTCCAGAATTCGATCTAAATAGCGGTTAATACGTAAGTAACCATAGTTATTAGATTTAAAAGTGTCGCCCTTACTACGAGGTCTGTCGTGAAGGAATTCTAAGCATGTGAAGCGAGAAAGTAACGAAGCAGGTAGGCGGGAAATATTGACCTGGCATAAAGCAACTTTTCTACTTCGCCCTATGTTCTCCTAGTTATATAGGCTAATTCAACGATTTTGATAGGCCTTAGTAAAGAATCGTTCAAGTCAAGTATTTACATAGTTATATTCAGAACAAATAATCAGAACAACAAACCAAACGAATAAAGAAACTTAATCAGAGTCACTAGAGTCACTTAATCGTAGGTCATTACCTGAAACAATATTTTAAATTTATTAAGGTCATTATTAAGAATTAAAGTCAATAAATTACTCACAAAGACTAATACTGTTGGGTTGAAAAGAGCTAGCAGAATTTGAGTTCGCTTTTGGAGAAGTTTTTGAGTTCATTCCACCTAACGAAAAGTAAAATACTCAAGTATAATAAGGGTTTTCTTAAATTAAAAATTTAAAAAACCTGTAAGGAAAGATGGAGGCGGTGAAGTCTCTGAATCACTTTCGTTATCACTGGACGATGATAAATCTAAAGTTGGTACTATTGCTAATTCAGATTTTTTCGCATGATCATTGCTGCTATTGCTGTGACTGCTTCGTTTTATTGATTGAGTTTCCATCCTAGTCTTTTTCAATTGAACATGACTACATAATCGTTCCAATTTATATTCTCCAGTATGGTGATCTATAATTAAAACGCATTCTTTATTCGTTGGACGTTTGTTTCCCTTATAGACGGTATATGGTTGATTTGATCCGACTGAATTAGGAACGGTCACTGATACGGAATTTTTTCCATCCACTTCAAATTTAGCCAATTGTGACATATCCACTGATGCAGGTTTAAAGTCATCTGTATGATTAGAAATACAGTTGAAATATGACGTAAATAAAAACAAGCAGAACAAACTGACATCGTATGGAATGAATCTTCTTATGGGAATTCTGATTAAACGTATCTCCCAAAACCAATTCGTGATCATCGTTGTCCAATTTCAGATTTTCCGTCATTTTTCTACTTTAAAATCTTATTTAAATATGTAAAACACTAAAAAATACACTAAAATGTAGTACTTCTAATAGATCATGAATGTTTTACTTTTTCGACTTATTGGTAAGACTATGTACCAGACAGAAATAAACAGAAAAAACAAAATGGTGACCAAACTTTTAGAATCCGCTTTGATACTTGTAAAAGAGCTACCTTTTACAGAAAATGCATGATATATTCGAACAATTATCAAAAAATTATGATGAACAATTTTCTAAAAATATTCTATAATTTATTCTTCTCTTTGATATAAAAAAGAAAACTTAATCACTATATACTACAAAACTTCCCTATAATTTGCGTCTGTAAACATGTATTGGTTATAAAAAGTAAAAATTCAAATAACTATTTATACTATTGTATTAATAAAGAATATTGGCATAATTAAAATTTAATAGACTAGCTTAAACATTGCAAAGAAGAATAGACCGCCTGGAATTCTATTTGAAATAAATGGCCTTTTGTTTTGATTTAGCTTGCATAGATTTTCTTCCCTGTTTATTTTTTATCCATTAATCCTAATCATACTTATACTTTCTTATTTTAGCAAATGATCTAGGAAGCGTTATCAACGTGTTATTTCTTTTTTTAACAAAAAATACCAAAGTTAAGTTGAGATTGTTATGTGTATTAAAACGTTCTATTTATAGGGTGAAATTCTTACGTAGAAATATTATTTTTATATTTGTTATTGTTAATATATTGAACACAAAATTTATTGGAATATTAAACCGAAAAGAGATCTTAAATATCCTTTTCTAATAGTTTTTTTTATATTTTTTTGTATACAAATGACTTGTGACGTATTCTATTTTTTATTTAAAATGAATGTGCACTATATTTAAATCAAAAATATTCAGAACATTTATAACATCCAGTGAAGAATTTTTTCAGGCTACTTTAAATTGTTGACTTTCAAGGATATAATGATATTGTTATCATTATTTATTTAATATCTACTCTTTTTTCAATATTCTTAATTATTTCAAAAAACCAGTTTGCAAACTCAGCAGTTTGATCATAATCTATAGATCCATCGTTTGTTAACCATAAGCCAGTCTTGTCTCGATTTTCCAATATGTGATTTGTTATTTTTTCAATTGCATCTAAATAGATATTATCACCCGTTATTCTGTAAAGTATTGAAGCAGCCCATGAAACTTTATGACTGAAGTTTGACTTAAAAATCCCATGACAATTGATTGTATAATTATAGTAGCTTTTGCTTAAGTTAAGGTATTTTTTGTCTTTTGTTAAATCGTACAATTCGGCAAGGAAGGATATTGGGAAGCCTAGGAAAAAGTATAACTGATTATCATTCGTCTTCGAAATACAATAGAAAGGATTTTCTGGATTAGACTTTATTAGTTTTTGATGCTTATCCATTCTCAAATAAAAGTATTTGTCCTTTTCTTGCTGAATATTCCAGAAATGTTCTAGGCAGTTTGCTGCACGAATTGCTTCTTGTAAATCCCCTTTGATTAAATATGTATAGCCAATATTAGCTACAGTTAATAATTCAATACAATTATCAGAAGCTGACACGTCTTTCAATTCATAATTGTTAAAATTATTATGTATGTAATCAAAACTATTTGTCATATCAATTTTCAACTTTAGGCCACTTCTCATAATCCAACAGTTCATATAAGAATAGTATTCTATATAGGTTGGATTTTCCGTTTTGCAATTTTCGGCCTTTTTAAAATCTCCTGTATTCATTAAAAAATTTTTCATAATGAATTGTTGAACTTCGTTCGCCTTTTCTTCACTATCCCCAGCCAAAAGCATGGAGGGAACCTTGAAATATATTGCAATGTCATCATTATGATTTAGACCAGTTTCTTTGCTAAAATTTGTTTCAAACCATTCTCTGACGTTTAAGGCTGCTGAACGGAGGTTGTTTAAATTCATAATTAGTGAAATTAACCTTGAATTTCTCGTTAATATATTTGGTCCTTTCTTATAAACGATCTCACTAGAGACACCTTGTGTTAAGAAAATAGAAGTCAGATAAAACTTTAGATACTTTTGGTAGTATTCAAAAGGAAGTTATTACGTCATCATTTTATAAATAAAGAGAAGTTTATTGATACTGACTAAACCTTCATGAACGAAAATTAGACATTAATATTATTGTCAACAGAATATTTAATCGACTTTTAATTTCCAAGCCTGGTAATCTTCTAGTTTCATGTTTTTTTCTCCTCCAATTTCTAGCGATTTATAAAACACTAACGAAAAAAGTATACATACAGTAAATATATTTATTTATATCATGTTTTATCGTTGATATTAATGATTATTTAAACTTTTTGATACTTACTATCAAGAAGCCAAGGAAAGTTTTGGTGTACTTTTAGGCGATTATCTGAAAATATTTGTTAAGGTATATTATTTTGCTGCTCTTTAATTATTTTATATAGCTAATATTTTACTGTATATGTTTATAAGTTGATCTGGTTACCTCTAGATTGTCCAAGATATCTCCAGGTAAACCATCCAGCTCCTATAAACCCTATTTCGACTGCTATAAAAGTTTTAATTAAAAAGCGTGCCTTAGAAATGGTTTTAGGATTCTTTTGTAACATTTCTATAGAATAATTTATTTCCTATAATTATTACAGATGTTTAAATATTCATAAAAAGTTGAAGTTGTAGCCAATACAAGTATTATTTAACAATTTTTTGTCGCTTTTCAGAAAAGACACAATCATGTGTGTCAGTTGTTCTTGCTAAAAAGTGGGCATGACAAGTACTTTAAAAGCTTTTGCCAAATTTAAAGATATACTTGATCCCTTCATAAATTCTCAAAGTAACATGCAATATACAATATATATATTAATAGGAATTTTTATTGCACGTGAACGCCATATTATTATGAACATGTGGCTAAATTTGAATAGCTTTTTGCATTGATTGTCTAAAAGATTACTAGTTGTCAAATGGGCATTTAAATATAAATAACTATATCACATTATTGATATGTTATTTGACAGTACTTGACCCTTAAGGATGGTATTTAAAATGAGATCTACAATCAGTAATATTCTTATTCCATCTCTTTAGTCCAGCTTTTGTGTTGAGTACAATTCTACTCATTTTCAGATATTATTTGTCTAGGAATAAGAGTAGAACGAAATTTTGAATCTAATAGGTAACAAACGAGAAGTTAATGTTTTGTCTACGTATCTTTAGGCCTTAAAGTGACAAATTCTAAAATTCTCTACACTGTAGACGACAGTAGGGCCATCTATTATCTTTTCTAAATGTCATCTTAGTACCCTGTTACTCTGAATGCAAACAAGAATATATTCAAGCCATTTCCGGTATGAAATATATAACGAATCTATTACCTTTTTTTGCAATAATAAAGATAACTCTTGGATATTTTGATCTCGAAGATCTACAAAATTCAAAATATAACATAGATTTCGTGAAAACTCCTGTCGTTCTGCCAGATGTATGATTTTAGTTTTTCGTTTACTCTTAAAGTTTAAACTTATGAATAAATTTGCAGGAAATCCCTGAAAATGCTGTTACAGTAGTAACAAAATTAGGTCAAAAATTCCATTGCATTTACTCCGATCGTGCAGAAGAAGTTGAAAAAGAGAAGGAAGAAGAAATTTCTGCTCTACGAATAGGCGTTAAAGATTTGTTGAAACCATTAGAAAGCGGACCATGTTTATTTCAGGTTTATACTTTTCTACTGATTGATTTGACCTTTTTTAGAGACATTTTATTTGTTATAGACAAAAGATTGGTGGTCTTACGAGTTCTGCTTTGGAAAATACATTAGGCAATATCACATGGAAGGTAAATTAATGATCTTTTGAAACAAAGAAATAAACAGCTGCTTAACATTGATAACAAAATTATTTTTACTTATTTTTCCTTTCTCTTGCACTTTTAGACAATAAAATTTCCGGAAAGATAATATACTTAGGATATTATGAATCAGAGTATAACTGGGACAATGAAACGGATAATGAATCAGTAAGGCTCTCTAATATAATATTAACCAGATTGTCATATTTGAATGCCTTGTTTAGAAAAGTCGTCTTAATAGATATCATAGTCAATATTATACAAATGGTTCAAGTTGCGATGTCACTGGTAAACAGAGAAGAACGGAAGTGAGAGTATGTTGAAATTGTTATCACAGCAATGATTTCTTATTATGTTGATATATATATATATATATATATACATTGACACAGTTTATATGTGATCACGAAAGCGGTGATAGGATAGACGATGTGTATGAGCCAGAAACTTGTGTTTACGTATTGACAATACACACAATGAAAATCTGCCATCATCCATATCTAAAAGTAAATATATACTGTAAATATATACTGTATATGACGTATTTTAAATGAATAAAATTCATTTAGCCACCAACAAAAAAGAAGGCTACAGTCATCCAATGCAAGCCAGTAGTCACTCAAGAGCAGTTCAATATTTATGAAGAAGAAAGAAAAGAATGGGAAAGAGATCAGGCAGAAAAGTTGAAAGCCAATGAATTAAAATTAAAAGGTATAAGAACAATTTTTGAATATTGTAATATTTTAGCTATTTTTTAACTTATCTTTGATCTTATTTCTAGAAGCTCAGAAAGAGTTGAAAGAAAAGGAAAAAGAGAAAGAAATAGAAAAAGACGAAAAGCAATTAAATAGTGATAGTAAAACGTCAGAGCAAATAGATAACATCAAAAATAGTAAATTTTCAAAACTACAATCTGATATAATCAAAGGGGTTAAAGAAATCAATAAAGCAAATCTTAATAATAAAAGTGGGTAAAAACATATTCGTATAACATGGCTTATATTTTTTTTCATTTTATTGAAAAAGGAGATATTAAAGAATACATTAAAACATTTACAAATATGAAGAAAACGAGAGGTGATACAAGGTTCAAGAAACAACGTAGACAAAAGGGAGAGGAAAAGTACAAAGACGACTATGATGATGAGGATGACGAAAGTAAAGAGGAAAAGAATAAAAGTAAAATGAAAGAAACTGATTTAACTAAAGACGAAGAATCAAAGTAAGATAGAAAAATTTTTTCTCATTTTATTAGAATTCTATACAGACAAAATTATTTTAGAAAAGGAGTATTAACCTCTGAAGAAGATAAAGAAAATGTTGATGAATTCTCAAAAGGATTAAAAAATTTAGGATTAAATGATAGGCAGGAAACAAACTTAGCAAACTCAAAATCAAAAATAAAAGAAGCTGTTGAAGAACAATTTGAAGATATTCTCAGTGAGGTCAGTTGTATTTTACAATTCTTAAATATGCTCTAAATATATTTGCATTCTCTTTTTAGGCGCAAGAAGAACTAGAAAAGGAGGGTGTAGATGTAAAATTAGATAAAAAAGAGACTGCTAGACATTTATCTCAAACTCTTACCAATCTCTTAAATGTATTAGATGAGAAAAATAATGGTAAGTTTGATAGATAGCTCTAATATGTTAATACTTTAGAATTTTATACTATAAACTCTGTTTTCATCAGATAAAGATAAAAAAAAAACAAAAGATGATGCAACAGAATCAGAATCTGTTGACGAGAAAGTCGAAGCAACGGATGAAGATTTATCAAATATAAATGAACCGCAGAAAAATGATGCTGAAGGAGACAAAGGATCAGCCTCTTCAAGAATACAGGAAGACTTTCAAGAAAAAATGCAAAATCATTTAAAAAAGGCAGGAATAAACACGGACGGTTGGCAAATTTTTATTTCCTCTTAATTCTTAGTAAAGGGAACTTTCATTTTATAAACAATTTGTTTTAGGTCGTAAAATAACTGTTAAAATAATCTCGTCTAAAACTGGAGAGGAAATTAAAATAGGTAATGATGAAGCTCTCAGTAAAATGATCATTGCTATATGGGTAAGGTTTATTTTCTTATATTCATTGAAACACATATTTTTTTCTTCAATCGTTCACAATTTATTTAATAGTCATTTTATTAATTATTTTAGAGCGGTGATGAAGAAGAAATAAAAGAACAACAAAGAGAAAAGAGATTTCAGTTGTCATATAATAGTAACTGGAAAAGGAAAAGTAAGTTATTCACTCCTCCGGATGATTCTGGAGAAGTCTTAAAAGAAAAGGGTGAAGATGAGGAAACATAAACCAAGTTCAGATACACTCTTAATTTAATTGTTAAAGCGAAAAACTGTTGAATATTTAAAAAAATACTGTTTAATTTTCAAAGTTCACCCTAAATTGATAATATTTAAATGTCGAATAAATTTCTAAAACTGAAAATTATTTCACATCACAGTCATAAACTACTTAATAGACGTTGATATCCAAAATTTATGGATCTTTCATTAGAATTTTCAAGTTAATTAATGAAATGCGTTATTGTCGTTTCACTATAATTTATATCGTGATGTGAAAAAATGAAAATAAAATATTCGATGTATGAAATTAAAAATGGCACTATAGCAACAAATAATAAAAGAAAAAATTTTTGTTACATAAGAGCCGAACCAATAATCATATAAAATGAATATCAATAATCAGCAAACTTAACGACTCAGTGTCTTGATAGCTTTATTTATATATATATATATATATATATATATATATATATATATATAATATATATATATAAGCTATATATATATAAATGTAATTTTTTTTAAATATCTTTCGTTAAAGTTGTATTACAATTCGTCGTGCTCTGGATCTGTTTTGTTTAAATCAGAGAATGTTTTGCCGCAAGCTGCTGGTGATTTGAATTGAAATTCGTATTCACATCTAGATGGTTCTGAAGCCGAAATTATTTGATTCTCGGTTCCGCAAGACACTTTAACCTTTTTAAGAGAAGTTTTACTTATGAGAATTTTGTAAATTCTTTAAATAAACAAGAATAACTTACAACAACGGAACGATCTGGCCCGTTCCAGCAGTTTTGACCCTTCTCGTATTTCATTGATGAGTAAAGATTATCAGATGGTCCATTCCATAATCCCCAATATCTGATTTCAGTAAAAATTCCATGCAATAAATATTTATTTAAAATTAAACAGAGTCAGATATATATACCCTAATGTAGTTTCCACTCCTCCATCCTTAGGCCTTTGTGAAGCTCTATCAAATGGGCAAAGCTTATAAGTATATTCTCTATCAGTGTATTCAATACAGCCGCCTTCCTTGACTTTTTGAAATTCATTGTTAGGTCCATAATCAATTTTGAGATCGGCTTCGATATCACTAAAAAAAAGACATGTTTATATAGAAAATAACATATTGTTTTAATATTCCTGAAGAAATCCTTACGAAATATCTTTTTTAATATCTTTGATTTTCTGATCAATTTCGTTGAAACTAGATCTGGCCTGTTCGGCGGCTTCAATTAAGGCTTTGGTTTCGTCGTCATATTCAGGCATTTCATCTTCTGATTCAGTCGGGTTATCTTTGTTTTCATTGTCAGTTGGGGCTTGATGTGATTCTGGATTATCATTTTCATCATCTGTCTCTTCCTCCTCTTCTTCATCCTGAGGAATGGGTGGTGTGTCTTCATCATCCCCTTTCTTTTGCTCAGGTGGCTTGGCTGCGGTATAAATTTCTCTAATTGAAGGCCAAACTTTCTCCATAAACAGAACTTCGTCAATTGTTTCATTATCTTCTAAATATTCCTGTACACACACACATATATATATATATATATATATATTGTAAAGAGTAATTTTCTGTCAGAACAAACTTAAATATTTAATATCACCTTGGCCTCTTCTGACGCTACTTCTCCATTTCTATCTATATCAAACTCTATATGCTTTTGCATCTCTTCGATGGAGACACTTGAGTAATAAAGTTAGAATTTTTATAAAAACCAGACTGTGTAAAAGAAATACTAACAGTCCATTGCCGTCACTGTCCAGCTCATGGAAAGCAGTTATGCCCTTTAAGTGAACTTGTTCGGCATTCTTCTTTTCTTTTTCTTCCTTCCACGCCTGAAAATAAATTCTAATTTTTGAATAATCTCAGTGAAATGTAAGATACTTTACAGCTTCATGCTTTGCTTTAGCCGCCTTTTCGGGAATTTCTTTTTCCTCTTTTATTCGATTTATTTCATCCCATTGTTTTTGTAGCTCCTCGATATCATTTCCTAATTTTGTTAATTGGTCTTCCTGGTTTTTCTTAAACGTTTGGCCCTCACTGCAGTAAGTTTCATAAATTTTATGTCCCTCTTCAAGCAAAATTCGTTCCTTTTCCTTTTCCTCTCTCAGTTTCGTTCCTCTTGCGCTAAATAAAAACGCAATATAATGTAAAAATAAACAAATTGCATCCCCAACTTACAAACAATCATCTTGACAATTTGCATTCGAAGCATACTCGTCACTTCCATCACAACAATCTGATGATTAGAATAGAGTTAAATATTTTAGTTTCTTATATTTTAAACATACCACAAATTCCATCGTTTACTCTTGACGATACGAGTTTCGTTGGGACAAACCCTTTATTTTCACAAAAGAAGATGCCATTGGAGCATGCTGATGTACCCGGTTCATCACTACCATCAGGGCAATCACAATAATCATCATTAATCTTGTCTCTTTCTATAGAAATGGGCGAAGGAACTGCTCTTGAGCCATCCCAAGAAAAACAAGTAAATAACCCAGAATCAGTATACAAACTGGCGGCTGTTAAAAGAAACGACATTAAAGAACTAATCGATTATGGCCTCTATTGATACGTCAGCTGTCAATTAACGGCAATAAGAAGGTATTACCTGCTGGCATTACGCCTCTCGGAAGATTCGCTGCCGTATATGGTAATTGGATTAGCAAGATTAAAGCAAAGGCCACAATATTACATAATTTAAGAGAACTTTTAAGAAAGTTAGTCGAAAACCGAATGGGCGCAGACATTTTGGCAGAAAATGATTGGCTGAAAATTGGTTATGACTAAACTCCGAATAGTCTGATCAATCAAACATTTTATTAAAAACTTTCTTTAATTTGCTATGCATATTCATTTCATGAAAAATTAAATGTAAGAATAAGGCTAGGTCAATTTAGAAGGTTCGTCGAAACTTTTAGCAATTACTAGCCTTTGTATTTCACTTGTTCCATCGTAGATTTCAGTAACTCTATTGTCACGATATAGTCTTTCAACTTTATTTTCAGCCAGATAACCCTCGTTACCTAAGATTTGCATAGCTTGATGAGCACAGAAAGTACCTGTTTCTGAACCCATTACTTTAGCCATTGCACAATATTTAGTTGCTTCTGGATGATTTTCATCCAAGAGTTTGGCAGCAGTGTAAATCATTAGTCGTGCGGCCTGAGCTCTACACTCCATTTCTGCAAGTTTAAGTGAACTAGTTGTACAGTCTGCGGTAGTAATTGGATGAATTTTGTTTCTTCTTAAATATTTAAGAGCTAAGTCTATAGAGTGTCGTGAAGTCCCTAATCCAATTGAAGCCGCTCCCAATCTAGCTGAATTAAGAGAGGTCATAGCAATTTTGAAACCATCTCCGGGTTTCCCAATGATATTTTCAGCAGGAATTCGAGCATTTTCAAAAGTTATTTGACAAGTAGGACTTGCTCTCATTCCAAGTTTATCTTCTAATCTATGAACCGTAGCGTTTTCTAAAGGTTTTGGGACTATAAAAGAGTTAATTCCCTGAAAAATTAACGAAATTAATACATATAATTGTAATATAAATTGAAAAGATGAGACCTTATGTTGTTTACTTCTATCAGTAGTAGCAATAAGGATCATTCCGCCTGGTAAATTCCCGTTGGTGATCCACATTTTACTACCGTTCAGAATCCAATTATCTCCTTCTAATTTTGCAGTTGTTTTTAAACCTCCAGCATCACTGCCATTCTCTGGTTCACTTAGAGAGAATGAACCAACATATTTTCCGGATAAATGGGGCTTAATATATTTAAGAATTTGTTTTTCACTACCAAAAGTGACTAAGGTACCCGTATAGAGGGAGGTATGTCCAGAAACTGATGTTGCTGTTGCTCCACATCCATAGGCAATCTCTTCGGTGAGTAAAGTACTGCCTATGTTTCCTAGGCCTGAAAATAAGCAATTTCAAACTATTGATAAAGGCGATAATCTAGATTTGTTCAAAATACCTAAACCACCATACTTCTTGGGGACTTTGACGTCTAATAGGCCCTCCTTTCCTAGGATTTCGAAGTGTCCTTCGGAAAATTTTCCCTCCTTGTCAGCCTTATCAGCTAAAGGAGCTATTTTCTTTGCAACAACTTCTCGAGCTTTTTCTCTAAACTCTATCAATGGCTTAGAAAGTAGAAACGAGTCCGTTGAATAATGTTTCCTGTGCTTTATTGCAGCTTTGCAGAATTTTGAAATGTGACCAGACATTTTTTAACTAAGTTCTAAGGAGCAGCAGAAAATACTGTTTTATTGTCATATAGGCTATCTTATCTGAAGCAATTTGCTTTGAACTTTGACAAGAGATATACAATTTGTCATTTATTTTAATGCACTTATCTCTAACAAATAATAGAACTTATAGAGGCATAGTAAACAGCCTTATACTTGTTCTTAATGCAACATACACTTAAAGCTTGTTCCAAATCAAATGTCACATGACCAAATGACACGTGATTCACTAGCAGAAGACAGAGAAAGGCTAGTTTTCTCTTTATGGAATTCTTCTATCAATTTTTGACTTTATTTGTTATTCGAAATGGATATTGAAGAGTCAAAAATATTTCATAAAATTTTAACAGCCTTTACTTCATATCGCCCATATGCGAAATCCATGACAGATACATGGAAAAACTGCATAAAAGATCCAGAAACTTTGTCTCTCAATTACCAATCTATAGATGCGAATCAAAGATTCATAAATGAGTGAGTAGGTCTAAAATGAGTAGACATGATTATATATATATGGTACTATTAGTATTGCATCATAATATTTCTATGTAAATTCTATCACAAAAACTTCAAAACAACTCGATTATAATGCCTTCTGTATAGGATGGTGGATGCTTGCTCTAGCGGAGTGTTTTTAAATGTTGATCTTAAAGAGTGTGCTGAAAAGCCTGTTTTAACTGAAGATGATATGAGCAAGGTTAACACTACATTGAAGCAATTGGTTAGAGATTGGTCAAATGTTGGGAAGGGTGAAAGGCTGCAATCGTACGGTCCAATTCTGAAAGCAATGGAACATTACTTCCCCGAGTATTTGATATTACTAATTTCTTTTGTGAATAAAGTTAATATTTTGTTTTTTATTTTTAAATAGAAACAGAGAAAATATATCAGTTTTAGTTCCGGGAGCTGGTTTAGGGAGGCTTGCCTTTGAAATGGTTTTAAATGGTTACAAGTGTCAAGCGAACGAGTTTTCCTATCATATGTTACTGGCATCTTATTTTATATTAAACTGGTAAACAGAAATAAAATATTAATTGGCAGTATAAAACATCAAGATTCTATCATATTTTCATATAATAGCTGTAACGACATTGAAGACTTTCGACTCTATCCGTACATCCTTAATTTTGCTGATTTAGAAGTTGTTGAAGACAGGGTAGCTTACAATTTTTAATTATTTATATAATAAAATATAATTCTTTTACAGTTAATGCCTGTTGATATTCCCGATGTAAATCCAGGTTTATACGTAACCAATCGTTTTTCTATGTGCGCCGGTGACTTTAGTCAAGTTTACAAAAACGAAGATTATAAAGGTTAGAAATAACTTTGAGCTATACATGTTTTAAAACTTAATTTAAATATATACGTATTTATTCAATAGAAAGATTTGATTGCGTTGCTACATGCTTTTTTATTGATACTGCAAGGAATGTTCTGGATTACATAAGAGTAATATATGGAATTTTAAAGCCTAATGGTCTTTGGATAAATCACGGTGTGATTTTAGTTATATGTTTTTCTTTTTTTTTTACGGTTAATAGGAAATAATAATATTTTTACAAAGGACCTCTAACATGGCACTATTCAAGTACAAATAAACATGATATTGATATATCTATGAAATTATCAATGAAAGAAATTTTTGATTTTGCTACAAAAGTTGGATTTTCAATTTTGGTAATAAAAAGAAATCTATTTTCTTATATTATAAATAAATATATTATGCTATTTTATCAACATTCTAAAGGAACAAGATTACGATCACCATTGCGAATATACAAGTAATAAAACATCACTTTTGGATCATATTTATAAAACATCTTTTAGCGTACTTCAAAAGATTTAGTAAGATATATAGTATATGTCTACTGTATTATATTTGAACTATAGTTATGTTCAATTTACTTTTCAGATAGACAATAATAAGTGAAGTGTACAAATAAAACAGTGAAAGAAAGAAGGCAACTCTGTAAAATATTGATTTTGTTTCTTCGGCTTTGTTTCTATGAAATGAGAGATAAAAAGAAAAGAAAAGAAAAGAGAGAGAGAGAGAGAGAAAGAGAGAGAGAAAATATTCATTTATATGAATTTATTCATATATTATGTCTTTATAAGGAAATAAAGTTTCTTAATGTTTTTATATATTTTCTTTATATTGAACGTTTTTGTTTTTAATTATGATGGGGATTACTAGATTTTGTTGTAGATTTTTTTAAATACACGAATTTAGGTTGACATCAATTAAATTATTTAAATATAAACTTTTTTCCTACTTTTTTTTTAATATACGACATCTTTTTTTTATCTGCATTTTGCAGATTTTTTTATAACCATCACCTAAAATATTAATTAACGTTTTTTATTTAAAAAAAAATGGACGGTAATGTTTAAATCAATATAAAAACTTTATAAAGTAGGTTATGTATATTTTTTTATTCTTTTATATATAGGATACTATCAATCTGGACCTTGTCGGGCACCTTGCGATCCTTGTTCGCCATGTGTACCACCTCCTATTATTAGTAGAACAACTATTGTTTTTGAATTATTTCTGAAGGTTTTATAATGATATTTTCGTAGATTGCACACCTTGTCCTATTCAAGAACCACCTCCTCCTTGCAGACCTCATGAAATAAACAATAAAGTAAAAAAGGATTGTAGAGGTATAATTTTTCAAAGGTTTACCACCTGGTCTTATTAATTGTTTGCCTAAAAGGTGCTCCTTATGGTGGCGCGCCAACAACGTGTGTATCAAATCCATGCGATCCGTGTTCGATGAATCAAGATCAGATCGATATGGATATAAATGGTTTAAAGTTCATAAACGGGGGACAGGGTCAGTTATTATTTAATCTTTCTTCGTTTATCATTGTTTATAATTAAGTAACATATAATTAGAACATGTCATAAATTAATTCAAACAAATTGCATATTAATTATAAGTTTACCAAAACAACATAGCTAACAACCTATTTTTTATTTTGTAAGGAGCCGGAATGCAAGGATCAGGACAGGAAACGATGCACGGAGAAGGAATGAATAATCAACCTTGCGTCTCAAAAAAGTATCAAGAGTGTACTGGATGTTCTAATACATTATTTGCTTCACAGACTGGAGGAGCTAACAAAATGTTGTGTTTCATGTACGATCTATGGCAAAAAGAGAGACTTTGCGATGTTATTATTTATACTCAAGATGGAGAAATGTATGCACATAAAATCGCTTTAGCTGCTCATAGCGAAGCCCTTGCAGCGCGATTTGCCGATTATCAGCCAAATGAAGTTCTAGCGTTAGATTTATGCGAGTTCAGTTGCGCCTCAATATACATTATTTTATATTTCGTATATACGACTGAACTTGTACTTGAAGAGGCTGATCTTGGCGAAATAGTTGCAGCTGCTGTAGAGTTAGGTTTAACCTGTCTTATTGAAATTGCAAAGAATCATCTGTCAAGGTATGATTCTTCAAATGTTCTTTGCTATCAGGTTGTTGCTGCTCGGGCTGGGTTATGGGATTTGGAAAGTGAAATGTATCGATTTATTTGCGATCATTTTGTAGATGTAATTAATACTGGTTCGTGGGAAGCTATCGGGTTTCAGCGTATGCAGGACATCCTCTCTGATTGTAATATAGTTATAAGAGGTGAATTGGATGTGTTTACTGCCATTGTTAAATGGATTGACTATAAAAAATGTCAGAGAATAGCGTACGCTCCTTGTTTGATGAAATTAGTTTCGCTTGATTGCATTTCTCCAGACGATCTGTACTGCCATGTTGAGCCGGTTAGGTTTTTATTCGATATATGCGAATGTAAGGAGCAATTATACAATGCTTGGAGATATCATGCGATGAGGTGTAGCTGTCAACCTCTTCCCTGTGAGCCCGCCAGACAAAGAAGATGCGCTGGAACAGAATTCACAATTGGAACACGATCTTCTTGTCAACAAAGAGGAGTTGGATGTTCGTTGGGAAATTCTATTCAACCAAATCGACAACTCCCTGGAAGAGTTAGGAGTAAAGGTGTTATGAAGAATGAAAATGCAAGCATGAACAATAATCTGACTCTTTTGGATAACTTAAATACATCAGCAAATGCATCAACTTTAGGAAGGATTGACAATGGTTTAATAATTGTTGGTGGTATAGATTTAGAGAATACCAATGGTTGTGAACCTGTACAGAATGCTTATCGTTTCGACAAGACCACTAACGATTGGCAAACAGCAGCCTTGATGGAAAATAGTCTTCACCATCATGCATCTGCTATAATTGAAAAAGACCTGTACATATTCGGTGGTATCATCTTTGATAAGAAAAATCCAACAGAACTAGGAAAGATAACTAAAAAGTGTTATGTTTACCATATCGTATCGGGTAGTTGGGAAAGACTACCTAATATGATAGAACCTCGTTCTCACTCGGGTGTTGCTGTTCATACGGATAATATATATCTTGTTGGTGGAGAAGGTGTGTGCAAAAATCGACGACGGAAAATATCTCTCTCATCTGTTGAAGTTTTCAATATTTCATCCCGAAGTTGGAATAGAATTCCTGATTTGCCTGGCGCAGGAAGGGCTTCTGTCGGTGCTTGCACCTTTAAAAATAAAATTTTCGTTACTGGAGGAATTAATTGTGAACAATCGAATTCTCTGTTAAACAACGTCCTTACCTTCGACATATTAGAACGTTTTTGGGAGGAAAAGAGACCACTCTCCATCCCAAGATGTCATTCTCACTTAACAGTTTGCAACGATCAACTTTACATGACAGGTGGAAGGCAATACTTGAATGGTAATAAAACTATACAAATCTCATATGGAGGAATCGATATATATGATGAAACTGAAGATGTTTGGAAGGAAGTCGGTAAATTAATCACTCCAAGACACGACTTTGGATGTACGTCTATTTCAACAAAAATTTACGTAGCTGGTGGAGTGCAGTGTAAAAGTTCGGGTTCATATACTTGCCTACGTTCGGTGGAAACATTCGACGTTGTAACCAAGAAAACACAAGAAGAGCCTAACTTATTGAGACCGATTGCGGGCGGTTTTTGCATTTCAGACGTATAGTGAACAATTTGCTACATTAGTTAAGGATATATATATATATGAAAGAGGCATCGGTAGCATCAAGGAATAAAAAGATACTTAAAAAATGCTTTAAATACTTTAATAATAATTTTTTATTCTTCTATAAATATATATTACTTCTCTTTGTATTTTAAAAATTTAAACTATTTTAGCACATTTTATTTTCAGTTGGAAAGTTTGTTCGATATACTAATGTATAAGATAATTGCTTTATCGCTCATATTCTTTACCTTTTCGGAACAATTTAAATATAAAGCCGTTATAAAGAAATGTAAAGGTGATAATAGGGATTCAACTCAAATAGGATTAAATCTAAAGCAGGTTCTTAATAATAACTATGAAAACTCTTATTCTTCAAATGATCCTGAACACTTAGATGGATTGAATTGTGAAAGAATGATATCATTGCACGTTGAATTAAGCAACAATGGAAAGGTTTAAATGATTAAACTCTGATTAACTAACTTATAATTCATTTTTTTCTTTTAGACAAATAAACAAGAATATTTAATTGTCTTTTCGAAAGTTTATGATGAAGTATTAAAACAAGATATAAGATTAACGTCTCAAATAGCCGTCAAATTAAGACAAGATCCACTAATGCTTGCTTATGAATTTCATCATGAATATGTTAGCATGTTAAATTTTTCATTTAAAGATATAACTTTTTCACTTTAAATAGAATGTTAACAATAAACCTTACGAGGTTGTTTACAACCGAAACGAAACTACTAATTATATTGGATGTTCGGGTTCTGATACGATTGTGAATTTATGCGGATCAGAAAATCGTGGATTCTGTTGTAGGTGTGCCCTGGGTCATAGAACTCAGGCGAGGGGAGGACAATCTTGCGGAACAAAATTTGGCGAAGAGGATGAAGATGTTCATGCCAGTACTCACTGCCTTCGATTTGATTCTCTCTACTATAGCGTGAATAGGCTATCTTTACCTAAAATTTATCAGCGGGTATCCATTCAATTGTACGAAGGAGAGAAGGAAGGGCGGAGAGGATGGAATAATTTTACGGATGAAGCTCCTATTCAAGTTGGAACTGATATACCTTATCAAAATGGTAAAGGAGATCAATTGTATGTTCAATATAAGGATATTGAATTTATGCCTGACAAACTACCGATTGACTTTGTCAGTAAAAAGTTATTAGTACCAACTGCTCTTCACGTGACAGAAGGTCAACAAATTCCAAAACAAATACAACGTCAACGTCTTCCAAAAAACTTTCTTATAGTTGATTCGAACTTAATTGATAACAGTCATCAATCTTGCGACAGAACTGGAATGAATTCGGCCGCATTTTTGAAAATGACAACTCCTTGCCAAGTTCCAAGGAGAGAGATTTTACATGAATAAATCACATGGATAATTCGCCTAATACTATTCATTTATAAATATTAAAATGATAGAATGTTACGTAATTCATTCAAATCTCCCTCCAGACATACTTGTATGCATAATTCACCAAAAGACTTATTCGTCAGCGACGAAAAAAGGGTAAAGAGGGGAGAAAAAGGCAGATATCTTTTAACTAGCTTTGGTAAACTTATCGAACCTCCAGTTATAATGGAAAATAAGAATAAAGGAAAGCTTCGATTCCTTTTTGATACTTCACAACAAACCAAACTCCGAATCAATATTAAAGCTGATCAATTAAACTTTCTCGATTCACAACCGGAAGCAGAGATTGTAAAAGTTACTTTTAGTGGTTTTAAAGCCAAATCGGAAATTTTGGTGTACGTTAGAAATCCTTTAAGAATCGTATCAAAGCTTAGTGTTCGTCTAATTAAATGTGATGATGATTTTCGCTCATTAAGTCAACCTGATACATTTAAAAGTATAGGCCCTAACAGAGTAGACCTGTTTGAATTTCATATGTTACCAGACCAAAAGCAATCTGAAATTGGTAAAAATATAAAAAACTTAAAAATGGATATGGACTCGTTTATTAAAGGAAATGATTCGGCTAGTTTAAATAGAAAGATCTCGACTATAAATCAAGAGAAGGTATCATCAAAAAGCTGTCTAGTTCAAGTGTTAGGTGAACGAAAACAGGTTATTTCAAAGCGAAAAATCAGCTACAAAACAAAAGACTCTTGCGTTTGTCTATTATATTGCAAATGCACTTGCATATCTGATCATACTAAATGTAAACCTATTTCCAAAGAGGAATGGCAGGCTGCCGGTTTTAGCGGCTTCATACCAAAATCTAGATCTCTTTTTTCCGGGCACGCTATCCTAATTGAAATTCTTTTACTAGTATGTCTTTTCGGTTTGGTGATGGGATGCATGAAAGTTCTTTTAGGATCTTTTTTCATCGAATCATTCAATAAACATGGCTTGGAAAACTTCTATCCTTTAAAAAGAAATAGCAAGAGATCTAAGTCGAATGACTTTTTAATTAATTGTTGCTTTTTCATCATAGCTCCCATTTCGTTATGTTCATCATTTGTCAATAATTTTAGAAGTATCTGTGGAATGCCATTAAAAAATTCCACGAGAAAGTACACTCTACTTTCCTTGGAAGACAATAATATAAATCTTGAAAATGAAAAATTCAACGAGCAATCTATTCAAACTGAAGAAAGTAAAGAACGCCTTATTATTGCAACTTCAATTAGACCAAATAGAGTTAATGCTATGAGCATGAGCACGCTATCTCTTCTTCCCGTTGTATATCTAAACCTAATTGAACCAACAAAGTTACTTCTGGTAAAAGCTTGTATAATGTTAATTACTTCTAACACTTTTGTTATTATTTAATAAAGGAATCTGGAAAGCGTTTTTCCCTTGCAGGAGTTTTATCAAAATTCAATGAAAATTCTTATACTTTTCAATTAGGAAGTTATACGAAACAGGTAATACTTTAACTAGCTAAAATTTATTATAACTGTTTATTTCCTTATTTTTCTATAGTTATTCAAACTTGAAAATAATCAAAGAGTATTGCTAATACCTCCAAAATCAATTAATGAAACTGATTTTAATCTGTTACTTAAAGAGCATGAAGCAAAAGGATTATTATCAATAGTTCCACAATTTCCCTGTCTGAATAAGAAAGATACAGATTATGAATATTATTAAGTTTCTAGTTTTATTGTACACGTTTTGTTTCTGTTTTTTATTTTTGCAGTATTTTATATTTTCATATTTAAATTAAAATAAATAACAAAAAGACAAATAAAAGATAAGAATTTAATAAAAGATAACAAGTCTTTTTCTTTTTCTTTTTTTAGGTATTTCTCTCATTTCTTACATTTTTAATATCATTCTTTCGTCCTTTTGAGGCAATTAGGTTCTTTTCCAATCTATCTTGAGATCTTTTTAGCATTTCGGTAATTAGGTCCCGTGGTCGAGGGGCTAGTAAAACATAAATGCTTCATTAATTACTAGAATAATGCTTAATTGATTTTATTTACATGCTATAGTATTATTATCTAATTCGGGAATATCATTGACGTTATCTTCTTCTTCGTCGTCTTCCTCTTCTTCTTCTTCAGAAGACACTTTATAACCGGCATCTCTTTTTTCATCTATTGTTACAGTCGTTAGATCCAATTGTTGTAAATTTGGCAAATCTTGAATGATGCTACCTCGGTAGTCATTACCCTTTGAAACCGGATTGCCTTTCATATTTAAAATGACAATTGACTGAGGAAATTCATCTTAAAAGAGAGAAAACGGTATGAAACAAAAGGTGCATTTCATTATAAATGTTTATTGTTACCTATATCAAAAGACTCTATTAAATTATCAGCCAAGTCAAGAAAAGCTAACTTCTTGAGACTTTGTAGTCCTTGTACTTTTGTTATTTTATTTGAACTCAGAACGATAAATCTTAAATTTGGGAGACATTCTAGATTTGAGATCGACGTGATATTATTCTTTTTATCATTGTTGTTGTTTTTTTTTATATAAAAAAAAGGACTACTATAAATATATGTAATTTTCAAAGAATTAAACTTACATGTTGTAGATAGAGATTTGTTACATGGGTACCGAATAATTCCATATTATCTATATGACAAATTCCTTCTCTGTCAAGTCGAACATGGCTTATTTTTGATAAATGATCAATACTGTTATTTTCAAGAAAAAATATTTATATACACAGTATATATGAGTATGTGAAATTGTAAGTAACCATAATTCATAATCCCAATCTTGTGCATCTTCTGGTAAATGTCTCTGTACTAGTAGCTTGAAGGTAATTTTACTTTGTTGTTTCGTAGCTGTAAGAGTTAAATATGAAAATATTAAACTTTAGTTTGTTTTCTTTCATGTTCTATATAAAGTAATTAATGCTGACGCTCGATTTCATAAACTTCATCAGCTGATTTGTCAAATTCGTTCATTTTCGGTGTTTCTATGATAAACAGGAAAAGGAAATTGACTTTTTGGAAGAGGGACACCGTTTTCAGAGAATTGGAATTATTTTCTTTTAGCCGGTCTGTTAATTCCGAAGAAAAATCAACAAAACCCCTGTCGTTCCAAAATCTCCTTTTTCTATCAATTATGCTATAGAATTTTAAGTCTTTAGAGCTCCATTTCACAAAAATTAGCTTCAATGTCAGGGTTCCTCAATACATCATGAGCTTTGAAAATGTGCATCCAAATCTAATAATCGAACCATTTTGCTCAGGGTCTCATAGACAATTGGTAACCTTTATTGAAGAAAATTATAAATGCGATTGTATTAGTTTGACCGGTAAGAAATGGCATTGGAGAGCGCGATGTTCTGCATTATACATTTCTCAGAAACTTCCAAAATCACACTCTTATAAGTAGTATAAGTTGCTGCAAAAAACTAATGTTTGAATTAATGATCTAAAAAACCACAGGACAATATTCGCAAGCTCAGTTCTAAACTTAGCAGAATTATTAGCACTCAGACCTGATTTACAGTCTACCAGGAAAATATTATATTTTCATGAAAATCAACTGATCTACCCTATCCAAAGAACCAAAGACGGAGACTATCAATACGGCTATAATCAAATTCTGTCAAGGTGATAAAACATAAAAAGAAAAGGGCTATTTAAAGATAATAATAGGGCTAATTATCTGAAATATTTACAGTATGGTAGCGGATGACGTTTACTTTAACTCTAAATTTAATATGAATAGTTTTCTTGGGACGATAAAGTCTTTTATTAAGAAAATACCCGATTATGCTCCTTCTAATATCGAAAATGAAATTGAAATGAAATGTAAAGTTCTTTATTTTCCTGTTAGTCTACCAAATATTGAAAAGCCTATGGTTACAACATCCGAGGAAGAGAAGAGCAAGGATCCAATTCATTTCGTTTGGCCACACCGATGGTTCATATTTATGTATTTGTTTCAAAAATATACTATATTTTCTTTTGTATTCATCAAAGGGAGCATGATAAAAATCCCGATCTTTTCTTCAACACCTTATTCAAACTATTGGAAGAAGGTTTAGATTTTAAAGTGTCTATTTTAGGAGAACAATATGAAGAGATACCAGGTTTTTAGCGTGCATATATAAATATGAAAGTTTTAACTTGAATTGAAAATTTAATAGCCATTTTTAATATTGGAAAAGAAAGATTAAAAGAGAAAATACAGAATTGGGGCTTTGCAGAAAGCAAAAGTGAATTTTTTAGGTTATCTTCAATTCTTAGATATTTTACTAATCTTATTAATTAATTTGGTGTTTCGTTTATTATACAGAATTTTGTCTACGTGTGATGTAGTTGTCTCCACTGCAATTCATGAATTTTTCGGTGTTTCCATGATAGAGGCAACTCACATTGGTTGCCAACCATTGGCTCCTAACAGATTATCTTATCCCGAAATCTTTCCAGGTAAAAATATCTTACGACTTATTCATTTATAAAGATTATTTAGCAAATTATAACAGAATCCTGCTTGTACAACACGGATACGCAACTCTTGTCGAAAATGAGAAAGTTTTGTAAAAGACCAGATATCTTGCGAAGAAGAGAAAAAGTATGCAAAGTAGAATTTCAATCGGTACTTTTATCTTAACACAGTAATTTTTCTCTCAGATAGAAGTTTCCAAATATAGTTCTACTGTTTTGAAAAAGGAATACGACGAATTGTTTAACAATAAATAAATAGCTTAAAAATCTTTGTAATGTTCTTATCTTTTTTGCCGAAGGTTGAAATTCAGTGTATTTGACTTCGTAAAGAATAAAAAATTAACAAACAATCAGCATGGCAACTTTTGAACATAACTTTCAGAAAAACATTAGATGAAACTGAATTTCAAAAAAATAAATTACAGTTGACTATCAAGATAATCTTTGCCCAAGTAATGCTTCATAAACTTTGTCAGAGACGTGTCCAGAAACTCGGCTTCGTGCTTTAGCTTTTTAGCTTGACCTCCAATAATTTCCAACTCTTTAACTTGTTCATCGAAGGCAACTAGTTGATGTCTCATATCTTGTTGTGCTGCAGTTACATGACTAGCTAATCTGGAATATGTCCCATTCAATTCAGTAGCCACTTGATGACTGCAGTTGGAGCTAGTCAAGTCTACTATAAGTCTTAGTTTATTGCTAGCATAGTCTACGTATTGTCGTTTAAATGCCTTTTCACGAGCTTTTCTAGTCCATGTCAAGCGCTCGTACATATATATTCCGCCGTACACACTAGCAGCGACAGCCATTACTCTCCATCCTAGAGCTTTAGCCGTAAAGCCGGCAGCAGCAAGTACTCCAATTGTTGTCGAAGAGTACAATGTTGTAAAGTGCGTTAAAGCCTATATTGAAATTTGAAGAGTAAACAACTATTTTAAAACAAATCTTAATTTACAAACTTGAACAATTGCTATTCCTTCATTCATTTCTAATCTTTTTTCATTACTTGGCGTCAATGGAGTAGTGGGTGGCAATAGAGGTGCTCTTTGGAATTTCTTATTTAGATATCGATTGAAAAGTGAGGTTAGACCAAGAGAAAAACGGAATTCAATATCTTCCTGGAAATCCCTGCATAAATTACGACAGTCCAATCTATACAATATACCAAAATCTTTCGAATTAGGCGTGAACTTTTTAGCAGTTTCTCGACGTTCCTCAGATAGCAAGGCAGTTAAACGTTCTGAAATGTTTTGATGGAATAAATAACTAATCTCATTTAGATAGAATTTCTATAAAGAGAACAAATAAAAAAGTGTTCCAAATACCAGTAATCTCCGATTGCAGGTGGGTTAAATTTCTAATAATCTCTTCTGATAATTTCTTAGCTAAATTCTGTCCCAAGCCATCTTCAACGTGCTTATGCAATTCCTATTTTTTTATGGAGAAAAAAACAAACAACTTATAACTATTACGAACCAAACATTTCAAAGAAGCACATTTCTATTTCTTGATCAATATACACAGTAGTAATCCTTTTTAAATTCTTAATTAACTCTTTATCAATGTAATCATTTAAGTCCTAAGAATTTATTTGTGTCCTAGTGAATTAAACTATTGTATAGTAAAATAGTTTATCAAACCTGTTTGTAAACTAAGAGAATTTCGTTGTCAGGATGAAATGGCCTATTGAATTGATCCACAAGAGTAGATAGACGTCTAATCTCGTCTGTAAACGCTGAGGCTACTTTTTTTTCTATATCAAGAACAACTTCATCAATTTTTGCTCTAACATCAGATGTCAACAATTCTAATTGCTTCTCAACGTAATCCAATTGGCTTGCTGCGTCGATTCTTTGTTGTTGTTTTGATTCATAACAACTAACGGCTGATTCTCTAACTATTCCAATAAGTTTATGCAATTTAACAACCATATCTTTACCATTAACTGCATGTTGAGCAAATTTTGTTTGAACAGCTGACTGTGATATACACTCCTCAAAACGTCTTTCAAAAGTGGCAAATTCGAATAAACGCCCTTGGTGTCCTTCAGATAGTGCACTAGCTGAATAAACATAAAAACAACAAATTACTTTAACATATTACAAACAATGTAGGTAAAATTACTTGGAGTGGGCGTTCCAGCTTCCTGGTGGACACGAGCAATAAGAGCTTCCTCAGCAGACACGAAAAATATTCTCTTTTCTGCTTCGGCTTTGCTTACAACTCCTAGCTCATTTACTAGAAAAGCTTTAGCTCTATCAAGATGTTGTTGTTTGACAAGTTTAATAGTCTCTTCACTTGGCGTTCCACGTGCAGAAGCATCCCACCTAATGGAGGAAAATGTCATTTAAAAACAAATACAAGTTTTAAAAGATATTGTATTACCTATTCTGGAGAATGAATATGTTGGGTTTTGATAACATATTTGATACTTTGTGAAAGAAATTTTTTTCAGTTTGCATAAGTGTTGATTCAGCATTTGCAACGAGGACAAAAACGTCAGCATCCAGGCAATGTTTTGTGATCCATTTGTCGAGATCAGGTGAAACATCTATTCCAGGCGAATCAACCAAAACAACATCGTCTCTTAATAAATTACATTTGTCCTGTGGCCATACAATTCTTAGTAGAGATGATTCGTTGAGTTTCACTTCACTAAGAGCACTTGCTAATTGATTAATAGATTCAATACTGCGTACTTGTTCCTCGTTTGAATCGGGTACTTAAAAACATAATTGAGATCATTAGGTATGAGTTAAATCATTTTTTATAAATGGACTTACTTGGTTCATACATGGTTCCTTCGTCTGAAGTTCCTCCTTCTACTTGTAGGAAACAGTTAGTTGTATGCCCCATACCAGTGGGCAATATTCTCCTTTTTAACATGGCATTTATAACGGTACTCTTACCATTAGACGTTCTTCCAAAAAAAGCAACTTTCATTCTATCTCTGTTTAACATTTCTTGGATACCACAAACTCTATTACACAATTCATCAATAAACTCTTCATCATCAGTAGATGTTAATTCATACTCCAAATTAACAATGCTAGACACGAATGACTTAGCATCGGTTATGTATTTCTCTATATCTGTAAATATATCATTTATTTTCTTTTTGGCTTCACCGAAAACCTTCAACGGTGACTTTGGAGACATCAGTTGACCACCAGCTTCGAGTGATCGAGGTCCATCTCCTGAAGCTCCTTCAGTTCTGGAATTTTGTCTTTTCCAATTTTCGGAATGAAAGTCACCAGACATGATCTTTTTTTAAAGGAATTCGACAATCGAATAATAGTGGAGAATGCAAGCAAAATACGTTTGTCTGCTTTGTCTTAAAAATTGCAGTTCTCCAGAGCTTTTAATATAGCCTGTTCACTGAGGAGTGACAGTCTTAAGAAATATACGAAACGTTTTTTTTATAAAACGTGCTCGAGCTAGATGACCTTCCACTATGGCTCATCTATTAAAAGTAGGGTACGTAGCGATTCTCTTTATTCTCTGTCTAACTTTCTTGACAACAATTGGTAGGGAGCGCGTAACCCGATTTTTTAAACGGAAGCGAAAATTTAAATTCTCACAAAAGATCTTGTAACATATAAATCGATTCAAAGGAAATGTAAGGTCTTTTTGCATTCAAGTGATAAATATCGCTACATTAACCTTATAAACAAATATTTGTCAATAATTTTATCATTTAAATGCTAATATTTGCTCACAAGTTTTTACTATCATTCATTAGATCATTTAAATTTAATATAATAGTTCTACCAAGACCTTAATTTAAATCTACATTATTGATTTTATTGCCTAAGATAACAAAATTTGAGTACTTTCTGAACAAGTTGTACGAGAGTGTTAGACATTCAACATACGGTGGCGACACCTATAAATTTTAGGAAGTTGTTGTATTAATGTTACTGAACAGAATATTTGATAAACGTCAAACACTTGACTTAAATCTCTGAAAAACCTGTGTAGATATTCACCAGTCAGAGATGGCAAGGTATTCGGATAGTATCAACAGTTTTGAACTTCAAACAGTAAGACATAGTAAGTCAAATTAATTATTTATAGAATAGGACATGACAAGTTCAATAATTATAGATAGAGATAGCTTAAATGACCCAGAACACCGTCTCGCTGAGAGAAGATACAGTAGAGGTGGTGAAAATGAAGGTAGGTTTAAAAGAGTGATTTCAAACTTATAAAATTATATGTATTCTAATTTTTAGGCATAAGTCGTAGAAGGAAAAAAAGAGCAAATTCTTTTGCATCAGGTACATTAAGAATTAGAAGACCAGTATTAAGGCAGGATGAGATAGAACAAGTAGTTGATGAAATAGATAATGTAAGTTATACCTCCGGGAGTGACTCATTTAAAGGAAAAATAACTGTTTGATTGAAAACCATGTGTAATTTATTGCGTATATTGTTACCATTAACCTAAATATTTAACTATAGGACACACCAGATCAACCAGTCGCTTTACAAAGTGATCAAATCAAGGAGCAAAATGTACCTATGAGCGCCAAAAGAGAAATAAGGTAAATTCAAAAAACATAACTTCCTCCTAGCTCCCTTCTGTATAAATATTTACTTGGATTTTATTGGCAAATGCAATATACAATTTGTATTTACTTATTGATTATTTAGGCGAAACTTGGAGAGAAGACAGACAACTACACGTATAAAAAAACCAGGTTGGTTTAGGAGGAAGAAATATGATATTCAAATGGTTAGTAGATTTCTTATCAAGTGCAAAAAATCAAAACTTCGTGACTGAACGAGCTATGACTATGTCTGATATATCTAATATAGTTCAAAGTATCTATGATTAGCTTTACAACACTAGAATTATAAAAGTTCTATTGACAAATCTGTTATAAAATAATGAACATTTGTTAAAAAAATGCTACTTCCAGTTTTAAATCAGAGTATTCGGTCTATTAAATAAACCATCGAACTTTAACTCTTGTCCTACAAGTGTAGTAAAAAACCGCAGAAATTGGTATTTAATAGTCTCTTTAGTTTTAAATTGTATATGTGTATATCTCTATAATCATTTGTATAGATAACGGGAATGGTATTTATAATAACTGTAATCAGTCTTTATCAGTTAATATAATTGATATATACTATTATCATAATAACGAAAGAAGAAAATTAATGTTACTTATTTTATTATTAAAATATTTTAATACTTTAGACAAAACCTTTCTATTAAAAAAATACATCATATTTACACATGCATAAGCACAGATATGTATATAAATAGTACGTTGTTTTATATTAATACAGCAATGGTGTAGATTCAAGCTTTGGACAGCTGACCAATTTTATACCATTGAACTTTGGAGAAGTCATTTTAGAACCATTGATGGTCATTTTGGCAGTGATGTTGGCTCTTATTTTAGACTTCTTCGTTGGATATTCTCATTGAATTTACCAGTCTTCATTCTAACATTTTCTTTCCTCACAATTCCACAATTGATAGTCAGAAATTTAGGAAACTTTGATGATAGTCAGGAATCTGTCACATGTAAATTTGAGCATCCTTTCGAAGGACCAGAATTTCTTACAGGAGGGGTAAACTTAATTTTTCATCCCATTTCAAAATATCAAAACTAACATGTCGCTTTATTTGAGAAATGTTTTTCAAAAGGCTCTATCTTTTTTATAGGGTTGGTTCAATCAGACAGAGCTCTATTATGGTTGCTACACAAAGGAAATTATCCAAATATGGAAAGGCCATAAATATGATATGAAATACGCCTATTTCTTCGTATGCGTAGCTTACTACTTGTTTACACTCTTAAGAACTGCCTACAGGTTATTAGTCTAAATTATTAAAGTTGTCAATTAATCAAAATGTCATTAAAATTAGTTTACAGTCATCCTATAAAGAAAATTTTATCGAAGCAGAAGGAGAAATTCAGGCCTTTTATAGTGCCAGAGTATTTTGTGGCTGGGATTATCGCATAGCTCATAAAGAGACTGCTTTACTTAAACACAAAACTCTCTCAACATTATTAAAGGTTTGTCAAAGTTTATAAGCTTAGTTTATTGTTGAAATAATTGTCTAATTTTCAGGAAAGTTTGTCAAAATATAATGAAAGAGTATCGAACAGTTGGAAAACATTTTTTTTGAAGACATTCTTTCGTATTTTGACGAATGTTGTGTCACTTGCCCTAATTGGTGCTTCAGGATATCTGGTTTGGTATATTTCTGATACGCAAAGTTTAAAGGTTTGTTTTTCCTTTATACAAGTTAATATTTTAATTACCTAGTAACGGTATGTTATTTTAAAGACTGACAATAAATTTTTACACGATATGGCTATGCCGTTAACAATATCGGCATTGAATTTTATTCTTCCATTTGCATTTTCAATAATTGCCTCATTTGAAAACTATAGCATACCTCAATATGCACTATATTTTACAATGATTAGGTAAGAAACGAATAGAGAATAAGTCATTGATTAAGACTAATGAAATATATATATTTAGAACTTTATTATTAAACGCTGCAACACTAGGAGTTTTGGTTTATTTTTGGTTTATTACTGTTAATTGTGATCAATTAGAAAAAAAGGATGAAAATTGGTTAAATGCAGCAGTTGATTGTAAGCCAGTAAGTTTATATTATAAGATAAAATAACACAGATAATATTTTATGTTTAAACTGATTTTTTAATTTTAAACAGTGTTGGGAAAGTTTTATGGGAGAGCAAATTTATAGATTAGTTATTGTGGACTTCTTCTTTACAATTCTATTTACATTATTTTCTGAATTAATTAGATTGTTAGTATTTATTTTTAAATTCTAATTTATATCTATGTATAAAGAAATAATATTCTTTTTTCTTTTTAATAGTCTTGTTCATAAATGTTTCAAGTCAAGAATTGATAAACCTGAATTCGATATTGCAAGAAATACTCTTAATCTTATATACTCTCAAAGTTTAGTTTGGTTAGGGACGTTTTATAGTCCACTTTTGTCCCTTATTCAAGTTATTAAATTTTTTGTTCTCTTTTATATTAAAAGAGTAAGTATTGTAATATTAATTAAATAAATAATTATGTTCATTTTTCTATTTTCTTACTAAAAACAGTATAGTCTTACACTATTTTGTCGACCGTCCTCCAAGCTTTGGAAGGCTGCTAAAACTCAAACCTTTTTCTTATTATTTATATTTGTATCGCTGTTGTTATGCGTGATAGCAGTTGCTTTTAGCATGATTTCGTAAGTTGACCCTTTTTTTATTTGGTCTACTATTTATGTTAATTTTAAATAATAATTAACTTTATTTGTACTTGTTTATTCAGCCTGAAACCGTCGCAAAGTTGCGGTCCTTATCAGGAATTTAATACAACTTATCAGGTAATAACAGAGCCATTTAATAAATGGTCTGGTAAGCTTAATTGGCTAAAAGAGATCATAAAATTGATAACATCTGATGTTTTTTTCTTCCTGATCCTAACTGTTTTGTCGTAAGTCTTAAACTAGAAATTTTTAACTAGATTGTCAAAGAAATATATGTCTTTCCTACAGCGTTACTGTATATTATACGAGAATAATCATGAATGCTCACTTTGAAGTAGTCCGCCTGCTTAAACATCAATTACACAACGTAAGTTTTTCTCAATATCTATATAATTCGCTATAAATAAAATACTTTTTAACAGGAAGGCAAAGATAAACAATTTCTTATAGGCCTACTACAAAACAACTCAACTGGAAGTTCTCGTCATAATAATAGCAATAACTCTAACACACGTGGCAACTATACTGAGAACAACAATAAGTCATCATCGAATAAGATTCACGTAATACAGAATAGACATTTTGACAGGGATGAGTAAACAATATGACTGCTTTAAAAAAACCTATAACATGTGGTATCATAATATTAGCAACAAAAATCATCATCAAAAGAATGTGGACAAAGAATGCGGCTCTGAGAACTAAAGTTTAGAAATGATATTTTTGTTATAATATATAAAAAGAGATAATTCAATTAATCATTCTTTTAATATTAATAATTTTAAATAGCTTCTATCTTTTTGAAAGTTAATTTCCTTAATCATTCAATAATATAAAAGAATAATATTCTTCTTGACAGATGTGAGGAATATGTCTCTTGAAATCCTCATTCTAGTAGTATCTATAGAAAAGGGTGTTGTTCATATTCTTTACATTATTTTCTTTAGGGATGAATCAACATCAAAAAGTTTCTTTGTTATTGATAAATCATAATATGTATGTTTGTTAATTTCTACTAGAAAATCTCTCTTCTGATTCAGAAGAAAATTCTCTTTATAAATAAATATATATTATATTAATCTTTGTTGGATATTACTATTGATTATAAATGTGAATGTTGAAAAAATTACATACAGCTGCTTCAATTATTATTCTATTTGCCTTTCAAGTGATGGAATAATAGCAGCTCTTTTAAAATAGCATAGTATTTCAATGGTACTTAAATTAAATCTTTAGAAATATATTTCTTTATATACTGCAATCATTAAAAGACATTTGTTTCAATTCTTTCCAGTTATTTTATGTTACATAAATTTCCAGGTAGATGTTCATTTAGTATTTCATATGAATTAAAGATTAGCAATATATTTGAAGGAGAGATTTAAGACATTCGTAAGTAATAGCAACAGATTGTTATAAGTCATTCGTTGATCGCTTCTATTTGCGAAAACATTAATAGATAGAATTTTATACTCATTCTTGTATTCTGATAGCTGTCTGCATGTGTTGAGAAATTTTATGACCTTGCTCTTAGAAATATCTTCCGGTTTTGATTTAATATCATCTGGACACCATTTGCTAAACTAAGATGTAATTTAAATAAGATCATCGAACTTTAATTTTTAGTCAATGAATGAATCATAAATAAGATTTTGACGAAAGACAGCTAAAAGTTTTCTATTTAAATTACATCCCTGAATTCTTTGTCCTCTATCAGTTCCAACAAGTCTATAACCCGACTTACTGAACTTCTTTCTAACTTTCTTATCGATTAGATCTAAAATTATTCTCTGTTGGCAATTGCAAATCACGAACTTATCTGCTTCATAGTGCATAGGAAACTCTAAAAATTTTTTCTCATCTTTATTGCTACTAGGCTGGAAAAATATGGCTCCACCACGAACTATTATTGAGTTAAAAATCAAACCTCCGTTTAAAAATTGCACTTGATCGATTCTAACTAGTGAATCGTTAGATTGAACTAATTTTGAGTCAAATATTATAATGAGCGTATTAATGTACTCTCTACTAAATCGTTCGTTGTTACCGCAGTGATCGTCGCTGAGAAATTTTGACAAACGTATACCCATTTTTTCTTTATCTTTGAAGAGAACATCCATTATCTTTTTATGCTCTAGAACATAAGTAATTGTTAGAGAGATAGGATTATGACTTATATTGCACGACATCATTGAATTAATTAGTGTAATTTTTAAAACTGGCATCATTTTTAAAATGGTTTTCCTATACAAACAGTTCACAAGGTACAATTCACTGTACCTATAAAAAGTGTATATTTTAAAAGGCAATAAAGATTTCATCACCTGATCTGGGCTGTTCGCACATTCATAAATCTATATAAAGTTCATCATTATTAGAATTCAATATGTTTCATTTAGCTAAATAAACTATCCAGATAACCTGCCTGTTGTGGTATCATTTTAATAGGATCACTTTTTCTGAATTCTCTAAACTTTTCAACAACATAACGTCTACAAGGCAGTCCTCTACCAAGAGTTATACTTTGATTGCATATAAATATGGCACGAGGACCATGATTATCCGCCAAACTTTTGTTATATACTACACATTGGCAAATTTCATATTGTTCAACATAGTTAGTCGCCAGCTTAGACAGATGCACCGAGGAATAAATAATAAACAAATAGTACATAAATATCATTTTATTATAACCGATTTTGAAACAATTAAATGACATAATAGATGAGTAAACGATAGGTATAAAAATATAAGCGTTTGTATTTCTATCTTATAAAAACTTTAAGCAACAATTTGTAACATGTGAAGAAACAGATGAATGATAACAAATTAGAAAATAAGTATTAGAGTTTATTCTTAAATGGAGCTACCCAAAATTATTAACAGTAAAAATTTATCTATTGCGTTGTTTTTGTACATTCGGGAGGATCGGGATGACTTTTAACTTCATTTTCAGCAGTTTTGTCATCAGGATTCATTCTCTCATTATAAACTCTTCCTATAAAATCACTTTTAAAGCGTCTCTGAGTAAAATGTCTAGAATTTGGCCAGTCCGTACATGACACACTATCGTGACAGAGCATATCAGCCTTTACTAGGTCAAATAATGTAGTTTGTAGCCAATTCCAGGAAGATGTTACTTGACTAAATTTAGTTACAGCTTCGCTAAGTCGTTGGTTTAGCTTTTCTCTTCTTCCTCCTATAGTGCCAATACCCGCTATCCTTGAGCTTTTGTGCCTGGGGTGATCACGAATACAATGAAAAGCTGCTTGGCTTGAAACCCAATCTTTTACTACTGTAGCATCTCTTTCCGAAAGTCTTGACGTAGCGTTACGTATTATAAACACATTAACGCTGGAATCCTCAATAATTTTAAATGGTTGTAACTCAAATGGTTCATTATTGGCTGGTAGTTGTACAATTTGAGCCTTTAACAGCTTAAATTTGTTTAACCAGCGTTGGGGAACTCCTTCTGCAACATATAATCTCAATATCCATTCTGGCATGAACACTTTTACAAGTTGAATATTCCTCAAAGCTCCATATAAATGCTTTTTAGATTTAGCTGGCAAACTCATAGCTATGATCTTGGTACCGTCAGGATCGGGTAAATCCTTATTGCGTTTTACTGCTTCAATATATCGATATAATGTTACCTTGTCGCTATTTAACTGATTAGCAAGTTTTCCCTCAACTGACGTATGAACTTTATATCTTGTTCCAGTGTCGAGAGTATGAACTAATTTAATCGAAAATAATTTTGTCGATCTTCCTGGTCTGTATACTTTGGTGACCCAATCATCACCCCACCAGTCTGTGAATACTCTAGGATAATAAAATCCAAAAATATCTAAATGAGTTTTATGAACAAAATCATATGTAAGAATTGCCTCGTTCCCTCCTTTATGATGAGGTCCAACGACTCCAACATTTTTAGGGTCATACTCGTTTAGAACTTTAACAAATGCTTCAGCCCAATTAGTACTTTTTAACAGCGAATCATCGTTTACTCTGTAATAATATGAGTTGTCATCTATGTAAGCTTCAATCATTGCATCGTTCTGAGCCCATGTTGGGGAGCCTTTGTGATCACAGTGGACTAAATGTATCAAAACTATTATATTTGGTGGACAAGAAGATTGAACTATACTCTGAAAGCGTTTGATAAATGCTTGTCTTTTAGTTTCGGAGATGAAAAATCCGTCGTCCACATCATAGCCAAAATAGAAATTATACTGCCAATCTACAGTAACAGTTTTACAAAATGATGGTAAAAAGTGACGAAAGAGAGGTATTCTTCTTAGAGTTCCTTCCACATCATGAATTGGCATCCTTCTCGATGTGATGCCCATACCAATTGCTATACTTTGACCATCAGTCTCTAAAGGTTTAATACTATTCTGCACAGTGAGGCCATTATTACTGTGATGGTCCCGATGTATCACTTTCGAGATATTGTGGACTTCAATTTTTGATTTGTCGTCCACAGAGATTTTTATTTGAAAACTGGGAAATGATAATCTCAATATATGCTTAAATGTCACTCCTCCAACTAGTATCAGACATACAAAGAGAGCTTTTTTCAAGGTAGGGTTTACCATATTTGATCTAATAATCTTTACGATATTAATGACTGAAAAAGAAACGCAATAAACAGTCAGTCATTACTGAATAAATAATCACAATCTTTGGAAAGTCAGAAATGGACTTTCTTTAACAGATTGATCAAAGTTGTTTGATCAACATTGTATTTCACGTTTTGCATTAAACTTAACATTTTAATAATCTTTCACGCAATTTTAAAAATTAACATACTCACCATGAAATCTTAACTAGATATACTTGATTTAACGTTTTGATTTTATGAGAGAGTTGTCACGTCATATCTATTCGACTAGCTTTCGGGGTAAAACTCACAGCAACTAAATGAAAACTGGTAAAAACTGGCCTATCTGTATGCTTCAAATCGATTTTAATTTATGGTTACTCTCTTTCTTCATAACAAACACATGATGAAGTGACACAAGTGAAGAGAATTTAAGACGTTAAAAAAATCTTATCCAGAAATTCCTAATTCATATATTTTGTATTTAGTCCTTAAGGAAATGACTAATATATTCTTGTTCTTAACTCCAATCTCCTGCCATACTTGAGTTTTCTTTAAAACTGTAGGAAAAGTATTATATAACCATAATTTTAATTAATAAAATATAATTTTATTGTTTGGAAGCTTTATAACTTTTGTAATTATATTCTGTTCTAAAGTTCTAATTTCAAACGTTTAAACAATTGATACCTTTCATTGTCATCTCTTCACGACTATTATCTAATCCTTGGGCTAAATCCTATTGTTTCCGAAAATTATTCATTGGGAGAGCATCGTGTATTATAGTATGCACAAAGGTAGAGATAGGGATAGAGATAGACATGGAGGGACAGATAATGACAGAGAAAGAAATACAGAAAAGTAAGAATAGCATGTTTGCTGTTTAAAGTATAACAAGTGACTGCCAAGCTCTGGGCATTTTATTATTGAATATATATTGTATTTTTATAAAATAGTGTGTTTATTACCTTCTTCCTCAAACATATTGAAACTAACAGCTGATTTCTAAGTATATACAATAATTATATTAACAATATAATAGCTTTAGTTTATTGCTGTCATCTTGCACTTAATAATAGAAATAGGGTAATAATTTTAAATACACTAATACATTTTAATATTTTCAGCGAAAAATCTTCTACTTGAATATTTTATATTTAAAAGTTTGAAATTCTCTAATTTTTTGCAACAGGTAAATGTTTTATTTATTTATTTATCTTTGCATTGACAATATGATTTCTGAACCTTTTTTAATACGTATTTTTTTTAACTTTAAACAAATTGAAGTCATTCTTTAAATAATTATTAGCATACTATGCTCATATTGAATTGCTGTTTAATATTCTTGCTGTGTTGTTATACAACTGATGGGCAAAACTCTCATCGATGAACAAGAAAACTGGTAAAGATGAGGCCTATCAGTCCCTTGCTTATCTTTGAAGATCGATAGCTTGATTGGATGACTATTAGGATACGTTTAATGTGACAAATTCTCGTAATCATATACTATTCCCAATTCTCATATTGGGCTTAGGGTAATGAATTTCTCCGAAGCTATTAAAAGAAATATCAGCCAACAATCTGGCGAGAACATATATTCGTCAATAGTACAATGCTTCAGTGTAATATTCATCGGCTATATCTCAGCAAGGGCACATTGGATAACGGATACTCAAGTCGGAGGCTTGGGAATATTCGTGTCAAAATTTGCTCTTCCAGCTCTTCTGTTCCAAAATATGGCAACATTAAATTTTTCTTCAGTTAATTGGACATTTCTTATTAGTATTCTTATTTCTAAAAGTGCCGTTTTTATTTTAATAACAATTTTTGGGTTAATTGTAACGAGACCAATAAACTTTGGAAAGTGTGGAATTTATTCAATTTTTGCAACACAAAGTAACGATTTTGCACTGGGCTATCCAATTGGTTAGATAAATGAGATAAAGCTTATGCATATTCTAATAAACTATCTTTCTTTTGCAGTTTATGCCCTCTATTCAAAAAGTCATCCTGAATTTATTAATTATATTTACCTTTTGGCCCCTATTTCCGTTGCTTTATTAAATCCTATTGGATTTTTTTTGATGGAACTTCAAAAACGTCGAGAATCTGGTAGTTTATCTCCAATAAACTCTTATTGACTTACTAATCAAATTTTATACAGACGACAGACAAACAGGATACTGTCTGATTATTTTTAAAGTGTTTGGTGGAGTTCTCATTAATCCTATTATTTTCATGACTGCTTTGGGACTTAGTGCAAATCTGCTCTTTCAACGGGAATTACCAGGAATTTTAGGGCATATCTTAAAAGTTTTAGGTAAAACAATTTAAAAATATTTTAACTACTTCTGTTTAATAAAACTACTATTGTTATCATCTTCTAGGTAATTCTTATAGCGCTTGTGCTCTATTTTTTCTTGGTCATAGTCTCTCTGGAAAAATGAAAGACCAATTGGGAATGAAACTGCTTATGGCTGTTTTGCTAATAACATCAAAAATGTTATAATATAAATAGATCTCTATTAAAAAGGGAACGATGTCTATAATTTCTTTTTTTATATATAACAGGCTAATTCTACCATTGGTTATAAGAGAAGTAGTTGCTAATATTAATAATGGAAATTCATCCGAAACGGTTGACTACTCCACTTATGGATTCTTATACGGGACATTTCCAACAGCACCAACTGTATTTTTGTTTGCTTCTCAATATGAAATAGAAGTTGATCTAATTGCAACTGCAATGGTTGTTGGTACTTTTCTATCAGCTCCACTGATGTTCGTTTCGGCTAAGATGATAACTTTACCAGTAGCAAAATTAAGCAATTATGACCAATTTATATTTACTTCCTCTTTTGATGTGGCTTGCGTTGGATTAGGATGTTCTGTATGTACTCGAATAAGTATTCTGTACATGTTTTACTTTCAAATTTTTACAGGTGTGGGTTTTTGTAGTGTTTCTATTAAACAAAAGGAATAGAAGTTTTCCTCATCAAATAACTCTAATTCTAACATTTTTCCAGGTAATATTTAATCTCTTTCGTATTAACAAAGCTATGTTATATATTCTATTGTTTGAAAATTGTTTTAAATGTAATATTACAGGCTGCAGGCTGCATATCAATGATGACCTATAAATCAGTAAATCAGAATACTGCTTGGCAGCATTATCTTCATTTCATATGGTATTCGTTTTCCACTCTTGGTGCGAGAATATTTGTCTCTGTTCTAGCAATTTCCCTGCTATTCTTACGTATGAAAAGTGTATGCTATGCTTTAAAGAAAAGAATTTACTTATATTCAGCTGGCTTAGGGTGATTACGTGCTTATACATGTACGTGCCATTACGAACAAATAATTGTCAATTATTTCTATTGAACAGTTTGCCGCTGGCCTTAACTGGGATACTTTTAATTTTTGGCAAGAAAAATTCAGCAGCCAAACTACCCCAAATATCTTATGGGCCTTTACAAATTTGGTTAAATATTGGAGTTTTATCAATTAGTCTTCTCATTATTATTTCGTGTGTCGTTATTCATTACCGGTGTTCATCAAATAGCCCACCTGAAAATACATCCCTAGGGCCACGTCAAAATGTTACCAGTGATTCCCAAAGACCACTTTTATGTTCAGATAGTTCCGACCAACCATCGATTTTAGATAATCTCCAGGATGATATAAGCGAGGAAGAGCTGGAGAAGTAATTTTATGATTAAAAATAAGTTCAGCTAATAATGATTTTTTTTCAAACGAATTCAGTAGTGCATTTTCCATCAATAATGAAACTGCGCCCATGGTTTTGCCAATAGAAGAAAATGAACCTTCAAGAAGAGAATTTCAAAGTATTGAAGATATTATACCATTCCCACCGAATTTGAGGAGGAATACTCGTCATACTAGCCTTATTTCTGAGCGATCTTGTGAAAATGCTCGATGCTCTGAAGAACAAAGAAGAGAATGTCAACGATTAGTTAGATCATTAGAAAGACCTGTTACGTTATCAGAGAGTGGCGACACTTATCAATTTGTCCGCCACGTTATACTTGTTCTCTTTCTATGCCTGCCTCAACTAGTAGTAAGTATTACAAATACATTTTTATATCTATAAAGTTAGCAATTGTTGAATTAATCATGACATAAATATTTAGTGCTTATCCTTAAACATATGGAGACTAACAGCTAAGTGGACAAGTGGAGCGTTTGTTGAATTGGAATTCTTAGACGCAGTATTGAATTACGGCCAAGTACTTATTTTCAAAATCATTTTATTGTATATCTCGTATTTCTTGTGTAAAGATTAAGTATTCATGAATTTTCAGGGAGCTTTTTCATTTTGTGTTTTTGGTTTCGATAGTCATATGGTGTTGGAACCTTTCATTCGCAGGTTGGGTACTTGATATCACTTGATACGCTTTTTTATTTTTTAACTATTCAAACTATTCAAAACATGATCCATACACAACGAATATTCAGCTATATATATTAGTAATATAACTATATATCTATATATATATATACAGTATATAATCATATTTCTTTACAATAATATTTATGACTGTCACAAAAAGTAGAAATCGTGTTCTTTTTTTAATCGAAAAACGTTTACGCTGGTTAAAGATCACTTTTTTTCAGTTGTTTTACCAAATCTATTGAAAAAAAAAAGTAAAGGAGATTAAATATTTTTTACATGGATAAAAGTAATGAATATTCTATGTTTCAACTTTAATTTTCACCTATTCACACTAACATGTCTAACAATAGGGTGCATAATAGCTAAATTATTCATCAAGTATTAGTTATTAGTGGTAAAGTTCATATTAATACAATGCAAATTTGCTGTTTCTTATAGATTTGACAAAAGATGCCGTAATTGCTTTCCATTTAACAATTACAGGTTATTCATTGTTGTCAATATTAGACTTTGTAGCTTAATATTTCACACTTCCCTTTTCTGTTGTTGTTTTTAGCAATATTACATTCACTCAATTTAAATATTTTTTCATTCAATTTCTCATAAGATGGAGAAAATGGTTGTATGGCAGCGAAGTTATCAGACCAGCATCCAGACGATATTTAGATCCTGTTACGAAACGTAAATGTGACCAATTCTCTCAATATCATTTGGAAACGTGCAAAAGAAATATTGCGAAAGATACAGCGTATGCGGACAATTAAATAGCATAGTCAATAACTCAAAAAAATTTTTTGCTTTCCAGACGAGATGGAACAACATGGAGAAATTCTTTTAGTGGAAAAGCTCTGGTAACATGGATACTTAATATAGGATTGGCCGCCGATAGATTTGATGCTAAACAATATGGAAGACGTTTATTAAGAGGAAATGTAATTGAACACATTGAAGGAGAAAGAGACTTACACGATGAAGATCATCTTTATAGGTTTACTGATGCTCAGGATGAAGAACACCCTGCATAAGACATTTCAAAGATGATTATAATTTATTAGTAATTCTCTTCAGCTCGTTTAATTTATTTAAAGTTTAATTTGAAATACAATACCACGATAACTGATATATTGATTAATAACACACTAATTGAACAAAACAATTTATGGTTTTGTTTGGAATTACAGTGTACTTTACATCAGTTTATTAATTTTATCTATTCTACAAACTTTGGAATTGACTATGAAACTAAGGCAATTGAAAGCTTTTCAATTAATATTATGCTATATGTTTGCAAACTTTGCATAATCTTTCTTTGTTTTACATTATGAAAATGCAACGTTACAGTTCCCTTCTTATTTGATTTCTACTTTTCCTAGCTCTTAAAGATAAGATATTTAACAATAGAGTGAAACTTTCACTTTGCAAAAATCTGCTATTAAGTTTTTGCAACAGGTAAACAATGCAAATTGTAAGTTGACTATTATCAAAGTTACGCATTAATTCATTCAGAGTTCAACTGAAACGCCCCATATTACAGCTGACGTTGCATTTCCATACACGGAGCTTAGACGCATAAAGCCCTGACCAGTGCTTGAACTCCTACTTGTAGTGAACATTTGGGTCGTACGATTACTAGCACAAGTGTATATAAAGACCGCATACACCATATATTTATATAAGAAGGTTCGTGAGGAACGACAGCTAATATGCTTGGTGAGTAATATTGCACTTCGTCAATGGTACAACCTATATTTTTCATAAATCTAAAAATATTATTTCTAAGCAGTCAGATAAATAGTGTTACCTAATTTAAATATCTAATAGTTTAAAACTACTAATCATGTACAAATCTATGCAATTTTGCTAACTTAAAATTAAACAATATACGAAATTTGAAAGAGTACTTAAATTAGGTCAGATTATTTTGAACTGGATACAAGATAAATTACTTATTTAAGCTATGCATGATAATTTTAATGGGTGTATGTAATGCATTATACGAAATTGAGCTAGGGTATAGAAAGAAAATAAGAAGTACTTTAAACCATTCAAAATTTTTAAATGACAACATTTTAAGCGATTTGTTGGAAAAAAAAACTCTAATTACTTATAAAGCTGTGACTACAATTAAAAATCAACTGCAGTTTATGAGAAAAGTGATTTACACCCAAATTCATAAAAAAAAACTTTCGCGTACATTCGCAGAGCACGTACTCACACAAAAAAGTGTAAACTGGTGGTTATGAGTACTATCATGAATGTACTTATTATACTCATTTTGGATTAGAAAACACTGCTGGTGAAACAATGGCTGCTCACGGAGATAACAATTTATCAAAACGACTTTATAATTCAGGCCAAAGAGAATATGAACTAGTGAAGAGAAGGAGTAAATAATTTTCTTTTAGCATTACCATTAGAGATATAAATTTTGAAGTATCTTTTTGTAAAGCTTTGTTTTTTGTTTACTTTTACGGTTAACTTAATGTGGGGTGGGGAGGGGAAAATGACGTCAAGGTCTCCCATTTTTAATAAAAATTTGCTCAATAATACTCTCAATACAAATACATTTTTTAATTTTTTTCAAAGAATTGGACTGCGCGATTCTAATAAAGCGCCACCTACACAAATACAGTACTCTAATTTAATTGGTCATAAAAATAGAATATGTATTCATATAATACGAAGTATATAAGATAGAAAATCATGCATTCGAAAATTTGAAAAGAGCTGGTATTCGCAAAAACTAGAAATTTGAAAAAAATAACAATAAATAATAATTTCTTTCTTATAATTTATATTTACAGATAGAAGAATAAGTTCTTTATCAAATTCTCAAATGTTTCAACCCTTGAAAGATAAGCAGTTTTGGAAGGCAGTTGCAGCTGAATTTATTGCTGTAGCTATTCTAATTGTTGTTGGATGTAGTACAACAAGAGCAGTAGAAGTTCCCGGTACTACAGTGTCTCAGTCTAATATCTTGCGAATTAGTTTTGGTAATTATGATATTTGTTTTATTTAAATTATTTTATAAAATAATTAACATTTTCTTTTTAGGTTTTGGATTGACAGTCGCTGTTTTAGTGTCAGCTACGGCCCATATTAGCGGTGGGCATTTAAATCCCGCCGTTTCTTTTGGCTTATTAATTGCGAGAAGATTTTCGTTTGTAAAATTTTTAATATATTCCCTTGCTCAGATATGCGGTTCGATCGTTGGAGCCGCAATCCTAAAGGGAGTACAAGGCGAAGTAATTGGTGTAAATGAACCAGCTGATGGCGTTAGTTCTAGCAGATCTTTTGGCATTGAAACTGTAATTACGTTTGTCTTAGTGTTTACCGTGTTATCCTGTACTGATTCAAGACGTTCTGATTCCGTAGGTTGGTACATTATGAACTTGTTTAAGTATCCTATAAGAGTTTGGAATATTACATTAAAGTAGAATTCTTTTATTCAAAATATTCCAAGGCTTTTCCTAAATCAGTCACTAAGTCTGTCTGATAGAAAAAAAGTATGTATGCATAAAAGGGTTTTTAAAAACTTTAACAAAATCATACAAACGTATTGTTAGATATCAAACAACTCTATGTTGAAGCTGTCAAAAATTTGACCTAGATAAATCAGATTTTAAATTTATCAAATCCTACTTTCAGCTCCTGTTCCCCTGTTCGTTGGCCTTGCCATTACATGCTGCCATTTGTTTGCTGCTGATGTTAGCGGTTCTGCAATGAATCCTGCTAGGGCCTTAGGGCCATCAATCATCGCTTCTAAATATAAAGACCATTGGGTTTATTGGGTTGGAGGATTTTTGGGAGCCTTCATTGCTGCTGTTGTCTATGAATATATGTTAGCTCCAGATGCCAGTATTGAGAAGGTGAAAAACGTTTTCGCAAGAAAATCATTGGACAGTGACAGCCAGCCTGAAAAATCTTCTGATAAAAAAGATAATGATCCCATGAAAAAACGAATAACTCCTACTGCCGGAAGTAAAACGGAACTTCAAACTATTAGTACTGAAGATTAGAAAGTCTGATAAAATGTTTTTAAGATCATTTAACCCTTTTCAAGAATATTTTGTGCTATTCAATTAACTAGCAGATTCTATACCTTAGTTTTTATGAAAAATACACAGCAAAAACAGGAGTATTAATACTTCACTTTATCAAATTTACCGTTTATATTCAGCATACAATGGAAGAACCTTTTGATAGTTACACATATGGATTTAAGTTTATAAAGGAAACGTTGAAATCCCTCCCTTACTTATAAGATTGTATAATATTTAAGAGTAGCCTATTAATTTAAACATCCGAAGAGAGTAAGAATCTAAAAGAGGACTGATTTCAATAATAGGCAAAGTTTCTTCTCGCATATTCTTCTTAGTAAAGGAATACTTATGAAAACTGCTAAACAATACAAAAAAAAAATGTTAATTCAGTAACTAATATAGTTATTCTCTATATGTGGTAGCTTTAAAACTACTTTTTAATTACTTTTCCTGTTCGCATTTTGAATTTCAATAATATACAAGTGATAAATTAAAAATATATATAAGAAATGTCAACTGTTGCTATTCAAATGTATCAATTTTGTTTTTCGTTTTTTGTGATAGGAGAATAAAAGATAGTCCTTTCATGAAAAATAAAAAAGACCTTTTGATGACGTATAATTTTCAATATTAATTATGTTTGAAATTAATATGACTTGGTTTGTTTGATATATTGAATAAAGGAGATAGATGCATAAAATGGTATTAATTTTCTTTTGAAATTATGACAATAATAGTACTTTTATTTCATATAATACTTGTATACTAATACATTAGTTGTTTATTTAAATTAAACAGTGTTGCCGTATTCAAAACTTTCCCCATTCATAAGCACATTTTATGTAATGGAAATTTAACCAAATATTTTTCGTTAGCATTTGCGTATTTTTATTTTTAGCTATTTTATGAAGGGAAGTACATTGACTTTTCTAATCTATCAACATTGGATAATTCTGAATAATTCATAATCAAACTCATAGTAATGGCAATGCTAGTTTGTTTAATTGGCAAATATATCGCCCATTGGTATCCAAATATTTTTCACTTGGGTTGTATGATATAAGAATTCTTCACCAGCACCTTGTTCGTCATTCGACCAGTTTCTCTCTTTGCCGTAGTTTACCCATGTTCTCTTAAGGTTTACCGCCGACTCGTACTCAACAAATTTCGATCCTAATGCTCCTCCAAAATACCACATGGCTTCGACATTCTGATGTTCAGCTAGATATTTGGTAATATGATCTTTGTTTCCAGTCAAAACATTTACTACCCCAGCTGGTACATCTGATGTTTCTAGAACTTGAACTAGATCAATAGCAGGAATAGGGAATTTATCACTAGCTGCCATCACGACTACATTTCCTCTTACTACAGCTGGAGCTAATAGTGAAATAAAGCTCAACAGTGGTTCCTCATCTGGACAGCTAATAGCTATCAATCCAACTGTAAGAAAAGCAAGTGTATCATTTGCAGAGTAAATGATGTAAACAACTCAATTGTACACCTACCTGGTTCGTGTATTTTGACTGTAGCCCCGTAAAGAAGTGTTTCTTGTACAGTTCCACCATACTTATCTGCATAAGCACTCCAGTAAAATAATCGTTCAATACTTTTGTCAACTTGGAGAAGAGCATCTTTCTCACTAACGCCTGTCAATTGTTGTAACATTTCAGAAAACTCGTTTCTTCTCAATTCAAGATTTTCAGCTAAATAGTAAATAATCTGTGCTCTATTATGAGCAGCTCTCTTTGACCAGCCAGGCAAAGCTTTTTGGGCAGCTTCGACAGCCTCACGTACATCTTTTCTGTTAGAGTCAGATACTTGAGCAATCATCTGACCGCTTTTGGTGTAAACTGGTCTACTATATTGTCCATCAGGTCTTTTTTGGCCACCACTATAAAATAATTTGTAGGTTCTGTCTATTTTAGGATTTTTTGTCGAATCAGCTGCTGTTGGTAATTTCGGTAGCCCAGGAACAGGCTTTCCAAATTCGCTGACATTCTCCGTAACCACAGGCCGACATCTTGTCTCCCATGACGGCTTTGCGTACTCATATAAACCTTCTTTCCCACCGTCTCGTCCATAACCGCTTTGGCGGTAACCACCAAAGCCAGCTGCAGCATCGAACATATTATGGCAATTGATCCAAACTGCTCCAGCTTTAATAAGTAAGGCAACTTCTAAATTTAAAGAAGTTTTCTCGGTCCAGACACTAGCAGCTAAACCAAATTTGGTATTATTCGCTAGGGAGACTGCCTCCTTTGCAGTTCTGAAAGGTAAAAGAACCGCTACTGGTCCAAAAATTTCTTCTAAAAATACTGTCGATGCTGTTTGAACGTTCGTAATAAGAGTTGGTGGATAAAATAGACCAGTTTCTGGAAGTTTAATATCCGGCTGAAATACTTCGCCACCTTCATCGATTGCCGTTTGGACATACTTTCTTATCGTAGTCAATTGACTCTCGTCGACTAGAGCTCCCATATCCACTGCTTTATCCAAACTATCTCCAACTCTCCAATGGGATAATCGTTCCTAAATGAAATTTTGTTAATTATGAAGAAAATAACAGACGTTAGATTTGTTTTTACCTTAAGCCGCTTTAAAAATGTATCGTAAACTGTTTCTTGAACAAAGATTCTTGATCCTGCACTACAGACTTGTCCTTGATTGAACCAAATAGCATCGACGATACCTTCAACAGCACTATCAAGATCAGCAGATTCGAAAACAACAACAGGAGATTTTCCACCAAGTTCTAGTGAAATCTTTTTTCCCGTTCCAGCAGTTAATTTTCTTAAAAGCTGCCCAACTTCAGTAGAACCAGTGAAAGCAACCTTATCGACATCATCGTGACTAGCTAATTTACTTCCGAATCTTCCATTTCCCGTTACAACGTTGAAGACACCGTCAGGTATACCTGCTTCTTTAGCGATTTCGGCAAGTAATAGGGCTCTGTCAGAATTTTATCTATTGAATGTTTAGAAATAAAATCTAATTGCTATTTATTACGTCAATCTGGTGTAAGATGCTGGCTTAAGAACAACAGTATTTCCCATAGCTAGAGCTGGAGCTATTTTCCAAGTCAAAAGCATAAGTGGAAAGTTCCAGGGTACTATAGCACCAATGACACCGATTGGCTTCCAGTTTTTCATTTCAACATCTTTAAGTTGAGCCCAACCAGCGTAATGATACAGGTGGCGAACGATTAAGGGCACATCGGCATCTCTAGTTTCCCTGATCGGTTTACCGTTGTCCAAACTTTCAATAACACTCAACAATCGTTGATGCTTTTGAACATGTCTGGCAAAGCTGAAATATTAAAAACGCAATTAAATTTTGAAGACAAACTTATACAATCATTAAGCTGGAACCTATAAAGGTGACGAGCTCGAATATGATTAGGTAAAGTGCTCCAAGTTTGGAAAGCTTTTCTAGCACAGCCAACCGCATATTCAACATCTTCATCTGCTCCTTGCATAGTTTCGGCTAATTTTTCACCATTTGCGGGATTTTTTGAGAAAACATACTCTCGACCTTCCGGTTTATACCATTTTCCATCAATAAAATGTCCGAATTTTCTATCATGTTCATCTAACCATGCCTGTTGAAAAATAGAACGATATTGCATTTATGAACCGGCTTTACAGCATTAAACATTACAAATGCATTCTTGGGATCTTCTGGTGCAGGACCGTAGGACATTTCATCAAATATTCTTTCAACTAAATTTGCTGCCGATGCTGACATTGTAAGGAAAAACAAGACGCCTTTCTGAAGATCTTTTCAGACTAGCGTGTCAAAGGTCGAAAGCGGAAATTCAAGACAGACTAATTTTCGCAATATCAAAGTCCATAAAACGCGGGAAATTTAAATTAGTTTTTATAGGTTCCGTCTTTATAAATAAGATAATTATTTTAAAATTATGATTTTAAATAACTTTTAGGAGAAAAAATCATATCTGAAAGTTCAAGTTGAAGATCTTTAGCTGTCTCTGAAATGAGAGAGGCAACTTTAACATCAATTCTAATTAACATATTAAGAATCCTATGTGAAAATTTTGCTACCCGAAAATATTTCTTTTAAGCATTATTCTGCCGTGATATCTTATCTGGGTGATATTATCTTTATATTTATATTATAGAAAATTTTAGGCATTTTTTGAAATTTCCCGCCAACTCTGTGTTGCTAGTAACAACGATGAAAGTAATCGGTGAACTGATAAAAACCGGTCGAATTCTTTCGAAGCGAATACCAGGCGGCTTCAAATTCGATCGCTCTTCTCGATTAAGAATAATTCAAACTTGTAAGTATAAAAAGCTATTACATTTTCTGTCAAAAGTAAATATTGTTCTTTAGATTCACAAAAATTATTTAAAATTAAAGCTGTTTTTAATATATTTTTCATTTCAAACAGATTCTCTTTTGGATCATTCATATCTGTTGCATATTTTGAATAGAATATGTCCGGGGATGATGGTGGTGAAGAATCTGGTAAATTTAATCCTATTTTCGAATTTATTCTACATTAACTAACTGTTTTTAACTATTTTAGGTGGTCCTGGAGCAGCCTTTCAACAATTTGTTGTTATGGAAGAATTTCTTGATAAACTTAAACTATTACACTATGAGACAACTTTCTGTAAGGACTTAGGATTTAAACCTTTCTCAAGGTAATGATCATAAATGAAAGCATATAATTCTGGTAAAACTAATATTTAATACAGACATTACTTTGCCTTACCTACAAATCCTGGAGAGCAATTTTACTCTTTCACTTCTATATCTGCATGGCTACTGCAAATGTGTGGAAAAAATTTTGATCAACCTCAAGAATATGATGATCCAAATTCAACGATATCAAATATACTATCTCAATTAAGGGACCTTGGACATCAGATTGACTTTCCTCCTAATAAGCTTAAAGTGGGATGTGGGGAGAATTGCTTATGGGTAATTGATCGGCTTGCTGATGAAGCTCTTAAGGCAAAAAGTTTTTCCTGGAAATCGTGAGTTTTCGATTCATATATTTGTTTATTTTTCTTTGCCAGCTTAATAAAGCTATATCTTCAATAAACAGACCGACATATCCTGAAGAAGAAGCCGAAGAGGATAACATAATCGAAGATGAAGCTGAATTAAACCTGAATAAGGTTGAAGAAGAAATGATGCTTGTCAGTTAAATTTATTGAGCATTTTTACATTAGCATTAACTCATAAATTTATTTCTATATAGGATGACGATGAAGAAATTGAAGAGGAGGAAAATATTCTCGGCTTGGACGATTTAAACAAGTTAAATTCTGGTCAAGCGAAAAAAATTGAATCTTCAAAGCCAGAAAATATCATGGAGTCGACTACTGACGCCAATGAATGGAAATTGGAAGTGGAAAGAGTATTACCCCAACTAAAAGTTACTATTAGAACAGATAATAAAGATTGGAGAGTTCATATGGATCAAATGACAACAAATAGTCAGGGAATCGAAAAATGCATGTCTGAAACAAAACTTCAATTGGACAAACTTCACGATGAAATTACTAAGACACTAGAAAAGATAGGCAGGTTCGTAAATTATTATTTAATATAGCAAAGATTTAATATATATAACCTTGAATATTTTTTAATCAGTCGAGAAAAATATATAAACAATCAACTTGAACATTTGCTTGTTGAATTTCGAACTATGCAAGATCGATTAGCCGAAACAAAGGAGAAATACAGGTAACATTTAGAATAACATAAAATAATTCATTTATTCTAAAAAAACGCCTTTTAGACAAGGATCTGGAGGAGTAACTGAAAGGAGCAGAATTTTAGCTGAAGTTGGTAGAGCTTAATGTTAAATGCTTTTAAGTATAAAAAATAACTCATATAACAATTAATTTTCTATAGATTGTTGAAGATTTAGAGAGGGTTAAACAAGAGATGGAGGAGAGAGGATCAAATATGACCGATGCCGGTAATATTATAATAATAGGTTTATCAACAATAAATGATTAAACAAAACTTATCTTTTCAAACAATCTAGCACCTCTTGTTAGAATTAAACAATCTATGAAAAAATTAAAGGAAGATTGTACTCAAATGGACATACGAGTAGGCGTTATACAACATATTCTACTTCAGGTAAACAATTCATTCAAAGCTTTTAATTGAAATTTTTATACACTTTATCCACAATAGGCCAAGTTGAAGGAAAAGTCACATCACAACGGTGGCCCCGGAATTAGTGAGGATGATAGTCTTGCTTATTAGCTTAAACACTCTAAAAGTATTTAAATATCAATTATCGATACAGCTACTTATTTGCTTTTGTTTTCGTGTAAATATATATCTATAAATCAAGTAAAAGCATATTATAACAGCAATGTTAACTATAAGTTGCTAAATCATTCACAAATAAAAAAGGTTTATAAGTTTATTGTTTGTTTTCTCTATTTATTATATATATTTTCTTACTTTATACGATAAAGTTTTCTCTTCTTTTAAAAGAGAGTTATCTCATAATTTTGCACTTAATTTAAAAAAATATGTAAAGAATAGTGTATAAATTACCAATATCAAACTCTTTAGAGAATTTTTCTTATAGAAAAAACCTGCATGATATTTTTTCCACAAAGTAAAAATTATCAAATAAGTAAATAAAACTGAGAAAGCAACATTTCAATTATTCCAAAGTAAAAACACAATTTATCCAAGCAATGTTGATTTTACGAGACAATAGCAGAATGTATTTATGAATCTGAATCAGAAAGGTTAACAGTGGAACAAGAGCCACTATCGCTCCAGCCGTCGTCAGAAACAGCCACTTTTTGAATACTCTTTTCATAAACCTACAATTTATTTGTAAAATATATTAAATCTTGAAAAGATGTAAATTTTAATATATTACTTTGAAAGTTTCACTTATAGCTAGGGGAAATTCTGAGAAGTAACTCCAATAGACTAGGAAAACAGTACTTCCAATAAGCTGTTCAGGTAGCTTTATATTAGTTATATGACGAGTTCTGCCATTAAAAGAGAGTGATAGTCCCGCTGGTGCATACTTATAGGCAACATAATCGGATATAGTTCTGGCTTTTGCCTATAAAACAGAATACTTGAATTAGGATAGAGCCGTAATAATACGTTGGCAATTTACGTCTACTAGTGCTATCCAATCCCATGAAGACGGCTTATAAGCACCGTTATCTACATAGTAACTAATATTTATGTCACCAGCAACAATTGGCTGGATTGCAAACTTAATGCGCGGAATAAAGTGAGCGTAAACCTGTAACAGAATTAAATCAATAAATTGAAAGAAAGAAGTTAAAACCTACGATAGATCTGAAATTAGCAATAACAGGTCTATGATCGCTTCTTTGAAAGATGCTATCCATTTTAGCTCTATATTCCATAGGTAGTACGTTAAAAGATTTATTAACATCATCGTCACTACTATACGATGAAGTATAATAAAGAATACGGTCGGTATATGCTGGTTTACGTTGCTTTGATCTAAGAAAAAATACTTTTACAATACCATTTCTTTATTAATTAACTATTAAATAAAAGAAATTAATGTTTTCTCTTTACCCTGTGTCATATTTATCACTATTGACATCGAATTTATACGTTGGTGGAAAATTGATTGGTCCCTCCTTAAAACCCAAAAAAATAAGGCCTTCATTCATGGACTTTTTTAACTAATTGGTATAGGTGGAAATTATCAAATGAACCATTGAAAGAAAGTTAACTAATAAAACCTGATCGTTCGCTAAAAGCTGGTCATATTCATTTGATGTAATATGGTCTTCTATTGTTTTCTTATCCAGGTTATTAATTCGAAAATTCAAGTCACCCAACCAATATATGTAACTAGATGAAAGACACAGTGTAGGAAAAGTATTAAAATTAAATATTTAGAGTATTAATGTTTAAGTCTAACTCATGATCCAAAATATTAGTGGAGTTTTTAAAGGTTTGGGTTTCTATTATATCGTCGTAGTCTCTTATTCTCTCATTCACATGTTGAAGATGAGCAGTCAAGTGAGAATTTACAAAACATATACTCGTCTGACCTATTTCAAATCTTACTGATACGGCTCCCTTACTACCCTGTTGTAAATTATTGTTAGCATTATTAGATACATTGTCGAGCCTTATAAGTATGCCCATACATACAAGTAGGCCTCCAAAGTTGGTTCTTGTATATGATGTCTCTATGTTATGAACATAGTGAAGCCAAGGTAATCGAATCCAGACAAGTAGTTGCATGTTCCACATGCGAATGGTTTTGATCTGTTTTTAATTGTTAATGAATATTGTGAGCAAAGAGTATGGCTTACAAACTAGGATAAAACTTTCTGCAAGAGCTCCTAAAGCTTCTTTTATAGCAGAAGTCCATAAATCTTCTCCTAGACCAACTACTGATAAATTTGCAATATATATTTCCTGCAATCTGAAAGAAAAGAGCTGTTTTTGTTGCAAACTTATCCTTAAAAACAAACCCTATAGCAATGACATCTGGATACTCTCTAGGGTTATACTTTACAAGTTTTTCAAGTTCTGGAGGAGGTGTACATTCCGCCGTATTCCATGTAATACAAGACACTCTGTTGTATGTTATTGAGCGATATTACGGGGGTTTTAATTAATACAGCAAAAGTAACACCAAATAAAGATGACTCCAATTAACTTACCGAAGTTCTTGTCCTCCTTTCATGTATAAATCCCGATTACCGAGCATTATAGTACAACTGTTTAGTTTAATTGAAAAATTGAAACGTGAAGAATAACAAACAAAATAGCAATTGACACAACTATGACGTCATATCATCAGGTATGCAATCTAACAACTGCTTGATGTGTTAGCTTTTGGTGTTCATAGGGTGCCAGACTAAATATTGCATTTCAACTGTCTTAAACAGTTAAATTCTCTTTTCGTGTAAAAAAAATATTTACTAATATATACATTTATATAAATATACTATATACTAATATATACATATGTATATGTATAATGATATATTATATACTAATATATGCTGTGATTCAGTCGGATTGTATTTTTCTAATAGATTGTTTAGAATTCAATTTTAAAAAATTGGTTGAAACATCAATAATCTTTTATTTCAAACAGTTTATAGTATAAAAATAATGTAATTTGGACTAGAAATTTTTGTTGAAAATGTCAAAGAATTTCATGAAAAGCAAAGAACTTTTGTATTACCCCTTTAGAAATTTGTCTCTGGTTAATACAACTGATTTTACCCATACGTGGCGCTTTACTTACCGGAAGTAATCTCTAACATAGAGTAATATCACAACAAGATATACATGTTATGAGAGTGCAGTGAACCATTCTGACGTGACAGTTTATTCATAATCCAATTTTCTGTGAAGAAGAGTTAAAACTTCGTTATGACAACCACCCTAAGAGAATGTAACAAATATAGAACATGTATATTTGGTTTGTTCATTATCGTTATTATTGCTTCCTATTTCCTATTATCTAAATTGAGAGTGGAGAGAATAAAATTCGACACTAAAGTTTCGGAGAAATCAACGAAAGTAGTTAATCCGTTACCTGATGTTCAGCCGGTTGAAGACAATTCCAAGCCTATTGAAACAGATGATTTTCCACATCATGATAAATGGATAGTGACAACTAGCATCAACAGGCCTACAGATCAAATGACCAAGTTGATAGCAAATGAAAATTGGAGAATGGTAGTCGTTGGTGATCTTAAAACTCCAGTCGAATGGAAATTAAAAAATACTGTATTTCTGTCAGTAGATAGGCAAAAAGAATTTGGAGGTCATTTATCTAAGCTTATACCCTTTAAGAGTTATTTTCGTAAAAACGTAGGATATATTTATGCTATAAAGCATGGAGCAAAAACAATTTTAGATGTAGATGATGACAATGAAATAGCTATTGATGCTTTTGAATTCAACGACGAAAGTTCTAGTATAACACCAATCACCACTAGTACTTTCTATAATCCTTACGCACATTTTGGTCAATCAACACTTTGGCCAAGAGGATATCCCCTGCAAAAGATAGGTGATCCAGCACCACGAACATATCGAACAATAACTGGACGCACACCTGGCATCCAGCAAGCAGTGGTTGATGGAGACCCTGATATGGATGCAATTTTTCGACTAACTAGGAAAAATTCAGAGAGAATGCTTAATTTAACATTTGACAGGTCAGCGCCGCCAGTTGTCCTTCGTAAAAATTTATACTCGCCTTGTAATGCTCAAGCCACACTTTGGCGCTACGAAGCTTTTTGGGGTCTGTTTTTCTACAGTAGTGTTACATGGAGGGAAGCAGATATTTTTAGATGTTATTGGGCACAACGTTTATTGTGGTACACAAGGTCACGATTGGCTTTTCTACCTCCAGCTGCTGTTCAAGTTCGAAATCCTCACGATTACTTATCAGATTATATCGACGAACTTCGTCTATACTCACAAGCTGAGAAATTTGTATCGGCTTTACAGTCATTGACTTGCGACGCCGATTTTGAAGAATGCCTAAGAAAATCTGCAACCCATTTAAATGAGCTGTCATTTTGGACAAAAGAAGATGTTGATTGGTTATATGCCTGGATATTGGATTTAAAAAATGTTGGTTATATTTTCCCTGAGAAAACAGATGATGATGAAAACATAGACGAAGAAGTTGTCTTTTTTCCTCGTGAACAACATACATCATTCAACCATATACCTAATCTAGAAACTTTGTCATCTTTATTACCTCATTCACGAATAGCTAAAACCGTCACAAATGCATGCGGATCAAATTATATAGTTGATTGGAACCCATCTAACTTTAATAATGATACTTTAGTAGTTGTTGGTTTAATATCTGGTAAAATTGAAGACGTTACATATCTCGATGCATTATATCGGACTAACTTTTCAAATATTATCTATTGTACGGACTCAAAACCTTCTCAGGATTTTGGTGTATCCATTATGCATTCAAAGTCAGTTAATGTTCTGTCATGTCTAAAGAGCGCCTACGAGTTGGGTTATACTGTCAAAAACTACATTTATACCTCTTCTGAATTCTATTTCTATCGTAATGTATTAAAAAAACACCCCGAGACAGCTCTATTATTCGACGGATCAATAGATTGCCAAGCGAAGAATACAAATGCCTTACTAAGCGATCGATTTCTAAGGATACCTGGAGAAATTCTGGGACAAGTAAAAATAAACTGCCTTGATATCAAGTGCATACAAAAATATCTGGAAGACACATTTTGCAATCCTGATTACGTAAAGGGTAGCTTGGTGGAAAATTTCGATTACATAGCACCTTTTCATATTTCTACAAATTTGTTAAAATTTTGTAATATTTTCAAGAGATTTGTTTAACGACATTTATTAAATAAATACAATTCTGTTTCACATATATTGATCAAAGTAATTTTCTTTTAAAAGAAAGCTTTTTAAGTCAGATTAGATATTTGTTCTTTAATCCTCTTGCTTCGGTGGTTCATTTGATGCACTTTCGTCTATTATCATCTTAGGACTCGAAGCAGGACTCTCGGCTTCTGGAGAAGTTGCTACAGAATTATCGGCACTACTTTTATTCAACATGTTAGCTAAGTTTTGATGCTTTTTAACCACTGGAGATGGAGCAGTCACAGTGTTGGCTCGTACTCTTGGTTGGGGTGAAACAGCGGGAGAAGGCCTCTTAGTTTCTGGTTTCGAGCACGGTCCAGCACTATAACTTCTCGGGCGAGTATCCACATCTAGCACAGATTGCAGGGAAGGAGCTTTTTCATTTCTAGGGCTCGTTGAAGCCGGTGAAATAGATGACGGTCTCGGCGAGGCGGCAAAGGGTGAAAGCTGTGATTGCTTCTGATCCTCTGGCGGTGAACCAATGATGCCTCTCATTGATTGAGAAATTCGAGAATTAGCTCTCATATCTTCTTCAACCTTTTGACTTTTATTCTCAATGATCTGTTCAAAATAATTCCCAATTGTTGTTATTTTCCGATCAGGCGGCGGAGACGGTCTTTTTGGCCTTGTCATTCCCGGCATAGAATTGCTCATTTCCGACTCGTTCGGCCTTCTACGCCTAGGAGAAGTCAAGGTATGGGAATTGGTCGTCTTCTCCTGAGTCATCTGATTGTGTATAATAATGTCTATTAATTTAGCTGCAGTCATTTGGTTATTTTGAGGTGGATGCGACTGTTGGGGCGGCATCTGTGCATGTTGCTGATGCTGATGTGGATGCTGGTGATGATGGGAAATTGGTACAGAGCGAGGTGATTTACTCTGCTGATGTCGATTAACTTTTACTGGTTTTTCACGGTCATCATAAGCATCAATATACGCAGGTCGAATATTAGCACTTGTCCTCATATTTTCCATTTGTCTAGCTGTGTCATAATCATTCTGAAGTATTAGTCTATTGTTTGATGGATGTCTATCGTAGGCTTTCGGAGCAGCAACCTCATAAATATCATGATTGCCGTGTGTTCCTTTCATATTCTCATTGCATATGGGCGTTCCTTTAATAATGGAACCGGCCGATCCATCCAATCCAGGTGGTGGAGGCCTTCCCTCAAAGCGTTGTCTTTGAGAAAAGGCGAGTGGCGTTCCAGATATGATGCTTCCTCCAGCCATTAGCGGTCTATTATTGTTATGGACGAGAGGAGGGGGAACGGGCATATGAGGTCTCGGCGGAATGTTAAAATGGGGAGGCCTTGAATATGAGTGATTCGAGTGAGCAGGAGGTGGGGGACCTCGAGGCTGTTCCTTCTTTCTATTCAACGGATCTGGACGATAGTGACGAGGACCCAATAAATCCGGATAGAGTGGATTTGATATGCTAACATTTATTCCCATTGCTGAAAAAAGTAATTGTTAGAAATAGAAATTTGCCGATGAACAGATTAAACTAACGATTGCTGGTTGCCATCGTAATAGGATGTACTCTAGCGATGTTCTCCTTGGTAGCGTCTGAATCTGATCTGGGAACATCGGGGTGAAGATTTCTCTCTATTGCCGAATGTATTAGATCCCGAACGCAAGCCGGGGAATGTCTTCTGTCCTCGCCCGCCTGCTGCAGTCCGCCATTGACTGACGGTTGTGCCGTTTGTAGGCGGGCGATTGCCGGTAAAAAATTCTCCTGTGCCAAATTTACAGGGTTTGGTGGTTTTTGAATCACACTAACAGAGTGATTTTTAGAAACATGTTGTTGAGAATGAAGGGGCTGTTGTGGTACTTGTTGATGTTTTGGTAAAACAGCATCTTGGGAACTCTCATCGGCGCTTAAAGTTGCTGATGAGTCGTTATCAGCGGCAGGAAATTTTGAATTGTCTTCTTCCAAAGTTCTGACGCTAGCTATAGATGCTGTTTCATCACTTATTCCTTCAATTTCATCATCTACTGAGCTAGGCATTTCACTATCGCTTATGGCCGTTACAGTGCTTGCATTCGATTCGCAAACAGAAGTCTTCCTATTATCAGTATGCTCTTTCAATAGATCATCGAGGCCCATTTTTTTACGATAGTTGAAAAAGAAATGTTTACATTGCGCTTCACTTTTTGTGCCTACTTTGGTAGAGATTGCAGCCCAATTTCGACCAAAGTCTTTTAGTGCTTCCTTTGCTGCTGTCATTTCTTCATCGGTCCATCGGTTTGCTTCCGTTTCGGGATCATTTGTGCCCAATCGTCGACAAATACGATTAAAGCAAGGTTGACAACACTTATTCATCCCATCAGTAATACCAAAAGTTTTAAATATATCGTCTCGAATGTCTTCGGCAACTGTTTTTAACTTATTAGGTAGAGGTCTAAGCCTCTTAACTTTAGTTTTTGGTCTTGAGCAAGCCATTAGTGGGCATTCAAATGACTTTCTACGTTGTCTAATACGACAATTATTACAAATTTTTACTTCGCCATCTCTCTTCACAGCTTCCTCCATGGCCTCACTTGATATCCCATACGACGAGTGATTTGCACTTGTTACAGAATAGAAATTCGAACAAGTCTTTGTGCTACACACAACACATTGGATATTACTGCTCTTTTCCCTATTTTCATTATTTGAAGGAGGTGCGGAATTAGAACAAGGTTCATCTTGGTTCTCTAAAGATCGCACAGCACAACCGGCAGTAACAACCATTGGTTTTACATCGACAAACGAAGAACGATTAGAGCGGGAACTGAAAGTAAAAAATACGTCGAAGTTATGAATAAAATCATATTTATAAACTCAATTTTCTAAAACTTACAATACAATTGGAACAGCCTCTTCTTTACTTTTATTTTTAGCTTCTTGTTCACATCGATCTTTTTCCAACTGAGCGGCTCTCATAACGGCTTGCTAAACAAATGATAATCGCATTAGGCCGATTCTTTTTGTGATAACTATTTTTAAATAGGTTATTATATAAAATCGTATAAAATACATACTTTCTTCAGAGCCCCTTTTGCTCCTCTTTGCCTTGCCTGATGTTTTCTTACAAGTTGTTTGTAATTTTCCGTCTTTTTCGACATATAATAGTAATGTATGCATTCTGAGACTGTTTTATTTTCAAGGAATTGAGAAATAATCACAAAATTCTTAGGGTGTTGAACAAATCTATCACGAAAAACTTCTTTTTCCTTATCAGTCCAAACAGTGTCTTTGCCCTTAGAGTTTTTGTATTCTAGAACAGAAAAAAAGCCGCAGATAAAGATCTGTTTTCTTTTTTTTTTTTCAGAAATAATATACAATTGTATGTTATTTCTAAGTAGGTCAATGTATGCATACGAAACAGTTTGACCCTATATGCTCAATCTAATTAACAGATACGAGACACTAGTATCTCTATAACAACAGACTGACTCAAGAGTTAAAAATAACTTTGTACTCGATTTTTTTTATATTACTCATCGTAGTTGTTGAAAATTATCTAGAACAAGCTTTGTACTTTAAACTGTTCAGACTTGATTAAGAATGTGATTTTACAGACCTGCTAGAGGATCCTTAATCAGACGATTGTTATCTATAAACTTGTATTTTCGCTCTTGCTCGTCAAGTAATAGTGGAGGTATTACGGCCAGTTGTTTACGTTTCCGTATTTCTTCCTGTAAGAGTTGTACACCCGGATAAGCAAACATTTGTACGTAAACATAACATTACCTCATGTTCCTGAACACCATCATTAATTTGGTCAATTTCTTGATGTTCGCTTCTTGTGTGAGCTCTATTATTACATCGTTCCTCTCTTACCCTCTTTATTTCGGGGAATACCTTCTCGTATAATTCTCTAGTACGTACATCTTTCGATTTTTTCTTGGCAGCATTTTCAAATCGATCAACTTTCTTCAACCAGATTTGCATTTGTTTCTTATAAAGATCGTCTGACCCTTTTTCTCTTTCCTTCTTGGCAAAGAATTTCTTTTTAAGCTGGGCAACAAGTAATGGCTTAAATTTGATGAATTTCTCTTTAATTTCTTCTTGCAGAGTATCAGACGGTTGCTGATAAAGCGCCAAACCTTGAACATTTTCTAATTTTGAGCTTAAAATAATAAGCTGATGTGATTTAGCTGCTTTTCGCTTATTGTCCGATAAAATATCGTGAAGTGGATTCTGATGTTTTTGGGTTGGAGATTCACAGCGTTCTCCTGCTGGAGCACAGGCAGCTGCCTTGTAACGCTCCTCATCGCTCTCTAATTTCTTTATTGTTGCCTCTAGTTCCTGAATTCGACTTTCAACCTTATTAATTTGATTGGTAATATTTTGCCTGGCATCTTTAAATCCCTGATCTTGTGGTAGGGTCGGTGAAATAGCTTCAACTTGCGGATGGTAGGCTGGTTCTTGTTTTATGTTTGGCACGAATTGTGTATTTATGTGTAAAGGTTGAGTGTAATCCTGCATCATTCGCGGCCTTTTGGCCGAATTCAGGGCAGCCGGTTCGAGAATACGGTGTGATTCAAATTCATTGTTTAACATGGATATTCTGCGCCTTGGCTGCGGCACATCTGATTGATAAGGCGAGGTCGTGTATTGAGCCGTCGAATAGGGTAATGAGTAAGCGGCAGCCGCCGTCATTGGCATACGAATTCCGTACGGTGAGGGATGGGATATTGATGCAGTTGTGCTACGCGGACTCTGCGTTCCCCGACCTCTTTTATAGGCATCTTGAGAAGGACTCCTGTAAAATCAATGATTTAACGTTGATCTAAATATCGGTCAAAAAAACAACATTATTCCTAAATTCCTTGGGCTTGAATCCATCGTGTACGCGATCGTTCGGTTTTCTTTTTACGCTAAGCTAAAGCTCTAAAATTTAATCTTTCATTTTAACCAGCGATCGCTGTGTAACTCATTCGTATAAGTGCGAATTCTTACCTCTCTCTATTGGAACTCGACATAACATATACGCAGACACTTAATTTTACTGCAGAGTATTTAGGTCATTCATCCGCCATCGTTTTTTAATGCATTTTCTTATTGACGCCATATTTTTTTTCTTGAAACACTGTCCTTCAACTGTACATCGAAAAATTCGCCATTTTATTTTTCGATTTAGATTATGATAATAAAAGGAATGGAAAGAGAAAATTAAGCTAAAAAAGTATACTTAGAAAAAAATTTATCACTTGACTTGTATGATTAATTTTATTTCGCATGGACGCCATCTGACGGTAGATCTATCCAAAACATGGCGCTAGCAGACGTTTGCGGCATCAAGAACTTCTCTAATAATTTACCAAGTCTTGGAAATAGAGGTTTCCCATCAAGTTTAACGCAAGCCGATGATGAAATCCTATTCGGCAATACTTTTATTGTTCCTAAAAATCTAGAGGTAGGAATTTCTTGACTTTTCTGTATAATGCAATGAATGACTTGCGAAATTTTCTTCAGTCTTTTGGAGAAGAATCGAAAAATGAAAACGATGTTCAGATTCAATTTGCCCAAGGAACAACTACACTTGCTTTTAAGTATAAAAATGGTGTGATCGTAGCTGTTGATTCTAGAGCTTCAGCTGGCTCTTACATTGCATCCCAAACTGTAAAGAAAGTAATTGAAATAAATCCCTATCTTCTTGGAACCATGGCAGGAGGAGCTGCAGATTGTGCCTTTTGGGAAAGGATGTTGGCCAAGCAGTGCCGTATATATGAATTAAGAAACAAGGAAAGAATATCTGTTTCTGCTGCTTCAAAGCTTCTTGCTAATATGGTGTACAACTATAAGGGCATGGGTTTGTCAATGGGGACCATGATCGTTGGCTGGGATAAAAAAGGACCCGGATTGTACTATGTCGATAACGATGGCACCCGCTTAACCGATAATTTATTTTCAGTTGGGTCTGGTTCTACCTATGCTTATGGTGTTCTGGACAGTGGTTACAAATGGGACCTAACTGATGAAGAAGCATACAATCTAGCAAAACGATCCATCTTTCATGCTACACATCGTGATGCTGCATCGGGAGGAATTATTAATTGTAAGAATTTATTATCCCGTATTCTACAAACTAATAACTATATTTTCAGTGTATCATATGAAAGAAAGTGGATGGGTTAAGATATCTGCCACAGATGTTGGGCCTTTATATTACGAGTATAAAGCAGAAGCGTAAAAATTGTTTTCCGATTATAAAATATGTCATTCAAAATAAAACTAAATTTTTACAGATAGTTTAAAGTTTTTATTAATAATTCTATGTTTATTGATCACCCTCAATTATCATTTCGACCAAGCTCGAATTGGCACATTGACCTTCTTCTAATCTCTGTGGCGTTCCCCATCTTAAAAGGGTCGGGACACTTTTAAGCGCTGTACGAGGGTCTTTTCGGAAACCATTATTCTGATCCTTCCAGAAAGATCTGTCTCCAACAGAGCAATAGATATAAACTGAACCCTCTGGAGCTTTAGTCATACACTTTTCAACTACCGGTACTGCAGTAACACAATCAGGACACCTTGAGAAACAGAAATATCATAGTGTTGCTTCGATATATATTTTTTAACATACACACCAACTTACGCCAGTAGATGGATCGGTCGCACCACTAAACAGAGCGAACACGTTCTTCTTTCCTTCATGTTCTTTCACAGCTTGTAAGAATTCATCAAGACCCTGTACTTTAACTTCAGTCGCCATGTCGGTGAGACTATTATCGCTTAGTTTGATTCTATCTCAGTCAAAGTGCAATCAGACGCTTCATGGTGTCCAAAATAACGAAAATTTCACAAGATGGCAGTCATTCAACAAAATAACGCCATCTGTTTTTCATACGTTACATTGTATTTGTTTTGAAAAATTGCAAAATAATAACTTCTAAATTTATTATACAATAGCAAGGAGTCGTATATAAAATATTATTAATATGAATTAACTTATCAAGGAATTAATCAATTGCTCTTCGGGCCATTCGCCGAGCCCTTGAAATAGTCTGTTTTTTATTAACATCTGTAGTATCCGTATTATTATTCCCAAATAATTCTTTTATGAACTTAAAGCGACTCAAAAAACATTTCCAAACAATATACCAACCTGAAGCAAAATGTTAATTATTTTTATCGAAATGTGTAACGATATTTTAGTGACTTACCAATTCCAATAAAGGAAAATACAAGAAAAGCCGAGAGCAAAAAGGATAATACCGATATTACAAGATCTTTCATGATTTCACAGATGTATGTGGTATAACGATTCGCAATTTCAAATTCTTTGTCTATTTCTAATCGTGTCGTCTGCTAAATTAGAATACTATTTTTATATAGTATGTTATTGTAGACTTTTACGGGGAGGGGGGGGGGAAATACGTTCAATACAATTACATCATCGTAATGATAAAAGAAAGCTTTTTAATCTTGTTTTTAAATGTAGTATAGAATTATTTGTATGAAAAACATTTATTTAAAATTAGTTAATTTTAAAGAAAATATCGGTAAAGCAGATTTTGCGATGAAAAAAATAATCATGACGAAAATAGGATAAAGAGTTTGTTTCGCCAACTTAGGACGTTGAAAAGTATCTCAAAAGGGTTTTTAATTTGCCCGGGGGAAAAATAAATCGAAATAAACTAAAAATAACAATATTTTTTATTTAAACCATAAAATTTTGTATACTAACGAAGTTGGTCACAAAATTTTCAAGTAACCGGAAACGGAAGCCACACTATAGGATGAAACAGAAGAATTAGATTTTGTTAAAGAAGCCGCCTAATCGGCTACTATATGTGAAATGAGTGGAGACGGTGCACTGATTATTAAAATAGAAGACGATAATAAACTTTTGGATGAAGTAGAGGAAACAGAACAGCTTAATGTTCAAGAAGTTCATATCCAGTCAGTTGCCTTTTCTAATTTTATAGTGTATTCAAGTGTTTTATTCAGTTATAAGGCTATTTAAGCTATGTATTTGTAATTTAATACCAGTATGAAAAATATTGATTGCAGATACAGAATATTTATTGTTGTTGGATGAGAGAGATCCTCTTTTCTAAACTACATTGCTGATTTTTTAAATACTTTTTAGTGTTAGACTCAGAAAAATTATTTATTCTCATTGAAAAATGTTTATTACTTTTACAAAATAAAAATTTCTCCATAAAATAACCGGCGAGTTATTTTTAGCCTTTGACTACCGGTTTTTACCTTGATAAGTCTTATCGTATTAGATATTAAAACAAGTATATTCTTTCAGATCAACTGATCTCTTCCCAAAGCAAGAGAGAACTACTTTCAGATGTCAAAGAGACAATTGTACTTACATAACAGGGAAGAAAGAATTATTAAAGAAGCATGAGTTAATGCACGTTAGGAAATATCCTTGCATGTTCCCTGGTTGTCAGCACGCAGCTCAAACTAAAAGCAATCTCAGAAGACATGAGGCTACTCACTCAAATATCCGTCCTTATATCTGTGAGATTTGCCAACAAGCATTTCGTCAAAAAATTCATCTTCAAAGGCATACCAATTATAAACATTCAAATGAAAGAATAAAATGCGAATACTGTGATTATTTAGCTGCCAATGCTGATTCCGATCTATCAACTCATATGAAAAGGTAAGATACTTCTTTCTTTGATGATTTTAAATAATGAAAGTGTAATTATTCAGATGTCACCCTGTGGAGGATGCGCGAAAAAAAGGATTAGAACCTCCGGAGTTACAATGCCCTCAATGCTATTCAACGTTTACTTCCAAAAAAGATCTTCAAAATCATGCAAAATTTCATAGAACACAAGGACCGGAATTGAAATTCTCATGCCCCCATTGTTCATTTGTTACGGATGCATCTAGTAGACTGCAACGTCATCTGGTTATTCATACTGGCGAAAAGAGATTCGGTTGTTCTCTATGTGAATATAAGGTACTGTTGATATTAGAGAATGAAAGAACTCTTTATATATCTTTATCGATCTTAAGGTTAATATGAAAGGTTAAGTCATTTTTGTTTTTTTACCAGGCAAATCAGAAAGAACACGTTCTCAGGCATATGTGCGTTGTTCATAATGTAGAAAAAGCTACAAAAAAAAAGAGGAACGATGAACCAAGAAAAAAATATCCTCCAAGTTGCACTGCTAGTTTGAACAAAGTTCTTGCTTGTAATAGGTGTGACATGACATTCGCCAGAACGTTATCATTATATAGACATGTAAAAGAGCAACACGACATGTCAATGGTAGATGCATGTGGTGCTCATACCTGTGTTGCCTGCGATTATTCGGCTCCAACGTATAAAGCATTAGTCAGCCATATGAGAAAGCACAACGATCCACCTCCTCAGGAAAGTGAAGTGACTAATGTAGAATTGAACATGAGTGAATTAGCTGATGACGTTGATGAAGTAGTCGTTGATGGAAATAGTCTCTACCGGGAAAGTGAGGATGGAAGGGTTATGTTTATTAAAACTGGCGATGGAGATGAAGATATTTCGAGTAGTGTACAAGTTTTTATGACAGTCAAATAATATATTTCCCTCTCTCTTCTTCTCCTTCTCCTTCTTCATCTTCTGCTCTTCTTAATCATCAAGAAATTATTCACTTTATAAGGGTACGAAAAGAACGACTAGAAATTTTCAGCATAAGAAATAAATATTTATTATTGAAATCAATTAAGCTGCTTATCCTCCAACATCGTGAAGCATGCTTATCGATTTTTTTTTTGTATTTGATTTGTTATTTTTTCTCGTTATTCAATTAACTGAAACCTGTATGTGCATAAGAAGATATACATATACATATCGCAATTGCATGTACTGTGAGTTATAGAGTATATAATATATACATCTACATTCTATATCAAGTGTCAATTCGCTACTAAACAACGTCTTGAGTTGAATAGGAGTTGGATAATCTTTGTTACCTCTGAATTTATCACTTCAGAGAATACAGAAAAAATTACCATCTTTTTTAACACTGTGAATGATATTTAATGCCTCACCATTATTATAAATATAATCCGATTGATCTTAGGTAGACGTAGAATGTTTAAATAACATTACATATACAATATAAAAGAGCTAATCGTCCAAATGTTTACAAAAATGATTGAAGAAAAGATCTTATTCATATTTTTCTTACTTTTTTTTATTGTAAAGCTTAAAGGATTAATTCAATTATTCAGTAGCCAAGATATATAGAGAAGAGAAGGATATCGGAGAGAAAATACTAAATATAAAAGTATAGATATAAATATCAAAAACACAAGAAATAAGATAACAACTCATTTGAATTGTTATTCTAGCACCAAATTATTTATAAGTTGAATATCATCAAGCGTTTACGGCGACTATTGGAGGTAGTTTAACAATATCTGATTCTTTATTTTCAATAAATTCATCATTTTCCTCCTTATTTTCGTTATTGTTTCCATAATCGTCACCCATAACTGTTCTCTCCAATATTTCGTCAAGTTCTTTTTCTTCTTTTTCCCTTTTCTTCTTCTTTTCCTATTTTATTATTATTAATAATAATATTGTTAATAAAGCGGAAGTGACTTTGCAAATAGTTCAATAAAGAATAATTTATTAATAAATACCATAACGTGGGCCGCATGATCTGGTGGCATAAACAATCCTACATATTGGTCAAATTCACATTCTATGAGAGCTTCCACTAATTCGTTTAGTTTTCCACCATCTTCGTCTCTCCAGCTCTATGTAAAATAACCGTATAGGTTAGATTCTGATATATTCATACTATCTATGAACATTACCTTAAGCATAGTTAGAGTTTGTCGTTCAACGCTTAAGGGGATATCCATCTCAATCATATCCATTCTATTGTGAGTCACTCCCAATTGTTCTCCGACATATCTCCATTTATCTGTTATCTTGAAAGATAAATATTCTAATTTCTCATCACTCAAAGACGCTGCCAGACGCTGCTTTTTCCTTCTTTGCTTTTTCTTTCTTAATTGAAGAGCAGGTAAACCTTCGAGAGCTTTCATCTGCAATAAAAAAGTAAACATCTTATAGATTTCGTCGGGTAAATTACAAAATTGTACTTGATTTGAATCAATTTCCCTTTCCTCAGCCATTGCCCTTAAAAGTCTTGCCTCTTGGATTAATGCTCTTACAATTCTTCTACACTCCTCAACGGAAACTGTTGCATTCATATTCTTTGCTTGGTAATTAACCATTGTTCTTATTTGGTGTTTTAAGCGTTTATGAAGTTGCTCTCTCCTATGGATATCGTTCATTTTCTGCCTAATTCTGGCTTTTAATCTCTCAGCTTCCTCCATATGCGCAGCTCTCAAAATTTCCATTTTCCTCTCCATCTCCTGAATTTGAAGCATATTACGATATTGACAATCTCTCAGCTCTTTCTTATGGGATTTTCTCATAGTTTCCGAAAGCTTTTTAATCCTACTCGATATTGGTTCGTGAATAGCTTCTTCCGGACCGAGAGGAGCAGAAGATTCCATCTCTCCAGCTTGTTTCCTTCTAGCAGCTGTATCTGATTCTATTTCTCGAATATTTAATTCTAGCGTTTTTTTCTCCCTTCTTAGTTCTTGTAGTGTTTTCTTTGGAGAATTAAGAACACTCGACATTCTCGTAGAAGTGCTCCGCTTTCTACCTCCAGCACTACTCCTGGCGCTTCCGGGATCTCTTGGTGCTATGGCTACTATTTCATTCAAGACTAATAAGAATAGATATTCGTTAGATTATTATCAGTTAAGGACAATAAAAAACTAACTTTTCTCCTCGCATACTATCTTATCAAATTGTTGTTGCATTAGTTGAAGTTTAGTATCATTCATTCGTATATAAGATCTTAATATCCTGAGAGAGTAATGTTCTTTGACACAATCTAAGGGAGCGGAAACTCTAGATGGAGGTCTTTCTAAATTATAATCCTTTCCTTCCTTTAATACCATAATAAGACCTTCCTCTAATTCTTCCTTGGCAGTTCTTAACAACCTGATTTCTCGTTCTCTACAATCTGCTTCATTTTCTAAGACTTCTATTCTTTTTAAGAGTTTACTAACTCTGAGTTCCGCTTCCTCTAATCTTCTTCGAGCTTCCTCAACAAATTTCTTTTGGCCTTCAATAATAGCTTGCAATTCGCGAATTTTTCTTCTTAAATCCTCCATTTCCCTTTCTAAAATCTTAACTCTTTCATCTCTCTTCATAGCTTCTAGCGCAATTTTTCCTGTATAGAAAGTTGATCTAGTTGGAAATGATGTCAGTATAAAGGGAAAAAAATGCATAAAAAAAGATTTTTCTTCAATTACAACCTTCAATATAGCTTTGAAGGAGATGCTTCCCTTCCTCTCCCAATTTTAGGCCTATGTGTGGATATATTCTCAAAAATTCAGATAAGTCGAGAAAATACGTAAAAGTTGGTGGTAACATTTCACCAAATTTTGTTTGCTTTTCAGTTTTAATAATTTCCCTGGCAACTTTTATATGATCCGATCTAAACAGTGCTTTAATAAACTTTGAATAAATATCAGTACCATGCATCCCTAGCCTTGTAATGAGTAGTAACACTTTTTCAGCGTTATAGGCCTTAGACTAAAAGAAAGAATATATATGATTTTAATTGCGAAACAAATATAACATCAATTGATTACATGTGTAACAGTAAAATACGTCAAAGGAATAGGCTTACATCTAAAAACTATATACATAAATAAACTAAAAGATTTTTTAAGATTTTAAGAAGTAAGATAAGATATGAAGTCTCTCTTTACAAAAGAATCTTAATATTATTAATATTAATTGGATTATAAAGTATAAATATATCTATATATTGCCCCTAAAACATATATTTATTACATACTTCTACAATATTTTATATTTAACTATAAACAATCAAAATGATTTTAAAGATTCAATGCAAATAATATCTTTTTGAACAAACACTTAAGTTTCTATAAAAATTGAGTACATTTTTTATTATTTAAATCTTAAAGATTCTTTAGTTTTTTCTTATAGGCGAAAGGATAGGTTTTATAAGGAAATTGTTGTACAGACACAGAGAAAGTAAACGAATTGAAAGTGATTGAAAAAAGAATGAATATGAATTCATTTCTTTTGTTTTTGTTTGTTTTCAGCTATACTCTTTACTTGAATATTTTTGGCGGGAAAAATTTATTATTATTTATAATTATACGAGTATAATTATTTTATTATCATTCATATATCTACTATTCGTCACTAGAGATAGACATCTTAATCCTTAATAATCAATTTTAAAGTATAAAAGAGGTAATAACTACAGTTATTTTAAATAAAAAAATTTTTCGATTATATTTTTTTTTTAATAAAAAATAGATAACCTAATTTTAATTTTTGTATTTGTATCATACCTGAATGTCAGTCATTGTCTGTAATGTACAAACGTCTAAGTCAACTAATTCATGACATAGTTTTGTTGTAAATGCAACGTTATTTAGTAAAAAATCTGTCCTCTTCCATATGATTAATTGTTGTTTAAGATCCATAGAATTTGGAACTTTTGAAGCAAAATCTTCATCGTGCCAACACAAGTCTTTCGGAACTTCTGTCTCCAATTCTTTACTCTTTACCAATTTATTACCCTTCTGTCTTATTTCCGCTAATTTAGTTGGTAAACGCGACATATTCAGAGCAAATAATTGTGTATCGTATAAGAACTAGCTTAGCTAACTAAACTGACGATATATTCTGCGATAGCAAATATCGGGGAATGTGAAACCATACCAATTTGCTGTCAAGGGACATTTGTACTTAACTCTAAAGAATGTTTAACTAAATTTAAAGTAATCTATAAATATTGTTAACATTTAACACTGCATTTTTTCCTAAGAGATTTATGGCGATATTTTTTTCTTTTTAGCTATTCACATTATCTTTTCAGCCATGATTTAGAATATGAAGAAGAAGAAGAAGAAGAAGAAGAAGACAAAAAAAGAGAAAACCTATTATGTAAGGTAACCTTTTAGTGTATTTTGAAGTTTATAACTTATGTATTATTCTCATTAATTTTAATAATAAAACTTAATAATTAACGAAAAGAGTTAATATAAAATTCTCAATTGTAATGTCATTCATACTTTCATAACTTTACATTCATGAAAATTTTATCAATTCTTTCTTATTTTTCATTTGTAAAGCTCATATGATTATTTATTTGTCTTTAAATGCTATACATCTAAATAATAGTTGCATTAATCCTGTAAATAACATCAAACCCATTGTACATGAGCTACAAAACTTTCTATAGGAATCTTAAATTAAAAGTTTTTTCTATATTAATAAAAGGTTGAATACTATTTATAAAAGAGCTATTTTTTCTAAGCTATACTCCAATAGTTGCTATTCTAAGTTTAGGAGTATTATTTATTGACAACATTTAATCTGTTTATTAGAATTTGTGAAAACTCCCACGCTATATCCGCAGTACTCAGCAGAAATACTATTTCATTAACACATTTTTTCTGAATCAAAAAGATAAAAGTTATTAAAAATAAATTTTTTGTTGATATAAATTCATATATACTGCAAAATATACAACAAAGTCATATTTCACAATTTCAATGATTTTTTCCCCATTACAGTTGTTGTCAAATAAAAAAAAAACACTTCTTCCTATCTTCTTTTAAGCTGTTGAACACTAGAAAGTAAAATTTTAACTGTTGATTTCTTTTTTGAACAGGAAATAGAAGAAAAAAAATGTAATACATAAAAAAAAAAACTTATAAGTGTTATTTAAACATGCGACTCTTTTTCTTTACTCTGAAAGATTCAGTTTTATAGTAGTGCATGCTAACTATTACAAATTGAGCAAAATCAAAAGCCAAAAAATTGATTCGATTGATAATTTTCAGAAAAAAAGAATGAAAAAAAAAACCTAGAGATTTGTTTTGGAGAATATTTTCCTATTTATAGCATCAATTCTGTGTAAAAAAAAATTCTACAGTATTTGTTTCTGTTAATTTGAAATTCCATGACTATCTGAGTATATTCTGCTAAAAAATGAAAAATTAAGTTAATTACTTAATTAGCCAATTTGATAAAAAACAGATAAAGACCTCGTTAAGAGATGTAATATTTTTGTATACTGCCAGAGATCTTTGCAGTTCTTCGAAATGACTATTTATTTTTGAACTACTCTTCTTGTCTAGATCTATTACACTTATAGAACATTCATAGGCGCCGAAATCCGTTTCAATACGTCTATCGGCCTTATCATTGCTCTCTTGAAGGGCAATCATTATAGAACAATCATTAGCAACAGATGATATGAGATAGTTATCGATTTTCTGGTTGTAGTCCTTGTCCTCAGATTTATAAATATTGTATATCTCTTCCACATTTTGTACTTTATCAACATTTTGAAGTTTAAGTATACCATCTAAAACACAACCTTCCGGAAGGTAACCTTTATCTACATAAAAAGGAATTGTGAAAGTCTTGTTAATAAGTGTGCATTATTTAAAAATACTCTCATTTACCGTAAGCTCCCCACGAAGTAATTGATAAATCATCATGATAGTTATCAGGTTTACGCTGAATCGCCCGGCATACTGGAGGACCTTCCACAGACTTTCCGTCAGTTTTTGTCCACAATAAAGTTTTGGTTAATACATGAAAAAATTTAGTTAGGATAGATTCGTTGGAAACCCCATTTTCCGCTTTTAAGAATTTTTTAAGACTATGAATTAAGTATTCCAATTCTTTAATTTCTTCACTCCAAATAATCCTTCCATCCAAAAATACTCTAAAGTTGTTTTGAGGAGTAAAAAATAGAGATAAAAGTGCCAGATGCATTCTGTCCTTATTACCAGAGAAGAGATCAAGAGGGCAGTAGTTACTTATTGTTTTCCTAGTACAGTTTATTGAAAAAATTAAATCTCATCTATAAAACAATGCAATTATCCAACTAGAATGGATTTAATTATAAAAATTCATGGATATTTGTAATAACTATAGAGAAAATTTGAGTTGGCAAGGTACAGACAATAGATTTTTTTGTTGGGTGCATCTCGTAGGCACAATTAAAAAAAAATATTAGAAATATTTAGTGCAATATTTGTTCATATATCACAAGATTTCATCTTTTACAATAATCATCCTTTAAGGAAGAATTTTCAATGAAATTCTCTTTAAAGAGCCTTTGGTATAAATTGAATCTAAGAGGAGTAAAAAGAAATACTAAATAAAGACGTAAATTCTATAGATATAGGTTTTAAAGGATTCCTAGATTGCAACGCAAATGACCTGTTCTTTTTAAGTAAGTTATTGATGAAAAAAATTGTTCTCTTTCATTTAAGAAACTCTTATTCGTCTTTCTCTCTTTCATATACTTTTTATAATAAAAAAAAAGATTTAAGAATAACTTTTCAATAAACTGCACCATTTGCCTATTTTTAATTTGTAATGCTGGGCCATGCAAAACTTGCAAACACCTTTCAAAGAGCTATTATTCCAATTCGGTAAGAGTCCACTTTTGGGTTTTATTTCTACTGAAAACGTAGGAAGATCTTTGGTATTCGGTATAAAACATAAATCTGGCATTTCAATAGCAAAATGACAGTCGAAATCTATTTCCTTCTCTAGCCTAAAAGTAGATCTATACTTTCTCACTGAACTATTTAAGTTTCTCAAATATATTTCATCGTGCTCTGTGATATGTCCCAAATGCACGAATTCATCGCCAATTAATGGAATAATAACTCTTTTTATAAAGTTCATCTTATCAAGAATACTTTCCTTAGTCTATTTATAAAAAAAAAAGTTCATTTACAAAAAGATAGATAAAAGAAATGTTTGGTTTTAAAAGACTTCTCTATTACCATCCTTGTGGATTTTGTCGATTCACTTGTATTAACTTTTTGTTTTCGTTTTTGAAAAATTTGTACAACTTTCCGCTGTTGAAGACAATGGCTATTAGCCGATTTTTATAATTAATATTTCAAAAGTCGAAGAGAGGAACTCATCGAAAATTGGTGAATACTTCAAAGTTCTATATTTATTACTAGTCGAAGAAACATGATAATGTTAAAAATATATAATTTATTTACCTGTCTATTGTAAACTACTAGTCTTTGATTTCCTTCTTGTCTATAACACCATTCTTCGTCGTGACTCGAGTCTCTTCGTAGCTGAGATGAAGCCATGTTTCCAACTGAAAGAAAATAAACCTTGCAGTATTTTTAAAACTTATAGTACCGAGAATTAAATGCAACTTAACCTATTTTATCCTAATTCCTGTAACAGTAACCACTTATGAAAGTGTTTATAACTGGTTAATACATAAAAAACACTTAAAAGAATTAGGTAAAGGAGGAATTATTTAAATTTTTAAAGACTAGTTATACTGTATATCAATATAGATACATATAACTCGACGGCATTTTAATCCAAAGTGTTCCATTATATCATACGGAATATACAAATCGATTAGTTTATCATGCTAATAATAAATTGCCTACATTAAGATGAATATTATAGAATAATCAAAATGACCTTTTTCTCTTTTTTTTATATATGTTATAAATAGTCATAAAGATTTCTATATGCATATTTAATGTACAGTATTTCCTATAATAAAATTGTATGATAAGATCTCTTACATCTGAAATGAAACTATTGGAAAATTACATAATTCAATATATAAACTAGAACTTTGATGTTGTAATTTTTAGCACAAAATATCTTATAAGATATTGTTTCAATTAAGAAAGAAGAACAAAACTTACTTTTCTTGTTATTCAAAAATAAACTATCGTTCCCTTGGTTACATATATTTCGGTACCGACTATACCTGTTCTATCATTAATCCCGCAAGTGATTACAGAGCGCTTGATATATTTATATATTTATATATATAGTACAGTACATGTGACAAGCTCATCATTTTTCATATCGTAAAAATATGTAAATATTAGTTCACCTTCTCTTATTTGATGACCATCCTTAATATTGGTTAAGAAGGTTGATAACCTTATAGGCTAACCATTGAAATGAATAGTAAGATATCTCTCCTTCACTATCTTTATTATTTTAATGCAATTTTCTAATAAAATGCTACTTTTTATAATAATTCAATAGTTTTGTAAGCCTCCTTTACGAGTTTCAAGTTCTTTAACCTCTTTCGTTCATTTTATAGTTAAATACACGTAATTCTTTAACGAAAACACGTAAATATCATAAAGTACTCGCCTGATTTCGTTTATTGTTCAAAGAGAGAATATCTTAGGTAAGTTGACAGAAAAGAGATGCATTTGCAAATGAAATCTGGTCTCTATCTCATTAAGATAATTATTATTTTCTATAATAAAACCAACGAGTTTCAACTCGTAAGATTTATCTGACTCTGTCCTTCAATAGAACAGTAATTCTCCTTTAAAAGAAAACCTAATGAGCCCTATTAATCATTGTTCATAGCTGATGGCAAAGTCTTAAAAGTAGTTGAAAACAGCGATATTAAAAATTGAGAATACCATAAAACTTTTGTTACTGTCCTTCACAGACGCCTCATTTGTATAAATGTTTTTGACAGTTTAGTACACTGCTAGAACTTTATTAGTCATCAAAGCAAAACATTTTTAAAATCAATACATTGCTGTCTATGTAGCAAGATCTGTAGAACAACTTAGAAGGTTTCTTTCATTCTGTTTACTTGACAAAATAATTATTCGAAAAAATAAAATGCAAAAAAACCAATTAGTAAGAAAATGACTAGCTCCAAATGATATACAATGTGTACAATCACAGCAATTATACATCTTACTGATTATATTTACACGCTTTTGACACACTGTGCAAGATATATCTCAGAGACAAATGCATAGGGGGAGACGGGAAAACAAATTATTAATAAAAGGCCATAAAATAAGGAAAAATCGATCTTTGCACGGCTTTTACGTATAGATGATAAAAATTTAAACACTGCCTTATCCGATTAAGAAAAAACGTTTTTGCATAAAATTTTCATTTAGAGACTATTATCTCCGAACTCTTCACTCCACTTTTGAAGTTTAGCTATATTACCTTGAGGCACGGATTTCCGGACTCTCTGTAATGAGTCAACAAAATCATTCAAATTAACTTTTCTAACTGATGTCTCATCAACATCTTTTACAATACTTGGATCTAATTCTCTTATAGGTCCAAGTGCAGCATCTTTGGCCAATTCTGTCAAGTCACTTGCGGAATAGCCCTCAGTCAAAGAAGATATTTGTTTTATCTCACGCTGACTAAGGGGACTTCCGTGCTGTTCAAGCAATCTATTTAGCAGTTTGACTCGAGTATTCTGATCAGGCATTCCGACATAAACTCTTTTTGGAAAACGTCTTAAAGCAGCTTCATCCAACTCATACGGTCGATTTGTTGCAGCCATAACTACAACTCTTTCGCTCGTTCCCGATACGCCGTCAAACTCAAGTAGAAATTGAGTTTTCAGACGTCTCATAGCATCATGTTCATTATCCGACCTTTGAGAAAGCACTGAATCAACCTCATCTATAAATATGACTGCTGGTTGTAGTTCTTTAGCACATGCAAACAACGCTCTGACAAGTTTTTCTCCTTCACCCACAAATTTAGATGTAATACTAGCAGCGCTTATATTGAAAAACGTTGATTTTGACTCATGAGCAACGGCTTTTGCGAGTAGAGTTTTGCCATTGCCTGGAGGACCAAAAAGAAGTAGTCCTCTCGCTGGAGTCCGTAGTCCTAGAACAAAGTAATTTCAAATAAAAATCAATTATATAATCTATCACTCTTTTGTTGTTTACCTGTAAACAACTCCGGTCTAAGAGAAGGTAGTATAACCATCTCCTGCAATGCTTGTTTTGCTCTTTCTAAACCAGCTACATCTTCCAATGATAAAGGAACACCCGATTCGAGAATCTCATCAAGTATTGCATTCGCTAATCTTTTATCGATATTCTTCAGGTAATTTTGAGCTTTCTGCCTCGTTTGATTAGGGTTTGGGGGAGCACGAATGTTAGGTGGATTGGTTCTAGATGAAATTTGTTTCCTAAGCATACTAGGTGATGTTGTTGGACTTGCATTTCTATTGCTTCTAGGTGCTGTTCGCGGAAGGGTACTGCTTCTACTTCCTCCAATACCGATTGTCATTTTCGCTCTAGCGGTTGAACGATCTGAGGCTAATTAAAAATGAAAAATTGATATTATTTAGTTTATATTTATATTCTGCATATCGGTGAAAGAAACATGCAGGAGAAAAAGTTGTGTGAAAAAGAAAATGTTATTAAAAAAACATTCAACAACGCACCAAACTTTTGGCTTGTTTTCAAGTCTTTTGAAGCTGCAGGAATTTTGCTAATTTTCTTACTTTCTACATTTTTAGCAATTTTAGATGAAGGTGACTGAACTGATTTCTTTGTATTTTTATTACTATTCGTGTTTAAATCCTTAGCAAGTTTTGTAGCCATTTCGTTAGCTGGACATAGCGATGTATCTTCCTTCGTCGTTTTCAACAAAACCTCTGAATTGCAAATACAACACTCAACGTGCAAGAAAAAAAAAGACTAACGAAAATAGGGGGAAGAATAAATCAATTGAAAAATTCTTGAAACCTAAAACTTGCAATCTATCCTTCGCCATGATTAAATTAGTTCTCATTTTTTCTTGAAGTCGACGAGCTCTTTCAAAAGCATCACCTGCAAATAGGAATTCAATATATAAAAAAATAATGAAGCTATCTTTATCTTACCAGGACCGCTAACATCCACTGCTATACCCTTTTCCAATTCTTCTATACCTTTTTTATATAAATCAACCGCTAAATCTTTACGACCTTTGTCCTCTTCGTCTAATTTCAAAGCTTTTGATACATATTCAAATGCCTTCCTATGATGATGTTTCTGTAAGGCAAGTGCTGGCTCACCAGGACCCGGTGTTGGTTTTGACATCGTTACATTTGATTGTTCAACGTTTTTTCTAGGTGAAGGCGGAGCAATACAAGCGTTCGACGCTTCATTTTTGGTAAAATATACACTAGTATGATATAGCTTTGTTAGGCCTATCCACAGATGGAAAGCGACAAATCGAATAAAATAGAAGAATAATAAAATCGGTAAAGCGAAGTGTCTAACGTTTCTATGATGCACAGATTCGTCACCAATTGTCTTATTGGTTTCTTTGGTCGATGTTTTCTTACTATTGTGAAATCGACCCGAATTCTTCCTCGAATGCATCAGAGTCCGCCATCCGCAATCAATACTATGACATCATAGCTGACGGTATTATGGGATTTCGTGGAATTCTCTTCCGGTATGGCTCCCGACATGTTCGACACAAGTTTTCTGGAAATGTATATAGCTGTAGCAAATCATATTAAAGGTATTTGAAATATTATAAAACAATCTTTCTATTCAAAAGCTATTTTATCAACTATATTTGGTAGATTATTCGAAGTAGTTTTTTAAATCTCAAAGGGATTGTGGAAAAACCCTCTTCACTTTTTATTACCAGTTTTCAAATCTTTCTCATATTTGAAATTTTTCAAATACTAACGGAGAGTAGTTGTTTAACTATTTCTATAAATTAATTAAGCAAATAATTATTTTCATATAAATACAAATTTGTATATATGCTAAATAGCTTAGCACAATTATATTTCCTATCAAAAGAATAGAACATATATCAAACAAGTAAAATATTTATAAAATTTCAACATCAGAATAAATTTAGTACTCTGAAAATAATATAATTACGATGGATCAGTCATTTATGCTTGATGGAAAATTATCATTATTATTTATAACTCAGTACCGAATGTAAACAATATTTCCTTAGTTTGTAAGACTGAAGAAATTAATTTTCCTTATAAATATTCCTAATTAGAGACTATTATATTAGCGAATAGAACTGTATTATGGAATTGACTAAACTGCTGTTTACTCTTGCTGTTTTTCTTCTTTATTTTTATAAATGAAATTCTCGGAATCTGATTGTTTTATTTCTTATTTATCTGAAATATTTTTCCAATGACAACCACAAAATTTAATACTTCTTGTTCTTTACGAAAATTTCAGTACTTAAACATTACATTAAGTATCCGTTTTTATTGTAGCTGTAATATTTTTATATAAACTATTTAACATTTAGCAGTCATTCGACATCATCCGAAGGTATGCCTAATTCTTCATCTGTCCATTTGGATGGGTCAGGAGGATAATAATGGCCCTACAAAAAATTGTTTATTATTTTGTATTGTCTTGTATATGATAGTTTGTTTTCGAAGAGTCAATAAACTTTTGTATATATTTGAATTATCAATACTTACTAAAAGTTTACCGCTATCGTAATAAAGGTGAAACATTACCCAATACCAAAACACAACACCGAGTCCTGTGGCTAAATGTTCAGCCCATCTTGGGGGCACATATACAGTCCGGTACCTCCATCTGAAGACGTACAGTGAAATATATCAATGACATCACAACGTCACAATTACTACTTACGCGTAATCACCCATCCGACGTTTTGCAACTAAATTTAATGCCTTCCTTTTATTAGCATTTGACAAAAGACCTACTATGGGTTTTATACGAGAAATTAAAGACATAGTGTTCCATCCAAGGTTAACTCGCTGGGTGAAAACTGGTGTTAATAGTTGATCTTGATATCCGTTTCCGGTTATACTACTAGTCACGTGCTTAGTTGAAAAATTCGCGCCTTTATTTACCCAACTGTAAAATTACTTTGCGGTATTAATCAATAAGCATAATTACATTTAGCTTATACAATATTAACACATTTTAAATTGCTTTCTCAACACATTCGATACACCTGTAATTGATTTTTTTTTTAAGAATAATTAAGCTGTTCAAATATAAAACTGTTTCAGTTATGGTTTCCTTTGGAAACAAGTAGAATACTAATTGTTTCTGTATTTGAGCTGTATGGAAATTGCATTATATGAAAGGTTATAAAAGTAAATGTTTAGTCATGTGCAGTAAAGAATTTACATAGCTTAAATTAGCTTTATTAGCTATTCCCAAGAATTCCAAATTCACTTAAATGTGCATAGGTATTGATTTATGAATATCGACTCTGACATTATCCAAAAAATTTTTATATCCAATTACGAATATTTAATTACTTTTATCTATAATTCCACCCTTTGGTTTGCTTCGAAGACGAAACAAAAAAAAGTGGTTTTATAAACGAAAAATATTGATAGTATAACAAAAAAGTTATTTTTTGTATTGTTTGTTGCAATCAATTCTTTAGGTTTTAAATATTTAAATAACAATATTATCAATATAATATAGGGTAAAGTATCATATTTGTTCTGATGAGTCTGAATAGAAATTGTACTAAATTTATATTAATTTTTTAGAATGCAGGGTTTTTCTGTAGCTTCCTTTTAGAATCTTTAGTCTAGTTACAGTTTTTTTCAATCTCTTTTGACTGCGTGAAGCGCATAATTTACCTGATCGCAATCAATCCAGCTCCATGTGTTTGAGAGCGGGTTCAGGGTCATACCTTGTATCATTTTCACGGACATGTCGTCTGAAAAACATAATATTTGAATAATTTAGAAATACAAACAGACGCCTACTTTGTTCCAATAAGTCCTTGAGATCAGATGGTGGCACGAACATGTCCCATTGATGAGTTCCAGGAGGAACTAATCGAAATATATATTCGCCAGCTACAATTGCGAGGGCGTGTGACAACAAAGTTCGATTTATAGTCGTGAAAAACGCTTGACCTCCAGGCTAAAAAGCATTGAAAAAGTTCTTTATACATCTTCTAGTTCATTCACCTCACGTTTCACCAACCTTGACTAATTGACAACATGCTTTAATAAATATTGGTAAGTCGTTTACGTGCTCAACTACTTCAGAAGCCACTAAAGCATCATAAGTTTCCTTTCTCTTTTCAACTAGACTTTCTACGGGACACGCTAAATATTCTATATCAAGGGCAGGGTTAAGTTTTAGATGAATTTTCGCAACTTCAATATTTCCTGTCGAGGCGTCAATTCCAGTTACAGTAGCTCCAAGTCGACTTAAGGGTTCAGTCAAAATCCCACCCCCGCATCCGATATCCATTATTTTTAATGATTCGAGCGGTTTCGATGTTGTTTTGTATTCTCCATTAGAAATCAGCTTGTCTCTTATCATTGGTATTCTCAACGCATTCATGGAATGCAAAGCTTTCAGTGGTCCATCTCTACTCCACCAATCCTTAGATAGTTCATCGAATTTTGAAATTTCCTCCTCGTTGATTGTGGTTGAGTTCGTACTAAGTCGAATTGAAGGTAAGAACAGTTTTACAATATATAAGAGCTATTTATTTCTACAATCATTTACCTCATACATAATTTAACACTATTTAAGATATTTAAACCAAATCTTTTCCTAATACATAGCCTATTCATGCTTATATCTTAACAGTGCCACTCACGGCAAAAAAGTTTTGCACGAAATTCGAATCATAAAAAAACTGCATGAAAGTTTTTTTTATATTTTTCGTAATTATTAATTATTCATAAATTAAATATCTATATTTTCTGAACAGGTTTATCTTTTTTATGCTACAAAAAGTGCGAAAGACGAGCAAAATTTAGCACATTAGTGCACAGTTAGAAACTGTGTCGTCTGCTTCAGATAACAAATAAGAGATAAGTTTTTGTTTTCACCCTGAAGCATAACATGATCTTCAATAAGGGGTATTCTTATTGTTGGAGTTCGATATGTGCTCTTTTTTGGTTAATCGTTATTAGGTGATTATCGATTTATTCTCGCGAAAATTATCTATTTCATCATTAACATTTCCAGATGCTCTGAGATCGAAAATAGTATGGATATGTTACAGCCGTACTTTCAAAGACACGGTTCACATCATTCCGTTAGGTATATACGTAGCTGTCAAGCAGTACAATTTAATGAAACATTAGAAGAACGTCTAGCGCCTCCAATGATTAATAAAAGTTTGCCACTTTTTACCAAGAAATTCTTTGCCAGAAGTTTTGAAAATAAATATGTGAAAATACATATGTATCTTATAAATAATCCATCATTAACCTTATCAGTCGTCGAACCAGGCGGAGAAGGTGGTTGCAAAAAAGGAAGTCCTACTCTGCAAACAGTAAGAGAAACAGCTAAAACAAAAAAGTGCAGACTGGCAATTAACGCTGGATTTTTTAATACTACAACTAATGAATGTTATGGAGATATAGTATCCAATTCGAAAATTGTACAATCTACAGCCTATAGGAATGCCCACTTTGGTATCAGAAAAGATAATTCGTTAACTATTGGGTATTTATCAGACAAGCAATTAAGTGAATTTAAAGAGTTAGTAACAGGTGCTATTTGGATAATACGAAATGGGTCAAAATATATTGAAGAATCTATAAAGAGTGAGTGCACTGATGTTCAAGAAACTAATCCGCAACTTACGTACTTTGCCACTGTTCAATCTGCAAGATCAGTGGTTGGCTTTAAAGATGATGGTACTGTTGTCATCTTTCAAGTTGATGGAAAAACAGGGCAGGAAGGTATGAATCTCTTTGAAGTGGCAGATTTTCTTATTCCTCTAGGAGTAAAAAACGCTATAAATCTTGACGGAGGAGGATCATCATCACTCATCGAAGATAATGTTCTAGTCAATTACCCAAGTGATACCTGCGCCAAATGGAATTGTGAAAGGAAAGTATCCACTATTTTATGTGTACGTGATATTGAAGAAGCAAAATGTCCACGGAACTGCAGTGACCGAGGAATCTGCCGCAATGGGGAGTGTAAGTGTTCATCAAATTGGAAGAGTTATGATTGTTCCCAACTTTTCTGCGGTAAGAAGAACTGTTCGTCAAATGGTCTATGTACTGAATCCGGTTGCTTGTGCTATCCTGGATATAAAGGTTCAGACTGTGATATTTCATGTCCGAAAGGATATTTTGGACTAAATTGTTTGGCCAGATGCCGTTGCTCGAATCATTCCACTTGTGATAAGTCAACGGGTTATTGCGATTGTGATGCAGGCTATCGTGGGTTATCTTGCGACCTACCTTGTCCAATTGGAAGATTTGGAAAAAATTGCAAGAAAATCTGCTCTTGCTTGGAAACTTGCTCAATTTGTGATAGGCTAAATGGTTCTTGTACAATAACAAGTATTTTACCCGAAATTGATTCAACGAGCAAATGCTTAATTAATCGTAAAATTTCCAAAGATCATCTTGTTCGTGACTCTTCTGCCGAGCAGAAAATTTATATGATATGTGTGATAGCTCTATCTATAGCATTCACTTTATCCATCTCATTAAATATAACTTTATATTGTTTGAAAAAGACATCTAAACTAGATAGAAAAAAGGTAAATATATTGATCTCTACTCAGCTTAACCTTTTTAATGTAAGATAAATATTGTTTATTAGAAGAGAATATATAGAAGTCCAAGATTGGTATTATCCTCAAGCGAAGCTGATAATGAGGACGGTGATTCAGATTTGGATCTTAACGATTTACTGCCTTTGAAAAATGTTAAATTGAATAATGAAAATAATGAATCAAGATTCTTCCTCTAGCTATTTATACTCAGGCTAAAGACAACTAACGAGTGATACATTTTTTTTATGTCTATACATATAGATAAATAGTTTGAATAGAATTGTTTTTCTTTTGTTGTATTTTTTTCTGTTAGTTTCACTTGTAAATCGTTAATTTTTCTTTAACACGATAGATGCTTTTTTATTCAACTAACAAGAATTAACGAGCTTTAAACAAGATAAATGCAAAACTTTATAATTGAGACGATACAACGTTAATGCGCTAGTATATACATATTGTCGATTAAGTAAAATCCACATTGATTATCTTTATATATTACGTTTCCGATTACAAGTTGCGAGTGTGATGTAAGCATCTTTTAATTGACGGTTGAGAAAAGCATAAATAAGAAAGTTCAAACAGCTACCTGCTAAAGCTACAGCGAAAACAAAATGATAGTATGACGAAGTTAAACTGCCATAATAATCGATTTTATAAGTGATAACTAAAGGCATCCAACTACATAGAAAAGCCGCAGTTATAACTAGTAGATTTTTTACGAGAGCCATTGTTTTAGAGTTAGTGGATGATTTGTTGCCTGTCTTTCTCGTTTTGTCGTCCTTTGAAACGAAAGCTCGCCTTGGAGGTACTTCGGATGTTTCGCTGTTGGTTTCTCTAGTTGTTGTGGTTACCGAAGTTTGTCCAATTTTTCGCCGCGAATCGCGAAACTTTTTCAAGATTTTCCAATAACAAAATAGCATGATATTAAGCGTTGGAAAAATAACCAGGAAATCAGCACAGACGAGTATAAAGAAATAGCTTGGAGGTGATTTACTAGCAAAAAGACAAGCTCCAAGCTTTGTATTATAAGTGTACTCGGCCGAAGTATAATAAGGTGGTGTAAAGAGGAGTAAAGCGTATAACCAAGCACAAATTGCGCTTCCAAGAGTTTTTTTTGTTGTATAAATTTTTTCGTAAGTATCTCTGGTCCTGCAGATAAGAATGTAACGATTCAACGCAACAAGGCCTAAAGTTAATACGGATACCATTAGGCACATAAGTGAAATTAGAGCAATAATTCTACAATGAATTTTTTCGTATAAGCCATAATAACCAATCAAAGTATTAGGAATAATTATACAGCAAACCAGTAAGTCAGCAATAGCTAGATTTGCCAAATAGATATTAGGAATAGTTCGAAGCTTTTTAAAACTAGCTAACGACGCTAAAGTTGCAGTATTTCCGACAAAACCAACACAAGCGGCAATACCTAAGTAGATTTTAATAAAAATTATAAACCCACTTGATATATTCTGCTCGTCGGGTAAAATGTACCAGTTTGTCATTGTTTTTCATTTATTCTAAAGTTTAAATAATTATACTCCTTTCGGCGTTTATCAAACGTATGCTTCAGATTGCGTCTAAACATTTATGCATAATTAATTTCATTTAGTATCGAACCTCTAAAGGAACATGATTGGATAAAAATTATGATTGGATGATACTGAGTGCACGTCGATAAAATTAACGTATTGACGTTTATCAGGTGTAGAATGTCATTTTTTATTTCACCTATAGTTATGTCACTCAATGAAATATGAAAGAAACATAAATAAGATGTGTATATAAACTTGATAACTGGTGGACAAACCAAGTGCGTCATTACAGTAGTCGGCTAAACAAGAACAAGTCGTGGAAAAACCACTTTCTACTTCTACCTTGTTACAGGTGTTGTTATAAAATAAGGAATCAGAACATTTCCTCACTACTATTACTCTTTGTTCACTTTTATCTCCAAATTGTTGACTTATACAACTTCTACCCACGCAATAGTCTGTCTTGTTGCCAATACAGTCAGAACATTCAAAACATGTATAATTTTTAGGCAAAGTTACTTGGCTTGCAGGCACAAATAACCTTTCACTATTGCAGAGGTCTGTAGAGCAGAAACAATATGTGTTTACGATCATATCATTTTTATCGTATTCGGCATTATGAACGCAAACGCTGCCATCTGACGGATAAGTTATAGTCATATTCCCGTTACTTGTCGCATCTTTTTTCAATTTTTTCAAGTCGGGTGGTAATTTATCTGAGCAAAATCTTTTAGATTCGTCTTTACGGAGTTTTAATTGATTTGAAGTTATAATCTTATCCAATTCGGTATAATTTGAGGAACTTGTTAGATAATCTTGAAATTTTGATGACGTATTAAAAAAGCACGTTCGTCCAACGCACGTATGAAGTGAAATTTTTTCATTACACTCCTTACATTCATAACAAGTATTGTAATAGGAAAATGCTGATCCATTCAGATCTGAGGTTTATATATAATTTATAAGATAAAAATATTACACTCAATTAAACTATATTTATAATTTACGTAAATATATTAAATGATCTAAATACCCAATAGGAAGATGAGAATAAAGAGAAAACTAAACATTATGCTACTTCGATCAGTCTTTCTTCTTTCGCTATAAATAGGGAAGAAAAAAAACTTTTGTAAGCCTAGTGTAGTATATATGTAACAAAAAAAAAGTCTTTTGTTCATTCACGTCGATTCGAAACCTACGTATTGATATAAAGTTAAGCCTATATAGTTTCAAGTATTTGTTTAAGGGTTCTAATGTAAGACTAATTGTGAAAATTTAAGTAATTTAAAGAAATTAGAAAGAGCGAATTTGTAACCAAAAGTGTTTACGATAAATTAATCAATATCACTACAAACAAATAAGAGAAAGGAGGACCGTATCCGCCCGACCGTATCGAATAGCTGCAAAGTGTTTTAAATAAACGACGTTCGATCGGTATTGTTCTTTCTACTCGACATGGACTGCAAGCCATTGTTGACGGGGCGTCAAGTAACGCCATACATTTCCTTTTTTTACTGTTTCCTCTACGTACGTACGGAGTTCTATTCGTTAAAATTGCTGTCAAATAAGAAAGTAATAATAGAAAAAACTTGCTACCCAAGAGATCGTATTTTGTTTGAAAAATGTTCGATTTAACGGATAGTGAAATACGGCAATACTTTCATGCTTTTTACGTAAGTAATCGATCAAGAATTATTGAACCAGCCAGTCTATCTAATAGACGGAGAGATTGCTTAAGATTAAAAACTATATATACTATGTTAATAATTGGCCAGTGTATTATATATATTGTATTGCTGTTCCTTTTTATTAACTTTCTGATATGTTAACAGACCGATCCACTGAAAATGGCTTCATCTAATAGGGCTTGTCAAAATGATCTAATACATAAACAATTGAATGCATTTGAGAAATTAGTAAACGCTGCAATAAATTCATTCTCAAAGGAACGACTCGTTCATTTGTTACGCTTGTTATTAAAGAAAACAGCCCATGTTGGAAGGCAATTGAATTCGCTAAAGTCATTAAGAAAGCACATCGAAGCCCTTGGTGATTCTCCTGATGATGATAAGATACGTTCTCATATGGACTCATTCTTTCAGGATGTAAGGTACAGCAAGCAACTTAAAGAATATTTCGATGACCGTATATATCTACCTCTTAAAACGTATTTTCCTGTTCCTCCAAATGTTCCTAATATGGCCGGAATACAAGAAGATCTGCGTAATGGTGTTGCGTTAAATTTAAGCAAATGTGCCGAGCAGCTGAAGTTTATTAATAACCAATGGCAAAATCTTTTGGAGTTCGACGAAATACAAGCTTCCTACTTAGATCCAGACACAACTTACGAATTAAAAGATTTAGGGGATTGTTCTAATTTTGAAAGATTAGCTCGTCTTGTCCCTGATTGTCTAATTAAAGCTTTTAAGTCTCACCAAATCTCCAAGACTTGGTGGATTCAGGCGGATAAAGTAGTGAAAGAGCGTGTAGCTCTTCAGAATAATGTTAAAAATCTTGAATATCAACTCATCAGGGATGCCGAAGAGATTACTGAGTTACGAAAAGGGCTTGACGAAGTTGACGAGGAAGAAAAACTTGTTGAGAAGCTTAAGCATGAATTTGACGAATTAGAAAAGCGATGCGAAGTGAATGATGACAGCGTTCTATCCTATGAACGCTCTATAATTTGTGAAGATCTCGACTTTCACCTCCGTCTGCTACCCGACATGATTAGACATAGAGGTGCTACTGAGGCGAAAATATTTGATTTAGAAAGACAAATTGATGACAACAAATATAGAAAAGAATCGGCTCTTGTTCAATTAGAACACATAGAACAGATAGAAAAAGAGAGTACAAGAAAGCCTAGTGCTTTGAAAAAACAATCAAAAATTCCCGTTAGAAAATCTGTTCACAATTAATCTTTATTAAATTCTCTTATTAAAGTATAATGAAATTTGTGAACTTTCGACCAGTTTTCTTGCATTTTCACTCGTTTTAACCAGCTGAAGACTTTAGGCCACATTTCTAAATTGAATCCGCAGCCTTCGGCTTGAATAATAACGCTGGCTATATAAGAATCTGCTATAGTTAGAGAGTTTCCAGTAACATAGCGACTATTAGACAGATAACCGGTTTCTAAGGCCTCGAGGTGTCTGCTGGCTTCTCTTAATCCTTTCTCGACCAGTTTTTCATTGGCATCTTCATTAAGTAATGTAAAATCTTCTAATATTTGAGGATAGGCGAATGTAAAACCAATTGACCTGTGTAGTTCTACATCAGCCCAACATATTAGGGAATCTGTGAGAGCTCTTGCTGTCGCATCCTCTCCATAACCAGCCCACTTTCCATATGATTCGGCCAAATATCGTAAAATAGCTGGCCCTGATACAACTCTGACAGAGCCATCAACTAAGAAAGGAACCTCTCTAACAGTTTCGTCCGATGTGTCAACTTCGATTATTTCATGATATATATCGTTCTGCGCAAAATAGAAAAAAGTAAATCAATTGTTTTAACGATTCATATATCAAAACCGGGATAATAAATAGCTGCGTGATAATATACAACTTACAGTTATTAAATACATCCAAACAATCCGGCAGGCAGGATTCAAGCGTAATATATATAATTTAACTGGAGCACTCAAAACCTTATTAATAAGGTACGATCGTTTTGGATCATTATCTGGACGGTTCGTTCGACTATTCCAGCATCTAATAAATAATTTATATTATTAGTAATTTAGGTTATTTCAGATTTAATGTCTTCAATTACCCCATATCCTAAGACGCCACAGCAAAACTATATTTGCATAGTGATACAACACTTGTAGACCTTGAGAGAAGAAAAAGCGATTTACCTATGAATAGTAGAAAATAGAAAAGAGTTAGTAAGTGTTGACAGTTATCGATTTCTGGCATACTTAATCGCGAAAGTCTCCTCGAATAAATTCCGAATGATCGAACTGAAATCACTAACATTCAAGCTATCTGCCGAATTTTGATTGGGTAGGTTGTTAGAGTTTATATTCTTCAGAAAATCCATTACGCTCTTACGTGCCTTTTGACACTGTTTGGCTATTGTTGTTTTGTCACCATTCGCTAATGATATTAAAAAAATCGATATATTCAGTAAAAAGATTATCAATCCCAAAGAAATATACCTGAGGCTATTTTTTGAGAGACTAAGTTGCGTAAAATATTATCTCCTTGATGCAGTAAGTTACATTTATTGATTCGACGACTCTCCTCTTTCAACTTGTTATCTTCATCCGACGTGTCCTTGACAGGATTTTGTAAAGCAATTTCAAGGGTATTAAGAAATTCTTTATCATCGATAACAGCTGATTCTAAAGAATACTTTTCCCACGAGGAGCTATAGTTTGGCCATTCGAAGTTCTTTGACATTCTTTGTAAAGTCTCCTCCGATACTGGCTTATCTCGATGAAGGTTTCTTTCTAAGCATATATCTAATTTAGAATTGAGAAAAATCTGCATATATGCTGATCCATACAATTTTGCCAATTGATAATATTCATATCTCATACTTCTATAGAATAGGTTATCATCAATGACTACACCTATTTTACGACCAGTTTGTAACACTCCCATAATCTTTTTTATTAGGCTTGAATCAGTATCGAAGATATCATAACTACTCATCAAACATCGATGAAAGCATTTATTGACATCATCCCACACTCTCTTCCTTTCTTCTTTCCACTTATTTTGATCAAAACACGCTGGATCAACAATATCATCGAATTCAATATGAACAAACTCCAAAGAAGTTTTCTTAAATAAATCACTATCGGTTGAACAAATTTGCCGGGAGAAACTAGTTTTTCCTGAGGCTGGCAATCCACAAACGCAAATTATAATTGAAATCATGAAGGAAACTTATAGACCATCACTTGAAATTAATTCCCATGAGAAATTATTTGCTTTTTTACGGCCCCTCGAGAAAATGAACTACTCTCTTTATCCAATCGAATAGAGCAATCATAATAACTTGTTTCGAATTCTCGAGTGTGCTCAGAACAAAAGGATTACGCCTTATTTTCTTCCTATATCGTGATATCACCCAACATTAAATGCAGTAGACATCTATTTTATTGAAAGATTGCTTTCAAATTACGATTTTATTTACCCAAACCAATTTCAATAGCAGTTTCAATATTCTTTTAAATGTTCAATGTCTTTGTTCTTATTTCAAAAGATTACAATTTCGCAAGTTTCCTAAAAAAATTGACACCAGCAAAATAAACTGGTAATGTCAATCAGTATATTTCGCTGAGGATCCTCGTGTTCCTGTTTTGATTATCGAGTTTATAAATTTAAAAAAGCTCCATAATGCCTAAAGTGAGAGCTGAGAAGAAAAGTCGAGTTCATAAACAAATTCAAAAACAAGGGCTGAATTTCAACACCGACCTAGGTCAGCATATTTTAAAAAATCCTATGATTGTTACAAACATGGTGGACAAGGTTCATTTATTTTCTTACTTTGAATGATTAGGGATTAATTATTATATTTAAAAGGCTGCTATAAGGCAAACTGATACTGTACTTGAAATTGGTCCTGGTACTGGTAATATGACCGTCAAACTATTAGAGAAAGCCAAAAAGGTAATAGCCTGTGAAATTGATCCAAGAATGGCTGCTGAATTACAAAAAAGATTTCAGGGGACGTGAGTAAGACACTCCGAATTATATAAGCTGTAGGATATTACATTTTACATATTTTTTAGACCTCTATATCCCAAAATTGAGATAATGGTTGGTGATGTTCTAAAAACGAAATTACCTTTCTTTGACCTATGCGTTGCCAACTTACCCTACCAGGTAATTTATATTTGGTTGTATATCTTACCTTTATTAAATATAAATTAATTTTAACCTTAGATATCCAGTTCTATTGTCTTCAAGCTCTTATTGCATAGGCCATATTTTCGTTGTGCCATCCTCATGTTTCAGCGGGAGTTCGCTCAAAGACTGGTAGCAGAACCAGGCGATAAACTCTATTGCAGATTGTCAGTTAATACACAACTGTTGGCTGTTGTTCACCATATTATGAAAGTCGGAAAAAATAATTTTCGGCCACCTCCCAAAGTCGAATCAAGTGTCGTAAGAATAGAACCAAAAAATCCGCCACCACCTATTAATTTTAAGGTAGGATAACCTAATTTCATAACGAAAGTTAGTTTAACTGCAATAGCCATTGAGCAGGAGTGGGACGGTATGGTAAAAATATGTTTTTCAAGGAAGAATAAGACTTTAGGAGCTTCATTCAAGTAAAAATAGAAGAAATTTTCATACGATTAGCTAATTAAAACTATATTTTAATGAAACTTTCAGGCACAATAAAGTTCTCGCTATGATGGAGAAAAATTATAACACTTTCGCTTCCCTTGAAAACAAAGTTAGTTTAAAGTCACACACTTTTTAGATATATAATATTATAATTAATAACTTGTATTACAGATAATACCTGATGATTTCTCATTTAAAGAATACGTTAACAATATATTAGTTGAAAATGATTACGAGAAGAAGAGAGCACGCCAAATGGATCTGGATGATTTTTTAAAGTAAATATTTTTAAATATTTTACTATCATAACTATTATTCTCTCTTTTTGTTTCATTTACAGTTTACTTAAAATTATGAATTCAGCTGGAATACACTTTTCCTAAATATCTTTATTGAATAATTGTTATTTTACTAATGAAAATCTTGTATTTCTTTAAAAGAAATCTCATTAATTGATTGTGTAAAAAAGAAAAAGAAAGTTCTCTAGTAAGAAAATGAAGAAATTTTAAAAAACAAACAAACAAACAGAATATAAAACATTCCTTGGAAATTTCAATTAAAAACGAGTCAATCTAATCTATTTAGATGTCCGAATAGCTCTTTCAACTAGCCAAGAAAGGCCTTCAGCTATGCCAGCAAGTGTAAAAGTATCACAGTTTTGCACTGACCAAGGTTTTCTAAGTTTATGTAATTTTAGCAGTCTAGCTACTTTTATACATGGTATACGCTCTACTTGAACACTAGGTATACAGGATAAAATTAATACAGGAAATGCAGGCAGAGACCATAAATCGTGCAACATGGCATTTAGCTCTATTTGACCGTTACTGACATCTTGTTCGCAACCTTTCGTAGCATCCACCACAAAGATGAAAGCGTCAACATTTCGACAAACTTCACGAATGGCCCTATGTACTTCGTAAACACCTTTTTGTCGTTCTTGGTTGTCAAACAATCTGTTATTTTTTAACCTTTCTTCATTTTTATTGCCATATTTTTCTCTTTCCATCTTTGATGCTGAGTAGAGAGTTATGAGATTAAAAGTACAATTTGTCGAGGGACTATTCATCCTCATTGTGAAACCAGAACCGCATCCTTCAAATTGACCGGGGAACATTCCAAGACTTTCGAAAACATCGCGTCTGTTCAACATTTGTTGGACAATACCGCTGGTAGACGTCTCTAAACCTGGGCCAAACATTGCAATCTTGGGAATCTTTTTGGGTAACATTGACCGAATTATTGAAGAAAATTTTCGTAGTGAATCATTTTGATTGTTAATTAAGCGACTTGATTCCGGTGAACATCTTAAATAGCTGGTTGGGAAATAAATCAAATAAAGAATACATTTATCTGAATCAGGATAAAAGACAGCTTTCCGTAGCTGTTCGACAATTTTAATGGTATTAAATGAAACTGAAAGTAGGCCTCTTACTCTTTATTATGACTAAATCAAGGAAGAGTATGCTATATAGCTTATTTATTAAAAAGGATTGTCTAAATAAATACCAGATAAATCAGTATGAAATTAAACTTGATGGCTATACACTTATTTCATTATTTTAGCCTGGATTGCGCAATCATATAACCACTTACATTTCTTTAGCAGTTAGCTCTTCATTTCTGGTTGAATTCGTTAATTCTTCAGCTTCCTGATTATTAGAATATATGTCTGGATGAGTCGAATGCTGAATAGTTTCCCAACTTTCCATATCTCTGAGGAGCATGTTCTTCCATAATATTTCATCATTACAAAGTCTATTCCAGTTTCTACAACTGGCTGATATGTGACAAACAGTCTTAGCGTCTAGTAGCGAGAAAATGTATAATTGAATCGGAATTGGCAGATCGTGAAAAGTTGTCGTGAGACTATCATAGCCTTTTCTAGGCTGTTGATAATCGTCATCGATTTCTACTTCCTCTCTGTTTTTATTGAAAAATTGCTGCAATCCACCCATCATGATTTGTCGTCCACCATCAATTTTTGTCGAATATATATTAAACAACTGTCCAATGCTGGTGGATATAAAACTATTCAATGTTTCATCAACCTTGTTTCTGAAATTCATAATTGATTGATTATTTACTAAAACCGGCATAATTTCGCATTTAATATCTTTAAGACGATTGACAAAAATTTAAAACTACGAATGCCTAACTTTTCTGCATTATTGGTCATTTTTATATGCTTGATCAGCTTAGTTTACGTTTATTCCTCCAGCGTGTAAATCGAAGGCGCAATATCCGGTCTATAGATGACGCTGCAGTCGTTAGCGGGAAAATATTTTGAAAAAAAGAAACAAAGGAATGAATTAACACTCCATCTTGCGTATATAGAATTCATAAAATTATGCTATTACATAAATTCTATTTAACGCGTTTTATTTCCATTTAACAGCTTTTGGAAATAGATTAATTAAAGTATAAGTATAGTTTATTTATAATAAAGCCCTCTGGCTAAAAGATTTTCACGAATCCATATGTAAATAGATGGTTGCAGCTTGTACAAACAGAAGGCAATTTTTTTCGAATATAATACAAATAGTGTATACTTTAGTTAGTATACGTTGGAAATTAATTTCTTGCTAAGATCATATTCCGCATGGATATTATTTCCAGAGAAATCCTTCTTCCTCTTGGATGATTTAGTTAAAAAAGCAAAATAAACACAAGAATTTTTTTTCATCAGTTAAGTTTATTCTTGCACGGAAATAATAATAATGACAAAAATAACATATTTAAAATATATAGAACGGTATGTATAATAATAATAATAAAAAGGATAATTTGATGAGAAAGTTATCGTCTAGTAATAATCGTAAAGGTGATCTTCCTGGTCAGGTTTATCATAATGAATATTTTGCTCCACTACTAGAGGAACTTGGTCACGAACCTATTTCTCAAAAACATGGTCAAATTAGAATCTATACGAATCTATTAATCCCGCTAGTTTTGACCTCTATTTTCGTAGGGCTTTTAATCATCGCCTTAGGGAAACTCATTAGAAATCGTTTAAAAAATGATAAAGTGAATTTTTTCTAATACTCGACTTATTTACCGATAATAAATGAAGTCATCCTCCGTTTCAGTCTAAAATAAATGTTCTCTATAAGAAATCTGGAAGAACCTATCCGTATATTTTAAGCTTATATACTGGTTTTATACCAGGAGCTGGAACAAAGATGACTGTGGAAGTTAAATTTAATAGCTTATGGAATGTAACTGATCCAGGTTTTATTTTAAACTGCAATCTAAGCGATAAAGAAGTCTTAAAAACTGGTAATGATGATCATTTTTTGATTTTTACCCAAGGTATTCCTTTCCTTTGTTTAATTGAGCTGTGTAATAAAGAGATTGTACAAAAACTGTAGAAACATTAGGAGCTTTAAAAAGTGTCACTGTAAATTGTAAGTCTTGTGAGAAAGATAGTTGGTATCTATGCTACATTCGTATTCACGATATTCTATGCAACCGAATCTTCTATTTTCCATTCCACGGATGGATTATCCCGGAAAATGGAATTAAGACAGTAAACATACCGGTATGCTTCGATGAAACTTCTCTGCATATTCGTCGTTTTATCAGATGCTTTTTAGAATATCATATATGGTTGAGATTATTTTTTGGAAAAGAGTCTTATTTATCAGCTTTCGGGTGCATAGCCAATACTCTCTTATGCCTTGGTCACACAGTCGCTGCTTTGACAACTTCCGCTTTAGTATATAACTATAGGTTATAATCATAGAGCTTAGTTCTATGTAATTAAATTATGAGTTTTATTTACAAACGCCCTTAATTAGGTGTAGCAGTCCCGCTTTCTGGTGGTCTTCCGGTAGTAGGGTAATTGAGATTTGTTTTTGGTCTTTTATCCCTTGGATTATATTGGTATTTTTCGAAGTCGTTCTGAGAAATGTAAGGTCTAAAAAGGCCTTGTTATCAGAATACACTCCAGCTATTGACCTCGCTCACCTCGTTCCCAGCGTTGGGGTTGAAAAGCGAATTTTAGACGGCTCTAAGCAAAAAGTTAATTTTTCGTTTATTTTTCTTGTTATATTTTATTATTAACAATAGATTCAAATTAGAAATTCGACAAGAAAAACTACGATGAAAATTCTTTATCCAAGAGTCAATCAAAGATCTCTCTGTGAGTGACTCTTCCCTTTATCCATTTGCGCATTAGCATTTTATAAGACTATATAGTATTTTAAATGGAAAAGCCTGTTTCAGGAAACTCAGCCAAGACTCACTTGACTACTCGATAGAAAGATTTCAAGGTGATATTATAAATGAAGAACTAGGGGAAAACAAAATTTCGTTACAGAGAAGCGTTGCTTCACAATTTTCTGAGAACGTACTCTTCAAGGAAGTGATTGATATTAACATTGGCAATGTAGCAGCTGAACAAGTTCCCAATTTCAACCCATATTTACCCATTTCCTCTCCGAAATTGAATAAAAAGCTTCTTCTTTCTTTTCCTCGTGCAAGCGGAGACGCCGATTCATTAGATGAAAAGAACGCTTTTTCCTTAAGTCACGATCGCCTTGCTAATAAGATATCGGTGAATTGTCCTGCTAATGAGCTTCCCTTTCGCCTTTCTAACACTATCTATCAGGACAAAACACAGGTTTATTTTAAGATCTTAAAGCTTTTAGAGTTAAAATACAGACAAAAAGACTAGAATGTGACAAAATCTATATAATCTTACATATATTATATTGATATATTTTCAGATAAATGAATTAAATCAAAAGCCTATCGAATTTATCAACGACTTATCAACGAAAATCGTAGAGGATGCCATGAAGGATGACATGGATAGAGATTCATTAGAAGATTTCGAATACATAACGAAACATCCAATAAGCTCATATCTAAGTAATCGGGAATTGAATTTAATGGTTAAATTATCAATTGAAAAAGCATTAGCTTGTAAATCTAATTTAAAGGGTGAATTCTTAAGGAAGTGTCTGGTAAATAGTAGAATAAATAAGTAAGTTGATATAAATTATTAATGAAATAATACTCTAGAACGGAATGGAAATAAAGGATAATCATTTCTTATCCGGGCGCTGTACTGATGGATTTTCGGAGAATGTAAAGTTGAATAGTAAATCGAATTTCCATACTGAACAATTCCCAGATAGAATCGCTATAGATTCGAATCTTGAAGACAATCAGACCACAATTGATGATCAGTACGACCAAAGATTATCAATGACCAACAAGAAGCTAAAGAAAAATGTGGGCTCAATACAAACACCGTTTAACAAAAAGGTGAGTCCGTTCAAATGGAGTCCTTCGTCGATAATTAAAACGTCTACTCCGTACGAAAATAAAAAGAAAAGAAAGGTTTTTTTTTAGCATTTAGGTCTTTTAATTAATTAAGAAACGTTTCCTTTTTTTCTTTGATCTTTGAATAAAAAAAAACTAACATTTCTTTCGTTTTCACTTTTATTTTTGGGAAAATTCTCAAACTATAATCTACGTTAAAAAAATCCATATAATATGACACGGGATAAACAGCTGTCAATTAGAGAGAAAAGTAGAGGATCACTCAACAAATTCTGTAGTAAAGTACTTGAAAGAACTTTAAAGAAGAACGTCTTGCTAAGAACCAAAATTTCTTTAAATAATCTTAAAGAAAAATTCGAGGAGAAGTTAAAAAATAGTCATTTTAAGAATATTGATCAAAATATTAATAACAATAATAATATTATCGATAATAATAAGGATAATCATGATATAATTGAAAGGTAAAAGTGATTATTATAAGTATAATGATAAATTAATAAAGTATCTTTTTTCTTTCCCTTGAATTAATTATCATCTATTTATTCAAGGCTGTCGAAATTGCGGGGAAATGTTATAGAGAATTTACTTATTTTATTAAAGGTAAACAAACAAACAAACAAACAAAAATAGTACTCTCTAGAATTATTCGATTATTAATTAATATAAGTAATTAACAGAGACAAAATACTCGATTAGCTTATGGGATTATGTCAAGAATTGAGAAAGGAGATCAAAAGTTGGTTAATCATCTAATGTTATTCGTACTTAGAGAAGCCGTTGAAGGATTTCAGGGAACTATAGAAGAGAGTTTAAATCAGTACATATAAAATTAATCCGTGCTAAAATTAATAAAATTTTTTCCTATCATTTTTTATGCTCTTCTTAGGAAATGGAATTCTAATAACATAGATACAAATGAGGATAATCTATTAAAGTCTCTTATTGAAGAATCTAATAAACAAATTTATTTATCGATAGTGAAATCAATACCAGCAGTTGTCAAATTTCTAAACAAATCGAATTTGAGAGACGCTTTAAGGACTGATGATAGATTTAACCAAGAATATTTGAATACGAATAGAAACGCTTCGACCAAATATATTGATCCTACCCGATCGGAACTATCGACAAGGACTCTTCTAACCGGTGACGAGAGGGAATACTTATTCGATAAATTTGAGAAAAGAGCGTCAAAAAGCAATAAAATAGTAAACGAACTAAGAAGAATTGTTGGTATGAAACCAAAAAAGACGGATGACGAAGAAATTATGAATATTTATGAGAAATATTTCTGCAATCAATGTCCTGATAGAGAGAGATTAGAAGAAGAATTATATAGGTTATAGATCAACTTAATAAGAAGAGAGATAAATTCCCATTCTGAAAATAATTTATTAAATCTTAAGTTGATTTATAATTTATGAAAATAGGTTAGAAATGTCGTTAACGGGTGAATTTAGAAAGATGCTACCTTGGCCTATAGCTTTATATGTCAACTGCTGCATGATGGTTTTATTAGTATTTGCAACAATCTTGACAGTCCTTAGCACGAGTTCCACGTCGGATAGAGCAGCTTTAGCATTCGTTTCGACTGCCTGCGTCGTCATTTCAGCCTATGTATTCGTTTTTGAAGTTATGAAAGTCTTTATTATATGTGGTGCCAAGAAAAATTATCATGAAACTCCCTCAGGACCTTTCTAAGCTAATTAACTGCCTTATTCACTCATAAATCCCAGACTTGTTTTCCTCTTTATGGATTTATGACTTGCGTTTCCCATAAATATATTATAAACACTTAACATCTATTGTTTAAAATAATATTTTATTTCAAATTCTACTGAAAGACGCTTTTATAGATGGCGTGGTTAGAAATTACAATTTTTTTTTATCATAATGAACTCCAAACTGCAAAATTCTGCAACGGAATTATAAAACTTTATATGGATAAATAATATACGCCCCCAATCCTCTCCCTTCAAAGTCTATAACGTCTAATTTTTTCGCTTTATTTCATGGTCGACTAGTAACATTTATAAGCGCAAATAACTTAGGTTGTATAAGCGTAATTATCCGTTGATATAGGCTTAAAAAGTAGGGAAATGAGAAGGAAAGGAAGGAAAGAACGGATAGGAGGGCATTATACGGTCGATGAACGCTTTATCTATATTGTTTAGTAACGGTAGACCGATCGGGACGATGACCATTTCAAAGTAGATTGATTACTAGCGATCCCTGCTAAGAGAATTGTGAACAAGTGATCAAAAACAATTAAGATAAGAGGCTATAATTATTGGCCTATTAATTACTTAGTAGTACGACCATTGGGCGGGGTTTGGGAAAAACTAGCAAGATGTATAAAGTATATGCGCGAGTCGACAGCGGTAGAGGGAGAGAGTGGCGATAGAGGGAAGAGGGAAGAGCGCATTCGTCTACAAAGCAGTGTCCCAATTACATTAGATACGTGCGGCGTCATAGCAGAGGCAAAAGCGACGAAAGTGACGCTTACCGACGTCGCTGATTAAACATTCGACGGTCTGGTTTGAAGTTTCGGCGGAAATGACGCTTTCGTCTTCATTCCTTCAACGGTCGCTATGGCGACAAAGAAAGCAATAAGCGCACGAAAAGCGAGAGAAGGGAGAAAAGCGTGTGCGAGAGAGTTTAGTTGGATATTGATTTTGAAAATGTACAGTCCGAAAGCGAAGCGTCTCTGACAAACTATGGACCGTCGCCGCTGGCAGGAACATTTGATTGTTTGCTCCAAACTAATTGTAGAACGAGCTAAGAGATATACCGAAGGAAGCAATTCGGACGGTAAGTTCTTTTTTCCTTTCGCTTGTTCGTTTGAGTTCTATACTGGCTAGAGAATAAGTCAAAATTACGCCTATTTTCTCTCCTTTCTGACGAATTTTGTTCCTATTACGCGGAGTTGCGTGAGAACTATGTAAAAATCAAACGAATAAATCATCAATGCGTAAAAGATTAAGCTGTACAGCTCTCGACAAAATGCTCCAATTAATACTTTTCGATCCGAAACGGATGAAAAAGGTAGTAAAAAACACGTAAAAAGTTTAGAAAAACAAAATATTACTGTATTTTCACAATTTTTCTATCCTAATATAAATACAGAGATAGACGAGAGTAACGTCAAAAAAGAATAGGCGTCGAAAAAACTTGAAAATAGGGTGCAATAAAGAAAAAAATAAAACAGAATCTCACCTATTATTATCATTATTATTCAAATTGTTTGGGCCTTGCGATGTTGACGGATGTTAATTTACATATACGTACGTGTCTAATTAGGTCGCGAATATCGAATATCGTCACAATTATATCTGTATCACTATTGCAAATAGATCTTTTCGTGTATAAACTTATTCATGTAATATTCGTAGATCTTCTTTAAAGAACTGTAATAACAGCAAAACTGGAATGGATTGACCCTTTTTCAAAATATTTTCCCCTTATCCCTTTTTTTTTATTTATGTTCATTGCCCTCCACCCTTTTTTTTGTTGCCCCTCTTTCTTTCCTCCTCTCTATTCTTCTCAATTTTCCTATTTCATTTCTCATTCCAATACGGTTTTAAAAATGCCCTTTCTTCTTTCTTTCCCATTTATCTTTGCAAATTAAAAATATATGTGGAAATAAAAGGGAAAAAGTCGTCTATCTATTGATTTTGAAAACGATCGTTACATATATAACGAGCTTTGACGCAGTAGAATTTCCGATAGCTAATTGTTGAAATATTAGGCGTCGAAACCAGCCGATAAATCATCGTTAAGAGACGAGCGTGAAAAAATTCTCATGAGAAAATAAAAAAAAAATAAGAAGATGAAAGAAGATATGAAAAGAGGACAGGAACACAGATAGAATGACATAGAAGGAAGAAGAAAAGAAAGAAAGTGGGATATATAGAGTTAGAAAGAGACGAAGAGACAGGGAAAATGGAAGAGAAAACTAGAAAGTTAGAGATAGACTGAGGGAAGAATGAGAAAGGAGAGATTTAAAAGGAGCAATATAAAAGTTTAGAAGATAGCTATAAGGTTGTATATTTAATTATCGAAGAGCCTGTGAACTGCAATCAAAATAATTTGCATAATTACGTTTGTCAATAGACCTAGTATCGCTGGTTGCTTAGCGACAAAATGTTTGAAGCCATTTCGTTAGAATGTCTTCCCTTACGGTTTAATATATATAAGAAAAAGAAACGTTTTAGCCTTAAGCTCTTTCTTACTCTTGTTACCGTCTGTATTTATTTAGAAAACACTCATGGCCGTAATTTACGAACAACTCTTCTCTAATCATTCCATTCCATCCGTTCGAAAATCGAAAAAGCGCGTACTCACTTAGTTACTTTGTCTAATTAAACAGGTATATAATACTTACTAATTACTTTGTAAATCAGTCAACCTGTTTCATTAATATCTTGACAGTTATTGTAAATCGTCATTGAGTAAAGTAAAGATAATATAAATAACAGTTAATCTTATAATTCCAAAGGTGTAATGAAATAATAGATGGAAAGAGAAAAAAATGACAAAAAAGGCGCGTAGAATATAGAGAAAGAGAGGGAGAAAGTGTGAAAAAAGTGACTAAGATTGTTTTTACAATAGAGAAGCCGGTCGCCTACTGCAAAAAAGGGCAAAGAGTTAATTAAAACTCTAAATTTAATGAGAAATTCTATTTTCGAAATGAGGAATGATGGTTGACTATTAAATTGATGCAAAATAGTTTGTTGTTATTCAGTCAGTCCATCTCTCCCTTCCCTCACACACACTCTCTCTATCTCTCTATCTTTCATTCTTTCGCTTATATTTTCCCTTATTTTCTGCTTACTTCAATTATCGGACGTTTTTTTCCAACAATAGCGAATACATTTTTATAGATATATTGTATATATTATTATCTATATACTTAGATCTGTTTTCTCTCTATCTTTATGCACAATATATACATAAACAGTATATGCATATATGATATAAACTTCAAAGTATATCTTTATATATAAAGGGCGTAATTATAAAAATATAACTCACTAATACGTATAAGAATATTATATTTATATAGTATAGAAGGTTTAATTTAACGCTCTTATTGCCTTTAAGGATAAGGAAAGGTCGTGAGATCGAAAGAGAATTGAGAGGAGAGAGAGAGAGAGAGAGAGAGAGAGAGTGAGTGAGATAGGCGAGAGGGGGAAGGGGAGGGAATGTGTTTTAGAGATAGTAGAAGATGGAGGAAAAGAAGAGTAGCGGTAAAGGTATAAAAAAATACCACTTTATTGAATATTATTCACATATTGTCTCAATAATGTACATAGTGTGTTACAACCTTACAGTATTGCGGTATATGATTTGCGCATTACAATCAGATAGGCTTTCGCAACCGCGCATTACATAGGCTGCAAAAATCGGATTTTACGAATAGTACGGACTTTATTGGCTTTAGCGCTTTTTGTATACAGCGAAAGAATTTGTTTTAGCAAAAATCTCGACTCCCCCTTTTTCTTACCTCAAGTGCTGTGTAAATATTCAAAATACACGCATTTCTATAAATGATAGTGTATTATAACGATTTGTACATTTTAATCTGTTCAAATATAACATTGCAGTATATATTGCATATGTAAAAAGTAGTAGTGTATTATTACTACACTGTATAATATGTACACAACTGTATGTTTACATACAAGCTAATGGGATGTATATAATACTGCAATGTATAAGTTTTTTTTGCAAACGGTCTATAAGGCTGATTGATTTCCAATCGAATGGCGTCTCTAGTTTTTTGACCCTTAGTATTTTGGTTTGGCTGAAGAGGCTTCTATCGCCTATGAGATTTTCTTAAGAAAAGTAGACGTAAATCTTCTTAGCCGAATATCTTTACGTAAACTTTTCATCGATTCGTCCCTGCAGCGTTTGTGGTGCCAACTGCAAATTGTATTTGGCACATAATCGAGCTTGTAATGACGACAATTCGTGACCGAAATGCATGTTCTTTTAAGCCTTCCGTATACACAGAATAGTCTGTCTAACAAAAAAAAATTACATACGCCAATAACTCCCTCCTAGCGTGCGTGATGTGACGCCCAGGCGTCTAACTCTTTTAAATGCATTCCAATACCCTTCTTCCCTTAGACGTTTCCTGTTGCTTGGCATCTTTAGTTTGTTGACGGCACATACTATTTACATATTTATATTTATATAAATATAAATATCTATATACTGCATAGTTTAAATAGAGATTTATTAATATATACATATACATAAGTATATATAATACATACGTATAAGTATACATCTATATAAATATTTTTATATATCCTGAAAGAATTTATATTTATACCGAGAAAACTATCTGCGATCTGACAAAGTTTTGACAAACAACTACTCTCAAGTCACTGTTTTCTGACAGCTAATCACAAACATTCGACGCCTCGATCTCTCTACGTGGTAATATGTAAATGAGCGACAACAGTTGTCCCTTGACGTGGCGTATACACGAAATCTATATAATAAATAAATAATAAAAAAACAGAATAAGGCTACAGTAAATCTTTATAAGTTTCATATAGTACTTTAAGTATGTTCGATAGAAATGCAGATGACGGCCACACATGTTGAACTGGCCACGCGTCCAAAATTTGGTGTCGTGGCATGGCTTTAGTATAAAAGCTTAACTTTCTGCTAGATATACCGTAAACTTGCTAAGCAAACAGTTGACAAACTAGCTCAAAAAAATATAAATTGGAAAACATGTTGCCTTTTATCTTCGCCTTAGTTGTCTTATTCAACCCTATTATGGGTGGAAAGTATACAATCACTGATGAAGCTTGGTTTGACGTTGAAGTTAAAGATATGGATGGTCCAGGACAAGATTTTAGAGGACGTTTTGTTGTCGGTCTATTCGGTGAAACAGCTCCAATGACAGTTATGAATTATGTTGCCATTACCAGAGGTTATAAGAGAGGAAGAGAAGTTCTACACTACAAAAACACACCCATCCATAGAATCGTACCAGATTTCGTTATTCAAATGGGAGATATTACAGTTGGAGATGGCACCGGCGGTAAATCTATCTTTGGTGAAAGATTCAATGACGAAGAATTCGCTCTCTCTCATCGTTCTCCTGGTTGGGTTGCTATGGCAAATCACGGCAAAGACACTAACGGCTCACAATTTTACATTCTCCTCACCAAGGCCAGATGGCTCGACAAAAAACACGTTGTCTTCGGAAAAGTCATCAGAGGAATGGTACGTATAAATCTCAATTACAAACAATTTATCAATCTAATACCTTATCCAATCACTCTTTTAGGATGTCGTCAAAACTTTGGGAGAAGTTAGAGCCGATCCAAATACCGCTGTTCCAAGAAAGAGAGTTAAAATCATCGATTGTGGATTGAACGATTTGCCGAAAAAGTACGATCTTTCTGAAGATGATTTGGATTCAGAGAAAGATTTGTAGGCCTATAATCACATACCTATAAATTTTATGTTTGTACTTGTTAAAATCGACACGGAGATTAGTGGTTGATTCTATAAATGATTCCTTGTAAACTTAGGTAAATGTCAGCCTATCTTTCCCATATAAAAGCTAATATATTATGGATTATAATGAATTCTATTTTGAACTTAGTAAAACAAGTGAATAGATTTATAATTCAATTTGTATTCTATCATCTTGAGTATGGGTAACTTTAGAGCCGTAAAGGGATAAAAGGTTCAACTACATAAAAATTTTTCTCCCTTCATAAAAAAAAAATAGTAATAATAAAAAAACAAATATAGGACAAACAAATTGCAAACTCTTTTTCTGTACTTATTGTAACACGTACTCGTATGCTAATAAATCCGATCGTATTTTATCCGGTAAAATAGAAATAATTAACCGGATGGAAATCATAGGCTTAAAAAAACGCCGTCTATCGAAAAATGAAAAATAAAAATTCCTCTACTGCAAAATACTGCAAAGCAGAAAATATTCGAAAAAAGAAATAGAGAGAAATGAGAAGCGTTAAAAACTTCTCACTTTTATTATTGCAAGAAAATTTACAATTGTAATATTTTTATATTTTTATTTACTCCTGTCTTATTCCTACTTATCGTTCTCTTCACTCCTCTCCTTGTTCCCCTTCTCTCTTCATCCTCTACCGCCTCCTTATTTTCTTTCTCATTATAAAATACATCCAGACAAAATTGTTTATTTACTGTAGAGGTAGATGTACTTAAAACAGAAGTTTGGTAGACAATCTTCTCCTAACTATCTTCCATTCCCTGAGTTTTACTCTATATTGCTCTGATCTACTGTATTCCACTTGCTATTCATCTGATGCTTTTTCATTAAATGATGAAAGGGATAATTATACAACTTTTGAAATTGTCAGCTTCGTTGTATTAGAAGTGTCATTATGATTAAATATTAATAATTTTTTGCCATGAATACCGCGAATGCTGCGTGAAATGCATAAAAAAGAGCGTTCCGAGCCCACCGTCACGTGTTTTATCAAACTAGACGCCCTTTTATATACCCGATTCGTGCGGAACGTTGCTCGAGGACATGAGTTGATAGTGGTCGACGTTCCTATTTTTCGCTTTTGAAAGGAGAGGTGTAAAAGGAAGAAGGTTGCCTTTGGAACTTTCCTTAGGAATAATTTCCGTTAGGAGGGTGAGATTTTCCCTCTCGTCGCCTCACGCCCTTTTCTTTTATTTTCGACATTTCGAGTCGAATATGTCGTCTTGTACCGCCGTAATTACAAAGTTCTACGATTGCAGAAGGGAAAATGTCAACGGACGAAGGTCGCGTTAATGACGATACATGGAATTTAGAAGAAAAATTCGCAGAAACCATTTCCGGCCTATGCTTTATAAAAAATATATTTATAGAAGCAGTACGAAAATACGAAGATATGATGAAAGAAAGGAACCACTATCGTAAACTCTGCGACGTTCATTACGTAAGTAAAAATTATAGGATGCTTTTAACCTCTGGCACGTTCAATTTCCGTTTTTCCCAAAGGCGTCTAAGACGGACGAAATGGAGTTGAACGCCTTAAAAAGCCTAGTCAGAAAAATTGAAAGAGAGAATTATGGTGCCATTTTAAAAGCTGCCTACCCATTTAAATTAGACAACCATAAAAGGTTAACTGACCGCTTAGAGAGCGTAACCTCTCAACGGGACGGATTGTCCGAGTTGGTCGATCGACTTCGCCATTCGTATTTATTGGCGGTCGATGATTTGAAGCGAATTCGTGCGCAACGAGATGAAGTATTATTAGAATATACGAATGTGATGAAAGAACGTGATACGGTTCTCAAAGAATCGGATGAAACTTATTCAAAATTGACAGAAATCGAACGGCAATACGAAAAGACTAGGCGAGAGCGCGCTAGGCTTAATTCGATTGCCGACCAACTGCAAAGCGAATTGGCAAGAGTAAAAAAGGAATTGGTCGACTGGAAGAATTCTACCAGTTTCTTGGAGAAAGAATACGATCGTTTGCTTAATAAACAAAGTAAACATTAAAAAAAACCCGCTATTTTTTATCCCTATTCCTTCTTCGACTTAATTAAATTAACCACGCTTAATTGATATGCAGGCAAAGAAACGGAAATTGAAACCTTAAAAATGCGCTTGCAGTCTTCGATCGATGAGAGGAAAAGGATTAGCGTCGAAAAAGACAATTTACAAGCGATTATAAATACTTTTATCCAACAAGATGCCGAACTGTTTAAACAGTTATACAATAATGATCAACAGCAAATAGACCAAATAAAACTTCTAAAAAAGAATCGAAGTCAGGATTCGGCTATCGATGCCGATGGCGACGAAGTGGAAATTTTAGAGTTCGATTTGGTAAATAGCCTAGAACGGAATAAATATTTAAATAATAATCATATGAAAAAGAGAATACTATTTAAAGAAGATATAATTATATGAATAGTATTTTCTTTTGTTATGTTCAATTCTATATTGATACTAATTCACTTTGATTAAGTATGTCAGGTGTTTTTATCTCTCTCTTTTTTTTCCCTCTTCACCTTCTATAGCCCGCCCTAACAACGCCGGCAGATATAGATCTAGTTGCCGGTAACGACGATTTGAAATTCGTTAGAGATGTCAGGCCACCGGCGTCGGAAAGGCTCAGGTTCGATTCTTTTTCTTTTTGCCTTACGTCTATAAATGAAGTTTTATTTTGCTTTCTTACCAAATAGAATAAATGATGCTGTAATAAGTATCAACGGTCATGAGGTATCGGGTTACAATCAACAGATGGCGCTCAGAATTTTGAGAACATCCCTTTTATCCGGTCAAACCCACTTAGTTGTCAAACGTAGGAAGCCAACTGGTAATTTGGAGGTTATACATATAAGAAACAGAGACGACTATGGTATGTAATATTATTACAATGCTTATAAGAGCTATTTGTCAGGCCTATAAATATAAAAAGGTACGGGACTTTGCGTGGAAAGAGGAACTTTTATATCGCAAGTTATTCATAATTCTTCGGCCTATTATACTGGAAAATGTAATCGAGGAGATAGAATTCTAAACGTTAGTATACGATTGAAATGGTAAACTACTCAGGATCTTTTAGGATCTTTTAGATATTAAATTTTTATTATTCGCTATGTATACTAATATACTGTATATGTTGAACCAAAGAAATGCAGTATAAAACCATACGTTTCTTTCTACCGAAAAATAGGTTAATGGAAAGGACGTTGACTCAATGTCTGAAGCCGAATTAGAGGAAGCGTTGAAGCATTCTGACGATGTCACTCTAATTGTGTCGAAATGGACACCTACTCAAACGCCTTGTTTAACGCAAAGTTCGACGTCTACATCCGGTATAGCTGTTGATTCGCCTGACGTTAAGTCACCGGTATGGAGCGAATCTAGTCCAGCGGAAGTAAAGAAGACGCCTCCAAGCCAGAGCATTGATATACAACGATCCGGTTCATGGCCAGAGTCTCTGATATCCTTCGATAATGATTCCAAAGGAAAAATACCAAAGTTCAAAGGCGCTACTCCCGTTGTCCTCCGAGATAGAAGATCAACTAACAAAGGGAATCCAAGGCCAATTACCGTTCACTCTTTCAGGCAAATGATACATCCTAACAATTTATCCTATCAGCCGCCTAAATCTCCTAGACCTGTGCAAACAGTTGGTAGAAGGACGAACTCTTCTAAAATAAATCCACCTGCAGATAAACAAGAAGATTCGTATGGGTACATAAGGGCCTTAATAAATAGGCATGGAAGGGATGGTGAAATGGATTTGGCTATTGGAGATATTCTCAAAGTAAAAGAAAAGGAGACGAGTAGATGGCTAGTCTCAAAGATAGATCGGCAAGGCTTCGAAATAGGAGAAGGGATAATACCATCCTTATCAAGGTATACAAATCAATTAATTCTCATATAATTGTTCTAAGGCAATGATATTCTTTCATGTTTTCTCCCTTTTTTAGATTAGAGGAAGAGCTTCCAAGACAAAGGAATAACGACACCAAAGGAATCAAATATATCGTAAAAAAGGCCTTCTTCCGAAGGAGAAAGCAAGGAGATAATTTTCATACCACAATCTCTGAAGGTTAATCATTTTATACTGTCTCTTCTCTCTTTTCTTCTTATATTCTTTTCGTACAATTTTTTTTACAGACTTTCAAATATTTCAAACGTTAAAAAGAAGAAGAATAAATATAAAACGACCTGTCCTAATTCTGGGTCTATTTTCCAACGAACTATGTGATAGAATAAGCTCATCTTATCCGAAATTATGTAAATATTTTAAAGGTAAGACTAACCAAAGTGAATACAATTTATATAATTTTATTTTGTAACATTTTTTTTTTTAAAGAAAAAAATCATAGCGAAGACAAGAATTTGAGCCTAATCTGCGAGGTAATTAATTAATTAACTCGATAATCTTTATAAAGTTACATTTATAATTTATATATTCTTTTATATCTTTTTACTCTTTTTGTTTTCATTCGCTTCTCTAAGAAATTGCACATTCTGTTCGAGTTTGACGAAGTTGTCTTCTCAAACTTAATTAAAAACGATCTTCATCCAATTTTGCTCTATCTTCATTACAAAGATGCTAACAAAGTTCTAAGGTAAGCTTTACTAAATGAAATATTGTTATCATCAGCTATAAAATAACCTTGACATATCTTTAACAGTAAAGCTTGCGAAAAACAAAAAATATTAGATGAAAATCGTAAAATAAGAAATCGATTAGATTGGAATATTTCAGGTAAAATAATTTATTCAAATTTATGCACAGACAAAAAAAAACCCCTCCAAGAAATATATTATAAACTGAATTGTATGATTTTAAATAGGTATCGTCGACTGCTCTATAGACTTGGATGATACTATAGTAGAATCATTAAAAACAACAATAGAGAATATACAATCATCTCCAGCATTTATACCATTGACAAATTGATTTTTGTATATATATATATGTATATATATATATATATATATACTGTATATAAACTGTAAATATATTCAAACTTCCATTGATTTTGCTCAACATTTTTCTTTAATAGTCCAACAAAAAAGGAAACAATAACAATAATAAATAAATAAATATCAATAAATGAAATTAACAAACATAAATAAACACAAAATTCTTTGATAAAAGATAAAGGATAATAAAGATTTGTTTTTTTACTATAAATAATAATCATAATAAACAAAAAATAACTTCATTTATTTGTTTAAATGACCTTCGTAATGTTATTTATTATATTATCATCATATTTTGTTAAATATATATATATATACTAATATATATATATATATATATATATATTTACAGTGAAAGAAGGCGTTATATTATTAATGAGAATTTAATTAAATTATACGTAAATCCTTAGATATAAATTACTTTTCAAATGCAATTTGAAGAGCAATTTGAAGATAAGTTTGTCTTAAAGAAAAAGATATAATGCATTGTACTGATTTCAAGTTTTCACCATCTCTAAATAACTTTATAAGTCTATTGATTACATATATAAAAATACTATATACTGTATATAGTTAGGAAACAATCGATTTTTCTTCGAATTTCAAGCTAATATTAAACGAATAAAGGCGGAAGAGAATAATACAAAATATGGAAGAAAATTGAAAATTCTATCAAATACTATTTGTTCAATCTTAAAATAAACTCTAATTTTTAATTTAATCATCAAAATTAATTGTTAGACGTTTTTTAAGCAAAAACTGGAAAATTCAATAAAAATTTGATAGGTTTTCCTTTTTTTAAGGTTAAATAAATGAATTCTATTATATTCAAGGTCGAAACGGAGTAGTTTTATATATCCCCTCCCCAAAAAAAACGGATGACGTCACAAAAATAAAGAGAACAAAGTTTCGATGTTAAATCGACTTTTTTCCTTTCCTTCTATAGGTCAATTAACACAAAAAAGTTATTCGTTTCGCTATATTTTCACCCAGTGACGATGTGTTTGTGACCAAAAAGAAAAAATTAATATGATAAAACTTAGAATAACAGTTGAAATATTTACTAATGGTTTCTCTAATAGCATGAATTATACTGTCTAAAAGTATTTCATAGTTGGAATTCTCAAAAGGGCCGGAAAGAAAAGAATAAAATCATTTTTTACCCCTCGGGGAATGTTCATAAACAAACTTTTTATGGAAATCGATCATTTATTGTTAGAAAAAACAAATAGATGATTATCTTTGAATTGACAAACTACAGACTGGAAAATATGATGATATTAATAAATAAAAATAGATTATAAACGAATATATAAAAAGTGGTTAAAAGTCGAAGATTTAATTTCAATATTACTCTACACCTTTTTCCACTCTAATCCTTCTTTCAAATGAGTTATATTTCTTTCTAAAGCCAAATGTATTAATTAATTCCTCATCCTATAAATATACTTAATGTATTGATTTCAGTAAGATTCTATATATATCTTCGTCTTCTTTTTCATTTTATCCTTGCCATTTCATTTTGATTAACATCTATTTACAGTTTACCAGAGAATTCTAATATGCATTATACATACAAAACATAGCTTTCAATTTAACTAAAGCTACAAGCAGAATGAAAAATTCTTAACTACATTGTATATTTCCTAGAAATGAAGCTTTTTTTTATTTCGTATATTTTCTATAAATAAATATACATTGTAGGATTTAAAAGATCTTGTGAAAGTGTCAAGAGAGCGTTAAGGATTTGGCTTTGCGGCTATGTCAAAATTACCTAGTTTTTTATTTCTATATATTCGAATAATATTAGAATTGTTTGTAGGAAATTGAAATGAGAGTTATATTCAAACCTATTCCAATTCATTCTACCCTCAATTGAATTAACGATATGCCTTTCCTCCCTATCAGATTCTTCTCTTTCAATAATATAATATAATATTCATATCATTTGGTAAATTAGAGTGGATTTAAAATCAAAAAACATAATGAAAGGTGAACAGATTAAGAGAAAAAAATTATTTGTTGAGTTTATTGATTAATTTGATGATCAATAAACTAATCATTGAATTTGATTTTATTTTTACCTCTCAGATTGAGATGAGAAATGAAATTAGGACTTGAGAATTAATCCTTATTCAATCTACTGATATTGAATAAAAAAAATAATATCTCAAAAATAGAGTTACTTTTTATAATAGCATTCTTATTATTAAAATGTTAAGGCTGATTGGTTTTAGAAAGCCTATAAAAATTGATTATTTTTACATTATAGAAAGGAAATTTGTGACAAGAAATTATTTTTTCTTTATTGACAGCATAAGATGATATTTATTATAAGAATTTAATAAAAATAAGTTCCAAATAAAGAGTTTGTCCGTTTATTTTGTTGGGAGAGGAGCCAAAGCCTCTGTTATAAAAGCATATGGGTTTTTTATTTCATCCTTCAAACCTATAAATAATAAAATCAGTATTAAAGCTAAAAAGAAATTAAAACGATTTCTGAAAGACACATACCGCTTAATTCGAACAATTGATCGAATGATTGAGCACTCAGCATTTCTTTTTCGTAAATTACTAGTAATTTATCACTTTGTTCTGTCAAATCATTTCGGCGAATAAACAGAGCGAGATCAGCTGGCCAATGAGCCAGATCACTTTTTACTCTATCAAAGAGAACTTTATAATGGGCATCAACTATACACCAAAAAATCACGTAAGGTTTGTAGACTTCAAACGGACAAGGTGACAAATCTGGTAGAACTAGATTGGGAACTTTACCATTTTCAGGTTCTCCAAGCACATTTCGGGCATGACTCATGACTATCAGATGCTTCAAAAGGGATAATCGATATTTTTTCCAGGTACCATCATCAAATAGATGCAAAGCTAATATAGTCCAGAATAGAGCATTATCTACCTCATAGGCATACTGTAGCCATCTCGCGCTACCTGGGGTTTGAATATGACCAATCAAACCTTCTAGCTCTTTGGTGACAATTCTTGTAGTATTAAGCACGTATAATGCCATATGCATTATATGGGGTACCAATTGCAGATTACTTTGCCTACCACCTCCTCCACTCTCTCCCGTAAGTGTTCGACTAAGCGCCAAACTAAACAGCAGATATTTTAAATCGTGTAGGGTGTGAGTAACCGTCGCGTCTCTTATACCAGTGCAGTCTTGAATGTAGGTATTATGCTTTGCTAGATTTGAAGCGAATGAGCTTTCTTGAACATCTGGTCCCCATAGTGGTAATAAGCCATTACATTTGCTGTTAGAATTGTGTAACAATGCTGATTCCCATTCATCCCTACTTCTCGAGTGGCGAACAGCCGCTACGTGACAGTCAACGTGTACAACGTTCATATGCGTTAGTGTAGAATAGCCAGCAGATTTTCGACTCTTTGCTTCAAATTCATCCAATTGGGTACGTCTTGTAAAAGTGTAAATGGCTAATACTTTATTTGGTTGATTCTTATAGCCCTCGCGACAAATACAACAAACCATTCCCGTTTCCTCTTGAATCTCAGCCTCTAGCCATTTGCTCTTTACGTCAGCTTTTACTTGACCTTTTTCGTTTGTTTTCATTCCTAAACTATCAAGATGTTTATTACGCATGGCAAGGGCTTTTCTTTTCTTTTCAGCCTTAGTTTTTAAACGGAAATCTTCAACAACTTTCTTCAAACTAGTATGAACTCTGATGCTATCTAGCAGATTTTCTGCTAAAGTTCCTATATTACCATCTGAAGAAACTTGTTCTAATTTGTGGAGAACGTTTACTAATTCGGAAACACGACTTGCACTAGGGAGGTGCCCTTTTACTAAACCATTTAAAATTCGTAAAACATAAGGGAGGGCTGGCTTTTTTATCATATCTTTCCAATCATCTTGATCTGTAGCCAGGTAGGTTACTATTGGTGGCGAATGATCTTTCAAATATTTAATACAACAGTCAACAAATCCTTTTTCTAATAAAAGATCTTTCAACATTTCCCCATTAGCATTCGCTTCTATTCCATTTACAACTTGAGCGAAGCAATCAACGTGCATAACATCTGTAGTAGAATGCTCCTTATCAAATTGATCATAAATCAAAAATGGTTCAAAATATTCGGCGAGCGCAATCATCTTTTCACTGTGTCCGAAAGCCAAGAATGGTACAACTTTCATAAGCGCCTGCAGTAAATTGGATGAGGCTCTTACAAGTGGAGAATGCATATGTTCTAGAAGTAGTAAAAGTTGGCTTGTATCAGCCCCTTGTCTTTTTGTAAAATCAGCATATTTTTGAGGACTCTGAGCACTTGCTTCTTGTAACACAGCCTCCATAATGGAAAGAACAGATATAGCTAAACTTTCGCATTCACCTTTAAGACAAACGTTCAATGCTGTGAGCATAAATGGTATAGTCGATTTGTCTAATAAAGCTAAGCGGCAAATTCTGATTTTCACACAATAGGTAAATAATTTGAACAAAACAGTCATTAAATTTCTACCAGTAGTCAAATTTTCGATGGCGGCTAGGCGGTCCAGCATTACATCTAATCCATTACAATTTTCTGCCAAAACGCTCGCCAAAGCAAATACTTCTTCATCATCTTTTTCCTCACCATTCGAAGAAGTAAGAGAATTTATCATATCTTCAGTAGCATCACCAAGCAGACCTCTCATACGGTAGACGACTCTCATAGCTACGGAGTCTCCTTGCTGCGGAACCCATACCTTCCTCCAGACATCTTTTACTGACAGATCCAAAGCAATAATCTTGTTACAGACCAACAGTTCCATTCCAGTATCATCTTCCAACAATGCTACCAGTTCGCAGTCGGTGCAAATCTTATTTTTCACATCTCTCATTAATGGACCAATATTAGGAGTTTTAGTAGAATATGGATTACCAAGCATTCTGCCTTGCAAAAAGTCTTCCTGTTGTGCATCTTTTTCTAAATTTAATAAAATTTCACTGTCGTCTTCCTCTTCCGGCTTAATCATATTAGCAACTCGTTCAAAAATGAAGACTGGTGTAGTTAAGTCTTCCTTTGGAAATCTTGTCACAGTGTTAATGCAAACGCTCATAAAATCTTTCTTCTCTTTTTCTGTCCCAGATGTTAATTGTTCCAAAGCCTCCAGAAATTTACTTTGAGTGTCGTCAAGCAATTTTGTTCTTTGTACTATCATCTTCTTCAATGACAAGAATGCATTTAAGACTACAGCTAGAAGCACAGATTTTTTACTTTGCTTTATCCATTCGTCATTTACTAAGCTAGTCAATAAACAAGTTAAGGAATACAAGCACGATCCTCCAGCGACATCGCAATCGAATGTCGACTGCTCTAATTCCATTAACCTATTTACTTGTATATTTATCAATTCACACAATTTCGGAATTAAATCACAGTTGACAACTGCGTAATGACGCCAGCGTTCTTCTTCTATTAGTTTTTTACATAAAATTATTAATTCGCACCCATTACTTCCCTCAATAGATTCTAAATATGATATAAGCATTGGCAGCAAACTCTTGGTTCTCTGTGACTCATTTAGACTAATTTGTCCTATTAATTGACAGGTAACAACTCGTAAAGATCTGTTACTTTTACACAAAATGGCTTTTTTCACCCAAGAGTCACGTTTAGAAATCTTTGATCTCCATATATTGACATATTTTTGAACCACGAAATATTTATCTGATGGATTTTTCACCCAGTCCACTGAGGCACTTTCCAAAAAGAGATTTGCATTAACGATCGGTAACGCTGCTGTCTTCGATTTTCGCTTTTCTCCTAGTAGAGATTTCAAAATTCGCACACATGGCAAGGTAACATAATGAACTACACAGGCTGTTTGTATTCGATTTGAAAGGAGTAAGATCTGAAGCAAGGTTCGAACTCTTAAAGGCCAAGCTTTATCCGACACATCTGAAAGAGAGGCGGCCAGTACAAGTATGCAGTGTCGTACTCCATTACCAAAGAGGAAAGGAACTTTCTTATATTGGGCTATAGAATTTGTTATTCTTTTTAAAATCAGAGTGTTAACGATATTTGTAGCTTTTTCATCATTACGTATCAAGGCACATATTAATTTCCTTACTTTGCCTCTATTGTTTATCGTTCCTTTTGGTAAGTTAACATTCAATAAAAGTTTAAAGAATTGCGGTTGGGCCAGTTGAGCACGAATATTTTCTTTTGAACATAAAGCTGTTAAAAGGGTGATACAATGCGAGAGTGTGGCATTGGAACAGCCATAGCAATTTTTAGATTTCTTGGAATCTTCAACTAATTGACCACCCTTAGTGTACTCAACAAGCTCTTTTCTTGAAGCAACAATTTTTTCTATGCATTTACTTAGATCCTCAAAAGTATTTCGACAATCAACGTTATACTTATTAGCCACTTGATGAATAAGGGTACTAACTGCAGCATTTTCACCGCCTTCGCCTGTAGCTATGTCACAGTCGACAACTTTTAAAAGTAAAGTTTCTAATGTTGGCTTATTTCCCATTAAATCTTTATATAATTTATCAGCTTTTTCTAATAGATTGCTAATACTATTCAGAGCCTTGGCCTTATCGTCTTCACTTTCGATACTTCCAACATCGCAAGTTGTCCTCGCGTATAGTGAAATATCAACTTTAGCGTATTTGCAAAATCCACAAGCAACGCATAAGAATGGATCTTTCTCATCGTAGTTTATGGCTCGACATTTATGGCACTGAAATACGTTTTCTCCACAATTTCCACAAACACCGGGAGATGAGGCTACGGTCGCTGAACAACGGGGACATTGTAAGGTATCTCCCGTACTTATGCTTTTTTCATGAAAGTCAGCATATTCAAACATTAAATTACAAGCTGTGATTGGTAAAGGTAGATCGACTTTTGCTTCTGCTTGTCCAGCACTTAAACTTACTTTGGATACTTTTTGCCATAATTCCCGTTTGTTCTTCAGTTCAACTATAGCATTCACTGGCCTATTGTTATAATAGATATTCAGAGTGCGTATCATCTTCATACGCTTTACATCTGTTAGTTTGAAACTAATTTTATGGATCATATGCGTACTGACCAGCTTAACCAATTGTGTGTTTGCCGTAAACTTTGTGTCTACTTTTAAAGTTGACAACTTAGCATTTGAAAAGGCTATCTCAGGCGTGTTGCATACCAAGCATGGCTCATTTTCTAAATAATATCCAATGTCATTATCAACCAAGGGTTGGATTAAATTGGATAAATGCGAATAAAAGGTAGCATTAGGGTGGCTATTCATAGCATCATTTTGTTCCTTCATCACATCTACAGCTGACTGAACATATTTTGCTATCGTCGACGTTTTTAAATTTGGTGTTCGAAGAGAAAAATAACCCAGCAGATCCACAAATTGTGCTGCCTTTTCCCCATATTCTTTTAAATCATTCCAAAGACTCCACATTCTATCTAACAATATTCTTTGGTCTTCTCCATTTAAATGTTTCCAGAGAAGTAAAACAAGAGCATGAACTTGCCAACGAACACCAGTCACGTTTGAATCCAGCATAAGTTTTCGTATCAGATTACTCGATATTAAAGGAGCCAAAAAGGGAATTAGATGTTCAGCTATTTGTTCTTCACCCTCTTGAGAAGTCAGAGCGCATTGTAACAGGGATAAACAAGTTGGTGCAACAGCTGAATGGAGACTTACTGAGCACCATACTAGGAAAGGCAATGTATTGGTATTCTTCATACAATATTGCTGCCAATTTGAGCTCCTTTGATTAGCAATATCCAGACAAAGTTTTAGCTTTTCAATTACTTTTAGGAGCATATTGTAAGACAACGGCATTTCCTCACCATCATCTAATTGTTTCACTCCCATATCCTTAAATAAGTTTTCAACTCCACTCATATAAGCATTTAGGCAGTGTTCGTCGCGAATTTTACGATATTTTTCTTTAGATTGAGCAAATGCTAAAAGCAATTTCCTTATTTGTTTTCTTACCGAGCTGTCTAATTGAGATAACATCAGGAAATCACACAAAAGAGCATTCCAAGATGACATTGATTCCGGATTCCCCTCATGAACATCAACTTGTTTTTTCATCTGGTAGACAATTCGAATAACAAACTCAGTTAGAAGTTTTGGATACGATGAAAAAACATCAGTGGAATGACTTTTAACGTATGGCTTCGTGAAGAATGGTGTCATATCTGGTAGCTGCATGGTGCTAACCTTAAGAATTTCCCCAGAACTGTGCCAAGCATCTCCAGCATTGTTCCAATGTCTCTCTAGCATTAGCTTTAAAATTTTTTCAAATACTTCAAAAAGATTTGACTGTGTGATAACCGATGATGTAAGAGAGTTTATAGCTTGAAGCCAGTCAGCAGGTTTATTTTTACTGACTTTACTTGATTTTAAAACTCCTTTATATGATATACAAACAGATATAAATCTGAAAAATAGGAGAACAACTTCGTTATGTTGTGATCTTTCCACAAGTGTTTCGCAAGGCGTTTTTCGAATTGAATCGACTACAACAGATATTAATCTGTCTAGCACAGCTCTATCATTTCCTTCGTTACCATCCATCGATGCTGCAAGAGTAAAGATAACTTGAAGGAAGGGAATTGATTGTAATCCATTTTCCAAGAAGGGAATATAGTCTGTCAATTTATCTAGCAACAGAGATTTCATACTAGGATTGTTTTCATCCTCCCCAGCTGAAGGTGGGACAGCACTGACAATGCTGCTGGTTTCGCTTCTAGCACCTCCAGAAATAGAATCAATTATTGAACCGCCACTTTCTGAACCAGCTACACTAGCCACCTCAACAGGTGATGTTCGGAGGGTAGAACCATCAGTTGCCGCATTAGAACCGACTTCATCGTCACTATTTGGGGTAGAGTTATCGCTATACTGTTCCGATTGTAGACTAAGTGCTATGGCCAGTTCTACCATAGTTGTTTCATCGTCCGCACTTTCCAATTGACTCATCATGTCATCCGTTGGTAATTTTGCTGGTGTGCTACAACGAGCTGGTGAAGTATCTTTTCGAACTCTCTTCAAAGATGGCTTAAACAAACGATTCAAAGCCATTCGAGCAGGAAATGCAACATTTGGGAATGGAGACAATAAAAATTTTGCGTATAACCGGCTGGAAAGCTGTATAATTTCACTTTCGCCTGATTTGCAGAAGGCATCGATAATATCAATCATAGCCATAACTGTCAGGTCGGTATTTTGAAGGCCGGGTAAACCAACTGGTGCCACATTTCGAGCTAGAGGTCTTGATCCGTGAAGTTTCCAAAATATTCCAGAAATCTTCATCAAAATATGTTCATCAGTATCACTTATATTATCCAGAAGAGATTGCAGAGTTTCTTTATTTTCTTCATCTTTTGACGTGTTCTCCACTAAAGTTACATCGCTTCTGCTTGGGCCAGCAGATAAGGATTTAGTTAATTGTTTTTCACAAAATTTTGTTAAATTATATGGTCGAGCAACTGCAATTGATCGAATGATAACTAGAAGTCTTTGGAACGTATCCGAGTCCATAGAAGTTGAGCTTCCAAACATATTCATGACATATTGTAATTGGCAGTCGTCCTTATGGATATGATAAGCTGTTCTGCTATTGTGTAAAGAGGCCAATAGACCTGACGCACTCTGTTCAAGAATCTTTGATGTCGGAAGGGTAATGATATTTGTGCACAAGTCAAGTAAAATTTGACGCTTATCATTCTTCCATAATTTCAATGACGAATCTAGGAATTGTAAGGCTCCGGCAATTAGTCTCTCAGTTCTTGAACTGGCTATACTTTGATCAGTAGCCTGGGACATATTAACACCTTGTTCATCCATACTTGATTGCCCAACATTTTCTGTTTCATTTCCTGACCAACCAAAAGACTCCTTGCTACATACATGCACCTTTATGGAGTCAATTATGATAACTCCATCAGGATCACTTGATGGTGCAAAAAATATAGAAAATGAGCGAACGGCAGTTGTGCTCTCCTCTTTTGAGAAAGGTATATCATACCATCTGTTACTACGAGTTGTATTAACTGGAACGGATCGCCCGAAGACATCAATACTGGATGGTATTCTGTTGACAGACTGAGAACCAACTTGAATTCGAATACCCACAGGTACATGAGACGTAGACGTGTTTGTAATTTCTATCTTAAAACCATTAGGGTTTGCACAAACTACGTAAGTTCCTGGTGAAATAAGGCGATTTTTGGCTTGAGATGCATTGTAAACTTGTAGCAAATCTTGTCCACCAACTTCAAAATCATTAGTTGCCTGGCAGTTTTCAAAGAAGTCAATTGGAAAGCTTTGTCCAGCATTTTTAATTCCAGAATTTCGATTCGATGCAATTTTTTTACGGTGAACAGGTCGATATGCTGACATTGGATTTCGCACTTGAGGATTGAGCCAAAAGTTAGTAGTTTCCATGTTTATACTCTGCATTTTCAAATTTCCATCTTCACAAAGAATCATCAATGTTGTTCTGCGTTTATCATTTACATTCATTATTGGATGACTTATTAAACTTACATCCAAAATTTTTGATTTACTGGTCTTAACTTCTTGAGCAAAAATGCCATTTGGTGACACCATAATAACGATCGGTATATTCAAATGTTGACTATACGCAGTGAGAAGTCCTGGATGATCAATAGTCTCAGACCAATTGACTAGGGCCTGCTTCTGTTTAGCACTACTGCTCACATTTTTCTGTAGTGTTAGAGAGCATATATTGGTCGCCTTACCCAAGTCTTGCCTCAATGGGCTATAAAAGGTCTTTCCAGATAGAAAACTGAAAAATAACAACTGCAACAAGTGTGAATAATATACTGATCCTCCTCCACCAGAGATTGTTCCATTAGCTTCTGTCTTAATATCGACATGCTTAATATCTATCACATTCGTGACAAAAAAAGCTCCATTTTGAGCTGTTTCATCCAGTATTTGAGTGTACACATAGCCAGTAGAAGCCATTATAGCAATATACTGAGCTCCATGTTCAGTTACAATAAAAGTAGCATCTTTAATTTTTCCAGCGGGTACGACAAAATAATAGTTGGGACTAATAATGTCATTTGAAAGATTGAATATTTTAATGAAGTCGCCCGTAATGAGAGCAAGAGAAGATTTTGAAGCGGGTAGCCATATAACCTTGACAACATAATTTCCAGCATCTAGACTTGGATGTAGAGCTAAATGTTCGCGAACTTTGGCAATGTTGGTCAAAGACAAAACATGACAGTCCTATAAGGAAAAGTATAAGAGGTTTGTCTATAAAAATGAAAATTTTTCTCTAGTCACTTACTTTTAATCCGCAAACTGCAATAACTTCTTCATTGCAAGGATTAGTTGTAAAAGACAGGATTGCAAACGGTAATGTTGTTGATGAAGTTCTGGTTAGCGTAACTTTAGATTTGTTTGCCTCTAGTTGTTTCAATGCTGATGAGAGTTGAAACATAGTCAATTTACACTTATCATGACTAATGGCGAGATAATGCTTTTTCTTAATAGGAATACCACATGTAGCAACGCGTCTTATTGTAGAGTTACTTATCAGCTGTCGAATTTGTTGCGCTTGATCTCCGTTGTATTGGCTTTTTACATTCTCTAGACACCCATCTTGTGATACAACGGTACTATTTATCAAACTATCAGTTATTTCAACTTTTCTTACGATTGTGTGTAAATCCGATAAATGCTTTCTGGCAATATTTGCCACAGAAGGAGATACCTCAAAGGAATGACTAAGTAAAGGTATAACAGAAGAAAGTAAGCGAACGGTGTTTTCTACCACAGATGATTTTCCAATGATACTTATTAAATTAGTTTTATCTACCCCTTCCAAGCAATTATTAACTTTGGAAGCGAAGCTTTTATCTTTAGCTTCCCATTTAGATTCGGCTGGATGTGAACCAGTTGACGTTAGAAGCATAGTATCAGTTGTGTAAGTGCTTGTCCTTTTAGTTAAGGCCTGACAAGAATTATCTTCCTTCGCTCCACAGTCGCAAAAAAATGATCCGCATTTGGCGTAAGCTAGTTCATGACCTTTATGACAAACCTTTGCACATACAGTGCAAACACCTATGTTATCTACCATGTTGCATGTGTAACAATGATACCAGTGTTGATTCATAAATTCTTTTTGAGTAACTGTATAAGTACATAATTCATCATCTTCTCCATCGGATCCTTCGCTAGGAGCTAATTCATGACCAAACTCCTCATCCAAACAGCTCTCGCTATCACTTTCTTCCTGATCTTGAACTCTATCGCAGCTAAATATCTGCTTAATGTAAGTAAGGACGTAAGAGATACATTCAAGCATCGTAGTTAATTTTCCATTTTCTTCAGAGCACAATAACTTCTCCAGTACCTTTCGCTCATTTAAGTACTTTTCACAAATTTCAAGAAATTGTAAAGATTTCTGGCATAATAGTTCGTGTTTTTTGCACGCAGTGGCTAAAGACAGCATGACTACGAATAGTTCCCCAAAGGCGACAGTCTTATTTTCATAAAGTAACTGCTCACTTATAATTAGAAGATGAGTTAAGAGAGTTTCCGCAATCATTGAATCAATAGCTGACTTATCTAAAGAAGCCATTGTGGCTACCAGCTTATGGAGAAGTCCACGAATTTCAGTTACACATATTTCTTCTGATGAGTCACTGTGTGACGGAATTTTAACCATATTCCATAACCAATAATGAATCAATTTGTCATCAATGTCTTTTATGTTGGACAGTTTATCACAAAGAATAACTGATTGAAGGTAATAGGCTTCTTCAGTACTTGAAAGTAAACCAAATAGAGATGAAAAAAACGACAGCACTTTCTTTCTATAAGCTACTGGTCGCCATTCTGAAGCTGAAGTCAAAAGAATTTCCACTATTGACTGTTTTTCTTCATAATATCTAAGTATCTCGGAAATAGCAGGAATACCAGAGTCAGGTTTTTCAATACACAGCTCTAAAAGTTTCATACATTCAACGTAAATCTCATCTTTGACTACGTTCTCAAAGATAGAGTGTTTTCCGCTTTGAGCCAAAACTCTTTCTTCAGATAATGACGGCGTCAATGCTAGACGATATGAATTATTGACTGCAGTTTGTAACGACATCTTCTTAAATTGTTCGCTATCATTATTACCAACTGCCTTATGAACAATACTTTCCACATACTCGGAAACATATTGTGCAGATGCATCAAAGAGCAGAGGAAAGATATACATGCTCACTTGTGCCGGAACTTTTTCGCACCACTCTACTAGTCGATTGAAAAACTGTAGCAGAGTACTCAGCACATACTTTACACAATTGTTAACTGATGCAGGGAAAGTTGTCATTTCCTGGACTGTGGTTAGGAAGACATTGTTTAAATAAGAAGTAGTTTGATCTCCATCATCTTTCTTTTCATTCCATGATGTGCAATTTGGGAAACTATGAACTTCTGCCCATTTAGCAATAATATTTTGGGTGTTTGCTGGAAGATATTTCGTACAAAGGCATATAGGTGCTTGTGTTGATGTCATTGAAATTATTATTTTTAGTAGAGGTTCGACTTCCTCGGAGTACTTATTTTTACTGATTAATTTATTCACTAGTCTTTCTCGTACTGCTCCAGAGTAAAATTCAATGGCTTTGCAAAAAGGTAATATTAATTCTGATGCTATTTCATTAGGAGTCTTTGATTCTGAATCTCGGCTACTTGTTCTATCTTGTATCCATGTGTCCAATAGCGCATAGCCTTTAGCAAGAGATGTATTTAAATCTGCCATGCTACTTAAGGAAATTTCTTCAGCATTTTTTAAAACATTTAAAATTTCTTCAACGTTCCTTTCAATTCGGCAACAATTATTGAAAGCAGTTTCTACAACTTTTTCACCTCTGCCACTAGTACCCTGCTTTGTTACAATTTCAGATAATGCTTCACGATAATTTGCATTTTGTAAACGAGTAACAACCATTTTACTGTAAGGTTTCTTTTTATCTATTGGAGAATGACTTATGTGCTTCAAAAATTCCTCTGAAGGCGGCAGATAATCAAACATCTGCCATAAGATACTCAAAGCATATCGTATAGAATATAGTTCCAAACTTCCATTAGCATTTGAACATGATATAACATCATCAAAAATTTTTGTCATTGATCGATAAAACACTTCGTAATCAATACCTTTTTTGTTTGTTGTGATGAAAGTCCGAGCTAATCCATCCATTCGGGGCCACCTACTCAAGTTAGTAGTTAGGGAAAAATCTTTTTTAGACAACCAATAAAACTTCGATGGCTTCCTATCATCTAAATTCTCATAAAATGTAAATAAGATATAGCTTTCTTTGCAGTTAAAACTTTCAAAAAGATTGTGTTGTACATGTTCAAGAAGATCATCACTAGGAGTATAAAAGTACAGGAGTAAATTATTTGCCAGGATCAATAATCTTGAAAGCGGTAAAACAGCCTCGGCTCCCACAATAGTAAAACTTGAAATTTTGATTAAGCATTCTAATAGTTGACTCAAAATTGTTTTACGATGTATAGGATCTAATGAGTGAAACATGAACACCAAAAACTGTGCTTGTTCCACATTCAAATCATCTTGATTTTCACTTTTTGATGGTGGGTGAATTGTATTTTCAACTAGGGTAGATAATACTTTATTCCAAATATTTATAATTATTTCATAAGATTTAGTAGGCGTATTAGTTAGACGTTCCTCTTGCTGTTTCAAAAGTATAACTTGAAATAAAACATTCAAGACTCGCCTATTGACGTTTAATTTCCATATAGCCTGCTTACTGGGATAAACATGAAGATACTCCAAGATGGCTTTTTCTTTTTCTTCAGATAATAATTTTGACGCTATTAAAAAGTGATTGAACTTTACTAACATAGAACTAAAATATCCAGCGGGCTCAAAGTCAATAAGCAGATCGAAGTTGCTATCAAAGGTGCTAGTTATATTTGATATGACTTCCATTTCACTTCCATTGAAATCGTCAACAAAAATCCGTCTTAATTCAGGAGAAGCTACTTCAGATAGCATACTGGTAAAGATCAAGTTAAGAATTTTTGCTCCTAGACTTAGAAATGGAGCAGGAGGTGTGCTTTCTAACTCCAGTAAATTTTTCTTAACCAATTCATCGCCGTCAAAGTCGTCGCTTCCATCGACAGATAAAATATCAAATTCAATTTCGGGATACATTAAAGTTTGCATCCATTTTCCTAATATAGACTCCTTCTCAATTTCTGAAATGAATACGATTTAAAAAAAAATAGTTCTTCCATAATATTCCATACCTTCTTCTAAAGAATTAAGACTTGCTAGGTCCATTTCTTCACCATCTACTTGTTTATCGTTGTTTTCATTTGTATTGGAAATTACAGTATCTTTTACAGAACAAGCCTGAAAGTTTGCATAACAATTTGTGTAAAGAAAACAAAAATTTCTAGTAAAATTACGTACAATAGTATAGCAGTAATTCAACAGTCGAATTAGCAATGGTAAAGTTTTTACTGATGAATTAATTTTCTTTATTCTGTCTAAACTTGAAAAATTAAGAGCTAAAAGAGCCTTAATTGGGGTGTCTTTATGATCCTGTTTTAAAATAAAGTTGTAACTTTTTACACCCAATCTAACAGAAGTCAAACCTTGAGAATATCAGATAGTTTAGAACCACTCAGTTCACTAAAAAGAAAATTTAAAATTACGACAAGTTCTTTTCCTGACATAATCATTATCATATCTCTTTCGCATTTTCTGAAATAATACATTCTGTTAGAGATGAACACTCCAATATTCAAACATGGCTTACTGCTTGCTTCCTGTCGAGTCCTCTGTTTTTCCCAGTTCTTTTTCTATAAATACACTTATATAGTGTGCAGCGATTAAGTACAAATTTTGAAGAACCTGTAGAAAATGTGAAAATAAAATGAGAAAATGAATTACATTCCTTATACTACCGTATGATTATATGAGTTCCCCGATTTGAGCCATTGACATACTTGATCAAAAATATCTAACTGTAATGAGAGATAATAAGCTGGATTTGATTAGCTTAGGGCTATATGAACTTACCGTATACTGGAACACGCATATATTGTATTTGTCATAGTCTGCTAAACTTTCCAAGCATGAAACAACTGTTTTTACTATGACATCAACAGTGCTTAAGCCACACAACAATTCTTCTCGATATACAGAATGCAAAAGAGACAATTCATTTATAAAATTAGGCTTGTTTATTTTAAATGTTATTTTTGAACAAAGATTAATTAATCTTGTAATTCCATTCTTTGACTAAAAAAGATAGATATATATATATATATATCTCCTGTATAGTATTTAGGTGTTCTTTCTTACCTTTAATATCGAGAGACACTTGTCTGATAATTGCAAGTTAGAGGTTGAATGAGAAGAGTAGAAAGTACTTGATGTCATAAAATCAAATACATTATTTTTCTGGTGTAGTCTCTCAATTGTTAAATCCTCAGATTCTACAAAATATGTTAAACTGTAATCTTAAAAAAAATATTTCTCTGAAATATTCACCATTAATATTTGGAATTTTATGTTGCTCTAAGAGTTTTAAATGCTTTGCAACATCTTCAGCTTGGAGAACTTCGTCCCCCAAACAGAATTTTGTCAAACAAGTTACGAGAGAACACTGAAAAATATTTTAATAAATTTCTGTACGGCATATTATTTAAAGTACAAACTAAAGTGATATTTATTTCCTTAGATTCTTCAATTTTCAAAAGAAGCAAGTCAATTACTTCTCGACACAATGCTATTACTTTGTTTGTCAAAGTTTTTGCATCTATATTAATAAATATTGAGTATTTGTTAGTTTCATATGACTTTCACAAATAATATTCTTTTTACATACTTAAAGATGATAAGTGGTGAGCCGTAACTGGAAGCAGAGACACAAGTAAAACATGATTTTCCTTTGATGCTTTTTTGCTATTGATTTGTGATATAAAAAGATATTTTAATTAGAAAATTGTTTATAAAAAATTGCAATAATAAAAATACTAATAAGTTCTAAATAAAGAAAATATTTTGCAAGTTATAAAAAGATGAGTATGCAAAGTTTCTAATCAAGTTTACTTCGCACTAGATGTCCAAATTTAAATGATTTCTAACCTGTAATTCAGTATTCTTAATAGCTTTGTTAAATTTGAAATCTTGTCATCTTCAGATAAAGAATTGTCAAATAAACTAGACATGAAAGAGTCTCCGGTATCATTTTCTTGAGTATCGGACGCCATTTTTAAAATGTTCTTTTCGTATTTGAGGAAGATAAACAATTTCTTTCAACTTTGGGTTAGTTCAATGTAAAACGACTTTTATGATCAGATTCTGTTTCACAAAAAACTAGGTAGTCAAATATTCACTAATTCTGAAAGTGAAAGCTGGTGAGCAACCAGTATGAGTGCTGTCCTCTACTGCTACATTATACCGTTTCATATATTATTTAAGTTCTTTTTCTTATAATTTGTGAAAAAACACTTTGTCAATTTTAGCAATATTTTTAAAACAGTAAATTAACAAAATAGATTCGAATCAATGAAAATTTGAAGAAAAGTTAGTTGGTCTCAAAGTAAAAAAATTGCGTAATATTTCTGAAACCTGATAAAAATTGGTTAATCACTTATATTGAACAAGAACTTTGCTCAAAACAACCAAATTTTCATTGCATTAAATCTATTTTGAAAATTTGTGTAATGTTTTTCTTTAGACTTAACAAAATATAAATAAGAAAGAGAAATGAAAAAAGTTTCTTTACTTAAAATTGCTTTAATCTCTATTAAAATACAATAGCTTGAGATTATTTATTCAAAAAAATATTCTTCTAGAAACATATTCAAAATATTTGATATACTATATTGCTTTTTCAATAAAAAATAAAAATTAAAAAGTAATTTATCCAAATATTGCAAAATTAATTACCTTAATTAACCCATTAATTATACTTAAATTATTAACTTTCGTTTCTGAATGTTAAGCTTAACTTTCTTTAGTAATAACTAGATGTCGCTGTAACTGACTTTTATAGAAAATTTGTCTCCGAAAACACTCCTTGATAAAACATACGTCACTTCCCAATATGGCCACAAACCAACGGTGATTGGACGATTCCAGAGTTAATCGATTAAAAATATCACTTTGCGATTTATATACATTTTATCAGCTAATCGATTTGAACGATAATCGCAATATCAGGTTGCCTAGCCTCTGGAATTTTCTGAAAATCTCGAAAGATATTTTGTCTAAAATGTCAGGCATTGGGAGCTTAGCGTTTGACGAATATGGAAGACCTTTCATCATTATGAAGGATCAAGAAAAACAGAAGAGATTGACTGGAATTGAAGCTCACAAGGTATGGGACATGACTTGCTATTAGTTACCGGCATTTGTCTCACGTGTTTTTTCTGTCCGTTATATCCACTCCTCTTCTATATCGATTCTTCTTATCTTTTTCGTTTTTTAGATTTATAAATAAATTTGTGACCAACAGTTAAACTTATTACCTGATTTAGGTTTATTTACTATCCTATATATATGACTATGACATTCATTATATCTGCACTCAGAATTCATTTTTTTAGCAATTACTAAATATTTTTTAAATTTTTTCAGTCTCATATTTTGGCCGCTAAAACAATCGCATCCACTCTTAGGACATCTCTTGGACCAAAAGGATTGGACAAAATGATGGTTAGTCCTGACGGTGAAGTGACTATCACTAACGATGGAGCCACAATCTTAGACAAGATGGATGTTGAGCACCAAATTGCTAAATTGATGGTTCAACTATCAAAATCTCAGGATGATGAAATTGGAGATGGTACAACCGGAGTTGTTGGTACGTATAAATGTTTTATGAAGAACTACAAAGTAAAACAGTGCATGACGAATTTCTAGTATTTCAAATTTTCAATATTAGATCAGACATCATGCGAAAGTAAAGTGGAAAAAAATTTTTTGTTAATATCTAGGTTTTTAAAATCTTGAAAATTTAATAATTTGCTCCCAACATTTCAGTTTTGGCAGGCGCCCTGATTGAACAAGCAGAGCAATTGCTTGATCGTGGAATCCATCCGATTCGAATTGCTGATGGCTACGAGATGGCGGCTCAAGTAGCTGTTAAGGAGTTGGATAAAGTTGCAGAATCGTTTCCGATCGACTTAAAAAACCCAGACAAATTGATTGAAACTGCTATGACAACCTTAGGGAGTAAAATGTGTGAAAAATTGTTGAATTTTGTAATACCTAATGTCTAAGCTATTTCTTCACTTTCAGTATCAACAAGTGCCATAGGAAAATGGCTGAAATAGCTGTGGATGCTATATTGAGTGTTGCAGACCTTGAGAGGAAGGATGTAGACTTTGAACTAATTAAAGTCGAAGGAAAGGTTGGAGGAAAATTAGAAGACACAGTCCTTGTTAAGGGCGTTATAGTCGACAAGGATTTTTCCCATCCACAAATGCCCAAAGAAGTTAAGGATGCTAAACTAGCAATCCTCACCTGCCCATTCGAACCACCGAAACCAAAAACAAAGCATAAGTTGGATGTTACAAACGTAGAAGATTACAAAAAACTGAGAGAATATGAGAGACAAAAATTTACAGGTATACTCTGACATTTTTAAATCATTAAAATTTAGGTAAATTTAATACTTTTTCACAGATATGGTTGAATTAGTAAAAAAGGCTGGCGCAAACTTAGTTATTTGTCAATGGGGCTTCGATGATGAAGCTAATCATCTCCTACTCCAAAAAGAATTACCCGCTGTCCGTTGGGTTGGAGGTCCAGAAATCGAGTTAATTGCCATCGCAACTGGAGGAAGAATAGTACCCAGATTCGAAGAATTAACAACTGAAAAATTGGGGGAAGCCGGAATTGTTAGAGAGCTATCATTTGGCACAACCAAAGGTTAGCTTTCCTTAATTATGATATAAAAGACCAATTTAGACCAATTTTGACTTTCAGATCGCATGTTGGTCATTGAGAAATGTAAGAATTCGCGAGCAGTAACAATCTTCATTAGAGGAGGAAACAAAATGATCGTGGAAGAAGCTAAAAGGTCAATTCACGACGCTCTTTGTGTCATACGGAACTTAGTAAGAGATAATCGTATTGTTTTCGGTGGCGGTGCTGCAGAAATTGCCTGCTCTTTAGCCGTTGGAAAAGAAGCCGACAAAATATCTACTCTAGAACAGTATGCAGTGAGAGCTTTCGCAGAGGCTCTTGAATCTGTTCCTCTAGCACTGGCTGAAAATTCAGGTCTCCCTCCCATCAACACCTTAGCCGAGGTCAAGTCTCAGCAAGCAAAAAATGGAGATCCAAAATTAGGAATTGATTGCTTAAACAAAGGAACTAAGGGTATGATGTTTATTTTTCTTATTAGTATAGAAATTGTATTAAATTTTTAAAATTTTTAGATATGAAAAAACAACAAGTTTTCGAACCATATTTATCTAAAAAGCAACAAATTCTATTGGCTACCCAAGTAGTAAAGATGATTCTGAAGATAGACGATATTAGAGCTCCAGCTGACATGGGACTGGATATGTAATAGTGTTTACATGTTTGCTTTTTGTTTACTAAGCATATTTTTTTTAAATTCAACGAATATATTCTCTCAGCTAAGGAGTTTGACAAAAAATTGCAAAATATTGTGTACAACGCTTGAGTATAATTTCGCGCAAAAAGTATTTATTTGTAAATTGAGTGGCAAAACAATATAAATCAAAAATTTTAAATAATATTTGAATGTATTTTTGGAATGAGAATTATTAGTCTACTTTTAACATAGTAGATACTTAACTTATCGAATGTGAAGTGTAGTGTTGAAAGATTTCACGAAGAGCAAATTGTTCAAAATTTAGAATAGAATAGATTATTCACAGGAAATGTTTAGGTAAAATACTAAACGGCAATACAGGTTTAGTAAGTTCTAACTCAGCTGCGGTTGAGAAACAATCCACGGCATCATTTGGGTCGCCAAGATCATGGACGACTTGGCCCAAAAGACTCCTGAAGAAAACAGAAACTTACTTTTGCAAAAGATACATGATATCTAAAAAATATACCAAGCTTCAGGACATGTAGGATCAACGTTTATGGCATCTCTAAGCATCTTTTCACTCATTCTAAGTTGACCAAGGGCTTGATAGATGATACCCTATATGAAGGAAAAAATTTTTACAAATTGTAGACTGTTTATATTATAAGTTTTAACAATTATACCATATGCTGATAAGTCTTCACATGGCAACTATTTATGCTTAGTGCATTTTCATAACATTCCTTCGCCTCGCGAAATTTATATCTCATTTCAGCCAATCTTCCTTTCTGATAATTTTTTATGATATATTTGGGTTGTAGTTTTTACTTGAACATCTCAAAAAGCTCTTGATATGAAGTTACTTACCAAATAGGCCACTAAGTAAGATAAAGGATTTATTACACCGGCTTCTGTAACGCAACGTTCGGCGTCTTCCAACCGTCCTTCTTCGAGATATAATTCGGCTAAAATATGATTAGTTCCAGCAATTAAAAGATGTATTATATACTAATATATATTTATATTTGATAAATTATATGTGTATATCAGTACCTAAGTGAAGCCATATTTGAGATTGTATAACCCAAGGCTCACTTGGGCCAGGCTTTTGTTCAATTTTAGAGCCAACAGAAGACGCCAAATCAGACAACTGAGCCTCAATTTTCGATGCACAAATGGATTCGTTTCTAACTGATCCCGCTATATTAGAAAAAAAAAAGAAATATTATCGAACAGTTCCGGATAAATATATAACCTGGAAATTTGATGAAGAATATAAAAATATAGCTAAAAGCCAATAAGTTAACCCATAATAACTCGCAAAAGCAACAACTTAGTATTTGCTGTTTGGCAAACAACTTTAGATAAAAAAAAAAGGTAAACTAGAGCAAAGAAAAGAATCTAGAAGGTGGCAAAAGTTAAAAAAATATTGAGGAATGGGGGATGCTTAACGTGCTCTATCCGCCTAAAGTACCTTTGAATTGTTCTGGCACTTGTAAATATATACGATCTGTATCAGATTCACAAAGAATTCCAGGATCAGAAAATCTTCGTTGAGTTAAATCGTGTTTCACTGGTGAAGATTTTTAACAATAACAATTTTGAGGTGATATAAAATTGAAAGGTTAGACGAACGACATATAAAAGTATTTAAAAAGATAGGATGTGCAAAAGTTATATAATATAGAAATAGGGCAGCTAAATAAAGAGAAGTTGTCTGTTAATCACTAATGTACGATTAATGCTCACCCGATTCCCTATCGGATAACTCATTCAGTTGTGTATGAATCAAAGATCTATGATCCGCTGTGCATTTATTCAAGAGTCCTGTTCCCCTTTCTTGACCATCTAAACCTTTTTCAAACATTTTCTTCCATAATTTCAGCATGGAAAGACATGTCGATAAAGCTTCATCAAAACCAACTGCAACAACTTGCAAGCGAGATTTTGTGAACAGCAAGCTAAATCAAGTGAAGATATAAAAAATAAATGTATTGGTTTAACGTTGAACATGCGAAATTATGTACCTAAAATTATCAGGATAATCCACAACAGCTGCGACAATAACATTTAATGCTTCGTTAAATTTTTGTTGAGATGATAGCAACAAAGCCAAGAGATGTAGAGAATGTACGTGATCCGGTTTCTTTTTCAAAGCCAACGTTATTGTTCTCAAAGCATCATTAACCTAAAACGTAAGAAAGAAACTTATATTGTAACATTATTATAGAGTATATTTATTTCTTTCTGGGAAAGAGAAAAATTATAACAATTATTCATTTGCTGAGTAATCAAACATTTTCACAGGAAAAGCGAATTCAGTGAAGTATAGTTAGTGTAAACAGATATATATATATATATATATATATATACTGTATATACAGTATATATTTATACTATTATATACTGAATATATGTTATATTTAAATAAAACGTACATATATATACAGTATAAAATAATATTAGAATATATATATACTGTATATAAATTTATATATATATATATATATATATACTATATCTTGAAGAAAATTGGGTATTGATTGGTCTAATGAAATTATTCGAAGATTTGCATTGAGAAATATAAGACTACATTAAACGTTATACCTTTCCTTCATTTTTCTTTATAAAAAATGAAATTACTTTCATAGATTTTAAAAAATAAATATTTGTCTATAAAGACAAAAAATTACCGATCTATTCAAAGCTTGTTGTAAAGCTATATGGTACAGAGGTAAATAGTTTTCCGGATCGAGGGAATGAGCTCTGTTAATTGGAAAATATAAATGTATGAGAAATACACAATAAATAATTGCAATATTTTCGTTACTTGTCAAAGCAAGCGCTTGCTTTTTTTCTATATTCAGCCTTCTCTGAATGAATTTTGGTCTCATCAACCATAAGAGTATATCCCACACCTAAAGCCAATAAAGCCCTCGATTTAATACATTTATTAGTATTTTCAGTAAGTTTGATAGCTGTTTTTGTCCATTCTATTCCCTCTTTAATCTATAAATTAAAAACAATTAAACCTTAATATTAAAAAAAATATCATAGGTGACTCTGTTTCTACTTACGTCTCGAACGTGATCAAAGCATATTTGAGCTGCCTGAAGGCATACTACATAGTCATTTGGTTTTATTTTGTGGCACCTTCGGAATGCTAACAAAGACCTATCATACTGAAAAATCCGTTCGATGCAATTATAAAGTAACAATGTGTAATTAAACAAACTTGTCGAGCTGCATAGAGTGATAAAGCAAATTGCCTCCAAATGTGAATTTCGTCAAAAGCAAATTTCATTGCTCTTTCAAATGTCTGTTAAGTTTTCACTTTTAGATCAAACAGCTATTTGTATGAAAATGATACAAACTTGAAAAATAATATTAAATTGTCCATGTTTCGTTAAAGCAATAGTAATAAGATCGTAAACTGCCGTGGCATTTTCAAAACGTCTAATTCTCTCTTCACGAAATTCTGGACGTCTTGTTACCAGAGCTTCTCTCGTTACCATTGTATCGGCAATAAGTAAAAGTAATAAAATCTCACTGAGTAAATCTTCTGGAACGTATAGACTGTTGAATGACAAAATTGATCAGATTACAAGATGTGTTTTTGGAAAAATATTGTTGCTGATCAAATTGTTCAGATTTAACAATAGTTTATAAATATGCAATTACTTTGCACTAATTAGAGTGAATGATTAACAGGATATATTAGTATATTCTAATATATACAGTGTGTATATATATATATGATCTTTGCACTTTATTTGTAATAATAAATGTGCAAATTTCATTCATCTTACAATAAGCAAGTGATTAATTTTATAAATCGATTAGAAACTGTTTTAAAGCTTTGTCGTTTATGTTGATTTACCTAGTTTCTCTTAATTCAAAAGAATTAAATGGTCTTCGAAACATTGGTGAACGTCTAAAATAATTGATAAATGAACCAAAGAAAAACACTAGTTAATAAAAACAAAAATAAAACGAAGAAATAAAAGAATCAGAATAAAACGTTAGAAAGATTAAAAATTTATCTAAATTGGTGTTTGCTAAATTCAAATATTATTTACTTTATAAGAAAAACATTTATCATATACTGTATAAATAAAATACCCTACCTTCCGCCGTCATATTTTTTGGGTTTTGGAGAAGAGGGTGCACTTGGAGGGGTCCTATGTGTTGATAGTACTTCATTTTTGTTCAAAGGTATATAAGTGCTCTCGCAAACTCCTCTCAATAATAATTCAGCTAGCTGACGGGCTAAAGTCTGTGAATAAATGATAAAAAATTTTATTATTCTTAATAGAAATGTAAATTTAGATAGCTACTTGTCTCAAATGAGGGATTGAAGCTGTCTCAACACACTGTAACACCTCTCTTGACCTAGAAATACCTTTCTGTAAATCCCTGTTAACAAATAAAAATATTTTTGTTAATAATAACTTAAAAATTATGTTTATATACCCTTTAACTATATAGGCTAAAGGTGACTTTTGCATGGATTTTTCTATAATAGAACCTATACCAGGTAAATCAATAACTTCTGGTTGAAGCGACGCATTCCAAGTAGATAAAGTTGACATAGTTTTATTTCTGAGTGATTGTATCTGGAAAATATTTATTTAAATCATTTTGAATTTTTAGCAACACTAATAAACAAACAAAAACTTACTAGCAAAAGAGCCAAATCTCCTGCTCTCTCAAAACAGCTAATTATAGCATCCTGATTATTTACACCCTTAAATTTTGAAAGACGATTTGAGCTATTGCTATTTTCCAAGCATAAACCTTTAATTGAAAAAGCTTCGGCTATTAATTTCAATCGTCTTATCGGAATTAGGTTAGTATTCAATGATTCCAACTTCAACTTTTCGTAATTTTCTAAACAGATCGAAAAATCTTTGCATGCAAAATATATTTTAACTTTCAAGAGGTTTGCTTCAAGCTTATATTCTTTCTGTCAAAGACATTTGTATAAATAATCATAACTCATTAAGTTTTGATAATACAAACTATTTCGGTTTTTCTTATAATTTCTTTAAATGTTGTTATACAGTGTTGGAACGTATCGTTGTGTGATATTGAAAAATTGTTGTCATTCTCAATAGGATATTCATGAAAGTGACGTTCTAGTTTGCATTCCGCTGATACCAGAAGCAAATAATCCTCTGCAAGTCAATATTAATAGTATTATGATTCTGTTTAGGATATGCTACGTAGTCAATGCTATATAAATAAATTTTAATCATCACTCTTTTATTTGATGATTTATATCAGTTTATACGACTCTTATAAACATTATTAAAATCGTTTATATACAATAATTATAATTATTGAATGAAATACACTTATTATCGCTCCTTTAGAATAGCCCCTATTAATTAGATCGAAAAAGTCAAACAAAAAAACTATCTACCAAGGCCTTTAAATTTTCCAACATTTTGCTTTGTAATATCGTCAACTTTGGCCCAATTCGCTTCTCCCCTAAACTTTTCAATTTCATCCTCGAGCTTTTTAAGAGCTCTGGATTTGTTCGCCATTTTAACGAAATATTCCGTTCTTCTAATTCCGTTTTAAATTTAGTGCACTTTCTTTTATCGAAGCATCAGATATTATCTTTATGACTAATTTATAAAGTTTTAAATAATCTCACATAATGATGTGAAATGCTTTATTTTAGACAATTATAGCGCATGCGTATTGTAGATATGAATGACTTCCGGAGAGCTATATCAGTTTTACCGCGCAAAAATGATAAGAAGGGGTGCTTTGATTGTGTTGGAAGGATGCGACAAATGCGGTAAAACAACTCAAGCTAAACTCTTAGAAGAGTCGTTAATAAAGCATGGACTGTCTGTTCAATTTTTACGGTTTCCAGGTTAGCTTTATTATTTTTATCATGCCTTTTTTGAGATCGCACGTTTCTGTAGATCGCCAAACTATTATTGGTAAAATGTGTAATGATTACTTGCGGATGACAACGGAGTTAGAAGATCATGCTATTCACCTCTTGTTCACAGCAAATCGATGGGAGCTGGTGTAAGCAAATAGAATATGAAGAGTACCCATTAAAATTTGTCATTTTCAATTATCTGCTAGACCGAAGATGATCAAACTGCTTGAGTCTGGAACAAATTTAATAGTTGATCGATATTCATATTCTGGCATCGCCTTCTCAGCTTTTAAAAAAGTATTTACGAAAGTTTTTTTTCTTTTTCTAACTTTCTCGTCCCTAGAATGTAGACTTAAGCTGGTGCAAGCAAATGGAATCAGGACTCCCGAAACCCGATGCCGTTTTCTATTTGGACATTAATGATGAGGAAGCTTCTAAACGGGGAGATTACGGTAGAGAACGTTATGAAAATAGGAATAATCAAATTAGGGTGGCAGAGATATACGAGACTTTTAAAAAAGAAAAATATTGGAACGTCAGTAAATCATGTTACGACCGATCTAAATGTATTTAATTAATTTCCTTCTTTATTAGATTATTAATGCGAACAGATCAGTTGAAGATATCCATACAGATTTGTTTAGATCAGCTTTGAAAGTTATTACCGATTCTGGGGATAAAATTATAAGCAAACTGTGGGATCAAGAACAACATGATCAAGGAGATTTTATCGAAAAGTAATGTTCATTTATGTTAAAGTTCTTATAAGTTTTTTCTTTGAAATAAACCAACTTACAATATATTAACAAGTTTGTTATATAACTATTGAATATAAATAATCATAAGTATAGAGATCTTCCATTATTACTCTTTTTGATATTTCATCTTAATCCTGCTAAGATACTTGAAGATTTTTTTCTAGGGTTTAGAGCGATAAAGAAGCCATAAAAACATTCCAAAAGAGAAAAATATTGTCGTAAGGAGATTTAAAAGAAACAAGTTAGCGTTAAATTTTAGGCGAAAAAATAGAGATGCAATGTTGATGAATGAATCTACTGTATTTAAGACTCCAGTGAATGAAAGTATTTTTATTCTTTCAAAACAGGCACTTTACAACGAGATTGTTAGGCTTTCACAGTTCAGGATAATTTTTCTCAGCACAGTAATAATTCTTTAGCATGTATTCTGTATTACTGCTAACTATTTCATCATGAAAACTCTTTACTTCTAACCTTTACTCTATTAATATTGTTCTAAGTTTACATTAGACAAAATAATGGTACAGACGTATTTTTGCACTATAAAAAAATACAAATAGATGAAAAGCCTCCAAAAAGAATTCTAGTAGAAAAGCCAAAAAGAATTTATTTTCTAATTTAGTTTCGTTTTGGGGAAAAAAGCAAAAATAATCCAAACGGATATATATTGCTTATTCACATCACGAAAAACGTTTTCTCAAGCCTATCCGTATTTTATTTAATTAACAGTTTTTTGAATAGCTATAAGACTAGTAAAAAACAAGATAATGTTATAAAAATAGGAGAATAATTGACTTGGTATACTTAATATTGTAGTTATGAATTAATTAAATACAATGAAGAAGTCTTAATTTCGTCTGTTTGGAATAGACAATAATATACTTCTACAGAGAAATACATTTACCCAAATTTTTCATCGATATGGCTAATCTCGAGAACCTTCAAGAGGCCTATATATCTATTAGATTTTCTTTAGATCCGATAGGAATCGTTCGTTCTAAGAATATTTCACTAAATTTGCAAATTTTGAGGAAAGAGTACTTTTCTCACCTTTTTTCTTCTTTTGTCAATCAATCTAATAATAAATTCAATTGAAGTTGGATTTTTTTCCCGTCTCTTGGTCTTTCCTTCATCGTCTCTTCTGGTAGTCCTCAACTTGATATTACATTTCTTCTGTTCAGTTAACTGTTAGATTTCATCGATTGGATTTCAGCTGTGTTATCAGTTCTATGACATTCCCTTTTAAAGGCGAATAATCCGTAAAAAAAGTTCATCCTATTTCATTCCTAAGTAATAAACTAGAGTAGAATACGCTATTTATCATAAGAGAAGATTATCCAGATCTTTTCCAAGATGTATCAAGTAGAACGCTAGTGGTCTTAGTTTTTTAATTTTTGTTTGAGTCTTAGATTTTTAGTAATTGTAGAATAAAGCTGTTCATCTTATTCCTTCTCTATGCCAAAAAGAATCATATTCTATTTGGTAAAACTTTTGGTTAACCGGTTAATCTACAAACAAGTAGACTTAATAAAGCAATTTTTTAGGTTTAATTTGTATTTAATGAAACTTCTCTTCTTTCCTCCTACGGTTTATATAACAATGGTTAATTGCAAATTTCTAGTGAACTTCTATCAATGAAATCCGATTAGTAGAAAGGAAAACTATTTGTCACGTTCCACGAAATTTAGCGGAATAAGCTCCGTATTTCTCTTCACGGGTAAATAATACTTCTAGTCTAGTCGAAACGAAGTGTTGCAATTATTGTGTTAAGACATCGTTTATGCATCACGTTACAGTGATTTCAGGCCTACCTTATAGTTATTATAATAAAATCGAATAAAGCATCTTTCGCAAAGAAAAAAAGTGTTGTTGTTGATAGGTTCAGCCAAATTTCAGAGTTTATTGAAGAGGTTTGTTTAAGCAACTTATAATTTAAAGAATATAGGAAAGAATATTAATCCTTTCCCGGAAGAGTTCCTTCATATTTCGGCCTTTGCAACGCCACCTATGCAGATCTTAGTGAGCAGTTTTACAAGACTGTGAACTTACGTTGGTGGTCTAGGAACTGTTAACGAACAACATAGAGGTAAATCTTTTCTTAAGAAATTACAGTTATAGTCTATGAAGTTGATAAGTATAATATTTAAGAGAGCTTAATATATAATACGATATCATAAGAGTGCAAACAATACTTTTCTGGAGCATAAATGTAATTATCTCGGAAACAAAAAACCAATTGAAAGTCACCAATTTGAGCTAATTGTCAACTTTTCCTGGAAAAAGTTATGGCTTCTGTGATTAGCGATAAAACATTGTTACTGTGAAATATAGGAAAGGCAGCATAAGAATCATTTTTAAACATTTTCAAAGTATTTAACTAATATATTTATAATATAATATATACTATATACTGCAAAAAGATTCTTCCTTTCAAACTATTATTGCCTAAATGAGAATACTTGAACCATATCTATGTATTCTTTTTTAGAACGTTCTAAACGGATACTATTTCTATTGCAGATATTATTACAGGTTTACTGACTTGACGAATACAGACAAAATGGCAGACACAAATATGTCAAATGAAAATCCACAATTTCAAAATTTTCGTTCAAATATCCAAATGCAACCTCGAGTTAGTTTATTTTTTATTTCTTTATTCTTACATATTAATTAAAGATTATCAACTAAAAAAAGATGTTTAGTTTTAGAATCGGAGTTTAGAGATGCTACCAAGTATCTTACTTTTCATTTTATTGTATATATCAAAGCCACATCAATAAATATACTTCCAAACATGTCAAAATCTATCAGATAAAGATAATTCTTATGAAATAAGAACATTTTAATATAACTTTATAGGGAGCTGGTAGTCCTAATTTGGAAGGTTATCCCCTAAGAAATACAAAGTATAACGGAAAAGCTTCTAAAATTCTTGGAATTTTGCAACTAGTTTTTGCAATTACGGCAATTATTCCAAACTCGATTATCATTACTATGACAGCAAACAGTTTCGAGTATCCCGCTCTACATAGAATTGGAGCAGCATTTTGGTCTGGAGTCCCATTCGTAATTGCCGCCATTCTTGGTATTGTTGCCGCAAAAAAGAAACAAACTTGCCCTGTAAGCCCCTCAATTTAATTCTAAATTAAGAATATAATATTATGACTGATGCTAACAGATTGTTGGATTTATGGCTATGTCAATAATATCAGCTGTCTTCTCTGTCGTACTACTCACAATAGGAATTGTTGGCATCGCTGCTATATATGACGAAAGTTATGAATTAGAATATAGATATAATACTGATTTTATGACCTTATTGAACAAAAACTTTGTAAATATATTTTATCTTCATTTCCTTTATTTTCATATATTATCTAAATAATGAATTTTTTGATTATTTTCACTAGAATATCGTAATAATAATGTATATCTTTCTGATATTGTCCGCACTGGGTGAGGGCATTACTTGTATAGTTTCTGCAGCAATATGCTGCAAGGCTGTCTGTTGCTGTCACCAGGTTAGGACAATAACAATCAAACGATTGAATAATTTTAGAAATTCATCTAAAATCATTCACAACAGGGAATTTCAGATATTCTATACGGTCAACCATACTATAATCGATTACCAGACGAAAGACACGTTATTCCAGCTCTCTCATCGGTAAAGTATAAGTATAAGATGACTGAATTTTTTTTTATTTCATTTTCCCGATTCATTGGAATCTCTAGGAGCCAAGACAAATACCGGTATCCAACTTGGAGCAGGGTACATCCCCGGGCAATACATTACCTGGTTCTCCAGTTTGCGCTGATGTAACCCATCTAATATCAACCGAAAATTGCTAGCTTTGAATGGAAAAATTCGAAAGATTTAGCTAAAGGAATTCTTGAAGTCTCCCTAATTTTTTTTCATTTTCCTATAAAGATCCTACTTATTGTGGAAAATAATAGAACTTATCAAACTTTTAAATTTAATATTACGCTTCAATTCTTATTAAACTTGACCTAATTATTAGAAGTCAAGGTGTTTTTATTGTACTAATATCGGTCAATAGCTTTAGAGCATCTTAGCCAAGCTCTTGAATTGCTTCTCGTTCCGCCAACGAAGTTATATGTTCTCAAATCAACAGTGCGATAACTAGATGAGAAAAAAAGGATTTAGAAAATATTATCAAATGTAATTATCACGTGATTGAAAACAGTAAGCATTTAACTCACCTTTTACCACTGAATAAGAACAAATGATCAGGAAATGAAGCAGATATCAAAGCAGCAGTGGGAGTCCTATTCATAAAAGACCATCTACTCCTTGAATACTTCCTCCTACCCTCGACTCTTCTTGTAATTGTATTGAACTCAAAATAGATGGAGCTCTAGAAAAAAAAAATAGATAATCTTATAATTCAGCTAGCAAGCAATTTACGGAGCCTCTGGTCTTCATCAAGATAGCCGTATTTCTTTTTTCGGGATCCATAAATGCAGCATAGGTCGTAAAGCTCAATTTCTTCTTTTCTATCAATCTTTTCCTATAAACATCGTACGTGAAAAGAGTTTTCACTGAAAAAGATTGTAAATCGTCAAATGTTATTTACAAAGAGGATAAACAATATTTCCATTTCATTTACTAACAGCTCGTTAGAAATAAGTAGCCTAAATCTCTATCATAGAAGGCACTGAACATTTTCTTGCTTGGAAGCCCCGGAAAATAGCGCTGCAGAGTTGATCTTTGCTCTAAGGCACCGTCATAAGAATCTAGACGCCAAACATATCTGCCAACAAAAGCGAAAATATCTTCATAGCTTTCCCCGTATACTGGAACTAAAGATAAGAAATGAAAATATATTACATAACTTATTGTATTTACAGCTACAAACCTTGAACTATGGAATCGAATCTCGAATATCTATCACAATCTTTAGGATTCAAACGTCCACTAGGCTGAGTTGGAACAACAGGTGGCTTGGTTGGTTTGGGGGGATTTGGTCCGTTTGGTCCTCCTGTGTGAGGAATTTGAGAATTTTTAGCACAAATGCATTTAAAAATAACTTGTACCGTATAATCTCTGAATTCTGTAAATATCGTCGCCATCCAATTGAAAGTTGAAACCTTCGGGTGGAGTTCCTCTAGAAGGATACATAACGGCTCCTTCAACGCTTGAATGGGTTAGCCCTAAATTGTGACCTAATTCATGAACAAGTGTCATAATAGTTCCAGTCTCTTTCTCAACATCCCTCCAACTTTCTTCGTCGTCCATATGTAAACGTCCGTCATCTGGATAGAAGGCATGAGCTAAGACTCCACCTGTAATAAGAATGACTTATAAGCTATACCTTAACATGGAATTTTTCCCACGAACCTGGTCCATCAAAATTGGCATCACCGTGAAATCTTGAAGCAAATCTAACTTTAATATCTGCCGAGTTAAGATCTGAAGATTCTCTTGCAGTAATACCAGACACATCCGCCCAATACCTGAACGCTTTGTCAATCATTGATCTGACAAAAAAAACATCAAATCACACAAAATAATAAAACAAATAAGTTAATTACCTCTGTGCACCTGAGGAAAATTGTCCACTGCTCTGTTCCAAGAACCATGTAAAGTGTTTTTTACCACCAGACCAAGGGCTATCTATTAAACATGAAAAGACCTATACTAAAAAGTAAGAATTCAGCCTATACCCATTTAATTAAGCTAGTGAATCCAAAGGGAAAAATGGATATAAAATACTTTTTTCTTCCCCATTTTAAATATTTTTTAGCTAGTCATAAATTATTTATCCAATTACCAGTTTAATAAATATGGAGTGAAAAGCAGAGCCGAAAGCTTTACCTTGTCTCGTTGCAAAAGCTATTCGTCTTTTATCCACGTTACCTTCACCAAAATCAGCCATTCCACATCTTTTCGAATTCATTTTTCTACTTGTAACTGCATCCAATTTTCCAGTTTGAGGAATATGCATCATAGCTTGAAATTTCCTTATTAGTGGAAATTATCTATAATTTGTATTAACAAAAAAAAAGGATTATATAACTAACTTAACACCCCGTTCGAATGTATTTTTATCCAAACCGGTTCCAGTTGGTGGTTTTTCAGCATAACCAAACTGAATAAGAAAACCCTATATTAAAAAAAATGTTATATTTATTTAAAATTCATAATAGATGAACTATATAACGGTTCTACTAATTAATTATATAGAATATAGGACAAAAATAAGTACGTATGGATCAACTTTATTTGGTTTTGGTTCGCAGAAGACCAATATTACAGCTGAAATAGCTATTGATACCGTAAGCTTCATTCTTCTATGGAACTTAGGAAAATCTCATCAAAAGTAACAAACAGAGACTAAATAACACACTCTTTGTTGAAAATTTGCTTGTATATAGTTTCGGTACATTATTTGTACGCTTATATATAAATATCTCCTAAGGTAGGCCTTGGTTGCATATCCTGAATCCTTAGGCTTAGGTAAACCTGCTAGAGGTCTGAAAATTTTTTTTAGCTTAACTAGTTATAATGAATTAACAACTATGTTTATAGTAATTTTTGCAAATTCATCAAATTTCCGGCTATTATCGCAATAAAAGTGTTTGTTTTGGTAGTGAGAGTACCTAACTAATTTTACAAACTACGCATGCAATTTTTAATCTTGTAATTGAATGAATGATTTATAGTAGTGACGATAAATTCTTAGTTAATTTTTTTTATCATTTATACAAGTTTTAATGAATTAAATAAGATGTTTAAATATAAATTGTTGAACGTCGCAGAGGAAATATTAAAGATTTTTCCCACAACAAATTATTAGGAAAATAAATAAGAGACTTAAAGTTTACACTACGTTGTTTATAATAAAAAATACTATGCTAAAACACATTTTTGATTAAAAGTATATTTTATTAAATTCAAAATATAGTTCGTGAGTATGGCTACGTGCTGCGCTTCGATTGTACCTAGTATTTATTGTCGATGAACTTCAGCCTATTTAATTGCCTATTAAGTGAATAAACATTTTATTTTACAATCAAAATTTTAAGTAAAGAATCAAAGCTGTCGATTAAAATATTTTTATTTGGTTGGCAGTATTTTCTAGAAGTCCCAATTGTGATTTTTTTATATGTTTGTTAAAACATTTTTGCATACCTACGAAAATGCGTGAATGAAAATAGTTTAATAATGGCGCCGCATAGAAACGGCAAACTACTTTTAAAAATTTTTTATTCTTGCTCATTTTTATATCTTTTAGTGGAATCACGCCTTGAGACTCAATATCAGAAACCGAGTGATTGTAAAAATGGACCGCAAGATCTGGTTCATGAAATATTTGATATATCCAGTTTAAAATGTACAAGGTGCAGCCGTCCATTTCCTGAACAAATTGCCAGCAGCGATAGTTAGTTTAATTATATCATTGAAATAATAGAATAAATAAATAATATACTTCTTTAGAGTTAAGATGTGTCTGTGGGCCCGGCTATAAGTACAAAAAGAACTTTAATAATCTGAATATTGAGTGTGAAAAGTGTCCTGGAACTGACATAGCATCTTTTTCTGGTTGGGAATGTGTAAATTGTGCTGTCAACCCAAAGGCAGAAGAATGTCTATGCCCCAAAGAAGATAGAAAAATAACGGTAGAGAAAACAATAACAGGAGAATTTTTTGACAACAAGAACGATAGATCTTGTAAAACTTGTGCAGACCAAACTCGGCCAGATAATACTGGAAAGAAATGCGAAAGATGCACAGATATTCTACAAAACGATTTCACAAGTGACAACAAAAAAACGTGCAATTGTCCTACAGACGTAATAATTTAATATTTAATATTTTCTTTATCCTTAGTACAAGTTCTGATTGTTATAATTTTTTTTAGAATCAAGCCAATGGAGTTTGTATAGGTTCTGCAGCAGATATTCCGGATCGTGATACAGCTTTAACGGAAGTAAAATATGGAGTAAGTAGAACTGACTTTCATTTTATATTATAATATTATTGTTTTAATGGTTTATTTTTAAATCAGAGTGAGACGATTTCTTCTAATTTCTTCGCCTCGAATATTTTGTCAGCGGTGGCTTTATGTTCGGTAAAATTTAAATATATTTAACTCACGGATTTTAGATTTAATGCTATTTTCTATTTTTACCCAAACTTTTTAAAGGGAAAGTATGGCAATTTAACTGCTTGTCAAGTAGTTGGAAATCTTTGTTCTATGATCCTTCATAAATTGAACGATAATCCTAATGCATGTACGGAATATGTTAGATTACGCGGGAATACTCCAGGAGAAGGAGATTGGTAAATTATTTAATAAGTGGATCATTAATAGGATATGAATTGTATATATTTTTTTTACATATTATCTAGGAAAACCAATTTGCCAATGTTATACTATTCACTCAAAGCTACTGATGTATTAACTACTACACAAATTACAACTTCATTTACATTTCCAAACACTCAAATGCCTTTTATCGTTACGAAATATCATACCAATGGAACATTTCTAGGAATGGGACCAGTTACTGGTGGTTTACTACAACTATGTAAGCAACATATTTCGTGGTTAGATGCTGCCTATAACTTTGGAACGGATTTTACTCAAACGGTTGATAATTACATAATAACAATTAAAGTGTAATTAACTAATGATATTTGTTTCTTCTTTCAGTGTCAAATTCCGGTTAAGGATCTGCTTGATTCACCTCAGTACGAAACTATATTTTACGACTTATGTGAGTAATTTGTATCTAATTGTTTTATGGTGTAGACGTTAATTATTTCTCATATAACCATTATAGTTTTAGAATTCGAAAAGGAAGGAAAGAAATATTTATTCAGCGTTCCAAGTCTTGTTGAAGATTTTGAAGATAGTAATGGTCAAAAACCGAATACTGGTTCTCAGGAGGATGATTGGAAATTGACTAGACGATTCTTCTTAGTTGATAGAGTTAGTGGATATGAAGAAATACGTGTAAATGAAAATGATCAACAAGGTACTGGTCCAGCGTCTCCATCTTCACAGCAAAATAATAATAGACGGCAAAAGGCAATTCGATATGCTAAGAGTTTAACTTTGACCGTAAGATTACAAGATGTAAGCAACAAAGAGGGTAAAATCTACCCTCCATTTTTAAAGATAAAATATGATCATGTGCTTGAGGAAGACTTCGAAAATGGAAAAGTCGAAGTCTCTTTCAATGTCGTTTACGAAATGAACACAAACTCTTATAGAACGGGCATGAGAATCTCAATAGCAGTCTTAAGTAGTCTAGCCATAGTCTATGCGTTCTTTCAAACTTGGAATTGGTATAAAAGATCAGGAAGAATAAATTGTGATTTCTTCAGTTTAATAAAGATTGTACTATACAGTTTTGGATCTGTTGGAAATGCATTGTTTGCGGTAGCTCTAGGATCATCATTCTATTGGGTTGTCACTTTTAAGGTAAGGGGGATAGTGGAAAAAAAAACCATATTACACTTACATAAAAAATCCTCCACTCCTGAAATAATATTTGTTCTCCTAATAGAATCAAAGCGCTGTAACGCTCCTCCCTCCAACCTCAGATCAAGAAACAACGTTTGTTATTTGTATGGTATTGGCGTTTGTCTTCAAGCTACTCGACCTATTTCATTTGATCTACGTTCAAGTAAGTTGAAAATACATGCATTATTGGAGACTTTAACTTTAGACTGCTTCTTCTATTTCTTAATAGTCTAGCATTGATATATTTTGTATCGATTGGGAAAGACCAAAGAAAGAGGGTGAATCGATATCAATCTGGAGAACTTACTTTGTTGCTAACGAATGGAATGAGTTACAAACATTCCGTAAAACTTCGACAACCTTCCAGCTTATATTAACTATCTTCTTCCTCCATGTAGTTGGTTTTGAAAATTTAGCTAGTAAAGACCCAAAAAGTAGATACAATCCCTCAGACGAAGATTATGTTAGTGAAAATTCAAGATTATTCCGTTTTGCCATAGGTGGCGCTGTCTATTTGGTCATTGCCATCTCTCAATGGCTTATTTATGTAATATTTTATCAACGTTTTATTGAGGACAAGATCCGACAATATGTAGATTTTTGTTCTCTATCTAATGTTAGTCTGTTTATACTCGAAAATGATTTGTTCGGATATTATATTCATGGAAGATCTCCCCATGGGCGGGCCGATGCTACTCTCAAGGAAATGTATGAATTTTTAGATGCTGAAAGAAACGATAAATGCCCAAAAAGGGGTATAGATGTAAACGGGGATCAACAGACATTCCAAATAGCAATTCCAAGAGCTCTGAAAGACGAATACGACCGCCTAACTCAAGACCTAGCTAAAAGGGTAATTATCTTTAATTAATTTATTTATTTGATAAGATTACTGTTTGTATTTTATTCCAAACAGTTAAATTCAATACAAACTAACGATAAGAACCAGAGGCAATTTCAATCGGATTTAATGGCTGTGGAGACATATACATCAGTTAATAAACTACTACAATCATTTATTAGTGGCGTAAGTTAACAAATCATTTTTACTATTTGTGTCATTGCATCATTAATAACAAAAACTATTTACAAAATTGTAGGATAGAACGGATATAACATACTCGGGACCACAGCGTAAAACGTTTGTAGAGGGTCTATTAAACATCGAATTGAATGATACAACACATAATGGCATATTTTATGAGGACGATGGTCATTCTTTCGACTCAGTCTTATTTTTTGGTAACGAAACAACATTAGTTATTTTCGAACTATTGTTATTTAACCTGGTCGACTTTATTGCGCGCAATTTCGTATTGGCCGCATTTGTAACCTACATTGTTATACACGTAAGTAGAAAAAAAACCTAAAATATCTTTAATATTCAATTTATCCTTTCACTATCCTCTTTCTTCTTTAAACAGTTAATCGCTATGATAAGAGAAAGTACCAGTAGCTCCAATTTGGCGAAGAAGACTCTAGTTGACAAACGTTTCCTTATATAGAGGCTTGCAAATTCTTTCAGGTGCTTTAACTCTTTTTGTTAAACATGATGGTTTATATTTTTTACTTGTTTTTCTAAATCTTTTCAAAAAATGTCTCAAAGATATCAAAGAATTGTATTTATGTGATTTTATTAAATATACAATATATAAGTATATTATCTATGTCTCTATGTTTTAATTAATTAACAATGCAGTTAAATTTTTAGCTTTTCCATCGTCTGGAAAGTTATTTCCCTCATTTATTCTGTTTCTAATTCCTGCTTCACACTCCCCTTTTATCCATCTATGCCTTTATGTTTTCTCATTTCCTTTTAATTACATTATACATTTTACTAAATTCATTTATTATTAATTGTAGAGAATCTCTTAATACTCTTTTCCTTAGTTTAAAAGCAATTAATTAATTGATTAATTAATTGATTAAAAGTAAAAGTACTTTTTTGTATCATATTCTTAAATTTGAGGGAATGCTAAAATTCTTCATTAGTCTCTTTCTTCTGGTCTCAATAGGTTTTTCACGCTCACAATCAATGTTGAAACCTTTAAATAGCATTATTTTTATATTATATATTGATGGCATATATATATATATATATTCCTTACAAATCTTATCATTGTACTCTTCTTCATCTGATATCCCTTTCGTTATTGTTTCCAGAATTTCATCCTTAATTTACATTGATTTCAATCAAATTTGTGCATATTTATTTAAAAATCGTGAAATACTAACTGTTAATATGTACTGTTGAAATTCATTATCTTTTATTAAATGTCCAACAGATTCAATTAAAATGCTATAAACACTTAAAAAAGGGAATATAAACAATATTTTAAAACGAAAGAACACGATCAGAATAAAACAAACTAACCAAAATATGCATATCATTTGATCTTTCTGATCAATTAATCTTGTTAATTCTCCTGTTTCTTTCACAGTGCGATAATCCTGTATGTTACATATGTAATCCTTCATTGATATGTTGCTATTTAAATTCGCTATAATAATAGAGTGTATATTAAATGAACCTTTTCTAAAACAATCAACTCTTCTATTAAGTTTTGTATCAAATTTAAAGTAAAATCTATATACTTTGTCCAAAAGGTAGATAAAACTTTTAAAAGCTCATTAGCCGTTTGTACCACTTGACATGGAGAATTGATATTTTTCAACCAATTAATAGTACTCTTGGCTATAATCTATACATGTTGAATAGAGAGTTATTACAGATTTAATTTTAAAGTTCTATATCAATAATAACAAACCTGAAAATGGCTTTCAACCACATCGGGATCAGTTTTCAAAAGTATAATAATAATTTTTGCACTCTTACTGAACAGTTTATCATCTTTTGTCTCTGCTAAACTACTATACAGTATTTCAATTGTTTCCTAATCATATGGACAAACATAAAGAAATAAATAGTGTTTACTTGTTTCATTGAAGAACTAACTTGACAAAATTCTTGTCGATTTAAAATTCGATTTAGTATATCAATATCTAAAGTCTTTATGAAAATATTATCAATTTATACCTTTTAAAAAACCCATAAATTACTCACTTTCGCCAAATAATCGTTGTTTTTTATAAGATTTTCATCCATATTAAAACGTTTTACAGTCTTTTAGAAGTCGAGTTATAAAGTATCCCACTTTTTAGGTTGAAAAAAAAAAACAATGAAAATACTGTACAATGGAGAGGAAAAAAAAGACGATCATCTTTCTGAGGCCTATACATACAAATGTATATGCTAACCAAGGTTATTTTCACGATCCAAGTCCTTTTCAATATCCTTTTTATACTTTTCTATTAAAATTACCTAATTGAATAGAAGTGAAAAGTCATTATGTCAAAATCTTTCAATTATGAAAGGTTCAACGTGTTTGATTAGATTTTATCATGCTCAATAGCACAACAACAACGACGACAACGACGACGACGAAAACGACAACAACAACAAAAATAACAATCATTATACAAAGTACTGTTTTTATGTCGCTACCTTTAGTATAGTTCATAAAACTAGCAAAAAATACATTAATTCTCTCAATATACAGTATATATTGTATAATGTATATATAGATTACAGTAATACTAATTATATATAACTTATATACAAACTATAATACTTTATGTTGTATCTATACAAAAATTTAAACGCCATTTTTTCCACTTTCTATTACTTTGGTATAATTAAAAAAAAGCAAGCAATTACAAGCTGATCAATATAGAAGTGAGAAAAAAAATTAAAGGATAAACAGGCCTAATAAAAATTACAAATATGGCGTATGATAAATATTTTGTTTAATTTTAAAAATAAATATAAATAATAGGGATGATGACTATAACGATAATTCTAATGATTATGATGAGTAATTAAAAGTATTCAGAATAGCTTTATAAAAAGTCTTATAATTTTATTATTGTCAAGTATGAAAAGGGAATTGTTTCTTTTGAATTATTTAATCATCCTACATGCATCAGCATCCTTCCAGAATAAAGTTGTTTATCCAGATTTAGTTTGTTACGCATTAATATCTATTGAAAATTATATAATGGCTCTATTACCTATTTACAGTGTGGTAAACCGTGTAGTCAGATATCAAAGAATAAAATTATCTGTGATGGAAGTAAGGAGAAACCGGAAGTTGTATTTGAAATGGCTGGGAGATGTATAGACGATTCGTGGAGTGAATCTCATTTAAATGTATCTCTACCAGATGGTGGAGTTCTGTCAAATAAGTTATTAAATCCCATAAAAAGTGTACAAAATTTACAAATTTCGTCGAAAAACAATACTATAACATTTGAAAGTGATTCTTTTAAGGATCTCACCAAGCTAGAAACGCTTGACGTTACTGAGGCTATGTTCGATAATAACGAATTGAAAGACGCTTCAAACGTGCTGTCCGCCTCGAGCTCTTTCAAGGAAATACGAATTAGTTCAACATTTTCAGGCTGTTCGTGTTCGTATTATTCGTTAATTGCCAAATTTCGTTCTCTAGGAACAAATATTAGGGAAAAAGGGACAAATGACTGCTTTAGTACGGATAAAAATGGTTCAATTGCCAATTACTTTTGTAGAATGATTGTTGAAGAGGGAAAACTTCAGCGTTTCATATATTTTTTACTTACAATATGCCTTCTTGGTTTGTCGATATCAACTGTCTTTGCAACAAGTGGCCTTAGGTCAGTCTTATCTGCTCCATATAGTTACACTGAAAGAATAAACTCTGAAGAAAATAGCCTCCGTCAACTAGAATCCGAACAAAAAGAGCTAATGATTCTGAAGGAGATAATTGACCCCTGTAATAGGACTAATGAGGCAATTAGAACCCTGAGGGCCAGATTGAAGCAACAAGAAAAGAATGCTGACTTCACTGCCGAATCCCCTGTTGATTTAACGCCTTCTAATAGGGAAAAGATTGTTGAGTATGAACATCAAAAGGAAGCACCTCTCGCCTACACAAGAACAGTTAATCAAGAAAACCTATATAATGTTGTAAGCAACGACGGTATAGTTGTCGCTGTTCCCGAGGGATGTAAACAAAAATTTTGTATCAAATCCCCTTCGGTTAATGTTGAACTAGGCCCCTCTGGGTGTGGCGGAACAGAGTTTCGTGTCTCTAAATTGACAAAACCCTCAAATAAGGCACTAAAGAATGAAAAAGAAATTGAGACCTTACAAACTAAGCGGATTCGTACTAGTAAAGCGAGAAAGTCTCGTCGTATTCGCAAGAAAAAAATAAACCGTCAGAGTGTATCCTTCAATGACAAAGGTGAGCATTGGGCGGAATTTGATCGTCAAGGCACATCGTCTCAATTTGCGAGTAGAGGTCAACTCTCACAAAAACTATATGGTGTTATGAAAAGAATGTCGGAAGAGGATGAACTTAACTCTTCTAAAAACAATTACTATTTGCCGGAACATATGGATGCTTCCTTTGATCAAGATCAGAGGTGGCAAAGGGGATGAGCTGCTTTAAATAACCAGCTATTTAAGATATTTTCTTAATCGTCCGTAATAGCCTTGTTAAATCTGAGATAATAAGGAAACCAGGTCAATGAGGATGGGAAGAGGTATAATAGCGTAACTGCATTAGCGACTAAAAGGAGAGGCCATAATATTTGCAAGTAATTTTTAAGTATGCTTATTTTATATTATTTAATGGCATTTTTAGGTTTTTACCATGTTTTTTTTATCTTAATAATATAAGAAAAAAAAGAATTTTATCTGCTAAGCATACCGCCCACCTGTGAAGATATATTGTAATTCCTTGTATATCTGCAACTTGAAAAGGTCGGCTTAAATCGATAACTAAATAGGCAATTTACAACTGGGATTTAGCATCCAGGCCGACTATACGCAAGGTAACATTTATCTACATAACCTGGCTTGCCATCACAGTAAAATGCATCCTGCAAAGGATTAAGTTACAGCATTTTCGCAAATGTTCTATTTTAGGTAAATCATTCTTTCTGCTGCAAAACTATATAATGCATAGTAATTTCCCTTCTGTTTCCTAGTTTTGGGTACTGTATTTCATTTGCTTTCGATTATATTTACTCAAATTACATTAAAGTTATCTAATCCGATAAGTAGAGAATTAACACTTTTCCGAAAGCTTTTTTTCCCTTACGCAATCAATCATATATATTTTATAATAAAAATACCATTTCATGTACAAAAAACAAAAAAGAAAGAAAATGAAAGATTACCTCTTTTCTTTTATTAATTTCAATAATGGACTAGTATCCAAAAACATGCATTGGGAAAAAATATAACAGTTTCTTTTTGTTTTTTATATATAATCATAAGGCATCTAATATATAGGATTCTGCACAGTCTTTTTTTTCTTTTCTATTTCGAAACCATCTCTCTTACCCTTTTATCTTTTCTTTGGGATACTCGTGAAAACAGTTTGCACATCTGCTGTAAAAAAAAACCATTAAAAGTTTATTATAAAGGTTATTACTAAAGAAAGAATATACAGTATACAAGTGAAAGTATATCGTAGGAAATAAGTTATAAAACGATAAACGATTCTCTTACTTGCAGTAGACACGCTTTGGCCAACACTTTGCGGTACGTTTATTACGTAAGTATCTTGAGAATTAGCTTGCGTTGAGTTTGATGAAACTGGTCCTATTAATATTGCACCGTTAGTTTGCAGTATAGGTGTCTGAGAATCGGGTACTGGCTTAATTACGCCTCCTGTTACAATAATTTGCGAAGTTTGTTCGCTTGCTGTCACTGAATGTGTTTTATTAGTGGACGGTGCTGTTAAAAAAATAAATCACATAAATAAATAAAATATTAAATAATTTAATAGCCATACAAGATATAAAGATTGAATTCTACGATAATAAAACTATAATAAACTTTACAATATCAATATAAATTAAAAGTATATTTATTCGCCTATTAGACTTGAGAAGTTGGCTCTTATAATTAATTATTAATTCTTTTAGACTTATCGAATTAGCGTAAAAAAAAGAGAACAAGTAGTAATTGTTAAACAGTTAAAAAGTCTTGTATAACTATTAATTTACAAAGTGAGTGCACTTTGCAAAAACACGTATTTGTCGGCCTACTCACCAGTAGTAGAAGTCTGAAAAGGGAGGTGAGCTGGAGGTGGTTGAGACGTCATTTTCGTCGGAGTAACGCTATTTCCCGAATGGGCTGGAGGAGGACGGGTTGTAACGGTAACTTCATGTTGGTTAGATTGGGGAGATAGGTCCTGAAAAAGAAAAAAATTTTATAAGAGGATTACGTATCCAGTCTAACAGAGTGTAAGGAAACATTCCCAATATAGCTTGTACAGCAAAAGCACCCTGCAAAAGGATTAAGTTACAACATTCTTTTGCAGTTTCCACATGTTCTATTTTTGGTAGTTGTTATCCCTATAACAGTGTTATATTATAATAAGCTATAATTACCGATTTTCCTTGAGAGTCCGCTTCGGAACTTTCAGGTGTGTTTAAGCACTTTTGAATCAAAGATTTTCCGCTATCACTTGTTATCATAGGCTGTAATTTTTTGGTAGCAAAAGTATAAACATGACCCGTTTCACTGGCGACCAGTAGCATTACTTGGGTTCCAGTCAATGTTGAAAGTTCGTAGGCCTTTAGGATTAACATTAATTAATTCATTATTCCTTTTAAAATTGCATTAAAATTAAATTTCAATTTTTACCTTTTTCATTATACCAGTCTTCCTTTTGCTGAAGGTAGTATACCTTCTTAGTTTATTCTCTATGAATTCCATTTTGATCTTGACCCTACCTTTCGTTTTCTTAGTTGCATGCCTGGTAGGACCTCCAGAGCTTGTTTGTTCGTCTAATCTAGCTTGGGACGAGGTCCGTTTTAAAGAATTCCCAGTCTCGTCATCTGACTCTCCAAGCTCACCGTAGTCACCGTCATAATCGTAACTTTCATTTACAAAACATAAATTACCGTCCGATTGATGCATTGCCATTATTGTGTTGTTCAATCTACTAGTCAGCTTTTGAGTTGTGATTAATTACTCCGCTGAACGTTACAAGGTTTATTATATTACTACGCGAAATAGTTCTTATATTTTTTTACATCTATTCTTATTAATTCACCGTTTAAAAAGATATAAAAATTTCTTTGCACTAAAAGTTTTAAAAGATAAATAGTTATCGTTAAACGGAAATGTTTACTTTCGGTTTTTTAAACACGTACTACTTTTAATGACTAACCAAATATGGCATCAACTACCGTATTAGGAAAAGCGCTCCTTTTCTGGTGAAATTATATGATTGCTATTGACATTTCTCAATAAAACATATTGAAAGACAGTTGAAGTTTTTCCTTTTATGGTCATAATTACATACGATAATGATAGAACTAGTTAAAATTGAAGATAGAGCCATCTGTTGTTTAACACATATTTTGTTGAAACTTAAAGCGAGCCAAAATATTTATAGTTTCCCTTTTGGAAAATCTGTATTTTCTTTACAATATATGTGTTAAGGACATTCCCCTTAACAAATAAAAGAATAAATTATGTAATCAGTTGTTTTATTTATAAAATTACGTCATTATTCCCGGAAGAATTTAGTCTTATCATCTCAAGCTGTCACCTAACCTCTCTGTAGCAATTATCAGTTTTATATTTATCATTAGAATTGAAAATGCTTTATCCATTAAGATTCCTATTCTTGTAATCTACAGAAAACGCAAATGTCAACTTCGCTCTTTGACTGAACCTGGGCTATAGAGAATGGTTTGCCGCAACGCGAACACTGGAGCATCTTTCCGACAATTGCCTTCTTTGATTCTAAGACAATCGGTATTGAATCTGAGTCTTCAACATTCCATAATCTTATTGTGCAGTCCTTACTACCGGATATTAGGAAGTCTTTATCAGAAGAAATATCTATACATTCTACCCAATCTCCGTGACCTTGCAATCTTAAACTTTGTAAGATTTGCTCACCTTCCGTATCCCATACGCAAACTCCCGAATCATACCCTCCGGTAACTGTAAACGCAAAGAATAGTCGTTTCTAAGTACTTATTGAATGTCTAATAAGACAAGACTCTTACCTAATAAAAGTCCATCATCAGAAAATTTACAACAACTTACAGAACCTTGGTGAGCCTTCTCTATCTTTTCGGGTCCCTGTAACCTATACTGACCGGTGGAGACATCCCAAACGCAAACATTTTTATCCCAACTGGAAGTTGCCAAATGACGTTCATCTTGTGAAAAGGATGCGCATGAAACTATATTACTATGACCTTCTAGCGTGACAGTTTTTTTAAATGTTCTTAAATCATATAATTTGCATGTTTTATCCATACTAGTTGTTGCTATTCTATCACTCATTGGACTAAAAGTGACTGAAGTTACAGTTGTATTATGCAGGTCTCCTATTTCCTTTATTAAATCTCCTGATCTTTCATCCCACAATGAAACTAAATGACTGATATCCGACACAGAAACGATTGTTTTATCGTCTGATGAATAATCACAGGCAGTTACAACACCTCTATTAGCTTTCTCCCATAAAATAGCTGAGCTTTCAACGTCAATTAGTTTAACTCTTTTATCCCATCCTCCTGATACAAACTTCTGGCCATCTAAAGTCAAACAAGAGAATATATCCTTAATGATTGCATCTCTTATATTTTTCAATAAGTTGTATTATTAAATTATAACAAAAATAAAAGTCTTACCAGATGATATTCTTGCACCGGAGCATCTATTTGAATGGCATCTTATCCAACAAATATTATTTCCCGTTTCAGTTGACCATATACCAACAGTTCCATCCCAAGAAGACGAAATTATCCGTTCATCCTTGTCAAAAAACTGACAAGTAGTTACAGTCTGCGTGTGACCGCGTAGAGATCTGACCCTGACTTGAGCTAATGCTTCATTCTCCCACCCACCGTCTGGTATTGTTGGTGTTGGAGTTCTCTTTTCTTCATCGCTTTCTACTCCTAAAGGATCAATTTCGTCCATTGGACAAACATTCACTCCTCTTGAACCTAAACCTTAAATTAGAGATAGGCACTGATAAGATGAAATATCAATGTTTGGCGAATGAAAAGTGCCTAAGCTAGTCCAAGCTAATACCCTAATAATTACTAAAATGTTCATTAAGAGTGTTTTGACATATTTAAAAAATGATAGTTAACGACAGAAAATTAAACTATAATAATCAATAACCTGTTATTATCTACGATATACAATTCAGTTACGACTAATCTGCAGATTTTGTGAAAGAATATATCAGAAAACTGTCGTGAGAGTTTTCATTTCTGTGTTGTTATAGACGCCGGGAAAAACTGGTTCCAATGTCCTAATTTCCATAAATGTTGTATACATAAACTACATATTTTTCTACGTCTCATAAAAGAATAAAAAAATAAAAATTTAATTGTACATTTTTTCACTTCCGGTGAGGGGAACCAGATTTTCGCAATTATGGAGGAAGAATTGACGGGAGGTAAGATTTTGACATTTTGATCGGTTTTACGAGATAAAATCGTAAGTCTAATTTATGTAATGTGTTCACGAGTAAATAGATCAATAATATTTGGTGTATTTGCGTTAAGTAAATATTGTAATACATGAAAAGTTTTCATTTAATATCACCTTGACAGAATTTTTAACGTTTTAGTTTATTTGTAAATCGTTCTTATTTTGATTTTAGCAGATATTTTTTAAAATAAAACTTCTGAATAGTCTATTGATATTATTTGCAGACTATACTGGAAAACATTGTAAAATTAAGTTGCTTGATTGTATGTTTATGCAATAGAAATACTATTTTTGAATTTCTATGAAAGCTGTAAGGTCTCTGGGAATAGATCTTGACTGTTGAGTTTGAGTTGAATATACATAAACTAAAATAAGAATTTTTTCGGCTTTATTATAGTTTTTAGTAAGAGAAAAATCTTTCAAGTATTATCCATAAGGGGAATTTGTAATTCTATTTACAAGTCTTGTCGAATCGTATTTATAGTTCATGGTTTTTATTGAATTTTAATTTTTTTCAGAGCACATTTGCAGAGTGTGTAGAAGTGAAGGGTTACCTGAACGACCTTTATATCATCCTTGCGTATGTACCGGAAGTATTAAGTACGTCCACCAAGAATGTCTTGTACAATGGTTAAGATACAGCAAAAAGGAGTACTGCGAGCTGTGCAAACACAAATTTGCTTTCAAACCTATATATGCCGCCGATATGCCAGGGCGACTACCAGCAGCAGATATTCTAAGTGGATTAGCAAAAAGCGTTTTGCGGGCAGTTAAATATTGGCTGCATTATACTCTGGTGGCCATTGCATGGTTAGGAATTGTCCCTCTGACTGCCTGTCGTATCTACCGATGTCTATTCAGTGGATCCTTAACTGCTTTACTAACTTTACCACTGGATATTATGTCTACGAATAATATCATATCTGATATCTTTAATGGGTGTTTCGTTGTTATGTGCACATTGTGCGCCTTTATAAGCTTAGTTTGGCTAAGAGAACAAATATTAAATGGAGCGGGACCTGACTGGCTCGAGCATGACTTTCTGCAAGGGGCAAATTTCATGAATATAAATAATAACAGACAACAAGACCAGCCTCAAGCTAACGCACAACAAGATGCAGTAAATCCAAACAATGTAAATAATCCGCAACCTCAGCAGCGTCAACAACAGGAAAATGCTGATGACGGCTGGAATCCCATTGATTGGGATAGGGCGGCAGATGAATTGACATGGGAGCGATTATTAGGTCTAGATGGGTCGTTGGTCTTTATAGAGCACGTTTTTTGGGTTGTGTCCCTAAATACGCTTTTCATTGTCCTCTTCGGTAAATATTAACAATTCTTCTATCAAATATATAGAATGTATACTTAGAAAACGATAACGATACTAATGCCCTGTAAAATTAATTCACAGCTATACTACCTTATCACTTTGGACAAATAGCTACGGAACTTCTTGGACTTAAGCCTCTAACATTTCTTGCCCAATTTGAGGGCGTTCTAACCACCGTCCTGGGTTATGTTGTAACTGCCGCAATTTTTGTTATAGTTCATACAGTTTCAACTATCTTGGGACTACAAAAACTTAAAAGAATTGTTGGTGTATCCTACATTGTCGTCAAAGTATCTTTATTAGTTGTCGTTGAAATTGGAATATTTCCATTAGTTTGCGGTTGGTGGTTGGATATTTGTTCTCTTCCATTGTTTAACGCCAGCTTATCTGATCGTAAAATGAGTGTTCGTACGGCACCAGGAACAGCCATGTTCATACATTGGTTGGTCGGGATGCTGTATGTGTTTTATCTTGCATCTTTTATTCTGTTATTAAGAGAAATGTTGCGTCCCGGAGTCTTGTGGTTTTTGAGGAACTTGAATGACCCAGATTTTAACCCAATCCATGAGATGATGCAACTTCCAGTTTTTAGACACGTTAGGAGATTCTTAGCGAGTCTAGTTATTTTTGGTACTACCGGTAAATTTCCTTCTTTAAATCCCTTTTTCAGTTTATAGGAATTGTTATTTTTTTTCAGTATTGGTCATGCTCCATTTACCAACCTTATTCATCAAAAAATTCCTTCCTTCTTTTCTGCCTTATCACGTAACAGTTTCTGCAGATGCTCCTTTATCAGAGCTTTCACTAGAACTTCTCTTACTTCAAGTTGTCCTACCAGCCCTCCTTGAACATGGGTATATGAGACAATGGTTAAAAACAGCCATCAAGAGTTGGTGTATCGGAGTAGCTAATATGTTAGATTTGAGAAGTTACTTACTAGGCGACATTCCGTTAGAAGATGATGTCGACGGACAAGACGATGAACATGCTCTTCTCCATCCGGAGGAAGAAGAAGAAGAAGAAGTGGAAGACGAAGAAGAGGCGGAAGAAGGGGACGAAGTTGACGAAGAAACTGAAGATGAAGAAGAGGAGGAGGCTGAAGACAGAAATGAGGAAGCTGCTCCAGCTGCAGGAGAAGGCCTAGGAGCTGAACATCAAGCTTTATTACATATGGCTGGTCCCACCGGCTTTCAACCATATAGACGCCCTAAATTTTTTGCAGTCAGACTAATTCTCCTGGTACTAATTTTAGCAACTACTCTCTTTGTAGTCAGCTCCGTTTCTCTAGTCGTTCCTGTAGCCGTTGGCAGATTCATATTGGATCGTGTTTTGTCAGGTGAACTGTTTTGGCTACTTATTCTATAATATATTGTTTTTTTATAGAACTTTCTATCACAGGTACTACAAAAATTCACGAACTATATACAGCAGCATGCGGAGCGTATGCCTGCTGGTTAGTTACAAGAACTCTTACAGTTCTTTATAAGTGGATACCAAAGGGATGGAAGGCAATTTTTAAAGAAGTGTTCAATTGGTTAATATTTGGTTTCAGGCTTAGCATTATTGGTTTTCTGTTCATTATAGTAATTCCATTTATGCTTGGAGTTCTCTTTGAAACAGTCATAGCCATTCCCCTTCGAGTTCCACTAGACCAAAGTCCAATTCTTTTCTTATGGCAGGATTGGGCTTTGGGTGTTCTACACACCAAAATTATATGTGCAGTAACAATGCTAGGACCTAATAATTGGTGGTTGAAACGAAACCTAGAGAGAGCATATAACGATGGTTTAAGAAGATTATCCCTGAAATTTTATTTCTTTGAATTATTCCTACCATCTGCTTCTATTCTTGGTTTAGCACTGAGCATACCCTACGTTGTTGGTCATTCAATAGCTCCGGCTATGTTTGGTCTTGATCATCCGACAACGATTTTGGTAGAAAGGAGGATCTATCCTTTGTCATTGGCAGTTTTATTATTTTGCCGAGCAGCTGTAATGCAGGTTAAACAATTTAAAAAGCTATACGAACATATAAAGAACGATAAGTGAGTTTTTCATTATAATATATATATAACAATAACAAATAATATAAACAATTATAATTATTTTCCAGATATCTTGTAGGACAAAGATTAGTAAATTATGAAAGAAGAACAGACTGATGGTGATAATATGCACAGTGTATTTTTCAATTTGTACAGTATATACTATTTAGTCGCTCAATATAGTTAAATTGTACATTCGTAAGCTTTGATTAAATAGCTTACTTATTACAGTTTTCTTCTCTTTGTACATTTTATAACACATATAAATAAGCAAACACTCAATTGTTAAAACTACCAATCGATTGCTACTCTTTTATCCACATCTAGTAATTCTTTGGCTAGAATATGTTGATCTTCAATTTCTTCTTTCATCTTCTGAATTAAATTTATGCAGACAAATGAGTTAATAAGACAGAGAGAAAAATTTATTAATCCTATAATCAACATGGAAAAGTTAATCCATTGTAATTTTGCGGTAATATAGTTACTGCAATTCTGTGAGGCATATGAATTATTCTTTGCTGGTGCTAAAAGGCATTTTCTAACACGTGAAATGTTAAATCGTATATTAGGATTGTCATTGTATAGGTCTCTTTTAGCTTCAGGCTTACAACAAGCGATTGGCACTGTAGCCTGTATAACTTTCTTATTTCCTCTAACTGTAATTTGTTGCCTTCTTCTAAATTTTATTGAATATCCAAAATCTTGAGTATGTGAATATGATCCGCAGCATTTCATTCTCAATTGAACTAAATCCCAAGTTTTCGTCACTTTATCCCTGGCCCATATTAAATTGCCATTATTGTCAATAGATGACCCTGTATAATTGCTTTGAAGAGATTCTTGAAGGAAGTCGATTAGTTGATTCTCAAACTTTTCCTTCCCCAATATCCATAAGAAAAATAGGACAATTTGTAAAATAACTTTGGACAAATTCCAAGAAAAATATATCAATATCAGTGATTTATTATGATTTACGGCAGTCAAAGAACCAACGAAGAATAAAATTACAAAACTAAGTCCGAATATAGAATTTATTTGGCAGAGGTCCTCTAATAGAGATGGGATATTCAATTCCCCATCAAACTTTCTCATATCATCTGGAATACGAGAGAAAAATTCCAATATCGTTTTATCTTCTATCATAATATAGAAACAATAAGCTGAACAGCTTAACCCTAACAACAGAGCTGGAAGACATATTCAATTAGCGAAAGTCTCTATATAATAGGATTATCAGAAGAAGATACTACGTACAGAGAACTGCCATAACAAATAATGTAATTTTTGAATGTGCAACAGAACACATGCTTCATTAATTATTATATATTACCAGTCAATTTCGAGAATATTCCAATTATATTATAGCAATTTAATAGACTACTGAGTATTTTATATTACAATATTTCATAAGTATTTATTCTTACCGACTTGAATAGTAAAAAAATGTGATATTTTACTTTTATATTCACTTTAATTCACTTTAAAATGACAAAATAGTGCATGACGTATATGGCTGAATATTTTATTTATTAAAATTATTATAGTCGTTACGTTAAATATCTTAAATTTAATTATTACATATGCATATACATCTCACTTATGTTATATATATTCTATTCTGTTTATATATGAAAGTATATTACAGCAGTAGTGAGCGATAATGTGATTAGATTAAAATCAACTTTCAAATTACATAATTTTTCATTTTTAGTTATAAAAATGTATCGTATTGAATTCAAGTCAAATGAAAATTATATTCCATATTCAAAAGAAACTTTATTATGCTTAATATAAGTCCTAGTGTGACTTTTGAATAAAATTAACAAATAGGATAAGTATTTGTTATCTATTAAATACATTATATAAAGAAAAGCTAAATTATGATTTTTGCCCAAGTAGATTAATTTAAATTAATTGATAATTATGCATATGTTAATTGGACTATATTTTGTTGCGTTAAACAATGGATGTCATGAGGTCAATTTCCAATAAACTTATAAATAAGGTATGCGACACCATTGCGCCACTCAGTAACGGAAACTCCTTCGGGTTAATTGTTGTCATTTACTGAATTTCTCACTGCTTCATTATTATTTGTTGGTTGTAAATATTAATTTCTTTCTAAGAAATATATTTACTCAATATATACGGCAAGTGAATTTTACTCATTTTGTTGTCATTTTGCACTATTGCGCATCATTTTAAAGTTGGTGCCATTGCTCAATGTCAGTAGCCATTTAAAATACTGAGATAATTTGATAAATCATTTATTTTGTTCATAAAATTGCTTCAAACTTTTATTGTTGTTTTTTTAGCCTAGCGAAAACAAAAATTGTTCTTGTAATCTAATTGACATTTCTCTAGAAACTTATTAGCTTAAAAGTATATACGTTAACATGTCTGACTCGGATAAAGGTATAGATATTGTTGGGTTCGAAGGACCTCAAGACGAATCCTCAGTAAGTTCGCCGAATAGGTTTTCGTCTTCTGGATTCTTTCCATATGCTACGGAAGTCCAGTCGTCTGGTTTGGACGATATGAAACTCGCTAGATGTATCTCCCAAATTAACAGACCAATTGATACAAGAACGATAAGTGAAACTGACGAGGGAAGTACTGACCTCTGCGAAGTTATCGTCAAGCGATCCAGAGTAAGTTTTTAAAAAACTGATAAACTTTACTTAAATATTGCTTTTCCACAAATTTTTGAACAGACAAACAATGAAGACGAAAATGCAGAGATTTTCATGAGCGACTCCAGTGACGATGAATCCGGAAAGATGGCCGAATGGAGATTCGGTCCTTCTAAGCACTGGTACGATTTACTCAATGTCAACGAAAATGGATCTAATTTAGACTATGGCTTTCGGGTAATGTATTTTTTCATAATTTCCAGTTCCACGTTAACTTATTAACTTAAAATAGAAAAGAAAATACTCCGAATCTCTTGAAAAAGTTGATGAGGTTGCCAAAAAATTTCCAAAAGACTGCTTCCAAATGATCTGTTCTGTAAGTTTTTATCTCTAATCAACCATTATACCTTTTCATTAGGTCCATACTTTATACAGTATCGTTGGGAAGACGATGTTATCTGGAATGGAGACCAAGTTCGCCGACAGATTTTGAATTTGGATAGAATAAAAAACATTCCTGCCGCCTGGATTCCCAACAGTATCATTAGATCATACTCAAGTTTTATTTATCATTTAAAGAGTTAGTTTTGTTATTATTTTACTGTACAAACAGTTTTAATGGGCAATAATTACTTTATTAGAAGCTGAACATAATAGAAACAGATCATCTTTTGAAAGCGATGGTATGTATATTCTCTCAAAGCCTTTTTACCTCTTTAAAATGAAATTCTGTTCTCCTTTAGATATTAACATGACCATGAAAGACATTTCCAGATCTATTTTTAAGCCTCAAAATCCTGTAGTTGCTGATGGATCATGGGTGAAAGATATAATATGGGACTCCGAGGTTGTGAATGTTACTATAGATTAGTTAATTACTCTATAATAATTGTATTTTATTAATACATACAATAGAACATGGACGAGATCCCTAAACCTCCGTTTTTGGAAATGTATAAAGGTGATCCCAATACCATATTTGAAATACCGACGGATGCTTCTCCTGAGGTTGTTACACATACAAGTATAACAGAACAGGCATTTAACAAGTGGTTAATATAATTTTAACAGAGGTCAGCGACTAGTCAGGAGCGAGAAGACTCATTTAATTTATCTAATGACATATATTATACACAAGAGGCAGCCGACCTATTTCGTACACCTACTAAACTTCAACATTCTGTGCCAGCCATGAACTTGAACAAATGTCTATTTCCTATAGAACCTGATAATGAGGTTCTTGACTATTACAGACGACAACTGAGGCCCATTAGACCAAGAATGAATGATGAAGAAGCAACAACAGTTATTCCACTCTTTAGACATGTCGAAGAAAAACAACAGGTATTTTTCATTGATTATCTTGGTCCCTACTCATTGCTATATATCTAGGAGATAAGAAACATGGCAAAAGAAACCTATGGAGGGGAGGTATTTGTTATGAATAGACTCGTTGACCTTTCAGGATTTGACGGTAGTTTGTTTTTAATGGAATATGTCGAAGAAAATCCTCCTCTTCTCAGTCGGGTAGGTATGGCTAGTAACATACGGATTTACTACAAGAAGGTGGGAAAAACTTCAAAAATTGAATTAAAATTAATTGATACTTTTAATTAAGCAATGCAACAAGGACGATGATTATATACCCAGCTATGCCTTTGGCGAATTAGCTCCCACTGAGCGTTCACCTTTTCTAGGCAATCTAAAAGAAGGAGAATTTGTACCAACTCTTGAGAATAATATGTATCTTGCACCAATTTTTCAACAGTTTAAGAATTTTTGCGATTTCCTGATTATAAAAAGAGACAATCAGTACTATTTAAATATGAATGAAAAACGTCAAATTTACACAATCTATTTTTCAGCTATCATATCAGAGATTTTGACGAAATTTTCACTGTAGGCCAAGAATGTCCTAAAATTCAAGTTCCCAGACCAAAATCAAAGACTATACAACGCTTCTTAACTCATCTTGCCCACTTTCACATTTGCAAGCTCTTCCGACAATCGAGAGATACTCCACCATGTCTGAAATTAGAAGATGTTAGCAAACTTGTGCCAAATTTATCTGAAATTACCCTTCGAAAATATATCAAGAGTTACGCTTATTTTGTGAAAAAGGACAATGGCTGCTATTGGGCACTAAAAGAAGATGTTTATTTACCTGAATTGGAGAATTTTACCCAATATATTACACCCGAACTATTTTGCGCCTATTACAGCCAATCGGCTTACCATAGCAGGTATAAAAAAATATTTAATAAAGATGAAATTACTTTTTATTATTATAGACTACGTGCTGCTGGTTATGAAGGAGATGGATTATTGAGTATAGACGATGATACGGCTTTCGAAAGCAGAATAATAGCAGCCCCATGGAATACAACCTCAGCATACACCAGCGCTGTGAATAAAGAGTGCCTACTCGAACTCCGAAGTACATTAGAATCTATAGAAACCAATAAAGGAATCCCCTACGTAAAATTATCTAAGCGGCCGTCTGCGCTAAGAGATCATTTCGTAATGAAGAATTTAATTTATTTGACACTTATGTTCTAATAATATTGATAATTTTGTTAGGGAGGGAAATTCCAGAATTATACAGACGAAGCTATTTTGGAAAAAGTAATTAGTACTATCGAAATAGTCCTAAAGAGATGTCAGAAAAAACCTAGAAGGGTAATTCATTAGTTTGTTTCATTTAATTACCGTACAATGTGTTAGAGAGATTTCTAAAATTTTTATATGAATATGCTTATGAACATCCTTATTTAAGATATCTGTTACTGTATTATGATAAATCGATGGCAAAAGTATTAAAACATTGTCAATTATTATGTAATGACAAAGATTAGCCTCTTCTGGATAGAGAGATATAAGAATATTTAGTTTTAGCACTACCTGCTTCCATATAAGTGTTATAGATTTATATATGTATGTATAAATGTTTCAGATTGAAGAACTAATGAAATGGAATGCAATCAAGCTTATAAAGATTCTATCGACTTTAAAATTGGACGATGCAAAGTCTTCAGGTTTTATAAATAACAAATGCTTTTAAGAGTCAATTAAGCTATAAATAACGTTATTTTCAGTTCTCTCTGAATTCAAGCAGCTAGTCAAGCAGACCAATCTAAGAGAAAACGAAATATTTGAGGAAGAATGTAGAAAAGAGTTTGAAATGCAATATCGGTACACATTTGTTTTTGAAACCAATTATATTTTATTTTATATTGTTAAATGATTTTATCCTACGCAGGTCACTAGCTTCAACAGATATTGTATCCACTGATAGTGATTCATCGTCCGATAGTGAACTTAAAGAGTATGCTAAAGAATTAGAGCAGGATTTCACGGAAGAAAATTCACCGTTTTTTCTTGACACCAACAACGCTACTAAGAAAAAGAAAGTATTGAAAATAGTTAGAACATTCATCGACGAAGAGGGAAACTTATATTCAACAGCAGAATTTGTTAGAGAGGCAAATGTTATAGAAATGTACATAAATGCCAAGAGCAAGAAGGAAACAGAGTACTATCAAATTTTTTATCTTTATACGTTACTGATAAACTGATCAATTTTTTTTAGATCAATTCTTGGCAGGAATGAAACACCGAAGTGCTTAAACTCAGACGAAAATAACAATGGAGAAAAGGTAAATTATTAAACTTTTAGCTCATAAAATTAAACCTTTTTCTCACTTTCCAGGAGATATTTAGCGAGGACTCGACCATATCAGACAGAATAGAGCATAGCTTGCAATGGGATAAAGAAAATTCCAATTCGAGAAAACTTATAAAAGTTCAGAATGCTACAGTGAAAATTTGCAAAAAATTACTTAAAAGGTAAGACTGGTAATTAATGTAGTGTATCAAAGTTCAACGATTTTTATTTAATACAGAGCTAAAGAGTTTTCAAGGAGAAAGTCACTTGCAAAATCGAATATGTCAGCAGTAATTAAAGTAGGAATATTTCAAGATATGTATTTTGTTTTATTAATTAAGTATTTCTGATAGAAACGAAAAATGGCAGTAGCAGAGCGTAGAAAAACAAATCCATTCGTAATTATGAGCCTAATTTTTGAGGAAATAGTCGATAGTATAGCGAAATTGGACGATGTAAGTTCCTTTTAAAAAAAATTAACGAAGATATATGCATTTTTTTTGCTCAACTTTAGGTCTTACCGTTCCTTCAACCAATAGACAGAGTGCTTAATCCATCTTACTATCTCTATATAAAGGAACCGATGGATATTCATACTATAAGATTGGTAAGTAATACAATTATTGAATATATATACCATAACTCGGATTAATTAAAATGTTTTTTAACTATAGAAATTGAGAGATAATAAGTATCATTCAAGAAAGACTTTTATCTCCGATTTCAATCAAATGGTTTTGAATTCTATCAGATTTAATGGCTCTGCTTCCCCAATAACTAATATCGCTCGGAAAATGCTCGATTATTGCATACAGAGAATTGCTGAGGTTTCTTTTTCAATTAACTGTCATAATAACCCGTTTGAAAATATTTTCGTCTAATAGAAAGACGACTACTTAATGGAACTTGAAAAATGGATACCATATCCTAAAAAGTCTCACCTTTCGCAATTTGAAAGCATTCTAAAGAAAATCACAAACGATATGAAAAATATTGAAGGCGTGAGTTATGGAAATTTTGGACTAGAGATTGCTTTTTTTTAATTCATTAACTCTTATATTTGTAGTCTGAAGCATTTCGACGTCCTGTTAACAAAATATGGTCGTTATACTACGATGTTATTAAAACGCCAATGGATTTATTAGCGATAACTATTGTAAGATTAAAGCTATTATTTTTATTTATTCACTTTTCGCTTGTTAAAATATATAGAAAATCAGAAGGCATAAATATAAGAATAGGCGCGACTTTATTAAGGATGTTAAGCTAATTCTGGATAACTCTGTAACGTTTAACGGAGAAGACTCAGATCTCACTGCTACTGCCAATAATATATATACAACTGCGTTGAATGCCCTAGAAGAGCATTCTGAAGAACTGACAATACTTGAAGAGGAAATTATAAAGTCCGAGGCACGAAAACGCTCAAGAAAATCCCTTAACATCGGTTTGCATTTCCATCAACTCTCTTGATATTTATAATAATAGAAACGTTTTTAGATCCAAGCATCTCTAACGAATCGACTAACAGTTACGAAATTAGAGTTCCCGATTTTCACATGAATAAATCGGAAATAACTTCTGTAAACAATAATCCTATTCCAATAGAAAATGATAAAGGTCAACTTACAGCATGTAACCTTGTTGAAAGTAAATTGACAGACATTGATATTCGATTGAAAATATTTATATTTGATTTTGATTTATTGAAATTCTTTAAATAGGACTTGGACTGGAATTATCAACTAACTCAAAAGCAAGCAATAAATTGGATGAGAGAGGATTTAGCGACTTCCTTACACAAGGTGCTTTTAATGTCCTTGATCCTCCAAAAGAGTCAAATGACACTGTTGAATTGGACAAATCAAGTACTTCAGAAACACCTCATGAAGATAATAGTAACAGCCTTTTTAATATAGGTGAAGATTAAAAATTCAATTCTACTATCTATGTCAATTAAAATTTCATGAAATTTCTAGGAGACCAAGAACTGGGCGTTATTTTCCTTGACGAAGCGGAATTTGATAGCGATGGAAATTATTCAGCAAGTGGATCACACGCTACTTGGGCAGGCAGATTCAGAGAGTCGATTCCCGTTACTTCAGGAAATGCTGCTAATTTGTATGAGAGTTTAACTCCAGAAGGAGCTGATAGTTGCGATTCTTCGAGTGATCTGGAAGATGATGTGAACAATTCGGTATACGATTGGGGTTGGACCCGCGAAAGCCCCAAATCGAAAGAGTCTATATCTCATATAGAAGAAATTAGCGGTACAGATAGTTCAGATTTTAATACCGAGCCAACTAATCTGACGAATTATGGTCAACCCAACATAAACTTCGAAGAAACAAATTCCTCGCCATTTCCATCTCCTAGTTCGCAAGCATTTACTCAATCGGAAGACGACCAATCGTCTAGTGGTTACAATTTTGTAGCAACTGACACAGTCGGAATATTAATTCAAGATGGTAGCTCTAGTTCAGAAGATGAAGTTGTCAGGAGAATACAGCCTGAAACGATAGACGTTACAACCCTTTATAGCGATTCTGAACCTTCAAGCGAAGATGGAGATACGTCAAAATCTAGTATTGAATGTATTGACTTGACAGATTGTTTATAAGCTATTCAATTGTTTTATAGCTATTTTTAAAAAAACAAACTATTTTTTTATAAATTTTGTATTTTCAATATTTAAATAATTTTTTAGCTGTTTGAAAAAAAACTTGCAAATAAAACGACTATGCTTGCATCTGATAAAACTCAGGAAAATGGTATAGCACATAGTAATAAGAGAGAACAATCCGTTTCCTACTGCCTAACCCACTTTCCATTTATCAACTTTTCTAAGAAAATTTCATTAGATTCTAGTCAAAGTGGAGACGATGGATTGTGCTCTGCTCTTTCAAGGATGAAAGAGTGTATATTGAATATTTCTGGAAAATTCTCTCTTCCATTTAGGCTAAAACCTCGCAATATGTTAGAAGGTAAAGGTAAACGGAAGAGAAATTTTATGAATATTCATAGATACCTAGCCCTATACTTTTTTGGATTATTTATATTATTATTTTTTCTAAAATTGATTATACTTCATTCAACGTCTTCAACAAGATAATAAATTAACTATTGTAGGGGTAAAAGGCTCAGTATAGGACAAATAAAAAACAGGAAACCCCGTTTTTAGCCAACGTTATTTTCGTCTTAGAAATAAAAAAAAAAAGTAATCAAAAGTGGTATTGATACAAATATCTAAGGAAAGTAATCTCCTATTCTATAAATATATACACAGCAAATAGTAAAAGAATGTAAAAGACTTTGTATAATTAGTTAAAGAATTGATAAGTTCTTTACAAACGATACATTCAGTATAATAGTACTTCAGCATTTTAGTATAGTGAATTATTCATAGATGTTTTAATAAAGAGTATTATCTTTATTTTGATTTCAATAAAAATGTCTATAAATAAACAATTGTAAAAAGGATAAAAGAAAACAAAATTTATCAGTATAAGCTTTTAATGGACGTATTTCTTTTCCCTTCCTATCTCTCTTTTATAGTTCAAGTAAATATAGAAACAGTATTCTTTATTCCATTAAAATTCTGTTCAAACTTCTTTTTACTGCAAATTGTGAAACAAAAAATTAAATATTTGTTCTTCTTTAATAAAATATTAATCCTTTCTGTAAATTAAAAAAAAATATACAATTCAATACGCAATAGTTATTTTTTAGTAGGGCTATTTAATAGCAAATAGAAACTTTTGCATCTTAAAAAATATTGATTGTATGAATAATTCAAAGTAGGCAAGTTGAAATTATAATAATAAAACAAAAAAAAATAAAACAAGTATTTTGTTAATCGATAACAATTCCACTTGGAGAAAGTATATCTCTTTGTATATTATCAATATTAATATCCGTATTTGGTGTTTCTGTCATAGAGCGAATATCAATTTGGCTATCGGTTAAATTATCAGTCTTTTCATTATTCTCTGTGTTGTCTATTTCGATACTTTCGTCGTGAGATAATCCCCTTTTATTTGTTGTAATTAGGGTTGATTGTTCGTAACTAGGATGAAAGTCCACTGTATTTTCAGATACTGTTTCTAATTTTGTACTCTTATTTGCCTGCTTTTCATCAGCTTGATTTAATGTATCGTCTCGCTGACGACGCAAAAGTAATTGAAGTTGAAGTTTGTTTGTAAAGAAAATTTTCTTCCAACCGAGTTTCGAAGCTAAACTTTCAATGTCTGGACTAATGGCTTCTGTATGTCTTTGAAATAGATTCTTCCACGTATCTTCCAAATTGCATATAGAGTCAAAAAACCGATTTGTTTTTGTCAAATTATCTATATCCTCCAATTCGAGATAATTAAAAATCTTTAAGAGAATTTTCTCCGGTAATCTTGGCAGATAGTCAATTTGACCTCTAGCAACAGCTTTAGCATAATTTAGCACTGATTTACCCAATACTCGTAGAATTTCGCCTGTTGTGTTTTTTTTATATAGTTAATTATAAAGCAGAAAAAATTTATAAAATCAAATTTTATTTTTTTTTTACTTTGCATCCTATCATCGTATAAAAAATCTTCATGTGTATCTCTTTCTTCCTTAGGATGAATGTGCGAATCGTTTCTCAGTGAAATTCTCCATGTTCTGAATATAAACTGAAAAGTTAAGTTATTGGTATTATAACAATGTTGAGGACTCCTCTCGTAAACGTTTATAGTCTACCTCATTAACAGTTACAACCAATTGGCAATAATCTTTGGAAGGCGATGGAGCTGTGGCTGAATATGAAAATATTTCGCCGTTTTTCGGCAACAGCGAGGCCATTTTGGAGACGCTTTTTGTTACTATGGAGATTAGAAAAAAATACTTTAAAAAAATTTTCTACAGCCTATTAATAAATAAATAAATATATTAAAGTATTACTGAAAGTGTTGATTTCAAAAAATATTTTCAATATTTTCTCTGAGAACACGAACCGTACTATTTTATAAAATCCTTCATCCGGCGAGTGGGATATCCTAATCACGTTACTTAATTATCGCTCTTAGGCCGGTTTTGTCGACGTAATTTTGGCTTACTGCACTAACATTTTATATCTATAATATTACCAAACTCAACATGAATAGGCATAAAAATATAGACTTTTTATCCCTTCATAAAGGTTTGCTAAATAAACATACATGTTATTAAACTAATACCAAGCAATTACAGAATCGCAGAATCTTTTAGTAGCTGCTTCGTGCTTAACATACAATAAATGGAGTACAAAGTTTCTCATCTACGACAAAATTCCTGAAAAGTTTTCAGAACCATTAGAGAGTAATATATCAGACGAATTCAATACCACAAGTTGTTGTGGTGAAATCTTAGAAAAAGGAAAATTCGTTGTGGGAGACGACGATGGAAACCTTGCACTTTTATCCTACGACAAATCCGGAATAATGGAGTTGAACAAATATCCTGTAGCTGATTCTGGACTTACATCACTAATAACTGACTCCAACAATACAGTTATTTGCGGGTCGTTCGATGGACATGTTAAGGTATTTCTTTTGGACGAGGAAAGAATGACTGATTTCTATGATCTTCATTTGGCTAAAGTATGCTCTATTTATTCACTGAATTCAACAAATTTATTTTGTTCAACATCACTTGATGGGACGTGCTTGCTTGTTGATCGAAAGTTGAAATCGCCAGCTAAAGTAATAATGAATTGTCCTGAAAATCCTCCCACGTCAGTTTGGGCTAAAGACAGTAGCAGCTTTATAATTGGTATTTAATTGAATAACAATTACAATGCGATAATTTATAATGCTATATTTCACTAAAGGAACTGAAGCCGGAACTGTTCAAGAGTACGACTTACGGAATGGAGCACATCCACTTAAAGAATATTTTCAACATAATAGATCTGTCACTAAAGTTCTAAAACATAACAACGCGATTGTTTCTTCTGCCGAAGATGGTTGTATATGTACCATTAAGAAGGAAGAAAGTAGAAAATTTGCCGTACATACAGACATTGTTACTGATATGATAGATGTAGGTTATATTTTGTCTTGTGGTTGGGACGGAAAAATTTGTAAATTTACGGAAATATAGAGATTGAGATGCATTATTTCTTCATTCTATAATAAACGGTAAAGTTTTATAATAATCTAGACTAAATTTTGGCCGACAATATGACTTGGCCATGATCCATGCTTCGAAGCAGTCCAAAGCATAAGCATCAAATTGAACGTCGAATTTGTTTACAAAGAAATGCTGCTTCAGCATAATTGCAGAGAGATCCGAAACACTAAAAACACACACGCCTCTCAGCCACTTTCCTTTACAGTTGTATTCGCCACTCCAGCCGGCAAATACAGCCAACCAAGGCTTTTTTTGAGGAATACCTCTATATCCTCCAGGTGTATGCAAATGAGGATTAGCGTATAAATGATGTAAGGTCGCCCAGTAATGTTCATCAGGGCTCCAAGTTTTTCTAGACCATTCCAACAGGCGTATCGATTTCTCGTCGTTAATAATGTAATGTACAAAATTTCTGCTAAAAATAGCGTATGCACTGCCTCTTACGATTTTAGTGCCATCAGGAGGTGGAGGATTTTTTTTTCCAGTTTTTTTCAAAAAAGATTTGTTATCCTCAATGACTTCTATCCATTCATCTTCAAATCTTGATCTGATTGGTCTATCAAAGAGACCCTCAACATCGTTAGCTCCATTATAAATATTTAAAACCTGAACCATTTCATAATTGGTCATACGAGGAAAAGCTGTTCCAGCAGTATTCATTAAATATTTCCAATTTGTAGTAGATTTCAAAAGAAGCTCCATACATTTTATATCAGCCAATAATCTACTAAAACCCGCATAGACAACATCTATTGAAGGGTCTATTACGAAGACATTATTAAAACAAGAACTTATTCCCCTTATGGCATCATGAAACACTTTTGGTGAACTCTTATCAACATGTATACAAAATATATTATGAGGCCTCCATAAAGCTCTTAATTGTCTTTCAACTTGTTCTGCATTAAAGTGCACTATCATATTGAAAGCTAAAGGAAAATTTAATTCTTCATCGGAGATCTCATCTTCAATATATCCCAGTGATTTCAACTTCGAGCAGTCTTTGCTTAATTCTATAAAGTCAGAATCTCTTCTCTTTATCCGAGGATAATTCTTCCTAAATGATGATAATATTTTCATATCGTTGTCATTTAGAGTTTTATAAATTAGATTTCTGCATGTGTATGGAAAGTTGACGGAGTAGTGCTGTCTTATTGACATAGGCTTTGAGTCTAAGAACGGTATAGAACAGTTTTCCCAATCTCTAGTATCCACTCTGCGATAAATTCTAACATTTTTCGAGTTATTGATGGTGAATGACACTCTAATATACACATAAACAGCTATTATCATCAAAGCCATCCAAAAACGTAAATGACTTTTTTTAAACATTTTAAAAAATTTTAATTATTTGCACATTTGATCTACAGTAAAAACGTAAAGCGATAATTCCAAGATATTGAAAAAAAAACTGTCATTATGAATTAATACTCCGGGGTTATTTTGATCTTGGGTGATAACTGAGCGATAATGAACGCCGATGAGGTCTGACACGTGACGAAACCGGATGTTATATGAGTTTTTTCCTCTGAAATCTCGTATAGTCTCTTCTCGTTCGTTACCGCATCGTCTCGTGTCGAACAACACAACCTTTCATTTAACGACGACTTTAGCATTATTTTTAAAAAGAGCTGAAGAAAAATGAGTGATAGAGAGGTATTTTATAATTTGGTCTATTGCATATATTATTTAGTTAAGAATTAGCAAGTATATCACATATTTCACATAACAAGGAAGAACAACATGGACGCGACTCGACAAGTTCACAGATAAAGCTCGTTTTAAAAAACAGAACTGAGTTATATACGCCGCTTTTATATATTTATTGAAATAACTTACTTTCTAAAATCCATTTTATAAACTTGAGAGATCCATTGAATGATTTATAAATTTGTTTTCCTACTTTAGAGTCAAGCTTCCAGATCAAGATCTCGTTCGCCTGCTCATGAGCGTGACAGATACAGTAGGAGCCGTTCGTATTCAAGAGGAAGAGAGAGAAGGTTTGTAATAGTATTTTTTATTAATTGCCCATATGAATATGCTTGAGAACGCCGCTCAAGTTGGAAATAGTGTGAAGATAAATGAGACGAACATTCATAATAGTTTATGATAGTTTATAAAGTTGCGAACTCTCATTTCTTCTATTTTCCACAGTCGTAGGCGTGACTACTATGACAGTCGAAGATAGTAAGTCATATTCCAAACGGAAATAAATAAATTACAATCTGTTCTTTAGTTCCAGGAGCCGCTCCCGCTCCTACTCACCATATTCAAGGGGATACAGACGACGATCACCAGTTCGCAGACGCCGCAGTAGATCTTTCAGTCCTATGTCAAGTCGCAAACGACACCTAGGAAACAGAGAAAACCCGAAAGCGTCTAGATGTGTAGGAGTCTTCGGACTATCCTTATACACTCACGAACGAGACATTCGTCAAATGTTTGAAAAATATGGAGAAATAGAAGATGTCCAATTAGTATATGATCGTCAAACTGGCCGTTCCAGAGGATTTTGCTTCATTTACTATAAAAATTTGGAGGACTCCATAGAAGTAAGATGTGATAAAATATCTTTGAGTAAACTAAATCGTTATATTCTAGGCAAAAGAACGAGCAGCAGGTATGGAATTGGATGGGGCTCGCATTAGAGTAGATTTTTCAATTACCGAACGAGCACACACACCGACACCCGGTATTTATTTGGGAAAACCGTCTCGCAGGTAATAGAATGGCATTTGTACAGTTACTGATTAAAATCGGCATAATGTTATTCAGTGATCATAGAGGAGGATACAGGGATTACAGAAGATCCTATAGGCGTACTCCGTCTCCTTACTACCGAAGATCGAGATATTCGAGATCAAGATCTCGAAGCTATTCACCGCGTAAGTTTATGGGACTAAGTTTTGTTTTTTCAAATGATATATTTTTTCAATTTAAAAAAATCGTGATGAAAATGTATGGTTAAATTCATAAAATTGAATTTTCAGGTCGCTACTAAGTTTTGAAAGGTTCATTGCTAACATTAGGAGCGGTGTTTAATGTTGGTTGGATACGGCACGATGGGATGAACTGTGTTTGTATCATTTTTGTAGCTCTTATATAAACCCACGTAGATTTTTCATAATTATGTTAACCAAGATAAATTCAATAAGTTCGTTTCCAGTAAAGTATCAAATAAAAGTGTATGTGTGTTGTATATGTTGCACAATCGGCTAATCTAATTTGTTTTACTGTAAGGTAATGAAAATTGAAGATAAATGAAAGAAAAATGAAAGTATATAGAGAAGTTAGAAGGGCTGAAGTTGGTCTTCTATTAGATCATCTGAAATTGTGTGCGCTTTAACTCAGCCACTTCCAAAACGCGAAAATTTAATAGAAGTGCGAAAATTTAATAGAAGTATGAAAATTTCTCGTAGAAAATCGAAAAAAACTAAAGTAATAGCAAAATAGCTTGCTTGAAGATTTTCCCGAGATCGAAGTTCTAGGCGAATTATTCTGAAAACTGAAGAGTGGTTAATGATAATAGTAACACGAACACGATAGCGCTGCTTAAATTCATTTTACGCAGGCAGTCTGCGAAATCAGTAGGGTGGTTTGAAGTAATGTAATTCAAAATAAGAAAGAAGACAGGTACGTATAAGTGAATTGCTTAAAAATCATTCATTTCATGTAGACAACCGCAACGAAATCTGAATGAGTATGATTCTATATCCTACAATCAATTATGAGAAGGTTAAGAAGACTTGCGAACTGACAAATTAACTCAATTTATTGGGTAAACATTGCAATTGGATATTTATTATATATCAGAAATTGTAATTTGTAAATAAATTCTAATTTCATCACTTGTCTAAAAGAAACTTAAAAGTAACGAAATTAACTGTAATTAGCCAAGATATAGATTTTACTTTTTTTTTAATTTGCTCAATAGGCAATACAGCTGATAGCCTTCAGATAGGGATTTTAGATATACAATACAAATTAGATATATTGAAATTAGACAAACTAAGATATAAAAATAAGAATCTTCTTAATAGTTAAAGCATTCTTTTATCTAATTTTTTTATTTAAAGCTGCAAGAAGCAACAAATGGTAATTGTGAATTGTATCAAATAGATCTGACTGTCCAATAGGACTTGATTTCTAAACATAACCGAAAGGGTTACATTTAAATAAATTGAATAGAGCGATCGCTGAATTCCGCCTAAGGTTAATAGATTTCACTGATTGCTATTCATTACGAAGATAAGATAGGGCTTCTCATCCGACTGTGTAATTTATTCTTAAAATTGATTAAAAGTAAGATAGGTTGATTGAATACAGAAGTGTAATTTTAAACTGGTTGCCACGTATTTCTCAATTTATCTCTCTCTGAAATGCCAACTTGCACTTTCCGTGGCATTCTTATTTTGAGACAGGTAAACTATCCAAGGAAATACTGCCAACTGACTACATACACAATAGCAAGAATAAATTCTTACGGACTAGAATTTTCCTTTTTATGAAATAATTACGTAGAGACAGCAAATCCTATAAAAGGTGTACTATTGAACGAGATATTTTTTATTCCTCTTGAATATAATATCTTTTATATATAGTAATAATATTAGTTGAATAAATACCTCGAAATGTATAAGTTTTTTTAAAGCAACTAGCGAATAGTATTCTGCTATTGATTTTTCCTACCTCAGGTAGAACACATATATCAAACTTTTAATTAAATTCTATCAATAGTTGCCCCTTTAAAACTATTATCTTTCAACAAAAACCGGTTACGTATGCGTTCGTCAATCTAGCTTTGATTGCCTCTATAAACGAGAAATCCACCGTGGCGTCTTAAAATATACTAACAATGAAAGCGTAGAAGTGAAGCGAGTCAGGGGGCGTGGGTAAAGGGTTTTATATTTAAGTCATTTGGCACGAAAGCTCGTGGTATAAAAAGGCCACCTTATGATTCAAGAACGGCGTCTGTAATTGATTAAGTAGTAAATTACCTGTCATAGATCATCAGAGCGCCATCTCACGAACTGCGTCGCATTCCTTAGTAAGTATAGCGGAAGACTTTATTATAGTTCCTATGGAGAGTGGGCGTAATGAAAAGAATGTAACGAAATAGTAACTAAATAAATAGAGCTGAAGAATGCGTTTTATCCGAAAAGGGCAAGAGCCGTGAGAATGGAAAATGTACGACTCCCGCATATGTCAAGATATTTTTCAATTAAAAGAATGAACATGAACCTAGCACCTGGTATTTACTCGAAGAAGTAGTCTCGAAGGTAACTGATAGTATTGTATGTCATCGACTGTTTACCAAACTACAAATGCATTATACAACCAGTTGCAATGGTTCTTTATAAAATATATTACAAACTACAGAAAAGAAGAGCACTGTAAAAATATCTCTAGTATGTCTAAAGTATATAGAATTTTCGCTCGATTTTTTATCCATCGTTTGTTACCAACGACAAGAATGGATTGAATGTCAACTTACCGATTTCAAGTTAATTAATTCAATTTATTCTAATTAAATTGATTTACAAATAATAAAAAAGTATGTGATTTGAATATAAAATATTCCATATTGAAATCACGTAGTAGGTCATACGAAGCCGTAAACTGATTGTTGCTTAGCGTTGCGCGGTTGATTAGTTAGAAAATAAAAGATTTTAATATTATCCGAATTATTTTTTTTTTAAAAAAAAAGAAAAAAAACATTTAAAAAAACCATTGTATTAATTGGTTTACAACGTTGCTTGTTGTTTTGTTATTCACGCTTTTTTCGACTGTTTTTTTTTTTACTTTTGTTCTTTTTAAGGAGAGCAATGTATATTGAGCAAATTAGGCATTTACAGATCGAAACGCTGCTCCAAATATACAGATTAGAGCTAATAATTTTGTCATGACAAACACAGCACCAGAATACAATCCGTACAATAAGAAAAAAATATATCACAGCAACCAGAATTCGATAGATGGAAACTTAAAAAATGTTTTTGAATATTTAGTACAGTAGTAGGCAAGCTCAGGCTATGTTAGGCCCTCGAGATCTTATTTTTAAAGCTCATAACATTATATCTAATAATACAAATTAATGGTTAAAAAAAAAAGCTGGAAACAAAAAAAAATGTTAATAAAAAATAAATGAAAGTTTATTATTATAAATAAAAGAAAATTTTGCGCGATATGTTGTCATGTAACAATATTAAAGGCAGTCAAAAAAATTAGTACAAAATATAAGGCGTCACACGTTGTTATGTCAAACGAGTTACTATCAAAAAAAAAAGAGAAGAAAACAAACTTTTAATGCAGATTAAACAAAAAAAAAAAAGAAAAAATATGCTTACCAATTAAGTATGAAACGTTTTTAAGAAAAACAAAATTACTACTAACGATTATGCATAATTAGGCTTGTGTAAGCATAATAATAACGTGAAGAGAGAGAGATTCTACACAACAAATCTCAAAAACTAAGAGTAAGCAAGAATGAGTAGAAAAGTGACGTTTTCGATTATTATGTCAAAAAAGTTTTTTTTTCATTTATAAATGATATATAACTATTTTTCTTATAAAAATTTATACAAATATATATATATATATATATGTACAGTATATGTAGATGAATGTAAGTATATACATCTATCCACAATTGTCTTTTTGCATCAACATGCAATGTACATACAAATATTCCTTTTTTAAATTATTTTCTATGCGAAAACGTCTCCGTAGTAATTTTTTTCGTATATAAAAAAAAGAATACTACAAATGTAAGAAAATATTAGGCACTTTTTTTTTTGTTTAGACACCATAGAGATAATTGCATAGTCTTCAAGGAAATTTTCTTCCGTCTTCATTATTTGTTAACATCGAGCTGCTATGAAGAGAATAACAGGCAATTAGAGCTTGTTAATTAGCTACGAATAAACTCTCCATTCACATTATCGCCGGGCAATTAATAAATGTTATATTAAAAAGAATGTTAGATAGCAAGTAATGTGAACGAAGCGTCAACTATTTTACATAAGATCGTTAATAGTTTTTTTTTCTTTTTGATTACGTACGCTAATAATTAGGCGTTAAGAAAGAATCAGTACAAGTACAGGCACACACACTCAACATTCAAACATCATATCAGCTATATAACATACCCAACATAAGTTTTGCGATAAAATTCATACACATTCTCCTTGTGTATTCGTATAATTTATATAAAAGTAAAAGAAAAGAGCAGAAAAATTTATATATGTAATATACAGTTTCAAATGTCCTTTCCTTACTTCTCTGCTATAAGCTGTCTTTAATTAATAATTTTGTATTTATCAAATACAAGACATGTACGGTATAACATGAACATGTATAAAACGAGATTCAACAATATGATATATATATATATAAAGGATATATATATATATAGATATATATATATATAAATTGAGATTTCTATATATAAAAAAATTTACATTTGTCCTTGTTTTTCCTTTTTAAATAAAAAAAATTCATTATTTGCCTTCCTCATTTAAATATTTCTTCTTTCTATAAGCCAAACGCAAGAAAAAGAAAACTATTTAGGGTCTTTCTAAAAGTTTCTATGGCCCCAAACTACAAGTTAATTTCTTTTTCCTTTGTTCCTGCCTCTTCAATACATACATATACATATATATGTTTTTTTTATAAATTATTTGTCTCTCCTTAATAGTTTTAAATTATTTCTTGTCTATAAACATATATATATATATATATATATATTTGTACATACTGTTATAAACTTATACATACAGACAAATATGCGTGTGTGTATAGTTTCTCAGTTCATTATTGCACGAAACTGTAATCAGCTTATAAATTTAACAACATTCTAGAAAAAAATATAACATTTATAACGATGAACTATCACAATAACCTGAGCAAATATCAACATAAAAACAATGATAAAAATATTAACGATATGTTTTAATTGTCCTTTTTTTTTTAAAAAACTATTAACTAAAGTTAATTGCGTACGTAATTAGAAAAAGGAAGAGAATGAGTGTTACCAACCTAGTTTGAAACAGCGAGCCCAGCATTACATAGTAACTTTGTTATAAGGATGAGCCCTGGCATTTGCTACTCTTCTCTCGTTTCTAATTGCATTGCCACCTTTTAAAGTTAGAAACATTAGTTTAATACAATTATAGCTAAGCGATATGAATTTACAAATGTAACATTTTGAAACCGAAATAACTATTTCATTAGCGGGGTTTTCGTATTTTTTCTTCGAGATAACCTGAAAACCTTGGTGGTTATTCGATTTCAGAATGATTAATGAATAAAGAGTAATTAGTATTAGTCGTACTTGTAAGATATCCTTCTAAAGCATTAGATATTTACATGGCAAGACACAAGTTTGGCAGCATACGTATAAAAAGATAAAATGAGCAAAGAATTGTGCAATTTCAGGAAAATTTGGTTTTTTTAATGGGTTTTTGGTTTTGTTTTGCCAAGTTAGAAATATGTTAAAAACATAGAATTAATATATAAAAAAAAAAGATAATTTTTCACGAATAATTTTATGGCATGGAATGATTGCACATTCAATTTTTTTTTTGTTTGTTTCTTAGCTTGTGTCAATCCTTTAATGAACATACGGTGACATACCATCGACTTGTAGTTGAGCAATATCAATTAAAGCCGTTGATTGCGGTGTTGCTGTTCCCCCATATGTTGGATCTATATTCAAATAGGTACCAGGATACAAAAGGGCAGAAGCAGCATCAGTCGGCGACATCAACGGCGGTGGTGCATTTGGCGATACTAGACCACCGGTAGAAAGAGTAGTAGCTGGATATCTTGGTGGTGAGATTAGCAACTGCGGTTGAGCGGTCGCACGTAAGTGAGGAAATGACAAACCAGGTCGTAGAAAAGGTTCTGTAAATCAGCAATGCAAAGAGGTTAAAATTTAAATAAAAGGAAAACAAGAGAAAATGTGATATTAAAAAAAAAAATATACTAAAAAATAGATTTTCTAAACTAACAAAGCTGGAGGGGGAAGAGGGCTGAGGATAGAAACGCCTACTGATCAAGCTTAAAAATTTAATGATTCCTTTAATATGATAAACAATAGGTGTTTAAAGCGGATCGTGCAAGCGCTATTACTTAAAAATGAATGTAAAAAGAAGCCCTCAAAGACCCCAAAAACATAATATAATTAAAACATTGAAATCACAGCAAGCGAAAAAAATAGCACAGAAATTTTGAACCAAAATGCGATATGTGATGCTCAACCATGCACCACTCACGTTGAAGAAGAGCGGCAGCTGGCGGTGACACTTTACCGCCAGTAGTATCCCTATATGTTCCGTTGATTATAGCCAATTCCATAAGCTGTCTCTTCTTTAAATCGTCTTCGCCATTTGCCTGTTAGGGACAGGTTCCAACACCGTCAATATTTAAGCGTTAAATTTTTTAGCAATGCGCTCAGTTATAAACATAAATATTATGATGATTAAAAAAAAACAATACAAAAAAATAAAACAACCGTCCGAATTATTATTACGCACAACATTTACTGCACAAAAGTTAGTTAAGGCAACTTTTATTGATAGGTTAGGGTGCGTTATTTGTTTTTTAAACACTGTCGTCTTACGTTGAGCGGCTGCTGCAGCTGCTGCTTGAAGAATAGCTTTTTGACGTTCCTGGGCGCCGTAAGTTCCGTTAATAATGGCTAACTCCATCAATTGCATTTTCTTCAGATCGTCTTCTCCTTCGGGCTGCAATCGATCAGTACCGCAATACAGATTAAAAACAACCATGCCTCTCATTCAGCTAAAATGACAATCATGCGACCGATACTCGTTTGTTCAAACTTATCAAATACTACTTTTATAAAATTCAATCATCATGCAACTCGCAATTATAATTGTCAATTCAAAAAAAAAACAAAATTAGTTTTTTTTTCGCAAGCGCCAACCTACCGATGGTATCAAAAGTTTTTTAACTTCTTCAACAGCTCTAGTTAATTTAACTTTCGCTCTATTTTCAGTATCTTCCACGGTAATTAAAACGTGAAGCTCTTCGTTCAAATGCTCCCAATTCGGTTTACCGCGATTCATATCCTCCTATATAAGTTTAAAGAAGAAAAAAGCAAACCAAGTATTAGACACAATCAAAGATACATGTACAAGCATGAAATTAAACGCGTAGTTAAGAGGCGTGTTTAAAAAACGGCTTGTAGCGGATTAACAATTGTTAAATTCAACCGGTATTATATGCATTAAGGTTTTCAATATTGTTTTTAGAATGATAATTGGTCAAGGGGAGTATTGGTTTAAAGTCTCACGGCATTCGATGTAGTAGATGTTGTCGTTGTTTCCCTTAAACTATTCATAATAATGTTTGCACAGCTCCTAAGTTCTTCTTCCTGCTCGATAAATTGCGAAAACACGCACACACGTATTTTAAATAACACAAATCTCAAGGAAAAGGTATTAAAGAAGAAAGTGGTAACAATTTCTAATCTATATATACAGTATATATATATATATATAAATTTCCGGCATATTTATATATGCATGTGTATATATATATATATATATATATATATATCTGCATATAAGAATGAACAAAACAGTAAGAAAGACTCCTTCTACGAGGCTCATGCTAAATAACAAATAAATTAAAAGCATACCTTCTGCTTATCTCTCATAGAACCTTTCCCTCTGACCATTATTTTGCATCCTGTGTCTTGTTCTAGCTGTTTTGCTGTCATGCCTCTTGGACCGAGTATTCTTCCAACAAAATTGAACTGAAAAATAAGTAAAAGGTTCATAGCTTTTAGTAACAGAGTCGAGAGTCAATCCGCGTAAATTGCATGCATTTATTTAATTGGCGCTCAATGTTCGATACGGCTTTACAAAATGAAAAAAAAGGGCTGTCGCTTTCCTTACTGTATACCACGTGATTAATTTAACGAAATTGCACAGTGGCATGGAATTCCACGAAGGCAGAGGAAGATGTTTTTTTTCCGTATTGAGCAAAGAGAAGAAGGGAAAGAAAGGATGTGTTTAGGAAAGAGAAAAAATTGATTTCTCTTGCTCTTTATTTTATAGATACTCTTATATATTCTTAACTTTTATTCTTTTTTTCAGGTACAAAAAAAAAACAACCGATTGGCGTCAAAAAAAGAGATTAATGCGATGTCCGATATTGTGCCAATAGCGTTCATTGATCGACGAGAAAGAAATAACGTTGCTAAATCTGAACAATAGAAAAGTCGGTTTTATATATAAAAAAAGGCCACCGCACGAAAAAGCGAACCGGTTAGCAAGATTAAACAGGCTTTGTGGCGGGCAAATTCAAGAAAGATTACGTTCTATTCAATTCGATCGAATCGTTTATGTAAATTGCAATGTCGATTTGATGAAAGACCCCAAGTAAGAAAAAAGTAGTAAAACTTACGTCCGGATATTCTCTTTGCGGTACGAATAGTTTCTCTGTCAGTTGAATAATTTCACCGTCAGCATCTGGAAGCACCATCGGCTCTTTGTTCGATTGTAGATGAAAGAGGTTGCACCGTACTTTGTATATCTCTATAGGAAGAAAAGAATAGGCATTCAGAAAGAGAAAAATAATATGTGTATATATAAATATATATATATATATAGATGGACAGTGTTTGATTTATACGTGTATACTGTATGTAGATAAAGGTTGCTTGGTGTGTTACATCTACTATAAGCCAGCGGAATTTTTGAATGAATGGTATATATATATATATATATATTTACATATTAAGTCGTTTATCGTCTCCTTGAAATAAACCTAAGGCTTTATGCCTCAAAATAAGTTGGATCAATAAATGCCATATTCGATTACCTGCTGCTCAAATTCAGAAACTAAACTTTCGACAAAAGACACTAGCCCATTTATCTTTAGTGCCCTTTCACGACCTTATTCTCTGGCACGTAACTTTTTCCTTCATAGTACCCGTCATATAATTAGGTCAGTTTATATAAAAGTACCACGCGCTGCTTCTTTCAACCAAAACACGCCGTACCCTTTTCTTCTTTTCATTATTAAGCGACTACACGAGACGGCCCGCCCCTACGAAAAAAACCGCGGCCCAGACCTCTAGATACTCCTTTGTAATCCATCAAAACCGAGCGAACGAAAAACTTTATTGTATATTGTATACTCGAGGCGGCTATTGTCGTTCGACGCGCATGCCTTAAGCTAAACGAAGGGGACAATAGGCCAAAAGATCCTATCTCGATACGAGCGGACTACCGCTCTCTCACCAATTTTTTTTTTGTTAATTGTATACGCGGCCCCGTCGAAATTAAATGCAGATGCGCCCGCTAGAGGATTTTCGACGGTTTCAACTTTCAATATGGCCGAAAGTTTTATGTAGCGTATGCAGGCCGAATGAGTATTGAAAAAAACCTTTCTTACGTTCTTTCCCCTCATTAAACTCAATAGAACATATTAAAGATTGTATTGCCCCTGGATGAGCAGCCAAACACCGTGTAAAGTGTTCTATATAGAAAAAATTATTTCCATTTCCTAACAGGCTTTTATAAACACATGCAGACGCACACACACACACACACACAAATACACTCAGAAGTATTCGTATAACATTTTTCGACGCAATTTAATAGCCCTAATACTTTGAATTCCGTCCCGCGTCTCCTACTATTAATTTAATGACTAGATAATCTTCAAGTATCCTTAAGGAGCGTAATATATTGCTAATATTTAACTATATATATAAACTGACATAAAACACGGAAAAAACTCTTACCTCTGTCCAAAAGTCTTTCGGCATGCGTAAATACTGCAGGTAAGTTTTGAAATTGTTTCTTATCTTTTAGTAATTGAGCTAAATAATCTGGAGAACTACGATCAGTGGTATTAGTATTTTCAGAGCTCATTGTTACGGCACAGCAAAACTAAGTTGTCATTAGCGGAGTGAAGTGAACTACATAAGTCTACTGACGGCCGCTAGGTCTGGTTATGTTTACGACAGGGGTGCCGACTAACAACCAATGGCCAACGAGTTTTGAGTGCGTTAAAAGCTCGATCGATTGGTAGCGCGCTCTTTCTTTTTCTTTTTGTTATTATTTTCTATTATTCTCTTCTAATGCTTTTTTCTCCAAGGGTTTTTAGTAAAAAATGGCCATGCTTCCTACCCCTCGACTTAAGAAAATAAATCGACTCGTCCACATCCATATGCATTTCACCCCTGATGGTAAGGTTTTAGAAAATGGCACTTTGCAATGTTTAGGAGTGGCGTGAAAAGAATGTCTATACTCAATAGAACCGACAAACGATAAAGACGCGCAAAGTTGAATTCAATGCATATTTAAGAAAAGCTACTAAGGAACAAGTCTTAGTTTTTAGCATTATAGGGCAAACAAACTGCTCGCTACTTTGCTCTTTTTCGTATCTCTTGTTGGGGAAAAATTTTCTCTACTCTTGCATCTGTTTGCTATGCTTCAGTTTTCCAAGCCCCTGTTTTCAGACTTATAGGCATTGTAAGCGTCTCAAGCCTTTGGCGTTCATTACCAAATTTCTTCTTCTCGTTACTTCTAAACCAAAACTCATTCCTTCCAGCAAAGGAATTTTTATAATAATAAAAAAAATCGAAATGGATGGTAAAGCGCTTTTCCTATTGTGAAAAGAAAAAAAATTTCTTTCGGCTGTCGCAAACAGGTTAAGGTGAATCGTTTGAAATTATTCAAGCGAACTCACAATGCACATTCCAGACGAACATTCTTGGTCACGCTTTACAATTTCTTTCATCCACGATTTTTCGCATTTAATTCGAATCTAATAAAATTGTCTAATTTCAGTATGAAACAGCTTTCAATTTCTTATATAATAAAAGAATATCAAAAGAAAGGAGCTATAATTAATAGTATTATAGACTGCAAAAATAGCAGTAGGGTTAACACTGTTATCATACGGCCTACTGGTCTGCAATGCGATTATGCCACTCTCTTGTCCTTTACAGCCTTCTACATCCCATATTTGAACTCACTTTCTATGTATAGTAAGCCCTTTTAAAGTGTGCTTTTGTATTTTTACTTAATGTTAGTTGCTAACTTTTACCCTATAACAAGTTACGCCATCTACTATCATATAATTCAACTACTGCCATCTATGAAGAAAGGTAAGAATGATAAAGTAAAATAATAAACTAGTATTTCTTAATTCATCTGAAATGTATTTTTTCTTTCAAAATATAGATTTGACAGACAGTAATTTATGTTTCTTTCATTTCGCGAAGACGTCTAACGGTGCTTCTGACTGTTGCAGCAGCGGTGGTACTGAAAAGATTATTTATAGTTATTATGATTTCTTATATGTTTATAGATTAGTGTATTTACCTGTAGACGTAGGCTCCTCCAGCAACGGCCTTGCGACAGCTTTTACATTGCCAGATTCCTACTACACTACGTTTAATTGTTTCCTTGCCGCAAAATGAGCACGTGTATTTTGAGTGCTGGGTGATTTCCATCTTCTTCACCTTCTTTCTGAGGGAAGCACCATAACGGGTTCCGTATTTACCAACGATGCCAACCTTTTTCGTTCTCTTCGCCTGTTTTTAAAGAAAAATCATTTATTCGTCTGCTAGAATCATCTATCCATGGGATATTTATATTGTCATCATTCTATTCCTTTAATAAAAGATATTTAGAAATAAATTTGACAATAAATCATTGTATAATAGCTAGTTTGTCAATAGACGGCGAAAAATAATCCGAAATATTTAATTTAACCAAGATATTTTCAGATAATAATTGAAAATTCATAGAAACAAACCATGACGATAAACGGATATCGGAAAAGGAATATTCAAAGCGTAAGACTTGTGGGATCGAAAATTTTGGCGCGAAATTTAAAATTAGTCTTCTCAGGAAGGTTATTTAAGGGGCGTAGACAGATGGCGCTGTTATAATTTCGTAGGACTGATATAAAAAAGAGACGCCACTAGAAGCGGCAGCTGTTAAACCGTTGCCAGATTTTTACACATTCCATTCATGCCAGGTAAGCAAATTCAGTTTTTACAGATTTTCGTGATGTATTTTCCTCGAATCATACGGAATAGACTATTTAAAAGCCTTTTGAATGCTGATTAGTAATAGTTTGAATACGTATTATTTTTTTATTTATATATATATTTATATAAGGTTTCCATTTGGTAGTGGCTGTGCCTTTAGTAAAAATTATTCGACAGATACGTTCTGGATTATGACGAGAATTTAGAGATTTAATGTTGAGGGCGTATAGAAGAATGGAGCAATCGGGAAAAAGCTTAGTGAGTAGATAAATCGGCTAGTTTTATAAGTAATTATTACGCTCGTTAGAAAACAGCCGGTGTTTTTGACAGATGGCGTTAGTATAGGCGGTTATCTACATTGTTTTCTACATGTTTAGGCCAATGTACAAATGTAGAACAATTAATTCTCTTATCGAACGTGTACAGTCGCGCGAGAGTCGCAGCGGAAATTCGAGATCTCAATAAAAGTTTTTTGGCTATTTGACTAGAGCTGTAGATCGCCTGTTATTCTCGCCACGTAGTACTCAAAGGATATTATACATTAACTGTTCATTCGTTGCTGTTATTCGGGCCATGTATCAAATCGCCTCAACCAACTATAACCAATTGGTTATGCCATTTCTTGATCCGTCTATGGCCGCTGCTAGTATGAATAATCAACCGAGTGTTACATTCGAAACTCAGGTAATTTTTACTATTTGGTTTCCCCAGTCCTATGAGTCAACTTTTTAAAGGGTTGTGACAAAACAATATTTAATAAAATACGTAAAAAAAGATGTCGCCACTGAACTTTTAACACGCTGAAGATGGCGTCCATGTCGGTCTGCTAGCCAGAACGAGCTATAGCCGATTTCGATGGCTGCGGCCGCCACGTTGAAGAGGTGAGATTGCGTAAATAAAAGAATGAACGGCAGAGAAGGTCAGTACGACGATCGGTCGTTTCCAAACTACGGAGCAACGGCCCCGTCTCAAACGGCCTACAGAAAGGTGAGAAATTAGTGGAACCGGAATCGCCTACGAAAGTGTCATGGCGGAGTCGGACGTGTCGCGACCTAACTATTTTCGCTATTTTCTATGCTTGGTTTCGAGCTAGTTTCCAAATCTAACGTACTCGATAGAAAACAGCCTCTATTCGGGATTCATACAATTTTTCTGCCTTCAACATTTGGCAAAGAGAAAGCTCTTTTTGCTGGGGGTTGGTTTATTACAGGCCGATTATCGTCATATGATTTCCGGTTTTTATTAACTTTAAACTAGGGTCAATTTTTTTTTGTTTTGCTTTCCGCTATTTTCGGATTAATTATAAAATGCCGGCAGTTAAAGCTATGGAAGGAAATGGCTGGACTAACGGGTGTAGAGGGATAGGGGCGGTTACGTAATATAGGCTAGAGGTAGTAGGGGAGTAACGTCGGTGTCTGGCGTACCCCTAGACCGGTTAACAACGTTTCCAGGGTTACCGGTATCGTGTTGCGACTTTGGTCTAGCTGTAACTTAAACAATACTATAGTATTGAGGAAACAGGCAGGTGCCTATAGGCGTGTCTATAGTGTCTCGCGTAAAAGAGAATTCAATTGTGTTGGGCACTAGTAATTCAATTTCCGGGGTGCCGGCCTATATTTTGACTAAAGGAAGGAGGGCATTTCGATACCTTTTTACTTTCCATGTGCCTTAAAAATATTAATAAAATAAGAGAAAGACAGCTAAAGATAAAAGTGTTTATTTACACAAAACAAATAAGACTTGAATATTTGTGATAGGTTAACTTTTTGATCAGCAGAATTTTTCGGCGACTAGAAATATGCCGGCTGCCAGCCCGAGTGCAAGTTCTTCGAAGAGCTATGGTTCGGATACTTTAAGCACAACGAACCTTTATATTAGAGGATTGAATGTAAACACGACGGATAAGGACTTGTTGGCACTCTGTTCAAAGTTTGGAAAAATCAATTCAACCAAGGCTATCGTTGATCCCGCAACAAATAAATGTAAAGGGTATGGATTCGTTGATTTTGAAAACCCACAGGCAGCTGAAGCAGCTGTGAAAGAATTACAGTCTACTGGAGTTCAAGCACAAATGGCTAAAGTTAGTAAGGCTCAAGAGCAAGATCCAACCAATTTGTATATTGCGAATCTACCGGTTGTCTACACCGAACAAGACCTTGAGAAGATGTTCTCACCATACGGACAAGTCATCAGCACTAGGATATTGAGGGACCAGAGTGGAACTAGTCGTGGTGTTGGCTTCGCAAGAATGGAATCTAAAGAGAAATGCGAACAGATTATACAAGCATTTAACAGCAAAATTGTTGCAAATGCTCAAGAGCCACTGAATGTTAAATTCGCTGATTCCGGTCATAAGAAGAGAACTAAACCAACCAATATACCCCACCAGTGGACCGAATATAGGGCACAGGCGGATATCCAGGGTTACCCGATAGGCATACCCTTCCCGTTTGATCAACATCCTCAGAATGGGTAAGTTGATTAAATTATAAATTTCCGCTATTCCCCATTATCATTTTTAAAATTATCGTATAGCTCTACTCGGAGTGAAAGGTGACCGATTCTTGTGTTGCTAAAAAAAATTTTAATTTTTTCATGAATTTGTTTCACACCACTCTTATATTTTCCGTATGTTTCGAGTGCTGTGGTAAAAAACAATTTCTCACTTTAAAAACCAACAATCGACAATTTTTTTTCTCCGTTTTAACGATCGATAGTATATGCAGATGTTGGACAGTCGAATTAATGAAATAAAAAAAAGCATGTGTCTGTTTTTTTTCTTTCCCGTAGTTGATTAGATAGTTAATAGTCGTCTCGCTCTAGCTAGAAAATTTTTACTTAAATGTTAAATCACTTAATGTACTCTTTCTTTTTCAGTATGCCACAAGTTCTGACGCCTCCAAACATGCGTTATGCTCCAGCAAATTTGGGTTATAGTCAACCGCTTGCTGCAAGTAATCCGTGGATGTATCCAAATATGATGCCGACTCATGCAGCTATGGCACCGGTAAGCTGATCTACCTTTTTTTTATTAGAGATAGATATTTTTAAATATTACAAAAAAAAATACCAGATTAGTAACTTAAGCAGATAATTTAGAAAGCCGATGTTGTCCTATTAACACTGATAACATAAATATCAGTTAATTACTATAAATTGTATTTTATAAAACGTTTACGTAGGGAGCAAGAATTGATAAAAGTAACAATAGATATTGAATTAGAATAGTTTTAGGAAATACGATTTCCTTAACATGTGCTAATAGGCTAATATAAGATTACTAAGAATTGTATATGTAAGAGCGCGCATGCTAGCATGTATTACAGCAGTAACTAGAGGGCGCATGGCTTGCCTGCAGGTGGCGGGCGGAAGCAATATACCGACAGCAGCTTCGCCCGGAACGGGAATCGACGCTCACCTCTATTCTCAGATGAATCAACTATCGTTAGATGCCCGAGACCCAGCTGTATCAACGGGTGCCCATATTTGAAATGTTTGTTTTCTCTTCACTCTTCGCCTTTCTTCCGCGTCCTTTTTCTTGATTTTTCGGAATTATCCGATCGTTGTGAAAAGTTGTTTTCTGTAAATAGGAAGTGAAAAAAAAAAATAATAAAATTGTTCGCGTGAATGAGTGATATGATCGTGAGTATTCTAATAATGTTCAAACGTTTTCATTTGTTTGCGTTCCCGGCCGAAAGCCGTTGTGTTTTCATTTTTTTCGTATCGCATGTGTGAAAATGTTTGTTGTGGTTGATAAAAAAGGTTTTTTTTCTTTGCTCTTGGGAAGCACAGCTGGCTGTGTGTTGGTAAAACTGAAGGACTCAGTGATATCAAGCTCGTTTGGGCGGTTGTCTTTCACGTAATTAATTGGTAACAATGTACCCTGCGTATAGATTTGTAAAATGTCTCTGAAACTGCAAAAAAAAAAAATTGATAAAAAGGAATTTGATGAACACGCCTAATTCGGTCGATTTGTATTTTTTTTTTCCGTTTACGCCTAACTTATGAAAGGTGTCTGTTTTATATGGGAAAGGAATAACGTGTATTATGTATTACTCCAATTATGTTCTTTGTTCATTTTTGAAGAGTTTTATTTTTGTGAAATCTAGTTTATATTCATGTAGATGATATTACATATAAACGAATGTTATGCCCGCTAGGTAAATGATAAAACTGCGCGTTTTTTAAGCAAGAATTATAAAAAATTGAAATACAGTTGTACATAAGTGTACATTCCTGATGTATACAATCTTGTTAGGCTGAAGGACTTGCTTGTTTTCGTTTTGCTAGATTCACATTCCTATTCATATGTTTTAAAGGAGTTGTTTATTATTAGGAAAAATTGAAAAAGTTTGTCTGTTGTCGCTGATATACCGATTCTTTATTGGAATTTACAATTACCATTATTATCCTAGTCCATATTGAATTGAATATTACCGACAACTTTCCAAGCTGTTTTGTGAATACGATTTATTTTGTTTATTGTCCGCGTCTTTTATATAATCATATTTATGAAAATTGTTCCGTTACCGATATATACGTTAGCCCCTATACAAAGCGTTACCGAGAAAAATGCAGAAATGTGAAAACTGTGATGGTCAAATGATATGTTAATGAAGGTATTTAGAGCATGTATAGCCAGCTGTATTTAAGTTTTAAGAAAACAAGAAAAACGAAAATTTGTTCGTCTGCTGTGACTCTTGTCGTTCCGCATTAATTGAAAGAAGAATAATACATTGTTGATAAGTCTAAAAATTTGTTGAATTTTATTTATTTATTTAATATCGGTGGTAAATCGTTGATTTACAATATAAATGAAAACAAGTATTAGAGGATAACTATTTGGTGGATCTATGATTTATAGTTTTAAATATAGTAGAGGAACTTTTAAGAAGAGTACGATTATCCAAAGGTAAATTATACACTTTGTGGTGACTTTCTTTCCTCTTTTTTTTATTATGATAGTTTTCTTTATTTATTTACAACCTATTTTTATTACATATATATATATACTATATATATATATTACTTTTTTGCACGCTTTCTTAATACTTCATTTATTTTCAATTGTGCACATTCTACCTCGGGAGATAATTATTCGTAATGTATCAAATATATGTAATCTATTTACGTCTGATAAGCTTGCTTGTCTCTTGATGACTATTACGTTTACTGTTTATTCAAATATTTATTAACTGATTGTCTATTCTGTTATAGCATGATGCATTATGTTTTTTTTATTTAGAAAAACTATGCATTTATCTATTTGGAATTATTGTTGGTGTCTATAGTCCTTTTTCTATCTGTTTTTATTTACATATACATATATATATATATATATATATCTACTTCTATATATATACATATACATACATATATTTGCAGTATATATTCAATTATAAATTTTTGCATGCTTCTTTTTAAAAAGTAAATTTTGCTTCTTTTTTTTTTGGCTTCTTTTTTGCTTTAAAATAATTTTTTATTGCGCATAATCGGGTTATTTGATCCCATTTAAGTTTTGATTTTATCAACTTTTCAAGTCATAAAACTTTTTTCAGTATGTGCCACTAGGTGGAACTACCCCTGCTCTAGCGTTTCCAGCACCAACCGTATGGTCTGGATTTACTGCTTTAGAGGTATGGACGGCAAAAATATTGCTTTGCTTAATCAATTAATTGTACTTGATTATTTTTTTGTTACATTTAACAGGAAAATGCAATAAGCGCTGCCGCATCGGCAGCTGGAGCTGAAACCTAAAACTGCAAATAAAAATATAACGTTAATGATGATGCTATAATCTAGAGAGTAGTCCTATGTATGGCTGCTAATCTAGAAAATGTACATCCGAGCTTCATCTTTTAAAAGTTCATGAACATCTACGTGGTCAAAAATTTCCGCTTTATAATCTCCTTTTCATTTTAAGTATTGTCAGAATTTTTATATTTTCAGCAATTAATTCTAATTTTGTGGGAATTTGCCGACATGTTTTTTACTTGTTCAATGATCTGGTTCGCTTTTTTTGTCTTAGTGTATAATTTTTTTTTATTTTAAGAAATCATCATCCTTGTTTTTCGGTTGATCAATACAATTTCGTGTATTTGTGAGTTGATTATTAATTGGTCTATTTTACAGTTAATTAGCTATATTTACTACGGATATATAATGCTGTTAAACAGTATTTAAAAAGTATACATATATCTCTATTCGAATCTTTTTTCCCCTTGATTTTAAGTATTAGAAGGCATTCACGACTAGATAACATCAGTCAAAAATTAATAATAACACTCAAAACTCATCGTCAATTTCTATTTCAATTTCGTCCTCTTCATCACTGATCTCATGTACGAGTATGTCATTCTTAGGTTCTTTATTTGGGAAATTAGATGTTTCTAACGTCTGTAAATAAGCCTTTACTTCGGCCCCGCCGCTCGATAGAGCAGAAGACTCACTTCGAGAACTTTCAGCCTTTCCACATTTGTCGTCATGATGGGAGCGCATATCTTCGAGAGTCTGTCTTCTTAAATCTTCTATTCCTTCCAGTTGTTTGCTGTCTAGTGCGTCTAATATATCGGTTTGTAATTTTGATGCAATAGTCGAGCGAGTCCTGGGAATGGGGCAGGAGTTTTCAGTGTCGGTATCGGATTTCTGTTTTATTAAATAAATTTAGTAATTAAATATGAAACAAAGTCTGCGAATTTGGCTTACCAATAGATCATCTTGAATGCTATTCTCAGATGAATCTGTAAAGAACATATGAGGTTTTTCCGGTAATCCAGAAGCGCCAACAAGAGCGTTTACCCGAAATTCCATTTCTTCTACTTGATATTTTAGCTCAATGAAATTGTATTCCTAAAGTATATGAAATTATATATGTCTAATCTCCTTTATCTACTAATAGTTGTTCTACACTCACCACCTTCCATCCTTTTTCCGATTCGAATTTCGAACCGTCACTCTTTCTTGCGAGCAAGTCTTGAGTTTGTTCAGCGAACTTTTTCCAGAGAAATCTGAGATCAATTTTTGGTGGGCGAGGTATATATTTGTATCTTTTCATATGGTAAGTGATAACTGAAACGCTCTGTTTAATAAACACAACAAAATTACAGTAAAAGGATTTTACTGAACGTCTAAATATTTACAAAGGCGGTGAAAAGACCACCAACGAAGATGAGGAATGACAAGATCATTGTTTGAACACCATAGTCTTCTAGTTGGATATTTTCTATTGGATATTTCCCAGATAATAATTTCGTCCAAGCCAATAATGTTCCTTCTATAGTTGCAAAATCGGCTATTACTGCTCCGTAAGCGGCCATAGATAGGCTTACGTACGCAGTTAGCATAAGAATGAGAGAAATCTGTATAAATAGACAGAAGAAGAACAAAAATACGTAAAAAGGCTCATAAAAAACGAACGAAATAGAATACTTACGGCCAGCACTACAAAATCAGTAAACGCATGATAATAGACTCTGGCAAATTTTTCAAATAGCGCAAAAAATTGTAGAATTTCCATTAATCTAATTATTGCAAGGAATGATAAAATGCCCAATTGAACATTGATACCCAGATCCCAGTATGCTACTCGTCCAACATCAACAAATTCTTCGTTAGAGTAACTACGGAATCTCTCAATCGTTTCTCTAACGAGAACAAATCGCAGAACTATAGTAATGATGAAGGATATACCGCAAACGCAAAAAACCAACTGAAAAAGAAACAAATTAACATTTTTCATTCCATAGTAATAATTCTAACTAAACTAACGTTTAGGCAATTTGATAGGTTTTTTATGTAATTCTTCCCAGACGTAGAAAGTAGAACAATTTCGTCCTTGATTTTATAAACGATGACGAGAATGAGTATGAGCTGTTATATTCATTTAAAGGTTTAATTAATTAATACTGTATGTACTGAATATATATATATATATATATTACTAATACGTATGTATACAAAAGTATTTATACTAATAATTAACGTCTTCCTTACTTCGCATGCGAGTACAAAATTATCCCAGTAAGAGATATACTTGTATAAGTAAGTAGTGGAAATTTGAACAAAACAAGATGCTTTCCCTGTTGGAGGCCGTTCTGTTATCAATTTTACGGTGCTGAACAGCGAAGTAGGGGCGTGTATAAGCGTAAATTGCAGTGCTACGGCTGAAGTACGATCGTCAATCCACTTTTCTTTTTGTAATCGATCTAACTTTTCTATAGATTCGGTTCTATAAAAATTTTTGTTTAAAAAAAAAAAGCAAAAGTAGAAAGGAAAAGAATTAATGATTATGGTGAAGAGAGTATATCTTACAAATTCTTTCCTAATCTTTGACCGTAATCGCTCTTTCCATAGTATCTATTGCGAAACCAAATGGGATAATCATCGTTGAATTTTCTATCGTTGAGTGGTGTTGAAAGATTTTTCCGGACTTTAGCGTTGCACAAATTACGGTAATCGAATGGTAGATTACAACCCTCGTCTATCGGTCGATTGTGCCATTGCGTTAAGACAGGGCGACCTATTAGATGCCAAACTGCCTGGGTGTCGAAGGCATTTTGCATGCTATTACGTGCGTGATGCCACCAAGTAGTTGAGATTTCTGAATTATATAGTGAAGACCTAGGATTACAAGAACATAAACGGTTTATCGTGCAACGATTTACTATTTAATACAGACGGATCGAATTGCGACGATAAAGTCCTATTCAAATTATATATGGCCGTCTTATCTTTCCCAAATGCAATAAGGCAAGTCAAAATAAGAATTAGTGATACGTTCGCGCATTTTCTGTAAAGCGATAAGATAAAAAGGCGTAACTGCAATGTTTAATCGAGCCTGTTTTATACTTGACGAATCGTATAGTTGCGCTTTCCTTTACCAACTTCTTTCGCGATTTTGCTAACTTATCCTCCTTAGGTGGCCGGATGTAACGCAATTGCCTAGATTTCTTACGGTCGTCATAGGCCTGATCTAAATCGAATGTTACTTTCTTTGGGCTCTTTGATCGTCGGACAATCTTTGAGAATAAGTCTTTATCGTCAATCGATTCGTAGGCTTTTAGACTATTGCCATATTTGTAAGCTATCCGTAAGGCTAGTAGCAAAATCTGCAAGAAGAAAAGAAAAACTGCTTTTGCATCAAGAAAAACAATTATCTACCGCAAAAAGAAACTTTACGACTTTGCTCGACATTCTTACGCGGCAATAAATCAGATTTTTTCGTTGTTTACACTTACTAGGAGCGGATGTAGGACAAAGACGCACGATATTAGGCTGAAGACGACCGACTGTAGCCATTGAATCGCTTTGCTTTTACCAAATCTGTAAAATGCATTCGGCATAATAAGTGCGTTGCTCTTAGCTTCGAAACCGATAAGGATCCGGCTGTAGCGTCTCACTTATCAGGGTTCCATTTATGCGCTTATAAACGTTATCCAGATATGCGTTGGCAAATGTTATTAATATTAATATTAGTAATATAAAAACTGCTCATTAATAATTTTCTGGCCAATTTCCCATACTTACTGCATTGTAAAGAGCACAACAGTTGCGCAAGAAAGACCAATAACGGTTAGGCATAAAAACCAGGCTATGTAAAGTGTACAACGCGGTAGCCAACAGCGTACAAAACGGGTTTCTACGTGTAGCGTATCTGTTGGAGGAATTAATTATTTGTTATCAGTGCTAGTTGATTGATTTCCTCCGTACCGGTAGGTGCGACTATGGGCTCGTCCTCGCTATCGCCGTTCATTTTTAACCATTGTTTTTCAGCCCATTGCTGTTGAATCATGTTTCAAAAAAAAAGCAATGAGTTTGATTAATTAATGTTAAGGTAAAAAAAAAAAAGCCTATACACGTGAGAAACATATGGTACCCGATGGCCAAGCCAAACGCCTAAGTATATACGCATTAGGTGAAGCGCAAACAAGACCGGCTTTTTACGATGGCCGTAAAGCGTTTTATCGCGTTCCGTACCTGCAATTTCTGCCAGCTAATCAAAGTCTCGTCAAATATAGACGGCAAGCTGTTAGCAGCTGCTATCGTCTCTTCATCATCATTTTTTACGCCGTCTTCGCCATTGCCACTTTCTTGGTACTCTTTCTTTATTTCCATTTTGACAACCGTCCGCCTGAACAGTAGTATAAGTAACAAATTGACAGGTGCCGCAACAAAAGGCGTTAAAACACCAACGATAAGAGATCGGTACGATAGATCGATAAGACCCGTATGGGCTCTAAGTTCTGGTGGAATAGGTTTATAGAAGGCAGCCGACAATGCCATATAAGTAGAGAATAAAGCTAGGCAAACCGACAAGCGCTGTGCTCTTGTAAAACGTTGTGTTGGAGATTTAGCACAAAGAGACAACCATAAATGATAATCGGTAGAGTAACCTTCGATTTTCCATTTGATAACTCTCCAAAATCCCGGTGCTTTTTCCATAGCATTTAAATGAACTTCAACATGGCCATCCTGTTTATGGGCAGCTAGCCAACGTTCACATGGAAAGCAGTAAGTTCTCTCCTCAGTTGCATCAAAAACTACGACTCTTGACAAAAACCAAGACGGGTTTCTACCGTCATTATCATGCCATATATGAACTTTATATAACGTTCCGATATGTTGAGTCGATGTTAAAACGAAGAAATTACGAGAATTTCTCTTAAAAATGGATTCCTCATTTTCATCTTGACCAGTGGCCAGGCGTCGCGTTTCTGTGCAACCTCTATCGCCATGAAGACAAACACTAACTGTAGCGCTTGTTCCCGCCGAAGGCCTAGCACCTGTTTCCACGCAAAGAATGTACATTGACTCATCTCCACTTCCGTTATCTGCTAGCTCGATGGCCTCATCCTGGGCTTTTTGCGAACTACGCCTGTCCAATGAAATGCATATGAAGAGACAAATGGAATACAAGGTCAAAACGGATAAGAGAAAGCCAAGAGGCAATGGATTGGTTTTCAAATCGAATAAATCTTCCAAGTCAAACTGTTTAACTGTATTCGGAGCAAAATTTAACGGAGTTGCGAATGAAGTGAGATGATTGCAGCCACACAACGTTTTTTCAGGTGTCGATGACGATAGCACCCGGCAGCCTTGAGACGACCATGTAAACTCAGGCGTTCGCCACACACACGACGCCCACCAAGTTCTCAAATGATACGTCCTCGTATTTACTTGATCGACATGGGGAGTCTTTGAATTGAGAGACGCTTCGACGACGGCGATAAAATATGCAGATTCTGTTTAAGAAGAGTTAAAAGAGCTGTGCACTAGTGTTAAACTAACCATTCGTAGCTGGTAGCATCCAATCCAAAGTCGAATCTTTCTTCGAAAACGTCTTCTGACTGTCACTATCCCACGTTCGGACGGAGGGGGAACTCCCTGCTCTGATAAAGAAGGAAGAAATGACGTTCATCCGGTACACCTGAATCCTTGCTCACCACTTGCGTGGCTTGAGCGTGGTTTGAGGTGTTTCTGCTGAACGCGGTGATAGATAAAAGACAGATGAGAAGAGAAGAAGTGGGCAGAGCGAAGTAGATAGCTTAATGTTAGCTCAAGCGTCCCAAAGTTGAAAATTAACGTTGCAACAGCGTCGAAAGCAAACCACCTGAAACTTTGCTCACCTTCCTTCTCAAAGGTTTGGCAAAGCGTCAAGCAGTATGCGTACGCGCCTATTTTGTCAGGCTAGCTGCTTGTGTAACTACTGGGTTAGCAAAACACACACTTTCCACCTCTTTCACTTACCTAGCCACTAATTTAATGTCGAAACCGATTTCTCCATCTTTCAATCCCTCCAACTCCAAACGAACGCGCAAAACTCTATGCTCAAATGCAGGCACTCGATGAATATTTAATTTACGGCGGTCTAAAGTGAACGGTCCAGAGCGAGCAGGCAGTTTCTGATCTTTAGATGTCGTTGGTAATTCTACAACTATCTCCTTTTTCAAGTTTTTTACTGTCACTTCTCTGGGAGTGGCACTTTCTGAGTTTTCATCGCATTGAAAGAGTGTTAAAGATGAAACAGAACCATCTAGCTGTTTGGGAAGAAAATCAATAGAGCAGTCTTAAATAAACAAACTTACTAGTCTCGAGTAGGGATTTGACTCGTAATAAACGAGATGCGCCTGCAAACATGAGGACCGCCCAAAAGAGAAGGTCGACGTTGGTGGCAAAAAAAAGGCGGAATGATCAGTCGCTCGCACTACGTTTGGCAATACTGCGTAGCGGCCTGCTAGTGTCGACAACGACGCCGTCTGTCGTCCGACTGCCGCTTCCCCTGGAGTGCGCAGCATCACGTCGGCGTTAAGCAAAGCGCCTTCCAACAATTTTGTAGCCTCTTCAATCACAACTGTTTTATTCGTTGATGACAATACATTTGAGGCAGCTACCAGTGATTCCGCAATGATACCATCCTCTAACTTATTACTTCCGGCAGCCAAACGGTACAGCTCAGTTGTTGTCCTCTCTAAAACTCGCAGCGTAAGGGCGGCGCTCTCTTCTCTAAGACCATTCGTTGTCGTTTCCGCTAGAGCGGTTGCGGTCTGCTTTAATTCGAACTGCGTACGGCAAGGTAATTTGTCGAGGGTGCTGACGAGCTGGTGACGCGTGTCGGTGGCGTCAGTTTGTCGGCGGTTCAATGCTGTGGCTACTAACTGCGCGTAAGAACGCACAGCCAATCTATCCCCTTTAGATACTAATGAAACCAAATGATTATCGGTCGCAATAGCTTCTATTTTTTTTTCACTTTTCGAAACATTAATAGAAATTTGACAAATGTACGTTTTAGCACCGTTGTCGTCCATAATTGAGGGATGCAATCTGTTTAATCCTGTGAAGAAAAGAAAATCTGTAATAAGTTCAACTATAAAAATGTGTTCACTCTTCTTTCAAAGAGTAACGCCAAGTAAAATGTCGATGCACGCAACCGACAGCCAACAATCAATCACAATACATTATCAACACCCAAACACGCACAAGGGAAATCAATAATTATAGAAACTTTACCGGCCGGCAGTTGAAAAGCGATACTCTGATCCAATCCTTGATAAACTGGAACAGTGACTTCATTATTTTCGGACGAAGTGTAGCTTAAACCATAGTGAAGTGGATAGTCCTAAAAAGTTTAATCGGAAGCTTTTAAATTGGAACGATCGACTAAAGACTTTTAATTACCTCATCCTTCCAACCAGTGCAATGTAAGATAAACCAAGTTTCCATTTCCACCCCAGAATCCTTATCCAATTTACAAATTCCAAGCATTGGACTATCGTTGACCTTTAAATAAAATAGTGCTGATCCTTTTCTTCCAGTAGACCTTTCCGAAATAGAAACTTCCACGAGATATTCGTCATCTGGTTTTAAAAAGTTCTCCTTTATTACTAACAATTTTCCCCGTAAGCCAGTAGTTGTGTGATCGTTTCTTATATTTATTTGCAACTTTCTCTTCCGTAGAACGTGCTCTTTAATAATGACAGGTTTGTGATCGTCCACTGCACCATCTCCGGGAGGCGAACCTTCTTCCGGTAACGGTTCCGGTTCTGGTCGTTGCCCATCAGTCGGTAATTCTTCAGGTCTTCTCCTTCCGCTAGGTCTCTCCTTGATATTAGGAATTTTAAATTCTGACCAGGAGGAAATGGTAGTTTGTTCATTGGCTTTATTATAATCCACAGTTGTGGCTGTCGTGAAATCTAAAATATTGGAGAGACAATGTAACATTTGTACTAATTTTAACCTAATATACCTTCTCGGCCAGGGGCTTTAGTCGTATTACTTCCGTTGCTTGATTCCGTCGTCTGATTGCCGTGTTCGTAGTTAAAATATGACGAGCCATCTGCTAGGATACATCTAGATTGATCGTCAACTAAAATAGGCTTTTTTCCTGACGGAACTTCAAATAGATTCCATTCGTAGACAACATTGTCAATATTTTCGTGGTTGGCCACCAAAACCAGACGATCGTTGGCGTTGATTTGCGGCGACAGACAACTCTGGCACTTAATGTAAACATCAATATTTCCACTCGACACAAATCGAATGACTTGCGAATTCCAGGTCGAACGTCGACCATATTTAGAGATTGTTACATTTAATACAAACTCAGAGGTATTCGAATGGAAGAGAGAGCCATTCAAGTTTAAAACTTCATTACCAAAAGAATTTATATCCACTTTACTATCAATGAAGCAGCCAGCAGCTAAATCGTTTAATGAATAGCAACTCCATTTGAAAGTTAATGAGCCATTCAATTCATCAGGATCGTAAGAATCAGAGGAGTCAATAATAATTGTTTCATTTCTATTAAAATCACGTCTTGTACCTCCTTTAATATTTGAAATTAATTTACTCGGTACTATTTGACGAAATGTTCTAGCCCGACTGACAATAATTGTGTCATTCAGTGAAACGTGTAAATCAAAAGTGTAATTGCCGTAATTTAAACAACCGGGTGGCAATATTAAATCTTTTTCTTTCAAAAGATTGTTCGATATACATCCAATGTCGACGGCTGTGCCACTCGTCGCGTTGCAAACACTCCACGAGAATTTAGCCACTTCAGATATTGAACAGTTTATGCTTACTCGAGTTTCGATAATCAATTCTTTAGAGCGCGCAACCTAAATCCGAAAACGAAATGCCTGTCACTAACATTCCCTCTCGTTTTTATAAACAAAAAACAGCTAACATATGTTATAACTAATTATCATTTAGTTTACCTTAGAATTCGTTAAACCTAAAACCTTTACTTCGGGCAAAAGGCAATGTTCCCGTGTAACGAAAACGTCAACTGATGTTGTTACTTCGCCGAGAGGATTTCTCGCAATCACAGATACAACGTACTTCTTTTCTCTGCATACAAAACAAGCGCAGCTTAATAGACAGAAAGGGAAAAAAAGAGAATTACTCACTCATTGAATATTCTCCACACTTCTCGCGAAGTAGTTGTTAAATTATCCGAACTGTCGCCAAAATTCCAAACATATTGCACATCGGAACCCTAACATATAAAATATATGCAACTAGGCCAAACAATTTAACAATCTTTATAATACTTACAAAATAATGCCAAGCAACAAAAGAAATTTTCTCGCCGACTATTTTAGCAGTATTTTGCAGTCTTATGGTTAAGTCAGTTGATATTCTAGCCATAACACGTACTCGGAAGGGATCTGAGGTCACGCTTCCAAAATCATTCGTTGCTTTTGCGACAACCAGATGCCTAAGTGTACGAAAATAATGTTAAAAAGAGAAATTGATGGAAAACAAAGGCTTACTCATTGGGTGTGTTATAAATAAACGTAAAAAGTGGTATTGCCGTCAGCTGCTCAGTAGCTCCTCCATTTACATTCCAGCTGTAGTACTTCACCAAAGTCTTATCTGAAGGTGGTCTAGTTTCAACTTCAAATCGAACCAATTCACCAATCGGTACAACGTTAGGTCCAGTTAGTTGTATTCCTATAAGCCTCTTTTGTACTCTAATGACTACAGTTTCTGTAATAATACCAACAAGATTTTGAGCGGTAACAGTAACTTGATAAATGCCCGTTGTTTCGTATACATGACTCGATACACTTCCTAAGAAAAATTTAATTAATTAATCGAATTGCATATTATATACGAAATATAATTTTCCTATTATTTACCCTCATCAACTTTCCCATCTTGCCAATCTATTGTATAGGAGACGTTCGATCCCCTTGCAACGGATGCCCTTATCCAGGTAGCATTACCTAAGAGCACAGTTTTACTGTTTACATCGACCGTTAGTTGTTCCGGCTCTCTCTGCACTTTAATAGTACCTTTCAGCATCGCGCTTCCAAGTTGATTGCTAGCGTTTATCGATACGGAATAAACGCCGGCTGTGTGTATATTGCCGTTAATGTCGTCACTCAACTGTATATAAAAATTATTTTAATTTACCTTTATAATAGAAATGGCGAATTTGTGCTGTAAGGAAGTAGTCATTATCAATAACTGGAAGAGTTACTGATTGATTATCTCCAAAATTCACTAGAATCCTAACATCCGTACCCGATTGCATAATTACTTGAAATTGGACTGGATCAGATACACCTGACACAGAAGGATCAATAGAATCTCGAAATGGTATTCCAATTACAGTGTCATTTCCTTCCAGAAAATGAATGCTGACATATGCTTCAACATTCTTTATAGGATCCATCATAACTACCTTATATGGTAAACTGCGACAAACTCCCTTCAGTTGCAACCGACTGGTTACACAGACTTTTATTTCGTAAGCTCCTGTAAGTTGATATACTTTTCGGACAGTACTCGATGTGGCATTGCCAAATATATCGTCTGCCCCTGTTAAATCATTCATATCCCATTCGAAAGCCAAATCCTTCCCCGAGCCCACAGTAGCTGTAACTTGTATTCCTAATTCACGATCGATGTACAAGTCAGATGGAACGGCTTGTAAGCTAATATTGCCAATAGCTTCCTCTACAGTTGCTGTTGTGCTAATCCAAGTTCTGTCAACAAGATTCGATACAAATGCACGTACCCCGAAAGTTCCAACATTTTTATACTGGTGTCTGACAAAATAGGTAAAAGATGAGTCTTCGCCTAATCCCAAACCCCTTGTGGAGTTGAGTGAAAACGAGTCCTTTTTCAATTTTGTGTCGTCACCAAAATTCATATTTAATGTGAAATTGTTTGTCCCTTTTATAATTAGTGTAAATAGAGACATCTGACCAAGAACGACAGGTTCCACACGCAAGCGTACGCTATTAATAGGATATTGAACCTGCACAATTCGCTCTAGCACCCGCTGGCTTACATCATTTTTAACAATTACTGTAATAGCATGAGGACCCTTCGTTTGAAAAACTGCCGTCATTTTGTTTCTAGAGGTCCATGGGAAACTGACAGTGCCTATAGTCCACTTATATAGTAAATCAGTAGCAAATTCGGCCAGAACCACATAAGTAAAATTGACGGTTTCCGACGAATTAATTGACAAGGCTGACGGACCTTTTAAATCCGCTTTACCTATTGGTTCTTGAATATGTACTAAACTCTGGACCATTTTTATCTTTGATCCTTTAAATTCTGCTGTCACTTGATAAATTCCTGGTTTTTTATAACTATGTTGAAATTGAATATCTGTACTAAACATAAGTTCCTGTTTTTCTCCGTCCCCATATGAAACAAGTATATTAGATTTTGGGATTATCAAAAGCCTAAAACTAACAGGTTTTCCAACCACTTCGAACGCCTTGTGTGCCAAACAAGGAGTGTCTAACACAGGATGAATAGGACAACCGGTCGAAGATACAACTTTACTCACTTTGTTAGATGCCTGAAGCGAAACATTTGCGGTTGACCGATCAGGTAAAATAACCGGCTGAAAGAGAGGTGACTTTGACGTTGTAGTTTTGTTATTATAAGTCCACTCATACTTCGCATCATTGCGCCAAAGAAGATTTGCTTTGGACGCCCTAGGGCAATCTTCGTTTAATTGACCATTAAATATAGCCGCGAATATGTTGAAATAGCCGCTTGTTAAAGCATTTACAACAGCTACTTGAATGTCATCTGGTATAGTATCTTCAACTTCAACATATAATACTTGAGTTTTTGTTGATACATGATTAAAAACAGTAACTTCTACACTATGAGTTCCCGATTTAAGAAAAATATGCGAAATTTTGGCCGTTCCATTTGTGATTTTTCGAGATTCGTGGAAAATCCATCCATTGGTCGCAGCTTTAACCATAGGAGAAGTTCCTTCTAAAATTTTCACGAGCAGACTAAACCCGTTGAATCCGGATGCCACTACAAAGTGAGAAGGATGAACGGTTAGTCCAGCAACTGAGTCCTGAATTTCTACGATCGACGATACAGTTGCTCTAGAGACTTTATTTGAGATTTTCACTGAAATTTTGTAGTGACTGGCCTCAGAGTAGGATAAACGGCGCCTAGAGATTTTTCCAAAAACACTGCTATCGATCAGCGTCTTACCATTTCCAAAATCCCATTCGAACGTCAAATCTGTGCCAGTCGTCACGCTCGCGGTAACAGTTATGTAGGAGTCCACTAAAGCATATCGTGTGGGAGAAAGTAGCAACTTTGGATTGGCAACCGGTTCTTCAATTTTCACGCTAATCTCAGCCAATTGTCGACTCACTCCGTTAGATGCAATACATTTGATGAGGACCACTCGAGCCCAGTTTGGTGTCCAAGACAATTTAGGGTTAGAATTACTTGTGAAAGAGTAGATTATTTCATTATCCAAAGTTAGTATTTTCCATTCAAATTTTACTCTTGAAAGATCTTTATATCCGTTGGAAATGCGTGCTTGAAAAATTGAAGCTCTTCCCAAAGCTATATAATTTTCACCATCTATACGCACTGGCGGTAGCTTACTCTCGATAATTAAGTCTCGGTCGACCGTAATATTAACGTCAGCGACGAATGGAGAATAGAAGAGAAGCCTCGGTCGATATTTTCCTGCCGTCGAATAACGCAATTCGATTGTTTTCCGTAAATGGCAAGTCCGAGTATAATTAGATTGCGAATGCCGGAGGTCGCTAGACGTCAGCTTGATTGAAGATCCATCTCCCGAATCGATAACAAGAGACGCTCCCTCGATTGACGCCGTATAGATGTCGAACGCTAAGTGTACGGTCGAATTAACGGAGTGGACGGACGAAGGAGCCGTTAGGGAAACGTTGACCACTTGACGCTCTAAAGCCATCTGTGAATAATCGATAAGCATTTACACGCAATCGATAATCATCATTACACATACGCTAATGCGTCACCGTAGTTGAAAAAAAAGGGAAAAAAACTAGCGGACGATTAATCAAATTACACAATGCAGCTCCATACCGCAAATTAACATCAGACTATTGATCGCAAACGATATATGATATCGATTTCTTAGAAGTGCACACAATCCCAACAACGAACATTAGGCGGATAAGCATCTAAACGCATATGAATTGGCACTTACCAACGATAAGGCTGAGTGCACGAGTAGTTCGCCAGAGCGCACCTCAACTCTTACGTTATATTCACCGATCCGAGGAGGAGAGAACGCCTACGAGGAAAATAATTTATTATGTTAAATTATCAGGGAAAGGTCATAAGCTTACTAGACGGTCAGTCAAGCATCTCGAGCAGTTTGTCGATCGAATTTCTTTTCCATTTATTCTCCAAATCCAGTTCAGGTTACGGCCTGTGTCGGCATCCGCTTCTAGGATCAAACTCTCTCCAACAAGAGCGGTGGCAACATTTTCTACGGGTGAACACGATGTGGCTGTCTTGTTGGCTAAATCCAAATCGACAATAGATAAATAATGTGTCTTAAATGAGAAATTAGCCTTTGAACGAAGTTCTGAAAGCTCCGTACGGGCGAGCAAGTCTGGAAAAAAAGGCGGACGAATGAGAAAAGCTTCATTAAGGCGGCGTGATTGATCACTAACCGACGCTCAGCTGCCCACAAGATGGGGCGTCGAACGTTATAGCCGTTTGCGGTGTAGCGACTATCCTACTTCCGTTTCCCGCAACTTGTCCGCAAGATCTCCATTGCCATGATAGCTGAATTATTCGCCAACCGCTGGCAGAATCGTCAGGCAGTCCATCTTCGATTTCTCTCTCAAAGCCCACTAGGATAGCGAATGCTTTATCACCGCTAGATGGCGCTATGTTTATTCGAGAAAGGCGTGGTAGGCGAACGGTGTAGAGGGCGGCGGTGCCGCCGCAGGGTAGGGACAAGCCGACTTGAAGCGGACATCTGGCGAAAACGTGCCCAATCAAACGTTATCGGTAAAACAAGCACTTAAACATCGTTCGTTTTAAAACTGCGCGGCCGAGCCGGGGGCCTGCCAGTCAAGACAAACACATACAGTAAACATACCGTCAATTGTATGCACACACGCACCGACACTAATGTAAACAAACCTCTCACTACACGTTTTGACGTCCGACGAACCGTTCCAACGGCGGCAAGAGCAACGGTTATCAGAGCCTACTAGGACGTATGTGAAACTGTATGACAAGGAAAATATTCATAAGAGCTCTCAACAATAAACGAAACCTACTTCTTTTGTGTGCAATCTTGAAAACATTCTATCAACTGGCTTGCGTTCGAAACGTTCGTGCCGTCAGCGAATTCCGATACGTTCACACATCCAATATGCCAGGCGGCTGTCAAAGAATATTTCGTCAAATTAACTTTAGATGCTTTAAGACTTTTATTAACGTCTAGCCTACGGGCTAGAAACATTTTCTTGCTCCATCCAACACGATTTATATCCGATCTATAACATTACTTACCACTTTTGTTGCTATATTCCTTTTCTGTACATTCAACAGAATGAAAAGCTAGTAGCAGAATCAGCTGACATACGCGAATTAACGCCATTGTAGACATCAATCGGGAAACGCGCGCCACAAATTCATTTTATACGTTCATCATCTGCAACTTAATGCGACAGTCAATATAATTCATATAGTTCGCAGCTCGGAAGTAGTTCGGCTGTTATTATTACGCTGTGTTTGTAATAGCAGAGGTCGTAACTGCAGTACGATAGATGGCGCGCATAAATTAAAAAAACATAAATTTTGTATTAAAAAATAAACATTAATCAACGAAAAGTTTTCATTAAAAAAGATATTTGATGATAAAAACTGATGTTAAAACTGTTAATACAGTAGATAACTTGGAAGCCGACGTGTATGTTGCCGAATTGCATCCTTCTCCGGAGCACGTATATATACAAGCTCGATAAGTACGATCGTGATCAGGATAAGTAACATATTGACACTGATTTCCCATTCCTCTTGACGAACAAAATCTTGTGGTTCCAACTACACCACCCCAAACTCCCGTGGTTTTTAAGCAGTATGCGGCAGCATCCACTTTACATTCCGTAGGTTTTATCAACAGCTCATCTTTGTGAGCATGATCAAAAAATTCTTTGCAATCTGGATCCTTAGCTGAATCACACTGATAGCAATTCAATGATTCTCCTAAAAATAAAGTAATGTTGTTAAGTAAAACGAATTTTGCTTTTTTACAATTCGAAAAAGAACTTACCTATAATAGCCAAAGATAAAAAAAGTAATAACGAATATAAAGATTTAGTGTCCATTGTTTAAAAGCAGGCAGTTTGATTCTTACATACTAATTGTTTTATATCTGGATACAGGTAGTTCTTTCACCTGAGAATTAGTACCGGAAGTTAGTATGGTTACGATCCGAAAAATATATTTTCTCTCTAAACTTAACATACTTTACTCTTCACGTATTTATAAAATCATTTATATTGTAAACAAATGAAAAAAAAAGTTTCTTAGATTTCCAGGTACAATAATTCTTATAAGAAAAAGTTAAAAATAATGAGGTTCCAGTTCAGTTCCAAATCTGAAGAAGCGCGCTGTATGATTCATTAGCGGCGTTCTTTGTCTAAAAAAATTCACTTTTACCGTCCCAGAGAGTGTCCAGTCAGGGTTTAGCGCTTGGATCGGTTACCTCGAACGAGTTATCTCATCTTACCCTAATCAGAAGAGAATCTTCACAACTTTTATCCACGATTTTACCAGGAATAAATTTTAAATCAAGGTTTTAACATAAAGATGACTATAGATGATGAGCAACCCAGATCGGATGGAGAAACGCAAGAAATGCAAGAAACTGAAATGGAATCAGAAATAGGTACAGGTACGGCAACAGAAAATGGAAAAAAGCATTCTCCGTCACCTGAGGAAGCAAAAAAAGCTCTTACATCCAAAGAAGTAGATCAACAAGCTCAAGGCAAGTTTCCTTTAAATAGTAAAGTGATGAAAATTAATCCTATGACTATCATACTGTTGTTACATAGAAGGTGAAGAAATGAATCTCTTGAAAACTAATGGTACGATGGTGGAAATGGATGAAGAAAAGGGAGAGAATGGAGCTGACAATAGTCGAATAAAGATAGTTACCAGCGAAAAAAAGAAAAAACAAAGAAAGTGTTTATTCATCGGAATCGTCGTAATATTAGTCATAATTACAGCTGCCCTAATTGGAATGCTGGCCCACCACTATACTACAACATATAAGAAACTTCGTCTTGCAGTCCTATTCCAGGACAACATGGTTCTTCAACGAGAACCTCAGAGGGCAAGAATATGGGGCTATGGACCGTCGAGTCCAAAAAACCAGTCGATTTTCGTACAGTTAAAGAACAAAACAGGTCACATTGTTCAAAGCCAAACAACACAAACGGTTAAGACTGGTAACGAATATATTTGGTCTATATATTTGGAACCGATGAACAAAGGTGGACCATACATGATTGAAGTTCAATTGGAAGGTTTCAAAGAGGAGGTTTTAAAAATAAAAAATATTCTCTTTGGTGACGTTTGGATATGTGCTGGCGACGAAAATATGCAGTACACGCTACATAAGGTACGTAGGGAATTGGAACGCATTACAATTTTGTGTGCAATAATGTTTATTATCGACAGATGGGAAATGAATACGATGTTTTAATGTTAGCTAAACGGGCCTTACATTTACGGTTATTTTCTCTGTCTTCACTAAGATCTCGTGTACCACTCTCTGACATAAGAGATGTTGAAATACCCTGGTCATTACCAACAAAAGGTACTATCCACGTCTTGAGACTAGACAATATAATTATTTGTTTTCCGTACATTAACTTTTAGATGCATTATTTGGACAAGAACCGCTACCAGGCCAAATTGGATCACATTTTAGCTCTTTGTGCTTTAACTTTGGTAGGAAACTGTATCATGAATTAAACGTCCCAATTGGACTCATTTCATCAACGTTCGCCCATTCTAAAATCGAAGAGTGGAGTAGTACTGACTCAGCTAAAGAGTGTAATGAAGATTCTTTCAGGTTTGTATAAAAGTAGATTTTATTGGAATTTTACAAAACACAAACCTTGTATAACGCCTGCATTTAACATTTATAGAAACAGCCACACTAGTACCGTCTGGAATTCCATGATTAATCCACTGAAGATGCAAACCTTCAAAGGAATGATCTTTTATCAAGGTAAAGTACTAATGCTATAAATCACCCTATTCGCTTAGATTCATGACCTTTATTGCTTCCAGGAAGCAAAGATGCAATAGAAAGCACTTATGGACCAACATACGAATGTCTTTTCAAACAATTTATTACATCCGTTAAATCGGAGACAGATGCTTCTGTTGGCTTCATTCAAGTATGTTACCCGTAAAATTTGCTTCTTGACCCTTCATTAATCAATTATTACACAGCTTCCTGGGGCAGCTAATAAATATTTATACCACTACACTAATATTAGATGGCTACAGACGTCATCTTTCGGTTACGTTCCAAATAAACTCATGTCAGATAGTTTTATGGTTTCAGCTATTGACTTGCCAGCGTATAAACAATCAAATCCCAGGTAAAATAAATAAACAGTTAATGTAATTCAGCAATCTCTCATTAAAGTACTTCTTTCTCAACAGTTTTTTTGTCAATACAACGGACGTGCTGAGTGATAGATTAGTGTTGTCTGTACTCTATCATTCGTATCAATGGCAAAACGGAGCAAACTTGACTCCATATCCTATTGATATTCAGACCATTGGGAAGAATCTTCAAATAACTTTTCAATCGAACTATGAAAGTAACCCAGAAAGCATTGACGCGTTTGAGGTATTAATTATGCTTATTTGTCAGCTATATATCACACTTAAAACAATGTTTTGCAGATATGTTGCACTCCAAAGAATTTCACAGATCCTTGCCCTGAGTTTGGAAAAACTGGAGAAACCACGGGCGGATTTGTAAAATGGTTACCCGCACTTCTAGTCGAATCTCAAGCTCCATTCTTAAAATTGGGTGTTGATAGAGATTCCTGTTCACTGTAAGTACTTGAATATTTTTCTCTGCCTCCTATAATTGAAGTTTTTCTCTCTCCTTAGTGATAAGAAACTACACGGTATCCGATACGCGTGGAATGCCCAACCTTGCGATTTTGAAAAATGCGCTATCTACGGTGAATCTAACAAACTACCTACTGGACCTTTTTTGTATCCGAATCTAGATGAAAACCAGATAAGGAAAAGAATAATTATTAATCGCTTGTTTTCAAACTCAACAAAAGGAGTTTAACTTTGAATTAGTGAATACTATGGCTTTAGTTGTCGTTTTTGTTTATTTATGTCGTTTTTGTATTATTTACTATGCGTAAACGTTCCAAATGCTGATATTGCCGTCTTTTGAACCAAGATATATCAGATTGCTTTGAGAAATAGAGACACTTTGTATACTTTCAGTATGATAAGATAGAACAGCTAATTGCTTTCCCGATTTAGCCCCATAAACCCTTCCCTGACCATCCCATCCGCCTGTTACAAATATTCGACTGTCATTTCGAAATTTAATACAATTAAAACCGCTTCCAGTTGCCTCTATATTTTTTAAAACATTTAATTTCTTTTCTTGAAGGGACCACAAAATCAGATTGTTTTCAGCGCTTCCCGATACTCCTCTACTCAATTCTGCCGAATAACCTATGCACATAACCGGCTCAGTGAAGAGACTATGATGAAAATCTTCTGTATCTCGATCCCAAAGAGATATACCCCCATCTTCATACCCTACTAGTACTTGAGGATAATCCATTTTTGAGAAGGCAACCATAGACATGCACATTCCATATTTTTTCCCCGGCTTTAGGGTAAAGAGTTCTGATTTATCTTGTGGATCGATGATTTTAATCAACGATTTTTCATCAAAAGGAATTATTAATACTTGACGATCAGTTATTTTTATGTCGATTAACGGACAGAAACCAATAAACTCCGTTACCAATGAACCTACAACAGTTCACTATGTCAATATATAAACGAACAATCTCAAAGAGAGTACAAACCTATTAATTTAAAATTGTCATCCCAAAAGCTAACTACCCCATCTCTTCCCTGAGTAGCAAAACCCCCGTGCATTAGGCAGATGACGGATAATATTCCCTTTCCATTATGAATTTTATGAGTGCTCGTTTTTCGCTTAGTTTTCATATCCCATATTGTTAATTCTCCTTTCTCCGACCCAGATAAGATATATTCAGTCTCATTTTGATAAATGGTTAAACACGTTATAGGTGCTTGCCCACTTCTCAAAATAAAAGCTGGATCTGGTGGGGGTAAAGACATTTGCTTTCAATTATCGCTCTTTTTTTAAGTCTGTTACGTGTCCTAAACGCCAATGAGAGGTCTAGTTTAGTTGCTTCCAATACCTATATATATCTACAATTATATAAGTATTTATGAAAGTTATAACGTCAATAAACAAAGTCTAGAAAATTTGTTAATGATATAGATGGTGTAAAATAGAACTAAACACCGGTATTGAGTTAACCAGTTTTCACAAATTCATGACGAAAACTTAGGATATAAAAGTTTAAAATTTATTTAATTGATCAATAATTTGGATATTTTCAAAATATGTAATAGTTTTTTTTTACCACGAATTAAACCATTCTTTTACAATACGATTTCGTTCAGTGGTATCTTTTACATTTAATACATTTTCAATTTTTTTTTCGGTTTGCTTTACAGGTCTTTTTCTTTCCTGTGAACAAAAGTTGTAGAAAAATTTTAAATCTTAATGCTAAACTCGCCTGGTCTCCATTACCACTATTCTTACAGCTTAAAAGCTGAGATAGTGAGTCGTTGTTTGTTCTTTTTCGTGACATAAGAAACTTTCGGCCAGTTGAAGGAGGTATTTGAAAAGGCTTTAGGGATTGATTAGGTGTTTCTGTAACTATTGCAGATTTTTTTTGCGGTGTTACGGATCCTGGTGAAATGGCGGTTGGTTCAATGATGGATGGGAATGAATCATCAGAATCTGAAATATGAGTAACATTCCTTTCTCCACAAATACCTGCTCTTGATTCGTCAATATTTTTCTCTGAACAAACTTTTTTGGGGGACTCTATTCGAGAAACAACATTTTCTTCCTCTTCGGAGGTTTCTTTATTATCCTTACTTTCGGTTGCTCTCATACTTGTCTCGTTTACTTCTAAGGTCTGTTTTTCACTCACCGAACTATTCTTTTCTTGACTAGTCGAACCATCTGATGAGTCAGTAGTATCTGTTTCATCATCTTCATTAATTTCTTGTGGTGTTTTCCGAGACTCTTGACTACCATCGTCTGTTATACAGGAGAAATGCTCTTGAGCATCGAAAAATATATCCCCTTGGGAATCTGTTCCTCCTTGGCTTGCCATTTCTTTCGATGGTGCTTTTTTAGTAGACTTTTGAGTTGATTCGTCTTCAGTTATACAGCTCATTTGTGTAAGTTGATTTTCTTTCTCTGTATATATTTCGGCTGGTGTATAAAATTCAGAATCTTCAACTGTTTTCGGGGAATGAGTCGGTTTCTTTATTAAAACCCTAGGCTCATCAAAGTCATCGTCAGTCAAATATTTAACAAGTTCGGAAGATAGAGTCTTTGACGAATTTACAACGTTTTTAGATTTGTTCACTGACTCGAAGGATTCAGAGTCCTGAGTAATTTTACTCTCAGAGTTGTTAATTTCATCAGAATTTTGAGCTGAATCGCATGTTCCCCGTTGTCCGTGATCTTGACTTGACTCGTATTCTGATTGAGTATTCTTTGAACTTTTTCCGGAATTATCTACGCTTATGGCTTCGTTGTCATGACTATCTGTTTTATCTTCAATACTTTGAGTTTGTCTACCTTCAATGGAGCGATTTATGTCTTTATTAAAAGTTGATAAATCATTACCATTCTTGTTAGCTTGCTTCATCTTTTCAAGTCGATCATTTTCTTCTTGTTCCACATGTTTCCATTGAGTAGAATGAATAGCACTGTCTGACTCCTCAATCACTCTGACAGGATTATTTGGGGCTGTTTGAAAATTATCATCTGACACTGATAGGCTATTAAGCCGACGACGCTCTTCTTCATATATCTCTTTATGTTTTTCCTTGCAGCTTTTACTGGATTCTTCTATCAGCTTATCATGATTTCCACAATCTGTAAAATTTTAGTAAAAAACATTTAAAGGATATCAATTGAAAACTTGTAATTGAATGATAACCTTTATTTTCAGCCTGACTATCGGCTGCAATTGGAGACATATTCAATGTTAAAGGGTATGGTTGTGTGAATGCTTGAGTAGAAGTGTGAGGTTGAGAGGAGTTTACTGGTTCCACATCAACAATTATCTCTATATTTTCCCCCGATTTATCTTCTTCATTTTGAGTTGTAACATCTTGGCTTAGTCTTATTCTTTTATAATTTGGTGATTTCAATTGCGATGTACTCAGACGTTTGGAGGGAGATGTATTATATTCGTAGTCTTGAGATTTTGACTGATCAAGCGCACCAACAAGATTTGACAATGATTTCATTGATGTATCAACATAAGTCACAGATTGTGAAGGATTTTCACTGCATCTTCTATTACTTACGAAAACCCGGTATTTTTCATTCGTCCTCATAAATTCTTTCACACGCTCTCTTGTATCCCCAGTTAATCCAAGGCATTGGAGGCTAATTGTGTTCTGTGGTGAAGATTCTCCATATTGTTTAAGTTTTGCAATTCTACGATGTATTTCAAATTCTTCCATTTTTTTCTTACATACTTGAGATCTATTAAATTGCTTTCATTTTATAATATTAACTAAATTAAATAAGAGCTACCCACATATAAACAGCATTATCGCACGTAATCATTTCACATGTCTCATCAGCAAACCACCTGATCTTTTGTAGCTCAAGAACGAAATGATTTCTCAGATAACCCATCGTTTTTATCTGGTTGAACAAAGTGAAATAAATCTCCATAAAGTATTATTATTTCAAAACACACCTTTTCTGATCCAGGTTGAAGTATCTTTAATTTTCTAATTTGAATTGTCATGTTATTCTTTAAACAATATCTATCCTCAATGTCTGCGGTATCATCCGGCTTTGGATCTAGGCTAAATAAATTCATTATTTAAAATAAAGTATAACAAATTTCAAAAACTTACAAAATATCCGCTGATTCTATATCTTGCACAGATATTATAGCTTCAATTATTGTATATCCATCACTTATCTCCATAATTACATTTTTGTCTACACATTGAAACTGAGTGGATAAAAATTTCTTTCTTTTAGCTAGTAATTTTAAAATTCATATGTTCTTACTCGCAATACTCGTGCTAGGTCGCCAGATGCATGATCGTCTTCTTTTGAAAAATCGATCTGGTCTATTAATTTGCTGATCCAATTTTTGACTTTGACCCGCATCTTTATAAGACCTCTAAAAGAATATAAAAGTAATTATTACCAAAAAAATATAGAATGAAATATCGCCATGATTTTAGCCAATGAAGAATCAGTTTACATAAAAAAACCGGAAACGGAAATATATTTTACGAAACTTTTCGAACGAACAAATTTAGTGGAATAATAAAGTTTTATTTACAATCGTGTTATTCCTATTTATTCGCTATTGTACCTAAGATAACTAAAGCAATCAAACGAATTTTTATTATCGACGAGTGAAGACAATTACAAAGAATTTTAATTTTCAAGTTTTTGTTTGAATTATTCACATTTTTCGGTTATTACTCCATTATCGCTTTTTCTTCTTTTTATTCTTGATCAATTCGGCAACCTTATATACTTTAAATGGATCCAATTTTTGTTTCTGAAACGAACTCAACTAATTGAAACCAAAATATAGCTAAGTACAAGTTATACCTTTGACGAAACCTTGCCAGAATTTGATTTATTATCTTTTTTTCTTTTTCGATTTCCTTTTTGAAAGTTTCGTAATGTTGGTGGCACTAAAAATGATAACATCTATAGTACAGACTCTATAATAAGATAAAGAATTACCTATATAATCTGGAACATTTTTCATGTGCTGCTGACTCTTTACGGTATGTAAGGCTTTGTCGTGTCTCAACAATTGTAAATCTCTTGGATTATCTTCAAAATATGCCTGTTGAAATATAAGACAAATGTATTAGAACGAAAGATCTTATTTAGTTGTCATCTACCTTCAATTTTTCAGAATTCAACAATTCGTTTTTAATTTCTTTCAATCTGGCTTCTCGTATAGCCACTTTTGTTACAGATCTCATTGCGTCCTAAAAGAGTTATTAAACTTTATAATAACTATGAAATGAATGCTAAAGTTACAATTATTAACCCTTGCTCTATAACGGAAACCTTCAATTTCTTTCATTTTGAATTGATAAGGCTTGAACACACTTTCGCCATCAGCTGCAACAAACGATAATGTTATATCATCATATTCATTCTGATATATCAAAAGAATAAACTAACGATGAGTTTCCTTTAAAGTCTCTTCAACTTTTTCTAATAGTTCATTCTCTTTAACGCTTACAAATGATAAAGCAGTTCCTTGATTTTCAACTCTAGCTGTTCGCCCCACTCGATGCACGTAAGATTCCACATTTACCGGAAAGTCAAAATTTATGACATTCGACACAAATTGAAAGTCGATACCCCGGGACACTCCACTTTCCTTATCACGTTTTCGTTTAGTTTTTTGAGCCGCTGGATCAAAAAGTGCATTTTCATCCGCAGCAATAATATAGTCATATAGACCTTCATTAAACTGATTAACAATATGAGTTCTATATTTAAAAATAAAAAATTCTCCTATAAGTTGCTTTTAAACAATTAGTTATCCGTTTTATACCTAGAATTTACAGGTAATTCAGAATTCAGAACACAGCATATTATTCCAAATTGTTCCAAAAATAATTTCAATCTGAAAAATGTAAGTGTTGAAATGTCAAATTCTATTAATTTAACTAGTAAATTTAATAGATTATATATACCTGTAACATCGAAATACAGAATTAACAAAAATAATCGTTTTTCCTCTCACTAATCCTAGCTTTAACAAAGAGTATATAAGAACAAATTTGTCTTCCTCTTCACACTTTATATGATATTGTGTTAATTGCGATGAAGACGGTAATTGCGATTCTTCTAATTTAAGTATAACAGGATTTGATAGAATTAGTTTTTTCAACGACTTTACTTCATCACTAAGTGTTGCTGACATAAGAAATGCTTGAAAAATTTGAGGTAGGAAGCTGTAATAAAATGAATTACATTTAATATTAAACGTATTAAGAAAATTACCTCAATAAAGATTTCATGTCAGATTCAAAACCAAAGGAAAATACTAGATCAGCTTCATCAACAACTAAATATTCTAGCGAACTTTTTAGAGTTATATTTTTCGCCTGTTATAATATTTTTTGATAAATTTGGGTTCAAAAATAATTAGTTATTTATATCTTACTTGTAGATGAGCAAGAATTCTACTCGGTGTCGAAACGATAATATCCGGTTTCTCTTTCAACAATGGTCTTTGAAAAATAATTAAATATCTTAGTATGGGATAATTAAGAAGCTATCACTATAAATTAATACTTTTGTTGATCCAAGGGAATTCGGGTAGATATGTCAAGACATCTTACGCTTCTGGAGCAACATCGACAAAGATCTTGGATATTTTTGAAAGCTTGATTGCATAATTCACGGCTTGGAGTTATAATTAAAGCTCTGACGCTTTGTTCGCTAGCTGACTGTTTCGATTTATATAAAGGATAGAAAGTTGAATTTATACGATTGCCTCGGTCATACCTTTTTATTATCCAAAATTTTTTGAATGACAGGTATGGCATAACCCCCAGTTTTACCTGAACCAGTTCTAGCTCTCGCCAAAATATCTTTACCATCTAAAGCTAAAGGAATAGCTTTTTCTTGAATTAAGGTGGGCTTAGACCATCCTAACAAAGCTATGGCCTGAAGATGCAGACACGAGTGTTTAAATGCGTATATTATCGCTCTCTTAAATATAACTTACTTTCAAGATACGATCGTCCAGACCCATTTCGTCAAAATCAACGATTTCATCATTACAATCGTCATCCGCCATTATTTCAAGATAAAATGATATTATTATCCGATCGTTTTAGAAATGAAAATACGCATGCACATCTATTCCAATAGAGAAATGTGCGTTTTACGATATTAAGTTAATGATAGAGAAACGATTAATTTTGAAATCGATTTGCTATAAATTTATAAGAAAATCGAGTAAGTTTTTCAAATCGATTATTTTTCGATTCCGGAAATGATCATTTAGCAATCGCAAGTGCTTGATAATATTTAAAAGTTATATTATAGACATTTGTTAACTAAACCCTTTATAAACTCCCCTTTTTAACAGTAAAAAATTTTAGAACAGTCACTAGTAATGAAATATAAAAATGAAACTATTGAAAAACAAGATAATAAATAACAATTCCAGATAATTTAGAAAGGAGAAAATTAAGAAAATTGAATGGTACGCTGTTAATTCCTCCATTCCCGAAAGCGCAATCACCTGGTACGTTGAATCCCCAGAACTTTCTTAACCCACCAAGAATATTTCCCACTGAATGAAGAAAGATAAAAGTAATTAAAATACAATTTAAAAAAAGCACTTATTTTGTTAATTTGCACATTTTGTTCTAGATTCTTGAAGTTTATTCATTCTAGCTGCTTCCATTAACCCCACTTCATCTACGACGTCACCCTCATACTTAATATCTCTAACACATATACTCTTTGTATCGTGCTCATTTTTTCTTTTATATCCTTTCATACACGCACAACTAAATAAGAGCAATTGCTTATGACAAATTATATTCTTTATCTTATTATTTACATATACAGACAAATAACTTCCAAGAGTATTTACACATCTTTCAGCATTTTCCATATCGCACGAATGTAAACCTTCATAGCACTCATCAAAATCTGCATTATAGATGTATATAGTATCTAAAACAATATTAAATTACAAGTTTAATTAAAAAAGAAACCTACCAACGCATAATTTCAATTCGGAATTAAATACGTATCCTTTGTGAAATGCTTCACAATCGCAGCTAACATTTATTTTATTTCTAATTAAATCCTTAATAGAACAAGAAATAGAAAGCAGTTGAAGAAAAACCTTAAATGATTATTTTGTGTAGTTTGTCATATTCACCTCAAAATTAACATTGTTGAGCATGTCTGCATGACATTTTTTATTACCGTATTCTAAACACCAGGCACTTTTATTTGTATATGGCAAATCAGTTCGTCTCTATGGAAATAGAATTAGGACAGAGAGATAGTAAATATACAGAATGTTGAGTGAATTTTCCTGTTCTATATACCCTTAAATAATATTCGCTATTCGAAGTTCGTCGAGGCGGATAAAAGCATTCGTTATCAGTAGCATCGGGCAGTTGTACAAAGGGACAGCAGGGGTCTGCAATTTTATTCGAATTTCCGATATATATATACATATATACATATATATGTTTTGTATATTGACCTGGACAGAAACTAAACATTGCACAAGAGAAATTCTGATCTTGATAGGTTCTTGTAGGTGAATATTTCTTCTTACCATGCAAGCCTTCAGCCTCATAAGTACAAGAGTCCCAATAGTCATTCATCAAAATATTATCCTTTCGCATGGTCCACCAACACATAAAGTATTGCGCTGTTTGCTATACAAACTAAGAGAATTAATGCCAAAAAATATAAATGTTGTTGTAAACTATTACTCGATACATGTATAGTTCATCGTGATCGGTAAAAGGAAAGTCGTACAAGTTAGATCTTAATACATTCTGCATCATTCTATCCTGATGATGGCTGACAACTCTACGAGTATAAATATCTTTAAGAACATTGGAAATAATACTGGATGTACCCTCTGTCCACTTTTTAGCCTAAGAAAATTTATAAACAATTTTAAAACCTTAATTATAGAAAATTAGAAAATAATAAAAAAAATAATGCACTTACATGGTAGGCCAAAGCTAGTATACACGTAAATGCACTGTGAGTGCATTGTCTAGCTAAGTAAGGATGTAAATATTTCAAGTATGGTTTCGGAAATCTTTGCATAAATGTCTTTTGTATTTTAGCATTTAATTAATCGATTTTTTACAATTTCATTAAATTATTACAAACTGTTTTAGGTTTCGGTGGATGTTTTGATCTAACAATTTTCAATAATAATCTAATTAAACCAAAAGAATACGTTCTCTGGTCAGTTCCAAAGTATTTGTGCATCCAGATAAAATATCCAATGTCCTATTTGAAATCTAAGGCAATGATGGAACTACTTAAAGTTAAAAATATTTTCAATTTTATACTGTTAAGACTTTTTTTATTTCTTTCTTCTTAGTATTGGCATTATCGCTTTCCTTAGCGTACTTTAGTTTATCATAAATATCTGTGGTATATATATAAATAACTCATTAATTACTATTTTTCTATTATATACATATATATATATATATGGAAAATTGCTTTAACCTGGATATATCGGAGACGGAGGCGGTATACCACTCATACGTTGTAGAAGAATATCCACGAATTTAGAATAACCTAAATCTATTCTAAAAATAATTTCAAGCCTATATTAGGTAGGAAGCAGAGAAAGATTTAATAAATCTACTAAACAAGTATTTCTCGGGATATTTTGCGGCTAATTTAGTAAGTTGAAGAAATTTTATAGCTAATACTTCTAAAAAACTTCGATCTTCCATCTTTATAGGGTTTTTAGTTGCATATAATCGATCAGTAGTTTGACTTTGTATTCTAGTAATTAAACAAACAATTAAAAATACATTAATCAGAAAAAACCACGAATAATTCATTTTATGGAGAAATTATAAATTTTAAATAAGAGCTTAACGTATAAACTGTAAATTTAATTTAATTCTTAGAAAAATTTATTCCCAAAAGATGGCGTTTCTGTTTAATATTTTTGCAATTACGTAACGTTTTATTAATTAAAGATAAGGAAAAAATTATCTTTTTTATTTACAGCTTTTTAAGTTATGCAATATATCTGTTTAATTAATGTTTTTATTCCACTTAGAGGTATATTTGGGTTGTTAGGATTACGTAATATTTAATATGATTAGATAAAAGGAATTATGAATGTAATAATCTGTTTTAATGAAACTTTGATGTATTCATTCCCAGTATCAATTGTAAAGAACAAATAATTGTTCCTCTTTCTCTATGTGATCGCAATATTCAGTGATGCAATCTACTACGAACAAATGACTAGAAATTATACTCCAAAGCTAATAATCACTTCATTTCATAAGAGCTTTCAGTTGATAATATTTTATGACTTCCTTGGTATTTTCTTGTTTCCTTTGCTTTTCTTTTCTACTAAAGTCTTTGAATTGCTGTAAAAATATTTAAATAAACGATTTTCCAGTAAATCTACGGTTTCATTATAAAATTCAGTAGAAAGTGTATCTCAAAATTTATTTTGGCCATAGAAAGATAAGCCAAACGAAGCCGTATAACACAGGGGATCATGTCCGTAAAAAATGGCAAACTGTTTACCAAGCGACTTTAAAGCTTTCCTTGTAAATTTTCTTCTAAGGTCTAAAGTAAACCGAGAAATATTATACCTAATTAATTACGTGGTACATAATTAGTCTATTTTACAGTTTGATATTTGAATGAATGTTTAGCAAAGTCAAAACAGTATCTTTCGCAATTTTGTCTTATATACTGACCGAATTGAAATAGATGTTTGTAAATCTCTTTATATTTCATTAATATTTGCAATATTTATCATACTTCTTATTAATGAAAAATGAGAGGTTGTTTTTTGTCCTTTGCTTTAGTAATAGACTATAATAGATGAGCCACCGCTATTAGATAGTAAATATATAAAATATCATATCCTTCAAAGAACAAAATCTAGTTCTTTGTAAATTTGCTGTTGTAGTTTCAGTAGAAGATAATAACTTTGAGATGGTTCTTTAATTATAGAACCGTTTAATTCTGAATAAGATAACTCAGAAAAATAATGTTCATTGTGTCTATTTCCTTTTATTATTAAAATTAATTGAAATTTCATCAGTCAAAGAATCAGAATATGATAAAGATTGCATAGAATTGGAATTTTAAGGATACTTGTTCTGAATTTAACAGTATAAGAGATAGACTTACTAAAAAATATAATTTTTTAAAGACATGTTAGAACTCTGGTGCATTAATTTGGAGAGCTAGATAAACTGACGGTTTGTTTGACTTCTTCTGACCCGGTGCTACTTTCATCACTATCATCTTCGTCGTGGTGGTGTGTTAATTTCTTTGGCGTTTCTGCTCTTGCTCGTGGTAAATTAGCAACTTCTTGTGTTTTAGAGTCTTTCGAACCATCCCTAGCTTTTTTGAGTAATAAAGCCTCTCGCAAATTAACGTCTTTAATGGGCGATGCCCCATCTAGGGGATTTAGGGAAGCTTGTACATCTGAAACTGATCTAGACCGTGGACACAACTGGGTTCTTTCTAATTCCTCATCTGAAAGTCTCATGAAATCTTCGTGATCAACTGTAGACTCATGTGACATCTGCAAGTAAATATGTTAGATTTTTTAGAAATACAGTCTAAAAACTAAATTTTTACCAGCATAGGCGCAGCTTTAAAGAAATATGAAAACGGATATTGCAGTAGATTAAGAAATGTGGAGGCGTACAAGTCGGCATATCTTATTACCTGACTAGCAAAAAATGTTTGTCTAGATCCACTTCTAAACAAACTTCCTAATAGTCCATAAGCTAAGTCCATTTCCAACGCCACCTCCTTTTTTAATTAGAAATAAAAAATTAGCTTTGAATTCTAAACAGCATACTACACCTTCATTGCAGTTTGAATTTTACGAATGTCAGGCTTCTCCGTCGTTGCGCTATCGAGATCCCTTTTGAAAAAAGAACATAGTTATTAAAATATGATATTAAATACACAGATAATTACTTATATAAGTCAGCAAGCCGATAATCGAAATTTTGTATTTCATTATATAATTCTTTTTTTGCAGTCCATACATGTAATTCTGCTCCTAATTCTGGAATGACTAAAAACGTTCTCCAGCCGCGAATTTTCTTTGACTAGTTTAATATATTAATTTAAGAGCTATAAACAAGTAATAATAATTTCACTTACCTTTAATATATCTCCAAAAATATGATCACCAATATATAAAACATCCTTGCCCTTGGCACCTATCATTTTAGAAAAAATATCGCAGCAACCACCAGAGTATATACAACCAGGTCGAATTTGACCTGTATGTACTCCTAAACTCAATCTTCCCGTGTCCTAAGGAAAAGGAAAATCGATTATTCCCGCAACTTTTACACTAACTTCTAGAGTGATTTTCTTTTTTCTTTATTGCAACAAATTTATTACCGTATCAATCTGTCTAAGAACTGTTCCTTCATTAAAGAATAGTGGTTTTCTAGCATCAACAACTATATAATCAAAGTACTCAGTCCACTTTTTCTATTTTGAAGGTAAATATTTTTAATAAGTAATATTTTAAAACCAAAATAGTAGTAGGTATAAAATTCAAACCGTTGAATGGGAATCTTCAAGTAAATAGGACATTATTTTCTATTAGAAATATTAGATTGAGAAATTGTTAATTGTTGATTTCAGTGTATATAGTATATATATATATATTTTACATACATTTGAATAATTATAATCGGAGTTGGTGAGCAGGAAAGATTTAAAGCCATGTTCTCGTATTCTTTCCAGAAGAATCGGAATACGATCATCTTTATGAACATACTCTTCTAGATTAGCAACAGTTTCACTTTTTAACGTACCCTGAGTAGAGAAAATTTTAAATATTTTTGTTATCTATCAATTTCTGGTTCACACATACGATCACTGCTGATCAGAATAAAGTTGAGATCAAAGATTACCTTCTGATGAATCCAATCAACAGTTCCTCTAACGTCTTCAAAAATCGATTTAAATGATATGTGCATTTCACCATACTTCACCCCTGTGGACTCTCTACAACGATTATAGATTTATTTTAAATTCGTTTAAATCCAGTGAAAGTTCATACTTAACATATCCTTCGGAATTAGAAAAGTAATCAATCAAACAAGCCAATAAATATGTTTCCGGAATGTTAAATAGGGTATTTAGAATGTAAATACGACTTTCATTAAGTTGAATGAACTTGTTCGGATAAAGTAATCTGATTTCGTTGCTACACGTGGAAAAGCTTTTGAATTATTACAGATAACGAAATCAAATAAAAATATGATAATATATTATTTTTATCTTATGGTTAATAGCCAATCTAACTATAAAGCATTCCTACATTCACATTACATCAAAGTGTTAGAATGACATAAAGTAAATTAGGAATAATTTTAATTTTATTTAGCCAATCTTTCATCTATTTTTAGTCCTTTCAAAACTTTGAGAACATAGTCTTGTAAAACTAATCATATTGAAAGGGGATTTATTACAATTACCTTTTTAAAAACTTAAAACCTTGAATGCATACAAGGATGTTTCCATATGAGTCGACTTTCAGAAGGTTTCCATATCTTGAGTCGAACCAAAGACCTCTGTAGTCAATAAAGTGCTTATAATAGTTTCCCGATTGAATACAAATAAACAGTATATTTGTATATATATATTTATATATATGTAATGACCTTATAGGAAATGTTGGATCATATCGAAATTCGTTTATAGCCTCAGGATACCCAATATCCACTAACCGTTCAACTACTAAACGAAAACCCAAAGCTTCATATTGAGGTGACTTGTAGACTAAAAAATTGATAGATTTTAAAAGATTCATAGTAATGGATTTTTCAGATGCGAACCTGCTAGGGTATAGTCCATGTCAAAACCAAAGAATTTAATTTTGTCTAAATGTAAACTTCGATTGACAAATACCCTGTGATAAAAAGTGTTTTTCATTGATGTTACATTCACTTAAGAGAGTTTTTCTTATAAAACCCTCTAACAAAAAATTATATAAAAGAATTAAATTTATTAATCGAAAGTAAAGTAATAAGAATATTGTTATCTTATCTATAACTTAATAACTTTACTTACAAAAAAGATATTATATAATTTGTATTAATTCAATTAAGATAAGAAAATATAATATACCTATGTCTAGGTTCCCTTTTGAAGAGCTTTCTCTTTTCACTAGAAGGAATACCATTACTGTCTCCATTTGTTTTTACCGCTGAATCAGCCATTTATTTACTAAAATCTAAAAAGTAGAAAGCATATTGTAATGATCTGTAATTGAATACTACAATATATTACAGGGCATTTATCGATAAATCTACGATATTTATATGTTACACTTGTTACATCGTGTAAGGCCAATTAAAAACCTCTGGCAGTCTTTTTATTAATGCTATTTTTCATCGACAGGTAATAAATTATTTTATACTACTCTATTAATTTTCCTTTTAAAAATATCTTTTTTTTGCAATATAGGTTAAATTAGATCAAAGTCGGTGCAGATGTTAAAACTTGCGTCAATAAACCTCAAAATCAGCCAGAGCAGAGTTACGTCATATGTAATTTCAATTAAGAATTTATCAGATCTATCTTTTTTCGAAAGAATGTAATAATTAGAAATAGATAATCTTTCTGCAATACAATCGTCATAACTTGATTCAGGAAACTATTGTTGTTAAATATCAGAATTAAGATCCTATACGAGTAATATACAATTGACAGTCTATATTCATAAATCAAAGAGATGGTAAGGGCATGAAATGTTTTTAAATGACTTCTCAGTACACAGAGAGACTAGACAAAAAAGGTTTACTTTATTTTTATACTCATCTACTCAATACTAGGAGTAGTTGCCAAAAGAAAAGTTGTATAATTGTGATATAACTTGTCTTTAATATGTCTTTTTTCCTAGAATCCTAAAAATAGTCTGTCGTCTCCTAAGAGTCAGATGCAGTGTAACCTTGAAATTTTACTAAACCTTCTTAGATAGCTCTTTAAATATCAATAAATACACAATATTTTATTAATCTATACGTATAAAATCTTGAAAGATGACCTTGCACGAATATATAGTTAGCCTGAGAGTAACAGTGGCCTTTTTATATAAATAATCTATGAAATCAACTCAGCATACAAATTTATACCTTCCTATCTTTATTATCTGAATAAGTTTGATATACAGTGCATACTAGTAGAAATAAATAGTACATATTATAATTATTAATTCTCTAAGTAGTACCCGTAATACCGAAAGTCCTTTATCTTGGTAACTTTATGGATTATATTATCCAAAATATGAATCTTTTATTATATAAAAACAACACTTAACATATTAGTTCAACCATCAGACTAAATTTAAAAATATAGTAGTCAATATTTTGATTAAGAACATGTTTACGTTTAGTAATTGTTTACGAGTCGAATGTGTTTTTCTCTTATGTGATATATATCTTAACTTCAATAACAACTATTTGCCTAAAATCGAGGAGAATATCTTCGCTCTAGATTTCTTTCAACTTTCCAAATGAAAGTATAAATATAATAACCCTTTTATTGTATAAAAGTTTACGCTTGAATCCCTAGTTTGACAAGTATTAAGAAATCAAATATTTCACATTCAAACAATAATATTATTGGGATACAAAGAAAATAAATTACGTTCTTTAATGAATGAACAAGCGTGTGAAGTGTGTTTGTATTTCTTTTTAAAATATTCTATTATTTTGTGTTTTAAAAAAAATGTTCTTTTTTTTGCTCACCTTAAAGGGAATAGAATGTTAAAAGAAAAGCCGCTGTCTTTGAAGAGTAGAAACGTTCAGTGATCTTAAAAAACTGACGTTGAATAAAACTTTGAATTCGTATTCGTATTGAAAAGTTGATTTTGAAGTGTTCATTCAAAGTTCTTTTAACTGTGACGTCACTTTTTACTTGATTTTTTTTTTTTAAAGCTTTGTATTCATACGCGCAAATGGTTCTAAGTAGGTGGCGTTTTCGCCCGCTTCGTGGAGCCATCTGTATTGGCCTATTTAATTTAATATATTAAACTATAAGGCCATTTGAATAAAATTTCTAATATAGTACACCTCACACTATTCATATATCCACCTTGAACGTGTCCTTGTTATTTTTATCAATACACTGTAAGAAATACCATTTTTTTCTTCGTGTACTCCCTTTTTGTAATAAATACTGTCGTGCAGTAATATATTAGTTTACATTCTTAAGATTAAACCACTTTTTATTTTAAATATTATATTTTATTAATGATAAGTCATATGAAGAAATATTCTGAACTAGCGGTACTTTATTATATGATTAGTAAATGAATTAAGTCCATCATAAAGTATTAATTATAATTTTAAATTGTTATTTTTCGTATAGAGGATAATACCCGCGTAAAATGAGATAAAAAGGCATATATGTATCTCAATTATCTCCCGCTTTTTAATCATTTTTTCAATTTTGTAAGATTTATAGGCCTTCAAAAAAAACTACAACAGCTGTTGTATATTCTTTTTAACGTTATTCCAAAAAAAAGGTAAATAATCATAATAACTGGAAGAGAGAATTTGACATCTAGCACAATTATAACTCAGCTATAATTATGATTCTTTACCTTTCACCTAGATGTTATCCATCTTTTATCATTTATTACGCCCATTCGAAAGAATAAGTGTCTGTAACAAGAATAACATTCTTAAATATTATAAAGTTGACCTTCGTAAAATTATCGTATTTCCAGAATGTTTTATTAAACAATACTTTTAAATAATAGTTTATTAAAAATATGAAAACGTTATTTTTCTTTATTCGATGAATACGGTGAAAAAGACTCTATTATTTGATATTCGGTATCGTAAATAATATAATTATACATATGAAAAAATTAATGCACCTTTCTAAGAGGTACTGTCGTTATATTACTTTCTATAGAAAATATGTATTTTTTATTAGTTAACTGGAAAAAGAAATATTAAAATGAAGCAATAAATCATAATGTCTAAAGTAACTAGATCATTCATATTATATGAACGGGTATTAACTACTGGTTATCAGCTGCCTGTTTGCTGAGCATAACTTGATAAAAGATTTATAATGACAGGACTGAAAAACAACAAACGAACAAACCATTAATTAAGATAAATTTAAATATTTAAAAAAATTAAAAATTAATTATCTCTCTAATTCATTGTTGAATGTTTTTTTTCAAGAATAAATTAAATTATCGAGATTATAAACGGCACACGAGAGTGTAGAAAAGTATTAAGTTCAACAACCGAATTTTAGTACCAGTACGTTTTTAGGTCCGTATTTTAGCCTTCCCATCTTTGAAAGTCATAAATATTCATGAGGCCGTTGGCCAATTAGCGATCCTAAACCATTTCGATAGATATTTCATTGACCTTCACCCTAATAACTAAACAACGACGTCGAAAGTGTTTATCGACTTATTCAGAAGATTCAAATAGTCATGTTGAGAAATGTTCAGTCCAAATTAAGACCAATTTTGGGTCCCAATAGTCCAGCTCTTTCGCAGGCTTTTTATCACAAAAAAGTAATATTTTACGTTAAGATTGTAGTAAAATTGAAAATCATGCTTTTTCGCATTTCTCTATTATAGGTTATTGATCATTACGAGAACCCTAGAAATGTTGGGTCTCTAGACAAGAAAAAAACTAGCGTTGGAACTGGTTTAGTAGGTGCTCCGGCTTGTGGCGATGTGATGAAATTACAAGTATATTTTATGAATAACAGTAATGTCCCAAATAATGGACTCTGTTTATAGATCGAAGTCGATGCAAATGGAAAAATCGTTGATGCCAAATTTAAAACTTTTGGATGCGGGTCAGCAATAGCTTCAAGTTCTTTAGCGACTGAATGGGTCAAAGGGAAAAATGTCAGTATATTACATATGAAAAGTATTGCGTGTAATTGACTAAAAAAAAATGATTCTTTTACGTTGCAGATTAATGAGGCAGGAGAGATTAAGAACTCTGATATTGCAAAAGAACTAAGTCTACCTCCGGTGAAACTTCACTGCTCTAGTAAGATCAACAGCATAGAGAAAGATATTTTTGATTACTATTCTAATTAATCTCTTTTATTACAGTGCTTGCTGAAGATGCTATAAAGGCAGCTTTAAAGGATTATAAGACGAAGAATGAGAAAGAAGCAGTTCGAAATTGATTGACTTTAATAACATACATTTTGTAAATATGTTTAAGTGTCATTTTACCAACAATAAAACGGAAAGATAAATTTTCACGGAGTAAGCAATTAATGATTATTCCATTATTAACGAGAGAATCATTTAATGTTTAACTGAGGAAATTCTCTTTGTTTCCATTACAATATCGACAGGCAATCGACTTAAGACTATAGAAAGGTGAACGGAAAAGAGCAGAAGAGTATTTTTAGGTGATAATGACGTCAATACTTTTTTAGTCGCCAATAATGCTTTGCATAGTGTGACATTAGCATTCAGTATTTCTCACTTGTTTCCAATTTTAGACAAAAATAGATGAAACAGAAATTTCATTGGTCAACAAGCGCGTATATTCTGTATTCAATTTTATAAACTTTCCTAAAATTTTCGTATTGATATGATATAAGAAATATAATAACACAACATTTATACATGATATATAAAAATATGTACATGATAAATATAGCCGATAAATGGCTTTGTAAAAAAGCTAGCTGTTCTTCAACTAACTTCCAGATCGCCAAAATAAGCCAGTTGCTTTTCGATATCTGCCGAACTTACATCACTTCTGCGACGTCCAATGGCTGGTGAGGTAGAATGAGCTCGTCTGTAAGGCGAATACCGTTCAGCGCTGTTAGGAGAATATAGAGAAGGGCGATCACATGGAGTCATTTTACCAGATTTAGCTTTCGTTTTGGTAGTGCTTACCATCTGCTGTTCACTAGTAGGAGGCTCAGATACAGTTGGCAATGTGGTACTGTGCAGGCAATTTCTAATGGCCTCCGAATCGGGTTCTTCTTCCGAACCCTCTTCGTCGGTGGGTGCAGATGCTGTTACGCTTATCGAGCCCGTGGGTGATTGGCTCTGACTTGTAGACTGACTATGCTGTCCATATCGTCCAAGGAGGCTTATTCGAGCATTACCATCTGACGCTCTTCTACCAAAGTTAGATACGGCCAAGTACTGCGGGGGAGGCTTCAGTAGATGTGGATCTTTTACGCAAAAGTTTGTTACTGGCTGATTTTGGACATGTGGTTGTAGGTTAGCCAGATTAGTGTTAGGAACAATGGCATTAGGACCAGCGGCAAATGGTGGTGAGAATGGAGGCACAGGTAAATTGGGCGTAACGAGGCCGATGGCCGATGGCGAAAAGCTAAGGGCATGAAGTAAGGCCTCATCATCGTATACACTAGCTGCTGTGTGCCTACGCATTGACTGATACTTTTGCAAAGCTTCCTTTGACGGCTCGTCTTCGTTGTCCATTCGTTCGTTGTCTTCATTATGTAACAGGATTAGCGGAATGGCTTGTGATAATCCTTGAGAAACAGGGACTTCAATTCTCTCGACAACTCCTGTTGTTATACTTCCCCTCCTCTCAGTTATAGTTACCACCGGTAAACCACTCTGAATAGATCCGGAATATCGTTTGTTCTTAAGCTTCTCCAAGAATAAATAATATATAGTGCTTTGATCGTCAAATTTTCCTTCTCGAACACTAGATAATATATCATCGGGGTTTAAATGCAAACAATTTTTCATGATTTGCAGAACTGCTTCAGAATTGCAGTCACTTTCAGTCTCTAAATTAGGCAATTCAGACAATCGCAGTAACTTATCGAAATCTGCGTCCTCGCCTTCTAGCTTTAGCCATTTATCGTTTAATATATCTGTCATTGTACATCTTTTGGAAGGATCAACAACAAGCATGCGCTTTAAAAGATTTTCGCATTCAGTTGACATAAAGAACGGAACGCGAAATTTTCCAGATAGCACTCTACTTCTCAAGAGCTGCAAAGTGTTACCATCGAAAGGTAGAGCGCCGCATACTAAAACGTATAGGACAACTCCCAGCGACCATATATCTACTTTTTCAGCATCGTAAGGCTTGCCTTCAAACCTGTTAAAGGAAAATTTACGGTAATTTAGGATGAAATACGAGACTAATTGTTACAAAATAGAACACTTACAATTCAGGAGCAGCATAAGGGGGGGATCCACACCAGGTATTCAATAACTGACCGGATTCAAAGTGATTGCTAAAGCCAAAATCAACAATCTTGATATTTCGTTTCGAATCCAGAAGTAAATTTTCCGCTTTCAAGTCTCGGTGACAAACTTTTCTAGAGTGGCAATATGACACTGCAGCTATTATTTGCTTGAACGTTCGACGAGCTTCTGGCTCTTTCATTCGACCATGCGCTACTAGGTGATCAAAAATTTCTCCCCCACTAGCGTACTCGGTAACTATGTAAATCATTGTATCCTTGTTGATGACGTGATAGAGTTTTACGATATGTGGATGGTCAAGCAGTTTCATAATTTGTATTTCTCGGAGGATTTTGGAAAGAAACTCTTCTGACAGCTTCGCTTTATCGACAATTTTGATCGCTACCTTCGATTTCGTTATAACGTGAGTCGCTAGCTTTACGACGGCAAAATTTCCTTTCCCGATCGTCTGTCCGATTTCGTAGTAACCTATTCGGACAGGCGTTTGCGAGGTCGGACGAGAAGTCATTGGGTTTATATGTAACGGTTGAGAGCAATCACGTTGACGATCCGTGCTTGTCCTTGCAGAAAAATCATTCGAAATTCTTTGCTCGTCAATCTCACTGACATCTTCCGCCATACTTTTTTTCTGCTTTTCTGCTGGGATAAACGGAAGTGCTGACATCTGAAACGGAAACGGAACCTTTGGTCGTCCACGTGCGTTCGAGTAGAAAAGAAAAAATTCTGCTTTTTGTATAATGGAACTTGACATAGGAGATATTGATGCTATCGTTTTGGATTACTTAAATACAAGTTTTCCTGACGCGGCAAAAGTTTTAAAGAAGAAGCCGAAATTAGTAATAATAACTGTTTTTTGCCAAAATTATTTCGCCGGATACAAAATATAAAATAGACTTAACTAATAAAAAAGCATAATTAACTATTATTATTTGTCTTTTTTCTTTTTTAGAAACCTTCAACAAATTCTCCTAAGCTTAATGTTATATTTAAAGAATGGAAAACGTAAGTAGATTCTTATTTTTTAAAATAAAAAGTGATCTGAATTATACATTGCATCTACAGTTACAAAAATAAGGCCAAAAGAGATTCTGAGGAAACTTCGAGTTCTAGCAGGTATTTTAGGCTTTGATTTTATAAATAGATACTTCTTACAAGCTGTTAAATTTTTAACTCTTTCTGGATATCTTTCTTATTTCTTTTCATAATAAAAAAGCAGAGAACTAACATTTCGCAGTTCAAATTAGGTTAAGATTGTTATGATATGTTAGCCACTTGAAATCCGTATTAATTTACTATGAAATTTTCCCAACCTAAAGTTTGTCTTATTTAGGCCAGAAGTAGATTTAAAATGTATGTGGGACTTAGAGACCTAACACGCAGTACTTATCAAGATCGACACATCTTATTTCTTAAAACAATAAAATATTATTATCATTGCAAAAAAAAATATCAATTATCAATTCTTGAATATTAATTTTAGTTTAAAATAGTCGATTCAACTGTAGTTAGAGCAAGCTAAAAACTTAGTCTCTCACTTAAATGGGAATTTACGTATACTGCATAAGAAGAGAATTCACTAAGCTTAGTCTAATAGAGATTAAATGCATTTAGTGAATAAGTTAACTTACTTTAATCATTCAGATTCCTTTTCGAATATCAATCGTAATTAATTTCTATCAATTGTTCTTAAAATCAATCTTATTCCTCTTACCACAACTTACGTAGCGTTGCATATAACTATTGGCTATTTAGACTTTAACAGCTTCCAACTGCCTGTGGTTAGATGATAAAAACACGTGCTATCAAATGATAACATTGACCTACATTTTTATTCGACTTCATATTGTTTTCATGTACAGTGAAGAGGAAGACGAAAAAAGCAAGAAACGCAAAAGTGCTTTAGTGAAACGAAAGACGTCGTCCTCCAGTTCCAGCAGTGAAGATGAATGTAATAAACCAAGCAAAAAGAAATCTAAAACTGAGGTATTTTTTATCAGCTGATTATGCAGTTACATTTAACGATCATCACTTGTTGATAAGATAATTATATTTTACGCTACTTCTATCTGAGAAGACAGGAGGTCTAACACAACTTCTGACTAAATGCGCATTATAAATTTCAAATCAGTATCAAAAAAGCAACACTGCTTCATAAAAAGATGTTATTTTTTTAAGCTACAAAAGACTATCCAAACAGGTTGATGACCAAACGAAAAAGAGAAGAAATTCTTCCTCCAGTTCAAGCAGTGAAGACGAGAAAAAACCAGCGACTAAAATACGTAAAATAGTTAAGTCCAAAGGCAAAAAATCAGAAGAGTCGTCTAGTTCGGACTCTGACTCAAGCAGTGATGAGGAAGAAAAGAAGCCTATAAGTAAGAAAAAACGAGCAAAAGAATCAAGCAGTGATTCTTCTTCTGAAGAAGAGAAAAAACCAGCAGCTAAGAAATCTATAGTTACAAAAAAGAAAGCTAAAGCATCATCTAGCTCTGAATCTGACTCTAGCAGTGATGAAGATAACAAGAAATCGGCCACTAAGAAACAAGTTACGAAAAAAAAGAAAGTAAAAGAGTCCAGTTCTGACACAGAGTCAAGTAGTGATGAAAGCACAACTGTAAACAAAAAGGCGATAGTGAAATCAAGGAATACCAAGGAATCCTCAAGCTCTGATTCTGATTCAAGCTGTGATAAAAAAGAAAAGAAGCCTGTTGTAAAGAAAAGCATAAAAGAAGCCAGCTCTGATTCTGATTCCAGTTCGGATGAAGACGAGAAGAAACCTGTAGCAACAAAGAAAAAAGGCAGGGAATCATCTAGCTCTGAATCGGACTCAAGTAGCGATGAAAAAGATAAGAAGCCTTTAGCTAAGAAAACTGCTGCTGCTAAGAAAAAGCTTAAGGAGTCCAGTTCTGAATCAGACTCAAGTAGTGATGAAGAGAAGAAACCAGCTGCAAAGAAGACTACGGCAAAGAAAGCTAAAGACTCGTCGAGCTCCGAATCTGACTCAAGTGATGAAGAAGAAAAGAAACCAGCCGCAAAGAAGACAACACCAAAGAAAAGTAAAGACTCCTCCAGCTCTGAATCGGACTCAAGTAGCGATGAGGAAGAGAAAAAGCCTGTAGCTAAGAAAACTGTTGCTGCTAAGAAAAAGGCTAAAGAATCGAGTTCTGAATCGGACTCTAGTAGTGATGAGGAGAAGAAACCAGCCGCAAAGAAGACGGCAACAAAAAAGGCTAAAGACTCCTCCAGTTCCGAATCTGATTCAAGTGATGAAGAAGAGAAGAAACCAGCCGCAAAGAAGACGGCAGCAAAAAAAGCTAAAGACTCCTCCAGTTCCGAATCTGATTCAAGTGATGAAGAAGAGAAGAAACCAGCCGTAAAGAAGACGGCAGCAAAAAAAGCTAAAGACTCCTCCAGTTCCGAATCTGATTCAAGTGATGAAGAAGAGAAGAAACCAGACGTAAAGAAGACGGCAGCAAAAAAAGCTAAAGACTCCTCCAGTTCCGAATCTGATTCAAGTGATGAAAAAGAGAAGAAACCAGCCGCAAAGAAGACGGCAGCAAAAAAAGCTAAAGACTCCTCCAGTTCCGAATCTGATTCAAGTGATGAAAAAGAGAAGAAACCAGCCGCAAAGAAGACGGCAGCAAAAAAGCTAAAGACTCCTCCAGTTCCGAATCTGATTCAAGTGATGAAGAAGAGAAGAAACCAGCCGCAAAGAAGACGGCAGCAAAAAAAGCTAAAGACTCCTCCAGTTCCGAATCTGATTCAAGTGATGAAGAAGAGAAGAAACCAGCCGTAAAGAAGACGGCAGCAAAGAAAGCTAAAGACTCCTCCAGTTCCGAATCTGATTCAAGTGATGAAGAAGAGAAGAAACCAGCCGTAAAGAAGACGGCAGCAAAGAAAGCTAAAGACTCCTCCAGTTCCGAATCTGATTCAAGTGATGAAGAAGAGAAGAAACCAGCCGTAAAGAAGACAACACCAAAGAAAAGTAAAGACTCCTCCAGCTCTGAATCGGACTCAAGTAGCGATGAGGAAGAGAAAAAGCCTGTAGCTAAGAAAACTGTTGCTGCTAAGAAAAAGCTTAAGGAGTCCAGTTCTGAATCAGACTCAAGTAGTGATGAAGAGAAGAAACCAGCTGCAAAGAAGACTACGGCAAAGAAAGCTAAAGACTCGTCGAGCTCCGAATCTGACTCAAGTGATGAAGAAGAAAAGAAACCAGCCGCAAAGAAGACAACACCAAAGAAAAGTAAAGACTCCTCCAGCTCTGAATCGGACTCAAGTAGCGATGAGGAAGAGAAAAAGCCTGTAGCTAAGAAAACTGTTGCTGCTAAGAAAAAGGCTAAAGAATCGAGTTCTGAATCGGACTCTAGTAGTGATGAGGAGAAGAAACCAGCCGCAAAGAAGACGGCAACAAAAAAGGCTAAAGACTCCTCCAGTTCCGAATCTGATTCAAGTGATGAAGAAGAAAAAAAACCAGCCGTAAAGAAGACAACACCAAAGAAAAGTAAAGACTCGTCGGGCTCTGAATCGGACTCCAGCAGTGATGAAGATGCAAAATCTGCTAAGATTGGTAAAAAAAGGAAAGCAAAAGAGTCGTCTAGTTCCGACTCTGATTCAAGTAGCGATGAAAAAGCAAGGAAGCCAACCATTAAGAAAGCGAAAGTAGCTAACTCTGATTCTGATTCATCCAGTGAAGAAGAGACCAGAAAGAAAAAATCAGAAAATAAAGCGACAACTAGTTCAGATAGCGAATCAAACTCGAAGGAGGTGTTACAAAATGGAAACGATGATTCACAGGTTTTTCTTTAATTTCTTTGATATATTTTATTTAACAATAATTTTTTTGGTATTTAGATACTTGAGAATGGCCACGCATCCTTCAATGAAAAAAAAAGGGTTGGTATTGGACAAAATTTAAAGAAAAAACTAACTTTTTAAAATTCAACAGAAGAGACATAGTTCACCTTTTAGACGTGTTCACAGCGAGAAAGTGGCTGTACCTGACGAACTAGCAGACAACTCATTTGAAGCAAAGGTTTGTCTTTCAAATTATCGTGATATTCATATCTTAATATCAAAAAATGTATTTTAGAGAAATGCAAGGGGATCATGGGGAGATCAAGCAAATCAGATTTTACGGCACACCAAGGGAAAATCTTTTAGACATGAAAAAACAAAGAAGAAGAGAGGATCTTACAAGGGTGGTGAAATTGATACCTCTATTTGTTCAATTAAATTTGATTAATTGTTTAGCGATTGTAGAAAATCTTGTTTTTGTTGCCTAAAGAATTGTACGAAAAAAATCAGTATCGTATTTGTCTTAAAATATCGTTCGTTTTGTTCTGATGCAATTTATACTTATCAATATGAGAGAACATATTATCTTCCTAAAAGTTATTGATAAAAAGCTTTATGTTGGACTTTGTTTTTCACCTGGGTAAATTATATATACCCAGCGTATTAAAATTTTTGTATCTTTGTTTTTTTTTTTGGCCTAGGATTATTAAGTATAAATACTAAATTCACTTTTGCCGTTTTCTAACTTGGAGGTTCGTTTATCAGTAAAAATTCCTCGCATAAATGAATTTGTTTAATTATTTTCTTTTGGGTCTTCATTTCCGTTTACTATTAAACTTAATAGATACCTTATAAACTCTATATTAGGTTTGATAACTCGATATTTTACAATTCCCCTCATTTAATTAGCTATTTATAGCAATGGATATTATATGGTAGCTAGCTGTTCTTTGCACATAAAATGCTCGCGGAAGCTCTTCAGAGTCTCTTGCCTAAAGGGATTAATATTTGATTAATTGTTACGTTATCTTAACTGAAGTGTAATAGTGGGAAGTTACGATGTAATATGTAATTGCCACATATGTAAGTTTTCTCGCTTAATCAAAACGAAAAAAAGCCACAAACAACTTTCTGGAGACAAATATTTTCATTGTATAGAAATAATGCGATAGGTATAAAGATTTTCATTCGGTGTTTGCTTAAGGCAAAGATTAATGAATGAGAAAGTGATTTTACTCCCTTAAAGAGATAATTTCAGACAGAAAATATATTTTTAACGTCATTTTCAAATTAACATACTAAATGTCAGCAACAAAAAATCTGATTATTTTAACATAAAAATAGCTATCAGATTCGCTATATACAAGATTTAAGGACAGAAAGATTTTGTTTTAAAATGTACAGAAAAGTAATATTCAAAAAAATCAGTAAACAAGTATTTTGAAGCATAAAGAGATAAAAAAAACGAAGTGAGAAATTAAAAAAAGAAAGCTTTAGAAGAAATTAAAAAAAGTGTCATTTCTCTTAAATTTTCAGTTCGAAAGAAACTTTTAAAATACCCTTTTCCTTTTGGTGAGCTTTTTATACACATATGGGAATTTTTTTGGAGCAACCCACCCTCTCTTTTTAGCTTCCAATTTTTTTAGTTTCTTCTTTTTAAAGTCTCTTTTTTTAGCTATATCACTATCAATTTCACTATCAGATGCATTTTGGCTTTCTTCAACCTGTGGTGTTTCGTCTCTTAAAAAGGTTGATAATAGCTCTTCACCGCATTTTGTAGAAACTTCTTCACCCAACTTTTCTCTAACTTCAAATTCATTTGATTTAGATGATATGGAATTAAGTTTTAGAGCTGTTTTTAAACCGAAACGATCTCCGAAATGCGAAGTAAACAATTTATATAATTCAAAAACTGATGTAAAGGGTGAGTTTTTTGGAGCAGAATTCAAGAGTGGTGAATATCTAGCATTCGTTAGTTTTCCATTATTCAATCTCAATACACGATTTTCGTATATTACAGTAGCCGCTTCCTGTCAGAAATGCAATTAACTAGCTAATAAAAATATTTTATTCAATAATACAAACCAATACAGCTGTATCTAGGTAAGAGAATTGTAAAATATCACTTTGGCTAATTAAACTCTCTTTAATATTCTCCATCTGAGATAAATAACGTCTAAATCGACATAATAGGAGATCTTCCATAGCCTGAGGGAGATATTTATTTATATTTTGAATATAATTTAAAAAATAGCTATACCTGTACTCCTAAAGCTATGAGCAATTTTATCGTTGAATAATGCACATATAAAGGAACGGTAAAGTCATCAAGGATATTTGTTATTCTTTCATTGACAATAACTTTCTTCTCGGGAAAATATTCTTCACAATATCTGCAAATTAAATATGAATTTTTTACAACTATCACTTAAAGAGGAAAAAGGAAGTGTCTTACGTAATTATTTTTGCCAGGACCAGAATAGCGAATTCCTGAGAATACTGAGTATTATTATTAATTTCTGTTCTACCAAAAACAGAATCAGCTGCGATATTAATGAAAACTTCAGCCTAAAAACGTATAGGAAAGCGTAAGTAAAATATTTAGACATACAATATAGTTAAATATTAAATGATATATACTATTGGTTGAGGCTGAATGAATAGAAATTTGTTGCATAGCAACGAATTTATAAGATGAAAGATTCTACTTCGAAGCAGATCATTTTCGGAATATTGAGAAATCTATAAATATTGAAAATAAAAATTAAACAGTAGTGGATATAAGAATTATGTTCAAATACCGTTTGCTTGACTAAAGTACTAAAATAAGGTATAAGTGGTGCAAGATTTCGATTCGTTTGCAGATCTTTGCAAACAGCCTTTTATATGAATAAAAATTATTATTAATAATTCATTTTGATTCACGGAACTTATTACCTCAAATAGACCTTCAGAATCAGAATACAAAATCTGAACGATTTGTTGATAATACTGATAATAATGATTTCCCTTATTTTTAGAAGGTTTTACATCGATCTTTTGCTTTAATTCCACCCAGCGTTCTGTTAAAATATTTCTCCAATAAGTTATATCGAATTAAGATTAATTCATACACTTGGAGTTTATTCTGAGATATAGCTAGAATAAAAATAAAGATAATTGATTACCTTGCAAATTACTTGATGCTGGTTCTTCGACGGAACTAACAGATTCTATGACAGAAGTTAGGTTTACTTCAGTTTCCTTTGAGAAGAATAGATTCCCATCAAATGTTTGAGCAAATTCTAAATCATCATGAGGTTCATGTCCTAGAATGGGCTGAAGGAAGAATAAATCTTTTTATATTTCTGATGTTTATATCAATAGTTTGCTTACTTCAATGTTCATAACTTTTAAGGCTTTGTTGAAATGTTCGCCAGTTAGCTTGCCAGAACGTTCGTGTCTCATATATTGAGCAGCCGTCTATAAACATTAAAATATATCATAGTCGATTAATTTGCTTTAAGATGTTTAAATTATAATTTTCTACTTTTAAAACTTCTTGTAATCTGTAGGTAACATCTATGGCTAAACTTGATAATAAATCTTTTGATAATGTGTCGAAACCAGACGACTCCGCAAACAATCGTACAGTTCTTCTAGGAATTATTGCATATCTTTGTTCACTTTCATCGCCTTTGTCAGAGCGCTCATCCATAATGATTATTTTTTAAAAGAATTGAAATTAAGCCTTAGTATCCACCTAAAGAGAAAATTCGCCGATTGTATTTTTCCTATATTATCGTTCAGTTTATGAAAATTATTTTCGTACTTTCTGTTAATATATATTTCATGGAGAAAAAAATAAAATTGTTACTTTTAATATTATTTAAACAGATTGATACGAAAAAATTAAATTAGATTAGCTTTCAAAAATTTTAAAACAAGGAAGAGTAACGAACCTTTAATGAAAGTTTTACTCTTACTTCCATCCTCATCGACATCTTAAAGTTATTTTATTTTTCTTCCGTTTCAAGTATTTGCACTTGCGCAGTTCAGTAAAAAGTTTACACAAATGACTTCTAGATACTTATCTATGGTAATGGTTTCTTTTAATTTATAATTTATAAGCTAAAGATATTAAATATCCTTGAAATAGTAACTTGGTATAAGAGAAAAAAATTAGCTAAATTAAATGGTAAAACGAACTATAAGCTTTTAAAAATCTTAACAAAAGGTTAACAAAACTGCAACAGCTATTCACAAGAACTGTTCATTATTGCTATAAATCTTATTTTCTATTAAATGTAACATTTTTGTTGCTATTTCATTAAATTGATGGTATTATGCAATAACTTTGGGTCGGCAGTTCAAAACCGCTATAAAATGCAATATTACCAGTTTTTACGAATATTCTCTGTACATTTTGCGACAAACTCCACTTTTTTGCGCTTATTAAAATTAGCTTGACAATGAATTCTGAAGAAAATGAAAATTACCAAAGCTGTGTAAGTTTTCCATATAAAAAAGTAGAGTGCTAGTTTTGTTCTTTAACTTTTATTCAATATATATAGATAGAAGACGATGATAGTGAGCTAAGTATGGTAAGAAAGAATTCAAAAAAATTAACGAAAATATGCTAGGCCGAGTTTTTATGCCAATTGATACTTTTTAATTCTTTACCTAAACTGTATTTTACAGGCTTCTCATGCAGTAGCGGAAGGCCTACAGTGTTATGGGTATGTTTATAATGTAAATTTGTATTGCAGTTCTTTTATAAATCTTTCAAATATCGACAATAGACAAAGGTTTGAACAAATCTTACAAAAGTTTGAAAAGAATTTTTCTACGCTAAATGGCGATGAAAAGAAATTTTTTGTTGACTTTAAAAATCATCTAAGAACTGTTAGTAAAGAAATTTTATTCAACTAAATAATCAGCTCTTTTTGCCTTTTCTTTAACTAATCAACTTTAATAGGTAAGAGATTGCGCAAAAGTCAATTCGGAATATTACACTCTGGTCTTAGATTACGTTTATAATGATGAAGAGAGTCTGGAATTTGTAAGGAAATAATCAAGTTTATTTGTTGATGTTGAATTTCAGCATTGTCTTGTTTTATTGCAGTTCAAATATGACTTTTCTCGTTATAACTATGTTCTAAAATTAATTGCCCGTGATTGGTCGGAGAATTATAGATTTGAAAGAGAAGAGTGGTTTAATCCTATTATTAATGAATTATCCGAGGCTTTTGATAGGAATGATAGAGAAAATGTTAAAGTTTTATGCATTGGAGATGAGCTTTTAAGGTAATTTATTCATAGTTGTTATATAATCAATCCTAAAAATGCTTATCTTTTATATATACATGAACTTTATATTTTTATTAGGTTAGCTCTGGAAATTAGTAGAAAAGGCTTTCTAGTAGAAGGTGTTATGGAAGACATTTTGAAAATAAGTGTGATTTCTCAAATGAACAAATTGTATGTATTTGATCCATAGTTTATTAATCGTTCGCTTTACATTTCAAGTTGTCGTTTTAGAACTGATAAAAATGTCTTTTGCATCTATCCATTTATTAATGATTGGAATAATTTACTGACGGATTTTGGACAGGTATTATTCAATAATATTTTCAAGGATATGTACTTTATGCCTGTATTACATCATTCTATAGATCAAGCCGATTAGATTTCCTGATACAACTTTTGAAACTGAAGGAAGTACCATCGTCGACGATGATTATCTCAAAGATGAGCCAAGCGTTATTGCAGCAAGATTTTTGGCTGATTATGCACCAACCGTAAGCCAAGGTACGGTAGGAAAAATTTTTCATTTCATTTACTTTTAAAATACAAAATATTCTCTTATCCGATTGTAGAAAAAGTAGACGCTGCTACTACATGTGGATATTTTAACTTATCAAAGAACGTTCCTTTGCTAATATCAACTATTCATCATATTTTAAAACCTGGTGGCGTTTGGATTAACAACGGTCCCCTCAACAATGATTACGACCCAGATTATCAAGCAAATTCTGAAAGTGCACATATGGATTATGATGAAGTTAAATCTGCATTAACAAAGCAAGGTTTTGAGATATTGGTAAATATTAAAAATTAGTTCGCTTTATTAAAAAGGCTAGTTGGATGTATCATTTTTACAGCACTTTAACAATGAAAATAGTTCAACATTTTGCTACAATCAATACGTAACAACGAACGAATCGTATGAAATGCTATTTTTTACTGTAAAGAAGAGTTTATCAAGTGTCATGTAAACTCTTAATGAAGATAGATAGATAAAAAGAAAGAGTAATTAGTTAGTTAATTATTGTTCATTTCTTTTAAAGAGTATACATAGATACATGCAAAATGGCAAAAATAAAAATAAATATAATATATAACTAGTTATATAAATATATGTAAATAAATACACGGGATCAGCACGCAGGGAACAAAAAACGTCAAATTAAAGATAAATTTCAGGGAGGAATTTTCATGTTTTCATGCGTTCTCACCTGCCATCTCTTCGGCGTTAAGCAATTCTATTTCATCCTCTCCACGATAATATGCTTTGTTAGGGCGACTATTTGATTGTCCTATTACATCTTCTAATGTATTTATCGTTGGCTTATTACAAGTTTCTTGCAAAAAGAACACTCCTATACCAGCTATGAGACAAAGAATGAAATACAGTAACCATTGAGGTGAGTTTTTCTGATGATATTTCTATAAAAATTTAATAATTAAATTATAAATATCTTATACTATTTTCTTACAATTGTTGGCATAAGAGGTGCAATCATTCCACCAATTCTGGCAGCAACTGAACACAATCCCATCAAGTTACTTCTGACTATTGTAGGAAACAATTCGGCTGAATATATGTAAGCTATGCAAAATGAACCAGATATCATCAATTTTCCAATTGTTGCAAGGCCAAACGTGGTCCAATTAGATATGTTATTATACGTAAGAAAAAATAAGACGAATGATGAAACTGCGGAAATTATTAATGCTGCAGCTAATAATATTTTTCTGCCCAATCTAAAATAATAATTAAAATATATATAGTTGAATAGTTTTCCAATATTTTTTTACCTGTCAAGAAGAAGATAAACGAGTACGTATGCAGGAAGTTCAATTAAGCCTCCAAGACCTTCGTTAATGTAAATGTTTGGACTAAAATTACCAGAGCCCATGGATAATCCATAATATACCAAACTATTTACAAACCAATTAAAGACAAGAATTAGAAAATGTGTTCTTAACTTTCCTATTTTTAGGGCAGTTAGAATATTTATAGATTTTTTATTATTAGTTTCTGGTTTCTAAAGAGAAGTATAATTTATTATATTAATTTTAAAAGAACATATACAAACTTTTAATTTAATAGGAGCTACTTTTTTCCCATTTCTTCTTGCAATAACTTCCATAACGTTTTCGGCGTCTTCTACACGGCCACATGATAATAGCCATCGTGGACTTTCCAATAGTTTTCTAGATATTTAACAAAAAATTACGACTAAGCATAGTTGAATAATCTTATCAACAACAAAAAAATTAAAAGATTAACTTTGTTCAACCTACATGTAAAAGTAAACAGATAAAAATAGTCCTGGTAAACCAGTTATGATTATAAGTAACCTCCAGTTGTATATAAAATATCCAATAAACCCAAAAATGGATATTCCTACTGCAAAGGCTGCCTAAAATAAAAAAAATCAATAGATGATGAGTATTTTTCTTTTATTATCTTACTGCACAGAGCACTCCTAAAGAACCCCTAATTCCTGAACCAACCGATTCTGTTAATACTACAAACGAAACTAAAATAGCACCGCCGATGAATACACCATTAAAAAATCTAAAATTGGAATTAATACGTTATGCTAATAAATTTTGCCAAGATATCGAAAGCGAAGGAAATAAGAAAACCAACCTGCATACTGCATACATATAATAATTGAAACTTAGCGCTGCGGAATAGAGGAATAATGAACTTAGTATATTGACTAGTAACATTATCAATCTTCTGCCATATTTGTCAGAGAGAAAGCCGAATATTAAACATCCTGCCATCAATCCTCCCATATATATTGATCCTGACATTTCAATTTTGTACCTATTTGAACAGACCAAACTCCACTATAAAAAGTTAGAATTAATAACAAACTTATTAAAGTTGATCATCTACCTAATTTAAACATATATATACCTCATGAGCAATAGTTGTATAAAATTCTCCTGGAAAAGTATATTTATTGCAAGTTTGATTGCAAGGCTGATGAATGTTTTTAAGATTTGGTTCGATACAAGCAAAATGCTCTGGCTTAGCTCCGACAAGCACATGTTGAAGTGTATTAAAAGCGCAAAACATATGCAAGAACATTGTCATGAAAAACAACTTTTTTTGGCCTTTGCCAAATTCTCCTGTCTCTTTGAAAGCTTCTTCCAAATCCATTGTTATTGCTGAACGATAAACAGAGTGTTTATGTCAGTTCGTGGCAGTTTTTTTATTTCCGCTTCCTTGATGGCGGGAAAAATTGGAGGCCTGAAACTATTCAATTTTTTGTATTGCCATATTAAAATATGGCAAATTGATTCAAAACTATTAATCGAATTGTGATGTTATCTAATTTTCTAACAAAAAGTGTATGGGTATTAACACAGCTAAGCGTTTTAGTGAAATTAGAATTAATAATTGGTAATAGCACCTTATCAGTTCTTTCCTTTAATTTGATGATTATCAATGATTCTGACACATTTTTAATTAGAACTGCCAAAACATTAAAAGGCAATATTTAAAGTTATAAAGATATTTCACTTCTAATCATTTGTATTTGATGATTTTCATTGTTATTTTCGTATTTATTTTAAATATTTGTGAATAGTATATCAATTTCTAAAATATATTTCTCTTTAGAAAAATTCATATATTACAAGCGAAAAAAATAATAATTACTTGTATATATTTAAATTCAATGACAAAAAACATTTTTCATAGAGGTTAATTGAAGGTCGTTTTCGGTAAGATGCAGATTGATATCGAGTCCCGATAGAACAACATCAGCTGGACAGAGCTTGTCTTTGAAATAAATGTAAGATTGTTTTTTATTGTTTGAAAATATTTGGTAGTATTCTGATTTTTTAGGAAAATGTCTTCACTAGTTTATATTAGATACTATGTAGGAAATTTTTTTTGTTAATTTTTTCTATCAACTCCCATAATACAGTCGTTGTGGGAATAATTTCCTTTAAGAGAATATTTAATTCGAGTAAGATGCACAAGGTAATGCATTTTCGATTGTGATTTAGCTTATATTAATTTAATTATTTATCTTAAGAGGGAATATTTAGATAGATATAACATTTTCTAATTGCTATTCCTACTCAATCAATAATATAATTAAAAAAAAATCAATTCTGATCTCTTTTTTAACCTTGCCATAAAGAAATTAGTATAAAATGTTATTAAATATATGTCCAAAAGACCTTCAATCTGGACTTGTTATTATTTGTTAATTTATCCTTGTACATGTATTGGTATACATATGTTTACAATTACTAGATTTATATAAACACATAAAAAAATCCCCCCCAGCAATTCGTCAACAATTTAGAGCCAAAATACGATATAAAGTTTGCAACAGTATAAAACATATTGCCAAAAGAAAAAACTACTATACGTATAGTTTTTGTCTTAAGTTGTTAATTCACTTTTCTCGTTCAACTAGATACTCTTACTAATTACTCTTTTCTATATAACTCTTTGTTATTTTTTTATCACCGCTACTTCCATAGAATTTTGGCTGCTATGCCCAGTACATCACAAAAAATTGAATTCGACCTATAATCTTTTCACTATTGAAGTGTTCTATAGTTCCTTTCTTATAGCTTTCATGATAAATAGATTTGATTTTTTTTCTATAGCAATATGTTGATATCTATATTTTCTCTAACAAAATTTCATCGATTACAATTTATTATCTTTCTGTTTAGCATGTCTTTGTTTTTATGTAAACTATAGACTTTTGTATTTGTCTTTTCTCTTATAGGCTTAAATCTGTTAAAGTCTAGTCCAATGGTTATCTATTTATAAATTATATTGAAAAAATTTCCTACTCTTCTTTTGCAAGCATATCTTTTTTTTTCATGTTTAAAGAGGAAGGAAGAATATCGTGAAAATGCTTAGGTTACAACGGCACGTCACAAGATTGGGATTCAACAGATATAACCAATCGAGGAGACCCTTATCAAATGTAGCGGACTACAAGAAAGTCAACAAACTATTGGTAGCTAATAGAGGGGAAATAGCTATTAGAGTTTTCAGAGCATGCACGGAAATGGATATAAGAACTGTGGCCATATATTCAGAACAAGATATGCAACATATGCATAGGCTAAAGGCTGATGAATCGTATCTTATCGGAAAAGGGCTACCGCCCGTTCAGGCCTATTTAAATATACCAGAAATTATACAAACTGCCCTAGAGAATGATGTTGATGCTATACATCCAGGTTATGGCTTTCTATCGGAAAGGCATGATTTCGCCCAAGCTTGTCTTGATGCTGGTATTACATTTATTGGTCCAAAACCAGACTCTATGAGAAGAATGGGTGATAAAGTTGTAGCCAGAGAAACAGCTATTCAAGCTGGTGTACAGGTTGTTCCTGGCACACCTGGCCCGGTTAGAAGTGCGGAGGAGGCATATGAATTTTGTAAGGAAGTTGGCATGCCAGTTATTTTTAAGGCAGCTTATGGAGGAGGTGGTAGAGGAATGAGAAAAGTATCCACATTGGATGAGGTAAAAGAAGCTTTCGAAAGAGCTTCTTCAGAAGCTTTATCAGCCTTTGGTAATGGAGACTTATTCTTGGAAAAATTCATTGAAAGACCAAGGCATATTGAAGTACAGGTTTTGGGAGATAAGTACGGAGATGTTGTCCATCTCTACGAAAGAGATTGTTCAGTTCAGAGAAGACATCAAAAGGTTTGTACAATATATTATACAGTATCTATTATATGTACACTGTCACATAGAATTTTAGCTTTCGAATACCCCATCGTTGAATCAGTAGCATTACATAGGCGTACACGCCCTAGTAACTTGTCACTTATCAATACACTTGGGAAAGAGAATATTATTCCCAATATATGTTCATTTAGAGTGTAAATAGAATGAAAACAAAAGAATAATAGAATATAAAATCCTCTTTACCCTTGACAAAATAAGTACAAATATGATTACCTTGGGTGACCTTGAGATATTGATTAGTTTTCTCCTACTCTAATAAAACATTTGTTAACCATACAAAAGAATAGAGGGGAAGGAGGGAGAAAGCCTTCCTTTCCTACTTTAGGGGAAATATATAAATAGTTTTTACATATTTTCTCTCTAATTAACTGTTTAACGATCTTGTTATTATTTTTTTAACCGTGTGAAGGATGTTCTAGAAACTGGAACAATTGAAATATAATTTACATTCCGTTTACAAAGATATTGTTTTCAACTATTGAAACAAAAACAAACAATTAATTTTATTAGTATATAGAGTTAAAGGACAAGGAGATATTCTCTCGGTTGTCAACAAAGAAAACCTTAAAGCCTATTTTCATCATATAAAGAGAAGATAGAAATCAATATTAGATATTTATCATATCATTTAGGGTGTATATTTTTCAATAAAGAAATTATCATATACGTGAGATAAGAAATAAATGAAAAAGCTCAAAGTTTCGCGTTATCAGAATCAAAGGTTATAAAATTTTCAAAGATAACTTAATTGATAATAAAAAATGAAATTACTAAAAGTATTTTAAAGGCTTATCATCCGTTGAAAATTCCGATAATTACATTTGTATTAGTTAAATAAAATACAAATAGTAAAAATATGTTTATAGGAGGAAAAAGAAATCAATTTATCATTACTGAAAACGGATGAATCTATTTTTAGCATTCTTGGTGTTTTTATCTCCCTTCTTTTTTTTTATCGAACAAAATTATAAATGTTTATGATGGGAAATACGTGAAAAAATTTTTTAACTGGGTTGTTTAACGTTCGAAACTCCGAAAAATGTTCTTTTATTCTTTTTCGGAAATGTTCTTTTTAATCCTTTTTTGTTTATTCTATTCTGTTTTCCTTATTATTTAATAGCCTAATTCTTTCCACCCTGTGTAATATATTCAATTTATAAATTGACTCTTGTCTTTTGAATTATTCAGGTGGTAGAGATTGCCCCAGCACCAGAATTAGATCCTATTCTTAGGGAAAAGATGCTGAGCGACGCCGTTAAACTTTGTAAACATGTTGGCTATGAAAATGCTGGTACTGTAGAATTCTTGTTGGACGAACGTGGAAACTATTATTTCATTGAAGTTAATGCTAGATTACAAGTAGAACATACGGTTACTGAGGAAGTTACAGGAAGAGATCTTGTATACTCTCAAATAAGATTGGCGGAAGGAAGATCCTTAAAAGATTTAAATTTGACTCCTGAACAAATCCAAGTTAATGGCTGTGCCATACAATGTCGTATGACAACAGAAGATCCGGCAAGAAGTTTTCAACCAGATACAGGACGAATTGAAGTATTTAGAAGTGGCGAAGGTATGGGTATAAGATTGGATAGTGCAAGTGCTTTTGCTGGAGCAATTATATCACCCTATTATGATTCTTTATTGGTTAAAGTTATCGCACACGCAAGAGATCACGAGCATGCTTGTGCTAAAATGGAAAGAGTTTTAAGAGAATTCCGTATTAGAGGAGTGAAAACAAACGTACCCTTCCTTTTAAACGTCTTAAGACACAAGAAATTCTTATCTGGTGTTGTAGACACTTACTTTATCGATGAAAATCCCCAACTCTTCCAGTTTACACCATCACAAAACAGAGCTCAAAAACTTCTGAAGTATATGGGTGAAGTAATGGTGAATGGTCCCATGACACCTCTAGCAACTGATATACCTCCATCTAAAATTCAACCTACTTTACCTCATCTACCTTTCAGTAAGTTTTTACAATAGTTAAAAGTTTCATTTATGACGATAGGAGTAGTGAAATACTTAATTAATTTAGCAATAGAAATCTATTACGTTTTCCTCTTCTTGTTTTTTAATTTCTAAATTATATCATTAAAAACAACAACATAGATTTAAACAAGCAAAAAGGTAAGAGTTCCTTTTAAATGAAACCAACTAGATTGCATAGATTAAAACCATATGCTATCCATTTGATTAATATAACGTGTATATATTATATATTAATAATATATAATATAGCTTAACGAAAAATGTAAAGCATGGTATCGCTTATAAAAAGATCATAGATCTTGAAGAAGTACAGTTTTTATTAGTTAGGTGATGGATAATAATAACTAAAACTTTAACAAACTTCTTTATAAGAGCTTTTATTGATTAATTGTTATTCACTTTTTATAAGTTAAGGTACTAGAGGTTTCTAGGTAATGGTGTCGGTCAATAGTATTTATCCTTCAAATTTATACAATGTCAAGTGAAAGTCATTCCGTGCTATTCTGAAACGTAAATATTGTTTTTGGCAATAACGTATATTTAATACTAACCGAAAAAAAGATTATTTTATCTTTTTTTTCTTTATTTGTATTTGAAAATAATATAATATCAATGCTATTTAAAACTTCTTTTTGACATTGAAATAACATTGACAGATAGCAACAGACCTAGGGGATGGAAAGACGTTTTGAATGAAAAAGGGCCAGAGGGCTTTGCTAAAGAAATCCGTAAAAATAAGGGTCTCTTATTAACTGATACTACATTCAGAGATGCCCATCAATCACTTCTAGCCACAAGAGTCAGAACTTATGATTTAAAGAAAATTGCTCCTTTCGTCTCACATAATATGGCTGGCCTATTCAGTTTGGAAAACTGGGGTGGAGCAACATTCGATGTAGCTTACAGATTTTTACACGAGGATCCATGGGAACGTTTGGAAACTTTAAGGAAATTAATACCCAACATTCCATTTCAAATGTTGTTTAGGGGAGCCAATGCTGTTGGTTATACCAACTATCCCGATAATGTCCTTACTAAATTCTGTGAATTAGCTGTTAAAAGTGGAATGGATATTTTTAGGGTTTTCGACTCTTTGAACTACTTGCCAAATTTAGTTGTTGGTATGGATGTCGTTGGAAAGGCTGGAGGTGTTGTAGAAGCGGCCATATCATACACAGGAGATGTCTCCAATCCTGAAAAGAAAAAATATGATTTAAAATACTACACTGACTTAGTTGATGAACTCGTTAAAGGTTCGTATCATTTTTATCTTAGGAAATTATCTTTTTTTATTCTCACGCTCTCTTCCTACAACAGCCGGACTTCATATCCTTTGCATCAAAGATATGGCAGGATTACTGAGACCACAAGCTGCTAGTATGCTAATCGACGCTATCAGACAAAAACATCCAGATATTCCAATACACGTTCACACTCATGACACTTCTGGAGCTGGAGTTGCTGCCATGCTCTCAGCCGCAAAGGCCGGAGCTGATATCGTTGATTCGGCAGTCGACTCAATGTCTGGTATGACATCTCAACCTTCAATGGGCGCTCTAGTTGCCTCTATTGAGAGAACTCCTCTAGAAACCTCTGTAGACCCCAAAGATATAAACCAATATTCCACCTACTGGGAGCAAACTAGACAATTATACGGACCCTTTGAATGTACTGTTTCGATGAAGAGCGGAAATTCTGATATATATGAAAATGAAATTCCTGGTGGTCAATATACCAACTTGCAGTTCCAAGCTTACACTTTAGGCTTACTAGATCAATTTGAAGAAGTTAAGAAAATGTACAAAGAAGCTAATTTACTAATGGGAGATATTGTTAAAGTAACGCCATCAAGTAAAATCGTTGGAGATTTGGCCCAATTTATGGTCCAAAACAAATTATCTCCCAAGGATGTTTTGGACAAGGCTGATGAATTGAGCTTCCCACAAAGTGTTATTGAATATATGAGTGGAATGATTGGTATTCCACCAGGTGGATTCCCAGAACCTCTAAGAAGCAAGATCTTAAAGGGAAAACCAAAATCTGATGGTAGAACAGGAGATAAACTCGAACCAGTTGATTTCGAAAAATTACAGAAAGAGCTGGAAGAAAAGCACGACAGACCTATGTCAGAGAAAGATGTTGTCAGCTCCGCTCTCTATCCTAAAGTATTCGATGATTACGTTGAATTTAATTCTAAGTACGGACCTGTTGATAAGCTTGATACCAGAATGTTCCTCACAGGACCCGATATAGCTCAAGAACTTGATGTAAATATAAAAATATACCTTATTCGCATTCTAATCAAAAATATTCTATTGATATATATAATCATTTTATAACAGATCGAAATCGAAAAAGGTAAAACTCTACACTTGAAGACATTGGCTACCAGTGATTTAAGGGATAACGGACAAAGAGAGGTCTTTTTCGAGTTAAACGGTCAGTTGAGAACAGTATACGTAAAGGATAAGGAAGCCATGAAGGAGATTCATGAACATCCAAAAGCTTCAAAGGGTCAGAAAGGTAATATATAATTAATAAATTTGTTAATAGTGACAAAACAACCACTGTTTGTTCATCTTTTACTTTTAATAATTTAAGGTTCTATTGGAGCTCCTATGCCTGGCGAAGTAATAGATATTAGAGTGGATGTGGGAGACACCGTTGAAAAGGGTCAACCCTTAGTAGTTCTCTCTGCCATGAAAATGGAAATGGTCGTGAACGCTCCAATTGGAGGAAAAGTGAAATCAGTTGCAGCTCAAAAGGGTCTGAAACTTTTGGGTGAGGATCTGTTGGTTGAAATTGAAGAATAATCATGGCATCTTCTGTTTGGATATATTAATGTTTTGGGTATAGATAGAAAACATATTTAATTTTGACAATATCGTGTTCTCCTCTGTTCATCAAATAGAAACTGTAGAGATTATGTAATAACAGAAATGAGAGAATATGATATAGTATAATACGAATTTAAGACAAGATATATTTCAATGCTAAAATAATACAAAACCGATATTTTGCGTGTAGAGAAATTCTATTATTTTATTTTTGCATAACTCGGCGCTTCTTAAATATTATCTAATAATTCATTAAGATCGTCTTAAACTATAAAGAATCCTTTTTCAAGGTTCAATATAAATGAACACAAGTGAATGAGTAACTAGAACATCCTGGAAACATCATTTCTTGTTATTTAACGAGTAAGTTTTTGGGGCCCATCTCAGGCAAGTAGAATCAACAGTTAAAATAGGCTTTTTATATCCTGCTGTTCTCATATATTCATCTACTACTTTGGCTGTGACACAAATCACATGTTGTCCTTTCCAAAATTTTACCATATTCAGAGCTCGCAAAGTGCTAATAATGTCATCTTTGGTAATGGATGTCATTTGTGCGAGGTCTGATATGCTGAGTGTTCGCCTACAGGAAAGAAACCTTCACTAATAAACAAAAAATAATTCTGCAATATTAAAATACTCACTTGCAGCTTCGTATGAGATCTAACAATACAAAAGTCCAATAACTTCTATAACTCAATTTGCCTAAGTCTGATAATGGTTTTTCAGGAGAGCCTTGTTTTCCCTCCCGTTTAGATAATTCATAGCTAAATGCTATTAAAAATTTTCCGTAGCCTTTTCGTTGAAAGGGTGGTAATGTTAGAATACAAGCAACATTATTGCCTTCCGGTGAGATTTTCTCTTTACTAAAATAGCCAACAATATGAGCTCCCTCTTTATCAACTTCAGCCAAAACGTAAAAGAGAAACGGTGAAACATCGAAATATAAGGTTTTGTGATCCAAAAACAACTTTGCTAATAAACATAAACATTGGCAATAAATTTTATCTTTAGCTCCATCAACTTCATAAACTGAAACTGTTCCTTTTCGGTAAATTTCTACTCCTAGAGGCTGTCTATGACGACACTTTGATATGTGATCAATATAGGATTTGGGAAATCTGTTAAAAAAAGAACATTAGAAGATACCTTTTTGCTAAATTGAACTATATACCTATGAAATCTAAGACAATATTCACAAATATACATTTTTGGATGTCTTCCATATTCCTCTGGATAGGGTGAAAAATACCAAGTATCTATTTCGTACTTTCCTATTCTTATACAGTTTATATATTTAACTTTTGTCATTTGCTCATGCTCTTTCTCTAAAGCTGCTGTGGTGGGATCCATTTCTTCATATGATTTTTGAATATGATTGATTTCATCGTGTCTTCTTTTATAATTTCTTGTTACTTTACGATCACTAACAAATTCATTGTCATTCATCTCTTGACCAGGTTTTACTTCTACTGCTTTATTTAAATCTTCTGATTTCAGCCATCTATCCCATCTTCTATCCTGCCCTTCAAAATGTACATAATACTCAAAGCTATCTGGAGTTACTATTCTCTCTTCTATAACAGTAGCTTTGAGTTGTTTACTAAATTTATCAACTATAAAGCATTTCCCAACAAGACTTTTTCCATCTTCTACCGGTTTAGACTGCAATCAAACAGAATATTTCAAGATTTTTAATAAAATATGGTATCAGTTATTTTTTTGAACTGTATAATTAATTGTTTACCTCGTTGCTATCCGACATTATTTAAAAAAATACAAATTTTTCTTCAATAATAATTCGCTTCAATATGGCGTCTATGGCAAAATTGTCCGAAATCAAAACAGCATTCCACTTTCAACTTGGAGAAAACTGGTAAAAGATTACACATTTTAAACAAGCCATTGTTCAACTTTTCATTTTGACGACACTACTCTTTGTCACACGAATCTACATCAATTGAATTTTATAGAAATGAGTTCTCGTCACGGAACTAAAACAAAAGCCGAGAAAGGGAGACCTAAATCATCTGGTGAGCGGTTTATTAAATATTTTTGAGCGATTTTACAGGGTTTTGATGCAAGTTTAAAATTTTTAATCGTCTGGAATCTTCTCAACCAAGCGATAAGACATAAAGAACAAAGATAATGTATCTTAGTGCCAAATATGAGTTTGTAAATTATTTAATTGCCCCATAAAATCCATAATATTTTCCAATAGATGGGGCCTTTTTTAATATTTGTTTACATTGGCAACTATGGATTAAAGAAAAGATTATTGACTAAACTACTAAAGTCTGTTTGATTAGCGCTTAGATAATGGTAACTGCACGGCCTAACTATGAAGCACCTAGGTTATACGTAAATTTGATTTCTAACGCAAATATTGAATCGAGGAAATAAATTAATTTTTAATATTTTAAAGCTTCAATTAAACAGCATATCAAATAAATATAACAAATAGTCTCCTAAATTTCGAAACATGAGCTACACTTTTTAAAAGAAAAGATAAGATCTCAAAAACTAATAACTAAATTCTTTAACACTATTTCTTTTATCAATAATTACTGAAAATTTTAATAAAATTAACAGTATTATATCTATCGATTGAATGCTCATTTCTTTTTTGATAAATTCTGAACAAATTATCAATTAAATTGAAATTTTTAGAAAAATACTAGATATGCGCCTAATGTCTTGTATAACCATCCTTTCGTTGTCATGCGAACATGAATTATTAGACTATAGATGGCGGCACAGTGCTGAGTTCTTCTTTCATGGTAATTTACTTCGGATGAATATTTACATTTGAATACTTATGTACATAAGTTATCTTTTTTAATTTAATTATTTGAGTACAAAGTGACATACCGTTCAATTAATCTGTTAATTACAATTTTTTTGAAATTATTCTCTATAGAAACTAAAATTTATGAATAATATTTGAATCGTACCTTTATGAAATTAAAGATGAGCGTCTTTTGATAATTATCCTTTTCATGGGGAAAATTCTTTTACATTTTAGTCAATGTCACTCGACTAATTCTATCAAGAGAGTTTAAGTGAAACTAGAGGGAAAGAGACTCCTTTTTCAATGATCGATAGGAATGCAATTGAACAGAGAGGTTTCGACAAAAACTCGTTTTCTTTTAGTTTGCCATTCCTGTTTCCATTAGCTTACTCACTGTTAATGGCTGGCGTATCTTTTATTAATGCAACATACACTATTACTATTTGCTTCACAAAAAGATCCTGAAGCTGTTCAATTCAGACATTCACTTTTTATAACCAAACAGAGTAAATTGTCAGGTCAAAATAGATGTTGTATATAAAATAAGACAATATACAAGCTACATCCAAAAAATTGGATAGCTATACTACTTTGTGATAAACTTTTCAAGTTACCTGTGTAGAGTTTCGTCAAATTTTTGACAAAGGCTAACTTTAAAATATTGGTTAATCAATAAAGCTAAGGTAGCAGCTTGTTAAATCGTTTTTAAATGGCTATATTATAATTATTGACTGGTAACGAAAGAATATTTTTCACCTCTGAGCAACTATCCGAGAGCGTTGATTAATACATCTACGCTATCGGATTGTAAAATGCTCTTGGATTTAAGAAAAAGTGCTCGAAAGGCGGCTTTCATTAGTAAGTTTTTCTATTAATATTCGTTTAATATCCGTTATAGCACTCTTTATTGCTATTAAACACATTCAATCTAAAGCAATAGTCAACAGTTAGGGTAATTTTCACGCCTTTCATCTGTAATTTTATCACCGACTCGCTTATTTAGATCACTCAGAAAACTTTATGCTAACGTTTAAGTGAAATCAAGAAAATAAGCATTTAAGTTAGACTTAATTAAACTGTCTAATACTTCTCTTGTAGTGGAGTAAAGAGTTTGGTATTGATTTTTACTATCGTTTCGTAAATTTAATCCGTAATTAGAAATTATTTTCTCACTCCTTTTTCAACAACTACAATCTCAGTAAAATTTGTGAAAGAAGGAATATTATAGAAGTTATGCAGCATTTACAGATTCCAAATAGGGAATTTGGTGGTTCACCATCTATAAATAGACGAAAAGCAAGTGGAGGCTCAAGTTTAAGAACTCCCGAATCAATTAAAAGCAGGAGTGAACGGAAGTATTCAACCGTTCGTGAGTTTATAAGATTTTTTTGCCTATTAATTTCTTCAATTTCGCTTAACAATTTTATAAGGTAACAAACTAAGCATATCATTTTTTTCATGTTGATTAATATCTTATCAAGTACTTTCATGCGTTTATCCTATTCTTTCGAAAGTTTTTCCGAGGCTTAAATGTGAAATAATTGATATTATCATACTAAATTATTCAATGGAGTTTTAGGTGTAGAAAAGCATTAATCAATAGAAGCGATTTGTTTAAATAATGAATATTTTTAGAGACGAAAACTGTTAAAATTACACCAATCTTTCTAGATTTACAGTCTTTTATAGAGATACTAAAAATGAGCTATTCTATATAATTTAGTATACAGCATATACAGTATATATGTATATACTGTATATATATATATATACTGCAACAATTGCAATAAACATTTTTCAGCTCAATGAAAGATAATCAAAGGCAATGCCATATTGTTTCATCAATTTAAATTCATTTAACATTTATATAACTAAAAAACAACATTTTAATACCCCTTAAATCATAAACGTGATAGAAGAATTGAGATCGCGACTTTACCTGATCGTATTGTTTTCCTAATCGTAAATCAATGCTTGAACAACGAAGACCCTTATTCGTTTATCGAAAATCTCATTGCATTTTCGCATCAATATCCTTTTTTATTATTTTATTATGTTATTCGGTACCTCAGAAAAGAGATAGCTACAGAACGTGAGAGATAGACGAACAAGTTATACATATCAGTATATGTATATATAAATATATTGTCAGCTGTATAATTAACTTAAGCTTCTTCTTCGCTATACCGTTAAGATGATCAGAACAAGAAAGAGGAGTAACACTCAAGCTCCTAAATCACAAGAATCGGTATTGGATTTAAATTCATCTTCTGGATCAGCGATAGATGGCGGAAGAAGTAGTAAATACGCAAACCGATATGGTCGAATCCGAGGCAATTTAACTACTTTAAACGCTTTTAGTAGGTTATTCATTTGTATAAAAATGTTGTGAATCAATAGGTCTTTAGTAGAATTCAAAAGAAATTTATAAGAAAAGTACCTAAATTGCTATCATTATATAATAAAAAGTCAAGGAATAGTATATATTGCGAGAACGCAGCATTTTCATTTTATCTAATCACTTTTATAGTTTTAAATATTGAAGTAAAACAGTAATATATCTTAAATTTAATACATTTATATAGTAATATTGTACATTATTTTTTAATAGTACTTTTAAAGGAATGTTTATAGAAAAAAAGATAACTCATACCTTTTAATTTAAATACAACGTAAATATTCTATACTTTCAGTTGAAATTCATGATATTCAATGATAAGAAAAATAATATATGGGAATTGTTTAATATTTACAAAAGAGGTCACTTATTGTACAGTTGTCTCTAGTTTAAATTTGCAATTGATTCGTATCATGTTAATTCTTTGATCCTAACTTATTATTTGCTCTCGTTTTGGAAATCAATCCTAACTGATATAGTATACACTTACTGAATAATTATAAATGAATTTTATCCTCTCATTTTATAATCCTCTCACTTACACGTTCGGTGATAAAATCATATAAAAAATATATGATATTCATACCGCTTCAAGTTTTAATTAATCAAATTTGATTTTTTGAAAATATTCTTTTGGTTCCGTGTGCGAAGAGTTTAAATTAAAAACTGAATTCAAGTAGACAAAATTATTGTGGGAGTATAACAGGAAATTCTCCTATGAGACCGCGAAGAATTGTTCAAATAGTATAAATTCAGCCCTGAGGATATAAGTCGCCCATTAGGGGATAATGAACCAATATAGCGCAAAGAAGAGTTAAAGAAAGCACGTTTTCAAATTGGTCGTGTTTGTTTTCTCCTGTAAATATTTGTTTGAGATTTGTATAGTTAAAGAACGTTCAAGTAGTTGGACTCTGATCTTCTATCTTGCCGGTAATATGTCTAGGAGTTCAACTGCATCAGGCGGTCGGAAATGGACGGCTTTAAAAAGAAAGACAATGGTTACTTCCGCCTTAGGCAGTAAGTTTCTTAGAGATTTTATTTGTATTTATTTTTTGTAAGGTCTTTCGATAAGTTTTGAAAAAGCAGGCATACTAAAAAACTATTAATTTCTACGATAATGGTAATATAGAGAACGTAACTTAAAGGATTGGCAATATTAATAGATTATTCATTATTCTTTTATCAAAGATTATTCAGCGAAAGATAAAAATATTATATTATTAAAGAATATTCGAAAGAAAGAACATTTTTTAAAAAACACAACAATGAATATTTATTACTTTTTACCAAGTATAAAACTTATATTTACCCAATTGAACTTTTAAACTTTCCCTTTTAAAACTTTGAGGAAAGTAAGAATTAATTATTACTTTTATTGCTTTTAATCCGTTAAAAAAATATTATAAATGATAAAAAGCGCCCTCTTTCTACTAAAAAAATAAAAAATGTTAGTTTTTATTAGAATGCGGCGCCATCTAGGATATATGGGTTATTTTATGTATAACAAAGAATATTTTAATAATTTAATTAAGATAACACGATAACAGTAATTTAACTACCAGCTTTATTATGATTATTACTATTATCATTCTTTTTATGTTATTTCACAAGACTATATTTGTTAGAAATTTTTGTCGGTTATACATAAGCACTTATACAGTATTATAAATGAAATAAGGAAGCTCATCAACTAGTAATACCTTCTCAAGATAATCTTATCAAATATTCAAATTTATCAAGAATTTTAATATCGGAATACATTTCTTTACTTTTGTTGAAAATCGACAACAACAACAATGAATAGTCGACGCGGTTCGATCGACGCTGTTCATGGACGATCGAGTAGTAAAATATTAGAGCGAATACGTCTACATACCGATTCATCTAGATCAGATTCGGATATGCAGAGAAAATCTTCAAGAGTATCATTTGATACTAGAAAATCTTCAATATTATCAGGTTTTTTGTCTTAGTTATCTATAATAATACCTCGTCTCCTACCGTGTATACACTGGTAACAAAAGACGAACAAGAAATGAAGAAAGAACGTTTTCTTATTTGTCCAAATATCTCTTTGGCACTAGATAAACATATATTAATCGGTTTTTTTTTGTAATACAAGCGTCTTGTGGTTGAACGGTAAGCACTTTGTAACAACAAATGAACATAATATAAGGAACAGCTAAATAATATATATTCTTATATATATATATATATATATATATATATATATATATATATATATATATATATATGTCTATGCATATACATACCATATTTTATCATTCCTTTAAGATCTATTTGAGAAATTCTCGGATCAATTTGTTAAAGTAAAGTAAACTAATCAACGTGTAACATTCCTTCTGACTTGTTTCAGCAAAGCGATTAGATAATGGCGCCTCTAGCGATTGTAGCAATTTACTGAACTTGATTCTGTCTTGAAACTTCAGTCGGGAATTTTTAAATAAATCATAGTTGTGCAAATAGCCGCGTGGGATTAACTAAATTTGTATCAAACGCCTTTTGTTGGCTGAATGTCGATTATTATCTTTAGATCTTTCATTGCGTTAGCATATCATATCTGAAATAATACTGTTAATTCCTTTTCTTCTACTTTCTCTTTGATACGTGCGTCAAAATTGTTCCCCTTGGATTTATGCAGAAAGAACACGTATCGGCGTTGGCAAACAGGAGGAGGAGTGTTCAAATAAGAAGAGGAAGTGTTTTAATTCCACACGGTTCTCTTGTTCCAAAGAAACATTTTTTAGACTATTTTAAGAATAATAATATTTAAATGTGTATATCTTCCTAAGCTTGTGCTAATCAAAAAATTGTGTATTTTAGATAAGCTAAGGAAAAAGCCGGGAACTCCTGATAAAACTACTACACCTGGAACGGAAGCTAATGCCGAAGAGGAAAAGAAAGTTATTGTGAATGAAGAAATACTTCGTCTTGCAATAAAACACGAAGATCTCGTTAAGTTGAGGAAGGAAGAGAAGACTCCTGAGCCCACTCAACCACTCAGAGAAATATCAATAAGAAGGGAGCGTCCTGAAAAAGAATGGAAGAAACCACCTTCTAAGAGGTAATATTGAAGTTATAAGACTGTTAGCTTTATCACTGATCTTTCTGTAATTGAACAGAATTGCTGTTGCTAAGGAGGCACCGAATGACGCTCCCCTTCGTCCTTATAATTTAAAAGGTTTTTTCTTTCATCTTATTATTGTATATTATTTATTCTTTAAATTATTTCCTTCTCTTCATATTTTTAATTAATAATTTATCGTGTCCTTTAACATATACATTAGACGGCGCCGGCCCTAGATTTGATCATTTTGGGAGAATAGTGCCCCATAGTATTCTTGGAGATGCGTATACGTATCAAAGGAATGCAATTGAAACTGGCCAATGGCCTAATGGGGCTGTAATTGAATATCCAGTACAAGAAATGAAAGTTAAGAATGAGAAGAAAAGGGAGAGAAAGATAGCTTTTGAGGAAGAGGAACATAAAGCCCTAGAAAATTGGGAGAAAAAAATGAGAGAAAGGAGAAGGCAACAAGGATATTTATCTAGTAAGTTTCTTTCATAGATTAAAGGTTTTTATTTGTTTGAGAACGTGCCATATTTGAAGTATTTCATATAGATTTCCTCAATAATCGCATTTTCATATATTTTATAATTATCTACTAGATTCGTTTAATTTACTTCATTAAATGAAAAGAATAAGAAATCAATAACTTTATTATGTATCATTGGGTATTAATTTAGAGATTAAAAACAATAAAATTAACACATCGCCATTGGCTATTAATAGTAATAATTAATATCCTCTAAAGGGAACAAAGAATCGATGCTTAAATATTCATAATTTTCATTCTATTTGGTTATAATGCACAAAATAGTAAATTCCTCCTGCTATAAATGCTGATTTACATTAAAACCGCTTTTTTTTTTACTGGTTATAATTCAAACAACTTTATTTCTCTGCGAAATATTTATACGTGATTTATCACAAATTAAGTAGTATCAAACAAAGACTTATGCATTTCAAAGTTTTTTTCAAGTTATTTTACTCTGCTTTTATCATTACTTTAAAATAAACAGTAGCCCTATATTTATAATAAATAGATATTTCTTTTTATCAATAATTATTAACTCTTTTAAAGAGTTTCTATCATGTAATTATTATAAGAATTATTGTCTTTTAGAATTACTTAACAAGAAACCGGAAAATCTAGTAATGAATCAAGCTGATGGATATAAAAAGACCCAAGAACGTAGGGATATTATTGATAAAGCTCTTCCTCTTGTTGAAGATGGAAAAGGATGTACGTCTATAGAGAAAATTAAGTTCAGACTTTTTAATAAAATAAAGAATTTATTTTTATTTAGATCGTTATAAAAGCGAATTTTGGAATCAACACGAATGGTTTGGTGGAGAGGAGACGGGAATATTGTAAGAAAAAGATACAATTCATACTACGTCTATATCCAAGTTAAATTTTTTTTAGTGCCGCCTTATCGGAATCCCAAAAAGGAAATCACCAGCCGATAGAAAAGGTTGGAGTTCCTCGTACTGTAATGAGAGAGAAGGGTATAGATCCTCTACTACCGCCTTCAACTCCTAGTTCAAAACCTTGGCATCAAACTCAATATTTGAAAAAACGTCAAGAACAGTTGGCGGAACTAGTTCGAGAAATCGATCCATATGATCCGGTATATTTCTTTTTTTTTTTATACAATTTTTCATTCATAAACTCGTTTTAATTCTGTGCAATTAGCAATTTCAAACTTTGGAAGTAATTGGCTCTAATAAGCCGGTTGAGATCGATAGACTAGAACTGAAAAGTAGGGAAACAACTTTTACTAGATCCGAAAACCAAATGGGCGATATAGGCGATATTTTGACCGAGTCTGTATTCAAATTCATAATAAATTGTTTATTTTACAGTTATTATACTGTAAATATCTGCTTTATAGCGATCCTCTAGCGGGAATACCAGATATCCCAGCACCTGTTCAAGGACCTTCTATCGTTATAGAAGGTAAACAGTTAGACTGGGAGGGAGATAGTCACTCAAAGTCTGATGAGACTGCATTAGTGGCAAGAGTTGTCTTTGAATGTATTTCTGGAGAGAGGAAAACGGAAATGTTCCAAGTAAAAAACAATGGATCAACAGCTATTTACTACAATTGGAACGTAAGTTTAGCAAATAACTCAGCTGTTTTCTATCAATATGCAAAAAGTATTAATTTATATTTTTAATTATAAAGAAAATTGAAAAATCAAATCCATTTGATCAAGTTAATCGGAAGATTCAAAGATTTTATTTTAATACAAATGGAGGTAACCTATATTTTCTACAAAATAGTAAACTATAATTCAAATATATCTATGAATTTCAGGAGTTATTTTGCCAGGAGATACCAAAAGATTCCCTATCGTATTTAAATCTAGCAATTACGGTATCTTCTCAGAGACTTGGCAGTTTCATACCCATCCTGTTGTGGCGTCAGGAGCAAGTATTTTTGTAACTTTGAAAGGAGTCGCCCTTCAGGTTGACAAGTATGAAAAAGAGAGAAAGGACTTAGAGATTATGCTTACGCACAAAGAAGCTGAAGAAACTGTTGGAATGATTTTAGAGAGTATTTTAAATGGAGTTAGAACACCAGAGAGGCCAGCGACGCCTATAGACGCGTACTTGACTGAAGCAGAGGAGTTTAAAAGAAAGAATCCGACGCTTCTCTACTCCAGTGATACGATTGAAAAATTGAAATTAATTTACAAATCTACGCTACCCCCAACCGAAACAGAAGAAGCAGTTTGGGATCTGCGCATTGACACTATCAGACAGGCAAGAAATTTAATTGATTGATAGCGTGTAGAATATGTTTTAGCCATTCTGTTAAAATTGCAGGCAATACTGTCGATACCAGAAGAGGAGGACAGGAAGCAGGATATTCTGAGCCAATTTAATCAGCATGTTTTTGCTTTATCTCTTAAACCTGTGACGCCAATAAGCGAGTTGCTTTATCAACATGCGTTAGTGGTCTCATCCATTATTAACATGATTTACTAATAGCTTACTTAATTTACCGATAGATATTCTATTATTTGTGACATGGTTGATCGCATATCATCGACTGTATCTGGCGTAAGACACCAACTAGGGCTACCTGATACAGACACAGGAGATAGTGTTAGCCGTAAGTAGAGAACTTTAACAAATCGTCTGCCCTGCCAGCATTTACAATATTAGAATCATTGATTTGTGGAAACATCCATAAGAAGCCTAATCCTTATCGTTTACAATGAATAATTATTAAAAATAATATTTATAATCCTTAGACATATTAGAATTAATCGATTGAACCATAACCTTTTCAACCAGTTAACCCCTTACAACCTGAACTCGAAATGGCAGACAGCCTAGTTTCACTATCCTCAGATGGTAATTTTAACAAAATATTTCCAGCATGTATTGCACCGAAATTTCTCATTAGATTTTAAAAGTTAAATAATTAAATAATTGCCAATGATTAAGCACCAACTCAGCATCTTTTAAGCACGATCATTTCCTTTATCGACTCGCCGAGTAATTTTACAACCCCCATCCCTTGGCACATCGATTCCCGCTTTTATGATTTAATAATTTATAGTTATTTTATTTATTTTATTATATTTTTTTTATGTCTTTCAGCTGTTGTCTTCTTTAGTTTCTAATTTTACTTATTTTCATTGCATTTTCCTTCCCCCAAGGCAAACTATTAGTATATATAAGTTAGAAAAGCGCAAATAGCGTTTCTAAATATCCTATTACTAATAATAACTTTGTTTTTGTTACACTTGTGAAATATTTTTTTCTTATTCGCTTTTAAACAGCAAAACACGGTTTTAACAGTAGAGAATCGAGCAGATCTGGTTTTTGTAAGTAAAACAAACAAGTACAGTAAAAATAGTAAAAATAAAGAATTAACAAATTCTGGGAAAAGATAATCGTTCTCTACTTTTTTTCTACTGTTTTCAATTATCGGATGTGTACTAAATATTGTACACATTGTATACTTTAAACTTTTCTAAATCTTCCACCTCCAATTTCTTAAAATAAGGTGTTTCGGAACTATTGTTCTATTTTCTATATATATATTTATATATAAACTGTATTATTCTATACATTTCACCTTTTTTTTAAAAATGTTGTTTCCTATTTTGTTTATTTCTTTTATAATATGTAACAGCCACACCTCGTCCGTTAACGAGAAATAAAACGGATACCTCATCAAAACCGGGAACCAGTAAGTCATGTAGGGGGAATGATAACTGAAGCACTGCAATAAGAGTTATAAATTATTCCTGAAATGTTACTAATTCACTGGAAAGGGCCTATTCTTACTTTGTTATTTATTATTTTCAAAAGAAAGTCTCTAGTAAAAGCTAAACTAATCTTAAAATCGAAACAAGAAATAGTCAAACTTTCTTCTAAGATTGGTTGAGGGAAACTATAAACAAACTATAAAAAACTTCACCTTAGAATTATGTGTTTTGGTTACTTTCATTATTGATTGCTTTTGCACAATGATTTCACACTTCTTAACAATTGTCATTATTATGTTAAATATTTATATCTTTTCAATTACAATTAACTTTTATACATCAGATCATTATATTTGAATAGGTGAGGGTAAAAAACAATCTGCGCCATCTGGTGGAAAAAAAGGTGTCAAGGAGAAGCCAAGCAAAGGTGGTAAAGAGGTCGGTTGATTGATTTTATATACAATATTTGTATAGTTTATCAATGATAATAGTCGATTATGAAAAGACTAAACTGCTCTTTTTTATATAGCCTCGAGCCCAAACAAGAGGAGCAGTAACCCCAAAATCTAGGTCTGTCGACAAAATAGCGTCCTCTACGGGTGGAACAATTATTTCCTCGCCAACTCCTCCCACCGCTGATCCCTTGTTAGCCATAAAATACAAGGAAAGAGTATACACTCAGGTTTGAAAAAATAACTGTCTAACACGTTTTCATAGCTTATTTTGATTCCGAAATTATAAGTAGAAATAACATTGATTTTATACAGGCCTACATGGTTTTCTACGAAACGATAGACCGCATGACAGGAATATTCGAAGGAGTGTACGAAACAGAGAGCCAATTAAACAGCAATCATTGCCTCTGATCAGTAGATTATACTCTCCGTCCAAAGATTTGATTATTTCCTCTAGCACACTATAATTTCTTTTCTTAAATTACACATCATCTATTTGAATAAACAAAGATATATTCTATATTGTTGTTACATTGACGATTATACAAGTTCAAAAGTAATTGAAAAGTTTTCATTCTATTCTAGACAAAAACTTCTTCTTTCACCTTCAAACATACGTCATTAGGTCTTGAATATTTATTTAAATTTAAATATATTCATATATATATATATAGATATATATATGGATTTTATACTATTAAAGCAATTATCAACCTCCCTAAAATAAATATTAAAATATAACCTATTTTTAAAAAAAAAAGAAATTATTAAGTATAAAATCATAATGAGCGAATCAACTCAAAAATCTGAAGTAATCGTTGATAAAACTGATATGAAATTTGTAAATTTGACTAAATTTGAAAGAAAGTCTACAAATTGTGGAAAATTTAAAATTCGAAAGGGAAAGGATAAAAAACATAAAAGAACTCATGTGATTGATAATTCATCTTTTAAAATTGTTAATAATGATGATAATATTCATAAAAGTAGTAAAAATGTAAAGATTTAATTATTCGTTTATAAAGAAAATATAACGTATAACATATTCTATTTATTCAACACTCAACAGGGTTTCTTCGGAATTCCTAACCAATTAAACATTAATTATATTTCGAATATACATACTACTATAACAAGAAATTTAAAATCAGAAGCTCGATTATCTAATGAAAATCATAATTCAAATATAGTTCACGATGAGGGAAGATTTAGAAAGAAGATAGAAGATGAAGAAACAGATGTGCTAAAAGAAAATGCACTTACGATCGAGACGATAAAACCGGAAAAAAAAGTTGTAAAGCCATTTCCTGTTTGTTTTGGAATTCCTGTTGAGAAAAAACAAAATAGAGAATCTAAAGGAGAAGAGTTAATGAATAATAAGAATAGTACTACTAATTCGCAAGATTCATTCGTCAAAAACGCCTGTTTTAGGAAGAATGAGCTGAATTTACTATTCAACACTTCAAGTATTTAATTTATTGATTTCATTGAAATTTTTCCATTTTATCATAACATATTCATTATAGAAAATAACAGTTGCCCAATAAACAATTTTGGCATTGACCTAATGCAAAATAAAAGGGAATGTAATCAAATGCAAGCTCTCTTATCGGGCGATTGGACGCAGGAGGAGAATTTAGCTAAATTAAATAAATTAAATAATACAAATCAACATATTAAAACTGAATCTTTGGACAAAGATAGCGAAAGAGGTTGTTGTATAGTAAAAGAAAATCATCAACATAATTTTAGCGGATCAAAATTACTAGGTCAAAGATGTGCTGAAGGTGATTATATCGTCAAGTCTAATCAAATATACAACGACCAGGCTAAGAAAATGAAGAATAATGAAAATATACAAAATTATTATATGATAAGAGAGAATAAATTCAAAGGTAGACCGACAGGAAAAATCATTTATACTTTGAATAGACATCCTTTACAGTCTCATGAAAGATTAATAGAATTTAGAGGTATTGTAAGTGAAACTAAAGGAGAATCGGCAGAAGAAGAAAATCGAGAAATGAATGATTGTATTGAAAAAAATAAGTTAAGTTTCAAAGATGAAGAGATAAAGAAAGAAATAGGAGAAAAGCTTGAATCCGATTGTCGAACGAACAAGTTTAATAAATCTAAATTTTCCTTTGAAAATCATGTAAGGAAACCTGCTAGGATACCGTCAAGAATTCAACGTCTTTGTCGGCGTCGTCAAAATAATGAACATATTCCACCTATACAAATAAACTGCAACAATATTTCAAAAGAATGTATCGGAAGAAACAGCAACTTAAAGCTGAAAACTATCGAAAAAATCGAAGAGGATATTTCTATAATTCGAAATAAAGGTTTGTAACAGAAAATTTAATTAAACTATTGATCTCCTTCCGGGGGTTTCATTGTTCTATTTACTCGATTAAAATTAATTAAAAAATTACTCCTCTTCCTTTTCTTTTCTATTCTTTTATTCTACTATACCATTTGTATTTTTAAAATAGATTTAGAGATAAAACAGGATGAACCCGTACTAAGCGCATACGATTACCGAAATACTAAAATTGAAACTAATCCACCTATTGATCAATCACCTATTGTAAAAGTTAAAGACGCTGTCTTACAGTACGAGAAAATAAATAGAAATAAGCAGCAAAAGGTAAACTCATTAATAAGTTATACCTTTCAACAGTAATGAGTATATAAAATGCAGTATATGCTGTATATATATATTACTAATATATATTTTCTTAGTTGGTATGCTTTAAAAAAAACTTCATATATTTTAATATAAACCATTGATCTATTGATTAATCTCTTCACCTCCCATATTGTTATTGTTTCTTTAAAGGTTAAAAGGGTACTTGAATTGAAAAAGTTTAGTCCACAAGGGATAGTTAACTCTATTGGACGTCCGGAAGAGAAAAATTTTCAATTGACAAATGTTCAGAGCGCCCCTAATCTAGAGAATACGTTAGAAACTCTGGTAGACACCAATCAATGCCAATTAAGTAGGGAAACAATTTATCTAAATACTTCAAAAGTGATATCATTTAATGGTGATGAGAAGATAATTTCAAATAAAGCCTTTAATCGTGTTCTGTCAATTACCGCAAGATGTCCAAATACAGTTTGATGACTATAAATACATCAATATAGTGTATATTTATATATAAATATGTCTAAAATTAAAGTCATGCAGAAGCCTCGACTGCTTCACCCGTTTCTTTTTATAACTTATATTGATACTTCCACAAACAATAATTGTTTATGTCTTGAAGGCTTTTATAACCACACATAGCCATATTTGCGTCTAAATCTTTGGTTAATATGTGAAAAGTGTCGATAATCCCTTGAATACCCTAAGGAAAAAGTTCTTATTAAAAGATTAGAACATTTGTTTGCTATTGCCTTTCTTACATTAACTACTAAACCGCTTATAACAGGTCTGCCTAGGAAGACCATATCAGCGCCCAGAGCTAAACATTTCAGAACGTCGCTTCCGCTTCTTATTCCACCGTCTATGAAAAGGGGTATACCGTAACGCTTAACGACAGGACTAATAATTTCTAAGGCTTCGACGGTTGGTGGGCAGTCTGACATTTGACGACCGCCGTGATTCGAAATCCATATAGCTGATACACCACTATTGATGGCCTCGATTGCATTTTGAGGTGTTAAAATTCCTTTTACAATAACAGGCAAATTAGTCTTCTGCTTAAATTGCTTAACATCTTCCCATGTATAAGAACCGTCGAAGGCGCTGCCATTCACTATTAACATTTCATCATCAGCAAAGATTTGTCTTAGCGAATTAGGTTGAGGATTTTTTAAGCGTAGTTTTTGAGAATATGGTTTATTGGGATGTAGTACCGGCATATCTATAGTTATAACAAAACCTTTAACACCTGCTCTTTCGAATCTCTTCATAAGATCGAATGTTGCATTTTTATCTTTTATAAACTGGATTTGAGCCAAATGAAAACCATTAACAGTAGATTTAACAATATTCTCTATAGCTACATTTGAAAACATGCTAATTACATAAGGTATGCCTAAACTTTCAGCTGCCTTGGCTGTTGCTAATTCTCCGCTTGGATGAACTAGCTCATGAGAAGCTGTTGGACTTATACCAAGAGGAAAAGGAAAAGATTCTTTGAATAGTTTTAACTCCATATTACGATTTGTAACATCTTTACAGATGTTAGGACAAAGAAGGAGCCTGTTTCGAAAAGATATTTGATAATTTCATATGGCTGTTTCATCAAAATTATCGAAATATATTAACCTTTCTAGAGCAAATTTATTTCTCTCAACAACCTTACCGTTATTTGTATCGCCGTAGAAAGAAAAATACAAATCTGAGCTGAGTTTTTCTTTAGCTCTTTCCTCAAATTCGGCCAAAGATCTTAGTTCCGTAGAATTCTCCATTGATAAATTTGTTTGTCAAATAAACAAGGCAAATAGAACTTAAACCGTTTATTTCGTTCTTTTTTTAATCGATTTCGAAAAAAACAGTTCTTTCAACAAGAAAAACATTGAATTTGTAATATAAGAAATCAACAATGGAAAACTTCTTCAATAAGACAAAGGCACGCAATTGACAGCTGAAATCAATATGTCTCTTTTCTATTCTATTTAAAAAAAGACCACACAATTTCATATGACAAAAAAATGTCCCATAAGTTTTTGTCGCTCGGGTTAAATAATACTATTACAGAGATGATTAAATAAGAAAGTACAAAAAATAAGGAAAAGAGAGAGAGAGAGAGAGAGAGAGAGAGAGAGAGTGAAAGATAGAGATAGAGATGTATAGAGAGAGAGAGAGAGAGGAGAGAGAAAACAGCAGCTAGCCCAAAAGTCTTAATCTCCTCTTCACTCCTCCTTTTCTTTTAATCATTTTCACTTATCCTACACTCCTTATATTCTTCTATTAGTTAGGTAACGAATTATGTAGTGTTTTTTAAGTGATAGGTAAATTTATTATAGTTGTTTTTTAACCCTATCGATATTTGCTTAGTGTTTTTTCTTTTAAAGAAACTAGGTCTACGCTCAACGAGCAAGCCTCTCAAACACCGCAATTTCGCTTAAGCTTATGGCTAAATTCTTCAAATGTAGACCTTCCGTTGTAACATTGTATAGTTTTCTGTTAATCAAACATTTCCATTGGCCCTCAGGTAAATAAATATCCCTTGACCTTTGAAAACTATTCAAAATAGGGGCGATAAGAAATTTATCACCCAATAAGAATTGATCATAGGTTTTTAACGCCGTTAAGTCATTGGGAGCAATCCACCATAAAGGTCTAACAAGAGGTATAAGTCTTCTTGTTGCATTGGTAGAAAGTTTTCTTAACATAGGTAAGACTAGCGTTTGTCTATAATGTAAGCAGTTCTTGAAGGCTTCATGAACACGATCGTCCTTGACTGCATCAGGTATAGTTCCAAGATGCATAACTGGCATCCAAGTAACTAATTGTATTTGCCTAATAAATACTTCGGTTTCTACATGATATTTATGAAAGGCTCCTGTAATAAAGAAAGGATAACCGAGAATTCCTAGTTGTAGGGCGGTTGCTATAATATAAGTTGAGTTTCTATCGGATAATTTTAACCAGATGGCCTTTGGAAAGACATTATTTTGATAAATTGTTGTCACGTAGATAATCTTGGTCATATCTGAACCAAATTTCGAAAACGACTTAGAATAAGTAGTAGGTTCTACGAAATCATCGTAAAATTTAGCTTCAAATGGCAATCCTTCAACAAAGCCTCCTCGAAGTGATATATAATCGATGGGATTAGCCTTTAACAAGCGATCAATAGTATTGCTTATCCACATTGTAGACGCCTTATGCATATCAAATACACCCGAGTAAGTATTATTATCAACGCAGAGGCCTGGTACGTTACCTCCAGCATCCCTAACAAATAAATGAGGCAATTTGGCAAAGTTATCAGATCGAATGTGAACATAAGTTGATAATTCCAAATTTGTTTGAATACCTTTAGATTTAACTATGGAGAAAATGTTGGTTACATTTTTATATTTTTCCTTATCAAAAGTAAAATCTCCTATGTATTTTTCCCATTTATTATCAAGATTTATGATATTTCTATATTTACTATAGAATTTTGATATTAATCTGGAAAATTTAATCAATTTTTTGCTATTACATTCTTCTCTGCAAAATTTCTCCATTGACCATAAAATTGAATTAAAGAGCTTACTATTCGCTAATTTTCTATGTTTTAAACCATTTTTTGCCCATTCAGTATCAATTGTATGCAAGTGAATTTGTTTTATATCCTTTCCTGTACAAATTCTATAAGAGATGCTCGAGTTGGCAGGAACATTTGTACGTAATTTAATACTTAATTCGTCTACTTCATATTCAACTGGATAAGGCGAAGTATAGATTAAAGATACCCCCCTGGCCGTAATCCAGTAGCGTTCTAATGCTTCTGAATAACGGCCCGTGGTAAATAAACGTTTGCTCCTATGTTTCTTATTTATAGGCCATTGTTGATCCTTTGATAAACTCCCGCCGTACCATGCATCGCTCTCCTGCGTTATTTCGAAGATATCTTCAAACTTCAAAGCATTCTCGAAAGCCGTCCATGATATATCATAGCAACCTATATTTTTTTTAATCACGTGACTTATTGTTAAATTGGCAATTTTTCTCCATATTAAGCAAAGATTTTTTAAGCGATTATTTGTTGTGCAATCAAATGGAAGATCAGTGGTGATATCTGAGCCAAATCGAGCAAAAAGTAAAAGTTTATGTTCTAAATCTTCAACTTTTAATAAACGTTCATTTTCAATAAATTTAATTCTAATGTTCAGTTCAAGATTTTCCCTCTTTTCATTATACAGATAATAGATAAGGGCAACTCCAACAACTATAGATATCAATATAAAAATAACTAAAAGTTTTATTCCATATCCTCTCTTCTTTTGCCAGGGATTCTTCTTATAAGATTTAGATTTCATCTATTGGAAGAGTGAGAAGAAAAGAAAACCCTATTATTATAATTCTAATTTGTTGTTTTCATTTAACTTACAACTGCAAAATATTCTTTTGAATCACTGTCATCATCTTCCATAATAGTTGTGGAGTGTTTTCCAATCTTTTATCAGGAAGATATAAAGACAAAATTAAAAAAAGATAAAGAAATAGTTAAGTTTTTTTAATATTTAATTTTAAATAGAAAATAGATAATTCAATCACCTTTCTTTTCTCTTTCTCACCGCCTTCTACGTTCAAATATTGAACAGTAACACGAACACTGTCGCGTTTATTGCCTTCCATTATTTAATAGAATTGTATATAAATAAAAACCAATCGAATTCATTCAACGAAATGACAATAGCTACAATAACGTAATGAAATGATCTGCATCATTTATGACCAGACACGGCAGTGAAAATGAAGGTATAAAGGTAGGGCGCCGTATAGTTTAGCGTGTAGACTGTTTATTGCAGTTTTTGCTGCATTCCTGCAATTTTCTGCATGCAGTATCGACTGACTACCTCGTTAAATGTTTACTCTTTCTGTAAGCAAACATTTTCCTTTCGCTTGTTTACTACTGTTTTCTATTATATATTTCTCCTTTGTTTAAAAAAACCTTTAAATCAAACAATTCGTCGAATTCCTTATTGTTTATATAGTGAAAATACTATTGGAATAGATTACTTTATAGTTGAAGGAGGTTAAATTTATTGCTGTTCGCAGAATGCCATTGAAGAATGGAAAGACGCGAAAAATCGTGTGTAGTTTCTGTTTCTGTTTTCAATAGATTCAATTCATTCTTTATTTACACATAAAATATAATCATAGCTAAATAATATTATATTTTCCATATTTTAATTAAAGAAAGCGCTTTTTGCAGTTAAAGTTATCGTGCGAAAAATGCCGATTGAAAAGTTTGCAAAATCTGGTATAGCGCTCGAAATATCATATGATTGCTTATATATTGATAGGCACTTAGATACCGCTCTAATTTATACGCCATCTTGTTTGTTTTGAGATCGAAGCTCTAAGAATTTTCTTGCTTTTACTTGGGATTAATCTTATATTATTTCATAGACTCTTATCGATAAAACAGGAGCCTTCCTCTTCGTATGAATTTGTAACTGTCAAATAAAAAATGATCACAGTCGCTGATCTAATAACATGATCAGTTGGAAATCGGTTGTTAAGGGCGAGAAGAAGTGGGAAAATTTTGATTGGAATTTGAAACGAATAAATAACGTCTTATTTTTTATGGTTTATCATTACGAAGCAATAAATTAAGAAGAACTATACAGCACATCAGTAAAATGGCTGGAAAATATAAAAGACAAATACCTTTACCAGACAAAGCGTTAAAAATGTAAGTAAAACTTTTTTCCTTGAAATTTAAATATAAAAAACGTATTAACTCTGGTAATAAACGCCAAAGACTCGAATTTTAGTTAACACCACTTATAAAATAAAAAATTGGTTTTTTATTTGCATTTAGTATTATTTTCATAAATGGTTTACTTAAGAAAGTGAAAATTGGTAAAATATTATACTATAGATGGCGTGACAATTTACCCATTACTTTGCTTAAATATTATCTATTGATCAACCTCTAAGGTGTTAATGACGTTTTCTTAAGAACAATTAAGTCAACTTATTTAATTAATTCCCATGAAGAAGAAAAAACAGTTTTCCTGATAATGGCTTTAATTGTGTATTAAGATTAAATAATTGCAAAAAATACTCTACAATTATAGGAATTACGAAGGATTACGAAAAGAGCATTCAATTTTTCTTTGGAAGATACTTCTTTATACTCTAATCCTTCGTTGAAAATAGGAGATCTTATAATGTTCCCTCTATATGATATATCTGTATATATACATATTTACATCTTCATCGCTAGCGAAACCTTCCTTGTCCATTAGGATATTACTCCCTAGAAGCTAAAGTAACTCTTACAAAAGGAAGGGTTAAGAAAGTGGAAATCGTTAGTCTGTAATGAAATAGATAGATTTAGTATTATCTTCTCTGTCATCAATCAATATTAATCTCCTATGATATATTGTGTTTATAATTATAATGTGATGCATATTGAATTGGACTACTTACCTGAATCAACGAGGGTTTATATATTTAGAGACAAAGAAACACAGAGGTGTTCTTTATAAAAACTGTTACCATATCAAAAACAACTTGATCAATATTGAATGAATTACTTTTAATTATGATGTTATAAGAGTTACTCATTGTAGTAACGTCGTTTTTATCTACACTTTTAGCAAATATTTACGAGTTGTTGTCATGGAAATTGCTAAAACAATCAGAATTATATCGTAAGCGAACTCTATGTTTGTCTAGTTTACATATTAAAATTCTTTACTATAACTTACCTATCCAATTTGTGACAAACTGCAAAAAATTATAAACCAAATATTACTGAAAAGCTTTTTAATGTAAACGCGTGGTGCATCAGCGGGTGTCTATTGTTCCTTTGCGGCCGTGCAGAACTGTTAAACTACATCAGTTCCAGTAGTGCAATAATATATTATCATATGCATGTAATCAGCGATTCGGAACATTATTCGCTTATTTGACTGCAAGTCAGACAGACGGCAATGGATTTGCATGCTAATTAGACGGCAGTTGCAAACTTGGTTTGCTAGTTTAAAATATTGTATATGTGCTCGCATAAAATGACTATCTACGGAAAAAAGAAAAACGGCCAAGTTCTTTCAAAGGATTATAAGAGTCTGGAGGACATTTTAATCGTCAAAGGGTACGGACAGTATAAATATATCAAACTGCAATGGAATGTCAATAATTTATTCGATAAGTAAACTAAACGTTTATCTAACAGTAGAATATATTGAATCACAATCTCTTTGATCTTTATGCGCCATATTAATGTCTTTACTAAAGAAAAAAATGTTTGTAAAAGATAAAAAGGAATTATCAGAGTTTGCGTAATGTATACATTATGTAAAATGTTTTTACGTTGTATTGACACTCCTTTTCATATTTAATGAATCGACAGGCCTATAAAAACTAACAATAAATTAGGCCCAAGTTGAGTTGCGACAGTATGCCTTATAACTGCAGCGCTAATGTGCCGTGTTGTTGTAAATGTTACCCGTATTAAGAGAGAGAGATTACTTTATACACCATGATAACAATGATTAATCAAAGGGCTAATTCTGATTGCTTAATAAAAGAAACTGAACCAGTGACTATCATAAGGAGGAGACGTCATACAGTAGTTGGTGCTCTTAGAGTAGTACCTAAAACTCTTCACGATAGGTTTGTTAATAATTAATAACTTAGCCACTTACATAATTATCTTCGATACTAATTTCTCAATAGTTTCAAATGCATGCAATCACATCATCAACATTTTCCTATCGATGTATCATTTTTACCGTATTGCTTTTCTTTTCTGTCTACAGACACTCAAACTTTATTTTTACTATCCAAGACAAACTAAAATATATATAGAATACTATAAATAATAACTCTCAGCACTTAGGTAATATGTACATTTGTTGTATTTATATCTGGTAATACAAGTTGATAATCTTTCCGTTACAAAAAGTTTGTAAAGCAAACTATAAAACGCAAAGTAGTATATGGTTTTTGTTTTGTTATTATCATGTATATATATATATATATATATATATACTATACTATACTGTATATATACTAATATATATAGTATCAATACTATATATTTAAAAATGATGATAAAAAATTAATTAACTATTCGTCACGAACAGAAATAACCGATCTTTTTTTTTTTATTATAAAATATCAATAAGTTAAGTGTGTTAAGACACTCCTCTTTCTGTATTTTTATCTTTCTATTCTAACTTTTATAATAAACTAGCTGGAAGAGTTTACTTCTCATTTGGTTGGTGCCTTTTTCAAAAAAAATAATAAAAAATGGCAAACAAAGGAAAATATTAAGGGAGGGAAGAAGAGAAATAGGATTGAATAGGGAAAATAGCTTTTTTTGTATATGCCTAAACGAGTTTTACGATTCGTAATGTTTAGAGTGGGTTTTTTGTGTATTTTAGATAAAGGCGTTGATATATGATACCAGAGTAGAAATGGACTAATAATGGATTAAGCTTTTTAAAATTTTTACTAACGCGTAATTAAATCCTACTGTTCGATAAAAAGGCACGAGAATATTTATTAATAGTAGGTCTTAGGTCATTAATGGTTTTAATGACAGGTATACAATTTCTATCTAAATCTTGATATAGCATGATAGGGAGCGTTATTATTATTTTTTTTAATATCCATATAATATTCAATCGTTTATTTTCTCATTGACTATACAGAAAAAGCGTATCTAGAGTTGACACAATTCAAATCGACTCGAAAGATGTCGGTAAGATTGAACATCCTGCAGATGCGAGCGTTTTTCCTCGGCAATTCTCTCCAAGTTTTGATGATGATTTTGGAAAGTAAGCATAATAATTATCTTCATTTACAATTGATATTCATGTTTCTCTTCTTTAAACTTTACTAAGGAATAGCGTTGTCTCAACTAAGTCATTGGCGAGCCCCGAATCAGCTTGTTCAAGTGGTCGGACGACTCCGACGCAAGTAACACAGAGTCAGCAATCTAAATCAATTGGCTCGCTAACCGAAAGGGACTCAATTGGTTCTTTCGAAGATGAATTCGATAGGAATCAAGGTCTCGAATTGAAAAAAGTTTTCGACGACATCGATCGAATGATGTTCGAACGCGAAACGCCCAGAGTTGAATCCGTACAAAGGAATAAAACGCTACATATTGAATGTAATCACTGGCTTGAAGCTTTTACACACTTGAGGTTTGTTATTTATTATCTACATTCGAGTATCTCGCTCATTGCGAATAAAACACAACAGAATAAATGGAACGTCAGTGGTCTCAGGAGATTCCCGATTCATTGATTCAGGTTTCACGTATATTGAAACAACACCCAAAGTTCCCAGCAATGTACTAGTAGACATCAGTGATAACGACTTATCATTAAGTCAAACCGATGAGTAAGTAATCTTATCTTGATATGAACAATTAAACTAATTAATGAAATTAATTTTTATCGTAATCTAGATTGAAAATTGTTGGCACCGAAGTTCAAGTAAACACAGTTCCAAAGGAAAAACTAAGAATAAATGATAAAGATCCTCCAGGAGAATATAGTATGTTCGAAGAAGAGATTATTGTAGAAGATGGGCATATTGAAGAAGTTTTCGCCTACGATAATTCACCAGATTCGGAAGAAGTTGGCCTCCGTACACGAAGGAAAAGTACATGGCCCAAAGCCACTAGGGGTTTCCAATATCCTCCAATAACACCTCAAGAATGTTTAAAGGATAATGTAATACAAAATATATTTTACATTTTATGGAAACAGGTGAAAAAATATCTAATAAAGATTATAAAGTGAATTATAATCATCTGTAATTTATTTGCAGTGCTCCGTACAAGTCGAACCTCTTTTAAAATTGTATTTAGACTCAATAAATTCAACTCAAACTGTCCAAGGGAAAGAAAAAGAAACAATCAATATTCTCCCCTCTCCCTCGTTTACTCTACAAGAGTCGAGGGAGACATCAAATATATTTAATACGAAACTATCTTTGGCTTTACCGGAAAAGGTAAACTTTTTCTCTTTTTTGTATTATATACATTTAATTTCTATTCAGTATATAAACAAAATAACAGTATATCTATATATTTATATATTCTCATATACTGTATATAATATATAGATATAACATGTCTATAATTTTCTAAAAGGCGCTCCTTTTAAATTCAATGTTTTTTCTTCTATTCTCTCTTTCTGTACTTTTTTCTCTTTCTCTTTTTCCTCTTGTGTTTCCTTTTCTTTATTCAATTCCTTATATAAACTACTTAAATTATTATCCTATTCTGATCGATTAATTCAGTATTATCCCTTTTATGCGTTCCTGGTAATTAAACAGCGGTTGTACACTGCAAATACATGCTCCGTAGATGATCTAAAAGATTTGACTCCAAGATCATATTTGGGGATTGTAAGCAAAAAAAATTACATGATTGATAGTGTTCCTATTTGTTTTTTTACCCATTCCACCACTCCATAGTATTCTATTATCATTTATTAGATTTTATTATTTATATAGTTGTTTCTTGACAAAATAAGTAAAACAGCAAACTTTTTTTTTATGATTTTTTTAACCCCCCTTTAAGAAAAAAAAGTCTGTTTGTTTTTATATTGTTAAAAAAGAAAAAGTGAATAAAAAATTGTTATTCTTTTCTTGTAATCACTTTAATCAAAAAATCAAACAGGAAATTAATTTTTAAAAAAAAAACCCAATAAAATGTTGATTGATTGAAGAATTTATGGGTTTTTGTGTAAACGGCACTCATTAGTCATTTTTTTTGCTGTTAAATATCACTTTTACATTATTTAAGTATAGATTTTGACAATTTATATTATTTTATTCACTAATATTAATTATTCGTTAATAATTTGTGAAAAAATATCATCTTTTCAGAATAATAATCCAACAAACAAGTCAGGGGAATTAATTATTGGAAAAGCTATGCTCATAAGTAAAATGTCTCTACAGAGAAGGGAAAAATCTATACAGTAAGTTAATAATAAAATTTAGGTTCAACGATGATAATTGCATCTTATAATTAGTAATGAAACTTTGGAGCCACATAGCTCGTTTGGTCAAAGTCGACCACAGAGTATGACTAAACGTGGGGAACGTATGGGAACTAGTATAAAGAGATCTAGGGGAACATTGCCCCCTGTTGAAAGAAATAAAACCCCTCAGGTTGATGATCTTATAAGTCCACCGATGCAAAATGAAGTAATTAAAGGAAAGGCTCTGAGTCAAAAACAGTTACCACCGATTGGTGTAACAGAACAAATTTGGGACACAAAATATACATCAACTGCCCGAGCAGCAAGTGCTCATCATAAAGATAAATCCAACTTTACGTTAGACGGCAGACCATCAACTACTCACTCAAATTATGCAAATGTTCATAAACGCTTCGAGATAGGAACCCCTCAGGGTAGGAACGTAACAAACACTCAGGGATTGAACGTTCAGGGTAGCAATTTTGGCGGATATCATCAAGACGATACTTCCGAATGGGGTAGATTTGTTTGAACAACCTTGAACATGCTTATTAATAATTCGTGTTTTTTTTTTAAAAAACAGCCGCCAATCAGTACCTTTCAAAGACGTCTAGCCATTCCAGACCAAATCGCTTATCAATCTCTAGTAATTCCGCTTTGCCTTACTCAAGTAACAGGTAGCGGTTAAATTAAAAAAAAAAAACAAAACTTGTCCCTACCATCCAAGGTCTTTCAGCTACCTCATAAATATTAAAAACAACTCAAAACAGCTTGGCGAATGTTTTACTTTTTTAAAATGTCTTTGTTTTCTCTTGTATAACAAATTTTTGTTAAAAAGAAATATTGCGTGTACTTTAATTCTAACATGCAGAAACGTTGTATAATAAACTTTTATTGATATCTGATAACAATTGTTGTTTATAATATACTCATAATAATTTAGGCTTAATTATTGATTGGCTACTTTTTCTACGATTCTTTTATGTTAAAGAAATTCATCGTCTTCTTCATCGTCGTCGTCTTCCAAAACCATTCCTTGAAATAGTTGATTATAGCATGGTGATTGATGATCTGTAAAATGTGTATATGGAGAATATTTATTTAAAACTTTATTGCAAATCCAGCAGAAGTTTTGACGGCATTTCCAGCATTGCATCCTGTTACATCCGCTAGCTTTTTGAATAAATGTTCTACAGTTGGGGCATTTCTTACTATTTTCTTTCAACCATTCATTACTGGACATTTCCTCAATCAATTTTTTAATAGTTTTTTGCCCATATTCTCTTTCTAAAGCAGCTTTTTCGGAACTATTAGCTTTTAAATAAGCATCTCGTATACTCTGCATGTCTTCTGGACGTATAGTACATGAATTAACACCGTGGCTGGCTCTCTTACATATTCTGCAGAAAACGTAATGGCATTTAGGACATTCTTCATAGTTCTCATTGGAGCCGAAAAGAACTGGGGTTCCGCACCATGATCGGGGACAGAATATAATATTATCCATTTGATCGATGGCATATTGCAGTAAAAGTCTTTCGTACCTTTCGAACAAGCCTTCTGAAAGACATTTTTTAACTTGTTGAGGAAGAGCCTCGCTCTCGCACTTATCACTTGGACATACAAGATTATTAACACTCCCTTCATCGATAAGTACTCGGAAATAATCTGTTATACAATTATTACAGAATGCATGATCACAGGGTATAAATCGGAAACAATTCCTTCCTGACATAGATTCAAAACAAATTGCGCAATCGTGCAAACTATTTTCAAATTCTATCTCCAGTGTTTGTTTATTATGTTCCAATACATATTCAACAATTTCCTCCGGTGAGAGGTTAAAATTGACAGCCTTTTTATTTAAATCTGTATTGCAGCTTGTAAAGTTTATAGTGTTGCTAATTTCCAATGTATTCAAAAGATCATTTTGTAGATAGTTAATCCACCTGTAAAGAACAACCTGACCCTCTGAATCGGTCCATATATCGTCGAATTGCTTGCAAACTTTATTAAATTGTTCATTATTAAGCCATTTGCAAATTAAGGTATATATGGGAGGGGCTGAAGACGGATAATTTGGTGGCAAGCTGAATTGAAGTTCAACTGGAGGTAGAAACTTTAACTTCAATTTTCCGTCTTGTTTATTCTTATACTGAAGGTATTTTGCATCATCACTGCACTCTATCGTTAAACTATTTTCTAAGTAAGTGTTTACGGCAATATTTCCCGACATACGACCTTCCTCTTTGAAGAATTGGATTTCTTCATTCTCAAACATCGATTCCAAAGCTAATTTCTCATTTTGCTGTTCTTCTTCATCTTCCATTCTTGATTATTTTGTAGAATTAATCTGTTCTAATAAATAAGTACCCCTGTTGTTTCTATGCTATGTTTTGCGTAAACAAAATCATAATATTAAGGCAATTGTTGCAAGATCACGTTGTTATCGCGCAATAATACCTTTCTGACCAAAAGAACGTGGACACTGCGTGCGCGCCGAAACATTTTCGATCTTGCTTTACTAACAACGGACGAAACGAATTTTTAAAGGAACCAATATTAAAATACTTGTCAATCGGATTCATAAATATCATTGCTTGTGTTGAAAATAAAATTGTTAATTCATCCAATCAACTAATTAGCAAGAGCAGAGGGAAACGCATTGAAAACTATTATTAAAATCGTCGGTCATTTAGAATTCGTGTTTGGACTTGACAACGCCTTGTTTTAATGAATTGGCTCGCATTCGGGAGTAATGAGCGATAGACCAAGACCGGTTACTGCAAGAGCTGCTCGACCAAAGATTGATCGAGTAATTCATAGCAAATCTTTAGATTCGTTCAGTTCTGATTCGGGTTCCACAGAGTCCTTGACATCTGTTTTAAATCATAATAGTTACAGCAGTCCTGTAGAGAGCGATGTTGAAAAAACAACGAACGGAAGCCTTATAAGGAAGGTAAAAAAGCCGAAGGAAAATCAATTATCATCGGATGAACAGAAGAAGATATCATGGAAAGAATGGCTCATAAACAAAGAAAAAGAATTGAGAAAGAAGCGAGCCATTGAGCACGAAAAAACCCAGGAGATGACAAAAAAACAGATAGAAGAAAAACAAAAGAAGGAAGAAGCTAAAGAGAAAGCAATCAAAAAGTATGCTGAATGGTTAGAAAAAAAGAAACAATCAGAAAAATGCTTAAATGATAAATCTCCAATTAAGGAAAAAGAGCCTATTAAAAAAGTTCATACCGATGCAAAAAAAGTAGCCGAACAAGTGGAAAAATGGGAAATAAAAAAGAAAAAAGAAGCTGCCGCATTAAAAAAAAAGGTATTAATTGATAGAAATAAAGTGTTTTTTGTGTTTGTTGTCTGATCTAAAAATATCTTTTTCTGTCTAAAATAGAAGCAGGATGAAGCAAAAAAATCTGAAGAAGAGGAGACAAAAAAGAAAGAAAAAGCTGAAAAAGCCTATCAAAAATGGTTAGACCAAGCAAAATCTAGACCTAAATCGTCGTGTAGTAGTTATGGATATACAGGTGGGAAATTAACTGGTTACCATGATATGGCAGCTTATCCTCAGCCATCGTTTATAAATCCCGAGCCGTGGAGACCTTTGGATATTCCAAAACAAGAAAAGACTATAAAACCGGCTAAATTAAGAAAGAAGTACGCGTGGAATCCCGATAAATACTTTTAAAACAATTGTTTGTATATTTTGTTTCTTGTTTCTGATATTCTAAGATGCGTTTTGGATGGAAGAAGCCGGTAGCACAGAGGGATTAACTCCCGAGTTTGTCAATCCGTTATTGTTTTGATGGTTATTTCGTTTTCTTTTATCGTCAAACCTAAGTCGGTCCTTGTGAACGTAATCTTGAATATTTGGTAAACCCTTAACTATACATGCACTGAGCGCGCTTCGGTAAATATTCATGTCAGTAGCATCGTACCATTCCTCTGTATTAGGATCGTAACACTCTACATTGTAGATAGTTGTTACACCATTAAAACCTCCAATAGCGAAGACCATATCATCTATTATCTCAACACCGAAATTACTTCTTGGAGAGTACATATCCGCAATATTTGTCCAGGTATTCGTCTCGGAATTCCATCGTTCCCCATTATTCATTCTTGTAACTCCGTTGAAACCTCCAAGTGCATAAATGAAGTTGCGGTGTGCTATAATTCCAACACCGGATCGCCTACTTCTCATTTCATTTATCAAAGTCCATGTATCGGTTTTTGGATCATAAGCCTCAGCTGAACTTAAACACTCTACACCATTAAAGCCACCTGCAATGTATACCTTTCCATTTAAAGTTGTTGCACTAGCATCGGATCTTTGATGAATCATTGGAGCTATTAGACTCCATTGATTATCAGATGGAGTATAACGCTCTGCTGTATTTTGTCTGACGTGACCATCAAAGCCTCCCATTGCATAGATACAACTATTCAGGACAGCTACGCTTACGTAGCATCGTCTCGCATTCATTGGCGCTACCTCCTTCCATGTGTGCTTTACGGGGTCAAAGCACCTAACCGAATTGAAATAATCCATACCATCGAATCCGCCCACAATGTAAATACAATAGCCAACAGTGGCACAGCCATGATAGGCCCGAGGGCCTCTATCCGTTGATTCAATCATAACCCACCGATCCGCCCTTGTATCATAAGATTCGATAACATTAGTAGGACTTCCACCACTCCATCCACCAACAGCAAAGAGAATTTCATGAGGTAGACGCGGTCTTGCTAAAGGATGGGAGAGATCTATCTCTTTTCCATCTTCCATATCGAGGTCGTAAAGAAATTTTAAAGTATCAATAACGAGAGGTCGACAATCTTCGTTATCCTTCACATATGGGTGAACTTTTACTGTCTCGACAAAGTATTGTGTGCTTAAAAGACCAAGACGGATGCATTTCATGAGACTCATCATATAGCATTTCCGCTTTTGTGGATTATATTTAATCCATTTTAGGCAGGAATCGAAAACGAATTCTTCATTTTTAACGTTCAATTCATCGGCCGACACTAGTTCAATCATTTGATCAGCTGTCAAGTATATAAATTCATCACTTTTCATAGCGATATTAACGAAATTCTCTAGTATAAATTGATAACAGTATTTTTCCAGTTTGTGACAAAAGTATCGCCTCGCAAAGTTCCTAATTCCAATAGCATTTTCGGCATCTATCTGAGAGCGAAGAAATTCGCAGCATTTCTTAATTAGACCCAAAACGTTAAACTGGTCAGCTGCAGGTAGCAGGCGTTCAACGTTCTCTGTACTAATTGTAACACCCCTCGTATAAGCATATTCAATAATCAACGCCATTATATCTTTTTGAATGTTTGGTATCAAAACTTCTTTTTGAACGGATTCATTCATACCATTTGTAAATAGAGCTCTAAAATAGGGACTGCAAGCACTAAGAATTGCCCTATGAACTGGAAAGCTCCCATCTTCCACCCTTATAACAGCATCGCATAATTGTCCTGATTTCCGCAATTCATTTAAAACATTACAGCCCTCAGAACTTATTCTCTTATCGCAACTAACTGATTCATCAGAATTAGGGGTTCGGTTGAGTCGAGCTTTTTGACTCATGTATAAATGGCCGCTTTGGGGATGGTAAAAAATTGATGCATTTGCTTAAAGTTTATATCCGTTCATTAGCGGCGCTTTTGAATTCACTAATGACGTCATAAGAGAAACAATTGAAATTCGCAGACGGGTGGAAGATCCACATAAAAGATAGTATATCAGATTTCTGTACTAAACCAAGCTGGGTTGGTAATTTAACCCTTTTTATAGCCTCCTCCCGCCGCGATTTTGTAGGTGTAAATAGGCCTATAAAACTATATACAAGAATAGTGGAGACTACGAGCCACTTGGGGACTAACGACGCAATTTGAAGCTCTAAGTACGCTATTACATCCGAAACCCGGGCTAGCAACGCCTCTACGTTCGTTTGGCAGTTTGTCTTCAGGCATGACGCGGATAGTACTATTCAGGGCTCTCTTACTACAAACCTTTTTCTATATAACTGTTTACAGTTCAACGTATAATTGTAACTCAAATGAATTTCTGGAACAAGCAAAGAAAGATTGTCCATACTTTGGAGCAAGAGAGAGGAGATTTTGTATCCAGACGAAAATACGCGTATGCCGAAGGTGCCAGAGAGATCCGTTATACTCGGGTTGCGGTAAAGCTCCAAAAACTACATTTCAACCATCAATACAACCAATGGAAGTGAACGTAAAATCGTCTAATTCTGTTGATACCAGCGCTTACGGAGAGAAAATGAGGTACGTTTATAGGTCTATTATATTGTTTACATCCAGTACAATTGGTAGAGTTTCGTAAAACGATTTTTTTCCACTTATTTATTATTATAGGAAAAAGGTATACGAGACAATGCAAAAACTCCATAAAGTTCAACAAAAACTTACCGAACCGGTAAACCAAGTGCCAACTGGCGATTACATAATGAAACAGTTTCACGACGAAAAGAAAAAAGCTATCGAACAAAATAGAAAGCGTTATGAAACCAAAGGTTCACTTAATGTTAACAAACAAGCTTGTAGACCGTCTGTAAATGCTATTAAGGTTAACAGCCATGTCTACTTTGATATAGCCAAATTAAGAACCGCTGAGAGAGTTGAATGGGCATTTTTAAGATTAAAGAGTAAAAGTGCAAGCTATGTTAAAAAGATTTTAAGGGCCAATGGGTGTAGGGCCAAAGACTCTGATCATGTCAGTTTAATATTGAAACCTAGCAAACTATCAAGACTTTGGTCAGGATTTAGGATTGAGGCGGACAAAACAAAGAAAAGTCTAAAAGTCGACACAGGACGGGCATTTAAAGCGAACAAATGGTATAGTATTCCTATGAAAACATCATTACTGGATAGGTGGATGGATAAAAATATAGAGAATTCAGGTGCTCAAATTCTTGTTAAAATTGGTCGATGTCGAAGGTTTTTGGCCTCGGATTTATTCCATATTCACGATTGTAGAACTGGTCCAAGTAAATAGATTTTTTCTGTTATTATTAATATTATTACTATTCAACTAATTCCGCTTATAACTTTGCATTTCTTTGCAGTAAAAGTTCAAACGGTAACACCTATCTTAATACCAGAAAATGAAATATATTCAGTGAACAATGTTTTCATAAATACTGGAATATTTCCATTTATGGATATAATGGTAAAGGAGGATGATAATTTGAAAGAGGCACCCTTCTTTGAACAAAAAAATCCCAAGAGGCAGGCCCAATTAGAAGAGTATGTCTCTAGTGAGGATTCTATATTAAAAAAACACTTTTTACACCTAAAAAATAACCTCTTTAGAATAAATATTTAGTTATTTTAATGAAAGTATTTACAAAGGTAACATATTTAACTAAATGTGAGGTATTTTCCTTTTTTTTTTAGAGTTATAAAAAATCTTCATTGGATCGTGGACTGACGAAATATTGAAGAAATATAAACCACCTCTAAGCAGGAAGAAAAAAGTTCATCTTTTCTTTCTTCCCACAAACTTTGTGCCATGCTAATTTTGTAATACGGTTCTTTTTCCCTTTTTGTTCTTTTGTCTTCAACACTTGCAATGTAAACAATTATATTTTATCTTCTTTTTTTCTATTGTATCTTATCATCGTTAATCCAAGGATCTTTTTTATCTATTCTTTATTTTATACATGTGATAAACTATGTTGTATATACAGAATATGCATAGATTTAAAACTTATATAGTAATACACTAGTAATCTTTAATAGATAGCAAGCTTACTTTGCAAATCATTCATTATGTATTTTGTATAGAACATCATAAAATCTTAGACATATGCCCATTTTGGGCTGGAAACAGGATAATGACATAATTTAATTATTCATGTACACATAAAAATTAATCTATAGTTATTTTTAAACAAACTTAATGTAGTTCAATTGATATTTATACATTTTATCCTTGTTCCGAACCAACTAGAGTTCGAACCTAATTCTTGCCATTGACAATCACGTAAGAGATAACTTATCTCGTCTATTTAATAGGTACCATAGCAGCTTTCGACGATATATAATACTGTAAGCCTATCGGATATAGTTCAAAGTTCCAAGTACTGTTAAAAAGACTTCTAGATCATGTCAACTGAGGAGTTGAAAAGAATCGCTTGCAAGGCAATTGATGATAATGCAGCTAAATTAAACGGTGTTAGTCAAGAAATATGGTCTAAACCAGAGTTAGCTTTTGAAGAGGTTGAAGCTCATAAGTTACTGACTGAATTTTTGACTGATCAAGGTTTCGAAAATGTCGAAAAATCTTTTTTAATGAAAACTGGTTTTAGAGCACGAGCCGGCAATCCTGATCATCAAAGACATGTTGCAATATTATGCGAATATGATGCTTTACCTGAAATTGGCCATGCATGTGGTCATAATTTAATTGCCGAAGCTGGAGTGGGAGCTGCTATTGGCGTTCTAGCCGCTATTAAAGCTGGAGCAAGAGGCCGTGTAAGAGTAGTTTCAATTCATTTTACTTTTAACGGTTTTAAATGGTGAAATAATTAATTCTATAATATTTGTATACATAGGTGTCAGTATTTGGGACTCCAGCTGAAGAAGGCGGCGGTGGTAAATTACCTTTTATTGAAAAGGGTCTATTCAACGACGTCGATGCTGCTATGATGGTACATCCGTGCTTCTTCGATTCATTCAAGCACGAATTTTTATCTATTAAAAGAATACAGGCGACATTCCATGGAAAAGCTTCGCATGCCGCAGCCTCACCATGGGAAGGTATCAATGCCCTGGACGCTGCTGTAACGGCTTACACGTCAATTTCTGCTCTAAGACAACAAATGCATCCAAAGTGGAAAGTTCATGGTATTATAAGCGATGGCGGAGTTAAGCCCAACATTATACCAGAGAGGAGTCAAATTGAATATTATCTTCGAACCCCAACTGAAGTAGAAATGAAAACTTTAGAGATGAAAATACGAAACTGTATAGAAGGAGCCGCCCTTACTGCTAATTGTACAGTGGAAATAAAGCAGCTACAGCCATCGTACAAGAATATGGTTTTTAATGATGTTCTAGTTAACCTATTCAGCGAAAATGCTAAGGAACTTGGCTTAATTGGAGAAGAATTCGATCCCAGTAAACCTACAGGTTCAACCGACATGGGAAATGTATCACACGTCGTTCCGAGTATTCATCCCATGTACGCTATACCTACGAAAGCTTTCAATCATACAAGAGAATTTACAGATGATGCTGGAAAAGAATATTCTCAGGCACCGACAATCCTCCAAGCTAAAGCTATGGCAATGACCGCCATTGACCTGTTTGAAAATCCCAAATTGCTACCAACGATTCGTGAAGATTTTGAAAAGTACAAGACTTTATCATCTTAATAATGCTTGTCTTTTTTTTTCTCTTTTAATTTCATTATAAAACACAGATTACTTATATAAAAAATAAAAGAGAATATAAAAAAGAAATGTTTTATTTTCTCTACGTAGTTTTTTTTTTGTTCTGATGTTTCGATAAAGCATATAACCTAAAAAACACAAAAAGAACAATATTTAACTACTTGTGAGGAGGGGTAGGTCAAGGTCGGATAGATTGAATACAAACTTGAAGGTCGTTTCATGTCTTTTTTTTGCATTTATCTCTTATTCTACTAAACTTTATATTACGTAATCAAGTGGACAGAGCTAATAGTAATACGCAATACAATTGATCTTGGTCTATAACTAGTAACAAATTACACATTGTACCTTCAAATAGAATCTAAACAACTAAAACTGGGAAACAATTGTTATTTGAGGGAAGGAAGATGCCGTAGGATTGGGATGGAAGGGCAAAAAGTAAAAAACTGGGGGCGGCAGTTTAAATTTGTTATGTTTTCTTTATTATTATTCAACGTCATCAATAATATTGCGCACGATATTCACTATAGACCTAATTAAAGGAATCTGGTTCTCAGCTTAAGCGTAAATACTAAACAGCGGTAGCTTTATTTTCGCCCACCTTTCCCAAAAGTTTACATGAGATGAAGTTCGTATTGTTTGGTTTATTTTCTTTATCCAATTTTTTATGGATCTGTAAAACTGTATCAATACACGAAGAAAGTGAGAAAGTCTTATTAATAAGTTTTGATGGTTTTCTACACAGTTATTTACATCAAGTAAAGCAGAAACGTGGTTGGGGTTTCACCCCTAATTTTGATTATTTAATTAAAGAAGGGACATTCGTAGAGGGGGGACTATTAGGTTCTTACGCAACAGTTACTATTCCTAGTCATTGGACAATTGCCACTGGTATGTACCAAGAAAGTCATGGAGTTGTTGGAAGGCAAATGTACGATCCGAGAATAAACGAAACGTTGACAATCACGGCAGATTCCTCCAAATCATCATTCTGGTTCAATAACGGTACATCGGGAGGTGGCGGTGAACCTATTTGGGTAACTAATGAAAGGCAGGGTGGACTCAGTGGCGTTATGCATTGGATTGGGCTTGACGTTGAATTACACGGTTTCTTACCAACTAGACAAGAAAAGTTCAATATAGATATGGCCACTGGCCATAAGGAAACTATTGATAAATTAATTAATTGGCTCATAGACGAAAATCCAATTAATTTGGGATTATTGTATATTAGCCAACCAGACAAATTTGGTCATTTCTACGGACCAACATCAATTGAAGTATTAAATGAAATTATTCGTCTTGACGATATAGTTGGATATCTAATTGAAAGACTTAAAGAAGAGGATTTGTACGATAGTATTAATTTAATAATTACAAGCGATCACGGTATGACCGATTCAAGTAAAGAAAAACTAATAGTATTAGAGGATTACTTAGATTCAATGAAGTATGTATCTATAAACAATTCCCCTATAATTCATATAACTCCTTTAGAAGGTAGGAAGAGAAAAGGAACGATTTCAATTACTGAAACCGCCTATTAAAACAATTTTATACTTTGAAGGTGTTGAAGCGGATGAAATTATTAAGAATTTATCATCTGTCAAACATATTAAAGTTTGGAAGAAAGAAGATATTCCATCGGAATTTCATTATAAGTTCAACGAGCGTATTATGCCTATACTTCTCACTGCTGATTTAAATTGGAACATCGTTAAAACTAGGAGGGAATACAACAAATGGTGTAAGTTTACAATTTTTTACAGAAAAAACATTCGCTCCTCCCTTTTATTTATTTATTTTCTCTTAAAGGCCTGCATTTTCTTCTATATTTTTTACATTTCAGTTCACCTCGGCTCGCACGGATACTACAACAACATTTCAAGCATGCATCCCATATTTATTGGGAGGGGACCAGCATTTAAGAATAATTATAAGGCAGACCAGTTCGAAAGTGTCGACATCTATCCGCTAATTTGTCAACTATTAGGTTTAACACCCTTTCCTAATAATGGCTCCTTTCAAAGGGTGGCAAATATTATTAAAGATGAACGATTAAAACGACTTGGAGTGTTTGGAAGTGTCCAATTGATAGTAGGCCAATTACGTTCATTTATCATAATTTTTATAATTTTAGTACCTTATGCGATTTATAAGATGTATAAGACTAAACCATACTATTCAAGGTTTTAATAGTTTTCAATTATAAGACATTAAAATGCAAGTCTATTGTATAACATATAAATACAATTACAAAGTTATAAAGAATTTTCATGCAGTAACTATTACAATTTGCTATTATCATTATTATTATAAGAATCATATCTGCAAGTTACTTTGCAAGTTATCACTATAATGACACACATATGCATATCTTTTATGGTGCAGTATTTAAGGCACTTTTGCAGGTGTAGTGGAGAGAATAAGGAGAGAAAGATAGAAAGAGAGAGAGAGGGAGGGAGACTGAAAGAGAGAGAGGGAGAGGAATTTAGATAATTGAACTTCAGTGTTTGAAGGTTTAGAGCAGAAAATTGTTTCTCATTTAACAAAGAATCATTCTTTCTCTTTAATAAGCCAAAATTGGGAAAAAATCTAAAAGACTCTTGCAGGCGTATATAAGTTAAAAAATTATACATATATGTAAAAATATATGTAAAAATAGACATAAAAGTTTAAGGTACACTAGGTAAGGGTCGATTTTGAAGAGGAAAATTCAAAATGAGGCCATTTCCGTCTTTCTTAAAACCCATTGTTCCCGTTTGACCCACAGCAACTTTAATAAATTTTTGATTTCCATTTACCATACAAGATGGTTGTTGGTCAACTCTTAAATTTAACGTCTTCTTAGTGATGTTCATAGTTGCTGTTGAAAGAACACCTATTAAATGACCAACTCTTTCTTCGTTTGTATCCAAGCAAACAACGTAGTCGTTTTGAGTGTCAGTATGAATAATGGCTAATTGATCTTCGCCCGGAGTAATAGTCATACCGGTAACACCAGAAATCTGTTGTCCGGCTTTAATAACTTTAAAAGAGTTACAATCCAGACGGTAAATAACACGCTCCGTTATTAAGAGCACTCTTCTATTGCTCTGATTTCTATGGTTAGTTTTGTAAGCAAAGCAAGCAAAAAGAATATCTCCACAATTATCTTTCATGCGAAGTATTGAATGGCGTTGTAAAAGGCTTCTGTTATTACCATTTTCCAAAGCAATGTAATTCTTATGCCAAGGTCTATTTAATCCCCACTCTTTTCTTCTTCTGTCTAACAAATCGTATGTTAAGCACTTCATTTTTAATTCTTCCATAGACAAGGAATCTGGTTTCTCTTTTAGTTTCATTTTGGCCCAAAACTGTTGATGGAGATTTTGTGCAATTTGCAACCATTTGGCTAAGGAAGGCGGAGCTGACGGCCATGCCGCATTTCTCATATAATTTTCATGTTTCATTGAACGCACCATTTGGAACATCTTGCAGACTTTGAGTATGTAAGAACGTAATTTATATTTTCTATATGTTCCAACAATTTTTGTGGCGGCTAACGTTCTCTTATATCGTTTACGAGCAAGAGCTGCTCTAGTAACCTATCATGAAAAACAAGTTTATAGCGAGATCTTAAATTAAATTGTTCATAAATACTTACTGTCTGGAGTAAAATGACCAGACCAGGTATACTCTCTTGTCTTTTAGTCTCCAAAGTAAACACAGTCTGAGGTGTTTTAATAAACACTTTGGTCTTTCCTAGCTGAACGTCACTTGCAAGATTATGACTATTTAATATTTTAATAACACCATCTCTTGGGTCTGATCTCCAGACTGGCCAAGTATCTTTGCATAGCATCTTGTATCTGCTCACAAATAGATCAATTTTCTGGCGAAATGCGAAACCAGCTCTTCTAACTCTAACATTTTCTAATAGCCCTAAGTATTCAACTTGATGTTGAACTCGTTCCTCGTTAAACTGACTTGAACTTTTCGTTTCGTTGGGTTTAATGCAACGAACATAATAGGGTTCTTTTGATTTTAGTGTATTCACCAAATTGAACATGGACTCCTTAAACGTCGTACCAGCTGTAGGAGGTCTTTTATTTACTTCAGCAAGCTTTTGTTTCCCTTCAGGCCACATGTTTTTAACAATAGGATCTCTAGAATTATATAAAAGCCTTTTAAAATCTTGGAAGAGCAAATCTTTATTTTTATCCATAAAGCCAACAGCTTTATAAGTTACATGGCCAGCGTAGTGTTGAATCTTGAAATCTTCGTCAGGTTGCAAACTCTTATCGGCTTTCGATAAAGCTCTTGAGGTGTAATGTTTATGAGAGGAAAGATGTTTGTTCATATTTTCTAAAAAGTGCTTGTCTTTAACGTTTCCTGCCATAAGGCAACATTCGTCCAGCAAGGCAATAATACCAGTTCTTGAAGTATCAATTAAGCTGCATATAACAGAGTTGTCAAAATAATCGACGTGGACCCACCCAATACCTTCTGATTCATATTCAGCCTGTTCCTGTTGGAGTACTAGTTGAATGAAAAGCTGTTGCAGTTTCTCATTGCAGTAATTAATGCAAAACTGCTCAAAGCTATTGTTGTCAAATATTTCGAAACCATAGATATCCAGCACTCCAATGACCGTGGCTTTGGAATGTAATTCTCCCCTGCCATTAGGTACTTTCATAGCCTTATTCACACCACTAACTATGAAAGTAAATAAGCGTTCATACAAGGCTTTAGCAAAAGCATCCCTTGCATAAACTGCATGATCAATGGAATGTCCTTTAGCAATAATATCTCCTCCACCTGAAACAGTTCTTGAAGTTAAGGTTTTGATTGCATCGCCTTCATCAACACTCAATAGATCAGCTAATTTTCTTACGCCTGCCTTAGACGTGGACTTTAATTCGCATTCGTCATTATCCTTTTCCTCGTAATCAATATTCCCCAAATGAAGGACCGCAGCAACCATTCGCCAAATGGTTTTTTTCTGTTCTTTTGAGAATCCAGTAACCCCAAGCGCGGCTTGAACTTGTTGAAAATCTGTTTTATCATCGATTGAAGCCACCTGTGAAAGATTTCAAAAAGTTGAAAAAAATAAAAAAACCATTAATACTTTATATTTAGTATTTTCTTATATGATATGAAAAAAAAAGCTAGAAAGGCGAAAAAGAGTAGTTTGTTAGTATTGTAAATATTTAATCTAATTATCTCGATAAACCAATCGATTATTCAGCACGGCAAACCACTTATGACAATGGTAGCGAAAACTGCTACTGATTACAGGTGAAAATATTTATAAGCTTATAAAACAAAACAGAAAAGTATTTAAAAAAAAACTCTATTCGTATAGCAATTGAATTAGATTACCAATAGAGAAAGTTATAATATATATAATATAAATATAATATAGGCTTAAAAACTATTAGGCCCAAATAGAAAAAAATTCCAACAAGAATAAAAATATTTTCATACAGAGAGTTTCCCCTCCCCCCTCCCCTAATTAGTCATTATATAATATAGACTAAATTATCAATTATATCAATAGAAATTATATTGTTTAATATTTATCTATAGGCCTATTGACATATACATATATTTTCTGTAGATAGTATATAGCTAGTCAACGTGCTGATATACATATATATTGTGATACAAATATTCTGCTATCTTTTGTTAAGGATAGTTGTTCTTTAAATGACAATAAAAGAATATTAAAAAGAGAGAGAGGAAAAAAAATGAAAATGTTACATTCTCTTTAAAATATTCAAAACTACATTTTATCATGCTTAAACGTATTGTAAAATAAATGGTTATTAAACATGCTTTCCGTTGATTAAAACTCACATGAAGTCCATCTATATACAAGTCGGGCTGCGATTAGATTAAAGTAACAGATATAGAAAGAGAGAATAGTTTTACTACAGACTGCTTAAGTTAAGATATCACTAATAAAAACCAAAGAAAAAGAATTATTTTTTTTAGCATTTAAACAATCAAGGAAGTTTTTTTCTTCCAGATTAAAAGATAATTATTAATATATAACACAATTTTAATATATTAAGAGTTTATATATAGTGATGATCCGTTTTGTATGCATGTTAATAGCAAAAGTTTTGTCAAAAGATAGTGAGAAAGAGAAGAAAGGAACAAAATATAGATGTGTAATACGCATTAGCGCATTCCTTAAATATCTATTTTGTTATACTAAAATTTTAAGCAACAGCCTGTGGTTTAGCTGCTTTTTTTTTTTTTTAGATTTTAGTCATTTTTTTTTTACCGTATATGTGGCAGAGTCATCTTCTGAAATCCAAGTTGACCTTCGAGCATTGACTATCTAGAGTCATGCAAATATTTCATATATACTGTATATATATATATATATATATATATATATATATATATATATATATATAAATAACATGTATACTGTGTTTTAAAATGAGTTTATGTGTTTTTTATACAAATATGGGTATATGATATTTACACTATATAAATAAAAAAATAGCGTTACAATTTACGTAATCTAGTAAATGCCAAATTAGGTGTGGTTTTTTTTATCGTTGGATCATACAAAATATTTTTAAACTACTACGCAATATTAGTCATACCTTAGTATCCCCTTGGTTCAAATAATGATAGACCTGCGGCTCTTTTGATAGGCCTAATTCGCTTAAAATAGCCGAATCCGCTCCAAACAATAGCTGATAAAAAGAATGAAAATTACGCTCTCCCTTCTGTTGCTTGACCACACGAGATTTTTCTAATAGAAAATTATCGATATGTCCCCCAACTGGGTCTGCTTTAAAATCAAAGTTTATATCCATATACTTTCCAAATCGTGAGGAATTGTCATTTCTATTGGTTTTAGCATTGCCAAAAGCTTCGAGTACAGCATTGGAATTTAACAAAATGTTAGTAACTCGTCGAACTTCACCCTGACCACTAACACCTGTTACTTCACTTATATATCGCATTATAATCTTAGAAGCCTCAGTTTTACCAGCCCCACTTTCACCGGAAATAACAATACAAGTATCCCTTCCCCGTCTTTTCATAGCCTTATAAGCAGCATCAGCAATAGCAAAAATATGTGGTGGCCTCTCATAGCTATAAAAAAGAGATTATTTCGTAAAGAAACAAAACTTTTATTATACTTTCAAACAATTGTTTGAAAGTTTCATTTCAAGTACTTACATTTCGCGGCCTTTGTACATATTAACAAAGTTTTTATCATACATTGCCACTTGTTCATAAGGGTTAACCGAAACGACCACTTCACCGATGTAGGTGTAGACTTTTTTATTAGCATGCCTAATTTGGTAACATATGTAATTAACACATTTTTATGATTTCATACTTGATTGAACACTTTTTTTTATTACTGTTTTGAATTTATTAAGTTTATATTTTAGTCACAAACCACAATTGATATTATAATTAAACTCTTAAATTTTGTTATCAAGGTATAATTTAATTTAATGACTCAATTTTCGTTTTCATTGAGACGAGATAACAGGGGGAAAATCAATTATTTCGGTCTTGACACAATAAAAATCACTCAATCAGAAACTGTTTGGATACAAACCTTATCCGTAAATTATCAATGAACGACTGAACATTGATATCTTTTAATAAAATAAAATCCGAAATACCAAAATCTTCATCGAGAAAACTGCCCGCCATTTTGAACGTGAATATTTCACCTTTTACACTGTTCAACCCAGTTTTTACTCCTGAGGTAAGTTAATGAAAGTTCTTGCTGGAAAATATACGGCCGGCAAGTCGAAGGAATATCACACATATAAGTTTATAATTTATACGGATGTATTTATATTCGTGTGTCAGTAACAAAAAAGCGGCCTGCAGATCGATTAGATAACAGGCCAAGCAAATACTGCTGCAATAAAATTTAGTTACTTTCACAATCATTTACTCTCTCATTTTTTCATTGTTTCCAAAGTTATGTCCCTATAAATCAACGACAATTGCTTTCACGATAATGATTTTCTTACAAAAAAAATATTATGTACAGAGCCATCTGGCTTTGAATGTATTTTTGTCATTCTATAAAATGTTGCTTCGAAAAAAAAATACACTGAATGCTGCTTTTTAATGGGTTTAAGGTCCAGTGAAATGATAAATATGGAAATGAAAATTCTATTTCGATTGAGCAACGTTCGTGACTCTAAAATTACGAAGCTGGCTGGTACGCTCGTTTCATCACATAGGCTTCTTCGACGTAATCTTCCAATGCTCGTATTTCGTCAATTAATTGCTCGTTAGTAATAGAATCGTCTATCAAGCATTTTACGATTAATCTAGGTATCGTTCCTTGGTAAGTTTGTTCATTCACAAATTCTTTCCATTGTACACCATCAATCTCTAGTCTTCTTATTTGCAAGTTGAGGTCTTCCAGGCGTATCATAGGATCATTAGGTACAATTGAGAGGGTAATTAAGACTTTTGACGGTGGCTCCCTTGTATCGATACCTTCGTCACTTTCATTATCACTGTACGGGCATGCAACTTTCTTTAATCACAAAAAACAACATAGGAAGACATCAACGAAATTAAAGATCTCGTTAAAAATAGATAATAGTTTTTCTAAAAATGCTGCATTTCTATGAAAAGTAACAATTTTAAAACGTACCCCGCAAAATTTTGAACTGGTAACATTGCCATGAGACTCCGAACGAGTATTTTCTCAGTGCGTCCGGGGCTTACCCGGATTTTCGAGATTGTTCACAAAATTTGCTTACGTAAGCACACTTGTCTGGTCACGTGACTAACTTGATAAAATAATTTCCAAAAATGTAGTAAATAACATCTTTTATTAATATATAGGTTGAACCATAAGGAAAAACTGAAAATTAACTACTAAATACGAAAATATCATGTTGCTAGCCAACAAGAAAATGGCGGTAAAAACAAGTTCATAGGCATACAGAATCCACTAAGATATTTTAGTCGTAGCCAACAGCACTAGTGTTTAACAAATCGGCAAAGAATTAGAATCAATAGCAATCAGCACAGATCAAATTTATAAAAATGAGTAATAACGCAAGCTGGTCAGTCGCTTATGATGGCAATAATCTTAACCAACCTGGTTGGAGCTGCACAACAAATGAAGGACTCTACAGAAAAGGGGTTTTAATTGGAAATTGGAGCGAAGAAAGAGCCGACGTAGATCATGTTAGAATACCAAAGAGACTGCCTTCGGCTTATGATCATTACTACAAAACCATCTACAAAACTACATATTCCAAAGAGCCTACAAAGGTGCCGGACACTCTTATAGGTCAGAAAAAGAGATTTCCTAATGCTTACCCACACCACCAACCAGAACTTGATACACCTGAGCTGCAGTTTCGGGCTAACACTTGGGAAACGACTCAAAGGGCTGATTACTTACATCCGGACTTAAAAAGAACGATATTGATCCCGAGCAATTCGCTAGTCGTTACAAAGACGGAAACACCACAACCAACTGCCCAATACACACCAAAAGGATCACACTGCTGCAATCCTGCACCAACTGTTATACCTGCGACATACTAAACCGCTAAAATCTATCATCAGTATTGTAACTACTCAGAATTTGTGTTGTTTGTCTTTCTTCTCTCGGTTTACGTCAGTATTATCACCGAAAAGATATTATCAGCATTATGTACACATTATGCAGTATTTCTATGAGTGTATTCAGATATTTTGCAGTGCTTTATGAAATATAATTTTTTTTGAGTGAGACAAAGCACCAGTAAGATTTTAGAAAACGCTCACAGCCAATTGATTATTAAGCAATTATTAAGATTAAGCTGCGGTTAACATCAAGAGTATACTTATTTATAATGGATTCGACTTCTGTCGGATAACAAATAACAAATGTAACGATTCTAAAATCTATCTCTTTCTGTCTCAGATTTCACCACCAATTTTAGAATATAATCAATAGCAGAAGCGTCATGTAAAATACCCAAATGGTCTGTTTTATTATATTGTCTGTGGAATACAGGAGGCCCATTCATTTTTTGCCATTTTAAACAACCATGAAGGGACCTTAAATTTACTGTACCATCTCCGTCACCATATATAACGTCTGGCTGATAATTATACCACTGACTAGGAGCATAACGAAAGCTTGCTGGTGTGTCTACTCCTACGCCGTGTAAACAATGAACTTCAACACCTGGATGATCTAATTTTTTGATTAAAGGCTCCGTGTCTTTTCTCATTTCCCAAGCGTCTGTATAATTAACGTCTTTTAAAAATTTCTGATAGTCTGCGACAGTATAATTATATTTTGGAGCATAAATTAAAACTTCATCTTTCCTCCAGAAAGTATCGTACGGCATTAGCCATGCTGAACTGGGTATTGAGCGTTGAAAAGACCTGACGGACAATGGATTAACAATATAAACATGCAGGTTATCACCCGAAGCTAAAAGACGTAAAGCTTTGACAGCACCCCCCCAAGGAGAAGCAAGTGTCACAAGTCTTGCAATGTAAGTCTTTTTCCAAGCCGCTGTTTGCTTTTTCAAAAAATAATAGCCAACCGGATTGCCCATACTATGTCCGATAAGGGTTACGGGAGTATTGTTGTTCATGGTATATGTCTCTTCTATTAGTCTTTTCATGTCACTTAATAGATTTTTCATTTCGTCTGGTAGATAAGAATTTTATGTTTTTATATGGTATAAATTCTCTAATCGTAACAGTTAAAGTTGAGAGAAAAAATACCCACTAGGTGCTTTACGAAAGTCAAATGGAACACCCCTTACATTTAGTCCTCGTTTATAGCCTAGCTTTTTCACTAATGCGTTCACTATTGATGAATAATAAGCAGCTAAGGAAACAAATATGATGGTTTAGCTACAATTCAATTGTAAAGAAGAATACTTTAAATTGAAATTACTTAGACTATAGCGGCTAGCGTCTAAATATTCAATAGTGGAGGTATTTCCAAAGTCAGTCACCTTAATTTCAACTCCTTCAGTATTTCTCGTTGTTCGAGTTTTGCGATCGTAAATCAATCTGTATCAAAACGTAAGTAAGACATTTATCAAATTGCGCAGTTTGTGTCTAATATGCAGTTTACTTCATATAATCAGCGAAACAATCAACCAGAACTGGAGGAAAAAATTCTAAATTTAGCCATAAATCAAACCATGATGATTTTTTCAAGCAAACAACATGTGGTACTTTAGGCTCGTTAAGACGAGCTTGGAGCTGACTCCCTCCGTCTCCAGGAACTACAATAAAGCAAGTCAAAATATATCACTCGTGATAACACATTTAACATCTTTATCAACTTAAACAACAAACGAATGTATTTATACATTTCTAACTTACTTAAAATTACAGGTGATTTTCTGACATTACTCTTAAAGAGTAAACGTTCGGAGGAGACCTTTACAGGCCAGAAAATCAAAAAAATTAAGAGGAGGGAGTTTGCAATAACAGTTGACCTCATAGTTCTGACGTAAACTGGTTAATTATAATTAAGCCCTATATCTATTGTGAGTATCACAAACCATACACATATAGATAATTAACTATTATTGCCATACGTTGTGCTCTTATGTGTTTTGCAAAACATAAGAGGTTTCGTGATTGGTTAGAAAAATCGTCTGCTTGAAAGCATTTAAACAAAATACTCCAAAAGTTTAAGCAAATAAAGCATTGAAAGTTTAAAGGGTGAGACCTGTGCGAATTTACTGTCCCCAATAGATAAGAAGAAAGATAATAGGAAAAGGAAAGATATGTCTTATCAGTTTCAGTTAATTACTTCAGATAAAAAAAGTTTGGATAGATCAGAGATAATATAACTCGGAGCAAACAGATATATGCTTTATGAGCTGCTATCGAATTTGTGATAATTATTAGCTTTACAAAAAATTGCTGTAATTTTATTGATTTCATGGAATTGTATAGTTAGATACGACTCTTAAGGTTTAATAGTTTGAATATAAAACAAAAGTTAGCAAGCGTTGTTTCCACTGCTGAAGAGATCCGCTAGCATCTTTTCGGCATTAATACGACTGACGTCAGTTTTCTTCTTTCCTCCAACAAAATCTTCAGTACTGTCAGCAGCAACAGATTCCGGTACGGGACACTTTCTCCAATTGATTAGTGTTACAAAGTTGCAATAGTCGATCAATCCTTGCTCATTTTCCGGTAAATGTGCTATCAAAGCTCCGAGTAGTTCAGTTTGAATTGGAACTCGGAGAGATCTACAGGCTGTTCTAATTTCATCTCGGGAAATGAATCCAGTTCTATTCCTATCCGTATAAACACATTGGTCAGCTAGAGCCTCGAAATTTTCAAAGTTGGCTCGGTTCAATTGAGCTTGTGCTTTTGCTACTAATCTCTCCAAATTTTCATTGTTGGGTCTTTCATTTCCAATCGAATAATACCTTGCCAAAGATAAGATTTGATGAGGAGTTGGTCGGTTATTAGGACCAAGGGCAGACTGAATGGCAGAAGCGAAACTTTCATAGGACATAGTGTTTTGAAACATGGGTAAGCTGTTGCCATTGGCAACTCCGGCTTCATGTAAAGCTGACATTAGCGAGCCGGCGCTGGCATAGGGAAATTCTCTAGAGTTCGACTCCATATAAGCTAGGGCATATTCATCTGCATCAATAAGTTCAAAGTAGAAATTATGAATCTGTGGAAGACGTCAATAAGTGATTAAAAACAACCAGATTTCACTATTTTTTTATTTTACTTACGTTGACACAAGCACCAATAAACATATCTGATGCTTTATAATACTCTGGGAAGTCTACGCCGTACCTTTCTTGACCTGGTTTTTTTACTCTGCCTCTCTCTAAGAATTTACCCCCTGACACTCCAGTGTTCTTTTGTGGTGGTTCGAAAACCAAAAGAGTGTCGTCAGCCAAAAAGTAAGAGATGATGAAACGTCTTTCCTTATTAATCGGATCATCTGTCTGCATAATAGCCAGGAAACGGAGAACATTGGAATCTAAACCTTTTCTGTCCTTATCCATAAACTAAAAAGATAATGGTATTAGTGTGTAAATGAAGACATTATCATAATAAAATGGTACAAACTTTAAGAAAGTCCTTTTTGGGTGGTCCTGGATCCAAATGGAGACAATTTTGTAGTGAATCCTCTTCCGTGCCAAATCCGTTGTAAGGAGGATATTGTCTGGTTGTCTTTATAGGCTGATTTTTTTCTAGTGTAATCGGACTGAAGTCATCTAAACGGACAAAGAATTGATTTTAAAAAAGATCTCAAATGCGATTTTTTACACTAACTTATTCCATATTTTGTGTTGTAGTATTCCTTAGTGAAATCGTCACAGCTCAATAGTTTAAATTTTCTTCCCCAAACATTAACCTCTGCTCCTATGCATAAATCTTGATCTGAATAGTATTGAATGTTGACAGCTCCTGTCTTTAAACTGTCCAAAATATATCGTCCACCATGTCCCATTGGACCAAAAACGTTTAAGACTGTTCTATCGGTATGTTCTCCCGGTTTAAGCAATGGTATAACGTCTTTTGGTAGTTTGCCTCTTCTCAGGAAGACGGAAGTTGAGTCCCTACCTGCATTTGGGGGAATTTTCTCACGAATCTCAATGGTATCGTCCGCTAAGAAATAATGAAGAACCATATCGCGATGATCTCCAAACATAGCTCCAGTGTCATCCCAAAAGCAATCAAATCTAAGAACATGCCTATCGTGATCGAGAAATTGTTTAAGAGTATCCTTTTTCTCATAAGGTCTAAGCGGTTGCATGGATTCATCAAGAGCTTTTCTGTGGTTCATGTAAGGATCATCTGGTATCATTACAGGTTGTCCAATGTCGACACCCATCTTCTTCAGGAAATTTGCTGTAAATTGGTCACAGTCCGTCATCTTGAAATGACGAGAGTAAAGAACAATTTCGTTTCCCACGTTTAGATCTTCAACGGTGTAAAACTCATCATCGTGCGGAGCTGGTTTTGGTATTCTATGTCGCTTGATGATTGTTCCTTGAGGGATTCCTGCATTTCTTAGTCTATTAAATTCAAGTTTTGATTAAGCTTTTAGCCATGTTAGAAAAAAGTTACAAAACTGTACCAACCTTGGTTCAACAACTTGTAAACTATCGTCTTCTAAGTAAAAGAGAATTTTACACTTACGAACTCTGTATCTCTCTTCTCTTCTCTCATTTATGGCCTCTTGATAATAAGCATCAAAGCTCAACACTTGTTTATCAAAAGCTACAAATGCAGGAACAGCACTTCCACTTCCTCTCGGAATTGCCGAATGTTTTGGTGGTGGTTTCTTCCACGACAGAGGTTCCCCTCCAACTCCAGGCTTAAAGTCTCCAACATCCATCGCAACCTCATTTTTTACATCGAAATGGTGCGACAAGTGGTATTTAGTTTTTCCGAGCTGATATATTTCAGATTTCAAAATCAACATCTTTAAAAATTATTAATACTTACATTTCTATCGAATTGATTCCCAGGTAGGAAAGGCAAAGCCATGTTTTTAGTGAACTTATCCTGCAACTAACTTTCGTTCAACTATTAAGCCCAGGAGCTAGACTGTAAACAAGATGTTGCTATGGTTTGTTGCTATAACTACTTTAAACTGGTTACGGCATTATAGTATATATTCCACATAACAGCGAAACAGAGGCAACCCTCTATTATTTAATTTTGAAATAAGTAAAAAAACAGCTAAAACTTTTACTACACTTGTATTAAGTAATAAAGTCACAATGAATTTAGCAAAAGTGAACTTTTCTTTTAACTTGTTCTTTTCTCTTTAAGTCCATTCCACCTCAAACATTCATTTCTATTATATTTATACGCTTAAAATCTTTAGGTAACATAAATTGAATATTCTACTTAACAAAAGACAAAAATTAAAGATGATTTTTCTGTACCCGAATGTATTACTATTTTTGAACGATGTGTGGGAAATATAATACCGTTTCCGGTTTCGAAAAGTCACATGGGTAAACAAGTATGGTTGCTGCCTTGAAACTCAAAATGAAAATTCTTTGTCTCTTTGTCATTCAATTATCTATTTTTGTGAGCAATATAAATGCTTATGGTAATGACTGCTACGATCCTTCTTATGATGCTTTGAGAACTTATAGGTAGTAAAAATTTGAATTTACATATTATATTTATCTGGTGAAATTTTTAGCCGAGAAAATGAACAACGCAGATATGCATTCCTGAACGTGGAAGATATTCCAAAGTTTTGGGATTGGAGAGACATCAATGGCGTAAATTATTGCAGCCCAGTTAGAAATCAACACATTCCACAATGTTAGTATTTTTTATTCAAAGTCTAAACAATTGTTATAATTCTCTTTTTGTTTTCTAGGGTGCGGAAGTTGTTGGGCTATGGGTAGGCACATAAGTTTCTTTAGCGATCTATTCTGTAATAGTTCAATTTTTTTATAGGCACAACAAGTGCTCTTGCTGACAGAATTAATATTGAAAGAAAAGGAAAATGGCCAGGTGCCTACTTATCGGTTCAAAATGTTATTGATTGTGGAAATGCTGGTTCATGTCAAGGAGGTGGTATGCTTGGTGTATACGAATATGCAAAAAAACAAGGCATCCCGGATGAAACCTGTAATAATTATCAAGCAAAAAATCAAAAATGTGACGAATTCAATCGTTGCTATACTTGTATGCCCAATTCTTGTTACAAAATTGCTAATTATACTTCATGGAAAGTTAAGGACTATGGTCAAGTGAGTGGAAGAAAGAAAATGATGGCTGAAATCTATGCTAAAGGACCAATAGCGTAAGATTTATTGTAGTAACACTATCACCATTTATGTGTAATTGTTTAACAATAGCTGTGGAATATCCGTAACGGACAAATTTTTAGCCTATAATAATGGAATCTATAGCGAATATAATACTCAGCCATCTGTAAGTTAACTTTATTAATTGTTAATTTATTATTATAATTCCTTTTATTATTTATACAGATTAACCATGTATTATCTATAGTTGGTTGGAATGTTGACAAAGCAACTGGAATTGAATATTGGATTGGAAGGAATTCATGGGGTGAACCTTGGGTACTTAACACGATTCTATTTAAATGTGTCTTCAATATAAATATTGCTTAACAAACTTTTTCAATTATAGGGCGAACGAGGATTCTTCCGAATCGTTACCAGTGCTTATCAGGGAGGTAAAGGAGATAATTACAATCTAGGCATAGAATCCGGATGCACATATGCCGATCCAATTATTACATTCTAAGCTAATCCATGTCCTGAGAATTGCTCCTTTATATATTCTTAAATGAGCTATTTGGATTTTTAATGATCTATTGACTTTTAAAGTTTTAATGAAGAATAAAAAACTATACAAAAAACGACTTTAAGCTTCCAATTTATATTAGAGTTTGATCTTTGAATAGCAAGGAGCCTAATTTTTAGACATATTTAAATTTTTACACTTATTTTTAAAGAGCACTTGTCCTTTGCAAGGCTGTAGGGCGGGTGACAAATGATTCATAAATGTACTTGTCATAAAGTGTCCTTATTCTGTTTAAAGTTTGGAAAATATTTAATTTAATACTTTTGATTGTTAAAGATGCTTTTTGGAATGTAATAGAATATTCGAGAGAAAATACTTTTAACAAATTTACGCGGGGAACCGGAAAGTCGGGTATCGCGGTATTTGACTAAAACAGGTCACGAGAGGTTTTCTACCAGGTTATATACTATTGAATATTTCGCGGAATTATTTTTAAACCTACCGCTGCCATAAACTACTCTTATACAAATGTCTGGACCATTTAAACAGAATGGAGATAAAAGTTTTACTAGTAAAATCAAGTTTGTTGCCTGGGCCCAGAGTATGGATTTACTAGCCCTTGTATCTGAGGCGAATCATGTTAGTCTCTAATACCGTCTTAACACACGCGAAATACTATCAGAATTATTCTTTTTAGGTATCTATATACAGAATTAACTGTGAAAAGGTCTGGGAAATTGAAGATGCTCCTCAAGAGGCCGAGGACAGTCCTATTGCGTCAGTTGCTTTTAGCCCCGATGGAAGCGGTAAATAGTCAAGTGATATAGATGAAAAGAGCCTTGTTTAGTTATTAATTCCTTCAAACAGTAATAGCAATTGGCTTCTTAAATGGGTTTATATGTTTACACGAAGTCGAATCAAAGAGACGATTATTTCGATATAAAGTTAAAGCATCGATAACATGTTTATATTGGTATGGGAATGTTCAGGAAAATTCATATAAACCTCCTCAATTTCCTATATTTAAAGATGAAGTCAGTCAACACTTGCCTGAACTCTCAGCTTTTACTAAAATGTACGATATATACATACATTTTAGGATAAAATATGCTTAATTTTCAGTCAATTTTTCCTCCCAGTTACGGTATAACAGCTTCAGAGGAGGAGCAAGAAGAATGGGAAGAATTTAAACAGTTAATGCATCAAAACGAGTAGGAATTATTTTTCAAGTTTCAATCACTTCCTAATCTTAATATCATTACTTCAGATTCAGTATCCTACTAACGGGAACTGAGAACGGTGCTGTTCACTTTTTCACGTATGGTGTTTCCCCGCTTACTCATATAAAATTGAATAGATTTACCAAAGTCAAAGTATTTCCTTCGAAATATAAATTTACTTTTTTAATTTTATACCAATTAACATAAAATATAACATTCAGGTAGAGAAGATATTAAACGTACATTTGTCTCAAGATATGAAAAGTATCAGTACAATCTGTCAAGTTGTCAGCGAAGAAGGATTATCTAGAATTGTTCTAGTAAAGGTAAAGATCAAGATTTAAGAATGAGGAAATAAATTATAAAAAATATATATATATTTTTTTAATAAAAGCTTAATTGTGGTATGATAGAAGAACATGAAGAACAAATTCAAATTATCGCTCAAAAGTTTATGAATTTATTGATGTGTTCGCAATACTTGAAATCTAGTTTAAGCAAAATAAAAGAAGTTTTTGAAACAACTACAAGACAGATGGATGGAAAAATAGCTAAATTACTTGAAGCTAAAAAAGTAAAAATTTCTTAAAGTCCTGTCATTATTTTTTATTAAAATGATTAAAAGTGATTAAAACATTATAGAAAGCGGGTGGAGGTGATTTAGTTAACGATTTCCTTAGATTGTTACTCTACGGAACCAAGAGGTTGCTATAATCATTCTGTTGTTATCAATTGAACATTATTTTAATATTTCACTTTGTTATTGCTTTAGTGATGAAATGGAAGCCTTTTTCATGAGAGATAACCAAGAAAGGGTAAGAATATTCAATTCTTATAAACACTTTTTATATATTAACATAATACAGGCAATTAAAACTATAAGTCGTCTTCTTGAATCCTACTATTCAAGTATGCATAAGTTACTTATTAAACATATTCAAAGGTGAGCATAATTTTGGATATGCATTTTGTATATAGCTACTATATATAGACTTCCCTATATCTTTAATTTCTTTACTATAAAAGTGCTGCCGAAATATCTATATACGAAATGGAAGATCTAAGATCAATGTCACAAAGAGTTGAAGAATTTAATAAATTAAATTTCGACAATCATTTGATTGTAAAAAGTTTAAAATTTGCTTTTCTTATACATTACAAAGCCAATGAAATGTCTCAGTAAGTAGCGTAAAATTCATTGTTATGAATATAATCTTATTTAATTCCTTCCTTTTAGAGTTATTAACAAATCTACTGATAATTCAAAAGCGTTTTTTAAATGGTTCTATAATAGTTTGTATTGGTTAATTTATTATTTAAAAGAATTATCAATTTATACGATATATTTATTTGTTTTAGCTATTCTAAGACATAATGAAGAAACTGGTCCAAGCGAATTAACAAAAGTATGTAACTGCTATTTAATATAAAGATACAGTATACTAATTTTTCTTTTGTATTGATAGATGTCTCATCAAGAGATTGACAAAGTAACTGAATTTTTAATGGATAGTTTCTATCCTGTAAGTAATTATCATCATTGATTATATATTTTAGTGAAATTCTTCTGTTTTTTTATTTGTTAGGCAGAAAAAGATAATATTTCAAATTTTCATCTTGAAAGAGTAGCGCAGGTTTTTGTCTTAAAATAAATAATTTGAAAAGTTTCATAATATCTATTCTTCCACTTCTAGTATTTAAGAAATGAACCGTTACGAGAGGATTTAAGAGTAGATACTGATGAATTTAATAAATTCTTACAAGATAATCACGATATACTTGGTATATTTAACTTTGTGTTTAACATATAAATTTAATGATCACTAACTATAGAATATTTAGGTGATGATGATATTTTTTGTGTTTCTTCCGAATCATCATTGGTTCAAGTTTGTCTCAACTTTCGTCAAGCATTATACGAATGTATTGAGAATTTTGCTGTAAGAAATTATTTAAATCTTTATTTGATATTCATTTTTTTTCATGACTTTTCTTTATAGATCTCTTTAGGCGAAAACATAAACTTAGAGAATGTGATCAACCTATCTAAGCCAGCAGTTATTGAAGAATTAAATGTCAACAGAATAAGTGTTTGCCAGTGAGTTTATATAACTACTTATTATATTATTATTATTTTTAGGATAATTAATTTATTTATATTTACCTCAGGTGGACCAGTTACGACGATGACGGCTGTATATTATTAGGTTCTTATGTTCCAAGAGATCAAGTACAATTGTGTTGTTTCGTAAAGCAATCAAGCCAGTATCAGGGCAAAATTATTCATTTTAATGACTTCAAAAGGTGAGATTGTGCGCTCATGTATATTACATAAACAGGACAGTTGTTTTTCGTCATTAGCTATGGTAAATGCGACATCCTCTCTATTTCTCATTATAATGATAGAATTTTAACAATTTTATTAAAACAATCCAATCCCTCTTTGGGTTGTATTCTCCTACAATTCGATGTAACCTCACTAGTAAATTGGTTTCATGTGGACAATGAACTTCCGATTGAAGGGCAAATGTGAGTATACAACATCATTGTATTACTATTATTGTAAATATTAATATGGATCTTTTAGAACCCACGAAAATGCCTCTGAATTTATTCAAGATCACCAATTTAAAGTTCTTGATAGTAATAACTTTATACACGCATTTGCAAGTGGCCAAAGAGACGTTTGCGCTCTGGTGAATTTTTTAATATATATAACTCTTCACTATTAAACAATTTTCTTTTTCATCCAGTTGGGAAGTTCTAATAAAAAGTTGCACTTTTACTTTATGCAAGCTGAAGATGACGAAGGAGATATGGAAGATACAGATACAGAATTAAGTTAAATTACAATAACGTTATAAATATATTTATGTAAAGTTTTACTTTTTTCAATTTTATGTTTGTTAAAATAAATTTCGATATTAATTCTTATTAATTATTTAATGCTTGATACAAACATATATACAATGGGGATGCATTTACATCAGTAAGTCAAGATTTATAGATAGGAATTCAAAATAGTTGGGATATGCAGGTTCAGTAGTCATCTTTTATTAATATAAAGTCTGAAGGAGATAGAAAGACATATCAATTTATAATGAAAGAATATTTTAAAAATAAACTTACATGATTAAGTAAGTCCAGTTTTACAGATAACTCTATGACGTAGACTTAAATTTACATCATTGTCGTAAAATAAGCAGCAAAGGGAAAAGTAAACGATGAGAACGCAACTTAAAGTATTCCCTATTCACGCCCAAGAACATTGATATAATAAATAATGACTTTTCACTAACTATTCTCATTTTATTCGAATTCTATTTGTTCGTTTGACAGTTATAAACCATCGGCAAAAACCTAAAATTGTACTTTTTAAAACAATTTAATTGTAATGTATGTTTGTCAGTTTGCATTTATGTATGCGCCTTTGTAATATTTTTTATATTATGCTTTATAATGACAACAAAACGCTTTGACGTAGACATTGCATATTTACATATGTATGTATGTATATACATAAAGTTAAGGGAAGTTTTTATATCACCGATTGCTAGTATTTTTTAATAGCTTTTTCTTTTTGAATCTGCAAGAGAAAAAGAAAGAGATAGATTAATATAACTAAAATGGAATACATATATAAGTATACGTAAATATAATAGTTTAAAAAGGATCTTTCACCAATCGGATAAAAAGAAAAAGAACATTAAAAAGTATTGATCGTTAAAAATAAAAGGATAGTTTGTTATTGAAAAACTCTTTCATTTTGTTCAACGAACAACTTACTTTTCGTAAGTAAATTTACTAGCCTTAGGTCTTCCACTCTATAATATATAAAAAATAAAGACAAGATACTATTTTGAGAGAAGATATATTAAAATAATTTGTTAAAAATATTGAAATAGAGACAAAATACGTAATTTACATATATATATATAAATAAAATATATATATATATATTTGAAATAAAACAGAAAAATAGATGCTTTAAAAACTTTTTATGCTATTTTTAGATTGTTACTTCTTCTCCATCGTCCCATCTTATATTACTTTTTTTATCTGTGTCATTTTTATATATGGTATCTAATGATGATGTACGAAAAAGAGTGTTTCCCGTTTTTGCGATTTCGGCTAAAGATGAACGAGGACGATCCGGACTTGGACCAACTCGTTTTGAATAAAGTTTCTTTTTCAAATTTATAATTGGATTCTTTTCTGGTGTTCTTATAAAATTTTTAATATCCGAAACGAGATCTCTCACCTTTGGAGTTTTTGGGGTTGCCGTATCGCTTGTTCGATTCCGTTTCCTTTTCGGGGTAAAAGGCATCTCAAAGTTCATATTATTCTTGACCTTTGCCTATTACGATTGTTTTTAAAAAGAAGAAAAAAAAGTCATTTAGTAAAAAACGATAATTTAGCAATAAACAACAATAAAAGAGTTGTATAGTAATCAATAATAATTTGATTGTTCTTTCCTTACAAACCACATAGAAAAAGAAAAGAATGAAAGTAAAGATTGTATACTACTATTTACAACATCAACGTTTATCAAATTTTTTAAATATATAACTAACCCAAATTGATTTTGATGAAACTACCTTATCAGCTGAACTTGTCCTCCTTGGTAGTCTTATACCACCTTGCAAAGGAGTTGATAATTGATTATTAAGGAATTTTGTTGTGGATAGGAAACGACTTTTGTGAGATTTTTTTCCTTTTCCTGCAGATTTATATATGTTTGGATCATTTGATGAACTATTAGATTGACTATTTGTTGAGGCGTCTTTATCAGTGAAATTCGTTTCGTTATCATTTTCCGAATAGTTTGTATTTGATAAATGTGCTGTATAAGATAAGTTCGGCGGTACCAAGGGTAAAAGATGACCTTCTTCCTGTAAAAGTGGAGATTCTTGGGCGGCCACTTCACAATTCTCATCCTCCAAAACACCAAATTGTAATTGATCTGGTTCGTCGTGAGGAGGGAATATTGGTCCCCAACCTTTGATTTCTAATCGATAATTATCCGCAGATTTATTAACTCTTTCTTTTTGTTCCTCACCGTCCAAAACTTTTCTCTTTTCTTTACCCAAATCAAGTTGTAATTTTTCGATTATTCTATTCTTTTCAGTAATTTCGTTCATATAGATTTGAACTGTTTGAGAACTTTTTTCTAAAAGTGTCGTTTGTTGATTATTCGTTTTCAATAATCTATCAATTTTAGACGTTAATTTCTCTTTACTTTCAACTAGTTCATTCTATCAAAATAAATATGCATAAATAACTAATTAAGGATGTAATTTTTATGAAAATACCTTTAATCTTGATTCTCTCGATAATAATACATCAAGTTTCTTCTTTAGCTTTTCCAATTCAAGTTTTAGTATATCTTCTTTTCGTTTTTTATTCAAACCTTCCGAATCCGATAGATGACTACCTTCCTTTAAATAATTAATTTCAGCGTGAGCATCGCTCAATTGATGATTCAATTTTTCAATAGCCAACTCTCTTTCCATAATATCGGCGTGTAAATCACCAATAATATTTGCTCTGGAAATCAATTCACTAGTTAAGGATGACGCTTCCTCGGTTCTTTCGGCACATTTCGTTTCTATCATAACTTTATTCTCTTCTAAACTCTTCTTATACTTATTCATTTCATTTAATGAACTATTCATTTTATCAACTTTTTTATGTAATTCAAGATTTTCACTCTTTAAATGCTCCAACTTCGATTTAAAATTATCGCAATAATCTTTATACTTTGTTACAACTCTATCGCTCGTTTCTAATTCCCTAATTAATTGTTTTATCTTCTTTTTTGATTCATCTAATGCTTTAAATAAATCTTTTTTCTCTTTATCCGAATCTTTTAGCTTATTAACTAAATTAGATATATTTTTATGATATTCACTTCTTTTAATTTCAGCTTCGTCTTTTAGTTCGATTATTTCAACTTTTAAACTGGTCACTTGAATTTTTGATTGTTGCAATTCTCTCATTGTCTGTTGATAAGCGTCAAAATTCTCTTTTACCTTATTCTCTAAATTGTTTATATTTCCTTCATAATTTTCCATATTCGAATTGGCCTTTTTTAATAAACTCTCCAATTCTGAATTATCACTTTTCAAACTATTCTGATCAGTATTTAATTTATCAAAAATAGTTTTTCTTTCGTTGATTAAATTCTTTATACTCTTATCTTTCTCTTCCAATTTCTCATTTAACTCTTTCACTAGAGTATCCAATTTCGTATACTCTTCGTTCAATTTTTTACTATGGCTATTCATCTCGTTTAAACACAATTGCATATTTGATAAAGAATCCTCTTTCGTTTTAAATTCTTCTTGAATAAATTTTAATTCTTCCTTTAGATTCTCAATAGTATTTGCCTGTTTGCTACTCTTTTCTTTTTCTACGTCGAAATCTTCTTGTATGATGTCCAATTGTTCTTTGAGTTTATCAATAATGGCTGCTTTCTCCTCGTCCGAAATACGAAAATCATTTAACCGCTTTGTTAATGATTCTAAAGTTGCACTCTGTTTCGAAATCTCCTCTTTAGAAGATTTCAATTGATTGTCCAATTTAACAGCAAGTTCACTCTTTTCTTTTAGCCGATCGACAAGATGAGCCATATCCTCTTCAACTTCTTCCATAGATATCATATTCTCTTTCTTTTGCCTTTCAATAACCTCTTCTAATTTCTTTAAACTTTCTTCTTTCTGCGATATTTTTACTTTTAAATTTTGTAAAATCATTTCCTTTTCATCTAATTGGTTATTCAAATTATTAATTATCGTTTGTAAGTTACTTTCCAGTGTGTCCTCGACACTTTTCAAAAGGTTTTGTACAGGTTCATCCTCCTTAAATAAATCTTTATGATCTTTCAGAGAAAGAAAGACCTTTTGTATGTCCGTGAATTCCATTTCCTTTTTTATTATTTCATTTTGCTTTTTATCGAGTAGGGTATTAGATTCTTTTAACTTTGAACGATATTCCAAAAGTTTATTGTCTTTTTCATCAATCACCGTTTTTAATTTTTCAATCAATTTATCCTTCTCCGTTATATTTTCATTAAGATTGTCAATTTCTTTTTCCTTATCGCCATCTTGATCGTTTTTCAATAAAGAAACCTCTTCCTTATGATTACAATCTTTCAGATGAGTATCCAAATCATCTCTTAGCGTTTTATTTTCATCTTTTATCACTTCTAATTCGGTTAAAAGAGTAAACTTTGAATTTGATAAGAAATCAATCTCTCTTTTATGTTCATCGATTTCTATTTGATAGTCTTTTCTCAGCTTTTTCAAATTGAGAATATCAACTTTCAGATCTTGATTTTCATTCGACAACTGTTCAACATGCTCTTTTAAGTCAGAGTCATCTGAATTCTTTCCACTATTAGCACTATCATCTTTATCTTTATAAGCTTCAAGTTGTACTTTTAATTCTTTTATATCATTTTGTAATATTCCTATAGTTTGAGTTTTAGTTCTCTCCTGTTCTCTTAATTTATTAACAAGTAGCTCATTTTCTGCGTTAGACGTCTGCACGATATTGCTTATTTTCTTTTTAAGCTCTTCATTCTCCATTAAAGTGGCTCGGAGACTTTCTGATATTTCTGCTTTTTCTTTTTCAAAAGTTTCAATATCTTTATCTAAATCATCAAGTGCTTTCTGTTGATCTTCAACTGTATTCTGCAATTCTAAAATCCAAATTGATTTATTGTTTATATCGGTTAATAAGCTATCCTTTTCAGCTTTCATTTGTACTTGATTTAGGTGAATTTCTTCGATAGATTTCCTTAGATTTTCTTCAGCAGTTTTAAGACTATCCTTCAGTTCTTCGACTTTGGACTCTTTCACTTTGAGTTGTTCGTTGAGAGTACTGATATTTTTACATAACTCATAATTTTTATCTTCCAGTACACCGATAGTCGTTGAAAAATCCATTTCCATTTCTTGAATTTGCAATGACTTTTCCTCTAAAGTGTTTTTATTATGCTCCAAAACAATATTCATGCTTTCAATGGTATCCTCAAAACCACTTGACTTCTTTTGCTCTTCTTCTAAAGCATTGTTTAATCTATCAATGGTATCATTACAACCAGCAATAGTTAACTTCAATGCCTCTTTCTGGCTAAAAATCTGACTGTAATCTTTCTCCAGTAGTTCCAATTGTTCTGTATAATCTTCGTATATTGTTTTTATCCTTTTGTATTCTATCTCCTTATTATTAATAAGTCGATTGAGTTCATCTCTTTCGTCCTCTAGCTCGTTGATTTTCTCAAGAAGATCTCTATGGACTATAACATCTCCTAAATTTTCACCAGAGTTGTCACTATGCTGTCGCGAATAGAAAAAGTCGGATGAATCCATTTTAACTCTTAATTCATTGATTTGCTCTTTTTGATATTCAATTTCTCTTTGTTGAATATCTATTTGTTTCAGTAATGTAATTTTCTCTTCCTCATATATTGTAGAATCGTTATTTAGTCTTTTTTTAGGCCTAATAAAAGTAAGAAAAAATTATTTTTAAGTAAATAATTACAATACTAGAAAAATAAAGGTTACGTTAGAGAGTTTATTTCGTTTTTAGAATAGTTCGGCGTGTTATTTTCCGTAATTTTAAATATTTTTCGTGCTTCTTCTAATTGTTTAAGTAGATCATCATTCTCTTCATTAAGTTGATTATTTTTTCTAATCGACGCATTCAATTGAACCGTTAACTCTTGACATTTAGTTTCAGCTTCACTAGCCCTATTATATTTTTGTTATAAGATTCATATTTAGACTGATAGCATTCACATATTATTATTATTATTATTATTATTATTATTGACACTATATTGTATAGTAGAACTACTCATGCCTTTTACGTACCTGTTGATGTGTTGTTTAGTAGATTGTTTCTCATTTGCTTGATATTCTATTATTTGCTCTTCGGCAAAGAAAAGTTTGTTCTTTAGCATTTCTATTTCCATTTGCATAGAAGAAAGAAGTGTATCTTTTTGTTTGATTAGAGCGGCATCTCGTTCTGTATCTAACTCAAGATCGTACGTTCTATCTAACGCTTCCGTTAATCGTCTCTTTAGCTTCCTTATTTCATACTCTTTCTCATTCAATTCCAATTTGGTAACAATTTGAGGACTTTTCATAAAACGATTAACGGGTGATGTTATGCTGACTGAGTTAGTAAAAACTTGACCATTAGAGGCGCCGTAGGAGGTAGAGACGTTAGTTTTAATATCCTGGCTAGGTGAGCCACCTGGGGGTGAGTAAAATATCTAATTATCAACAATCAACTTAACATAAAAATGTCAAAATATTTGAGCAAATTAACATTTAACAACTAATCCGATGATTAAATGACAACTTTACAATCTCTGTTATCTTTGAATGGAAAGTGGTGGTTTCAATTTTCAACCAAATAAAAATTTTGGATTTCATTAGGTCGTCGTAACACATTAAAATATATAAAACTCTTACCAGAAATTGTGCTATATACTGTATAGCGTCGAACGATGGGAGGACATGTACGACTTTTCTCAGGAGAGTCTCTGATGTTATCTTGGACGGGTGTGGATGAAGATACCGGATGAGTATCATTTTGAGAATAGCTAGAATGAGCTGATAGGTGATTGGATAGTATGATGGATAATTAGAATCGAAAGTAAAGTTTCAAATGATAAAGATAGTTACGATCGCATAGTACTTTTCCAAAATCTTCATTAAAGTCTTCAACTTTAAGAATGGGTGACAACATGTGACAGATATGAGATTGAATGTCATTGTTCATCTTTGTACTACTATCTTTGAAAATTTGATGATTGCCACTCGAAATACCCAAACTAAGGAGGAGTAATGCCATCTGAAAAGATATCAAGTATTTAGTTGCATAATATAATTGCCCTTGAATTTCAAATTAACCTTTGCAATATCAAATTCATCACCATTGTATATGTTTAATAGCCACTTTTCAAGGGGTTTTTCATACATTTCTGTTGGTTATATCGTTGCTCTATTAGTGCATTCCTTCTAATACTTGTTTTTTATGCATACCTGACAGAAAATTCACTAAATTTCGTAATCTTTTGTCGCTCTCTCCTGTCTTCTCGAAACCATTATCTCTAATAGATATTTAGGTCAATACTTTCTATTAAAATTAAATGCAAAAGAAACTCACGCTAATGCCGCAACACTTTCTAGAGACTTTCCATCATTTAAACTTTTTAAGTCAGTAATATTTTCATCCAATAAATTGCTTAACTAATAGATTATTTACATTATTTCTTTCTAGTTTATTAAGAAATAAAATTGATAATTCTAGAATACAAACCCATGAGAGTAACGCTTTCGTCTTATTTGGATGAACATATTGTTTATCACCCTCCATGATAAATAACAAATTGGGCGTAAAAAATAGCTCTTTAATTATGAGGAACTTTAGTTAACAATCATTTAAAATCACTTTTAGGTATTTTAAGACTAATATAGTCATAAAAAAACAAGAAAACACTACAAATTTGCTTTCCTGCCGGATTTCAAATTACTTCACTAAAGGGTTGCACTAGAATGTAAATGTCATATGTAACTTTTCCAACCAACAGGTGTCACCATGTGTATAAAAAAAGTTTCATCTGAAAGTTAGTCATACCCAAATAATCATGGCGCTGCACATGGCTCTGAAGAACAGTGTTAAAACAAGTAATTTCTTCTTAAAATTGCATTCATCAAACGTAAAAATCCTCCAGTCTGCTTCTATCTGCATATGCTCTCATTTGGAGAATTCACATAGAACAGACATTGTTCGCACAAACCGAAGTGTTTACCCTAGGACATATCCGGTAACTTTAGTTCAATCCGACGGATCAACAACAACAATCAGATATGCAGAGCCTCGAAAAATTATAAAATTGCCTCTCGATCTTGAGAAAGTCAGCGCAACAGTGAAAGAAGAGCGTCTTCGTTTAAGAAGACCAAAACAAAAACTAATAATTCAAGAAGATGTTGATGTTGACTTTAATGTTGAAGACTATGAAGATTTGTGGAAAAAATGACCGGGTTTTCTTAAGATTTAGGTCAATCAGTTTATTTTAATGTAAACCTCAAATGTTATTCTGAATTTTTGTGAATAAAGAGAATCTATTTTTTGCTGTTAAACTACATTAACATCTTTTATACAACTTATACAGTTTTAAGATATTTCCAATTAAATAGTTAATATTTTTTACTCGAACAGTCTCTTAGAAAGCTTTATGTTACTGTTTACTAAATGAAAATTATAATCAATGCGAGACTTCTCTTAAACTATTGCCATTTATTCTACCCTTGGTGATAGAAAAACCAATAATGAAACCTAAAACTACAGATTTGTATTTCCTTTTCTCATATTTCATAATACAATGGCTTTAGAATTACAAACTTTTTAATTAATTGAACTTTTATTACAAAACAATCCATTTTCTATTCGATTATATATACTTAACTATTAAATAAACTGTTTAATTAGTACGAAGATAATAAGAACAAGTGATATATTAGTCAAACGTCTCTTTTTCTAAAATTTGAATAATCTAACTTTTGTTTGGTGTTATTTTTGTATTGTGAAAAAAACTTTTTGGCGCAAAATAACTGGAAGTGACATCTATTGATAATTTTCTCTTTTCGCTTATTCTTTTTTTTCGTTTAATTTATCGAATAATATATGGAAGATATTATACATTCTTCGTTATGTCTGTCAAATATGATATTTGCGATGCTTCAGACGAATCATCTGAATCAGATTTTCTAGATCAAAGTTTAAGTAAGTATCTTAATATAAAAGTTTAACTATATCATATTTATTCCATTCACACAGGTGTTTGGAGAGGGTGGACAGTATATGAAAAGGAGGCAGGTTTTAGTCCGACACCTATTGATATTTTTACAGCATCTAGTCTTGGATTATACAGTTCTGTTTTACATAATCTTAAAAGGTAATATATGTTTCAGTTTTTAAACTATCTTAGAAATATACTTCATATTTGATTTGCAGTTGCAACGTAAACAATCAGAATGTAAGCGGTTGGACAGCTCTTATGTACGCTTCTTACATTGGCCATGTTGATATTGTGGATGTATTATTACGAGAAAATGCTCTAACTGATATAAGCAACAAAAAAAAGAGAACAGCATTAATGTTAGCTTCATCATGTGGCAATCAAAGCGTCACTCACAGGCTTCTAGAAGCTGGAAGTAATATGGAATTGATCGACGAATCTGGGTGGACAGCGTTATACCATTCAACTCACTATGGTCATCAAAGTGTTGTTAAATTCCTTTTGAGTCGTGGAGCAAAGACGAACATCGTGTAAGTTTTTATATAAAGAAGTAAATAACAAACAAAATATGAAGGAAAGCTTAACAAAATATAACAGATTTTTTGAAGTTTTTAACTAATTAACAATTAAAGAAGATAGATTTTAAAACCTTAATGTAACAAGATAACAAGGTTATAAAAGATTTTTCTATAGAGAACGTCATATGGGCATGACACCATTTATGGAAGCTGCTATACAAGGTCATGAAATAATAGTTCAGGAATTCTTAAATTACGTTAGTTAAAAATATCAATGTTTTTTAATTATAAATTGACTCTGCTTTAAAAAAAACAACGAAACAAACAAAGCAAAGAAAACAACTATCTTCATTCTTAAAATTCTTATTTTTTTCTTTAGTTTTTCTATTATTAGTAATATTTACATTATTCTCTTACTAGAAAAGAGTATTTTTCATTATTCAGATATTTCTTTATATAGATTAATCAATTCTTCTTTATTATCTTAAATTTCAAAATTCGTTCACTAATCATTTATTAAAAAAACTTTTAAGCAGTAACTAACTTCAACGTAGGTTTTTTTTCTCTCTCTCCCCTTTCCTACTGACGTCTCTTATTTTTGTTTGTTTGTTACAAATGTTATATTCTCAATTTATCACTCTTTAAAAATTATTTATGTATTTCTATGCATATTCATAGTTTTTTAAAGCACTTAATTCTATATACGGAATTAATTATTAACGAAAACGTTTCTTTAATCCTTACTAATCTATCTAGAATGTTGATATCTCTATTCGGAATAAGCAAGGGGAAACAGCTAGATCTTTAGCATTACTAAAAGGATTCACCAAAGTTGTATCGTTAATTGATAATCATCTTTATGCTAATCAACGTCCGCTTCGATCTCGACCAGGTTGAATAATGATTTATTACTGTCCATTGAAACTGTATCCGAATTATTTATGTTTTTCTTTTTCTCTAATAAAAGGTCTGGGGCGCTCTATAGATACTAGTTCATCTGAGGAGAGCTTATACGAACAGCGACAATACAATAGACCTAGAAGCAAATTGAAAGGTAATTTTTTTTATTTGGTCAATAATCATATATTAATGATTTTTTACTCAGCTGTTCCGAATATCGGCGAAGGACCAGAGGCTGTTCAAAGACTACTAAATAATATGGATCCTATTAATTCTTTAGGATTACAATTTTCAAATCTGCTAACCAATCCGGACAATTTAACCTATAATTATTTATCGGAAAATCCTGATGTTATACCAAAAGTTTCGGATAATGATAAACAACCAAAAGATTTAAGAGAGTTCTTAACTGATATGAACTTACTAAAGTATTTACCAACATTTGAAGAGCAAGATGTAGATCTCACCGTATTTCTTTCCTTAAATGATGATGATCTCAAAGAACTGGGCGTAAAGTGAGTAATTTCCTCTATCATAAAAAGAATAGTTGTTAAAATTACTTTCCTTTTTATTTGCGAAAAATTATTAGACTACTTGGACCGAGAAGGAAAATGATCAATGCAATAAAACGCTTACAAAACAATTCAGATGAGCACGTACTTTCACCTTTTGTATCCGATACCCTTTTAGCTAAAAATCGATTACGAATTGTTCGTATATACTATACAATTAATATTTATAGTATTTTTTTTCTTATTTATTTATAAATTGATTGTTTATGAAAGGCGGAAAGACAAATAGCTGAATTGCGGGATGCTTTATCGAAAGAGAATCAGCTTAGAGCTATTTCAGAAAATTGTCTAATGGATGTTAAGCAAAGATGTTCTGATTTACAAAAATTCCCTTCTGCCTTATACGAACAAATCAAGGACATTAGATCTTATTATTCCCAAATGTGGTAAGGTTTTCTTTCATTTATTTACCGAATAACATAGACTTTACGCAAGACATACACTATATTTACATAAATCTGCTATTTCAGCCTTTATCAGCAGGAATTATGTAGCAGAAACACCGCAGGTTCGGACAAATCGGTTGTTCAGTTATCCAACTTGTCTAATCAACAACTAATTGATAGTTTGGTATCAATCTCCTCACATGTTGGAGGATTAATCGAAAAACTATACCACTCTAAGGGATTCATAGTGGCTTCTAATTATAGTTAAATCAATAACCACTATTTTTATACACAATGATGAATTATGAAAGTTTGCAATAGATTCCTTATCATTCTACTAAATGTATAATTGAAGAAATACAACTACAGAATATTAGTCAAATTTACAATATTTTATTGAGTCTGTTTTGTCTTGGAGAAAGCAAATGATAAATAAAAAAAACTCTATTAGAAAATACAACGTTTTCCGTTTTAAGCTTCTTTTAGAGTTTTTAGAGCGTACTCTTTCGCTTTTTCCATAGCTTCGTTCAAACAAGCAATATTCGTTCCATTTGATTGAGCTGAGTTGGCTTTACCGCCACCCTTTCCTTTCATAAGACCTTGAATTTGGGAAACCCATTCATTAGCCTTTAAACCTCGTGATACGGCGCAATTGGGTGCGACAGCGAGACATAATATTTTCGAGTTGACTTGGTCTATCGAAAAGAATAAGCAGCTGGTTTCAGGTGATAAGGCTTTAAATTGTTTGACAGCATTATCTAATGCTTTTCCATCGGCTTCCGAATTCTCAAAATAATGAACAAGAATTTGTTGATTAGGCTTTTCGGCAATTAGCATTTTAGCTTCTTCTGTTACCTAAGCAAAAAATTTACTTATCATTTATTATAATAAAAATAATAATTTGTAACATACTTTGACAGCGATTTGAGCTTTTCTTGCCTTCTCTTGATCATCAATTCTCTTCTTTAGAGCTTTCAAATTATTTTTAGTATTGTCCCTCCTCCAATAAGGTGTATTGGATTGGGATACCTCTTCGGTTAGTTCAGTAATCAGTTTCAAAAGCTCTTTCTGAGTAAACTTGGTAGAATCTTTAAAGTATTCGTTTACTTTTTCTTCGATAGACTTAACTTCCCTATCATACACATCGGATTTATGAATAGCTTTAGAAGCTTCATTTCCAGTAACAGCAACAACTCGTCTTATTCCCTTAGCGATGGCTTCTTCTGAGACAATAACAAACTTACCAATATGCGAACTGTTTTGAAGATGACTGTTCAAAAGCGACAGAAATTTTAAAAAATATTCAACCACGAAAAATTATTATTGTTTACTGACGTTCCACCACAAAATTCTACAGAATGATTACAACCAGCCGGTCCATCAGGATCCGAGAGTAAATCATCAATTGGGATCCCAACGCAAACGCATCTTACAGGATCAGGATAAACTTCATCGAAAACCGCTCTCAATCCTTGAATAGCCTTACACTTAACCAGCTCAGCTTCTTTAGCGTAAACTTTCAATTTCTTTTCAGAGATTTCATTACAGATATCCTCCACCGCCTTTATTTGTTTGCTATTCATTGCACCTTTAGCCGAAAAATCGAAACGTAGTTTATCAGGTGCGACGAGAGAACCTTTTTGATCAGCTTCTCCCAAAACTTTTCGCAAACCATAATTCAAAACATGAGTAGCAGTATGGTTAGACATAACTGGTCTCCTTCGTTGCTAATTAAAAATGAAGTACTTTAATATAACTGAAACAATAAATTAAAAAAAACTCACTGTACCTCGTCAATTGTAAGTGTTACTTTATCTCCAACTTTTAGAGTTCCTTCAACAGTTCCGATATGTAAGATAAAACCTCCTCTAACTTGTACAGATTTGACAACCATTTCATCTTCCTAAAAACAACATATTTGATGTTAAATAAACACTAAGCTAGATATAATATACAATTTATATTTTATATATTAAACTAGAGCATACTTCACTGCCTTCTTTACTAATAAAGCCAGTATCAAAAATTTGCCCTCCTTGTTCAGCATAGAAACAAGTTTGATCAAGGATGATTCCGCATTCAGCACCTGTTTTTACTTCTTGGACAAATTCTTTAGAAAATCTTAGAGCTAGAATGGTTCCAACAGCCTTTTCATATTCTGTAAACAAGTATGAAAAAGCTAATAATCTTGCAAAACCTTTTATTAATAATCCTTACGGTATTCTCCATTTTCATTTGAAGAATATTGATATTTTGGTTTATCATTTGTTATTGGCACTGCTTTATCTTTCAAATGAGTTATGGCATGTACGTCAAGATCAACCAATTCTTCTACAGTACTTCCACCAGCTTTGGATTTGAGCTGAGATTCCTTTTTTGCAGCTTCAAAACTCTCGCAATCTACTTTTAAACCTTTTTCTTCTACCATAAGTTCAGTTAAGTCGACGGGAAAGCCATAGGTATCGTAGAGACGCCATGCCACCTCTCCTGGAAGAGTTTTAGAGTCTCCCATTTTCGAAATGGTTCTTTCTAAAATTAATCGACCTTTGCTTAAGGTTTTTAAGAATTGGGTCTCTTCTTCATTAATAATATCTTTAACTATTTGAGGGTCTTTTGTGACTTCGGGGAATGCGTCGCCCTTAAAAGTGAAATTAAATCATGGATGGATAGTCTCAATTGAAAGATAAATATCATTACCAAGATGGTGACAACAATATCAACCAGAGAAGCAAACAATCCTGGCTTAGCATTAAGCTTTTCAGAAGCAAAGCGGATACCTCGTCTTAAAATCCTTCTCAAAACGTAGCTATAAAGAGACAATATTTATAAATAACGATAGAAATTTGATACTAATGAACTAACCCTCTTCCTGTATTATCTGGACGTCCACCATCGGAAAGAGCAATGGTAAGAGTACGAACGTGATCAGCAAGAACACGATAAGCCATATCAACACCATCAGCATCTTCAGCACCGACTTTTCCTGTGTATTGTCGGCAATCGGTAGCCTAGATAGAATTTTTAACAATTATTTAAAAGATATAGTTAGGCCATATTTCTTACGTCTTTAATGGCTTTAAATATAGGTACAAACAGATCGGTGTCATAATTGGAGTTTTTATTCTGAACAACAGAGGCTAGTCTTTCTAGTCCCATGCCTGTATCTACGCTCATAAAAGGAAGTGGCTTAAACACATTATTTGGTTCCCTATTAAATTGAGTAAACACTAAGTTCCAAACTTCCAAAACGTCAGGTACATCCATATTAACTAAATGAGCAGCATCTCTATTTCCAATTCGATCAAAGTGAATTTCTGTGCAGGGTCCACAAGTACCAAGGTCTCCCATGGCCCAAAAATTATCTTTGACGCCAAATGGCATAACCCTCTCCTTTGGAATTCTGAATAAAGAAACCTATTAAGTTTTAAACAAAAATTGTGTGTCATATGTAAATCTGTACCCAAGGTTTATCCAAATATCTCTAGTCTCCAAATCAGCTTCTAATCCGAGATCTTTGTCACCTCCAAAGTAAGTGATATATAATCTCTCCTTTGGCATTTTATAAACTTCAGTCAATAACTCCCAAGCCCATTCTATTGCTTCTGTCTTGAAAAAATCACCAAATGACCAGTTACCCAGCATTTCAAAAAATGTATGGTGATAGACGTCTTTTCCCACATCATCCAAATCATTATGTTTACCTCCAGCTCTGATGCACTTTTGACTATTGACAACTCTTTTCAGTTTTCCCAAATCGCTATTTGGATCAGCAATACCCAAAAGGACAGGTTTGAACTGAGAAAGAAATATGATGCAATCTTTCAGTAACTAATATGCACATGTGAAATACCTGGTTCATTCCTGCATTAGCGAACAATAGAGTTGGATCATCCAAAGGAATAGTTGATGAAGAATGCCAGTATCTATGTTGCTTTTTCACAAAAAAGTCAATGAACATCTGACGAAGTTCGGAGGAAGTTAGGCTTGAGTTCATCTTAAATAATCTACAACAGAAATATAACACGTTGCATCAGCCGGAAGAATCAAAACTAGCAAAAATACAATGTAAAAGAAAAGTTGAAAGTTTTAGATAAAGTATAAAATTTGAAAAAAATTGTAATAATGTTTAAGCTATTAACCTGTTATAGCCAAGTTGATCTTTGTCTTATAATTCGGATTATACGCAATAGTATGCTTGCCAAGAAAACGGAAATACAATTGTCAATTGAGCGAATGTTTTCCCAAAATTTTATGGAATTAGAACCAGTCTGTGTTCTAGTGTGGTTTTATGTATGCTGTCTCCATATCTCAATACCACATTCGCGCTAATTTTTACATTTTTTAGACGAAATGGCTAACAATATGAATCTAAATATGAATGATGACGAACCCTTGGATCTGGATCTCCATTTAAGCGATCCAACGGAATTAGTTAACTCAGGAATTCATGGCCTTCATGATGGTATGGCCGTTTCTTCATCTGTATATGAAGAAAACATGAATTATGGTTATTTGTCTACTGGAAGTCCTCTTCTTCAGATGTCTCGAGAAGACTCTCTTCCTAATCCTCAATCACCACCAGCGAGTCCGCAGTCAGCTGTTTCCGAGAGTAACAGCTACATTAATAGTCGTTCTCCTTCAAGAAACATGTCGCCACGGGGTAGTGGACCTGAATCTCCAGATAGCAGACACTCAAACTCGAGGAGCTATGCAAGTAGTCGAGATGGATCTGTTGCTTCTATTAGAAGCTGCGACCGTTCACGCTCGAATTCAAGATCAAGATCAAGAAGTATCTCCTCGCAGAGGTCCAATTCAGTTGGTAGCAATATGAGCTCCCGCTCCAGGTCAAGAAGCCGACAATCTCGCAGCAAAAGCAGATCCCTAGCTCTATCACGCTCCGTTAGTCGATCAAGCAGTGGACGTTCCAGATCAAGATCGGTTTCCAGATCGGTTTCTAGATCTGTTTCTAGGTCTCCTTCTAGATCTGTTTCTAGATCAGTTTCTCGATCAAGGTCGAGATCAAGATCCAGATCAGGTTCTCCTGTTGCCAGTAAAAGTAGAAAAAGGATAAGAGTTGGATCTGAAAGTGATAAAAGTGACAAAGAGTAATTATTAAATATTATTGTAAGAAATTCTATATAACAATTTACCCTCATTCCAGATCCGATTCAGGAAAAGCTATTGCTGAAATTTTTGGATCCAGTGACGAAGAGGGAGAGTTTGAAGGTTTTGGAGAAGATGAGGTAAAAGTTTCCGAAAAAGAAAATGAAACAAATAAAGTAGTTCCTGATATGTCCGACGACTCTGGGGATGAGAAAAAGGACGAAAGACGGTAAAACTATTGAAATACCATTACAAATCACTAAATGCTACTCTTTCCAGCAATGATAATCTAGTTAGCGATTTTGATATGATGATGGAGCGTAGAAAACAAGAAAATGCTAGAAATAGACGCAGACGTCGAAAACATGGTGTTGAGATTTTAAATTCTAATGATGATAAAATATCAGAACTCATTAGGAGAATGAAAGAAGCAGCTGAAGAAGATAGGAATTCAAATATTTCAAAACAACCTGCTATTCGAAAAATATCAATGTTACCTGTTGTTGAAGTTCAATTGCAGAGATCAGATCTGCATTTGGCCTTACTTGATATGAATATTTTGGGTGCAGTTACGGAATGGCTATCTCCATTACCTGACAAATCTTTGCCCAATCTTAAAATTCGAGAAAGATTGTTGAAACTTCTATCAGAATTTCCTATGATATCATCAGAATTGTTAAAGATGAGCGGAGTTGGAAAAGCCGTTATGTATCTTCTCAAGCATCCAAAAGAGACTAAGGATAACAAAAAAATTGCTCAGAGATTAATTCAAGAATGGGCCCGACCTATATTCAATTTGAATAGTAATTATTCCTCTTTATCAAAAGAAGAACGACTTGAACGAGATTATTCTCAACTACCAAAAAGAAAAAGGTGAAATATTTTGACTTTAAAAGATTGTAGGTTAACAGTTTTCCTTATTTTCTAGACCCACATCTGGCCCTTCAACCTCTGGTTCTTCTGAGAAACAGGTAAAACCAGGTGAGCCCGGGTGGATAAATAGAGCAAGAGTTCCTCAGCCATCGACCAAAGATTATGTAGTCAGACCTAAATGGAATGTAACGGAGAAACCAAAAGTATTGTTACCTTTATACTTCATTTATTTACTAAACCATAATTACATTTTTTGTTAGGTTACAAAGAAAAAACTCTCTAGGTATGATAAACATAAAAGAGAAATGGAAGAAAGGAAAAAGCAAAGAAAAGCTCAATTAGGTCATGCTGTAACGATGTCAATTGAAGGTCGAAATTTGGCTTTGTAAAAATGAAATTGTGCGATATAACCGATAAAGATATGTCGATTGTGTTCGTAAACTGTCCAGATAGAGACGTTAGATTTATAAATGCTTTTGAACATTCGTTCAGGAAGATTTCCAAACTGTTATGTACTTTGCAAGAAATATAAAAATTTCGTTTCATTGAAGCCTAAACAATTAAAGTGGATATTCAACCTGCACGCGAATGATATACACTTTTAAAACTACTAAATCTATTCAACAGCAGAATTCTAAGAAGAGGAATTTTTACGGAGTACTGCAATTTCAAGAAATCTTTATTTTACAAATCGTACTCTAAGGTTAATCATCGTTATACACTTGTTAAAATTATTAAAAAATTTTTGTAATAAAATGTTCAAAGACAAGGAAAGTAGATATTTACATTTCAAACATCTGGAATTTCTAACTTGAAATATTTTCAAGATGGTAATATAGAACTTCTAACGAATTGATTTTGTAAACTTTGAAGTACGTTCTGAAACAGATAAATTCTTTGAACTCTAATTTAATTCGGAAGTTTTAATAGATTAAGTAATTGTATACTTATCTTCAAATTGATACTTAGTGATTTAAACATCTTAGACGCTGATTACCCCTTTTGAAAGTTGAATACCAGTTTATACTCTGCGGACGACAATACCAAATGTTGACCTCTTTCTTGAATATAACCGGCATTGTATGTAACATGTGACGTAAATAGAGGAGGTTTCCAGTCATATGAGTTGGTTATGAAGATGTTTTCCAATACTCTTTTAACATTTGCATTTCTATTAACAGTTTTACCTGTAGCATTCTTTGTAAGTAACCATCTTTAATGTTCAAACAAAAGATAACATAGGTTTTTGTTTAGGAAGAAACTTGCAAACGAACTTTCAAAGTTGATTACGATAAAAGAACTTTTTTGAAAGATTCAAAGCCTTTTCGATATGTCTCGGGCAGTTTGCACTACACCAGGGTTCCACCAGAGCTCTGGAAAGATCGCCTAACAAAGATGAAGTATGCTGGTTTAGACGCAATCCAAACGTATATTTTAATTCTCTTTAGTTTTAATTTTTGTCTTTTAAATTTAATGCACTAATACATAAAGATACGTCCCTTGGAACCTTCATGAACCTAGCCCAGGTCTATATCATTTCGAAGGAAATGCTGACCTAGAGCTATTTTTACAAACTGCAGCAGATGTGGGATTGCTGGTATTACTTAGACCAGGTCCTTATATTTGTGCCGAATGGGACTTTGGTGGTTTTCCATCATGGTTAATTCAGCAAAATGCATCTACGGTATTAAGAACATCCGATCCGCGATTCATGAAACCGGCAGTAAGATGGCTATCATTCTTATATGAAAAACTTAAAAAATATACCTATTGCAATGGTGGCCCTATAATAATGGTTCAAATAGAAAATGAATATGGAAGTTATGGAGTTTGCGATAAAGTTTATATGAAAAATTTGGTAAAAATTGCTAAAAGTGTTTTGGGTGAAAGTATAGTCCTCTATACGACGGACGGAAATGTCGCTCAGGATCTAAAATGTGGGACATATCCAGGAGTTTTTGCAACCGTAGATTTCGGAACAGGACAAAATGTTTCTCAAGCATTTCAACCATTAGACCAGATGCAAAAGGGACCAAGAGTCAATTCCGAATTCTATGTTGGATGGTTGGATTATTGGGGTTCACCACATGCAAAAGTCTCAACAGCAGCTATAATTAAATCCTTAAAAAATTTGTTAGATTACGGAGCAAGTGTAAATATGTAAATGTTTTTTCACTTTATAAGTTGACAAACATCTAAACAGTTGCTAATTTTGTTCAGGTATATGTTCGAAGGAGGAACTTCATTTGCTTATTGGAATGGTGCTGATCCTCCATTCAAAGTTTGCCCAACTTCATATGACTACGATGCTCCACTATCCGAAGCAGGTGATATGACTTCGAAGTTTGAAGCTATACGCAAGCTTTTAGGAAAATACAAACAACTTTCACCTATGAATCCAGTCCCAAAAAATTCTACGAAATTAAATATTGGACCAGTCAAAATGACAAAGATAGCTTCTATAACAGATACTAAACACATTGTTTTGGCTAAGTCTGTTTATCCAATCTCTCAAGAAGACTTATCTCAGTCTATGGGATTTACTCTCTATAGGACTAATCTGTCAGAGCGTTTTTATCAAGCAATATTAAACGTGTCGGGAATAAGAGATAGGGGATATATAAGCGTAAATGGACTATATCAAGGAACAGTCGATAGAAATGAAAATACATTCCTTAATATATCTGGTGGCAAAGATCAAGTTTTAGATATTTTGGTTGAGAACCAAGGTAGAATAAACTTCGGTAGTCAAATAACACAGAATAGAAAAGGTCTAATTTCAAACGTTACGTTGAACAATCGTATACTAAAAAATTGGGAAATATCAAGAGTAGACCCACTACTTGTTAACGCAGTGAATAAGTCTCAATGTGCAAAAGGTCCAACAGTTTTTGAAGGAGTATTTAAAAGTCCCAGAGAACTTGGCGATATGTTTGCATATTTTCCCAATTGGACCAAAGGCCAACTATTCGTAAACGGTTACAATTTGGGACGCTACTGGCCCAAGAAAGGACCGCAGATTTCGCTCTATATCCCATCGGCTATATTGCTTTCACCAGGCTATCATAATACTATTAGAATACTGGAATTGGAAGAAGTCGACTGTATCCAGAAAGGACATAATATCTATTTGAAAAATGTTCCAGATATCGACGGACCTACATCTTTGTAATCTATATTAAATAGACTCAAGACACTTTTAATGTAATAAAAGAATAGTATAAGCTATTTTACAACTTTGGCAATAAATATGTTAAGATATCAAACTTTTCTCGTTTATGTTTCTCTGCTTTTCTCTTCTCACTTTCATTCGTCTTCTTTCTTGTCACTTGACATGTTCTTTTTTGCTTTCTTCCTCTAGAATTATTATTAAGCGAAGCTTGTAATATTTGCTTTGGTATAAAACAGTTTGCTATATCACATGAGTCATTTCTTGCAGTTGCGTTATCAGTTGAGAATGTGACTGCCTTTTTATTTTCATTCGTTTCTTGATTATTATCCTTTGCATCCTGTTTGTTTGAAGATGAAATTTCTTCGTCATCTTCACTATCGCTTAGTATTTCATCAATAAGTCTGCAAGGTGACATCGGTGGTCTCCTTAAAGGGCTGTAAGACTGACTTCTAGACATAACTGACTATATCAACACTCTCTTTAAACTATATATGACACGTGTTTTATTATCAAAGCCTAAATAACAATTCTACAAATGTCAAAGTTATTGTTCAATATTTGTATTATCCCCAGGAAAGTTCTGATAAATTTCACTAAAATCGTTTCTCATAACAGGTCCTCTAGGGGCGGGCCTACTCGGTTGAAGGACCAGAGTCCGTTCTCCGGACTCATGGCTAACACATTTCCAAGATTCTCCCTTAAATGCCCCCTATAAAGTTAAGTGTTGTTAAAATATGAACACTGAATTACTGACTTATGGTAGTTTAACTTACGATTAAGTATAAAATTGACCCAAAAAGTAAACATAGGCCACCCATAATTGTCGGTAATAGAAAGCATGATGGAATGATTATTCTGTTAAATAAATATGTTAGAACTATACTAAAGATGTTTAAAATTCAAATAATATAAATTCAATTACATTAAATGAAAAATAAATCGAATGAAGTAATTTTTATACAACCATCCTAATTTATCTAAGATCTTGCCCAAATAAGACTGATATAGTCTTTCTTTCGTTCGTCCTTTAAGCCTTTTTCCTCTTGGATATTCAATAATTGTCAAAATAGCGGATAAAGGTCTATTAAAATGGATAAAATGATAGATTAACTCCTTAAAGAAAATTGTAATGGATCATACATCAACGCGGCAGCAAATTGCCAGTTTGAAAATTTCCCAGCAACGCCAACAATTCCTCCAATGAATATAACTATAGAAATGAAAAGATCATCTGCAAGTATTAGTAATACATAGGAAACTCACGACTGGCACTCAATACAGATTGTTCATTTGCCCACATTGACCATTCCATGATTATAAATCTGAATCCTTTAATGGTAATTAAGATCGACACGATCAAGAAATTTACATGTCCGATATCGTAAAATCTGCCATTTCTATTTAATTGTAAATAATATTTGCAAATAACACAAATGTAGGCTAAAATATTCTCACGTGATACCGACTAACTGCGTTTCGAAACATTTATGTTTTTTTAAACTTAACTGGTAATAATATGTTATATTTCGTTAATATTTATCGTTATTGAAATGTCTTTAAGTATGATGTTTTTGGATTGAAAAAGTATATATTTTGTTGAATAATGACTCTTAAAAGTTCAACTATATCATAAACGATATCTGATAAACACTTTAATATATTGAACTTTTCATGTGACTGACGAGTTGGGAGATTTTAAGCTTGAAATGAATCGATATCTGCAGCCGGCTTTAAGGCTTAGATTAATATGTCCATCAAGTTATACTCAAAAGAGGACATATAGCAAGACATTTGCAGAAAAATACCTATCTACAGACTTCCCTCCTATAGGTGCTGCAAATCAAATCTTAGAAACAGTTCACGACTTCACTGGATTGCCATGGTGGGCTACAATTGCTATTACTACAGTTAGTTTAAGAACTGTTATAACTATGCCCCTTGCGATATACGGTCAACGAATAATGGCGAAATTAGAGGCTCAACAGCCAGAACTTAAGGAAAAAGCTGGTATTCTATTGAGAGAAGTAGCTCATGCCAAAAAAGAACGAGGTTGGACTCAGAAGGAAGCCGAAGCTCAGTTTAAGTTAAATGTTAATATAATATTATCTATAATAAAACAATGCTAATACAATGTTATGTATGATTACTACAGCTGAAACGAATAATTAAAGAAATCTATATAAGAGATAATAATCATCCCATGAAAAGTGGTTTGGTAATGATCTTTCAAATACCCCTATGGTTGTCAATGTCGTTTGCTTTGCGTAACATGACTGGCTCATTGCAGTTTGGAACAACAAGTATATTATTTTCAACAATTAAATAAATGCAGAATATAATATATATATATATATATATTTTTTTTTTCTAAATAGGGAACTCACCACTATGTCCCGATATGGCAAACGAAGGAACATTGTGGTTTCAAAATTTAATACTTCCAGATTCTACATGGCTATTATCACTGTGCCTTGGAACAACGCAACTGGCTCTTTTAAAAGTATACTACTCTTAATATCTATCATCTTGTATATCATCTAAATAATACTTGTTTTTTTAGATGTTCCCCATCAAAGGAGATGGAAAATTGGCTAAAACTATTAAGTATTCGTTAGGATTTTTTGCAGTTTTAATTGTTCCCATCAGTGCACAATTACCTGCCGCAATGACGTTTTACTGGCTAGTCTCATCTCTCTTTGGATTCTGTCAAAATTTACTTTTAAGGCATCCTTCTGTTAAGAAATTAATAAAGTCAAATATAAAAATAAAAAGTATAGAAAAACCATTATAGGATTAAATTTCGTTCACTTACTGAATAAAAAACCTCAGGTTTTAATGCTGCAAAGTGGTTTTATTTATTAAAGTGCTATTAAAACTGTTGTTTCCTAGACCTATCATTGGAGAATTATAATAAAATACCCCATAACTAACAGCCTTTTGAGTTATTTTTACTTTTATTCTAAATTATTCATGCAGAAAGTCTTTTTTACTGTAATATCGATTTTTTCGCAATTATCCATTAGTTACTTTACAGAGTTGTATTCTTATATTTTGGAATCGTATTGAATAGCTATCTGAGAACTACGAAAGCCAAGCAGGTCATTGAAATACTATTAGGAAAATGTGCTTGAAATATTTTAGACCCGGGAAGAAATATCACTTGTAATAAATGTTATTCTTAGAATTTAGGTACAACGACATATCTCCTAAAACAGTAATTCTTGGTAAATAGTTGAAAATACAGCCATTAACCTTGAGTTTATCGGTAATGTCTTAGCTGGAAGCTGTATATAGAATTTCCACGGAACTCCATAACAACAACTAATCTGATGTTTTTCTCCCTAAGATGCTTTAAAATTACCTGATTAGAAAACAACTTGGGTAAAAATATTGCTAGCATCCACCATCCTTCTTAACACGATAATAGCATTGTTATTAATAGCAATTATTCTATAATACAAAGAGAATAAACATTATTTATATAAAAGTTAAAAACAAGCAAAGTCCAATGAAATTATATATTTAATTTATTGCGTGACAATTATATTCTTAAAGGCTTTCTTCTATAATTTAGTTTCTAATATTTCATTTACCTGACACGTACAATTGAATAGCACGCAAAATTTAAATTTTGTCAATCTATTTTATTCCATTAAATCAAATTCTACTTTCTAAAATGAATTACAAGAGACAAACGGACAAATTGACTTCCTTTCAAATTAAAATATGAAAACAAACTTAAAGTGAGAAGCTAATTGAAATAAATATTTATTGAATTACTGAAGTTTCATTTAGTTGTTCTCTTTTTAATAGGAACTTATAATATACGGTCACTCTATAGCTTTCTGTAATAGTATTGTCTAATAATCTCGCAGCTCGAAAAAGCATTTGATCTACAGGTATAAGTACATCATACATGCTTTTATCTGTGAACCTAGTTAATTAAATAGAAAAGGAAAAGCTCTTTACATCTTTATAATTCTTTATTTAATAAATTTCAATGTACTTGTCCTACAAATTTCTATTCGCTATTCCTTGGTTTTTCTTCTATTGTAACTGAGATTGTATGGGATGTATACTCTTTACAATAATTTAATTGTATCTATTTTATTTATTACCTGAATATTTCTGTACGAAAAATAAACTACACTGCTACGCATATCGATTGTTTTTCTTAAAATAAAAAGACTCCAAATGTTTACCTTATCCTACTTATTCATCTTATTTTGTCATTGAAAGTATTTACCTAATATTTTACAGTTTTCGATTTGGTCTACTAGATAAATGTTCAAGAGAAGATGTAATAAATACAATATCTTCATTGTTTCTTTAATGATTTGTTTGTTATTCCTATTCTAAATAGTTCTAATACACTTTGTCGTTGTAATTTTTAAGGATTAAACATTCTACATATGTAATCGTCCTTGGTATAAGGGATAATATAAACAATTTTAAAAACTTTGATCAAATATTGCCACGTTGAAATTGATTTTAGATGTACGTCACAAAAGTATTCCTGGTCAATGTATCCAAGTGACGTCCAACTAATAAAAGGAAGATACTTTTCGTGACGTTTAAATTCATAATTTAGACATTTTTCACATGGTAAACGTAGGAATTAAGAGCAATTTATAAACTAGGACATCCATTTCTCTATTTAAATGATTGAACGATGTTTAACTTGTCGACTTGCCATACAATAAACAACTTTTTATTTAAAAAATAAAACAAAACAACGTAAATATCAAAAAGTTTACACAAATATTTAAAAACTAAATTTATCTCTTTGCAAATTTGGAATCAAAATCGCCAGACCTCTTTTGTAAGTTATGTCTGTTTCTTCGTAATCTATCTTCTACTGTACTTGAGTTTGCGTGGTCAGCCATCATATGACTAATTTGAAACATTTATTTATAAAAGTAATTATTTTATTTGATTATAAAAACATACCTTAAGTAAAGATTCTTTCGCCGTTCATTTAATCTCTCTTCTTCTTTCTTTTCCTGCTCTTTATGTCTTTTTATTGACTCATTTCTTTCTTCTTCTCTCCATTTTGCATTTTTCATCATATCCTGCCGCTTCCTCTCCTTTTCCTCTTCAGTTAATTTCTTTGTTTTATGACTTTTTTTATGTTTAATTTCAGGCGATTTTGATCGTTTACGTTTTCTTTCCTTTTCCTTCTCTTCTTTTTTTTTGACCAATTCCAAGTACTTTTTATATATTTCATCACCAGAATCGGAGGAAGAGTCTCTTCGCTTCTTCTTTTTCTTTTTCTTTTTTTCTTTTTTTGGTTTTTGAACTATCTTTTGAAGCTCTTTCAACTTAATAGGATTTTGTAATAGTCTTTTTTTAGCCTCTTCTTCCTTCTGCTTAATCATAAAAAATGGATCTTCTTTCATTTTCGCCTGCATGTCTAACTCCGTTCGTCTTTTGATGACATCATCAAAGTTACTACCCGGAACTGTTTCAGGTTTTTCTTTTTCATCTTTCAGAAAGTGTTTGTCTGGAATTTTTTTCCCTAAAAGGTATTCTTCTTCATCCACTTTATCGCCACTATACATCCTATTATACAAATCATATTAACTTTTATATTGAGAAAGATTTTTACTTAACGTACCATTTCATTTGATCTTTAGAGCTGCCCTCAGATTCTGCAGGAAATAAATACCATATCAAAATCATTTCTTAAATTAAAATTAATGATAAAAAATAGATTATTACTTTTCTGACAAATTTTTAAGCAACTCTATAAGACTACAATGAGAAAATCTACTCAGATTTTAATTTAAATATCACATTTAGGGTATCTTAAAGATATCGACATAATATATCGTAATATACCTTTCTCCATTCGCTCCTTTAACATTTTTTGTAGTTTTCTTCTTTCATCAGGATCCATAGAATCTATATCTATATTTTTAGACTTGTTCATTTTTCACGATATAGAAATTTTAAAAGAATCAATTGAAAGAAACGTTGGAAATTCGAAGGACCTGTAATCAATTGCAATGTTAGTTTAATAGTTAAATCGATCAAGATTTAAAAAGTTTTGCTTCTAAAAAAATATCGAATAAAACTAGCTATTATTATTTTTTTGCTTTCTTAAGTAGTATTTGTAACATACACAGTGTTCAATCAAAAATCTTAAAATCGGATTTATTTCATTGCTTAAAATATTTGTAACCGATTACTGACCATCCGATTAGTCGTCGATAATCGAGAGGTCACGTGTTCTGCGTGAAAATATTTCCTATTACCAAGTCTGATGTCCGTTGACTATATTCCGCTCTACAAATAAATCCCATAGCTCTCATACAATTTCCGGTTCCGGTAATTTGTTCTGTGCTGCCTTGTGCATTTACTAGTATAAACTCAATAAAATTCTATTAAACTTTTGCATTTGGTAAACAATTTAGTGGATTTGAAACATCGATGATAGCGTAGTCAGTTACAACACAGCTTTAGTATCTTACTGAATCTAACATGAACAATGAAAATGTTAACGATTGGGAAAAGTCAGTCATTTTAAACAAAAAAAAATACATTCTAAACAAATTTAAATATTTTTCTCCTTGTAAACAGTGATGAAGAATTACTAGGAGATGATGCAACTAATAATTTAAGGGTAATTATTAACAATCAATAATTTTAGCAAGTTTGACTGATCTTTTTAAAGGAGGAAGAAATCGATGAGGAAGCTCTTCTCAGATTGTCTGACGAAGAAGAAAAGATTAAGGACGATGCACCTGATGAGTTAGTTGCATATGATATTATTTTTATATTTGAGCTCAACCATTTGCAATTACACAGAGATTTTGTGGTCGACGTCAACGCTCAAGAAGAAGAAGAGGTTCTAAATTCCAAGAACTTTGAACCCGTCGGAAACGAGGAAATTGACTCTACCAATGCTTTAGACTTTGAACCAGATGAAGAAGAAGTATCTGTTACAAAGGGACGACATATGAAAGAAGACGATGGCTCAGATTATGATAGTGATAATAAACAAACAAGAGAACGTTTTCGTTCTGAGAGACAAAACGTGACCAATGAAGTCAAATCAATAGGTTGTATTTAAGTAATGGATTTCTATGATGTGGTTTAATTTAAGTAATTATTGTAGAGAGTATGCTGCCTCAGAACAAGAACAAGCCCATTAAACATTTCATGCCCCGTACTAGGCAATTTCGTCCTAAACACAGGCCGCCTGTGCCCATGAGAAACAAACAACATGCTCTTGACTTTTTGATGGCACAAACAGCAGTTGCAGCGGCAGCCGCACCCCGAAGGTTTCCACCACCATCTTCGATGCATATTCTACCAAATTTAAGTGCTCCCGCCCCCCCACTCAACATGCCTAGTGGGCCAAGGAAAATTTTAATAAATCCACACTTTAGAGGAGAAGCAAATTCGGGTCATCCGAATAACAACTTTTCACCTTTCAATATGTCTTCTGGCCCACCACCACCACCCTTTCCTAGTCATCCGCCACCTCCTTTCCCTCATACTGGAATGCTGCCTCCATTTGATGTTGTGCCAGGCCAACCACAGATGCAAAATTTTGGGTAAGCAATATAATATTTTTATACGTATATTTTTTATATCACTTTTTTAACAGTCAATTTCCCCCTGGACAAAATTTTCCACCTCCGTCAACAGTATGTGCTAATTAGCTCTTAGCGATCAGTTTTTAATTAATAATCTCTCTTTTTCAGCAACCCTTTCCCCCTGGATTCCCACGAATGCCATCTGCCTCAGCCAGTAATTGGCCTCTGAATATCCCATCAAATTATGATCGGTCCAGATATAATGAACCTAGGAGACGTCGCGTTTCTTCTTCATCAAGTGACTCAGATCATCGTCATAGCAGGCGCAGTAGGAGGAAAAGACGTTCTCGTCGAAGTTCATCTGACTCTCGTTCACCTATTCGTGGTCGTCGTTCAATTAGCCGCAGCTGGTCCAGAAGCCCAAAAAGAAGGTCTCGTTCACCGTCCATACGCAGAAAAGAGCCTAAGCAAAAAGTTAAAGAATATGTTGATACATCTAAACCTTTGTTGCAAGAAGTTGATCCTGAGTTTGCTAAGAAGCTTGAAGAACAGAAGAAGTAAGTCTTATTTGATTAATTTTTCTGCTATTCAGTAAATTATATATCATTAGGCTTAGGGAGAAAGTGCTCCGTCAAAAGGAATTACGTCGCCTGGAGAAAATTCAACAAGCAGAAGAGAACGAAAAGAAAGACGTATTTAATGAAGATAAAAACCGCTCACAAACACATAAAACCATTACTAAGACTGTCACAAAATGCTATCAGTCCAAAGAAGGTAGCATTGTTAAAACCAAAAAAGTTTTTCAAACGACTGTTCCAGTTTCAAAAGAAAAAGAAGATGACGATAGTAAAATAATTGCTAAAAAGCGCATTGTAAAATTGCCAACCGTGCAACGAGGAGCAGCGGATAGCTCAACGCAATCCGATAATCTACAAATATCTTCAGATAATAAACGAAGAATTGTTGTGGCATCAAATTCATCAAAACAGCAGAAAACCTGCAAAGTGATAGTGGAAGGTCTGTCAGAAGTCACTTCAAAACAACAATTACACAATCTAGCTACATCAATTGGAAAGGTAGACGACGTTAACGTAATGTCAAAGGAGCGCAAGGCGATTATTACTTTCTCAAATACAGCTGACGTAGCAATGTTCGTCAGGAAATATAACAAGTATGTTTTTTATGAGGAAAAGTGCACTTATCTTCCACTAACCTCTCTTTATCATTTATAGGCATATGTTGGACCTCAGCCATATAAGCGTCGCTCCCTTTTACCAATAAATGACTGTTGAAACATTTCTTTTTTTATAAATCAGGTAGGTCAATTGTTTTTTTGTATATAATTTTCATGTAGTATTTATAGTATTTTTTCTTGGTGTAAAAAATAAAAATCCTACACCTAAAAAAATTAACTTTTTTTGTTAGTGTTTGTTACGTAACTGCAGGCAGCTACGGATCCTTTTTTTAGTTGTTTTTTTTTTAAATAAAAAACAATTAAATTAATAAAAATTGTTGCTTTGCCTTCTCTATATAAAAAATAAATATATTAGTCTTATTGCTATTTGGTCTTCCACCAAGGACATAAAACCAGATATCCATTTTTTCATTTGTATTCTTTTGTTAAATCGATAACCAATGTTCGAGGTTGTGTAAAAATTCTCTCACAAGATATTAAAAAAGTATATACAGTATGAATCTAATTCTAAAAAGTTGCTTTAAAAAAATAATATGTTTTTTTTTCTCTCTTTGTCAATCAAGTTGTGCCACTATAAGGGGTATTTTGCCGCTTATTTTCTCTTTCAATTTAAAAATAAACTACCTCTGACAGAAAGGAGTATTCAAGAGCCTTATGTCGTGTCTTCAGTGCGTAAATTGTATTATATGAATCACTGTCTTAAGTAAGGTATATTTGAAAAGTGAAAGTATAATATGTAAGGATACTATCTCTACATATTTTATATATTGAAGAATTGAATAGCAAAGTATGTGTAATAAAAGAACAAGAAAGATCACTTCCCCCACATTATATTGAAGTCAATCAGATGAAAACTAAAAGAAATAATCAATATGAATTCATATAATAATGTAATAACTCAAGCACTCATGTTGATCAACGAATATATACATAGTTATATACAGAATATATACATATGCATAATATACTGAAAGTATAAACCTCAACGTGGGAGTGTATAGAGGTATTTTAATGATATAATAAAAGACACAAATAATTAATTGCTGTAAAAAATAATAATATAAAAAAAGAATGTTTTATACCTAATGAATAAATTACGTAAAGCTTTTTTTATACATTAAGAGTAGCCATCGACACAAAATCCAGAACTTTTAAAGAAAAAAACTGAACTTTGATCAATCTTTCTATAATGAGATATGATCAATGTCTAAACCTTTCAATAGTCCTTAAGTATTTGAAGGATTAGATGAAATAGAAACAGTCTTTAAGTGGTGGGTTTTTCTCTTAAGATCACGAATACGCCTATGTTGACTATGTCAATTGTAAAAACTCGTGTAGATTCTATTATTCATGCAAATTGTATGATATTACTACTTAAAACATTTTTTTCAACATTTCTTTCAGTTATAAAGAACGAAAAAGGGGGTCAAGAGTTCAGGAGATAAATATATCAATATTTAACTTTAAAGTTCATCGATGTTTAGTGACTTAAAAAAAGAAAAACAGAAATTAATAAGTTAACCAGATGGCTTTTATAAAAATCTGTATGATGGAATTTCGGAGTGCGTGTTAATTTTCCAAATCAATTAATACCTTCTCTCAACTGTCTTCAGTACGTACTAAAGAAAAGAAAAACGGTTTAATTATAAAAATGAAATATATAATTAAAGATAGAAAAATTTTCCCAGGTTACTTGTGTTATTATGTTTTACGAAATAAGAATAATTATAATAATAGTCTATCTGCGGCGTAATAAGCTTACTTCATAAGAAATCTTCTTCAATGCTCTCCATACGACATATTGCAACAAATATCTTTGTCGTAGTTTAATATTAGGACACGTGAAACAAGTGCATCAAAATAAATAATTTTCGTTATTCTTTTTACTACAAAATGAAATGATACATATCGTAAAGATAAAGATATTGGCTGAAATGTACGTCACGGTCGTTCTATTATTGGTTTTTTTCCCCCCTACTTACACAGTAGCCTTCAACCAAAGTGAAGAGGAAGATTAATATTATTATTACAGGAAATAAACATATTTTAAAGGAAACTTATAATTCATAAAACAATAAAATATACGTTTGCATTGACTACAAAATTGTAGAAAACGACAATACTATTTGCAGATTCAGATAATTTTCTTGGAACTGTCAATTCTAGTAAGTCCTATAACAGGGTCTGGTGGGCCTTGTTCGGATTTTCAGCCAATCAGCTACTTCCGACTATTTAATTTAATATTCATGAGCTCATTATGCGATACACGCCAGCAGTCTGCCACTCTATTCTCTGACATTCTAGAGTAATATTATATGAATAAGAAGATTTTAACCGAAATCAAGCAAAGTCTATCATTAATTTTTGGTACAAATTTTAAGATTCTCTTCATACTATGCTTTCCGAAAATACGGAAGCGTTGATAACGTCTTCCCACGTCAACTCTACAGAAGGCGCGGATACATTATTCACACAAGGTATATTAATACAAAATGGCCGCCTATAGCGTTATTTCGGCGCATGCGCGAAGTTTGAAAATATTAATTCATTATTTCGTAATCTTAATTTTGCGTTTTACAGACCTAGGAGTCATCAAACATGAGGATAATCTATCACTGGAAACCAGCCCATCGCCTACTCAATATCGCGAATTGCCTGTTATGAACGATTTGCATAATTTTCCAAATACAACTAACGACGACGATCTTAGTGGATACTTAAATTTTAAAGATCAGAAAGATGATATTTCTAATTTTTTGATCCCTTCAAATACTGATAATGGTATCGAGACCCAAATGAGTATAACTGAAAGATCCGGTAACATGACATTGAGCGAAGGTACCGAAGAAGCAAATGGGAACATACTTTGTTTTTCTGACGAGGATTTTCGTGACGGTGTTCCCCGCAAAGCTAGAAAACATTCACTTACTGAGAGTCCATCTTCTTATTCGTCTCCAACCTCTACTGCACTTAGTGACGATTTTTACTGCGCAAGTTCGTCCAGTCAGTATACCTTTACCCAATTCGGTTCGAACGTCCAAGGAGCCTCCAAATTCTTCACCAGTCCCACTTTAGTAAAAGACTCCATAAGCGGTCCACAGTACGTTCACCTTGCGGCATTTCTTTAAATATAGATTTTTCAGGTTTTAACCGTCTTATTTTATGCAGATCGTCATCTTTTGTAAGTGAACCTGAGCAGACCAAAACGAAAATAAAGCAATTGCATTTAAACCAACCGAATATACCGCATTCACAGGACGGTTGCAGTTTAGTAATTCTTAGTCAACCCGAAAAACAACATAGAGCACGTTATCAGACGGAAGGTAGTAGGGGCGCTATAAAAGATAGAGAGGGCAACGGTTATCCGAAAGTCAAATTAAACGGTTATACCGGTGGCGATAATCTCACTCTTCAAATTTTTATCGGTGTGGATAGCGGAAAGGTCAAGCCGCATGGTTTTTATCAGGCATGTCCCGTATCGGGAAAAAACCAAGAACATTGTGAAGAAAGAAACGTTGACGGTAATTCCGTCATTGAGATGCCTCTAGAGGCGTCTAATAATTATGAAGCTTTGTAAGTATTTAGACTTCGACATGCTGTATTAAAAAAAAAAATATATAGACTTTGGCTGATCGCCAATGTCTGCAAATATTTTATATAACTTGTTTACGTAACTAGTATTGATCTGTTTAAATTGAGGATTGGTTGAGGGTAATTAAATACTATACTTGGCAAATACGCATTAAATGAATAATAAATACAAATATTCAATTTTTTTTTATAGGGTTGATTGTGTTGGAATTTTAAAGTTAAGAAACGCAGACGTTGAGAAGAAAGTAGATAATAAGGCTAAAAGGAAATCAACCAAAGCTAGACTAGTATTCCGAGTGTCTTTTCAGTCAGCAGACGGCACTCATTCTATAACTCTGCAACAGACCTCAGATGTAATATCTTGCAGTAAGTATCATTAATATTAATATTTTACAATGGATTTATTAATGTTAAAAGAAATACTTTATATTGATATAATTCTTTTTAATATATAATTAAATTTGTATAGCTCAACCTGCTGGTCAGCCTGAAGTGTGCAAGAAGAGTATATCATCTTTACCGGTGGCTGGTATTGGGGAACAAGGACACAGAGACATGTTTATTATCGGAAAAAATTTCGCAAAAGGTACTGTTGTTAAGTTTTTCTCTGGCGATTGGTGTCAACAAGGAAAGATCGATTCTGAGTGTTTTCACCAGGTAGGCTTCTTAATTCTTCTTTATGATTAAATCTTTTCTTAAGTCGCATTTTTTGTACCCCCCTCAACGCTTATAGCACCACATGGTCGTAACCGTTCCTGAATATGGTGATCCAGAAATAAAAGAACCTACAACGGTAACGATGCAAATTCAAAGTGGCGCAAGACACAGCGAACCGATTCAATTCACTTTCTTGCCCAGTAAGTCGTTTGTATTTGATTTGTAGAGATAGGTATCCGCGGAGGCATTTTCAAAACCGATCTGGTTATTGCTGCACTGACGAGGTTAATCTATTTAATGCATATATTTTAGCTTTGTACGACAACCGTCACAGATCTCAGAAGGCGTATCATTTTAGGTTGATTGTATAATCAATTAGGAAAATTATCCGGCTGTAGAGTAAACTTTGTACTTATGCTATCCTAGTTTATTACGTAGTGTAGTAACGTCTAGCGAGATTTGTGACGGCAGAAAAACTTACGATTTTCACTTGATTGCGATAGAGCACTTCTTTTGCCTTAACGAAATCTCCAATTCATAAACTTATATATATTAACTCGACTTTTGTTATATATATATAAGGTGATTTCATATATTTAAATAATAATGAAACGTTGCTTAATCACTAAAAATTTCTTTTATGAATTCGTTTTAAATTAATTTGGACAGACAACATAAATCATCAAGTTTTCTGATATTAAATTCTAAGGCTTTATCGTAATCTATTTACTTTATTGTGATTATAAGAAATTCTATGTAATGACTCAAGGTGTCAGCATGATCAATCTGCCGAGTTAATTTTGAGAAGTAGATGAAGATCACTAGAAATTTATTTTAAGACCAAGAGATGAAAGCAATCCACAGTTTCACCAATCATTATTCCTTTTTTGATATTTGTGCGTTTTGTACTTTGTACAATCATCGAATAATTGTTATGTAAATAGTGTCGTTAACAATATCCAAACAAGTCATAAGAAATCTGGCATTACACCTGCTTCATATATTCATATACATATATATTACCCAATAACAAATATTATTTAATTAATCTTCATAAGGTATCTTTCCCACATTTCTCCATAATCTCATTATGTATAAATTTAAGTAAAGCAACACAATTATATGACAAATAGTCAGCTATACAGAATATATATTTATATAATTTATATACTGTATATATTTATATAAATGCTTGAATCTCTTGGTTATATTCAAAATTTATAACTTTTTTCTAAAAATAATAATAATCTATTTAACTGTCGATTCAAGAATGTCAGAAAAAAAGATATAAAATTTGTTAAAAGCTTAAAATTTATAAAAACAAATTTAAAACTTATTATTTTTTTCTTTTAAGACCGATTTCACTGTATTTGTTTAAGACTATTATTCCTATAGAATTTACCATATTTCTTTCATTAAAGAAGTCACGATATCTATTTTTAAAAGGAAAGAATATTAAGTAGATTGTCTAGTGAGGATAAGGGTAGGATATAGGGATATTAATTAATCTCATATTTGAAAACTCGGCAGGGTCGGTTCATAATAAGTAAACTAACATGTTATTTTCGAAAATTGACTTAAAGTGTAGCTCTGGTCACCGACACAATGAAGGAATGTGAGTTTCTTTTTTATCCTCAACACGTTTCTTCAACCCATTTCGTTTGTTTTTTATCTCGTACGCTTTAGAAAATTGCGCGCAGAAGCTTTCCTTTTTAGGAGGTGGCCAAGCTACACGATGGGTCAGTTTTTTTGTTACTGTTTGTTAGGAGTGGATGAGTTTGCAGTTTCGTTCATTTCCCCTCGACGTCCATTGCGTGACTGCATCTGTTCATCATTTTTGTTCTTGCTAATCTCACTCGATAAGTCGCTGAAATTGATATGACGTTATTTTCATATATTGAGAGTCTCACTATCTTGGCTGTGGCGTTCGAGTGTGATTAGCTCGTAGTTTGGAAGGATTGTGATTTGTCGATTTCTAGCATTTATGGGTCCGGTCGGGGAAAGAAAGTGTCTACCACTTTCTTTCGCGGCTGGAAGGGAGAGGAGGGATCACTACTACAATGCATAATATATAGGGGTTTGGCATAAAATAATCTACTTCTCCAGGACGTGATGACTTCAGGAAGTACAGACTTCGCCTGTTTAAAGAGGCACTCGTAGTTGACACAGTAAGGCAGCCTTATTAACCGCTGCGAAATTTTTCTAAAGGTTCATGTCATCTTTTGTCCTCCAACTTTGCGGTCATCGCGTTTGTACAATTTTTTAACGCATACAAATGTCTACGTGTCTTGTCTTCAACAAATGTGCCCGTATCATTCGCCTAACCTTTGCCCGGTAAACTGATTACTCTTTGACCTACTTTTAATATAGGGCGTTCCTCTTATTAGGAACTGTAGTGTGATATTTGTTCATTTTATTCTTCCAACTAATCTTATATTTTTTTCTATGATAATCTTATATTATGGGAAAAAATATTCAAAATTCATTATCACTTATTCATATTCATTCACCTTTGAAGATACAAATTCTCTATTGCTAGGATACAAATAGAAAGTATTTGGCCGATTTGAAGCACCTACGCTAACTTCGCTATTAAGTTTCTTTGTATCATATATACCTTTATTTATCTATCTAGTAGAAATATATATATATATATATAAATTTATATATATGTACATATATATATATATGATATATACATATATGTATTTATTTATGTGATGTTTTTTCTTAACAAAAACATATTCGCCTCCACGGAAATTATAATTTATTATGTTTAAATTATATAAAGTGAAATTTAATTAATTTTTCAACTCAAAAGAGAAATGTACGCTACGAGAAACTGCTAACAAACTATTTGTTAATTCTTCTAAATTTACCGAATCACCCGTCAGATATCAGTATGATTAATAATTTTTTATATTTTTTCTTAAATTGGTGTATACAATCATACAAAATGAGAATAGCTAATGTATTGAAGAAAAATTCAAATCATTTTTTATTATAATAAGTTAAGAAACCCACACAACTATTTATATTAAACATTTATATGTATTGTGTTGTATACTGTATATACTGTGCTTAAACAGCATTGTATATATGCTATAGATATATTTAAATATTAAATCTAAACGAAAATTATTTTATATGATTTATATATATATTATTTATAAATATAGTGTGCAATATGTTTTTATACAGTATATACGTAAAAAATGCCTCGCTACAGACAACACAATATATTCTTTAATAAATAACAAGTATTTCTCTACAGCCAATCCGTAAATATCTGAGATTACCCTCTACTTTTTCTTTTATTATTATTATTGCAACTTTCATATGTATTTATATATACTGTATATATATATATATACATACGTGTGCTGTAATTCGTAATCAAATATCCCCTATGAGTTTAAAGTCTAAACTGTTTTTAAAAACTATTATAAAATAACCTTCATGGAATATTAACGGATTATGCTGTAACACAAGTAAGCTATCTGTTTTTCGTTAAAATCTTTTGTTTACTGGGCCAAGGTTTATACATTCACTTTAAGAAAATAGAAATGTTATACGTCCAATGTTCCTTCTAATCGAGATCGTTTTCTTTCCTTCTAGAGTCTATATTGAAGTTTGCTGATGTGATTCAAGATTAATTTTTTTAAGTCTTAGGTTTCAGGAGGCATACTGCGTACATTTACACGTGATAAATATCTCTAATATACATATATATATATATACATATATGTATGTGAATTCAACATATATATATATATATATATATATATATATATATATATATATATTTATGTAAAGATATGTAGTTTTTTAGATTTTGATATTTTTTTATACAAAAATGTTTACATCTTTTGTTTTTTACTTTACACGATAGAAATCGTACTGTAATTTGATGCTTTTTACTTTACTGTAAGGGATAATATAAAAAAAATACAATTTTTTTATATTAATAAATATGAGAAGCATCGAAGCAGTACTGTAATTTAAGCATATTTTCTATAATACATTCGTTCCCACGTAGGCCAACTCTCGCTGTTTTTTTTTTAACATATATTTATATTTTAGTATATACATATATTAAATTATATATAGATATATGTTAATTTATTTATACTTTTATTCATGCATAAATATTTATACGACAAGTATACTTATGTATATAGGCTATTCTTGAACAGTAAAGTATAGAATGTGTATATTTTTATGTTAATACTTTCTGAATATAATAACATTGTATTACATAAAACATTTTGTATGAACATATTTTTGTTTATACAGAATATTTTATATCAATGTATTAACAAATCAATATACTCTTTTTCTTAATTGAAAGCGAAAATATAACTGGATTAAATATCAATTAGGATTTTTTTACATGTAAATTAATCTTAATTATATATGTATTGATAATATTTCTAGGGAAAAAATATATTAATATATATAGAAATATATTAATTTATATCTATATGTTTAATATATTATAATCTAATGTTATAATAGTACATATATAATGATTATACATGTATTTCAAGAGACATATACATAATTATACTTATTTAAAAGTAGCCTTTAATTAGCTTCAATCAGTTTATTCCGAATAAAAGAAATATTTGAATGTCATTTAATTCTAAATTTTCATGTGATTCAGTTTCGATGTCGGAAAGTGTACAAGCCATGGATACGGCGATATCACCTACAGTTAGTTCGAGCACTCCATCATGTGTCTCGCCAGGTAATGAATTACATTTTTATGATTTTTATAGGCATTCTAACAAAACCTTTACTGTTCAACAGAGGCTCTGGAGATACAGCAAAGAATGTTCGATATGACGAAAGCGGATGGAAATACATCAAGCGTCTTGAAGCAGATGTTACTGTGCTCCCCATCAGAAGTCAAGAACACCTCACCTTCGTCTTTGCCACCGCCACCAAGAACTGTAGCTGATTTATTACAGGAAAAAAAACAGACAAACAACAGATTCAATGGAAATGATGATAACATGATAAACGTCTCAAACTCCCTCCCAGTTATTAATAATAGGGTTGTTACTAAGCAAATGAATGGAAACCCAATTGTAAATCCAACAGTACAATTGTTACAGAACAGCCAAATACTCAATCAACCACCGTCTCAATCTATCGTAATACCAACATCAAATATCGTTACGTCCCAGCAGAATGTTACGACCAATAGTCAGTTAATTCAAAGCTTAATCAATAGTTCATCGCTACAGCAAGTCAATATGAACAGTATTAGTGGTAGCACTCAGACGATTAACACCCAGTTGCTAAATCAAGCACAACAGCAGCAGCCACAATCCTTTATTTTAACTAACAGCAACACTTCCAATGTACCTGCAACACCCATATTGATTGTTCCTCAATCGAATCAGAATAATGGATTAGCGCAGATCTTGCAAGGTAATTTATAAATAGATAACATCGAAGTATCATATTAATTAAAAATATATGTCCTACAGTGTTTACAAATTCTACTCCAACACCATCAACAACGCAAATGTTGCATGAAGAACTAAATGTAAATCCAAGTCCTTGTAAGTTTGACAATTAAAATAAAAGATATAAATAATAACAAGAACATTTTTATTATTGTTCCGATAGTTGAATCATTTTTAACCTAGTTAAAGATTAATCAAAAGTAATGAAAATTAGATGAGAGAAACAACCTGTAAGAAACTATATGTATTTGTACATTAACTGTATTTATTATTATTTTATTCTTGTTTTTGTGTATCCCCATATACATTGCATATAGATATATGTATTTTGTACATAAACATGTATATATGTAATGTATATTTTTATTAGAATTAATTTTTCCTTATTTTTTCTCTTTTAAAAAAAAATGCAGGCATTAAATATTGATTCACTAACGTTTTATATTTTACTTGAAAGCTTATACACAACATATTGCAGTTTTTTGTTGTGTTATTTACCCTAAATGAAGAACACTATTTTAAGTGTAATTGGTCATGGAATGTTAATTAATTATACTTTATGTTATTACGTTCCCGCTTCTTTTGTTTTCATACAAAATTGTGTTAAGTAAATAAATAAAAGAATTTAATGATTAAATAATTTCTTCTTTCTTTCTTATCTTTTAAGTACAATAGATAATAAAAAAAGGTAAATTTTTTAATATTTAGTCATCTTTTTGAATACTATTGTCATTACTACATTCAACTCAACGTTATCTTTCGTGAAGCACATTTTCTAATCTTAATGATAAGTGAAATTTGTGTCTGAAATATCTACTCTTTTGAACTTGAGTCTTCATATTACAACATTGAACTGTTAAACTTATCATTAAAACTTTATTTTAGTTAATCTATAGACTTTTACTATTGAAATATCACTCCCAGGTGGCGTTCAATAACCGGCATGAATTTGTTGCCGTGCATACAATTCTAGTAATTATAGACCAGTAAATCACGCCTACTTCTTACTTGTTTATTCAACTCTAGGTGGCACTCTATACAAAATTAATCCACCCAACAGCTAACTTGTTTTAGATTTTTCATCCTTAACAAACCCCATAGAGATGCCATTCAAGGTAAGTTTTTATCGATATATTAGCTTTTGCCTTTGAAATATCGTAATACTTCTCTTATCTGCAAAATTAGATGCTAATTATACAATAATTATAGCAGAGGAAGTATAAATAATAAGTCCTATAGTCCTATAGTTAGGAATTAAGAAACTTTTGCAAAAGAGCAAAGAACAATGATATCATTTCGAAGAAAGGTAACAATCTAGTTTTATCTTATTCATTAATCGAATTTATCTACTCATGACGGTCAGAAAAATATATTTCTTACTTTATTATCCAGATACTTGATGCTAAAAATTGATAAGGTAACTTTAAATAATCAAACTAGAATCAAAAAGAAAACAATGACTTTGTGTTAAACAAACTAAAAAGATATTTCCAAAGGAAATGGCAATAAATAATGCCTTCTATAAATTAAGTAAATATCGAGTGAGACTATTTTCACAAAATCCCACCTATTATCAGTATATACTACCAATGCAGCTGTGTAATATCTTATACTATAGGATTCCGTAGCATTTGTTTTGCTTACTTTGCAAAAACTGCAAATCTGGAAATAAAAAAAATTCAACAGGCTCCAGAACCGGAACGTTGTGTCGTGTGCAAAAAGGCTGTGTATCAGCAGGAGAGGCAGGAGGCTGGCGGTTTAAAATTTCACAAGAATTGCTTCAAGTGTTCCGTGTGCAAAAAACCGCTAAAGTAAGTTTATATATCAACATAAAACTTTTACGCCAACATTTTTTCACAATTAATTACAGTTTGAACAACTATGCCCAATCGGAAGGAATAGTATTCTGTAAGAACGATTATCAGAAGGAAGTTGTCGCAAAGAATACTCAAGTTGTTACTTAAATATCTTTAATTAGAAAAAGAATCTGGTTTTTCACATGGATCTAATACCTTTCTAAAAATACTTTTTGCTGTGCCAAAGGAAGAGTTTAATCAAATAGTAAATTTAAGTGATTCTTTTCTCCTCATTCTGAAAATTAGATGCTTATAATCAAATTTTAAAGAATAAATCAAAATGATAAATAGTGTTCAATTATAACAAGTTGAAACATGAAATTTTACTAGTTCTAAGTAAATTAGCAACCAATTTAACTGAAAAGTTCGTATATCACAGGGGAATTGGCTGTACTTTATATTCATGTATATGTTTATTACATCAGAGAAATAGTTTTATTGGGGAAAAAAAATGCTATTAATTTCCAATAATTCTGATGGAAATAGAACTAAAAACAAAAATATGAAAGTGAAGAGATAGATACCATATATATATCATATATATATATATATATATATATATATATATAATATATACTGTATATTTTAAGCAAATATCGAACGCAATTGACCTGAGTCAAGAGTTTTAGTTTCCTTATCACTGAGATACAAACAACGCGCGTTGTGCATCATTTCTTGGAACACCTGGCGGAAAAAAATCGAATAGAACACAAATAAACTTTGTTAGATATGTTGCCCTATCAATTAAGATTATTTAAATAATAATACTTACAGAATGACTTTTCATATACGCCTCATTCAATTTATCGACATCAACTTCTAGTCCTGGATCAACAAACTCGTCCTCTTCGAAATCTTCTTGAGGAGGCATTTGTGGAGGTGGCTGTTGTAAATAAACAAAAAAATAAATATCTTCAACATTGAAAGCATTAAACTGTAAAAACACTATTTAAATCAATGTAGTAAATACTAGGTCTGCTGAGAAAAGTATTACGTCAATCGGTAGTGAAATTGTAGATAGAAGAAAAAAGTTATTAATACACTAACTGGATAGGAATAGGCTTCTTGATTGTAGGCTTGGGCTGGATCAAATGCATAAGAGTTTGATGGATCGATTGATTGATCACCACCTGATTGTTTGCCTGTTATGGAGCTAACGTAATTTGGATCAGTTCCGTAATGTTTGTGCCACATTTGAACATATTGCTCGGCCATGCTATGTAAAGATATAAATATATATCAAGAATGATAGCAAAATAATTGTAAACTTAATATTCAACCTATTTGTAAAAGCTGCTTGCTGTTCTTCCTGTTGTTGAATCCATTGCTGTTCCTGGCTGCTAACGTTTGGCTTCGTGGTTCTTATTATAAAAATAAAACAATTAAATTATCTAAAAAATTTGTGCTTAATATGCTTACGTAGCCTTTTTATGTTGGGCAGGGGATACTCGTATAGGTTTACCACCCAGCCCACGGTGGCCCTGCATTTCAATCATAGCTCGTTTTTGTTCATCTTGATCTTCAAATCTTACGAATCCATAACCCCGACTATGACCCTCCTCGTTCAAAACAACTTTCGCCAGTCGGCATGACGGATATCTTTTACTAAACGTGGAATAGAGCAAAAGATCGTCAACATCTTCGGTGAGATCACCAACAAAGACGGAATATCCTTGGCTGATGAAAAGTGTTTTAATTTTTTAATATTTCATAGTTATCGAAGTAGTTTATCTGACCTACCCATTGTTAGCGCCATCTTTCCCATAGTTCGCATAATTCAACTTAAAACGTCTAGGCTGAAAGCATAATTGGTTTATGGAATTAATTTTAGTAAAATAAACGTAACGTTTAGATAAAAATGAACAAGTAATACTTACAGGTTTACTGGTTGGAACTATTTTCCCATTATATTTTAACATAGTATGTTGAGCAACCTCGGAGCTGGCAAAATCAACAAAGCAATAGCCCATCGACTCCCTGGTTAGAAAGATTCTTGAATTATTAAATTGATCAAACTAATATAACTGTTAAAATCTCTTTAAGAATGAAAAACAACAAAGCAAAAGCCCCAACACATAAGAAACAATACAAAATAAGCAACAAAATTAAACTGAGGATTCTATTTTTAAGCCCTGATTCTTTCATAACTTTTATTAAACAATAAACACCATCGAAATAAACCTGAAAGAATTCATTTGATCATATCTTTCTTCGCCTGGTGGTTTCAATTTATCTTCACTTTCAGCCTCTCCCTCATATAGTTTGAATAAATTATACCATATATTTTGAGAATGAAGAAATTTAGGTGTAACCCATGTATCATTTCTCCATTTAGTTGTCAAATAGAACATTAAACTATCTACGTAGTAGTAGTCATCACTACGAGTAAACTCATCCATTTGATTTATTAGTAGCTGTGATAAATCATTTACAAAAAAGTCTTCACTATTTATGTAATCAGTTTCCGTTAAATAAATCAGATTATTTGATCGAATTGAGCTTTGCTCCATTAAAAAATTTCCTATTCTTTTCTCCAAGTCAATAAAATACTTTTTTAAATAATAATTGCAGTAGTCTGTATAAGAATTAAATTTTGTTAAAAGTAAATCTTCTTGTGACGATTCATCTTCTCCATAGTTTACTTGTCGTCTTTTGTGACTATTGTCATCATTTTTTATTCTTTCTTTATAAAAACGAGCTCGCAAACCGTCCTTTTTCTTTTGCTCATATAAGTAACGTTCATTCGATTTCTTAATGCAGTTGTAACGAATTTTATCCCAAAAACCCGATTTCTCTTTTTGATTCATTGGTATACTTCTCTTTTCATTTTTATCCCTTAATTTCTCGTTGCAATTATTATTTAAAGTCAATCTGCTACTTTCTTTATGCCTTGTTTCTTTTATTTCATTGGATATTTTTGACTTCTCTATAGCAGATTTTGGAGTAATTGCCTTGTTACTGCCGTTAACTTTTAAAGTTAATTTAATTGGTGTCTTTGTTTTGATTTTGTTAGCTGTACATGTAGTGCTTTCATCTATCAAAAGTGTTTCAGCTTTCTTTTCTTTATTTATATCATTCTCAGGAGTGGACTGTTTAAATTTCGATTCAAAGAGGGTAAGTAGTTTTTCGGCGAGCTTTTCTTCTATTATACACAAAAATATAGATTTCTTCGTAGAATATAAACTATTTGAAATAAAATTTGAAAGCCGAATATTCAAATTCGCTAGGCTAGTTTGTTACATCTAATATTAGTACTTTTAATTCATTATCTCTGCATTTTCCCCTTAATATTTAAATCGAAATGAGACAGATTAAGCCTTGTGAATGTAGTAGGGATCAATGAAAATAAACTATTCGGCTAACCTAATCAATATTTTAATTTACCTGATTTCATAATATCAAAATTACGGTTGGTTTCATTGATTAAAGGAATTCCATTGGAACTTGACTTGTCAGATGGAATCTGGTTATCGTCATTGAAGTTTCCCATGTTGACTTTATCAGTTTCGTCTGTTTGAGTCGTGATGTCAGATTCTTCTATAAGATCTCTTCCCTCGATATTTGCTACATCTTTACCAGCTTCAGCCTTAGACGATTCAGTAAATGACTGCTTTGAATCATCAAAAGTAGCAAGTTCTTTGCCCAATGAGCGGGTAGATTGACCACTAATCTTTGAAGAACATAGTATCTTGTTCATGTCGCTCATTACATGTTTATTTTGAATGCTTTCTGTGACAGCACTACAACCAGCTTCATAATACTTGTTTTGTTCAACGATTACCGTCAAATCTTCCTTTTCAGAATCTTTGGAAAGGTTATGTAATTCATTCAATGTATTTCTCCTTTTGGGATCCTCAAGTTTTCTTCTTTCAGATAAATATATTGCATTATCTTCCATCAAATTTTCATCCCGATCCCTAACTGAAGATGCACTGAGTGTACATTCTGTTTCTAAAGACTGACATTGATTAGGGCTCTTTTCGATGAAGTTAGGGGAATAATTGCTTTGATCTTTAATAATATTATTTGAGCTTGTATTATTAACGAGTTTTACAGAATCTCTTTCTTTATTTTCTTTAATTTGAAAACTTTCATCGTTTGAAGAAAGACAATCAGTTTTTGCTTGACGATTTTCTTTTAACCAGCTTTCGACTTTTTCATTACCCTGTTTTTCTTTCATTAGTTTATCAGATGAAATATTGACACGTTCACTCTGACCTGAACTCAATGAAGACGATTCTGACTGCGAAGACGAAGACGAGGATGAAAAAGAGAATAAAGCTTTTTTAGATTTTTTCCTTTTGAACTGTTTCTCTATTGTTTCCATAAGCATCATTAGCTTCAAAGCTCTCTTGAATCTCTTTTTCTTTATTACCTTATGGAATATTGTTGTGGATAAGCTAGAGCTTGAGCTGCTAGACTTACGTTTTCTTTTTTTTTTATCATTCATAATCGTAGAATCCAATAACTGGTTTTTATACGATTGAAAATTTAGATAGAAAGAAACCAGTTTCAAGTCAATTAAACAACAATTAAATCATCCTTTTAAACTATGCTGTTAGATAATTTATTCTCAAATATAGTCGAGATTAAAGTTTAAAGAATCTTCTTCTCATCTCAGAACGATCGATAACAAATTTTAAATTATTTGAGCTGCCTTGAAACACCAATCTTGAATGATTACGTGCTAGTGAAATAACATATGTTCTGAATTGTGTCCACGACTGAATCGAGTTAAGCATACTGTATATTGATTTTATTATAGCGAACATAGGCTATTGTGAAGCACCATCTATTGTTTACTTTTTCAGTATTTAAAAAAATGAAGATATTTTAGTAAGACCAATTGACTTCGATAGAAAGTACATTTTAGATAAAACAGTAAAATATATAGTTGATCCAACATACTTTTACATTATGAAATGAAAACATAGCACAAGAGAAAGCACTAAATAACAAATATTTTTGAACAAACGAAATTTAAATTTTGGCGTAGACTAATAATAAAGAAAATAACTCACCCTGTTATTTTGTTTCGAATAACTTTAACCGTGATAACTTTTAATCCCAACGCCATAAAAGCGTTTTTAACGAATGTTTCATCCATATAAGGATCCAACTGTTAGAAAGGAAATAGATAAAATATAATTATAAAAGAATAAATAATGTCAATTTTATATGATGTATTTAAATCTACTGACATCTCCCATCCACAAACAGCTCATTTTTACCAAAAATAAAGCTTAAATTTTCGTCTGAGCGAAATTAGAAGAGAAAAGTGCCGGGGTATTACTAAACCCGTGTCACGACAAGAAAGAATAGAAAAAGAATATAAAGCTTCGCATTTGCAAAATTAAACTCATCTTTGTTTCCTAATTATGTTTAAATTGTATGAGTTTAGAGTAAATAAAGATAAAATTAAGCGAGGTAAATTTAAAGGAACAACCTAATAAATAGATCAAGAGCTTATGTATTTTATTCTTCCAAATATTCTAATAAAATTAAAAGCAAATATTCTTCTCTTGATGAGAATAATATAAAAGATATTAAAAAACTTTGTCAAAATATTTCACAAATGAACAGTGAAAGTTTTATTATACGATTAATTATCCTGTAAACCCCGGAGTATATCCTGAATTGTCTTTATAACCAATTTGACTGCTCTCCTTTTGATCTGTCTTTTCTTTCTAGTAGTTGTTTTACTTCTTGTAAGAATGATTCTAGACTTTTCAGAACTTTCAGTTGTGTACGTCTTCTTTTCTCCTGCCATGATTTGAAACCAGAATTTTTTTCTAATTCTTTATTGAATATGAAGAGTGTTGATTTGAATATGAGTACAATAACATTCTTTTTTCTATACTAAAAAAATATTTTCGTATCATTTTTGCAAATTTTTATTTCCAGAAAAACCTACTTAAAGTATGCCTATAAAAATTAACTAAAACAAAAGGTTTGTACATTTTTTTCGTATACTGTTAGAAAATAATTTCACAAGTAGAAGGAATCCCTCAAAACTTGGATAGAAGTATCACAAAAATATTTAAAATTTAAAAAAAATGACTATTCCTATCAAAAACGAATTAAAATGTTAATTATTTATTACTTTATGGAATAAAATGGTGAAATATTATATATATTTAAGTATAATATTAAATTTTGTAACTTTATCGTTGTTTGTAAGTATTATCTTAAAGAAATTATATTAAATTAATATTTTATTTGTATATGAAAATATCTTTTATTAAAGATTTCCAAATTTAATTGTAAATGTGGTAAAATACGTTCTAAAAAAATGATAATTAACTGTCCTTATAAAGATAGTAGTTGCTTTAAAAAATATCCTAGTGAACCTATTACTATAAAGTTTGGTTGTTATTATAGGAGACTTAAGACGGATGATAAACCTTCAATTATTGATTTTTCTCCGTATGAGATAATTTAATAAGTTAAAAATGTTATTTCTTCATATAGAATATGATTGATATTTATAATCAAACAGATATGTCTCTAGAATGTTTCAGAACTATTCTTCTTTTAGGCTTTCGAGATGCCGAAGACGTTCTTTAACTTTAAATATGAATGGATTGGAAATTTATAAAATGAATATAATAGCACTCTTCATTGGTTTCGAGGATGCTATAAACATATGTAATTTTACAGTATACCATTCAGAAAATTTAATACTAAATATAGCAGATGGCGCTACACTTTCTAACTTTGGAAATCATTATACTTGTAAAGGGGATACGTTTAATGTTAAAAGCGTTGGAAAAGTTACTTTTAAAAGAAATATAATACTAAATCCGTTCCCATTTATTATTGAAGCATTAAAATTTTCTGACGATGATATATCAAGGGAGAAACTGATACAGTTTGACGTTATGCATAAAGAAACGTTGGATTACGTTTTAAATAACATTAGTACTATTAAAATATACCTTACCCACGTAAATGAAAGAGAATTAGCTAGTATAAGTGAATGTAAGGGTTTTAGATGGATTGTGCATCTAAAAAAATGTATTGATGAGATGAAATCTTCAACAAAACTTACGATATCAAATGAAAACGTAACAGAATTATTGCGTGTAACAAACTTCGAATGCCTCAAAGGTAATGAAGATTTTGATTGCCTTTCCACAACAGGATCGACTACACAAATACCAGATGCCTTAAATAAAACAGAGAAAAGTAAGATAATTACTACGGAGATTTCAATAACATTGATACCAGCTGCTGATGAAGAAATGATAACATTCTTCGAGCATAATTTAAACGTTACCGCTGATCGAGTTAACAAAACCCCAATTAATGTAAGAGCGTATGCATAAATTAAATATGAAAATAAAGCTATTATTACTTTCAATTGAAATTATAAACAGGTTAAGAAAATTAATATTCTATATTTAACTTTAACTTGCATTGGTTTAGTATCTGTTACATTATTTTTGATAGTTATAGCAATTATTAGGAGAAGAACATTTCAAGCTGAAATAGATAGTGGAGAATTTTCAAAGTCGAGTAGTAGTACAACTAAGGAAGATACTGAAAGTGATAAATCAACAAAATTTGATAAAATTAACTTAGAGAATAACATTTAAGGCATTTCCTAATTTGTTGTAAAAATTAGAATAAATCGTTGTTTTCTTAACATAATAGGATAAATAAACTTTAATTTGATGAAGAATCTGATACCTGGAATAGATTTAAACGAGATGACCTACTTTAATATTCGTACTTGTATTTAGCGATTCCATTTCAAAACTGGTAAACTTACAGAAATATACTCCTTAAGTATAACAATTTTATCTTCCGGGAAAAAATAGTTTGCAAGATGGCTGTAAGTAATAGATTGGGATTTGCAAGAAATAGACAATATGTGAAACTGATTGTCTATCATTTTATAACATAAATTAACTATTTGATTGATATTTAACTTTACCGTAAACGCATATAGCAGTTTCTTCATGAGCGATAAAATGATCTTTTCCAGGCGCCTGCTCACGGAGGAAAAGAGGAAAGACAGCTTCAAACTTCAATTGATATTCTTGTTCAGAGAGTCGCCGAACTAAGAAATAAGATAGAAGGTCTAATTTTACGATTAGAAAGAGAACCACCAGAAAGCTTGAATTGGTAATAAAATTGTTTCTCTTTCTCTATTTGTCACTTTGTTGTTAAGTTTCTATTGCTCTTTCGGAGTTATGTAACTATATATACACGGCTAACTCTTTTTTTTTGCATTTTAGGCCGTCATTCTTGGACAATTTTGCAATCATCTCTAGTCAAATTAACACCTTAACAAGATTTATCAAGAATGAAAAGACTATTCAATTGAAAAGTTACGAACTATTGCCTCTTTCGTTGAACCCAAATATTGATGAGAATTTAAGAGTAAGTGTATTTATTTTGTTTACAGGACTGGGCACGATAAATTTAAATTATTTTTTCACACTTTAGAAATTAACAAACGGACGTGTGCATACATTCAATCACGAATTAGTTCCAGATTACCTGCGTACAAAGCCAGAGCCTGAAGTGGAGGAGAGAGGAAATACTTTAACAGCCAAAGCAATAACTATTAATACAGACGTTGTCAATAAACAGGTATTCAACATCTTTTTAAGTAAAAAAAAAACTTAAAGTTGGCAAAGAACGACGTTTAATGTCAGTAGAGAAAAAAATATAAACAATTAAAAAACGCATATCAATTGAACACACGTTTTTAAACTACTAGTGCTTTTTTTTATTAAAAAGTTTATTTTTTAAACTTAGATGGCGTCCTTAAACAATGCTGTCCATAAAATAGCTGAATTGATTGAACACGAAAGAGAAAGATTCGAAGCAGACATAAACCAGAGAACACAAACAGCTCAGTCCTACCGACAAAAAGATACTGAAGAATTAGTTGCAAGTATAATGTACGGTAAAGGAATATCCGCAAATCGTGCTGTCTCACAAGTTACACAACCCCCCCAAGTATCTCAGCCGCAAACTATGCAAAATCAAATACCAAATCCTTCAAGTAAGATAAACTCAAGATATTTAATAAGTGATATATTTTTTTTTGCCGTTTATAGATGCACACATGTACCAACAAAAGGCTATCAAAACGAATATTAGAGGAAGTAATCCTTACAATCGCCCTCAATAATTACTATATATATATATGTGTATGTATTATAGCTGTATTTCAAGGTATATTTGTTAATACCTTTTCTTATCTTGTCTTTAAAAAGATATCACTCATCTGAAAGGGTTTTCAATTATTTCATACAAATAAAAATGCGAATAAACAAGTTTTAAATGAATTTCTGCAAGCGATTTAGCAAACCAAAAAACAAGAGAACTTTAGTTAGTGCGAGACCTCGACAAAACTTTTTAAATAAGATATCGAACGGTTGAACCTGTTCTAGAACTTTCCAGAATAGCTCGTTTTTTTAGTCTTTCAAAGGCCTATTGCATGACCTAAAACTCAATGTGAAGTAGTTTCATAAGTTTTTCTCCAGAGAAACGAAAGGTATCTCTTTGAATGAAGCCTGTAGTAGAGAATTTATTCGTGAATTTTGCATAAAATTTGACGAATTTCTCGTTATTATTGTTGTTAAAAGGAGGCGCCGTTCAGTGTTCAACGGCAGAGACGTCTATCGGAAATATTTGCGTGATTGCGCATGCGCATAGAAAATTGTAAACAAAAAGGTCGTTTTTCTGCACTACAGATCTAAATTTCAATCCGGTTAGTACTTATGAATCATCAGTTCAACGGAATCATGACAGATATGTTAAAGCCATTGGTTGAAAATATTGGAACAATGCTATCTGGCCGAAAACAATTAGTTAAAGATGTAAAGTTCAAACAGCAGAGAGAGGAAAACGATTACAACCGGTTAATGGAAGATACTCGATTGACAGCGAGGCGTATATCGGCCGTCGTTATTGATTATGTCGCAGATGGATCAGATAATAGTTCTACGGATACAGAAAAAGCCGTGATCAGAAGTGTAATGCAGGTATTAAAGGGCTATGAACCAACTCTTCAGCATATGGCAGAAAAAGTAGATGTGGAAGAAAGTGAAATAGAAAAGTCAATCAAATCAGTTGCCCAGAATATGTTCGAAGATCACTCCATCAGCCACGGAAGATTGGCTACATTTTTTGCTTTTTGTGGTGTTCTAAGTCGATATTACGTAAATAGTGGAAGGAAAGGACACGTTGATAGGATAAAAGAGACTGTAACTGAATATACTGAAAAAGAATTTTGCGAATGGATCGTGGAGAATGGCGGTTGGGTAAGCGAAATTTTTTTGGATTTTTAGCTTTGCGAGTATTTATTAAGTTGTATATAAGTATTGAATACATAGAGAAATCGTTAACTTTCTCCTAATTCTGTAAAAAAGGTCAAGGGTGGAACATAAACGCATCGTCCACTGGATACTTTCTGAGTGAATAGCCATTTCGAAATGGCGAAACAAAAAACTTTCTCTATTGTGATAGAAGGGAAGAAGTAAAAACTAAGGGAAAGTAAAATAAACATAACAAAAGGCCAACAAAAGTGTTTGTAATTGAATATGAAAGAAACGATTACAAAGAAATATTAAAACAAATTAGAATCAAATTTACAAGTATCGGATTACATATTCGACAGTTAAAAAGAGCCGTGAGATAGTTTGATCGCAAATATCTATATTATATATATATATGTGATACTGTACTCATTGCCGTGAGAAAGTAGAAGTCTTACAAAGTAGTTATATATACAATCGTAGTTTTTTAGGAGAAAAAAACTGGTTATTTTTTTTGCTTTTCTTTCAAAAACCAATACATAAAAATTCTCTTGCTATTCAAAATATTTAAAAATCTTCCTATGACTCTCTTTATTAATTATGTCTTAACCTTTTCTTTATTTCTTCTACAGCAAAAATTCGAAGATTACTTCCCCGATCCTAATAGCATTGAAAAATTTATATTCAAGACTGGAATATTATTATCAGCCATTAGTTTTGCAACATTAGCTTTTGCGCATATAATACATAAGTGAGAGAAGAAAAGGAAAAAGAAGATTTAATATGGTGTTCGTCTCTCAATGTTTAAATGCAGGAAAGTTGAGGGGAAAACATTGGAAAAAATTAAGGAAACAGACTTTTTCTTTATGAAACCGGTGGTTATTAAAGATATTCTTTTGTATATACAGTATAACAAGTGTACAGTACTCTTATAAATGTTTCTACAAATAATACTTTGAAGATAATTAGCATAAGAAAAATTCAAGTGAGAGATACATAACTGATGATTAATTGCTTAAAGATAAAAAAAAAAATCATTCTATACTTAGTGATTAATCTATTGTTTTTTCATGATCTGTATGGAACTTTTGAAGTTCTTTATACTCTTTTCTTTTGCATTTATATCTTTACTAGAAAACAAAACAAAAAAGTAAAAAAAAAACAAGAAAAAACTGAAACTATATTATCTTTAAAACAAATTGTTCAAAGGTTACTAACGTATCAATTTCACTACTAAAATTTACAGGTAAAAATGTGCTCATTTTATCTATCATCTCTTCAAAGTATTTTCAAAAGAAAAAAAAAAAAGAAAAGTCCGAGTCTGTAGAATTTAATGTTTTTATTCGTGTAAAAAATTGATATATAAATGAATTATTATATTTTGTAATTGAATTAAAAGATTAAAAGAAAGAAAAAAGATGGAAAAACAAATACAGAAATTGAAAATTAAATTGTTTTAGTACTTTACTAATAATACATAAAACTGGGTAAAATATCTTTATACTTTCCATCATTCACACCCCTTTTCATCTACACTGCCCTCGGGTTACATGAAATATGTCTTCTTTAAGATTTATTTATTTGCTCTAGGTGACTGCAGTTTGTCAAAAAGAAGTGTATATGTTTGGTAAACTAAGGTTAGCTGTTAAGACTAGAAGGCAAAGAGAACAAAAGTAAAAAAAAAAGGGGCAGTACCGCCGCTGCAATCATTATTCTTCTTGCGAGATATACTTAAGATTGTCATAACTTTTTATTCCAAGAATCTTAAAAACATTATTTATCTGTTATTCATTAATAAGACTAGTTAATACATTGTAACGAGTTAAGGAATCATAATATAATGTTTAATTATATTCATACATAAGCCGAAAAGTGGAGACGTGATGTAAACAAGTTTTTTGTTTACGAAAATATTTTATTACTTCCTATCAAAGTATCAAAGAACCTTTTCAACATAGAGAACCTACCTATCGCAAAATAGTTAAAACAATGATTAAACTTATACGTCTTAACATAAATCACCTTCAGACAAAGAGAATTATGAATTATTGATAAATAAACAATAAAAATAGCCAAAACATCTATATATACTTATAATAGTATATATATTTATATACATATATATATATATAACAATATCGTATTTTTGTTATACGGGTTATATATAAACTATCGTATTTAAAAACCGTTGACTTTTTTGAAAAACTAGGTTGCTTAGTAACGCCCATTCAGCCTATAACCAGTTTGTCATTTTGTCTGCTGTGTTTTTGTGTCTGAACGACATTTTAATTATTAGTATAGTGCAGTTTAATATATTCATGTTTATTTATACATATATTAATATGTATATGTATATATTTATAGATATATCTAAATGCAGTCAAGAAACTATCAACAAAACTGTTAAAAGTTATTTACAGTGCAAATAGTAATTAATTTTTCACACGTCGTATATTTTTAGACGTTTTTCATCATTCGTATCGATTTCAGAGAACGCACACACCCGGCTTTCTCAAAGTTTTATCCTTATTTCAAATTTTTCTACTTAATTATCATAATCAATATTGAAGAAGTATTACGAAATATTTCAATATGTTTCTCTTCGCCAATGATAAAAATAGAGGGAGATATTTCCTGTTTTATCTGGTTTTTCTTAGTGGAAAACTAGTTTTTTATTGATTATATATACTTATTCATTTGTCAATTAATCTACCTTTATAAATGACTATTATTTTTCCTTCTTATATTATTTCTATTACAAAATTTCTCACGATATAGGCCAACAGTTTTTCTGTTTATCTAAAATTTTCTCCTATTCAATAGTAAAGTTGTATAGTATACAAGTATAAATAAGGAAAGAAATCACGTAATAAAAAGCAATAATTAGAGCATTGAACGAAACCACCCGCTAAAGTTTGGCCCGGTTTTTATTTTACCGTCCTGTAAACTCGTAAACACGATAATTAGCTAAATTTAAATGGCTAAATACATCTATTCTCCCAATCTCGTATAAAAAAATAATATTGTCTATTTGTATCTTTTTTTTTCATGAATAGACCTATAATTATGATTCATAGAGTTCAACAGTTGGAAATATCAATAGAATAGAACGCATATAGAATAAAAATGGATCATATGATCTTCATTTAGAAATAATTCCATTCTTGTTTGTTATTATTTGAGAAAGAAAACTTTTATGACTATTTCTGACAAGAAAATCTATACGTGTCAAAATAAAAGGAATAATGAAGAAGAAGAATGAAAAAGACGAAATGATTGTTTAATTAGCAATCATTCAGTGTCGATTTACCCCATTTAATACGTTAACATCTCCACTTATCACCCAAAAAAGAAAAGGAACCCTAACCCTTTTACCCCATTTCTTTCTAAAACTTACCCATATGACTGCACGTAAAAGTAGGTCAAACCTGATTTTTTCAAACCGAATGAAAGACGCGTAATTTTAAACCGACAGTCATATAAAACATATAAAAATTCCTGAAACTTTTTACGTAAAAACGTGGAATTTTTATTAAAAAGATAATTATTTTCAATATGTATATATTATATATATTTACTATAGTTTGTTAGAATTTATTATCCTTCATATATTATATATAATTACTAATTTATTACTATTTCTACTTAATTAATATTCAAATAACGTTTTTATGTTGAAATTATATACGATTATTAATAGACTTTCTTAAATAAATGTCTAATTCTGTTTCTTATCATTAATTATTAATCCTATATTTACACTTTTTGAACTCTGAAATTTTCATCTGTCTAATCTATGACGAAATATCATGTATTCCTCTCTCTCTCTGTCTCTCCCTTTCTCTCTCTCTCTCTCTCTCTTTACACGGCAGATGTTAAGTTCGCTAAGATATTTCTTCTATGCTATTTATTTTTGGTCTGTTTACTAACCGAATTCTTTCTATTATAGGCCTAGCTGTGCTATTAAATAGGGAATATTAACAAAATATTGACAAATAAAAATATATTACAATGTCAAAACATATATTATACATAATAAAGAGGAAAAGAGAGAGAAAAATGAGGTCACTCAATAATTAGCATTAATAGCTAAAAGGTTTAGCTTGGTTATCAAGTCAATATGTATTTGAAAAATAACTGTCTAGCCAACATTTATTAGTAATAAAAAAATGTTATATATATATTTATAACTAGAGAAAATCAATATCTCTAAAAAGAAACATGGAAAATGTTAAACTGGTGATTATCCTATCCTACGCTTTCATTTTGTTTTAGAAATTAGTTGTCATAGCAGTTTTCTTTATTATTTCTGAATAACCCTAAAATTAAGCCTACAATACTTATTAATTAGTTGATAAGCTGGTGTATTAATCCTATTTTATTAGTTCGGATTAATTTGTAATGTATAACGTTTGAAGGTATTAGTATCATATTACGGCGGTTTTTTTTTGAATTTAACGCCCTTTTGGTACTGAAAAAGGGGATAGGAGAGAAAAATACTTGGATGAAAAATTGAACGCTCTTTGTAATCGGTCTCATTGATGTATGGATGTGTATTATATAATGAAATCTTTGTGTACAAAATCTTGGCAGGGTGGTAATGTGTCTGGCGTTACTCCTTTCTTATCTAAGAAGATAAGTACTTTTGATATTCCAACGATAATCCGATAGTTTAATAGGATAATTTAAACCATACATCAATTAGGAATGAAAAACGAATCAATGATTTTCGGTCCCTTTGATAAATTTACGAATAATACAAATAATCACTAAACTGTTGTAATAAAGCAATTATAAGAGCGTTTATCTTGTCTAGACAATTGTTATTGTTGTCGTAGATGGTAAAGAGAAAAAAAAAGGTGATATTACGCAATTATTCCAACAGTTACATATAATAGTTTTATGCGTTGAGGCACCTGGCTAAAAAAAATGTCCTACAAAAAGAAAAGTAAAATCATATTTCTTTTATAAAAATTGTTCTATTGAAAACTAAGCCTATGTTTCTTATTATTATTATATCTAAAAGAAACTACTAAACTAATACATTTAATGGCAAAAAGGTAAAGTAGTTATATAAAAATGAAATGAAAGGAAAATTATTTTGTTTAACGTTATATAAGCTTTGCACTAGAACGAACAGACTTTTGCATATGATTGCATAATGCGTAACAAATTTTTAATGTTGGCGTATAGTGATATATAGAAAAGTTATACGTATATAGTGTACATAAATTTTAGAATGCTTTTACTGAGTTTCGCCATTGTAGGGTTATAAATAATGGAGTTAAACCACTTTCAAATTAATGATCCTTTTAATTTTTATAGTATATAAAAGATGTGTGATGTTCCTTTATATTAAGTTGAAATGTATTAAATCAGAGCCAATGAATCAGATGGCGCTGCTGGATGCTAAGAACAGGAAAAAAGGCCGTAAATTATTTCAACTCTATTATAAAAAGTACTGGTGTGAAAGAAAAAAAAGAAGAAAAAAGGGGAAAAGGATGGAGTGAGGTCGGTAAAAAAGGAAAGGAATTTAGATATACAGATAATTTAGAATTGGAGGGCGATGAAATCGCTCTGTTGAACATTTCTTTGTTTATGACTAAGATTGTTTGAAAGGAGAAAAAAGGCTGGTCGGACTCTTTGATCTTAATTGATAATTTTAAGTCGTGTATACTATGAATAACACACCCATGGAATGCTCTCCTTTGATTAGCGTTGAACTTTTCCAGATACTCTTCCCAGCAGGAACAATTGTTCTATTTTTATTTTTCTCTTTTTACCCTTAAATCATTTCTCATATTTCCCATTATTTTCCATAATTCTATTACTAAACCTACAGCAAATGTCACGAGTCACATGATTTTAAATAACTCTTTCGTCATTCTATGGTTCGACAAGTAGGGAAGAAAAAGAAGGGTAAATATTCTTAATCCAATCGGAATAAACGCTCCTTTCTTTAAGCCTAGTGATAACGATGACTCTACTTACTTATCCTATGTTAATTCTTTGAGTCAAAAGGGAATGAAGAGTATGATTCATTAAGAACAATATATTAATTATAAATCGAGTCATAAATAATGCTAATTAAAAGAATAAAATTCTTATGAATATTACGAAACGTTTTAATAAAGAATTCGTCATGAAAAATGTCGCTTATGGGAATCGGAAGAAAAATGAAAATATTATGCTAATTAGATTTTTCTTAAGGATGAAAAATATCTTTTTTTTTGTTGCTGTGCAAAAAATTTTTTTCCCTTTCTTCCTTTTGTTCTTCACTTTTTCCATATAAACATTCTGGAGCTTATTTACATAATTTAAGATAGACTATTTAAATATGGTCGCTCACACAAGTATCGAAGTATTTCTTTAGTACTTTATAAGGATCCTTGTCGGACGGACAAGAAAGAGACGCCTAACCATTTAATTTCCATATGTGTTTCCTGAGTGTATTTCCCTTAATCTTTTATTCTGTATTATACTGTAACACTTTAAAATGATACATATTTGTAGGGATTATGCCCAGCGTATAATTGTTCTATGTATTTGTTCATCTTCATGAATATTTAGGATATATTGGATTTCGAGAATTATAGTTTATTCCGGTTCCAATTACTAGCTTTTTTTGAGTAATTATCTCTTATTTCTTTCAACCCATCAATAACCGATTCTAAGAGCTCAAAATTTTCAGAATATGTAAACAGATGACGGCTATAGACGCTTTTTTTTGTTAAAAAAAATCGGCAGGTGTGTGGCGTTTTATATACCTGGATGTATGGGCTCAGAATGTATGCATGAAATGGATTGTATGTATTGTGAACTTTGTTCACCTCTGTTTCTCAGTAGGACAACAGTCGTTTCGTAATGTAAATTGGTGTAACAACTAAGTGGGAAAGAGGCTTAGTTAATTGGGTCGAGAAGAACTAGCACAGAAAGCAATTATTGTTGACATTCGTAATGAACTCTCGTAAGGGAATAAGGCTTAGCTTATAACTAGAACTCACCTCTAAATAAAAGGAAAGTAAAATAGTTTCTTAAAAATTTTTAGGGACATCGATAAATTCAATTCACGAACCCCTTTTGGATTCACTACTAGATCAAATAGATTATTTTCGGCAAACTGTTGTGTCGGCGGAAATATCGATGCTATGTAGAGAAAATAGGATATGCGGGAGGTCAACCAATGGGGAACGCTAGGGTAGGTGAAAGTGCTTGGTGTACTATTAATTTTTCTTTGGGAGCGAACGAAGGCATGAAAGGGGTTAGCCTAATCAACCATCGATTCAGATTAAACCTCGTTAAACCAATAGATGGCGTTGCATATCAACTATTAGCGGGATAGCGTTATAATTGAATGGGAGGACGAGACTATTGCTATTAAAGAACCTTTGAAACTTTCTTTTAATGGTTAATGATAATTATCCGTTAGGGTGGGTGATTTCCGTCCCATAGATTATTTTTTGCCCCTAGCCCGTCTCTACAGTCACCATTGTCACCTCTGACGTTTTGACACTTCCTTGTTATCATATTGATTCGTTTATATATATATATATATCTTGCATTCGTTGTAGAAATGTAGAAATATTAGCAGGGCAAGAGACGCTTCATTTAAAAGATAACAGTAATAAATAAAGAAAAAAAACTGTTGACTAATTACTTTCACCACCATCATTTGCTATTTCGTAACATTCAAATTATGTTAATTAATCAAGGTCAGCTCTTTTAAAAGAAAGGTAATAAATAAAATAAACTGCTTACAAATAGCATTTTGATCAATCGTTGCCTCCAATTCATCAGTCTAGCTACCTTACATAATCGAGCGTCCTACTGAATATATGAAAGCAATCAGCGGGTATTATTATTAATGAGGTAAGAGGGACCGTAATAAACTATTGAAAAAGGGGTTATAAATAAAATATAAAATGAATAATGCGACGGATGAGAATTATTCATATAACTAGGTTAGTTAAGATGATTTATTTAATCAAGATCTTCTATTTTATGTAATATTATAACGTTATATTTTTCATAAACAGTATACAAGATTTAGTAAGAACGTCTTTTTCCGAAGCATCTAAGACGTTTCTTTTCTAATCTTTATCATTTCTTCGACGTCCTACGCATGATTTAAAATGAAGAAAATAAGACGAAAATAGTACCAATAGTATTAGCTGTAGTAGTAAGCAGTAGTAGTAATAGTAATAGTAACGGAAAGTTTTGTCTAAAGCATATCATATAGATATTTCTTTTAGTTATCAAAGAGTAAATTATGTAATTTTTATCTCATCAGAAATTCCATTATTATTACAATTATGTCAAGTGTTGGAATATTGGACTTTTGTCCAGTCATTTTGTTATTATTATGCTATTTCAGGCATTATTTAAAACATCAAATACTATAAACTTTTATATTTTAAAAGTGTTTCTGTATTGTTAGTTTGAGGAATTTTTTCCCTTTTTTTTGGTATTTATCTAATCATATTCTACGCGTTTTTTTTTTATAAAAAAATGCTTATAAGATATATTTTTTATTACTTTCTCTTTATCGATCAATTCCTATTCTCTTTCTCACTCTCTCTCTCTCTCTCTTGCTTTTTATTTATGTTTATTTTTTTTGTACTTTTTCTCATTTTTTTGAATATCAGACAAATTCCAATTTAGTATCTTTATCTACTCCGAATTTTTCTTTATAGTCTTCGAAAATTCTCGTTAATCCATCCATATACTGCTGGTGCACTTCGTTAATTCTTTCTTTTGTTGGATTCGGTTCCTTTTCCAGATATATTGGCTTCCCCACTGTAGAGATAAATAAAGAAAATTATTGGTTGTTTAGAGTAGAGGGAGGAACTGAATGAAAAGTAAAGAGAATGTTAATTGATTAGAAACTCACCAACTGTCCGAACAGGTTTACGATGTGGAACAAAACCGAAAGTATAATTGAAGACTCCCCGACCGTAGAAGAATGCTGGTGCTATACCACTTAGTTTTTTAAAAAGGATTTGAAATTTACGGAGGCGAGAACCATGGGGATTCGGGGCCTGGTTAAATAGGTCATTCTCACCAAAAGAGTAGATTGGAACGAGGGACGCCCTGCCGGGGGAAAAAGATAATGTAAGATTATTTCTACAGCCGTAAGCACGCCGTAAGCGTTTAGGAAAGAACTCCATCGTCTTCTGCTCGACAGATTTTTTCTATTATGTTTGTATACGGTCTCGTTCGCTTTTATACGTTTTTTATACGCTATAAGAGATGAAAGAGACGGGAGAGAAGGATGGATAGAAAAGTTATACCCCTGTTGCAAAGCCAGTTTGACAAAACCTTTCCTGTTCTTCAATGTCAGAATGTAATTATTTGGTCGTGCGTCAAGTGCCTCTTGCGCTCCTCCTACGACTATAATCGCGGCTTGTCCTTGACCTTTTTTAGTCAATATCCATTTTATACTTTCCTTACTCACGTCACAGATGCCCAACCACATAATGTAGCCACGGACTATCGGCCAATTGAAATTACTTATCAGAGTCAAAATATGAGGGGTTATTCCAGGGAACACTTTAGACACATTATTAGCCTCTGTGGCAAAATTACAGAATGCTCCGCATCCAAGAATTCCATGCGGATGAGAGCCCATAATATAATTTCTAGATGGATCTAAATCAGCAGTCTTAATCAATGTTATCGGAAAATAGTCTCGAAAATATTTCCAAATTTTTAGATGCCTAAAGTATTCTATCCGCCGTCCTCCCCTGGAAGACGTTTTACATATAGCAATATCGTAGACCATCCAAGCCAAATATGCAGGCACGATCCACCAAATGATTGTCATTAAGAGGTAGTAAGCTAGAAATAGACTTAAAAATGGTACAAAGATTAGACCTAATGGGTAGTGCATAACGGCGGCCGTTTGGAGTCGTCTCTTGAGGGGTAGACCAAAAATCGGAGCCCATTTTATTCCTAGTTTACTCGTCATTTCTGAACTTTGATTTGTATATAATATTGAGCTTAAACTCCTTATCTATCTAATTGTCTGCTTTATCGACGTACGAAATTTTGACGAGTACTTGGAATGATGTCTGGACTTTAGGCCTAGAGGATAAGTACAGACGTTCTATTAGATAAGAGACTGGAATTGAATGGAAATGAATTAAACGGACTGGAAGGGACTGAGAAAATCAGATTGTGTTATATTTTGTTAATTCGGTGTTGGAGAGTAAACTTAATAAACTAATTAGGGAAAACACGACAAGATCAGACTTTCTTATCCTTTTCCTTTCACGTTTCTCTATAAATAAGGTTGACAGCCCATTCCAACTTGTTTAGCAATACTGAAAACAAAGAGATTTTCTATCATTTTATTCAAGAAAAGATAGAAATAAAAAGTTGAAAAAAATGAAATTTCTTGTCTCTGCCTTTTACTTTCTCTCTCTCCCTCTCTCTCTCTCTCTCTCTCTCTCTCTCTCTCTCTTCTTTCTCTGTAAATGCAGAATGTACAGCATATATACATGTATATGCTCATTTATTAGTAGGATAGTAAATTGATAAGATATATGTAATAAAAACAGCTATTCTCTTAAAATATGACTAAGAAATGCCAATTTCTGTAAAAGATATAAGTCATTTGATCTTGTATTTAATCACTTAAGATAGTTTTGTACTAAAAAAGAAACTCTTACTTAAGTATATATAGCCTACTTCCTTTTTACTAATATGTGTTAATGTTTTGTAATAAGCCTATTTTCGTATTATTATTAGTTTTTTATTATTAAATAAGCTACCATAATCAAGGAGATAAAAACAAAAGAAACACTCTATACTATCTATACTGTATTTGAAATTTGTATTATACCTATAACTCTTTATTAGCTTTGGAAAAGGGAATCTTTTTATTTGTATTAGGCTTAGAAAAGAAGACAATATAGAGTAATAATCATTTAGTCTAAAAGATATAGTTATTGTTTATTATACTTTATTCATATTGTATAAATATCTGTAGGATCTTACCAGTTTATCTGACTATTTTTTTATTACTCTTATAGTATCTTTCATATCGTGAATAGTTTGAAATGTAATTTTTTTCTATAAACAATTAATCGTTTCTTTATATGATCTAAAAGTAAAACATTCCGATTGGTTGAGTTGTTCAATCAGACTGATCGAATAAATGGAATATGTAACTTTTTCAATAGCTCCATCATCAATAACAGGTTGTCATGACCCTTTTCCCTGTCTTAGAATTCTCCTTTCTTTCTCTCTCTCTTCAGATCTTTATTACATATCCTACTTAGTTCTTTAGCTGACTCAGAGTCAAGAAACTGAGACAGAAATGTATTTTTTATGATTTATGGAAAGCATCTTATACTTAAGTACTTATTAATATTTAGAGAGAGTCCTTGAAAAATAAGAAAATTCTTGCTATACATTTTTAATAATCACTCTGTCCAATGGTATTGATATTTAAAGTAGTGTAGGTCTATATTTTGGGATATTTGCAAAAATAAAAGAAAGTTAAAAGTAACTTTTAATAAAAGAAAATGGTACTACAACAAAAAAAAGGCATAAAAGAACTCAATAGATAGTTTTATCTGATTACTAACGGAAGATTATGTAATAATTATTTCGTATTGATTTTAGAGCTGTGTTTTCAGTGTTTCTGTTTTCAAAGGCAGAATTTAAAAATAGAGGAGAAAAAAAGACTTAATGAAAAAAAGAAAAGAAACAAAGAATATATAGTATAGGAATATTTTCTTCTTCTTTCGTATACAATATAAATAGTGAAAGTGCATTTAGTAAAAAGCAAATGAACGCAATTTGTCAAATAGTTTTCTTTTTTTTGTATATCTTGAAGCAATTTTTCGGAAAAATAACGCAAAATCTAAATACACAGTAATAAGCTTATTATCATTTTTTTGTTGTTTTTTTTGTTTTTTTTTTTTTTTTGCATATTAGTCTCTTCTAGCAATGCATAAACTGGGAAAGTTTGAAAGTTCTCAAAAAGGAAAAAAAACAAAAAAAATCAATAATTATTAGAAAACGAAACTGAAGAATAGGAGTGTTTTTTTAATGTGTTTTTTAATTATTTCATTTTTCATTCTTTTTTTAAATGTTCTTCTTTAAAGTACTTTTTCTTTTTTGGCATAAAAGTTTCTCTACAGAAAATTTTTCCTTTTTTATTCCTTCATTTTCTATTGATGAAAGTGAAGGAAGAAAATTGGTTGAGCGTTTTTAAGCGACAGCAGAACTTTGAGCTTTCAGTTCTACTGGTTCACTTTCCTCCTCCTCTTCGGCTATATCTACTATAATATGCGTTTCTCTCTGCGCTTTCTTCCTAGCTACAAAGTTCTGCCATGTTCTCTGAATAATTCTAGCGCAGACCATTTCTCTTTGTCTCTTCAACATTGATGATGTAGGCTTATAGTTTGGTCTATCATTTACGGCTTTAACTTCACCCATCTCCCCTTCGTCTATGGTTCCGAGGAAGTTTTTAGTGAGTGCGTCTAGAATATCGACACAATGAACTAGTTCGTCTTCACATATTGGAATATTAAGTTGGACGAGTTTAAAATGATTTGGTAGTGGTATACGAAGGGGTTCTTCTAGTGTATCAACAAATTCGTGCAATTTTGTATAAGGTATATATTGAGTCGCCTCCTCGTCAAACTTTTCCCAAATTTCGTAATACATATCAAAGTCATCTTGTGTAAGTCCTTGCTGAACATCCTCCGTAGCTTGGCTAAAGTTTTCGAGGATCACAGCAATAAACATATTCATAACGATGAGGAAGCTGACTACTAAGTAACTGACAATAAAAAAAGTAGCCAAAGCCGCATTACCGCAATTACCATTCGGTAATTCTTTTGTTGGGACGGGATTGCAATCTACCTCATTCATTAAGCCTGCTAAAACACCATCCCATCCAGCACTAGTTGATACCTTTAGAAGTAAAAGTTTTTCATTAATACAACTTATCTATTTACAGTATTTTATAAAGATGCTTTTTACCTGGAATAGCACAATGATCGATTGAAAGAATGTTTCAAAGTTGAACATGTCGTCTATTCCATGTGTATGTTTAACATGCATAAAGAATGACATTCCGAATATGGCATAGATGAACATGACTAGAAAGAGTAGCAATCCGATATTGAACAAGGCGGGCATTGACACGGCCAGACTGAACAACAACGTTCGGATCCCTTTTGCAGATTTGACTAGCCTTAGCACCCTACCCACACGGAAAACTCGGACTACTCTTAAAAGTGTTGGCGAGACAAAGTAACTAGATATTATATCCTTCATTGTCAGACCGAGAATCGAGAAGACAACGACGACAAAATCGAATACATTCCAAGGTTGTTTAAAATAGTACCAACGTAATCCTATGATTTTCATGACGGCTTCCAATGTAAAAACGACAATGAATAGTAGATTAATTTGGCTAAGGGCTGTTTCAACAGCTTTACTCTGTCCATAATGTTCTAAACCCATTGCAACCATGTTTAACATAATGACAATCATAATACCAATATCAAACTTTTGGTTTGTCGTTAATTTGAAGAAAAATAAGGCTAATTTGAGCTATTTAAGAAGAAAACAACAATATTAATTGTATGACAGTTTTGCCAAATGTTTAGATTTTCTCCTCTCACCTTTGGTTTTGGAATAGGCTTTTGAGGGGCCTTCGAACCCAGTTTTTTCATGGCGTTGTAATATTTCTTCTGATCTTCCGTCATAAACATCTCTAAGCTACCTCCCGCCTTAATTTTTTTTATCAGATAGTGAATAGGTTGGAAAATAGGTTGAAAATGAAAACTTACTTTCTTCTTTTGCATGTTGAAATTGTCTATTATAACACCAATGAATAAATTAAGAGTAAAGAAGGCACCAAAAATGATGAATAAGACGAAATAGAAGTGCATATAGACTCTCTCTTCGAACTTGGGTTGTAGACCTTTCTGTTAAAACCATTTGGGAAAAAAATGGAACAAAGAAAAGAGAACATTAATAAAACCTCATTATGAAAGTAGTATATTTAAATAAGAAACTGGGCCGATAACTGATGCATAACCATGAGAGAGGATAGAGAGAACGTAGTCAAAAGTAAAACAAGGGAAAATCATAAAAAAATATAAGAACAAATGAAATAATAATATATAGGTATAAGACAATCCAAACAGATATGTAACAGAAAGCTAAGACCAATAAAAAAAAGATGAAAAGGGAAAAGAAAAACGGGTCAGCACCTCTCGGCTATCCGTTGCGTCTGCCATAATATCCATCCAACCTTTAAAAGTCGCCTGCAAAAGAAAAAAGGAAGAGTGATTGGAAAACGATGAGGAAAAAGACGGGCTGTTATAGTGATTTTTTTTATTCATAATACAGCGTGATAAAGCGGAAAAATATAAAAGCAGATTACAAAGTACTTTGAAAGAGTAAAATCGAAAGTTCGTTTTAGCAAGATTGAAGACCCAATTATGTCTTTTCTACCCTTAAAAACTCCTTTATTTAACCTATGGATTTTATGCATAAATATATAACGCAAAGCCAGGATTCCATCCCAAGCTCTCTTTTATAAATATAGCTCAGTTGTCCAAAGAAACACGGTAAAGAAATGATGAAAAACTGGGAGAAAGATTTAGATAAGTGTAAAAAAAAAGCAACCTCGATGAATGACGAATGTATTACAATTATATATCTAATGTATTATTTTACATATAAAATAGATTTAGTTAATTTTAAGGAAGTTTAATACTGAATTTATTTACATATTGCATAACATCTTACTTTTAGAACTTTCGACATTTTCTTTTAAAATGTAAAATAAGTTGTTGATTTTTTGAAATAAAGGATTAACTTTTGTGTTCGTTTTATATAGTAAACAGTATAAAAACATTAAAAAAGGGAAATTCTTTGATAGCTTGAGTGATGAACGCATAAAGCGGAAAAAGTTGCTTTAATATATAACTAAGAAAGATATAGTTAAGTGATATTTGACAAATTAAAAATAATAAATACTTGAAATGAAGATAGATAGATTGACAGAGACAGAGACAGAGAGAAAGATATATATATATATATATATATGTATATATATACTAATATATATATATATATATATATATAGAAATATATATATTTATACATTATAAAAAGATAAAATGTTTCCGCTCTTTCACCTTAGCACCACTATCTACGGCGTCGTGCATAATTTGTAGCCATCCTTTAAATGTAGCCTGGTATGACAAGCCGATTGTTTGACATGTTTGTTCATTTTGCTTTTATTGATTTTATTTAATTTTTAAAAAAGAGGATAAAGTAAAGGTGTAAATAGGAAAGGATAGGATGATTGGACTTGCTGAGGACTGTTGTTGTAATTTTAAGAAATTAATAAAAGGTATTTAAAAATAATATCTGAGAAAAAGCAGGACTGAGTGATGAAGTGGAAGAGGAGGATGAAGGCAAGAGGAAGAAAGATACAGATTCTTTTTTAAATGGGAAAATGATATTATTAAGATGAGTGATTTTTAGTAGGGATGAGTGATTGAGATTATATTTATTAATATACAGTATATATCTAAATAATAACTTACCAGTTGGAGAAGTGCCAGAAGGCTCATTAGGACGTTATCAAAATGAATTCGAGAATTTTTCCATGTGTAGTTATAACCTGCTTTTGATAAATTCATGCAAGTAGCATAATCGGGAACATGGCTGGTGTTCAAACGTTCGTCCTTTTCATTTACGCATTTGTAAAATCTACCACTAAATAATTGAACGCCCATAATTGCAAATATCAACCAAAAGACAAAGCAGACCAATAATACGTTAAAAATGGATGGTATAGCTTGAATTAAAGCATTCACGACCACCTTCATAGATTCCCATCTGGAGACGGCTCGTAGAGGTCTGAGAGCCCTCAGCGTTCTTAACGCTCTAAACGCTGATATATTACCTAATCCTGATTCCTCAGCGGCTAAACTAACTAAGGATATGGCGACGATTATAAAATCCAACCAGCACCAAGCGTCTGTAAAATATTTCTTAAAACCATAGGCGGCCCATTTAACAAGCATTTCAAAAGCAAAGATTACGGTGAAGACCTTATCCATATATTTTAAAGCCAATCTTAAAGTTTGTCTTTGTGGTAGATGTACGTCCTCAATAGCCAAAGTTAAAGAAGAGATGACGATCATGACGATGATGAAAGTTTCAAAGTATTTGTGTTCTACCAATTGATAAGTATAACACCGAAAAGACCACCATTTTTTCCCCAGTGGCGTTTCGTTAAGACTTGTACAGCATGCAGATTTACAGAGGAAGCTTTGGAAAGAAATATAGATTTGTTATTAATCGTTTTTGCTATATTTGGTTTCGCTGATTTACCTTTGCATACAACACTTTGGGCAGCACTCATCCGGATATCTGACGAAAATAACGTTAACTTCGTTAATTTCCGGTTGTTCGTTAGGATCAATGGGCCCCTTTTGCAATTGGGAATCCTGAGAACCTAGTGAATATGTCGAAGTAGCGCCTCCTATTGACTGCGAGAAGGACGGATAGGTTCGTGTCTCATAGGAGTCGACCGATTTGGAAGCAGATGTTGATGAGACCACAGAAGCTTTGCTTTCCTTCTCCTTTAAGGAATTCCTTTCTTCATCCTCCTCTCTTTCATCTAACGAATCAATTAGATGATAATTAACCTCCTTTAAGTACTAAATTATAAATATTATTTATCCGGATAATATTTAATTTATAAGGGATAAGATATCTAGAAAACTATCGTAACACTCTATCTAATTGATTGAATATTCATTATCGTAAAAGTCAAAGGGTTGATTCGATAATTCAATACTTAATACCAAATCAAATTTGGATGCTAAACAAATCAACTTATAACGACTTTTCATGCAATAAATAAATAAATAAATAAACCAACAAAACTGCAAAAACAAGAAAAGAAAACGAAAAAATCAGGTCTATATAATTCTTCATTTCAACTGCAAATTTGTACAAAATTCAACAAAATCAAATGTTTTTTTCTATAACAATTAAAAATAAAATTTAATAAGACAAAGAGAAGAGAAAATAAATATTTATTAAAGAAAAAAGGATAAGACTATTCCTCACTAGATGGCATTGATTTGAAATCTTTATTACACTTGCACTATGCTATATATGAGATGGCTAGTGCATAAAGAAAAGAGATTGAAAATGGTCGAAAAAAGGGCAAAAAAAATCAATGTGCTGCTCCACAACTGGTAACATGATTTCTTTGACGAAAGTCATATTCAAAGATGTTGAAAATTTACACTGGAATCATCTATGAAAAATCCCATGCTCAAATAAAAGATATAAAATCTGATATAGAGAGGATAACATTAAATACCATTAATTATAAAAGCAATCGACTATCAAGCTGATACTAGGTACAAATAGAAACACTATATTTACTATACTAGACATTTCTCTGTACAAGTATGACCTGAATGGTGTTTCTTGTATAAATTAACATACCGTGAGCTAAAATTGGTACATATCCAACTTTCGACCCTTTTACGAGTCTTACTTGCTGACCATCTTGAAGAAAAAAACACAAAAGGAAAAATGGTTTAAATTCTCTAGTTATAGCTAATTTCATGTTCGTTAATACTACAAAAAGAACGATATTAGAAAATAACGTGACGGAGATGAAATCTTCAGCCGACTATCTAAATACGGATATGTTTTCTTAATTCTCATAATGTTGTTGTGTCTTATATACAGATATTCAATGAAATCATAATAAATTTTAAATAAGAGGAAAAGAATAGGGGGAAGGAGAACAAAGAATGGAAGGCAGCCAGAATGGAAATAAGATAAAAAGAAATATATAAATGAGTAGGAGAGGTGGGGAGGGGGACAGAGAGAGAGAAAGAGAGAGAGAGAGAGAGAGAGAGAGAGAGTAGTAAAGCGTGGTGAAAAAAAAGATACAAAATAAAGATAGATTGAAAGATAATAGAAGAATATGCTTTAATTTACTTCCAGTCTTTTTGACACGAAAGACATATAACATTTCAAATTATCTAAGTAACGGTATACTTGTATTCTTGCGTACCAGAAAATATGAAATTATTAAGTATGTATATAGTAGCTATGTACTGTTTATAGTGCAATCAAGTATATATGCATATATATTGTATATGTGTAAATATGGCTAGGATTGTATGTATCCGATTTTCAGATCAAATAAAATAAAAATTTAGAAATTACGTTAAAAGCAGAGATAGAAGTAATTATGGCTCTTTCTGCGTATCAATAAAACAATACAGTGTAAATTCTTTAGGATAGTTGTTGTTATTAGTTAACTTATAAGAGAGTACTCTTAAAAGATTAACAATACATTTCTCTTTTTCCAGTCTCTTTCTCTCTTTCTTTTTCCTTCCTTAGTACAATAGTTTCTTTTTCTATTTGCCTCTCTCACTATACTCTTTCTATTCTATTATACATTATTCTAAATAGTGCTCATTTTGTAGGAGGTATTAAGATGTATAGAGAATGTGTATAGTATGTAGACAATGTCTATTCTAATATTTGTATTTTCTAAGCTTAATGTTATTTGCTCTCCATTTAAAAGTCTTAAAAAATAAAAAATGATAAATTGTAAAGAGATAGATTAAACTTAATTAATGAGATGATGTTGCATCAATATTGGTAATGAAACTACCAACTGACAACTAGACTTTTATAGACAAAAAGAAAACGGATTTTCTCATTGCATTGGCTCTATCGGTTAACCGAATCGTATTGATTAATTAATAGCCATAAATAAAATAAACAAATAAACATAATTGAATGTAAATATGTGTACAGTGTTTTGTATATAAATTTGATATTATTAGTATATAACCAACCTTTTCCTCCGTAAACGTTCTCTTCCTCTTCCTCCGAACTTTGTGGATCGCATACACGTCCGTTTCGTAGTGGTGGAACATTAATAGTACTTTTAAGATCCACTTTCACTAAACCTCCATCTGATTGCTTCATCCTAACTTTAAAGCAATAAAGCATGTGACTCTTGACGAATATAGCGAATCGATTTATTCTATCGACAGCCTCCTACAAGCACGATTTCCCATTTTCGATCATATTCAATATTTATTCAATTTATGTGTATTAGTTTTTAAGAGGCAAATAGAAAGGTAAACGGGAGCTTCGTTAAGGAATTCCCTTATGATATTTACAATATCAGAAGGTACTTTTTTTAGTATGGTTTGGGAATTTAATTACAAGATAAAACAATTCCGTAGTGTTAACCTTATTAATTTTTTACAGAATTATTTCCAAAATATAACCAAAATGCTCCCTAAAATATTGTACTTAAAAGGAATGGTTTGCATTGTTTTAACTTCTTTTCGAAATGAAGTTATATTAGCTTTTGCCTAATAATTAAAATATAAGAAATATATTTAATCGAGGGGGAATCGTGCCTGCAATTTATTCGGTTCGGAATTATCTTGGGATTGTTGTAGACTCTCTGCTCCGAAGCTGGACAGCATCAAGGCCAAGAAAAGATTAAGAACAACCAAATTGGCTATTATCATAGTTAGTAGGAAGAAAGGAACGCAGACGTAGCCGGCGACTACCATACAGTCCCACATTGATTCTATCCATTCACCACACAGTACACGGAAGACAATCATAAACGAATGAAGAGAATCGATAAAATTCCAACGGGGCATTACGCAACCTCGAAATTTGCATTTTTCAACACCCTCTAGCTGGTAATTATGACCGAATAGTTGCATACCCATAACAGCAAAAATAAAGATGATAATTATCAGAACGAAAGTCAAGTTGCCAAGAGCTCCTAATGTTCTCCCTATAATACCAATGAGAAGATTTAAAGTTGGCCATGATTTGGCTAGTTTAAACACTCTCAGCTGTTTTAGGGAGAAAAAAGAATTAAAATTAAAGATAAATTGTAGATCATAAAGAGGAAAAGGAAATAGAAGGAAGAGAAATAGATATAGATAATTCCTGAAGGCCTTACTCTAGATAAATTATTTTAAGATGCTCATTGCCTGGGGTGTACCCAGGGAATGTATCGTATATAAGGCATTTTGCGATATTAATGAGCTGTACTTTCTAAAAAAAAGTAGCTACCACTCTTTCACTATTTTCTTTTATACAAATCCCCATTCTCCCACTTTCCCTTTTTTTCTTTACCCTAACTCTGGGGACTTTTACTTGTCTAAATACTTTTTTATTAAATTTTTTCTTTCTCTAAATTTATGCTTACCAATCTAAAACTCCTTAATATGGACAAACCCTTCACGTTCGCCAAACCTAGTTCAATCAAACTTAGGATGACAATAATTATATCGAAGCAATTCCATCGATCCTTCAAATAATTAATTGGGCTGAGGGCTATCAGTTTAAGAATTGCTTCAGCCGTAAAAATGGCCGTAAATATATAATTTCCGTTATTTAAAGTAATCTCCAAGCTCGAACTCATACCGTGTTGATCTAGAGCCATGAAAAATGTATTAGCTAGTATGCACAGTGTGATAAAGAGATCGACGAAGGCATCCATTATGAACCATTCTACGTAAGTAGTGAATTTATTCCAACAGGGGCAACATTGCCATCCGCCCACTAATCGTCTGGCTTTCAATTTGAAGAATTCCACTTTAGACATGCTGCCCATGTCGCTCAGGAAACCTGAAAGGTCCAAAGCTGAAACGTGTTGGGAATATTTATCTATCCCATTGGCCCTCTTTTATTTTCCATCCTAACTCCTTTCCCACCTCTTTTTTTAATCAATGAGGAAAAGTTAATGAAGCCTTTTAACAATTAAATATCGCCTTACAACAAGTTACGCCCCTTTATCTTTTCCTCCCACGCCTTTTTCTACCTCTTATCACCAAACTTACTTTGCCTTTTACCCGAAGCGTGATCTATCAAATCTTTCAGCACCATCACATCTGAAACATGCCGAAAAAATGGTGATAGAAGAGAGATTGAATGGTGTAAGTGAGAACGAAACAAAACACCAAATAAAAAGGATAAACAAATAATATTTCATTAATAGTTTAAATATTAATCATCTAAACATAGTCAAAGCACCTATGCAATTGAAGAGTATAAAGACGCTATCAAAACTTTAACGATATGTTAGATGTCATCAATAATAAAATAGTAATGAAGAGATTCAAAGTGAGAGAATGATTTAGGAATAAAATGATAAATTAACTTTGAAAGCAAAAAAGTAAGATGGTAAACCTTTCATGTCGACCATTGTAGTGCTAGGGGTTCTGCAGATGAATGGGTTATCGGCGAATAATTTTCCTTTTTCGTGGTCTCTCCCGATAGGTGTTGCTTCTTCTCCACTAGAAGAATCATTTTCGTCAGATTTTGTTCTGTCAACTACTACTTGAGGTAATAAAGGTTGAGTCTTCCTCGATTGAGGAGTACCGAATTGGAAATGAGTTGGCTCTTTTTGTCTCTTAAAGTGCGCGAAAGATGCTAAATCATTATAGTCAGGACCCCTAATACCATGGGTTGAAGCTTTACTTGAGGTAGTAGATGATAATCTTCTTCGTAAGTCTAAGTCTGATGTTGGTGTTGCTGCATTTGAATCGTCTACATAAGGTAAATTAAGGTTATCCAAATATGGCAAGATGTATGGTTGTTTGTCGGCGTTAACGGCCATAAGGGCGGGACGACTTCCTGCAGGACCCACTGGAAAAAAGACATCACTCAAACTCAAATTTTATACATTTTATTAATCTGTAGAAAATTTTAAGATTCAATAAACAGCTGACAAGGGAATTGAAAGGGATTTTGGAATTATCTCAAAGCAACGCTTTGACGCTTTCTGGAGCTCTCTGGACAGTTTTGGACGCTTACGATAAAACAAGCTTAGGACTTAGAAGAAAATTCTGTTGCCCTAGTAATTTTATTTTTTAAAACAATTTACTAACCCATTGGGCGCGATCTCCTCCAGAGTAAAGTCTGGCTTCCGGTTCTGGTGGGTCGACGTACGGCTAACGATGGTGAACCTGGTAGACTGAGACTGGCATGAACTTTTTTCCCCTTTGCATTGATAATAGAAAAGCGACGGGCGGATGCAGGACATTCGGATTTTATAGAAATACGCTCTTTTTCGTCGAGAGCAGAAGCTAAAGCGGAAGCTCTTCTGTACATACTATCCTGTGAATCAGCTGAAGGGCTTTTCTTCTGAGCGTGCTGTTCGGCTAGTAGTGCCAATTGTCGGGCTTCTTCTTCTGCAAGCAAAGCTTCCTCCTCTTCTTCTTCCTCTGCTTCTTTGTCCTAAAAGAAAACTCATAGATGAAGGAATGCTTTCTCAATAATTATACTCTTTTTCTTAGACATACCACTCTATGCATGGCAGATAAATACTGTTACTCTATTGCTGTTTTTGTTTAACGTTGTGCAAAGATTATTACTTAATGGAATCGACACGAAATTAGAACTAATTATAATACACTCGTTGGCAAAGGTCTATTTCTTTTTTCAATTAACTTACATTTTGATCTTTTAAATAAATCATCTTATACTCTCTTTTCTTCCAAGAAAACATCACTAAAAGCACATTAAAGACGAAGAAAAAAAGACAATTTAGCCATGATCTATTATTCTTTTAACTTCACTTCAAAACTAACAATTCTTTTAAATTTTCCATATGTTTTTGAGTGAACATTTAAATAGTTTAATAATGTCTCTCTAAAGATATTTTATGAGCGTCTAATAATCTCTATTATTTTAGAGGACGTCTAAGAGCAAAATTGAGCTTTGGATAGGAGGATTGTGAAGATGAGAATAAACATAGAAACATTTTCGAATATCTGACAGAATTTCCTAAATAACATTGTCATGATGTCTTTCTAATAGGAAATTCTCTATATTTTTGTATACGTGGAGAAAATTGTATAGAGAGCGACGAGAATTGACTGTATAGAATATGACCGAGAAAATGGACAAAAAATTTACTGTGAATTTTTCTATCTGCATAGAAATGTCGATGTTCATATTCTCTTTAGATACAATACTTTTTTCTATTTGTTTGAAACTAAGAGGTAGTTAGGAACAGACGAGTAAGCAGAAATGTTTGAATGGAAGCCAAGGGTTTAAGCAGACTGAACTGTTTAAAAATATTACCTGCTTCTGCTGTTCATCGTAAGACATGGCGACGATAGCTAAAATCAGGTTAACGAGGTAGTAGCTCCCAAGAAAGATGACTAGAACGAAGAACAACATATGCCATAGTCCATTCGCTCTGATAATCAATTGATAAAGATTCTCCCAGTAGTCCTGGGTCATTAGCCGGAAGGCGCAAAGCATAGCCCAAGCCATATTATCGAAACTAGTAAATCCGTAATTGGGATTTTCTCCGGTTATTACGCAAGTATAATTTTCAGGACAAAGTCTGTATGAATGTAGAAAGTAAAAGTATCAATGAAAATCAATTTTTCGCAGAATTTTTTAATCTTAATGTATTCCGCTCATGCGTTTAGAGAAAAATAAAACTCATTTACGTCTGTCAAAACGCAAATCAACCTTAATAGATCAAAAAATTGATAAATATATATATATATATATATATATATATATATATATACAGTATATATATATATATATATATACAGTAGTATATACTTTAAACTAGAAAATATATCAATATGCATAAATGAATATGTTCCGATGACGTGAAGATTAAAAAAAAACCGGAAACAGTTAGTGATTACTGAGAGTGATTAGTCTGCTTCTCGGAGTAATATCAAGATAATTAGGAATATGTAATCTCAAAAAAGAATTTTTTCTTTAACTTTTAGTATACTAATGATATACTGTATATATATATATATGTAGATAATTGTCAAATCGGAAGATATCTGTTTATATTATGTCAAGATTAATAATTGGAATAATTTAGGAAACATATAAAAAAGGAAAGACACATGTAAATACACTAATCAATTAGTAATGTAAATATATATGCTGTATCTAAATTATTCCGATTTTTTTTGTCTATATGTTAAAATAAAGAAAAAAGATGTATACTATATATATACATACAATCGTATATATATATATATATATATATATATATATATATAAAGGTATACATTTACACATATGTAAAAATATTTAAAGTTAGTTAATCATAACATTTAGCATTCGGGAGGTAACAGAAAGAAATAATAGGAAAAGGTGCCAAAAACCTCATTTTATGCATATCTTAATTAAATATTGTTAATGATAATAATTATTGTTTAATATTATAAAATATTTTGAGATTCTTGTTCTTATTATATTAAAAAAGGATATAAATATATCAAAATATAAATTAAGAGAGATATATAGCAAAACAAGAAGTAGAAATTATATACAATTTTAATAAATGAAAGAGAAATTATGATTAAAATGATAGAAAGATAGAAAGAAAGAATTGAAAAAAAATGTATAAAAGAAAAAAAAAGTTATAATTTCTTTATTCTTTTTCTTATAAAAAAAAAAGAAAGATTAAAGAAAAGTAAAGATTAAGCGTTCGATCCTTTTAAACGAACATTGATGAACAAAAATCAAAAAACAGAAAGATACTTTTTTTTTTGTTTGTTAATTTTTTTTTTAAAGGTATTTTTTTAAGTTCATCCTTACCCGCCTCCGCATAATTTAGGAGAACCGTCCTCGTAATACCAACGAGCTGAAAATGGTGTGAAGGTTAAGGTCAAGGTAAGGGGACCCTCGCCACTAAGGTCAATTCTAAAGAGAGTTGAAATGTTTTTTTTTTTTTTTCATTTTTTCTTTTGTGATTACATTCTTTTCTTTTTTTTTATATATAGTTACAATGTTAAAAGTGGTTCGGTATCATTTAATTATCAAGTTGCAAATTCTACTGGTTTTTACCTACATTTTTGGAATTTGGAATGGTTAAAGCTGTTCACATAAAGACAGTTTGAATAAAGAGTATTATTTTATATAAAAACTACATGTTATACATTTATAATTGAAAATTTTTCAACTGAAAAGATCCTAGAATTATTCATCTGTTAAATTTTATAAATAAAGGTCGAACGGTCGACAACTGTACAAAATGTCCAACTCTTTCTTTTTTTTGTTTTAGATAAAAACAGTTTAATAACGGTTTAGGGCAATATTAAGTAATATTTAGGGTTTATAGTTGGAGGGGGAGTTGCTCAGTTCCATGAATTTTATATGTGGTAAAAATAGGCATGAAATATGGTTCACTTTATGAGAGATACTAAAATAAAAAACCTTCAATAAGCAATCAACGTTCGGAGATAAGGATCAAGTAAAGATACAATCAAACTGTCTTTATATGCAAAGCTTTTTTTCGGTAAGAATCGTGTCCTTTCTAAAGAAGTTTGTGAAAGATTTTGTCGTTCCTATGGAAACGTCATTACAGTACAGTGCGGATATCCAACAACTTTTGCAACTATATATACAGTGTATATATACATATATAGATATATATATAAATTAATATATATATATATATATATATATATATATTTATATATTTATGTACATATAAGTATAAACTTAATTCCTACGACCTACTAAATAGCGATTATTATTGAAATATAGAGGGCGAAGTTGGATAAATTTCTACTCACTTTTGTTTTCGTAGTACTTCTGCAGCAGTTCGTCCCGTTCCTCTGTATCCGTTATATTCGTTATATCTTCCGGCGCGTCTTGCACACATTTTCTTTTTAAACTTCCCTGATAAATTTGTAAGCCAACCAAAGCAAAGATTGATAAGACAAAAACCGTCAGTATCATTACATCACGTAGACGCCGAACGGCTTCCATTAACGCTCCGACGATCGTTTTCAGGCCTAAAGAGAATAACGTACACTTTAGTAGACATGACCTCACTAGCATTTATATTTTTGTCTGCTTTTATAATATCGATGTATTTTAGAAATTTGCAAATAATTCAAAAGGTCGTGGGATGCTATTCAATCTATGTCCTCCCCCAATATTTTTTTCCCTTTGTCTAGAAGTAATACTCTTATTTATAAAAGCAAATTCCCTAGAATGGCCTAAGAAAACAGGAAAGACTGTATGAGAAACATGGAGAGGAAGAAAAGAAAAGAAACTATGAAAAAAAAGAAATAAAATAAAGAGAGACAGAGAGAGAGAGAGAGAGGAGAGGAGAGGAGAGAGAGACTGGTTAAAATAAATCAAAAGCCTTAAAGTGGTTGCTGTCTTTTTTCACGTTTCTATTTGTACTTTTCATCTAAACATTAAAAGCTATAAAGACAAGACATACTGTATGTGTGTGTGTGCGTGTGTGTGTGTCTGTATGAGCGTATATGTATTCGAATAAGTATATAATACTAAATATATAAATATCTACCGATGCATGTAATTTATCTTCTGCACAAATATTCCACAAGTTATTTACTATGCAAGACCGCGCAATCAGGAGATAATGTCAAAAAAGAAAGAAATAATTTATTAGCTTTTCGCGTGTTTGTCGAATGCTTTTCAAGTGTAAAATTTTACATAAAAGGAAAAAAAAGAAAAGAGGAGAGGGAAGAAGAAGGATAAAAGACGAATGGAGAGAAAGTGGTAAAAATAAATCTTGAAGATTTTCTACTTTCTCCGTAGATTCATAAATATTGATATAATATACTTGAAAGGAATTTCTGAGATTTTTTTTTATAACTACATTAGAAAAAGAACACGGATGCTAATCAATAAGATAACTTCATCTGTAACGCCTCTCATTCCTTCACATCAAAGTAAAATACTCTTCCTCTCACAATTTTTTCTGCGCTGGGAACAGATTTGTCAGATGTATATTTTATATTAGCTAATGCTTTTTCATTGATTCATATATTTTTGAAGAAAAGACTTTAGGAAGTAGTAGGATCGCCATTAGGATTAAGCTAAGGTTCTTAAGATATAATTAATTTTATCTTGATACGTTCCATTTCCTCTCTTCTTCTTTCTCTCCCACCCCCTTCCTTTAATTCATCCCACTCTCCTCCTTTTTCTACTACTGGCCCATTATTTTATCCCTATTCCTTGTCCCCTTTTTCTACCTTATCTCTTACATTGCTTTTTACATATAGTCTCTTAATGTATTGATACAAAATATTTTAATAATACATTTTTTATATAAGAAACTATTAATAGAAAAAGTACAAGTTTAAACTCTTTTGTATAGTATCCAATGACCTCTTTGCTATTCTTTTGCAGATGAAAGAAGTTTAAAGGAAGTTATTAGTCATTCTTTTTCCATGTTAGAGAAACTAGGAACGTTTATCGAGAGTCATGCAAAGAATGGTTCAAAGCTCAATTAAATATTTCACGTTCCAGGTAAAAAAAAATATAAACATAAAAGTAAATACAATCTATAACAACTGCAATATGTCTTTTTTTATATAATGGTCTTGCAGTATTACAGCTCGTTCATTTTAATAAGAGACAGGATAATAGAAAGAGAGGAAAATAAGATAGAAAGAAATAGATTATTGCATTGATGGTGTTAGACCCTTTTTTATTTAAAAAGCTTGGATGATTAAAGAGGAATTAGTATTGGAAGACAAAGAGAGAAACGGTAATAACTGTTGTTATAAAATGAGTAGAGTTTAGGAAGAGGAGCATAGAATGGTAAGGGAAAGAGACAGAGAGATCGAGAGGAAGAGAGACAGAGAGAGACAGACAGACAGAGAGAGAGAGAGAGAGAGAGAGAGTGAGAGAGGCAGACATATAGATAGACAGACAGACATAGAAAGCGAGAGTTGTGTGTGTGGGGTGTGGGGAGAGGTTGGAAAGGGGAATGATTGATTTTCTTTATTGTTTCCCCTCCCCTCTACTATTCTATTCTAGGTTTTTTTTCACAAAAAAAGCTTGGTCTATTTTTAACCAATTAAAACAAATTGACATTTCCCTTATAAAATATTTTTTGCTTCTGTTTTAAAGCTTTATATAATGATAGTTAAAAAAATAGGTGCAGAGGAGAAGGTAGGGAGGGGGCGGTGGTGGTGGCAGAAAAAAAGATATATAGAAAATGGGCATGAATAATAAAAAAAAACAAAGAGAGAAAAAAATATGACCTAAATGATTTAAAATACTTGTACAAGTAAAGTAAACAGTAAAGAGAGAGAGAGAGAGAGAGGGATACACGAAGAAAATCTCTACGATAGTGCGAAACTCGGAAATTTTTATGCAAATATTTAAATATTTGCACAACTATTAAAAGACAAAAGGGAAAAACACTCTCTTTTTTTTGCTAAGTTTCTAATTGCATTTACCTGGAACAACTGCAACCGTTTTCAAAGCCCTAAGAACACGGAAAGTTCGAAGGGCAGCCAAATTCCCGAGTTCGATGAACATTGTTATATACCTGTTATGTATATGAATAATTAAAAACCTATTAGAAAGTAGAATGGTAAAGGGTAAAATAAATGGTACTTTGATAATGATGTCACTATATAGTCATAGTAAAGAGTAATTTATAAAAAAAATGAAAATAGAGTATATATACAGTTATATATATTGCATGTACTATATATACTATATGAAGTTTATTTATGCGAGTTAACAGAGGAACCGTATATATCCATGTATAAATTTTAAGTTTATTCATTGAAAGTGGACTATATTGTAGCAGGTTGACTTTATTGAAGTTTTAAATTGAGAAACAACTGAACAAAATCACTCATCAGCTGGCCATTTCTTCACTTTATTTAGTTTATAGTAATAAGAATAATGTATATTGACTATATACTGTATATTATATAAATTTTATTATGTATATTAAATAGATGTATACATATTTATAAGTTTTTTACTCTTTTTGATACTTTTTACAAGATTTCGTTCCCTTTTAAAAGGAATGGGGAAAAAATTTCGTTTAATTATAAGAGGTTTTTTTTTTCATTTGGAATAGCGTGACTTGATTATTACTATGTCGTATCCTGCTGGTAAAACTGATGGTGTAATAGTATACATAGTATATATGCATAGTTTATATACTCATTGACATGAAAATCCTACGTAAATATAAAGTATGTAACTTAATAAGATAAAAAATGAAGATGAAGATGTAAAAAAAAAGACTTACGCGAGCGTTACTACTGTAAAATCCAACCAATTCCAAGCGTCCCTCAAGTAAGTAAAATCGTTGAGTATAAAACCTCGAGCCGTCATCTTGATAGAACCTTCGATGGTATAGATAATGGTAAAAATTAATTCCGAATGTTTTATATCCTTATTAATAGCCATGAAAACGCAATTGACTAAAATAACGACCATAACGAAGAGAGAAAATGCGGGATGAGTAAGGACGTAGATGGCAGCCCTTCTTACTGGATTGAAGGGGCTGAGTAGAAAAAGAGCCTTTGTGGCAGTAAACCTAAATATCGACCTATCCCGGGCTACGACCAGGAAAGAGTATTTGTTTGCGTAATATTCATCAATATCCTCAATCGGTTTGCCAATGAGTTCAGGTGGGAATTCCCCGTACTTGGTCGGTAATGTTTTTCCAATCTCCAAAGCTGGATTCGGTTTTGGTTTATTTTCCTCATTTTCACCACTGTGCTTTTCTTCTTCGTGCTGATCGTCACCATGGTGATCCTTATCGTGACTGGATTCTTTGGCAGCTTGTTCCTCGGCTATTCGCCTTTCGATCTTCACCAGTGATTCTTTTGTGAACAATCGGAAAATGGTGGCGGCCGGAGTACGGGTGTCCATGTCGACAAAGTACACCCTAAGTAATTAATTAATGAACTAATTAATCATTCATTTAATAATTTTCGTTTGATTTTACAGAACAGAAATAAATGACAAAAAAAGCTTTCTATTTTTCATCAATCATAAAATCTCATATCATTAACGGATCTTGAGATTCATGATTTTTTCCTTCTACCCTTATACAATAGGATTGAAAGATCCATTACTTATTTACTCAATCAATCAATCAGTCAATCGTTCTCAAGTTGGTTGATGACGGTAAGTCCATCGACTTTATATTCAATCAATGACACCGGTTAATTATAATCTAAAGATTACTCATTTATCAATCTATAAGTTAACATTACATAATAAATCATCTGTATATTTAAATTAGTCAGAAAAAAGGAGTTATGTTTTTTTATTGATAAATTTGATCTAGTTATTTATCTAAGATCAAAATATGGGTATTGTCAATTTTTTTCCTAAGTGTTCTACTCTCATCTCTACAATTTGGATGGCCTGAATTCATCGTTAGAGGTTTCGCAACGGCGATTTGTAATAGTTCGTCAATTTCTATCAATTGTCTAGGTTCTATATAAAAGAAGGAAGCGAGCAAAAAGGGTCTCTTTATCACTGGTGAAAGATACAAATTAACCATTATTGACGAGAGTTCGTGACCTTTTATCAATTCAGTTAATTTATGTCGGGAAAGACTGATTCTTATGGGGATGTTTTCGAATTAGGATAACTAAGGTTAAAGACGCTAGAGCGTTTGAAAGAAGTAAGAATGTCACCCATAATTATTACTCATGGAAAGAAAATGTATGATTAATACCAAGATGCTACAATTAATCATGCAATCTTCGACGAATTGCAAGGCTGGAAGGAAAGAGAAGAGGAAAAGAGTAAAAACGACAGGAAAAGAGAGAAAGTTAATTTTGAGATAATAGAAAGTTTAACGGATAACACCTTTATAGATTAAGAGTATGAAACAAGCTCTTTAGAGATTAGCCTAATAAGATAAACGTCGTTAGCAGTAAGCTTCTCTTTTTGGAAACATTATACCTTAAATATACAAGAAAAAAGGAATTTATGCAAATTTCGGATAGAATTTTAAGATAAATAAAATACAAGGTCGTCAAGAAGAAAGGCAAGATAGACGTGCGATAGAATACAATTTTTTTTAGTTCCCCATTTCTAAAATATTCATCAGCATTCAATTGCTCTTAGGCCATTCTTCCTGTATTACCCGTCAATCGACTCCTTCTACAAACAGCCGTCTTAATGCTATGACAAACAGTCGAAGCGGGTCGAATGGGGCAATAACAAATTGCCCCGGATCTTTAATAATTCATTGTGCTTTTTTTTTCTCTATCCGTCATTAATTTCTTCAAAATCAACTCTTAGTCATTTAAAGAAGGGGAGAGGTAAGACTAAAGGTTTATGGTCATACGTCATAAACGAAATATTAGAAATGATAGAACTATATTAAACAACAAAGCAAATATACCTTATAGGATATCAAGGAAATTTTATTAGGGTGTATTGTCTTTCTGTACAAGGGTCTTATGCTATTAGATAAAAAAAATGGGTTTTATTCTCCCAATAGTCTGACTGAAAAATTCTAGCGTGAACTGAATTTTAAGCGTGTTTAACAGTCACAAAATTGATACGACCTCAACATTTTATGGGCAGAAACCAGGCCTTGAAGGGACAGCTATAAGATAAATGATTCTTGCCGTCAACTCTTTTGCGGACGTCTCGCCTCCCTTCTTTTTAACTGATACAGTTTTTCTTTCCGTTATTGTCGTTTCCCTATCCTCTCATCTATTTCCACCCTCCTTTTTCCATTCGTCTTATATGTTTTGTTATAAATTTTAATGTTTTTTTTATCCTTGCTATGGAGAATAAATTGAATTGGAGACGATTTTTAAGTAACGCATTTCTCTAATATATAATTAAATTTATAATTCTTATAACTAATCTATTATACTGTATATATACTGTATATATAAACTATGCAGTGTATATGCTACGCCAATGATATTTTGGACTTCATATTTCACCTTTATCTTTGTCCTCACTTACATTCTCATCTTTCTACGTTTCTCCTATTCACTCTCTGTCTACCTCCTTTCTTCTCTGCTAGTCCCTCTTTTTTTTTCTCTTTTTTGTTGCAAGCTATGAATATTCATGATAATAAATAACGTGGTATATTAGTCTCATTTTAGACTCTAAAAAGGATGAAAATTTTTTACAATCGAAAGTGTCCACAAGTTAAAAAAGACACTTTCTTTCTAAAATGAATTTAAAATGATAATTGAACCCATCATTAAGCAAAAAGGGTCATTTCGGCGAAACTCATATAAAGATTCCGTTCCTCAATTTTATTCCATTAGACGCTTTAAATATTTAATAATACACTTTTCTTTATTATCCAATAAGGATAAGCTAAATAATAATAATTATATATATATATATATATATATATATATATATGTTAGTATATATCTACTGTACATACTATTTTTTATCTACATGATGAATAACAACAAACTTTCCGCAGTATATGTTCTATGTATTATTTGAATTTTTACTGTTATGTTTTATATATTTATAACAAAATAGACGTTCTATACAATATTTCCAATATAAAATATGCTAAAAAATAATGTCATATTTTTAAGTCAATAACTTTAAATGATGTTTATTAGATTTTCTTTAACGGGGAAGAAACTCCTCTATATAAAATATGCATGTAACAGAATAAAAATTAAAAGAAGCTTTGTAAATTTTCCACCTAAAGTCGTTTAATGTAATCAAGAATAGATAAGAATTAGTTTTTTAATAGTTTTTATTAAGTTATTTAAGGTACTTATTAAAACACAACAAGGTTAGGGAACTTAAAACTTGAATTTAATACACCTTTAGACTTTTAAGTAAATTATATTAAATATAAAATGCTTATTAGGGGAATTTTCTGGAATATTACTTAATTATGTACAATTAAAAATTTACTTTTTCTTTAACATTTGAATTAATGATACATTCGGAAAAATAGTAGCTATGAAAGAAATTGGGCAAAAGGAAAGAGAGACTGGGAGAGATAGCGAGACGGGGAGAATGAGACAAAATGAGAATGAGAGTGAGAGATAGAGGACGATTGGAGAGGGAGGGAGTCTACTCATTTCCATAATTCAACCGAAAAAAAACGTTTACACCGTGCGTTGTTTAATTACGTAGCTTGTTCGGAATGTCTATAGCTTAGACCTATTCGTATTTTCCAAATACGCACACACATACATACATGCATGGACATATGTGTACAAGTCTTTTGTACTTTTTTGATTGTACAAGTTGCTAACTAAATGTTAATAATAGGTTTATATGCATATATTGTTCGCGTTTTGAATTACAGCTATAACTTTTACTTTCTAGGTATCAAACGTTTTTAAATCTATACACTATATAAAGCTACGTAAATAGTTTACTTTATTATAAAACATAATTTCCTGCAAAAATTGAGGGCTTATGAATATTCATAAACATGTACATATTAAGATGATATTTATACTTTAACTAAGTTTGCGATATGTCTGCATTAATAGTGTGTAAATGACCTTGTAGAACTTGGGGTAGAGCTTTGATAGAGGAAAGGTTGAAGTCTCATTAGGAGGGAAAGAGGAGTGCAGAAAAGATAATGCAATTAAATTTATCCCAATATAAAGTAGATATTTTGATACGTTGGTAAGCAATGAATATTTATATATATAATTGTTAGAATCACGTAGGCGTTTTAGTGATTGTTTCATTTTACTTAACCTAAAATATAGATTTTAAAAAATAACTTTTGCAGAGAGAAATGATTTAGTCAGGAAATAAGAAGAAGAGAAATCAAGTGGACAGTTTTACAGAGAGAGAGAGAGAGAGAGAAAGAGAGAAAGAGAGGAAGAAAGAGTGTATATATATATATGTATATGTAGGAAGGTGTGTATGTGAGTGTGTTTGTCTCTAATCGTATGAAAGAAAGTAAGACAGAGAGATGAAAAGATAGGAAATAAAATAGAAAAGAAGAAAAACAATGATACTCTTTAATCTACTTTGAAGCTTTTTATATATAATATTTGACTTAATCGAAGAAAAATTAACTTTAATGCTAAATACTAGTATGGAATAGATTGATAAAATTGGCAAAGTGAAAGCAAAAAACGCCGAAAAAAGATGGTAGAAAAACGTCGTGCTATAAAGCTCAAGCCAAATATCGATTTTTCCTATCGCGTATATTTTCTACATTGTATAAATCGCCTATGCCACCAGCTGTCGTATTAATAATTGCAAAAAAAAAATTCGATCGTTAGTTATGAATAGGACCCTCGATTACATATATGTATAAAACATTATAATGTGATGTATAATAACATATATATAATGCAAGAATAATGTGGCAAAAAAAATTTATCATGAAATATATATATAATGATTCTTAAAAAAGAACTGCAAAGAGGCAAAAATCTCTCCTTTAAATTATTTATGTACAGGAAAAAAGGGAAATGAGGAATCGGGGAGTCGAACCATTCAATTTTCTACATAAAAAAATAACTAACCCTAAAGACCTTCAATATATCACATTGGCAATATAGAATCTCGACGGAGTTAAATATAAAGAACTATAGATGCGCAGATATACTTACTAAAACTGCATTCCATGGGCAGCATGAAATTTAGACGTCGAAACGCTCTAAACGCCGCTGCAGACAGACATACGCATAGAGCAGGCCAACATAGCAAATGAGATAAATATTGATCAGAAAATCATGTCACATATTACATCCGAATACTTCCTCCTTTTCCTTTTTTTATTTTAGAAGAAAGAGAGCGCTAAATGATTTTATCCAACTCCTTCCTTCGTTTTTATTCAACACCGATTCGATTTTCCCGGTTTTTTTTTCTAATCGAGTATACGCTTGAACGAACGCCTCCAGTTTGTATAGTTCGCTGCGGCCGGTAGATGACGTTCGCATCGGTCTTCTCCTTAAAAATATTTTCGCTAGCGCCTCTCCAACCTTTGACCTAAACCTTTAGTATCTTATATATTTCTTTCTTATACTATTAGTTTCTCAATAAAAGATCCAAAATAATTTTAATTGTGATATATTTTTTCTTATTATTGTTTTTTTTTAAAAAAAAAATAAATTTTTTTTCCACATCGAAACGTCGAAAACAATGAAAATAAAAACAATATAAAAAACAATAAAACCTAAAAAAAATAAAGAAAATCAACAACAACATAAAATTATGATGGAATATAAGCATAAGGGTATTCTTATAAAGCTATTGAGTTTCATACTACCAATTATAGGCATAGGAGGCGTGATTGGATTAATTCTTTGTACGTATTTTATTTTACCTGCTCAAGTAGAATTTAAATGTCATATTTAATATTTTTATAATATATCGATGAGTTAATTATTGATTTTTTATTGTTGGTTCTCTTCTTATATTAAGGGACGTCAAACCACTTTATAGATAAAGATATAAATAAATTACACGCAGATGCTAAAATGTGCGTTAAAGGAGGTTAGTTAATCTACTTTTTTTTTTCTTTTTCGTTTTGTCCCACTCCTTAAATCTACCCCCCCCCCCCTCTCTCTCTCTCTCTCTCTCTTCCTATCCTCTTCTCTTTCCCTTTATTTTCTATATCAACTCGTAAAAAATAACCAATAATAAAATAGAACAATAAAAGTAACGGGGATTAAGAAAAAGTAAGAACTAAACCTATTTATTACGTCAAGCTTATGAAGAAATGCTATATATTTTATACAATTACTTCCGATTGCTCCGTAAGCCTTTCTATATTTAACTTATTTCTAATCTTTCATGATATAAAATATGTTAATATTCTGGGTGATATAGACTGGGAGAAGGGGGAAAAATTTACTATTTGCTAGGCCTATACTTTTAATTAGCGAAGAGGATATCTAATGATTAGGATATGGCGTGAAAAGTCAAAAATATTAAATATTTATTTAAGCTAATTAAAGGAAACTCTGAAAAAGTGTTTGAAATAGGTCTTGTTTCTCGATTAAAGTAACAGTGGATATACTATATATTTCTTTTTTATTTATATTGCGCCATCTATAGAGAGTTCGATTTACTTTATTTTCTTTTTTTTGTATAAATATCGAGTCTCCTTTTCAATTAGAGAGAATAAACGCATAGTTTAAGATTTTCAAGGACTAATAATTTAGTAATATACTTGTAAACTTAATGTTTTGTTCAAATCTAGTAACGGATTTGCAATGTGACACCGAATATAGAATTTATAAGAATGAAGATGCTTGTTATAGACCTCCGCATTGTCAATGTTGGTCTGTTGATTTATTAAACATATCTTTATAACTTTTAATACGTTACTTTCAAATTTAAATGAAATAGAAAAGAGTTTATTAATGTTTTCCTTTTAAGTACTCAACCTCCTAAATTGGTTTCCGGAGCTGAAATTTGCTCAAGACATTTACCGGAAGGCGAATCATATGCCGAGTGGGAGGGGAAGGTGGCCGATGGAGAGCCGGAACAAAGATGCAGGATTACAATTGTCGTTGAAAAGAGGGAATTTGATAAAAGAGACGACGAATCCGAGTCTAGGGGGAGAAGGGATGAATCAACTTCTACCAGTTCGTTTCATTTCTTAAATAATGCTTATCTTTTTCTTTTTACCATTTGTTCCTTTATTCCTTCCTACTGGACAATTATAGAGCATAATTAGACTCTATTTTTTAATTAATTAACAGATAGAACGGCTTCGAAAGAAGAAACGATACTTTGCAGAACGCCGAATGGGTTTAATGCGACATTCAACGTTATATTGAATCACTTGAGAGCATCTGGCAAGACGCCGAACGAATACGTGATATCGGAGTCGATTTTTGGAGGGGAATTTAAGTGCCAATCGACCATTGTATTGGGAGCTACATGCAGCTTTAAATGTCATAATTCCTACCGCCTACCTCCAATGAGGAGGAAACAACTAACCTTACGTTGTGAGATTGCCTTGGGCAAGCCTACTCTTGTTCTTGAGGGCCCCGTTAGTAATTTGTTGGAGAAATCGTACAGGGAATGCTCGCGTGAGTTGTTTATTTTATTAAGGACGGTTTCCGAGCACACGACCGAATGTTTTTCTTTTAGACGGTGTTTTTTCCTCCCAAAACCTAGTTTCTTTCTCATCAAATTTCCATCATTTTCATTATACTTTCAACTTTCTCTTCATTCTAGCTATTTTCGTCTATATCATGCCTTTTTAAAGATTTTAGTCTTTCTCTGTTAGCTTCACCCAGAACGTGCCAGACGATTAAAGGAATCGAAAAAGGGAAAATGTTTGGAAAAGGAGGTAATAATGGAAAATTTGGAGAAACCATATCCATACGATGTGATCCTGGTTATATAATACCCGGATTTAAGAATCTTAGCCAAGCGACCTTAATCTGCTCGGATTATGAATTTAAGAAGAGTTTTAGCGATAAAAAAATTACAAGCAATACTCTACAATGGAGAATTGTTGAAAAGGGAAATGTCCCATTCGACGAAATGCCTAATAGGATTTTTAGGTGTGCAGGTAAGTGATAAGAGAATAGGCGTATAAGGCAGACGACAAGGTTAATTAATGTAAATTGATGGTTTGCTGTAAAACAAGTAAACCATCCGTTGAAGAGTCTATTGAATTACAGTCTGCACCATTGATCAACCGCTATTGCAGTTGCTTTCTAAAAATACTATTCTAAAATTGTTCAAATGAAAAAGGAAAGAAAGGGGAAATAATTATTTTGTCCAGAAGGTGTATATAGGTCAAGGGAACATGAAATGAATCTTATTTTTCGATTAGCAAACTTTTCTTCTATCTTTTATTCTAATTCGTTACTTTTTTTCTCGTTTAATCGATGAAAATCAATCTGACCATAAGACAAAAATTCCGACAGTTATTTACGGTGTTTTACTGCCCGCTTGTGTATAATTTGCATTTTTTGCCAATTTCATTAGTTAACGTCCCTCGATTTTGTTTCTCTTGCTATTCTGTTTATTTATTACTAATATTTTCATAATTATAAATTTATAATAAAATAATGGAATGGTAATAGTGTATGCTGATTGCATAAAAGATGTATGCATAGATTTTTACTGCAGGCCAATTTTCACCGTTTGTGGAAAATTGTAAGGGACACGAACCGGATTTGGACGAAAAGCCGCCCGGGGAACTTGAAGAGCGTTTCCATTTCGTTAGAGCGTCGAAGAGTAAATTCCCTATCGAAATCGATATGAAAAGAGCCGGTTGGTATCCTCGTTTCCTTTCCGATGGTAAGGAAGTTATAAGTAATCTACAAAAGAAGAATTTCAAAACACTAATAATCAAAGAACCAAATGAGATTTATAGACTTAATTTTTCTGCCTCAAATCCTAGATATCCTCACTATTCAGCCCATTGTTTAATTGCAGTGATGGGTTTCAGTAAGTTTATACTCATATACTGTATCCTATATATACATATATACAGTATATATAATTTTCTTTCACTATATCAATATACGAGATTCTAGAAAAAACAATATATCTATATATATATATATATATTTATATATTCCCTAAATAGGTCAGTGTTCTAAAAGAGAAATATATGAGTCTTACCTAAAATTTCTAAAAAGCAAGACCTGGAAATTTTATTGTGAATCTGCATTAATTAATAAGGATAGTAGACCTATTTCAAGACCAAATAGAACTTGTACCTTTCAATGTAGGAATCATAGACAAGTCGCTCACGAATTTCGGTCAATCGGTAAGAATTTAATTTGTGAGAATTACGAGAATTGGTATGGTTTGGACGAAACAACTTTTATGTGCGTTGGTTAGTCTTCTAATTATAATGAGCGTTTTTTATTAACTTAATTTAATGAAATGATCGTTTTTTTCACTCCCTCTCTTCTACTATTTTATACTTACTCTCTATCCATCTATCTAAAGATAAATATCAGCCATCATACGTTGTTATCAAGTACAAAATATTAATTGAGACGATAAAAGATTGTCCAAAGCTGGACGAGGAGAGAGAACTAAAGAAAACGTTTAATAAATTGTTTCTATACTTAGTCGATGGTAGCTTTCTATCATTTGATAATCAATTAAACTCCTATGAATGTAGTAATATTAGAAGATTATGGAGGATGGATATTCTGTTGTTTAAAAGAAATAGAAATGATTTTAGTAGCAGTCACACAGTAAGCCCTGTTTATCTGAAATTGAGGGACGAACTGCAATCGATATATGACTCTAAGGCTGATGAATTTTATTATGATTTATTTCGTATAAACGATAATGGTACCCGTCGATTAAGACGTAGATTGTTATACACTAGAAGTGGATGCAGTCATCCGGGTCTGGCAGAGAACTATGAAAGTCATTATTGCAGTTAGTATTTTGATTGTTTAGTATTAATTAAGAATAGATTAACTAATTAATTAATCAAGTCTAGAACTAATATAAACGTGTCGAAATAGAGAGGTTAGGATAGTATGAGAAATATTTGAATATCACAAACCGGTCTGTCATTTCCTTCGATTATCCTCTTACTACGGGAAATATTACGCCACTCTCTTTAACGTTTTTTCTGAAGGATATCGATAATTTATTTGCAGTTGGATGCCTCAGGGGTTATATGATGTCGAAAGATGGCGATGAATGTATACCCTGCCCGAAGCATCATTATCAAGATGAAATTGAGCAGTCGGATTGTAAACCTTGCCCAAAGGGGCAACATCAGCCGAACCAAGGTTCTTCATTCTGCGAGAATTGTCCCGGAAATAATTGCTCGAATCCTAAGGCAAAAAGGAAATCGGAAAACGATGGAATAGGTATAAAAAGCGTCCGGAGTAACGTCACTTTGTCGTTTAATACCCTCAGCTGTCCAGATGTCAAACCGAAGAGGAGGATGAAATTTTACAATTTCCTCAGTAATTTGTTTAAAAACTATCACACAATAGTCGTAAAAGTTACAACAATTTGCAGTATTATTGAGGTATTTCCTAAATTTCCATATTATTTAATGCTATAAGCGATATAAGGCGATTCTATACGGTAATATCTCAATAAATAACATCAATAAAAGACTTGGGCTAAAACAGGATTACAGAGATTTTCGATTGTAGCAACTGTACAATACGAACCGAGTAGACTTACAGGTTTAAAACAGTCAAAAGATTCATCAACGTCCTATTTAAAGAAAGCAATCAACACCTTTAAATCTATTATTAAACAACGAGGCATTAAATTTATAACAACTAAACTATTGACCGATGCCGACAAGGCTAACGTTCTGTCTTATCATATGAGGATTTCTGCTAATAACAAGTTTGTGGTCGACTGCCCTAAAGGAATGAATTTATTACAAGACGGATTTTGTCGTAAGTTGTTTATATATATATATATATATATATACTGTATATATCGTAAGCAAAAGCCAAAAAAAAACAAATATTTCAACAAGTAATATTCATAAGAAAGAGGTGAAATTCACGTGAATATAAACTCGAAAGATAAATGGTTAAAAATATTAAGTTTCTACTTTCCTACAACTTTCTCTATCATTTATTAAATAATAAGTTAATTCAATGGAAAAGTAAGGACTGTTTCGATGCTTTCGTTTTTTTATCTTTATCTATAAATATCGAGTTAAAAAGTGTTGGGGGAAAAGATAGGGGGAAGGGACTATGATGAGGGAAGAGAAGAGTTAAAGGGGGAATAGTAGAGGAATAGTGTCTCTATAAGAGATTGTAATAGGTAAAGGAGGACACCAGCTGAGTAAGTACTTAAGGATATTTTGAAGTATTCTTATTAGGTTTTCTTTTTTTTTAATACGTTTCTTTTCTTTTAGTATATTTCTTATATTTAGTTATTTATTATCGTTTTTCACCTTTAACAGACGTCAATAACCGCAATAACTCAAGAAGTTCGCTCCGGTGAGAAAGTATTGAAGAAATATCATAATATACTGATAATATACATATATATCTATATCTGTATACGTATACTTGTTTATTATTTTGTATTACTTTCAGGTTTCATTAATTATGAAGGTTAATTTTGTCTATATTGATTATTTTTTTAAGTCATCAATTTTTTTACTTAGTTTCTTCGATTTTTACTATATTTGGAACATTATTTCAATAAAGTTCTTAGTTTATTCATTGCTGAATATATAAATATATCACTTTCTAAATATAAATATATTTATATGCATTATTAACTTCTGGCTGATGGTAAGTAAGGCTTTTTTTTGTTTCGCTTTTCTTTACTTCTAGATTGCTAGCGTCATCTGGTTTCTTTAATATACAAACGTACGTAAAGATGAAAGTTTTGTGAAAAACTTACATGATATACTTTTATAAAAAGCGAATCAATTTTTAGAATAGTCTCCCCACCCCCCGTCTCAATACGCCAATTTCAAGATTTTACATCGAATATTGACGGGTTTAGAATATCTTCCAAGAATCCTGAATAGTTTCACCTTCATACTTTAGCACACTTATCCTTTAACTCTGAGCATACTTCTCTTTCGCGGTCACATTAACTTACCTGCAGATCTCTCTTTCCCTACCTAGAATTGTCTCTGTTCTCCTTGCCTTCTCCACTTTTTGCCTTCTTAGGTTAAGTGATGAATATGTGACTTCTGTAGAAATTTCTTAACTTTCGCTTGATATTTGTCCAAACAATTTCCTTTAAGCTTCCACTCTTTTGGATTTTAGATTTGCTTCTCCATAAGCGTCCATTTAGTCTTAATTTTATTGATATTTTTGCCTTTGAAAGTCACATATTGAATAACTCGTTGGACCTCTGGTTTGGTACAGCTTAACAGAGAAGATAGTAACCATATGAAAGACACTACAAGTAACTAATGATGGATTAACGTTACATAACATTTGTGGGAAATGACTGAGAAAGACTTTAATATATTCCCTTTTATTTACTATTGTTTTATATAGGAAGATAAATGCAATCTCCTGAAAGTTATTGATCCTTACTCGTATACTTTAGCTCTTCTGTCCTCTATAAACAACGTGTCATGCATCGATATTCATTCAATAATGAATCATGTGTATTCTATTTGTAAATATCAATTTATATTTTCAATGAAGTAAATAAAATCATTAATAACTTAAGACTAAATTTAACGACATTAATATTAGATCTGTAATTTTATTAAGGTCATTAGGTGACAAACATTAGGGATAAGAATTGTGTAATTTTGGTAATTTTCAAAATGAATACTTAATTAATTAAATTTCAGTAGAGGTCAGAAACCTTTGTTGGTTTAATTACCATATAAATATATAATAGTTTTGAATAGAACATATGGTACCGAAATCATATTTTTATGTTTTAATACATTTGACTACATGAATGAAATCTGTATTTTGTCGATATGTCTACTGGATAATTACTGAGAACTACTTTATAATACTACAACAACAAATGAAAGTGATTTAGTTGTAATAGTAGGAAATAGTTAAAATGTACATTTAATCATACTAGAGATATTTAATGCTAGTAGTAAAGATATTACCCTTAATGGACATTCATTGAGAAAGTTAAAGTAGAAATTGAATAAGAGTCGATCAAAGAGTCTATAGTTTTTGCAATATTAGAACATTAAGTGGGTTTAAAAGTAGCCGTTTTCTCTTCAGACATTGTACAAGTATATTGATACATAAAACCTCAGAATTCACTGATGACTTACATAAGTGACTATACCAACTATTATACCCTAATGCATTATATAACAAGCTCTCTATCCACATTAAAATAGCAATACTTTCATATTTTTTTATTGACTTTTTACAAAGTGTTACAGGTAGCTTAATAATTTAGTATATCATATCTAAGATTCTCTTATATTTTCATTAAAAAGAATAATACCATGAATAATAGCGTACATGATACATCAGATTACATCTTCTAATAATTTATGATCCACAAGATTTTAGTCACATTTTTAACATGATATTCATTATCCTTTGCAATCTTTCTTCATTTCTATATACACTATCTATTCAGTGGAAGTGATTTCCCTTTGCTTTTTCGATAAATATGCTAAAATGTTAGAGGATACTCTTTGCCAAATATTTTTATATTAAATACTTAATGTGAACTAATGCGAATATGTTATCTGTTCAAATTAATATTCCTTCTTTCTCTTTAAAGGAAAGAGTGTATATTTGATCTTGTTCATTAAGATTTTATATTTCTGGGAAGTTGTCATAAAAGCTAAATGTTTCTTGTTGAGTGTGCGGAATAAATTAAATAATTGCTGGAATACTGTCTTGTAAACAAAATTGAAATTGGTAATACGATAGAATAAGGAACACAAACAGAGAGACATGACAGAAAAGTGATGGACTATAGACGGCGTGCTTATAAAAATAAGAGACTCCAGCAGTTTTCTTCATTTGAGATTTAGAAATGTATCGGCAATTGCTGCTCATCATTCTTTATGTACCATTTAGTTGTGAAGCAATTAGAAATGTGAAACTAAGTGGAGCAGGAGCAAGTTTTCCAGAAAAGGTTTACTTGACTTGGCAAGCTGCTTTTAGAGCTAAGAGAAGTGAATATGTCAATTTAAAAATGGAATACGAAGCGGAAGGTATACTAATATCTATATATATATCTGTATATACTGTATTTATACTATACCTGACTACTTATTTTAGTGCTGATTACCTTATAACACTTTATATATTAGATACATATATATATATATATATATATATAGATAGATTGATAGATAGACATTCTTCGTTTTGTCAAGATATAAAATGATGAAAATACTAGACTACATAAGATTGCAGTTTGTTTATAAATATTAAAATATCAACATTTTACCATCTAAAGAACAAAAACTAAACAAATGAAAGCTTATTATTATAAATGTATAGATAGGATAGATTTTTTCTATATTGTGAATTGTTGTTTCTTGTTGAAGCATTACTTAATACATTTCTTTAGTGATTAAAGGGAATATAGGAAAAGTGTACTTTTTTTAATATTATAATTCCTTTAAAATCCCACTCTATTTATCTTTTTAAAGTTTCTCGTCTGTTTATATTTTTAAAAATTTTATTTCCAACAAACAGGTAGCGGGCATGGTAAAAAAAGAATTATGGGATTATTAGATCCACCTGTTCAATATGCTGGTTCAGATGCAGTATTAACTAAAGAGGAAAGTCAAAGTTTTCCTGATCTTAAAATGTTTCCTACTATGGCTGGGTAAACTTTAATGTCTCTTTTATTAATATTTTTTATTATAAATGTATTTTTAAATTCAACTACAAATGCTTTTTTTATCTATTGTAGTCCAATCGTTCTTATATTTAACTTGCCAAATTGGAATCCTAAAGTATCATTAACCTTATCAAGAGAAGAAATTGTCGGCATATTTAATGGAACAATAAAAAAATGGAATGACCCTCTAATAATCAAACATAACAAAATTTCTTTGCCATTTCGAGATATAAAAGTTGTTGTCAGAGAAGATAAGTCTGGCACTACGGAAATATTAACCAATGCACTATCATCTTTCGATAGCAACTGGAAAGAAACATATGGAACTTTTAGCACTAAAACTGCTTGGAAACAGAGTACCATATATAAATATGCGAAAAGAGTATCTGGTATTAGTGATTTAGTTAAAGCAACCAACTACTCTATAGGTTACTACATTAAATATATAGTATATAATATTTAAGGATAAAATGTTTTCTTAACTTTTTCTCTCTTTTTAGGCTATACATCTTTAAATAGCGCCTTAGCCAATGGATTACCCTATGCTTCTATCATAAATAAGGCAAATAAAATTAGTTACCCTACAGCCGAAGCTGTTCAATCTAGCATGGACGCAAGCTCAAATTTTACTGAGCAGCTTACTTCTAAAATTGTAGACGCTTCGGGTAGTGACTCTTATCCAATAAGTGCCTATACTTATATAATTGTTTATATGACACAGTTAAGAGATTGCAATCAGGTATATCATTTTTTGTTCAATATAATAATTTATCAATAAACTAATCGTTTGATTTTTAAAGGCTATTGAACTTGCTCGCTATTTTAATTGGTTTTTTACTGAAGAACAAGCTGACAGTGAATGCTTAAATTTTGATATGGTACCGTTAAGCAGAAAAATAAAAACAATTATCAAGGATAGAATTATAAAGAAGATGGAATGCAATGGTAAAAACTTATGGACACTTGTACAAAGCCAAATAAAAGATGAAGAAATTGTAAACGATGACTGGAAATTGGTTATTGGAATAACAATACCAATATTTTTAACGACTGTTGCTGTATTTCTATTTTATTTTGGCTATAATAGAATTAAATTAAGAAAATTATTGAACAAGGATGACTGGAATATCAATTTTGAAGATATCATATTTTACGTTCCAGATGAAAATCAAAGAGTTATTACTGGAAAATTATTAAAATCTGATAGTCTTAGTCTGAATTCTGAAACTGTTGACCTGTCACACAATTCAGGTGCAGATATATCCGTTTCATACATTTATCTAGTCATTTATAGTAGACGCTTATCTTTACCTTATACTAATATTTTACAGTATATACATAATTCATAGGTATCAGTAAGAATCTAGTAGTAAAGCCAATTACGTATAATTTTGTTTTGGAGAAGCCATTAAAAGGAGCTCTTCTAATTTATTTAGGTTTACTGTATTGGCCTGGAAAATGGCAAGGAAATGATGTAGCTATAAGGTTAAATTCATTACCGCCAATTACTAAATTTGACAAAGATATGAAAAAATCTTTAATATGGAAGAAAGATAAAGTTATTAATGATAACATTCTAAGATTTTTTGGTTTAACAATGATGGAGGATAAATGGTATCCAATTAATGAAATTGGTTCGAAAGGAGCTTTGTATGATATATTACAGGATAAAAAATATAAAATAAACGAACCCCTTAAGTTCTCTCTTGCAATTGATTTGGCTAAAGGTATGGCTTTTTTACATAGTAAATTATTCATTCATGGCGCACTACGATCTTCGTGCTGTATAATTGATTCAAAATGGACCGTTAAAGTGGCTGATTGGGAATATAATAGCTTTTACAATCATCACTTAAGAATATTATCAAAAAATACTAAAAACAGCCAAACTTTCCCGTTAAGTCATTATATTTCTACACGAAAAGAGCAATTGTTCGAAGGAGATTACGCTAAAGCTTTGTTCGATTTTAGCACCTCCCCTGAAGTATTAAAAAATCAATCGTTTAAGCTGGATTGGAGATGTGACGTTTATAGTTATAGTATGATAGTACAAGAAATTTGGTCAAGAGATGATCCTTTCGCCGAAATTACTCAAACTATAGATGTACAAGACGTACTTTTAGGAATAAAAAATAATTGTTTAAGGCCGAAATTTCATGAAAGTACACCACCGGATGTAAGTCTTCCTTTTTCCTAGCTAGTCATTATTTTTTAATTCTAATTTGTTATATATGAGGTTTGTCAAATGATGGAAATTGCTTGGTCCGATGAACCAGAACGTCGTCCAACTTTTGATCATATTATAAAAATGCTTAAAAAAGCTAATCCTTCAAAGAAGAATATTTTAGATGCTGTTATCGAAACTATGGAAACATATACAATGGAACTTGAAGAGAAGTGTACAACAATTAGTAAAGAATTAACAACCGCTAATGATAATCTAACCACTCTCGTTGGTACATTTATAAATAGAAATATTCTAGAGCAATTAATTGCTAGTAATATTAAAACCCTACAAAATGATTCTAATTATTTAACATTAGGAACTATATCCATATGTAATTCAAAAGATTATTTACTCAAGTCAGATGTTTCTTGTATTATCGAAATTCTCGATGAAATTGATAGATTAACCGATAAGCATTTTAGAAAGATGAATGACTGTTCAAGATTGTTATTGACAACTGGAGAATATGGAATTGTTTCTGGAATTACTTGTTCCCAGGTGATACTGCAAATAAGTTTGTCAAATATACTGATTTCCAGACACATTTTTAGGTCATTAAACAAATAATAACTAGCAATTATTGATTTTTCTTTTCAGATTGTAAAACAGTGTTGTATAGTTGCTTCAATTCTCTTAGATATTATTAAAGATTTTGAAGTGTTTGCCAAATCCAACAAGATAAACGTAGATTTAATAGGCAAAGTACATACGGCAAGAGGTCGGGGTTTAATTATTGGCCATGGAATACCTAGATTGGAAATAATTGGTCCAGTTTGTGACGAAATATTAACGATACCAAATTTTTCTTTAAAAAATAAAATAATAGTGACGGAAACTGTCCAACTAACATTAAAATCAACTGGAAAATACGCATTCGAATATCAAAAAGACTTCCAGGTATACACACGAAGAAAATGCTACTTTTTTACTGATCTTAATAACATTTTCTCCTCTTTCCTTTTTAGAACGAAAATCATAATAAACTATATATTTTGAATAAAAGTCCAATCTAGAAATTCACTGGAGTAATATAAAACAAAAATTACAAATATGACTTTTCATACCATTTCTAGTATATTTAAAATGTTTTTGTTAAAAAGAGTCTTATTTCAATAGGCTCTTTGTTTACTATTTATGGTTTTCCTGTAAAGACTAATTCAGTGATGAATAAATTTGACATAATTAATTTGTTATATATTCATATATCAATATCTTTCTTCTTTTTTTTTCCCCTAATTCTTCTTCCGTCTTATAATACTAATTCATTCTTAAGAAAAGATGATAAAAGTAAAGATTTGGCTTACAACCAGATAAATTGAATATTTCAGCTTTGTTTCGTGATTTTTTATCATTCTATCCGAATGTTATTGTTATTATCTTTATATACAATTAATTAATTCTTTATTTAAGTAAGATGTATATTGAAAAATGACAATCACAATAAATTCGGTTCAACTGAGCAATTTTTCTCTTGTATTTCCCTAATTTTGTTATTATAAAGCGGTAAACAAAGAGATAACGATCCATCTTTAGGTTTTAATCTATCGGTAACATTCTTAAAACATAAAGAGCAGTTTTCTCCACTTAAATGCTTACATTCTTCCATATTTTGGGCAAACGTTTCGCTTTTAAGAAAGATTTTACAAGTATCATAAAAGGAGCAAATGGTTGATAGAGTATACTTTGTTTGCTTATCAATATCACAGCTAACCTTCAAAAAAGAAAATAAGACAAAATATGTCAATTACTACATTTTCTACTGTAAAATTCAAGAGAATGAATAAGTACTGTAATAATATCAATGCTAACATAAACTCTGGCGTCTAAAAAGCAATTTTCGCAAGCCGTTGACGGTTCTTTTGCTAAGCATTCAATTTTTTTTCTGTCCCATATTCTAAGACATTTTTTCGAAATTTCAATGTTTCGACCTCTTGTTATGTGTTTTGAGTTTATCAATATAATAGCTAAAATAGCTTTTAATATCATTGTACTTATTAAATAATATTACAAATAATTTAAATAATAATTTACTTAATGATTATTTAAAATAATGAAGTGTTTATGTTTACGTTTACTTATAAAAAGTTAATAAGTAAAAGATACGTTTCGGTATATATATTAATTATACAAAACATCTTTACAATAAAGGTACTATAAACAGTAGATCGCATATACAATCTGGTAGAATATCTAACGGAAAATTGGATTGAAAAAAATGACGTTTCTTTCTTTACATTTTTCATTTTTCTTCCATATTATTCGGAAAAAGAATAAAGGAGAGAGATTGTAAAGTAGGCAAGATTTTGTTTACATTTTAACTAATTAGGGGAAAGTTTTGCTATTGTAAATTAAATTTTTTATGCTATACAGCTTTCATTTACATATTTCAAGGTTATACACCTTGAAACGGCAAGCAGCTCTTTGAGCTGACTGATCCACGAGATGATAATGGCTTTAAACCTGTATATACATTGTCAATTCTCAAAAGTGATCGTACGTCAAGTTTCTTTTCGCAACTTTTATGTCTGCTGATCGATTGTCTACTTCTCGATTGAGACATAATTCCTGAGCTTCTACTCCCTAGCATCTTATCCATTCTATTTCTCATAATCATTTTGCTCCTACCATATTTACTCGAAGTAAAGTAATTTAAAATTGTAGGATCATTCGATAATAATTTAAAATGTTTCTTAATAATATATATGAAAATAACAGCGATTAAAATGCCAATCAATGTTAAAAAGACAACTATAGCCGTTAAAATAATTATATGAATAAATGAAATAGCTTTAAATTCATTATCTTCCTCTCTCATTTTCATTTAAGTGTTAATTATTGTTAAAGTATTATTATTTAAATATTTAAATATTATGAATATATGGAAATTAATATCCTTTAACAAAAAATGGGGTTCATCTCGAAAGTAGAAATTTTCTATTTTGTTAAGTATTTTACTTTAAATCTATCAATAGAACTCTATTTTACAATCTATATATATGCATAGTGAGAATAATACTTTTAAGCATTTATAGTATTTTTGAATCTAGTCTCTTTTTCAAGCCATCCAACAGTTTTAAAATGTATGGAGTTGGAATTTTTTCCTATTCTTCTTCTTCTGTTACTCTCCAGAGATCATCTATGTTTATCCATAGATGTTTACCTACTTCTTCCTTCAAGTAGGACTACAGATTTTCAATATCAATCTTTTTAAGATTTTTAGGGAGGCTGCAAACAGTCTGCTGATACTATATATAAAGTATACTTTGAATAAATTCGGCCATAATCTTCCCTCGTGTTCAATGAATGATTTAACAGGTGTTACCAAGCAAGTGGGAGTATCCTTTTGAAGGAGAAAAACAGTTGATAATATTCAGATAAGGTTTATGACACAAACCGAAATACTATATTAAAAAATAAGAATTATACCTATTCCTCCTGATAAGAAGTATTTTATGAACTTAGTCCTACATACAGTTATTAATACTCATAAGGTTATTGTGATCTTTTAATTATTAAATTACTTATAGTGTGAAAGGAGTACCAGGTTTCGATCTTTGCTCCTATTTATGAGAGTTTAGTCTCTTCAATTGAGTATATTCAGTATATATATATATATATATATATATACTCATATTTTTGGGTGTCAGTTTGTTCGTTATCCAACTGATAATTGAATAAAGAAAATAGAGAAATTTATTTACTGTGTCGTGGCTTATTCATTATTATTTTCCTTATCAAAAATCTTGATCTTCATTTGTTATTTTGATTCAAGACGCTTGAAATGCTTCTTATCGACTCAAAGCATATTAACTTTGGTGTTTTAGTAATCATATAAAACTAATAAAGAAATAGTGGAAGAACTATGAATAATATACTTGTTCATTATCCTGACTTGAAAATTCCTACTCTAGGAGCTGGAGGAAGTTTTACGGATAGACTATGTAATAGTTATACTACTTCTATATTATTCTTCTTTGCTCTTTTAGTAACAACTCATCAATATGTTGGGAATCCTGTGATTTGTTGGTGTCCGTCTCATTTTCAACCAAGTCAAGTTTCTTATACAAATAACATATGTTGGACTAAGCGAACGTTCTACGTACCGTACCACTTTCCAATACCAAAGGCAAATGATAAGATAGAAAGAATAGGCTATTATCAATTCGTTGTTTTAATTCTTTGCGCTCAAATGATTATCTTTTATATACCTAAACCTCTTTGGTCATTTTTAAGTCAAAAATCTGGAATTTCAGTATCAATATTTACAAATGCGGCACTGGAACACGAAAAACAAAACGAAATTGACAAGTCCGAAAATATAAAAAACTTCATAAAGAGTCACTTATATCATTTCCTAAAAGACGTTTGTAGAAAGAGGTTGGCTGCCGAGAAAAAAAGAAAAAAGTCCAAGAAACGTAAATGGTGCTTATGTTATGACTTTTATGGCGATTATTTAGTCTTTTCATACGTCTTTATCAAGTTTATCTACGTCGTTATATCCGTTTCTCAGTTATTTCTACTTAATCTATTTTTGGGAATGAATTATCACATGTATGGATTACAAATGATAATCGATCTACAAAATGGAAGAGATTGGACCGTATCTGGTCGTTTCCCAACAGAAACTATATGCGACCTTACAATAAGAGTTCTCGGTCAGAGACATCGCTACACCGTACAATGTTCATTGCCTATAAACCTCTTTAATAGGATGATATTTTTTGTATTGTGGCTGTGGTTTTGCTTCGTATCTGTAGCTACAACTATCAGTTTATTAATGTGGATTAAACGTCAAATAATCAGCCCTAATTATACATTTATAAAGGAGAGCTTAACGACATCTTACCGATTTGACGAAGAAAATTTAAAGAAAGAAAATATCAAGAATTTCACTCTGAAATTTCTTAAAAGGGATGGAATGTTCCTTATCAAATTAATTGGATCAAATTCAAGTCAATTGATTGCGGCCGAAATTGTTGCAGATCTATTTAAAAGATTCAATAAAGATAAAGCAAATCTTTTCAATTTTAATGAACAAGAAGATAAACTATTATCATTAGATTCAAATTTTCAATCCTTACAAAATATTGATTCAAATCCTACGTATAAAATGAGTAACGGATATGTAGAATTTCCTCCAATATCAAGACCAAATTATAAAGACTTTTATCGTTCAACCTTATGATATAACTTGGTTATTTTTTCAATATTTCGTAAAAAACAAACGTTTAATGAATTTTAATATACAGTATTTACATATATATATATATATATATACAGTCCGCGACAGAAGTTTTCATATAAAAATTAAATTTTTTTTGATAAAAGAGCTCTTTTTTTTATTTCTATTAGGAATTTTTCAGGTTTTTTTGTAAATATTTGTTGAAGAATATGTTTGAAATGAAACTTTGGATTTGGTTTGCTGAAAAAAATATGTTTTTAAATTTAATGTTTATTTATCTTTAAAATTAAGAGGAAAAAAATGCGCCATAAATTTTAATATAAGCTTAATTAATTAGTTTGACATCGTTTTTTTTGCTAAATTTCTATTTTTTGTCAAGGTATTTAAGTTATTTTCCAATCCTGTTACCTTTGTTGGCAACAACTTGCCAAACTCTTTCTCCCATTCTTTTGTATAAATGTTTAACATATTGTCTATTATCTCTATTTATTTTTTCCACCTCTAATAGAATTTTGTCCCACAAATCATTGAGTGATTGACATCTGTCAATTTCATAAACGTTTTGTTTCAAATAGCCCTATAAATTTTCAATGGGGTTTAGATCTGGTGAATATGGAGGCCAAGGAAGGACTTGTATTCTGTTCTCCTCCAGTGTATCTCTTGTTACACTGGCAGTGTGTGGGGGTGCATTGTCCTGCTGCCAGATGAAGTCTTCACCAAATTTTCCCTTAACATTGGAAAAACTGTCCCCTGAATAAATTCAGAGTAAATTTCTCCATTGATGTTAGAGGGAAGTCTTTGGATGAAAACTTCACCATCTGAGGATATACACCCCCACACCATCACTCCTCCTCCACCAACAGGGAGCTTATCCCTATACAGTCTTGGACGATCATCCAATTGCCAGGTTAGCATATGGTCTGGGCCATCCAGAGAAAATCTGGACTCATCAGTAAATATGACTTTGTTAAAATTGATTTGTTCTTGAACCCATCTACCTACAACTTCGAAGCTAGTTCTTTTTTAGCCCTTGCTGTTAAAGGGCAAATTTTGGGGATAGGCATGTAGCTTGCTCCATTCTCTTTCAGGATCCTTTGAATGGTCCTTTTTGAGATTTCCAGCCCTAAATTTCTCTTTATTTTGCTTGAGGTTGCAAGCTCTTTTTTTTCTTGTAGTCTTCCGCATTCTCTTTTTATAAGATTTTTCACTCTTTCACTTACCTTTGAAGGTCTACCCATTCTTTTAGGTTGTTCTTCCCTTCTCTCCCTGAGAGATGACCTAGGGATATTCAGGTCAACTGAAAGCCTGTCATAGGTCATCTCTGTTTTTTTTCATCTTGCCAGCTCTCTAATTTGTGGATGATACTTCATCTTAAAAAATAATTTTAAGGATTTGTCTTCTAAAACGTAATTGTTCGAAATTCGAATGTTTTATAAGTTTTTTAGACAAAAAACATCCTTATACAGATACTTATGGCGCATTTTAAATTATATAGGATTATTGCAAAAAAATACATGTTGTCTAAAATAAAAAAAAAATATGTTCTAGAAAGGTGAAAAAAAGAAATATTGTATATACATATATACAATATATACATTAATAGATAAAATGTACAGCGTATTGACATTGTCACATTAACATTGTCGATGCTCTAATAAACAATTTTAGAATCAAGATAAAATATCTTCTATCCTGTTGTATGGTTTTAACTTCCTATTTTATCGATACCTTAAAACTGATATATAATTGTTATTATCATTTTCCATTAGAAAATTCATTAAAAAAACCTACAATTTATAAGAAAACAAAGCTTTTTCAGCTTATCCTCTTATCAAATTATACAAAGAGCAGTCATCCTTCTCTTACTCTCTCTCTCTCTCTTCTTTTAAGAAAGCTCTATTAACATACGATACAATGAATTATATTTCTTTTCTCTATAAATAAAGAATATGTGATATAAGATTTAACTTACAACATTCGTACTGCTATTTATAATATACCTACTGCCCCAGAATTCCAGTTAAATTTAGTTTATTGAACTAGTGTGATCCTTAGGCCTATCTCACTATTGAATGGAAAAACTTTCGACTTGTACGTAGGCATTTCACGATATCTCGACCTTTTTCATAAAATATATAATGAAATTCACTGATTTTATTAAAGTTAATGTCTAAAATTTTACTAATTGACACAATATCTCAATTAGTCCTATTGTACACTTTTCTTCTGCAAAATACCATATAATTATAGTCTAATGAAACTATTTAATATTTTAAAAAATATATCTATTAGCGTTTTCTTTAACCTATATTTGTGGATTTTTCTTGTCACCCCGTTTTCATAACGTCATTCTGTAAAGGCTTATTTTATGCTTTGCTTCGGAAATGAAAATAGCGCCATCTAGATCATATGTTATAAACAACGAAATTTCTCAGAATTTCAGATACATTTGCGAACTGCTACGAACACATTGAAAATATAAGGATGAAGTCATACCAAGGTAATCTATATATAAATTATATTTAGTTGATTATTTGATAACTTCTTAACTACCATGCTAATAACAGTGAATGGTAATGATGGAAAAAGAGAGACAAATTCTAAACCAGATAATATAGAAGAAGAAACAACCGAGAAAAAAGAGGCGAAAATGAAGGAAGAGAAGGAAGAAAAACAAAAACAAGCAAGTCTAAGATCATTGGTAAGTATATTTATTTTCAAATAATTAACTTAAAAAAACCAGTTTTCTAAGAGTTTAATTAACTGTTACTTTTAATTATAGTACCGATATGGGAAGGCAGTTGATTATTTATTTGTTGGTATAGCACTTATCTGCAGTATTGGAAGTGGTGTATTGCAACCAGTAATGTTTCTACTCTTTGGAGAGATGACAAATTCGTTCGTAGAAAATGCTGGTCAAAATACAACCGAAGAGACGAAACTAGCGCAGGATAGACTAACAGATGATATGAACAAGTTTACAATTTATTTCTGTGGATTTGGCGCTGGAAGTTTCATTTTAAATTATATACGATATCTCTTCCTATTAAATATATCATATAAAATCAGTAGTCGAATGAGAAGTGCATTGTTTACAAGTCTTCTTCATAAGGAAATAGAATGGTTTGATAAGAATGAAATTGGTACGCTAAATTCAAGATTAGTAGGGTAAGTTTTGTTTTTTTCAGTTTCTTTATTTACAAAATTCCTACAAGCGTACAAGTTTTCATCAATCGATATTCGCCATATATGGGCAATAATGATTTATAAGAGAGTAGAACACTAGGTCGAATGCAAAATTCGGCCGCCAGGATCGCATGTCTCAAGAACGCTATACGCCTAGTGACTAGAACTGTAGGTCACATCTGACAAAAGTAGGATATATAATACGTAGGGGAGGGGAAATAAAGCTCAAAACTGTTAAACCATTCAATAATCTTATAATGCAAATTTGCATAAGTATCTGTAATTTATCATTGATAATAAAAGCAATAGAAGATATAAAATACAATGATTGCTTTATCTTAAACAACTTTCTTGAAATTTTAGTGATATTAATAAAGTTGAAGAAGGGATTGGAGACAAAGTCGGAACAATATTTGCTGGACTATCAGGCTTTATTGGAGGATTCGTTATTGCTTTTGTAAAAGGATGGAAATTAACATTAGTTATTCTGGCTACAACCCCGATTATAGCAATACTGGGAGCAGCAGTATCAAAGGTAATCATACATAATTTACCCAATTTGAAAGAAGATAGTAAAATCGTTAATCTTTAAAAAGTTGTCAGCGATTCTGGCACAAAAAGAATTACAAGTCTACAGCAAAGCGGGTGCAGTTGCGGAACAAGCTATTAGTAATATAAGGACCATTTCCGCTTTCTCTGGACAGCAAAAAGAAGCGGCTCGATATGATCAACAATTAGGAAAGGCAAAAAAATTTGGAATAAAAAAAGGGCTTGCCACTGGAATATTTATGGGCTCATTCAACCTAGCCTTTTTTGGAATGATGGCTTTAGCTTTGTGGTACGGTGGAAAACTATACAGAGACGAAGGCTTAAAAGTCGGAGATACTGTTACTGTTTTCTTTTCGGTCCTTTTAGGAGCCTTCTTTTTGGGATTATTGGTAACAAAAGATATTTTTTTCTTTAAAAAAAATTGTTCAAATCAATTTTATATATTCAGGGTCCAGCACTTGAAGCTTTAGCATCCGCTCGTGCTGCTGCATACGCCCTATATCAAATAATAGACTCCAAATCAACCATAGATAGCAATTCTAAAAACGGAAAGAAGTCAAAGATTCAAGGAAATATTGAATTTCGTAATGTCAAATTTAGATATCCTACTCGTCAAGAAATACCAGTTTTAAATGGTGTCAGCTTTCAAGTTTCAACTGGAGACACCATGGCACTAGTTGGCAGTAGCGGATGTGGAAAATCAACTTCTGTTCAACTTTTACAACGATTTTATGATCCAGAAGAAGGAGAAATACTTCTTGATGGCGTCAATATCAAAGATATCAATGTTGGTTGGTTGAGAGACCATATTGGAGTTGTTTCCCAAGAACCGATACTCTTCGATAATACAATTAAAGAAAATATTCGCCTTGGAAGAGAAGGAGTAACCGACGACGACATAGAAAAAGCTGCGAGAAACGCAAATGCTTACAACTTTATTACGAAATTACCTTATGGTTTTAATACGAATGTTGGTGAGAGAGGAGCTCAACTCTCTGGAGGACAAAAACAAAGAATAGCAATCGCCAGAGCACTCGTTCGAAATCCTGTTATCCTCCTACTAGACGAAGCAACTTCCGCTTTAGACACTGAAAGCGAATCAATTGTTCAGGATGCTCTGAATAAAGCTTCGGCAGGTAGAACAACCATTGTTATTGCTCATAGATTATCGACTATAAGGAATGCAAATACTATATGTGCATTTGATAAGGGACACATTGTTGAAAAAGGTAATCATGATGAACTGATGAAAATCGAAGGAGGAATCTACAACAAATTGGTTACAGCTCAACAATTCAAGGATGAAGAAGAAAAGACAGACGATGATTTCAGATCTGATGATATTGACATAGAATATCAATTCAAGAGACAAAAAAGTAATGGTAGTAATAATAGTAGGAGAGGAAAACACGGACTAACATCCATGACAAGTATAAAAGATGATGAAGTATTGGATGACGAAGAAGGAGATGTGGCACCTACTCCTTTCTTTCAAATATTAAAGTTAAATGCTCCTGAATGGTGTTGGATATTGGTAGGCGTTTTTGGAGCTCTTATCACTGGAGGGGTGAATCCTGTCTTTGCAGTATTATTTGGAGACGTAATTAAAGCTTTTACGAAAGAGGACTCAGAGCAAAAGAAAGAAATAGCTCTATATTGTGGGCTATTCGCAGGAATTGGAGTACTTGCTGCTTTATCTAAGGTTGTGCAAGATTGGGCATTGGCAGTGTCTAGTGAAAAATTAACTTTAAGATTACGAAAAAAGACATTTCGAAGTATAATAAAACAAGATATCTCCTATTTTGACGATCCTAAAAACTCAACAGGCGCCATAACAACCAGGTTATCAGCTGATGCTTCAAGTGTTCAAGGAGCAGCTGGTGTTCGTCTAGGAACATTTGTTCAATCTTTTGGAGTTTTAGGAATTGGTGTTATTTTGGCCATGTACTACAGCTGGAAGTTAACGCTTGCTATAATTGCATTTGTACCCTTGCTTATCCTTGGTGGAGCAATGGAAATGATAATCATGTCTGGAATGCATGGAAAATCGAGTAAAAATCTCGAAGAAGCTTCGAAAATTTCCACACAATGTCTGTCAAACATTCGAACTGTTGCTCAGTTGTGTAAAGAAAAACATTTCGCACTTGCTTATAAAAAAACCCTTCAGTCGGAACAAGCATCCAAGATGAAAAAAATTCATGTCATTGCATTTGGTTTTAGTATCAGCCAATCTGTGATGTTTTTTGTATTTGCTGCTACATTTGCATTTGGAACATATTTGATTAAGAACGATAACATGTCATTTGACGAGGTCTTCAAAGTATTTGGTGCCATCGCTTTTGGAGCTCAATCAGTTGGAGAACTGGCTTCATTTGCGCCAAATTATGGTAAAGCTCGTATCGCGGCGACTCGTCTCTTTAGAATTTTTGCACGACAACCACTCATCGATAGTTCCTCACCTGATGGTAAAAAACCATCCACAGTATCTGGTGTAATTGAGTTCAAGGATGTCTTCTTCTCCTATCCGACTAGACCCAACGCTACTGTTTTGAAAGGCTTGAACATTAAAGTAGAACCTGGTCAAACTTTAGCTCTCGTTGGTAGCAGTGGATGCGGAAAGAGTACATCGGTTTCCCTCCTCGAACGATTCTACAATCCATTTAAAGGCGTCATAGTAAGTAGTGAAATGTTTTCTATCAATAGAACAAAAAGAAAGTGTTACATTCTATTTCGTTCTAACGACAATTTTCTTTCTCAGACACTTGACGGCGTTGATTTAGAGAGTTTAAACATTTCTTGGCTTCGACAACAAATTGGTCTCGTCCAACAGGAGCCAATTCTTTTTGATTGTACAATCAGAGAAAATATAGCGTATGGTGATAACTCTCGAGAAGTTCCTATAGAAGAGGTTATCGAGGCTGCTAAAAAGGCCAACATTCACAATTTCATATCAAGCCTACCTCAGGTATTTTTATTGATTGTCTTTAAAACTGTATAGAATATTGTTATAACACTTTGATACGATTTCTAGGGATACGACACTCCAGCTGGAGATAAAGGAACACAACTATCTGGTGGTCAAAAGCAGAGAATTGCCATAGCTAGAGCGTTGGTGAGAGAACCAAAGATAATGTAAGTAAACGATAAAATAGAAGTGAGATTGTAAGTAGATAAGAAAGAAATCTAAAGGAAAAATTGTATTGACAGACTCCTTGACGAAGCAACATCAGCATTGGATACAGAAAGTGAGGCGATCGTTCAAGAAGCTTTGGATAAAGCAAGAGAAGGTCGCACGTGCATAACTATAGCACATCGTCTAAGCACAATAAGAAATGCAGATTGTATAGTTGTTATCTCGAATGGAAAAGTCTCAGAAATAGGAACACATAGTGAGCTGATGAATGCTAAAGAATTCTATTATACTCTCGTAAAGAGGCAAGAAGCTGCGAAATAAACCTATCAGCACTTGTTTATTAACGATACATTGTATTTGATCTCATTCCGTAACAAATCACTAAAATTTTTCTATGTTTTATGTTTGTTTTGTCTTTTTTTTTAAATTTTTGATAAAGAAAACCTTGAAAACGTTTTAACTTGCCGCTGGTTTATCATCATTTGTGTCTGTTGTGCATTGTCTATTCTAACACTCTGAATAGTTTTATTAAGGGAGATCAGTGGATGAATTTATTGCGTAATATGAAAATTCGTCTTTCTTTTTTAATTTTAATTATTATAGATAAATAAGAAGAAATAAAAGTTATGTAGGATCTTACTGATAAAGTTCTCATAATAAAAATAGGTTTGAAAGCTATTGCTGTCCATATTTATGTCAGTAACGTAAAGCCTGTGTAATTTCATCAAAGGCTAATTGCAGTATTTAAAAAGTACTATTTCAACAGAGGCTATTTAAATTATCTAGTAATCCAAACTCTTCTTGACTTGATGGCGAAGTATAAAAATAAAGAGAGGGTATGGTTTTTCCACAAAGTGGAATTTGTTGGATAACTTGAATGTCTATGAGTCATCATTACTTTTGAGAGAAAAATTGTCCTTTTATTTACTTTAAACTGTTAGTATGGATTATTTGAGAATGTAAAGTTTTATTATTTATATTCTATTATTTTTAAATATATGAATATATTTTTTGACTTTAGATTAACGTTTGCGTAAGACGCAGAAAAATTGAGAACTGTAGGCCCTCTTTAGCCTATATGAAAGACCATTGGCTGACGACGATTGTATCTACGAGAAAATCGTTAGACGAAAAGTGCAGCGCCCTCTGGACTATTTACTATATCAAAGTATATTTGTCGAAATTCAACTAAATGGGCAAATGAGTCGTAATTTTATAGCTCCCGAATCAAATATGACATCAAATGCAGGTAAAAATATCATTAATAGTTCTATAGCAAATTAGAAATCGTTGAATTAATGTGTTTTTGTAAAAATTTTCACAAAAATAAATAAACAATAACAGGAAATATATTTCATAAACAGCTAGCGATGAATCAAATATGTTAAAAAACGGTCAAAAGAGACTTACAGATGAAGAATTAGACGATGTTAGCTTCAATAACGATAATAATGGTGAAAAGGAGACAAATGAAAAAAAGAAGGAGGAATTAAAACAAGTTTCATTATTAAAGCTAGTAAGGTTTTGTTTTCCTATACTATATATAATTGAGCATTATAAGCAAGTAGATAGATATGTAAAATATCGAATGTTCCTATAATTCTAGGTTTCATGATGTTTGTCCACTTTCTTCTGTTGATCAGAAGGTGTATTCTCTACGATAATATATACATTTTAATAATTCTATATACAAACAGTATCGTTACGCAACTTCAACGGATTTTATAATTATGGCAATTGCAATACTATGTTCAATATGCGGTGGAGCTTTGCAACCGTTAATGTTTCTATTTTTTGGCGATATGACAAATTCATTCGTTGAGACTGCAATGAGCAATACTACCACAGATGGTAAACTTCCGGTGGATAAACTTATTGATGATATGAAAACATTCACAATATACTTTTGTGCATTTGGCGCAGCAAGTTTAGTTTTGAATTATACCAGTTACGTTTGCCTCTATAGTGCAGCTTCGAGGATTTGTGTAAAGATTAGAAATTCTCTATTTGCCAGTCTTTTACGTCAGGATGTCTCTTGGTATGATGTAAGTGAAACTGGTGAATTAAGTTCAAGATTAACAGAGTATGTATAACGTATTTTCATCAATCCATTGATCTATAAGAGATGTAAATATGATTAAAACAAAGATAACAATCAAAGATAGTGAACTGATAAAATTACTATTAATTTAAATATTCCATATGGTTTTACATATTTTTTTTGGCTTCAGTCTGTAAGTTTTAATAGATCTATAGTCTTTAATGTTTTGAAATAACGCAATTCTCTTTCGTAAATTGTTTTTACCGATAGGTTCGCATTTTACCTATTCAAAAAGTAGGCCTTTAGAATTGGAATTTCAGGTCGCCTTTTATATTACTATATTAGAAATCGCCGCTTTCAGATTTTTCTTTCACGAGTATCCATGTGAATCACTAATTGCGTGTACGATTGCATCAGATGAAAAACAGAGTCAATACATTACGCAATCATACATGACATATCTTGTAATAATATAATGTATATAGTATACTTTATATAATAGTTTCATCGATAGATATCTGTAAACTTTAATTAATAAAATGCTTTATAATCTATAGTGATATTAATAAAGTGGAAGAGGGAATTGGAGAAAAGGTTGCAGTGATATTTGGAGGTTTAGCTGGATTTGTCGGCGGCTTTGCTATAGCTTTTGTTAGAGGATGGAAACTAACTTTGGTTATTTTAGCTGTGAGCCCGATAATAGCAATTATGGCAGGTATCATTGCAAAAGTTAGTATTCCTTCAAAAAGTCTGTTTGAAAGGAATTATAAAACGTCAACATTTTTCAGCTAACTACAGTACTAACTCAAAAAGAGCTAGACGCTTACGCAAAAGCTGGAGCCGTTGCCGAAGAAGTGATAAGTTCGATAAGGACGGTTACTGCTTTTTCTGGTCATCAAAAAGAAACAATAAGATACACGAAAAATCTCACAACTGCTAAAAATTTTGGAATTAAGAAAGGTATGGCAACAGGAACACTAATGGGATCATTTAACGTTGTACTTTTTGGAATAATGGCATTGGCTTTCTGGTATGGAGCAAAGCTTGTTAGAGATGACGGCTTGAAAGCTGGAGATATTGTTACAGTTTTCTTTGCGGTAGTAATAGGAGCATTTTCAATAGGATTAATGGTAGTTTTACATACAAAATACTATAAAAAAACATCACTTTACTCTAAACACGAAATTTTTATAAAATCAAAAAGGGACCAAGTATACAAGGATTATCATCAGCTCGCGGCGCAGCATTCATTGTGTATCAGATGATCGATCGCAAATCCGAAATAGACGGCCTTGAGAAAGATGGCCAAACACCAAATATAACCGGAAATATTGAATTTCGTAATATCAAATTTAGATATCCCTCTCGTCTAGAGGTAACAGTTTTAAATGGTGTCAGCTTTCAAGTTTCAACTGGAGACACCATGGCACTAGTTGGCAGTAGCGGATGTGGAAAATCAACTTCTGTTCAACTTTTACAACGATTTTATGATCCAGAAGAAGGAGAAATACTTCTTGATGGCGTCAATATCAAAGATATCAATGTTGGTTGGTTGAGAGACCATATTGGAGTTGTTTCCCAAGAACCGATACTCTTCGATAATACAATTAAAGAAAATATTCGCCTTGGAAGAGAAGGAGTAACCGACGACGACATAGAAAAAGCTGCGAGAAACGCAAATGCTTACAACTTTATTACGAAATTACCTTATGGTTTTAATACGAATGTTGGTGAGAGAGGAGCTCAACTCTCTGGAGGACAAAAACAAAGAATAGCAATCGCCAGAGCACTCGTTCGAAATCCTGTTATCCTCCTACTAGACGAAGCAACTTCCGCTTTAGACACTGAAAGCGAATCAATTGTTCAGGATGCTCTGAATAAAGCTTCGGCAGGTAGAACAACCATTGTTATTGCTCATAGATTATCGACTATAAGGAATGCAAATACTATATGTGCATTTGATAAGGGACACATTGTTGAAAAAGGTAATCATGATGAACTGATGAAAATCGAAGGAGGAATCTACAACAAATTGGTTACAGCTCAACAATTCAAGGATGAAGAAGAAAAGACAGACGATGATTTCAGATCTGATGATATTGACATAGAATATCAATTCAAGAGACAAAAAAGTAATGGTAGTAATAATAGTAGGAGAGGAAAACACGGACTAACATCCATGACAAGTATAAAAGATGATGAAGTATTGGATGACGAAGAAGGAGATCTAGTACCTGCTCCTTTCTTTCAAATATTAAAGTTAAATGCTTCTGAATGGTATTGGATAGTTATGGGAGTTTTTGGAGCATTAGTTGCTGGAGCAGTAACGCCTGTCTTTGCTGTTATTTTTGGAGAACTTATGAAAGTTTTCACAATGGAACCAGCCAAACAGAAGAAAGAAATTGCTTTTTACTGCGGAATGTTTGTAGTTATGGGAGTTGTTTCCGGATTAGCTAAGTTCATACAAGATTGGTTTTTGGGAATATCCGGTGAAAAATTGACTATGAGATTACGACATAAAACTTTTAAAAGTCTAATGAGACAAGATATATCCTATTATGACTATCCCAACAATGCAACTGGAGCAATCACTACAAGGCTATCAACTGATGCTTCAAGTGTCCAAGGAGCTACAGGTACACGTATAGGTGCAATTAGCCAAAGTTTTGGTACACTAGGCATTGGGTTGATTTTAGCATTTGTATTCAGTTGGAAATTAACTCTAGCCATCCTAGCATTTGTACCCTTGCTTATTCTTGGCGGAGCAATGGAAATGGTTGTTATGACGGGTATACAAGGAAAATCAAATAAAAATCTTGAGGAAGCATCGAAAATTTCTACACAATGTCTGTCAAACATTCGAACTGTAGCTCAGTTGTGTAAAGAAAAACATTTTACTCGAGAATATAGACGGTGCTTGGATTCAAACCTAAAGTCAAAATTAAAAAGAGTTCACTTGATTGGATTGGGTTACGGCATCAGCCAATCTGTGATGTTTTTTGTATTTGCTGCCACATTTGCATTTGGAGCTTATTTGGTTAAGAACGATAACATGTCATTTGAAGTGATCTTCAAAGTATTCGGTGCCATTGCTTTTGGAGCTCAATCAGTTGGAGAACTGGCTTCATTTGCGCCAAATTATGGTAAAGCTCGTATCGCGGCGGCCCGTCTCTTTAGACTTTTTGTACGACAACCACTCATCGATAGTTCCTCACCTGATGGCAAAAAACCATCCACAGTATCTGGTGTAATTGAGTTCAAGGATGTCTTCTTCTCCTATCCGACTAGACCCAACGCTACTGTTTTGAAAGGCTTGAACATTAAAGTAGAACCTGGTCAAACTTTAGCTCTCGTTGGTAGCAGTGGATGCGGAAAGAGTACATCGGTTTCCCTCCTCGAACGATTCTACAATCCATTTAAAGGCGTCATAGTAAGTAGTGAAATGTTTTCTATCAATAGAACAAAAAGAAAGTGTTACATTCTATTTCGTTCTAACGACAATTTTCTTTCTCAGACACTTGACGGCGTTGATTTAGAAAGTTTAAACATTTCTTGGCTTCGACAACAAATTGGTCTCGTCCAACAGGAGCCAATTCTTTTTGATTGTACAATCAGAGAAAATATAGCGTATGGTGATAACTCTCGAGAAGTTCCTATAGAAGAGGTTATCGAGGCTGCTAAAAAGGCCAACATTCACGATTTCATATCAAGCCTACCTCAGGTATTTTTATTGATTGTCTTTAAAACTGTATAGAACATTGTTATAACACTTTGATACGATTTCTAGGGATACGACACTCCAGCTGGAGATAAAGGAACACAACTATCTGGTGGTCAAAAGCAGAGAATTGCCATAGCTAGAGCATTGGTGAGAGAACCAAAGATAATGTAAGTAAACGATAAAATAGAAGTGAGATTGTAAGTAGATAAGAAAGAAATCTAAAGGAAAAATTGTATTGACAGACTCCTTGACGAAGCAACATCAGCATTGGATACAGAAAGTGAGGCGATCGTTCAAGAAGCTTTGGATAAAGCAAGAGAAGGTCGCACGTGCATAACTATAGCACATCGTCTAAGCACAATAAGAAATGCAGATTGTATAGTTGTTATCTCGAATGGAAAAGTCTCAGAAATAGGAACACATAGTGAGCTGATGAATGCTAAAGAATTCTATTATACTCTCGTAAAGAAGCAAGAAGCTGCAAAATAGCATTGTAGGTTTTAGTGAAGTAAAAATTGTAAATATAAAATTCCACTGAAAAGATGTCAACAGCCTTATTTTAACTGAGATAATTTAATATGTATATCTATTATCACTTTTCAACACAACGTAAACACCACTGAATGTTCTTTTAAAGTATTGTTTATGGAGAATACAGTATATGCTTTTGAAAGAATCAACAAATCGTGTTAAATTTGTAACTTGGTTTATATATGATTTATTTAGAAAAATTTAATATAGAAATTATCAAAAAATGGAAGATAAATATGCCATAAAGGCGATTAAGATGGGTATTTTTAACTTCATTTTTAATTTTTTTACATATTTTACAAGTCTTTTTAAATAAAAATAGCTAAATTTTTAATAACACCGGTACTGTCTTTTGTTCAGTTTAGTTTGTTTTAAGTACATTTAGTGTGTACAAACAGCTGATTGTTGATTATACAATCGCAGTTTATCCAGTACAGCCGTTATTTCTGCATCTAATGTCGCCAATGAAGATCTCATTGCGTTTAGCTGATTCTTCTGGTTATTGAAGTCACTTAATAATTCTGATAGTTGAAAAAAAGAATATTATTAAATGATTATTGAAAATTGAAAATTATTATTAAATTATATAATTACTTTGTACTGTACTGATATTATCAACTTGCTGTATTTGATCTTTTATAAGTTGGAAATTTGTTTCAATTTTGTCTAAACTCTCAGTATTCTTTTTAGTAATGTCTTCTGATATTTTCATTTCGGCAGTAGTATTTTGTAGATTAGTCTTAATTTGTTTTTGTAACTATTTGTTAAGAAAGAAGAGAAAATTAAATTGATTAATTGATATTGATATTTTAAGTGTGATGTTAATGATTTACTTTTTATATTACTTACAGTCTCGATTGATGATAATTTCTTTTCATTTTCTGAAATTTTTGCACTTTCAACTGATATTTTGTTCTTTTGAGATAAAAATTTATCTGATGTTTCCTTAATAGTTTTCATGGCGACACCTATGGTACTTTGTGTATTTTTAGCTAAAGTTGAATGCGCCGATGCTTTGTCATTTGCTTTGTTAATTGATTGAAGAATTGTTGTGTTTACATTGTAGATATCAGTTTTTAATTGTTCAACTTCTCCATTAATAATCTTTGTTTGTTGGAGGTTACCTTGAATCCTTCTCATTAGTTCTAATGCTTTATGAGATTCTTCACTGAAATTATAAATATATGTATTTATTACAATTTATATACAATAGTTTACTTACGTCGCTTCCTTTGTTATTTTATTAGCAACGTCAGCTCTTGTCAGTCCATTTTTTGCCCCATTAATAGTTGCTTCAACTTCAGATTGGGAGACAGCTGCTTTACTTATATCAGTGGCTATGTTTGTCATTTCAGCTATAGACCTTAAATTAATACTCTGTATTTGAGAAGATAGTTTTTGACCTTCGGTTATATTCTGATCAACGGCCTCCGAAAAGAGTAAACCTGTTGCTATATCCTCTACAGCTTTGGTCAAGTCAGATTTAGCTTTATCGGCGACGTTTGTTTTAAAGTCAGACGTTGCACTTTTGGCTATGTTAGCTGACCTTTGGCTTTCAGTTGAATTAAATTTAATTATTTGACTTTCGGATAATTTGCTTTTCATATTATTTAATTTATTATTTGCTATCGTTTCGGCTTGTAGGACAGTTTTGTTTGTAGTTTCTATTGCAGCTTTTGCTTCATTTACCAAATCTTGTATATCTTTGGTTTTACTAACAAACGAAACTGTGATAATATTTGTAAAATTCTTAATTTTATCATCATTATTTTCGTATTCTGCTATGAAAGACGGTCCAATTAGCTTAATGACATCTTCTTCATTCGACTTGGCCTGATTTAAAACACCCATAGCATCTTTGACCATTTTTTGTAAACCTTGGGCTGATCCATTTGATAATCTAATAACTTCTGTCATATTTAATATATCGTACCAGGATTTTACAGTTTGTTTTTGAATAGAGTTGACATTATTTTCAGCTTTTTCCGCTTCGGCATATACGGCATCAGTTGAATTTTTCTTCCCGTTAATTGTAAAAGTTCCGTCAAAGACTTTGGATTGTGCTAATTGTTTTTCAACATTTTCAGTATGATTCTTAATTTGTTCCAGTTGACTGTTCAATGTACTGATATCCTTTAATATGCTATTATATCCCGTATCTAACATGTTCAATTCAGAGATAACTTGTTGAGCTAGTTTAATACTTGATTGAGTATCTGATATGTTATTTCGAATTTCTAAGAGTGTTGGATGAACCTTATCGTAAGTTAGATTATCTATTAATAGAAAAGATAATTGATAAATCATATTTTACTGGTAATTATTATCATAATTAGTATACCATATCGAGACCATATGTTCAATAATAAATTATAGGTATTATCTATATCTTTGCCCAGTTTATCAATTTTTCTCGCCCAGTTATCAAAGCAATTGTCTTTACCAGCACCGCACAATTCACATTCGGGATAAGTACCTTTATAAACTCCCTCAACGTATTTGTAAGAAACTGTTGATAATTTAATTTTGATCAGTTACTTCAATTAGAAAGTTTAATGTTAGTTAGTTCAATTACATATGGTCCCTTTGGCACATTTTTCGCAAGTTCTTCCTATTATACCAGGTAGTTTGCAAGTACATTGACCAGTTTTTAGGTCACATTTTCCAAAGGTTTCACCTGTTATATTTTTTGTGCCTTTCTCTTCGCATTTGCATGCTAAAAATAATCAATAATAAAATATGATATTCATTATCAACTAATAAATTCACTGTCTAAACTAACCATCACAGCCAGTAAGTACGTTTATATTCCAATAAGTATCTTGACAAACGTTGCATGCTCTACCTCCAACTTTGTCTCGACAAGTACACTGACCAGTTTTTACATTACAACCAATTCCCAGTGCACCTACTTTATCGCAATCGCAATTTGAACAACCGACACCGCTTGAATAGTTATATGTATTAGGAACGCATTGGTCGCAAAGGTAATTTTCAACATTAGTTTTGCATTCACATTTTCCATCTCTTTGATTGCAGCCGCCAGTAGCGCCTTCTCCATTGCAGTGATCACACTCTATTTATGAATGCTCCATATTAAATAAATATATATTAATAGTACAATATTTGTCTTACTTTTGCAATCATACGTCATAGCATCACCGTAATAAAAAGGCGCACATTCATTACATTCCTTTCCAGCTGTATTGTTCCTGCAATCATTACAGATACCCGTTATACTATTACACGAGTCAGCCCTATTATTGCACTTGCAGGGTACACATTTTCCGTTGTTGTTCTGCAAATATTTATGAATAGTTTTATATTATTAATTGGTGAAAAGTTATTTTATTGAAAACTTACCGAAACATCTGTCGGAATACCGTAGAAACGATTATCTAAACATTTTTCGCAATGATCACCATCGTGTCCCTCAGTACAGTTGATACATTTGAAACCATTCAAGGCAGTACCATCCATTGTACAAACTTTAGCAAATGAATTCAAATCCGGCTTAACAACATTCCCGGGACATAGACAAGGCTTACAGGCGTCTGGGTTATTTTTCCCCTGTTAGAGTTTATTTTTGAAAGTATTAAAAGAATAATTTACAAATGAATGAATAGGCGGTACCTGAGTACTATCAGGATCTCCATAATAACCATCTTTGCATTTTTCACAATGGTCACCCATTGTGTTATGTTGGCAATTACAAATACCCGTTTCCGGATTGCATTTATCATTACCTATCTCATGTCCATTACACTCGCAAGGTACACATTCAGTAAATGGTCCACCATTATTTGTTTTTCTTGTAAAACCGGGTGAGCATTTCTCACAAAATTGACCTGTATAGCCTGATTTGCAACTGCAACTTTCTATATTATTTATTGAAGTATTAGTAGCCTCAACGTTTTCTGTCACAGTTTGGTTAAAGACCCCAAATTTCAGCTCAGCAGCGTACAGAGTTGTTACAGCGTTCGTTGCCTATTGAATATCTTGTTTACTTTGCAATTAAACAACTGTTTAAAGATAATTACATTTGTGAACTTAGCTCTTATGCATATGGATTGAATTGTGGATAAAGTTTGCATCATTTCAACGTAAGTTGCTTGTTTCCCATTCTCAGTATCAACTTTCCAATAGTCTTCGTGAAGAGTGAACTATTAAGTTATTAATATAAAAAGACAATATAATGTTTAAAAGGTCAATATCAATGTGTCTTAAATAGATACATACTGTATACTCTGTTTGATCTGTTCCAGGAATGTTAGGTAGATTAGCCACCAATTTAAATTTACTGTATTTCCCTTTGATAATGACGTCACCGTCATTTACAGTTATATTCTCGTAGGTTGAATTTACTGGTTGAGTAGGGATATTATAGCTCAAAGTAAATTTGAAAGTTCTTCCGTAAGCTGATCTCTTGTCACCTGTATATTTTTTTGTGCTATTAAAGTACAATTTTTCAAATGGTAAGTTTGGTCCTTGATTTACAATTCTCATGACAAACCTATTGGAAAAGAGTATCTAATATTATAAGGATTAGAATAGATGAATAAATACTGACTGAGCACCGTTATTTGAAATAATCGATTCTTCTTGAACATCTATTCTTTCAGCCTTATCATTTACACCTGTCCATTTTTCTTCAACAGCTGTTGGACCTAAAAGTAAATTCCAATTATTTCTAGCTATAGCTTCGAACCAATTTGTTGCTGTTGAACAATTCTGATTGTTTTCCTCCGCAAATCCAGAACAAAAACAAGGTGAACAACCCTTTTTCCCATAGTTTCCAAGTCCAAAAAAGCCTTTTGGACAAAGGTCGCATTTCTCGCCCGTTGCTTTTTCTTTACAGGCACAAACTCCCGTGTTTTTATTACAACTACCTAAGCTCACCGCCCCAAATTGATTACATTCGCAATCAGTACAAAAAGATTCGGTCAAGTTAAAGAATCCATTTAAACACTCCGTGCAATCTTTACCACCAATGCCTGGTTTGCAGTGGCATTGACCATTATCCATACACGAATTATTTAAAGCATACTTGAGATTACAAGTACACTTTTCACAACCTTTCCCCGTAAAAAGTCCCCAATGTTCTGCAATACAAGAATCGCATTTGGTTCCCGTTACATTAGCTCTACATTCGCAGATGCCGTTGTTATTGCACGCCGGCTTTACTGATCCTTTTTCGTGACAATTACAGGCTGTACAACCCTGGCCACTAGAAAATCCATAATGATTAACTTTACATTGTCTACAATTTCTCATTGTAACGCCCGGTTTACATGGGCACTGACCACCTTGACCATCACAAATGGAACTGGAGCTACCTTGAGGGTCACATGAGCAGGTAACTGAAAAAAATAATAATTTATTTAAAATATATAAAAGTGCTATTACGGTAGGTACAGACGTGGTTCATTGAGAAGATCTCCCATAAGAGTAAATCCAACGCTTGTGCAATTTTCAGTAGTTCTTTTCTTTAAATCCACTCCAAGAGAAGCGTCGAAGCATGTATTGTATTGGTTTTTTGTTTCATTATTCGCAGCTTTGTAAGGTTTTGTTTCTTCAATTAACGGAATAAAAACAATAGAATCTACTAAAAGTTTAGAGTTAGGTGGATTAGCAGCAGGTAATTTAAGACTGGTTTCATATGTCAGAGCTGAAGTTAAGCAGACAAGCCCAATTTTCAGAAAACGCAAATCAGACTTTAAATCTCCTGAAAGGGGAATAACATCCGCTGCTTTAATCTTTGTTGAATCATCAGGGCAATTATATTCTCCTGACCCTCCTTTGCCTCTCATTTCAATTTTAACTCCTTTCCATTCAACCGTAGATTTATATCGTATTATAACATTATACTTGAATAGTTTAGGAAGTTTAACATCGAATTTGATGCTATGGCTTCCTTCCATACTTAAGTAGCCTCTTCCTGTAATGGTACTATCTTGATCTCCATGACCTGTAACCTCAACAATATTGGCTTCTTGACCGTAATTTTCAGAATCAAAAATATAATAGTCAAGTTGGGGTGAAAAATATCCTTGCTCCGCTTCATTACACGTTTTACCCCTTATTCTACCATTTCTGCAACTGCAAAGACCATTATCTTTAGGGCAAACTGAGCTAACACTCCATCCCAAATTACAATCACAAGGCGTACAACCTTCTGGTTTACTTCCGGCTAATGAATAATAACCATCCTTGCATTCTTGGCAATTATTGCCTTGCACAAATTCTTTGCAGATACATTGCCCTACTTCTTTATCGCAAAGATTAGTATTATTTATTGTCCCATCTCTATTGCAAGTGCAGGATGTGCACCCTAAATTACTAGAACCAGACAATTTCCAAAAGCCATCTTTACATGTATCACATCTTCTACCGATAACATTTGTTTTGCATTGGCATTGACCTTGTAAAAACATTAATCTTTCAGTTGTTTAACATATGAAATATAATATACAATGAAACTTACCTGTTTTAACTTCACACGAATATCCACTACTTGCGACAGATCCTTCTTGACTACAATTACAAGCTAAGAAGATGTGATTTTTCAGATTAATTGTTTCCTAGAAGAAAGTAAATAATACTTACGAATGCACCATCTACTGCAATTATAGGCTGATATTTTTTAATAAAAATGGAAAGAATTAATATAAGTATTTTAAACTCCTATTTGAATATATTGTAAAATCTTACTAATCATTTTCGATCCTTCGAAACCTTCACAAGTTGAATCGCCCAAATTGATGCTTCCGTTTCTGATCAGTTTAATGTCGGGATTGACGTAATAATTTTTAACGCATAATTCACATTTATCTCCTGTCGTTTCAAATTTGCAATTTTTACAAACACCATATTTTTTATCCGGATCGTACGAACACGAATCTGCGTGTTCATTACAACCGCAGTCAATACATTCATTAGCCTGACTTTTTGCGCCAATTTTCCATGGTCTATTATTAAAAAGCGGTTTGCAAACCTCACAATTACTGCCCATAGTGTTATGAGCACATTTACATTGATCTTTCAAAGGACCTTCACATACATCGGAGTGACCAAAGCAACTACAATGACCAATCATTTCTAAATCGGCAATTGCGTAATAAGACGCTTTTGGTTCATCAATTTTTGATGGCTTGATTAGTCTTATTCTAATTGATGTTCCCGTGAAATGCTCTTGTAACATGACATTAGTTGCAAATTCATCTCCATATTCATAACCGGGGTTGTACTCTACTTGCTCAAGCCCTCTTCCCCAATTAGTGATAGTTCTCTTATCACCTCCAAAATATTCCTCCCTACATACAGGAATTTGAGCTTCGAACTGAGGTCCATTAACTACCTCTTCCTTCTTAAAACCATCTTTTTCAGGACAGAGATTGCTACACGAATCCGCATAACATCTTAAAGGCTCCCATCCCTTTTCTTTTGTTCGTAATATTTCAAGGATGGTACCCTTAGGTCTCATATCATATTTTTCCCCTTTTTGGGCTTGACTAACGCCAGGACTAACAAATATTCCTCTTATTTTTCGAATCAGAAATCTATTGGTTAAGTTGAGAATAATAAGTTGCTCTTCAGCAATTCCGCCTCCAATCTGATCATGATATTTGAATAATATTATAAAATACTGTGCCTTTATTATATAAGCTAAATGACGAAATGAAAGAGGCAGCTAACCTAAATACAGTATATATATATACAGTATATATATATATATATATATATATTGTATATACATATAGTGGCAGATGTGCTGACTGCCACAAATGCTCTGTTTATATATGAAAAGAGTTAACAGTACAAAATATCTATATAGAGTTTATATTGCAAAAGTATCCTGAATATGATGATGAATATTAGTCAAAAATATTTATAATATTGATTATCAATATACACAATATAACTTTATTCATTAAATGTATATTCATTTGTTTTATATAGATTTTTTATTCGTAATATTTGGTCCGTATAGGATAGGCTAAGCAATTCATCTATATGTAAATACTCTTCCTTTCTTAATGTGAACAAAAAGAAATCATTGAAAAATTGATTATTTTTTAAATATAGATTTGAATATATATATATATATGTATATTGATGTAGAAAATTTAAATAAATAATTAATAATGAGGGGCGAATGATTGGCCTTGTGAATATAAATACATTATTATTATTCATAGTTAATTAATTAGTTTATTTATAAATAAAAGTAGCAAAAATCTATGTACAATGAATACTATACACACATATATTGTATATATCTCTTGCGTATTGAAATTTATATAATGTCTATTCATGTTAAATTATCCAACAGTTTTTGTTTGAAATTCAATTAAATGAGAGTCTAAAATTATAAGTATTCTCTACTTCTTATGCTTCTTTCTTATCCTTAATTCAATTTATTTTTAAACATCTGGCGGTCGTTTTTATAGTTGTAACTATATTTATCTATAAATTTCTTTATGACTAAGATATAATGACGTAATTGTATTCCTATTTTAATACTATCGCCTAAATATTTTCATGATAGTTTTACGAGATATTATAAACTTTATATATGGAAATAAATAAGAGAGAAAGGAAGAACAATCATTTATCTTTTTATATCCTCCTTTGTTAAGCATTCATCATGCAATCTATTTAAATAGAAAAATGAAGTACGTACCTTAAGACTATTTCTACTTTGCCAATATGTATTTAACATGGGACTATCGAAGGTTATGTCTAAAATTTTATCATTCTTCCTATCGTACATATCCTTTTTTTCATGAAGATTATCCGTACCGTTACAGAAAAGGTCGTTCGCGTAATTTGCTGTAGCTGGATTATTCCAGTAAGGTTTTAGCGGCTCTTCGCTACAAGTAGATGATACTGTTACATCACCACTTATCATTAAGTTCCTCAATGGAGGATGACAATCCTTTGTTGGCGAGCACACTTGATTAGTTTTATGAAATAAGCCTATTAGAAGAAAAACTACAGAGGGAAATAATTGGTAAAACATTATTCACACTCTCCTGTAGCGGTTGAATTATTGACTGACTAACATCTGCGTTATTTTATAATTGTGAACCCGTTTAAAAATATTGATTGTTTTCTATTGATGGTGTTAAGTTATTTAAAAAGGATCTTTCGTGAATGATCATACGTTAACTAATGCTACTTTTTTATACAAAACGACTTCTAATAAAAGTTATACACTATATAACATGAATCATTCAAAAAAGAGCTAAAAGGAAAGTAACAAAATCATAAAAACAGTTTTTATCCTGATTATACTCTTTTTTTTTACCTTTTTTTTAAATATATATAATTCATTGATCTAGTTATATATATTTTAAATTCAATATAATAGATTACATTGAGTAAAAGATAGTAAAAGATCTAAGAGTCTCTGCATCTCAGATTTATGTATGTTGGAAGAGAAAAGATCCCTTTGCTATAATAAAATTCGCATATGATCCGGAATTTGTTACACCCGAATTTTCTGGCCTTGCTTGCAACTGCAATAAATTGCGAAAGTCCGTATTGTTATTATGAACGCCATCTACATTTGATTAATCTCCACTTGAGTTTAAAGTAGGATATCAGATGTATTCAAGTGTTATTAATATTTTAAGTGTTTCTTTACTAAAGAAGAGTAATCATAGCATATTTTATACGTATATATTAATATATATATATATATATATATATATATATATATGCAGAAAGAAAATAATAATAAGTACACTCTTGAAAGTGTACTTAAATAGAAAAAGTGGAATGATTTTCTCGTAAGGTGTCTCCACTGTAAAACATCAAATTTAACAACTAGTATCAAGCCTCCTCTTCATTGATCGTTTACCAATGGATAGCTTCAGGAGAGCAAAGAGCAAAATTTTCTGTTCTTAATCCATTAAAGTATACATAAACGTATTTTGTGTATATTAATTAGTAAATAATGAATATTTATAGACGGTATATTGTTTTTTCCATTGTAATTATGAAGATGGAATACTAAGAGGAATAGCTCTTTCTGCAACTTTCATCTTGTCAATCTAAAATTTCCATTGTCATAAGTAAGTTATACGTATAAGGTACATATACTGTATAATATGAATATTTGCAGTAGACATATAAAATATAACATATTTTATAGTCTACTTTTAACAGTATAATAGTCCGTTTTGCAGGAGCTAAATCCAGTTTGTACAGTAATACATCAAAACATAGAAATAAACAACAAATGGTATATACATACATATATACTTTAATAGGGTGATATTACATTATTATACATACCATAGTTATAGTTTTCTGTTGGATAATGTTGAAAGGTTGACCGTTGTATTGTTTGTTGTGTTGGGCGTGACATACCACAACTATTTATGTGAAACAGTTTACTAGTACAACAATACGGTTCATTCAATACATACATATCAAAGCAGTTGGCGTTGTTGTGACAGTTTGACTGATTCATACATGGAAAATGATTTACTTTGTTTAAAAAACAGTTTTGATGACAATTCATAGGAAAACTTGAATGGTGTACATACATTTTACTTTTATCGGGCTGGGGACAATTTCGACTCATAGATAGTCTTAGTGGTCTGCTAGTTGGTGAAATTCTATCCCTTAACTTATAAATTCTATTTAACATATAACTGTAATTAAGATCTTGAGTGAGTTGATTATCACATTGAATAGATTTATCATTTGGAGCAGCAGATGTAGTGTACTTCAGAGATTGTGGAAAATCATCTTTCAACGATTCCTTTTCCAGTTGCTCCTCTTTGTCGATGGTTTTCAGTGTTGATAAAATTTTATTAGGACCTTTATCAATATGGAAATTATTGGAATTTGCATGTGTGTCAAAAACATTTTGCTGATCTTTATTATCGTTACTCTCATTTAATATATGATCTCTTTCGTTAATTGTATTGTCTTCTTTTATTTCACATTCTTTTGAAGTATTTAACGTTGATGGGAATTTCTCATTTGCAGTAAGACTTTCTTTAAAATGTTGGACTTTTCCATCTGTGTTATAAAACCTTTGAAGAGTAGAATCTATGCTATTCTCTCGAAAAGAATGCCTATTTGAACCAACTTCTGGACTATCCGGAGTTGGAACTTGAACTGAATGTAAATTTTGATTCGTTTTTAAATAGCTTTTCATATCATTCCATTTATAAATAGAATTTTCGTTTCTATTGCGACCGATCGGTCGCTCAATAGACGATTCTACTCCATACCCAGCTTCTTTACGTAACTGTTTTACCCTTCTCGAACGAAGAGAATTTGGAGACTGTCTATATTTACTAATTTTAGAATCGGAAGCCAAATGAAAGCTATTTGCTGATTTGTTCAAACTTCTTCCGTCTTTCATTTTTTTCTGCCATACTCCTGATTTTCTGCTTTTACGATTATTCTCCGACAAATTCATTAAAGCATTAACATCCGCCTTTAGCCGATTAGCATTCGCTGTTACATTCGTTGTAGGTGAAGAAACTAATATATATATATTATTTTAATGTTATTTTGAAAGAATATTTGATATATTACAACCTCGATGAATTCGTAATACATCACTCCTAGTTTCTTCATTTATACAGTATTCTGTTGATGGAATCTTTCTATTATTCACCGTCTTATCATCTTTATTCCTTCTGAAAGCGTTAATTACCTGTCTGTATTTATTCATCTTCTTTGTCTGCTTGCTTTTTCTCTTAATATCTTCAAGATTATTATTAAAATTTGTTTTTTCGTACATTAAATTAAACCCATCATTTTTGTCTGTTAACTTGCCAAAGTCTTTAATTTTTTCAACATTTTTATCCTGTTTACATAATTTCGATACTAAACAAGGAAATAGGATAAATATGATAAAATGGATAAAAAGAACTATTATAATTAACGATATAAACTCATAATCGCTATCCGTTAAACTTTCAATATTTTCATTCATAATTCTTTAATTCTTCTTTACAATTATTTTAAAATTCTTTAGTGATGTTTTTTCTTTATAAATATAAAACTAATGATACTAAAGTCGCATTATATCAGTTATTAGTATACTAAACTCATTTGCACCAATATAAGACATTTTATGGATGTGATTCAAGATCACCCTCATTATTGTTAGACGCAATTGCTACTTGCTTTTCAACCATAACTTCGATTGCAGTATAGTAAATATAATATAGTGTAGCTATGATAAGAGGGACGATGACGCTGACATACTAATACCAACTGAATATAGAACTTTAACAACTAACATATTAAAATCGGTACCGAATCACTTTATTGCAGGATACACAACTTTCTCAAAGTTTTATCACATGGTTTTATCGCGTGGCCAATGGTTGATATTGTGTTTTATGAAACTTGGAATTCAACCCACATTCTTCACAGAGGTGTTTCAAAACATTTCTTTCCTATTAAGGAGATATTCCCAACAAGATATCGTCCATATTGGAATTGGCTACCACCTGTTCCATTTAATTCTGAAAACATTGTATTATAAACATATAATACTTCACTTTCTCTTTGTGATAGTACAGCATGGAGTCACAAGAATCAGAGTATCCTTCACAAACATCCTAGGGTTATTCAATGTTCAGACTTATACCCTCACTTTCCATTCACATTTAAAGTTCAAGAAGGGCTATCTTGCATAGAAAATTTACAGAAAAATGGAAAAATTCTCCGGAGTTTTTTTTTTAATAAAACAAGCTAATTAAACTGTTTAATATTTTCATATTTTCGTAAAAAAACTTGCATTCTATCTAAAAAATAAACGTATTATTTAAATCGTTATTATTATTATATAGTGTCTTTAAATATGTTATAGGCTTAAGGGCTTTTTCTAAAGGGAAACTCCAATACATATTGTACAAAATAACATTAAATGTACAAATGCGTAAATGTACGAGTGTATGAGTGCTACTGGATCTGTCACAGCTCGTATTCCTTGGGTACCGATTGCCGTTTCGCGAACCACAGGTTCGTACATCCCGGCATCGTCTCTCAATCTCCATGTCGCGCCGTCCCCATTTAAGCCAACTATACAAACGAACAATCGTCGAGATGAGCAGTGTAAGCGCCTGGACAGGGAGGTCGGGAGCACTATCTGAACACAATATAAAACACAGGAGAGCCATTATTTTATAGATGTCACGTTGAACAGATCTTAATAAATTAAAGACGGATAGCCAATAAAGAATATCCGTATATACAAGTCAAAATCGTAGAACACGACATTTTGTACACAAATTTCTTGCTTTATTTAAATAGCTGTCTATATTAACTTAAAAAAAAGAATCAATTGAAAAAACTTGCTATTAAACAAAATGCAATTTTCACTGTCTATTTGAAAGGAAATAATTGAAAGACTAATAAATGGAAAAATTGGATTATAGAAATTACAATTATGTTATAAAAGTACTATGTCTTTTAATTGTTTCATCTAGTGGATTATTAATTGTTCATATACCTTTAAAGAGGTTTTTGACAGAGGAAGCACATATACCGAAATATATGAATAAATTCAACAATTTTAAATTTTCGGCCATTAAGAATGGTAATTCAATAGATCTGAATTCGAAATATTTTAAAACTTTTAGTTTTAATGATATTTTCAAATATTGGTTCGTTCCTAAGAAACTGAAAGATTCCTCTTTCCGAAAAGATGAATTTAAACCTGTTTTTAATAAAACAACATTCAGATGGTATTACGAACTGTTAGATATACTATTTCACACTTTAACTAAACAAAAAATACAGTATTTATTGTATTCTGGAACAATGATTGGTTCTCTTCGACATCATGGACAAGTACCTTGGGATGATGATGCAGATATATTTATTGCACAGGAAAATCGGAAAAAAACTATAAATATCTTAGAATCAATACCAAATTATATTGCTCCCCGTCATGGAAATTTAAATAAATTTTATAATATAGAACAGAGTCTATCTGTTCCTGGTTATTCAAAGAGAAAATGTGGCTGGCCTATGGTTGATATAATCTTCTACGAAACTGTTAACAGTACTCATATTTTGCATAGAGGAGCATCATTACATTTTTATAAGAAAAAACATCTATTTCCTCCAAGATATAGAGTATTTTGGAATTGGATATTACCAGTACCAAGAAAAGTTGAAAGTATAGTTGAAAAAACATATAAAACAAAATTATCTACTTGTCAGGATACAATATGGAATCATAGGAAACAAAATGTTCTACATGAACATCCGAAAGAAGTTAATTGTTCAAAACTGGAGCAATTCTTTCCATTTGTTCATAAAGTATTGAAGAATAAGGAATGCCGAGAAATCTTAGTTAAAGATCAGAGAATTTTACGGGATATTCCATGTTATTAATTTATTTTTATGCGAAAAAAGTAAGTAATTTGCAGTCTAAATATTAATGTTAAAAGAAGAGAGGGAGAGAGAGTTTAATTTATGCTAATCCTTTTAAGATAATAAACTAAAGATTAGTAATTATCGTTTAAATATTTTTTGCAGATATTAAATCATCTACTGTATAATCTTATCTATTTTTGACAATAAAAATCATCATTATTGACCTGATGGTCTTATAAATCTGTCAGACAGTGTTAAGCCTATATTTATAAGTATACCTAATATAGAACAAAGTTCAGTTATGATATGGGCCAAAGTTATAGTACTTTCTTGTACGATTTCGTCAGTCAACAGTTGACAATAAGACAGGAGAGAGATGGAAGCGAAAAAACCATATCTCTTCGTATTTATTGTATACATAGCAAACCTCTTAGGTTCAATATATTATTACATTTTTGGGAGAAACTTCTATAGCTTCAATGTCGGTTATATTCTTAATTCGTTAACTGCTGAAGAAAAGGAATATGTTATGAATGATAATGTCATATTAGAAAATCTTAATAGAATATCTGTTGATTTGGCTGCTGTAAAGAAGCCTTTGTCTTTCAGTGGTGAATATTTCATGACTAGAGGATTTATTGAACAGATCAAGAACAGAGTTGCATTTGAAAATTATTTGAAGCAAAATCCCGACATATTAAATGTTAAAATAAAGGATCCTGTATTTTTTATTACATTACCAAGGACGGGAAGCACCTTTCTTCACTGTTTATTGAAAGAGGATCCATCTTGGTTCGCTCCTCGCATATGGATGCAAAAGAGCCATTTTCCTTCACCCTCTAATCCATATTCTGAAAAGGATATGGAAATAATTAACAAAAATAGAGATGAAGTTATATATTTTCAATCTCTAACTGACTGGAATGTATTATCTAAAGCTCACCTTGTAAGCGAAAGAGATCCAGAAGATCTTCTCATACAACTTGAACCACTTGGAATAAATGCAGCCGCTTCTTGGTTGTTTGGTATGGAAGATTATAATAAATTCATAGCAACACTTCCATTAGAAAAATGGTCAGAAGTTATGAAGAAGTTGAAAGTAATGTTTCAGTGTTTAATGAAGAACTATCCCAGCACAAGATTATTGTCAATGAGCCACATTTTCTGTGTAAATGTAGAATCTATTTACGAAACTTTTCCAGACGCAAAATTTGTTATTATTCATAGAGATCCTGTAAAATCCGTATCATCTCTTTCATCACTGGTTAGGTCTCTTCGTAAACTATGGTATAATGGTGAAACTGAAAAAGAAAGTTACTCATATTTCACTAGAATTAATGGGGAGATTTCTTATCAAATGGACAAATATCTAAAATTTAGGACAAAAATGGAAGAAATGGGAAAATCCGACTTATTTGTTGATGTTTCATTTAAAAACTTGGTAAAAGATCCTATTGCTTGTGTACAAGATCTTTACGGAAAATTGGGAAAGAAATGGACGAAAGAAGCAGAAGAAAAATTGAAATACTTTATAGAAAATCAAACTGAACATAAGACAGCAAGTCATAAATATAAAATCACTGAAGATATGCAAAATTATACAAAAGATCTATTTAAATCTTATTGCGAAAGATTTAAAGAGTTTTTATAAGATTAAAGAAAAACCTATAGAATTAATTATATAGCTTTTCTTCTTTGATAAATGGTAAATTTTTGATTCTACAATAAAGATGAAAGGATAGAAACAGTTGAAAATATTTCTCAACTATCTTATCTTTTAGTAAAAAAGATTAAAAAATCTATATTTACATCTTTTTGCTTTTTTTCTTACAATAAATTGTGCAATTTCTTTCAAATCTAATCGACCCTGTCAAGTTTATTATTTCTTAGTTTATCAGCTAAACTGCTTACTTTCCAATTGAATTGATAATATAGTCTAGCATCTTTCTCTTATTGCTATTCTTTGTATTTTTCATTTTATCATCTCATAGCTGAGAAAGTATATATAAAATATGATGAGAAAATCATAAATTGAAAACAAATTTTAAACATTCATACATAAAGAATCGCATTCTTCTCCATACAATTTGTAAAAGGGAAAGGATGGCATTGGATTATAAATATATAAAGCTATAAAATATATATCATATAACTAACTAGTTAATACGAACATTTAGGTAGAATAGTCACTGAATTGTTGAAGTAATTTCTTTATAGTATTTAATTTTAAATAATTATTTAATTGTAATTAGACTTAGGTAACCATCACGAATTAGTATAAGATTAATTATACCATTATGAACTTTATAGGCAAACAATGTGTAAAGGTCAAAGATATCCTTATAGGATTTTGTTGTTAATATTAATCCGTTTGAATTTGCCTCTAATTGAGCCAATACAATTGTATTGAATACTCTAAATAATGCTCCTTGTCTATTCAAAGCCAAAATTGATGTTGAACATTCACTTGTTGAAAGTGATATTGATCCATTAATTCGATAATTGCAGTCGAATAAAATACGTCCGGTAGAAAAGTCCAATACTGTGCATCGCAAACTATCAGTACAAAGGAATATATTATTATTATTTACAGCTATATCGAGGACTAGACCATAATCAGATGGTAATACACAATCCCAATCAACTTTAAAAGGATCCTTTAATTTTGTTACTGAATTCTTATCTTCGCATTTTAAACATATTATAATTCCGTCATCATATTCAACCATATTATGATAATATCCGTATTTATCATTCTTTTTATCAATAGCGCAAAAAACATCAAAACTATACGAATTGCTTGTCGTCGAGTTTGAATTGACAAACTTTATCTCATCTTTCCCAATAGTAAGAAAATATAGCCTTACTCCTGCAGCTAATTTATACGTTTCAGAATTATAAGTATTCCACTTTTTCAATATTTCCGATCTACTATTTTCAATATCAAAGAGAATGAGTTTATATTTACAGGCCATCTTCTCAAGGATAATATAAAGTCTATTTTTGAAATAAGTAACATTAAGCACTCGTTCATCTTCAGTTATTTTAATTATTGGATTCTTTTGTTGAAAATGTTCAACAGTAGATATTTCGCCAAGATTACCATCCTGCTTTTTATGAAAATGTAATTTCTTATTCATAAGATAAGCTGCTTGATTTGTTAACTCCATCTTTGATTTTGTTGTATTTTCAATAATTTCATCAGAAATCAAAATACTGTATTGTAGTTTTTCAAAATTATCTAAAAGACTCTTTATATCGTTTTCCTGATTTGAACAAAACTCTTTAATTTCACCAATAAGTCGTTTCTCTTTTTTCCTTATCTCCATTATCGAATTAATAACTTCTGTTTTAATTTTAGATATCAAACAATTCATTTCGCCACCGCTGTCTTTTAAATAAGAGACTAGTGTCTTTTCCGTATCGCTTCTTACATATTTAACTTTCGATTCCTTAAATGTTTGACTATGGTATTTCTTTTCAAGGAAATTATGAAATATACCCAAACGTGGAAAAGCATTTACACCATCTCTTGTCCATTTGTATCGATGTTGACATATTGGACAAGAGAAAAAGCCTCCATTTTCAAATGCCTTAGACCCAGCCCACTTCTCTAGACACTCTGAACAAAAAATATGAATTACCGTTTTACAAGGTAAACACCTCGGACTATTCCCAATCCAAAGACATTTACAAAATGCGCATTCCATATCTTCCTTAGAAATAAGTTCATTTATATCCATATCTTCCTCGCTTTGTGTGCTCATTCTTCAAAACGTTGTCTTTCTTTACAGAAATGTTCAATTTCGTATAAAAGAGTAAATAATGTAGCTAAGCACGTACATATATATATATACATGTGTGTGTGTAGATATAGATATAGATATAGATATATATATATACGTATACAATCTGCATAATAGAATATGTGCTTTTGTTTCATTTTATAAATTAAGATAATGAACAATAATTGGCCAACAACAAAAAAAAAGCAATCTTTATAATGCAGAACTATTATAATTAATTTTATAAAGACTGCATATGTGAATGTATGTATGACCTTTCTCTTCCATATATCTTTCTCACTCACTCACTATCTCACTCTCGTTCTCTTTTTCACCCGTTTTTTTTCTAAAAATCCTATCAAGAAAATGAAAGGAATGAAAACAGTATTTATTTGATTTGTTTGATAAAGAATCTTCATATATGCAAAGTACATAGAAAATATATTGAATATTTGACGTAAAGTATTCAGAATCTACAATGGCACTTCGTTATAGAATTAACCGATTGTTTGTTTAAATATTTTCATTCTTTATTAACATTTAATATATTTTAAATAGACCGTATTAATCCATTTATCGAGTATTAAAAATGCTATAATTCCTTCGGAACATTTTCCATATTCTATAGTATGATAGAGATCAAATATCTTCTTATACGACCATGAACTAACGCCATCTTCGGTTTTATCAATTAAACGAACGAAATCGTTACCAATTAAACAACATCCGGATTGGAAGAGTATTTTCGTGCAGAATCTATATTTTGTAATACCCAAAACTTCTCTAGGACTGCCAGTAGACGTCTTCAGTTTGTTGAGTATCTTACCGGAATTAAGGTCAAAGATATAATGAAGATTTTCCGTAAATAGAGCGAACAGTTGGGAAGAGTTTATTCTCATGTCGACAATTTTTAAAAGTGGAAGATTTAAACTTATCTTCCATTTTTGTTTAACGGGGTCTTTAATCTTTTTAAAAGTAAATATATTATCTAAATCCTGACAGCATAGGACTATTCCTTTCTCATATCCAATTATATGTACAAAACTGGTAGTATCGTTCTTTCTTCTCATTATGTCGTAAAATGTTGAAAAAGTGCACGAAAATTTACCATCGTCATCCTCAGTCTCCGTTACACGCTGTACCCTTATTTCTCCAACAGTTAATAGATAAATATTAACACTTACCGCCAGTTTATATTCTATTTTTATAGAATTATTCCATTCGTGTAAACTTTCTATGATCCCTGTCTTCATTTGATATCTTAATAGTTTATAGAAGAATAAACTTCCACCAAACTTCTCCGTTAATAAGTATAGAGTATCGTTAAAGAATGAAGTATTACAAACTCTTCCCCCAGTCGGTAATCGGCAAAGTTCTTTCGATACTTTAAATTCTTCTTCTTTTTTATTTAAGCCTATACTAAAATCAGCTAAACTAGAATCTTTAATAAATTCAATGTTTCTATGGAAACAAGAATTGGCTTTGTTATTTAATCTTATTTTCATTTTTGTGACTTTTTTATTAGTTTCACCAACTTTTTTTGAAAATTTTTCAAAAGCGGCAAACTCTCTTATAATGTCGATTAATTCACTTTCCTTCTCATCATAGAACATTAGAACCTCTTCTAGTAGCTTGTGCCTTTGTTCTCGTACCTTTTTCATATGATTAGCAGCAGTTTCATTTATCTTTTGAATCATTTGGATCTCTTGATTATGTAAATTTCTTAGTACCGAAACAATAATTTCCTCTACATAACTCCTTGTATGATTGGGTGGAGCGTCGACGAAAGTTCTAGATCTCATCCTTAGTCGATTCCCGTCGTCGTCGTCGTCGTTATTCGAATTAAATAGATCCAGTCTGGGAAAAGAGGCAACACCTTCTTCGGTCCATCTATGAGCCATCTTACACACAGGACAAAAGAGTATCCCTTCGGCGTGCGATTCGTCGTTATGCGCCAGTTGTCTAAGACAATCGGAACAAAATATATGAACTTTATCTTTACAAGGAAGGCATCTAGCGTCTTTTTGAACCCAAGAAAAGTGGCAGATAGCACATAACGTTTGATCCTGCTTAACAATCTTATTAAAATCAACATCCGTGCTTGCACTAGCCATATTTAAAAGTATTCTAATCGATTCTCAGTGATTAGTGAATATATTAATTATGAAAAACGAAACAAAACAAAACTTCTCAATTACAAAAGTATTTTTGTAGGTAAACCGTCTGTCGCTTAGGAGTTAAACTGTCTTATGAAAACAACGACTTTTTTCTTGTTGACATGATATCATTATTTATTCAAGTTTAGTCATAGCCTATTTAAAATTTAAGTTTTCTTAGTAAACGAATTATTTCACTATTTAATGCGAAAAGGAAATTTTTTTCATGAATAATTCATAGATAGATCAAATATACTACTTAATGTTTTTTATTGATTAAAATACCTAAATTAATTATATATTATCAATTTTCGTTAGATGTTGGTAAAGCATATAAGATAGAAAACAATTGTCTAATCTTTCTAATATTAAATAAGTTTAGTAATTATTAAAAATCTATCAAAAATACAATAAATTATTATTCCATCTGTTGTTGTTTGATAGGAGAATGTTTCGTAAAGGAAGAATATTTTATTAAATCTTGACGAAACTATTTCATCATCTTTAAAATCGATTAAATGTATACAATCTAATGATTTTAATAAGCATCCATCAGAGTATAATGTTCTTTTAAGATCGGAATTAAGACTTAAATTCTTGTTGATTGTTGACGAATACGAACTAGAAATTAGAGTTTTTCCACTTTGAAAATCCAATATTTCAATATAACATTTAGGAAACCAAACAAATAGTTTATCGTTGTTTAATTTCATATCGATAATTGTTGAAACATTTTCTTAATTAATTAAGGATGAACGGTAATTTTTTATTCGTTTCTTCTTTATCAATTATTAATTATCATTAATATAAGTAAATCAAATAGAAGATAGATAATAATGTTACTTTAAAGGTTAGATTTAAAAAAAAAAATAACCGCTCACCCTTTTCAGAATATAAACGTTCCCATTCAACTTTAAAAGGATTTCTTATCTTGAATAAATGACATTTCTGTTCTAAAATCGTACTATAAGCAATAATTCCACCTTCATAATCAATAATATTTTGATAATATTCCGTATTCCTATCGGTAAAGCAGAATGATTCGAATTTGCAATAATTCCTGTTATCCTTTCTTAAAATCTCTTTAACGTATTTTATTTCTCTTTCTCCGACTGTTAAAAAATAGATTTGATTATCAACTGCTATTTTATATTGTTTATCTCTAGAAGATTTCCATTCGTGTAGAAAGTCGAATCTCTCCGCTCCAGAATCATATGACACAAGTCTATAACAGTATCCGTTATCGCGATACTTTTCCATGATAAAATATAGACAATTTCTATTACAAGTTTGAGTAATTACATTCCCGAATGAAGGTATACTAATCAGATCATTATTAATGATAAAATCTTGATTGACAACATTCTCTCCTATGCTAATTAGTTCGGTATTGTTTATTTTAAATATGATATGTTTATGTAGCATTTTCATAGCTTTATTTGTTAATTTCATTCTCATTTCCATTAGATTACCTCCTAGTTCACTTTCACCAATTTTATTTGAGAATAATTCAATAGCTTCAAATTCTTTAATAATTTTTTTTAAGCAATTCTCCTTCCTATTAAAAAAATCTAATGCTTCTTTAAAGAGTACTTCTTTCATATCCTGTAGTTTAATTATTCTCAATCGAACTGCATCATGGATTTCCCGCAATATTTTGTCTTCTTCTTCGTTTATATTTCTTATAGCTGCTACAACAGCATTTTCCATTTCACTTCTTTTATATTTCGAGGGAATTCTCTCTATAAAATTTCTATCGTTTCTATTATAATTATCATCTCCTCTTTTAGTTCGATCGAATATCGTCAATCTTGGAAAGGATAATACTCCCTCTTTGGTCCATGTATGACCAACGTTGCAGACGGGACATCGAAGTTCTTCGCCAATTTGTAATTTTCCATGAATTGCAAACTTCTCTAAGCAATCCGAGCAAAATATATGAATTGATTCCTTACACGGTAGACATCTTGGATTCTGTCCAACCCAAGAAATTAGGCAAACAAAACATTTAGTATCCTCCTCGTTAACAAGGAAACTCATCCTTATCTTTTCGCTTCTAAACTTATCAGTTCAAAAAAAACAAACAAACTATTATTCTCATAAATAAGTAAATAATATTACAAAAAAAAAAGAGACAAATTCAATAGAAAATCTTATCTTTACCTATTTAATGCAGATATTGTATTTGATGAACTAGGCCTATGAAATTTCCTAATTATAATAATAAATCTAAATAATTTCTTATACCAAAAGGAGTTTTCCTTTACGAAAAAAATTAGGTTAAAAAGGTTAAAGAAATAAAAAATTTTCTCATTGTTATAGTTTTTTTTATAATATATTTTTTTCTAAATTAGAAAAGAATTCTTTAACTTCCGGTTAATATTGTCTTAACAGAGGAAGAAAGTTGAAAGTGAGAGTTAAATCTTTCTATTTATCAAATTTATCTTTCTATTGTTAAAAGTTTTGATCATTTGTATAGTAATTAGTCAATTTTCAATACTAATTATAGTATAAAAATAATAAAATATACAGTATATATACTAATTTACATATATATAAAATATATATATATATATATTACTAATATAATATATCTTATAGATGAGCTCTATATACTTATTCATATAGAAAAAATAAGACTAATCTAGTCCAATAGGCTTATTTTCTTATACTCTATTTTATATCAAATTCTATATTTTGCAGTATTTTACTGTACATTACAATGATAAGATTTTTATAAACTTAATTATTTAAACTATTTGAGTGGCCTATAGTCTCTTAATGATGAGTTCGCTTTTTGTCTTTTCTGTCTTTTATTTGTAACTTTCTTAATATTTCCAAAAGTGATACATAGCCATAATATCATAGCTAACAATACCAATAAAGTGATAAAAGCTATTAGAATTATAAAATGCCTTTGTCCGTAGTATCTTATACTAAACTGATAGTTGGGTGAAACTAACAGTGGATAACGTCTAGTGGAATACGAATAATCTTCTGTTTCTTCTCTTCCCTCACATATATCATAAAGTTTTTGATTATGTCTACCTAGTGAATTAAATGCATAAATATTACTTAAAGATCTATTTTTAGATCTTTCTCTTTCAACATTAAAATTCCATTGAGTGACATCAGATTTACATTTTAATTTACCCTTATCAAAATACCATTTAGATAGTCCCGGACGTTTCATGAATAAATCGACAATATACCTATATCTGCATCCACAGCCAAAGATAACTGGTAGGCGTAATACAGCAGCTCGTCTCATTGTATTGTAAATCAATTTAAATTTATCATCATTACTATTATAAGGTGGAAGGATTAATGACTTATCCAAATTCATAAATTCAATTGATGTAGGATATTGGGTAGAATAAGTATTCAGAGGAAATTTCCATTCTAAGATCTTATCACTACGAGAATCAATCTGAGAATTAAACATTTAATCCATTCTGAAATTCTTCAGATTGATTCCAAATTTAACAACCTATAATCCATAACAATAATACTTTTAATATACTCTATCTTAGCCTTAGTTTGACCTTTACATTGAAATTTCGAAAATTGCCCAATATCTGTAACGGATGATTGTTCTTCAACTATTAATGTTAATACATTGATATAATAATTAACTCCACATGGTAAAAGCGTTGAATCTTTCAAAGTTAATTCCATTAAGTTAACATTTAACGACGAAGCGTTTGATTTAAATATCAAACTATTTATATTGTCTATACAATTCTGAATTTCTAAAGTGTTATTAGTTATATCGTTTTCAAATGGATTATTCATCATTATATCTGCATTGAAATTTCCTTTACATCTTATTATTACTCTTAAGCTTTTCTCCTTCTTTCTAACCATTTTCCCGACATTTTCTATGGTGTTAGAGCATCTCTCCCTAATTTCTCTTTTCATCAAGCTTGGGCAATCGATTCGTAAGCTGATTTCATCCCTAAAACCAAATTTTGTGATTCGGCATCGACATTTGTCGTCAATAGATGTCGCCCTTAGTCCATTATTTTTGAATTGAAATCTATACACACATACAATTTCATGAAAAAAAATTATGGTTAAACTAATTAATAATAATTTATTCATAATAATTATAATATCTGTTTATTTTTAAATTTTTAAATTAGTTAATTCATTAAAGTAAATGATATTGTACATAGGCCTACTAAGTTAAATGATAATGTGGTATTTTTTGGCGAAAATAGTGTAGTTTTTTGCACTTGACGCCTATACGTAGACTTAGGTCGAAAGGTATCAAATTGATGGGAAAAGATTCTATTTCTCTCTATTTAGGTTAAGAATTAAAATGTTGGCTGTCTTAATTAGCTTTCCACTACGATCTCTCCTTTTCAAAACTCGAGTTCACTTTTCCATTGTGAAGGATGTATTAACGGCTTTCCTAAACGGAAATACATTAAGTTTAAATTTACATTGGTCAGGATTTTTCTTTCTCTTTCTCTCACTTTCTGTTTCTCCCTCTAACTCTCTCTCTCCCTCTCTCTCTCTCTCTCATACACACTCACTCACTCTTCCGTTCGCCTATTTGTTTTATCAATAATTTAAATATTCTGGTCATATACTACCATGTGAAAAACCTAGACATCTGGTGTCGATTAAAGGAGAATTTAAGCGTCTCTCTTAAAACCGTCTATCAACGTCTATCACAATATTAATCAAATGTGTCAGTAACTTTTCCGAACCATATAATAATTAACTCTTATTTTTCACTTTTACCTTATAAGGTAATTATAGAAAAATTGTTAAGTATTTCCCTTTTCCTTTTTAAATCCTCTAGGATGTTTATATTAAGAATATAGAGAATCAGAAGAGAAATTTCTTGTATTTAGTAAGAAAATTTACAAAGTATACGAAAATTGTTTACTGTACGGATAAACGTGGAAAAATCCGTTTAGTTATATCAAATAGACATGTAACATATAGTTTTTGAAGTAATTCCGACATATTTTTCACCTCTTTTGTAAATTTGTATAAAAAATAATAAGAAATTCAGAGAAAATTCCATTTGGATGTCTTAATTTCAAGAATACAAAAGAAACGGGAAGAAAACAGCTTGACGTTTCCTAATCTTTCACCCCTGACCCGTTAAATTCGCCCTTTTCGACTGCCATTTCTAGCTCTGGTAAATATTTGCCCTTTTGAAATTTTTCAAGTGTTCCCACAGGTTTCGATCAGCAGTACTATTCTTTAAAAAAATCGTTTAACGAGCGACGCCGCCCACTGAGATGTTGCGTGTCGTTTCCACTCACCTATTTTCCTTTTTTCACAAAAATTATATAATAGCCAATAAAAGTTCCGTGAAACTTTAACCATATTACAGGTGCATTGAAACTAATCTATTTATTTACTAAACTATTTCGTTGTCATAGTTTTTAACAAACAAAAAATGAATAAATAAATAAATATGTACAGAAAAACAGAAACGCTACTGGAACCCAAAAAGGATGAAACAAGAAAGAAAAAACGACGTCTATTATATATTTTTTGGGCTAATTGTTTTTAGACTATTCCTCTGATGATAATTGTGTTTTATCATGCGTTAAGAAAGCTTAATTACCGTAATCAAAGATATGTCTTTTTTTTTAATTTTTGCTAATTATTTTATGGAAAAATTTACAGAAGATATATAGAAGAGATGAAGATCGGTGATGTTAGTCATTTATACCAAGGCCTCCAGACGTCTTCGGTCACTTTCACACCGGGAACAATGTTCTCTTTATTATCATTCATGTTCGTTCCCTCGGGCCTCGTAGCGGTTGCGTAATCGACCTTGACCCTTGACACCATAGAAATTGGCACGAGAATAGTGGCTAATGGACCGGAAGGTTGCACGCTCTTTTTGAAGGCTGGGTGAATTCTTTCTTGATGAGACGGCGATAAATTGTTGATTTTATTAAATAAATGATTTATTAATCGATTTCGTAAATCTTCGTCGATATCGTTTGCGGTCGATAAATAACTTTTTACTTTATTTGCGCAATCGTTAAATCCTGCCATATATCTATTTTCCAAATTTGAATTCGTAGTTGCTGTAATGTAAGATAAAATAAGAAAAATTGAAAACCAATCATCACGTTGGAAAATTAGGCGTCTCTATACTTTTAATAAAAACTCCATTAAAAAAATGATAGGAATAACACGAAGTTGGAGAATTAATAAGCTTCGTTAGATAGTATATAAAGATCATTAAATCGGATGAAAAATCTTATTATTCTCCCAATTTTTACTACTACTTGAAATGTCTATAAATAGTTTAATAAACCAACAAGCAAGCCTATATTACCCCACTGTCAATGACGCCTGCAGTGTTGATTACGAATCACTGGAACTTATTTCGTAATCATTACGTTACCCGAGCATATTACGTAATAGTATAACCAAAACGATATGTAATAAAAGCGTGACTTCCAAGATACTGATCAGCTGCTAACAGTTTTAACAGATAGTAAAAGTCGATGATTTGAACGACAACTTTCTCAAAACACTCTTGCTTTTTTCTTCAAGAATTTTTTTATTGCATTTTTTTCTTTTTAAAAAAAAATCTTTATTAAAATAAAAATATTTCCTGAAATGTTTTTTCTTGCAAACTACAACAATAAAAAAAAGGTCTTAAAAATTATTGGTAGGAGGGAAAAACGATTAAAAGCGTTAATTGATCAATAAAAAGAAAGTAAAACGATAAGGAAGCTGTCAGTATCGAATTTCGTGAGAAATTCTTTACATACCCAAAAACTGGTCCGCTAAAAATGGGCGGAGCTTTGGGTGGAGGGCGCAGAAGGCAATTTAATTTTTTTTTTTGTATAAAAGGTTAACGTTTCAAAGTGTCAAAGATTTTTGTATAACTAAATTTTAATGCCTTAAGGTCTAGTCAAACATCATTGACAGTTAAATTATACATCTCAATCAACAATATGTAATTATTGGTTCTTACCTAAGATTTGTTGCATCCTCTGCTGTCTAAGATATTTAACTGTCATCTCTAAAATATCTGCCTTTTCTAATTTCGAATACATAGAATCACTCTAAAAAGAAAAGAAACAAATATAAATATATATACTGTATATATTTAATATATTATGCCAATAAACTACGATGATATATAAACATACAAGACGATTTGAATATGGAATTTTAATCCGCCTTTAGCTTATTTTCCTAAGAGTTTATCACTTTAAAAATGAAAAGAAAAACACGTATATGTCGACATTCTTACCTCTTTTTTCATGGCTTGTAATACAAGTAATTTGATTTGATTTAAACATGAATTTATTCTAGCTCTTCGTTTCTTCTCAACCAGAGGCTTGTTATTCTGTAATTATAGCTTCGTTAATTTCAAATACTTATTAATTGATTAGTTAATTACTGTTGGTCAAATATAAGTTTTAAAAAAGTGAATATTAAAGAAGTCTAGTACTCTTCTTACACTTCAGAAAAAAATTCAACTTACTTTACGGTTGGTGGCCATTCTATTTTTATTCCTACGTCTTCGACGATGCAATGAGACGGAGTATTTGAGCATGGCAGGCGACGGCTTGACGCCTCTAGACTGGTTCTTTGCACGCACTACTTTCCTTGAATATTCTCGTGATGTTAAAAAAAATCCCTCCTTTCAATATATCAAGATAATAATGGGTTTATGGGTAATATGCCGAGCTCTTTTCTCTGTTAATTAACTTAAATAAGCCTATTTAGTTTTTTAAGAGTTTTTAATCTTCTAAAGTAAGCCTTGTACAAGGTATTATAACTAAAGATGACAAATAAATCAATTTAAACAGACTTTAAACTTTTCCTCTCTTTTCTTTCATTTTTTAGTTTACCATAAGTAGCATACGCACACACGTGCAAGCGCGCGCATATAGAATATACAGTATATATACATATCTTTTTCTCTCTCTCTCTCTCTCTCTCTCTCTCTCTCTCTCTCTCTCTCTTTATCTATATAGCTATCTCTCTATCTATCTCTATCTTCTATTATCCCTTACTTTTTTTCTTTCTTTCCTTTAGAATTTTCCACATTCTAATTTTTAGAAAAACAATAAAACTATAGAAGGTCACTGGCATGAATATTTTAAATGAAAGTTCAGGAATATTTGAAGACCCGTATAGGGAAATAAACGGGATTCTTAGTAATATTTATACTATTTAGCGCTTCGTCTCTGAATATTTTTACTCTTCAGTTATACACAGAACAATGTTTTTGATTTAGTTTATAGAAAAGCAATTAATTTATTTATATTGAGAAACTTCAATATTGAACCTTCTGGGATAATTTATTCTAAAGTTATTTCATTTGGGAAAACGCATATAGGTTTAAAACGGTTCATTAATAATATACTAACGTATAGGAAACAAGTTACTATATATACGCCACCATTTATAAAGAAGATATTATGATAGGATCCAAACGAGTCGTATAAGAGGCCAGCTAAAGATGGACCCAATAGAGTTCCACAACCAACTCCACATCTAAAGATTGTAAATAGGTAATTAACTTTCATTCCTTGAAAAACCTCTCCGCAAGAGGAGTACATAGCAGCAATAATCGGACCCCCAGCTGCGCCCAGAACTGTTAACCAAAACAAAATGTAATTAAAAATAAAAGTTAAATAATACAGAGTAAAATGAACGAGGAGAGATTTTCTTTACTAAATTCTAACTAAATGGAGTGAAAAATCTAAAATTCCTTAATAATTTTACCTAGAAATATCAACGATTAAATAGATTAAGTAAATGTCAAATATTTCCCTATTTAATTAATTAAACTAACATTCTTATTTACGGTTGAAGTAGCTGATTGCAATTAATAAGTTCTATTTTGACAAAAAAAATGCAATTGAGTTACTTGAAGGACAGGTGGTATGCTATATAATAAAATCATTCCTTAAGGGCGCCCCCTATTAAGAAGGTTTAAGTTATGCATCTTTATCCTGATTATTAAAAGAATCTAGGATTTTGTAAATAGGTTCAATTGAATGAAAATTCTAGCGTAATGGTATTATTTTGATAACCTTTTAACCTATCCATTAACTAAACGCTTGCCAAAGTTCTAATGTACGACAATAGGGAAAGTAATCGTAAGATTTTCTTTACCGCATCCGTAGATAATCATTCCAGTGATGGTGGTTGCAAAAGCTCCGAACCAATTTAATATCGCTAAGAGAAAGGTCGAACTGGCGTAGACAATGAGAAACTTCCCTTTTATCTTATCCCCCCAGTAAGATATGGCGGATCTTGTTAACAATTCACACACAGCCACCGACATCATACCCTTTGTTGAATTGGCTCGAGATATACCCAAAGAGTCCATGTGCATGACCAACACCAAAAATGGCGTATAATATGCAACCGATTTGAAAAATGATGCAAAGAACCAAATAATACTCATAATCAAATTTGTTCTTGGATGAATTTTGTTCGTTAGTAATCCTAGAATGTGATTTTAAGGATAAAGGGAAACAATCGATAATGATAACGAAGAGACAGTTTGGCTAATTATCATCTTTAAAATCACATTCCTGTTCTTTCATCTGTAACCATAGGAGTACTTTCGATCATATTCGTTGGTTCAACGAGAAATATTGCGCATAGGCTCCCAACAATAAATGTAACTACAGCAAATAAAGAAAATACCAACTGAAAGGACATTTTCGTTAGGAAATAATAAGTTAAAGGATTAAAAATTAGCGTTCCTATAGGAAAAGCGCACGAAATGAGGCTGGTAGTTAAAACATGTCGTGGGTGTGCGAGGGGAAAATAAGCGTCTAATAAAAAAAAGGGTGGATTTAAAACTAGACTACCACCAATACCGTACATAATGGAATAGGTTGTAAACATTGCAAGTAAATTTGGTGTTTTTGGTAGAGCTGTAAATGCTAGAGCCATACTGCAGATGAATATTCCAATTGCGACGGTTTTTCTCGTTCTCAATTTTGAGTGTACTTTCGAAGCGAAAGGAGAACATAACATTGGCAAACAGAGACTAACAGCTCCTATCCAATCTAATCATTTAATAAGGCTATAAATTAATATCTTTCATTGAATGACGAAAATTATTACAATTAAATATCATTCTTTTTACGTATTAACCTTTAACATTTATAATAACCGCTTATTATCACTCCTGGTGAGAGAGTAATCTCTTATTTCACGACATTATTGAGGAACTTTACTATTAAAAATGATTAAATTATTGACAAGTAATGCGGAACGAAAGGGAAATGAAGAGAAGTTCATAAAATGCCTTTAACGATTTAATCGGTCAATTTAAACTTTACTGTCCAGATTTAGGTAAGAAAAAAAGAGAAGACTTTATTTGTAACTATCTTCAATTGCTCTTTTCTAATACGATATTTAATTATTTCTTAAAAACTTACTAAGAAATGTTGCACTTTGGCCATAATCTCGATTTAAAACCAGTAAAAATTCGTTGAAAGACACTAATATTCCCATAATTAATGAGAAAACTGCCAATGAACAAATACAAACAATACATCCTCCCCACTTTTGCCAAAGATTAGTAGATGCTTGTAAAATACGTTTAAAAGACATTACGTTCAAGATTTTATTCTCTCTCGTCCTATTTTCAAGCCTGAAGGTAACTGATATAAAAAAATTTCCAGATGACTTATTTATTGATTTGAAAATTCATAATTTGGAAATTATGCCAAGGAGATTTTTCCAAGTGCGGCTCAATCCACAACTTTTTTTTCAGAGTTTTATTATGGAAAGGTTTTGTATAGCAATTAAACAGGAGTGTAATTAGTCTTTTTCGATAACTTAATAATGATAGTCGTAGTAATTTGGCTTTGAAGTTGTCTATTTCTTTTTAGTTGATATTTTAGCATCAAAGTAGAAAATCAATAAGTGCTGTTTAATTCTCTTCTAAAGATAGCATTTAAAGTAAACTAAACTTCATCGCTTTCGAATTCTGAGCCATAGAGTATGTTCATATTTCCTATTTTGTTTAATATCCTATAGGATGTTTGTGATAGGCTGATGTCTACTTGTACTGAAAAATGTATATTAAAATGACGGTCAAGTAGTGTATTACACATAGTGCAATAATAGGACATATTAACTAATAAACGCTTCTTTTGAGCCACTGACATCTTACATTACACAGAATAAATGCATATTTTAGTTCTTATCAACGAATTCCTTTAACGAAAAAAGCATTGATATTGTTAGGAACCAGAGAGCAGACTATTACTATAGAATATAGAATGAAAGTGAGGAGCGTTCATGCTTTGACCGTCCAAACGCTTTACGCCTATTTCAGTTGACCACTATTAGCGATGGTGACAGGGGACTTGACTGATCCAGAAGAAGAACCTTCTGCCTCAATCTTTTTAACAACGTCCATACCATCAATAACATTACCAAAAACAACGTGTTTTCCATCGAGCCAGTCGGTCTTGATGGTGCACAAGAAGAATTGTGAACCATTAGTGTTTGGTCCAGCGTTGGCCATGGATAGAACTCCTATTAGAATGCAAAAAAAAATTAATTAGAAAGTGTCATTAGATTAGTTTGTCAAACGAACTTCCTGAACTAATTAAAGTCCATGAAGACTCATGTGTTAACCGCCTAACCTACATTTAGATGTATCGGTTTTTTTTTAAAGATTACACTTTCACGTTTTATTGATTTTCGTTTGGTTTAAAGTTGGAACTGACTGTTCAATCTAAAGTTAATTCAAACTTCAAACAGAACTTTGATAAAATTGTCATTAGTGAAAATATTTACAATTTGTCTGTTTTTATACAATATGCATGTAGAAATGGCGCGCAGTCATGGCGGCCATTTTGTTACTAACCGGCTCCTGTATGTTTAAGGGCGAAATTCTCGTCTTCGAATTTGTTCCCGTAGATGCTTTTGCCACCAGTGCCGTTGTGGTTGGTGAAGTCACCACCTTGGCACATGAAGCTTGGGATGACTCTGTGGAATTTGGAGCCCTTGTAGCCAAAACCTTTCTCGCCGGTGCACAATGCGCGGAAGTTTTCAGCTGTTTTTGGAACAACGTCTGATCTTAGTTCCATCGTGATACGACCAGCAGGTTTCCCTCCAATTTCAATATCGAAGAAGCATTGAGGAAGAGACATTTTCAATGTATGTAGTGAGTAAACTTGACGTTTGTCTTGTACCGGTACCGCTAGGAGTGGAAATTTTTAAGATAGGAAGTGACGTAGGTTGACCTCAATATCATTCAGTTTCGTAAAAAATATTTTTGTAAAATAAAAGCCTAAAATGAACTAAAATTAATTAAATTAAAAGTAATTTTCATTTGTAATAATTTACTAATTTGTCAAGTTGAACTGAAAAATTGACCAATCACAAGACTCGTCACCAAGTTGATTCTTTACATGGCTCTTACAGATTGAATGCCTCTTTCCAAAATAAAAATAATTTTACTAATTATTTTTTATAGAATACATTGTAACAAAATTTTTGAAAAAGGAAGCGATAAAGAGGATGTAGAATAAACTCTTCTAAAATGTTCATTATCAAAATATCAAAAAAATCTATACTCCGTACAGTCTTTATACCATAAAAATATTTTGTATGCTAAAATAAAGAATATCATATTTTACCATAAATACGAAAATGAACTCAATTTCTGAGCGATAATTTTGCTATACATCTATCATAGAACTTTTCAAGTACCCAGTTAAAAATATGGGTGAAAATATTAAAATTGCAGAAAATCTAAGTTCAACCATTCGCTTAAATGATGGAGTAGATATGCCCTTATTTGGCCTTGGTGTTTGGCTTCTTAAGGGAGAAACTGCAGAGACTGCTATATGTCATGCGCTAAAGAACGGTTACAAAATGCTTGACACTGCACAGTTTTACGAGTTAGCTTTTATAACTTTTATTACATTCATATGCAACAACCATCATACGATGGTATTATTAGTAATAATATTAATTGTAGTAATTGATATCAAATTTTTGTATCTTCATTAAAGAAACGAAACACAAGTTGGTCGAGGTTTAAAGCTTTCTGGAATTGACAGAAAGGACATTTTTTTCGTTACTAAAGTGTGGTATACAAGTCATGGTCGTGAAGGTTCCATAGAAACATTTAATGCCAGCCTTAAAAAGTTAAAAGCAATAACTTAAAATCAAATTATACAGAGCTGATCATTTTATTGATTATTTAGATTAGGTACTGACTACATTGATTTGTACCTCATACACTCTCCTTATGGCGGTAAAGTATTGGAGACTTACGATACACTTTTGGAATTTAAATCACAGGGAAAAATAAGGTTCATTGCAACTATTTAAAACAAAGTGTTCTTAAAGCTTAAAATATATTTTTCTTTATCAAGATCTGTTGGAGTATCAAACTTTGGAATTCAACATTTAGAAGCATTGGAAAAAGCTGGGAGACCACTTCCGTCTGTTAATCAAATAGAATTGCATCCTTTCCAAAGAAAAGAGAAAATAGTAAAATATTGTAAGGAAAAAGGGATTACTGTAATGGGATATAGTCCATTAAGTAAAGGAAAATCATTAGATAAGCCCATGCTAAGTGAAATGTCTGCAAAGTACGGCAAAAACGTTGGTCAACTAATGATAAGATATAGTGTTCAAATGGGTTATATTACTATTCCGAAATCACAAAACTTTGACAGAATTATCTCAAATACCGATGTTTTCGATTGGAGAATAAGTGATGAAGATATGAAAGTTCTTGTAAGTTTTATATTAAATTAATAATATGGCAATATAAATATAAAATGAAACGGTTATTTAATAGAATAATTCGGAAGAAGAGAGCTGTACGTGGGACCCGACGGTGGAACCATGGATAAGCTAAATTGGCAAACTTGAAAGAAACGAGATAATACTTTATTTATCAGTTGATAAATGTCTAAAACAACGTGTAATCAAATCATTTTAGCTATACAAATAAAAGCAAAAGTATTAAAAGTTATTAAGGACATTAGTCGTTGTTTTCCTTAACCTTTTCTATTGCATTTGAAAACCTATGTTATCAGCACCTACTTCTGTCGGAGTTTTCATACCACTATGCCTTCGAATAATCCCAAAAGAACTTCTTCTAACAGTCATTTGTTCATTTACTTGTAGTTGACAACCATCCAGATACCTACTCACAGTATTAATGTCATGTTCAACTATATCAGAGCCAAGATCTTCTTCTTCTGGACTTAGTCTTAAACCTATGGTCCGATTTATAAGGTATAATAGAATAAAGCTTATAGAACCACTCCAACCTACAATGCAGACAATTGCCAGAACCTGTACACCTAATAGATAGAAACCTCCACCATGTGTTAAACCTGAACGACCGTCAGTAATTCTTTCAATTTTATCATCATCGCCAAAGATACCCACTGCTATCATTCCCCAGATTCCACCAATTCCATGGACAGCAAATGCTCCTACCGGGTCATCTATCTTTAAGCGATCGAGTAATGGGCAAAAACTCACAACAAATAAGGCGCCAATTGCTCCGATCACTATAGACTCCCACGGTCTAACGATGGCACATGATGCTGTTATCGAAACTAATGAGCCAAGAATTGAGTTTACTAAATCTTCTATCATAAATTTCTTTTTATTAACAATAAAAGAATAAATTAGACCAGCCACCCCACCACCAACAGAGGCGTTTATGGTTGTGACAGCCGATTTAGCCGCAAGTATCCACTTTCCTCCCGATATGCCAAAGGTACTTCCACAATTGAATCCTAACCAACCCCACCACAGCATAAACATACCCACCAGTGCATTTGTTGGATTTCCAAGTTGTTTTTTGTTTTGCGAATCGTATCTTCCTCTTCTGGGACCAAGTAACATTGCAGCAACAATAGCCGAAACAGCTCCAAGCAAATGCACACCTCCTGAACCTGCGATATCAACTACTCCCAAAGTTTTCAAAAACCCGTTACTAGCCCAAATCCAATGAGCGGGTATACAATAAACAACTGTATTTAAGAAAGAAAAGATAACATACGCTGTCAATTTCGTTCTCTCTGCCATGGCTCCTGAAACGATAGTTGTTGCTGTAGTAGCAAACGACAATTGAAAAATAAATGTTGAGTAAATTTGTCCGATATCGCTTGACTCATCTCCATCTACTAAGAATTGACCAACGCCAACAAATGCATTAGAATATTCCCCATCTCCAAAACTTAAACCGTAACCATAAGCCCAGTAAGTAATACCACCAAAAACTACATCTACTGCATTTTTTACCATAATGTTCACTTCATTTTTGGCTGACACGCATCCTGCCTCCAATAAGCCAAATCCTGATTGCATTGTAAAAATAATAAAGGATGATGTAAGAATCCACGTAGCGTCATCCCAAGACATGGCTTGTGCTTTCGTTGTTACGACTGGAATGAGAGTTGTGTTGTTCATGTTAGCACAATCTGAAAAATGCAGGGTAATGACAGTTTACTCCTCTTAGATTAATTTTCCTTTTGTTCCAGATTGGGGACCACTTTGAAGCATATAAACAAAGAAACATGATACGTTGTCATGAGGTAATGAGTTTTTTTCCAATTGAAAGAACAAACTAGCAAATTAACAGGTATAGCATGTATTGAAGTACAAAATTTCTTGTCCAGTGAAATTACCTCACACACTTGAGATCTTTTATTAATGAAAAAGAATTATCAAAGATAGTAATTATAGAAATAATTAACAGTTTATGAAAGCACCTAAGATGGAGATTAAGTTTATTGAACCTCTATTGTAATTTTCATTAATGTATCCTCAAAGTAAATCTTCTTTTCAGTTAAATTACAAACATCGACATTTCTATTAAGGCCATTCATATGGCAATTATTTTTAAAGATAGATATTTTTAAGTAATGCTGCAGAAAAGACAATGCTTCTACCCATTAGGAAAACTCTTTAATTTAATATAAAATTTATTGATTTTTTTTTTCAAATCATAGTATCATTAGGAAAAAATAGGTCTAAAGCGTTATGTACAAGGGGCAAAAGGACATAGTAAACAATTATGCGTAACATTTACATATAATATTTAATAAAGCATATATCCAGTAAAATATAAACGTATTCCTTAAAAAAAGAAAAAAGCAGCGATATTCTTTTCTCTTCATAAATTATAAAACGTTTAACTAAAAAATGGATAATTAAGATTGTTTTTTTTAAAAAAAAATGGAATGAATAACAAAAAGTGAAAGTAATAGGGAAAGAGATGTTTCAATGAACAAAACGTAAAAATAAAAAAAAATCTAAATGAAGTTCAAGGACTTTTCGTTTTAAAAAAAATGCCTAACACAAAAATTCTTCTTTCTGTGATACATCGGGTTGTCCAGTTTGTGTTTGTACAAGGGCGTAATTTGCATCATCAAAATTTTCAGCACCCTTAGCTTCATTTGTCAAGTATTCTCCCTTATTCTTGGAGAAGTAACGGCACGTGAGGAAGATGATAATAATGATTAGTAATAATACTCCTCCCAAAATGCCTGTACAAATAACAAGAGCCATTTTAATAATCTAAATTTGAAGTGAAAAACATTTTTAAGACTATTATTTTCTTTCAAAAGACAACACTTTGCGATAGAAATACTGGGAAAGAGGCTAGGAAAATGAGAAAGAGATAAAGTGACAATTGAATTCAAAGCGTATATAGAACTCTTTTCCATTTTAGTAATTCATCCATACCAGATTATTCCTAACGAGCATCACCGTTTAGCAATAATAATGACTGAGAACGAAAAAAGACAACATATAAAGCAGTTAGTTTAAGCAACATACCAGCTAAAACAGCTTTTTCGCTATCGCTTAGTTCGGTATGTAATAAATCAAGTTTGCTAGTAGGAGTAGGTGTAAAACTTGACATTGTTACTCGGCTATGCCTGATCTCTTTCGGATCGGGAGGATGTGTTACCTCCTCAATCCCACAAGCATCCTCTTTTATACTACCTAATCAACAAACGATTAGAAATAAGCGTTAGAAAGCAACATGTTAATCAAGTTAATCATAAATCAAAGCACATTTCAACTAATTAACAATGCAAAAAAGTTAGTAGCGGCAGCAGTTTCGAGAAGCAAAATTATCTATCGGCAGCCTAATTCTGGATTTCTAAACTTTTTAATACCTCCTAAAATCGCTTTTTCACTGTCGGACAATTCAGCCGGCTCGACATTTATATAAAACGATGTTGTTGTATTATAATTAATTGTTGGAGTAGGCCTAAATTCTGGATCGTCTGGTTTATGGGTAACTTCTTCAAAACCGCACATATCTTCTCTAACTTGGCCTTAAATTTTTCATTAACAAAATGATAAGTTGAATAAAAATAGATATAATGTAAAGCTATGCAAACTTTTATCGTTTTATCGATAATAGAAAAATTTAATAATATGCAAATAGAAAGGCTGTTACCTTCTGGAAAAACAACGACATTGTTTGGTGCTGGGTCTTGGAAGAGGTCTTTAAAAGGGAAAACATTGTCAAATCTTGCTCTGAACAGACAACCTTGCAAGCCGTCTGTTGACTTCATGTCGCTTGTTCTACCAAACCAAATATATTTAGGATTATGCAATCTTGTATCAGCATCAGGAGTAAGATCTGTCCATTCATGGGTTTTTGCTTGGTAATCATCTACCTTTATGATTAATTTACGTCCTTTATTTGTTCTTCTGACGTTAACGACGTGTTGCTGGCCATTGGCTAAATCAACATCGGGTATATCCAAATTCACGTTTTCTCTTGGACCAAAGCCAACTTCGATACCAACTTGAATACCTCCGTTGTTGTTCATTTCAACACTGATATATTCTGGTTTGTCTTTATTACCATTTGTAATCTATGGAATAACGTATCATCGTTTGAAACTTATTATATTTTTATTTTGTTAATATATAAATACCTGCATGAGAATTCCTTTCTTATCTTGGGTAGAAAATCCAATAATAATTTGTTCTTCATCAGTCGCAATATTACCAGCTTCCGTATCAAATTGATATCGAACCCACCAACTGTTACGTAAATTGACACCCACTTCTCTTCCGCACGCCCATCCTCGATATGGGGTATAGGCACAATCGCATGTATAGTGGGAATAGAATTCCTTGCAAACGCCCTCATTCAAGCAGGGACTTGAAGCGCATTTTGGATGGCAGCCAGCTGCTACACCATATGTAAATTCTCCTCTTTCAACGGCTCCTCTCATGTCCATTACTTTTCCATTTACCATTAAAGCCCTAATACAGCCAACAAAACCATCTCTGTAATCTACCGAAGCTCCAACAACGAGCTTAGAATCCAACTCTAAAGTTTTAAAGCCCTGATCTGTCGGCTCATCTAGAGTTTTTAATGATTGTTGATCAATTCTAAGAACTGCTTGTTTACGGTTTCTTTCAACGTGAACTGTATGCCATTGGTTATCATTAAGTGGATAGGCTGTAGTCTTTTCCAAGGTTTGAATTCCATTTCCAACATCGAATCTAAAGTAATACATTTAAATTATTTAACAAGATAATCTTTTTCTTATAACTTACCGGAAATGAATCGAGTTTCCGAAGAACAATTTGATTTCTATGAAGTGATGAGGTCCGGTGTTGTGAATGAGAATACCGTCAAAAGCTGTTGTCTTAAACTGGAAGCGAATATCGCCGGATGTAGCAGCATCAAAAGTATCAAATTCAACGGTTGCGTCGGCTTTCCTAAATGTGACAGTGTTATCGAAAATATTATCTCCATAACATCGGAGTTCGCCAACTTGATATTTTCCCCATGTTCCATCGTTTACCATTCCAGTACCTCCAAATCTTACTTCCATAACGGGCAAATGCTCTTTTTGAGTTAGGAAACCTTCATCCGTTTCTACAGTACTATCATCAGCATCACAATTGCATTTTGGATTGTTGTTTCTGCAATTATTATCAATACCACACTTACATTTACCACTTCCAGGCGAAGCTCCTCCCCAGTAGTTCATATTCAAGTTTGTCCTTCCAATCCACCAACCAAAGGTTGGAATATTTGGATCTGTTGAACCAGAGTTGGTCAATAGCTTCGCTCTCTTACACCTCCACTTAATATTCTGTTCGCATCTGTCAGCTCTAGCGACTAATTCATCAAATACTTCACGAGCAACTGGAAACTTAGTTGGATCATTACGATCAGAGTATCTTATTCTTTGAACAAATGATCCTGGTGAATCAAAGCCATCAACCAAGTGCTCGCCCATGTTATCGTGATATATTATAGTCATGGCAAGATTTCGACTATGTTCAAAAACACATGTTACTGAAATTGGTGAGAGAGGACCAGAACCATCAATATCAATTTTAGTATCTAAATCAGGAATAGTAGGATTTAAAAGACGAACTTCTTCACAGCTTACTAAATATTTTGATCTATGGCATACAGAACCCTCATAGCCAGTTGCAGAACAGTCACAATCAAACATATTGTAGTCTTGGGTACAAATACCGTTATGCTCACATGGGTTGGGATCACATCTATCTTGAAGACTGCAAGAACCATTAATTGCTTCGAAAATCCTCTCTTCAGGTATATTAGTAACAATAGCTCCCTGAATTCTTAAAAACCTCATACAACCTAGAAAACCAGTATAATCCAAGTTCAAGTTGCTATCTTCAGCTCCACCTCCAATATAATATGTATCGTCAGTGGTGAAAGATAGTTGTCTTTCAGAAGAATCAGATCTTCCATCAATAGTGATATTGACTTTACCAAGTTCTGAACTGGATGGAGCTGATAGAATATCAACTATGACATCGTGCCAAAGACCGTCAGTAAAATAACGATGACTAGTTAAAGGATCTAAGTTTGCGATTACGCTTGATATTTCCGGATTGCTATCAGATTTAACTCTATACTCAAGATATCCCTCACTATCAATCCTCATAACAACATAGCCACCAGAATCTAATTTAGTAGCAAATAGCAGTCCATTCTTATTATAGGACCTGAAAGAGAAACCAACTTGCATTCTCAACTTGTTATCAGAGGCTCCAGCTGATAATTTTAAATGAGATTCTACAGTTGGAAAAGTAAACGGTACTATACTTTCAACCAGACACGTTCCTAAGCTAATGTCTCCAATGGCTTGAAATCGTTTTTGGCCCATTCTCATATCCTTTATCATATTCATATAATTAAACCAAACATTTTCCATACAACCAGTAAAGTTTTTCTTGCTGTACAATACTTTTCCAGGTTGAAGAAAGGAATCAATACCTCCCAAATTAATCGATCTATCCAAGTCAAGTTGTAAAAATTCTCCATTTGTTATATTCTGTATTGTCAATCTGTCAACGGTGAAGTTAACTTCTCTGTTCATACGGCTAATTTCAACATCATGCCATTGATTATCATCCAAGAGTGATCCGGCTCTCATGCTTGTTACGCCACTTTGAGTAGCTGTAGATCCCAAATCGATATGAAAGTGTAATCGTCCCCTTACGAGCTCTAAAATTACGTAATCGCCTTGATTACCATCAGCGTAAAATATAAGACCATCGGAATGTAAAGTTCTGAAACGAAGTTTCAGTCGATCGCTTTTCGTTTGAACATATTGTGTTTGACCAGAAATGTCGTAAGTTATTCTTGTTTTACCATCAAAACTTCCTGCTTCACCATCAAATCTACATCCATATACTTCAACTCTCATTGATAAAAATTGATTCCATCTAAGTACAAACCAAAGAGTTGACAAAAATCAATTTATGTATTTTATCTCAATTACCTTTGCGGATTGAAACGAATATATCTGGCTACGAGAGGATAACTTAACTTGTTATATTTAACTGTATCGTCATCCAAATTTCCATCAAAAGAGAAAGGTGTGCCGTACTTGTTAGTATAATCACTCCACGTTTTATTATCGCTTGAATATTGCAGGTGGTACTCTGTTACGAATTCTCCAGAACCTCGACGGCCTTGGGTCGCAACCCTTGTCACAACATGTCGATATCCCAAATCTATTCCGAGATGCTGCAGTTTGTTCGGTTCTCCAGCAGTCCAAGCACCGCCCCCTAAATTTTAACAATATGTTTGTATACTCAATAAATAAATATAAAGAATTCATGTTTTATTGGCAAATCAAAACAGTTTAATTGTTTTGAATTAGTCAGCTTTGCCCAAATATCTGATAGGCTATGCAAAAAAACACATTATAGGTACATATATCTAGAAGATGCCTAATTTGGTGGTAAAGTACCTATAAGGACCTTATTTAGGATTAGAGTTCGCTAATAACACCTGCACATAAAATTTCAAGGTAACACTTAAATATTTAGCGATTGGTTCACCTTTATATCCATTTAGGCGACCGTACCGAGCATCTCTGGCAATATTTGTGGAAGATGTTGACCACATATTTCTATCTGGGATATATTCCTTTTCGATTCCGACGGCTACAGCATACCTACATGGCTCAGTCATATCAATGTCTGGAAAAAAATATTTATCATCAATGGTGAATATGTGCAAATTGCAGTTCAAATGAATTATATTCAAAGACTTACCAGATTTGACAACAATAATAGCTAAACTTAAGATTATTACTTTAAAACACATTTTTAAACGCTTCATTTTATCTCCTTTTACCTGAGCAAAAAAGTTTTAGCAGACGAAGTCATGTGATCAGTTTCAACCAATCATGACAGCTTTTATAAGAACTAACCAATAACCATCCTTCTTTCAAGTCTGTTATTCATTTCATTCATGTTCATTAAAAAAGTACCAAATAAATGAGTTATTAAAAGCAACTCAATAATTATTATAAGACGCTTTTACCTACAGTTTATGAAAATGTTCGTCGATCTAAAGCAATGGAATACTGAATATAACTGTCATAGCTTAATAATAATATATTCACCTGTTAAGTGAAAGTAACAACGATACCTGTTGATAATTGACAAACCTGGTTTTTGCTATATTTAGAAATTTTATGTTTAATGTTTACACAGTTACTCTTTAAATTAGCTTTGTTAGTTAATATTTAAGTTAATATGTATGAACTTAGGATAGTCTCGTTTGTATTAATGAAATAGGTGATTCAAATTGTCTACATTAAGTATTTATCAACAAGTGATAAATTTAATATAGGTTAAGTAATCTTTACAAAAGGCATAAAATTTAATGTGCTTATTTAGTACATTCGACTGAAACATAATTCAATTTTGGAACAAAATATCTAAATGTTAACAATTGATCATTATAGAGTAAAAGAAGATGTGATTGTATTTTTTTAACAGCTGTATTAGACGCCGGTGTATTTTAGCGGCCGGAAGTTATCACAGCGCGTTTTCGTATAAATAAGTTAACTTTAAAGAAATTATCTATAGTTCTCTAATGCACAATTTATTCAAGGAATAGATAGAAAGTAATTTATCAGCTAATAAATTTTTCGGGGTAATCGATTATAATTATTTATATAAGAATACACAAATCGATTAATCGGCTGGAATCGATTTTCGTCTAACGCTTTTAGGTACTGTACCTTATTTTCGTCATGTCAGAACAACAAACCCCGCAATCTTCGGATAATCCAGATCTTGGTACGATGATCCTTATATAAATTGAACTTTTTAAAAATTAAAACATCAGTTTTGTTAGAAATAACCGTTCAAAAGCATCTTATTCCGCAAATACTGTACATTTTTACAATCTGTTTATTTATTTTCTTATTTTTAGAAAGTTAATCGCAATTTGAAACAATCTATATACCATGTTGTGCATTAAAATAATTATTATGTTATATGTACCTGTTAAAAAATTGTGAAAATTAAAGTTTAAAAAAAAAAGATTAATAATTTCAGTTGAAGGTTACAAGGTATTAGGATAAACCTCTATTCTATTAAAAATACAAAGAAAGAACATTATTTTATCTCAGGGAAGGAGACAAAATCTAAAGATTTATGAGTATTTCTGTTAATATATTGTAAATTGTATCACATTAAGCGGAATTTACTTAAGTAATGACTTGGGGAATTAAAAGTTATCAAATAAAGAGATCTTGTGCATCAATATCAGAAGTTTAACAAATATTTTATACTCTTAATCTAATTATATTATTGGATAGATAGAGATATGGTTATTCTACAATGCTAATATCCATATATTTAACATTAGTAACTATATATATATACTGTTCTCAACAGGACGAAGAAGAGTATCAACGAGGTCAATAAAACGTAAAAAGTTCGACGATGAATTGGTCGAATCAAGTTTAGCCAAAACCGACCGAGCAGGCAGAGGAAAAGGGGGAGCTGAACCTAAAACCCCAACAACACCAGCAGCAACAACAACAGCAACAACAACAATAACACCATCAACTAGTCAAGCTACACCCACAGCCACAACTATTTCTACGGAAGGAACTGTTAAAGCTGAGAGCCCAGGTGCTTCCACGCCAACGCCAGTTGTCCCAGTATTACCTGCAAGCAGTCAAAATACTGAAAAGAAAAAAGTTTGTTTTAAAATTAATGTACTTCTATATATAAACTTTATAACCTTTTTATTACTAAAATTTAGCCAACGAACAAATCTATATCCGCACCGAAAAGGATAAGGAAATCAAAAGTATTATATTGAAGTCAATATTTATTATTATCTGTTAAAACGAATGCCTTATCTACTTTTAGAAACCACCAGCTTCCAGAAAAGATTTGGGAAGATGGAAACCCCAAGACGATTTAACACTTATCACAGCCGTACAGCAGGTTCTAAATCAACGAAATTTGTATTATTATTAGTATTTAATTAGTTGACTTAACTGTTTTGTAACAGACAAACGACTTAAAGAAAGTCTATACGGCTGTTAAGTTTTCCTGCCAATTTAGTTACAGAGAAATTCAAGAAAGATGGTATCTTCTTCTATACGATCAGAAATTATCCAAGTAAGCTGCCATTGATTTGCTATTTATCTTTTAAACTCTTAATTTTCAATAGGGTCGCTGTTAATGCAATGAAACAGTTACATCCTGAATTAGTTCAATCTATTATGGCAAAAACTCTATTTAGCGATAAAGAGGAAAAGCTGTTATCCGTTATACCCTCGGTAGTAAACATTACATTTGTAAACATACATATTTATTTAATGCGATATTATTGTTTCATTTGTTGTCTTATAATGCAGCAGTCTCAGCCAACACTTGAAGCGTTTCAAGAAATTTTAGAGCAAAATCGGCATATTTTCCATCCAGCAAGATCTGCCAAAGCTTTACACAATCATTGGTCTCTGATGAAATTTCATGATTTACTTCGTGATCAAAATGCCATAACGAAAAACAGTCTTGTTTGCACATTTTCAGATGCAGAAGAAATTGTTATGCAAGATGAGCATTTGTTGTAAGTATAAAGCGGATTCAATTATCTCACTGAAAGGATCTGACTATAAATTGCCCTATTTCTTTTTACGCTTATACCAGAGATGAAATTGATCAGGTTATTGACGAAGAGATGAAAATAGAACAACGAAATAAGATGAGAGAAATTAGGAAATTAAAAGAAGAAATTAATAAATTACAAGTACTAGTTGATTCAGTTATTGGTATCAACCCTGTGGATTTTGATTCCCAAACTTGGGCTGTTCTGAAAGGTCGATTAGTACGTTATTTAATGCGATCAAAAGAGGTATTAATTTTGTCGAGTTTTTTGCTTTTAGGTGAAACTAATAATTTCATTTAATTTATCAGATAACTATTGGTCGAAAAACTAGCGATAACTCAGTTGATGTTGACTTGAATCTTGAAGGTCCATCCCATAAAATATCCAGACGTCAGGGAATAATTCAAATGAATGTAAGTATCTTTCTAGTTATATATCGATAGAGACTAATTTACCTTTCTTATAGATTATGGGAGAATTCTATATTGCTAATGAAGGTAAAAGACCTATTTTTGTGGATGGTAGGCCTGTGTTAAGAGGTCATAAAACAAAATTAAATGACAATGCCACTATCGAGGTATATACATACTTTGCGGAAATGTATAAATAACCTAATTGTACGTTTTTTTTTTACTTTAGATCTCTTGCCTTAGACTTATATTCCTAATAAACGAAGATTTACTGAATAGTCTGAGATCAGATGTACAGAAACCATTTTTCTGATGAGTCCAACAAACATGTACAAATATATAATTTCTCCTTCCATAATCATCATTATTATCATCGTTACCACCATCATCATTAATTTCTACACCTTCAAAATATACATAATATCCAGTTTTTTTACTTGTATATATCTCAAGATTGTATATAGACTAGACTATAAATAGGATCAATTGTTTGATTTTTTTTCAGTTTATCTCTTCAAAAGAAATTTTTGTCGATAAATGAATTATATTTATGTACAATATATATACACATATATATATATATATATATATATATATATATATATATATATATATATATACATGTATATACGTAATTGACAAAAGTAAAAAACCATATTATAAAGGGGTTCTATGTATTTCCTTTGCATTTAATAATGTGAGAAAACAATTATAAAAACAGATAAAACAATTAATACAATATTATTTCCAGTTTTGTGTTCTTGTTGATTAAACATATAATTTTATAAATACATTTGCAGTAGACATTTACATTGAGTACTATATACATGTTTGTCTATTTTATAAATAATGATATACTCCTATAATTGACACATGCCGAATCAATTGTAAATGTTTAATAAGTTTGTTCTTTACTTTATTAAAAATTGGAGAATAATTTGTATTAATATTGTATTAAAAAAAAGAGAGTATCTTGTAAAGAACTCAATCAATATAGTAGGTTTTAAACGTAGTTGTTAAATGTCAAGGTTAATTTGAGGAAGTCTAAGGAAAAGAGCAAGATAGATAAATTAAATATTTTGGGAATTTCTCTTTGAATTATTTTTAAATTATTGATTCATTTTAATATTCATTAGCTATTTAATATTTATATTATTTCAAAGCAATGAATGATAAAGAATTAAATAACTTTTTTACGCATAATCTTATTTTGTTATGTCAGTACGCTTTTGAAAATGAAACCAAATTTTCCATTTCCGGTACTATTGGTATAAAGTTAGAAAAGAGTGAACAAATTATGATAAATATTGAAGAAGATGTTGTTAATGAGTCTATAAAAGCATTTGATACTCCTTCTTCGGAATATGGACAATCGTTGTCTTTTATAAAAGGATACCATTTATTAAATACTTCATCAATCAGTACCATTGATGCTTCAACTAGAGGAAAACTATCGAATATAGGCAGAACACCTTGTCATAATAACTTTGTAACTTCTACACCAGCCTATGCTCTTACTAAAGGATTTAACATTAAGAACAGTTTATCGAGAATGGAGGATTGCAGTATGAATTCAAAATTCGATGACAATGAATCCAAAGACGATAGACCAGACTTTAACGATGAAACTGTCTTTTCTCAACAGAAAGATATGAAATTCGATGGAGATATAACAAAGAAACCTTTGTCTCGAAGTCGCCTTGGTAATAAAGTTATCAATGTGTTTTATATAACATTTCCTTGGTAAAATTTAATTCCTTATTTTTTATCCCATTCATTAGAGTCTATAGATGTTAGCTTAGAAGAGATGAAATTATATATTGAAAAGATCAAATTATTAAATTTGCCATGCGATTCTGTTGAGGATTTTCACAAAGCTGAAGATTTACTCTTAAAGGAAAATCTTAGTAAAATATTGGTAAGTGTAATGCTTATTTTTAAATAATACGAAAATAAACAATTATAAATTTTAACACAGAAAAAATGGCTTATGATTGAAGAAGGAGATGAAATTGGTCAACTTACAAGATGTATATTAAGCCGTCTAATTGGACCAAATTTAGCAAAACAAATGAATAAAGGAAAGGTAGCTAACATTGCGAAATTAGACAGCCAAACTGGAAAATTACTTTTTACTGGAACAAAATTTTATAAACCCGTTTACAGTACGTAAAGCATACGTATACTAATATATAGTTACTAATATTAATACCCTTACTATATTTCTATTAGCTGCCATAATGAAGCATCCTTCTCTGCTACAAATGAGAGATTATGAAAAGCATTTAGCTATAAATAGAGAAGTTGAACTTTGGTTTTTCAAAATGAATGAAAAAGTTTCAAGAAAAGCTATTGAATATCCAAATAACGCAGCCCAATTTTGCTACGATTGACGATATTCTTTAATATTCCAATCTAAAGTCTTCCATAAATTTATTTTAAATATATGTATAAGCGTGCGAACGTGATAAATGTTTTATATAACAGTATCTATACAACTATATTTTACAGCTGATTGATTTTAAACGTTTTTCCCTTCCTGTATTATATATTTTCAATGAATACATTAAACTATTTACTTTTCTTTTAAACGTCTTTTCAAACTATTTACTACTAAACAAAAAGTTAATATTTTTCTATCATTCATTTGGAATTATGAAAAACTTATATTGCTTGTATACTTCTCGATTTAACATTCTGTCAAAATAAAAAAAAAAGCTAATCGTTCCATAAACCCTTTTTATATATGTTTAAGATAGTTTCTATACTTATGTTAATTAGTTTATACATTTTAATGGTAATAATATAAACAAAAAGTTTATGGTATGAAATTGATGGGTTTTTTAACTTTCTTCGGTTGTTGAATGGAGATATTTGGTTTATGGTCGATAGTTTTATTAAGAAGGACGTTAATGAGAGATCCTCGGTTAGACTTGTTCATTTGTAAGATTCGTTTCTTCTCGAACAGTTCGTCCAAGTGCCACCACTGTAAAGTATAAGAAATTATATAAAATAGAGTGTGGAACATAAATGCTGTATGATATATACAGTATATATATATAAATGTAATTTACCGATCTTAATCGTTGCACATCGGTGTGAGCTCGTCTATTCTTTTCCCATAGATAATGTTTTGTACAACATTTCTTTGGAACTCTACATAAGGTATCTGAGTCTGTTAATAAGGTTTCAGGTAAAGGTGCTCCGCAAACTTCATTATTTTCTGCTCTTCTCTCCTTTGTATGCTCTGGACATATAACTTTTAATCTCTTGCAATAAGTCTGAGTTCTTTCGTTGTAAAAATCGCAGAAAAGTGGTCTGCCTTCAATTTTTGTTTGATAAATTGAAGCAAACGACATTTGACTTTCTGCTTTTTGAAAACAACGTTCCCAATGTCTCAAAGCAGTTTTACAGCCGACATCTTGAGCGCAAATTAAACATGGAAATGGTCCCTCAGGACTATCTTCAGTTTCTTCATCGTCTGAAAGACATTCTAAAGTTTTACCCCTCGCTACTATTTCATCTAATTTCTCGTGTTCTTTCTCTAAATCTACTAAGCATTGCTTGGCTTTAATTATTTCCTTATCAACTTCTTCTAGATCGTTTTCAGCTTGTTGGCCAGCAAGCGACGGAGAATTATTCCATGCCGCAACACGTTCTCCCAAAAACTGTTTTATTCGACTGCAAAGTATTTTGAAGAAAACGTAAAGTTTTAGTTTAAAGTTATCATATTAAACATTCACTCACATGCTCGCCAATGTTATACCACACTCATCTGAGCAATATTTGGAATTCGATCTTGCATGGTTAATGCAGTGTGACCCGTAACATTGTCTAGGTTCATCGTCTTCCTCGTCGTCATCCTGTTCGGAATATTCCGGATCTTCTCCAACTTCTGGTACCTGTATATCTCTCTTTGCGCGAGCCGTTTTACGTCTTCCACCTCCTCCACCTCCCCTGCCTCTAGCGGACGTTCGCTTACCCCTACCTCTGCCTCGACTAGCTTTTGCAGGAGGACTAATTGATGGTGAATCCTCTTTTAATACCGGCCAAGATTCTATATTTGATTTAACTTGAAAATCAGGGTCGCCATCTGTGTCCTTATCGTCCTATAAGAATATTGAAAGAAATATACGTTAGTAGGGGTAAAAACTCTATGATATTAACATTATAGCGTAATCGTCTCGACCGTTTTTTATATAAAAATGATTGGACAATTAATGAAAAATAGGCGGTGATTTAAAATTACCTCTTCCTCTCCAAACTCGGGAATATTCTCCGTATTAGAATATTCCATCGATAACAAATTCGGCTCCGGTCTGTCCCTATCTGAACTCTTATGCTTTTTCTTCTTTTTCTTCTCCTTTTTGTGTTTATGCTTTTTCCTATGATCGTCTTCGAAAAGAGGTTTCATATCGTTTTTATACTTGATTTTCAGATTTGGTTTTATCTCCCTGCAACGCTCACAAATATAAGATTTTATGTGCTTGGCAGCAATTTGCGTTACGCCAATGCAATCGCCATGATACCACTCGTTGCAGTGATCGCATCCTATCATAAACCTCTCAATATCGCTCGATTTACATATACAATAAAGTTTGCGAGTACTGGTAGATTCACTGTCCATTTCATCTCCAGAACTGTCGCTCAAAAATGATGCCATGACTTTTCTGAGAGATAGATTCTCCAGTGAACGCCAGATCCCTACTGATGCTTACCGGAGATTCAGGATCATAACCCGCCAGATACTGCTTTATGGTAAAATACGTTGGGAATCGTAGTAAAAAACTGGTGTTATTTATTTAGTCACGTGACCACCACTTCCGGTTTGGTCTCGGCTTTTTTTGTGTCTTGTAAACTATTGCAAAATACAGTCTTTAGCTTCAAAAATTTTGAGATAATCAACTCCGACAAGAAATTGAAACTCTTTTTTTATTAACAGCAATCGGAATTAAATAAGCAACACCTGCGAATACAACATATCAGTGAGTTTTTACTACGGCAGATGATTTTTTGCGGTAGATTTGCAGTTGTCGTTATTTTATAAATCGATTTATATTTGTTAAAATTTGCAAGAACCTAACGATTGAATAAACATTGCCATTTAGCGGTGTTAAACATCGCAAAGCTCTTGATATTGTAAGCCTCAATTAATCTGCTAAGTGGCATTAGCAAACTATCTGAGAGGTATTATATTAGATTATTTCTAACTTCCTTTGTCCATAATTAAATAAACATTGGTTTGGTCAGGTAATTTTTGTCATATAATCTCTTTATGAATTGTACATACTGCTGTATTGTGATAAAAAATTATCTCTAAGATTAAATTTATGCGAAGTCAATATGTTTCAAGAAATAAAGGAAACGAAACAGAGTCAAGTCTTAAATCGAATGAAGAAAAGAACTTGTATTTGAATGGTTGGCTCTATTGAAATCTTTATTTATACAATGTAAACCCGACTGTAAAATAATTAATTTAAAACTTCAAATAACGTTTACCGCTTTATTTATCTTGAACATTTGAAGTGATATTTATCTTGGAAATATCTGCAGAGAATAGTTTGTATTAGGGGAATTTGTTAGACTAATTTACGCCTAATGAGCTATTCTTGGTGTAGCACTAACAATACTGAAGGATATTTGCGATTCTTCGGGAAGTTAATTTCTGCTATTTAAAAACCAAAACGTTCGTTCCCACCTCGCTCCTATTAATTTCCGTATGCTACTTAATTTTTGAATAGTTTTCCTTCTCTCAAATCATGATAAATAAATAAAAAGTTTACTGTTTATTCATTTATTTTGTGGTGTTTTTATTATTAAAAAAAAAAAGAACAAAAAAGTAGGGCCCTTCAATAAGATTAAAACTCTATTTTTGACGATTATCACAGAATACTTTTGATGATAGATGACACTTTTATCCATTGACAATGATTACTTTGTTAAAAAACAAATAGACCTGCCACAACTAAGTATAACTTGCAAGTTAAACATTATAGGTATAAAGCCTGTTTGAAGTTCTTTATAATGGTAAAGGTTTACGAGAATTTTATAATTTGAAAGATAAATACAATGTGAAAATAAATAAGCACTTATCAATAATGTATATTGATAACGAGAATAAATTTGAATTAATAAACCCTTCCTTAACCAATTATTTATTAATATTATCCCCCTATACATGCAGAAAGGCCAGACCGACGAAAATAGAAACACTAGCAGCATCTTCGCCGCCAGATGTACTGCCGAATATTTGCTGGTTGTTTGTAGCATCCTGCAGATGGTACACGTCTTTTAAAGTCCTGCTTTCTGGATTTTCGATTTCGAAACAAAAATGGCGACGACAATCGTTCAAAACTACAGGTTTGTTTAGACTCGAACTACTGTTTAATTTCAAGCAGATGCTTTGGTTGAATTACTTGTAAATTAGGTCAAGAATGTTAGGAATTTTTATATATACAAAGATATATAAATCTATAAAAATTAATATAAATAGATGGAGTTATATTTTTAAGTTGAACTGTTTTTTTTAAGTATAAATATATTTATAAACTATTTAAACTATATAAGAATGTTCTATAATTTTTCAAATTGATACAATAATCATTTTTGAATAGTACTCTATTTACAAAAACGGAAATAGAGATTTTTTTATTCCCTAACTCGCTCCATTTTCAAAAAGAACTCCATTGTTATATTGAAAATAATGAAGATGAAATATTACAAGTATTATTCACTTTACTAAATAAACATTTAACAATAATTTAATAGTCTTTCGTACGGTTTGTCTAGTTTGAATAATAAGTAATTCAGCAAAAGATATATATTTATGTATACATCGCGTTCTATTATTCTCTGCGAATATTGAATGATTGCTACTATTTTATATTCTTACTTTGTAATGCTATACTGAAGATTGATTTTTCTTACCCGATGGCTATTTTTCATTGATTTTATATTTGTACATTAATACATACTGTATATATATATATATATATATATATGTGTGTGTGTACGTACCATGTCTAATGTTACTTGTTATAGATTGTCTGTTTATACGGTCTATATGAAATTCGTATGTCATTCCTAAATTAATATATTAAATTTATCACAGTAGCGATAATATGGATAATCCGTTCAAATCCAACGGCGAACTCTCGCAAAAAGCTGAATTTATGCTGAGAAATTCAACTATCACAAGGACGGCAATAAGTATAGCTGATCCGGATACAAGTGCTGATTCTACAAATCACGAAGAAATACTTCAAAGTTCAGCATCCGCCTTAAATTCGGCTCCACCGCAAACGAATGGCGATACAACACCTCAACAAGTTGAGGTTAAGTTAACACGAAACGAAGATTTAAAGCCATGTAAAGGAGAAAAAGTTGCTTCTAGCAAAGCTAAATGCTGTACTATTATGTAATGTTTCTTTCGATACCTTTCTTTTCTGAATATTTGAACAACTTTTGGCTGGTGCTCAGGTACTTGAGTTAGTTTATTATGCAATTTTGACAGCCTTAGTTATTGAAATGATACTTTTTTTTTATTATTGAATAATTGAACTCGATATCTTAAAAGACATCATTCATATCATTGATTTGCTCTATTAGATGTTTGACATATCCTTTTATTGGTTTATTTAGGATTTTTGTTTTTTGTTCTGGAATAATTAGATAGTAATGCTGATTAAGAGAAGATTTACATATTTTCTTGAGTGATTCTACATTTGTTGTCTTGGCTTCTAAAAAAAGAATTAATGATATTTACATACAATTTTTATTTTTAAATATCTCCTGGTGTCGTATTGCTTTAAAAAGAAATTCGATAAAAAGATTTTTATTGCTTATATAAAAATTGAATTTAATTAATCTCATATACCGAAGCGCCACCTTACAGTATCAAATAAAAACTATACGCTAATTACTTGTTTATTACTTTTTCAATATGCAAAAGTTGGAAGTATAGTTGTCCATATGAGATGTACGAGCCTACATCGATCATCTTTTTTATTCCCTTTACTGTTCGTGCATTAAGCTTGATACTACTTTCATATTCATGTGCTATAATTTATACATATGAAGTGAACTTTTATTGTTTGTGCTATAATATCTTTGCTTCTAGTTGTTAACGTATATAAAAAAAATTATGTCTTTTCCGTAATTTGGCGTTAGTTTGAATATTGCATTTTGACTATGATTTAGATTATAATACAAATTACTGTGGTCTGTCATAGATAAAAAACAACAAATTACTAAAGCTTTATTTTTAGAATTTTTACATTAATTAATTGATTAATTACTTATAAAGGTTTTAGACAAGTCTTTTGCCAATTTTTTACTTTCCTCCACTTATCATCATCAAGTTCTCCAAATTCGCAAGGTTCTTTTTCGCACGGCCTACACAGTTCTTTTACTCTACGATATAATTGCCCGTTTAGCAGATCCACATCCCTCTCTAGCTCATCTTGTAAGTTTGTCAGGGAATTAGGTGAAGCATCGAAACTGATGTTAAAATAACTGTATACGAAAAAGATTATTAATTACTTGATGCTTTGGCAATTGTTAAATGGTAGATTTTAAAATAGTTTGTTTATCTGGATCAGAAGGGGAAGAATCTACTCTAATTTGTTATCATTAGTAATATTACTTACTGGCCTTGGTAGTGTTTATTTGAATCTATATCCCTCATGGCGTAAGGCAATTTCTTTTCTCCATGATTTTCGTATGTCCTTAATACTACTCCTTTAGAAGCAATTGATAGTGATATCCGCTTTATCGCTTCGGCTAATTTACTCTGTGGATCGCATGTGAAATACTTAAAATATCTTATTAACAATTTCTAGATAAAATTACCCTTTCGAGTGTCCTAAAAACTAACGCTAACTCGTATCCGGGCATGCTCTGAGGCGATAATACGTTGATGTAAAAGTAGTGCTAGGGATATCGTAAAAAATTCGAACACATTTTTTTTACAGCTAACCAAGGTTTGTATTATCTTAAATTCAGTAACATACAGATATAATGGCACAAAGCGTATTTAAGTTACAAAATTTTCAACATTATTTCACAAAAATTGACAATTGAACTTGTATTAGTTGAAGGGTCACAGCGATAAACTCGAAGAAATAAATATAGCAAAAATTATACAGCAATAAAAGTAAGCAGTCATTCAAGTGTTTTTTTTACAAGTTATAAAAGACAAAGACAAAAAACAACATTCTTTCTGCAATTATTTACAGGACTTTTCACTCAATATATCCTTCAACAAATCACAAATAGGTAAATTCGAATCATTTTTTGCCTCGTACAATCGACTAATAGCGTTTTGGGACAGCTGCCTCACATGAGGCAATAGAGAAAGCAAATTGCTTATTCTCTTTGCAGATCCATCGCCAAACTTTCTCTTTGAATATTCATCCAAAGCGCTAAAAACATCGTCGTTGATTGTACAATGAGGCAGTTGCTTTATTCGGCCATTTACAAGTATTATAACTTTTAGTAGCACATATTCCTCTTTGGAAATATCTAAATCGAAAGCTTTCTCCGATAGATCGAATAAATATGGTGTTAAATTTCCACCTACGCCCCCATCTTCACATTTTCGCCTGTCAAATATTAGATCAGTAGCAAATTGCACGTACTCCCCAGCATGAACTCTCGATCTCCAAATGCATTCCCATGACAAAAGCTCCATCCAACTGGATTCAAGAAAGCAAATTTGATCTTCTTGTGAAAGTTTATCAAATTTTGGTATTAATTTAGCCCAATTAATGTTGTCAAGTAGTACCTTGTTGTACAGCTTTATGAAGACCTCGGTTAGATCATCATTTACATTATCAGCCCTTCTGTCTGGGGGTTCAATTTTAAGTAAAGTGCCAAGGTAACCAGTTTCTATTGAGATAGGTTCGCAAAATCTAAGACCAGCTTCGAAGCATTTCTTTAGTTTACAAGCCGAGCACTTTTGAGGACAAGTGCATGTATACCTAACCCGATTTTTGATGGTTTCGTTAAAAAATTCTGAGCATTCGACACAAAATTCTTTGTCGACTTTGTGCCCTGAACACACTTTACATAAAGTGCCACGTTCTTCCGGCTCCTCGTCATCATCATTCTCTAGAAAGAATTTTACTCCAAACCCTCCACCCTCTAAAGATTGTCGCCTTAATGAATTTTTATCATCCGCCTTCGCCGTAGCCAAGCTGTCAAGATTACATGGAAGGCTTTTGGCGCCGATTTGCTCACCTTGGAGAAGTTCTCGTAAGGTTGCAGATGAATTCTTCGGCAGTGAAGAATAAGAATCATAGCCAGAATCCAGAGATCGGGTACTGCTTGACTTTACCATAAAATCTTTGTTTTTGATACCTGTTAAGTCGCTTCTCGCCCGTTCAGTGACAATTTCGGCCAACAATTCGAGATTTTCTCCCGACCGCGCCCAATGAGGTAGCTTAGCCAAATTTGGGACATCATTCGTCAGAAGGGATTCAAGAATAGATTTCTCAGAGTCTGAAAAGAGTTTGCAAAAAGGTTCTAAACTATTGTTCAATAAATCTATAAAGTTACGATCGGTGGCGCCATCATGCACTTTCTAATAGTATCTGACGGACTGATTGCAAATCCACGCAGTTATTGCAATGTTTATCTATAGCATAGTTTAAATAATAGCAGATAAATAACAAACCTCCCGTTATTTATGCCTTTTAAAATGTCTCTTATTTTAACTATGCTTAAGGTTTTCGAGGAAGATTTCCATAATCGACAATTAATTACTTATCCATCATTTTGTTTAAGTATTGTCTATTTAGTCGAATAAGATTTTGCTTACCGTGTCTGTTTGTAGTGGAGGGTATAACGGATGCCGTTAAGTACTTTATGAGCTCTGAATCCGATCTACAGTGTTTCAGTCGGCTGTCAACTTCACGTGGAGCTTCTATAGTTGCCTTACGCTGACTACGCTGCATACTGGGCATTGTGTTCCTTCGAACGCGATGCTCCTCCATATCTCTATCCAGTGACGGGGGAAGTTTAAAAGTCGATGCCATGAATGGAGGACAGCTAGAATCCAATTTTGTTCTTTTTACTTGCTCATCTCCCCTCCGTAAGTCATTCGGGCGTTTTACAGTCGACATTTCTTCTTTATTAATCTAATGCTCATCTGAAAATGACACACACATTGTGAAATTCCTATGGTATTTAACAAAAGTAATGGTTATTCATTATTAGTAACGTAGTATTTATAAAGGTGTCGTTGGTTTGTACCAACTGACCTTGCGGATGTTTGAAGGACTTTCATTAAGTACTGAGCATATCGTAAATGATCGAAACATAAATTATGAACACACTTAAGGATAAATTGTCTCTAACATAGTATACGTTTTCAAAAATAGAAACTTACAGAATAAAAGTGGCTAAAATCGGCGATAATATTGAGTTGAATTGGGAATGCCTCTCTTTCAACGCCATACTAAGTCATGTGACCAAAACATGGACGAGTCCTTCATTTTTAACCTTTTTATTGTCAGCACGGCGAGAGAAAGGAATTCAAAAAACAGATTTAAATAGACTATGAACAAGCGTACTCAATAGATAAATAAGTGAATTATTCTTTGCGATATCAAGAGCGAGCCGACACCCCTATCTTGATTCGAGTCCTTATAACGCATGCGCGTGTTTCAAAATGGCGGCAACCATACTTTCCTCTTCGAAACAGCTTTCAAAGTTTATTACACTACAAAGTCGAATTTGTTGTAGCCAGGTTAAATTTTTCTAAAATTTTCTAAATTCTTATGCGTTTTTTAGTCTTTGTCATAATAGATTAATGTGTTGATGACCGTTTAGGTTTCAACGTCAATTGCCCTTGATAAAAAGTTCTTACAATTTACTATTAATTATTGAATACTGATCACTGAAAAGAGATAATAATTATCCTTTATTTTTAGATTCATTTTCTGTCAAGACAGCAAGAGCTAAATAATCTTGGTAAGTTTAAAGAGATATTCATGGCATGGGTATATCATACACATTGATTTATATTTTCACTCTAAAACCATATTAATATTTAGGTAAGCTGCAATTTTACAGGGTTAAATATATAATAAACAATAAAAATCAATTGATCGGTCAGAAAAAAATTTATTTAGTCATATGATTTTTCAAATTTATCAGAAAATAGAATTCTTATAATTTATTTAATAATTTATCTTGTCATGTTAGATTGCATGCTCTATGAATTTTATTATATTCTTATCAGTAGTCATGACCTGTCCCCTGTACTTTTCAAATGCACTTATAATATATCATTCAAAAAAGTTCTTTTTTTAGAATAAATAACCATTTCAATTTTTACTTTAAACAGCTCTGAAGAGAGAAAAGCCCAACTTTTCATTGTCTGCACAGAAACTTAGCAGTCATGTGTCAAAAAGATTTTTGAGAACAACGATCAAACTAGGTACTTTACTCTCCACTTTCTATTAAAAAAAAATAATAAATTATAGCGTATTTTGTTCTTGAGTTCATTCAGTTTTATGTTTATGTTTTTCAGATGATCGTAAAACAATAGTATGTCCACCTCTAGCCGAATCAATTTCAGAAGGAGATATTGTGTGGCTTAAAGGTAAAATAAAAGTAAATCTCTCAAATCCAATTTGAAGGTCAACTTTTAATGTGTTTTGACAGATGAAGGTGACTTTGTTGGTGTCGATGAGACTATAGCAGAACTAGAAAATGACAAAGTAAGTTAGTTCAATTTTCTCCGTCTATAAAATATCTGATACTGTTCTAAATTATCTGATAAATAAAGACAGGAATAATACACATGTTTTCAGAGGTTTTGTCCTTAATAATGGACATGACCTTGCACCATTTAACGTTTTGTTATTCTGTCTCTTAGCTCTGAATTGTTGCACGTAGTTTCAGAGAAAGAGCAACATTATGTAATAATTTCACTATAGGCATATAGAATACAACATTGATTTTAATTTTTATAAAAATATCAAAAAAATTAGCCAAATATAAACAATGCAAAATAAAATTGATATAGATTACATTTGACATTGAAAGGTTGAAAAATAGGCAAAACATTAGTCTGTAATTTTCTTTTAATTTGCTAGTCAGTTTTGAAGCCACATATTAATTATTCAGTTTATTTGAATATTTAATAGCATGTTAGAAGCTATCAATGAGAATTCACCCTATTTTTCAGGCAAATATCCCAATTAAGTCACCCTATAATGGATTGCTGCAAAAGCTTATTGTTGAAAGTGGAGATACGGTATCTCCTGGAGGTGATCTTTGTATAATTGAGGAAGGTGCAGCAGGTGCACCCCCACCTGCCGCAGCAGCACCGCCACCGCCACCATCACCTTCATCGCCGAAAGCTACAGAAGAACCTCCAAAGACTTCGTCTATCCCCGACTCTACGCCAATACCGACGACCCCTCCACCGGTAATTATGAAATAACCGTGTTAAAATGATAAACATTGAATTCAAATAGGTTCCGCAAGTTCCTAGTCAACCGATATCTTCAAAGCCTGCAGAGAGTGTCAAAGCTCAAGAAGCTCAGTTTAATGCATTCTCACTCTCAAACGAAAAGAGATCGGAAAAGAAGGTAAAAATGAATCGTATGCGGCTGAAAATTGCCCAAAGACTAAAGGAAGCTCAGAATACTTGTGCCATGCTGACAACTTTCAATGAAATTGATATGTCAAACATAATATCACTTCGTAAGCAATATCAAGAAGCTTTTCAGAAGAAGCACGGTTTCAAACTAGGATTTATGTCAGCATTCTTAAAAGCTTCTGCTTACGCCTTGACCGATCAACCTGTAGTGAATGCTGTTATTGATGATAATCATATTCTTTACAGAGACTATGTAGATATTTCCGTGGCAGTAGCAACACCTAAGGGCCTTGTTGTGCCTGTTGTTAGAAATGTTGAATCTATGTCGTTTGCTGATATAGAAAAGTCACTTGTTGATCTGGGGGAGAAAGCAAAGACAGGCGCTTTAGCTATAGAAGATATGGAAGGTGGAACATTTACAGTTTCCAATGGCGGGGTCTTTGGTTCAATGTTTGGTACACCAATAATTAATCCTCCTCAATCTGCCATTCTAGGAATGCATGGAGTCTTCCAGAGGCCTGTAGCCGTTGATGGAAAAGTTGAGATAAGGCCAATGATGTACATTGCCTTAACATACGATCACAGACTCATCGATGGAAGAGAGGGCGTTACATTCTTGAAAAAGATAAAGAGTGCTGTAGAGGATCCTAGAATGATGTTCTTAGACTTGTAATACTTTACTTGCTTTGCAAGTTTATAAAACAAAGAAGTTTCTTAAATACGTCAGTCACATGGTCAATACAAACTTTTAAAATTGCTATTCAATTCGTTTCTTTTTATTGCGATCTGTTAGAAATCGATTTTGAAAAGTTTAGATGAACGAGAGAAAAATATAATTGAATTAAATTTAAATAGAATTCGATATATTTATATATAAAATAACCATTAATTAAAAGTCATAATTTTTTAATTGAAGAACGGAAATCAAAAGTAATACGATGGCGTTCCTACGAAGTCGAGTTCGTTGGTTCGATTTACATTTAGACGAGCGACGTCAGGCAACTCTTCACTGTTGCAAGGCGCTTCGGGAGTTTTGGTTGCTTGGATTGGATTGGATCTTGCAACAACAAACTTGCCCTGAGCAAGTGGAGGCGTTGAAACATTTCGGCTCTTCAAGAGGTCCACTGATGAATCTGGTAAACCAAATTCTCTAACAACTCTTAATTCAAATTGTCTAAGACATTCCGCATTTATGAAGTTTGAATGAGCATAATATAGTCTATGATTGGCTTCAATCTGTTTTAATCTTTTTTCCATTCTGTTCAAAGTACTCTCGCCCGGTAGGGGCATAGTGTCAGACACAATATCTGGTTTACTAAATGTTGAATTGGAAGTAACAGAAATACTACTAACGCTCCAGTCGTCTTCGGTCATTTTTTCCTCAAGAACCGCCTGCAATTCGTCAATATAAGGCTGGAAACATCTAGGATAGCGTCTATACTCTGGATGCTGAATAAGATCAATCCATCCTTTACCCGTACTATAGTTTAATAAATCAACACCTCGGCAACTAGATGGCATTACCAATCCCCTCTTGTCGGCCGCCAGAAGAGTTTCCATATCACTTGAAGTAATAAAATTATAGCGAACTAACGATAACAGTTCAGAAATTATAGATTTTAACTCGGTGTCATCTAAATCTCGTCGTTTTACACCTTTCTTCGAAACACTATGAGTTGTATGGTTAAGGAGATTCGGTTCTCGTTCCTCTATTCTTTTAATCAATTGCTGTTCGCCCCATTTAATTACGGCAGATAGGATTTCGCCCTCGGACGCCTGTAAAGAATATCATATTACACTTGATTTTTCATTTTCCAATGCCATAGCAGGCTAAAGAATACTATCGACTAATGGATTATACAAAAAAGACACGATAGAGGAGCATCATAGTCTAAATTCTAGCACAAGAAAAACTTAATACTAGCATAAATTTAATTGTAACCTGTGTCAAGTCAAAAGGTTATTGACATCGGCAACTAGCCATAAGAAACGATTTAAGAATGATGCAAAGAGTCTTAAAATCTTAACTTTGGAAGGATTGTAATATCAACCTTAATAGGTTTGTGTTGATTCATCTATTGACAGGGCTTTTTTTACGCATATATCTTTAAGCTATATTTTATGGAGCGAGATACAAGTTTATATATATTTTTCTATGCAGCTTATACTCTTGTATAGCTATATGTTTATTTATATATATTATACAAAGATTTATAACGTATCAGTGTCAAATTATGCTCGTCTCTTCTTTCTTATAAGAAAAAATAGATTTCTTATCTATTTTACGAGATTGGTGAAAATACAATCGATAGCAAAAATCTTCCTTAAAAAAATCAATTTAATGGTTAAGAGTACTTCTTTTTTGGTTAGTCAAACATAAAATCTGTTCCTAAAAACCCTAGGGGATATTGGGAACAAAGGCATTATGAGGGTATTGTCCAATAGGCTAGAGCGACAGCCAAACTTGATAAGTTTTTTCTATTTATTTATATTTCTATATTTTCTACCGCTGACGTTTTTCTCTGCTAAAAAAATCCAAAAATACACGGATACCAAATCTTAAATATTTACAGAAACTATTAGTCTGTTGGATATACCATATATTTATTTTATCGATTTTATTAAGAATAAATTATTTAGTTACAAATCGATAAATTATGATTTACGTTTACATGTAACGAAATCGTCTCTTGGGTAACAAAGTAAAGTAATTTAGTGTGGCATATATTTTACGCTGTAAAAAGGAATTAGAGCGGAGAAGTAGTGCCATTTTGAAACAGAAAAAAGAATTCGTAAAGAATTATGGTATTAACTCGATTTAAGGACCATTTTACTTCTCTCTCTTATTAATTTTCCTGTAGAGGAGAATTTACTCTAAGATTAGCAATCTATTTCTCTTTTTTTTTTTCTGTACTACAAAAAAGATAGTTGCAATTGCGAGATACTATCTAACCAACTGAAATTTGAGAGTTTTCATTAATTTCTTTAGACCAATTCAATTAGGTGTATACTATTAGCATTAGATGGTATAAAATTGATTCTAAACTGGTGAACTAACTGTTGTTTTTTTTTTAAACTAGCCTACTTGATTAGAGGTTGATGAGAAAATAAAAAAGCTAATTATAAAAGTTTTCGAAGCACTCACTTGCAAAAAGTCTGACGTTAAAACACTCTTAACCGTCTCTTCGTCCAAATCCAGCCAAACACCAGACTGAACTAACTGGGAAAATTCTTCTTGCACAAACACTTCGCACTGCCTTAAAACCCATTTCGATCCGTGCTTCATACGAGCCCAATTAATTATTTCACAGCAAGTCTCCACGTTCACCGCTTGCCAGATGAGATTCTCGCAATTTTCTGCCATCTTACCAAATTCTATAAATCTAAAATAAACCGAAAAAGAAAGAAAATGTAAATTTAAGAAATCGCAAAGCAGTATTTAGAAGAAAATAAAAGAATTTTACATCTCTAGAACTTGTATGTAATTTATTTTAAGTGAAAGTTCAATTAGAAAGAAATGTGGTGATAGAACGTAAAACAAATAAACGGAGACTTAATTATTTCAGTTAAATAACGCGTTTTCTGTTATTCTTGTTGCTTTATGATTATTTTGTAAATCCGATATTATATAAGTAGATAATTTTGTCTACATTATTTGTTAATAAATCGAAAAGCTTAGGTAAAAACTTTCTTTGTAAACTTATATTTGCTATATATTTTTATAGCATAAAAATAGAATATGTATATATATAACAAGAGTATCTAACCTGGCTATCTGGTACAGGTCAATCGTATGTCGAACATGGGTTGGAAGATTCGATCTTTCGGAATTTGCTAAAGCATTAGCGTCGGCTAAAGAAGACTGAGGGATGTTCGGAATGAGTGTGGTATCAAGAATGTCCGTATAAATTGCATGAAGAATAGTTCGAGCGTATATCCGAGGTATAACAGCCTCGTCCAGCTGAATTATTTCCGGATAATTTCGTCTGCGCTTTTCCAGTACATTTCTAAAGAAAGGCGATCGGGAGGCCAATAAAGCTGTAATAAATAAATAAATAAACATAATATATAACATTTTTATAATTCATAAATATCGTTGATTTCTTTTATCTCTGAATTTTTATGACATCAATAACACATCATTTAATCCTATACGCATGGTACATTTATTTGCCTTCTTTTATAAAAATCATACGACGCGAAATACAATTGTAAGAATAAGAATTCGTTTGCTTAAAATTGATTAATTACGCAAAAAATGAAGAGAAAATGGAAAGAGAGAACTTGTTACTTACTGGTACAATTTATCTGAATACTATCTTTTTAATTATATTCTGACAAGCGGAATATGAAATAATAATTTCAATCTCGTATAGATTTTCCCCAATAGCACATTTGCTTAAAATATTATCCCATTCCTAAGGAAAAATTGCCTTTCTTTCCTTCTATTCCTCTATCTATCTATCTCGATTAGTTTATGAGGATACTAGCCGTTAAAAATTATTCCCTCTTATTTCTTTATACATGCTTTCAAGATGTCAACAAATATAACCTCGATAAACCATTTCGGTATAATAGTAACATCTGATAATTTTTATTTGTTATTTACATTATTTTAGTCACTATTAGAGAATTTTCAACCTTTTATTTCTTTTCTCTACGGTGTATCATAAAAAGGCTTTTCTTTCATTTATACGCTGTTATTATATTAATGACATAATTACTGTCAATGAAAGCAATGATAAAAGTTTCATAAGCTATTTTGAGAATATATTATAAATATGGTGTATATACCCTTAATGGTAATTCAATAGAAAAGCTAACTGAATGGTCAATAAGCGGATGTGAAGGGAGGAAGGGAATTCTTTTTTTGAGAGAAAAGAGGTAGGAGTGGACAATGAGACAAGAATATATAGTTATCTCCATTGGCTGATCAACAATGATTATCGTTTGTAGGAAACGTGTTATCGATTAATTCTGATCGAGTTTAGGTTTGACCTCTTTTTTTCTTTAATTAAAATATTGACAAAGGATTAAATGAAAAAATAAAAACCTTTATGGCATCTGTACTCTTCAATGTCACTTCTTGCATCACCCAATGAATTTAGGTAATTGGACGTTGAAAATACCAAAACACAATCGTAATCCCTAATATCCCTAGTTAAGAGTGCTCTTAAGTCGTCTTCGAGGCGATTCGGCATACCAAACTCATGCTTAAGCTTTTCTATAACCGGTCTAGATGAATCGTTACCAATATCCAAATATTGCGTGTAAAGAAATCGCAATAAATCGCCAAATAGAGCAGCGTCGACGCCCAGCGTCCTTATATCGATTGGTATTGGCCTATCAAATCTGTAACAAAAGGTGAAGAAAGCAGATGAATAGAAAATATATCTACAGCCTAATATTGTTGTTAATCTAAAAGTTCTACTTTATATGCAGGACCACGCGGGGTGTATTGTTCCTTCGAATAAAGGCGGAAATAAGGCATAAGCCTTGAAGCTGTTACTAAGTGATAGAAAAAAAAATTTACCTCTTATATTTAGAAAATAAATTGCGGAAGTACTGGCATCTCGAGGATAGTATTGACCGATGTGCGGAAAAAATTTCACCGTCATACATAAGCTGAACATCTGCGCAGTACTTCCTATTGTATAAATTTTCCAGATTATCCCTTAGAGACGATGATAACGGTCTCGCACTCTGAGCAAGAAGAGTGACTTCTTTTAACTCCTTCAAGCTATTAAAAACGTTTAGCAATTCTTGAATATTTTTCGTACACCATCCATTAGTCAATTCTTTCACAGCCTTTCCATAGTCGAATGACCGGGAGGAGCGTTTCACTCGAAGCACCTTCTTCCTAAGAGTTTGCAGTTTCCCTGCTTTCTTCGTATAATGTGGATGACGACGGTTATCCAGTTCAGTCCCAATAAAAAAGTTTTGAACTCTACCGCTAACAGACGATTGACTAACGCCCATAGCTGAAACAGAAATAAGGTAGGCTTTCTTTAGAAATATCGTCTGCAACAGCGACTCGAAAAGCGTTCTCAATCTTTTATATATAAGCCTAAGCACACTGGATAGAAGACGACTGAGAAAAAAACTTGGCTCTAGTTATCCAATAGTCGTAGTCTACATTTCACAATAAAATCAAGCGTTCAATAACTTTAAAATATGCGTTACTGTTCAGCCAGCAATTATAATTCATTGCATTTTATAAAAGAAAAAACGCAAGTGAACCGCTATGTAAAGTACTTTAGCAATATTACGCATTCAGACACTAAAGTCGCTTTTATAATAGAATAATCTGTTATTTTCATAAAGAGAAGTGTAAACCATCATGAAATGAGGTGAATTAATAAAATTATAATTTGTTCTTTCAATACAAAAATGAGATACCATACGTCAGTTATTAAATTTTAAAGTTCATTGTACAAAATACAAGCTTTTCATTACCAAACACAAAGTCTACTTATATACTGGACTTATATTATATAAAAAAAAGTAAATTACTTTTTATTCATTAAAAAATAAGTCGCTGTTAAAACCTTGTTTCCAATTATCAACCTAAACATATAGTAAACTGTGTTATACTTCTTTTTAGATATTAGCACTTTCGTTAAGTGATGATAGGGGTAAACTACTGTAGATTATTTCTCCTTACAAATGATCTATTGGCACCCTACTAATTTTGACATTGTCGGTAGCTAAGTAGCACGAGTATTTTTAGCTGTGATCGTTATGTACGATCTCGTGAAGGCCGATTTAATTATCCTCCGTAACAACATATCAGTGAAATAGAAAAAGCTCCGTAATTGGTTAGGTACTTTTAAAAAAGCAGCATTTACCGTTCAGTGTTCAGTATTCAATTTAGCCGTCTCAGCAAAATATGTTCTAATTGCTTATCCATATTTTAGAACTAAATTGAAACATATAAAAGAGTATATAATAATTATATTAATGATCTCTTACCTTCTAGTACGTTTTTTAGTCCTTATTATTAAAGCGAAAATATACTTATTGCAAAATAACAAAACCTTTAAAAACAACTTAAATGAGATTTCACATATGGTATACAATGCTAAAGGATAAAGGAACGTTTTTAACAGATTCATTAAAAGATCGGATATAGGTTCATGTAAAGGTTTTCATAATTTACTTCAACGTATAGCTAATTCAGGTAGTTTACTAGAATTAGATACGATAATATGTTTATGAATTCTTGTTAAAAATCTTATTCCTAGTGAAAACGTCCACTATTTCATTTGCAACATTATCTTGCTGTATATTTTGAAACGTCTGGTGCGAGCGAATCACGTTTCTCTCTGCAACTGTGCGTAACCAGCGTGTGTTAGTTGTAATTATTCTCCCTTGCATATTTAATATACAATTTGTATCAAACCACTAACATGGTTCGGCTGTAAACTCCCTTACAACTATATAACACTGTAATTTTCATTTAGCATCCAAAAGGAAAAATTGCGCAAGAGACGGCAACATTGCTAACATCAAAAAAAACATCGTGTGACCAGTTTCTTCATTATGCAAATTGGGTCATAGAAACTTCTTTGGCTAAATTTGCAGATTAGGTTAAATGAGATTCTCCCACCAATTTATTATCTGTCAAACAACTCTTCTCTTTTTATCCTAGTTGAATTCAAATAGAAATGTCTTTTAGAAATTATTTCTATTATATGAAAGAAATTCATTTGTATTATAAGTCCAATAGGTAGATTAGACGCAAATACTAATCTCCTCAATTCTAGTTGATTACGTTAAATTAAAAGTGAAAGATTTCGATGAGTAAATCCGTCTAAATAGAAAATATGAAAACTAAAAAAAAAAACTAGATAAACAGATTCCTATGCTAAATAATCACTGATTTTACCTAGAGATGTATTGACTATTTTGCAATGTATAAGGAATCTAAAATCACCTTCAGACTCTAGTAAAACGCAAGGATACTAGAAATTTTCTATTACCTCGACCTGAAAATGCTTCTATTTAAACAGCCTATATCCTTCTCGAACCCTCATTACAACCCAGTAGGCGTAAGAAGCGAAACATAGGTCAATTTAGAAGTAAATCAAACAGAAAATTCTAGCCTCGAGTAATCACTAATTAAAAGAACACATAATAAAATATTTCTGTAATTCTTAACTAGTTAAGCTCTTATGACAAAATCTATGTAACTTCTAAGAGTTATTATTAATGAGTTCTAACTGTGTCATCAATTAATATTTGTGTAAAGATATCTATAATATAACTGCACAGAATTGGAGTGTTATCCATTATTATAGCAGTCTGTCAACGGTATAAAACCTACAAGTAGAGACATTATCTACAGCTTATAATTTCTCATTTATACGATATGCCACACAGCTAATATTTTGATGCAAAAAAAAGTATTTAATAAATATTTTATGGTCTATATTGATTCTATATAAACACATTTTTATTAGTGTCACGACATCCCTCTTGTAATGATAAAATGTAACTAACCTTGCAGTGTAGAGAATTCTAATCCAGGCCAAACGCACTTTCCATGTGTAATCCGCTAATTCCTTTTATTGAAACAAAGTTCTTTAAGTTCTTTTTGTTCCAGATCATACAAATATCCGGAGTATAATTTGTAAACTGTTAAAGTAATGAAAAGTTAATTATTCGGCAATAAACTTGCTTTTTTGACTTTTTGACAAAATCAACAGAGAAATCTCATCATAGTTTAATATACTAATTATTAAAGTACAAGCTATAAACAAATAATGTAACTGGACTATAGGGAACGAATTTGAAACGCGCTCTCAACTTCACCTAGGGAAAAACACCCTGAAGTGATTTATGCCAAAATCAGAGATGGGGAACTTAGATAGGCGGCTGACAGACACCGTACTAACCCAGATAAAATGTTCTATACTTTCTAGTTTCTACTATTTACATTTGAAATAGTGTTTAAATCGATTTACTGGTAGTTATAGGCCGTAAATTCAAACTTCTACTTTTAAAATGTGCAATACTAATTACAATTTTCTTTTTGCTATCCTGCTTAATTCATATAAATGGTTTTCTGTCCAAAATGAGAAGATATTAGATAGCTAATACAGGCTGAAATAGGATGGTTAAGAAAAAAACCCTTTGATTTTATCAGATAAAAGGAGTTATTTTATCGGTTGTAAACTTATGTGTTTTTCCTCCAAAAAAATAGCCTTCCACTCTTGTAATCGTTTTTATTTTTTTCACTCAAGCACACATAGAAGAAAACAAACGTGTCATTAGTAATAATTAGCAACGCAATTGCATATATTAGATGTATTTAATTAGAGAAAATTTGTTTCCTTCTATTATTTTGTGCATCTTAATCAATACATATTAAAAGGATCTCATTCTCAAACAACTTGGCCAGTTGAAGGGATGATCGACTTTAATACGTTAGGAATGGCCTATAGTTGCAATATGAACTTGTTTATTTTACAATATCATGGGACGTACACAATAAGCCCGGACCTGACCTTTCATCAATATTATTGCACTTCACTAGTTGATAAACTAGACCATTTGTTTCTATTAGGTCTAAAGAAACATTTTGTTTCATTTATTGATCATATGCACCATATAAACAGTTGTGGTATTTGCGAAAATGTTTAATATATAATGAATAATAATACTTAAATGCTTAAAATTTACTCATAAAATTATGACTCATGCTCTCTGTTTTTCTTCCAGAAATTTTAGACTACTTCTGTCTACAGGATATGTAATTTGTTCTATAATACTATGCGTTTTTCTTCTCCATGAAGAAATAAACAAAAAAATTTTTTTTTGAAACCAAACGCGGTTAAAAAGTTTCCTGCAATCATCAATAAAATATTGATGGAAATAATTTACTAAAATGTACAGAAATTGCGAATTGTATACTTTGGAGTATTCACCGAGTGATCTTTCATTGATACTGATTTAGTTGAAAAAAGGCAAATGTAGTTAATACTGATTGTTTTATTTGACATATTGTTTGTCAGTGTCAAATATAGAAAACGCCCTAAATTTTACTTTAGTGGTTTTTGTTGTTTTGCCGTACATTAGTTAATTGAATGTATATACATTTTGATGAGTAACGAAAATAAAAGAGATTAATTTGACGAAGTGATTTATTACGCAATAGTTTTCTTTAAACTTATAAAATTAAGTTGGTTGTTAACACACTGAAAATTTTGATCCGCATATTCTCTTTTAATTAATATCTGGAAACCTTGATCTATTCCATTTCCTAACGATATACAGGATGATTGTGTTTGAATAGCGAAAGCATTTGCTTTCTTTTAAAATATTTTCTTAATCTTAAAGGCCAATAAAGAAAGAATATACAACTTTTAAGTTAGAAAAAATTTCGATCTAGTATAGATGATTGGTAAATTTTATTGTTGCGCACCTATCGTAGGTAAATTAGCAACAGTTTATTGATACTGTCCCGTCAATATAACAAAGAAAAAGAGCTTTTAAATCTAACATCTAGGATACGTGATGCAAAAACGGATAGAACATGATAAGATGCATATTTAAAATGCATATAGTATTCACAAATATTGAAAAATAATACAAACTTACGCAAAATTCGACGAAAGAGTTGGAAGGGGAAAAATGTTTACTCCAGATACATTAACTTCCTGAGAACATTGGAACTTCCGGTGCACACGATTACGAAAATAACTGTTCGTGTTATATTATTTTTGAAAAATATTTATTTATCGTTAGTCATAAAAAAGTATATTTATTTTTCAAAATATGAATTATTTTAAATATATACGAAAATACTAATTCGGATGAACTTTTACATGCGCGGGAGTTTTAAAATGCATTCCTTCTGCTTTTGAAAGAGAATTTTATTCACGCATATTATAACATGACACACAAAATGCATTGAAATTAACATATTGGTGTTCCATTAACGGCATTTTCGGCACAAACCAGCGGTAATAACACCCCTTCATATACCATATCCACAATTGGAACACAAGCTCCGCAACACGCTTTGAAAGGTAAAATTAAGACGTAGATAATTGCCAAAAATAGAGCGATGGGCCAGACTAAAAGTAGAAGTAGTAGCCATATAATCATCCAACAGATGGAACAATCACATCCGCATCTCGCGCAGCATTGACAACAACACATGATCCTATTAATTGATTCTGAAAATTAGACAAGAAGTCTTCGTTCTCTTTCGACTTCTCTTAAATTAATGTCACGGTCTTTCAAGAGGATAAACTAACTTCATATATTACGGAAGAATGCATGCTGTTGCTTAAAAATAAACTTAAATACAATAAACATTCAAGCATATAGTAATCGATTATTTTTTTATTTAAATCTCAAAATCATTGGTTATGGCATGAAGAGAAAATAAAATATATAAAAATATATATAGTTGAATATAAGTATTAATCAATTTTCATAGAAACCGAAAAAAGATTTAAATAGATATTTGCAAACGTAGTACTAGTTTAATCATATTAATTTCTTTAACTAAATTCTAGCTATATGGTTATAGTTTTAGTAATATTTTGTATTATTTTTAAGAAATACATCAAAAAATAGAATAATTTAAGATCTGCAGTTTCATTTACATTTTAAACAATAAATCTTATCTTTTTGTGACTATGCAGGGAAATTTTAAACAACGTTGTTTTACAAGACAGAAGATAAACACATTGAATAATTATGTTATAAATACTGTATAATACTTTGTATATCTCCTAATTCTTTCTTTATTTTTTATTTTTTACAATGAAACCTTCCTTAGATAGTTTGGAAATGTACTTTAGAAAAAAGAAAATGCGATTGAAATCCCAGATGATTGTTTTCTTTTATTCTTTTTGTTTTTGATGAATATCGGCAGATGTAGTCCAGAAAATATCTGGCAAAATAAAATAGCTTAAACTTCCAAGGGAAAAAGGCTTTGCAGAGTAATTTTAGTCCCAAATATATGTTCATTTGATGGAGATGTTGATTTTAATTAGGAATGAAGGTTTGCTAGTTACCAATGGAGGTAGAAGGTCGAAGAGATCGCGATAATCTTACTTGCTACACTAAAGTAGACAATTAAAAACATCATTATGCACAGTCTATATAGCTTAATTGAATGATTAAAATATTACAGAGGACATGTAAAATCCTAATGACTAATGCCTAGTTTCATTATTCATTATAACTCTTTGCAGTAGACAGATTCAGGTGAAGATAAAATTAATCAATAGATAAATCTGCAAAACTTTGAAAGTGGAGAGAAAAGAAATGCAGTTCAGTATTTTTTTAAGATAAATATGGATCCTGTAAGAATTCAAGGGGTTATTCCTATAGGCATCTGAGGACCAGACTGTGTCTGTTGAGGATGAGGTTGAGGCATAGGACCAAAGGCTGTGGGTGGAGACACATTGGTATCATTTTTATTTCTTTCCAAGTATTCCTTTAGCGCCTGAGCATCAGACGGTGCCTCAAAATGGACGCAGTGAAACACCTCGTTAGCCGTATTATGTGTACCAATAATCCTTACAAAAGTAACAATGACTGGTTCAAAAGTGACTATCTGCCAAGATCTGCAGGCCTCTTGCGATCTATCGCAAACTGTATGCCAGTTATCACCTTCTGCTGATACTTCAATGCGGTAAGAATAGGCTCTATTGTCACAATCCCATAACAATAGTCTCATACTAGATATATAATTAGGTCCGGCTAATTGCACAATAATTGCTCCTGAACCTGTGTTTTGAATGTAAATGTTAAAATACAACATACTTTCAATTTATACTTAGTGAGGAAGTAATAAAATTACATACCTAGCTGATGACAAGTATATCCGGAATCCCAATCGTAGTTTCTCGTATCTCCGTTAATTAAAGCATTCCTCGATCTTGAAACTCCTTCAACAACGCAAGCGCATTCTTCTAATGTTGCAACATTATGCTTGGCAATAGGAATTCCATTTTTCAATTCACAAGAGGCTGTTGAGTACATGCACTCGAAGGCAACCAGGTGGAAGACTCTGTTAACTGTATTGTGACTTCCAACTATTCTTACTAATTGTACAACCCTTTTATCAAAGCGCAACTTCTGCCATGATCTGCAATAATAAGACTTTCTGTCCACTACTAAATCCCAATCTTCTCCATTAACGCTACATTCAATGTAGTATGAATAGGACCTAAAATCCTTATCCCATAATAATAGACTAATTGCGTTAATAATACTAGGTTTTCCCAGAGATATAACAATAGAATTATTTACGGGATCTGACGGTTCTATAGAATGTCTTGTGAAGCCTCGATCAAGATCATAGTTTGTAGTGTCCCCATCTAATACGCAGCATCTCATATCACCGTTGGTTACCTATTATTATAAAATGAAAAAAACGCCATCAAATAAACAGTGTATATACTATATATATATGCTTTTTTTATATTCACCTGTGCTCCGAAGTCAGGTGTTGCTATGTTTGCATCAGGTAAAAGATAACCTCTATATGGCATTTCTGCTTTTTCCAGTTTCTTAGCAAGGGTATCAACGATTACTTCATCAGTTATTAGACGAGATTTACGTAATCGTTTAAGTAAATGCTCTTGTTCTATGAGTGGTAGTCTAACGGCTTTCGATAATAAACCATCAACGTCTTCATGACTATTAGCTTGCCACCATTTATCTAAAGACTCAAAAATTGTTAGTTCATCGGCGTAAAATGAATCTCGCTCCAAAATAGATAATATAGCAGTTCTTGAAAGTTGTTTGAATGCCTCGGTTTTCATAACGTCTGTTGCTTTACAATCCATGAGTTGTGTGCAGCTTTCTTGAAGAGCTGGTAAGCTGTATTGTTCAAAAAAAAAAGGGAAAAATGAATAAGAAATGTAATTAAGAGTAAATAGAAAGATACTCACTCGTAAATAAGAGCCAAATCATATATAGTACAAACATTTTTTGTGTCTAGAATTGATTTTAAATACTCGGAAATTGAGTTTTCAAGACTTTGAAATCCATATTTATGACTTTGACCGAGTATTTCCAAAATTGTTTCCTCCTGTTAAAATAAATGACATATGTCTCAATAAATTGATTAAATATTAATTATTTCCTTTACCTTTAAATCATGCAACGTCAATTTTCCCGTGTAGATATAAAATAATAGATATTTAAATGAATCAGCTCTAGTTTCTTTTAATTCGACAATACTTGATGAACTCTCTTTCATTCCTCCGTAGAGTAGCGCTCTGTATTTGCAATAGATAATTATGAGCAAAATAATTTGGCTACTATTTAGTTTAAAATTCTTTTATTGTATTTATCAATGGAATTATAAAAACAATTTATGTCAGTTTGACTGTTAAATAATCAGTAATTATCACTTTAACCTTAAAAATTTTAAATAGAATAGAAAACAGATTTTTATTCATTAAATTATAAAATATTTGACATAATATTTTGAATAATTATTAAGAAATTTATATTTCTATTTTGATTTTTTAATGAAAAATGTATATTGCCTGAAATATTGCGATCTTGCTGCCAAAATGATTTTATGAGCTCGATATTCTATCCCTTCCACGATCAACGTAACGTCGGTAAATTCAAGGTTGGTTAGCAAGGTTCTCATACTTTCAGACAAGTCGTAAATGTGTATAATTTCACCCGGAGCGGGCGGAACTCTCATTTGTTGACTATCGCACATCGTACACAGATATAAGATCAATATCAATTAACAACTAGCTTGATGCATTGCGATCAATCATGGGAAATTGGTCAAACAAAGTTTGCAATGTGACAATTTCAGAGTCACAAAAATCCAGCAATAAAACCGAAAGAAAACATTGTTTGAGTTAGTATCACCGCCATTTTTAAAATGTTAGCTCCGCATTATGTTTAGTAACTGCTTAATGACATATAGTATATGTTTTTTTTTTTAACTTTCTATATTTCGACGTGTCCTTAGGCAATTTGTATATACAATTTAAAATCCTATAATTGATAAATTAGATCAAATTTTATTAAACAGGCATTTAATAGAATTGAGAGGAAAATAAACGCTTAATTTTCGAAAATTATTCCAATAGAAGATGGCTTACATCTCAAATTTGTAAACTTAACTGTTTTGTCTACTCTTTATCAGCTATAAGTATACAATTCACAATTGACATTTTGAAAAGATATGAAATATTTATGGACTTAACTTTTACAAACGATCTAAAAGCTTAAGCTAACATCTACAGATTGGGCGATAATAAAAGAGAAGTAAAATGTTTGTTTCTCCTAGGCATTTGCAAAATAAAACTGCAAAATTTAGCAAAGATCGACAAGAATATTTGCAGCAATTGGTAACAGAATATTCAACAACTGTTGAAATTGAAGCCAAGCAGCAGATCGTCGCAAACTTGGCAAACTTTTGCTACGATCCGATAAACTTTGATTATATGGAAAAATTAAATATAATTGACTTATTTACAGATGTTTTACAAGACAACGATGAAAAATTAATAGAATTTGCAATAGCTGGTTTATGTAACCTAACTGCTCACGTTAATTTCCAGGAAAAAGTAATGCAAACACCTGACTGTTTACAATTAATTATGAAATGCTTATCAAGGGATTGTGAGGAAACATTAATATCAGCAATGACTACACTCATTCAGCTGCTCCATAGCCAGAAGGATAAACTTACCGTTGTTGAAATAGTTAACGCTATGAAAACATTATCTTTCTCGGAAAATAAAAGAATAAAAAATTTAGCTCTCTTATTTTTAAAAGATACTGGAACTGTACCTTATTAATTTTACATTTTTGAGTCAACTGGAATGGAGTCTTTGATCTATTTTCATAGAAATTTGAAATTTTTTCTATTAATTATTAACATAGTAAATATAAGTTAATTTTTTAAATATAATTTATTTAGTTTTCATTAAATTGAAGCTTTTTGAAACGATAATAGTCTTAACTAAAGAGAAAAAAAAAACAATCCAGAGAAAAATATACATTCAAGTTGTTTAAGTATTATTAAAAGTACGTGGAAAACGATAACCCCGTTGAATTAATTTAGTTGTCACTTGTAGCTACAATTTCAAACCATTGCTTTAAAGCATCGCTGAGTATCATAGGCAGCGCGTCAACATCTCTTAGTACAACGTAGAACGGGAATGGGAAATTTTCCATATAGGAAACGAGTTGCAAAGGCATAACCAGTTTATCTTTTTCCATGCGAGGTATTCTCATTTGCATGATGCTATCTTTACTATCGGGGTGGTCAATGATTACGAAAACAACGAATAATCCTGACTGTCTTGCTTCCCTGATTGAGCGCTTGACTTTTTCCATACCTTCACCATACATAGATCTTCCATCGGACACAATTATTAGTAATTCACTTATAGCTCGATCTTTAACAGTCTTTTTTTGTTTATAAATAATTTCAGTACATCTTTTCATCATTTCTGTAACTCTTGTTTGGGATCCATTAAATTGTAATTTATGAAGGACCTTAGCTCCACTCTCACTACTCCAGGGTTCGTTCAAGTCGTGAATTGAATCAACTCTCTCTCCGAAACTTACTAAACCGAATTTACCTATTTCTAAAAATTTAAATGCATTGGATAGTAAAGCTATTGCTTCAAATGCAACTTGAACACAGCGATTCTTTACCATACTAGCGGAATTGTCAACAGCTAGCATGACGTGGTAATCGCGATCTCTGGCCTTTGTTCTTCTCAACCAGATTTTATCTTTTCGAAAATCGGATGCAACATAAGCTACTACCTTCTTCATATTAAGGCGCTTTCCGCTGCGATAATCACCTTCTAATCTGTTTTTTTTGGTTGGTTCAAGAACGAGACGCAATTGCTCACACAATTGTCTGGATAACGAGGAGGTGCAAATTTCGTATTGACGCCACCGTTGCATGCACTCGTTGTCAGACCTTTCTTCATTGCATTTTAGCCAACTTCCTATTGTTTCTTCTAAATTTTTTCGTAATTCTTCCATATCAATTTTAGGTATATCTGCCATCGCTTCAAAATTAATCCCAGAGAAACTTTGTATGTCTTGAACAGTTTGAGTTTTAATAATTTCTCCATCAATTTCCATTAAATTATTATCTTCTTTATTACTTTTTTCGCCTTCTTTGAGTTTCCTTTCATCTTCTTTTAGTTCTTTATGCAATTTTGTACTTTCCATTTTCTCAACCTCTTCTGGTTTTTGCTCAAAAGGTTCATCTTCCATAAAGTCTTCATCACCCTCGTTCTCAGCTTCTTCAATATTTAAATCGGATTGCCGTTGATCTTTAGTAGCACTATCAACAGTTATTTCATCGTGTTTTTCTCCCTCTTTAATATGTTCGTACAAGTCTTTACTTTGGTTCTAAAACAATTATTCAACATTACTGTAAAGTTGCAATTAATTAAAAAAAATATCATTACCTCTTCGTACTCCATACTCTCTTCTTGACGGTCTATTGTTTGTAAGTTCTTTACTTTTTCTTGTACAGACGACGAAATGGTTCTATCCTCATTGAATTTTCCCTTTTGGTTCTTTCCCATTTCTTCCTTATTCTCAGTAGATTTTGGAGCAGCCTTTCCTAATGCTCCTTTTCTTCCTTGAGTTTCTGATTTAGCGGATCCATCTCCGGACTCTTCCTTATCTTCAGTTTCATTTTCTGCAGAGCCTGATTGGACTTCGGACTGAATAGCATTTTCATACGAGCTTGAAGCTGTTTTACTCTGATCTTCAATTTCCTGGTGCTCTTCTTTATCTTGATCTTGTTCTTGATCATCTTCCGTAGTTTCCATGGGTTCTGTAGAAGGCTCTTCCCTTGTTTCATCATCATTTTCTTGTTCGTTAGTCTCCTCTTTGTTTTCTTCCTCGAGCATATTATCAATATCTAAAGGATTGTCTGAAATATAATTTTTATGAGTAAATTCGCTCAAATTATTTCTTAAACCCTCAATTTAATGAACATTACCTTCTGGATTTTCTTCATCTTTTTCTTCAGCATCAGAACCAATATCATCTTTTTCTTCCATTTCTAAGTCATCTTTATTTTCCATATCTTCCGGAAGATCTTCGATTTCTTGAGCTTCTTTTTGTTGTTGTTCGGTATGTTTATCAGTCTCGTTTTCATCGAAGTCTCTGTCATCATGAGGCTCTTCTTCTCTTATTTCTTCATTTTGATCATTGTCTTGCTCATCTTCATTGTTATTACTTTCTTTGGCGTCCGTTACGTCATCTTTAGCTACCAACTGGGACTCTCCTTTAGCGTCATCTCCTCCACCTTGTTCTTCATTTTTTTCTTCTTCCTCGTTCTCTTCGTCAGATCCCCACATTTTTTCATCTAATTTTTCTCCTTCATTACCAACATCTCCCATTTCCTTGTCTAGCTCTTCTTCCTCTTCTTCCTCTTGGCTCTCATCATCTTCATCCTTCTCTTCAACATGAGGATCTCTGTCTTCTCCTCCGAAATCGTCAGTCATTTCAATAGCATTATCTTCGCCTTCAACTTCATCCTCATCTTTATCTTCTTCTTCACCCTTCCTTCCCTCTACTTGTTCTTCGGTGTCAATTTCATTGCTTACATCTTTTTGGCCTTTTCCGGAGGCCATTCCAGCGCAATCCTCGCCTGAAATTTCAAGTTTACCTTCACCTTCTTCAGATTCAATTAAATCTTCAGGAGTACAGAATCCTCTAGAAGCTAAATTAGATGCAAGAAGAGAAATTAAAGTCGACAAGCGAGATATGCTGTTGAAATCCGCAATTAATCGATTTAGAACTGATTCTGCAATTTTTGAGTAATAATTTAACAATGGTAACAAATTGCATAGACTTTTCATATTTTCTTCATCTTGGCATACGAATTCTTTTAATTTTTCCATAAGCCTGCACGAATGATTTAGTCTTGCTGCTCTGGCAATCTGCAAGTTGAAATTATAGAAGCCGCAGCTTAGTAATTCGGAATTCTCTTCGTCATCTTTTATAATTTTTCTTATATTTTGAATAGATAAGAGAAAGTTTTCTATAAAAGTTTGCTCGGAAAATTGCAATTCGTTAGCTTCCTCTGATTTCTCGAGTGCTGCTATTGACTCATCAGGTGTTATTTCCATTTCGTCAATAGCTCTCCACAAGCACTCGCTAAGGGAATTTCCCAAATCCCGTTTAAGTCCTATATCCGAGCTAAGCTTTTCTAAAGAGGATTTGACTTCAGTGAGCAGAACCTTTATTTTTATAAAATCCTCTGCATCCCTTTTAGTGAAGATAGTAGTCATCTCAGCAATTCGATTACTACTCGATTCTAATGATTTAATGTTAATCTTCAAAGTAGATAGGATATGTTCGTGGCTTTTTAATAAATCAGGATAGTTTTCTAGTTTATATATTTCTATATCGTCACCAATATCCTCTGGTAAACTCTGATAGAGAGCGACAAATTGTGACAGATAAAGTAGACAATTTGATATTTGACTATTTAATTGAACCTGTTGCCAGAAAAAGAACATTTTTGCGCATTTTTAGATATTAATTCATTACTTAAAATACTCACCACAGATTCGGATAGACTTTGTTGAGAGAACCAACCTTCTTCTGCTAATTTTGCTAATTCTCTGTTTTCTTGATTAAACTCGATATAAAGACTAAAAAATTCGCATAAATTGGACCATAATTTTTGTTCAAAACGAGCCAGATGTCGACTTAAACCGTGACTTCGATGAATTTCGGCAGTTGTTAATTCCTATTTCAAAAAAATTACAACCTGAGAATAAGCAATAACACATTTTAACATTTATTCACCTTAGACGGAGTTTTAAAAGCTTGTTGTAACTGAGATTTCCTACAGATGCAACGTACGTGGTTTCGTTTACATTCTTCCCAGTTTCTAACTAACTCTTGCTTGTATGTTTTAATATTCTCATCAATAGTGTACGTGTCTTCTAAATCGCCTTGAAAATTGTCAATATCTTTAAGCCCCTTCCTGTAAGACAATCCCATTTTGGTGAAGTCTGTAACAAAGTCTGACAGAGATTTTCGCTTTCTATGCTGTAAATTTTTAATAAATTTTTTTCTCTCTTCCTTATCATTTGGAATATCAGCAGTTAAGAATTGATTATAAGTTTCCAGTATTGATAAACGAACTTCTTGAAGATCAATTCTTTTTTGCATATCCTGCATTTGGTAGATAATCCAAGATGAGTACTTAAAGGTTTTATCATTCATATTCTTGACATTGTCTATTTCTAAAGTGATATCCTGCTTTGTGAGAGTTATTTCAGGGATGTCGTTTGAGAACTCTTTCATTTTAAGTTCGTCGTCTTTCAACACCAAGACGGCTTTACCGTATAAAACTTCTTTAAATTTCTTAATGAATTTATGAACTGTTTTATGAGCTTTTTCGACCCCAGTTTTCAAAGCCCAAAATGTTCTATCATTCCATCTACATATTTTTACGTAACTCTTTAATTCTTTATCTATTGGTTTTTGAAGGCTCTCCAAGTTATCAGATATTTGTTCAACAAAGATCGAATACATTAGTTTAATATTATAAACTCCTTTGGCCAATTCCGGATTAATAGTCAAACATGAAGAATGAATAATTGACAAAATACGATATCTTTCATTAAAATCTCCTAATTTAGCATTTTCTAACCACTCTTTAATGTTATTTAAACAAGTAGTCATATCCTCCGAAGACTTGACTTCTCTTGTTGCAGCAAGTATACGGAAAGCGAATTGAAAACTGCTTAGCTTACATTTTTCCAGTTCAAATTCCAGTATTTCTTTCCAGCTTTCCAGCTCTATTTTTCTATAACTAATCAAAACTTTAGTTACATTTCCTATTTCTTCTATAAGGCTAACTCTTCGAGATGCAACCTGTAGTGAAAAAATAGTAGTTATTAAAGATTATATTGGGTAAACATTTATCTACCTTTTGCCATTCTTCGCATTCCATTAATAACAATTGTAGACCAGCTGCAAATCTAGCTAGAACAGAATTAACAGGTAAATTCAGAATTTTTTCTATAATTTCATTTATTTTTTGTAGAGTTGGATGCTCTGGCCATTCAGCTAATCTAATTTCAACAGCCTTTCGCATATCTTTCAAAACCTCAATACTCTCGATGGCTTGTTGCACATTGCCTTCGTGATAGAACGATGTTGTCTTGCTTGTTAATGCTTGAAATTTATTGGCAAATGACAGTGTATAGATCAGTTGTCGATCTCCATCCTCTTTCAGATGGCTTTTAAAAAGGATATCCGATAGCAGCATTTGTCTCTTTAAAATGCTATCGCCCCAGATTAGGTTTTCTTCTGTGTACACTGCAGGAGCTGAAGAGATTTTCGAGTATAAATTCAATATTCCTCTTATTTTTTCATCTGTGAGTCCAAAGCCTGACTTTTCCACTTCTACGTTTTCAAAATCAGGAAATTCAGGAAACAATTTACGAATTTCTCTTTCTTCTTTCTCAGCTTCCGTTAATTTTTCCCCATGTTCCTTTATCTTGTATAAACTTTCTTCTTCCAACTCTTTTCGCCTCTTTTCTTCGTCTATTGCTCTCCAAATTAACAATACCTTTTCTAAGGCAGCTTCAGCCAGAATGTTATCTTCTTCACTGGCTCTCTTTAGGACAACACCCTTAGCTTGAATATCAGAAAGTATAATCTCACACAACTGCCATTGTAACTCGTTAGGGGATTTAGAGGTGTGTCTTGACAAAATTCGTATAGTTTCTTCAGATAATAAATGTTCTAAAGTCATATCTAAAGGCCAATACAGCGATAATTCGATTAGGGCTTCTAAATCCTCGTCCAATTTTAGACATGCCAAATCGAGACCATGAGAAATCAACGATATACCATTTAGGATAGGACCAGTTACATCACTATAATAATCAAATTTTTTTAGTCGATTTGTAAATTGTCTTAAAGTCTCTTTAAAAGATCCTAACTGATTTGAAAATTCTTCTTTTTCAACATCTTCTATATTTGTCATTAATTTCATTATGAAACTGGATTCTACAGTTTTAGCGAATCCTTTTATTTCTGTATGTAATTTTATAAAGTCCGTCGTATTGGGTCTGAACGTTTTTTCAATATCCAGCAATAATCTTTTTTCCAATTTTTCAATTCTTTCTACTAAGTAAGACGTTCTTTCGTTTGCTACAAGATTAGCTAAACCTGTTAGCCTAAATTGATAATCTTTTCTTGTGTTAACTTCAGTTTGTAAATTAGAAAGTTCCAATTCTGCTAAGTGTCTCTTTATTCTCTGTCTATAGACAGGATCAACAGTTGACAAGGGTCGGAATGCATATAAGTAAATTAAGCCTATTTGAACACTCAATTGGGCCAAAAACATTTTTTGATCAGCTTCCGCTTTGAAATCCTCCTCATAATCTGTTGAAAGCTGTTGTAAAATTGACCATATACCATACAGTGTTTGATTTGGTAGTTGAATATGCTCATTTCTGCTAGCGTTCCTAAGACGTTCAAGCATCTTAAAAAGTACGTATGCAAAATTTGAAAGAGTACAAGAATTATCGAAACTTTTTATGAATAAACTTCTCGATATTTCTGCCAGCTCCTTTGTATTTTTTCTGTACGTTTTAAGCGGAACATTTCTGTTATTTAGTTCAAAAGCCAATTTCGTTTGCTGAACCGTATGTAAATTTGCTGAAGAATCAAATAAAATTGAGAGACGATTAAAAATACTTGGAAAAATCATATCTATTCCATTTTTAAAATTCAATGTAGGTAGAATATTCCAACTGTTTTCGCAGTATTTTAGGCCATTTACAACTGAATTGCAAATTGCAGTATCATTAACATTTGTTAATAAGACATCTTTTAGAATTTTTAATGAATCTTTACAATTTATTAATTCTAAAATATCCTTCTTTATATCTCTTTGAAAAGATCCACTGTCGGTATTTTCTTTTAATTCTGATTCCAGTTGATCAATAGCCTCTTTAACTGACAACTCATCAATTTGTTCCAAAGATATTAATGAAAATAGATAACAAATACGCTTTCTACAACTTTCGTTAAAGTTTCTGCCGTTCAAAGTTTGTTTTAACTTCTCGATAATAACTTCTTTCCCTTCAGAAATTCCTAATGTTTTATGTGATAAACTCTTTATTACCCTTCGTTGGATATTTACAGAAGAATTTTCTTGGGGAATGATTTCTTCAAGTTCATCCATTATGGATCTCAAAGCACCTGATGTTGTTGGAAGTTTTGCTAATACTTTGGCATTTATCCAATTCAAATGTAAAGTTAATAAAGAAATATACTCTTCAACATTATAAGTTGAAATATCAATTGAACAAAAGTTTATCCAAGATATCAATTGATTTAAACATTTGAAGACAATGCTAGAGTTAGAAGATTCCAGTTTTTCTAAATATTCTATAATTTCTCTGAACACCAATTCTGTAAATTTCTCTAGGAATAAGACAGAGGGATGATATGGATTGAATGCTGTTTGTAAGAAAAGTAGTGAAATGTTTATTTACTTGTAAAAATTATAACTCTTACCTTTTCTGGCATTTCGAGAAGTTTTTATTAAATTCTTTTCTTTGATGCAAGATTCCAGATAATAAACAAAACTTAATAGAAATCCAGTCTTATGCTGTAGAAATCTACTACAATATTCTATAATATCCTTGAAATCGGAAAACTGATACTGTAGATATTTTATAGCAAACTCGTTGCTTTTAAAATTTTCAACAGTAAGGTAAGGAACGATGAAGTCATTTACAAAGTTTCTTTTTTCGTTTGTGATGATATGTTGCAAGTATTCCGAATAGCGAATTGAATTAGCTATAGATACATTATGTTGAAAATCCTTAACATGTGCTTCTCCAAAAGTCCAAGTGTCTGTTGTTTCATCTAAAATATCAATTTCTGGTTCGACATTGTATACGTGGCTAATACTGCACTTTAAAGCTGAAAGTTCATCTTTCCCGTTTTGCATCAGTTGTTTGCATAAGGAAGAAGACCTTATCAAAGTTTCTAATCTATTTCGACCATATTCTTTATAAAATTTTAATAAAATTTCTGCTACTTGAACTTCTTTCAGATTAGCTAAGCAATGAAGATCGTGATCCGATTCCGAATCAAGCCAAATTTCTAATCCTCGATTTCGCATTGCTCTAGAAAGTTCACCATGTCTGAAATCTAATTCTAGTATGATTCGGAAATCCTTGTGTGGTTTAACAGTAACTATTTCGCCATTAATTACTCCTCTCTCAGTTATAGTAAGAACTCCATTTGGCTCTAATAGGGGATTAAGACGATCAAGTACTGATGGAGAACATATATTAGCACCATGCACCAAAAGCCAATCTCCATTTTGCATTGAACGTATGAGTTGGCTATCAATCCAATCGAATTTTCCTGCTGAATCCTTATAGGAGTCTAACTTTATTAATTTTTCTTCAATTTCTTTTGCAATATTGTTGGGAAAATAACCAAGAATATTTTTAAAACATTCAATAATATAATCAATGTTTCTTTCCTCTTCATCTGTAAATGAGGATAAAGGCGTTAATTTCCTATTTATATCAATCAAAATAAAATTTGCATACCAAATTTCAATCGAGCATATTTCTCCAGAATATTCACTATGTTTTTATCGCCCTGAATTAGAAATTGTCCAGTCAACTCAGATATTTTAGCCTCCAAATCATCTTGAATTTCATGAACAAGCCTCCAAACGTCGGCCTATGAAAGTATCATATAATTATTTATTATATAGACAAATTTATAAAGTATTTTACTTGTTCAAAGCCGCCAAGTAGTTCAATCGTATCCATATTAGCATTAATGTTTAGTATGCTTAGATTTCTACCTGCCAAAGCAGCCATTGTTTTTACAATGCTGGTTTTCCCACAACCTGAAAATTTTTTAAATGATCTATAAGTTAGAACTATTTAATAACTTAGAAACTGACCACTAGATCCTACAAGCATAATCATCCATCCATTTCTAATTGCTTGTAAAAAGTCTTCACCGACAGAAAGTATCTTATGGCTGAGGATCAGATTTTCTGCCTTTTCTGTTAATTTATTTTGCCTTTCAATTTCGCAATCACCAATTCGTAGCACTTTATCGTCAATAAATAAGTTTCGATTTGGAGTTTTTGGTTCGGGAAAATATTGACAATAAACTCCAAGAACTCTTGATACGTCATGTTCGTTTCTCATTCTGCTTAGATAGATTGTTCGAACGAAACACGAAGGATGTTTAAAAGCTTCTTCAGCAGTTTTTATTAGCTCGCACCATCTAAATACATCTCTCAAGTTAAATTCCCAAAAATTTTTGAATATTTCACTTATTCTACAATTGAAATCAATCATTTGTTCCGACCATTCGATTACTTCAGGATAAGCATTATTTAAAATGGATACTAAATCCTCACGAGTTAAAACTTGAGCATAAACTTTGACGAATCGATTCAAAAAACTTTGAGGTAATCCCTTTCTGCCAGCACCTTGCACGTAGGGATTTTGACAACCAAATAATCTAGTTTTTCTTTTGGAAACATGAAAAGTTCTATTTAATTCTGGGATGAAAACCTCTCCTCTGTGATCCAATATGGCATTCAAACCCTCTAGCACCGATTGTGATGCAAGATTTAACTCATCGAGTATGATCCAGTGTCCATTCTTAAGAGCTTTCAATATCGGACCATCTCTCCATTCGAAAAGGCCTCCTTTGCCACCTTCAACAGGTAAATCAGCTCCAAACAAGTCACTGATATCAGTTTGCTCTGACAAATTGATTCTTGTAACTTGAAATCCTGAAACACGTGCTAATTCTTGAACCACCGTTGTTTTACCTACTCCGGGAGATCCTTCCAAAAGAATTGGCCGATCAAGAGCTAAAGCTCTTACTATTTTTAGGACGTTAGCTTTAGTTGTTGGTGCAGAAAAATTAAACGTCTTATCTACAATACTCATTTCCTGACCTTTTTCAACAACAAAAGGCCCTATCTTTATATGAGAGTTTTCAACGCTGAACTGAAATTCTGCTTCATTGACTGTATTAGGAAAATACTTTCTTAGCATGGCTATAGATTCTTGTTTAGCTGACGAAAATCTTGCGTCATCTACGCCAGCTCCTGTACCAAAAGCATCGATGAAGCTCATGCATCCTCCATGAAATGAAGCACTATCCATATCCAAATAGTCAACGCGGTTTATAAATTCTATCCAATTTAAATAATCTCGGATACTAATAGAATCCTTTAACCTTAAATCATCATTATTTTTTAACCACTCAACAAAATCTACCATGCTTTCAGCTTTTACATCTTTTCTTTTTGAATTATGTTTAATAATGCCAACCAAGTCACTCTTACTAGTTTCGGAAAGGCACCATATTTCAGTAAACCTATTACGTAAAGCAGGAGATAGTTCTTTTTTACCAAAATCACCTCCAGGATTCATTGTGGCTACTAATCGAAATTTATCATTAGCGAAAACCTCCTCGCCTCCTTTTTCCGCTAACACCAAGCTACGATCCAATTCAAGAACAGAATTTAGCCGTTCGATTACTGAATCGTCAACCAATGAAACTTCATCAAGTAAAAATAACCCACCAGCTTTCATTGAATCAACAAGAGGACCATCTACCCACTCAAAAAGTCTTTTATCGTTCTCAGACCTATTTCTAACTGGTCTTAAACTGCCGAGAATGTCTCCAACTTCGGTGTTACGATGACAAGAAATTGACCATAATTGAGCCCTTAGTTGATTGGCGAATAAATAAGATAATGTTGTTTTACCGCAACCAGTTTGTCCTACCAAAAGAACAGGTTCGGAGAAAGTTATAGCTTCATTCAATAACACAGCCATTCTCCTAAGAGATTTTGTCCAAACCAAATGTTTAAAGTCTTCGGTAAAGTTGGAATTCATTAATTGGTGCATAATATTATTTGATTGCCTAGTACAAGTTTTTGAATTAACAGAAAATAGGTCACTTTCACAGATATTTGTCCTGGGAAATGCCTTTTCAATGATTTCCTTAACAACTACAGCCTCATCCTCGCATCGAACTCTACCAGCCAATAACATAAATCCCTGCTCTGCTAGAAATTGGTTCCAGTCTTTATTTTGGCCTTCAGTTAACCTATATCTATTAGCCCATCTAAATAGGTCTCGTAAAGTGATAAAACCTTCTTTGCCAACAAATACTCCGCTCTTTCTTCTGACTAGTTGCAAATTTTTCATAACCTTCACTAGTTTTTCAGCGTAAGACTGAGGAATCTTACAGCGTTTGTGAACTATTTGGACCAATTCCTTTTCAGGTAGTAAATCAAAATGCAGTTCTATAAAACGATTTCGGAAGGCTCTAGATAATTCCTTTCTCCCTCCATAACTTGTACCAGCTGGGTTTTGAGTCGCAAATAACATAAATTTTGGATCAGCTTTAACAACTTCACGAGTTTCAGTTATCAATAATTCTCGGTTATCATCTAAAACTCTGTTTAATGCCTCTAAAACGTCAGTTGGGGCAAGATTGAGTTCATCCAATATTATCCAATAGCCTTTTCTCATAGCTTGGACTAAAACTCCATCCTGATAAGTAAGGACTCCATCGCCATCAGTTGTATAACAACCAATGTACTCCTGCATATCTGTATGTTCGTGATTGTTAATTCGAAGTACTGTATTTCCAGTTAAACGGGCTAAATATTTTATCAAGGATGTTTTACCAACAGAAGTTTCGCCTTGAACCAATATAGGAAGAGAAGCCGACGCTGCTCTTGCCAAATTCTTTAAATTTAAATCAACAGTTTTAGTCATAACATAATCTTTCATTTCAAATTGTTCATCCTCCCCTTTCTTAATCCAATATCCTTTCACTGTAACATAATCCTTACCGAGCTGCAAAAATTTTCCTTTTCCTCCAAAAGCTTTTCTTATCTCTGATTCGACGTAATCTTCGGAATGTCGATTCAGACAGGTGAGGAAACTCAAACAAAAGGCTTCATAGAGACAGTAAGAAAAATTGACACTCTTTTGTGAACGAGCATATCTTAAAGCTCTGCATAAAGTCCTCAAACTGTAATGTGGCTTTCTACCAGTACCATCCTCTAAATCAGTCTCTGATTTTTTCCTTAAGGTTTTATACAGATCAACAACAGTATTTATCAATTTCTTATTAACAGATAAGTCTTTTAAGTAAAAGTCAACAAGTTCTAATAATTCATTTCTTTCAACAAGTTCCTCCACGTAGAGTTCAGTAAATCTATTGCGAACGCCTACTGGTAAGTGACGTTTTCCTACATCTGTTGCAGGATTCATGCATGCAAACAACCTAAACTCGGGATGTCTTTTAACAGGAACTTTATCTCCTTTCTCTAGTAATGTTAAAGAGCCATCAGGAGTTAATAAAGAAATTAAACCGTCTAATGTATCGGGCGGTGCTAAATTTAATTCGTCAAGTAATATCCAATGCCCTTTTTTAACTGCCTCTACAAGTGATCCTTCAACAAATGAAAATGAGATTTGGCTTATTTGATTATGTACTTGATCAATTTCTTGTTTTAGGGCTAACCAATCATCTGTCTGATTAGGTTTCTTTATTGCAATATCACAAATTCGTTTCATTACTTTTAGCAGCAATTTCCAGCGACCTTTCCTTAAGCAGTCGTTTATTTTTCCAATAAATTGGGTATTTTCTTTTTCATCAAACGATTTGCGAAATAACACTTGAAATTTTTCTCTGATGGGATTAACTAAAACTTTCCCACCAACAGGCTTGTAGCCTCCAAGAAGATCAGTGCAATCAGTGTACTGATTCATATTTATTACAGTAAGGCACTTTCCTAAATTAGAAGCTAAATACTGAACAGCGCTGGTTTTTCCCGTTCCTGTTTCACCAACAAGTAGTGTGGCTTCGTTGTTAAGAACGCAAGCAGCCAAGTTCTCAACTAAATTTGCGGCTTGTCGTGTATTTGTCCATTCATAAAGACTATCGTCTCCAAACTTTTTCAATGTTATTCTTCCAGCAGTAAAATTCTCATCCATCCACTTAATTTCTGCTCGATAGGCAGACATGAGATGTTCACATTGAGCAGGATTTACATTTAACAAAGAACCTATATGTGTTAATGTGCTCAATCTTTTTGATTTGGACGGTGAGGAAAGAACAAAAACTTCGGCAGCTTCTTGAAGAACTTCAGATAATGTCTTAGCATTTAAAAGATCATCTTTGATGTATCTATTAATTCTATTGCAAAATTTAGTTATGTCTCTTAGTGATGAAGGCCTTAGAGTATTAGAAACTTCAAATATATCCAATATTTTTTCTGTAATTGACGATAAATTTGGATATTTCTCATTCAGCATCAAACTCATTTCAATCCTATCTAAATCTGGCATATCGAACGTATTCCATTTTTGATTTTGCAAAAGAAAGCTCCCGAAAGACTTTCTAGTAGCAAAGAGTCTGAATTCGGAATGGGTACGAACATTATTCCGATGACCAGGTATTGTTAGACATGAATTATTTAATAGGGGGGCTAAAAGGGATACGACATCATCAGATGCTTTATCAATATCTTCTAAAAGTAGCCAATGACCCTTGAGAACCGCGGTTGTGAGAGTTCCGTCAACCCATTCAAACTGACCTGGAATAGGTGTGCAACGGTAGGTTCCTAATAAACTTTTGCTGTCAGTTTGTTCTGAGAGTTGAATGGTAAGAAAATGGGGAGCTGTACTCCGATTAGTTAGTGAAGCAATATATTTAATGAGAGAAGTTTTTCCTGAACCATTAGAACCTGTCAAAATATCGTATTAAGAACAATATAAAGCCTTAAAAATATTAACAAACCTTTAATGAGGCTCGCTTTACCCTCGGCAATAGATAAGGCAATCAAATGGCATACTTTGCGGATCGATGGTGTAAGAATAAAAGGGTTCTCTACTTTAGAGTTATTTTCACTTAGTTTTGAAGTCAAGAAAACATCATCAACAGTAGGTAGCATGAATAGTTCACGGAAGAGGGTTGGATCAAGAGATGACCCCTTAATAATTTGGGACCCTTTCTTAGATCTTAACGAGGGAATTCGTAAATGATTGAGTGTTTTAACTATATTTTCTATTTTACCTGCTAATGCATTCTATTAATGGCTGCGGCTCCAAATACGTCGACCAAAGAGAAAATCTAACCTCAGATGAGATTTGAAAAACATCACATAAGATTTCGCACGCCAAACTGCAGATAAATAAGAAATAATTATTTAATTAATACTTTTTCAGAATATTTGTATTAATATACCATCGAATATTACGATTCGAATCTCCAAAAAATTTAATAAATTGACTCCAATCCCATTCATTACGGAATAATATGGGCTCAGCCCTTACAAATATTAATAAAGCTTTCAAACGTTCCTCCAAAGAAGGCCTATTCATTTTTTTTCGTTTTTTCTCTGGCTCATCAGTAGTAGACGAGTAAAACGGTTTATTTTTTAAAATGTAACTTGTAGCTAATCTGAAATATATTTCAAAATTCGGTAATAATTATATTTTTTAATTTTTATCTATCTTACTACAACAATCAACTTAACATGCTAGAATTACGCAATCGTTCAAGTATCAATTTTATACTTTTTCGATGGAGTAACAAGGTATTTTAATTAAATATTTACTTCTAAGAATACAATTATTTTAGCTTATACATACTTCGAGAGGTCTGGTCTCAATTCCACAATTTTGGATAAAACAACGCATTTTGTTTGAAATTCAGCATGAGATACAGTGATATCAAAATTTCTACTTAACAACTCTGGTATCAAATTTGAACAATTTAGGACAAGATCATAATAACAATCTATCTTCAAAACTGATTCACTCAATGCTTGTAAGATTTTATTATAATCACGTTTAGTTTTTTTCTGAAAAATGAATGAACGATAATATATGCTTATTGTAAAATTTAATTTTAATACCTTTGTTTCTAAATTTGATTTAAGAATATCCTTCAAGCAAACATTTTTACTGCATAATAAATCCAATGATGTTTCCAGTTTCTGAATATCCTCAGTCATTTTGCATTTATCTCTAAATGCAGGACTGTCACGTGTTTCTTTTTCGACCGTTTTATCGCTCAAAACGAAATAGTCCTCAAATCAGATAGCCTTCATTTGAAGTTAGATGGCGCAAGCAACTTAGTAATTCTTTTTTACAGATAATGTCACTTAGAATGCGTATTTTTATTACAGGATAGTAACACTATTGATGAAAACTAGAATATTTTATTGTATGCTACATTTTAGACTTTATATGTAATGTTGTCTTCATATCCCAATTCAAATATAAACTTTATTATCCGTCTAATAGTTTTATAATTACTTTAGAGTTTAATACTAAATTGAGCACTGGTAAATACTTCAACGCATTTTTGTACACAAAAGAAGTTGACTAGCAAGAACACAGTGGGATACTCTAACAAGTTTTGGTCAATATTTTAGCTATATGTCAACAGAATACATATATAGATATATATAAATTTTAAAAATGAGCTTGTAAATTTAGCTTATTATTAATTAGATGTAATAATACTTTAAGTTTTCAATTTTTATATAAAAATATCTTATCATAGTGAAAAACTTTCATATATTGGCGCTTTAAAGAGTGAATGGTTACCAGTTTATGACGTCATCATGGCGACGCTGTTTATCATAGCAACTAGAGGCGCTTAACAATCAACAGAAGATTCTTTAAATCTAAGAGAAATCTTTAACAGGTAATTACTATTTTCAGACTATTCGAACAGTTTTAAAGGTAAAAATATTTTCTAGAAATACGTGATACTTCGACCATGTCGGAATCAGAAGTTGCCATAGATCCGGCCGCAGAACCAACTGAAACTCTGCCAACTGAAGGAACAGAAGAAAAAGTGGAGGAAGAAAGAAAGTCTGTTGAACCTCCCAGCTCTGAGAGAAACTCTGCTGCGGCTAGAAGTCAAAAGAGCTTATCAAGAAAATCTAGTTCTATTAGAAATGAAACACCTTTAACATCGACCGAACAAGATTTTATTAATGCCAAGAGCTTCTTGTTATCAACGAGCACGTCCTCTGGAGACAATTTGTAAGTATTGAAAAGAGAATGTGTAAGAAAGACTCCGCACTTTTCATACTTTGTTAATGTAATTAGGTTTTTATCCCACCTCTCTTTTAAAGAATTTGTGTTTTATGTTAGTAAGTAATAGGCTTCGCCGTGATTAATTAGTTAAGGCGAAGTAAGATCAACCGTGCTAAATTTCCCTTAAAAGGCAATTATTTGTCGATTTTTAATTCTTTACATGCTTTTCACTGGTGGTATTAACTGGTTTGTGCCACTGCCCTAATAACATTAATTTCAAAGAAAAATTTGATACTAAAAGGTACAAAATTTTCGTACACAGGTATGATCATCTCGTGAGAGTATTAACAAGAATATTTGACGAAAGACCGCAAAATGCAGTAGACATTTTTGAATCTTTATCACACGATGAAAAAAAGAAAAAATTCCAAGGAGAATTTTCCACTGTACACAACAAATATGAAAAAACAACAGAAGTTTCCCTTGCAGAAATTCAAGAGAAACTCTTTGCAAGAGGCGACGCAGATGACGAGGACATTGTTCCAGAAGATGATGTTGACAGTCCTCTACCTAATCTTATGGAACTTGCTTATTTCTTTGAGCAAGGAGGAATTGGATTGTCAAGGGAAGAGATGATTCGCATATGGTTAGCTATGAAAGATCTTGTAGACACTCATCCATTGGAGCATGTTAGATTTTGGGGAAAAGTTTTCGGTGTGGAGCAAAACTATATTATTGCAGAAGCGGAATACAGAGAAACTGAGGAGCCAGAAGAAGAAGAGGAAGCTGAGGAAGACGAGAAAGATGAACTAGCCGAAAAAGATGAAGATGGCGAGGAAGAAGGTTGGTTTACTTTATTGATTTAATTTAAAAAATACCAATTTACATGTAAGTATCCTCTGAAAGTCATATCTCTCTACTTTTTGTTACAGAAGTGGAAGAAGATGACACTCCCAAGCCTGATTACAAACCTCCTTTGGATCCTCCCAAAGAAGAAAACCGCACAGGCTGTAATAAGAAAACCTACTTTGTTTGCAATGATCCAGGAAAGCCATGGATTAAATTACCATCTGTAACTCCAATGCAAATTCAAATCAGTAGACAAATTAAGAAATTTTTCACTGGCCGTCTGGATGCTCCTGTTATTTCTTTTCCACCATTTCCTGGTAACGAATCGAATTATCTTAGAGCCCAAATTGCGAGAATTTCTGCCGGCACCCATATTTCTCCTTTAAATTTTTATACCTTTGATGAAGAGGAGGAAACAGAAAGTGATGACGGAGGCAGAGATAACTTCATGAAAAACGAAGAATTTGAAGGAGTTCCCGTTAGAGAACTGATTGATCCCACGTTAGCCAATTGGGTTCATCATGTTCAACATATATTGCCACAAGGTAGAACGAAGTGGTGGAATCCTAACCAAAAGGGAGATGATTCATTTGAGGATGAAGACGAAGAAGAAGAACGAGAGGAGCCAGATGAGCCTCAGCCTGAAGTTGGGCTTCCCCTGCTCACGCCATTGTCTGAAGACATTGACGTTGACGGAGTTCCTCCATGGACAGCCAAACTGTCTTCAACTTTGGTTCCCCAGCACGCTGTTGCTATTATGAGATCAAATCTTTGGCCTGGAGCTTATGCATTCGCATCAGATCGTAAATTCGAGAATGTTTATATTGGTCTTGGACATAAATATTCAGCAGAGAATTATAGCCCACCACCTCCTCCAGTAATTCAGGACGAATTCCCTCCAGGAGAAGCCATAACGGAGAAAGATGATCCAACACCTGAGGAAGAGGTGATTAAAATTTAATAATTCCTTGGTAGTATTCCATTAACAAATGATTGTTTTTCACATATAGGCCGCATTAAGAAACGCTCAGGAGGAAGAGGCTGAAGAAGAAGAAGCTATTGAAGAAGGCGAAGAAGAAGATGAAGACGATTAAATAAAACATTATACTTATAAATAAATATATTTGATATGTAAATGTAAACATAGTTATTTATAAGGAATATAAAGCAATATTTGTGATGTGTTACAGGACCAACTTTAAATACAAGTAAAGATTATTATTTTTGACAAAATTTTGAACATTGATCATTGTTACAACTTTTTAATGCAATGGTCATGAATTTTAAATCAAAAAGTGTTTTTCTAGATATGAAAATTTTTAAACACTTAATGTAGGTGCGGAGCTTCTGCCCCACTAAATTCACACCATATCCGGTTCAGGAGACATTACTCAATTTACTTAAGTTCATCTGCACTAATTGTCAAAAAGAGTCTAATTTGGTAAGAAATACAGCTATTATGACACCTTAAGTGTAAAATGTGTAGGCGAAGCAATTGAACCAAAATTTTAGAAACTTAAAACCATAATAGATATATTTTGGGCGTTTGCATTTACGTTTCTTTTGTCTTGACCTCATTTTGGAAGAAATTTACTTTTCACAAAGTTATTTCTTCACGTGCTTAAGTCTTACAAAATTTTATTATTGTGATAACATATGGTTCAACATGAAGAATTTAGCTATTGATTTGACAGTAATATCGCAAAAATGTAAAAAGGCAGTTTTCATTAACAATACTTATAACACTTAATCTTGAGTATATATGATATAGTGAGTCATACAAAGATACTTAAAGCTCTTGTTAAAAAACTTTTCCTCAAAAAAAACTAGGGGGTTAGTTTGTACACTTTTATAAATTTCATTCATTCAGATTTTTATAATCATTTTTGATATTTATGTATCTTCGAAATAGTAAAAATGTTTGGAGGTAGACGTCAACAAAATGATGAGGATCACAAAACTGTTATACAACCAAATACTAAAACACCTACGGATAAGACGAACAGGTCGTTCAAACCTTACAACTTTCAAGCTAGGCCGTTCTACGAAAATTATAAGAAATCTCAGCCGGACTACGTTTGTATTATTATATATTGCAGTGAAATCTTGAATTAATCTCACGTTTTAATAGAAACCGGAGAAGTTCGACACTAACACTAACTTTTTATCAAATGATAAATTTATTGAAATGTCATTGGCCATACCAAAGTTGGAAGAAAACTGCAGTGGTGAACGAGGACCTCGGTACAGCGGTCCTGCCTCAAATGAAAAAACAATAAGTCAAAATCTGTTTGGTTTAGATAAAAGCGACATAGAAGCTCCGGAGGATCTGGAGCAAACAGCTGAGGGTCAGTCAATGATGCGCGAAATCGGTTTAACTGATGCTCATGCTGCCATTAACCCCGGAAACTGGTTTACTTCGGACATGAAGAAGCTTGAGCGTAGAATTCAGTATGCCAGTCAAATGGGATGGATGCTAGTATCATTCGAGCGAAGTGCTCTTGCTAAATTACAACATGAACGAAATATCCAATCAAGGAAGGAAATTGGAGCGTCAGAAAAAGTGGAAGAAATTGAAAGTAGACTCTCGAAACTCGAGAGAAACGTTAGTAAATATTTATATATTTCTATATACAAACGTTATCATTCAAGTATATTATTTAAAATAATTGATTCATTAAGAATTATATATGTTTTTATTTACAAATATGCTTTTTTTTATATCTTCAGTGGAAACCTCCTCCAAGAAATATTGAACGTGCAGGAAAGAATTTGTTCAGATTTCGCTTTCGATAAAGAGGTCCAAAATATTCTTGAAAGAATGTATTACCTATTTGATGGATCGTTTTGTTTGTTAAGTGTAAATTAAGATTCTTCCACCGCCATAAGGCCTACAAAGTCTTTGTATTGTACTGTTCCTTTATCCGGATCCTGAGCTGCGGAAAGCATTTCTTCCATTTCGTCTTGAGTAAAAGGTTCACCTATATAAGACAATTGTTTAAAGCCTTTGGTAATATATATATCTATATATTAGTATATACAAATATATATATACATGTATATATAAGTGGGTGCCTGCAAAAGACTTGTTCATTCTAAGAATATACTCTGTCATGTAAACATTTTTTTGTAAATTATCACCTTCTTTCATCATGTACTTTTGCAACTCGTCACTAGTCAAAAACCCCTGGTTCTCAGTGTCCAAAGTTTGGAAAGCTTTTAATAAAATATCTTCTGGTTGAGGCTTGTAGCGTCGATCCATTAAAATAGTGGTCATCACGGGCAGAAATTTTTCAAATTTTACATAGCCCGTAGGTTCATCTTCTTCCATCTAAGTATTTAAAAGTCACTTTTTTGAAAACTATTGATTAGAATTTTATGCGAGGCATACTTCTGTTAATATATCATGAAGTTCTGCTTCTGTTGGACAACAATTTAATGACCTGACGATAGTTCCTACTTCTCTGAAATTCAAATTTCTCCAATTGTTTTCTTAATTTGTAAAATATATACAAACCGAACATCCACCGTTTTATTATTTTCATGATCAAATATATCAAATGCTTTAGTTATTCTCCCTTGTATTTCGGCTATGATGGCCTCGGCTTTATCCTTCTTTTCTCCAGTGTCAGACTCTCGCCTCTCTTCAGTCGACATGCTTCCTATGTCGCTATGGGATATAATATGGTTCGTGCTCCCTTCCACAAATTATTTAAGCTATGATTTATGGAACTCGTACCCTAATATATTTCGTCCAATCAGAGATCGGATTGCAAAAGAATTTAAAACACTTTTAACCAATCAAGTGATAGGTCTTATCCGGCAATCCGGTCTGCATTTGTGAAGTCGCCATCTTGAAATTTGTTACTGACGCCGATTTGCCGTTGTGTATTCTCTAATTACGCCACATTCGTATCGATCCCTTACGAATCGGTACTAGGATAAATAGCGCTTTGAAAGATGAGCGAAATTAATCCTAAGAATTTAAAAGTAGCTGAGCTAAGAGATGAACTTAAAGCTCGTGGTTTACAAACTGTAGGAAAGAAAGATGTGCTAGTAAAACGCTTAGAAGCTGCTCTTGCTGGAGAAGAGCCGCCTCCTCAGAGTAAGTTTACACAGTAGTTTAAGGCTACTCTAATTTTTGCATTATTTTCAAGCTACTAGCGACTTAGACGCAAGTCAAACTGAAGAGGAGACGAGTCTCAGTGAGGAAAAGGCTACCGAAGATTCAAAATGTCCTGAACCAGAAACTAAAGATATACCTGAACAAGAATCTGAAAAAGTAGAGGCAGATCAAAGCGGAGATAACACAAAATCAGAAAGTGTACCTGAAGAAGAAGAAGCACCCCAGGCACCAGAACCAGAGCCTGAAGTTCAAGTTGTTAAAATTTTATGCTTTTGTTTATTAATCCAATCTTGTTAACTGCAAGTTGCAAAATAAGTAATGATTTTTACCTTTAAACAGCCTGAGCCTGAAGTAACTGAACAAAATGGAGAAGACCATATGGAAACAAATGAAGTTGATGACAAGCCAGAAGACGAAAAGGAAGAAAAGGATGAAGATCAACCTGAAGATGATCAGAACAAAAACGAAGGTAATGACGAGATTGCTGAATTTCAAGTTATGGATCAAGTTGGAGAAGACGATGCTACTGAGGTTGATCAACATAAAAGAGGAGAAAAAAGAAAACGATCTAGGTCTAGATCAAGATCCAGGGAAAAACATAGGTATTTAAAATGAAGTTAGCTTAATAAAATTTGAAATTTAATTCAAACATTTAGGGATCGACATCATCGAAGATCTCCAACGCCAAAAGTTGAAATGGAATCTGACGAGTGGCTACAAGCCGAGAACTGTCAGTTAGATAGATATAATTGCGATTTGAACATTCGGATAAGCGAAAATGGGTTACGAGGAACTCCAATATCCGTTGAAGGTTTTGCACTTATGTGGGCTGGTGTTAGGGGAACATATGGGGTTAATAAAGGCAAAATTTGCTATCAAGTCAAAATTCTGGATAATCTGGATGTTAAGCACATAACTGATGAAGAAAACAAGCATATCGTTAGAGTTGGTTGGTCGACTGATTCATGTTCTCTACAATTGGGCGAAGAAGAGGCATCTTATGGTTATGATGGAACAGCTAAGAAATGCGAAGATTGTAAATTTCATGATTTTGGTCATAATTTTGGCAAGGATGATGTCATCACTACATATATTGACTTTGATGTGTCACCACCAACGATTTCATATGCCAAGAATGGCGATGATTTAGGAATAGCCTTTGAGGTGGACGCAAAAATACTAGAAAAGGAGTCTTTCTTTCCTCACATTCTGTCAAAAAATTGTGAATTTGAAGTTAATTTTGGTGAAATTGACGATCCTTGGTTTCCTGTTAAAGAAGGCTTTACGTTAATAACCAAATTGGATAGAGAAAATCTTGTTAGAGGCTCACTGCCGCCGGAAAATAAAGAAAATTGCGAAATGATGATGATGTGTGGCTTACCCGGTTCAGGAAAAACAGTCTGGGCAAAAAATTATGCGTCCGAGAACAAAGATAAAAAATATAATTTACTCGGTACTCATACAATAATAGATAAAATGAAAGTCATGGGACTTTCAAGGAAACAAAATTACACTGGTCGATGGGATACTTTAATAGACAAGTCAACAAAATGCTTGAACAGATTATTGGAAATTGCCGCTAGAAAAAAGAGGAACTACATTCTTGATCAGGTATGATTTTCGTAGCTTAATAGGTTAAGTTTTGTGTTTTTTTTTTAAAATCGAAATGGACAAGGTAAGAGTAGGATTTATTTTGGGTATAATTTTGTTATACTTATATATTCAGAATGATAAAATTTAAGACTAACAGCAATTTAATTTCTGTACAATCGTTCATATAAGTATAACGAGATTTTGCATAACGGGAGGGATATAATATCAATTGCTGAGGTGGGGCGTTGTATGAGTGAGAAAAGGTGAGTGTTTCTTTCTGCAAAATAAGCAATGAGATTGTTTTCGGCGATAGCTGTTTTCGATTTACTGATTGTAACGGATTTCCTAGATATCCTTATGCATTCACGCACGCACATATTTATCAAGCCCTCTCTCTACTTCTAAAGTACGAGTTTATGAATAGACGATGGAATGATATTATATCTAACCGCCCTTGAAAGGCATTCGTTTCAGCCTATGTCTAATGAAGATAAACAAACAGATATTTGACAAGACAAGATCATCAAGTCAAGCATGCTATTAATAATGACATATTTCAAGCCAGTAGTTACAGATGGATTGACAAACGAATATGGATTGGAGGACTGTTATTACAATCTTGATATTAATTACGGAGTCATTGGATAATGGACCTAGTGGTAACGATATTAAAAGACATGTAAAACATTAAAATTTTTTTTATTGACGCCGAGAAATTTGCATTCATAAACACATACACAAAGGATATCTGAGATATTTCGTTGTAGCAATTGGTTGAATTGCAAACTGTCTAAATCCGAAAACTGAAGAGAGAGGGTTTATAGCTCGCGAAGCGCCACGACACGTTTTTGGCCTATAAAAATCGAGCCTAGAACTCAAGACAAACAAACACACGCGTTGTTCGACCAAATCCAGTCAAACTAAATTTGTTGCACAAAACCTCCTTAATAGACGAATGTATACGCGTCGGCTCGTAAGCGCAAAATGAGGCCTTTCGAAGGATTTCAACGTAAAGCGATTGTGGTTGTTCCAACTGATGAGGATTTTAAGAGTCGTTGCGAAAAACGCGATAAGGAGGAGAATAAAGAGATACCAGATTCGGCAGTTTTAGAGATGAAAGGTATGTGCTGCGAATGAATACATTGATGAAAATGAGAATGAGTGCTTGTTTTTTTCTGGTGGCGGTGTAATTTGCAATTCAACAAAAGGGTTATTTAAATATAAAAATTTTTTCAGCCAATTTCAGTCTGCCACAAGATGGCGATTTATTTGAAGAAATTCAATTCGTGGAATTAAATAGAGAAGACGCTCAAAAGTTAATCGACAGGTATAACAAAGAAGCCAAGAGTCAACTACCGCCTCCTGATAGTAGACGCTTTAGATCCCGTGACAATAGACGCGACAACCGATCTGGTAATTTATTTTAATATGTGTCATTAATTATTGCTGACATTGTTTGTTCTCGAATTCCAGGAAGAGATCGTCGTGATTATAATAGAAGAGACTTCAATCGTCAGAATAGAGATCGTTATAGAAATTTCGATAGAAGAGGTAGAGATGATAGACGAGGAGGTAATTAATTGTTAACTTTTGTTGATTTTGCTTGACCTGCAAATTGTTAATGTCAACAGGCTATCGAGGAGGAGGTGGTTACGGTGGTGGCGGAGGAGGTCGTGGTGGTTGGGGATCTCAAGGAGGATGGGGAGGAGGCGGAGGTGGTGGCAGCGGCGGAGGTAGTGGAGGCTGGCAAAGCGGAGGCTATGGAGGAGGTTCTCATTGGGGTGGGGGAGGTCCACAACCTGGAAACTGGGGAAACCAATGGGGTCCTAACCCTCAGGGCAGCTGGAGTCACCAAGGAGGAAATTGGGGTAGCAGCGGCGGTAGTGGAGGCGGCGGTGGAGGAGGAGGCCAATGGAATCAAGGTGGATGGAACCAGGGTAGAGGAGGCTGGAGCGGCCAAGGCAACTGGCGCGACGGTCGCCGTTAAACGCTTGTCGGACAATTTGTTTCGTTTTTGTACGCGTTTGAGCTGAGAGGCTTATATTTTTTATTATACTGTTGTGACCCCTGTACATACTTAGGTCTCTGCATGCCTTTGATTTAGTTATATATATATATATATAGTCCGTCTAGGAGTGAGTAAATATGGAAAGTGAAGAAAGGAAACAAACTGGAATGTTTTAAAGGAAGTTTTTAGTGCATATTACGTGTTTCTATACAAAATATAGCGTTTTATATTATCTGTAGCCGAAACCAGCTGGAGGTGAAACATGCACAATTAGTTGTGTTATTTCTTCATTTTCGTTACTTATTCTTTGACTTTGATTTTGATGTATGTTTGCTTTTTTTCAACAAGATGTCTTGTTTAAATTAACATTAGGAACAGATCTCAAACGCCAGTTTGTCAGTTCATAAAAAATTTCCCTTCCATTGATAGGGAATTATTTATCAAGTTATACAAAAGTATCATATACTTTGTATATATATATATATCAATTGAGAGAGAGAGAGAGAGCTAAAAATAACTAACTACTTTTTTGATTGTTTCCAAGTCAAAGTCTAGTAGTAAAGGAAAATTTTGTGTTATTTTCTCATTGAGAATATATAACAGTAAATATTACCTTATGAGGATTTCAATATATTAACTCTTAACAAAATTTTTGATAAAAGATTAAATTTATTAAACGAGAATGTTAATTTTTATGATATTTAAACTCTGTCCTACTTGATTCTTGAACCACTCCAATTGTTCGAATTATCACTAACCGTGTAGAAGAATCTTTCGGAACATTTGTCCGGACCGTAGTCGATTAAAACTCTCCTAGTTCTGTTACATTCCTCGCAACATGTTTTCATATCGTACTTTCTTCGACCATAGGTTTGAACGCAATCGAAACATCCGAGTACGCAAGTCCACTCTGCTTTATCAGGACTGCAAAAATGCTGCTCTGCTGTAGCGAATAAAAGAAAGAGCAAGAAGCAGCATACAATGACTGTTCGAACATTCATAGTTGAATGAAGTCACTTAGGGGCGTCTCCAACGACTTTTACTTAGGCTCATTTCAAATTCTCCTTTTAAGAACTTTTTCTCTGAGGAAAATTAGTTTTAGGCCTAATATGGAAGATATTTTTATAAAAGATAATTGAAATTTAACCATAAAAAAGACTTTTTAGCTTTAATAATAAACCAATTTACTACATTTGATATATCGTTGATCGAAGTGCCCCTTTACCTGCATTTAAAGCATGAAAAAACAGGTTTTTATTTCAGCATTTAAAAGTCAGCAGCAGCTAGTTGAAATAATGCTTATGGGATACTTAAGAAAGTTATTAATTTTCTCATTATCCCCATAGAAATTAAAAAAAAGTGTACTCAGCTCGTGGTGCCCCCTCTATGGCATTTATAAACTGTTTAGTATCATCGTCCACCTATCGTCAACAATTATAAACGAAAAGGAAAAAAAATTGGTTTAAAATTCTCTTTTAGGAAGCTAATGCCTTTTTTTTTATTTTCAATAACCAGAAGTATTTTTTATAGTAGTAACGATTCCCTCAAAAGCATCTTCGTATACTGATATAATACAATCTAAATGTTCTTGCAATGTGAAACTCAACAAGTTCTCAAGTTTTATTAAAAACTTTAATGCGCCTTTTAACATTTTTGTTAAGAAACATAAAATTTATTTATTTACTTTTAATTGTAAAAGAAATGATATTATTTCTATAAATTCCTCTGGCAAAGCTTATTTTATTGCACAAAGAAAGGTATTGAAAGGGGAATAGATAGATGGATAGATAGATAGAGAGAAAGAGAGAGTGAGAGAGAGAGAGAGAGAGAGAAAGTTTGGGTAGCAAACAGCAAAAAAGAAAGAACTATACAGTATGATATAATTACAAAAAATGGTTTGTTTTTTTTTAAATCGTCTTATTTTCTTATTTAGGTTTTATTCCGTTATTCTTGTTTTTGTTTAGGCAGTTTATTCGCGTTTGAGACATAATGAAAATATAAGATTCCAAACTTTTTTCCTTTTCCCACCCATTCTCTACCTCCTAAGCTACTTTACACAATAGCCTAAGCACCCTAATAGCTCTAATTAGGAGCTACATATACAATTTTAGCGTGTCCATTAGTCACGTAATAGGCCTAGCCATTAAGTAGTCTCTTCTCATATCCAACCACCCTTTAGTATAAAAGTCCCTTTAATAAGGTAATATGAAAGAAATAAATTTATGAAACTTAATAATAATTAATACTGTTATTGTAGAACATAAAGAATTGCTTTAGAGGCAAGAGAAGAAGTCTCTTAGGAAGGTTGATTGTTTGTTACAAACACTTCAAATAAATCCATTTACTATCATATAAAATACTCAATCTTACGGATTTTACGGTTTACAATTCAATTACGCAATATTTAAAAGTTGGTTTTTATTATTTCATAGGCCAACATTAGTGGTTCTGTGGTGTTAGAACGTTTTGGCTGCAGATGCTTCTGTAAAATCTCTATACACAGATTTGCTGGATATGCTTAGGCAAACAGTTGAACTAAGTTGAACTAGTAAGAGGATTCGAAAAGCGAGATTGTTTAAATGAAAACAGGAAAAGAGGAATAAAAAAGGAAAAAGTTCGATATATACATATATATATACTGATATATATATATATATATATATAGAGAGAGAGAGAGAGAGAGAGAGTCAGGGAGGGAGAGAGAGCAACAGCGCCGTTAACTATAGACGCAAAGTAGACGCAGCAGCGTCATTCTACCATGAAGATTCAAGTTTCTCTCGTTATTTCTTTAGTCTACTTTCTTAGGACTACTATGGAATGCCGGGTAGAATCCATAAAGGTGAGTTGGTCGTTATAATTAAAGTCTTCATTTCTTGTTCAGTTAATCAAGATATTAAATAATAATCAATAAAATACGTTTACAAATTTCCCTGTGTTTTTTTCGTTGTTGATAAAAGAACAAGGGCATATTGCCTAGGTAGGCCTTTGCGTTTCAAATCATACAACAAAGTCCGACGTTACCTTTGTTGTAACGCGTTTACACACGCGATGTTCCATACGTTTAGAAGTAAAAAACGTCGGTTTTTTTTTAAATTATGTCCTTAACGTTGATTGATAGTTAATTTTACAAGGTAGAGCGTTCTTGATCGTACGATAGTAATAAGATATAGAATATTTTAGTTATTTCAAATATTAAATAAGACGAATGGGAGATGTTATTTTTTTTACATGAATAACAGAACAAATATATATATATATATAATTTATTAAAGAAAGTATTGAGATAGAAAAGGAAAGGATGAAAGATGGAGATGATACACAGATAAATATGTTAAAAAAAGCTTACAGTGAAAAGAATTTTAACCAAAATACGATTAAATATTATATGTAATTCTTTGAAACCATTATTTATTTATATATTTCGGACAAAAAGAACTTATTTCTCAATTAATCATATTTTTTATTTTTAATCCTAAACTTCTCTTTCGCTCTCTCTCTCTCTCTCTTACTCTGTCTCGCATGGTACTTTGTGACTTTTTTAAGTACCTTTATTTTATTAAAATTTCTTTTTTTAGCCTTATTAATGTTGTAGTATCAAGCTATATATCAACCTTCTTTTTGACGCCTAAGTTTATAATATTACACCTAATATACAATTTAAAAATATAACAAATTAAAAAATAAGAGACGCCTGTTTATAAAGAACAGAGAAACGCCTATCTGGTTTTCTTTCTCTTTTTTATGTAGCTATACTTTGTTCTGTATTGTTAGTCCTCTTTATAACCAATAAAGTCTGCCACAAAAAGATAAGAATTGCTAAAAAATAAGATTAAGATAATAAATATTGTTTTTTTGCATAAAAACAATATTTATAAGTAAATAGAATTTATTGATGTTATATTAATATATATTTATATATATATTAATATATAAAGAAGGTAAACTACTTAATCTGTTAGAATTTTTTTTGCAAAGGTGTAACCATAGCGATCTAACCAATTTCTGGATTTAACTAAAACGATTAGGTATTAGCATGGGCATTTATCTGGCAGAATAAAATGAGGTTCATAAAAAAAAGTAGAGAAAAGATAACAGAGAAATGAGAGAGAGAGAGAGAGAGAGGAGAGGGAGAAAGACAAAGAAGACCAAAGGAAGGAGACAGGAAGAGCAGAAGATTTATATTTGAATTATTTTAAAATAAAAGAATAAAAAGCACAGAAAACTAAATAAAATAAATTGTGTCTGTAATAATAAAAAATGGGAAAATACGCTGCCCTAGACATTTAAAAATACTCTATGCCTTTTCAAATTCTTTCAAGATAAATCTTTCTCTCTCTCCCTTTCGTTCCATTCTTTACTCTTTCTCTCTTGTATTCATTCTCTATAACGTTTTATTTTCATTTGAAAGGTTTTTAATTCGTTTATTTCATCTTTGATTAAAGGAAAATAGTATCATTTATTGATTTTTCTTTAAACTCTCATTTATATGATTTAATTCTTAATAAGAATTAATTGATTAAGTTTTTATTAGGAGAGTTTAGTATAGCAAAGAGTTTTTCATCTTAATCAAAAAATAACATTGTCTAGATTGTAAAAGAACGAATCTTTTTACGTAAAAATTTATAATTGAGGGCGTAATGGTTTAGAAAAAATAAATAACACGGGAAAATTCATAAAGAACCACAGAGAGAGAGAGAGAGAGAGAGAGAGAGACGGGGAAGTGGGAGGGATGAAGAGATTTTGTCAATGATTAAATAGACTTTTATAAAAAAATTGACATATCGTAAATACTGTATAATATATATTAAACAATTGCAATAAACCAACTTATTAGCTTAGTTAATAACTTTGTTATATATTTTTTAAGTAGGTTGAATGAAAAATAAACTATAGAGATGATTATGTAATGACTTTTAACTGTGGATCCTATTTTGTTTTTACGCAATAGGATATTTCTTTATTTCGTGTAAAGAAGATCGCTATTTAATTATAGATAAAGGTAAAATCTATGTCCAAAAGAATAGTCGATATTCGTTGTAAAAAATTAAATAGTATATAAAAGAAAAGACTAGGAAGAGTATCATGGAATTAAATTATGTGATTCTGTAATAAAAATAAGCATGGGAATTGTGTGGAACACCGGAAGCCGCTTATAGAAATCACATTGGGAATTAAATATTGATCACAATAACTAAATTGTCATAAAAAGAGGCCTCTGTTGAGTTTTAAGAGAAATGACTATTAATTTATTAAATATTTCTTTCTAATCACTTTTTCCACCAGATCAAGCGATCAAATGAATTATTCATCATTTGTTAGAGTTTCTAGGAATAATTATCCAATTACATCTCTATAATCCATACCAAGGATTCCCTCTCTTTCCATCATTCTTCTATCTTGATTATAGTAGATTACAATAGTAATCAGAATATAAAAATGATAAACTTTTTTTCATAAATATCGTGAGTTTTATAATAAAATAATCATTATCTACCTTTTATACAACACCCACATCGGTTTTAGAATGGCTGGGCTGGGTATTGCATAATTAAATAAAATGTGTCTGGTGAACTTTCATACAAGATAAAAAAGGTAGACGGGATTTGTTTTAGCCTTAAAAGTTTACATTGATAAATCAAAATGACGAGAATAACTAACTCTCGTCGGATAGACAACGCTTAAGCTTAGCTTCTTTCGTTTCTCTCTGTCTCGATCTTCATCTCTTACTCAAACTATCCTTTTGCTTCATCCCTATATCTTTCTCTATTCCTCCCTCTCTCTTTTTTTTGCCATTGACTTAGAATATCAATTCCGACGAGAGGATTCCAATTCAATAGAAGAAAAAAGAAGCATTTCTAATAAGAATACTAATTAGGTAACCTTCTGAAAAGTAGAAAGAGGGTAGTAGGCCTAGTTTCAGAAGTAATATATATATAATAATCTTACGTCTATCTCTGTTTGATTTATTCAATGCATAGTTCTATAGACAAACTAGAAGTAAGAAGGCGAATATCTATTCAATTTGTAGTGGTGTGTGAAGATAAACCTTGGTGAATATTTATTAAGGTTTTATCAGGGATTTGGTAGGAAGGTTGTGGGTTAGTAGCAAAGACTTCGTAATTGATAGGACCACCTATCCTTCTCTCCAGACATTGCTATTTTTTTGAGTTAAACATCACTCAATAAGGAGAAAAACCTATACAGCTTCGATGCATAAATGAATCTCTTCATTAAGGTAATGAATATTCATAAACACAAACCAGGATATTCCAAACTTGATACTCTATTCACAAACAGATTCACTTAGATACTTATTAAGAAAATACTTAATTAGATTTGATTTTTTTTACCATGGCCAAAAAGAAGGTCAGAAGTTTGCTTTGACTGTTTCCCCCAGAGGATTAAAATGAGAGGGCTACCAAATCAAATATAGATGTTGATTTTTAACCCTTAGAAAAATGATATTGCAAATTATTAACTTACGAAAATAGCTTAAAATAATAAATTTAATAGAATAGAATAAAGTTTTTATACTAAAATATAATTAAACGAACAAAGCATTACGCGACTATAAAATATGTAGAATGTTGTATATCTTATAAACAATGTATAAATAGTTCTTCTTTGTTTCAGATAGAAAAAGCCCGCCTTCCCAAACTATCGAAATTAGTGGAAAAGAGACGAGTGAGATCAAGATTCGATTTTCTTCAGATATTCTTTACTGATAGGGAAATAGAAAATATACAGAATAGTTGGACGAATGAGGAGATTGAAGACATTAGAATGTGGAATGTATATGATAACATGAAAAAACATTGCAGAAAGCCCGTTCCAACTCTAATCAAAACGAATAAATTGATAAAAACTAGAGAACATATAGGAAAAGAGGCCTTTCCTCAGTATATCATCCTTCAAAGATGTCACTATAACCAATCAGAAGCTTGCTGTAAAAAAGGCCAATTCTTGGTGCCAGTAAAAACCAATACAATCACTAAACGCTTCATGGTTTGTCACCTAGTTTATTTTTTTTTTTAAGAGAGAAACTTTATAAAAGCTGCGTAATTCGTCAGATGATTTAGAAGAAAATTAGCAATTTTCTCGGCGAATACGCATAGCTTTAGACATTTCTCTCTTTTCCTTTTCTCTTTAAAACGTACCTTTGTCTTGAAATTTGGGTTAATAAATATGTTATTTTTTTCAAAATTCACTACAGTTAGTGCAGTTTAAAGTCAAGGTAAACGGAACAATGCCCTTTTTTACGCAAGACTCGGTAAAGAAGATCCAATACCGTAGATTTCAATTAACTGACGAAATAAGCTGTCGATGCTCGAAAAAGTAACGCTTTTTCCTCTTAATATCTTTATTTTAGTTATATATGAATTTTAAGCGAAATATCTATACGCTTTTTATAATTATTACCTGTTTTAATTATTTCCAGAGGAAGAAATCGAACTATGAACCGTCAGAGGAAACGCTGCAGGAAAAAGTCTAATGGACGTATAACTTGCTAAAATAACACCGATAAAATGGATACTTATAAAGATAAAGATATAAATAACAATATTACTAATACGTATATAATAAGAAGAATAAAAAAGATGATAATGGAGTTTTCTTTCTATTTCATTATCATTTGTAGTCTTCTTTGTCTTCCTCTCTCTTAGAAAGAAAAATGGAAGGAAAGTTATTTTTCCGGACAAGAGATTTGGAAAAACAAATAGACAAGTACTTGATCAATTGAATCTTATTTTTTATGTATTGTATATACAGTAGAATCTCAATATACAGTATATATATATATATATTTGTTAGTCTATTTAATCTAAAATATTAAAATATTGAATATTTATTAAGTAAATACTCTTTCTGATACGAATAAATTGGTCTATGGATTGTAAATTATTGTTTGTGATATTATTGTTTTCAGCTGTTGAAACACTAATTGTGTAATTTAAATGTTTGAAATTGTAACCGACAGATGGAGTTTCTTCTTACTTGATATCAACATATTTTTGTTGGAATAGTATTCATCAATGGTAAACATTTCGACTAACCAATTGATAATTAGTTATAGTTTCAATAATAAAAAAGACAGTATTTAGTTAGTAATGTAATTTTGTTTGTTAATAGAAGGGAATAAACTGTTCCCCGTTCCCTCCCCCTCAATCATTATCTGCCATCTATCGTTTAATAGTAATTGTTAACTTTGTGAAAATGTGAATATTGGAAATGGTTTATAAATAAACAGGTAAAGAATGAAGATAATTTATAAGTTAACTGTTATAAATATACAGTATATATAGATTTATCAATTCGTGTGCATTGTATTGTTATTATTTTATAAATTGTAACCAAGAGATTAAATAACTTAACAAAAAATTCAGCCTAACCATTTTATCACATCATGAACATTTGAAAGTGAACATTATTCTTTTTTTTTTTATCATTTCTTATTAATTGAGTTAGAAAATATGACTAGGTAGATAATACAGATGTTTATCTATTATTGTTTTGTTGCTGCTGTTGTTGAAGCAATTTCTTTTTTTGTATAGAAAAAGGGATGGAAGAGGTGAGAAAAAAAAAACAAATAAATAAATAAATGCACAAACTAACTAGAATACTGATGAATATCTGGCTTAGTTTTAATCTTTTGAGTACCAACATTACCAACTCTCATTGTAGTTAAACTATCTAGTTGGCCATGATCGTCTAAATAAGCTGCTAGTAAACCTTGTCGAATTTCAGTGCTTTCCTGTACCGGTTGGGAGCAGGTTGTTGTGTCGATATTTTCTGTAGATTTTTTTAAAAAGTCACCCCTTTCACCTTCGTAGTATTTGTCACCATAGCGATTTCTCAAGTCTTTGTAAACGTCTTCCCATTCAGAACTATTAGAATTTACAGATCCTTCTCTCGATTTCGGTTTAGATACTGTAAACGCTTCTGACTTTGGCTTTCTCGTACAAGTCATTTGCAACCATTTATCGCAAGTCACCAAATCTCCAACGTTTTCTTGCCTTGCTCGTAAGATGTCAGTTAATGAGAAAATATCTTTTCCAGTCTGTTCAATGAGATTATTTATTGCATTAAATTCTAAGGATAGTACCAATGCATCAAAAGCAACTTCAGCAATATCTTCGGTTAAGGGCCTATAGTCTAAAACTAGCATATTATGGTCTATTCCTTTTTTATAGCCCATTCTTTTAAAAAATTCTTCCCAGCAATCACCAATTACAGATACAATATTGAGTTGAAAGAAACCGTTATAAATTTTTATCTCCTCGAAATCGCGAAAGCTTGGACGTTGTAACAATCTAATGGCGTATTGCTCTATATAAGAAAGAGCCTTTTCAACTTTGGTTGGTGACAATTTGCTATTAAATTCCAACTGTCTGAATACGTCCAGAGAAAATCGACTTAGGCGACCACTTAAGATGGTAGTCCGAGCAAATTGCTTATAATTTCTTATTAAAATTTCCCGATAGTTTGTCTGATATTGAGAAGAATCGCCACAAACGTAATCAATATACTTCGCTTTGATTACATTCATCTTTACCGATTGCCTTAAAATAGATGGGCTTTTCCTAAAAAAAATCAGTTCAAATGTTTATGTAGACGCCATGTTGTCACGTGATATTTATGTTCTAATGTGGTTTTTATTCAGTATATCTTGGTAAACGTCAAAATTTAGTCAGGTTTTCCGCCTTTAATAAATTGCATATATATAAAATTTGTATATATATTTATACACGAAAAGAGAGGAAATTAATTAAAATTCCCCCTTTGTAAGGCCTCCATTTAATTTATTACTATAAAAAATAATTTTATAAAAAGAGAGGGATATATGAAGAAAAGAGTAAACAAAAGCCTCTCTGATAAAAGTTTTTAATGATGTGAGAAGAGAGAAAGAGAGTATTAAATTTAGAATTTATTTTAGACACTATACATAAATTTTGTTTAAAAGAGAGATAAATGCATATAAAGTACGTATTACGGTGGGTTGTAACTCGTGGGACAGCGAGAGAATATACTTGATGGAAATCTAAAGTCACTACTAATCAACATTTCATTAGTAGGAAAAAAATGGTTAGCTTGCTAATAGTAAGCAAACTTATTAAGCATCAGAATGACACGACAGACGAAGTTAATTTCTAAATCAATAATTTGGCAACTAAACTAATAGTTATTGGAAAAGAAATATGCTTTCCTTTATTTCTACAAGCCAAGAAACTATTCCAACTAGTTTTTCAAACTAAGAGAGTAGCATCAGAAAAGACTGGAGGCGCTTCTTGCAAAATCAATCAGGAGTAATATATACATGTATATATATATACATTTGGCTCGATGTTTAACGTCTTCGTTGTTTGTAAAACTATAAAAATCTACTGTTGTCATGCATAGAAAGACAAACTACTGTACATACTAACAAAAACTGTAATTGCTCTGTTTCATGACGAGGTTTTCAAAATGTATTTGTTTTCTGTCTAACTTGTTTTTATATCATGCATCAACACGAACAAGAAAATGCTAGCCAAGGATAAAAAAAATTAGAACATGCATTATTTTCGTTAACTGTAATTCTTTTCTTCATGGGATCGCCTCGTTAAGGAACTTGAAAACGTCTACCAGCTCCTGTAAAAGTGATATATGTAAGTATGTATATTATTTATAATTATTTAGGTATTTTCCCTTCATAGCTCGTCATTGCTATAATTTTTTAACGTTAGCAAAAATTCTATTTTTACACGTACTATATTTATTTTGAAGACGACACTAGCAGTGACGTATTTACCTAAATATTTCATTTCTGTTATTTCTACTCTCCCTCAAAGGACTTTACCTTAAAGTGTTCGTTCTTGGAGGTTTAGAGATACACTATTTGCCAAATAATTCAGTTTTATAGATTTTATTATTTTAGTAATGGGGAATAAATGTTTGTGTTAAGAAAGAGAACGTAGTGCTTTTTTTTCGGTATTATAAGTTATTAAAAAAATTCTATGGCTTAAAAAGGAAAGAAACAATTCCTTCGTATAGTCAAAAGAATTATTTCTTTTTTAGTTCAACATATTCTTTATCATTTAGTTTTTATAAACTGAAATCTATAGATATTACATAATAGGTGTAAGAAAAATAGGTGAAAGAAAAATAATTAGCTCCATATAAGGTAGGAGTAATATAGTAGGAATGTGTAATTATTCGAACAGAAAATAGAAAGGAGGAGAAAAAATTCATTATATCTGATGAAGATTTTTTTCTTTCATTAGAAGGTTAATTACGTCACTAAAACAACTGCTTTACGTATTGCTAATAAACTAAAATATTTGATTCCTTTAGCTATGTAAGCTGCTAGAGAAGAATGTGAAAAAAGGAGGCTAATAATAAGCCGATAAAGCTAGAGGCGTAGGAAATTTTTTCATCCGTTAAATCAGATTCTGTTTGTTACAAATTAGCAGTCTATGGTATATAAGGGAAAACCGTAATAAGATGTTTATGACTTTAGACCTCTTCACCCTATCCCAATTAAAGTAAAAATACATGTTGAATTATGTAATATGAGGATCTTTAAATACAAAAAATTGAAAGATGTTTTCCGAAGGCTCCATTCAGAATTTACATAAAGTAATCATCTATACGTTAGTGAAACTATTTTGGTATTCATGACGCAATAAGGCCGATAGCAATTTTCGACGATGAAAATTGATAATATCAATAAGGTAACTTATACACAAGCGAAGGTATAAATTACTTGAAAGGATAAAATGCATTTCAGATTATAAACAGAAGCTCTGTAAATACAGTATGTACAGTACTCATAGTGGAAATTATACGTGAATTTAGTTTTTATTTAATAGTAGAAAATGATTAAAGTAAGACTTTTTTTTCTATATTTAGCCGCAAAAGTGTTAATATTCACTATAGCCATTACTGAATCTCTATAAAATAGGCACTATAAAATATCCGGTTAACTAAAGTGTAAGTAAATGAATATGAATTTGGACATCTGCAGGGGCTATATTATTCAAAGTGAAAAGAAAAAAACCCTTTCTAGAGACTTTTTTTGTGTTTGGCCAAAATTAGTTACACTAGCGTCAAAAAAATTCTCTTGTATAATTGTGTAAAACGTACTCAAGTGATTATTAATTGCTGTTAAAACAGTTGCCTTTTTGTTTGTTTTGCAATTTTAGTTAAAGAGAGCTTTTTAGCTAAAAGAGAAGTCTGGCTGTTTTCAACTGAATAAAGCCATCATAATAGGATTAACAGTCGAGTTAATGCATTAAGAGAAAGGAAGAAATATATACAAACCTCATCACAGGAACTGTGCGCAAGGTTTTCATATTGCTTAAACGTGAAGTTGGGACAATTAGCTTTCAATATTTCTGAGGTTCTTACACCTATAAAAAATTGTACAACTGGATCCACTTGGCCATGACATTGCAAAATTTTTAGAGCTTTGTTTTCACTTTGGTTTATTAGTTCAGGAAGGGTCTTATGAGAAGGCATCCAAGTTGACAAGGCCAAAAGACCTCCTAATTTAGATCCGCCAGAAGTGAAGGCTGTATATAAGGCTACAGCTCCTCCCTGTGAGAAACCGCCGATAACTATACGACTTCTTGGTATGCCTCGCTTTTCCTCATCAGATATTAACTGGGCTAACTTCTGAGCAGATTGTTTTACGCCTTGTTCATCCTCAGGCGAATCTGGCGCCAAACCGTATATATCGAACCATGAGGGCATCGGCATACCTCCATTTAGAGTAACAGGGGCTATAGGTGCCGTTGGGAAAACGTAACGAACGTGCGGTTTCTTCTTCATGCGAAATAGTTGAGACCAGCCTTCTCTATTTGAGAGAAAAAAAATCGTATTTAGAAGTTAGGATTTCCAATAAATTAAAACCAGACATTCACATAAAGCACGGTATTGGTTAGTTCTTTATCAATAATAATGGACCCTTTTAAAGCTTTCTTGTGCAGGGACTATATCTTAATCAGACAGCCTAGAAAGGTTTTAATAAGAGTAAATGAAAGAAACCCGGTGAATTTACATGCAGTCAGAAGTATCTTCTTAAGAAAATTCGTTTGTAGTAAAAATCTGATTACGAATTTTAATTAATCATAACGTTTTATTAATATGTACGATTTCCCAATATTTTCCCTCTTTTTAAATCAATGGCAAGCACATTGCAAGCATTTGTTATAACCAAAAGAGTGATAAAAAAAATAGACTTTTCTGTTTTTTTATACAAATATATGACAGTAGAGAAAATGGAAGAAAATTTTTAAGAAAAACATTGACACTTTGACAAGCTTTCACTATCTCGACATATTTGCTGTCTATATTTATCATTCATAAAATACTTATCGGCATCGTAATTTTACTGTTTGCAGAAATATAAGTATTTCATAACGCCAAACTAGAGGCGTTTAAATACCTATTATTACGCTTATACCTGCATATTATTTTTCTGTTTGCATTAATGGAAAACGAATAATATGTTAGAGTGAAATGATACAAATTTTCTGGACTGAAAATTTACGAACATTATAGTGCAGAGAAACATTTTCAATTAGCCTCACCCCTCTTTAAGGTTTAAAGCGTTGATAAAACGTTGTTTTGTCTGATATTTTTAGCTTGATTCTTTCAAGCATGATATACCAACTTAAAATTACTCCTGTTATATTTATTAGCCAAGAATTTTATTGTTTTGTATAAAATAGAAAGTGAAATTTAAAAAATATTAAAATCAATGTGGTATTATTATATTATTATTTATCAAGCTATTTCTTAATTATACTAGAAAATTCTATATCTCTTCTATAGACAGTATCACTATGGTACATAAAAAAATTAGCATCAATTTTACTTGAGGAATTATTTTAATGAAACATTTTATTTTGGAATGATTCAATTAATACGAGTGCAGTATAAATTTAAGGCCACGCTTAGTACATCGTTAATCACAGTTAAATTGAGCTAATCTATTCGTAGTTTCTATATTCTGTTAAATTAATTTTTTCAGTTAACAGTTTTATGCTTTTACCGGTAAATTTCAGAGAATTATAGTGTTTTCCCCAGAAAAGAAATGATACAAGTCGATATTTTAGGCAAAGAAAAAAAAAGCTAGGAAAATCGTTAATTAGCTGTTAGAAAATGGAAAAAAAAGACGAACAAAACGCTTTCTCGGGTAGGGGATATAACTCTTTCCTGAAAGGTAAAATTGGTTAGAAAGGAGGATGTATTAGAAAAAGTATAAGTTTATATTGAGCCTAAAATGTCAGAATTAAGATGAAAGGGTACTTTTTATTTCATATATTGCACGCAAACATCGCGTAATCAGCGAATTTAGGTTAGACTGTTTGCAACAGTGATAATTTAAAAAAAATTGTTTATTTTTTATAATAAATTTACTGTATTAAATACCAGGTTAATGAATTTAATAGTTCTATTTATACACTATTGTACGTATTTAAAATTATTAATTATTCCAGTATTATATATAGTATTTAGTATTCTAGAAAATTACGAATATAATTAATATACCTGGTTACAAAAATATATTTAAAAAAGAAATTGAATAATCGATAGTTTTAGAAATTACAAAGACTGCGTTTGTTTTATTATTCCTACTCCAAGGTTGTCTGAGAAAGAGTTAAGCAGATAAAAACTATTTTTTAAACTGATATTGCACCTAAAAATATCGCATTTTACGATGAATTGTTACAATAATTAAAAAGAAAATAGAGACGAATGAGATATATATATATATATATATATATGTACTGCATATATACAGTATATAAATTTATATATATACTATATAAAAGAAAGAAAAAATATAATGAAACAGCAGTAGTACTGTTCCTCTCAGTATATTTTATTGGTTTTTCTCTGTTTTTTTCAGTTACCAATATATCTACACACTTCATTTAAAAGAATAATGCTGAAAATATTCACTTATTTCTTTCCTCTTTGGAAGTATAACAAAACGCAATCAACTTGGGAAAAATGGAAGAGAATATTTCTTTTTCCCTCTTAGTGTCGAAAGTATATTTAAACAATAAACGTTAATGTGATTAATTTGCTGTATTTATTCAGTTTCCTTAGGTTGTCTATTCGATTTGATAGATTTATAAAAATTCGTTATACAAAGAAAAAACATAATAAATAATTTATCTTATGATTTATTATTATTATTATTGTTTTCGCTTTTAGGATAAATTTAATTGATATTTTTTCTCCTACTTCAAAAATATAAAGGAAGTTATAAACAAATGGAAAATTCTGAGCATAAAACGTATAAAAAATATTAAACAATTCCAATCGGAGAATACAACGCATAAACATTTCGATGGCCTATGAAAGATGTGAGTTACTTATACAGTACTTACATTTTTTAATCAAGATGAGAGGTGTTACATTAACATAGAGAATTTGCGTATTTGTCAATACCCCTTTTAAATAATATAATAATTTATTGTAATTTAAACACTAAATGATCTTAGTAAATAGAGATTTTTAGATTTCTTCCATCCTACACGATTTCTTTGTGAGACATATATGCTGTGATGGCCAAAACCGCGGATCAAATTATTGTTATTTTAGAGGATGCGACAGCTAATGTCGTTCATTCTTTAGGCATGATACCTTGAAGTATATCTGATAAATTACGGTAATTTGTGTAACGATTCGTAATAATGCAAAGGATAGATAAAAAACGGATATTTCGGATATTTTATCATAAGTAAAACATAGAACATTTACTGAAGTTTCCAAGAGAAATTATAGAATATCTAAAAATCGAATAGGTAAAGCTTTTAAGTAATTTCTTAGCAGAATTAGAGCGAAATAGGAGATAGAAACGTTAATCGACTTATAAGACCGCTATACATGACACAACGTGGATATATATCTCAATAAACCTATTAATAAATTTCACACCATTGTACTCTATTGACTCTTGGTTTTATAACGGCTACAAGTAACAACCCTTAGATACGGAGGAGTAACGATTTTTTTTTCATATAAGGCGGCGTTTGACCAAGTGAGAAGAATTAATAATTGATCAACTAGATAAAAATGAACGTATGTTATGAGCTATGAAATCTTTCCAATTGGGAACAAAAATTATTTCAGTTTAGTCTTACTAATCTGTACATTGACTGTTAAATGACAGCAAGATCTAATAAACATTACAAACGATTAGCGTCTGAGTTAATGAAATAGTTTAACAAGATTTGACAGTGGTAATTAGTTAGGTAAGATGCATTTACATATTTCAAGGTGACTGATTATATATATATATGAATAAACAATAGAAAGGAATAGTTTGATTAATAGTACAACGTTATCTTTCTTAATTCTTATCGTTTATATTAAGGTTTATCTTTTAATGTATAGATACAAATAGCTACTTACCCAGTATCACCCAAACCATGAAGAAAGATTAGCTGTTCGAATAAGAATGTTATTAGTGTTAAAGACACTAATTTAATAAGAAAAAGTAAAGTAGAAACATACAGAAGCTGTGTGCTGACCACTCGGTTCCACGATGTAAGTGGACATATTTTTCGAGGACGAACTTAGTCCCATAAAACGTCCAAAACCTGTTAGCAGAAAACATAGAAAGATACAATATATGTTCATTTTTATCGATAAATAAAAAAAATCTCCAAAATCAATGAGGTAATAGGTTTGAGAAAAATATTTTTACGTCAAAGAACCTCACGAAATTTGGATTGATAATTGTCGCATTTTCAAGCTTTTCAATTGCATATTTATTATCTTACCCGTTGAATATAAGAGCGTTCTATAGGAACGATTTACAGTTTTTAACATACAATAGACGGCTAAGCGTTCGCCTTTTGCGACGTTATCTTGGGTAAAGATGTAGAATGTCGATATAGGTAGGTCTAAAATTAACACGGAAGAACACTTTAACAAAAAACACTGTTTATTGGGGTGTTACTAACTCAATGTGTAATATTTTGAAAAATTGTGAATATAATTTAAAATTGACGTCTTATTTTATACAATAAACAATTTATTTATAAATCAATAAAAGCATATAAAACGTTTAAATAAAACAAAATAAAGAAAAGCGCCTTAGCTCTGTTCTCAAAATGTCTGTTGGAAGTAGAAACAAAACATGCAAACGCCTCGAATAAAAAAGCTATAACGTTTATAATAGATTCTATAAATATCATTTAAAATCTAAATAATAAAAAAGAGGACAAAAATATAAAAAGAAAAAGGAGGGAAAGAGGAAGGAAGGAAAGACATTCTACTTTCTCTCGTTTCTGTCTAAGTTTATTAAACTAAATAAACGTACAAACTATGTTTAAAGGAGCTGTTTAAAACATGAAACCTTTTAAGATGTTTAGAAATTTTCTTTTTATTTCAGACCTTCAAATATTATCATTATATATATATACTGTATACCATATATTTTATTACATAGAGGATTAAATAAATCAATTAGCTAATGTAAACAATTTTTAAATAAGCTCATAGTTAACTATAAATTATATTATATTTGTATATATATATATATATATATATATATATATATATATTAGTATATGTATAATTTATATAAAGTATATATATATATATATATATGGTAACAATGTATATATATTTTAACAATAAACTCTAATACTACAAAAGATTAATTATAGGTTATTGTTTGTTAAGGGGCTATTGTCTAATAGCTAGTAACTTTGAGTAGAGATATTAGCAATACTTTAAACAGTAGCTGACAAACTATTGATTTTTTTTATTTTTGTATGAAAAAAAAATTCCATAGAATAAATATTAACACGCAGAATGTCAATAAATCGCATATATACACAATATATATTCTATACAGTATAAAGTATATACATATACTGTATATAATAATAATAATAATAATAATAATAGATTGGACCTTTGCCTAACTTTTCTTGAGAATTTTTTCTTTTACTATTTTATTTGTCATCAACTAGAAATAAATATACTGTATACACAATATACAGTATATATATATATATATATATATACATATATATTAGTGCATTATAATTAAAGGGAAACAGTATCATATATAATCTCTTATTATTACTTCATTTATTTGATTTTCTTTTAAAAAGAAATAACCGGATATGTATACATATACATTTGTGTATAATAGAATTTCTTTCTATGTTTTAAGTATATATTATGTATCTAGTTGTATATTTTATGAATAGAAGATATCCTCCTTCTTATTCTCTTCCTTTTTTGAAATTTACTTGAAATATTCAAACATCTTTTAACACATTGTTTAAGCCTATTATTAAGAATTTATTTCTATTATAATGTAAAAATAAAAAAATGTGTGCTATTAAATATAATTATTATAAATACTGTATATTTCAAGTATTATAAAGAAGAAATAATAACAAATATATTAAACTTATAACAGTATGTGCTTAGATAACAAGGGAAATAAAAACTTACTTGCTACGAACGTCGAAAGACAAACTAGATAGTAGAATGTTCTGCATTCTCAAAGCTCTCTAAAAAATCGATCATCTATTTATAATTATTAGTATTCTTATTCATTATTCATGAAAAAATTCGAATGGTTTCTATCTTATTTCTATTATTTTTTTTAACCATTTTTTTTATAGATAAGTAAAGAAAAAGATCCAGTTTTAATTGATTCTAAAGCAAATATTTAAAAGGAATGAGTAGATCATTTTGACCAGTTATGCATATTGGCTTTATTTTCAATTCTTAATATGCTAAGCTAAATATACTTTAAATTTTTTGTCAGCATCCTATAGTTTATTCATTTTGTCTTTATCAATGCAATTGAACTAAGTAAACTAATTTACATAAGAGACGATTAGGCTGTAGATAGCGAAGAGAAGAGAATTGAACTACTTAGTCATAATTTAACAGTAATCAATCTCTTTACTTGTTATTCATTTTTTATTACTTATTAATTTCCTTATATCTAAAAAATAATTTGTAATTTACGAATAAATTTTATGAATATTCATTAAAATCATTTTTATTCTATATTTTCTTTATGAGTTGAAAGAGTTATTGATGATAATCTTGCCTTATTATAACCTAGTGTCAATTTAAAATATTTGAAAAACACCGTAAGGCAGAACTTTTCTTTCTTTTCTTTTTCTTTCTCTTTCTACCTCTCTCTCTTTCTCTCTCTCTATCCCTCTCAAAGTCAGATTAATTATCTTTAAAATAATATCGGAAGAAGGAGTGGTAATTCCTTTTCCCATTTTTCCCCATTATTTCTTAGGTTTAACTTTCCATAAATAAAAACTTTTAATTAAAAGAAACAAATTGATTACTGGTTTTTTTTTTCATCCAGCAATCCCATCCAATTTCTCTCTTCAACTCACCCACTCATTCGCTTGCTCTCTATGTCTCTCTTGCGCACACGCAACCTTTCCCCCTTTCTTTCCTATGCACTGCAACTAACTATCAACAAGCTTTTAGATAATAATTCCAAATTTATTTTTATACGGAAAACTTTTTAAAGATATTCTATTACATCTATAATTTTTTGGCGGAAAACCAATTCTACAAGACAGCTTCTTCATCTGAATGCTAATTACAAATTTGTACATGACTAGAATATAATGTATAAATCAATTAATCATTAATTAATCGATTTTTTAATATTGTTAACCATAATGTGTATTTGATTAAACAAGAGTAAAAACAACAGTAATAAAACATCGTTGAAAAGAGCTTGCTTTATCGAATAGAGAGGAAGAGCCTAGTTGTTCAATTAAGAAATTTTGTAAATATTTTGATTATTTAGAATCAATAGGAGGATGGAGAATTAAAAATGAATAAGTAAGAAAATTATAAAGAGACATCTATCGATTATGTATGACAATTTATTTACAAGAAAAGTCAATGTACACTTAAGTTCTTTCCTATCGTATTTTTGAAATTATTCCTCATTAACTAATAAACTATTCAAATGAAGCTAAATAGAATTTTTCGTAAACATTTATCTATTCAAATCTAATTTATTGAAGATAAAGGGGTAATAAAAAGATCTTTGTAGGTTTATATTAATTCTTTGATAGATATTGTTCAAACAATCATAAACTTTAAACATTCTTTGATGTAAAAATATGAACATATATACTTATTAATAATGAATAGACATACATATCTAAAGAAAATTTTTTTTATATCTCGTGCTATTGAAGTCTCCTCCCTCAGTTGTTAGTCAGTGTACCTCTCTTTTTAATAAAGAAATAAAAAAAAAGGCCTATTATCAATACAGAAGGTTCATATGTCTTTAACCGCCATGTTGAGTATTAAGGCTGAACGTAGACGAATAACATGTTAAGAAGAAGGAGGAAAATTTGAATATGACAATCTACAAATGTATCGTGCTTCAAGAGATAAATTCTTTCTTTCCTTTGGAATATTTGTCGGATATCTAATCGGTGTCTTTATTCTCAATTTGTTTTGTACATTAAATTTCAAGACAAAGACAGTTCCAATTAAGCATGAACCTCTTAAACTGCCAAAACCAAATAGAAAAACTTTATATGTTGGAGTTATGACAGCTGAAAAATTCTTAAATAATAGAGCAACATCTTGTAATTCGACATGGGCGAATCATTCAAAGGTAGGAAGATCATGAAAAGAAAATTCTATAAACCAGTCTATTATAAATATATAAATTTTATACGCACAATTTTTAAATATCTAAAAATTCTCTATTATGAATAGGTGGAAATTGAATTCTATTCTCAGGGAGGCTCAATCAAATCTCATGGATTATCTATTGTAAATCTAAAGGGAGTTAATGATAGCGATTATCCACCGCAAAGGAAAAGTTTTAGGATGCTTCAACACATATGTCGAAAGAAAATTAATGATTTTGATTGGTTTTTAAGAGCAGACGACGACGCCTTTTTTCAAATAGATAAATTGTTATTATTTATAAATTCGTTGGATTCAGAACGTTTGGTTAGAATGTATTTTCTATTGAACGCTTTTGTCGCTATAACAATTGATATTAATAAAACAGATATATTTAGGTCAGCCTGGATTGGGTACTGCAAAAAAAAAAGATAAATTAAATCTCGGCAACAGAGCCTATTGTATGGGTGGTCCCGGTGTCTTTTTTTCTAGGGCTCTACTACGTCAGATATGCCCTTACTTACAACTATGCCTTGAAGAAGTACAATCTGAACACGAGGATGTTGAAGTTGGTAGATGCGTGACAAGAGTTGCTAATGTTGAATGCTCACAAGCGAATGAAATGAGACAATTGTTTTATTTCAACTATTTTGAGAGATCTGGATCGTTTACTGACAATTTAGATAATCATAAAAAGCATATTCTACCTTCCCTTTCGCTCCATCCAATTAAAAATTCAAGCTACATGTATAGAATGCATAATTTTCTTTTAGCGGAGAAAAGTCTACAAATTCGCCATAAAATTCATAAATTGAAGGAAGAACTTAAAGGTAAATTAACATTTAGGTTAACTAGTTTAATATAATTAAAACTATATAGATGATTTAAATGATGAATTGAAAAAGCCATTAATATGGACATCGTTCGACCATAGGACATTAACAACTACTAAACATAAAACACCTAAAAGAGGTGTACCTGTTTCTTGGAATTCAACAACAACAGAAGTATTAAGACAAGTATTTCAAATATTAAATGCAAATTCGTCAAGAAGATTATTCGAAGCTGAACTGATAAAATTAAGAAATAGCTATATAAGAATTCATCATAAAAGAATTGATTATAGACTATTTATTTATTATAAAATATTACAAACTGGTAAATATATTAAAAGTAAGAATTTGGCATTAAACTTTAAAAGAGATTTACATGATTTGGAATTCAAAGAGATTAGTAAAGAAAAACAACTATACAACTTTAATCAAATGATTAAATTATCCTTAAAAAAGTTGAAAGATCGTTTCACGAATATTATTAGTTTTAATAATAAGATTCAATTGATCAATTGCAGGAGAAAGGATAAAACTATAAATATTATACTTCCATTGGCTGGGAGATTTAAAATATTTCAAAGATTTATGACAGATCTATCTAAAAAAGTACTGATTTGTAAAGAAGAGATTTCATTAACTGTTATTTATCCAAAAATGCAATACGATAAAGACAATTCAACAGATAAAGTTGTTCAATTAATTAACGACTATCAAACTGTATTTAATCATCATACTTTACGAGGTGTTTTAATTAATTGATTAAGTATTTAACCTTTATTTAAGTATTTAAATTTCCTTTTGTTTTTTTTTCTTTCAAGTTATTCTTGTAGATAGAACGTTCAATCGTGCTTTTTACCTGCAAACTGGTGCTGATATTATGAGTAAAAATGATTTTATGTGTTTTATGGACGTTGATTTGGTATTTGACGATAGTACTTTATGGCGTTTCTCACAGAATTCTAGGAGAAAAGAACCGTATTTTCCAATATTTTTTGCCGAATATAAGAAAAAGAAACCAACACCGGATAATGGCTATTGGAGAGATTCTAGTTTTGGTATGCTGTGTACATATAAAGAAGATTTTGATAATGTTGGGGGATTCAATCTTAGCATTGTTGATTGGGGAAAGGAAGATATAGATTTATACGATAGATTTGTAAAAGCAAACTATCAAACAATGAGATCTATTGATCCGGAATTGAAGCATATATTTCATCCTATAAAATGTGATATTGCGAATACTGAACAGAGAAATATGTGCTTAAAAGTCAAAGTTGAAACGATAACATCAACTCAACAATTGGCAAAGACAATTCTAACCGAATATGAAATTTATAATAGAATGACTAAAATTCATACTTTATACAATACATCAACTCCAATGACCTAATTAAATTAGATGCTTTATTATCATATTTTTTTCTATTTTGCATACTTTGGGATCTGAAGCTATTAGTTTTGTAAGATAATGTTAAAGCAAATTATAAATGAAATTATCAATGTAAGATGTTAACTAACAATTGATATCCTTAGATAGCCAGTAGTGAATATATTATTGTAATTTCATTTGTAATATTCATTATATATCTACTGTATATTAACAACTTTTATGATACTTTCCAAGATATTTTTATCCTGAATCTCTCTATTTATTCAGTTGGAGAAGATTCCTGAAGACCATTGTAAAATAAAGAAAAGAGGAATTCTCCGTTTTCGGAATACTGTTTTGAATATTAAAGAGACAGATAGATAAATAAATAAGGAGCGAGAGAGAGACAGAGAGAGAAAGAGAGAGAGAGAGAACGAAACGGAGTTAAGGATTATAAAATAAAGAGAGTTTTACGACTTGTAAATATTATCTTAATAATAAACTTAATTGAAAAGAAAAAAGGAGTATGAAGCACTACAAGAGGAAAGTAACGTTTAAATCTACAAAATATTAATTATTTATTAGTACTCCTGTAATTAGATGGTATGGGGTTTCTTTCCTTTGTTTAGCGGATGAGTAGAGAGCCTTGTAGAAAGATTAGAGAAAATATAAAATATGAACAAAAAATCGTAGATTAAGGAAAATACCAGATAATCTGTAAAAATCTCAGATTTTAAACGGGTAAAAGAAAGATGACAGGAAAGATACTCTGATTTCAAATGGAAAGAGAATTCCCTCTAGTAAGGTCAATTGTCATGAGCAAGCGAAACTTGCTCAACGGGGAAGAGTTTCTATCCCTACTATCTATTTATAGTTAAACAGCTGTAGGAGGTGAAAAATGTCGGAATTTCTTCAAAGTCTGATCACGAATGAGGAATTATCATATAGAGGAAAATTTTACTGTAAATCAATTATTATACAAAAAGAAAAATCTAGAACACTGAATAATTTCTCTTGCTAAGAATTTGTACAGCAAAATAGAAAGATAGATGAAAAAGGATATTAAAGATAAAACCATTCGGAAGCAAATAAAATCTAAGACGATAAAACCTAGTAACTGTTAGCTTAGATTGGGGTATAGTTTTGCAAAAGTTGGGGAAATTAAAGATGCAAAATCAATTAAGAAGGAGCAGTCTTTTTATTTACGAGAAAATAATATTTCTTTCTTTTCAAGATCACAAATCAATTAAAACGTTACGAAGTCATTTTTAACTTAATTGATATTAACGAACAGATCATGGATAAAATACTAGAGTGTTCCCCTTTACTAGTTCCACCTTTAAAGGTAAGAAGCAAACGCTTTTAGAGATGCTATTGGCAAAAATATAATTTTATACTTGAAGAAGCCACACACAGAACGAATGATCATTAGACAGGGGAACATCGTCTAATTTTTCGTATGCCATTCCTAAACCTCATATTAGGGGAAAGCCTTAAGCGACAAATCGATCGTTCATCTCCGATAATTTCCACGCTATTTCCGGCGCAACTAGACAAGCCAACTGGTTGCATCGCCATCATGCATATCATAACCTAATGGCGTCTGATTTATCGATGATGGGCAAGTTGTGTAGATATTTAGGGATTAGAATAAATCAAATCATTAAACTTAATATCGTACTTTTTCCATTATGTAAATTATTTGTTATTAATAATAAATTGAAGAATTTGTCCAATTATTAAGTGAACTAATCAATCGTTACTAATTCAATTATGGTTCTTTAAGCAATTAATAATTCAATATTATTTTTAACGTAAATTAATCTGCTTTGAAAAAAAGCCTCAAGTTAAGTTACTATTTTGATTAAACAATGAAAGAATAAATGTTATTACGCATTTATTAACCTTTTTTCTTTTATTTCTACTTTATTGTCTTTTTCCTCTTTAGATTACAAATAAACTAAAAAGAGAATTAACATTTCCAAATGAAATCTTTAAAATATAATTTTCTTCATTTCTCTTCCTCCCTCCTACTCTTTATACCTTCCTCTATCTCTTTACCTTCCTGCCTTTCTCCCCCTTTCTCACTTTGAAATCTTGTTTTTACTCTCTACCTATAAAATTCAAGATGTTCTCGACATTTTCCAAAATACTTCAATTTATTATTATTTACTACTATTCCATCTCGTTCCTTATTCGTATATTATAATTACAATTAATATATATATATATATATATATATATATATATTTATACGCTTATATCTTTATGGCATATTCTTTATCTGATAAGAAAATAAGATGTTATAGAGGATTCGAGAATGGCAGTACGGAAGGTAAATAAAGAGATGGATGGTTGGAGAAAGAGAGGAACGAAAATGGTTGAGGAAGAAAGAGATGATAACTGATATTTATTATCTGTTTAATGCGAAAGAAAAAACTTTAATCAATTTATTTTTGTCTTATTTCACTTTATTTTGTAATTTAGAAAAGTGTTGCTATTTTCTTCAGTTTGTTCTTTTCGTATATATGAAACCACTTCGTGTTGTATTTTGGTGTTGTTTTAGCGTTTCTTTTAATATTTTCTTTGTGTATTAAAAATCTGATTTGGGGAGGATATTTTATATTAAATAATATTAAATCTATTTATCTTTTCTTTTTAACAGGAAATGCTCACTCTCTTTCTTTCTTTCTCTTGATAATCATACCTAAGCGCCATCTATTGTATTTTTTGATATATTTTGCAATCACTTTATCATTTCCCCCCCTCCCCTCCCCCCTTTCTACTCACTCTCCCTCTCTCTGTCTCAAAATACCTGCCCTCTCCCCCTTCCATCACTCTTCCTCTCAATCTAATTAAGGACAGAAGTTTAGACGTTGAAAGACAAAAAAAATTATTGATATATCGACTTTTTGAAATAAATTAATTATAATCGATTGTAAGTTGTTATTTATTAAAATATAGACAGTTCTTTAGAATTGTCTTTTGAAAAACAATAAAATAAATTTGTTAATGTACTCCCATTAGCTAATCTAATAAAATAGCACAAATCACTATGATACAACTAACAGCCATCAAAAATTTGAATACGAAAGCAATTAGCTTGTACGGTCTATTATTATTAAAATAAATATTTAAATTGAAAAAATTGCAGTAGATGGCCACTGCAATTATATATATCACGTATTTTTTTATAAGAATCCGCAAAGAGATAAGAGTGTTATATATGAAGGAGAAAGAAGAAAAAGTATTATAACTTTAGTGCAAGAAGAAGAGAAAAAAGAAGAAGAAAACATAAGAGGAATTGGGAAATTTTCTTCACAAATCCAATTATCTTTGATATATATTTTTCTCTCTTCTTTCTATTTATCTTTTTACTCTGCATAACGTAATATACCAGCATTAAATTTATAGATATGGTGACCCTACAATAAATCTATTTAAAATGATTTAGCATTTAAGAAAAAAATAAGGGGCAGAGACTTTTCAATAGAGTCGTTTAGTTCCTTCTCTGCTTTCTTTCTATGCTTGTATTGACTAAAATATATAAAAGTTTAGGTAAAGTAATTAATGGAGAGAGAGATCAATTAACGAAGAGCCTCTCTTCTTTGGTTTAATTATCAAAGAGAAAGAAAGAAAAAAGTTGTAATCATAAAACGAATATTTCTTTTTTTAATTTTAGAATTAAATGCTTTACGATAAATTTATTGTTACTTTAAATACAATTGTTTTAATCAGGGTCAAGGTTAACGGATGAATATTTAATAATCATACAATAAAACTTAATAATAAAACGGGGGTACTATGGGGAGGAGAGAGAGAGAGAGAGAGACGGGAACAAGAGGGAGTGTTTTTTTGTTTGTTTTGAATAGACACAAAAGAACTACCAGTATTTATCAAGTATAGAAAAACCATTCAATTAAGAATGATTTTCTATTTAATATTGTTTTGATCAATTAAATGTGTTTTTTTAGTTTAATGGATTTAAATAACTCGAAAAGCTCCTGTCGAAAATGTTTGCCCGAAATACAATAAAATATAAAATTTAGACCATGATTCAATGATTTACAGTTGTCGCATAGCACTGAAATCATTATATCTGTCCAAGATCCAATAACCTTTTGAAATACTAATGTAAGGGTTAATTGCGTTGGGAATGTAAAGATAAAGTATGCCATACTTAAAACACATAGAATTATTGCAAGGTTGGTGTTTGTCTTAAAATTTTGCAGTTTAGAACCTTCGCTAAGATTTCCTCGAATCTTTGCGTATCTTCTAAGAAGAACAATAATTGAAGTGTTAAACACAATTAAACATGTCCAAGGTACAATACTTATTATAGCCAAATCAGAATATGAGTAATCTGCCATAATCTTTTGAAATGAAGGCTTTATAAGGCACAGTTTCCATTGAACTGGAGAAATTTGGGCACCATTAATACCTACAGTCGTTGGAACGCTATATATTGCGGAGATCGATAATATTAGTAGAAGGGATATCCAAAATGCTCTATTCGTGTTGAAGGTTTTAATTTTTGTCGGATATGCAATGCATATGAATCTGTCAAATGTAACTGCAACCATTAAGTAAGCTGACCAAAAACCAGCAAGATAGATGAATATGTAACGTGCCTTGCAGAAAACCCTATATAATATAGCATTACTGACTTTATCGTAGTAAAAAGGCAAGATACCATCGATTATAATGCCAATAAGGGCAATGGAATCTGTAATGCTTAATGCAGCTAGGTATTTATACATCATTGTACACCTAAGCTTCTTTCTTATGCAAACGAAAAATACTAAAAGATTTAGGTTCAAGCCCAATATACTAATTGGAAAACCAATTGTTGTATAAGCCCAATTGATAAGCCATAAAACGTTCTCTTCAGGTAAGAAATTAGCAAAAGGATGTAAAATGATAGTTTTATTTGAATGAAATAAAGTTTCGTTATAATCCTCCATTAACAGATTAATTCAATAGTTACCGCTATACTGTGCTAATAGGAAACATTTCTATCCAAAGACGCTTATATATTATTAATTATAGACATTTTGGAGTACTAAGCAGTTCAGTTGGTTAATATATTGTTCTATGTTACAATAGACACCAAATGCCTAGTTCAAAATACACATGTCAAGTAAAAGAAAAATGTTACGCTTGTCAATTAAACAAACTATGATCTTGCCTTTTGATAAGAGCCTAATTAGTACTCAGTGTACAGTCTTTTTAAGTTTTTACATACAATTAGTCATTTCAGAGAAATTCTTTCTACAGTACAGTAGTAAACTTTATCCGTTGTACTCTATATAGGCTTTTATGATGCATATAACTTACTAAAATCAATATTGACCGTTTGGTGGCGCTCTTAACAAAAGAACAGTGCAGACAACAGATCCCTGGACCAAATCGGTTTCTCTTCCTCACCCGGCAACCAAACAAGAATACTTTTTTTACTGAAGTTTAATTAACCTCCTCTTCTATACTTGTATATTATAGCAGAATAAATGAAGATAATTGCATTCGCCAAAGGGATAATTAAGAGATGGAAAATTCTGAATAGGTATAGTATTGAGTATATTTAAGGGCCATAAGTAACGAAACTATTCCTTAATCGATCATTAATTTTAATTATCTAGGTTTATAAGATATCGTTGTTAAATTGTAAAGAGACGCTTTAGAATGATTTGTATTTTATAAAAAAGAAAGCTAGCTAACAGGACGAATGAAAGAGTATTGAAAGCTTTAGAATATTTATACGTAAAATCCAGTAACGTTCTATTTATAGAGATATTTCTTTCATAATAATAATAATAATAATAAGAAAAGGGGTCTATATTTTACCTTTTAAAAAATAGCCAGCTATTTATATACAATTCATTCAATAATTTGCCTATATAATTTAGTCTTTTTGAGGTTTTCCTATCTGCATTAACTTAGAAAGACTTTGAATGGACAACGAAGAGAGAGAGAGAGAGAGAGAGAGCGGGAGGGGACGGGGGCTATTTTAATAACGCTAATGGATTAATACACTTGTTCTTGGGTAAAGACTCTTCCATATACTGTAGTATTAATAAATCACATATACGTTCAATGAATAACAAAGAAAGTATTTCAATAAGTAAAGTTTCTTATATGTTTATACTTTGCTTTATTTTGTCATTTACAGAAATATATGTAAATATGACACTTTTGACAGGTGACTCCAATAATAATCCAGTTATGCTTACTAATAACGCCAATCAAGCACATGACGACGGTGGCTTAATAGTTTTGGACAAGTTGACATCGGTAATAGGAACTAAAAGGAGAAAAATGCACGAATGCGCCTTCTGCTTGTATAGAACGCCGAAAAAAAATGATCTGCAAAGGCATACAATGGCTGTGCATTTTGCAGAGAAATCATTCAAATGCGATACCTGCAATGTGTGTTATACTTAGACAACTCTTAAATAATATTCTTTATTTGATTTTATCTATTTCTTTTTTGTATATTATAGAAAGGTTTCTCTTGGAAGAGAGATTTAAAGCGTCATATATCCGATGTTCACCTTAAACTAAAACCTTTTACTTGTGATAAATGTGGTGTAAGTTGATCAATAATTTAATCCACTTGGTAAAGTAATTAATCTTGCTTTCACTCTTCACCCTAAACAGAAAAGCTTTGCTCAAAAATCCAAGTTAAAGGCTCATATTTCAAGTTTTCACGAAGGGAATCGTCCTTACAAATGTGAAACATGTAATGTAAGAAATTTTCAACTTTAACTTCTTGCCTACTTATTCCCTTCATTCCTTGTAAAGAAAACTATTTAATCAACATAAATATAACCTCCTTTAGAATAGTAGATGGCACTAGTATAATTGCTGATCACAAAGATTTAAGAAAATTTAAATAAATAAAATCTTTGCAGATAGCATTCTCTTTGAAAAAAGATCTAAATCGTCATATTTCTGGAGTTCATATGAACATAAGACCATTCAAGTGTGACGTTTGTCAGGTTTGTATCCAAAGTTCACTTTTAAATATTAATTATAGCGTTACTTTTCTATATACATATAAAAAAAAACAGAAGTCATTCGGTCGAAAGATTCATCTTGAACGCCATACATCCAGTATTCATCTCAATAGAAGACCATTCAAATGCGAACTTTGCGGTGTAAGTTAATTGATTTTCTTTAGTAATCTCCCGTTAACGTTTTAACAAGGTTAACTTTAGGTGAAGAAACACCTTATTTGCAGATAATAAATCTATCTTTGTGTTTTTTTTTAACAGAGATGCTTCGCTCAAAAATATCATTTAAAAAGTCATACATCTCGTGTACATTTAAAGAGTTAATTGCCATAGACTCTTCAACGATAATCAACTTTATCTTCCCTCTCTTCTTAAAATTATAACTAGAATGGAAAAATGTTTCATAGACAAAATCATTAAGATACTTTTGATAAATCTGCAGAACAATAGAAGGATAATACTGATAATGAATTAGTATCATTTTTATTCATTCCTTATTAAAGCAAAATAACATATGTAACATAAAATTCATTTGTTTTGTTCTCTAACGAAAATCGATTTAATGCAGATTGCCTCATTTTTCCTTTTTAATTGAAATAAACAAGCAAATACAGATTTTATTAAGGTTTTTCCTTAATTATTCATAAATTTCTATGATTTATTATTGAATAAATTGTCGTTTTTGTTAAGATAATCTTTGGAAATTTTGTGTTCATAAACAAATAAACAGTATTTTACAATATACAGTATATATATAATCTTGTATTAATAATACTATGTAATTGTTAAAAATTAAGTAAAAATTATATACAGTGTTACAAAAGCGTTAAAAACTCAATGCAATCTGTAAGTTTGCTGGTGTAAATACACTTACCAGATTAATCTGGAACGGGGTATCAGTCATTTTTTTCAATGATGTTGAAAGCAACGAACGGTTCAAGGTCATGGATGGTAAATTTAAGTCGCACAGAATTTTTATATTATTATATCTATTGTTATTCTTATTATTTTAAAGGAAATTATTACAAAAGTAATCAAAAGTAAATTATTTATCAATTTTTTAGAATAAATTAAAGACTGACATTGAAAATTAACATTGGCAATGGAGTTGAAAATTTTTCCATGGAACAACAGCAGATGAATTGTTATTCAGGTTAACGACCTAACAAAAAGGTACTCTCCTGAAATAATAGAGAGGAATATCCTATTTAACTAATATCTTAGTATTCTAACTAAATTTGTAATAATTATATTTACATATTATAATATATTCAGTATAACAATAATTTGTTTTTTATCAACATCGTTATGTCTATCTCATATAACTTGTTACCAACTTTAATAAGCTATTGTAATTAACGAACAGTTTAAAACTTTCAGCATGATTCAACAAAAAATTAGCTATTTAATCAGGGAAGGGTAACACACAAATATCAAACAACTTTGGACACACGGCAACTATGGTTAACGATAAAGGAGAAAAGAGTGTATTTTACTTATCTTCACATTCCCAGTCCGAAAAAATGATGGATAAAGAAAATTTAACTGATGAAAGTGTAAAATTTGAAAAAAATCCTATCCAAGAACCAAAAACTCTTAAAAAAGAGGAATTAAAGATTTGGAAATTCCATCCTATAGTCATATTGATTTCAGCTACTATTATCGAATCTATAAGTTCCTGCATGTTCTCTGCTTATGGTATTCTAATGCTAGCTATTGTTGACGCTACTGGAGAGAGAACTGGCTATATATCTTGGTTTGGGGGTATAGCGGGTTTTTCAATGGGGGTTTCTTCAGTATTAGTTGGAACTCTAATCGAGGTGCTGGGTTGCAGAGTTGTTATTGCTATTGGCGCATTAATATTCGTTGCTGGACATGTCTTTTGCGCTTTTACTAGCAATACACTGATGCTCATAATTGTACTAGGCTTAAGTCAAGGACTAGGAACTTCTTGCTTATATATCACACCTTACGTCATAGTAGCCCAGTGGTTTGATAGAAAGAGATCTGTTGCCTTGTCAGTTGTCTCTTTTGGTATGGGATTCGGTATGTTAGCTTGGAGCCCTATAGCCGCTTTTTTCATAGATATGTACTTCTGGAGAGGTGCACTATTAATTATTGCAGGGATTTTTTTGAATGGTATGGTTTTAGGACTCTTGCTCATTCAACCTCCAAGTACAAAGCCCAAAAAGATGTTGGATGCGAAACAGGGTTTCATTAAATTGTTTGATAGGAGATTGCTGAGAAATAAAGAATTTATTTTCGTAATGTTTGCCTTTTTGTTTGTATTTTTTGGACATAATTCTATATACGCATTCTTACCCAAAAGAACTGCTGATTTTGGAACATCTAGAGTTCAAGCATCCCTTACAATTACTTTTGCTAATATTGTATCGTGTATTTGTAGATTGTTGATAGGTTTTTTGACAGAACTAAAATACTTTGACAAAATGGTCATGTTTATATTATCGATATTTGTGGCCGGTGTATCAACCATAATGACCATATTTGTTGAAAATTTCATAGGGATTTCACTATATGCTGCAGGATTTGGATGTGCTACAGGTATTCTTCTCCAGATACATATATTTTGTCAACTAACTTAATTATTTACCAACCATCCTTCTTTGCAGGAGTTTATATTGCTATGAATATTCCAGTTTTAATAAAATTATGCGGAACGGAATTTGTTTCCCAAACAACCGGATGGAATATGTTTATTGCGGGTCTTGCATTAACAACCGCAAGAACAATAAGTGGTTGGATGTACGACATAACAAATGATTCCTCAGTATGTTTCGTATTGGCTGGATGTACACTAATATTCGGAAGTATTTTGCTATCTATTGTATGGATTAATCGGAGATTTTTTAAAGAGAAGAAAGAACTTATTATATCTTCTACAGTCGTCTCGAAGATAATTTAATGCACTTAAAGTACAATTCTTATTGTCTTTTTCTCTCGTTCAATCTCTTATACTCTAGGGAAAAGATTTCCTTTTATATTTCTTACCCTATTTATCATGTGCATATCAATAACTTTTTCTATCAAAGAAATCTATTTATTTCTCTATTCTGAGTTAAAAGTTTATCTTCCAAGTTGGTGTTTTTTAATAAATTTCAGTTTCCAATTGTTCAATATTCGTTTCTTCTTTTTGAAATTAATTATTCAAATATCATTCGTCGGTGTTAGAAAATTTTTATACCGCATTAAAAAGAGAGATAGAAATTTTAAAGCAATTTATATGTAATACTACAAGGATTTTTATTGATAGTTACTAGATATTTGCATAATTTATGAATACTTCCGCTTGTTGAAGGTTCAATATGAAGGACATTCAGATAAATATATTTGACTGTAGAGAAGCAAAGATATTTTTGAGATGAGTAGTAAAGTTTTTGTTTTAAGTAAGGATAATGGAATGAAAATACCTGAAGACAAATTAATTAGAGTAGATGAAAATGTTAAGAGGTACGCTTATGTAATTCTTGTATTATCGTTTACCTTACAAGCCCTGAGTGGTTGTATGTTTTCGACTTATGGTGTCCTATTGGTTAATATTGCGGACTCAACCGAAGTCAATACTGGTTTTATTTCTTGGTTTGGAGGCATAGCTAGTCTTAGCTTAGGTTTATCATCAGTGTCTACTGGGATTATGATTGATCTTTTCGGTAGTAAAATAACAGTGTTCATTGGAGCTATAATTTTCCTTTTGGGACATGTTGTTTGTGCGTTTGTTAATAATTTGTATGTTGTGATTATTATCCTAGGTCTTAGCCAAGGATACGGAACGTCTGCATTTCAGGTTACTTCTTTCATAATAACAACAAGATGGTTTACTAAGAGAAGATCATTTGCACTATCATTCCTTGCCGGAGGTTTGGGATTGGGTATGCTCTCATGGGGCCCATTAGCTGCCTATCTTGCAGATATATACGGCTGGAGGGGAACTTTACTCTTACTTGGTGCTATATTTTCAAATGGTGCTTTTTTGGCTATGTTATTAAAAGAACCAAGGGAAACGCTTAAAACCAATGCGCTTAGTATAAAACAAACAATCTTGAAGCTCTTCAATAAAGAACTAACTAGAAGTCTTCTGTTTTTTACGTATATTTCAGTTATAGGTTTTGTTCATTTTAGCTACAACGTTCTTATTGCATTATTACCAAGAAAGATTGTTGACATGGGTGGTTCGAATCTATTAGGCGGTTTAATGATAACTATAGTAACCGGATCATCGACAGTTTTAAGATTTATTGTTGGAGTGTGTGCGGACAAACCTTATTTTAATACCCTATTTATATATCTAACATCAGTACTTGTTGCTGGAATATCATCAATTTGTACAATGTTTATACCGAATGTATTTGGTTTTATAGTTTTTGCTGTTATTTTTGGTTCATCATCCGGTAAAATTCAATATTTCTTAATTCCGCTAAAAGGTTATAAGTTTATTAATAATTTATTTTTTTTATTAGGTATATTCATTGCTTTAAATATTCCATTACCCATACAAATATTCGGTGTAAAATGGGTGTCGCATGTTACGTCATGGAATATACTTGTTATTGGACTCTTCTCATCAGTTTCACGAACGTTAAGTGGCCGTATATACGACTTAACAAATAATGCTACTATATGTTTTGTATTTAGTGGATTTGTACAAATTGTTGCTGCTGTCTTAATACTTATAGTAATTATATTAATTAGAAAGAAAAAAAATATGAATAACGTTATTAATGACAGGCCTTTAGAATGATATCAGTATTAAAGAGCAAAATATTATATATTCTTCGATTAATAAATTATACTAAAATTGTACGAAAAACCTGTCACTTGGCCGGATAAAATGTTAATAATTTGTAAATTTTACGTAATTTAAATCAAACAATTAGAATTTGATGGAGTATCTAAATATTAACTTTCAAACATTGGGTAATTTATATTATTTAAAGATTAAATTATGTTAACAAGTAGGTATCTTGATAAAAAAGGAAATTGATATAAAAAGATTAATCATTTAAGACTCTGTAGTCGAACTGAAAAAATTGATTACAATTAGAAATTTAAAGAGTACTTTGGATTATTTTTTTTTAGAGATAAGGAGATAGAATAATAAAAAAAGTTAAATTAAAAAACTGGTGGAAAAGGTGGAAAAGAGGATAAAAATTATGGAAAATGGTAAATCTGAAGAGTGCAATGTTGAAATAATTTCAACAAATATTAAAGTAAATGGCGAAAGTGATAAAGTATTTAAAGCTACTGAATTGAATGCTGCTAAAATTTGTTGTGAACGAAAGGAAACTGCTAAATTAAATGGACTAAGAAGTAGTAAATATCGATATGTTATACTTATTAGTTCAACTTTAATACAAGGACTTAGTGCGTGTCTTTTTTCTTGCTATGGAATATTATTAATGGCTATTGTTGAAGCTACTGGACAATCGAATGCCCTCGTATCATGGTTTGGTGGTTTATGGTCACTATTACTTGGATTTTCTTCACTCTTTATAGGACCTCTTGCCGTTTATTATGGAAGTCGGAAAGTTGTTATGTTTGGTTCTTTAGTCTCTGCTGCTGGATTTGTAATGAGCGCCTTTGCCCCCAATATGCTAATAGTAGTAATTGGAATGGGAGCTTTTCAAGGAATTGGGACGAGTTGCTATCAGATAGCACCGTTTCTTATCACTTCTAAGTGGTTTGTAGAAAGGCGAGGGGGAGCTTTATCATTTCTTTCCTTTGGAGTTGGAATAGGAATGTTACTTTGGAGTCCTCTTATCGCACTTCTTATCGAAGCCTATACGTGGAGGGGTGCTCTTCTCCTGATGGGAGCTATCTATCTCAACGGTTTAGTATTAGGTTTGCTCCTAATCGAACCGACTAATGACAAAGAGACAGCTCCGTTGTCTTTAATAAAAGCCATAGGTAGAAATCTTGATAAAAAACTTGTACGGACAAAAAATTTCTTTATTTATTTGTCCGGTACGAGCTTGCTCTATTTCGGGCATATGATGGTTTTGGCATATTTACCCAGGAAGATCGTTGAAATTGGCAGAAGTCGTGTGGAAGGTTCATTAATGGTGACTGTCACTAGCGCTGTTTCGTGTTTAATAAGATTGGTTATAGGAGCAATTGCGCACAAAAAATATTTCAAACAGGGCATAATATACTCACTAAGTTCAATTATGGCTGGCATTGGTTCTTTTCTTACCTTAAGCTCAGACTCCCTTGGCTTTTACTATGCATATTCAGCGATATTCGGATTGACCTCAGGATGTTACGTTGCCCTAACGGTACCCACCGCAGTTGAAGTATTTGAAGTAAAGTACTTGGCTAATATAACTGCTTGGTCACTATTGCTTGCTGGAGTATTTATGATGGGTTCAACGACAATTGGTGGTTGGTTATACGATTTAACAGGAAATGCAACGTATAATTTCTTACTTGGCGGAGTAGCTATGTTCATAGCTGGCTTATTCATCGTGCTGTTAATGTCAAATCTAAAGAAAAAAAAGAAAGAGAGAAGAGCTTCAATTACTCTGACAACAAAATGAAATCTCCTCTTAGAGCAATCGATAACATTTTTCATAAGCAATAGTTTAGAATAAAATACTGCAAACTTAAAAAAAGATGAGAAATATAATGAGATGATATAAAAATATTTAAAATTAACTCTCTAATGAGTAAAGAAGCTAATTGTAAGAATTTTGTACAAGAAAGCAAGAAAAAGAATTATTTTTTTCTTTTACTTTTGTCTTCCTTTTTTTGTCTTCTTTGAATAAAAAATTCTGCTCTGTCAATAATGGCAAACACGTAGATATATATGAATTTACTTAGATCTTAGAGTATTGTATTGTATCAATACTTTTTAGTTCCCATATATTACATATAAAAGAGAAAGACTTATCTTATTAAATCAGATAATCATGTATAATTTATGAGTCATCATTCTCACCTCATGATTAATTCAACATCTTTTTCATTATTATGTATTCAGTATGTATGTAGTATATACACATTTAATTATATGAATATGTATAACTATAAAATTTTTATATATGTATGAGATGGTTGCTTTTTCTACCACTGATAACTTACTTAGAAAAGGCTAGTATATTATAAAAACATGAGTAACAACATCACTCTTAAGAGTAAGTATAATTTAAAAAACTTTATATTTTATGGAAAATATGAAGAGTATCCTTGGAAAAAATATGGAGTCATTAGTTTGATATTTTTTGAAATTGGACTTATTCTTCTTTTCAATATGATATTGTTACTATTTATTAAAAAATCAGTGGAGTTACGGGAGCATATCTACTATTTATTAGCAAATTTAAGCTTTTGTGATATTCTTATATCTATTAGTGGTATTTGCTTTCCAGCATCTGTTTTTGAAAAATTACATCCAAAGATTTGTTTGCCATGTGCTTGCGTACAAACTTTATCTGTTTCAGAGTCAATAATTACTTTTAACGTAATAGCAATCTATTTCTTTATTCATATAAAATATCCCTTGAAATTCAATCAAATTGTTACAAGTAAATTTATCTTATTCTTTATGATCGGATCTTGGAGTATCTGTATTATTTTAGTTGGGGCATTTTCTATACAATTTAGAAATTATATGGAGCTATCAACTATATGTCTAGGATCTACCGGCTATGTACCTCACTCAATTTTTAAAGTCTTTAGCCTAGTGCTTATTCTGTCTATGTATGTGATAAATGTTATGATATTTAGCTACATTATATATATTGTTAATAAACAAAGAAGATCTATAAGGGCGCATACGGACAATGAAAAATTGAATAAGAATTATTTTGAATTATTCAAAGTTTTATTAAAAATGTTTGGTTCATCTTTACTACTACCTCTACCCTATTTTATATTCACTAATAGGAACAGCGAAAAGGATCATATAGAAACTTGGGAGTACTTTTACTTCGACATTTGTGCATGTCTATTGTTGCTTAATTCCGTTTTAAATCCCGTGTTTTTCTTCTCAAGACATGGTGGATTTAAAGTTGTATTTAAAAAAGTACTTGTTAATTAACGCACGATAATTATTTCTATTACGTTTTCTCTCTCTTTCTCTCCTTTTCTCTCTCTATCTCATTATCAATTTCTTTATTTGCATTGCTAATATAAATCGGTGTAGCAAAACAAGCTTATAGTATGTAGTTTCGCAACTTTCCTTACAGATATATTTCTTATTATGCATTTTCAGTTAATATATGAATATAGGCCTTTCCTCCTCCCATATAGAAATATGGGTAAACAATTTGGTACCCAGTTATTGTTTCTCACAGAAACAACTTTCTTCTTAAAGTATTGAATAACTCTTCTATTTAGAGTCTACTTTTGGAAGAGATCCTATCTATCTTATCTATCATTCTTTCTTTTTTTCTTATACATCCTCTTTAAAATCGAATGGTAGGGAAAGAAAAAAAATTTAGACAAGGGATCAATGAATTCTTTATTCCTAAATAATTAAATAATAATCTAAAGTAATTGAAATTATAAAGAGAAAGAGAAAGAAACTTGAACAAAATTACATTTGACATAGAAAGAGTAGAGTAATTATTTTGTTAATTCATTCATCATATACAATTTCATGAATATTTATTATTTAATTATTTTTAGGCGTCAGCTTTAATTACTAAATTAATACTTTATTAAATTTTTCATAATTCAAAATTAGCATGTAAAAGACAGTTATACTTTAGTTTATTCTTACAACTATAGAGATAGTAAAACGTTTCTCTCTAAACTCAACCTTTGCAGAGTGAATTAGAATAAAAACAACAATAGTTTGATAATGGTATATGAATATTTTATGCGAAATATAAATATATGTATCTTACATAACCTTGTGAAAAGTATAACTTTTGTAAATCACATGTACTGTATGTATAACAAACAAATGCACTATAAACTTATCAACGCCATCTTGTGTTTATTCGGGTTATGATTTTATAAGGAACTTTATTCATCTATAAACTAATTCTTTCAAGCTTTATTAGGCAATCAAACACCAATAAAATGTAATATTAAATGTAGAATGTTGTATTTGTAAGGAAAACAAGTTACACTATTGAGAGATGACTTATTAATGAGGAATTTTGTGAAGAGATTGCATGATTGATGAATTTTTGGCGATTGGAAAAAAGGACAAGATTTATTTATTGTAGAAAAAGGCGAAGGCTAATCATAATAAATATGAATAAATTATATGAAATATCACATTTATATTGGAAAAGTTGCCGGAAATTATCAAAATTAATAAAGATAACCGGCGTCAAAAGTCTAAAAAGGTAACTAAATGTTTAAAAATATTGTATTATTTATAGTATTTAAGTGTACCAAAACTTTAACAGATGTATTTAAAGCAGTACATTTGCACGAAAGAAATATTTTTGACTATATGGAAGTTCTCATCAATTTAAAAATCGATCTCAAGAAGGAATTAAACTGTAATTTAAACTATGCGAGAAATTGAGTTGAATGATTAAATTCTTTCTCAGTTTGTGTTTATATCGATATCCCATAGAAATAAACTGAAAGGACGAAAGTAATTTATAAGGTGGAGTCTAATTATAAACAAATGAGTTGTCTTATAAATAGAAAAAACTGACAATTCTATTACGGCTTATCAGAAACTGTTAAATAATTAATATGGAAAGGTTAACGGACAGCTAATTTATTATTAGCATTATTCAATTCTAAATATAGATTTTTAGGTTTTTCAGTATATATTGTATATAAAAGTTTATCAAAGAATATTATAATACTTTCTCTATAGAGTAATATATAAATTTTAAATACACTACCATCTGTCTCTAACAATTTTTACATCATCAATACCAAATACCTACCTATTATATTCTGTAACGAACTTGTAGATAAAGAGAGAAATTGTACAAGTTACAAGTTTGTAACTGTTTACCTTTGCCGCAGGTGGTAATACACCCTTTGATTAGACCTTTATTTTATATCTGAAATAATCAATGAAAGATACACACGAACGTTTAGTATTATTGTCTGTTTTATGTTTTTTTTTGGCTTCTTCTAAAGATAATCATTTCTTATTTTCTTTTCTTGATTATCGCAGAAGTTTTATAGGAAAGTTAATCAATAAATACCAAGAAGTTACGAGTCTATTGAGCATTATTTAATATTCATTATATAAGAAATATACTATATATATATTTATACATAGTCTATAAACACTCTATCGTACAGTCTATATAGAATTAATAAGCCATTAAAGCGATTTCTTAAAGATAATGATAATTGGAGACTAAGAAAGATAGACTAAGAAAGATATTAGTAAATAACAAAAATTGCCTAAAATACTATATTAATTAACTAGATGAATATTGAAAATAGAAGTTAATTGTAGTTAGAACTTACTTCTTTCAGATTTTCTTATTGTTTTATCTATATTTTTTGGCTATTTTGGATATTTTGTTTCTCATTTATTTTGTACTTGTTTTTTGGTTATCAACATCAAGAAAATTCCAGTCAATATACGAATTTAATGGCGTAATAAGCGTTTTCATAAATAATTGAACAGCATAAAATAAAGGAACTAAGAAAAATCGTCTCTTTCATGTCTCCTTTTTTGTCCATTTCGATAAAGCATAAATTCTTTTCTATCTCTTCTTCTTTACCGAACCCATAGAGAATTGTCTTGTTAACATTGAACCACCTGATTTATTAGAACCGGTTGAATCGTGAGTTGGGGAAGGGGGTCTTGCCCAGGCGGGAGGAGAGAATGGAGGCGGTGGAGCATTTTGATCCTTTTTGTCTCTTCTAATACTTCTTTGAGACATATTTCTTTTCTTTACTCCTGTTTGGACATTTGATCCTGGTGAGTCGAAACAAACGCTCAGCAACTTTCCCATTCTGTCGAATGACGCCTATAGGCGTTCACTAAATTATTGAAGAGGACGAACGTCGCTTATTGGTTGAATCGGCCCTGTAGTGGGGCTATTAAATGATTAAAGAGTTTTGAGGTGGTCGATTTTTCACATGATCTAGATTTATCTTTGATGTTGATCAAGGGCATGAAAATTCTTGTTATCTAACTGTTTTGCTTGGATTATTTCATAAAAAAATACAGGTAAACAGAAGAAAGAAAAGAAACTGATTAGTTTGTCATTTATTCCGTATCGAATAATATTATTCGATTTGTATTTACTTATTCATATAACAAATGAACATTTCAAACTCTATATGACTGTTATGAATTGCCTTTTTACTCATCATAGAAAATAGAGATTTTATAAATAGGTTGTTTATATAACTTACCAGTTTTTTGACAAAAACACAAATTATGACAAAAGTACGGTATTATTAATTTTAAATATTAGAAGTTAGTAGTAATAATAATTAATAGAACTAATCAACTTTTATACTCTTAATATATAAAAAGAGACAAAGGTAATAAAGGAAAAAACTTACGAAAAAAACTTAAATACGCCTAGTCTTCAATAAAATTATTTAATTTCTATTTTTTATTGTTTTTTTAAAAAAAAAATTCATAAATCAAACAAATAAACTTATGTTTAATAATTTTAATGTAAGTAAGTAACTTTTAAAAACTGATATTGCCTTGTAAATAATTTAATAACTTTGTCTAAAAGAGAACAAAGTATGTAAGTATTAACATTTGAATTTGAGCAGATAAGTACATTCTCTTCGGACTTCTTTGACATCGCTCCTTACGAAATGAATTTAGCGAAGAGGAGAGTTTTTTTTCTATTGCTATTACAAGGAAATAAATACTTAAAAATAGTTCTCATATATAATTCATTATATTTGAAATAAATAGAATACACGGAATAAGCTTCTTGACCTCACCACTCCCCTCCTTCCCCAATCATGATATAATTTTGATATATAGTATATATATATATACATATATGTGTCATACGTTCTTAACGCTCCTCTGTCCTATATTTCGGCTAGCTATATAATCGTATTCAGCGCATAAATCATTCGATTTAAGCCTATGTAAATCACGTGATTCGGCCTAAACAATATTCGTCAAACGAAGCGAACTTTGTTATTCGCGATAACATACAGTCTTCAAAAAGGCAGAATTTTGTTTAGTTTGAACTTTGTAACTTAGAATTGGTGCGAATTCGTATCAGAACCTTAATTTGTATGGGATGAGCGGTAATAATTTATTAAATATAACGTTTAAACGTTAACAATTTAATAAGATCATTTATGTATTTAATTAAATGTCTTCTTTCGTTTTTTTTGTGTTATTATTATCTTTTCTATCTCTATATAATTTTCTATATATTGCGTATTTTTTTCTCTTTCTCCTTTCTAGTATTATTTCTAGAGAAATGTATATAAATAATAGATTATTGTATGACATATCTTCTGTTATATATCGTGAATTTTACACATGAATGTCTATGTTAAATCTACATATTTAATAATAAGATATACTGTAGATATATCTATATATACGTTACCAAACTCATTCTATCTGCTATTGTTTTTCTCTCAACATTATAGACAACGAAAATCAACCTTGTCAAATATGTGTCGACGTCGGTTCTGGTTATCACTATGGTGTATGGAGTTGTGAAGGATGTAAGGCGTTTTTTAAACGTTCAATGCAGGGTACGTAATAGATTTATGATTATTAATAAAAACATCATCAATATATATATATGATTCCTTTTCACTTTGGCGTTAACGAATAATATTCGAAGTCAATGTAAATGAATCGTATAAAAGGAATATATATATATTTATATATTAACCTCTCATAAATTGCTCTGTAATTAATACTTTAAAATCCTTTTATTAATCATCTAATTGGCAAAAAAACAATATATCTATATATATTCCATATTTTCTACTCTATTTACCATTTTTCTTTGGAAAGAAAAGTAATCATGATGTTTATACAATCTACACATGTGTTCTTCTATTTATCATATTATTTTATAGAAAAAAAGAAAAGCATAAAAAATAACCAAAAATTATCATTACTAAGATAGCAATGTAAATATTCTTAATTTATACATGTGTTTATAAACAAATTTTAATACTTTAATCGAAATTATATAACCAAATATAATTCAATATTAATTTTCGTATTTAATTACGAAAATAATTATACATTTATAAAAATATTTTTTTTTATAAAATATTTTTGTTCCTTTTAAAGGAAAAATATTTAGTTTTGCTCAAAAGACCATAAATACTCAATTAGTTAGTTCTACATAAAAAAAATTCCTAAGAGTATTATTCAAATTTGACCTAATTTCATAGATATAGATGTGTACATATACTAAATATTATACCTATAATATTGAAGACTAAGCTTTTTTATTACAAATTAGCCTATGAAAACCTCCTTAATTATTCGTAATTAGTTTAAAAAAAGGAAAGAATATCAACCTAACAAGTTATATAGGACCAATTGATAATAATTTTGATATTTTAATATAATACTCTATATAAAGAATTGATTGATTTAGACAGTACTTAGATGGTTAAATCTCTTTAGTAATTTCCTATCTAAAGTAGAAAATATAATTGTTTAGTTATTCTAATCCTATTTCCTCTTATTAGCAAGACAAAAAATAGAGAAACCTGTTAAATCTCAACAAATAACGAAAAAAAAGTTTCTAATATAGGCCAAATTTCATTGACGTAGAGCTATAGTAATCACGTGAGTGATTTTTTTTGTCTGGCAAAAAAAAAAGAAATCCATGTAGGACACATTGATCAAGTTTGTTAAGAAAGTTGAGAAATTCTGTACAGTATAAGTGTTTCGAGAGTAGCGAACAGAAAGAGATAAAATCTCTAATACAAAGCGTGTTTTAAATTAAAGAAATAATGAAACTCCGTTAGATATAGGCAATCTACAATATGAATACATGTGCAAAAGCTTTTGTCGCTCCATCCTCTTATCTTCTATCAGAACGATAAGATATTTCAAGAACTCCCTATCTCTTAAGGAGATATTTTTTCTGAATCGGAAACTTTTTTTTTTGTTTTTTAGATATCTTATTTAATTGGTTTTTTCTTATATAGGATCTCACGATTATGTTTGCCCTGCGACAAACAATTGCACCATTGATAGGAATAGACGAAAGAGCTGTCAAGCTTGTCGATTTAGTAAATGCGTTGTTCTCGGTATGGCCGATCATTATACAAAGAAAGAAAGGAGGAGGAGGAGAAAGAAACGTAAACCAAATGAAGAAGAACCGACCGTTAGTAAAGTTAAAAAAGAAGAAGCCGACACACCTTTAAACAGCGTTAAAACTATTCTAGCAAGGGATGAAGAAGGTATTTATTCAGAACAGTGAAGATATCTGTTTTTCCCTTTATTTTGAATTCTAATCAAATAATTAGAAAATTTTGCCTATAAAAAATATTTACAAAGAAAGAAAGAAAGCATACCCCCCCTATTCCATTGAGTGACATTTTTATTGACGGAATTATTAAAGTTCTTAAATGTTATAGCTATTCTAAGAAAGGTTTCAAGGGCTTTCTTTTTTTAAAATAGTTCTACAAATGTTCAATAAAGCAAAACAGATCTAACCGCAAAAGAATTTCAGTTGTAGTAAAGAAGGACAAAGGGAGAGAACAAAGGAGAGATTTACGAAGCTAAAATTTCCTAGTATAATTCAATTTTTATTTAGGTTATGATACTAAAGTCGTAGGTTTTATTAACATAAATTATTTTATCTAATGGATTTTTACTACTACTTTGGCAAATATCTTGGGCGTTAATTAATCATAGCCCCTTTCCTCTTAAAAAAAAAAAAGAAAATAGAATTCGAAAAGGTTGCAATAAAGAGGAAAGATCGGTAAGGGAAAATAGGTAAATGTCACCTTTGTACACTGACGACAGATGTAAAAAAAGTAATGCGTGCTTTTTATAGTCGACCTTGATTATTTAATGATAAGATAATAATAAAAAAAAAAACGAAAGAGAGAAGGAAAAAACTAATATTTATGAAATTTGCGTTTCCTTATAGTAAAGAATGAGTTTATTATTCTTCTTTTCTCTTTTATTATTATTATTATCATTATAATCAAACATTAACGAATTAAGTAGCTTTATTTTGAACGAAACGTATCTTGTTCAAGGTTTTTCTTTTTTTTTCTCCTTTTTTGGGAATTAGCTTTCCTTTTGATGTTAACCTCTGGACGAATAGAGAAATAATTAATAAATAATTAGATTATAGAGAGTTTACTGGATGAAAAACTTTGTAACTAGTTTTATTATTATTGTTATTATTATTATTATTAGAATAATGTATAGTAAAAGTTGTAGTATTAACGATATAGTCAATATAATATATCGTTTGTTTATGTTTGTTAATTCAAATATGTATAGTTTATATTATTAAATATTTAAGTAGTATTTTTTAAGGGAGTTGAATGATTAATAAAATTTATTAACAAATGCTTTTTTTAATGTTTTACAGCTGCTAATTTCCTGGACATGCTAATTTCTATCGAACCACCTGCAAGGATGACTGAACACGATTATTCGCAGCCAACGACTGATACAGGACTAATTGCTTCTATGATTCGATTAGCGGATAAACAATTGATGGATACAATTCAATGGGCCAAAAGAATACCAGGTTATAGAAAATTGGCATTAAATGATCAGATAAAGTTACTAGATTCAGCTTGGTTAGATATACTCATCTGCGGTGTTGCTTTCAAGTCAATGGGTGTTAGCAAAAATATATTAATAATGGCGGATGATTTCCATTGGTCAAGACCTCAGGCTGATATATCAGGTGCAGGAATAGCACACGAACACATGAGAAGACTCTCAAGGAGGTATAAGACTTAACCTTTTCAATATTTGTCATGTTTTTAATTAATTAGTTTCAATTCGAAAGGTTTGCCGATGTGGGCATTACAAAGGAGGAGAATGTTCTTTTGAGGACGATGTTTTTGTTAAATGCTGATGCCGAAGGCTTAGAATGTGCCGAACAAGTCAGAGAAATGCACAATCTTATAATTGAAGCTCTAAAAGTAGCTACAAGACGGTCGGAGAGAACAAGAGAACATCAGGATGATAAATACAGAAACTATATTGAGAATAGGGTTTCTCATATTTTACTCTTACTGCCACACGTCAAAAATTGCGCCAACAATTGTATGGCTCATCTTTTTGACGCTAAATACGAAGGGAAAATGCCAACTTGTGAACTCATTGAGGACATACTTCATATCCGTCTTAGACCAACAGCTACGGCCACAGCTCAGGACCAAAGTGGTCTTGCAGGAATAGCAGCTGTTCAAGGATTTGTTGGGCGAGGATATCCAGGTTTACCATTAATGACGTCGACAGCTAGCGTTCAAGCGGCATCATTGGATCTCCTAAACTCGGCTAATATATCAGCGGGTGATATTATGAATGCAAATATAAGTGCAGTTATAACTCGACAGATGGCGCCCGAGAATATAGCTCAAGCGCAACAGAGTTTTGGCTGGCCTAATTGTTAAATTTAATCATTAATTAATAATAATAATAATAAAAAGGGAAAATACTAACAAAAAAAAAGTAAAAAAGCAAAACCTCAAAACTAGCAAAACAGAAATTATGAAAATTGAATGGGCTACGTTAGAAAAATTGAAAAGAAACGATCAATTTTTCACTTTTTGTTTCCTTTAAGTCAACTATGGTTTGTTGTTCCTCTCTTTTTGGTTTCTTTGACTTATGGTGCTGTTAAAGAGTAGAAGGACTTTTACACAATTTTCAAATTGTCTGGTTAACATACGCCTTTTCCTAAGAACTTTTTATGAATTATTTTTATTTATTTATTGGACAAACGATGAAAACCAGACGAAAATATTTTTGCATGAGAAGATTATTAAGAAATTTTCTATTTTTTTCACATATATATATATATATATAGATATAGATATATATTTAATTGTTTGAATTTATTTCTCTCTCTCTCTCTCTCTCTCTCTCTCTCTCTCTGTCCGCTGTCTTTCCCTTTGCACTCCTATCTATATTTTCTATTTACCACTCCTCCTCTACTGTTGGAAGGTAATGTTTACAGCTAAGAAAAAGAGATATTTGTAAGTTAAATGTGTAACTCTAATTTCGGCTATTTGAGTCATGGAATTAATTTATTGTATCAGTATAATGTTACATCTACAAGTATATAAATATACTTATGTTTATATTCTATATAGTTGCTTAAAAACGATATATACAATAATAGATATATCTGTTTTTAAATAGACAATCATTCAATTATTTATTAAAGGTATTACTATATATTTAATTCAAGATGAAAGAAAAAAAGCATAAACCTATAATCAACCTTAAATAGTTAATTATGTTCGTTTAAAAAAATTCTTATTGAATGATAAAGGAAAACAGAATTTTTGTTATTTTATACACATATATATATAACAAATTAAATAAACCCAACTAATTCAGTATTTTCATTACTTTTTAGTAAGCAACTACGCATATTGTACATATATAAACTAGTATGCTAGCTTTTAAGACCGTATTATATGCAGTACTTAAATTTAAAAATCAGGTGATTTTATTTTTTTCTCATTATCTTCGATGATCATACGATGCAAAAATTTTTAGAGTAAATATTAGCTTATGAATATTCAAAATTGTACAGGCCAGTTTTTTTCTTATATTATTCATGGAAAGAAATTAGCGCAATATGAAATGATAAATAAAATTAATAGAATGACATATATTACATATGTAAAATTGGGAATAAACACTATTTAATCCTTTCTATTTATATAAATCAACTACGTAAATTTATCAAAACTATTTAAAAAAAATCTCTCTTTGACATTCATAGAATTCCATTATAAATAAAATAAAAACAACAAAGTACTATCTAGATTAACAATATTCAAGATCTTTCAATGTCCTTTTCTATATAAATAGAATTGAACTATTTTCATTTCTACTGTCAAACTTTAAATGGGAAAATAAAGATGTAATTGCGGAGAAATTGATTACTATTTCAATAGTTAGTGTTGTCTGGAGATTGTTAGTTCGTTAACCTTTCACTGAAATTATTCTTTAAGATATATCAACTTGACCTAATATACTGTACTACAGTTTCTACTTTTGAAGGTTAATAAGCTGCTAGTCTAGCGCCACCTATTAATACATAAGAATAGTTTGATAATGATAAAGAGTAATTTTTCCTGGATTTATTGATAGCATATCTAAAAGTAAAGCCGATAGTGTAACCTGGTTTAAAAATAGTTAATAGTTAATATTAGTGGAAAAATGAAATAGAACAAACAGATAATTACCATCATTCACTAACATTGTATATTTATAATAAAGTGTTACCTTCATCCTTTCATCATCTAAAATTAAAGTTATTTCCAACCTATTTACTATGGAAGAAGTATAAGATAATGCAGTTGTTTCTGCTATTTATTCAAATACAATTAATGGAAAGAAAGATAGAGCAAGTAATAAATGTGCATGTTTCTGAAAGAGAAAGCATAAAAGATAATTTCTTCTTTTCTTTTCCAGGTATTATTCCTCTATAAAATATAAATTAATTAATAAATAAACTAAAAAGTCATATTGTTTTTACCGTTATTTCTTTTGATTATATATTGATAACTGATATGCTGTTGTATTGTTTTCTTTTTTTTATAACTGTACAAACTCCATTAGCCGAATTCTTTATCACTTGGATATCGGTTACAAAACTTTGAAATGGATTATTGTACAAAGTTTAATGTATATTATAAAAAATAAAAGATATTAACCTAGCTTCTTCATTAATTAAGGTTTTATTTCTTTTTTTTTATTGAAATCTTATCTTCTATGTTTTCGTTCAATTATATTCAAATTGGAAATACTTATGCCATTATCTTATTATCTAATAGAAAACTCCCCTGTCTCCTAGACCTTGGATCTTGTTAATAAAAATTTATGGACTTTTCAATATTTACTAGAAATATTTTCAAGGATAAAAAGACGCGGAAATGTTGTTTGTTTATAATTTTGAAATGAGATGAAAGATTTGATAAAACAAAGAAAGAAAGCAGTTCGGGAATAAAAATTGAATCCTTTTCTTTCAAATCTTCAATTTACTTGATTCATTGATTGTACAGTAATTCCATAGAACTATATTGAAAGTTCTCTCTCTCTCTCTGTATAACATACATTACTTTGATGATCATCTTCTCCCTAGGATAACGATATTCTATATTAAATGCTGCTTATATTCTTTCTTTACCTAATCATGAAATTATGATATTTTAAACTTAATCGATGCTAAAATGTTTATTTGCTAATAAAAAAACCCAGTTAAATAGTTAAATATTCATATTGAAGTTATAACACTTAACATCTCTTTATTATTAATAAGCTTTTCCTATCCAAACAAAACTTCATACCTTGTAAAAAGCTGCATATTTTCCACTGACAGATATATAGGACACTGCAAATTCATCCTTTTTTTTATAAGATGACACGGATTGAACACAGTCTGCAATATACAACTTTTTTCTCGTTGTTTCTTTTAATATCTCTTGATGTTGCATATTGTGCAACTTCAGAACATAGATTGCTCCAGAAAGTCAAGAATGTGTATGGCGAGAATACTCTTCATGTAAGGCCTGTTTCGAAACCAACAAGTCCGTTAAATATTGATTTTATGTTGAGTATTGTTCAAATTCTCGATATAAACGTAAAAGATCAATATATAAGTATTCTTCTGTGGAAAAAATTGGAATGGCAAGATGACGTTCACCAATGGATACCAAAAGAACATGAAAATATAACTGTATTAGAGATAAAACCAGAAGTTTTATGGACTCCCGATATATATTTATACAACAAGTAAGATTTTTAAGTTGTTCTTTTTATGAAAGATTGTCTTATTAGTTTATATCAAAATAATTTCAAAAGTGTTCACAACGATCTGAACGACCAAGAAAAGCCAAAATCTAATTTGAAACTTTATCACAATGGAAAAACTATTTGGTCGCCTCCTATTGTTTATCGAGCCAGTTGCTCGATTTCAATGAAACATTTTCCTTTTGATAGTCAAAAATGCTCTTTAAAGTTTGGTTCTTGGACGTATGATTTAAGAAAGATCAATTTAACGATAGGAAACAATGGAAGTGTTGACATGTCAACATATATACAGAATAATGAATTTGATTTGATTAAGACAAAATTAATTCGAAACGAAAAGGTCTATTCTGTAGATGTTGGTACATACGTTGACGTTGTATGCGATATATATGTGAAAAGAAGAAGCGGTTTCTATATTCAGGTTAAATATTTCTATTTTAATACAAGATAACAGTTTTCTTTTTATTTTCTTTTAACAGTATATCGTAATCCCTCTCATTCTCTTATCAATCAACTCGCCATTGATTTTCTTAATCCCAGAATCTAACGAAAGAATAACATCCGCCATCAGTCTATTTGTGGCTGATCTTTTCTTCTTTCTAATTATCATTCAGCTATTGCCACCAAATGATGACATTAAAATAAACTATTATTGTTGGAGTAAGTTATTAATGGACGGATGTATTGTATCTCTCTGTATTATTGTATTGTATCTGATTAATAGAAAATATCCAGCAGGGGTAAGATTCAATAGCACGTATAATCGTCCATAACACAAAATATATAATTAATCTTTAAATAGGACTATGAAAAAGCAACCGTTACTAAAAAAGCGAAGGAAAAAGTGATGAAGGTCTGCGACATTTTATGCTTACTCATCTCCTTGATTGGTTTTATTTTAAATGTGATATGTAATATGCCGTATCCTTCATAAAAGTTTTCAAGACAAACAGAAAAAACAATAATGAAAACACTTACCTAAAAATGAAATGTAAGAATGTACTTTGTCCCTAAAGAAATATAGCTTTTTATATAATCAGACAATTTTAAAAGAATATCAAAAACAAGACGACTAAATAAAAAAAGAAGTAAAAAACAAAATATAAATGTTGTACAATATGTGAAAGCGGTAAGCGCTTAAGCGTTTATTAAATTCAACATAATAAAATCTCAACTTGAACGAATCTTAATAAACTTTTTTATCAATATTTTATAAACTTCAACATTTACACTTAAACTCTTTAAAATATACATCACTTTCTTACATATATGCTTCTTATCTGAAAGAAATAATGACTACTTAATTAATCAAATGAAAGAATGAAAACAGTAACTATATCCATTAATTGTTTCCAAAGAAACAAGATTCAGGTATATTCTTTAAATTTCTAGAGGAGTGTCTGGAAATTCTCTAACAAACACTCACACTTTTCACCTTGATATGATTGCCTTCAAAGAAACAATGACATTGCAGTTGTCATTCAGTTGACCGAAAATATTTGAAAGATATTGTTAATGAAAGTTAAAGACGAAATGTTGAAGACAAATGACTAAAAGAAAGGAAATATTCAAACATTTCAAAATAGGTTATGCATTTTTCTTGTTTATACTGAGAATAATCCATAACGGTCTTATTGAACGGGCGCTATGGAATTGCTAGCGTATAAATCAATATTATTAGGCATTAGTAGTCAACTAGCATGGATCATGTAAAAAAGAAATTATTAACGCAATCGACGCCGTTTATTATGTCTCATTTGACGCCCAATAACGAAATGATTGAAGCTCTCAGAAAGGAAGCCGTTCTTACCCACGAAGAATCCAATCAAATTATTCAAGACGATACTACAGCCGGAAAATGCATACTACTCATTTGCTTCATTCGTAAAAAGGACAACAGAAGCTGGACGAAATTCATAACAATTCTCGAACAATACGGAGCAAGTACCGTCTCTTCCATGCTAAGAAGTAAATCAACAGCATCGGAGGTCGTCCTACCCGATAAACGAACTTTATCCTACCTGGAAACCTGTTTAAACAACATATCGGTTCCCCATAAAATAGTTAAGGAAGTTGCTACCAAAGTTGTATTGAAAGAAGTCTATCACGACGACGTTTCCACCTTACAAGAAAAAATATTAAATCTTCAGCGGAGTCTACGAGCAGCTTCTCTTGTCAACCCCTCTCCTGCCCATCCTACTCTACCCCCAATATCGAGGCCGGACTCTGAAGAACGTTCAATGTCGGTCTCGTCGGAAGAGAGCTTCGGCGAGTTGCACGCTCTCATCAAACAAAAAGAGGACGCCATCAAGAAGAAGGACAAAGAATACGAGAGATTGAAAAACATTATGAATGACATTCAACAAGAGTACGACACTTTAATGAATGTAAATCAAGAGTATTTGAACATTATTACCAATCTTCAAGCAATTCACGATGGCAAAACTCCGAGGAGTGTTGCTGCCGAACGAGATGCTGCAATTTTAGACATGAAGTCTGCCCTTTTTGAAGCTCAGGAAAAGATTGAATCTCTTCGCACGGAAGTGCAGGAATTAGACGTTAAAGGTACTTGTATTACATAACCCACCCACTCATTTTCTATGCTAGATTCACGCAACTAAACCGCTTCCTTTATACTTTCCACAAAAACAGCCAAAGATGCTCAGAGCGCTTTCAATCACCTCCAAAAAAAAGAACTAAAATACAGAGAAATGTTGGGCTTGCCTCCCGATTCCGACAATGAAAGTGTCGAGAGACGAATTCAAGAATTACTGCAAAACGGAACCATGCAGAAAAGCGATCTGGACAAGCTCAAACAAGAACTAAACAAAGTTAAGGAAAGTAGACTGGCCGCTGAAGAGAAACTAAATGCCATCGTTCGAGAAAAGGAACATATCGAATTCTATATGAGGCAACAAGAGATGACGATGAGAAGGATGAAGAGACAAACTGTTGCTAAACCAACACTTGTTGCGGCCGAGTCGACTGTTGTCCAAGCAAAAATTGCGGGTGCCCTTAGACTGCCTTCAATCGAACCGTCGTGTAGGCCAACAACAGGAAAACATCAACAAAAGTTAAACTATTGTATATTTTGTCGAACTGAGTTTGACAACAGTAAAGCGACGACCTGCAGAGTTCATTATAGAGCGCTGGTGAAAGGTCATTGGATGTGTTGCAAAGACGAATGCCATCGAGGAGCTGGTTGCCTACAATTGCCACATATGTATATTGAAATAACAGCCGATAGAAAGGTGTTTTTGACGGACGGAGCCAGATATGCACAGCTTCTGTAAAAGAATCATTGCCAAATAGAATATTTTTTAGTATAATTCATAATTCAATATTTGAATTTGTTCTTTTAAAAACCTTAACTTGCAGAGTTTTCCTTTTTTTTCGTATTTGAATACGAAATGATTTTTCTAATTCTTTTTTTTTTATTTTTTACTTTTCATCTTTTTCCATAAACGCATTTTTCCCCTTTTTTCTACTGTCTATGGCTTTAGTTGTTTCGCTAGTCTTTTACGCTCTTCGTTCATTTTAGATTTTTTGAAAATAGATTGAAATTTTTTTAAAGACGTGCGTAATTGCATAAGAGCGATCGCCTTCTATAAAGATATGAATATATTAGTATTTAGAAATTTAGTACTTAATTCAAACTATTGATCATTTTACTCTTAAAAAGTAATTGAACTGAGTTGTGTTGTCTTTTGCAAAGAGTGCATATTAGATATAAAAACAGCCTTAAATTTCTTAAAAAAGTTACAAACCATTAAAGTTTTCACTACGAAACGAAAAATTTGTCTATTATTTTGCTAAAGAAGCGATTATTTAGGTCTAGGAATATTGCTTTAATATTGTATTATGAAGAATTATGTTTTTTTATTTATGAGTTGCCCATTTGTTTTTAATAAATTACTAATTTGAAAGTTGAATAAATAACTATGTATTCCATTGAACTGAAACAGATGGTGTTCTATTGTATAATTTTTTATAAAGCTGTGCTTGCGAATTTACTGTCAATCGTCCTTTGATTATGTTATAACTATATTTTAGTTCTTTCCATGGAACTTAGATCAAGTGTTTCTTTTGATAAAAGTGCCAATCCATCCGCGGATCATACTACTGTGGTTATAGGTGACTGCGACATTAAGAAAAATGACTGCATTCGAAACAAACCATCATCGGAGAATTATCTATCATTTTGGTCGATAAATTTCCTCAAAGATGTCACTGTCGTTGGAATTAAAAGAGTTTTAAGCGGAGGAAATTTAAAATTAAGTCGTATTTTATGGCTTTTTCTAATCGTCTTTTCACTTGGCTTCATGTGTTTTCAAGTTCATGACAGAATTACGTATTATCTAAAATATGAAACTGTTTCCAAGCTTAAATTTGTTCAGTTATCTGAACCAAACTTTCCAATTGTTACAATCTGCAATGAAAATAGAATGATTAAAGGAAAATTAATCGTCGAAATAGACGGTTGAGCTTATTTTATTTTATCTTTTACGCATTTAAATAAATATTAGATAGTAGTATGTAATGTAAATATTTATGGGATTAAAGGTAAGCGGTATTTATTCGTTATAGCCTATGGATTACGAAAATTCAAAGGGATAACAATTCTATATATTATTTAGTAATATTACTAAGACTGTATTAATATGATAAACAAACAATCTTTCAGATTCTGATTGTTTATTGCTTGCATTTACAAACCATAATTAATAGCCTACAGACATAATCAGGTGTTTATTAACAATTTTGGTGATAAAGTGTAGTTAGTTTTCGTAATCTACCAAAAATATGACTGAATTCTTGCTTATCTTTAATCACTTAATAATCTAATAGACATGAGCCTATCCTATGCATTATATGACTATTTTTATGTTTAAGATATGAGAATACTAAACAAGTTGAGGGATATTTGGGCTGTATCTCCAGTAAAGGATGATAACTATTACCCTCCAGAAGTGATGAAAAGTTTAAAGAACAATTCGTATAGAGACTGGTCCATAGTTTATTCTAATTCTAGTCAAACCATCGAAGAAGCAGTAGCAATGGTGAACAATTTTATTCGAATGTTATTTTAAAAATTAAATGCCCTTTGATTCAGTGTAAATTCAAGCAAAGGGATTGCGTATATAGTGATATGGGCTATATTTCAACAAACCTGGGACGATGTTTTCAATTTAACCCACGTAAATAAAGTTTTGATTCTTTACATTTAAAATTTAATTCATTTCCTCTTTTCTAATCGAACAGATCACAAATTAAAACTGTTAGTTGGTGGGGCAATGGAATCATTTCAAATTTTATTATACGTTGGGCAGGAAGAGTATTTCATTGCAAACTCAGCAGCAGCGGGTTTTAGGGTAAAGAAATATGAATATACAAATTCTCAATTACTTATTTGAACTTTCAACTTAAAGATACTCTTTCACTCTCCAAGTAAGATATTTAGGATGGCTGAGGAGAGCATATTGCTGTCTCCGGGATTTCCGTATGGGATTAATATAAAATTTAGGAAAACGCAACAACTCCCCTACCCTTACGGAGAGTGTTCAGATAAAGCCAACTATACTAGAGTATCTTGCTTAAATAAATGTTTCGAAATTTACGCTGCTAAAGAATGCAAATGTCGAGATATTTCTTTTACAAGTATAGACTAAGAACAGTATTTATTGAATTTATATATGAATATATTACAGACGGAAAAGAGTATCCGGTGTGCGCTCCTCTTAACTTATTTTGTCTAAAAGATGCGGAAAAAACGTTTTATAGAAGTGGGATAGTTGCAAATGCCTGCAAATGCAATTTTGAATGTGTTATGGATCATTATGACTTTACTAATTCAATGGCTATGTTTGGCAATACTTTTCTGGATGTTTTAAAAGAAATAGTAAATACTTCTTCGAAAGAGATTTCTAAGAATTATATTATGGTCAGCATTTACGTTTCAAACATTATCAGACAAAATTTGATTGAGAAGCCAGCTTATACGTTGCTAGCTCTTTTATCAGATATTGGTGGAGCATTTGGTTTGGCTTTAGGAGCAACAGTTTTGACCATTTTTGAATTTGTAGAATATTTCATTATAATATTCACTAAGCTCATTGTCAGCAGAACGCCAAGACAGAGTTGACAAAATGATAAAATGATTAAATGGTAGTCTATAGTTATTTCACAGAAACAACGCCAAATTGAAATTATTCGAGTTTCTGATTTAAGCTTCTCTTGTTAAAAAAATCTACTGTAAACAACAAACAAGAATAACAATACTTGTTAGACTTGAACCAAACTGTAAAGGATTTTATAACCTTCTTCGGTTGACTTTACTATCAGCCATAAAAATACTTTTACCGGTCATTTTCTTTAGGCTTTTCCTTGTATACTACTCTGGATTGAGTACTGATGAACATTCACTTAAAGGAAAGAAGCTAGAAGATTACCATTAAAGAGAGAGAAGAGAAAGTAATTCAACTCTGTGGAAGAAAAATGTAGAATCTCTCATTGTGATATATCTACGTTGAACAATAAAAAGTATTGAATAAAATATATCTGAAAAATATATTGAAATATTAAAAAAATGTATTATTCAATTTTTTGCTAACATCCAATGGAACATATTCGTAAAAGCAACACTGTCTGTTATCAAGTTGTTTTAAAGCTGTTAAACTTTGTTATACTAAAAAGGTTTAGCTGTTGAATTAAATAAGTTTTCTTTTCAGGCTCGTCGACTAATGGTGGTGAACTATTTCAACTTTGCCCTTTCTTTTAAAATTATCGCAGTAACGTATGAGGATTATGACCAGACCGTCAATTAGCTCGAAAATTGTTAAAATTGTAGCTCCTAAAGCTAATCCAAAAGCTCCACCAACATCCGAAAGAAGAGCGAGCCAGTTGTAAGCTGCTTTTTCAATCGTGTCTGATCGTATCATAGCGGAGAAGTAGATATGTACAAGTACAAAGTTATCTTCCACTATTTGAGCAGTAGAATTGTATTGTTCGGCCAAGCTATTTAGAAAGTTGTCGCTAAATTTATTCATAGACGTCATGATATCGTACTGTGTTAAATCACATTCAAACGGACAACTACAGGCTAAAAATGCTTCTGTTGCATAATACTCTCGCGCCTTTATAAGTAAACAGCGAATTCTTAGTGGAGCGCATACAGGATACTCTAATCCATCTAAATAGAAACAGAAGAATATTATCTCATCTAACTGTACCTTTAGAAATATTCTGTAAAAGTATTCTTACTAGTATAATGAGAGTCTCTACATTTACAAATGCTGGATGTATATTTTTGAAAGCAGTCTGCTAAGCAGTTAGATCTTCTGTATATTTTACTGGGAAAACAAGATCCGTAAGGGGATGGAAGTTGTCGCGTTGATTTTAACTTTAAGCTAATTCCATAAAGAAATCCTGGAGAAAGGAGTATACTTTGTTCCATCATTCGTATTGCTTCCTTCGGATGATGAAGTAAAATCTTTTTTGAAAGTAAATTGAACAAATAAGTCTGTATGATAATAGTAGTAATTTCAATATGAAAACTACCCTGAAGCCTGCTCCGTACGAATTTTGAATAAAATAGTCTTCTTGTCCAACATAGAGCTTAATCACAAGAGCGTTGGATGCTCCGGTATATTTTATTTCAAATTGATGATCTATATATTGATAACGTTTCGTCAGATTTGATAAAATTGAAAAAAAAATAAAATAAACTGTTATAGAACCAAAGTTAATTTGAAGACATTCGCCCATATCAGTTGATAAGCTTCGTATATTCTCCGTTTGGCATTCCTGCTGCTTGAAGTAGCACTTAAAAATGGATTTTATTTATTATGTCAGTAATGGAGCTTAGTGATTTAGGTTGGAGCAAACCATTTTTAAGGTATTATTTAAAGTATGTCCTGCATTCTTATTGAATTGTAACCAATCTCTATACGTATCATTTATAAGATTTTTGTAGGCAACTCTATTTTGCAGGTTTGTTGGTACCTCATTATATTCGTACGGCCATGACATTTTCATATGTTCCATTAATTCCCTATCTATTGATATGAACATTAACTAAATAATTAATATACTTAGATTATACAATCTATTGTATTAAAAGATGTTCCTTGCCGTTAATATATGGCTCAATGTTTCTCTTTATCATTCTATTTTCATTACAGATTGTAACTGTTGGAAATTTTATGATTTTTAACGGTATATGGTGTAATTTTGATGTTGTTTCGTATTGAAGGAAGAAATTAACTCTATCTTGAATTTGAAAAACCAAAAATCCCAATGAAAACACAATCAAGAGAAACCAAATAATTCTTCGGATAAAAAATGCATCACTATTCAACAGTTTTTTAACTCCTATTATGCTAAGATCTTGGAGGAAGTTAATAATTAAAAAGGTTATAGGAAACCCTTTCGATACATGTTCCTTCTTTTCATTCTCCTCTGCTGTAAAAGTTTCTCGGTTAGGTTGATTTTCAGAAATTCTCATTCTATCCATTCTTTCGTCTAAATTGTTTGAAAAGTAATGAATAAACATATTTTCTAACACATTAAATATAAATTACTTCAATAAATAATTCGTCCCCTTTCCGTCGGTTAATTTAAAGTAAATATGACATTAATTTGATTATCAGACAACTAAAGAGTGTAAATGATCGAATTATGCTTGGTAAATGAGAAAATAAAGCTTTCCTATAAAAGGACAACATTGCACTAACAATACAAACAAAAATGTCATTTGTGCAATTGTCCTTCCTTAAAGCTCTAAATTGCTATTACACAGAGGTAAAAAGCAATATCACTAGACAAGAGCAGTAGTCTTATGATGATGAACCTGCTTGTTAAATGGTGGGACTAGTTTTTTACATATTGATTACAAAAGTGAGATAAAAGAACAAGAATTGTCTAGTCATTTATACTAGTATATTGATGTCATTTCTACAAAATGATATCAATAAGCAAATAGCCTTTAAAAACCATTGCCTTAGTGGTTTCTACAAAACATCTACAAATATTTAATACTGAGGTATGGCGCTGTTAATTGGATTTATTAAAAAAATGAAAAGAGTAAAGAATAAATCATATGAAAGTAGAGAGTAAAAGACTAGCGAAACAACTAAAGCCATAGACAGTAGAAAAAAGGGGAAAAATGCGTTTATGGAAAAAGATGAAAAGTAAAAAATAAAAAAAAAAGAATTAGAAAAATCATTTCGTATTCAAATACGAAAAAAAAGGAAAACTCTGCAAGTTAAGGTTTTTAAAAGAACAAATTCAAATATTGAATTATGAATTATACTAAAAAATATTCTATTTGGCAATGATTCTTTTACAGAAGCTGTGCATATCTGGCTCCGTCCGTCAAAAACACCTTTCTATCGGCTGTTATTTCAATATACATATGTGGCAATTGTAGGCAACCAGCTCCTCGATGGCATTCGTCTTTGCAACACATCCAATGACCTTTCACCAGCGCTCTATAATGAACTCTGCAGGTCGTCGCTTTACTGTTGTCAAACTCAGTTCGACAAAATATACAATAGTTTAACTTTTGTTGATGTTTTCCTGTTGTTGGCCTACACGACGGTTCGATTGAAGGCAGTCTAAGGGCACCCGCAATTTTTGCTTGGACAACAGTCGACTCGGCCGCAACAAGTGTTGGTTTAGCAACAGTTTGTCTCTTCATCCTTCTCATCGTCATCTCTTGTTGCCTCATATAGAATTCAATATGTTCCTTTTCTCGAACGATGGCATTTAGTTTCTCTTCAGCGGCCAGTCTACTTTCCTTAACTTTGTTTAGTTCTTGTTTGAGCTTGTCCAGATCGCTTTTCTGCATGGTTCCGTTTTGCAGTAATTCTTGAATTCGTCTCTCGACACTTTCATTGTCGGAATCGGGAGGCAAGCCCAACATTTCTCTGTATTTTAGTTCTTTTTTTTGGAGGTGATTGAAAGCGCTCTGAGCATCTTTGGCTGTTTTTGTGGAAAGTATAAAGGAAGCGGTTTAGTTGCGTGAATCTAGCATAGAAAATGAGTGGGTGGGTTATGTAATACAAGTACCTTTAACGTCTAATTCCTGCACTTCCGTGCGAAGAGATTCAATCTTTTCCTGAGCTTCAAAAAGGGCAGACTTCATGTCTAAAATTGCAGCATCTCGTTCGGCAGCAACACTCCTCGGAGTTTTGCCATCGTGAATTGCTTGAAGATTGGTAATAATGTTCAAATACTCTTGATTTACATTCATTAAAGTGTCGTACTCTTGTTGAATGTCATTCATAATGTTTTTCAATCTCTCGTATTCTTTGTCCTTCTTCTTGATGGCGTCCTCTTTTTGTTTGATGAGAGCGTGCAACTCGCCGAAGCTCTCTTCCGACGAGACCGACATTGAACGTTCTTCAGAGTCCGGCCTCGATATTGGGGGTAGAGTAGGATGGGCAGGAGAGGGGTTGACAAGAGAAGCTGCTCGTAGACTCCGCTGAAGATTTAATATTTTTTCTTGTAAGGTGGAAACGTCGTCGTGATAGACTTCTTTCAATACAACTTTGGTAGCAACTTCCTTAACTATTTTATGGGGAACCGATATGTTGTTTAAACAGGTTTCCAGGTAGGATAAAGTTCGTTTATCGGGTAGGACGACCTCCGATGCTGTTGATTTACTTCTTAGCATGGAAGAGACGGTACTTGCTCCGTATTGTTCGAGAATTGTTATGAATTTCGTCCAGCTTCTGTTGTCCTTTTTACGAATGAAGCAAATGAGTAGTATGCATTTTCCGGCTGTAGTATCGTCTTGAATAATTTGATTGGATTCTTCGTGGGTAAGAACGGCTTCCTTTCTGAGAGCTTCAATCATTTCGTTATTGGGCGTCAAATGAGACATAATAAACGGCGTCGATTGCGTTAATAATTTCTTTTTTACATGATCCATGCTAGTTGACTACTAATGCCTAATAATATTGATTTATACGCTAGCAATTCCATAGCGCCCGTTCAATAAGACCGTTATGGATTATTCTCAGTATAAACAAGAAAAATGCATAACCTATTTTGAAATGTTTGAATATTTCCTTTCTTTTAGTCATTTGTCTTCAACATTTCGTCTTTAACTTTCATTAACAATATCTTTCAAATATTTTCGGTCAACTGAATGACAACTGCAATGTCATTGTTTCTTTGAAAGTAAGCATATTCAAGTCAGTATATATAGGGGAAAATTTCACCAATTGCTATTGTATATTTTGTTTAACGATACTTTACAAGATGCAGTAGAGGAGTATCTAAAGAAAAATTGTATATGGCGATTAGAGTCGAAGTCTAAAGTTTGAAATCATTTCAACTTTGTTCAAATCATTGAAGCATTGTTTGGCAAATGCCAACTATCCTTTTTTGAAATTAAGTGGTAGCTTATACAATGTTTAATGTAATTACAGACTTTATTTCAATATTTTGAACAAATAGTACAATTGCTCTGTTTATTCTCGTTAATTGATAAATAATTATGTTAACTATATTAAAGTTTTTTTTTCCTTTCATTTAAATGCATTACATTATTTGTCTTTTTTTCTGGTTTCTTTTGTGACCTGAAAATCTCTTTGTTATATATAATTTCAATATAACTCTGAAGAGTAATAAAAACTTTAAGAGACGTTTAATTTAGAAACTTGGACCATCAGAAAGTAGAGTTAATGTTAATAGAGATTAGTTAATTGCCTGAAATTTATCTGTGAAACAGTCTCCAAAAGAGTTAAATTACTTAATATTATAGCTTGTTAACATACTTTATTTATTTCTATTAGATTGTTTTCTGAAACTTTCTGACTAATTAATTTAATAATACTGAAAGATGAATAATGTACAGTATACTGTAGATGAGATTAAGTAGGTTGTCCTTTGTTCTAAGTTGTAACCAATCTGTATGAGGGGTTTATTAACAGGAAATAGCTATTGTAATTTTGTACGAAGAAACTGATTATAAGTTTTATTGGCTTAATGGTTTTATGATGTATCCCAAAGAAAATGGATATTTTTCTTTATTGAAAGTTGGTTTTCCAGAACAGGAAATAGAATCTGTTGTATTTAATGTGTAATGTATTTAAGAAACTAAATGAACTAATAAATATATTGTTATGTATACAAATTTAGTTGACGATATAAAACGGAAACAGGAAACAGGATCTAATTTGTTCTCAAATATTTATAAAACAATAAGAAAATCACATAATTACATAACTTGATACTTGAAAGAATTGTATTTTTTCATTAATCTTCCTCCTCTCTCTCTCTCTCTCTTTTCTTTTTCCCGATGTAGTGTATACCATAGCATATATTAAAACTTTATGATTAATAGTATTAATGATAAAGAGAATATATATCACTTTACATATACTTAATATAATAATTCCTTAACAATAGATGTTGGCAAGGTAACGAAAGCTTTTAATTTAATTATATCAATAAACACTTAAAAATAAGGTAGAGTTGTCCTAGATAGTTCAATACAGAAAATTATTCTTGATCAAAATTATACTAGTAACACCAAAACTAGCATCCAATAGCGATAGGAGAATTACGGCAAATTTCCACATCATTTCAATATTTTCAAGCTCGTTGTCATAGAATATATTGACAGAGTAGAATGTGATTTGAAAGAGGATAACTGGAAAATATGCGCAGGAAGAGATAATGAGGAAGCCTTTTCTCTTTAATATATTATAAAATTATTATATAAATATTGCGTGATGTATAAATATACAAACCCATTTAAATGATTTTATCGTCATAAGTATTTGACAAATCAAAGATAAAATAATAATTGTTAGGAAACAGGGTATTATATACATAACAAGACCCTTCTTTGCCCGAAAAACTGTACACATATTCAGCCAAATCATTGAAAATATAAGGAAAGTTCTAATGGTAATATTTCTTGATACTTCAATTTTTACTAAATTCTTTGCGAAATAAGGGATGAGCAACTGCTTCCAGTCATATAATTATATATATATATATATATTCCAATTCAATTGGATAAATAACTCTTACCGGATTACGATCAGACCCACAATTAAAGATGTTAGCCATCTTCTTATTTCAAATATCTGTATAAGAGTTAATCCATCCCTTTTATAGTTTTAAGCTTATTCTTTGTGAAGTTTTGTATCGAATGTTACTTTGTCAATGTCTATTCTTATCTACAGTAATTTGATACTCTATTTTCGCAAAGAACTTGTGACAAATCACTTTTTATTTCATTTTTTTTAGACTATAAACCATTATATTTAAATGTATTCTATAAACAATAATACATAGTTCTTATTATTCATTTTACTAGTATATTTAAAAAATTAATGTTTACAAAAGTTATAAACGATACAAACGCCATCTATTTTTTTACATTGATTCAATTAAAGAACGTAAATTGTAAATACGTCTCATAACGGTTCAAAAATATGGAAATGATTAATTAAATATATACAAATGTATATTGCTATTGGCAAAAAAGAGAAACAAAAAAGAGGTTAGGTATTATAATCTAAACATTGATAAGAACTTATATAATAAAATAGCTTTATACAACTTTTCATCTTTTACGACTCATATTTCCCCAAGTTTTTGATTTCAAATGAATAATATAAGAAATAACTACTAAAGCCTTTATTCTACAGTATACAATATTAGGTGATGTGCCAATAAAAACCATATTATGGCAAATATCAATACCTTCCATTCATTTTATTTCCAACTGTAAAATGTGCACTTGAAAAAGTTTTATTTTAACATACAACCAACCGGCAGAGTGACATATTTAATTAAATTGTTTAATTATTATTATTATTAATTCAAAAAGTTATCTTTAAAGCATTTAGGAAGTAAATAATTGTGATCAGGAAGAGTTTTTTAGATATATATATTATATTCTTTTTAAAAGTGAAATTGAACAATCTGTTTTAATTATTTCTAATAGATTCATATAAAAGAAAGACTATAGATGATTATTATTCAAAAGAAAGAGGAAATAGTATTCTATAAACAAGTGCATTCATACAATGGAAAATATTTTATTATATTTGCTAGGAAATTTTAAGTCTTCAAGGATGCAAATATTCAACAGTATGATAAGATAAGGAGTTATCAGATTTTTATAAGCATTTTATCTCATTAAAAGCTCCAAGTAAATACTATTTATATACAGTACGTATGTAAAATTGAATTAAAGTAAAAGGTCTCTTTGTATTAAATGTTATATTTTAACAAATTGTAATCTTGAATTAAGATATAAAAGCTACAAGTTTATTGAATATATACTGTATATATATATATATATATGCTTCTACTATTTATATAAACTGTAATAGTTGTTTATTTGCATATTTTTGTTATTATTTGTTTATAAACCTACATGTATTAAGACGTGTATATAAATATATATAAACAGTATATACAAAATTTATATAAAGTGCACTTCAATTGCAATTAATATAGGCTTCATGTCATCTTGCCCAATGCCAACTACTGTCAAGACTTTTATCTAAATTTTTCAGGCCAATCTCCGTGCGATATCGGCCTGATTTTTTGATAAAAGTAGAAGGTAATCAATTTCTACTGTGCAGTTGAATGCTATGATAATTACATTATTATCGTTTATTAACCATCAATGAAATTCTAAACAATTAACGGAATAATTTATTCGTTTACTGAAATTTCATCAACGCATCATCGAAAAAAGACGAAAAGGCAAAAAGAAAGACGCAGAAAGAGAAGAAATCACTCGATGAATGATCATTCGATACTCATATAAGAAACTATCGAAATGTCTAATTTGTATGTAAAAAAGAATTCAGCATTGGAATTATTTCTTTTAAGATATAATGCAAAATATTACAAAGAGATCATAACAACAGAAAGCTGTATTATTGATAATGGAAGCTCTCATAAGCATAAATTTGTTATTCTTGCTCCAAATTCAATAGATTTTACAGATAAGCCACCAACGAAGTTACAAACTGGTATTCATTTTTCAATCATTCATTCAATTAAATTAGTAAGTATATAGTATTATTTGTATTTTAATTTCTAAATAAAGTATTAATATTAATCATTAATTAATTAATTGATAAGAAACTAAACAAAATTGGATATAATGTTTTGTTATCAGAAGTTTCAAAATGATCGTAACTAGGACATAACGGTCCATTCTGTAATTTATTACTAAAAAAAACAATGTATTTGCATAAATATTACCGAGTTAATACTGTTTTGTTATATGTTTTTATTTTGTCTACCCTATTTATACAATTTGGCATGTTTATGTCTTTTTTTATTAATGTATATAAGGATTAGAGTATATGTTTACAATAACAAACGGCCGTAAGTCTCTTACTAATTTAGATTGGTCTAAACAGCTCTTTTTTTTGGTTTTCTACAATCTTTACCATCATCATTAAACAAAATTCTATAAATATAATATTAATATATGAAATGAACACTCCTTTGTTCTTATCTTTTAGTTTCCTGCTTTTATATATTTCTCTCAATAACAGTCCGATGAGCTACCGTCATTTCTATCTGGTCATGATCGTTTGAATGTTCAACATATCATAATAGAATATAGAGACGGTATTGAAGAATCACAACAGGGAAATTCACTTCAGTCATTAGCGTCAACAATATCTACTAAATCTACTTCGTCGTTAGCATCCTCGTTATCATCATCGTCGTCCTCGTCATCTTCGTCAACGTCTTCAAAACATTCGTCAAAAGGACCGACAAAAAAATCTTTTTTTAACTTTAAAGCCAAGCCCAGTAAAAATAAATTGGAATTGCTCTCTTCAAATGATATTGACAGCAAAGCAAAACAAAGTTCTAAATCATCTATATCTTGGTATGACTCATATTGAATTGGTTGTTTAATGATTCATAACTAATGACGAAAATATTTTACAGCCTTAAAAACTTCACTTTAAAGAGAAAAGACATTTACATTTTAAGGCAGTCATCAACCATTTATATGTTAATTAAATCAGCAATAAATAATTATAAACTTGTAAGTATTGATTTCAGTGTTTAGAGTTTCACCCTATAATTATTCCTTAACTCTTTTACTTGAAAAGCGTTCCACCTTATCCCTTCATACAACTGTAAATAATCACTTACAAGATAATAATAAACATTCAATGTAAGCGTCTTTTAATGAAGAAGATTGGATAAGATAATCCAAAGATATATTTATATATATTTGTTGCTTTCTATCTTAATTACAGGAACCACAAAAGCTATTTTACACTTGAAAATGAGATTTTAAATCATCAATGTTCATATGTCAATCATTCTAATGATATATATCATTCAATAAAACAGCTATATATAGCTTCTCTTGGAGATTTTAATGCAAAAAAACATTTCTGGAAGGTATTTTTACAATGTTTATTTATACTACACAATATAATCATATTCTTTCATATCAAAACTTTCAGAATCCTAGTCTTTTTCGTCAATTATCATCTATATTATATTTTACAACGTTCAATAATAACTTGGAAAATCACTTTAAATCCAGTTTCAAACTGATGTGTGCAATTATTAGAACGTTAATAAGTATGCTAACAGAAACTGAAGCAGTTGAAAATATTCAAACGATATTGGAAATTAATCAGGGAAGAACTTTAAAGAAATTGATTTATGTAAGTTGTTTATATTATTACAAGGTAATATTGGAATTCATATATCTATAGGTCTTAATTGAAAGTCATCCAGAACTTCTTGTAAAACTGGAATCTCAGAATCAAAAGGTTACTATTTCAATATCTTGAAAAATATTACTATTCAATAAACAATTTCTCTCATAGTTATTCCATGTTTACAATGAATATTTCGATTTGACCGTCATTCTATTAGACAAGCTAATTGTTGTTATTGAACAAACAACATGGGTTATAAAAGAGAATGCTATCCTTAGCTCTGTTTGGATAATTGAATATGCTAAATCCTTACTTAGTTTGGTTTGTCATCTTTAATACTTATATTAAACTTTCTTTATGAGAATTTTTCACTTACATTAGGATGGATATATTGAAACTATTACTAAGAGTATAATTGATACTTTTAAGCCAAATTCAACAATTCACTTGAATCCTGAATGTTCGATTATACTCTACCATCAAGTAAAAGTACTTAAGAGACTGATTCAGGAAGTTGATGGAGTTAAAGAAACTTTAAGAAGTCAATTCTATGAAGAATTTTTGTAAGTTTATCATCAGTTATGAATAAATTTGCATATAATTGAAATTCTTCAATTACAGATATTATTTAACAGTTTCATCCATTAATAATAAAGATATGACATGCGATCCAATCAGAGAAATAATACTTAAAACCTTAGAGCATATTATCAAAGAAATTACTCAGAGGCCATTTTCTCTTCAAACTACTAAGCAATCTATAAATTTATCCGATTCGTCGTCCTAATTTTAATTAATTATTACTGGCAGAAAGAAGCAAGGTAGCGCTCGTATGTTTTTGAGATTGATGAATATATTTACAAACTATATATTAATTTATTAAATATATTTATATTCGACCGAATATTATTTGAGATTATATGAATATTACATAACTCACTACAATTACAAAATTTTTATTTCGTACACTTTTTATGAAGCTTTATCCTTTTCTTCCTTTCTTTTTACATATAGTCGTTGTGATGCGAGCTATTAGAGTCTTCATAATAGTAGTATGGTGCCCTCTGGTGGTCTTGTGTATAGTTTGTAGGGGTTCGAATGGTCTTTCTGTTTGTTATCTGACTAGGAGTTCTGCTTGCTATTGTTTTTGTCATATATTTCGTTTTAGTCTTTTTGTTGTTACTAAATTAAAAGAATGGAAACTTTAAATGTTTATAAAAATTAAAATAAATCGTAATTTCATTGAAGAAATTAACCTTTTACAAACCACAATGCAAATTGTTACTATAATTATGGTTACAACTCCTGATGACGTAGCAACTGCGATTATGATAAGATCTTCCATAGCACTTTTTTTCACTTTACTCTTCTCTGTCGGTTTACTTGTTACAATATCATCTGGAGAATCGGTGAGATTGTCAATTGATGTGGATCTACAGAGGCGAAAAAGAGAAAAACCTATATTTTTAATATTCTGTATAGTGTAAATATCATACTAACGTTAAGCCTTTACTTGAACAGCATTTACCGATATTTTTCGGGACACATTCTCTTTTTTCATAGTCGAAATATTCATTTAAATCACAACTTTCTTTAACGTAATCATCATCCCCAACGCATAGATGATAGCCCTGACACACGAATTGATCAGCATATTTTCTATTCTTGATGCAAGGTTTCTCAAGATCGCAAATCGTTGAAGTATTATACACCCTTTTGGGAAATAAACCTTTACAATCGGCAGCCCAAGACCTAGGATCCGAATCGCATTTTTTCTGTCTATAATTATAGTATTGTTTATGGTCCGGGCATAAATTACACTTTAATTCTCCCCCAACACAAGTAGCATATCCCCCATAGATTTCTTGAATAGCATACTTTTCTCCATCGACACAAGGAAGCGTAACCTTTTCACAATATTTTATCGACTTATCGCAAACTGCAATTATTTTTTCAATAATGATTCATGTTTATCTTATTGGCTTGATTTCTATATTTTGAATAATTAAACGCCTATCCAGTTCAATTTTTACCTTTATCAACAAATATTACAGACAGTTATAAAAAACACCCCACTCAAAATGCAAATAAATCCTCTTATTCTTAATTTAGAGGAAGTTTACACGCATTAAATATTTCTATATGATATATTCGCTATTTTAGACGCCTATGACGTTTTTCGAATATATTTCAATATTTCAATATCCGGTTCGTTAAAAATAGAATTTCTTTTAAAGTTAAAACTTTAACATTAAAGAGGGAATTAAACTGGATAATTATAACATTTTAAAAGTTTCAATAAAAGAGACGCTGATATAAGATCGATTATAAAAAAAAAAATTGGTGATCAATCAAGACAGAAGCGTAAAGTAAGCGTATAAAATTAAGTTATAATTTGTTGCTCTTAATACTATAGTAGTTTAATATTGATCTTATAGAAGTTTCGATTTTATATCAAATAAAAATAGGTAAAAAATTGATTATACTCTTTAAATCTCACGAAATCAAGTCGTAAAAGTTCCCTTATTTACAAAATAACAAAACTTTAAACATAGTCAGCATTTTGAAATGAGAAAAATTAGAAATTCTTTATTTGGCGAATAAAGAGATAAGAGAGAAAAGAAAAAAAGTAGTCAAGTAAGAAATTATAAGTGTTTTTATTAAAAGAAATGGACTATATAAGAGAATTTAAGAATTATATAAAGAAGAGAAAGACTTAAATTAAAAACCATATAACTTACTAAAAACTGCCAGTAGCATATCTATTAAAATGGGTAAAAAGTAAAAGAACTTCATATTTCAATAGATGATAGGATCTAAATATTAGTAATAAAGACAGATAGAAGGATCAAATAGGGTGTGTGTGTGTATGTATTCCGTTTTGTAATAATCTACATATAAATATGTTTGCTTATGACTTAATTTAGGGTAAAAATTTTCTTTGAACACATTTTTTAGAACTTTTAGCAAAATATCCAAATCTTCCGGTAAACAGAACAAAATATTCAATAAATAGGGCAAGTATAGCGGCTAATATTCCAATTGACATCATATAGAATAAACCTTGAAAGTGGTGTAATTTAGCTGAAGTTGGAACGTCTCTACTGTTTCTTAATAATGAGCACACGTCTTTTGGATAATATTTCTTAAACCATTTTCTTATAAGACCATTTTCTGTCATTTGTAGAATTCGCTCATCGAAATAGGTTTGCAACGAAGAATTTTCAGGTATGACAAAGCCAAAGGAAGACGGAAAGAATTTCTCTTTTCCAATTGCAAGTGTACAATCGCTATAAACTTGCTTAATAACTCCTGACGTTTCTCCTATATATATGTACTTTTCAGCTCTTACTCTATCAACTCCTGCTGAATGAGAGGACACACGATTATCCCTTTCGCCAATTGAATTGGTCATCATATGTTTATAAACACCATAAGCTGATCCTTGGAAGAGTAGATGTAATGCACTTCCATCCATCACCCCGTAGCGGTAGATACTTTGCTGCGATAATTCCGCTAAGGTCGATATAGGAGGTGTTTGTTTCGGAATAGCTATATAAGCCGTTAAATTCCCAGTGTATAGGGCTAATATTATTATTGAAAATAGCCAACAACTGTTAATAATTAACCTCGACGGTATTGCTTTTGGAATATCTTTTCTACCTAGTTGAATCAGGTGAATATAGAATATCATCAACTATTCTTGCTCATAAATAAACTTAAATTGTTACCTTGTTGCAATAACGAACTAACAATTAAGCTGAAAGCTCTAGTAAAAGAACGGAGCGTGCATAATTTTCTTGACCATTTGACAGTTAATCCAAGGAAAAACGCCGTAAATGGTAAAAGAGCAAAAATACTTAACCAAATTGGCCATTGAAAAGGTGTTAAAAAGAATGTAGAATTATCCGGTTCAGGTAATTTCATTACCATAACAGAATCCTCTTGCCAAAATGGCTTAGTAAAATCAATAACAGTATCTCTTGCTTCTCCAATTGTGAATTTTCCAGCTGCAAAATCCGCTGCCTGATATAACAATAAAAAAGTTGAAATATCAATAATCCCTCTTTTATTAAATACATACTGTATATTTATATATATAGCTATATATTAATAAAGAAATCCTATTTATTACTATTTTATTATATATATATATATGTCTTATTGTATATTATAAACTACTTACACCATCTTTAACCATTCTAACCATTCCTGTCCATTGCCCATTTTCGTCAATATTTCCCCACTTCCTGTCTGCTGGTTCAACAATATGATAGCTGTTTAAATAGACAAAGTACAAAGTGTATAAGCAATGAAGAAATAAAGACTTGTTTTCTTTTTAAAAGAGAAATAAAAAGCACAAGAGAAAAGGAAATCATGAATAAAAAGCTAAGAAGTGAAATAACAAAGTGAAATACTATTTTAATTATAAAATACTTACGTAAAATTCATACTCTTTGCTAGTAAATTCAATATTTCTATACATATTCCTTGCCATATAGTTTGATTGCGAACAATAACTTTTTCATGAAAAATACCCAACTGCATGCAAAAGAAAAAGCTTGTCAAGCTCTCTTACGAAACAACTTCTATAAATTAGAAAATGAAGATACTTACTGATAAGAGAGCTACCGTAAAGTTATAACCATTGAAAGGTTGGCAGCTTTCACTTATTCCATTCATAAGTTATTTTTGCATGACTTTCTTATCGCAATCAACCTTTTTAATAATAATATATGAAATTAATACGCTCTACAAAACATATATGCACACAGAAAAGCTTTTGCAAAATAGGATGAGAGGCAGCCAGTTTATGTAAATGAAAAATTAATCAATATGCAAATCAATACAGTATACTACGCTCTAGAGAACGAATGGATTGAATGACGAAAGCGGATTATCAGACGTATATATATGCTGCTGACTACCTATAGAATATACCTAAAGGAAGGATAGGGGGAGGGAGTGAGGCGGGAGAAACCGGAAAAGGGAATTTTATATTAATATATTATTAGTATATATTGCATATTGAATTTCCATACAACTCAACATTTTGTACATAAGAATCCTTAAGGGAGAAACTATGCCACTAAGAGTATTTGAAAAATAGATACCTTTTTTTTCCTATTATGGGTTAATGTATTTTTATACGGGTTTGGTTTTTATCTATTTTTAATGAATAACGTTCTTTTATTGGCGATATTAATTTATTTTATATAATAAACTTTATTCACTTTGAAATTAAAATTCCATTAATCATTGAGAATATCGACTGCAATATTACAGCCATAAAATAAAGAAAAAAAAGGCAATTATTCAAAAGTCTATTGGAAAAGGGAAAGGAAAAGAGAGTAAGAATAGATAACTAGCTAGAAAGGAAAATGAGATAATAATTATATTTCTGACGGTTTCAACGATAGAGAGAGAGAGAGAGAAAAAGATGAGGCGAGTTTAATATTGCTAAAGCCTTTCTAAAGTTTTTAGTATAGATAATATGTATAATATTGATAAAGATATTTCATTTATAATATATTTTTAGACACAATTTTCACACAATAAATGTAAAATATTAATTCAATATTGCATACTAACGAGTGTATATTCATTGAAGCTACAATTTCCTTTTGTAATGCTAGTATCCATAATTGGCATTCTACATTATTTAAATGTATTCAGTCTGTCAAAGAATCTAGGGATCCTCCGAGAGAGCTTGAATAGGAAAATTTGTAATATATAGCTCTTCACATCTTTTCTTTTGAAGTTTTCTAGAAATAGATGAAAATTTCTCCACTTTGTTATGCTTTATAAAAGGGAGAAGAAAGGGAGAGGAGAATACCAGGAGAAAGGAGTATTTTACTTTTAAAATGCCTTTTTCACAAGGATTTAAAGTAACTTTTAAGTAGGTATAAATAATAATTAGGACAAGAAAATTAAATGTCACGTAACTTTAATCTTATCACGAAAATAATCCATTAGTACCGAGGAAAGAGGCGAATATCTTTTAAACTTTTATCTCCTCTGGAGGAAGCTTGATTCTTTTATGTTTCATTTAAAGTTTAGGATCCTACTCTCTAAGATCTATCTTTCTATTCTTATTATTTCCTGCTTTCTCAATAGTCTGTTCCTTTGACATTTTATATTTACATTAATATTTCTATGGAAAAAAACTTAGTTGATTCATACCTCCCCATCTCACTAATAACTTTTTCAGATGTTAATTAGTCCGATTTTATTACATTCTTTATTCACTTTCTTCCAATTAATAATATTATTAAGAATAATTAGTTAGTAGTACGTATGATTTTCTTATTATTTCCTAATTAATTACCTTTTGTGATAGGGAAAGTAATAATTTTTATATAGAAATAATTAACTGGTATTTAAACACGTAGCACATTAGAAATAGAGTATTCTACTCATCAGGATAATATATTCAAGGTTAAATGACATATGAATATTAATTTTCCTTTCTATTTCCTCCTTGAGAACTTTCCCACTCCTACAACTATCACAAGATTGTTTTCAATTTATGATCCTCCCTCTCACCTTTCTTTTCTTAGTCTATTTAAATATTTCTCTCACACTCTCTTTCACTCTTGCTTTTATTAAGTTTTCCGAGAAAAACATCAGTTAAACATACAAAATGCACTATTAATAGATATAAAGAGTACTTTAATAAAATAATTATTAACCGTGGATGTTTTTATAAGGATAAAGAACTATTTACATCACATGAATAAATATATATATATATATAAATGTATATATATATATATATATACATATCAAAGATAATATCATTCTATAGTGATGATTACTGTGACCTTAATTTAAGAAACTAATTTCTTTATAATGTATATATATACTGCAGATAGCGGTATAAAAATAACATACAGATGTTGTCTGGTACAGTATCTACAATATATATACAGTAATATATATATGTATATATATATATTGCATTAAACTCATAAAGGCTACTTCCTTATTGATCAACAGTTTTAATTAACTATAGCTAATCGAACCTTTTGATGGTTGAAATACATAAAACAACAACTGAACAGGAAAGACATATAAATTTTTATAGATTTTTTATCTATAATTTGTATTTTATGTATTGTTGATATCAATTAATTTTTAACTATTTCTTTTATCTTCTCTCTTCCCTTCTTCTTTGTGCTTTTATCTTGGATTATTCTATAGATTCTTCTCGAATTTAGATCACTTTTAGTAGTCCTATTGGACAGTTTATTCCCCTACATTTTGTTCTAAATATAATCTCTCTATATTAATACATATTTTCACTTGTCATGTTTAATAAATACAATGTTTATGTATACAAACTCACTTGTCCCTGTCTCGTGTATTATTGTCAGTCAATTATAGAATATTCCCCTCCCTCATTTCAAGACGTCTACGTTCAAACTCAGTTTCTGTATCGTTACGCCCTCTATTGAATAAGAAAGTTTTCCACGTATATTTTTCAAAATTGACGGTAGATGTAGCTTTAATCAAACAATAACAAAGTTTTATCAAGACTATCATAAAATACATAAAAAATACTAAGGAATAACAGAAATATCGATAAATTATAAAATAAAGGTAGATTAAAATATCAATATTAATATTATAAAAATTAAGAATGTAGAATAAATGCATACAAATAATCAAACGGAGATGGAAATAGTTTATTCTAATTATGTATAGGTAATTTTAACCATATTCTATTTCTATTAGCCTTATTAGTTTGTATTGCTAGAGTATCCGGTATTTAGAATAAATAAGTAATCGTTATCTAATAATGTTGTTGAGACTTAGCATAAAAAGTATTTCTATATTTATCGTTTTTCTTCGGAAATGGCCAAAGAAATTGTATTCACCTGAGAGTAGGCTAAGAATTTATAGAGATATACATGTTCTGTTCCTCATTCTCGTCTACTTAGAGAAAGCAGGGGGAAGAGACGTATTGATTCTTGCTATTTAATTAATACATATTTAATACAATAATATATATATATATATATATATATATATATATATATATGCATATATATAATATATATTATTCATAAAAATCTGTTTGACTATATTTCACCTTTTTAACGCTCTTTCACTGTGATTCCATTTTATTAATATTATAGATATATAATATATTGTATAAGTGATGAATATTTGAATATTAAAATGAGAAACGGAAATGGAATAGTGGCCAACTTTTGACCTGTAAAGTTTATATGAATAACTTTGTTGAACAACTAAATCAGTATAAACAACATTGTTCACCCCTCCTACTTCTAACGCAGGTTGTTGTTTTCGCTGTTCAATAATCTATATATATATTTTGATTTTTGTATGTTCAAATAGATAAGATAATTGAATAAATTGTAGTTTTTTTGTTTTTTGAGGTATACAGGATTTATCTATTTATATATTCTACCATTGGCGGCTTTAAAATAGATCAATAGGCACCGCAATAATCTATACAGTGTATATACAGTGTATACATTTGTAAATTCTCTATTTTTTATCCTTGTATTTAATAAATGATTATTTTTCTCATTAAAAGCACTTTTCAGAAGATATTGATGAGATGAGGTAAATAGATTAATGGCTGAGGAAAAGAAACGAATAAATAACGGAAGGAGCGAAGAGAATATAACGGCTACTGATGCAACACCGTTCTTTTTAACGTTAGCGGCCGCAAAATGGAAAAAAGAAACTAAATTATCACTCGAAAAGCACGAAACTATCGGTGAAAATCTGGAGAAATCATTGTTCGACAGTCTGAATTTAGTTTATTTCGAAAGAGAAGAGAAACTACACGAAATAAATAGTAGAGATGGTCAAAGGAAACTATTTATTTCTGATAATAATTGGTATACAAACGAAAAAGATAACATAATTAATACTTATAAACTTATTTCTGAGTATCGAACACCAAGAAATTTAGCTGAACCGGAAGCATGCGTTACTGTAAGCAGAAGTTACGATCCAATTGAACAAACATTACAAAAGTCAGTTATTCAATTCCTAAAATATATATTTAATGAGAATACTTGGATATTGACTTATGGCCGAGATACACCGGGTTATATTTCTGAGGTATTTGGAAAATTATACAAAGATAATAATAAGATATTTCTTCTTGGAATAACTGAAGATATTGAGGTAAATAAAATATCAAACGTATTCAAAAGTATTGATCTTAACAGATAATTTATAAATAGAAAAGCAGTACAGTAGGTTGTTATAAAAAAAAGGTTAAATAATCAATTTTTAGCTACTAAAAAACGTTTTTTATTAACCCAACTAAAAACCAATTGACTATATATTAATTATAATTAACTAATACTAATTATTAATTACATTAATTAGATAGAAGAGAAATGGAAAGCAATTTCCGGTAGACAATACAATCTACAACCGCAACATACAACATATATTAACTTTCCGAATGAGAAACAGTCGGATCGTTTTAGAAGATTACTCGAAGAGGAAATTGTTCGTAATATAAGGGAAAAGGATTCCAATCAGACGGAGAATGATTCTATTAAGGACGATAATGAGATTAATATTAGAACTCAAGTTTATAAATACGTCTATCTCTTAATCGGCGGAGACGAAACAACCTATTCACAATTAAAGAATTGGTACACAGTATCTTGTAAAGTACGTAGTTCGAGAAATGTTGTAATGATCGTGAAAGACAGCGGTGATATTGCAAATCTCCTAATAGAGGCATTAAGAATTGTTGATAAGGTACGAAGTTACGAGGACTACCAAAGAATATTAAGAAAATATGAATTCCTTTACGAGTTTGATAGTGAAGAAGCGTTTGAAATGCTTATGGATATAAAAAAAAGGCAAAGTTTTCTTGAAATTAGCGAGGAAAAGTGCTTTGAATCAAACGAGATTATCTCAAAAATAAACGCTTTACAAGAGTGCTTAGACGTCGATCTATCTCCAAATAATCTACTTTACGGAATTATGGATCAACCGGATAATACTTCCGACATTTTTACAGTCTTAAAGGTTATATACGATCATCTGTACAAATTAATTTGCTGCGAACATTTATGGAAACTATATCAGAAAATATTCACCATAGATAGTACTGGTACAGCAAAGCTACTGTGCTATCTATGCGAAGAAAAGTCGTCGCTTCACATTTCTACTTCGGAAACGTCTCTCTCGTCTGTAAGCGAAAATAGCAAATCTACTCCCCACCTAGATAGGATTAACAGACAAAGAGCTTCTTATGTAACAACTGAACTAATTGGCGACGACTGTTATATACATTATGATCCTACTACACCCGCAAAGTTTAGCCGCGAAGATAAGATAAGCTTAATAAAAGATATTTGGGAAAGTAGGAACTTTGAGCATGCAAGATATACAATGAAAAATGAGCGATATGTTTGGGACTTGTTAATCTATTCTATATTATCTAATAATAAGATATTAACTAATGAGCTTTTAGAACACACTAATAGCATAGCAGCATGCCTATTTGCCCTAGTTATATTTAAAAGACTGTCAGACAGAGCGGAACTAATATCTGAAGTAGGCTTACAAAACGAACTAAAAGAGAGTAGTGAATATTTTGAGAAATTAGCATCAGAAATATTAAAGGATTTATACAACAAAGATAGGAAAACTGCTTATGGTATATTGCAATCCTACGTCCCTATTGATAAAGCAAAGAATGTTCAAGTATTAGATATTGCAGTAAATACAGAAGCTAAATCTTTCCTATCAGGATCTTGCGTCCAAACTTACACCGACCTTGTTTGGAGAGCTGGTATGATAAACAATTGGAAATACCGTTTATTCATTCTACCAGGTTTTATTTTATTCTCACCTCTTGCCCTACTATTTGGATTGATAAGCTTTTCAAATTTACAAAAACTGGAAGATGATGATGATGATAGTGAAAATAAAGATTCAACTTTTAAACAGATAAAAAATAGTAATTTTATCGCATTCTTTCGCTCACCGGTGGTTAAATATTCATTTAAATTGACAATATACCTGTTTTTTCTGGGATTATTCAGTTATTTTATCCTAACAAAATTGACTCCGTACAAGACGAAAGATGCAGACGATATGACGATCTACGAACTTTTAATTATCATATGGGTAATCGGATTATTTTTTGATGAGTGTCGACAAATATTCCTTATTTGGTTGGAATATCGTCCTTTTGCATCGCAAGAGCGGAAAGGTTGTTTAAAAACGATATTTAATGTATTTTCGAAATATTTTCGAGGAGGTTGGGAAGTTTTGGATTTTACAAAGATATTACTTTTCTTTTGTTCCGTGGCTCTTAGATGGCGAGTTGAAGAAGATAATTTCGTTGTTGCTCGAATATTTTTTGGAATAACGTTAATTCTTTTCTATTTGAGATTGTTAAAGTTTGCTTACGTATTCGAAGCTTTGGGCCCAAGGATTCTTATAATTTTTATGATGACAAGAGATCTTATTCAATTCCTTTTTATAGCCTTTATCTTCTTATTTAGTTTTGGAATTTCTTATCAAGCAATTCTGGGCCAATGGGTCGATACGGATGTATCATTCTACAACGTTAGTACCGCTATAATAGCACCTCAATTTTGGAGAATTTTCGGAGAATTACAATTAAAAACCATTGATAAAGATAAACAATCTTCAGATGTTTTTAGGTGGTTTCTACCCGCCTATGTTGGAATATACTTAATAGCTATGAACATTCTACTATTGAATCTACTTATTGCAATATTTACTAATTCCTTTGAACAAGTCAGAAGTGAATCAAAACAAGTTTGGGGTGCTCAGAAAGTTAGTTCAACGAGAGAGTATAACCTCACTCCCCTCTTTCCATCCCCTATTAATATTATTACAATCATTCTTGAGATAATATTTAAAATACTTATAAAATGTTTAATATGCTGCTTTGGCGACGGTCAACCTGAAAGGGGTGCAAGCTTAAGAAGAGAATTTTTATCAAAGAGGGCAAGGCTTCAGATGTCACTAAAAGACGCTGTCATTTCCGCTCAACCTAAAAGCTTGGAGAATGACGAAAAGAATGTTTTAGAATTTTTATCAGATCTTTCAGTTGACGTTGCTCAAATGAAAAAGTCGTTTACAGCGTCTTCTGTCAAAAATGACAATATACACGATTTGAGAAGTGAAATAGAAGAAATAAAGAAACTAATGCGCGACCTAAAGAGAACATCGAAGATTAATAACAATAATAGTAGAGAAAACTTAGTAAGTACAGTAGTGATGGATACTGGTCTAAGAAGAAGAAATACTGGAGAAATTCAAGAAACAGCAATAAAGAAGGAATTGGCACCAAAAACTTCAGCAGCACAAAAATATTCGGATAGTCCAATAAGTAATGTAAGTCAGACATTCTATAGAAAACTTTCCGATGTTAATGTAAAGGTCGAAGGTGAAAAAAAGGAAAAGGACGACGGTGCAACTATTGAAATAGAAAGCCAATGGTTGTAAAATGGAACATTACAATATATGTAAAAAAAAAACGAAAAAATAAGAAAAAGATGCCAATAAAATATTTAAAAAATGCTTGAATAGGTCAAAAAGTAGTTTGTATAATCAATAAATTATTTTTTATACCATTTTTCATACTGGAAAAGAATGTTTTTATTTGTTTGTTTACTTTTTGATTGATTTTGTACTGAAAGATATTTATATATTAGATATATAAATAGATGTAGTTTTTTCTTAAAATACATATTGATTATTGTACTCAGGAATGTTGTTAAGTAATATTTTTAACATTTCTCTTAAATTTTTGTGGTAATCGTGTGTATAATACTTCCGTTCCAGATTACGGATGAGTAATGCTACTTTTTGTATTTAAGCTACTGTTTATGCTCTCTCTATTGATGAATGCTTAATTAGTCATCTCTTATACTAAAAATTTAAGAACAAAAATTTTTCTTTGTTCTTTTCTTAATGCTTTTTAATCTTTTACAAAAAGGCAGAGGTTGGAGGACCGCTTTTTGTATTTAAATTTAGCGGTGGGAGAATATACCGTTTCGGCCATCTTGCGGCTGATGGAATAGATTGAATTTCACAAATTTGATTATAACACTTCTCTATGTAATTTACTACGCATATATTAATGAATTATTTACATTTCTATTGAACTTTATTAATTTATAGTACAAACTATTCGTCTTTAATTATAATAGTGTCGTGGATTTTTTGTTTTTAAAAGTGCCATCTATCGGATACTTTGAAAAACCCGGTAACCGCCACCGTGCTTCACATTAACCGGTTTGTTTGAATAGCGACAACAATGAGCAATAATATCTAAATTTCTCCCAAGTGAAAAAACATATACAATTGATCAGATTTTAAGAAAATGACTGCCGATCGAATAACTCTACCTGATGCTCTACAAAATGTGGAAGTGCTCGACGAAATGATATTGCCGGACGAAACGCCATGTATCGAAGCTTCATCAGTTGCCATCCATTACAAGGCCGATTTGGATACAAATTTTGAGGATAGCAGCGCTTATGTTACCGGCGTAGCCAAATATATTGAAGAGGCGACAATTCACGCTAAGCTAGTAAGTCTATAATCCAAAGTTCTTAAAGGGTTACTTTGAGCGAAAATGGGGAAGATTATGTTAATTAGGCTTAGTTTGTATAATGTTTCTATTGTTTTAAAAAAATTGATTGTTGAACAAGATTACTCGATGAATAGTTATAAAGGTTGTGATTTAGTAAATAAGTTATCAAATTTGATATTAGACTAATATGCGTATAATAATTATAACATGAGTAACTATTGTATTTATAGAAGCTACTTTTCACAAGTAATATTATATATCTTTCTTTTCTTGTCTTTCCACTATCTATACTCTTCCGATAGAATCAATAGATAATATTCAATTAGACGTTACGTCAATTGTTTTCTAAATAAGATAAAGTTGTTTTTTTTTTATAGGTAAAATTCTAGTTAATTTATGTATTTCTTCCTTTTCTAAAACAGAATGAACTATTGGAAAGAGGAGAGGAATACGCTTCAATGCTTTATACATGGAGATGTTGTTCAAGAGCATTACCTCAAGTAGGTCACACTTATCTTTTTACGTTCTATAAATCATTCAATTACTCTACTTTTAAAACTAGGTTAAATCAAATGAACAACCAAATAGAGCTGAAATATATGAAAGAACTGTCGAAGTACTTGGAACGCACGTTGATAAACTTCTACATTTAATGTATTTCCAAGTATGTTTAATTGATTTCTAGAATAGTTTCTTTTCAAATGGATTTAATATAATATAATATCAGAATATATATATGTATATACACAACTTATATAATTTATACTATTTGCAGGCGTCAGCCATTGATCGGTTTAGTAATGAAGTTAAAAGACTTTGTCATAGAGAGAAAAAATACGATTTTGTATCGGAAGCATATCTATTGACTTTGGGGAAATTTATTAATATGTTCGCCGTATTAGATGAATTAAAAAATATGAAATCAAGCGTAAAAAATGACTATTCAGCCTATAGAAGGTAAATAATTTTTCATTATTTTAATAATATATTTTATTAATATTGCTATTAATTTATCTATAGAGCTGCGCAATTCTTAAAAGTTATGGCTGATCCTGGAAAATTGCAAGAATCGCAAAATTTATCAATGTTTCTCGCAACTCAGAATAAAATAAGAGATACGTTAAAAGAGAAATTACAAGAAATACCAAATTTTGAAGATCTTATATCAGAAGTTGTCCAATTAGCTGTACATATGTTTGAAAATAATTTCTACGTCAATCCTGACGAGAAGCATATGCTAGTCAAAGTATTAAATTATTATTATTAATAATAATAAGGATAATAATAAAATAATATCTAAATCTAGATTATGGGATTTAGCTTGTATTTAATGGATAGTAAAGAGACAACGATTAATAAGTTGGATAATAAGAAAAAAATCAGTATAGCAAGAATTGATAAGATTTTTAAGGTTAGTGGGTCATTTTATAGTTTTTTTCACAATTATATTTGGTTAAGGTATCTCTAGCATTTGTCTATATATGAAGAATATATTATATATATATTTATCTTATATATATAGTATATACTGTATATAAAATACGTAAAAAATGTCTGTTAAATATTTTTTATAGGTTAAATTATTGCATTTATTCAATTTATTTATCTCATGCTGCTTTTTTTTTTTTGCAGCAATTAGAGGTTGTTCCATTATATGGAGATATGCAAATTGCTCCATTCAATTATATTCGACGCAGTCCAAATTTTGAACCAGCTAGATGGCCTCTTTGTATGTCTAATCAGATATCGAGTCAATCAAATCTTTTGGAATTTCTTCCTCAAATGAGAGAGGAACATACCCGTTATATCAGTCAGTTGGCGAGACATCACAATGATGTATTAATATTTCTTTATTCATGCGTATTTATACTAATATATTATTATTATTATTATAATAAACTAGGCTATTACTGGTCAAAGAGATATAATTAAGTCGGATGAAGAAAATAGAGAACTATGCAAAATGGCTTTATTTGGTTTTAAATTATTATCATCGTGGACTTCTAAAGTAACCGAACTGGTTTGTATTTGAAAATATATATCGTACTCTATAAATATTAGAAATATGTATATAATTGTCGTATAGTTTTCGTGGAAGTTACTACATCCTACTGATCATCATCAAAATAAAGAATGTCCTGCTGATTCGGAAGAATATGAGAGAGTAAGTTGAAATGTAATTTTCTGGGAAACTGTAAAACTTCGTTTTTCTAATTGTGTTTATCATTTTCATAGAGTACAAGATATAATTATTCTAGTGAAGAGAAGTTTGGTCTTGTTGAAGTAATCGCTATGGTTAAAGGACTACAATCTCTTATGTTTAGGATGGAAGCAATTTTCACCGAAGCAATACATCGTCATATCTATACAGAATTACAAGAATTTGTACAAGTTCAACTCAGAGAACCTTTGAGGAAGAGTATTAAAAATAAAAAAGAAGTTGTCAGAACGTGAGTTCCATCAAATTTGGTGCAAATTTAATATTATTATCAATATTTATTCCCTAATGGGCCTTAGTGGTTTATATTATACAAAAGAGGGAACTAAATGCAATAGGAAATATTTACTTTGATACGATTTTATAGCCTCTTCTCTATTTACCTACAGAATTATTGTGTCTGTGAGAGAAACTTGTGCTGACTGGTTTCGCGGTGTCGAACCAAACAACGATCCATCTCTTAAAGGAAAGAAAGACTCGGACGATAGGCAAGTTTTAACAATTAAATTTGATGAAGCAAGCCTTAAAAGAAAACAAACAAAAACAAAGATTTCAAACAATAAATTCAAATTTTATGTATTTGTTGGAAAAAAAGGCATAAAATTTCGAATTTATATGATAAATGCAACGACAATTGGAAGTAGTATGCATACAATTCCAAATGTAGTAGAAGCAACACCGTCCATCACATCAAAATCACGCAGACGCGGTTTATAGGATTTGTTTGCCTGCGCAATTTCAAAGATGAAAATAGAGGCGATAATTACCAAAGCTATAAAACATAGTAGTGTATATGTATACATAAGAGAAAACAATATTAATATTCATATAATAATAATAATAATACTTACTAAAAAAGACAAGCGATTTCATTCCAATGGTTGTAGTGTTTTGATCGTTTGTATTTTAGTATCTTTTACTATACATTTATACTTGTTTTTTAACAAGAAAATGACATATAAAAGATATAATTATATAATTTCAGTCAAATTATTCCATATCCTAATAATAAGAAAACGGGACAAAGCGAAAAACTTAATATATTTATAATTTTATTTACAATTACAGATTTCAAATTAAAGTACCTAGGCGTAATGTCGGTCCAAGTAGCACTCAACTTTATATGGTAAGAACTATGCTGGAAAGTTTAATATCGGATAAATCCGGTGGTAAAAAGACAATCAGAAAGGATATTGATGGAGCTCATTTGATGACAATTGATGAATTTCATAAAAAATCTTATTTTTGGCCTTATTTACTTAATTTCAACGATACTATTCAAAATTGTTGCGACCTATCCCAATTATGGTATAGAGAATTTTTTCTAGAAATGACTATGGGAAAGAGAATTCAATTTCCCATTGAAATGTCTATGCCATGGATTTTAACCGATCACATACTTGAGAGGCAAGATTACTCAATGATGGAATATATATTATATCCATTAGACTTATATAATGATTCTGCCCATTATGCACTTCAAAAATTTAAAAGACAATTTCTTTACGACGAAATTGAAGCTGAAATGAATTTATGCTTTGATCAATTTGTTTATAAACTAAGCGAAATGATATTTTCTCATTATAAACACTGGGCTGGTAGCGTTATGCTAGATAGAAGATTCAGGGCTGACTGCTTTGCACTTGGAACTGTCATACCCCAATCTAGTCCCAATCGATATACGTAAGTATTATTGAATTTCTTCTTGTAACAAAATTTCAATTTATTTATTATACTTTCTCTCCCATATAGGACTTTACTCAGACAACGACATATTCAAATTTTAGGTCGATCTATAGACCTTAATCGTTTAATTGGTCAAAGAATTAATGTTTCTCTTCAGCGATCATTAGATGTTGCTATAAATAAATTTGAAAGTAGCGATATAACTGGAATAATTGAACTGGAAGGACTCATTGAAGTTAACCGTCTATGCCATAAGTTTTTGAGCAAATATCTCAGTTTATCAGAATTCGACGCCATGTTCCGCGAAGCCAATCACAATGTGTCAGCACCTTATGGACGAACTACTCTACATGTTTTCTGGGAATTAAATTATGACTTTTTACCAAATTATTGTTACAATGCAGCTACTAATCGATTTGTTAAAACTGCAATGTCATTTACAAAACCCAATCCAAGAGATAAGTTAGCCAGCGTCGCTCACCACTACCTTTGGGGTACCAAAGCTTTAACAATATCATTCGGCGCCATCTATGGTTTATACAGTGGCTTCGTTGGACCTTCTCACTTCAGAGCCATCTGTAGACTATTGGGATATCAGGGCATTGCAGTGGTTATAGAGGAACTTTTGAAAATTATAAAATCCTTAGTAAGTCTCTTTCGTTTCTGAACGATAGATTACTAATAGAGAAAACGAAACTTTTTTCTTTTTTAAAGTTACAAGGATCGCTAGTCGAATATGTTAGAAAGTTAATGCCTTTGATGCCAAACGTTTGTGGGTTGGTGAGAACCGATAAAGGATCAGAAGGTAAACGAATTACTAATTAATTTAAATAATCATTTACTTTGATTATCAATTTATATATAGGTGCTTTACACTACTATTATGCTCAGTTAAGCGAAGTTTTAAAATTTAACGATTTAAGAACTGAAGTCTTGCAAAGTTTCCGTGAAATTGGTAACGCTATTCTATTCTGTTTATTGATTGAACAGGCTTTGGTAAGGATATATATTTCTCTATAAAATTTTCAATTATAGAATTAATTAATGAATTATGTTTTTCTAGTCGCAAGAAGAAGTTTTAGACTTAAAACATGCAGCACCTTTCCAGAATATTATACCAAAACCGTTCTTACAATACAAGGAGGGAGAGTCGAAGAGAGAAAGAGAAGCAAATATGAGAGCGATGATGAAAAAATTAGAAGCACGTTACGCCGCTCTACAAATTGTACCATTAATATCAAAACTTGGAACACAAAAACAGGCGGATTTAGCCGCCGAAGGCGATTTATTAACAAGAGAGAGATTATGTTGCGGTCTATCAATGTTTGAAATTGTTTTAACAAGAATAAGATCGTTTTTAGAAGATCCGATTTGGCATGGTATGGTTCCACCAGCTAACCACGTGATGCACGTTGACGAATGTGTTGAATTTGAAAGATTGTGGAGCGCAATTCAATTCGCCTATTGTATGCCAGTCACCGACAATGAATTTACTATTGAGTAAGTTTGTCAAATATATAATAAAATGTACAAATTATCAATAATTGTGCATTTCTTTATAAAGGAAACTATTTGGAGAAGGTCTAAATTGGGCAGGATGCGCTCTTATCGTTCTTCTTAATCAACAAAGACGATTCGAAGCATTAGACTTTTCGTATCATCTTCTGACCCTTAATAGAATTGATCAAAAGGACGAAGTTTGTCGTGGGATACCTCTAAAGAGAATGGTTGACAGAATAAGAAAATTTCAAATTCTCAACAATCAAATTTTTGCTATTCTCAACAAATACTTGAAACCGAATGAGGCTAATGAAAGCCTACCTTTCGAACATGTTAGGTGCTTCCAACCTCCAATGCTTCACAGGGCTAATGGCGTATTAAGATCGTAAAATTTGAAGAAATGGGATTAAAAGAAAACTTAATATATTTATTTTCCCTTACCGCTGTACCTTAACCGCTTATTTATGTGCTTCTTTTTTTCTTTAACGTACGTTTTACACATCATTTTAGAGACTTGCGTGAAGATAACTAAGTGCTTTTATAGAAATATGTATATATATACAGTATATATTAATATATATATATATATTTATATGTATATACAATTCAAACAGAGTTGTCATGGAGAAGGAGTTTGAAGAAAACCAAAAAAAGAAAATTCTCATTCATTATATCATAAAATATTTATAATAAAGACAGAGTAACTAGACTTTTGTACATAATGAAACATCCAACTTGTATCTAAATTTTATATAAACTATATATTACTGTTGAAAAAGATTTCATAATTTTTTTCATCACATATCTCTCTCTCTCTCTCTCTCTCTCTCTCTCTCTCTCTTTCTTTTTCAATTTTCATTCTCTTTTCTTTGCAGTATTAATTGTACGCTTTATAATATTAATAAGAATGATGATGATAATAGACTTTATACATTTGTACAAGTGTAGATTGTTCTACTTTTACTCATTTTATTTTTTTTCTTTGGAAAAGAACTCAATAAAAAATAGTAATCATTAATAGAGGAAACATAGCTATAATACATATAGGCCAAATTTAGTGAAAAGTATACGACATTTGTATTATTGACGGAGGTGGTTAGGAGGCCAATATTGGCCATAATCGATATAGTAAAACTTTGACACGGAAGTTTAAGCAGACGGGAGAAAAAAGAGAAAGTCTGGTAAGTTTACAGTATTTAAAGAATTATTAGGATTTATTCTAATATCTAATTTAAATATTTATAATATTAGCAAACTTTATAAATATCTTGGACGATTATTATAATAAATAAGACTATAATTGCGGAATATGCATCATATATTTCATTCCTTATCTTATTAATAGCTTGTATATTATAAAGCAAGAGAACAGCCTAAAACTACTTATTCCTATCTTAATCTCTTTCGGTCCATGTAAATATATATATATATATAAATTCATGTCATGAGCGTGTTATTATTCGATCTTACCATCGTTTTTTTTAATAATATTCTATAAGCTTTCATACATATGATATACACAAAAAGATAAATAAACTAATTGTGCATTCAGTATTTATATATGCATTAGTTATCTATTAAATATTTCTATCTGACTGGAAAATCAGTAATAAAGAATATTTATTTACCTACAAAACTCTATTAATTACCAACTGGATGATTCATTATAAAATATTCCAGACATTGAATTAACATTCTCAACGTAATATCATTTACTTTCTCTCTTTAGTTTTCTTTTTTAAATACGATAAATATATAGATTTCCCTTTAAATTATTATATTAATTAATTGATTTATTAATTAACTCTTTATTACTGAATGATGGGAATAGAATGAACAAAAAAAAAGAACCTACCCATAAAAAAAAGAACATTTAACTTTTGTTTTTATACATTTTGGCGGTTAAAACGATATGATAAGACACTTGAGTAGATTTAATACAATTATATCATTTGCATATTTAAATTTACTAGTATGTTATTATGTTTGGGTATTCATTTTAATCTTTGTAATATCTATTTTTAATCTGTCATAGTATTAAAGAAATCGATTAAGATTTAACGTATGCTTTATATATATATATATATATATATATTTGTTAGTTTTCGTACGATAGGCAACATTTTCAATATGTATTAAATAAAAATTTGTATGTTCTACGAAAGTAACAACACCTGATCTTTATGTTCTAGTTTTTATTACTTTTATCACTTTGATCTGATATTTATAGTTAAATTAAATAGACAATGAATATCCCACCTCCACCTCCGCCACCTCCACTTCCCGGTCAACAACTTACAAAGAACAAACCTGGACAAATTCCATCAGCTCCTTCGCCATCGTCTACCTCGACTCTTGGCTATTCACCAACTCGTGCTGCTCCACAACCACCAGCTTCCCCTATGACTGCTGGTATACCTGGACCTCCAGCCCCTCCCCCACCTCCTCCCCCGATGGATGCTTCTGCCCCGATTCAAAATCCTTCTCCTCCCCCTCCCCCAAATCTTCCACCTCCTGCAAGTTCTCCTCATCTTCCACCTACTCCAATATCCTCTCCTTCCTTTGCTGCCAATTCGCCAAGAATGATGAGCGCCTCTCAATCTGTTCCGAGATGTTCACTACCGCCTCCACCGCCTCCCCCACTATCCACCCTTCCTCATTCGCCTCCACCGAATATTCATTCTGTTCCATCGTCGTCACCTTCCGGTGGTGATGCAAACAATAACGCTTTCGAATCGCCACCTATTTATCAGTCGATATCTGTGACAAGTACGCAAGATACGCTGGACGATTCTTTCGACGACGAAATCGAACCAGCTAAAGAAGGAGCACAAGATGATCTACGTAAGAATATGGATTTACTAGATATTCTCCTAAGTTCAATTCTCCTAAATACGGACGGCAGTCCAAAATTTCAAACGGATATACAATCGACTTTGTCGGAAATCATTTATTACTTGGATAGTGGTACAGCCGACGAATGGAATGCAAAGCTATACATTTCTGATGAAAAAGAATATAATATGTTAACAATGGAAATAGTAAGTTAATTAATTAATTAATTATTTAAAAATCTCAGATTATCTCTCTTTTTTTTCTTTATTTATAGAAATTTATAACGGAAATGGTATGTAATATTAACATAGTAATAATATTATATAATAATAACAAAATAGCGTATGTTTAAATATAAAAAAGGGATACTTCCCTTCTAGTCCCTTCCCTTCTCTTCCCTCCCTTTATTGTATAAAATAGTATAATAGGGTCTGCTTTAAAAAATCTATTTTTATATAAATTATCGTTCAAAAGAAAATCCTCTTGGAAGAAGGTGAAAGGCAAGCTTCAATGCTGTATACGTGGAGACCGTTATCAAAGGCAATTCCTAAAGTTTGTTGATAGTTTGTTTTATATAGATTACAATCTAATTTATGTGTATTTACAACCGTTTATAGTTTACTTCCGGCGGTACGGGAGAGAGTAGTGAATTGTACAATTGCTGCTTAGAAGTTATGGAACCTTATATAAATAAACTGCAAAAATTTAGAGATTTTGTAGTAAGTTTTCATCTTTAACGAAGGAAAATAAAAGAAAACATGTTTTTTTTTCTTTTTTTTTTTAAAAAAAAACAGATGAACGCCGTATCGAGATTCATTGAGATAATTGAGAAAATTCTACTTCAAAATACATTTGTTACTCAAAGCCTTAGAATACAAATAGCGAAAACAGTGAATCTATTCGCTGTATTAGACGAGCTAATTAATTCAAAGACGAGCATCCTAAATGATTATACATTTTATAAGAGAGTTAAACAGAATTTACACGGTACTGGAAGTAGTCAACAAGCTCTACCCGATGTTCATAATTTGGGAATATTCTTAGCTACTAAAAATCGTATATTTACAAAATTGAAAGAAGTTATTGATCATAAAAAATTAAAAGGATTCGAAGATTTCTTCTGCGATATAATAAACGAATGCTTATCATTATATTTTAATAAGCAATATTTTTCACCGTCTGATAAGCATGTATTAATTAAATTTGTTGCTTTTGGATTGTTTCTTATCGATTCGCAATTTGTCGACGCTACCAAATTGGATAAATTAAAGAAATTAAATATTTCAAAGATTGATAAAGCATTCAAGAATGTTGAAACTTTACCATTGTATGGCGATATGGTTATTTCACCATTTCAATATGTTAGTATGACTAAACATTTTGATCCGTCTAAGTGGACGCTCTGTATGAGCGAAGAGAGAAATCTTCAGGGTAATATCTCTAAAAGATCGGCGAACGTTCAGAGTGAAATGAATAATTTCATAACGAAACTTCGATATTTCGAAATAGAGAATAAAGGTATTGTGACAAAAAATAACTGTCAGAGGTTATATAAATTAGCAATCGAAGGATTACAATTACTCTCTTCGTGGACGGCTTTGGTTACCGAAGTATTTTCTTGGAAACTTCACAAGCCGGCCGATTATACAGAAGAAATGAATAAAGCCCTCTCGTCCTGTCCGGATGAAAAGGAGAGAGATAGAATTCGAGTTCTTTTCGAAGAGACAAAGATTTACGAATACGCAACGAAACATAACTACGACGACGAAGAGAAGATTGCCCTTATTACTGTTATTGCTTCTATAAAGACCGTTCAAAAAGAGATGAAAGCGTATTCAAAAACTCTGTCGGAAGGTATTCGAAAGTCTATATACTATAGAACTCAGAAATTGATTAAGGAAGATCTTCGTGATACTCTAAGGAAAGCTGTAAAAAATGGAAAAGAAAAACTAAGAAATCTTCTTGTTTTTAGCCGAGAAACAATTGGCCATTGGCCTCCAAATTACAATCCTAATTCAGATCCAATTTTACAAGGGAAAAAGATGAAAGACTTAGATTTATCAACAAACTCCGATACTTGCCAAACTACTGAACAAACTCATTTATTGCGAACTATACTTGAATATATTATTTCAAGTAATCCAACTGGTGTATTTGCTAAAAAGAACTTGGAGAAAGATACTAGTTTGGCTATAGAGGATTTCCTGAGCGAATCTTTTCTTTGGGAGCAATTATTGAATTTTGATAGAACTTTAAAAAATTGTTGTGACCTTTCTCAGTTGTGGTTCAGAGAGTTTTTTATTGAGTTGGCTAAAGGCGAAAGAGTTCAATTCGAAGCCGAAAGCTCTATGCCTTTCATTCTAATTGATTTCCTTGTTGAACATAACAAATCGGAATATGTAGAGTACGTCTTCTACGCGTTTGATTTGTATAATGATAGTGCCGATTACGCTCTCAACGTTTTCAAGAAGAAGTTTCTATACGAAGAGATTGAAGCGGAAGTGGATCTTTGCTTTGAACAGTTCTTATACAAACTGTGCGATCATATGTACAACTATTATAGGACACTAGCTGGAAGGTAGGAACTATAATATATATATATAATATATATAATTGTGAATATTTTCAGTTTAACGTTAAAATCATATTTGGGAAATCACGTGACTAAAAAATTAAGCAAAGATTTACGTATACACGCCAGAAGGAATTTCTTACCGCTTCTTAGTCAAACGAATATAAGAGTAAGTTATTTTAAAAGAATGTTAACTTATTAATTAGTTGAATAATTTTATTTTTTAATTAGCTATTAGGACGTAATATTGATCTAAAGAGAAGAATTTCACAAAGATTGAACATGTTCTTTAGTCGTTCGTTAGAGAATGTTCTACACTATTTTGAATCGGTTAATTTACACACCATATGCGTAAGTATACAACATTACTTTATTTAATTATTAATTAAGTAATTAATTAGTTAATTACTTCTATATATGATTATTATTATTTATAATTTTCCCTTCTCTTTCTACTTAGGAAATCGAAGGTATAATAAATGTTACTAAATTAGCTCATAAGCTTATTTCCGAGCATATTACGCTTACTCCATTTGAACATCTTCTACAAATGGCAAGATATGATTCGAAAAGTGACAGATGTCGAATTGCTCAAAGAATTGTACAATGCGTTACGGATGATTTACCACTTTACGCTTATAATACGTCAACGGCAAGATTTGTCATGTCGGAGATAAGATCGAAAACTGAAGAAGCTAGAATTAGTAAGGAAAAGGGAGGTAAAGAAGATAAAAGACGATTTATGGATCATAGAGATTCTTGGGGTAGTAAGGAGCTGGTAGACGCTTTTAGAATTATATATTTGCCATACACTAACTTTATAGGATTACCACATGCCGTTAGCATTTGTAACTTTCTTGATTATGCTGGAATAAGCTATTTACTAGAAGAATGTGTGAAATTTATTGAAAAGTCTCTAAACGATATTATAATGCCGTTTGTTCGGTCCATTAAGAAAGCGTTACCACCAGAGGGAATAAAACTGCCTAGGTACATTACTTTTATAGGAAAGAATGATAATAATTAATAATTCTCTTCCAACAGATACGAATATGGTCACGTTGGCGCGTTCACTAAATTTAGAACGGCTTTTGTTCATATACTTAAATTCGATTTATCGGATTTGTACGAAGCTTTAGCGGGAGCCGGAAATTGTTTAGCATTCTGTCTAATTATTACGGAAAATGTATTTGTAAATGAAACTAATAGTATTAGATTGGGTGGATATTTTTGTAATAATTTACCTACACCCTATATTGAACAAGATGAGAAATCAACTCATTCGAAAAAGAAAGCGGAAGCGTTAAAGAAATTGAAATACGAGAATAAAAATTGCTACGTTCGATTTGTTGCCGAAAATTTTAAGGAATTAAGCGACGATAGAAAGAAGTTAGTTAAACAGAATGAATTATTAGAAAGAGAAAAATTAGTTTGCGGATTGAATATTTTCCCAAAAATTTTGGATAAATTAAAAAAGAAATTATGCCAAGAGAACGATAAGGATTTATGGTTTGGAGATGAACCGGAAAATGGTATAATGCATATAACGAATTGTTCAGAATTTTATAGAGTTTGGAGTGTTTTACAATTCGTTTTCTCAATACCAACAATGTCGGCCCACGCCGAAACTGTCGAGTAAGAATCTTGGTTTTTTCTTCTTCTTTTTTTTTATATATAGATCAATACATATAGTTTCTATTATTTTCTTCAGGGCATTGTACGGCGATGGTCTACAATGGATGGGATGTTCGCTTATACAACTTTTAGGACAGGAAAGGAAATTTGAAGTATTAGATATTTCCTATCATATTGAGAAATTATACGAACCAGCTAAAGGCGGTACTAAAAATAAAATGAATGATCAAATGGTAACTTTAAAATTGATTCTATAATTAGATATTTAACTAGTACAAATGTAATTTAATCTTCTTTATTTTGCTTTTTTTTAACAGTATAATAAGTTAATGCAAAGAATTCGAGCAATGCATAAAATAAATAGTGAAATTTTTGGTATTGTTGGAAAGTACTGCTGTACTCAATCTCAACCGAAAGAATCAATTAAAAATCAGTTTGAGACCCCTTTAGAAAATGTTCATCATTTCGATCCACCTTTGGAGATTGACTTAGATCAATCGTCGGCAATCTCAATAAAAACTTCATTAAATGTGGTATCGGATGAAGTTGAACCTCCAAAACAAAAGGTTGAAACTGAAGTTTAGAAAGTAATGACTATAAAAAAAACAACAACAACAATAGAATAAACTACTTTTATCTCTTTCCATAAAAATTTTTACAAGTATTCATCTTATCTAACTCTTATATACTTTCTATCCATCTTCTTTCTCGTCCCTGCTCTCTCTCTCTCTTTCCTCCCTCAATTTCTGCCTATCTGTCTTATATATCTATTTATCTATCTCTTAACCACCTTTTTAATTAACTTAATAACAAAAACTGTTTTATTATGAAAGCCTATGGCTATGTTTCTCTTCTCTCTCTCTCTCTCTCTCTCTCTCTTTTTAACTAGTCATAAACAAAGTACATGTATAATAAAAGAAAAAAAAATTATTGAAATTAATATTTTTTACTATTTTCATATATTTTTTTATGTGTTTTAATCTCATTAAAAGGATGTATAGTTCAACTTGGATAACATTGTTTTCGTAGTACATTCACCTAGCGGAATTTATAATTGGTTTATGGCAACTGATCTTCCGCCATATTTGATAATATTTTTAGGCCAAAAGGTTGTTGTAAAATGTCGTCATCATCAAAATCTGGTAGTATACGTTTAATGAGAAAGGAGGAGGAGGCCGATTTACGGTGGCGAACTTTTATCTATCTTAGATTCAAGAATATTTTTCCATCATTTTTCAAAACCTGGCATAAGATGCCAGTCCTGTGGATTTACTATATCCTGTTGGCTGTTATTATGCAGAAATACCTTTACTATTCATTTATAGTCTCAGTAATATCTTCGTATCTTGTGATTATAGGTTATCATTTTTCTTCGTTCGTATTGGTGTTGAATTGTCTCCAGTGGTTTAAAAATCATTATTTCGACCTATTTGACCACTATCAGAAGATAGAAAAAGCAGGTGTCTTTGTATATGCCGACGAGGATGACAAACCAGCAGGAGTATTCATATTAGTACCAAAAAATTCTACTACTCTAAACATTCATAGCGTAAGAGTGAAAGAAGAATATAGAAGAAGGGGAATTGGAAGAAAGATAATGGAATTCACTAAGGAATATGCAAAAAAGGAAAATTTTAAAATAATTTCACTAACGACATCCACCTTGAATGTGGTATCAAATAAATTTTATCCCACTATAGGCTTTGAAAAACAACCAAAAACAGATATTTTGATAACAACCCTTCCGTTTGTCTACTTTTACTATTTAACCTACAATTACTACGTGAGATAAAAGTTCCAAAGTTTCTAGCATTTCTGAGATTTTAAAGTTTTCTTGCTAACACAGCTAATATATTTTACAATTTTGATAACATTTATTAAGAAAATAAATGGAATTTAAAGGCAGTTAATGACTTGTATAACTTTTCCATTCTTTATAAGACTTTCCCGGCAATTGTTGATTGTTTCAACTTTTTTTACAAATGGAAAGAATTTATGTAAACGACTGCAGTCAATTTCTGTAAGAGTTTTATTACTACTCTTCTCCTCCTTATGACTCCAAGAAGCACCTTTGCACATTTTATAATTGAACAAATTACTAACAATAGCCGTATAATTTGATGGTACAGGCAACAGCCAATTCCAGAACATCCTATTCTTCACCGGTAGGAAATGTTTTAATTGGAAATAACGCAATTTCTCACTGACGCTTGCATCATCTATAAATATCATGTTATTGCTTAATATCTTATAAAAAAATACATCAATCATTGGCCATTTCTCCAAGCGTGAATCCTTTCCAGGTATAGGCATGCTTCTATTCCAGTGGAATATCTTAAACCATCTCTTCCTTCTAAAGAGTTGAGTCAATCCTCCTCGTGTTGAATAAGATACCGCTCGGAAATCTGGCATTGAGTTAAATATCGCTAATAATAATTGTTTCTTTTCAATTGGTACTAGAATATCAGTATCATCATCCCAAGGGATATGACCTTGATGCCGTATAGATCCTAATAAGGATCCGTGATATAACATGAACGTTATATTATTTGCCATTAAAGTCGAATAAACCCTTTCAAGAAGTTTGTAATACCATAAAAATGTAGTCCTATTGAAAACAGGTTGAATTTCACAAAGCCAACGGGGATTATATTTATGATTTGCAAGTGTAAACCAGATTTGAAATATCTCGTCTGTGTTGAATGTATTTTTGTTATATTTCAATTGTTTTCCATCGCTACTATTTCGGAAATCCTCAACTGATATATATTTCATAAGCAACGAATCGCTTATTTCCTTTTCAATATCTTTATTATCATAACTTTCCAAAATATCTGGTAATCTATTCAGTAATAGACAAGTGAGTAAAATACTAACTGACAGTAAAAGAACATAGACTGCCTTTCGCTTTATTTTTCTATATATATACATTGATTCTAATCTGTAAGAAAAAAAGAAAACAAACGATTTTCTTGTGTTAAACTTATGAACAGAAGAGGAGAATACAAAAAAGATAGAAAGTATAAGCAACTTAAACTATTCAATTTGAATATAGTATAAACAATTTATTGTAACAGTTAAAATAAATAACAATTCATTCATTATTTTAAGATGAGTTTTTCAAAGAGAATTCTTGATAAAATGCCTTCTTACAGTATATATATTTATATATAATAATTTAGCAGGAGCCTACCATTAGAGAAGAATACAGCTGGAATTTGAACTTGATCATTAAGTACCCAAAAAGCTATAATAATTGACTCTTTAATAGAATGAATTATGTACCAGCATTTACATATAATATACAGTAGATGTAAACAGTGTATATATATATATATATATATATATATATATAGCGTATAGAATACACTTAGATACCAAGATAATCAAAATAGGCCTATAGATATCCTGTGTAATTTCTACAATACCGCTATAATTTACCAAGGATGATTTCTTATTTATCTTTACAGTTTGATTGGTAAATAGATAGAATTACTCACCTTTTATGAGATATTAAAAATTGTAAACTAATTTTTTCTCCTAAATTATAGTCTACAACTTTTTTTATTATGAAAAAACGATGATACTTTTGAAAAAAAAACAAGCTAATCAATATAAACATGTTTCCATTCTTTTAGAATTTTCAGACGACTTACCAATTTTTCCAGCACTTGTATATCAACATATTTAAATCTGCTTTTGTACGTACATATATGATTGAAGACAGTTTGAAAGAAAGTGTCTTTTTGAAGTATACAGAGAGAGAGAGAGAGAGACAGAGTGAGGGAGGGAGAGAGAGACTAGCACGTTATATGCACGCGCGCGCGCGCGCACACACTGATATATATATATACAGTATATATATATATATATACACATGTACAAACATAACAGAAAAGAGAAACAAGCCTACGCATATTGAAAAAAATAATTAGAAACCTGAATCCTTTAAACAAAAGTTTTAGTTAAATCAGTTGAAGTGAAATTTAGGCAATCACGATCGAATTCAACTTAAAAGCTGTTCACCAAAAGGCAAATTTTTGTTCTATCCTGGAAATATACTAGCTATTTTATCATTTATCACTATCTATAACAGTTTCTTCTCATTTTCTACAGTACCTATTCGATTATGAAATAGAATGCCTACTGGTAGTATAGTAGAAGTATAAAGCCAAATGTTGTTCTACATTTTGCCTATAAAAAGTTGTTTGTAATTCTCAATGGGCCTAGTAGAGGATTATTCATGTCTCTTTAGTTAAACTGTTTGTATTTTTATGCATAAACATATATTTTTCGAGAGTGTATATTGTAAAGAAACAATTGGGATGCTTATAATTTAGTAATATAATATACTCTAGATTATAATATTGAAAATTTATCAACAAGGAATTGTAATGGAAACTGTAAATTATTCTTCTATTTTTATTCTAACAAATCTTTCATCGCTCCAAATTTTTTTATTTAAAAAAAAAAATGTACAGTCTCTTTTTTTCCGATTGTTGCAAGATTTCCTCGTATAGATTTAGCATCTACAGATGTCGCTGTTTTAAGTTTTCGTAATATCATCAGATTAGCTATACTTGCGCATTTATTGTGCTTTTGTCTATACTATTCAATAATTGACAATGATTTAGTTATGATTTATTATATGGTAAATTATTATAAAAGTCTTTAATTTACACCTTGGATCATCCACTTAAAATATTAAAGATAACTACAGTTAAACGAGCTCTGGTTCATATGAAGCCAAACGTTGCTATTCAACAATTGAATGCAATTTTAATAACGAGATCAGATAACAACATAATGAATACTAGAATTGTTGGAAAAATAAATACATTGTTCGATAATTATAGAAAATTCCGAATCATATTATTTCATCAATCTTTGGAGATCATATTTTATAGAAACGTCACTAACTACTGAATATGGTTTTATACATTTAGGTGAATACTAATACTTTGAGCACAGTTATTCTTGATTGTAGAATATCTGGGAAAAGACTTGTGTTTGATATTAAAATCATTAACAAACAAGTTTTGACTAAAAATCTTGACTTTGAAAGAAATATTCAAGTGTTTGTTTGTGGAAAATTTAGAGAAAGATCCTGGAAATTGATCAGTTTTCAAGTAAAAATGTATGTTGTAAGGCTTCTTCAGCTGTAATTCTCTTAGCTGGATCAACCATTAACATCTTCTTTAATAGGTCGTAGGCACTTGGTGGCGCTTCCACCCACATATCTCTCTTATCAACCATCTTAGACTTCTTTCTTAATTCTTTACACAGGGTTTCCAAATCGATTGCCTGGTGATTGGCACTGGTTGTTAGTATCTTACTAAGCTTTGCAGCCGTCTTCTTAATACTTTCAACCCCAAAGATTGCGATAATTTGGGCAAGAGCAGAAACGTCATCCTTTGCATTAAAGAAGGGATATCGAGAACTCAGCAATGAAAGCAATATTACCCCGGCTGACCAAATGTCGATAGCTGTGAAATAATAGTTTTATAACTTTATGATATGTAGTTTCAAAAGGAATAGTTATAGCAATTTCTTCTTTAAGTATTCATTTCACTGAACAATATCTGGAGTTACTCGCGACGTTTTGACACATAAAAGTGACGTCAATGTATAGCACACGTTCACTTTCATGTGCCAATCGCCGAAAGTCTCGTCTGTTGACTCAAATAGAACTTCGGTGGAGCATAATTCTTCCTTCATGTTCTCAGATCGACCTTGGAGTTTATATAAAGTTTTATCATCCTTTACAAACCTGTTGTCTGATCAGCATGACGTAGGAGGACTTCCGGAGCTCTAAAACCTGGGGTTCCAGCTCTTGGAGCTTGCTGCCTGGGTCTATGTAGATGAAAGCATATTATTAAATCTTTATAATAATAAGTTTTCTCTCATAAACGAATCATATCTGTAAAATTTTTATGTGAAAATACAAACCTTGATAAGCAAATAGAGCAGACAGTCGGCTTTCCAACACATTGGCATTTGTCATACCTCGTTGAATTCTTGGTGGCGTTGGTAACAAGTGTCAATCGTCTTGGCGACCAAGGTTTCTTTGTAGCCACTTTTTGTTGCTTAGGTGTTTTGCCCCAGTTCTCGATGGACTTTAAGGTATCAGATGGTTCTTCACCAAGTTCTCTCTTGAGTGCTTCATGGGATTTTGGTGCGGGGTGCGCCAGACCGAAATCAACCAGTGCATACCTGCAAAATAGTACCCTAATTAAACTGCTTTAAGTGGACAAGAGTAACGACTTTCTTTTTTGTCGGTTGTTTAAAAAATTCGAAGGTTTAATGTCACGATGAATTATATCAAATTCGTGCACTCTTTTCAAAGCTAATAGTAGATTCCTCATATATTCCTTAATTTCACTAATAGTCATATCAACGAAATAGTCCTGTTAAAATGAACATGATTAGTATTCAAAGAAAAAGATTAAATGCTTAATAATAATTTATAATAATCAAATGAGAAAGGACGAAAAAAAATATCCTTATACTTAGTTTTTAAAAGATTCAAGATTTATCTTGATTCTTTCTCAGCCCAAATAATAAGTAGTCTTCAGTTCCAAGTAAGACTGCACTCTAACATAGCTGTCAGCAATCTGACGTTAGAGATATATTTGTTAAGAAAAGAGGGCAGCAAAGGACAATTTTTTTTCATTACTCCCTTCATAAATTAACAAAGATAAATCATATGCGAAAATAACTCTTTTCCAAGTCAATTCGTTCTTCTACAACATGTTTTTATTCTTTTAAAAATTACAATTAATCTTGAAGTAAGTGTTTACTACATGGCATATCTATCATGTTGACGTCAAGTCTCGATTGGCTTGGATTATAATGTCGAATTATAAAATAGTAAGCATAATTGGAAATGCTAATGGATAGTAATGAAATAAACTATACAGTGGTCTGAAAGAAATGATAGCGAAAGAACAGGAAAATACATACCGTAAACTTTTCGTGTTCAATATAAGGCATAACGATGGTGATTCGTTGACCATTTCTTATCACGGCCTTTACTCCAATTACGTTATTTGATCCTCTAAAAATAAAGAAAAGAGTAAAAATATAATTTGTAACTGTTATTGATTAAATCATAGAATAGATTTTATTATTATTATATATAATATCCTAGCGTACTTATAATCTGTTTATATCCCTGTGTACGAACATAAAGTAAACTTAAAAGGATATGTCTGCAGCATTTATTTTAATTGCATATAGGATCCTAGAAATACAGATACGAAATAACAGCTAAAAGAGTAAATGACATAATTAGTAGTCTTCCAACGTTGAAAACCTAGGAGATTTAAATTAAGACACGAAATAGGAGTTAGGACAAAATGATCTCTCTGTCTTCTGATTAAATTATTCCGGTTTCTATTCGCTTCTAAAATATTTAGTAAACATATAAATCCAGGAAAAGAGTTAAAATGATAGAATTTTATAATTACTGTTGTACCTATTCTATAGGTACAATATAGTAAGAGTACAAAGATCGACTACAAAATTGAGAATATTCTTAGAAAAAAAATCCCTAGTACTTGATCTGCTAAGGGAACAAAATTAAATCTGTACAGTGCTGTACATGTAATTGGTATACTTTATTAGCATGCTATATATGTATATTTTTTTTATTATATATTGCTAATTTAATCTTTTTCAAGACTCAATTTTCAAATAATTATACAAATTATTCAAAAATGCATTAGTAGGATGTGCAAGACTTATTTAAAAAATTAATCTCACCTGTGAACTACATACAAATTTCGAAAAAAAGAAATTTTCACACATACCCAATTTCCTTTAAGCATTTCAGCTCATTAGCTACTCTGTCAGCTTTGCTCGTTGGTATAATGTTTTTTAGGGCATATTTCTCTTTCTGTTGATTTCCTTTCAACTGGGCTACAAAGACCGAACTGAAGGTACCTGTTGAGTTAAATTATTAATTGGCAATCGAAAAAATCAATTTAAATATAAAATATAGCTAATAATAGAATTACGGAGAATGGCATGCCCAATAAATTTTCCAAATGAAAGACATCGAAATTACTAAAATTAACTGATAGATGGTTGAACTTGAATTCGAAGATCAATGATCAAATTCTGCTACTCCTTTAAACCAATAAATGTTTGAGCTGAAAACGACAGCTGTCCCAAGTTATCAGATATGTCGCTGTTAAACAATTTACTTATTTATTGTTTGCCCCATCCCTAGCAGATCAATTTTAAGGGTTTTTTTATATTTGTTTATTGGTAAAAAATGAAATAAATTTCAACTCCTGTATTCCTTACTGGTTTTAATCCTTGACTCATAATTTTTATTACTAGTCAAGCTTTAACTATATAGTATAGACTAAAAATTATTTAAAAGTGCACACATAAAGCATATTAGAATCGATTAAGCCATGCCAGTGTCTAGAGATAGCCGTAGTCAGCGCCATCTTTCGAGGATTAAATATTCAAAATTCAGCTTATTTTAAAATATTCATTGATTTCATTAAATTTGACAATCTGGTATATGAAAAAGGTTATTCTCAAGAAATTTCTATAATCATTCCAAACTCATAATTAATTTATAAATACTTAATAAAGTCAGCAAATCTACCATAGAATAATTCTGATTAATGATCAAACTAAGTATTATTATTTCCTTTTAATATTTTATTGTCTGACTATTATTGGGTATATATATATATATATATATATATATATACTGTTTATATGTACTATACATCCAGCAGCCCAAGTACATACATATATACTATGCATATAAATATAGTATATACAGTACATACTGTATATAGTGTATATAAAGTACATTAAATTTGAATTACGGAACTTATTTCTATCCGAATGGTTGCGTGCTCTTATTGTTAACAAACTTTTCATTTACATTTTTAACTATAAGAATTCAATGGGTTATAAAGACTAAAATCCATTTCATGCATTTACCAAAATATTACTTTTAACAAATACAACGGCTAATTATGGAGGATAGGATGACGAAAAAAAATTTTTTGGGATAAAATTATTGATTTTGACTTATAGTTCTTTTTTATATAAACACTTGCACTATATGTAATATATATTGAAATGTGCGAAAAAAATAATGTAGCATTGTCAGCGCTACAGCTCAACTTACCATCGCCGGTTTTTCCCAGAACGTCGAAATACACTTCTACTTGCGGTATGGCCTTAACAAATGCGTTTATTTCATTTTGCTCTGTGGAACATATTGACGTTTAAAAAAATTAAGTGAGGTATCAAATCCTCGTATATTTTTTGGTTGAAGGCAGCTGCCGCATTACATAAACCAATGCTTTCAAAGCCTTTTGTTTGAGCATGTATTGCATAATTGTAAAGGCACTTGAACTTTTAATAAAAGCAAATACAAATAATGTCTTACCAATTTCGTTCTCCTCAATTGTAGTGTTGAGTTCGCAAGGCACCACTGAAGCTGAAGCCATTGTTCATCCTACACTTCTTAGAACAATGAAGAACGTTCAGAACTGAGCGATAATTCGTGAACCCCCAAAAACTTTAATTCGACTACTTAAAAGTCTTCTACTGCAAATTACTACGACTCTTAAGTAATAGAATATTATTTACTCGAAAATAGTTCAATAAAATAGAACAAACAAATAATAAACGTCCTAAAAAGTTAAGTAATAGCAGTTTCCTCTTGCCGCCAATTTGTTATCTAGCACAACCATGCTTTCTGACTAAGTGACGAAAACTAAACTGGTAGAAAATACAAAGAAAAATATTTTTTTATATTACAATATCTTTGAAAAACACACTTTAACAGTTCTCACCTATAATTTAATATATTAGATTAAATATATTCTCGTATAGAAATTTTGTTCTTTATAATTAAAATCTTTTATTATAAAAAAATATCTTTTAAATATAGGAATTTAAAGTTATTATATTAACTTCAACTGACCGATAAAGTTTCAAAGAAATATACAATTTCGACATACAGGTTTATATGCGATTGTGTATAAGAAACTATTTGTTTAAAATGTCATGTATCACATATTGTCTTTATGAATCCTTGGGTTCTGGGGCTTTTTTAAGCAACGGTTATAATATGACGTAGGCTGTTTGAATTAGATAGTCGTAAATAGGACGGTTGTTGACCACCAACGAAAATCTCTATACGACCCCTCTCTAGAACAAAACCTCCAACATCTTTCCAAACTGCCAATTGTTTGCCTTCTATAGTAAAGGTTAATGACAAACCCCTATTCTCTTTTATCGCTGAGGTTCGCTTAAAAGCAACCAGTTGTAACTTAGGCATTTCCTCTTTAGTATCTAACCAGCGTATATAGACTTGTGGTACCTCTTCCGATGGATAATGACCAACGTTTTGTACTTTGAAATTGATTTTAACTTTTTGTCCAATATTTCTTACAACCGTTGGATAAACAGATAAGTTAGAATATCGGAACTTTGTATATGATAACCCAAATCCAAATTCTAACAGAGGTTTATCCATCATATATCTAATTTCAAGTATAATGATTTAGAGTACAAACATTTGTATTCAACTTAGTTAACCTATATGTTCGATTCTTCATTGAATAGTCGACCATTGGTGGAACTTGACCGAGATCTCTTGGCCATGTATAAGGCAAACGACCAGATGGTGATGTCACAAATTTACCTCCATGCGCTAGAACCCTACGTAAAGCCGTTCCTGTTTCCTGTCCAGGAAACCACGCTTGTAGTATTGCGTGAACATTTTTAGATTCCATTGCCCAGGTAATTTTAACAGGACCACCCGTAAATAGAATCACAACAACTGGATTTCCCTTCGCTTAAAATAAAATATTGTTAATAAATAGAAATAAAAATATGAAAAATTTGAAATAATAATTGATTTATACATGCTGAAACGACATCTTTAAGTAACTGCTCTTGATGACCTGGAAGATCCATATTAGATCTGTCCATTCCTTCTGTTTCAACCGCAACTCCGGTACCGAGAAATACAATTGAGAAATCCGATTCAGAAACGGCAATTTTCACCGCAGTACTATTATATTTCTTACATCGTGTATCATCACACCCTTTAATAATGTGTGCTACTTTTGATAATGCTATTAAGCTCATTCCAGTCGTCGCATATTCTTGCATTATTAAAGGAGAGTATGATCCATAAAGTTGACCTGTATCATTAACCATTGGTCCTATTAACTGTAAAACAAGTAATACTATGTGAAAATATGAATAAAAGAAAACTTGTCTATTATTCTAATAATTTCATTATATTACCGCAAGACGATTAATTATCTTTAAAATTGGCAGAGTTTCTTTTAAATTTTTCAGCAGTACAAAACTTTGTTCAGCAAGTTTCCTAGCAACTTCTCTATGTTTCTTACTTTGAATAACATTTGTATTAATCTTTGAATATGGATTTAAATATTCTGGGTCAAACTCTCCTAATCTCATTCTAGTGTAGAATAATTTTTTGACGCTTTCTCTTAAAGCTGTAACTTTTACTTTTCCATATTTCACTGCTTGTGTTAAATTATAAAAGAAGGATCTGTGTCCATCAGGAGAAAGTTCCAGGTCGACACCTGCATTCACCGCATCAGCAGCTGCATCTACTGGACTAGACACATAGTGATGTTGCTAAATCAAAAAATAAAACATACTTCAAGAAAATATTGTTTTCTATATAACATGTGTTTCATACTGTCATAATGTACTCTATCGCGCCTTCATCACTAATAAAATAGCCTTTAAAGCCATACTCTCTTTGCAGAATATCTTTCAATAGGCGTTTGTTTGCACAGGCAGGTACACCGTTAATACTTGAAAATAAGAGAAAAGAAGTAATAACTTTTGTTGGAAATGATGAAAAAAGACTTTTGGAAATATTACCTGTTGTAACTACACATTAAATTGAACGTACCAGCTTCTATACAAGCTTGAACATTTGCTAAATAGGTCAATCTCATATCTCTTTCCGACACTTTGCTATCGAAACTAAATCGAGATTGAGGAATGTTTTCAGGCCCTGAATGGGCTGAAACGACTTTACATCCTGATGATACTTTAATGTATCGTTTGTGATCTCCATGTAGGCCTTTAACAAAGGCAGATGCAATTTTACCAGAGAGATAGGGATCTTCACCGTAAACCTCTTGAATCCTACCCCACAGAGGATGTCGGACAAGATTAATAAATGGAGCAAAGCAACTAATAGACGCATAATTCTCATAGATGCCCTGTTTCCTGAACTTGTTATATATTGCTCTTGCTTCTGTAGCTATAACAAAGGCCGCATTCCTGACTGAGTCTTCACTGTTACATAAACAAAGGTCAGAAATTAGGACATGAATATATTTTCTCTATCTCTACCTGAACGTTGCAGCTAAACCTATAGCTTGAGGAAAACAAGTGGCGTTTCTTAGCATAACTCCATGAATACATTCGGTAGCAAAAGAATACGGACTAATACCCAGCCTTTTAATACCTGGAACTGGACCACCTGTGCTTGGTCCACCGCCATGAGACATCTGACCGATTAATTCATCGACTGTTAGTCTATTAACCAAATCATCAACTCTTTCCGCCCATGATAACGAGATATTTCGAAAGGGATATTCACTTATTGAGCATTTCAAACAATAACAAATTAAGAATAATTTGACAAGCATTTTAAGAAAGTATGGTTTTTCAAACCGTCCTGTTAATATTAATTGAATGCTTCTCTATCAATTGCTATTGTTCTCTTTTTAGGCCTATAAGCTTTTAATTTTGCATAAGTAAAGTAGATAAATAATTTCTTTCAATTTATTCGTCTGCTATCAATAAAAAGCAAAGAAGGTAGATCATTTTCGTATGATCAATACTATGGATATAAAGGGCAAACATTTTTAAGATTAAATAGGCGTAAATTGATTATTGTTGTCTTATCTGTAAAATTTTAATTAGTGCATCATATAGAAGGGAACAATATTAAAATTCTTAAGGGTGTATGCTTATTGCATTAAAATATTTATCAACTAGTTTTACAGTATAAAATTTATATATATAGATAGACTAGTGTAGTAGTATTCATAATTCCCGCTAAAAAGCGCCTGAAATGCCACCTAGATCCACGGTAAAAGGACGGTGACCTTCACATCTACGACCACGTCACTATTTTGGCGAATAATTTCATTTTGCAAATCATCGTTACGATTGTACTATAAAAGCTGGTAGTTCTTTGTGAATCTCTCCACTAACTACAACAATGAGCGAAAACTTTCAGCCGTTTCCCCATTTTTCAACTGATGCATTGCATGCAGGCCAGGATCCTGAACAATGGAACTGCAAAGCCGTTGTCCCGTTAATCTCCTTGTCAACTACGTTTAAACAAGAAGCTCCGGGAAAGCATTCTGTAAGTTCCTTCGTTTTCTTTATTTTATTCAATTAAGGATTTTTTTAATCTTTCCAAAAATTAGGGATATGAGTATACTAGAGCTGGAAATCCTACTAGAACTTGCCTTGAAGCCTGTTTTGCTGCCATTGAAGGAGGAAAGCATGGTAAGTGAACAAAATGCTGTATAATTTGCGATTCTGTTTTAAGACAGAGTGATTTTTCGGTAGCTTGCGTCTTCAGTTCAGGTCTAGCTGCCACAGGCACAGTTACATCGCTCTTAGACCTTGATGATCATATTATTGCCATGGATGATCTTTACGGAGGAACAAACCGTTTCTTCCGTAATATTGGTAAGGCAAGAGGTATAAAAACATCGTTTGCTGATATGAGAAATCCCGAACATGTTAAGAAGGCATTGACTCCAAAAACAAAATTGGTCTGGATCGAAACGCCAACCAATCCTACAATGAGATTGGTCGATATCAAGGCCGTAGCAGAAATTGCTCATGCTTACAATGCAGATATCATGGTAGCGGTTGATAACACTTTTACAACCTCATATTTTCAAGTACGTATCTAAGTTTACTCTTAAAAAAAGCCCATCTAGTCTTTGTTTGAAAGCTGTTTTAGAAAAAAAACTATAAAAAAAACATAGGAATAATTGAAAAAGAAATATAAAAAGCTTGAAAGTCTTACATATGGTGTTAAGATTAATTAAGATTTAATTGTTTTTCTTTTCAAATTTAAACAGAGGCCACTCAGCTTGGGTGCAGATATTGTTTTCCATTCGGTAACGAAATATTTGAATGGTAATTAATTTATTCCTTCAATATGCACACAATTATAAGTTATTGAATATCTTATACAAAATTTGTTAAAGGTCACTCCGATGTCCTTATGGGAGCCTTAATGTTAAACTCTACTACACTTTATGAAAAACTACAATGGCATCAACTAGGTTTGTCTGGACTAGAAGTATACGCTTTAGATTGATTTGAATTTGATAACAGCTGCTGGAGCCGTTCCGTCCCCATTCGATTGCTACTTGGTAAATAGAGGATTAAAGACATTGGCCGTTAGATTGAAACAACATCAGCACAACGCTTTAACTTTGGCTAAACATTTAGAAGGTCATCCGAAAATAGAGAAAGTTATTCATCCGGGTCTGCCATCGCATCCCCAACATGATTTAGCAGTTAAACAACAAAGAGGCTTTAGCGGAATGTTGACAATCTACGTCAAAGGTGGCTTAAAAGAAGCTTCTACTTTCTTATCAAGCCTAAAGGTTTTCACTCTCGCCGAAAGTCTTGGCGGTTACGAAAGTTTGGCAGAATTACCGTAAATATTAAATGCTTCAGTTTAATAATTTGACAAAAGAAATCTTCTAATAATACTTTATTAATTATATTATTAATAGATCCTTGATGACACACGCGTCCGTCTCCGCAGAAGAACGTGCTAAATTGGATATTTCCGATTCGCTTATTCGACTCTCGGTAGGACTGGAAGACATTGAAGATTTGATTGCTGACGTTAACCAAGCCTTGGACAAAGCAATACCAAGCGATTAATCTGCAATACTTAACCTATAGCTTATTTCACTAAAAAAATATGCTTTCAACTTGACCAAAATTTCAAGACTTATGTTAAGTCATATTTTGATCAAGTAAACAAAAATTAGTCTAATTCTTCTAGACTGTTCTATAAAACTTACAGCTATTTCAATAAACTCTGGTAAAAGTCAATATCTTTCAAGGTAGTGAATTTATTTAAGGTTTTCATTAAAGTAAAAGGCACATTTAAAGTACATTAGAATATCGGTCAAGACGATAATATTTCAAAACATAACAAATAAATACAATAGACTTCTTATTCGTAGTTTCTCAATCGTATCAATTTTATATACAAAGGTATAATAAGTTTATTATTATTCAAAGTGTTGACAGAGTTAGTTTACATAAAAATTTATCTCTATCTTACTATCTTTGTATATTTTATCAGTGTAATCGAGATTGTTTAAGTACGTTTTGGAGTATGTATGATAATTGTGATTTTTCAAGGATTTCAACCATTCCCTTATCCTATTTTATATAGCACACAGTATTTTTTGTTCATTACAGATTATATAGGTTTCTATTAAAAAGTATGGAAGAAACCAAGATCGAGAGATAGGTAGACAAAGTGTCTAAACAAAATATTTAAAAATGACTCAATAGTTATCATATATTGAGCAATCGCCTTTGATATGGGTCGTTCTCTACAGATTTACTTTTAATAATGACCAAGTAAAATGATATCATCAAGTTAACAAGGTCAGAATAGCTAGGGAATTAATTTTGGTTTAAATAAATATATAAATATAACTTTGGGTCTTTTTATATTTGATCCTAAATACAAAAAACAAGCATTCTCTTTTTGCTTAATTCGCTCAATCAATTGTCATTAAATATAAATTTGGTGGTAGAAGAACAATAGCTCTGGTCTCATAACTAGTTTTGCCACAGAACTTTAAAAAACAACCTTGTCCTTAAAATTATATAAATGCTATTTTGTGCGAGGTCATTTTGTTTGTCTGCAGCCACCCTCAGCGGCTGTCTGCTCTGTGCTGTGGGATATATGTTGTTTTGTTAGGCAGACGTCAGATCACTCACTTCCGTTACAGACTTCTACTTTCAAACATAATTTATATCACCCAAGTGAGGAGAAAAGATTTTAAGAATTAATTAGATCTTTTAAACGTTTTAAACACTGCTGACGGTTGGATTTATAACTGATTTTAAAAATTTTTCGCTAAATGAGATCATCTTTCAGTTGCAACATATGTGGACTGCTGGTTCGTCACCTATTTGAATAAAAACTAAGAACATGGCGCAGGAAAAGGTTCAAATAAACGTATACGACATGGTAAGATTTATCATAAAACATTTCATTATAATCGTTAGGCAGATGAATAAATTTAAAAAGTAAAAGGCTTTCGCTCGAGGATATAATTCAAGTGGACAGTCTGTAAAATTAAATAATGTAGTACTTCGAAATGCGAGAACAACAGTTATAAACGCTTTAGTAATGTTCCATATTCTACTAGTCCGTTTAATGGACAGATATATAAGAATATATATATAGATATATACGTTATTTCTCATCTAACGACGTATTCCTCAGTGTATCAATCACATGATTCGATAAAAACTTCACAGAGTATTGTACAAAAAAAAAACAATAAAAAGAATTCCTTTGTTCAAGATTTCACATGTTTTTTTTTTAAATAGACTTAAGCCTACTCTATTCTATGAGTATTTGTTATCATATTGATGAAATAATATTTTTTCAGTTTTGGACAAACGAATATACATCAACTTTAGGAGTAGGAGTCTATCATTCTGGTTTAGAAATTTATGGCGTTGAATACTCATACGGTGGACATCCGTTTCCTTTATCCGGAATATTTGATATAGCTCCAAAAGATTCCGAAGACTTGGGTGAACAGTTCAAATTTAAGTAAGATATGCTTATTTTATAAATATTAATATTGCTTACTCAAGGAAACGTCTTTTAGTAATTGTATATCCTTTTTTAATTTAGAGTATGATATTTAAAACTGTAAATGTTCTTTTTAAGATTTCAATTAGACGATGGAATACGGTTTTCCTCTCTTTTTATATTATATGGTAAACATTGCACATATGAATAATAATCAAGCTATATTTATTAGACAGATTTAGGCCAATAGTATTCGACCACAATGTCCAATTAAATTGACTAAATAATTGATTCTGATTATAATCATTCTGTTCCTACAGGGAAACTATATATATTGGTACTACAGACTTCAATCCAAACGATATTTCAACTATGATCCAACAAATGGGTCACAAATACCAAGGAGATCAATATCACCTTCTACATAAAAATTGTAATCACTTTACGGCAGAGTTTTGCAAGGTATAATTTCTCATTCTTACTGTCTTAATAATTTAATGACAATCTATTAAATATATTAGTATATTATTTTATTATTCTTTCAGTTATTAACGGGCAAGGAACCTCCTTCCTGGGTTAATCGATTAGCTTCCGTTAGTTCTTACATCCCGTTTCTAGAAAAAGCATTGCCAAAGGAATGGTTAACACCAATGGCTTTGGAGACGTCTCTTAATCAAACTTGCTCCGAAACTACTCAAAATTCTGCTGTGCTAAAATAGCATCTACTAACCTATTTATTCATCTTTCCACATACTCTACTCTCATCTCTTGACTCCACATCATCGATCTCATATATATAAATCGATTCATATCACGTTCAACGCCTACCCAATATTTTTTCTTTTTGTTTCCTTGATTTATCTAAAAGGATATATTTTTATTCTTATCGACTGTATTTTTTCTTAATTGTATCGGTGTAATCTATATATTGCCTGTACCAACAAACCTGATGGGTTTTTTTCCCCTTATTTTTTAAAAAAAGAAAAAGAAACAAGCATTTTAGTAAACGTTGAAGAGAAAGACATTTACATATATATAAATGAGGAATTAAATAGAAATATGAAGAGAGAAAGAGAGAGAGAGAGAATATTAGAAAAAGCATGACAGCATCCATCGACAAACAAACAAAATAGGCCTAAGCTTGGTAAAAGGGAAGACCCTACAAATATTTTTAATAAAAATTGGATAGCTTAAAATATTGATAACATATTTTATTTTTTTAAAAGGAAATTATTGGACTTTAGAATACAAAGAAATGGGAATTTAACATTTTTTTTTCATATATTTTTAAACATTTTATAATCCGTAAATAACTCTATTTATATTAATTAAGAAGCTTAAATGTAGGACTAATTTTGTGTGCCTTTTTTTCGCTTTTCATCCATTATTCCTACTATTGGTGAAGAGTAGACGATTTTTTTTTTAAAAGTATTTACTCTATGTAAAAAAAAAAGGGCTGACAGTCTTGTCTTACAATTAATTTCACTCGTAAATAGAGAATTACTCCGGAGGGTAAACCTTCTCAGGGAAAATATTAATTGAAAGACCAATCTCCTTCGTTCTGATTTTTTTTACGTACCACACAACATGTGCCGGCTTAGCTTACATGCCATTGTAGGTTACCTACAGATGGCATTGTAACCTTTCTACTAAGAAAGGTATAATTAACCCTTGAAATGTACAATTACATGAGCAGTCAATACACGTATTCAGTTTTAACTACTAAGGCCCACAAATAAATAATAAAGGTAAAAGCGTTTCTTTGGATAAGTAAAATCTGTATTTATTAAATTTTCAAAAAAAAGGATGACGTCAGTTGCGAAAGGTAATTAATAAACCTCGCCGTAGGATATTCGTTATGTACTCATTTTTCTCGCTTCATGGATTACAATTTATATATTAAATGATTTGTGAGAAAATATCAAAACACGACAAAGGTTTTTACCGTCCTTTCGTGACAAAACTACAAAGAAAAAAAAATCGCCTACATCCTTAAATATGTTCTTTTCTCTTCTATTCACCATATCTATCGTCTATTTTTGTCTTATATCTTCCGATAAGCAGTAAGTTTTCCAATACTCGTTATCAATGGTGTGCAGCTGAGCAAATTATGTGATGCGGTAGTGTAAAGAGGGGATCAAGGGAATAACTTTTTAATAGATTTTATATTTGTTATTCTAATCTTTGTCCTTCATCTTCTAAACTATAATTTACTTAACTCGAAAGAAGGAATGGAATAAATTGTAGGCGTATGAGTTTATTTAGACGTGCGACGAGAAAAAAACACGTGACTCGGAGAGTAAAACCAATGATCGGTCGAGAATGAGCGAGTAAGAGAGAAGAGAGCAGAGAGCGAGAGAGAGTGAGAGACAGACAGACAGACAGACACACACATAGATAGATAGGCAAAAAGAAAGAAAAAGACAAAAGAATAAATCACATTGCTAAAGAGAATACTACTGGCTACTACCTAGAGATCCATGAAGAAAATAATATGAAAAAAGAAAATAGCCGATTGGATCGGAAATCCTTGTCGGAAAGGAGAGCAGCCGATTCATTGCCTCTTCCTGCACCTTTGCCAAAGAGAGCTGATTTTGGCCACTACTATCCCGATGGTGGATTCGGATGGGGAGTTTTGGCTGTAGCTTGTTTATCTCATTTGGTATTTGGCATGCATTTTGCTTTCGGATCATTAACAGAGAATATCAAAGGAAAATTCAAGATAGACGATTCTTTAGCAGGTTGGCTGGTCATTTTTTTCTTTAAACCTTATACTCATATTTTTCCACTTTGATAATATGTACGTTAGAAGAGTTCTCTCTTCATTTCCTCCCCATCGATTTTCCCTTCTCTTCCTTCCCTCATATTGTCTCCTGTTGTAAATTCCAGTCTGAAAAATTTAACCAATAGGATGAGTTTAAAAGAGAAATACAGAAGAACCGGAAAAGAGAAATAATCAGCAAATCAGAATAATTTCGTTCCCTCTTTTCCACTTAGGCAACCTTTACGTGTTTCAAGTATAACGTCTTACCGAATTAATAAGATTCGATACGTATCATCAATTTCTGTTTGTTTGATGAATATTGCTTAATCATGCATTAATAACCATATCCAGTACATATATATATTTACTTCCTATAATTGACTAGTGATTAGCTAAGATGTAATAATTGAATAGTATTTAGTTACATAATTCTATCTACATTTCAGTTTGGTTGGCGCCTTCAGGATTATCTGTAACCCATTTTCTTGCTCCCATTATAACTGCTTTGTGTAGAAGAAAATCAACAAGACTATTAAGTGTGATAGGATGTCTTCTTTGTACTCTCGGAACGCTGTTTATGTCTTTTTCAACTAAGATTAATCATCTATTCATAAGTTACGTATGCGTAGTAAGCATTGGAACATCTCTAACAACTGCGACATCTTCCGTAATGGTTGCAAGATACTTTCGAAAGAAAAGGTTATTTGCAGAAATGCTGCTATCATCTTCCACAGGAATTGGATGTTTAATCTATTCTATTTTGTACCGATACACAGTTAGGTAAGTCGTAGTTTAACATTGAAAATGAGATTTATTGTCTGATTACTTCCTAATTTAAGTTTAAATGAATCGTAAAACCTATAGATTAGTGTAATCCTTCAATAATATCGCTGTGGAAAGAATGATAATTCTTCTTTTGAAACAGGCGATTAGGATGGATAAAGTCTTTACAATATATGACAATCATCACCTTATCAACAGTTATTTCTGGGATATTGTATAGATCTCCTTCCCTTTATCATCCTAGGAGAAGGGCGATGCTTCATGTTAAAAATCAGCGAAAAACTAAAAATCAACGGAGGGAGGAGAAAATCAGCTATTTCGATCTGAGCCCCTTACGCATGCGCAGTTTTAAATTGATGGTATTTTCTACAGCTCTAATTTCTTTTGGCTCTTTTATTCCTTTTGCTATTCCGGTAGGTTTATTATTTCCGTACTTTCCAAGTCATTTACGTAACTTGTGATACTTTTTTCCAAGAAGAATAGTGCAACAGCAATACTATCAATGGCGTGCGGTTGGCCAGTTGGTAGTGCATTAGTCGGCTTGTTAATTAGGAAATGGTCTATTCCCGGTCAATATTTAATTCAAATATCCTCATTCATCTTGGGAATGTCATTAATATTATCAACAATCCTTAAAGATCATGTCAGTCATATATTTTTTAGTATTATTTATGGCATGGGAATTGGTTCCTGGAACTATTCCTTAAGATATCACTCGTATAAGACCGTGGGCTGTAAATTGTCTGAAGTATCGTGGTCTTACCAAGTATTTGCTCAATCATTACCCACATTATTGGGATCTCCAGCGGTTTTTTTCACTAATGAAAACCTAGGTACTAGTTATGGTTTTATTATTGGTGGGTGCTCTGCCCTTTTGGGCTGCTTGATAATCTTTTCCTGGGCGTTTGTTGCGAAACATCAAACGAATCAAGAAGTTCTCAGAGAGGCTCACTTGAAAACGAAAATTTTTCAAGAGGATTCTCTTTCAGCTATGAAGGTGTCTGATGAATTTAACTATAGATTAAATAAAGAAAATTTAGCTCCGAATAGTTGGTCAAAAGAAGAAAGAGTACAGGAATTCGTTCTTCAAACCTCCAATAATAGTTTACCTCTACCAGAATGTTTATCAACTGCTGTTTAATATAGAAGTTTACTGCATCTTCATTTATCAAGATATACGAGAATGAGTGCGAACTATTTATTACAACCCTCACTAATAAAAAGTATCTCTTAGAAATTTTGACCACAAAAAAAGAATTAATTTATTTGCTACATGACACGTGAATAATCAAGTTCAATTATAGTATATCAACTACTTTCTTGAAGATCTGTTCTCGAGTGCATTTGGTCGACGTGGAAAGAATCCCCACTGCCTAACACTCTCATGATTAAATACAGCGAATTTATGATCCATAGGTAATTCTGCGTAAGTGAGCATTAAATTATCAAGGTAGTGACTTCTCGAAAACTATACTCACTTGCAATATATTGAAGTTGGGGTACAGCAACATCTGCATATTTTCGTATTATATAACCCCATAGTGTATTCATGCACGGTTCAGGCGAATCGTCACATGATTTTCCATCCGTAAACAAAGATCCCCAACTAAGTGATGTTAAATATTCCTTTTCATCTTGAGAAGGTTCCTGAAATTAATTTGAATGAATTATAATGTTTTAACCAATAATTGTTGTTTTTATTAAATTTTCGTAAGCGGCTTTTATTACAGTTGATTTATATTTCTTTATTTTTGGACTATCTTCGAAATGCTCGTGAAACTCCCAATCTTCAGCTTCCATTTCTTCTAGAATGAGAAAGTTATCCCAATCGGCAAATCTTTTAGATGGGAATACGTCGGATCTAAGACTATCTCCAAAAAAGAGTATCTGTTTAGTTAAGATCATTTATTTTATTGAAACATTTATAATAAAGTAGTGATTTTATTACCTTTGGTTGGTCTTTTCCAGTTTTCTTTTTCAAGGCTTTCATTAGTATCTCCTTATTTCCTTGCAGGTAAGTTACGTTAGGTTTCATTTCATGAACAACTGATCCATGACCTCCCTCATCGTTTACTTCGTACATCGGATTACTTCCCGAGAAGAATGCAGGCTTTCTTGCCAAAGTGGCATTAAAATCAAATAAATCTGTCCACTCTGTGCTAAATATATATTTTTATATATTTCTTCAAAGTAACCTAGTTAAGAAATACCCGTAGGCGTGATCTAGCACGAATTTTGCACAATCATGATATGCCGAAGTTACAATAAACATAACTTTATTAAGTTCTCTTATCTTTTTCAACCATTGGCATACATCTTCAGGAGTTTTTTCCAAAAATCTTTCAGGATCCTCTTTTAAACTCTTAAAGAAAGTTTTGTTATCTGTTATGTTATAAAAGTATATCTATTATTGTTTAGAAAAGAAAGCAATTTGTATGATGAATACTAACCAGCAAAATTTTTATGGTTGTACAAATGACGGAAGCCATCCATCACATCACTTTCAACAGTACTCATTTTCTTTGCGACCAACTCTTCATCTTTCTATTCATATTTAAAATTAAATAATTGTGTAGATTTAAAATGAAAATACTACTATGTCAATGTCTTTTAGGGCTACATCGATTACTTTTGCAGTGACAACAATTCCAGGCATATCAAAAAAGTTCTCGAAAATACGGAAGCGAGCTGGAAATTAATACCATAAGATATTTCTCAATTAAAAATATATATAAACCCACGTGGTAGATTGTCAACAGTCTCTATCAAGTCCTTAAACCAGGGGAATATCTTACCATCACCATAAATATCTTGGATTTGTTCGTCATTAAGTGCTGTACTTCCAAGAGTTGCCCTGATATGTTAAAATAAAACACAAGTTCATAATTAAAGAACATGTATATATTTTTTTACAGATAGAGGCGTTTACCTTAATATGAAGCCATTTTCGGAGAGTTTCAGAAATATACCGTGTCTCTTGTCCAGAATTAAACCTCTTACACTAAGAATATTTAGTAAAAAAAAATATAAAATTTTATTACTTTTAATGTCGCTTATTTTTCTTACTTACCATAAATCCTTGAAATGAGAAAAAGGTTTCTTCATTTCTTCTGGATAATTTCTTTCCGAAACTAGAAAGTCAGTCATAAGGTCGTGCATTGTCTAAGGATCACACCACGTGAAAATTTTATATAATTTTTCTATTAACAACCAACTTACGTTAAATAGATTGGGAATTTTATATTTAACAAGGGTATGATCAACATCAAAACCAATTGCGTCATATTCGTCAAAAGACAAACTTTTAGGCTGTTCTTTAACTTCGGCAGACATATTGTTCTGTTTAATACCCCTCTTAGTTAACAGTTCGGCATATATCTTTGAGCGATATTAGAGCTATCATTGAGTATTTGATCTACGTACTTGCGCAAGATTCTATGTCATGTAAGTGCGCATGCGCGATCGTTGACGTAAAAAAAGCTTGGCGGTTCAAACTATTTGTAAACATATCCAAAAAATCAAGTAAAACTTTCGAGATTATCCAGATCCCTAATGATGGAAAATCATCCAATATTCATAGATAGGGAAGGTAAAAGTATGCAGTTCGCTCTAAGCCCATGCGACATAAAAGAAACTATTAGAAAGCAGATTCAAGTTAGTTTTCGAAATATTCTCTTATTAATTTCAATTATCGTTGTAAACGGATAAATCAACTGTAATTGTTAGTAGTTGTCTTTTATAGTCCTCGAGGATTATTAATTTTTCATAAAATTAAAACAATATCTGTGAAATAATAGATTAAAATATGGCGATCAATCTACTGCATGAAGTGTTAAAAAATATTTAAATTATTCGAATTTTTTATCCAGGAATACGGTGGAAGTATGGTTGCACCTCATAAAATTCATAAGGGAGTTATAAAGTAAGTATTTCGATATTTATTGTTGTAGAAAGATATTAATGATTGGAATGGAAAAATAGATTAAGAAAACCTGGACCATGCGTTTCTCCGGAAGAAGTTTCCGTTCAATATATTACAGATTGCATAACAGATAAAAAGCTATTAGATATTAAAAAGTACAAGTAAGTTTTAAATTGTGAAATCTTTACTAAAAGAAGAAAGAAATATTATATTTCTTTAGATTTGAAAATATAATTGTCGAAACAAAAGAAGAGGATGATATTAGCCTTCCAGACGTTAAATTAGAGAGTCCACTAGAAGAAAGTGATAGTCCTAATATTAGTCAATCACGTAGAAAATCAAAAATGTAAATATGCTGGAAACCATTCTATTCTATTTTAATATGAAATTAAACGCATATTTTTGTTAAGACGTCAACCTTATACAAAAGAAGATGATGAGGCGATAATCCAATGTATATTAAAACTGAAAGCATCAAAATTGGTAAAAGGTCGAGCTATTTGGACAAAAATCGAAAAGAGTCCTGTAATATTAAATTCAAAAGGAAATCTTAACAAACTTTCTAACGCCATATTTCTTATACAGCCATCTCAATTGAAAGGCCGAACCTGGATGTCTCTAAGGGATCGCTATTTAAAAATGATAATACCAAATTTAAAGGCCTATGGATTAAGTTCAACAAACGTAGAAATTCTAAAATTGGATTTTAAAAGGAATACTTCAAAAAAAACTTGATTTTAAACCTAAAACTTTTACCCGCAAGCGATGCGCAATCGTAGCTAACTTTGAATGAACTTTTACTGCTTTTATTATTACTTTTACCAGCTGAAAAATAAACGTATATAATGAATATTGTAAGACTTATCTGTTTGTCAGGACGAAAGAGAAAAATAACGACAAACGAGCTGAAACAATATTCATGATTCCTAATGCCATATATAAATATGAAAATATCGGTTTTTTTTTTTACTTATACAGTTAATCCTCAAATTTCCTAACATACTGTATGTTTGTACTATTATCTATATGTATTACCTTCCCTGCAAACCGGATGTATTGTCAATTGTCTATCATCTTGGTTCCCCCAAATCGATGAAAATTGCAAAGAACCAAAAAGAAGAAATCTATTATATGAAATAGAAATGAATTAATTATTAATTATTAGCGCTATACTACTTATTATCTTGCTCCGTAGTACTTCCGATAACTCAGTAGGCCGAATTTCACTTAGTTGTGACTAAATAATGTTTTTGTAGACACGTGAAATGCTAATTAATATGTCATTTCAATGTAATTACTTTTTGTGGACACGAATGAGACAAAGATATCAAAGTTGTAGATCCCTTTGTAATTGAATATATTAACATGAAGTTTTTTTTTGTATAATTGATAAAACTCGTTTACGAATTGAAATATTTCCCTCTTTCACTTCTTGTGTCTTTCCCCTCCTTTTGCTTCTCTTTATTAAAACGTCAAAAGTTTTTTATACTATTTACCAAAGAACGTAATAGATTGCTGTAATGCAGTTTATGTATACATATAGACATAGATATGGGAAAAAAACAAAATTTACACACTTTGATATAAAAGTCTTTTGTGATAAGAGCTTGACGAATTCATTAGAAGATTTTTGCTCTTTTAGATAAAAATTATAAGCCAACGATAAAAGGCCACTAACTGATAGACCGAGCGTTCAGAAGGTATTATGAACCCGTTGTTTAAGCGTAACGTCGACGACCTCCTATCGTCAAAATTATGGAGGGCAGCTATAGGGGAATTGATAGCTACTTTTCTATTAATATTTCTTGGTTGTGGAACTGCTTTGTCCGAAAAGCCAGGAAATCCAAAAGATGCCCAATTAGTTAGAGTAAGTTTATCATTTGCAAGTTTGGTTGGACTATTAGTTTGGGTATTTGGTAATGTTTCTGGAGCTCACCTAAACCCTGCAATTACGTTGGCTCAATTGTTCTCTAGGAGAGTAGGAGCAGTGAGGGCGTTAGTCTACGTTTGTGCTCAGGTAAAGTAAATACTTATTTAAAAAGAAAAAAGTTAAATAAAAAAAGATATCGTACTTCCTGCTGTAATTGAGAAGACGGAAGAATTTAACGAAGATTATAGATTGGCGCGTGAAACTTTGCATATGTTGTTAAATATTTAGTTCTTAAGAACTTGATATAAAACACTTTTAAAGTTGCTTTTCAATTTCTATTCTAACAGATGGGAGGATGCACTTTGGGAGCACTTTGTTTGAAGTTCATAGTTAGTAAAGAAAGGAGAGAGCAATTAGGTATTACTTCCGTTCAACCAGATATTGAAAACGCTCAGGCTATTGGTCTTGAGATATGTATAACCTTTGCTTTGGCTATAACTGTATTTGCCGTGACCGATAAATCTCGGGAAGACGTTGGTCATGGTATGGCACCTTTAGCCGTCTCTTTTGCAATCTTGACCACTCTACTAATGGCCGTTTGTATATTTCTTTTCTGAGAGAAAAATACTTAAAATTCTTATGAAGTAGATACCATTTCAAAGCAATCCGACATAAAATTTTTATCTTATCAAGTAGGCTCTTTTTGTAACCGAAGCAAATGATTATCACTTTACCGTTTTTATATATAGTGTACAGTATATAGTCTATACATATATTAGTGTAACATATATAAAAAATCTTTATACAGTGTGAATTATCCAATGTTATGTCTACCATTGTGTTTTCTAATCATTTAAGTTAAAGATTGTACTTTTTGTACAGGTATTATCTCAAACATTGATTACCAATTAATGGTTTCAGATACCATTGACTGGAGCCAGCCTTAATCCAGCTCGTTCTTTTGGACCAAATGTCGCTCTAGCACAGTCATCTGCATGGAAGCAACACTGGATATATTGGATAGGACCACCAGTCGGTGCAATTTCAGCAGCATTCATCTACGATTTTATCCTTGCACCAAACACTTGTTTAAAGAAGATATCCAAATATTTTACAGATCCAGATTATGACGTACACACAAATTATAACGAACAAGGAATAACTTTTGGAGATTTCAGAGACCCTCAATCAAGTCAAGAACAAAAAATATACACAGTATCATAACACTGAATGTATAGATAAATAAATATAAATAGACAATAGAAAAAAATATACTATATACCTTCTCAATGAAGAAAATCAAAGAATACATGATTTTTGTAACTAATGACGAATTAACTTTTAATTATTGAAGAAAGAACTGTCCGAATTATACTTTATATATATATATATATATATATATATAAATTTATACTAAACAATACATGGAAATTTACATATTATAAGAATAATAGTATATTTATGCATTTAACTATAAGCTATTAATCATATAATAAAACTAAGTTTGATAAGAAGAGCTTTTTTCTAACAAGGTTGAATTGCCATCAATTTTCACCTTTTACCTAGAAAGAAAAAAACTATTAATAATCTAATTTATTTATTGAATTGAACTTGAAAGATAATATTACTTTTCTCTCTCTTTCTCACTCTCTCTTAAAGTTAATAAAACACTTATTTATCTCATATAGTATCTCCCTAGCTTTTTATATCATTTTTTTTGGTTTAAATAGTTTCATTTTTTATTAGTTTACAACTAATAAACCAGGGATTAGTTGAAGAAACATTTATATATATATATATTTAATTATTATTCATTTATTCATTAATTAATATTCCTTAAAATATGAATATAAAGAATTCATTAAATGTGATATTGTTTGTTTTTCTTTTTTCTTTTAGCTAATCAATGATAAGAGTATCTTTTAAATGCTTCAGGTATCTATTTATATGCTTGAAAAAATTCTATTATTCTTCTAATCAAAGTAGTATACTAATAGATTTAGTGACTATAAATAACCCTATACTAATACATATGTACATTAATGTTTATGTTATGCCATCTACTGTTTTCCCAATATTTCGTGATGTACTGATTTACTTCGGCTTGTTGCAGTAATTGACGCCTAGGCGATTATGATAGAATAACAAGTAGGTTTTGATCTTGCTTTCTGAGAAAAATTCATTATCACTGATTTTTTATTTATTATTATTTTTTTTTTTGATACATTGAGCTTTTAGATGAATAATTACAGAGGACGTGGGTTATAAGATAGAATATCTGATCAACACGCCCAGCATAAGTGTCGTGCTATATCTTTTTAGCACGCTACTGTGCACTTGAAATGTTTATAGTTGTTAATATATAGTGTAACTTGGTGACTTGCATTATTTTAATTTTTATAATTCCCGCTACATTTTTTTTGACGAATTTGACCGATGAATGACCGGTTTGTAGTTTCGGTAATAGTTAACCGGTTATATCAATATTCTCCCCTTATCAACCGGAAGCGGCAACCAAAGAGTGAACGAAGGTATTTAGGGAGAAAACATGCTGCTCTATCAACGGATTAGAGATAATACTGCGATCTTCTTTACAGTATTAAGCTCTCTATTAGTATTATGTCTAGGACAGGTTCGATAATTGATAAATATGCGATTTTTAAATATATAAATAAATAATGATTGCTTTTAGTTGGACAAAAATGTTGAAGATGCTTTTAAAAGTGGTCATACAAATAATTGGGCTGTTTTAGTGGATACATCCCGATTCTGGTTCAATTATCGTCATGTAGCTAATGTATTATCGATTTATAGAAGTGTAAAGCGTCTTGGTATACCTGACAGGTTTCATTTTTGTTCTTTTAATATTAATGAATAGCTATAAGAGAAAATCTATTTAAAAAGTCTATCTATTCATGTTTCTTTTTTTCCCAATACTTTAGCCAGATTATATTGATGGTTGCAGACGACATGGCGTGTAATCCAAGGAATCCCAGAGCTGCAACAGTTTTTAACAATCAAAATGAGAATATAAACGTTTACGGTGACGACATCGAAGTAGATTACAGAGGTTATGAAGTAACGGTTGAAAACTTTATACGAGTTCTTACTGGTAGAGTTCCACCATCTACGCCTCGGTCTAAACGCCTATTAACTGACGATAAAAGTAATATACTCATCTATATGACTGGTCACGGAGGCGATGGTTTCTTAAAGTTTCAAGATGCAGAAGAAATATCAAATATAGAATTGGCTGATGCATTTGAGCAAATGTGGCAAAAGAAACGTTACAACGAGATATTTTACATCATAGAAACTTGCCAAGCCCAATCAATGTATCAGAAATTCTATTCACCAAATATATTTGCGATGGCATCGTCATTAGTTGGCGAAGATTCATTGTCTCATCATGTAGATCATTCAATTGGAGTTTACGTTATTGATAGGTAAAAGTTTGTTTAATATATAATATTTCATTTATTGATGAATTAAAGATAAAATTTAAATAGTATGAGCTTTTTTATTACTTTGTTTCTTTCCTCCCCCGCCAAAGGTTTTTGATAATTAAAATATTCATTTCTTTCCACAGATTTACCTACTACGCCTTAGAATTTTTAGAACGTATTAATCAGGGTAGTAAGAAAACACTGGCTGAATTTGTTAAAGTTTGCCCTTTTTATAAATGTCAATCTACTACGAATATAAGAGAAGATTTATTTCAAAGACCAATTTCTAAAGTTTTAATAACTGATTTCTTTGGTAGTGTTCATAAAGTTAAAGCATTCGATAAAGTTAATGTTACAGTGGATGTGAGAAAAAAAGTTATTGATCACTGTCAAAAGGATCCGTCTTCGTCATCCTGTAAGAAAGAAGAGTTGGATATCGATATTGAAGGAACTGATACAAGAAGACTGTTTTCATACGCTAAGCATTATCCATTTGTTTGAAGTTTTCTCTTTTCTAATGTTATAATTGTTAATTTAATTTATATATACAAGTATATATTTACAGATATATTCCATCTCTTTTTCTACAAACAACTGTATCAATTTATTATTGTATTTGTATATTATACAGTATATATTAGTATACCGTTTATTTTTAAATTTCATTCAATATTTGAATGAAAAAAACGCTAAGATAAATATAGCTCGAGAGGCGGAGGAGTCTGTGTATATTATATTACTAATATAAAAGGGTATAACAAATAGAATCTGGGTAATTTACATTCTTTTTCATTTTACAGAAAAATAAGTAAATTATTATTTTATATACCAATTGAATAAAGCTTTCTTTTTATCACTAGATGGAGTTATAATCTAAATTGTGTCAATACTTATCGTTTATCCTTCACACTATACTATTCAATAATCCGCCTCTTATGTGTATCTTCACTTTGATTGTAATCGATTGTTAATAAAAGAAAGAAGAAACGTAACCGTCTAGACTTTTTCAGTTATTTTTTCATAAATATTAATAATGTATTCATTATATAACTAAAAAACAATCTTCTCTAGAATATACTGTACTGTATATGTTTAAAATACTAATATACACATAAAAAATTGTTCAATCTAGTTTTTTAATTAAAAATCTAACTAGGCCTATTTAAAAAATTATATATTTAATTTCCTTATTTATTCATAGATAATAATAATAATAATAATAATTTATATTTATAGATAAATGTGCTTAAATATACATAAATAAAATATATTACACGCAAGCTATTTTAAATAATCGTTAAGAATTCCTGTACTCTTTCTCATAAAATCACGAAAATCGAGATCTATTAAAAAGGGAATAATAAGAAAAAAGGATTTTTAAACATAGACGCCTAGTTGAAAAAAAAATTCTGTTTTTTAGTACAGTATACGTTAGATTTATAAAGGAAAGTAGATATTTCCTTATAGGATAAGAAGGCACGCTAAATGTCGTTTCAGTTAATTCAACATTCTCAGAATTGATTAGCTAACAGAGTTAATCGATAATTCATTCGCTATATTCTATAGACGAATTACCATCTTACACCCTACCCGCGATAATAATTAGAATAAGGAAGAGATTGCGCTTCCTATACAAATAGTGAGTTTACACATAATATGTAAAGAGTATATGCAAAATTTGTTTCTATATACACAACATACAAGTTATACAAATTTGTAAACAATATACAAACGTATATATTAGTATATGTCCTCATGCATATAAAAGATATATATATATATATATATATATACTGTATTTATATTGATAAATATCATAAATATGCCCTTAATGTTTGTTATTAAGGAAACAGTATATCTTTAGTATTAACACTTATTTTTTGCTGCTACGGCTTAATTGTGCAAGGTGGGAAATGTTAATATTTTTTACCTGGAAACGGGCAAAACATTTTTTATAGACCTATATTAGCTATCTTATTTAAGGTGAAAAAAAAGCAGGCAATGACTATTAGCTACAGTTTATTATTCATAGCGAATTTTAGCGTTAAAAGCTTAAATTTTTTATTATGCTAAAAGTTAAAAACATATCCGCTTAACCGGTTTCTTTATTGGAAAGACCTAAATATTTTTTGGTTTATAGTGTATTTGATAGGTTAATGAGGTTTATTTTATAAATAATAATTATAAGAAAGAGAAAGAGAAGGAGAAGAAAACGAAGCAGTTTTCACTGATATAGAGAACAAAGGCCGGATAAATATATAGTGAGAGGAAGAGAAAGAGCGAGAGAGAGAGGGGGGGGGGAAAGAGAGAGTAATTGAAAATTATATATTCGAATCGTGCTTTACTAAGAAAAAATGTAAAAGGGATAAATGTCTTTTTATGCTATGCACGATTTCTCCAGATTTTATCATACGTATATGCCTATTATACCGGAAGGGATTATAGAGCATAAAACTAAAAGTTAACATATACTGGTATATATAATTTCTGCTTAGTCAAGAATATAACAACTTGTTTTCATAAAAAATAAATAAATGAATAAATAAAAGGAAACGTCTGTTCGTTCGGCTAAAACTTACATTTCATTTGAAAAACCCTCGGGCCAACTTTGTCTTTTATATCAAATAGAAAAATGTATAACGGATTTCCTTCTTCTATTTATTTACTATATGCATCAATACTTAGATACGAATTAACTGTATATCTATAAATACATATGTATTGTATTTAAAAGAAAAACATTAGTAAATACATACCACAGTTCGTTTCTCTCTCGGACTTAAAAGCAAACAATTTCAGAGTGGTTTAGTTAGTTTGCAAGGGGAAACACCTTCTTGTGCAGATATTAAGTCTACAGAGGTAATATTGTCTTTTGTACACATATACCATTATAAATATACCTTAATAGATATAGCTTTAAAAATGCTACAAGACAAATTTTAGGCCTAACTATACAGGATTGTTTCTTCTATATGAGCGTTGATATTTAAACAAATGTACAAAATATTGTGTATAGTAGATATAGACGGTAAATTGTCTTTATTTAAAACGTGTACGACTTAGATGAGCGTAAACACGAAAACACCATAACACTGTAAGTAGCGTGCAGTGTTTTATATAAATTTGCATACCAGGTTAGGCTTATTTATAGAATATCTTAATTGTCTTATCAATATTTTAATTACTTTTAATTTTTTAAGAAAAAAGGAAAAACAGTAGAGCAGACTTATATCCAAAGCATTATTTAACATGCACCTACTCAGGTAACAATAGACGCTTGTCAACGAGCGCCTCTACGACGGAGGAGAAAGGTAGGGGAAAGAATATAAAAGGTTACATAGAGAAAACAGAAAAGAGGAGAAGAATAAAAAACCTACACCTGACGTCACCTGCTCTCGTCACTAGGCAACGCATAGAAAAACTAGCGACAAAAACCTGCAGCAATGCCTCTCGTACTGCACGCTACCAACAACACGACTGCAAACTTTACGAACGATCGCAATATTGGAAAAGGCCTCACAATTCTACTTTTCGCAGTAGCCGCTACTTTGACAAATGTTATTGTTTTAATAGTTATTAGAAGTACCGCTGTTATAGGGAAAACAGTAGGCCTATTAATCAACTGCAGTGCTCTGGCAGATCTCCTCTTCGCCCTCATCTACGCGATTTTCGTTGCAGTTGCAGTTCTCTCCTCCGGCTGGCCGTATGGAGACAGGGGTAAAGAGATATTTGGCGTTATTAACAGTGTCTTATGGACAATATCTATGTTTTGTGCTTCAATGCTGGCGTATGATCGTTATGTAGCACTAACGTCATCTTTACACTATGAAGAATCGTATTTGGCGAAAAACGCGTCAAAAACTTTATACGGAGTATGTTCAATATCCCTAATATTCTGGTGCTTATCTCCTGCGTGGGCAAAATTCGACTACGATCCAAAGCAGGTAAGTTCTAACATTTTCTCCAACTTGTATCCTTTTAAATAATTAGCTGGGATAGCATGTCAGAAATTGAAAAAAAAAAATTCCCACTTTTCCTACTCCTCCTCCTCCTCCTTCTCCTCTTCCTCCTCCTCTACCAATTTTGTTCCATCTTTTCACTTTAATAGGTCGATTGTATGGTAGTTTGGAGAAAAAATAAAATTTTCGGGTCAGTTTTGGCCACGTTTCTTGTTGGTCCGAATTTACTGGTCTTTCTATTCGCTGGAATTAAATCGACGCGCCTTTGGTTAATACACGATAAAACCTTAAAAGATGTTATTACGTTCAATACTTGGGCAAAATGTCTAAGGAAAGAGCAATCAACGTTCAAGGCAGCACTTGCTATAGCCGCCTCTTTTTATATTTTTTGGTTGCCTTGGGCCATCATGCAGATTATCCTAGCCGAAACTGATTGGCGTTCACCTGATCCACTGGCCTTTCTTTTTACATGGTTGGGCCATATTAGGTCTACAATAAATTTGGCCTTATTAGTCTCTTTCAACGATTCTTTCCGAAAAGTGCTAAAACGAGTGCTGAAGAAAACTTTTACAAGGAAAGTTTATCCTGGGGCTTATCATGCTTATTATTTATCTACGACACACAGGAACAGCATTACTTTATCCAACACTAATAATTTCACTTGCAGTACTATTCGCCTCTAGGAAAAAGTAAGAAAGCTGGAATTAGGCAATGGGATGGCAAATTTGGTTGAAAAAGGGGAAAAGTTAACAAATTTTGTGATGTCAAACATAATTATTATTTATAAAAGTTATAGTCTTAAGTCATCAATTACTTATATTCTTTTTGTATTGTTTTTTTTTATTTTATTACCAAAATAGCTAAAACAAAAAAAAAACGATTTCAAAGAGAACACGTATGCAACGTACTTTTTTGCCTATATTTTCATATATACTGTACTGTATATGCATTTATACATCTATTTTATTAACTAATTAATTTACCTTTTTATTTTTATACATTTATAAAATGAAGGAATTAGAAAAAAAAGTAATTAATTCGCAATTAATTCTTCTCTTTTCTTTAACAAAGAACCATAACTATCTTGCAAATCTTTTTCTCTTTCCATTTGTTTATTAACATCTTCTTGCATGATTTTGACTCTAGTAGGCATAGACTTCAATTCATGGTCTCTCAAGACTTTAAAAGTCTCTAATTCTATAGTGAGCTGTTCAATCAAGTCGTGAGCCTCCGATAGTTGTTTCGACATAGCAACAGCTCTACTCTGATAACCACCAAGAATAATTTTCAGTTTCTTTTCAATTTTTGCCGCCTTTTTAGCCTCTTTCGTCATAATGGAACGATTTTTCTCCAATTTCTTATCTAAAGATTCAATACGCTCTTTTTTACTAGCTAAAGAAGCTCTAGTATAACGTTTGTGGTTAGGCAAGTATAATAGCTGAGAATAACATTCAGACCAAACTTGATTAAATGCATCCAAAGTAATGTCCCCATGCCTCATTCCTGCTTTGACAATATCCATTTCAGCACTTAAAACTTGGCTAGCTTCCTCAAGATGTTTCTGATCAAAATTTTCTAAGAGATGACTTTTAGCGTATGAATAGATTTGAGCTTCGTAATTTTTAAATTTCTTCTTCTGTTCCTCATCTTTTTCGACATATAATAAATCGTGATGCAGCATGGTCATCATCTCTTTTTTAATAAGTTCTTCAGCCCTTTGAAGCTCCGTAAGAGCTGGATCATTTTTCCCTTGCGGTTTCAAAAGTGCTAGATTCCCATATAACGGAAGGGGCAGCTTCCGTTGTATAACCTTTGACCTTTTTTTCAATTCGGCTTCTTGTTCTCTCTTTATTTGAAATTCCTTCTCAGCATCTATATCTGCCTGGTCAAGACTCAAGGACGCCTCTTGTTCTGCTTCTTCTGCCTCCTCATCTGGTAAAACAATTTCGTAATCATTGGCGGGTTTAGGAAGCATTGATAGGCCTGCTTCCAAGTTTCTTCTTTGTTCTATAATATCTGATTCGCCCACTTTTTCTCTCATTGGAGTTGCAGCAGTTCCATGAAACGGAGTTTGGTTATTAGCTGTGCCACCTGGTGTCCTGAAAGGGGTTTTCAAAACAACATTTGGTGTTGCCGCGGCACCTCCTGTTCTGTCCTCATTAGCAACGAGTGGAGTGTTTAAGCCACCTTTAAGTGGAGTTTCGACATTTGTGAGGGATATTATATTTTTAGCCTCTTGCATTACAGAATCTTCACCAAACGTTTGAGTTCTAACGGCGGTATTCGTATTCGATATCACGGGTGTCATCTGCAGAAAAATAATTGTGTACTCTTACTCTTAAGTTGCGCGATAACTCTACCTGATAATCCGATAACAAAGAATGTGTCGGTGCGTTTGGGCCAGCAGTATCTTCTGATAGTTGTCTTGCATTTCTAGACGCATGACCAGCTTTAACAATTTGTTCAAGCTCGGCATCAGTAACTTGGGGAGTGGGCAAAACCAATTTACTTCTTTTCTTTTTCGGTACGTCTATAGCTCGATTTTGAGCTGTAATGGCTCCTGGCATATCGTTTTCCTTACGTTTCTTAATACGCTCCTTATCTTTTTGCCTCTCTCTAGCTTCTCTATCACTTCTACGCTCTCCATCTAAGCCTTCTTGACGCAAATTTTTAAAATCTGGATGAGAAGGATCAAAGACTTCTTGCGATGTATCATGAAAACCAGGGGCAGGCTTCTTTTCAAATGGAATTTCTTCATTGTAGTCAACACCCCGCTTCTTTCGGCGTTTTCGCGAAACATTTATTCCCGCAGCCTTAAGCTCCCGACGTTTCTGTAGTGATGCGAGACGCCTGGCCTCTTCCAACTGTTTTTCCCTAGCTTTTCGTTTAGCCTTCTTTCCTACGATGCGAATAAATACATGAATACAATATAAAAGTTTCTAGCCCCCACCCTTATAAAAATATTAAGGACAAATTGTTAAAGTGTACCAAAACTGTCCTCAATAATTTAAATTTAAATATATAGAACTAAATCTACGCATTATTTTCTTTCAGTTTTATGTCCTTTAATTTTAGTTATTTTTTTAAATATATTTTTAGAGATGTACTACAAGTAGATTTTATAATTTCTACGAATTATAGAGTATATTACATCTCTTTCAGCTTTGGATGCAAGAACATTTCAAAGAGATAATTATGATTTATCAAAAATACTCTTTGATAATACTTGTCTTTATTATACAATATTAACTTGATTAATACCTTGTGTATTTGCCAGTCTCGCTCTAGCCTCGGATAACATTTCAAGTTCATCTTCATCCATATCAACTGGGTCAGGACGGGCTGGTTTTGTCTCGGGATTAGGGTCAATTTCTCCTGGCCTAATTTTTTTTGCATCTTCTTCTTCTCCTTCCTTTTCTTGAGCCTTGTCTAAAAGGTATTCGTAATGTTCCAAGCATTGAGCCGCTGTTCTGCCAATAATAGGTGCAATAGTTCTCCATTGAGTAGGCATAAGTTTGGCCAAGTGCAGTAATTTTTCTTCTTCTTCCCTTGACCATTCTGTTTTTTTAATTGACGGATCCAGCCATTCAAACCAACGTGCTTTACACTGTTTTGCAGATTTTCTGTGCAATAGAGATGCAATTCTAGCCCATTGGTTTTTTCCATATTTCATCACCGCCGCCTTAAGGATCTCATCCTAATACAACACATTATTTTAGTGAAATTTGAATGAATTTTATTGTATAACTTTAGTATTTACCTCAGTATTTCTCCAAACACCTCCCTTAACAACGATACGAGGCATCTTTGGCTCTTAAGTCAGACAACCGGTTTATCGTTCAACAAAAGCGCGTCGAACCTGCGTTTTAAAATGGCCACCCTTTGCGCTATTTTCGTATAAATTTAAGGAATGTACTTAATATCTGTTTGATAGTAATTATTTGTATTTTAAAACAATAAAAAAAATTATCGGAAAATATTTTTCGTGATTTACGATTTAATACGTTATAAACCATAAAAACTATAAGGGCATATCGGATCGTTCATTGCGATTCGATATTTTCGCATGTGTACCGGTAAATAAGTGAATATTTATCTCATTTAGAATTCAGCAAAATGTACAGCTATCACGGCTCCTATGCCGATGATGTTGCAGAGAGAGGTTTGATTGATTTTATTGCGATTTAGGAAAAACAATCCAAAAATTTACATATCCGTATTCATACAGTGCCGGATGATTCCTATAACGATGAATATTCGCAAGAAATCACCTCCGATTTATGGCAAGAAGCTTGTTGGATTGTTATCAGTGCTTTCTTTGACGAAAAAGGTCTGTAATATTTAAAAAAACCATCATTCAATCTGTAATATTTCAAATCAATTATCATCTAGGTTTGGTTAGACAACAACTGGACTCATTTGATGAATTCATTCAAATGGCTGCCCAGAGAATTGTGGAAGATCATCCAGTTATTGAATTACAAGCTGAAGCTCAACATACGTCCGGTAAAATAGAACAACCTGTAAGCGATTTATGCAGCCACCTGCATTAAAATTTTAAAATAAGTCTTTGTGTTTTAGACGAGATACCAATTAAAATTTGTTCAAATTTATTTGGCAAAACCTCTTTATTGGGATAAACAAGGTGCAGCACATCCAATGATGCCTAACGAAGCAAGATTGCGAAATCTTACGTAATTATTCCATTTTATTAATAAACAAATAGTTATAGAATTATTATCCTTAAAGATATTCAGCACCTCTCTATGTTGATATTACTAAGACAACTCTAAGGGAGAATGAGGAGCCAATAAGTTCAAATCATACCAAACAATATATCGGAAAGATACCTATTATGCTTCGAAGTTCATACTGCTTGTTACACGCTCTTGAAGATCGTGATTTGACAGAATTAAATGAATGCCCTTTGGATCCGGGAGGGTATTTTGTAATTAATGGATCTGAAAAAGTTTTAATTGCTCAGGAAAAGATGGCAACAAACACTGTTTATGTGTTTGATCAGAAAGACTCAAAATACACATATAAAACCGAAATTCGATCTTGTTTGGAACATTCAAGCAGGCCAACTAGCACATTATGGGTAAATATGCTGGCAAGAGGTGGTCAAGGTAATAGAAAAAGCGCAATCGGTCAAAGAATCATTACCATTTTACCATATATACGACAAGAAATACCGGTTATTATTGTTTTTCGTGCCCTGGGCTTTGTATCAGATAGAGATATTCTGGAACATATTATTTATGACTTTGATGATCCGGAAATGATGGAAATGGTGAAACCTTCTTTAGATGAAGCTTTTGTTGTGCAAGAGCAGAATATTGCACTAAATTTTATCGGTGCCAGGGGGGCTCGACCTGGTGTAACAAAGGAAAAAAGAATCAAATATGCAAGGGAAATCTTACAGAAAGAAATGTTACCTCATGTAGGAGTCAGTGACTTTTGTGAGACAAAAAAAGCATACTTCCTGGGATATATGGTACACAGATTACTAATGACTGCCCTTGGAAGACGAGAATGTGATGACAGAGATCATTATGGAAATAAAAGACTCGATTTAGCTGGTCCCCTTCTTGCTTTCCTGTTTCGAGGGTAAGTTAAAATACTTGATTTTAAAATATAACTACATGCAGACATTTCCAGACTCTTTCGAAATATGACAAAAGAACTTCGTCTGTACGCTCAAAAGTTTATTGACAGAGGAAAAGATTTCGACGTAGGAGTTGCTATAAAAACAGGTATTATTACGGATGGATTAAGATATTCATTAGCCACTGGAAATTGGGGAGATCAAAAGAAGGCTCATCAAGCCCGAGCTGGTGTTTCCCAGGTGTTGAATCGATTAACTTTTGTTTCAACTTTATCACATTTACGACGAGTTAATTCACCAATCGGTCGTGATGGTAAATTAGCTAGACCTCGTCAATTGCATAATACACAATGGGGTATGGTATGTCCAGCCGAAACACCAGAAGGAAGCTGTGTTGGTTTAGTGAAAAACTTGGCCTTAATGGCGTATATCTCTGTTGGTTCTCAACCTTCACCCATTTTGGAGTTTTTGGAAGAGTGGAGCATGGAGAATCTGGAAGAAGTTTCCCCATCTAACATATCAGACGCCACAAAGATATTTGTAAACGGATGTTGGGTTGGCGTACATCGTGACCCCGAACAGTTAATGAGTACTCTGAAGAAGTTAAGAAGGCAAATGGACGTTGTTGTGTCTGAAGTATCTATGTATAGAGATATAAGAGATCGAGAAATTCGAATATTTACTGATGCTGGAAGAATTTGTAGGCCACTGCTAATTGTTGAAAGAGACAAAGATCAACCAAAATTGTTGTTAAAGCGTCGTCATATAGAATTATTAAAGGAAAGAGAATATAACAATTACTCTTGGCAGGATTTAGTGGCATCCGGTGTAGTCGAATATATTGATACAATGGAAGAAGAAACTATCATGTGTGCTATGATTCCTGAAGATATTTACGATAACGAATCGTCTTTCTGTTCAACCTATACACATTGTGAAATTCATCCAGCTATGATTTTAGGAGTGTGTGCTTCAATTATACCGTTTCCCGATCACAACCAGAGTCCCCGTAATACTTATCAAAGCGCTATGGGAAAACAAGCAATGGGTGTTTATATTACAAACTATCACGTCAGAATGGACACACTAGCCCATGTTTTGTGGTATCCACAAAAACCACTCGTTACAACTAGATCTATGGAATATTTGAGATTTAGAGAATTACCTGCGGGAATTAATGCTATTGTTGCAATTGCTTCTTATACTGGATATAATCAAGAAGATTCAATCATTATGAACGAAGGAGCAGTTGATCGTGGCTTTTTCAGATCCATCTTTTATCGAAGTTATAAAGACCAGGAAAGTAAAAAGAGTTTTGGACAGGAGGAAATATTTGAAAAGCCCGATCGTGCAACTGTTATGGGTATGTACAATTTTAATCACTCTAAATGTCACTAACATTTATTTTTACGATCAGGTATAAGACACGCAGTGTATGATAAATTAGATGAAGATGGAATAATTGCACCTGGAATTAGAGTTTCAGGAGATGACGTTTTAATTGGAAAGACTATAACACTTCCAGAAAATGATGATGATGTAAGTTTTGATATATATATATATTAAAAATAATATTGGAAACTAGGGCTAATTATTTAATTTTCTCAGTTGGATGCCAATCAACAACGTTTTACTAAACGAGATGCTAGTGTGTTTATGAGACGATCAGAAACAGGAATTGTTGACCAAGTTATGGTGACTCTAAATAACGAAGATTATAAATTTTGCAAGATTCGAGTCAGAACTGTTAAAGTACCTCAAATAGGAGACAAATTCGCCTCCAGGCACGGTCAGAAGGGTACTTGCGGTATTCGTTATAGACAAGAGGTAATTGATAAAATTTCTTTCATTAAAATTATTATTGCTTTCTCTATAAATTCATAACAGGACATGCCGTTCACTTGCGAAGGAATAACCCCAGATGTTATTATAAATCCCCATGCTGTACCTAGCAGAATGACAATTGGGCATTTAATCGAATGTTTACAAGTAAGGAATCCCCCAAAAAATCTTTTATAAAAGAACTTGCTAATTTCTATTCTCCTATTCTCATTTATAAAGGGTAAAGTATCTGCAAATAAAGGAGAAATCGGTGATGCAACTCCATTTAACGACGCCGTCAACGTACAAAAAATTTCCAGTCTATTACACGAATACAATTATCAACTTCGTGGAAATGAAGTTTTATACAACGGTCACACCGGTCGTAAGCTAAATTCTCAGATATTTGTTGGACCTACATATTATCAACGTTTGAAACATATGGTAGACGACAAAATTCACTCCAGAGCGAGAGGACCAGTCCAAATATTAAATAGACAACCTATGGAAGGTAGATCTCGCGATGGTGGACTACGTTTCGGTGAAATGGAGCGTGATTGTCAAATCGCCCACGGAGCAGCGCAATTCTTGCGAGAACGTCTCTTTGAAGTTTCGGATCCTTATCGTGTCCACGTTTGCAATTTATGCGGCTTAATTGCAATTGCAAATCTACGAAATCATACTTTTGAGTGTAAAGGATGCAAAAACAAAACTAGAATATCCCAAGTTAAGATTCCTTACGCTTGTAAATTACTGTTTCAAGAACTTATGTCAATGAGTATAGCGCCAAGAATGATGATTAATTAAAATTCTTTATCATTTCTTATGCATTTTTTTTTTTAAAAGTATGGTTAGTTTTCTTTCTTTGTACATAATAAACACTTAACGCAAGTTTTGATGATTGTAAGATCATAGACATGTATGGAAATTATTTACGTAAGAATTGTAAACGAAAAATATTCAAATATTTTTCAAATGTTTGAATACTCTTGATTGTATAACGAAGAATATTATTCGAATTGGATTGGAAGCTTTTGTTTAAGGCGTCTACTTCATTAAATATTCAATAGATAAAGTGATATAAAAAGCCTGTGCAAAGATGAATAAAGAGATCAATAGCGAATCAAATCATTCAAAAAACAGTTCGTTGAATTTGACGCCGTCTAAAGAGAATCTATTCTATGATATAGATAATAGAATAAACGCTCATAGAAAAGATTGTATTACTAGAGTAACTAATATAGACAAGTCCAGCGAGGGAAATTGGTCGAAAGTTAATTTAATTTCAACGTGTGACGAATCTGTTTCATCAAGATTTCAATCACAATTATTACGACACGCAGTGTCAGATTCAAGTCTCTTTAGTGATAAATTCAAAAAGGTCTTGATAGAATTTAAACAACGTTTTACATATCGAATATTTATTAATATAACATTTAGAATCTATAAAATAGATTACAATTAGTATGGATAAGGACAATAAAAAAGACTATATGAAGAATTCAAGAGAAAAAGTAATGGAATCTATATCAAACGAATCAATTATGTCTTATTTAAAGTACCGAAGGGGAATTAATCAAGTAGAAAATGGAAAATTTTCTTTAAAAACTTGCACTAGTATAACAGATAAATCTGAAATTCTTGAAGATACTCAGATGATAAATTCTATTCATGATATTTCTAAAAATAAACCAAGTATAATAAACGAAAACCCAGTAAATTCTATAAGATTATCTCATCCAGAAAATCATACGAATGTTGACGTCACAAGTGGAGAAATGAGTAAGGGTACATAGCAAAAAAATGAAGAAAACTTTCCTATTCAAATATCTTTTAATTTAAGAGAGCATATCGAGAAAATACGACGATAACGATAAGAAACCTAGCTACCACAGTCCAAGAAATAACGACCTACAAGGTAGATAAAGCACTTAATTAGCACCTTTCAAATCATTTATTATAAATCTCTAACAAAAATTTATTAATTATAGATAAAGAGATAAAATCTATCAAAGGTATCCAAAGCGAGCAATATACAGATTTGGCTATAAATATAATATCAAATATTGAATTATCAATAATTCATTCATTAAAAGAAAACCAAGATATTAATATAGTAAGATAAAAAAAACAGTAAGAAAGACTGTTATTCAATTTTTTATATGTAAATAGTTTTTAATTTATTTTTTTTATTAAAAAAAAAGGATTATAGTCAAATAAATGATGATTTAAAATTACTCTTAAGGGATAAGCATTATTCTATAGATAATATAGTATTAAAGTACGTATGAATAATTTATTAAGAAATCTATAAGTAATACTATATTTAAAAAAAACAGAGAGTAAGTAAGATAGAGAGAGAGAGAGAGAGGTATTATCTTTTAATTTTTAACTTTTTTCCTCCCTTTTCCACCTTCAAGCAAACAGAAAAAGGACTTTTCGTTAGAAAAAGATATCAATCGCCTATTAGAATTTCTAAATAAAGTTTTATTTTATAATTATTTCAATTAAATTAATTAATTAAGTAATTAATTAATTAAAAGGAAAGTTTACTAGTTTCGAAGAATTCGTCTATATTTAGTCTCGATAAGAATCCAAATGAATTAACCGATTTGACACTGTTAGATAATGGAGGTGATAGAAATCATTTAGTGAAATTATGGTTGAATGATTATAAAAATGCAACTGGCAGGGTAATTGAGGTGGAGAAAGCAAATTTTCTTGTTCCTAGATTGCCGATTATCTCGGCTAATGAGGTACCATTTTTTCTCCTTTTATTTCTCTAACAAAGAGAAAGCAAATGAGTTTCTTATTTAAGCTTTCAGGCGTTCAAGCTAATCTCAACGGTCTAAAATTTCCAATACCGAAACATTGTTTGTTTCAAGATGAGTATAGTACTACTTATCCTTGTTCTATTGATGGAAATACATTAGCAATTAAATTATATTCTTCTAATCGTCTTAACGTTGTTCATATAATAAAAGAAGCTAAACTAATGGAATATTACAGCAAGCTTAATATTAATAATTTAGTACCAAAATTTAAAGGTCTTTTATTAATTGAAAATCAAGGGATTAATGAGAGAATTTGCCCTGTTGGTATTATATATCAAATTGTATCGGATCCTTTAAAGTTTAATTGTATATATTTAACAAAAATATTATCATACGAGTTGGAAAAACGACAGAAAAATGATAAATTCCTCTACGATTGGGAATGGATATTAATACTTATTCAGATTGGTCTAAAATTGGATAAAGTTCATAGATCATATATGATTTTAAACACAATTCATATAAATTCAATTGTATTCTTTTGGGATGATAAATATGGATTTATTAATCCCCAGTTTATTAATTTAATAAACTGTCAATTTATTTCAACAGTAACAAGGTTAATAGTTTTATTATTAATATTAGGTTTTTATGTTTTTGTCTTCCTCTCTCTCTCTCTCTCTCTGTCTTTCTTTCTTTCTTATCTTGTAATATAAATAAAAAGGAATATATTGACATTTTATAGAAACGGTAAGAACGATAAGAAGAATAGAATTAGTAGACATGGAGGAAGTTGCGCAACAGATGTTATCCTATTTGGGAATTTAATTAGGAAGGTTAACAATGATTTAAGTTTAAATTTGAATGGTATTTGTCAACATTGTCAGGAGAATACGCCTATTTCAATGTGGTGGTCGTTAAATCAGCTTCTATTAGGCTTATTCCAATGCTTATTAAAGAATTTATCAAAAAGAGGCGTAGAATTTTCGTAGAATTAAAGAACATTTTCATTCTATTTCTTATTATTTAAGTAATGGCTTTCTTTTATTTATATTTATATTTAAACAATAAAAATGATAAAGGATAAACTTAATGAATTTTGAATTGCTTTAAAAAGTGAGTTAATGAGTTATTAATATAAATGTAAAATATAGTATTTATATGAATAAAGGAACATCAAAGAAATAAAAAAAGAATGATGAAACTTTATATTTAGCATATTCTCAGGAATTCCGAGAAATTGCAAACGTTATTCTTTTACTATTCGACGAAATGGAACGGTCTGTAATTGATTTCGAAGTAACATTTCAGTATTGACCTTTTGAGAACATTTTCAGTGAAATGGTCGTCAACAGGATAAGTTTTGTTAAAAAATCTACGCAGTTTAATTAATATTTAAGAATGTTTTTCCATGTTTACGAGAATTAACAATTTATCAGCATTATGGTAAGATGAAATACGCGCCCTCTATGTTACAGTACTAAAAACGTGATATTTGTCTCGATTTTCAGTTGGCTCTTTAATTTCGGTAAAACCCAGTGAATTAATCTTTTATTAATCTCCCTATGCACTTTAAAAAATCAGGAAATATTATTCGTAAAAGTTATACTTTGATATTGTTGTTGCCATAAAGTACGTAAGTATTAATATTAACCCTTAAAAATTATTATTTTTAACATTTTCACCACTGATATATTTATATTTCTTCCCCTTTGAAAAAAAAATACAGTAAAAGATAAGATGACAAACATTGGATTAACTTTCCATAAAACGATTACTGGTCATCAGAAAGATGTCAATTGGGTTTCATTCTCTCCTGATGGACAACTAATAGCAACGGCTTCGGCTGATAAGTCTATTAGATTATGGAAAGCAACCGACTTTACCGAAATCTCATCCTCACCATTGATTGCTCATACATTTGCTGTCAACTGGGTGGATTTTAGACGAGATAGGGATCAAATTGCGTCGTGTTCAACGGACGGAAGGGCTTTGCTGTGGGACACAAAAACGGGAAACCAGCTTCAAACAATTTCTAATGGCAATCAAAATTCACTCAGGGTTGGTCGTTTTTCGCCTGATAGTTCGGAACTAGCCATCGGTGCATCGGACGAATCGCTATCTATATGGAACATAGATAGAGGCAAGTTAGTCAGGCGATATAAAGGTCACGAAGCTACAGTTCTCGCTTTAGCATGGTCGCCAAGTGGTCTATTTCTTGTATCTGGCTCTGCAAACGGCGATTTAAGAGTATGGGATAGTAAATACGGACATTGTAAAGATTTAGCTTATATATTAGATGCTCACGATCTTGGTGTTACCTGCATTGAATTTTATAAAAAGACTGATTGCCCAAACGTATACAAACTCGCCACTTGCGGAATGGACCATTTAGTTAAAATATGGCTGTTTTCAGCTGGACCACCTGGCACAACTGACGTTCATGTTTCGAATATAACAACATTCAAAGGTCATGAAGCCGCCGTCATGTGCGTAGCTTGGTCTCCTTCAGGAAAAATTTTAGCATCTGGGGGTGGAGACCATACTATCCGTCTTTGGAGTGCGGATGATGGATATCAAATAATCAGTATTCTTGGACACTCTCGCTACGTTACCTGTATTTCTTTCAGCCCCGATGGTCAATTATTGGCTTCAGCATCCAATGATAGGGCAGTAAATATTTGGGGCGTAAACGGCAAAAAAGAAAAACTTGAGAAGCTGGAAGTAAGTAGTGTTAGCAAGTGGAGTGTACAAGATGTGCAAAGGTGGTTGGAAGAAAATCGTTTACACAATCACGTTAATGTGTTTGTTCAAGAACAGGTTTGCCAATTATACTCTACAATCTTCGCTTCTTTATTTACTTTCCTTTTTTTTGTATATATGCAATATTAGATTACGGGTGATCGTCTGTTAAGTATTAACGCTGCCACTTTAACGGAAAATCTGAACATATCTAGCTTGTCGGATAGAATGAAAATTCTCAGCCTACTATCTGACTTAAAGCGGTCAATACCCTATAGGCCAGATAAAGGGCAGAAGCCTAATGGTTTAAATATAGACGAGTTTCTACTATGCCCGATAACTATGCAACTCTTAAAAGATCCAGTGATTGCTTCTGACGGTTACACGTACGAGAGGGATGCTATACAGCAGTGGCTGTCAACTGGCCACAATCGCTCACCTGTTACTAATGAACAACTGGAAAATACCAAACTTATATCAAATAGAGTAATCAAAATTCTACTCGCAGAACATGTTTCTAATTGCAAGTAAAGCGTTTTCCACCGAATTAATCACCTTTGGGAGCTACAGAATAAAGTGAATATGCCTTTATATTCTTCGCCATAGTGTCAACTGTTTTCTCTAAAACATAAACCTACTATTTATTACATAATCTGATCTACTAAATCTTTGCAATCTAATTCGAAATTATCGATTCCAATCTTTGAAAAATATCAACTGCGTTCTCTCCTATTTATATTACAGAAAGCAAAAAATTACAGTTTCTAAATATTTCAACTACTACTCTACCTGATTTCTGCACTGAAGAAAAAGCTCATTGTAACAAAAAACTGTTAATTTAAATATCTTTTAATAATGTAATATGTAATTTGTGTATGATATAGCATGTTTGATATGTCCTTTTATTTTAATAATATAATAATTGAATACAAATCTTATTTAATAGATTTTATATGATCTTCTGTAGGACTAGGACCTTTTCCAACCTGACAAATTATCAAATAAACAGCATTTAACAAAAGAAAACAACTATCAATGACAATATTCTTACCTTTGTATAAATGCAATGTTGAATATCGTTTGCGTCGAATTTTCTCCAGTAATTATTAATTTTCTCCATTAATAACTTAAAAATATCAAAATATACATCATTATCCTAATAGAAACGAGTCTACTTTATTTTTATTACCGAGTCTATATTTTCATTCAACTTAGGGATTTCGTTTCCTCTAAAGACTTCTGCACCAATTTGAAATGATTTGCATAAAAGAGACGTCACGAGCTGTGCATTTTCTTCTAAAAGATAAAGGCAAGCATTTGGACCAGCGTCAAAAGTGTATGCCACCTTTTTTTTTCATTTCAGTATAACATTAAATAAATAGATTAATGCAAAAAACATGAAATTATACCTTATTAGTTTGATGAAAGTCATTAATGGAATGAACAACATATTGAATAAATCGGGAAGTATCATTCATATAAGATATTGGTGGATATGTATCGAGACAGATGGCGTGTAGTTGATTACTATCCTGAATATTTGGTAAGGATAAAAAATCAGGATATAATCGTCAAATATCAGGAGACAGAAATATCTTACTCTCATTGTTAATTCAGCAAACTCATCAAAATTTTTTTGTAAAATAGCTTTTTCCATTTTTCTCATCATATCTGGTACAATTTCTTTAGCTCTCAATTCTAAGAGGCGGCTTGTTTCGACACTTCGAGCCATTCCTCCAGTACTTGTCGTTGATTTATGACCAGCATTAACAACTATTATTAGAACTCGCATATCAGGCCAATGATTTTCATCTGCTATTTGGCGTGCTATAGAATCTTTACTATTCGTTCCTTTATCCCAAGCAACCCATCCTCCTAAAACACTACGACAAGCGCTTCCCGATCCCTGTCTGGCTATCTCAGAGAGATCTCCTTCAATTTCATAGAGATTAGCCAAAGCACTAACTGTTTTTTAAATTGGTTCAACAAGATATTTATAATTAAAATGAGTGAGATGAAAATAAGCCTACCCAAGCAAGCAAATCCAGCAGCAGAGGAGGCTAATCCTGCAGCAGTAGGAAAGTTATTACAAGAGCGAATTTCAACGTTCCAACTAATGATTTCATTGGATGGATTTTTTTCTAAGGCCAACTTTTTTACTATAATAATTGAATATATAAATAAGTAAGTTTGATAGTATTTGAAAGTTCTTTGAATTATTGACTAACTTGTCTTTATTACATTCTGAATACGAGTCGAATTAATATCTTCTCTTTTGCCATTTAGCCACAAAGAACTTTCTTTAAATTCCTTTGAACAAGCTACAGTTGTCTTTGCGCACATCTAATTTAAATTTCATCTATATTAATACTTATTACTTCAAGTTTTATCTATTAAGTTGGCTTTACCACATCTTGATCAAGGGTAGCACTTAAAGAAGAATTTAATGGTAATATAAGCTTGTCATCTCTTTTCCCCCCTTAATGTTTAATAAAGTATATAATAAGATATTATAGTTAATTCTTGTTCGATAGACTTACAATATTTAACAACAGCTATATTTACAGGAGCCGTAAACGTTACTGTTTTCATGCCGCTTGTTCTGTTTTTTATTCTTAACTAGACCAACATTTGTCGTCTGCTAAAACGGATATAGAAATGTAAATAATTTTCGTATACAGTATATACTGAATGATGTCTTTTATTAATGTTTATTCAAGAAACTTTCAATATTATTAGAATTGAAAATTGACTAAGTGTCCAATAAAGATTATACTGTATGTGTTAATATACTGTATTTTATAAAAAAAAGAAGCTCTTAATTAAAGCCGTCTATATAACATTTAGGACAGTTTATTGAGAATAAAACTTCTTGTTTGTTATATTTAAATAATATTAGAGACAGGTAGCAAATGTAAGGAGTAAAGAATGCAAATAATGAGTGGAAATAGTTCTGATATATTACAATTGACTAAATTATTCAACGATGGAGTTCTTTTTTAGTAACACTTAATTTTTATGCTATAGAGTAGTTGAAACGTAAAATAGCATTTATTAATTATTTAAAGTAGTCAAATATATCAATTTTCTACTAGGAAAAAGAGGGAACGTAGATTTTAAATAATCCCTGGATCAAGAAAGGGGAAAAAAACAAGTTAAGGCCTGGATAACCGTCTCAATCTTCGCAAGACATTTTCCAAGAAATTTCTAATCGTGTGGAGGGAAAAGGCAGATAAATTACCTTGTAGATGGCGCTATCTCTTGAATACAGTCATAAAGTCTTGTATGAAATCACAATTTAAGAAAGAAGAATGAGATAATACAAGAAATACAGGTGAATTATTAAGTTTAGAAGTTTAGGTTACAGGATTTCGTACAATAAACCTAAAATTAACTTTTCGATCTGGCTTCTTAAATACAGATGTTTTTGTTCCTAATTTTTCTATTCCATTCTCTTCTATTCTAAAATTTTGTAGTAATTTTATAACAGCCAAATATATCTCTTGTTCGGCAAATCTTCTACCAATACACATTCTCCTACCGTAGCCGAATGGTAGGAGACATCCTGTTGGTATTTTTCGTCTTTCCCCAGATGAAGTCAACCATCTTTCAGGTTTATATTCCATAGCATTTTCAAAGTATGTTTTAGATTTTGCAATTGCTTCGCAATTAATTACTAAACGAGTTCCGGATGGTATTTCGTAATCGCCAATTTTCATGGTTTTTCCAATGATTCTATTTGTTCCCGCAATTGTCGGAAAATAAATACGAAAACTCTCTTTTAAGCAGGCCTTTAAATAGTTTAATTTATTAATATCGTCAAACTTTAACTCATTTTTACCGATAACCGTATCAATTTCTTTGTGTAATTTTTCTTGAACTTGTTGATTTTGCGATAGATTATATAACAAGAAACATAAAGAATTTGCGGTAGATTCAACTCCCGCTTGTAATAGAGTAATTGCCAAATCGATTTTCTGCCTCTCTGTCCAACTGATATTCGAAAGGGAAGCAATTATGTTCAAGTCTTTGTTATATTCCTCTCTCCTACCGTTTTCTAGGAAACCTTTGCATATTTCATCAATTCTCTCTTTAATAGCTAAAAATTCTTTGTAGAATGGTGTTTGAAAGTGTAGAAACAGTGGTATCGTAAAACATGACTTGGCAATCATATCAAAATACCTTTTCATAAGTATAACAAACTCTTTGTTTTCTGGATTTGGATACATTCGTAAAGCTCCCAAACGAATACCAAAAGCAACGGTTCCAATTGATTCCATAGCATAATTAGTGATATCCTCTAACGAATCGGGAAGAAGTCCGTTTTCGTCAGATTTACTTTTAATATAATCAACAAAATCATTTGAAACCGCTATCTGAGTTTCTAGATAAGCCGATGCTGCAGTAGGATGTGCCATTATCTTTTGAATAGGCTGTCTTGACTTCCACCAGTTCTCACCGTTACCCATAAGACCTAGTTCGTAGTTGTTGTATTTATTTAGAGCCTCAAAGATAGGTAGGAGAGTTCTAATGGGATATTTAGATTCGTTTTGCATGACTTTAACAATTTCCTGAGGATTTGCAACATGAACAAACGTAACACTACCGAGATCCTCTTTGAATATATCACCATATTTTCTTCTATAATGAACATAAGCATCGGCTAATCTATCAATAGTATAATTACCGAATATTGTATAATTGAGTAAATTTCCAAAGAAAGGTAATCCTTTTGGACCAGGAATTGAAGCAAATGACTTTCCAACTTTTGAAATCATGTCAACAAGTAGATTAAAAAGATAAAAAAAAGACACTTGTCCTTATATCAATTGGAAAAAAACTGAAGTACATTCAAGCTGAAACTTTCGTGTTCAATTGAAACTATTTCCCAATATCCTACAACTAAATATACTTGACGTAGGTTATTTAGGTTAAATTATTAGTTCGTCCGGTACGAGTAAAGCAAAAATTTATAGCTTTATGTGTAGGCGTTGATGAAACAAAATTGGATAAAGAGACATTATTTACATATTAAAATAATGTATTCATAATTGAAAAATTTAAATAACAACTGTACAGTATTTATACAAATAATGTATTGCAAATAGTATATAAAACACTTATAAAGAAGAGTATACAGTAGATTGAATACTCTTTTTTTTTGCTAGCTTTTTCCTTTATCCACCCCCACCTAACTCCTTGAACTCTGTTAGGCTCTTTTTCTTTACTATATACTGTATATATATATAGTTAATTTTAGAAACAAATCATTGAACTAATTCAATTTTATGTTTGTGTTAACTATTTTTGAAATCAGGATTATTTGCCAATGCTTTATCCAAGGTAGACAGTTCTGATAATTCTGTTTTCAATTTTAATCTTAGAATATGACGCATTAAATCTTCTCTATGAGCATTATCTTTAACACCAATTGCATTCAATTTCCAATCGTTTAAATTCAATAAGCAGCGACCACTTATATCATTTTCAGTAAATTTTTCGCTATATAGACCATGGTATTCAGGAGCGTGATTTTTCAGCCATTTGCAAACTTCGTCACTAGACCAAAAATAGGTTGCTCTTTTCTTTTCTTGTTCTTTTTCCTATTAATAGATAAATATATTATTATATTAATAAAATATTTGACCATATTGCTAAATTGTAATGGAAGAGAATTGTCCTTTTATTTTTAATGTTTGATTAGTACTAGTTGAAGATTAAGAGTAGTTGAAATATTTTCACTGATAAACTTATATCCTGCTTTTTTTTATTATTATTATAAAATATCTAATAAATATAACATTAAGGTTATAAATCAATCTTGATTATATGTAATAAACATTTTAGAATATTATCGAATGACAAAATCCTTTACCTTTGTTTTAGGTGTTCCCTTTATGATACGAAATGCGGACATGACAGACAAGTCATATGTATTAAAAAATTGTTGATTAGTTTAATGCACAATTTTATTTTTTGTTTGATATCTTGATCCAAGAAAAATATGGGCAAATAATCAATAATGAACAACGGCTCGTAAAATTAAACATTTGGCGGAGCCACTGTCGTATGATTTTGTACAAATCCACAGAGTCCGCCATATTTGTCACATGTACTCTCACATGACTATTTGTTTGTTCCCGTGACTCCAACCATTAAACTTGTCTATTTGAAAAATCAACAAAAAACATAAAGATGGATATGCTGGAAAATAGTCTGGAAACGCAGTTAGTAGCTATGTTTGAAATCCATAAACAGATAATTCTGATACCCTTCCCCGGCCTACTTTTTTAACTTTCGGCCATTTTGGTTTTGGCGCGCTATCGTCACATGACTAGATCACGTTGTCGAGTTGCGCTGCTCTTTACGTTCTATTAAAGAAATATTCTTTTCTCGTCAATAAACTATATTTAATTAATAAAAATAATGAAAAAATCCTCCTCTAGAGACACGAAATCTGCAACGTCGGAATTGGCGAATAATACGCAAGATTTAGGTAAGAATTTCACGCTTAAAACCTTAAAGAAACACTTCTGTTTCAAGAATAAATCTCTTAAAAAGGCAATAAATTCATTCAAAAGTTGTAAAGAACGCTAGTAAAATACACGAGTTTATAAGTCTAAGGTTGAAGTTTCATATATATCTAACGTGGAAGAAAAAGTTATTAAACATATTTTCTATAATAACGCAGTGGTTTATTTACTGATGTTGGTCTTACTACGAAGTATATAGTTTTGACTATCATTGTCTTAAAATTGAAAGGATATACGTAAATTAACGTACCAAACAATAAAATATTGTTAGTAAATATTGCCCTAAATCCTTAAGTGAACAGCTCTTATGTGAAGGTGTTGTTGTCGTTATCGTTTCTTAATGGTATCTTATACACATATTTATATTGAAATATAAGCATTTTACATATTTTTTGTTACAAATTAATAAACGGACGAAACCGTTAAATGAAATCACAAAAATGCGTCAGGTTGAACGGCTTCTTTAATAGCGAAAAACGCTAGTTTCTTGTTTTTCTTGTCCATTCTTTTCTTCTATTTTTCAATATTTTTATTTTTAATAGAACACAGATTTATTTTGCTCTTTTTTTTTCAGAATCTAATGATGATAGCAACGGTAATTAAACTACACAAATTATGACTTTTTTAAAAATATCATCCTATTAATGTCACAATCTGTAATTTATAATCAATACTATACTTTTTTCATGTAGCTAATAATCAGGTAACATATCGGGTTATCCAATTTAATAATGGTTCGGAAGTGGAGAACCAGTCGCAAATATTAGGTCAAACGGGAATTACGCATGTTCTTCCAGCTGGAAGTTTTGCTAATGGTTCATCAAATTCCCCATCAAATGAAGATGCTTCTAATTCAGCCAGGTTTCTTTTCAAATATCTTTAGTTTATATATATTTCATTTTCTTTTGGATAATTAGTATTTATATTACTTTATTGTTCAACTATAGATTTACTTACGTTTCCGGAAGTGGTACAGATGCGCAAACAATAGAAAGTCTAGGCCAATTACAGACTGCTCAGGGTCCTTATGTTGTTATGATGAGTCATCCAGATGTTATACAGGCTTCTAGAAGTATAGCGCCCAGGTAACTTTTATTGAACTGTGATTTGTAAAATTCAGTTTGAAGTATTATTTAAATATTTTAAATAATTGATTAAAACCAAATTGACTTATAATTAATGCAAATTTATTCATTTTGATTAATTTCTATGAAAATTAACTATAGATCCGGAAACCGATCGTCGGGTGGCGATATAAAAACTTCCAGGGACGAAAGAAGACGAGCTACCCATAATGCTGTCGAAAGAAGGAGAAGAGATAAGATCAATAATTGGATCGTTCAACTTTCGAAACTCATTCCTGATTGTGCTGTTGACGGAATGAAAGGCGGTCAAATGTCAGCTCAGAGTAAAGGAGGAATTCTGGCCAAGGCTTGTGATTACATCAATGAACTACGTACTAAAAATGAAAGATTGGTTGAATCTCTACACGAAGTGGAAAGGTTCAACACGAATCGAGACGCATTAAGGGACCAATTCGAGGAATTAAAAACAGAAAATGCTATGCTCAGACAGAGTTTATCGGAAGCTGGTATTGCTGTACCAGAATCTCACTTCTAACAACTACTTGTACATATTTGACTTTCTAGCTTTTTGCCTATCGAAATTCCGTAACATTGAAAAAAAAAGTGAAGGAGCCTTTTTCATTTTTTTCTGTTAAGCTCATTTGTTTCATATAGTGCTTCTCCGTTATTAAAAGTCTGTAGTAAGTAAAGGATAAAAGAAACGCCTTGATTGGATAATTTGAAAAATTTAATTATAAAATTCTAAAGTTAAGGTAAAGGAAAGCGTAAAAACAACGCTACACTTTTTAATTGCTAGACAAAAAAATTTATCATCTACATTTTCATCATTTTATCTGTTAATACATTTTTCATACAATTCAAAAAAAGAGCGCCAAGTTATTTTCGTAAATTGATTAATTCACCTTAGTTACCAAATTAACATTTTATATCATAAACATGGCTCAATTCTATCTAATTGGAATTTAGTTTTAAATATAATTTCGTAAAATAATAAAAGTTGAAGGCCAATACAAAATAGCAACGATTGGTGTTTTGTATAGTGTGAATTGCTAACGTTATTTCCTCTTTGTCAATGGTTAAGTTTCCATAATGTTTGAAGTAAGTGAATATAATATTAAATTGTAGTTTATCTAGAAAGAGCGTTTGAAAAATTTTACTACCTTTTTTTGGATTAATTATATCTAAATCATCCTATTATTTGTCTAAAGTAAATATACAAGTCACATAGAGGATGACCAGAATATCTAATCATAAAAAAGGTAGTAATTTGAACAATATTATTAGTTTTAGGAATATAGTTTTCTATTACATGATTAGTGACATTTCTCAAGCTTTTAAAACAATCACGTGGTCCAAACTTAGCTGAATATTTTTGAATATATTAATAGGTCATTAAGTTATAAAAATTCGTTACATAAACCATAAGATTTATGTAGGTATGAAATTTTGTTCCTGAATATAGAAATACAAAAGCCATGTTCGTGCTATAAAATCAAACAACAATTCAAGACCGAATTCAAGCACATTGAATGAGGATGTTAGAAGAGAGAATGACTCAACAGACATTGACGTAAGTTGTGCCTCTACTAATATTTGTTTGAATCAAAAACGATAACTTTAATTGATTAATCCAATTAGGAAAAAATAAAGCAATTTTGGTCAAAAGTTGATGAGCAATGTTTAAGATACGAAAAGGAACAAACAGAGACAAAACCCATCGAGAGAAAGAATGGAGGATTTAGGGTTGTTAGGTTATTCGTTTCGTCAACATTTGTAGACTTCAATTCCGAAAGAGAGATTCTTGTTAAGAAAACATTTCCCGCATTAAAAGAATGGTGCGAAAAACAAAGAATACGTCTGTTTGAATGCGATTTAAGGTGGGGTGTGCCGAGGGATTCAACGACTAGAACAACGTTGCTAACATGCTTCGAGGAATTAGATAGATGTCGAGAAGCCCAAAAAAACCAGCCTGTCTTTTTAAATTTGACTGGAGATAGATATGGTTGGATTCCAGGTATGGATGATATTTCTCAAGATATTCAGGAAAAATACGAATGGCTTTATGGATCATCCATCACCTTTATGGAAGTACTACATGCCGCTTACAGAAACAAAAATCCCAATGCTGCATTTTTTATAAGAGATAGTTCGTTTTTAAAAGAGTTACCATCAGACCTCAATCATAGATTTCGACAGGATGATGAATTTAGCAGAAGACAAATTCAGGTAACATTCTAAATCTGAATTTTTAATAAGAATAATAATATTCTGTCCTTTAATTTTCAATTTTAGTTGTATAAAGAAAACGTTAAAAAACGCTTCCCCGATCAAGTTTTCACGTACAAACCGGAAGTTGAGAGTGTAGATAAAACTTCTAGTCAAGTCAAATTGACCAATTTGGAAGAATTTTCCAATCAGGTTCTTACATTTTTTAAAAGTGCGATATCAAAAATATATCCGCTGGAAGAGGTCCAACCGGAAGTTGAAGTAACCCTTATGGATAAATTGGAAGAGGAACAAAATTTATTTATTGACTATAAAACTGAATTAGTCTTTGGAAGACAAATTGAAATAGATAAACTCAAAGATTGTTCAAATGATAATTTTCAAAAAGATTGTTTATCTGAATACGGAGGAAAAAATGATGATAAGTCTTATGAAGGTATAAATTTAATCAACAATAGGGAAATAGAAAATTAACAAATACATTGCATCTCATTTCAGAATTGAAAGAAAAATTCAAATCATCAGATGACGATGAACTATTGAAATTAATTCTTGCTGAGCCTGGTATGGGAAAATCAGCAGTTTTAGCTAAACTAGTCCAAAAAATACAAGAGAATGATGAAAATGATTTGTTTTATCATTTTGTTCCTGTGTCTGCAACTACTAGAGAATCTTCTATAATAATAAAAAGAATGTTATCTTTTTTTATAAAAGATGAAAAGGGTAACTTTTAAGATTGTAATCGTTAAATTATCAATTTTAATCATCTTATTTTAATAAAAGAATTAAAAATCCTGGAAGAGAAACTCCCAGAAGAGATGATAATTTCATTATTGGCTTATCTTCGAAAGAATCCTGTTAAGAAAAGAACGTACATACTAATTGATGCTGTAAACGAGGTAATTATTAATTATTGTATGTTATTAGATTTGTACAATTCTTTATTAAAGATGCGCTCATCGGGATCACATGAACATTTGAATTGGTTACCTCCGACTTTTCCAAAGAATATTCACTGTTTGGTTAGTTGTAATACAGTTCATCAACACACTCTAAGGAAATTAGCGGCCAAGCAACCTCTTGTTTTTTCGCTTACGCCCTTGGATAAAGAGAGTGTCTTGAATATAATCGACTATTATTTGGGAATGTTCAATAAGAAATTGGATAGCCATCAGAAACAGTTGTTAAGCGAAAATGACGGAGCGTCAACTCCATTATGGCTGAGACTTGCTTGCGAAGAGCTAAGAATCTATGGGGATTTTAATACTCTTTCGAAAAAAATTGAGTTACTTCCAAACGACCTAAAAACGTTAATTGAAGATATCTTAAAAAGACTTCAAACTGAGGCAGCAATTGAAAATCGCAAAGCACTAAATGGTACGCTATGTCTTTTGTACGCTGCTAGAACTGGACTATCGGAAGATGACATTCCTGTGCTGTTAGGTTCAGAAAATGAGCCAATAGCCCCACTCGTATGGGCAGAAACAAGGAGACTGTTGAAACAATTTCTTCGTATTATTTACGAAACGAGAACTGGTTACGAAAGAATAGATTTTATCCACGATTCAGTAAGATTAGCTGTTAAATCAGTTCTTCTACCGGAGAGCAAAGATACCATTAAATGGCACTATAAATTGGCTAATTTCTTATTAAATGATGCCAAGAAGGCTCCATTTAGTGTCGACGAAATTCCCTATCACCTGGAGGCCTCGTATCAAAGAGGGAAATTATTAGATTTCATGAGAAAGAATCCATTATCACAACGTATACCAACGTACGACAGGGCTCAATATGTCAATGTAAATAAGAATAATAGCCTTACTATAGATATTATAAAATTTTGTTGTTTTTTCTAAACAGAATCTCAAATGTACTTCATTCGTTCACTCCAACTTATCTAAAGTTAAAAGTCATTCGGAGATAGAGATGACAGTCTGTCATATCTGCCAAACTGGTATGAAAGGTGGATTAAACCCGATATTTAATAGACCAACAGAGGCATGTTATATTTGCGGTCAGTGGTTAGGTTCAGGTCATCTGAATAAGAATAAAATATATATGTGCATGCAGCATAGTAATATGTATAGACATAATTGCGTTCTTTGCAACTCATTCCAAGGTTCTATGAAACAAAAGGATAATAATTTGTATGTTTGTCATCAATGTACTTTTGGTTATAAGTATAATCTATGCAATTATTTGGATACTACAAATGAATCGGTTGAAGAATCGTGAAAAATCAATTAAAATAAAATTATTCCAATCCTAAACCCAACTAAAATTATATAGTTCAGGTGTTACATACCAAGTATAATATATATTAATAACGAACTATTGTAACAAATCAATGTGCGTGTTAGAAATTTCTATGTTCTTAGTTATTGTTTCTATAGGATAAATTTAAAAAAAAAAGACTAATTAGAGTACAAGCTTATTTTTATATTGACACGTGTGAATAATAATTATGATGTTTATTATATGTTAAAAATAATTTATGAAATATTTTTGTCATCGTGATAAGCTATTATTGCGCATATCTGTAATCTATAATCTCTATATTATATAGTATATATATATGTATATACTAATATATTCTTATCTAACTATTTATTGTATATAACTTTTAAGAAACAACAACAGTAAAACGAAGGCCGGAAGTAAATTTTCCCCTGAAGAAACTAGCTCGTTAACTATCTATATGTGACCTAATGAAGTTTTCAAGGAATTAGATTACCTATTCCTCCCTCCTTTTCTCCCTATTTTTATTTATTTTTTATATGGCTCTTTTCTTGGAATTCTTACGAAAATGTCCCTAAATTGTCTTTATTAACTTTTCGAAATATTTTATTAACTAAATTTAGAATTAACTTACACAAGTTTTTTTTCTATAATTCGAATGTAAATCGAAAATCGGAACGTTATCCTATGAAATTTATAAATCATGTGACTGAATCACGTGATATGAGAATTGGACGCGTTATTGATTATGCAGCGTCTGTCTACCGTCTAGTTTCAGCAATTCTATCAAAAATCGACGTAATTTTTTACAAATTCCAATAAGTTAAAGATTTTCAAAGAAATAAGAGTTTAAAGGTTATGACAGAACCTAGGTATGGGAATTGTAGATAAAAATTCTAGAGATTCAAAGAATGATATAAAATCGCCGAACGCCTGTAATGGAACAGATTCTTTCGGAGCCTGGATACAGTAAGTATGTTTCATTTCATTAAAAAACTACGCTTATTTCTAAATCGTTTAATTGTAATTTATATATAAAATAATGAATTATCTATAAAAATTAATGAATTAGGTGGTAAAAATTCTTATTTTTTTCAATTTGATAATAATGTAAAAAGAAAAAAAACAGGATGACTCATCTACTTTTAAATTTACACCTTTCCTAGTGAGAATAGGAAAAGGTTTCTCCGTGTATTTATTGGGATTAAACGTGATAATCCGATAGCTAATCCAATTACTATTGAAAAAGTATCCCAAAGTCTTTATTCTCCAGTTATAGATGACTAATTAAGTATTTCGCATATATAAATAAATTGTAGGGTATTTTATAAGAAAGAATAGAATATAATAGTATTATTTAGTTTTCTACTATATTATTATAAACGCTTTCAATAGATTCAAGTCCTTTTTCAACGGTGAAATATATTTTTATAAAAAATTTTCTATAAATTACCCGAATATTCTACGGATCATTATTTTCGCTAAATATATCATCAACCCTTTTTACTTTAAGTGTGAATAGTAGGCGAAAAAAATCTGATTATTAAATTAACTGTGTCAAATATCTCTCATAGTATTATATTTATACAAGGGTTTTACGATTATTATAAAGAATAAGTTAATTTTATTTACCAAGTTCCGTTCGGTTCATTTACAGCGTGTAAATTAACTCATTTGATTAGTACTTTAGCTATTCTATAATTTAAATGTCGTAAATGTACATATTTATACAAAGATGGATATATAATGATTCTATAGTTCAATTTGAATGACTTTTCTTCTTTGCATGCAAGTTATTATCGCAATATTTGTAAAGAAAGGTATTCAAATTTTACGTTTCGAACAAAAGAGTCTTTGATATTTATATATAAACAGAAAAAATGTGATCTTTACTTTGATATATTTTCCGAATTTTACTTCTTAAGTATCCGTCACAGCTTTGATTCTGTTTTTTAAATATTAATTACGTTAGGCCTAGCTATTTAACTCCCCTTTCGGTTCGAAAGTCGTTCGGCTTCTTATCTGCTATGTCTCTTCAAAAATCAAAGTTAGTACTAATACAATCGTATTTCTAGTATTATAGTTTCCGTTACTTCAATTTTTAAGCTATTACGTGTACAATTTTTCTAGATTCTAGGATTAAAGCCTGTAAATAGCACTTATCAGTTGAAATCGATAGCTTTTGCACCAATTTTCGAACGGTTCCTGAACATTCGTAATGTATGAATCAGTAGTGGAATAAAAATTTCTCTTATTTAATCAAATCTCTAAACAATTCGTTCAATATCGAGTCTAAAAAGACGGAGAATTATTCACAAAACGGATTTTATTATCTAATGGACTAAATGTTTACTTTCTTGCCATGTATTTTTTTAGTTCAGGTGTTTCTTGTACAAATCTCAACTTGCAAAGGGAAAGGTCGATACATAAACACGAAATATAACTTTACAGCTTATAAATTGACCATGCTAACTTAAATAGCTTACTCTTTTTTGTCATTAAGAGTTAATAAAGAAGGATAATACGTGAAGAGCTATCAATAGAGAGATCAAAGACAAATGCAATTTATTTCGACAAAATATCAAAATAGACTATTCTGTAGAAGAATAAAAAAAGTCTTAATATTGAACATTTACTGTATATAAATAAGTTTGAACATTTGTTTCCGATCCATATGCAACATATGGTGTGTAATATTTGTTATAAGTGCATATGGTTAGAAATTTCAACATATTTATTAATTAACTTATTACCATAGAACATGTATATTTTTTAGAATTGAAAGTTCAAGATTTCTAACGGATATCGTTACGAAAAAGAACTTTTAAAACACGCTACAATACTCAAAACAAATATCTTCGAGATCGTTCGTGTCAGATATTATTGATCCATACAACTAATATCGAAATCCAAGCTATTCTGCTGTTAAATTTTTTGTTAACTTTTAATAATAGAATTCATTTTCATTCCTTTACCATGTTTTTCGCAGTATAACGAAAATCATTCTCATAAAAAGAAGCCCACTGCTTTTTTGTAAACTATACGAATCGAACTGTGGTCTTTTTTGTTTGTTTGAATGTAATCCTCTGTTGAAATGAAAATATTGAACGTATTGCTTTTTTATATTTATAGAAAGAAACGTGAAGAGAGCGATAGTGGTAAAACAGGCATGACCCAAGACGAGATAATTGCTTCAACTCGAACTGTACTTCATAGTTTAGAGGCGCTAAGGTCGGAACATGCCCAACTTATTGAACAATTAGGAGTCACCCTGCAGCATTCTAAAAGTGACGATGACTCAAGTAAGATACTGCAGGAGAAGACTTCTTTGGCGTCTAAATGTTTGGAAGGCATTGAACTGGGAATTGGAGAAGCTGAAGTCATGATGGCTATAACCTCCCATATGCAACAAGTAGACGCCGACAAACAGAAATTAAGAGCGCAAGTTAGGCGATTATGCCAGGAAAATGCCTGGTTGAGGTAAATAAAACAAACTAATCAGAAACATTAAAATTATTATAGATGCTCTCCTAATATACCTTTGTTTATTTTATTGAAAATAGAGATGAGTTAGCGACTACACAGCAAAAACTGCAAACCTCAGAGCAGAAAGTGGCGACATTGGAGGAACAAAAGAAGCATTTAGAATTTATGAATGAAATGAGGAAATATGATGCTCCTGACGGTTGTGAGACATCGGAGTCAAGTACTGATAAGGAGACGAAGAGAAACCTAGACCTTGGTTTCCCTGAAGATGACGAAGTCACGCCAACTCCTGACATAAGTATGATAATGAGTCCGACCCAACCTTCAGCTATGGCTCACGCAGCTTCAGGGGGTTATGAAATTCCAGCAAGATTGCGAACTCTTCATAACTTAGTTATTCAATATGCTAGCCAGGGACGCTATGAAGTAGCCGTACCTCTCTGTAAGCAGGCACTAGAAGACTTGGAAAAGACTTCTGGACATGAACATCCGGATGTTGCAACGATGCTCAACATCTTGGCTCTCGTTTATCGGTAAGTTAAAAGTATATTTTTTCACTTTTTAACATTGACATAACTGATCAATAATTTTTTTCTCTATCTTTTATTATTTGCTCTCATTTTTAAACTCGGAAAGTCCAGAAATTAGTTGTATCTCAATATTAATCCATATGATTTCTATTTATATCCAGGCGTATAGTGTGTTTTAAAATATTCACAAGGCGTCGAACATGGGAAGTTATCAAGTATATTTTGGTTCATAATACAAAATATTTTTAACAGCTCGATATAATTACCAGAGAAGAGTAGCAGGTTTTGTCTGTTTTAGTTTACGCTGCAACCGCTAAGAGATACAGCTCTTTTTGCTGTTAAATCTGGAATAGACGAGAAATTAGAGCTGTAGTCTATACAGAGGCGTTAGTAAAAAACAGAAATCCCTTTCGACGCCCTACATTCCATAGGATTAAAATAATAACTTTATTATCTCATGAAATATTAATATTATTTAAAGAATTTTTAAATACCTATATAAATATCTATATATATTTATATCTAGTGATCAGGGCAAATTCAAGGACGCCGGTTCATTGCTGCATGATGCACTTTCGATACGAGAAAAGACATTAGGAGACGAACATCCGGCTGTAAGTGGGATAAGAAAGCAAAGCATAATAATGCAAAACAATTCTAAGCCGAACAGATATATGCAAATACTGTATATATATTATATATGCAGTATACATATATATGTATCTACAGTTATATACAGTCTATATATATATATCTCTCTCTATATTTGCTGCAAATATTTCTTTTTTTCCATCTCTTGCTTTTATTCAGGCGCCGGTTGTGTTTGTTTTTATTTCTATAACTAATTACTTTATCTTCCGAGTGTTTAAACAATCTAACAATCTTTTTATAAAAAACAACAAAAAAGAAAGAAAATTACAGAAAGAAACTAAATAGATAAACTATTCAACAGTAAAACGGATTATATTTTCATATAAAACAGGGACCAGGGAAAATATAAGGAAGCGGCTAGCTTATTGAACGATGCTCTCTTAATTAGAGAGAAAACATTAGGTTTTCATCATCCAGCCGTGAGTAGGAGAAAAATATGTTTTCCATGCAAATTTTGATTTTGATTCCCTTATGTTCTTTTTTTTTATTCATTTTAATTTAAAAATTTGCTATTGAAAAATTGTTGTGATTGTTCCTTATTTACATATTATTTTTTATAATCAAAATTTAGTTCCTTTTTTTAAAAAAAGAATATCTTAGAGACCAATGATTTTACAAATCGTATTTAAATAACTAGGCCTAGAATTTTTTCTTTTTTAACCATTCTATAATTTTTATTATAGATTTTTATTTTAAATTAAAGCTATTTTTATATTTTTCATCATAATTTAATATTTTTCTATTATTATGAATATATTAATTATATATATATATATTTATAATAGTAATGTATATTTATTTGTTTACTTATGAATGCTTTTATGTTTTTAAACTAACTGTACAACATTCACTGACCAAGTTATTACGATTGTTTCACACGTTTAAGCCCTCTATCCACTTTTTATCCTTTTGCTTGATTTTTGTCTAGTTGCATCGGCATGTTTTCCTCAAAGCTTGGAGTTGCTTTTTAAAATTATATCTCTTTTTGATGGCCTTTCTTTTCTTAATTTTTTGTTTCTTTTTTTAAAGCATAGTTACACTTTTAAAGATTTTATTCTGTTTGTTATTTAGGTTGCCGCTACACTTAATAATTTGGCAGTCCTGTACGGAAAACGTGGAAAGTATAAAGAGGCGGAACCTCTTTGTAAGAGAGCTTTAGAAATCCGTGAAAAAGTTTTGGGGCGTGATCATCCGGATGTAGCTAAGCAATTGAACAACCTGGCTCTTTTATGTCAAAACCAGGGAAAATACGAGGAGGTACGTATATTTGTTTGTTTATTTATTCAAAGTCCAACAGTATTAAAATTATGTTCAAATATTTAAATATGAAAACGATAGTGTAACCGAAGCGAACAACAGTATTCAATTTGACATACAAAGTTCATGCAGAATGCAAATGGATATATTTTACTTTGTAAACCTATTCTGACAATTCCAAAGTTATAAAATGTGTGAAATATTTACTCATAAATATTGATTGGTAATAGCTTTTGTTTGACGACAGTTGAACAGAATAAAATTTTCACGTAATAGGCAATATTAAATCCATAAAAGTAAAAAAGAATATTTTAGTGCAAGTTGAATTTTCATTTTACGAAAAAGTGAAAGAATTGGTTGACCTGCTAGGAAAGCACAAAATAGAACTATTGCATATTTGTTTTGATAAGGGAAATGCTCTGTCTTGTTTGTTACTCGATTAAAGAAATTATATATTAAATATGCTACATCGTCTATTTATAGACTGATGAACTTTTTTCTAATGAAATTTTACCTTATTTTTTCCTAGCATTCCAATGAATAGATATTTTAGTTTAATTTGCTATACAAATATTTTTATTGATACTATTTTAGTGAATGAAAAAGTTTTAAAGAGGAAAAAATTAATGAATAGAGTAGAATATATTTTATATTTTGATAATATTTACAAATATTTATGTTTTCATTAATTACGAACGGCAGGTAGAACAATACTACCAAAGAGCTCTTGAAATTTACGAAAGTAAATTAGGTCTCGATGATCCTAACGTGGCCAAAACTAAAAATAATTTGGTGAGAAAAATACAACAACTAATACCTATTATCATGCATCCCTCTTCTGTTTAATATTTCATGCATCCTCAACTAACTTACTTTTTTCCCGCCATTTATTTTCTTACTGTTGTACCAAAGAAACTAGTAGATAGTTTCTGTTAACTCTTTTCAAATATCCGCGCCCTCTCTTGTTGTTTTCATTCGTTTTTAAAATGAAAATTATTTTTGCTTAATGTGGATACCTTACCAGCTTGTTAGTTTTGTGTTGTTTATTTTATGCATGCAGATGGAAGAGTATTATGCAGCTGCTTCAAAAATCCTCAAAAAAACGAAGACAATCAACGACGACGTAGTTTATAAAGCACAAAATAATTTGGTTTGCTATTTTTTAAAGATTAATCTGTATATAAACAACATCTTTTTTATTATATAAATGTTTATGCAACAAGATTTTCTTGGCTTTTTCTATTTGTGCTACTAATTTTTTATGTTGATTTTTTTTTATCTCTGCTATTTTTGAATCTTGCTTACTCATTCTCATTGCTTTTTTCCTATTCTCTCATAATCCTAATTTTTTATTCATTGATCAAAAGAAACGTTACAAAACGTTGCTTTTTACTTTTTCTTAAAAAGCAAAACAATTTCATGTGTGTTTCATAATCAAATCTAGGCATCTGCTTATTTGAAACAAGGGAAATATAAACAAGCGGAAATCTTATACAAGGAAGTATTAACTAGAGCCCATGAAAAAGAGTATGGAAAAATTACTGACAATAACAAGCCTATATGGATGCAAGCAGAAGAACGACAGGAAATAGGAGCGGTTTGTATTCTTTCTATTTAGTGTTATCACAAGCGAAAGCAAACCTATTGAACTGGAAAAACTGAAGAAATTTTCAAAGTTGACTCTTGAAAAAAAAAAGATAAACAAAAGAAAGCATGATCTTTCAGTTTTTAAGTTCTTCAACTTGATTTATTAACTTAATTAAAGATTTACAAGTTTACATGATATTTCTAGTATCCCACTGTTAATGTTTATTTATTCTATTAGGGAAAGTTTAAGGAGCAGTATGGTGACCAAGGAAATTGGAATAAATCGGCCAGAGTGGATTCTCCAACTGTCAATACAACCTTGAAGAATTTAGGAGCATTATATAGGCGTCAGGGAAAGATTGATGCTGCCGAAACTTTGGAAGAATGTGCAATGCGTTCGAAACACACTTCCAACCAACCTGTAAGTAAAACTCATATAACTCGACAAGTTTTTCGAGAAAAACGACCACAAAGCATATATTTATAAAACGAAAAAGATATAAGAAATGTTTTCTTCTCGTTGGCTTTATAAAAGGAGAAATAGCGATCGCTTGTGTTATTAGTTTTTTTTATTATTATCTTGAACTTTGTTGATTAACCATTTTTTAGTCGCTATAAAAAAAGAGCTTTCTGAGTATACAAAAAAAAAGAAAAAGTTTAATGCCGATTTTATCGTTCTCTATCATGGAACATAGTGTGCCATAATATTTTCATATTTGTCTTTTTTTTCTCTGTCGTTATATAATTGCTAACACAATCTAGAAAGGAACTACTGCTGTCGCTTCGCTTTGGGGGCAATTGACTGACGTAAGAATTTTAATTCTTTCATTTCAAACATACAAACAAAACTGCTCGCTTGTTGATTCAGTTTATACTGTAAAAAGTGATAATCCACTTCTGTAATTATTGTGTTCTTTTTTTTCTGTTAACTTCATTTTTTTTCTCATTTTCCCTTTAGATTTTAAAGTAAATTTTTTTTTAATTGCACATGTATGCATTTTTTCCAGTTGTTTGCTTAGTAGTTATTTCGTTGTTTTGGCTTTCATTTGCAAACTAATTCTTAGATTCATTTATTATCATTATTATTATTATTAATATTTATATTATTGTTATTTTGTTATCTCTTTAATGTTATTATTTATTCCAATGCCTATCTCCATCTTTTTTTCCATTCCCCTCTCCTTTACCACACAAACATAAAAAGGATCTCTTTGTTCTCTTCACGGGTTTAATCAACACACGTAAAATTTAATTTTCAGTCCATAACCCAGATGGCGTTATCAATCTTCTTTTCTACTCTTAAAATAGATATCTAGTTATTGACAACAGCCTTGTGAAAATATGCTTTCTTAGATAAACTTAGAAAAGGAGTCTTTATTATCTTAAAAAAATTTGATTAAGTCATCAAATGTGTACGTGAATATAATTCGAATAAGTCTTTGACTAGTAGGGGGTTTAATAGTAACATGTCAAAGGAAATAGGCTGAATATCCATTGGGAATTTTTTTAGATTGTAAAGGAAGATTTTTTTCTGGTTTATTTAATGGATTGGCTATTACTCAGTTCTATTAAAAACATAAGAATTGAGAAGAGAAGAATTGATGTAGCCAGGCGAATGAGTTCCAAGAAATCATTATTTATGATTTAGTTTAACCCGTTTGAAATGGCCATTTCCTTTTTTTAAAAGAAATGGAAGTGAAAAGATGAAGAGACCCTTTTTTAACACCAAAAAGGTCACTGATGACCGATTGTAGTGAAAATAACAAATGCGTTTTCAGGTAATCGATGCCGCAGTTCGTAATACTCGAATAGCGGAGGTGCTCGGTTCCGATATGAAGGATGCCCGAACATCAACGAGTATACACGAATTATCATCTAGGAGAAGATCAGCATCTAAAGACCGAGTACAACCGGTCACTACTCCGACGCAGGAGCAAAATGACCAAGAGGTGAGCTTGAACGTGCATGGTTTGAAAAGAACTTTAGGAAACAACCCACCATGCTGGATTGGCGACCCGGTGAGTTATGTAAAACAAAACAAAAAAAAGAAGAAGAATAAATTTCTAAGGAACGCTTCCCTTCAAAATATATCTTTTGGCTAAGGCTTGGAAAAGGGCAGAATGGCTGTTTAGAATTATCTTAGTTTAGAATTTCTTTTGCCATCCTCTTCCAAACCCCTTTCAAATTATAAATTTACTTTTAAAAAAAAAGCTACTTTCTATATTTCTTTCAAAGAAGAAAAACTTTTACAAATAACACAATAAAAAGTTTAACATAGAAAAAGAAACTTCAGGTCGCTGATTCTTATTCTGGTACTTCATTTCCTAAAATTATTGCCTTTTGTTTTTGGCTATAAGCATGCTCTTCTTTTTTTAAATGTTTTTTTTATCAATTTAATTTTTTTTGACTTTCATTTTAGACTAATCCTAATGCATATTCATAAAAAAAACTTTGCCTGCCGCCGCCCAAAAAAGCGAATGCTTTAATGGAGCATGTTTTTTTTTCTTTTTTTTTTCTAAATCCCAAGTTATTTTTTTACATCTTAGTTTATCCAGTTTATACTCAACAGTTTTTGTATATAATCTGTACCTTATTTATATTTATTATCTAACTCTCATAAAAAATTATATACATATATACAGTATATATATTAATATAAACTGTGGATATATATTTTCTTACCACTTTTTAATTTGTTTGTTTCGTTTTTTATATGAAAAACCCTGAAAACAAAACAAACAAACAAATTGAGTAAGAAAAAAAAAGAAAAACAAAGAAAAACATGTTTTATCTTTTATAAAAAACAAAAAAAATTGTATAAAGGGAAAAAGGTAAATTGAAAAATAATGAAAAAACGACTGGGCGGCGGTGGCGATATATTCCAATAAAATATTATTATTCACTTCACTTAATTTTCGAACCCTTCGTCAAGAACTTTTCACATAAAAATTAAATAGAAAAAAATATATTTACTCTCGAAAAACCGTTTCTAGAACGGACGAATGAAGAGGAGTGGTTCGTTCTCGAAACTGAGAGCAAGCATTCGGAAGAGTAGTGCGAAATTAGTGCAAAAATTAAAGGGTCGAGCAGACGCCGCCGTTGACCAGTCTAATGTTTATGGGAGGTAAGTTTGAAAACAAATGATCCAGATAAACCAATTTTAAAAAAATCGTACCAATGAAAGGGTTAATCCAAACTCTTCTTTTTTTTATCATTTCATTATTTATTTTTGTTATAAGTGTTCATTATTTTATTCCACTTAAACTCCTATTAAATTTTAGTTTATATTGTTAGGCCACTGTGTTCCATGTTTGTTAGGAATTAGAAATCGGTTAGGTTAAGTTTTTAGTTTTGTAGCAAATTTGTTACATTAGGAGAAAAAGATAAGAAACTGATTACTTATTTTTTCTTCTATGAAACGAACTATAAAACGGTATTTATTAATAATGGTTTTATTATTTGGAAACATATTATTCTTGATATTTTTCTGTATTCCTTTTGTATTAGAATTGAACGATCGCTACGCGTTTTATTTAATTGTTTATAGAAGCAAAAAGAAAAGAGAAACAACAAAAAAAAACAATATAAAAAATTATAATTAATATAAAAACAAGAATATCCGAATGTTATCGAGAAGAATATTCAATATATTCCAATATATAAGCTGATTTTTATTTCTATTTATTAATTAAGTTTTAGCTTAACAGTATCTTTTTTTATACTATTTTGTTTAAAAATGAAATAATATTTATTATTTTTCTTTTCCTTAAATTCAAGCATGAAAAGGGCGAGTTCAATGTCGGTTCTCAGTACCCCCAATCCAAGTAGTGGATCTGAAAGATTAAACGTAAGCGTATACGATTTTCAAAAAGGACAAGCCGATTATGTAGTATGAAATTCGATACAGGAAACAAGGCGTTCCTCTACAGACCTTCGACTGAAAGGACGGACAGGAAGCACAGATCAGCTTTCGTAGGAACAATGTGCTCTAGCTCTTCTTTTGTATAATCATTCCATATCCGAAACATCATTTAAAAAATTGATCATTTCTTTTTTGTTCTATATTTATTCCATATCGTTTAATTTTTTTTTTGGTTTCTTTTTCGCTGCCAAGAAAGAAAGATGGGAAAACGAAAAAAAAAATATATTCAAACCTTAATTTGCTTGTATTTAAGAAAATAATCCATTTGGAGAAAAATTAAGAAAAAAAGGAGAATATGTTTTATTTTTTTTGTCAGATGTTTGCAAATGTTCATATAAATATTTATATATATAATTATTTATTTATGAAAACAAATCCAGTAACAAAAGCCAACTAAGTAATATTTAAACGTGCTGCGCGCTCTGTCTATATATATATATATGTATTTATCGATATCTCTTTATGAGATCTCTTTTCTCTCTTATTACATCTCGCTTTTATCGTCGATTAGACTTGATTTGTGGAAAGACATTTGTGTTATTTTTATTTTTTTTGTCGACGAAAACGAAATAAAAAATCCTAGTCAAACATTTAAAAAAATAATAAAAATTTCTAATAAAAAAAAGTCATTGAAATCTCCCTTTTTGTTTTTTTTTTTTTAAAAAAAAAGTTACAATTCTTTTTAACGGTTTCAATTTTCTTTTTTTATATAATTCAAGCACACAAAAACAAAACAAAAAAAATTAAAATTAATGAACCTTATAGAAAAATATAGAAAGGAAAAAAAAACGGATCACAGCAATTTTATTGCACAAGTTTTCTTTTTATGTATAAATAACATTAGTATATATTTATATAAAATTTGGAAAAATAGTGGGAGTCTTTTTTTTTTTATAAAAACAAAAATTATCATAGAAATTGTTGTTAAACAATGTATATATCAAAATTATCGTGTCTAAAGCGCATTTGGGCTTCTTGTAATATACGAATTCGAGGACCCATAGGTATTCCTATCTTACTTAGTCTTTCTTCCGTCATGTATGGTAACTCTAACATTCCTATACCTTCTTTGGAAAAGTTTTCAATGTATTTCTGTTAAGGGAGATAAGAATAACAAATATTAGTAATTAATTATGCTAATTTATTCATATGGATAAATTATTTTCTTTGAAAATATTTTCATTTCAGGTTCGGAATTTTTCAATCAAAAGCTGAGAAAAAATGTTTATTGTATGCTCTTTTATCCTTTCATGTCAAAGTAAAGAGGCTGAAGGCTAGGGGAGGGTATTTTCTTATTCTCTTTTCGACTTTTAATAGCTGAGAAATAAGGTATCAGAACGAATCATTACGCTTTTCTACCTTTAATAACTAACCCTTTAACCCTCGACCTATCCCTCCCACCAGTTCTCACAATTGTTAAGTCTTATAACACCGTAGAAGAAATTGATCCTTACCTCGTAGCCCAAATTCTTTAAAAATAACTTGAGTAATGGCGGCTCTTCACCAAAAAATTTGGTTAGTTTGTCAACTCTCTTTGGGTTTGTCATGGTTGGTACCCACCCTCGAAATCTGTTCCAATCGTTAACTTCCGGTTGGTTATAAGAATTATTGTTTGGGGTATTAGCATGACTTTGTTGAGGATATTTGGCGTTTGTGTGAGCGTGTCTCTGTTTTTTTACTTCGACAAGATCGCTCTTAATTGATTCCATATCACGATAGAGGGCACTATGCGCTCTCATCTCTGATGAAAGATGAGCGACGCTTCTTGCCAAAGTGACTACGTGAGATTCAAGACGTGTGAACCTTTTATTAATATGCTTGAACTGATGTGAGGAAGCGGAATGTCCTGCTCTACGATGGTGACCTCTACCTCCTTTCCTGCCGCTAACTGATGAGGCGGAACTCAACGACCTCCTCGAATCTACGTGCCTAAGCAATTGGCCGTACATCTGTTCCAAACCTTTCACCTGCTTTTTAAGGTCTCTGTCATCTCGAGCTCTTCGTATAACTGGTATCTCAGGAGTCTCTGGAGGTGTAGAGCCTGGCGGTGGTGTCAACGGTGGTGTGTTGGACGACAAAGCGGGAAGCGGAGGTGTTACTGACCGGGAAGAGTCGATATCATCATTTTGAGCTTTATGCAGAGGACCTCTATTAAGTGGTTGAGCTCTAGTCAATGAATTTTCTCTAGAACCAGTAGCAGGCGACCTCCATTTATTATTACTTGGTCGGCTGTCCACCCGACTTTCAGGTAACCCGTTGAAGTTTGATCGAATGATATTTTTTCTCAACTGCGGTGATTTGGCCGGAGAAACTGGTCGATGCTGTATTGGTAACTCAGATGGGGGTGAGCGAACTAGATCTTCACGTTTGGGAGAAGGAGGCGGGTGCCTGTTGTAATGCATATCTGGGGGAGGCCTTGACGGTGGCCTTTCAACTCTCTGAGTTTGTTGTACTGGTATAGGCGTTCCTGCGTAAGGTTGTCTCATGTATGCTTTCACCTGATGCCCTCCGGGACTATCGGATTGAGAATTTCTACTAGGAGAAGTACTCTGACCAGGAGGAGGAGTCCTCGGTGGATGCTGCGAATAAACTGTTGGAGGGGTTTTTGAGGGCATTTGTTGATTTTGTTCAAATCTCGATTGAGTATAACTTCCCCTATTATATAACTTATTGCAGACATTTCGAAGATCATCGTTATTGCTGTCGCTGTTCAAAAGGAATATTTTATTAAATAAAAGGAAAAGGAAAACATTCAAATCTATAGTTCAATTCGTCAATTGACGAATCAGAAATCAATTTAGTCCTATATAATCTTGTTGACATTTGTCTACTTATAGCAATAAATGCTACTTAAAGAATTAATAGTGCAATAATTAAATCTCTCTTCTACCTAAACCGCACACCATTCCCCACCCCTCACCCACCCACCTCTACCCGTTCAACACCCCTATAAATACAATTCCCATAATGCCAAATAAACACTACACACACAAGTATGAAAATAGATTAAATGAGTTTTATGACCCTAGAATTATTATAGCATTATAGAATAACAACATAGAAAACCTATTCAACTATAAGTACTAATAGTTAATCATATTTCAAATAGTAAGGGCGGAGAAAGAGAGTGGATGAGGTTTTGGGAGGGCGGGCAGAGGAAAGAGATAGAGAGACAGATAGACAGACAGACGGGAGACAAATAATGTACTATTAGTCAATTATGAAGTTTATATATATACTAAAACTTTAATAGCAGTAATAAATCGAATTGAAAAAGGAAAGATAATAAGAAAGATCAGTATCTGTGTTTTTTATAGCATGCCATTTTCTATTACCTATGAAAATATTAAGAATTGAATTAGAATGATATAAATAAACCTGATAATTAAAATATGCTAATATTAATTTAGACATTTTCCATAGAAGGATTACTTGATTTCATAGCACAGTGTTAATAAACTTCTTGAAGATAGAAAGAAGAGAAGAATGGGGAATAAATTTTTTATTGATATTCTATTAAAATTACATTTTTCTTTCTTTTTCTCAATTACCTTCTCTCTCTCTCTCTCTCTCTCTCTCTCTCTCTCTATCTCTCTCTTAAAGGATTTTTAATAGCTTTTTTCTCTATTTAACGTGCTCTTTATAAGAAAAATTGTCATTTCTTACTTTTGATTATTAGGATTATTTGAATTTGTTTGAACTGATGGTGGTCGAGACATTCTGGGTGGCAAGGCTGGGCTATACTGAGGTGGATGTCTATAGCTCGGTGTTGGTTTTCTGTCTTGTAGCTCCTCTGCCTCTTGTTGGAAGGCGCTGTTTACGTGTCCATTCATTTGGCCTCCTGTTTCGTTGAGCAAAGCGACTAGGTGTTGTCGTACGGCTCCCTGAACCTCTTGGCTGGGTGAAGAATAATCTGGTAATTTCTTTAGAGGTATGCTGTCGCGTCGAGGGGGTGGAGGTGGCAAGGAACTCGAAGTAACCAACGATGACGTCGTAGATCTCACCAACCTCAAATCCGGTGGTCTCTGCTACAATTAAATAAGTATTAAAAAACTATGCCAAGTGATGGATGAAGGATAGCAAGTAGCTGACGATAAGAAGGACAATATTTGATGGAAACATAAACGTGTACACTCTCTCTTTTAACGAACGCATTCAGGCGTCTTTTCCCAAAATCACGCACGCATTCGTGTTTACGGTTGGCCTTTATGCTTGAAAGAGTCTACCCCTTTTTCAACGTCGCTTTATTAACCGAAAATTGGTTTAATTGAAGAAATTAAAAGGCGAAAATTCTTTACCTAGGTGTGATATTTTAAAGTCTATTCAAGTTTAAAAGGTTTAAACGAAGAAGAAATGAATAGTTAGTTAGTTATATATAGTTTAGCTAGCTAGCTAGCTGGTTAGATTGATAGATAGAGTCTATGTAAAATATAGAATATTGAACAGGCTCTTATCACGTTTTATCTATTAACTTATAAAATAATATGTCAATCTTGCACCTGAATTTAGTGCTCTGTTCAAAGTTTTTAACTAGAACTAAATATACGAACCGAATAAGCCATTGGAATAATATTTACAACTAAGTTTCTTAGACTATGAATAACGTATGTGTAAATATGACTAAGTAGTAAACATTTCTTTCTCTCTCCCCTTCCCCCGCCCTCTCTCTCTCTCTCTCTTTCAAAATTTTTATTAAATACTCTTTCCTTCCTTCCTCTCTCTCTACCTTTCTCTGCTTTCCTATTCTCTTTCGCTCTTAATCGATTGCTTTTATACCAGTTTACTATTTTCTCTTTGAAAATTTGCCCATTATGTAATTAACTATTGTTATTTAAAAGTTTTTATTTACCACCTCAATTAAAAGGAAGGTCTTAATAAGAGTCTCTTTTTTACTCCTCTTTTATAACAAAAGAATCAAAGGTCAACGTTATTCTCACCTCTCGTTCACAAATGAAAGAGAGAAAAATACCTAAATGTAACGCCTGATAGAACTCAACTATAAAAAAAATAAAGAAATAAATAAACAGATACCTTTTTTGAATAGACGCTGTCTTTAAAGGATCAAAGCCTTCTGACCTTAAGACGCACCTATGACATCTCTCTTTCGTAGAGAAAATACTTGGTATATAGGCAACAGACGGATTGGTCGGTTGTGCCGATTTTTTAAAGAATGTTTTACCTTATTCGTAAATATTAAAAAAAAAAAGAAAAGGTTAGAGATTGGGATAAGAAAGTGCCTAAAATCACGAACAACCGAAATATAAACAATAAGGAATAAAGAGATTGCCTTTAATGTTTGTTTAAAATAGGCCTACAATAACGTTGAAAACATTAGTAAAACAGTCGACTTGAACAAGGCTGAACAAGCTTACCTCTAACCGCCGGTTTTGAGTTTGATACATGGCTTTTTTTATAGGATTTTAGGTGGTTTTTTTTATTTTTTCAATGTTTATCCTCTTATATTATAACAATTAATCTTTACATATTCCGGATTGAACAAATGTCTCTTTTAATGCAATAAAATATATCTTTTTCTCTATTCTCTGGATTATTTGGGAAGCACGTTTATTTTCCAGGCGGCCATGATCGATCACCGTATAGAAGCTCAATTACTGCTTATTGAATTTTTCTCTAAAAAGGAACGTGCCAGGGCAGGTGCTTGTATTTATCGTTGCTCGATAGACGGCGCTGCTCGTGTCTTTTATAGTTTTATTCAATACGAACTATTTAAATAGAGGGTTACCCTCCCCTATTCCCATTTTCCCCCTTCTGCCTTCTCCGTTCAATCTTTGCTTACCCGCATCAAGCCTCTTAAACTTTCAAGATCGCTTATTGATAGTGGAGGGAAAATACTCCAACGCTAAGCGATCGTTCGAAAGCTATCTGCCAATTGAATTGAAAATATCTTCAACAAAAAGATAAACTAAATCTGGCCTTTGTTATATTGCAGTGCAATATTTACATTCTTTTATTGGGAGGCAAATAAAAATTCAGCCTACAACTAGTACGCGTTCAAACAATAAAAAAAAAGAAGGGAAGATGCAAAGGATCAAAAGAGAGAGAGAGGCATTCTTATTTAATATTATAAATTTATATATAGCATACATTAGTTAGTGCGTTATTGATTGAATAAAATAATATTTTATCTTAACTTGATCGCCCTTCGTCCTCTCTCAACATACTTTTTTTAAACAAATTTACTATTTTCCTTCCAATGTTAACACTCTTATTCATTCTCACTCTATTCCTATTATCTTCACTATTATCTAGTTTTGACAAGGATAAAGCGCTGTTAAAGACACAAAAGTTTACTTATTCAAGTATAATTATAGATGAACATTTACTAAGAATAGATCAGTAATCATTATCAACTTATTTGCTAATTTATAGATTATTCTTTTATCTCGCATACTCTCTCCTCTTTCTCTTCCACCTATTCCCTTGTTTTTCATACCCTTTGAAGTTTAACGATTTCTTTCCGGTCAATCCTGCACTAGTAGTTTACTTGAAATTTCTAACGCAAAGTATCAAAATTCCTTTTTGATAAACCGCACTTTGTTATTGAACTACAGTGAAGAGATTGTCTATGGATTTCCTTTTAAGTGGTCTCTTATTTTTTGAGAGTTTAAGCCTAACTAAAGAAAATAAAGTATCAAGAAATACAGTAATACTATAGATATATAGATATAAAATATCATTTATGAATGATAATAAAGAAATTGTAATAAATAATAGTAGTATAATGCTGCTAATAGATTCAATAGAGTGCAGGAAGTTCTAGCATTTGGAGGGTTGTTGTACTGTTATTTCTTTTTTATTCGAGGTAAAATATAAAGAAAACCAAGCTGTTTGGTAGATATATTATGAGTTTAGGTCGAGTTATACAAGTAGAATTGTTGAAAAGACCTTAATTATCTTATGTAAACGAACAAAAGCCTTCAATCTTCGCTATAGTGAATTTCAACCAATTGACTCAATTTAATAGATTCTTCGCATGCGTCCGCAATCTCGCTCACTCGAACCGTTGACCTTTTACAGATTTCCAACGTTTTTCCCGTTCTTACGGCGTCTATAAACGTTTCCAAAGCATTTACATAACTTTCGGCGTATCTTGAATTGAAAGACCATTTTAGCGGAGTGCTCAATTTTCCTGATTTCGTAAACGATTCAGTAGAGTCTTGAAATTGAAAATTAGACGTCAACATTCCAGTTTTACCATGAATCTAATTAAAATAAATAAATAGGCCGATTTTAATTAGGTTAATTAGTTGAATTAAATTGATTTACTTCGAGTCTCTGATCATAGCCAAACTCTGAGAATCGACTTATTTCTATAACACCAATAACGCCACTATCAAACTTTAAAGTTATAACGGCCGTATCCCAATCATTCATTTCACGAATTCTACTATCGTGAGCTGTTGCAACCGCAAATACTGATTTAGGATATTCATTTAAAATCCAACAAATCATATCGATATCGTGAACTGCACAGTCGTGAAAAAATCCACCAGATGATTTTAAATAATCCATAGAAGGTAGTGGACAATCCCTACTGCACGTTCTTATTGTATATAGTTTACCAAGATTATCTTGTCTAATTTGTTCTTGGATTGATGAAATACTAGGATCGAATCGTCTAAAGACATAGAATGATTTATATAGGGATCATTTCAAGAGTATACTATCTAATTGACCTGTTGAAAGAGCAGAATAATGGTAATTTAGACTTTTCAGACAAGTCGTAACATTCTTTAGTCGCCTGCAATGATTTGGAAATAGGTTTTTCACAAAATACCGCCTTTCCTATAGGACGAAATAGAAGAAGGAAAATATAATAAGGTCAATAACCTGAGACAAAAAGAAGATAATAAATTTCAAGGGAATTTACCATTTTCCAAAGCTGTTTTTACCAAATTTTCATGCGTAAATGTTGGAGAACAGATTAGGACAGCACTAACACTAGAAATTAACAATTTAGACTTTAAATCCTAAACGAAACAGACTTATACAATAAATTTACAAAAAAGCTATATTTAAAATACAGATGGCGTTAATGTGTAAACGTGTGTGTATGTTTTTTTACAATTTTCAATATCGTGTTCTCTTAATTACTACTTACTTTTCATCATCAAACACCAATTGAGTTTCGTTCGGTGTGCAACAACGTGTACCATCAAGACAGTATTTATTGATTATTTCTTTACAATGATCCAAATCTACGTCAATTAACCAAACGACTTGTATTCGAAAATTCTTGATACAATTCATTATATGAATTGATCCAGCTCGACCTAAGCCAAAAATTGCAACACCAGTCTTTTTAGACATCTTTCTGATTTTCTTTTCCTAACCGTCTAGTTTCTTTTCACGTTAAGAAACGATCAGCTGTTAAAGATAGTCTTTATGTGTTATCCGAAATACTCTCTTGACAACCAGTTTATGTTTAGTTCGAGTCAAAGTTGTTTTTTTCTTATTGTTTAAATATAAATTCTATTTATTTTAATGTCCTATTTTTATTCTAATATCAGAGAAGGTCGTCATATTTAGATATCTAAACCTAAGCTGAATACTTAATATCCATTAATTAGGTTAGAGTGTAATAACGTTCTCACCGACCTAATTGTAGTTCGTTAGAAACAAGGTTAAGCTAGGTCAATAATCTAGAGACGTGTGAATAAAACAGACATACGAAAGAGTATAAAAGAGGAACATCCCCTAGGTGGAGTAACTTGTATTATCTTTCAAAGTACTCTGTTTATGAGCTTTAATTATCAAAATTTTGTCAGTAGGAGAGGCAAGAAGATTAGTAAAAGCCATTAAAGCTTGACATTCTTTTGTCCCCCTACCAGAACAATTTACATGTAATAAAAAAGGGCAAAGATAGTTGAATGGACAAAGGTATATTGAAAAAAAAAATTAAGGATATCTAATACAAAAAGATAGGAAGGTTGTCTTAAAGCAGAACAAAACTCTTTAGAATTTGATGTAAGTAGGGTTTTTTTCTGTAAAAATAAAAATATATAATTTTGTTTTTTTTAAAAAAAAAAGTAATTTTCCTTTCTTTCTTTCATTCTCTTCTTTTTAATTAGGCTTTTCATTCTATTCTTCAATCTGGTTAAAATATGATCAAATTACAAATCTTCCTTATAATAGTAATATTAATGATATTCAATTGTGAATTTAAAGTAGTGATTAGCAAAGAGTAAGTATATTATTATTATTATTATTATAATATATACAATAATTTTATTAATTAATTAGACTAGAATATTCATATGTTAAACCGGAAGTGTTTATTGAATTTCACAACAGTATTAGAAGTAAAGTAAAAGCTTCGAATATGAACGAAATGGTATAATATAAACAATAATAATAGTGTATAATAAAACTGTATATATTATATAGTATTGGGATGAAGAATTAGCATTAAAATCGGGTCGTTTAGCCAGAGAATGTAAATATAACTATCCTCAAGTTGATGGATGTAATGGACTACTTATTGCTCACTCTCCAAGTTGTTAACATGTTAGAATTGTTGATTATTTTTTAATAGAATCTTATTTATTCAACAGTACTAGAAAATGATTTAGTAAAATATATGAATAATATATGGTGCAATAAGGATAAATACTGTAATGGTAGTAATAAGTTATATAGGTCAATAGATGAAAAAGAAAGATTTCCGAATCAAGATTGTAATCGATATTCTCGAATTATTTGGGCTGAAACAAATAAATTTGGTTGTAGTATGAACGTATGCGGAAGGATATATAATTCAACTGCCGACTGTAGTGAAACTGGATGCATACTGTTACTCTGCCTCTATTCACCTTCGTAATTATTTGATTTATTATATATATACTATATATTTTCTTTCATTTATCGATTTTATATCTTTTCTTATTTGTTTAGTTTTAGGAGTAATCAACCTAATAAAGAGATTTACTCCAAAGGGGATTGGTGCACAAGTTGCCAAGATGGATTAACTTGCGATAAAGAAGAGACAAATGGTTTATGTAGAAATAACACTAAACTGCAATTGCAACAATTATATCTATATTCAAGCGTTCAATCTGTATACCAGTTAAATATTTTTACGTTAATTATCTCCCTAGCTAACCTTCTATAAATAAAAGTTTGTAGAAAGAGAAAGTTGAGAGAGAGAGAGAGAAGTGAATAGATAGATGTAAAAGCGGGAAAATACTATCAAATTTTCCTTCTATTAGTAACAGACCTTGCGAATAAATAGCGAAATAAAGAAATCTTTCAAGGTCATATCGGCTAAAAAAAACTGTACTTTAGGGGTTAATTAATTAGGTTAAAAGCTAATTTTAGTAGCATTTAACAAGTGAAATTTTTCTCTTATGCATATATAGGACAGAGTTAGATGTTTGAAAGTATTTAACGAGGTCTTTTCAATAGGAAATACGATAAAAAGACACAATACTCTACGAGATAAGTTTGCCTCGTTGTTAACAATTTATGGGAAATTTTTTTTTAAAAAAAAAAGAAATACATTATTAATATTAGAAAATTAATTTATACGAATTCATTTTCTTTTGCTATTAGACTTATAATTAGAGTGTAATTTAAGGTTCATTTAGTTATCGGACCATGAATAAAGGATGTATGAGTAATCAAAATCTGTAGAATGTATCTTCAAGGGTATCTATTTGAAACATACGAGTTGATGGTATATAAAGAGTCTTGTAACATTTGCCTGTATATTTACTGGATAAACAATCGTCTTACAAATGGGCCATGATTTCGTAAAAGTGTTGAAAATAATTAGGTTAAAGTTTTCAGGTATAGGACCATTAATAAGGATTCTTTGTACGTTTAAACCATTCCATTTCTCTTACTTTTTATCTCTTCTTCTTTCCCTCATAAACTTATAATTATTAATATAATCAATTATAAATTGTATTACATTTCTTTCAATTACAAATGATAATGACAAGAATCATTATATAAAGATCAAAAAAGTCAGAAAAATACGATTAAGCCTAAAAATTTGAGATGTATGAAAGAAAGGTAACTTCTGAAGAAGGAATAGTTTATGTCTAATATCCTCCAGAAAATCCGCTGGGTTGACCATCTTCGTCGACGCATTCGAAAGGTTCGCAAGAGCAACAATCGTCACAGCCGCAAGCTTCGCACATCGACTTGAAAGTAGAAATAAGTTTTATTTATTTGTTTTATAATTTCATATAATTAATGTTTAAATATGTAAATTAAGTAATAATACTTACTGCAATAATTGAGGCTATAATTGCGTTAATACAAGCTTGAATACAGCCCAAGAGCATACCAATACAAACTCCAATACAAGTACCAACAACGCAATCCCAATTTTGAAAGAATCCTATACAACATATAATAGTACCAAGAACTATAACTATAAAGCCTATTACTCCAAAAACAATTCCAATAATAACTCCAACTGTCAGTTTACATTTTTCGTTACATTGGTCACATCTTGCTATCGAACTGCAAAGGAGAGAACAAGAAATAGGAGATTAATCTCTCAATCAAGAAATAGACTTAATAACAAATATTTATCGTACTCTGTATATTTTAATCCAATTTCTAAAGCATCAAAGAATTTACCATCTCGAAGATCATTTCTCATAGCATCCCTAATTTTATTAGAGCATTTTTTATTTACCCTATCCCTAGCTTTAGCACCCATTTGCATGCTAAATTGTTTTGTTTGTCTTACTATAACTAGTAGAATAACGTTATCTGGAAATCGATCTCGGTTTCTACAGGTTACACTAGTATAAATGTTAAATTTTCTTAACAGTGCCCTTGAAAAATTGTCGATACTTCCATTATATGTTATATTTTCAGCTAAGGCGACCATTGGTAAATATCTATTTAGTTTTCTGTTGCAATTAAAACTGGTCCGTCTTTGACATCCACAAGATGATTTACTTAACGTTGATTCTATTTGTCCTTGTAATATCCTCACTATTTAAAAAACATTGCCAAGTGTTGAACTATTGAAATGAACTTATTAAGTTATACTTACGCTGTCCGGGACTGACTAAAGAGTCTGGATCGCATAGGAAACGTTCTCCCGGTGTAGTCAATTGACAGTCACTAGTTCCAATGACCGGATAATTAGATCCATCATCGTTCCAGTCAGCTTTGGCATGAATCTGCTCTCGAATCCTATCTATCAGAATACTATTGGTTCCTCTTTCTAAATGACATTGGTTCAATAAAGAGAGGAAAGAGATCGTAAAAACAAGTTGATATAGTACAGTCATGGCTTTTAATTTATTTGCGATCAATTCTATCTGATATATTCCTTATCTAATATCAAGAGTGAGTAATGAAATATTTAATTATAAGTTTTTTATGTCTGCTATTATCAAGAATGAAGAACAATTGCTTTGAAATTATAGCAATATTAGCATTTATCAAAAACTATCTTAATATAATATATATATAACATTGTAACACTTATTTTATTTGTTAAATATAATACTCTATAAATAGGGAATAACATGCTTTAATAAATAACCAATGAATCAAATTATTAAATACATACTTATATATAATAATAAAATATAGGCTTATTCAAAGCTTTTATGGGAAAAGAAAGACAAAGAAACGCCCTTTGATTCTATATTGGTTCTATATAATATTTGTTATGATAGCCTTATAAGAATTTAAGGGAATAAAATGGAGGAAATTCTTGCAAGGTGAAACAATAAACAATACTGTATAGGACAAATATTTTATTGTAGTTAGAGTTAAGAATAAGACAAAATTGTATACATTTTCAACAGTAATAAAGTATCTCTAATCTCGGATGCTGTTGCACGTGAACACTGTCTCGTCACGAAACATTCTTCTGAAGTTAGTCAAACCATAAAATAGAATTTCTATTAACTACTTTTTATCTCACCTTCAATGAGTGTTCTAAACAATCTATTCTGATCTCCTATTATCAAGATACAACGTCTTCTTCTCTCTGAATAATATTAAATGAATATTAATCTCCTTATCTGAAAATTTAATAGTAAATAGTGAAATAGTTAAAATTTCATGCTGCTCTCGCACTCACTCTCTCTCTGTTTCTTTTTTGGCTTCCATTATCGTTGACTAAGCATATTTTGATACAGAGTTGATAAGAGAGTAAGAATATTATTTTTTGTAACCATATGCAATATTAGCATGTATAATATTTATTGAAAGAATTCAAGAACCTATGAGAATAGAGTTTTCACGTTTATGTTCTAAATTATGGACAAGTTTTCAATAGTTACATTGTTCATAAACTATAATTTCAACAAAAAATCGCATTTTATTTATGAATGTTACACTGCTCCAGGTCTTATAAGACTTTCGAGAGAGTATAAGGAAGTAAGGAATTAGTGAAAAGAGAAAATCCTTAAGCTAATTTGATACGTTAAAGGAAATGTAGAATAGAAAATTGCAATCTGTAAAATTAGCTAGTTATAACCTTATCTTAACATATCTTAGTTCTAATTATTCGCCAACAGATGGAACCTCTTTTATTAAAATAAGAGAAATTCAATAAATCGTTTATAGATAGAATAGAATTGATTAATAGCATAAAATTAGGAAAGAAACAATGAAGATATTAAGACTTTGAAAGTAAATTATTGACAATACATATACAGTATATAAATATACTCTCTTCTTAAGAAAGCTTTTTTGACTTTCTCTCTCTCTCTCTCTTTATCCCTGCTTTGCATATATATTGTATATATTATTCATGTTTTTTTACTTTATAACTCAATTTACTTGTGTAGTTTTTCGCCTATTATATTTATATAAAAAATTTAATACATCATATTAATGTATTTGTTGTAGTACTAGAACTATTTACTGAAACTAATCAAAAAAACATCCGTATTATAGTAAACTAATGACTCGCTATAGTTACTTTATCATAAATGCTAATTTTATAAAAGAAGAGTTTAAAACTTCTCTGGTTAGACAGATAATAGAACTACAGCGTACGATGCAGTTTTACAAAAGGCTTTAGTCTCTCTCTCTCTCTCTCTTCCTCAGTTTTTCTCTATTGTATATATAAACAATTATATCAATTAAGAGAAAAATTGTCTTGCGTTTTTTTTCATTAATAATACTATTAGTTGATTTAATAGTTTAATACTAATATATATCTAACGTATTATTTTATGATAATACTCATAATCTAAGATATCCTCTTATTTAAGAAAAGGGAATAGGCATATTAGTACTTTTAATAGCAGAAGGGAAAGAGAGGTCGTTGGGGGGAGGTGGCAAGGGAAAGAAAAGAAATCTTTAAAAATTTAAGCTAGTTGATTGGTTCTATTTTCCTCCTTTCTTCTTCCTGTAAAAGAATAATAAACATAAACGTACTTTCTTTATAAAAGAAATCTAAAGGAGTTACTGTATATAGTTTACAATCTAACATGCTTTTTTTATATTCACAACGTCAGGAATGCTTTTAGCAAGAATCCGTTTTTCTCTTTCTCTTCTGTTGACTTTAAATGTAATCGATGGCCAAGCCAATTTATGTTTCTTTTTTCTTAAACTCGAAGTAGATTAGAGCTATTCTTTAAAAAATATCATTAAATCTATAAGAAATAATACCAGTTTATATTAAATATGAAGGGGAAAGTTGGAATTGGACTTATAAAGTGCTGTATATGTGTACTAACCTAGAAAAAAATAGAGTATACTATATTTAAGATAAATTTCCATACGACTATTTACGTTTGTTAATTTTATTTGATATTGATATATAACGTTCCTCTCTAAATTTAATGGCAAAGGAGGTCTTCCCATTAAGATTATCAAGGATTTTATACGGTTCGATATGTCTGTCATTAATTTCAAATAACTACCATTAACAATAAGATAAATAAATGATTATTTTAATAGATGTAAACTACTTTACTTGAATTTTTATTTTCAAATATCAATATTATGATTTCCCAAATGGGTTATTAATGTATTTATTCAACGGTCACGTGATAAAAGTATACTATTTTTTATAGGTGAAATATTTTACACGATAACAGATAGATTTCTACTATAAAATTCATTGATGTTATTAGTTTGCTACTATTAGCGAGTGTCAGAAACATTTATCTAGGTTGTTAGTTTGTCTAATGAACATGAATATAATGAAAATAAAAAGTGACTGAAATGTCTAATTATTATTGTTCTATATAAGAAATTTAAAGCTGAGAAAATGACAAGATTGTATGATGTTTTTGTTTTTGTTTTTCCTATATTATTAATGGAGAAAAGTATCTGAAAGACGAAAATTGGGGTCATCATTAAACACATGTCTATATTTATACATTATCTATATGTATATAACATTTTAACATTTATATCTATGTAATGATACTCTAATTAAAATTTAAATTCAGGTAATTCCTTATTAAATATCAATATTTCTAAAAGTTTCTTTTTTATTTATAACATTTAAACGGAATTTGAGATTCTCTCTTTAAAAATTACCTAAAAGTCTTCGTAACGAGATCCATTGTATAGACAATAATATCTATAAAAAAATGACTCTATAAACAGCAAATTGATGTCAAAATGTTATGACCGAATTTTAGGACATAACTATTAAGCCTAGAAATGATATAGGTCGTCTTCATCTAGTTTTTCTTTTGAAAACATAATCTAAAAGAAAGACGAAAAAAAATGTTGTCTAGACTGGTTTTCTTTCTTGGTCAATGTTGAAGTGGTGGTGACTTAGCTATTACTTTTACTACTCTTAACGGATATAATTCAAATTTTGACATATAGTATAACAAATATGACATAAACGAAATGTTTAACTTGTATTAGAGATGGCTTTCCAATATGAGCTTTTAGGCTAAATTAATCTTTCAACTAAATTAAAGTATTTCACCTTTTACCTGCAGTTAGAAAACGTTACTGGATACACTAAATTATTAGTCTTTCAATCTATTCTAGATGTAGATAGCAATAAACGAGTATTATAGATTCAATTATTTGAAGTCAAGTCAACTTCCGGTTATTGACGAACGACCGAGTTCGAAATTGGAATCATTTTTTTTTCCAAATAGAAAAACAGGGTGAAAGGTCATAATTCTTAGAATAAAGTCCGAATTTTATTTTGGTAATAATCTTATCGAAATAAGCTTTAAAATATTTCGTCGATAAAACGTTAGTATCATTTAATAAATAACGCCGACTGTAAATCTCACCCATTATCGATCAATATTCAAAGTTTAAATAACTTTAAGGCATCTTTAGAAATGAGAAAGCTCCGAGTTACTGATTTAAATAACTGATATATATCATTATAATAGAGACATATACATATATATATATAAACGTCCATGTATACATATATATATATATATTATAAATGTTAACTTCATCACGCTTCCAATACATTGTTAAACTTTACATTATCTCCATTTACGTCATTTGGGAATACCTAGCGCATTAAATTGTTGCCTAATACCCCTCTACAATAAAGAAGGTTCTTTTTAATAACAATTGCAAATATAGAATTATATACTATATCTTATTACGTCATTAATAAAAATTATACCAGAAGAAATAAGAAACGTTGGCATTAATAAAACTCTCTACCTATTACATATTATCAAAAAATATGATAGTTGGAATAATTAGAGGAAATATCTTTATGGCATAAATAATTAATGCTTAAAAATAATAGTATAAAAGAAAGAATGGCCGCCATTTTTGTTTATGTAATAGCACCCGTGAACTAGTCATCTATTACATTGTCAAGTTATATTCTTGATGATTATTTCTTTTATTTTTAATTCAAATTTTAATAATCTATTTATAAATATATATTTCAAATATCGAACAGTCAAAATTCCATCTTCAACAACAACAAACGGTATCAATTTGAAAAGGAATAGACTAAAGTGTGAATGGTTTAATCTAAGGAGCCATCTAATACCAAACGTCTTAAATAGTTTTAAGCTGACTTAATGAACGGTACTTGGAGTTTGTAATTTCGCGGGAAATTAACCAGAAACAACGTCATTAGGAGGGAAAATTATTTTTTTAAAGCTGCACTTGTATTTGTTCGCCAACTAATTAGCGTTGCAAAACCCTTTGCTAATTGCAAATTTTCTATCTAAGCTTGACTTTTTATCGAATGGTAAAAATTTTTCTACTGTCTTGTAGGATTAAAAGGAAAAAAACCATCTTATTTTCCATTAACAATAGACTTATTATTTATTTAATTGATAAATCCTTCTTATTTCTTTTCCTCTATAAAAAATTAATATTTTATTCATATAAATAGTCAACCTACCTAACTATCTTTGTATCTATTACTCTATCTCACTCTTCTATCTGTCTCTCTTCCAGCTGTCCCCTACTTCAATCACTGTCTCCCTCCCCTTCCTTCCCTCCCGCCTCTCCTATAAGGCTTCTTTTGTAATAATAATAGAAAGAAAAAGAAGATATTAAAGAGCAAAGGAAATTATAACCTCAAGAGAATTTAGATGAATTCACTAAAGAAATTGACTTTTAAAGATAGCTTCCCAAAAAGAGAAAGATGATACTTTTCGTTGAACTTTGAATAAGAAATAAAAAAGTTGATTCTTGCTATTTCTTTTGGAAAAAAGAAAAAAGTTTATCATTTTTCTTTATTGTGACGCCCACTCTGTCTATTAGGCTCTTATTTTGTATATTTAGTAAAACAAGATGGGCATAATCCCTTGCAGCGTTTCTCTTTACTTGGACAATTGCCAAGTTTTTTTCAACAACTCCATCAGATCTAAATGTTGTTATCTATGCAAATTTTACTCTTTTTATGTTGTATTTGTCCCGAATAGATCTCATCACTAGTTAATATTTTTTTTATTCCCATTAGGACTATAAACGCGTCATTTATCTAGGATCTTATATCTTTACGTACAGTGTCTAAAGTCCCCGATTTAGCATTGTTGTTTTTGTTATTATTATTATTGTTATTATTATTATTATTATTACTATTTTAACGGTCATAAAAGAGTTTCAATAAGCGTAACTTGTATAATTTAAAAGGTTGATTAAAAGCTTTATAAAATGCTATACAACTAACCGACTAGCCAACTCTTCAATTTTAGTATTATTTTTATTTTCTCGGGTCTCCTATCTGATTCTGTTTGTTTCGTTTCGTTTTTTACCATAATTCGAGAAAAACAATCTAACTAGATACGTATAGTAGATGTTACATATACTTTATATATGTATAATAATTTATTGTTCATTATATGATGATAATATAACAATAAGTATACAGTATATTTCAAGTAGGTGTCCTTTAGAATGGTAAGTTTTATGGAAGTCTGAGCATCTCCTCGAGGTATATATAAAAGTCTTCGTTATAGAGAAGATCGTTATGGCCAATACCTTTAAATTTTTTCAATTCAAAGTTGTATTTTGGATGATTATCCCACATTTCACAAACTTTCATAGACCTTGTAGTTACTGTTTTATCGCCGTCTTCGTGTAAGACGGATGGCTGTTCATCGGGAAAGTGGGCTCGCCTGTAGTCGAGTGTAGAGCCAGTGGGTAAGCCGTGAGCGTATATGCAGACAATGTCAACTCCTGGATGGATACGTTCTTCAGTGGTATTGACCCTTGCCCTTTGCCAAAGTTTTACGCCATCCTTATGATTAATATCGAGAAAGAATTGTTCATAATCTTTTATCGTATATTTTTTGTCTTTAGTTATTATTACAACATCGTTTTCATTCCAAGCCAGATCATTTGGCATCATAAAGGCAGGTGATTCGTAAGTTCTTTCTTCATCTCTTACCTTTTTTGCACTTATAAAATTTATACCCCAATTATAACCGGAAGCGTAAAGCCATAAAAGAGCGGTTGCACCTCCATAAGGTACGTTCAAACTCAACATATACCTAACGTACTTGTTCTTCCAAGCTTCTGTTTGTTGCCTAAGGAAATATGTTGTGTATGTTCCTCCCATGCTGTGAGCCGCTAACACAACCTTTCTTTGTCCATTCTTTTCATAAGTGTCCTCTATCAACTCCTTAAATCGTCGAAAGTAATCGGAATGAGAAACAGGTGCTAATCTCCAATCATACGGAGCTGCTCTTACACTTTTTCCTCTTTCATAGCCAATATTCAAAAGTTCTGTTAAAATACATGATTAATAACATACTTTGTTGACTCGATTTTCGACCTTCGTAGAGGGCGCTACACACCAACGAAGTCTATTTATCAGGAGCAATTGAAAAGTACAAGGGAAGCCTTGTAGGGGAAAATGTGTTATTAGGTCAATCAGAAGTTATTGTCTTGATAACATCGAAAATAGGGAAAGGTTACGATTAAAAGTAATTTAAGAAGAGTAGAGTTTTATAGGGCATATGGATATTACATCATTTACAGTAAATAATACACTATGTTGATATGTCTTGGAAAGCTTGCTTGAAAACGACAATACCTAATCTACTACCCTATTCTAGGCATAAGCTAGCTTCATTAAGACGCAAAAATGAACAGAAAATAGACGCCTCTCTCAGCCGGAAGCACCAAATTGTGGGAAATTTTCAATCCCAAGGCCGCTGTATATTAGATCCAGACAAGCGGCAAGCCTTGGGTATTAATTCTGCTGACTTTGCGTCATTTTGTCACCCAGATGAGTCTTTAGTTTGCTAGTAAAGGTCATTAAGGGAAAGTTTACTCTGATTTGATAAGGGAAAAAAAGAGACCGTCTTATTTCTCTACTGTAACAATCAGTCAATACGCCTTAACTATTTCTTAACATAGAAATAAATAAAAAAAATATTTAAGATTAAGTAGGGAAAAAAAAAAGATTAAATAGTTCATCACGTGATAAACATCTGTTACTGACCGAATAACTTTTTTTGTATCCTTTTTTAGACGAATGAACTGATTCTTTAAAAATATTTGTACTTGTCTGTTTTAGTGCAATAAATTATTTAAATAGTTTTTTTTCCTTTGTTTATCAATGAAAAGAAGAGGAAAGAGTGGCGGGAAAAATAGAGGCGGAGAGAGAGAGGAAGAGAGAGAGAGAGAGAGTAAATCGATATGGTGTTGTTGTTTTGTACTTTTTTTATATACATTAAAATGTTATTGTTATTTTCCTTAATCAGAAGAGCTATACTACTTAAATAGTCTTTTACAATAAAGCCTACTTGTCCTAATTACTCTTTCATATCCGAAATGGGAAAAAGAAAGTCTTAGTATAACATTAAGAAGAATACGATTCTCTTTAATACTTACTTCTAACAAATGTACTGAAATAGGCTCCGGTATTACCAGCTAAGAATGTTAGCCAAGATGGATCTACATATTCAACTGTTTCTGTTGTACCCCAACCAGGTATTCGTGTATAAACTCCTGGATATGAGTGACTTTCTCCCGTCGTTCTATTAAACTGCAATCTAATATAGTCTTCCCAACAACCATACGTGTCTAAAAAAAAATATTCAAAAAAGATGTTATCTAATAGGAAGTGACCATTTTCATGTAAATAAACGCACTAACATTCCCCAGCAAAAAGGTCGATGTTCTCAATATTTGCCCAAATCAAGTACCAATCCTTTGAGACCCGACACTTCGGTGTTGGAACTTTAGGGTTCACGGTTTTCGCTTCAATACGACAGCCTCCATTACCCGGTATAATAATAACTGGTGAATAATTAAATTCTTTTTTCTTCCAGAATAGTGAATTGGCAGTAGATAAGAAAGAAGCAAAAATAGTGAGAATCAGGAGAGATTTAATCGCGTGATGTTGCATATTCCGTTCTTGAACTTGAACTATTTTCTTTCAAATTGGAAAAAGCGGCAATTTAGCCAAAAAGAAAAATTACGTTTTTTCCTCCTTCCTCTTTCGACAAAAATGTAAAGAACAAGAATACCTTCGCCTGATTTTATATACTGGAGTAATTGACCTTGCAACCTCAACGATAAACGTAGTTTAAAGTTTAGTATTGTGGAGTCTTAGGTTCAAGGGTCGATTCAGTTGAATGTTCTTATTTCACTTTGATTATTTGTAACAACATGAAATACATGTAAACAAATTCGTTTCCATGGTTAAATTATATACAAATATATTGAATATACATCATTCAATTAGTCATCACCCTTCTCGCCTCTTACTCTTACCTTACTAATCCATATTAAACCAGTCATGTCTAAACTATTTACAAAAAAAAATCGTTGTATTTTGTCTTATCCTATCAAATTAATTAATAAAATAATATTAAAAGAAAATGAAAAACAAAATATTTTTTTTTTAAAAAAACAAAATAGAAGAAAAATTTTTCTTCTATAGTTTTACAAAGTCAAGTTGAACCTTTTCAGCTTTTTTTGATATGATCATAAGGAATTTATTGATAAACACTAGTGAATTGTAGAACTATAGCAAAAAGCCTAGTTTTTTTCTTATTAAATGTTGTATATATATACTGTATATACAATATATTTAAATATTAAAAATGTCTTCTAGTTCTTTGTTTCAATTGTCATTCTAATAAAAAAAATAGGTATGAGATTAATAATTACGTAATTAATCATTTAATTTATCTTATCTATTGATTTATATCAAATAGTTAATATCGACTATCCTGTAGGTTTTGGGTGATTCATATTCAAAAGTATATATAAAGATGGAGCTAGGAATGAAAATGTCATGTTAACATCTCAGTATATTTCGTACTAGACAACGAAATAAAATATCATAATACTGTAATTATATAATAATCTTATTTACTAAAGAAAATGGGAAATTATCAGGAAATTACAGTCGTGACGTTTGACGTCCAACCGCAAATTCTTACTCTTGAGGTTTGTTCTTTTGTTTAAAGAAATTACTTTTTTTTCCTTTATTCTATTTAGTATTCTCTTTATGAAAATTCTATATAATTGTAGAATAACGATAACAATCGACGTACATCTAAGAAATCACTGCGCGGAACGTTTTTAAAAATGTTTGAGAATTTTGGCGGGAAAATTGCTGCCCCTATTTTTGGCGTTTACAGTGGAAAGTATAGAAAATCTACGCCATTACCATAATACCATGAACGCTTCCTATTTATATATTCTGTTTATCTTCATATAATGCATTATTACGTACTCATTTTACTCTTTGATCTGTTGAAGTTCTGAAACTCAAACGATATTGAGAATCTTTTGTGACAACTATAGATGGCGGTAAAGAATCCGCCATGTTGGTTTTTTTTCCCCCCATGATATTATTAATTCGGATGTCTTTTTCTCAATGATTTTGTATTAAAAAAGTATAAACGTTAAATAAAAACTTAATAAACTATTCAAAGTTGTTCAAAAAAGTATTCACAAATCTTTTGTACAGTATATTCAAAGGCAATATCTTCATTTGTCTGAAGCTTTCTTTTTTGATGCTGCTTTCTTAGCAGGTGCCTTAGGACTTTTTGGTTTAGTAGGTGCCTTCTTTGCTGTTTTTGGTTTCTTAGCTCCGGCTTTGGTTGGAGTCTTTTTCGGCTTGGCCTCTTTTGGCTTTTTAGCAGCTTTCTTTGGTTTTGCTCCCGCGGCCTTAGGACTCTTGGGTGCTTTTGGCTTAGTAGGGGTTTTCTTGGTAGCTTTCTCTTTTTTAGCTTTTTCCTTCTTATCGTCCGAGAGTTTAAATGAACCAGAGGCTCCATTGCCCTTTGACTGTTTTAAAGTACCGTTCTTTAGGCCAGCCTTAAGCGCCAATTTCAGATGATTATTTGCTGTTTTGACGTCGACCTTATAGTTCGCTTGGATGTACTTGAGAATTGCTTGACGCGAGGAACCAGATCTTTCCTTTAATGAGGTTAAAGCAGCCGCTATCATTACAGAGAATTTCGGATGGTCTGAGACCTTCTTTGGCTTTGCTGCCGTCTTCTTGGCTTTAGGGGTAGTTGCTGCTGCGGTTTCAGTCATTTTCCGTGAAAGTACTTGATATCAAGGGTACGAAGTAGTGAATGGGTAGAATAAAACTATTCTGTTCAATCATTCCTTATATACATTTTGGGAGGTGTGCGCTGATTGGTTAAAAAGCTACCCGACAAAATTGAAGTAATGTAAAATTTTGTGCGCGTTTTGTGTTCGCCTCTCACATTTAAAAGCGATTTTTTGACAAAGTCGTTAAATAATTAATAATTTTTTTCCCGTCTAACTTTTCTACAATATTTAATCTTTAATAGAAACCAGATTTTAATAGTTTTATGTTGAATTATAGAACACTTTTTAGCATTTTTTACCCAATTTTATGCCAACCTTCAAGCGGTTCTCATTAAAAATGCTTAATTATCTGAATAATTCCAACATAATTCACTATAAATTTTGTTGGAAGGTAAATTTTAGTTATTACTAAATGATTTATGAGAAGAAAATGAAATATTTCACGTAAAAATAATCAATTACGAGACGATTGAAGCTACAACCGTTAGCACAGTATGAAAATTTCCCGCCATAATATTGGGTGCATTGTTCCTTCTTTGCAAGCTTTTAGGAACTTGACAACAGGTGAAGTTACGGATTGTTCAATGGCTAATATTATGTATTAGCCTACAATTTAACATAATATGTTGCCATTAGTAGAAATTGGTTAGAATTACATAGAAATATTATTTATAGAAGGACAATTTCTTACAATTTATGCCGCATTTACATCCATCACTTTCAATACAGAACTGTCAACAAAACTGTCTTTGATAACATGACAAACACTCTATAAATCCTTTTTACCGGAACTTAAACCGACAAAAAGCGTCGATTCGATACGCTTAGATCTCCTAATAAATCTGTATAATAGGACTAATAAGACGATTGTTTGCATTTGTATTGATAAAGTACATGTTAAAAGGATTGAACGCCTAATAAATTTAGGAAAAGTAACATTTTGCATTTAATATATATTCACTATATTTATCATTAATTATTATATTTAATGTAAAATAATCATTCTTTTTTATCTATAAGACTATACAATGTTTTATGTTTATACATAAATATATATATATATTTTGTTTTTTTAAAAAACAAACCTTTCTATTCAAGCTGAAACACTTCATTCTTTACAATAGCAAATTAATTGGAAATTTGACTAATTTTTATAGTCATAATTTCTTTAGCCTATATACTTTATTATCCCTCTTTTTTCTAAGAGTGTATACAACGTATCACATATGCCATATGCTAAGAGTATTAACAAGGATTATTGAGAGGACGAGGTGAAAAAGTCAGTTAGTTGATTGATTTTGTACGATATGAGACAAACTGAAATGGAGAGGGATAGAAAGCGAAGAGAAAGATTTCAAAGGAGAATGTTTAGAAACGTATATAGACTTATATAAATTCATATTCATAATAACATGGAACACAGTATATAATCTATTAAAATGAAAATGAAAATAATTAAATGAAAGAGCTGTGAATGAAAAATAGAATGATATAAAAAGGGAAAAGAATTAAAGCTAAAAGCTAATTCATTCCCCCAAGTCAACTACATTTAAACAAAAAAAAGATAATATAACTTTTTATAGACGTAAAAGCGTCTATTTATAAACATATGAAATGTATAAATAGATATTTACAACCTTATGTATTGAAGCGTATAACTTGATTTGCCGTACGTCAAGAATATTTTTTACAGTAGTCGTCAACTGCAATACAGAGTTGCATAAATGCAAATTTTTTATATATATATATATATTTTTAATTAAAAATACTCTCATCTTTTTCTTTTCTTATTCCTCTTTTCTCTTTTTCTCTCTTTTCACTTTTCTAATACTCTTTGAATAGTAGTTTGTCAGAATATACTAGTTTGGAATTAAAAGTGCGAAATGCATACAGATATTTACTATATATTTGTTTTAATTCTATCGATCATTCAACTCTTCTTCTCTCCCTCTCTCCCTCTCTCTCTCTCTCTCGTTCCCATTTCTATCTTAGTATATATCCTTTAATACATAGTTTATATATACATTGTACACTTATAAATAAGAAAAGAGGACGCTGGGAGGCGGAAGGAGAAGACCTCTCTTGAGACGACAGAGATCAATATATTCAACTTGTAATAATTCTTGTAATCGATATAGAGAAGACTGAAAAGAAATATGAGGTTTTTGTATCTATTTATTAGGTTTATTATTATTATTATTAGTAATTTAATTGTATTTTTGTTTTAAAGAAGAAAAGGAAACTGATAGGGGAAGAGGAATTCTTCACTCCTTTTCTTTTTTATACCTTTTTATACCATTTACCGTCATAACAGTGACTCTGTTAATGTGAAAGGAAGGATGTCGCATGTAATACATTTGTCAGCCAATAATCCATTAGTAAGCTTTCTGTCTTTACTCGATTTCACGGGGGTAGTTAAAGTAGTATACAATGTACGTGTTTATAAGCATATAAGTGTATACGGTAGTACTAATATACCTTTCATCCGTGAGAGTTGTGCAGCATAAACTATACTAGACAAACGTAAAAAGAGATCTGTCAACTTGCATCATAATTGCTGTTGGAGTCTAGCTTGACTTTATTATTAAAAGATAACATGTTAGCAAGTTTCTTTTTTCCTGCTAACTACATATAGATATTATATTGATATATACATTATAAACATATAGTAATATTATTATGTATATACATATAAACAAATGCTGTTTATATTTAAATAATATGATCAGTTAAATGAAACATTCTTCCATTTGATAATAAAAGAGGTGGAATGAAAAAATAGGAAGAGAAAGAAATTGTTATAAACAATCGATCTGTCGCTTATCCGAGCAAAAAATAATCGATATTAATTCTTTGAAGTTGTCCTCGATACATGCACTGTATAATTATACAGACTTCCTATTTTTGCAGAGAAGAGGCAAGTAATAATGTACTAGATGTCAGTAGCGCGCGTGATTTGCTTGCAAAGATAAAATTTCATCAAATGGAAATCATTGACTTTTTTTTTCTTTTAAAAATTTCAGGGTTATTCAAGTAATATATAACTAACATCGGAACAGACAATATCGATATTTATAGCACATGATTCTCTCCCAACTACAGACGCTTCTAGAAAAAACATATAGTCTCCTTTTGTCTATATATATACATTTACAATAAATATAATACACATATGCATTACAGTATAAATTCACTTTTCATAGACTTTGGACTTTTGACAGCGCCGTCTAACGTTTCGCTCTGATATAATAAAAAAAGACAGCAAAAAAAAGAACGTATCAATGAATGAAATTGTTGAAAAAACATGGATTCAGAATGAAAAGGTTAAGAAAGAGAGAAAAAAGAAAGAAAGACAGAGAGAAAGAGAAAGATCGTGAATAAGAGATAAAGAGTAAGAAGAACTATAAGAGAACAAGAAGTAGAACAATAAGAAGAGAAGAAGAAAAATTAGGAAAAGAAAAAAAAAATTGAAGTGATAATTAAAAAGATAAATCCCATTTCCCTCCATCTTTCTTTCTCTGTTTCTTTCCTTTTTCAATAACAGAAATATTTTTGCCTACGTTTTCTTTTTCTTGAAAATGACAATTATGTTAAAAAATTGTATGTTAAATTGCAGTATATATATATATATATATATATATACATATATATATAAATTTATATATATATACAGTATATATACAATACATGAATAATTTAATAAAAAAATCCTCCTAATACAGTCATATTTTTCGTTTTTTTTTTAAATCTATTGTTTGTCATATGGTTATTACCTAAGAGGCTTTTCTTCCCCAATCGTCCCTTACCTTGAAGACTATATGCAAATAGACAATATATATACAGTATACACTATACAGCATATGTAATATATTACTGTTAATGTACAGATTTATATATATATATACTACTTTGTATAAAGTGTTTATGCTTATCTCTTATATATTTTTTACAGTTTATACGTGCTGAGGTGCTTGCTTTTTAGGCCTTGCTCTCTTTGCGGCTGCTGCCGCACCAAAACCACAATAACATACAAATTTCCAATGTGTTAGATGATTTTTAAGCCTGATAAGGGCATTTCGAACTTTTTTATCCATGGCGGCTAAAATGATTGGATGTGTGAGCGTGTTGGTAAGCAGTAGTTGGAAGGCGATTACGGTTAAGTAATTCTTAAGCAGGGACTTTTCCAGCGAATCCGTAACGCTTTGGAAGAGAACGGCAACTAGTATACAACAAACTAAACCTGTAGATAGATATAGATTCGTTAACGATTTACTGGCTGCCCTTAATTTCTCTAGCTTCATTTTTTCGTCGAGCTGCTCTTCCATGGCTGAAAGGGCTGAAATATTATCTTTTTGATCTCGAACTCTGGTTGCGTTCGGACCTGTATAGACATCCTCAGTTATTAATTGCTCCTTTGCAGCTTCTTCCTCCCCGTCTTCTTCATTATCATCGTCTTCTTCTTCCTCCTCTTCTGCCTCCTCTTCTTCCTCTTCCGGCTCCTCCTCTAGAGCTTCCTTAACTGATCCCAATGAATTTTCTTTCTCAATGGGCTCTAAAGCCTTCACAACTGGAGTTTTCATCGTATTAGTTTTTTTAATAGCGTTAGGTGTGCCTTTGGGCGTACTACCACCATTACCCTTTCTCTTTACAGATGACGGAGGCGACGTATCGTCAACAACAATGGTAGGTATTGAACGCTTACTGTCGCTGTCCTTCAGTTGAGACAAAGATCTAAATTGAGAATAGAGTTTAGGATTTTCCAATTGATCCTGCAAAGCGGTTATATCAACCGACCACTTTCTGGTATAGTTATAATTAAAATTACTCGACGCAGCTGCTGGCGTCTCTTTCGAATTATTATTAGCAACCAATTTCCTGCCAAGTTTACCGGAAACTGGTAGGCAATCGTCACCTAGGCCTATATTAGCGACCGTGTGCCGTCTGGCAGATTTCTGAGCCTGTTTCATTCTCATTTTAAGGTCAAAAGAGTCTAATTCTTCCGCCTCTTCCTCATCGTCACTATTTGATTTGCTCTTTTCTTGAATCCTATTTAGATGACGAGTTAATAAAGTCTCAGTTAGTTGCGGTCTACTAATATCAGAAGGCGTTGTAGCATCAGGTTCTTGTTCGATATGGTCCGAAGACTTTTTGGGGGGTTCAAGAATCTTATCAAGATTCTTCTTATCCCTCAAACTGACTGCAATTAGGCCAATTAGGGTGGCTAGAAGTATTAACGCGTATAGTGCAGTAAGTGTTCTACTAGATAATCGACTATTAATCGGTACCAGCAGGCTTACTAATATAGAAACAACCCACACGCAACAGGCAGTAACCAGTAGCCAGTATTCCCGGACGCCGCCTACCAATCTATTCACTGCGACACTGCAACTGCACAACACTATTACTGTAAGCGGGAGATAGAGGATAGCGTCCTTGGCAGAGTGGAAGGCTTGTGGTAGAGGGGAGGAGAAGAATGTGAAAATAACTAATGGCGTCTCAGCCAGACAGAGTATCAAATTGGCTACAGCCAAACTATAAACATACACATATTGTCCCGATCGTAGAGATGGTCTAACCAATTGGCAACACAGTAGGCAGATATTTTCAGCGGCACCCACGAGCCCAGTTACCAAATAGACACCTGATGCTGCAGCACCTATCCAAACCGACGCCGCCGTCGCATTCGTCGTCGTCATTCTAGTAAAGAATTAGGTTTTTAGTTGGATTATCACGAACCGTAATGCCTGACACGTATTCTCAATATCTATTGGGGTAATAGTAAAGGGTAGGAGGAGTGTATTTTTCAAACCTAATCTAATCCTTTTATTAAGCTCACGTCATACGTTTCTAAAGAGTAAGGGAATCGTAAAGATATAGACAGAAGGCACAGGAGTTGAAATAAACTGGATAGTGAGTCTGTTAGACATACTGTATAGTAGTTAATTTTATTATTACTTTGCACTTTTACATAAAAAGGGTCAACTTGGGACGTAACTAGTAGAACTAGTAAAAAAAAAACTGAATATAGTATAGGTTTATATAGTTAAGTAATGGAGATAAAATGATAAAAGAAGATAGGTAGCCAAGAGAGAGAGAGAGAGAGAAATGAAAAAAAATAGAGAAGAGAGACAGAGAAAGCTAGTGTGTTAGGAGCGAAGGAAAGACAGAGAGAAAGAGAGAAAGAGAGGAAGAGAGAGAAGGAAAGAGGCGGATAGGAAAGCTATAGGCCTGATTTAATTAATTTGCTTGACTTCTTCCCGTATATCGTGATTCGCTAACGAAATAGAATATACTGGTATGAGGGTTCTTTTTTCCTTAATTTTGTCTTTGTAGTTTTTTTTTCCTGTTTTTTTTTTCTTTTTTTGTTTAACTCTACAAAATTTTTCCTAATGGAATGATCATTATTACAACACTTTATCTATATAATTATTTAGAAGAAGGAAAGTCGAAGAAAATTAGGTTTGTATAGCAATTAGCGTGAGATCGTTTTTCTTCAAAGTTGCCTTGACTCTGAGAAGAAAAGAAAAAAGTTTGCATGGGGGAAAAAAAAATGGAAAACAATTAGTATCCTATCTTACGTTAATCATTATATTATAAATAATATCGGGTTTTAGCAAGACCGTAATATATAGACAAAAGGATATAAGGAATATGTAGTAACTTTACTATTATAGTCACCTAATTTTGTTAATAAAATATAATTAGGGCCTATAAAAAGAATCTGAAGAACGGACAAAGGAAGGTTTGTGTTGCCTCAAGAATTATTCGAAAATATTCAATTGAATATAACTCTATATTAGGATCTTGTCTCGAAGGTTGTTTTCCCTTATCTTTTACTCTTTCTTTCATTCTTCCTTCCTCAAAACCTTACACCACAGAGACGTAAACATCACGTAGAGACACCCAGTATACTACGAAGTCTAATACATATACTCTCTAGCATTATAAACAGTATATACAGAGGAAATATCTTTCTTATTAACTTGCATACTGGCTCTCTCTTTCCGTCTACCTTCTTCATTAATGCAAACAGACATACATAAACTCGGGTTATCGCCTTATTGCTTACGGCGTTTGCGCTTCACTAAAAAAGAGGGAAAAGGGCGGAAAAATAAAAAACAATGTAAATATTGTATATCGCGATCATAAGCTAATGACATGCGCCACCATACGACGACATTTCATCCGCATTGTATACCAATCAGAATATGCCAAACGTACATACTCGGTTCTGTTCTCTCAATTCTTTCAATCACGCTCCTGTCCTTTTTAAACGCCCACTGCACCTGCTAAGGTTTATATAATAACTCCAAGTGCATACATTCTATCAACCTTTTCTTTCTATTTTTAATCTGACGCCTCTTTTCTTTGAGCAAGTCTCTTTGTCTATTCCTCTATGTTATTGGTGAGTGTAATCACAGTATAAATTCATTCAACCACTACATTGAACTATAGTACAAAGAGCGTCGCCAAATTCTATCCGTTTACTTAAATAAGTAAGGCAGGCTTGATTGGACTATAACGCGAATGTTATAAACCTGCAACGGATCTAATGAAGGAAGATAATCGGATTTTGTTTTCATCACTTCTATCTTCAGGAAAACAAAACTCACTAAATGATTCCTCTTGTTTTTTTTTCTTTGCTTTTGTGTATCTACGATAAATCCTCTTCTTTCAATTCTACTTTCAACTTTTCCTAAGGGCTATTCGATAGGCGGCGCTGCTAATTTTCACTAAATTGACCGGTTGTTTATTTGTTTAAATTTAAACGGTATTAGAGAAGAGAAAGCTTTTTTTCTTTTTCTCTCTCAATTTTCCCAAAAGCCGTTTCCTTTCGGATAGAAAAACCTTATTTTTCGCTATAAAAACTCTTTTGATGTTTTAAAACAACTTCCCTTATGATATTAAAAAAAAAGAAATGTCTAATTCCTATTAATATATATAAATATCTCTCTATAGGCTTAAAAAGTACTTTTTTAACATTCTAGCATTAGAAGCCTTTTGAATATAATTAAAATGAAGTCAATTTATGACGTCATGTCAGCTGTCAAGTTTTTGAAGAACGAGAAAGCGAAAAAATTGTAAAAGATTTCAAAGAAAGACACAAAAAAATAGAATCAAAGAAGAAGTAGGAGAAAGATACGAAATAGTAAAATAGGGGAAAAGAGGTTGAAGAAGGGAAGGCATGGCAAGGATAAGGAGAAAAAGAGAAATTGGAATAATAATAGCTAAAAATGAAGATGATATTACAAATATTTTAATTAAAGTGAAGTAAAAAGAATTTTTCTTTAAAAAAAAAAAGTAAATAAAAAAAATCCATTGCCTGATGTTTTTCTTTCTAATTTCCTATGTATATCTCGGTGCTAATACTTTATAAAAGCCTTACCTTTATTTATAAACTATGGGCGTTTTAGGACGTTTCGTTATTGGACAGCACAGATTCTTTTGTACAAAACATAGAAAGAGGCGGAAGTAATCGATGCCTCAATCATAAATACTTTCGAACACATGCCAGAAAAAGCTATAGGGCTTGATGACGTCACGAAACAATCATTTCTAGATTACATTCTCTCTCTCTGTCTTTTATACATGTGTAGTATTGAGTTGTATATCCAAATGGGTGTAACAATATAAATATAGTATATGTAGTACAGTCAGTACAGAAAGAGAACATATATATATATTTATATACAGAATATATATATATAATATATGTTTGCCATGTTTATCACCAGCTGGGATCTTGTAGTACAATATTTGTAAATTCGTTTAATCATTTACAAAGAGTTACGTAAACAATTTGGCAATGAAAAAAAAAAAGTGAATTTTTTTGACACGAGATATGAACGGGAAGAAAAATATTAACCTATTCGATAGATGAAAGTGTTGCCAGCGGAGATTTTTCCCTACCAATTAGTACGTGCATAAGATGAAGGTTCTGGGCATCGTTTGCTCATATAAGGAGCTTGAGTGTTTCCCTTGGCATATCTTACTCTCTACTTCTCTTACTTTCCTTATTTTTCCCCCTTTTTAAGCATAACCACTAATATTTTACTATCGCTACTCTGCTCAACTGTAAACTTTCTCACGTATAATTTTTTTTCGTATTAGTCACACCCTAATGGCTTATTCTCTTATGTATATATACGCTTTCGAAGCTCGATTATCCCATAGCTACATAATCCTATGAAAATCCTGCATTTCTCTCTCGAATGCGTGTTATACTCAAGGACTTTTATAAAAATGCTTTTCTCATTAATATTTCCGCGTGGAAAGAAAAGGGTTTGCTAAGGTAAGTAAAAGACATACGATATGATGTGGTGTCACGTGACACTAAGGGCGCCATCTGAGCTCAAGTATTCGGGGGAGAATCACATGGTTACTTATCCTGTGTTAATTAAAAAGAGTAGAAGGAAGGATGAACTAAATGAAACCTACCGCCCTTTTTTCTCTACATAACTCATTCATTCAGGCCCTCCCTCTTGTTGGAAATCTCTATGATTATTTCTACTCTTTAGCATTCCCCTTATCAATTTATCCATCTGTCAATCAGTTTATCCTCCTACCTGTCTATCAACTTATCTTTCAATCTTTTGCATTTCCCTCCTTTCTTCTGCATCTCTGGAGAGATGTATACATATTTGAGCTTATTTACAAACATATGCTTACGCTCAGCACATATTGATGCATCGTTATCAATATTCCTTTTGCCCATGTTTAAACCATCAACCATATTTATCATCCTACTCCTTATGACTATCTCTTTTCCACCTATGTTGGATTTTTACCCCCACACAGCCTAAGGAATTATTTATCATTCGCAACGAGTCACTAACGATTAAATGAAAAACTTTAATTCTTATCAAAGAAAAACTTTCATTCTATTCATATATCACGAACTTTCTTTCAATTAGGTTTTTGAGATCCTAATGCTGATTTAAGCAGAGTATAACATTTAAATTTATAACTCGACTTCCAATTATCGAATTAGTATAACTCTACTTCTAGTAAAAATAAATGTCAAGCTGAGTTTATTCAAAGTATTCTCACCCTTTCTCTTCTCTCTCTCTTTTTTTTGCTCCCCCTCCCCCTTCTTTCTTTCTCTCTCTCTCTCTCTCTCTCTCTTTCCCTTTTCGCTCTCCTCTACATTTAACCACTACTTAGATCTAATGATAATTGATGTCGTATGCACTCAAAATTTTTTTCTACGTGCTCTCTAATTACACCGAATAAAAGACGTTTTTTAATAAGACTGTTGTCCAAAAAGATGTTGAAAATAATGCTTGTTTATGAAATTTGCATATTAATGAATAATAGTAATAAAGGAGTTTTTTTTCTTTTCATATATCTCTTCAAGTTATAGAAATTATAAAAGAAAATTGTGCTAGAGAATTCTTTTCAAGAGAAAAAAAACGAGACGAAAGGTTAGAGGAAATATGATATTCAACTAGAGAAGATGAACGTACGTTAGCCGTAAGAGAAAGGCGTTAAATTGAAGATTGTATGTAGTATTTTTCTGTATCATTAGTGTAGAAAAAGGAGGCTCTACTTTGTCGGTGTAAATTGAGTTTATAATGGTTTGATATAACTCACTAGAGTGCAAAGTTAAAGACGTTTGCCTTTTTCCCATTACATAATATTCTCTTCTCTTTATCTTTCTTCTTTTTTCATTCTCTTATCAATTAAAATGAAAAAAAATAATCGATTTAATAATATGAAGAGAGAGAGAGAGAGAGAGAGAAAGAATGGGAAATGGAGGGGGAGAGTGAAAGATAGTCAGACAGAAATTGACTTTTAACAGATAATAATAGTATTTTGATGGTTGTGTCTTGTTCTATTGATTATGAAGAGAAGGTCAACCAAGTATCATTTCGTTACAGTTAAACAATCTACACCAGAAGGCAATTTGCGATTTATAACATTTAGTATTTTTGATCAAAATCATTAAAATATTTTCTGTCTAATCCATATTGGAAAAATATAATTAAGGAGGGTAGAGAAGAGGAAGAAGAAGGGAAAAAAGACTATAGGAAGGTGGGCTTTGAATAAAAGCTACAATTAAATTTTGGAACGTGTCTGCACACATAACAAGATCAAACTTTTTATCGGATACACTAATCGATAATTTGGTAAATAAGCTCGTTGAGAATGTGTTTATCATTATTTCTTTCGAAACCCAATAAAAGAGAATAGTTTAATAGATTTTTTTTGGCTTTAGTAAGCCTATTCCCAGAGATAAACGCCACCGTATATTCTTCTATATTCAATAGTAATAGTTAGAAGGATCTTAACTGACTGTTGTCAGTCTTCTCTATTGTTCACCGGCGATCATTTGAAAGAGAGATTACTATCACGTGATTTAAAGTACTCTTCTCACGTATTCTGGTTCCTTTTTTTTTCCATCTTACCATTTCTTCATCAACTTTTATGAATAATAATACTAATACTATTGCTATTATTAACAGTAGGATGTTTGTTATTGGTAAAAGTTATTTATTTTATTATTACGTAATATTAAACTGTATAACTTTATAAAAAAAAAATACCGGTAATCTAACACAGTCTTTCATTTCTTTGCAAATAGGAAATAACAATATTTTAATATATTTCATTTTAAAGTACATAGAAAAAAAAAATTTCGTTTGAATGCTCGAGTTGTCATGGCAACTACAACAAAAAAACTGACTAATATGTAATATTTATTAAATAGTACAGACCTGTAAACGAATATTTTATCTCTCTTGTACGTCTTTTACATGAGTTAATGCATAATAAAACGGCAGTTGGTCAGATTACGTGACAACTGCAAAAGGCGTTGCTGCGCTGCGCGCCATAATTGACTGCTGCAGCCGTCAAGTCGATCAAGTCGAGCTTTAATATATAAAGAAAAAGCTTGCTGTGAAGATTTATTCAAATTTTATTCACGATAGATATAAAAAACCGTCAGCAAATAATAGGCTGACTGCAGCGATTGCATATAAACAACCACAGGTCTGAAAAGTAAAAACTATAGCGTCTATCTAAGCCTATACGGAGAATCGCTAGTATTGCAGTTTT